ACCGCCCGAGCTGAAACCAGGCTTCTCGGTGGACATGTCGGGCTGTGATTTGCCAGGGATAAGCGCTCGCCCTTCACCTGCAGCAAGCGGGACCAGCAGCAGCAGAGCAGGGCTCGCGGCAGCCGAAACGAGGCTCGCTATCAGGACAGCCCTTTGCATGTCGGCCTCTGTACTTGTATCTTACCAAACCATAGGGAGTACGTACGGCGTAGAACGGCTGGCAGATGCTGGCGTCCTACCTGCTGACTGCTGCATTAGGAGCCATTAAGCGCGGCCGTAGTGGCTGCCGGAGATGTCGGGCTTTCTAGAACCTTTCCCAGTTCTTCGCCGTGCTGCCAATCTCCCCTGATTAGGGCCTCACACGCCACGCGCCCATTGCTCGCTCGGCGTGGGGTGTCGTGGTGAAATCGGCCTTTTGGGCTTGAGGCCCGGCGTGGGTTATCTTCCGTCAATTGACCCTTCCTTTGGTCTAATGGGATACATTTCAGCCCAGCTGCCTAAAGCAGCCCCAAACACACCGCTCCACAGCGACGGAGTACTCTGTATGCTTCCGTGCTTCAGTGTTTCTGTTCTGTCTGCTTGCCCTTATTGGTCGCAGAGGCTGTCGCCGTGTTCCGTATGCAAGATGTGTTTGTGTCGCATCTACAGGGAGGAGACGCGGGGGTGCGAAACAGGACCCGGCCGAAGCTCAGATATGCCACGGCCGTCTGATTATCGTCCACCGCAACGTTCTCCCTCTCCTCACGCCCTCATCGCCACGATGTGACGGAGCCCTTGCCCACCCATTTGCCACTTTCCTTCTCGGTGACGTGCATTGGCAGACATTACCGTATGTTCGGTCTCTCTCGATTCAGCACCCCTTTCCAAGATCGGCTCGCCGTGACGGTGACTATCTGATGTTGTATCGTTACGCTCCCTCCCACCCTCGCTTCCTCGAAGCTCCACTTGCTATCACATTGGAAGGTCACGTACGGAGTATGTACACACGTTCGCGTACTTACTTACCGCACTCGTACTCACAGCACGATCGCCAATAGACTACCACTAACCCTGGGAGCAGCCGGCCCACAGAGATGAGGTGGGTTTTCTGCTGCTGTCAATGACATGATGACCTGAAATTGTGGAGGCGGGCCTTGACGGAAATAGATCCATACTGATAAGTTGTGAGCAATCCGCAAACATGCACGAGTACTATGTATCTTACATAGTAGCTATGGTGGGGGTGCATAGCTCTACATAGTACGAAGTAGCCCCCCAAATCTCCCTCTACCCAAAGAACTCTAGTTGGGACCCACCTATATTCTTTCTAAGCTGTGCCTGACCCCAAAATGAGTTGTGACCGGAGATGCCGTGGTCTCGCCAGATTGCTTTTCCAGCTTTGGGATCCGATCCTCATCGCGTGCGGTTTTGGGCACTTTTTATCGAGAAATGAGAAAAAAAAGAAACAGTTTCAGCCGGCGACTGCATGACGCCGCAGGCTCGGATGGGGAAGCGAAAAAATGAAAGAAAAAAAACCTAGTAAAATGATATGTGAGCAGCCACACAATGCGCACGAGTAGTCTCCAGCCCTCTGCAGGGCGATGTCAATCTTGTCGCAAAAAGCAAATCTCCAGCATAATCAGTGCTGGGCCGGACAGGGAAGATGCGATTTGGGCCGACAGCTACGTCATTGAAACGAGCTTCCGCCACATAGAATGATCCTCCTTGCACGGCAACAAGCCCACTCTGGGGACCAGTCTGGACCACCAAGAACCATACGATATTCAGACGCGTACGAGTAAGGATGTATCAGCCTCCTCCCCCCTCCCCCTTTTCCGTGGCGTGAGAGGGAGAGGAAACAGAGTGGGATTTGTCGACCCGGCAACTCCTGCGAATGCGACGTCATACCTCTGTTGGAAACTGTGCCGTTTATTAAGATTGCCTCCCGGATCTTGCATGCAGTCACGACGGCGGCGACGGCGGCAACGGAGAGGCGAAGCATGCGAGAACTGCCAGACAACCCCACGCATGATCCCGGTCAAGCCCTGAAAGGACAGATGGGCAGGGCGTGTACGAGCACTCATACATACTCGTACTTGTACTAGATAGTACGAGTGGACCAGGGGGAGGATTAAGCTGAGAGGTGGGAGCATCTGGGCGGCGAGATGCAAGATACTACATAGTATGTATGAGCAGGGCTCCACGAGCCGCGTCAGGGTTGACTCACGCACCCTTGAAATTTTGGGCCTCGTCGGTGCTGTATTGGTTTGGTGTCTTGATGCAGATCACGAGACGGCATGGATCGTGAAGGGCCGATACTGCGGTGCAGCAACAAAGCGTGTTACGTAATAGGCGGACAGGACGACACCGATATGAATGAGGGACAGACTAATGCGATCAAGCGATCAAGCGAGAGGGCGAAAGAACGAGAGGACGAGAGGACGAGGAGACGAGCGGACGAGACAACGAGACAACGAGACAATGAGACAACGAGACAACAAGAATCTGCAGAAGAAGGAGAGAGGACAGGGAATGCGGCGAGGTTCGCGGAACGACGGAACACAGCAAAGCACAGTCAGCTGGCGGCTTGGGGCCGTTTTGCCGGCTGTCTGGGGCTGAGACGGCCGTTGACCGGCTCGTATTTGACAAAAAAGCACAGCTGCTTGTCGGAACCAGCATTCCTTGCTCCGAGGGGCATATGCACGAGGAGACGGCGTGCCTTTTCTTCTGAGGCCCCGTTTTTAAGTCCTGTGGTGATGCTTAGAAGTGGAAGCACGTGCAGGCTGACTGCCATCTGCATCTGTCTGCGAATTTTCATCTCGCGGCACACACGACAAGACTTTGGCCCAGTGGCCAGACCGTGTGACCAACGGTCGTCTTTTGTCTCTCCCGCTCTACGCCGACAATACTACATCTGCAGGTGTGGCGGCAGCCGCCGCTGTCGGACAGAGCGAGGCTCGGAAGGGTAAAGATTGCGAAAAACGCAGAATCCCGGCTCTCGGCGACCAGAGGGACACGACCAAAGGGGGGGGGGGGGCGTACGGAAGCGAGGCAGCCTGAGGAAAAGCCAGAGATTAAGTCCTCTGTCTTTGTACTGGCCGACAGATGAGCTTCCGTTCCGGTCACCAAGGCTTCCAGCGGCTCTTCTGGCAGCCCGTCTATCAAGATGGAGGCCGAGCCAACCAAGAGAAATGGATAACTGAAGATATGACAAACGCCCCCCCGCTCTGGATATCAGCTGCGACTTCTATGCAGAAGCTCCCCCACATACTTAGCATCTCCGTGCCCTATTCCATTGGACCAATATGGGTACGACAGAAGAAGTCCACGGACCAGACTTTGCACAGTGATATTGGGCCATAGCGGTGGCAACAGCAAGAGAGGTCATGCATGCCACAAGCATGAAAGACCCGCATAAGGCCCGGGCTTATCTGCTCTCGTCATGGGGGGCGTAGCGAGAAGCGGAGATTTTCCAGGGCGAAAACGAGACGAGGCCGTGTAAGTAGGCAAAGTACGGGCTGCCAGGCAGAGGGAGCGCTTCGGTCTCCGAGCCGGAGGGCTGCCCGTCGTTTTCTGACCGCGGAGAAGACGAGAGGATGTGACTGGCCGCGCATGAGATGCAGAAGATTGGGAAGATGCTATTGTGTGATGCCGAGTACAGTAAGGCTGGTGGAGCTACGCCGTAAAGCTGGAGAAGCTGGAGATGCTGGAGATGCTCCGTAAAGCTGTCTTTTTGTCTATAAGAACGATGGGGCGCTAGGCTTGGCGTTGGGGGCATCGGCGGACCCCGGAACTATTGAGACCAGGGACTGTACTTTTTTTTCTTTTTTCTTCTGGCTCTTCTTTTTCCCTTGTCCTTTATTCCCAGACCACCAGAGGCCGATGCCCGTCCTGGCCGTTGCTACCCCAACATAGCTAAGAGGCCTGATGCGCGTCAGGTATAAGCCTTAGTGTGCATGTTGGTCTCAGGACGGGCTCTCCGAAGGCTGTATGAAGATGGATGTGGTAGGGCGGGCGAGACCCGAGCGTTTCGGGAATGACGTGTGCTAGATGGTGCAAAATAAACATTGGAATACTGAAAAATTGAAAAACTGATTTTTTTTTTACCCAACGCGTGCAGAAATCTCTTCCACAGCTCGTTCTGGCCGAAAAGCCCAATGAAGGGCATCCGATGACCGGAAGATGGGCTCTCTTTGAGCTTTCGGCGTTGGGCTGCATGAAGCTGGCAGTGATCTCATCTTGCATGTACGGCGTGTATTCGCATTGCCAATTGGGCGAGCTGGGAGCCCAGTGAAGCTACGATCTACAGAGCTCTCTGCAGCTGCTCCATGCTCTGTAGCTGTGGCAGCCGTGGCAATTGTTGGGCTGCTGGCGCTGGCCGTCGCTTCCTCGCTTGCACATCCCGTGTTGGGGGGATGAAGGTGGAAGGCCCCCCCTCCTTCCCCATGCTGCACCAAGCTGTTAGCGCCGCCCACGCGCAATTAGTAAAACAGGCGCCAGCCACACATGCTGAAGGGTAGCTCCAGCACAGATGCAATGTTGATTTCTAGCAGGATAGCAAGTAAAACAACCCCCAAAACACCGAAAAACACACTCGGCACGGAAACCGAACGACCGAGCGGATCACTGCTAAACAGCATCCCCCCATCCTCCAATCCCCAGCCCCGACCGCCGGCCTTTTTTTCCTTTGCACCCATTTTCCCCGGTCTCTCGGCGTTCAGTCAGACCGTTGTGCCGATGCTAGACTGTCCTATCACAGCTCACCATTCATTACCGCAGACGCGTCCGACACGATAGGATTGGCCTACCAGTGCTGCTTCTCTCTGTTTCTCTTTATCGTACACGCATCTCTAGACACACCGTCATTCCGATCATCCGCCCCCCCACGAATAGCGAAAGCGAGTCAGAACCCGCCCGACCTTTGATCTGTCTCTGGGACCCGCTAGAGTCCCCATTTCTTGTTTTGGTGTCCTCCGTCTGTTGAGCTATCTTAAGATACGTTGAAATCGCCGCCTACCGCCATGGCTGTTCCGGCCCCGGTCTCGACCGTTCCGACCAGGTGGGTGCAGCAGTCCTTCTTCTTGCGCCCCGTGTCTGCCCGCCCAACACCCCTCCCTCAGTGTGGCTTTCGTCCTTTTGTCTTTCTGTCCTATTTTGCCCTTTTTCCTCTTGACCCTCTTTCCTAGCCGGGTTTTGCATGGCCAGGCGGGGCGTCAGGCTTCCTGTGGACGTCTTGTCATTCGAATTGAGCAGATCGACCAGGAACAGTTGCTCCGAACAGGATCACTGACCGTCCATCCAGACCGGTTCACATTGTCTTTGTTGGCGCTGGCGCCGTGGGATGCTTCTATGCATCTAGGCTTCATCATGTGGGTATTTCCTCTTGCTGCTGCTGCTGCTCTGGAAGGAGGCGAACTCTTTGCTGAACCTGCCGTCCATAGCCGGACAGCAACATCCATGTGTCCCTGATCGGCCGATCGAACTACGCCGCCTTGGCCAAGAACGGCGTGCATCTAGAGACGCACTCGTTTGGCGACTACGTTTTCCGGCCCCACGCCGTCTTCCCGTCTGTGAAGGCGGCGACACCAGTGGACCCAGACAGCATCTCCGAGACCGACGACGAAGACGAGGACGATCCCGGCAGAGACGGCAGAAATGGATACGGCTCGTCTCCGAACCCACCCCGAGAGTGGGACTTTGTCGTGGTGACGACCAAAGCGCTGCCCGACCTCGGCGACGATGCGGCGACGATTGTGCCGCTGGTGGGTCCCAACACGAGCATCGTGCTCATCCAGAACGGTGTCGGGGTGGAGGCACCGTACCGACGACGCTTTCCGCAGACGCCCATTGTGAGCGCCGTGACGGTTGTCAGTGCCGAGCAGATACGGCCGGGCGTGATTCGGCAGAACCGGTGGACACGGCTGCACCTAGGGGCATACACATATTCGGCCGAGTCCAAGGCGCCGCGGTCGCTGGGGCCAAGCCGGGGTGGCTCGTGGGCGGTGGCGCCGGAGAAGGAGTTGACAAGGCGCGGCAGCGAGGCGGTGGCCCGGCTGGCCGACTGGTGGACGCATCTGGGTGGCATCCGGGACATTGAGCAGCTGGACGAGGTCGGGCTGCAGACGGTGCGGTGGCACAAGCTGTGCATCAACGCGGCCTTCAACCCGTCGGCCGTGCTGTCGGGCGGACGAGGCAACGCCGACATGGCGTCGGATCCAGAACTGCGCATTCACCTTGGCGGCGTCATGGACGAGATCTGGCAGGCAGCGCCGCGCATCCTCGGTCGACCGTTTCCTGAGGGCTTGGCCCGACCCGACCGCATTCTCGCCAGCACCGACCGCAACAAGGGCGCTCGGCCCAGCATGTTGCTCGACTGGGAGGCTGGTCGGCCGCTCGAGCTCGAGGTCATTGTCGGGAATCCCGTGCGCATTGCCCGGGCCCGCGGCGTCGACCTACCGCGCATGCAGACGCTGTATGCGCTGCTGCGCAGTACCCAGGCCATGCGGGAGAAGAAGATGGCTCCGGCGAAGCTGTAATGGATGTGTGTTCTGTACGGAGTACGAGTATCGGTATTATGTATACATGCATATACGCATATGTGTATATGTTATTACATAATCCATCTGCATTTATCTCGATTTGCCAGCAAGCTATCTAGTTCTCATAGTTTTCAGTCTTTACAAGCATTAGCATTCCTCCGAGCATGTCCATGCGTGCACCTGGGTAGCAAGCCAGCCGTTGTCCCTACTTGGCCCAGGGAGCTCTCGTCAGGCCGATCTGTGCTGCTGTCGAGCCTCCGTCCTGGGATGTGGGTGTGGCTGTGGCAGAGGAGCCTGGCCGCGATGGCAGGCCTGGCCTGGCTGGCACGCGAGAGTAGGGGATGCCGGGGCCGGGCAAGCCAAGGGTGCCGGGCATGCGAGTAGCCTGGGCCCAGGGAGCAGCAGTAGCAGCGGCGGCAGCGTTGGTGTTGGTGGCCGAGGCTGTGGCGGTAGCGGTAGCGGTGGCGGTGGAAGCAGTGGCTGGCTGGCTGGCCATGTGGACGGAGTGCTGGGGTGTCTCGGCGTCGGGGTCGGCGGTCCAGGCGAAGAGCGAGCCAAAGGCAAAGTGCTGGACGACGGGGAACTTGGAGAGCACCTCGGCGTTGTACATTTTGATCATGCCCTTGTTGATCTTGCCCCAGCCGTCGGCGATGCCGGAGACGTCAAAGAGGATCGGGCTGTGTTCCCAAAAGGGGCCGGTCTTGACGTCGTCGATGAAGCCGACGGCGGCAAAGTAGAGGTTTTGTTGGCGCTGTACGGCCACGGTTGCCGGCCGCAGCACATCGGCCGGCTTGGGTGCACCCGGCGCCGAGCCTTCCTGCGGCATGGGCGTGCTGGCAGCCGTGGCCGCGGCGATGGGGCGTGTCAGCTGGGCCGACCCGAAGATGTATGGCAGGAAGAAGTGGTCGTCGAGACCCCAGACGCCGTGGGAGCCGGCCGGCTCGAGCGTGTAGGTGAGGATGAGTCGGCGGACGACCCGGAGGTAGCTAGAGCTGTTAGTGACGCAGAAGGGGAGAGGAAGTAAAGTTGAAGAGAAAGAAGAAAGAAAGAAGAAAGAAAAGAAAAAGAAAACTCACGGCTCAATCACGCCCAGCACGATGCTGCGCTCGACAGCGTCGCCGTCCGGCCCGCCGTCGCCGTCGGCAAACACGCCCAGCTTCCAGAGGGAGCCGAGGAAGGCGAGAAAGCTGAGCTCGTGGCCGGTGCCGTAGTCGAGCCGCTGCGCGCTGCCAAAGCTGCCGAGAAAGTAGGCGGCGACTTCGTCCATGGCCGTGGCCTGGTCGGTCTGGTCGGTCTGGTCGGTCTGTCCGCCCACCCCCACAAGTTCTTGTAGCAGTCCGTCGGCCTGCTCGGCCAGAAGCCGGTGCCACGTCCGGAAGCTGGCGTTGCCAAAACGCCGTGGACCCGGATCGGGCGGCGCCTGGTCGATGAGCGCGTCAAGGCGGCCCAGCAGCTGCTGTAGCCGGCAGACCGACGGCGGATCCGCGCGCGGCTGCTGCAGCGTGAAGACGGTGGTCGAGGCGGCGGTCGGAATTGTCTGGGTCGTTGCGCGCGGACACATCGCATGGTTCAGCTGCAGGATAAAGAGGCCGAGATCGCGATAGGCGGTCGAGACGAGAAAGCGAGCAACGTCGGGACCGTCAAAAATACGCTTCGTCGGACGGATAAAGGTGTGCTTAGCCCCGGAGGAGTGGTGGTGCCGGTGGTGATGATGGCTGTGGTTGTGGTTGTGATGGCTGTGCTCGTTTGGCTCCTTGTGTTCCTTGTGCTCTTTCTGCTCTTTTTGCTCGCTCTGCTGGGCTGCCACGCCAAGACGCTCCAACTTCAGGAGATGACCAGCTGCCGACACAGGAGCGGACGCCGGCGCCGCCACTGCGACGCCTGCAGAAGCTGTCGTCAAGCTCATCGTAACCGGTCGTGGGAAACTTGTCCCGCCTCGCTTGCGTCTGGCAGGTGGAAAATGATACCTAATGACGCTCGGTTGAAAATGCCCCACCAACTCCACACGTCCCTGCGCTAGCGGCTAGCATTTATACAGAATGATGGGCGAAGATATCACAGAACTGCCAAGGTAGATTAGGTAAGCAGTAACCTTCACATTCATATGCCCCAACGTGCAGCTCAAAATACAAGTCGTGAAAGGGTATTTCGGCAGACGCAAGGATAAACAAGAAGAAACAATCGTGAACAGCAGTAAGCCAAGCAGAAAAAACATAACCAGTCCTCACAATCACATCAATAAGCTCATTCTTGTCCCTGGCCTTCTCTTACGCAGGACTGCCCAACACCCTCAACTCAGCTGCATTCCAGAAGCTCGCCATTGTCCCGAGTCATACACCACAATACATGCGAAAGCCCCGTCAAATCACAAGTCAGATCGAGTTCACCATCCCCAGAAACATTACGGCGAAAGAGAATATATATGTACACATATATATAGAGATGGCAAATAAAAATAAAGGTATGGAAAAGGTCGAGCGTCAACAAGGCTGGCTCCGGAGGGTATCGAATCTGTCGGATAGGTCGGAAAAAAAGAACGTCCCGTCTACGCGAGATGCGTAATATTGGCGATGGATTTCAGCATTCTTCGTCATCGGGTTAGCATTGAGTCTCGAGTGTGAGCGTGTCGGGACCATCGCCATCCACTTACTGGGCGCTTCGGTCGCGCAATTCATCGTCGAGCTCCTGAAGCCCACGCGCGGTCACTCGAGCTCTAGATATCTGCAGGGGCGCAAGCACGATGCATTAGCACTTGTTTGTCCACAACTATGTTAAACGGCAACCTTCGCGTGGGACCGGCGGCTCGCGCACCGAAGCTAGGGCTGCCGACGAGTGGTCTGGCTCTCTGGGCTCACCTTCTGCCGTGGCAGGGGCCCCAGACTCGGCGGCTGCGTCATCGCTGGGCGCATCGGCGTGGTGGCTGGCCGACAGGCCCTTGCCCGCCTGGTGTGTCTATGCTTAGTCAGCGACAGCTCTAGAACGCCCAGAAATACAGCAGCGTCAAGAAGAGCGGAACAACAGAAGCTGCCGCAAAGACCAGATAAAACGGCCTGCCTACCTTTGCTTCGGCCAGCTCGGCCTCTTTGACCTTGAGCTGTGCGAGCAGCTCCTCGATCGTATGCTTCGCCGCCGAGTTCTTGTTCTGCTCCTCCTCCACAATCTGGGTCATCGAATCGTGCAGCTCCTTGTAGTCGGCCAGCGTCGTCTTCACCTTGGCCTCACCCTCCAGCCTGACCGCCTCGAGCTCCTTCTGCAGCAGCTCGAGCTCCTCCTGCGCAGCCCGTGCCCCGTCGCTGGCATCGGCCGCCTTGGAGTTGGCCGCAAACAGCTCGTTCTCGTGCGTCTTCTTGAGCGCTGACAGCTCCGCCCGCAGACCTTCCAGCTCCCTCACACCCGGCGGCGATGCCCTGGCGTCTAGTGCAGCCTCAGCCTCGATCTTGGCCATCTTGGCCATCGCCAGCTCCCCACCGAGCGCGTCGCTCTCTGCGTTGGCCTTGGCCACGTCCGAGAGCGCGCCCTCCAGCGCTGTGGTCACCTGGGTCAGACGCTTCTCTAGATCGGCCGCATGTTCAGCAACTGTCGCCTGCTGTGCCGCCAGCTCGCTGATTTCCTTGGCGTGGGCCTCCTTCAGTGCCGCTGTTTCCGCAGCTCCTTCACTCTTGGCCTTCTCGATGGCATCAGTCTGCATCTTCAGCAGTTTCCCCATCTCCGCATCGTGCTCGGTCTCCAAGCTGGCCGTTGCCTTCTGCATCGCATTGCTGTGAGCGAGTGCCGCCTCGGCCAGTGCTGTTGCAACCGTTGCAGACGCCTCCCCAGTGCTCTTCTGCAGCTCCGCCTCGTGCTGCGCGGCCAGCTCTGCCTTGAGCGACTCGAGCTGCGCTGTGTGCTGCTTCTCAAGCTCCGCCTTCACTTCCACGAGCTTGGCTGCCGAGGTATCCTCGTTTGCCGCCGTGGCTGCGCTGATGGCCGCCGCATGGCTGTCCTGAATCTCCTTGATTGCCGAGGCATGCTCTGCCCTCAGGGCCTCGATGGCCTCTGCGTGAGCCGAGCGGAGGGCATCGAGTTCCTTAGCCAGGGCTTCTGCCGACTCCATCTGCAGGTTGTCAACGTGTTCTGCATGGCTTGCCTTGAGCGTGGCGAGCTCGGCCAGGTGATCGTCATTCGACGAGCTGGTGGCAGACTGCATCGCTGTCTCAAGCTCCTTTACATGGCGAGCCAGAAGATCTTCCATCTCCTTCTGGTGGGCTGCCGTGCTTTCCTCCAACGCGGCCGCGTGCTTGGCCTCTGCGGCCCTCAGCGCTTCTGTATGCACATCCTCGGTCTTGGACATGGAATCGACAATCTCGTTGTGCTGTGCTTCAAGGCTGTGAAACTTCTCTTCGAACGCCCGCAGGACCTCGATCTCGGCCTCGTACTTCTCCGACACTTGCTTCAACTTGTTGCTGTGCTCTTCGATGGCAGTGTCGTATTGGCTCTTGATCAGGGCCATCGCTGCATCCTTGTTGCCGCTTTCCTCGCTTGCCGCTTCAGTCGCCTTCTGGAGGGCTGCAAGAGCCTCCACGGCCTTCTGGGCGGCCGCCTTTGAAGCAACCAGATCCTCCTGAAGCGCCGCCACCGTGGCCTCGAGGGAGTTGAGCTTAGCATCCTTTGCCTCCAGCTCTGCCTTTGCTCCGGCAGCGGCGTTCTCGGCCGCCTGAAGTTTGGCCTCCAGGTCCGACACTGCGCCGGCTTGCGCCGCCGCATCCTCTACAGCCTTCTCAGACGCCAAAAGCTTCTCCTTCAGCTCGCTGATCTCGCTCTCCAGTGCAGTCATTGCGGTGCTGGCCTCCCCGGCCTTGGCCTCCGAAGCCGAGAGGTTGTCAATCTTCGCCTGCAGCTCGGCAAGAGCGGCCTCGTGGCGGGATGTCAGCTCGGCCACAGCTTGCTCATGGACAGAAGACGACGCGGTCTCGCCTTCCTTCAAGGCATCGGCATGCTTCGCCTCTAGGGAAGCAAGAGCCTCCCGGTGCTCTAGAGCAAGAGACTGCTTCAGGGCATCGAGGGCAGCAGCATGATCCGCGCTGGCGCTGGTCAATGCCTCCTGCTTCTCTGCTAGCTTGGCATTGTGTTCGTTCTGTAGCGCCTCAAGAGACATCTTCAGAGAGTTGATCTCGGCATCGGAAGCATCCTTGGACGATGTGATATCAGCAGCCTCCGCTTTGTGCTTGGCCAGCTCATCTTCAGCCACAGCGAGCTTCTCTTCAATCGTTTTGACCTGTGCATTCAGCGCCGCAATCTCCTCCTGATGCTCGGACTTCAAGGCGGCAATCAGGTTGTCCTGATCCTTTTCCTCGAGCGTGGTCTTCTGGAGCTGATCGTTCAAGAAGTCGATTCTCTCCTTGGCAGAGTCGATTTGGGCCTTCAGTTCTGTGGTCTCGGCCTTGCTGCTTGCGAGCTTTTCCCGGAGGTCATCCGTTTCCTTGGCCGTCTCGACAGAGGATGAAGACGAGCTGTGCATCGACGGGCGGCTGATGTGCCGGGTAGCGGCCGATGTCGACGCAGCCGAAACCCCGACCGTGGACAAGCGCTTCTTGGCCTCAGCCACCAGACCTGTTGCGGCTGGGCGGCTCGCCGTCGTCCTGGTGGTAGCCGTGTTCGAGGAGGAGACAGAGCTGACGCTTGGCTTATGTACTGGGGCATGTGTTCCGCCATGGGGTGCATTTGTCGAGGACGTGGAGCCGGTGGCTAGGGGCTTCCGCGCCGCAGCAGCCGTGCCAGAAGGAGGCTGAGGGGTGGTAGCACCCGCTGGCCTGGCCGTTCTGGTGGTCGTGGAAGCAGTAGTGCCCGGGGCCGTGGACGTGCGGCGGGCGACAGTGCTCGAGCCAAAGCGCTTCTTCTCATCTTCCGATGCAGAGGTGCTCGATCTGTGGGTGGCATTCGACGAGGCCGTGGCGGGACGCTTGGCAATGCTGCCGGACGTGCTTGTGGCTGGGCGTGCTGGAGCCTTGTTCAGGCCAGCGGCGGTGCTGGTGCGCGGATGCGTGCCAGTCGATGAAGCCGGCTTTGCAGGCGCAGCACTGGTGAGACCCGTGCGGCGTGCGGTAGAGGGCGGCACGGTGCTCGATGGCCGCTTCGTGGCATGAGCTCCGGTGGCTGACTTTGCGGCAGCCAGCTTTGTCGGCGACTTGGGAAGATCCGTTGATGAAGGCGATGTGGGGACAGCCAGTGTGGCCGGCGTTCCCGGGGACGTTGGAAAGACGGGTGACACCGGCGAGGCCGTGGAGGAATTGACGACAGAGAGAGCTGGCTCAGAAATAGGAGGCTCAGGGGTCTCAGCCTTTTGGGCCATGTCGAGAACGGCGGCGTCGGCCATGGGGACTGCAAAGGACGGTAGGGGCGGCGTCGTTGAGACCAGGCCGATATAAACAAGCGGTGCTTGTTTAGTCTAGTTGCAGACGTTAGCAGCCAATCCTGTATCGTCTCGGTGAGGCTATAAAACCGCGTGGTAGCGCGTCTGCCGCGGCGACAATCCGACGGATTTTATGTGCGAATCGGCTTTGCGAACTCACCTCGTGTATCTGCAACGTTGATGCAGCAATCAAAGACGGGTGCCAATTGGGCGAGTTGGCCGATGCAAGAGCTGGTGCAATGCGGTCGATGGAGCTCCTGAGTGGCGCGAGCTGGACACCAAATAGAAGCAGGCCGAAAGAGATAGGGGCCAGACAACAGGATTCTGGTGGGAAGACAGCTGCAGCGTCGAGAGAGCAGGAGATGGAGCAGAACAGCAGAAATAACCGCAGCTGCCTCGGTTTGGAATTGCGTTGATGCAGAGAGAAAGGGGGAGAGAGAGGGAGGAGGAAGCGCGGTCGATTTGGAAGAACTGAAAAGAAGGGGATAATTGCGGTCGAGAGAGAACAGGGGAAGAAAAATTAAAGTGGAAAGGTATTGCATAGAATCGGTGGTGGACGAACGCAGAGGCCACATGGAAGAGAGAGGGATACGGAGGGAAGGAGCACAGACCTTGTGCTGTCAGGGGGGGGAAGGAACGACGGCGGGCACAACGGCCAACCGTACGGAGTTCTTGCCCCTATTACAGAAGCAGCAGCAACAGCCAGGGCCACAGCCGGCAGCCGGTGCCAGACGACAGGCTATTTATTATTTTAGAAGCGAGCTAGGGGCTCGGGACGTGTTCGGTTTTTAGCAGGAGCCCGCGCTAGGCGACATTGCATTGTCGCGACTGGCTGCCAGATTACATAGTACATACGTCGTAGACGGTCAGATTGTGGGCACAGCGAAAGCAGATGTGCAGCGTGATGCGGTGTGGAGGCTGGCGAGCGAAATACTCCTTGCAAGGATGCGGCGACCGCTACCGGAATGCCGACTGTCGAAGCACGGTGTACGGAGTAGTAGATACGAACAAAAGAGGGACGCTCTGAGCAGCAGAAGAACACTGTCCACACGCCATGTCCTGACGACGTACGGAGTGCGACATACGACCTATGGACTGTGCATTCGCATCTCTGTTTTCGATGACGCAGGAAGACCCGACCGTATGAGTGGAGCTGGCCTCCAGGATCGCCACCGACCTGTTGCCGTCTGCCGAATGCAGCTGGCGGAAAAGGAGAGGCACCTGCAGCTGGGCCAGAACCAACCGGCGTGCAACAGGCCAATGGCCGCGGGCCCAGAGCGCTACTGTCGCGGAGGAAGCAGTGGAGAAAGCTCCTGCACGTTTAGGGGCTCTTACCCCTGTCTCAAGCCTCCCTCGGACGTCCCTCTGAAAGCATGTTGGCAACGGTCAAGAAGGAGAAGTTGGTATCATGGAATAAGACAACGCGGCCAAAACTCCCGCTCCCGCTCCAGCAAATGTGTATACTCCGTAGTGCTACCTACTGCCTTGGCAGTCAGGCAGATAATTCCCGTCACAGCCCGCTGTACCCCGGCAGCCGACAGCCTGCGCCCGCCCACTGGGGAATGGCTTTCTGCTTCTTCGCCGCCATTGTGCGTGCCGCGCTCTTGATTATCTCAGCCTGGTGCGCCACGTCCATCAGGTCGCGGCCGAGCTCGGCGGCCAGTCGGACCAGGTTGGGCTCCTTCCTCCTCATCAGGTGCTTCAAGATTTGTTTTCGCTCCTCTGCGCTGAAGGTCTTTCCAGACATGTCTGTCTGCAGTTGTGTTTGAGCTTGTGTTTGTGGACTTGGGCGAGACAGAACCCGTTGAGTCTGGGTCGGTTGCGTTTGGGCTGTTTGTGGTGGACTTGGCCGAGGCGATACCGGTTGAGTCTGAGTCGGTCGAGTCGGAGTCGGCTGTGTTTGCAGCTGCATCGCCGGCTCAGCCTGCCGCTCTATGGAAACAGCTACTGGCTCAGTCGGCGAAACAATCATGGTGCTCTGCTGATCATAGCCATCGCTGTAGAGACAAGGCGGCGTGGCCAGCCGACCAACACGCTGCACGGCCATGTTCTCGTGTGCGTCATGCCTGACTTCGTCGTCGTCGTCGTCTATAGGCCGCGTGGGCGTCTGTCTGCTGCTGGCGACTCTTGATGCCGGCTGCATGTCTCTAAATTCGATCAGTGCTGCGGCTGCTGCCTTTGCCGCCTCTGCTGCCTCTTGCTGTTCCACTTCCTTCAGCCGGGCCGTCCGTAGCAATTGCATGTCGCCCAGGCGGATCTTGCGCTCCAGCTCGATCTTGGCCGTCCAGATCTCGTCCTGGACGCGGTTTACGAGAAGGTGCAGCCGTCGCCGAGCCTCCTTCTTGGCGCCGAGCCGGCTGCGTTGCCTCTGGCGGCCGACGTCGTCGCCGTCACGAGCCTGGTCCTGGTTCTCGTCGCCGCTGCTAGCTTGGTCTCCATATTCGGCCCGGTAGCCGAGTTCGTGCGCCAGGGCAGCCTCGAGCCGCGCGAGCCAGGATGAGGCCTGTGCCGCAATCTCGAGACTGCCCCGGTTCAGCTGGCAGACGGCGAGCGGCACGTAGAAGCCGTCGAGGCAGATGTCGTCATCGTCGTCACGGCCACCCAACATAAGCGTCGTCTCCAGCAGCGCGGCAGCCTCCGGCACGACAAAGGTGGCCAAATCCTCGCAGAGCAGCGCACGCATGCGGCGCTCCCTTGACGTCAAGTCGTCGGCCACGGGCGCGAGCGAGATGTCACAGGCATTGATGATGCGTTGCTGGATGCCGTCGCGCAGCTGGCGCAGCTTTTCGGTCCTCACCAGCAGATACGCGTATTGGGCCAGCGGCTGGAAGAACCGCTCGCTCGGGAAGACCGGCTGTGGCGTCTTGGCATACATGGCCGCCAGCTCTGCCAGCTGCTTCCGGAGCTCCTTTCCCTGGGCCGTCACTGGCTGCAGACCTGACTGCGGGTTGGCCTGCAGCTGTCGAAATGCCACCTTCCACGTGCGCTTCCCTGACCAGCCGATGCTGCTCATTAGCTCTGTGATCTCCCTCGCTGTCTGGCTGTCCAGCCCGATTGTCTGCTTGTCTTCCTCTGTCATCATAATGTCTGCTTGGGCCACCTCCTCGACTTCGTCCGTCTCTTCGGCTGTCTCATCAACAGGGGCGCTGTTCTCTGGATTTTCTCCTTCGCTAGTTTCCTCCAGCGCGGGCACTCCACCCTCTTCGTATTCGTCAGCATCATTTTCGTTCTCTTCGTTCTCTTCGTTGTCTATTGCGTCGTCCGGCTGCCCTTCAGGGGACTCTTTTCTTAAACGGTTCGAAGTTCGTGTTTTGCGTTTTGCTGCCGGCTGTGATCTGCTACTCCGGCTCTGCTCCTTTTCGTTTTCGGTGTGGCCATCGATGGGCACTATGCCAGCACTGCGTGTTTGTCTGTTATTTCCTGACTGACGCGCATTTTCCAACGCTTTGGATGCTCTTGCTAAGACGACTTCTGCGCTCACTGCCTTCTGCCGCTTTCGGGTCGGACGAATTGCAGGTGCAGTTGTTCTCGACGGCTGTTTTATCGACGAGCGCTTCCGTTTTCTGTTTCGCAGGTTGTGTTTCTCCCCCTCCCGGTCCGATCCCACGACTATAAAGGTATCATCGCCTGTGCCATTGCTGTGATCCTCGTTGGGGTCTGGTTGCACGTCGGAAACAATTGTATCGTCTTCTTCCGAACTCATGCTGGCAGCTGGCGGCCGTTTTGCGGGAGCTGTCTCAGGACTGTGAACTGCGGCCTTGCGGCCTTTGCGGTTCGCCATCGCATTGCACGCACTTTGCCGGTCGTTTGGCGATACCACGGTTGTCGCGACAAGATCGTATGAAGATCCATTTATTACAGGAGTACTCCGTAGAGATGTGAATTTTGATTAGATAGTCCCGCTAGTTGGTTGCTGCGGCAGCCACATTTCGCACAGCCCGTAAACCATCGCTAACATGCCCGAGAAAATAGAACCCCCTATAACACACCGAAAATTAGACAACGCAGGAGGAAAGAGAGAGAACATTTGAAGAAGCAGTCAGGCAAAATCTGTCGTTGCGTTTGTTGTCATGATCTTCGTGACAAAGGAAAGAATATGTGTCGCCTTGCTCAATCGGTTGTATGAGGAGACAAAGAGTCCAAGAAGCTCTCCGAAAGCGAGAAGGCCAATGTTTCTCACAAGTGACGGGGGCAGTCCGTAGGAACCCATTACAATTGATAGTGCTGGAAAAACAAAGTAGGGCCACCAGCCTTGCGCCGTACGGCCTCGAAAAATCGAATTTTTGATGCCGAAGGCGGAAGTAGCCGTCGACTCCAGTGTGTCGAGGATGTCGTTTGTGAGATTGTTCGCCTGCATCAGGAGGCGTGTTTGGTCATTATACCTGGACGAAAGCGTGTTTTCCAGGCTGATAAGCCGCTCCATTCCCTGCCGAGAGCTGTCAGCATGTGACTTCCTGTGGCACCAGGCCTGATGGGACTTACCTGTTCCAGGGAGCCTTGGCGAAGGGACAAGTCTGCCACATGTCGATGAGATAGATCCTTGCGGTTTTGTTAGCAGGTAGCCGAGTATCGTAGCATGATTCTGGGAATCAGGTCGTAAACATACAAGCTCGTTCTGTAGCGATGCGGATGCCGACAATAGCACGTTCATTGCAGATGCGAACCCGGCCATCTCGCTGTTCACCTGTTGGGACACCCGCTCGAGCGACTGTTCGTGGGCAAAAGCGGCGTGAGAGCTGCTCTCGAGCACAGTTTTGATCATGACGGCAAGCACTCTCTGCAAATCTCCGGCTGCCCGAAAGCCTTCGCGGACAGAGATGCCAGCTTGCTGCAGGACAGGGCCCAGGTCTCCTTCAACGTAGGCGCCTATGTGACTCAGAAGCAGCCATATTTGTTCGATCTGCGGCGTCAATTGGCTGATCTTCTCACTTGCCTGCTGGGCTGCTAGATCCAAGGCCTCAGTCTGTCTCTGAATTTCGGCTTCGACGTCAGCAGTGAGCTTAGCCATGACCCTCGTCAGACGCTGAAAGATGAGAATGTTCTGGGCTGTAACAGGTTAGCGGTGAAGCTCTGATTGTCGTTTGACGGGCACGGGGTGGCACTCACTCTTCTCATGGTCTGCGCGAGCCGCCTCGCAGAAGCGGACAGCCTTGTGGCTGTAGCTCACCCAGGTGTTCCAGGAAGAGGCCGAGTCTCCTAGTCCAGTGAGACATGATTTGATCTGGGCAGGAGAAACATGGAGCTGCGCCGTATCGCTCAGGGGAAGTTTGCTCAAAGCAGGTTCGCGGAACAATTCACATTCCGAGGGGATATGGAAGCTTCCCCTCTCTAGGTCACAAATGGCAAGGCTGGCAGCGTAAGAGTCAACAAAGTCTCGTGCCTGGCGGCCACTATCGGTAAGAATCGTGGCTTCGTCCTTTCCATCTAGGAGCTGACAGTTGTGAACAAGCAGGCGAGCAGCGACACGGTGGCACAACGGCTCCGCTTCCAGTTCTTGAAGCTCATTCAAGGCAATCTGGTAGATTATGGATCGTTGTGTTCCCGATTGAAGAAGCTCAGAAGGGCTCATCCCGGCTACTGGCAGCTGTTTGGTATCGTCTATCATCAATTAGCTTCGGTCTCTTCAAACCATAAAGGAATAAAAATACCATCCACTGGCTGGCTTGCAGACATCCATTTCGAGCATATAGCGTAGGAAATGAAAGTTTGAAATGCTAAAATGGATGATAATCGCCGGACAAGATGCATGGTGGGCGGATAGAACGTCGGTTGTGGTGAAACGAGTACGACGCCAAGGTGAAGAGCAAATAGTGTACCCAAAGGGAGGAAATTGAAAAGAAAAAAAGAAAGGAAGAAAACAGCCCGGTCCAAAATGGAGGCAAGGAGCAACAACGTATCAAGCGATTGGTTAAGAGGATATCTTGTTGCAACTCCCGCGTCCACATTGTCATGAGACGGAGAAGGTCAAAAGATGCGACACATCCAAGACATGATTCTAACCACCATCAAATCAGAGTCTCATGCGGCTCACATTGGACTCTCGCACACCAGGGTCGAGGAAGGTGCGATGTGAGTTCCCGATCAGGAAGGTTTAGGAAGCTAGACAGACAGTATCGCGAGACCACGTGACCGCGGCCAATTGGGATGGATGGGGCCGAAAATTAGTGGCCGGCGGCCGCTGACCGAATTTTTTGAAGCTTCAACCGGATCGTCCGAAACGAGGCCGAAGCGACCTTTGCCAACGCAGCCAGACGACGCCATGTTTGCGCGCAGCCAAGGGCGGGCTCTTGCCCGCACAGCCTCCGCGGCGATTGCGACGCCGGGACGCAGCCAATGGGCGACGGCGGCCGTTCCGTGCAGCTGCTCGCGGGCGTTTTCGGCGACGACGACACAACAGTCCAAGCTGGGCCGGACACCGATCTCGATCCCGCCGGGCGTCGAGCTGCTGATCGGCGAGCCCAAGGTCAAGAAGGACCCGACGACATATCTCAAGATCCCGCGGCGGACGGTGACGGTGGAGGGGCCGCTAGGTAGGCAATTGGCGCCGTTCCTAGAAGGATTTCTTGTTCTGACTGTTTTTTCCCGCTCTTTCAGGCACCCTCGAGCTGGTCCTGCCGTCGTTTGTCCACATCGACCATGACGCGGAGCAGCGGCGGGTGACGCTGAGCATCGAGAACCGCGATCTGAAGGAACAGAAGCAGATGTGGGGTGAGTTGGGGGGGCTCGACACAGGGACGATGCGCCGTGGCGGCCGCTGCTAACAAACGGAACAGGCACGACGTGGGCACACCTCAACCGGTACGTGACGGGCGTGTCGGAAGGGCACACGGCGGTGCTGCGGCTGGTCGGCGTCGGATACAGGGCGACGGTGGAGCAGCGACCGGAGAAGGAGGAGTACGCAGGACAGAAGTTTGTGGTGCTGAAGCTGGGATTCAACCACCCGGTGGAGATGGGGGTGCCGATGGGGATTGCAGCCAGCACGCCGCAGCCGACGCGGGTGTTGCTGGAGGGCATCAACCGGGAGGAGGTGATGTCGTTTGCGGCGGCGATCCGACGGTGGCGGAGACCGGAGCCATATAAGGGAAAGGGCATCTTTGTCAACGACGAGACGATCAAGCTGAAGCAGAAGAAGATCAAATAGGCTGGGCGGTCTGTATGAATACATGTGGAAGCTACGAGATCGGGTGTGAACTTGTTTTTTTGTTTTTGTTCGATTGTTTCCCTATTTGCCTACTGCGGTTTGGTTCTTTCCTATTTCTGTCCTGCTGCTATCACGAGGACAGCCTGGACAGCGGCAAGCACGCGTGCGTGGATAGCCTTGGGAGCGGCCACGACGCCCTTGTTCTCGGCCAGAGTGCGGCCGCGGCTGAAGTCGAGCGGGCGGCCGAGGGTGTCGGTGACGCAGCCGCCAGCTTCGCGCACGATGAGGTCACCGGCGGCGTGGTCCCAGATCTTCTCCTGGTACGTGGCCGAGACGGGCAGACGGAGGTAGATATCGCCGGCGCCGCGTGCGATGGAGCCATACTTGGCCTGCGAGTCCATGCGAACGCTGGGCCGAGTGATGCCGAGTCGGGCGGCGATGGCAGCCGCACCATCCTGGTTGGAGTGGCCGGCCTCGACGCTCTCGCAGAAGGAAGCAGCCGCAAGGCCGGCCTCGCTGTTCTCGATGGCATGCATGGTGATGGGCCGAGCGGATGCGAGAAGGCCGTCGGTCAGCGGCCGACTGAAGGCGCCGGCGCCGGCCACCGCAGCAAACAGGACGCCATGACGGCCGTCGGCATCCGTCTGGTGGTTCGCGCCAATGTCGGCAGCCAGCGGCGCCGCATCGTCAACCGGCAGATTTGGACAGCCCAGGACGCCGACCTGAACGACGCCATCGACCAGCAAACCGACACAGACGGCGTACTGGCCGCCGCGCAAGAAGCCCTTGGTGCCGTCGATCGGGTCGATGGTCCAGATACGACCGACACCGCCGCCTGCACTCCCGCCCTCGTCCACTAGATCTAGCATGGCGTCGGCGCTCGCAATGGGCCCGCCCAGCGCTGCCTCGGATGCTCCGTCACTCAGCCGTGCCCGCTGCACAAAGCCCCAGACGGTCTCGCGCAGCTGGGGCTCGCGACGCAGCTGGGCCGCCTCTTCCTCGGCCACGATGGCATCGCCCGGGAAGCTCGCCCGCAGCGCCGCAATGATCAGGGCCTGTGCGCCAAAGTCGCCAATCGTCACGGGTGACTTGTCGTCTTTGGACACGGTGCCTTTGGCTTTCTCGTGAAAGACACGCTTCGTCAGGATGGCTGCCCGCTGCACCGCCAGCTGGGCGATCTCGAGCTCCTTTGCATATGCGGTCGTAGTCATGGTGGTCGGGTCTGGACAGCTGGTGAGGTCGTGTCGTTCAGACGCTTGTCGACAGGCTTCTCGTCCACGAGTAGACATCCACCGCTTTTGGCAGGTGGGAAAGCGGCAGAATCGTGACGCTAGACTGACGAGACTTTTCGGCAGGCGACAGCTGCTACCAGCTGCATGTCATGCCATGTGGGTCCTCCCAGCCTGGCAACGGCTCTGCCTGACAATTGGGACAGGGATCCCAGACTTTGTAGAGGTTCATCTCATTTCGTTTGTTTCCAGCACTCCAGTTACGCTGTGACTTGTGTCAGCGATGGGTTCTTGCACTCGGTGACCTCGTGATTCTCTGTCCGCTTCTCGTTCCGACTCTCTCCTTTCTTTGGTGAAGCACTCCTGCCTGTTCGTTGTCGTCCTGATCAGAGCACCAAGATCCCTTGGTGCGAAGCCACTTCCACTTGTCGTCGATCCTATTTACCTGCCAGACGGCAGAGGGTGAAAGCAGACCAGGGTGGGCAGAGTTCAAACGCCGGCGGCATTGACTAGCCAGACACAGCACCTCTCGCTCTGTGTCAGAGAAGACGCAAGATGAATGCGACCAAGCGCAAATTTAATGCCCTGCTACAGGGGATCGGCACGCGGTCAGCCAGCGGCTCGACGCCCGATAAGAACGATGTCGCCCAGGCAGCCAGCACGGCCGACGCGCCCAGCAGGACCAGCAGGACCAGCAGTCGTCTGACACCGGAAGCGACGCCGACCAAGACGATCGACACCAGCACACACGACGACGAGACGAACATGCGGTTTGCACGATCACCGCTGACGTCCCGCGTGGCGGCAGCCACGACAGCAGCGGCAGAACGAGACGCGGCGGCCAGCATGTCGTCGACGACGACCACCGGCACATCGGCAGCCGTGGCCGAGCTCGAGCTGCTGGCCAAGCGACGGCGCGTCGGGGCCACGTCGACGCTACGGGACACATCAGGCAACGCGGCGACGGTGCTGTCCACGAACAGCGTCCTGCGCAAGGCCAGACAGACGACAACGACAACGACGCCAAGCACGACGGCCATCACACAGCCACCGATGCCTCGGTACTGTCCGGGCGACCGCGAGCAGCTGCTCCGACGCCTGGCCACCTTCCAGGAGCTGACCGACTGGACGCCAAAGCCGGACCGCATCAACGAGATCGAATGGGCGCGACGCGGCTGGGCTTGCCAGGGAAAGGAGCGGGTGCGCTGCACGCTGTGCAGCCGCGAGCTGGTCGTGCGGCTCGGACGGGACGCAGGGACGGGAGACCACGCAAACACAAGCATGGCCCCACCGCTGACCGAGGCTGCAGGCGACGCTCTCGTGGATCGCTATGTCGGCCTGATCGCCGCCGGCCACGAGGACGACTGTCTCTGGCGTCGAAAGGGCTGCGACGACAGCCTGCTGCGGCTGTCGCTCGGAAGCCCGCGGCCAGCCGTTGCAGCTCTGCGCCAGCGCTATGACGAGTTGTGTACCCGCAAGGACTTTCTGCCGTATGCCTTCAACCTGCAGCTGCCGGCTGGCCTGGACATCGACGCTGTGGTGGCGACTCTGCCGCCCGACTTTTTCAATGACCCTTCTGCTTCTTCTTCGGCAGCTTCCTGCAACCGGGTCGCCTTCGCACTCGCCCTTCTCGGCTGGCAGGGCCTCCACAACAGTCGCATCGGCCAGGTACCCAACTCGGCCTCGTGCCATGCCTGTCTGCGTCGCCTCGGCCTCTGGATGTTCAAGAGCAAGCAGGTCGACCTGGCCAGCGGCACCGTGCTCGAGCCCGCTCCCATGGACGGCCTCGACCCCGTGCGCGAGCACCGCTTTTTCTGTCCGTGGAAGAATGGAACCGTCCAGCGAAACCCGGGCGCCCGCAGCGGCCGGACGGCCTCGACGACAACAGCCGCAGCAGCAGCAGCAGCAGCAGAGGGTGCCGACAGCGAGCCAGGCTGGGCCGTGCTGGTGCAGGTCTTGCGCAACGATGCCTATCTGCGGGGTCGCACGATCGGAGCAGCTGTCGGTGGCGGCAGCGCTGCCTCTCCAGCACAGCCGTCTACGCCGGTTCGAAGACGGGCTGTCACCAACGACGGCGCGGTCGTGACGACGCCAACGGGACACGACGACGACGACGACGATAACGGAGACGACCAGGAGGACGAGGCCGCTCGCGTGGCCAAGGACAAGGAACGGTGGGCGCGGCTGCGACGGGTCAAGAGCCTGTTTGACCCCAAAGGTCAGGCGGCCCGAAAGCTGAAGCGCAGCGGCACGCTCAGCCAGCCGGGCACGCCGAGTCGGCCAGGGACGTCGCAGGCAGAGAGCAAGGCAGAGTGATCGGTCAGAGCATCGGACTGATTGTGTTCACATAGGCATCATACGGTAATATGGATCCATAGGTAATGAGACGGCTATGAAGTGACTAAGCAGAATGAAAGGATGACTCAGCATTGGCCATGGTCGAGACAGGCGAAGATGCAGGTGCAGACGCACTTGTCTGCTCCGCATGCGCGCTGTGGGCGATGCTCGGCCGGAAACCGAGGCCGGGAATGCGGCTGCGCAGGACGAGCGACGAGCAGACGACGGAGACGGAGCTGAGGGCCATGGCGAGCGAGGCCCAGACGGGATCAAGCCGGACGTGACGGGTGGAGCGGGTGTGAACGGGATAGAGGACGCCGGCGGCGATGGGCACGGCCACGACGTTGTAGACGAGAGCCCAGGCGAAGTTGAGGGCGATACGGCGAAAGACAGCACGGCTGAGGTCAAGCAGCGTGACGACAGCCTGGAGGCTGGACTGGATCAGAACAAAGTCGGCGCTGGAGATGGCCACATCTGAACCCGAACCGACGGCGATGCCGACATCTGCCTGCGTGAGGGCAGGCGCATCGTTGATGCCGTCGCCAACCATGGCGACAGTGGCGCGGGAGGGGGTCGTGGTCGACTTGCTTTTGCCTCTTTTCCCCCAACGACTTCGACCTGGCAGCGATGCCTGCAGAGCTTGAATGCGGGCCGCCTTTTCGGTCGGCAGCACCTCGGCAATCACCTGGTCGGCAGGGATGCCCAGCTGCCGGGCTACTGCTGCTGCCGTCACCGCGTTGTCGCCACTCAACATGTAGACCAGCAGTCCGCGAGCCTGTAGGGCAGCCAGAATCGGCGCTGCTTCTGGCCGGACAGGATCCGAGATCGAAAGCGCGGCTGCAAGCGTCCATGTGTTGTGTTTTTGGTTCTCCCTCCGGTCGAGCGTTTTCGTTCCCTCTCTCTCGTCGTCCTTCTCCTCCACTTCCCTCCATCCAACCAGGGCTACCGACTTGGCGTCCGACTTCCACTGCTGCAGCTGCATCGCCACCAACGACGACACCTCCACCGAGTAGTCTGCCATCAATGCCTCGTTGCCCACGATCAGGTCAAACGATCGTCCAGCCTCGCCACCACAATACCTCGCCCGCATCCCCCGGCCAGCAGTCTCCTGCAGCATGTCCACTCGCCCATCGACAACGGCATCTCCCTCCTTCTGGCAGAACGACACAATCGCCTTGGCAATCGGGTGGCTGCTGGTCTCCTCGACCGCACAGAGAGCTGCCACCAGCCCCTTGTCTTTCTGTCCACCTCCCCATACAACATCCGTCACTGTCGGCTCGCCCCCCACCGTCAGCGTGCCGGTCTTGTCAAAGACGACGCAGTCGATCCGGCTGGCTTTTTCAAACGCCTCGCCGCCGCCCTTGGCCAGGATCCCGTATCGCGCCGCCATCCCGCCACCCACAAAGATGGCAGTCGGCGCTGCTAGCCCGAGTCCGCACGGACAGGCCACCACGAAGACGGCAATGGCAAACTGCAGCGAAAAGGCCACCCACGCACCGCTGCCGCTGGTGTGGGCCTTGTCCAGATATGACTCTGGCAGCCGCCCGCTCAGCCCCAGCCCTAGCCACACTACCCACGTGACTATCGCCACCAACGTCACCACAGGCACAAAGTACGTCGTCAACACGTCTGCGATCTGTTCCATCGGCGCTCGCTTCGTCTGGCCTTCGCGCACCGCCGCCACGATCTGGTCCAGCATCGATGACCCTGCTCCCCCCGTCACCCGCACCAGCACTGCCCCGTCCTTGTTGACCGTGCCGGCGTATACTGCATCGCCCACCGTCTTGCTGATCAGCCGTGATTCGCCCGTGAGACTCGACTCGTCGAAGCTCGTCTGCCCCGACACCACCTCACCGTCCGCCGGCGGTGATGCCCCGTGTCTCACCCGCACCACGTCACCGTGCTCTAGCAGGTCCGCCTGCACTTCTGTCGTCTTCTCCTTCTCGCTCTGCTCGCTCTCCTCGCTCTCCCCCCTCTCCACCAGTTGCGCTGTCGTTGGCCGCAGTCGTCCCAGCATCTCGACTGCGTCGCCCGTCCGCGACTTGCTGTACGCCTCAATCAGTCGGCCGACCAGCAGGAAAAAGGTCAGGAAGATGACTGAGTCAAAGTAAAAGTCGCCGTCGTCTGTCATCGTCGCTCTGTCTGCTGCTGCTGCGATCATCTGGCAGACACTGCTTATGTAAGCAATCGTCGTTCCCAAGCTGATCAGCGTGTTCATGCTGCCAAACCGGTAGAACCGCTGCAGCACCGGCGTCCGGCTGCCGCGTCGCCACAGCGTGCGGATCTCCTTGAACGCCCGCACGTGGAATATGTCTGCCGCGCAAAAGTACACTGGTGTCGCCATGACAAAGAGCGCAATCTGCGCCCGGTTGATGCCCGAAATCCACGGCGCCGTTAGATACTGCCGTCCGCCGTCGCTCCGCCGTAGTAGCGACATGTACACAATCCCGATCACAAACGTCGGCACGCACGTCGCCCCCGTCCACACCACCCGCCATAGCATCTGCCGCTGGTGGCGTGCTCGGATCAGCTTCGACCGCTGCTCCAGTGTGGGCGCGTGATACAGCGACGCCGTCAGCGCCCCGTCACTTGCCTCGATCGCTGCCAGGATTTGTCGGATCGTAAACTGTGGTGCCTCCGGCACGTATGACAGCCGCACGATCGGCCGCTGTGGCGTTGGTCGCGTCTCGATCGCTAGCGACGCCCGTCGAAACCCTGCCAGACTGCGCACAATCCGCTCTGGACAGTACTCGCAGTAGAGGCCCTCGATCATGATCTCCACCGTCCGCTTGCCGCTGCCCGCCTCTGCTGACTGGCCCTTCCTCCCCTGTTGCTCCTGCTCCTGCTGCTTCTTCTGCCGCGCAGACTCAACCCGCGTCAGCGAGTCCAATGCCGCGTCGTATCCCATGTCCTCAATCGCCTCAATCACCTCCGACAATCGCTGCTCTTCGTCAAACTCCACCGTTGCGCTGTTTGAGATCAGGTTGACTGCCACCTTGGACACCCACTCGCGCTTCTTGAGCTCGTCCGTGATCGTGTTTGTGCACACTGCACACGTCATCCCGCCGATCGCTAAGCTGGCCCGCCACGTCGGCCGGCTGCCCGGCGCATCTTCGTCCTCGATTGTCACAAATCCCTTTTCCGACATATTGGGTGCCGTCGGCGGTGACTCCGTTGACCTGGAGCCTGGGCTTTCGTCTTCTGTGTCCGTGTCCTCTTCGTGCAGCTTCTTTACTTCCACACTGACCGGGAGCTTGCCTAGACTCTTTTGCAGACGGCACTGTTCGCAGTTGTCGAGATGTGCTTGCAAAATGCGCTCTTGACTCTCTTCTGCCTGGCTCTGCTCTTGCTTAGGCGAGGCCATCCACCGCGAAAGCGGAGAGAAGCCCCAGGAGCTGGCCGGCTGAGGTGTGGGTATAGACGTGGACGTAATCATCGAACTGGACGCAGGGTGTTGCGGTATGATCGTGTCTTGCTGCTTGGAATCTGCGCCGTCTCCGCTCGCGTTCCGGCTTGGCGAGCGGGACAAGTCCAGATCGAGGAAGCTTTCTCCCGTCGACGACGTCACACCACATATCTCAAACCCAGCCTCTGTCAGGGCCGTTGTCATGCACCTGAGAGTCGCTTCGCGATCGTGTTCCACCGTCACCACAGAGGTCACAATGTTCGGTGACACCCATCGGACGTGATCACCGCATGCTTCTTGCAAAACATCCCGGATCGTCGACACACACGACGGGCAGTGCAGATTGCCCACAAGGAACGACGATGTCACATTCTGCCCTCCCACCCGCCGAACTGGCTCGACCGTCGGAGCCATGACTTGTGATAGCTGATGCCGCTGTAGACTAGGTCGGAAAAGCGGATCGTTTGTGTAGGATTTAAGCTTAATGGCAGGCTGCAGTCAATGAATCACTAAGATTTGCTGATTATCGTGCATTCCTCCGCTCGAAAAAAAAAGGCTGGTGAAGCAGACTTAAATAAGCTGTGTTTCGGAGGCAATTGGCTCCGGAAAGGTTGGCAAGAAAAAGAAGGCAAGAAAAAGAAAGCAATGGAAAGAAGGTGGCAGACAACGCCTCCGCCGCCATGGTTGGTCACGTCTGCGAGATTTGTGCCGGATTTGCTACGGCGAGCGATTTGTGCCGGTTTTAGCATTTGTGCGGAAGGCGTCAGATGCCTGCAAGTTCCCCTGGCGCCCGAATACGGCGCTTCTCGGCGCTGTGCTTTAGTAAGCCTTGTCCACCTGACCGCTCGTAAATCCGGCACAAGTCGCGCAGGCTACAGCGTAGATAGCACTTGGCAAGACGGGGTTACAGCAGCCACTAATATTGTAAAATATACAGCATTCCAAACCGGCATATCTGAGTTACACCATGGTATGGAATGCGTGGTGGATGCCCAAGTTTTGCCAAAACAGCCTATTTCTTACGTCTGTCTTGCTCTGGCTTCCACCATACACCGCTGCCTATGGCCATGTTATACAGAAGTGCTTTGCAGTACAAGATCAACATCGGCACACGTAGACGGTATCACTCCGCCTGCGCTGTTGAACCGGAAGAAGAGCTGGAGGCCAGGCTTTGACGGTGTGTCCTCGTTGGTGTCCCACCATTGGCAGACTGAAAGTTGGTCAGAACGGGCGGTCATCTCTGGGCACTTGTCCCATGCATGGCGCCACCTACCTATCCAGCCGTGGAAGCTGGCCGGCCTGAAGAATCCTGCTTCGTCTGTCCACTGCAGAGTGCCGTTCTGTAGAAAGAAAGCACTTCCAGATCTGGGACCGTCTAGCCCCGATTCAATGCGTACAGGCTGCATTTCGCAGCGAAGTCGATGTCGTTTTGTGGCGACAGATGGAAGCCCATGTTTGTTGTTCGCGAAGTAATGTTTAAGGCAACGTCAAAGTACGGCGGCCCGCTGACACCTCCAACCGGACCGTAGTTGGCATGGGAAGTCGGGGCGCGCATTTTATCTGGCGTCAAGGCGGCATCATATGTATCTGGTGCCGTGTGGTATGGGTACACATAGAGGCCGTCAAACGCTTTCTTGGAAGAGTCTGTGGGCTTGACCTGCGTCTTCGGGTGGAAATGGTAAGGCGCCGAGGTCGCGATCACTGACGGTGTCGCAGTTGTTGTATTGTATTCTGCCGCATGTATAATCGCAGCTGTGACCATCTCGATGGTCATGAAGACCTTTGCTAGGTAGGCAGGCTTCATACTAGCGATATGCGATTTTATGTCGTTGGCGATAATGTGTAGTAGATACAGACAAAGAAAACGATGCCAACAAACTAAGGGGAAAATTAGACATGAGAAGACGAACTCACATGTCTTTGACTCGGGCTTGTTGCGGCGTTTTGTTTCGTAAGATATATTCTGCCCCATGTGCTCTCCTAGACATCGTTTGGGATGCCTTTCCATCGTACAAGAGAATGATCGACATTTTTCTACCCCATGTAGCCCTACTTCTAACGAGTACACTGTCTTTCTTTCTCTAGCGCTACGCTTATACCGTCTGCGCATCTTACGTGAGAGTCAAACTTTGACTGTGTCGCACAGGCTTTCTGAAACTTGGTCTTGCTGGTCTTGGAGCCAGCCACTTGAGCATTGGTAACCCGGCTTTTCAAGTTGGAAAAGCAGTACGAGATCTGTTTTCGGCCGTCCGTTTTACTTTCTTATAGGGCCGACGGACACTCAACGGAATCTGGCTTCCCAAGTTTCGTTATACTGTAAATAAGTAGCTAGTATTGCTCGAAGCTGTTCGTGCCGAGCATACTAACTGTATTAGACCATCCAAATAATCCATTATTTAACTGTATCTCCAAAGGCAGTCACGAATAGAGCCATTTGGGATAAAGGTTGTCCCTGTTGCGGTGCTTACCACATGTCAAACGCTGCGCATCTTACAACTGTGTTATTTTGCAGAGAGCTGAATGCTTTCGAGACAGCTAAGTCTTGAATCCATAGTTCGCGTATTTGGCTAGAGGCATCAGCTTATGAAAATGTCCACGGGACCTTTACATATTGCGCTTGTACGACCAAACTTTGTATTTATTCCCTTCCTTTTTCTGCGCTCAAATAAAACAAGTAGAAGCAATGTTCGTGGGTCTGATCTTGTAAAAGGCTAGCTTTAATTCGATCACCTTGTCGGTTTCCTGCCTAAAAAATAGCACTCGAAATAGCCGTAATTCACATAGAACGGACGGAGAAGATTCAAATTAAAAGTGAAGGCTCGTAGTTTGAAAAATGTTCTATATGGTCAATCACTGGTTGCTGCTAGGAAAAACTCACGATTCTGCGTGGGCCGACAATCCACGTGACCTAACAGGCGCCCCACTTGTTAACGGTCAACCTCACACCATCGCTCGAGCTGCCTTTCGAACCCAACTTTGTCACCTTTCCAACCACAACGATGGGGTCTCTACGGTCAATTGCGAGCCGACCGGCGGCACAACTGGCACGAGCAGCTCGCCCGGGTGTAGGGGTACCGCTGGCCGCTTATGGCCGCGCTTTTTCGGTTCTGAACCGGCCGCCACCGGAATACGAAGGCCATGTTCCCTTGACGCTGGTCGAGAAGGCGGCCCTGACGGTCGGCTCTGCCCTTGGAGCCTTTATTGATCCCTATAGGGCAGGTGAGCGTTGAAAGCCTCGAAGCGGCTCTGCTGTCTCGCCCGTGGACGTTTTCTTTACTGATGGCGCATGTGTCATTCCCCCCAGATCTGATTGCGACCCTGGGCGAGGTCTCGGCAGGTCCGGTGGCTCGGCAGCTCCGCGACACGATGCTCAGCGACGAGACGGGCCGGCAGATTCTGCGTGAGCGGCCGCGCATCACGTCCGAGACGCTGCCGCTGGACGAGCTCCTGGCGTTGCCCGAAAACACCGTCGGCCGCGTGTACGGCGAGTTTCGGCGGCGGTACCACATCTCGCCCGACGTGCGCGACAAAGTCCGATACGTGGACAATGCCGAGTGCGCTTACGTGATCCAGCGCTACCGCGAGTGCCACGACTTTTACCACGCCGTGCTCGGGCTGCCGCCGCAGTACGTTGAGGGCGAGATCGCACTCAAGGCGTTTGAATTTGTCAACACCGGCTTGCCCATGACCGCGCTCAGCCTTGTCGCGGTAGCTCGCCTCAAACCCGCCGAGCGCAAGCGCTTCTTCAGCATCTTCCTGCCCTGGGCCCTACGCAGCGCCCGCAAGTCCAAGCCCATCATCAACGTGTACTGGGAAAAAGAGCTGCGGACAGACGCCGCCGATCTGCGCGCCCGGCTCGGGCTTGAGAAGCCGCCAAATTTGCATACACTCCGCAAGAAGCCAAAGAAATAGGCTGAGGCCGCGGGCGCCCTTCATGTCTCCGCGTATGCTGTATTAGTACCGGAAATAACTGGCCTTCAATTCCACCCTCCAAGAATGGTTAGTCAGCAATATCCACGTGACCAGATGGCTACGCAGTATCCCCGAATACCGAGATGCCGGGGTACAGATATGCGCTAGCCTTTGTTCGGACTAGGCGAATTGCGTGATCGATATCAATTTTGCCTCTGAAAGAGCTTGTAGGTGACAGCCCAGGGCCAATGTGGCCATGAGGCCGGCTGCTTTTGCTCCGCTGGAGCTAAATTTTCTGTTGTATTGAGGGTTCCTTCTTTCACAACTGCTTCGTTCCGCAATATTTCTTCCCGCACTGCATTGTGTTGTTCTGGCCTGATTCTGTCTGCCTGCCGCCACCTCCGACGGTTCACATCGCCTTGAGACAACTCTGAGTCCAGTACTGAGATTCACTGCTTCCGAAAGTCAAAATTTCTGTCTGTTTCCCTCAGCAAGATGCAGCTTAAGCACGACGAAACGACAGGCAGCCCTGTGCCATTTGCACAGCAGGCACCTGCCAAGGACCTCAAGACGATCTCCTCGACCACTCTCTCGTCCATTTCGGGCCCGATTTATGCCACGGCCCAGCTGCTCGTCCAGCAGGTTGCCTACAAGCTCTCGGACAAGATCTTCAGCTACTCGCCCGACTCCGTCGACCTGGACGTTGCTGCCCGCAACTGGGAGGCTCAGCAGGAGCAGAACGTCCACGGCTATGCCACCTCTGTCATTCCGCTACAGACTCGCACTGGTGCCGGTGCCTTTGCTCTCGGCTACCTCTTTTCCAAGGATTTTGACCTGAGCAAGCGCCACTTCCCGCAGTCGCTTGTTGCGCCCTCGTCCAGCCTGCGTCTGCTCCGCTCGTCGCTGGACCAGCTCTCGCTTCTCTACGATGTGGCGAGCCCTTTTGTCGGCCACATCGCAGCCCTCGACTATGCTGCCCAAGAAGGCCTTGTCAGTGACTATGGCACGCCGCTGCAGCTGGCAGAGGATCTGGGACTCGGCCTGGTAGCGAGCTCCTCGGCTGCAGAGGCCCAGCACATGGCGCTGTTTGCTACTCTGGCTGCCAAGGTGCTGCCCACGCTGCACGTCTACGACGGTCTCCGCATGTCGCGCGAGACTGTCAAGGTCACAGACGCGCTCAGCTCGGAACATATCGCCCAGGCCTTTGACCGCCTGTCCAAGCACGAGTCGCCTGTCAGCAAGCGGCTCGACAGCGCCGGGAAGGTTCTCGAGCTGCTGCAGGCCTTCAACACCGAACTGGGCACAGCCTACCAGCCATTCGAATATCACGGCCATAGCGAGGCTGAGGCTGTCATCGTTGCTTTTGGCAGCGTCGAAGCTCAGCTGGCCGCCCAGACAGTGTCTCGCCTTGCTGCACATGGCCACAAGATTGGTGCCGTCAACGTGCGGATATACCGGCCCTTCATCGAGGAGGCGTTCCTGAGCATCCTGCCCCCTTCGGTGCGCCGCATCGCAGTTCTGGGCCAGGTGCAGAACGAGACGGCCGTCAACGAGACTAGTGTGCAGTCCGCTCTGTATGCGGACGTTTTGGCTGCCGTGACCTTTTCTCACCGGTGGACCCAGACCCCTACCGTCTCTGATGTCAAATACGCGGCTGCCGATGTGCCAACTCCCAATTTTTTTGCCTCAGTTGTGCAGACGCTGTCCGGGAAGGCCGGAGTGGAGAGCTCGCTTCCGGCTGTCGCTCTTGAGCCGGTCCAGGCTCAGCAGTACACGTTCTGGGACGTGGACGACTCGCCGGCCGCCGAGTCTGCCTCGGTTGTTTCCAGTGTGCTTGCAGCACAGCCCACGGTCCATGTGTCGGTCCACACCGTCAACGACAACCTTATTCAGGGAGGCGTGGTGCGCACCGATATCCGCAGCTCAGCTAAGGCGCTGAACACGCCGTTTGCCATTGAGCAGGCTGACATCACCGTCGTAGGCGATGAGAAGCTGCTAAAGGAAGTAGACGTGTTGACAAGTGCGAAGCCTAGCTCGACGCTCCTTCTGCGGCTGCCCAGCTACAAGCCAGAAGACGTCGAGAAGCGCCTTCCGGCTGGCGTTCGCAAGGATTTTCTGGAGAAGAAGCTCGAGGTTTTCGTCCTTGACACTGCCGACCAGGATGCCAAGATCCTTCTGGAGCAGGCCTTCTTCAAGCTGGTGAGCCGTGCTATTGTAGCGGAAGACCTCGTGCGCCTGTCGTCGACTTTTAACGACGCCCTGGCCGCCCAGTCTTCTGCTGATGTGCTGGACAAGGTCCTCCAGCCGCTGGCCTACCCCGAGTCGTGGTCGGAGGTGCCTGCCGACTATGTGGTTCCGACGCTCGTGGAGTCGATCAAGCCGACCAGCTTTGGCGCTATCACCAAGGAGGAGCCAGAGACGGCCGTCGAGGCCAGCAACTGGCAGCTGGCAGCCAAGGGCCTGGCCTTCAAGGAGGCGTATGGTACCAAGTCGGACCTGCGCCCTGACCTGACGGTCAAGACGGCAACGGTCACGGTCAAAGAGAACCGTCGTCTGACGCCGGCGTCGTATGAGCGCAACATCTTTCACATCGAGTTCGACCTGGGCGATTCGGGTGTCAAGTACGAGATCGGCGAGGCGCTGGGCGTGCACGCAGACAACGACCCGACAGGCGTGCAGGAGTTTATCGACTTTTATGGTGTGCCTGGCGATGAATTGGTGCTGGTGCCGTCGCGCGAAGACACGGCGGTGCTGGAGACTCGGACCGTGTATCAGGCGCTGCTGCAGAACGTCGACATCCTGGGCAAGCCGCCAAAGCGCTTCTACGAGGCGCTGGCCGAGTTTGCGACCGACGACGCCGAGAAGACGCGTCTGTTGGCGCTCGGCAGCAAGGACGGCGCAGACGAGTTTAAGAAGCGGTCGGACGAGGACACATTGACGTATGTCGATGTGCTGCAGGAGTTCCAGTCGGCTCATCCGTCTGTGGCGGACCTGCTCCGCATCGTGTCGCCGCTGAAGCGTCGTGAGTATAGTATCGCGTCAGCCCAAGCAGTGACGCCGACGGCCGTGGCGCTGATGATCGTGGTGGTCGACTGGGTGGACTCACGCGGCCGCAAGCGCTATGGCCAGGCGTCACACTACCTGTCAGAGCTGCCGGTGGGTGCCAAGGTTACCGTGTCGGTCAAGCCGTCGGTGATGAAGCTGCCGACGAGCGCCAAGACGCCGCTGATCATGGCTGGCCTAGGCACCGGTCTAGCTCCTTTCCGTGCGTTTGTGCAGTACCGTGCGATGCAGAAGGCGCAGGGCGAGGATATCGGTTCCATCCTGCTGTTCCTCGGCAGCCGGCACCAGCGCGAGGAGTACCTGTATGGCGAAGAGTGGGAGGCTTATGTCGATGCTGGTGTCATCACTCTGCTCGGCGCCGCCTTTTCGCGCGATCAGCCACAGAAGATCTATATCCAGGACCGCATGCGCCAAAGTATGGATGCCGTTGTCAAGTCGTACATTCAGGAGGAGGGCTCTTTTTACCTGTGTGGTCCCACGTGGCCTGTGCCTGATCTCACAGACGTGCTGATGGAGGCCATCGCCACCGAAGCCAAGGCCAATGGCCGCAAGGTGGATCCGCACAAGGAGATCGACCGGCTCAAGGAGGACGGCCGCTATGTGCTTGAGGTGTATTAGTGTGTTGGCTTGCTGCTCTCGACCTGTATATCTTCTTCATTTAGCATCAGTTTGTGGCTGCATTTTGGCCACGGTACATACAAAAAGTGTCGTTTTCGCTTCCCGTGTGATGTTTAATCGCTGTGTTGGCTATCATGCTCATGTTCTCTATTTGGTTGGTCGAATTCCCGGGACAGCTGAAGATGTCTTGTTTCCTGGAGGATTTGATGATGTTGACATGCGGCAAACGTGCAAAGAAATTGTAAGGTTCTGTCGATTTGCTGACCAATGCTTGAGCGTCGCTCTTGCCAAAATCTGGCAAACAGTCCTTCCCACTGATTTAGTTCCACAACCATTCTGACTAGTGAGTGAATGCTTCAGTTCTTACTGATAGCATGCACCGAAATCATAGTCATAAGGAGTAGTCCCAGAAGAATTTCGATAGAACACTATCATTTTCATAAAGGTTGCTATCAAGCAGGCGACATTTAATCATGTTTCAAGAAGAGCATGCACTTGGCTGATATAAAGTGACCAGTTTGGGAGGACGGCACAAGGGAGCACAAGCGAAATCAACTATGTACTCCGTATCGTGCCTGCATTTTAGACAACCGCACCTACCTTCCTTCCAGTAGCAGTCGGCGGGGGGCATATTCAGAGGCAAAACAGTGAATTCTTCATACTATGACATGCTTCCAATAGTTCATCTAGATTAGAACTGGAACGGATAAAGAAACCAGACTTACTTATATCGTTTTCTCGCGTTTTGCAACGGTGCTACATAGCAAAGAGCTAGACTCTTCACAGCTACAATGACTAGAAAAAGTAAAGCACGGAAAAAATATGGGACAAGGAAATGACAGTCCGACCGAAACTCGGTTTCAAGTCGGCCACCATCACTGGCTGTGGAGACGCAAAGTTCACGATTTCTAGGGTTACAGATGGAAGGTAAGTTCCTGATTGAGCCCGTAAAGGAGACTCTCGTGGCAGTAAAGGGGATGCTGGACAGTGTATATTTTGTCCCTTGGCCATGGAACCTTGCTCTGGCCACACTGGCTCAATGGATTTTTTACAAGAAAGCCAAATGTCTCTATCTCAGGCATCGTTCCTGGCCGAACAACCGCACAATTACCCCTGTCGGGAGTTGGCTTCTATGGGTCGGGGTCGATACCAGCAGCACAGCCCCTGGTGGTTTTCCACTTTGGTGTACGCTTCAACCATCCCCTAGGCATACTTTCACCTGGCGCCAGAGAAACGGCCAGCCACTTTCAAGCTCTGATCGGCGCCCTCAACAGAGACCGAGGAGACAGCGATTCTGGGGGGCAGGGGAACCAATATGGCCTGTTAGTTGCAGGCTACTTCCGCGGCGGAGAACGGGAGTCCCATGCAACATTGCTCTATATTTCACATTTTTTTAAAAATGGTTGGGCTGCGTCGGTTTGCCGAGAGTCCCATTCACCAGCTGGGTATCACGCGCTTTCTTCGACAAGCGGGCTACAGCCACATATCCACTTTCCATGAAAGACTCCACGTGCTCGCTGGAAACTACGAAACCATGTATTTAAACAGCGAGCCGGTACTCCTGGGTGGAATAACAAAGCGGTGCCGACAGATGAATAGCGAAGCATTTGGAACGCGAGAAGACGGCGAGGCTGTATGGGTGAGTTCACTTGTGAGTGCTGACACGCCGCGGCTCACGTCCATGGCTGCAAGACTCCGTGGGGGCAATATCTCAGACGACGACATGTGAAAGGCATTTTCTTTCAACCTCGATGGAGCTAATTATTGTAAGAGGAACACATAAGAGGTTAGCCTAAAGAAGGGATGTGCATCTGGTGATCGTAAATGGGATTGCAGAAGACATCGAGTTCGTGCATGTGCCAGATGTTCGAGTTGTTGGCTTAGAAATGCTCCGTTGATATCGGACGCATCCATAAGCACATAAGGCTTAGACCTTTTTGGCTTGTCGTGACTGTATAAGTGTGCGGATATCGAGCATAAGCCAGTCCTGCAGCTAGCCCCAAACTTACATTCTAGATAGTGGTGCTTGAAAATGCGTCAGTGCATGCGGTTGTAGACGTCTGGAGCAGTGCACATCCAAATTTGAATTCAAATTCTGATTTGCCCGTTTAACAGCCGTTGAGGTTAGTGGATAAGCCGTTAATAGTTTTTGAGTTTGGCGCTGTAATCGTATGTATACTGGATCTTTAGCTCCCGGAGTAACAGATTCCCCGAAACAGCGATGTCAAGGTGGGTCACTGGGGAAGCTTACTGACAGCAAGTCCAGGGCCTCCCCAATACGAAATACGAAGAGCAGAAAGAGTACTCATTTCCACCGATGTCTACGGAGTACGTTTCACCCAAATACGCCTTGTTTTCCCGTGTCCGGCAAGCATCTGCATATATTAGAGCACAGCCTCCTTTCCTAGGCTAGTTAACGGCGAGTCCAACTGAAGCAAGCCAAGCTTCGGTGAAATCAGGTCTAGGAAGTGTTCAAACCTCGCGGTATTCTATTTGAAACCTGTGTCCGTTGGGGAAAGTTGGGGAAAGCTTGACGTAACAGCTTAGGATTCGTATTGTTTTGATTTCATTCCGGTTCATCTGATCTCATCAAGATCGCCTTGCGACACGAGTGGTCACTACTACAAGCACATACCTTATACTATGTATGCACCCCGGCCGCAGAATAAGATACGATACTCCGCCTTCTCTACCCCTGTAGTGCGGCTGATTTTAAGAGTAAAACAAGCATAGTTGCGCTCGGTGGAGAGGCCCGCCTGGACCCTCGTAAGGTCTTGGCACTATTTCATTGCGTGATCCTAAAGGGACATGATCAAGAATTTTTGCCGTGCTTTTCCAGCATTGCGTTCACAAGAAAACGGTGCTCGGCAGGAAATACCACTGAATAGCACTTACTGGCAAGTATCGTGCCAGACGTACTATGTAGCACCTGTTTATCTGCACGTGCCTTTTGTCAACGTCGAGGCTGAATTCTGGGCGCTTAGGTCATTCAAACCGTTGGTGGTCCAGCCTATCGCCTGCATAGGACAAACAGGGCGTGGCGTCTCACCATGGCGTCTTGGCGAATACAAACGTCTAAACAAAGAGAATAGGCGTTTTCTTCAGATGCAGTGGTTTAAGGTCCCAAGACCCAGGGATTTAAAGATAAGGCCACGGGCCGCACTCCAATGTTACTCCCCCTACTCCTCGCTTTTTTTATTTCGTAAAGCTTTGGCTTGTAGCTGTTCTTAGTCGGCCACCCGATATCGAAGGGGATCAATAACATAACCTTGATCACCATTCAGTACCTTAGCACAGTTCCATCTGGTACAAAACATACAGCTACAAGACTTGATACACACACCATGGCGACCAAGGTATCAGCCGTCTCCTACGCGACGCCAGCAGGCAATATGCCAGAGGGCCCCTCAGGTTCATTTCTCGTTTTCCCTTCGCATGTCGGCATCCTCGTGGCGCGTGGCTTCTCTTTGTTCTTTGCCATTATCATCTTGGGCCTCTCTGTCTACTTGATGCACGGGCTGGTGCTCAGTGCGTACGCCTTCTCGCTTGTCTGTGTACGTATAGGAAGCTGGTCTTACTGGCCATGGCCAGACTACGTTGTACTGGCATTAACTAACTCGTTCGATACAGAGTATCTTCACCCTCGCCATCGTCCTCTATGCGGTCTTGACCGAGAAGGTGTCCGGCTGCCGGGCGGGTTACAACTGCTGGGCCATCCTGGCGCTCGACCTACTCATGATCATCTTCTGGCTGTCATCAATGGCGGCTAATGCGGCCCTGCGCGCTACCTTCATCTACGCCGTCGACACGGAATGTTACGACGATGGAAGCACGTTCAATTCCGGCCACTGTGTCGTGGAAAAGCGAGACAGAAGCAGCAGCGTGGTGAGGCGTGATGGTGCCGTGGCTGGCCCGGTCGGGAGGGCCTCGATGAGTGTCATTGCTGGCCTCTCTGCTTTGGAGATGTACGTCCTCCTTGATCACATCTCGCTCTGTTATTACGGACTCCCCTGCTAACTACACAGGCTACTCTTCATCGCCACGTTTGCATATCTTGCCCACACTGTGCGCTTGTATCGTCGAAGCAATGCCAGCCGCCTCCACGGCGGCGTCGAGGGTGGTCCGGTTGAGATGAAGGTCCAGAGCCAGCCGATGCTCTACCAGCAGGACAGCCAGCCGACACAAGCTTACAACAGCTACAGCAATACTACCGCTCAACAGCAGCAGCAGGCGTATGGTAGCTACCCGTCCCATACCTTTTCAACTACCGGCCAGACACTTGCTCCTCAAGAATATGATACCAGTCAGAACTCAGCTCCTCCAATTTATGCACCGAGCCAGACCCCCATCTTGCAGGGCTATCCGACAGCTTCACATACACCCGTCCAGGCAGGCACTGTTCAAGGCCAGCCAGACCCGTTATACTATTCTGGAGCGGTACCCGTGCAGCAGCAGCAACAGCAGCAGTACTACCAACAGTGAAGGGAGGCAAACTTTTGAATTTTGATTTTGTTGCATCGTGACGCAGTTATATGGGAGACGAAGAGTAGTAGGATAAGCAGTATTTACGGGAATAAAAGTGTACGATATATACAAGGCCATAGCTGCATGTTCGTATTTCTCCATCTCATCTCACATTTATCGTGCCCGTCAAACAGCTACTGTGAGGTCTTTCGAGAAGGAGCAAGTGCGCCTCTGCGTTGCATGACGTCCTGAATTTCATGCAAACTAACTGATGCCTTGAGATGAAAAGCAAATGGAAGGCCCCTCGTATCTTACAAGTACTTTCAGTATTGCAGGACGGATTTTGGACACAACTGCTGCTCCCAGGTAAATTCTAGTCCAGCGTCGCGGCGAATATCTCACATTGTGGAGGCGAGCAGCTTACAGTTGTCCTCTCTCACGGAAGAAGGCAACAATACAGAGCATCTCAAACATGCTGACCACTGCGACCGCTCTGTATTTTTTGGCGTTATAGACTGCAAGTATTAAGGCTAGTCTGACAGTCCAACTTTACGATACCGCAACAGCCAGCTGCAACGATTCCTGAGAAGGTACACAATGACTGGGATACGACGACAGTTCGGGACTGGAGAGTAAGCAATCTGGACCCTCAGAGTCAGAGGGTGAGTCCTGGGGACATCCAAAGGTTGTCCACCTGGTCTGAAAAATGTGTATCCTGACCGTATGCTTTACATAAATTGAACATGCAAAGGCCATGCTTGCACAAATTGAAGGGGTCTGTTTTTTACTGTCTAGTTATCAACGGCTGTCGACAGAGCAATGAGCCAGGCGTAGATCGGCTTTTCGGTAGTTTGACTACATGCAAGCTTCTCAACTGGCCAATCTAGAAACGTGCCGCTCAAGTCTGTATGAGCTAAGCTCAGGCTGTGGGGTGTGCCGGGTAAGCCCATTTTTGCGTAGATTCAGGATTTGTAAAATCCATCAACTGATGAATATGCTTGACGATACATAGGTAGAACAAAACGTAAGTCGTCGGCCACCAGCTCTTGCAGCCGAATTGTCTGTCGATCGGTTACGTAAAAGTTCTCCCCTCACCAATACGTTTGTGCTTTATGTAGGACAGTCAAAGGACAAATGTAACTGCGATCTTTTGACGTCTGGCCAGCCGCAAGTGGAGGGCTGTCCCCACCGTTCCAACTTTTATCACATGAGCATACTCCGTAAGCAGGACGGCTACCAACCTCCTCCACACACGGAGAACTCGCAATACTGCGATTCTCTAGATCTAAACGCGTCATATAGATTTTAGTGGAGGTAGGATGGCTGCAGGAAAACAAGGAGGAGGCTTTCACTGAAGGTGTGGACTGGAATGGACTTTGACCAGGGCAAGGACGAATTCTTACGGTGCCGTGAACTCAATGCTCTTTCATTCTTCTGGCCTCAATTAACTTTGGCAGGTTTGTGGTATTAGACCTCCTGCGTTTTTTTTTCCCGAAGTTACATATAAGGGGGGAACCTAAGAAAAAGGCACACCGCAAATCATGACCCTTCCGTTTAATCCTGTTCTGTTCACCAGTTTTCGTTTCTTCTTCTGTCGTGCAGCGACACATAATCGTCGACGTCACGGGTGGGGCTAAAAAGAGGGATTTGAATGACTAGAACAGGGGGGTCACCCTGGGGGTTGCGTTCGGGGAGGAAGTGTCGAGCTATCAGGATGTTCCTTCGATTTTTGAGGACGGATCGGATAGGCGAACGTACCCCACCTAAAGCCTACCAGCACAGAAAAGTAGAACATGTGGGAGTAAAAGGATGGTATTAAAAACACAATCGAGAAGGTGCTTAGACGGGCTGTGCTGTGGATACAAGCTGCTTAGGTCAAAATATTGTATTCGCCTCCTGCCGGAGGGAGCTCATCCCCTTTTCTCTCAGCACCTCCTCCCTCCCAGGGAGAAGACCCTATTGGAGATGTCACGTTTTGTGGCCACAGCGGCGCCGCGGGCTACGGCCAACTACAACCAAATTGAGCGAGATCGCCACCCAGACTACGTACCTGAGTGACTGGACCTGGCCGAGACGCTAGGCTAGTCTCGTAGTGTGTTTATCCCTGAAACTGGCCAACGAAACAGAGCGGGGAGGGGAAGAAGGCAAAAATGTGCAGAGCTGTCGACCAGATGGCGATGAAACCGCTAAAACAATGCTACTGAATGGTTTCCGTTGTTACTGAAAGAGCGAGATAGAAGTACTATGTAGGAGGCAGGAGAAGTGAGCCAGCCACGACCGTTCTCGGAGATGCCAATCTCAATCGCAGGTTGGGTGGCGTTCGAACACGTATTCTCGCCGTTGGGGTTGCGACTGCCCGATTGCTCGCTTGCCTAGTGCTTCTTAGTATAATGGCGTCGTACTTCCAGCCACGCGTCAAAGGCCAGAGAACGGCTCGTTGCTGGTCTACGGGGATACGTATCTTACATGCTGAGTGCGAATCTTGCAATTGCATATTGCTCGTACCATTTATTCGTAGGATCACAGCGTCCGGCTGGTGGAGACTGAAAGCCCGTGCACCCCTTCCCCCCCCCTGGCCCTGGCATCCCGCTAGTTGGATATGCCGAAGCACACTATTATGGGCATGTCAACCCTGTTGACCTATCGTAGGCGCTCCTGCCTCATCGACGACGTCAGACCAGAACAGCAGCAGCAAGAGCGACAAGGGAGAGGAAAGGACGGGCCTGTCGAGAACAAGTGATTTGTTGTTTCTGCAGCTGGCAGGCTGGTGTTACAAGTATCTTACGTACCCACAGCATGTCACTCCTCACACCTTCAGCTTGACTGGCTTTTTAAGGACTTACAATGGCCCGGAGACATGCTCTTGAAGGGAAAGCGCCAACAGGACAACCCGCTTTCTCTTTCCCTTTTTGCCCTCCTTGCTCCTGCTCGACAGGAATCTGGCCGAAAACGGCACCAGCCTTCCAGATTTTCACACCCCGGTGTTGACATAATTGTTCATGACTGCCAACCTTTTTCCATACCCAACCCCGTCCCCACTTCCAACTTGCGCTGCTCCATTTTCACAAGTGTAGAGACAAAGTCATCACCACCACAGCCATACTTGTATATCAAGCCCCCTCCATCCGCTCTTTCCCTCCTGCCACCCTTCTCTGTTCTCCTTTCTTCCTACCTCTCTTACTTTCGCTGTCTGCCATATTGGCCACAACATTGGCTATTCGTATCTCTCTCGTCTGGAAACGCTCGCTTTTTCTACCTCATCCTTCTTCCTTTTACAACAAAGTCTCTCTTCGTTTTTTTGATACTTCAGGATTCCCAGTCACTACTGTCGCTCAGCCGAAACATTATTAGCAATAATCGTTCAGCATCCACACAACATCTTTGCAAACAGCTCAGACACAATGAAGTCGTCAGCAGTTATCATCTCGCTCATCAGCATAGTTCTCGCTGACGCAGTCACCGACATCATCGCACCAACGGGCTCATATCCATCTGGCTGCAGCAAGGATTTCTCTGGCGAGTTCGAGCTTTCTGTCAGCGCCGTGTCCTACGACAAGCGTGATCTCAAGGTCAAGGTATGTCGTCAACACAACTCCCCAACACCCTTTGATATATGCCATTTCTCTCCTTCAAGTGAATCTCTACTGGACAGAGTCTAACTATTCTCAGAAGCGCACCTCCACGTCTTGCGGCGCCGATGGAATCCTCCTCGTGAGCCTGGCTGATGGTGTCCTAATTGATTCCAAGAACCGGACTGGTTACATTGCCTCCAACTACCAGTTCCAGTTCGACGACCCGCCACAGGATGGTGCTATCTACACGGCAGGCTTTTCCGTCTGTAACAACGAGTCGCTGGCACTGGGCGCTACCACCACGTTCTGGGAATGCGCGTCGGGTAGCTTCTGGAACCTCTACGACCGTGACTGGGCTGCCCAGTGCAGCGAGATTCAGCTGATTGTCCTACCCTGCGATGGCAGTTCAGACAGTGAGGCCAGTGAGAGTAGCGACGGCCAGGTTGTCGCCACTTCTCAAATTACCACTACCGTTGTCAAGTCCATCTCGGATGGACAGGCTCAGGTTATCACAACCACTGTTGGAGTTCCTCTTTGCCAGATTACCGACGGTATGTTTTGTGATGAGTTCAACACCCCCACGACTCTGCTACCAGTCATGTGCTTTTGCTGATTACCCTTTTCCAGGCCAGGCTCAGGTCCAGACCACCCCGTGCGCGGCGATTACGACCACGGCAGAAGCCACTGCGGTGCCCATCAGCCAATACTCTGATGGCCAGATCCAGGTCACCACACCCGCAACCGCAGCCACGACTGTGGTCGCTTCCGCGACCACTACGCCGGCTTCTGCTGAGACCACTGAGACTGCTGAGACCAGTGCTACCCCTGAAGAGACCACTGCCACCCCCGTGGAGACCACTTCCACTCCCGAAGAGACTGGTTATACCACCGAGGAGACCACTAGTGTCGCCGAGGAAACCACTTATGCTGCGGTCACTACCCCCGTTGTTGCGGGTACCACTACTGCCGTTGGCACTACCACTGCCAACAACTCGTACACTGCTTCCCTGACACCATCGGCATCGGCCAACGGCACGTTCGTGTCCAGCAAGATTTCTTCAAAGGCATCTACTGCTGCCTCTGGTACAACTGCCGGCACGACTACTAGTGCGGCTACGGCATCAACTACCGCTGTCACAAGCGACTCTCTTCGGATTAGTGTGAGCTCGTTTGCCATTGTGGCCATCGGTTTGCTCGGTGCATTTGTGTCTCTGTGAATGGTGACAACGCCATTGATAGCCTGACATACATTGTGATGGAGACCCACCACTAACTGTATGATCATGGAAAGCCAGAGGAGCCAAAGTCGGTACGAAAAATGGGTATGTTTAAACGCCAGGGAATTCAAGGGAAACAGTTTTGATGGGTTCAACGGATAGGGTTTGCATTTTAGTTTTGGGGGTTTCTTGCAGGACACAAGCATATCAGGTTAGATTAGGGAAACTTGACCCGAAGAGTTATGTGTGAAAGCGCAGTAATGCTAGAGACGTTACGAAGGTAGAAATAACCGTGTTCAAACGTATGTAGTAACTGGGAACGCCATATCTCTTATTGAGGACTTTCCCTTCTCCAAGCAAAACACTTGATTACACCAGTTGAAATTGCTTCAAGGGCCCAGGATCGCCCCCATTATCCATTTATGACGAGCGTTGATGACCCGGATTCTCCGAAAATGACAATCGGATAAAGCAGAGTCAAATCAAGAGCTATGCTCGAAGGGTTTGGTGAGCAAACCTCATGTTTCTAAAAGTATCTCCAAACCTGAAGAATTTCGGTCTTCCTGCCGATTAGTAATCGAGCGGAAATTCATTTGCCCGATTGCTCCAAGCTCTATTTTGAACTTCTGTCATGACAACCAACCTGTGAAAATACCTTACGGAAACCCTGCTATAATTCAGATGGCCGACTACTGGAAGTCTACGCCCAAGTACTGGTGCAAAAACTGTTCCGTATACGTCACCGACACGAAGTTTGGCCGCGCTAATCATGAGGCTACCGGCAAACATCAATCCGCCGTGCGGCGCGCTCTGCGCGACCTCCATCGCGACCACGACAAGCAAGAGCGGGAGCAGGAGCGGGCACGCCGCGAGGTGGCACGCTTGAACGGAATAGTCGATGACAGTGGCGATAAGCTGGGTCCTTTGCGTCAGTCTGCCCGACCACTACAGGCGACCCCCAGGACAGCGGCAGCAGAGACAGCGGCAACAGCACCACACGCGCAACTAGAGCAACTGGCAGAGCTGGGCGTCAGCATTCCCGACGCATTTCGAGGAGAGCTAGCCATGGCGGGCGACTGGACGGTAACGACAACGCGAATTGTCGATACCACTCCAGGCAGTGCCTCATCAGCAGGGGCCCGGGCAATTGGTGTTCGCAAGAGGAGAAGGGATGGGGACGCGGACAACGACGGGGACGATGCGGAGGATATGGGCGGTGGAGGAGGAACCAGTGGCACTGGTGGGAATTCTGGACTGGATCTTGATGCCGCCGTCCAGGGCCTCTTCAAGCGACCGCGACAATGGGGGCGTGACTCGAAAACCATGCCCGGCTGCGATGGGGACCTGGACAACCTGCTCACTAGCGTGTTGAAGACGCCGACAATATCAATAAAAAAGGATGCAGAGACTGTAAAAAAAGAGGAAGAAAACGAGGAAAGAAAAGAGAAGGAGGGCGGTAGCAACGACACAGAGAAGCCAGAGGAGGGACAGCAAGAAGGCACACCAGCTACAGTTGGTCCAGGGGAACAAGACGAAGCGAAGACAGCGTCCATCAAGATAAAAAAGGAGGAAGAAGACGGCGACGGCGACGAGGGCGGATCCGGCCCTGCAGCTCCAGAGCCAGGGCAGGACGCAGCGCCTGCAGGGGCGATTCTCTTCAAAAAGAGAAAGGCAAAGCCAGCACGACACAGGTAGAACTCAGGACAGCAACTGGGTAACACGGCTCGTTCTCCTGGTCGTTTTATCCAAGGCAAGGCAAGACTATCGTAATGACAAGAGGACTCAGGCGACCTTTTCGCATATTTCCACGTCAACTACGGAACGTTCTGGGCTCTCTGCTCGGTATGTCCATCTTTCTCGTTGGGGGTGCGCTCTGGGGAACTATTGACAGAACTCCAAAGGCCCATGTTCGCAAAGACAAGAGCGGTGCGCTGTTACCTCGGCATTCTGGAAACGGATGCGAGACTTGGCTGTGGCTAAGTTGGACGGCTGGCCTACTGCCCGCGATAAACTTTCAAAGGCTTGCAGAACGAACTGCAGCGATAGCCGCCGGCCGCCTCCTTTTTCGCATAGCAGGGATACACCATGACTAGTCCCGACTGATTAGGCATACGCAGAACAAGCTGTGAGGCGCAGTCACAAGGACGAACGGGGCCTCTTGTAATATATCTCCATGACCAGCTACCAAACAGAAAACACCTAAGCTGGTTTCGTTAGCAAACAGTGGCAATGCGCAGCCTAAAGGCAGGCAGGTCTGTGTTGTGCTTTCTGCGGTGTTTGCATCAGTTGGGGTAATGTTTGAAGATTGCCGATTTGTTGCGTATCCTATGTGCGGGTTCTGATTCGACAGCGAACTAGTGGGTGCTTTCACTGCCAGCAAGCATTCTTTACAGCTACATATCTTACTTGTCAATGTACGGAGTAGGCGAGCCCAAAATCCATCACTGCCCGACAGCTTCCTCCATTTTTCAAATGCCATCCAACCACGGGTCCCTAGCTTTGAGGACTTGCAGTTAGATCTTGTTCAATCGTTTGTCAGCTGGCCAGCCATCTACACCTGCTGCTTCCCCGCCTAATCATCGACGAGCCCGAGCGGGAACCGTTTCCATAAGGGGCAGAAACTGCAGTGGTGCTTCCGATATCAGATTGACCGCCGCCGGTCTATGGTTAGTGGCCTCTGTGGCGTGCCGGCCGCACAAGACCCATAAGACCCGGTGGGTCGACTGGAGGAAGAGTGGCACGACCGACTATCCTGGGGAGACAGAGACAGCAGCTGCCTCGGCGGCTAAGTCAATCTAATAATTTTCAGCGATTCCTGTCGTAAAAAGCGGCGAAGTCGAGTAGGCCTCTGTTCAGAACGGGTCCGTGAGTCGTACAGGGGCTTTAAAAAGGCAGGTCAGAAAAGAGGATCCCTCCGTGTGATCACTCCTTCGTCGATTGTCATCCATAGAAGTTCCGGACACTTTATCTCCTTGCGACACGTCTGCATATTGTGCATATTTTGCATACGCTGCATATGCTGGAAGATGCTGTCCTTCTGCCATTGGCCGTCCTGCGAGAACGTTCATCCGCCATGCAGGCCTCCATGCTTTGCTGGCCGTTTGGTTGGGCCGTATGCTGCTTGATACGTGCAGATGATGTGCCCAGCTTTCGCCTGCGTGAATCCCACTGCCACCCTGCGCAGTTTCGTACAAGGCTGTACATGGCCTCTTTTTGGTTGCCAGCGATAAGCGCCGGGCCACTTGACGGCCTGAGCCGCCTCCTCTTGTCTGCCTGACCTGCATTCGGGCCGGGAAGCCGGGGCGACAGCCCTTAATATTGCTTGCTCTCCCTCTCGTATCCTGTTTCCTTCATCGGATCCGGTGGTTTTTGCTCCCATCGTCGTACTGCTGTTGTATCTCACACCAGCCGACAAAGTAGGCAAAATGAACTCAAAACCGACAAACCAAAAAGAGTTTGGAGATTTCTTAACTCGATATGGTGCCCAACAAACCCAAAATCTCAAGCAACTGACGGTAAACATGTCCTGGAAGTCCCAGATCGTGCTGTCGGTGATGGTTTTTGCTAACGATCTAAATGAACAGGCCTTCAAGGACCAGATGCTGCGGCTGGATAAGGACTACCGCGATGTGTGTCAAGAGCTTGCAAAAGAGCGTGCAGCAAAGCAATCGATCCAAGACAAGTCGAAACATCAGATAAAGACGCTGGAAGCAACGGTGGCGGCACACGACAAGGCTGTGGTATGTGAGAGCCACCCGACGAAGGATCGTTGCATAGGGCTAACGGCAAGGCAGCGCGACGGCTCGTTTGTGCTCGTATTGGTGGATGCCGACGGTGACGACTATCTTGTGAGCATTCAATACCTCATTCGATGTCATGTTTTCGCGTCTGCCCGTTTTCTGACCGTTGATACCTGCACGCCTTCCAGATGAACAACTACCTGCAGCAGCAAAACGCCGTTGAGGGCGGCAGTAAAGCGGCTAAGGATCTTCGAGAGGCCGTCAGACAGCATCTGCTGATGATGTACGGGGAGCAGGCAGCCGGTCTTCCGGTGATCGCAAAGGCATTTGCGTCAGGCCACGGCCGGATCAACGTGCTGGAGCGGACGACGGGAATGAAGCGGTACGACGCCCAGAAGACGTTTCTGAACTTCATGGCAGGCTTCTCGCAGACCGAAGAGCTTTTTGACTTTGTCGTCGTCGACAGGGGAAAAGAGCGTGCCGACCGGAAGCTCGAGGGTGAGTTCAGCTTGCCGATATGGCTCTCTTGGCATTCCTTTTTCTTGGCTGACCGTTTCTTTCTCCCCATTGCTTGTCACAGCTTCATTCCGCCAGTTTGTCAATAACCCTTGCTGCCAGCACATCCTGCTGGCCTGCTGCCACGACAACGGCTACGTGCGCATGCTGGAGAAGTTTGTTGGCGATCCTGTGGCCAGCAAGAAGATTGTGCTCGTCAAGTCGTCTCAGCCGGGCGCCGAGTTTGCTTCTCTGCCCTTTTCGTCCACCACCCTGGCCGGCTTCTTCATCCAGCGCCCGAAGCGCCCGCCCTCCCCCAAGTTTCCGAAAACCATCCCGATTGTGGTCCCGTCGTCAGGCCAAGGCCGGACTTGGAAAGTCGCTTCGTCTGTGACCAATGCTCCGACTGCGTCTCCGACCCTGACTCCGTCATCCGAACAGTTCCGAACGTGGCTGGCTGCTTCGGCCGTTGTCACGGCTCCGTCTGCGGTCGCGGCGACTTTGTCCGTGCCCAACAAGTCTGCCCCTCCCTCTCCGCTTGCTGGTCCGCCCGAGTCTCCTGGCCAGGTAGAGCCGAAGAAGAAGTCTCCTTGGTGGCTGTCTGGTCTCCTAGGCCTCTCGTCTGGAATTCCTGAGAAGACAGAAACAGGCTCGGCCGCTCCTTCCATTTCGGTTCCTGACCCAACATCTATTGCAAATCCTCAATCTAAGACTACTTCCGTTCCAGATTCCGTTCCAGCATCCGTTCCAGCACCCGTTCCAGCACCCGTTCCAGTTCCTGTGGTCTCCAAGCCTATTGTCCGGCTGCCAGTTCGTGCGGCTGCATCAAAGCCTCCACAGTCCCGATCGTCTTCACCGCCAGCCAACAACCTTCCGTGGACACCACCGGCTACACCGCCGTCGCAGAGGGTCAAGCCGAGGACGCCGTCTCCTGGGTCCAGGTCTCAGTCTTCTACCGGGTCAGCCGGGTCAACCGGGTCAAAAGCGAAAGCAAAAACAGTGCCAGAGTTTGGCATGTTTTCCGAGAATGCCGTGCTGGTGAACACGCAAAACCAGCGTATTGACGTGCCTCTGCCACGGAACTCGGACCCGGTGCACGAGTCGTTGCCAAAGAAGCCGACCATGCACAAAAAGGTCTGTCACCAGTACCAGCTACAGTCGACCTGTTTCCGACCCAACTGCCAGTACTCACACGTCAAGCTTTCGGCCGGCGAGCTGTTGTCTCTTCGGCGCGAGCTACGTGCCAAAAAGTGCGCCAAAGAGTCTGCCTGTCGCAGTGGCATGTGCATCTACGGGCACAGCTGCACATGCTCTCAGACGAAAAAGGACTGCTCGTTCAGCCCTGCGTTGCACAACGTGGATACGTCCGCGTGGAAGTTTGTGCGGGCAGACAAGTAGCTGGCCTGGGCATATCGTCTGTGAGAAGTTGTTCGTGGGATGTGTTTGTGTTTACGTCCTTGGTCTGGTTCTCAGTGTGCTGTCGCTATTACCGTACCAGATCATCTTTCTCGATGTTCAAAGCTCCTCTCTGACTTGGCTGTCAAGCCATTGTGGGTTGCTTTGCTTCTGGTGGGCTTTATGTACGGCCCGGACTCATGGTGGTTGCGTGTATCACAAAGTATGGTTTGCATCACTGCCGTCGAAGAGGTTTCGACACTTGTGCTGCAAGAGCCTTTGTGGAATGGACGATGGCGTTTCCGGGAATTTGCCTATATTGGTCTCGTTTTCTATCAATGGACTGGATACGTTGATATCTTTGATTACAACATGACCTCGAGCTCTGATATCTCGGGTTATGTATCTCTGGGAAGGAGGTCACGGGATTGTTCCTCATAAGCGACTTACGCTGCCTTTAAGTTAGGATGATTTCCAAATTACAATCAGACGCATGTCACGAGATGGAAGAAGATGAACCTGTTTGTCCATGTTTTGCCCAAGCCAGAGGCCCTCCACGATCAATTCCGAGACCGCTTCCATGCGAGCACGAGTAAACATACCGTCGGCCTCCGATCCGGCCATCTACGAGGAGACGGCCCCTGCCACCCTTTTTTACACCTGGAACATTCGTATGTGAGCACTTTATCCGAGTTGAAATTACGTATCTCAGCACTTGGCGTTGGCGACTGAGTCCCCTGCCAAGATGGAACTGGGGAAAGGGACCCGCCTTAGTTTCCACCTTGTGGTGGTGGTGCTGACTAGAGGAAGGAGGAAAAAGTTCCTTCCGCCCAGCGGCTGTCCAGCAGTACCAGCGGTACTCGTCAAGCTGTGCACATAGTAGCACGTCTTCCATGGCTTCTGGTGGTTCTTTCGTTCGAGCTCCGCAAGTCTGTTCACGGAGAGTATTCGGTGTGAGGAGGGGCAGTTCGCAAAGTAAGAGGCCTCCTCGGATCGTGTCGGGCTGGTCGGTCTCTTCACATGCCAAGCCAAAGTCGATGCACGAGAGATGCGGGAAAAAGAACGACAAATGGAGTAGGAGACGAAAGAGAGCAGAGGCTAACTCGAAATGCATCTCCGAGGTCGGTGTTTCCAACGCGTGTTCCTGCAGATCACTGTGCGTTATTCTCTCGAGCGACGGGCATTGAAAGTCTTATTCGTTCTCGGGATGGACGATCGTCGCCACGAGCAGTTGGCCTGAAGCAAAACAACTGCGTTGCAGCAATTTGTCGAAGAGGGGCCGCCGATTTTACGGTTAGTCGAGAAAGTTAGCGACTAGTTGATGCTACCAGCTGCAAGAATACCGCATGACAATCTTATCAGATCCTGCGATAATGCCGAGACCGCCGAAAGTCTTTTCTCATCTCGGCGACCCCCTCTTTTCCCCCTTGCCCTTTTCGCCTTTCTACACAACGAGGCAGAGCCGTTTCACGACGCGTCTCCACCTGGAAAGCAAGTCAGATCAGAGCAACACGCAACATGAGTCGCCCTGCCGTGTGTGCACTGCCACGCCATGGCTAGCGTTCGAGTGGTCGGTTCTCACGGATACATGGCAAGCCGGCCTGCCTTGCCTGCATTGCTGTCAGCCGATGGCCAAACAGTGAATGGGCAGATGGAGACGCAGAGCAGACCAGCCACAGACGTGATCTGTCGCTTTTTGATTTCTCCCATCTCATTTCGGCCCCTTCTTCCTGCCTCTTTTCGGTCTCGTTCTGTTTCTCGTCTTCAAGCCTCCGATGCAGCCGCTATTCGAACAAGACTGCTCGTATTGTGACTAGCAGCAGCAATTCTTCGACTAACTAGCATAGCACGTTGGAAACGGGCAATGGCCGCTCGGTCGAAGGCGTTACGTAGGTCACCTCCATCGTGCCCACCCTTCCGCAGGTCTAAAATCTGGTCTCATACCTTAGCGGCGCTTTTTTTTTTTTTTTTTTCTTCTCATTACCAAGACATCCCACCATTACCACCACCCCTCTAAGCCGGCCAGTTGGACCATACACGGTAACGGATAACGCGACCTACCCTACAAAGTAAGACCGACCCGCCTAAGAGGCAGTTCTTGGACGTATCCGTGGTGGGGAATTGGAGGGGTGTTCTGAAGAAAACGGGACAAAGACAAAAACCCCAGATAGAATGTCGTAAGATCAACAACGGCAAAGCCAAGAAGGGAGTTTTTTACTTGCTTCTCTTGGACCAGAAATGCTTGTAGAAAACCAAAAAGCACGCCATTTTTAGCAAGGGGGAGTGCGGCTAGACAGATTGAGCTCGGCCTAGCAGAAGGACACAGAGAAAGCCAAGAGGGACAGGCAACAAGCGACGGAGACAAGGCCAAGGCGACCAACTTCCGAAGCAGCAACAAGGACGTGGGGGCTGTCATCATCGGGCGACGCCGCTACCGTCGTCGACCTCCTCCCTCGGCCTACCGGGGCCATTGTTGTTCGCCTGCAGCCGCCATCTTGGCGTGTTGCTCCGTATGCAAAGGGAGCGAGGTTAGTTTTAAGCCAGCCGACGCCGGACCCAATCTGATCTGGACCACAGAGAGAAGGAGATCAGAAGAGGCAACAGAAACAGCCACCAACAGAGAGCAGAGAGCAGAGAGCAGCCATGGCCAGCAGCACCAGCACAAACAAGAGACGGTCGCGTCTTCAGCCAGCCGACGATGATGCTGTGCAGGACCTAGTCTGCGTGGGCTTTGGGCCGGCCAGCCTTGCCGTAGCCATTGCGCTGCACGACTCGCTCGAGGCCGGCAGCCCAACCTTGGCCGAGGACCGGCCGCTGCCCAAGGTGCTCTTCCTGGAGAAACAGGAGCAGTTTGCCTGGCATGCCGGCATGCTGCTTCCGGGAGCCAAGATGCAGATTTCGTTTGTCAAGGACCTGGCCACGCTGCGCGACCCGCGGTCTGCCTTCACCTTTATCAACTACCTGCACTGCAATGGCCGCCTGGTCGAGTTCACCAACCTCAACACCTTTTTGCCTGCCCGGGCCGAGTACGAGGACTACCTCCGCTGGTGCGCGAGCTTCTTTGAAGACACTGTGCGCTACAGCACCGAGGTAGACTCTGTCGAGGCCGACCAGGACGGCCAGGACGATCAGAACAGCAAGTCGCCCGTCACCATTTTCCGCGTGACCGCCTACGACCGCAATGGCAATCGCCAGGTCTTCCGCGCCCGCAATGTACTTCTGGCCACAGGCGGACGGCCGTCACTGCCGGCCTGCCTCCCTGCCAACAACCCGCGGATCATCCATTCGTCGCAGTACGCCCACCTGGTGCCGGCCATCCTCACCAATGCCAGCGCACCATACCGTGTGGCCGTCGTGGGTGCTGGCCAGAGCGCGGCCGAGATCTTCAACAACATCCAGGGCCTATACCCCAACTCCAAGACCTATCTGGTCATGCGGCAGCAGTTTTTGAAGCCGAGTGACGACTCTCCATTGTGAGTACAGGCCCAGGAAGAGAAAAGAAAAAAAAAACCCCCATTCACTGATTTGTCAGTGTAAATTCCATCTTCAACCCCAGCTACATCGACGAGCTGTACCCACGGCCAGCTAGGTATCGTCAGCACCTGTTGGCCGACGCGCGGGCGACCAACTACGGGGTCGTGCGGCTGGAGCTGATCGAGACGCTGTACGAGCGCATGTATCACCAGCGCCGCACTCTCGGCACCGACGAGACCAAGTGGCCACATCGGCTACTGAGCAGCCGTCGGATCGCGGGCGTGGAGCCGGACGAGAAGGGCAGCCTGCGGCTGCTTGTCGAACCGGATGATGAGGGCGAAGAGGCTACAAACGGCACAAGTGGCAATGCCAATGGCCATTCCACTAAAAAAACTAACGGTCATACCAACGGTCACAATGGCCACACGAACGGCACCAACGGCCACCCCAAGACCGAAGAGCTCGACGTCGATCTGATCATTGCCGCCACCGGTTACCAGCGAAACGCCCATCTGGCTATGCTGCGCGACCTCTGGCCACTGCTGCCGGAAAAGACGGCCGCCCAGCAGACGGCTGAGAAGTGGGAGGTCAAGGAGGACGAGTCTGACAGCCCCACCAGAATCCTTCGGGTCTCGCGTGACTACAAGGTCCAGTTCAGTGCTGGAAGTATTGCAGACGGATCTGGCGTCTGGCTGCAAGGCTGCAACGAGGGCACACATGGCGTGAGTCATCCAGCTTCGTCTATTTGTCTGCTTTCTCAACTCCGCTAACAACCCTACAGCTTAGCGACACGCTGCTGTCGGTGCTGGCTACGCGCTCAGGAGAGATTGTGGAGTCGATTTTTGGCCGGGAGAAGTAGCAGCTTCAACAGACTTTGGACCTCTCGAGTCGGGCTAGTGAAGGCTTCCTGCTTTTGTAATCGTCTCTTTTCCTCTTCCTTTATTTGACCCCAGAGTTGTTACCTGTTACCTGTTACCTGTTACCTGTTACCTGTTACTGTCAGATGTCTTGAATACATGCGTGTCGTGCCAAGGCCTCGGCTCTCTTCTGTCGCTATTATCCTCTCGTTCTTCCACCCAGCCTAAAATACTACCCAAAGCGGGAATTCAATGCAGACGACGGGCCGCACACCAACAACAGGGAGTTCGGCTATCGCGGGCAGACCCCTCAGGGCAGTGGCCTGGATAAGCAGAAAAGCAAGCGACCCTATTCGGTCGGCTTTCGAGCTCGGCGATAATTTCACTACAAATTAGACATGACGGCAAGACCAACACGGGAGCGTGCACCAATGAGAAGGGAAAGAAAGTAGTCAAAGCCGAGTTCTTTGGGAATGCTAGCCGTCGTGCTCTGCATGGTGTGATAAGGCGATGAAAGACGGGCGGAGACGTAGGAGCAGAGCAAATGGCTTGTCCCTCACGCAAAAGAAGAACAAAAAAAAATGCAGAAAATTTGAGATATGGCGCTGGAGTTAAGCCGGTCTCCACACCATAGTGATTCTGTGTGTGTGTGTGTGTGCTAGCTATTGGCTAACATGAAAGAGCATGAGGTGGTTGTTAGTCGCTGTGACAGTCGTGCAGCTGCTGGCCATCTCGTGGCGAAACCGTACGAGCTGCAAGATTTAGATTTGCTGGGTAGACGGCGATCGGAGCAGAGAGACGGACGAAATTAATGGCTACCCCGAAGACTAGCGATATCGCAACGCCAGCAACACTGGCAATCCTATGCACAGACGTTGCCGCTGCCATTGTCCCTCGGCCTTGCCTTGACGTAACAGCTGCTTAAATCCAAGCCAGGCGGGCCGAAAATGGCCCATTTCTCTTCTGTTTTCTCTTCTTTTTTTCTCTCCTAAGACAAGCATTCCCCACCAGAAGACAGGCTCTTTGCCCTAGCGACAAGGCCAAGCCATCACTTAGTTCACTCCCCTAAAATGCCCCCTACCAGCTCATCGTCACACCCCTAGCGGCTGTAGCGGCCGTGCAATGCCCCCCATCGACCCCCCATCACCCCTCGCTAACCCTTGCCTTCTGCTCCACTGTCGGCCCTTTTTCCTCTTATCCTGCCTGCAAAATCTCGCTCGCCGCCATCGCGCCCGGGCTCTGCCACATTTCCAAGCTGCGTACGGAGTAGTGCGGGATGGCTGATTGCTCGCACACCCGGGCTCTTCTGCCACCTGACTGAGATCATCCTCGCCAAAGCCCGCCCCGAACACGCTCCCCCCGTTCTTGGCCAAGGCGTCGGTGCAAAGCCATGGCAGATTGCTCCTCCACAGGCATTCGATTGCATAATGGAAAGATATATGCCTCCTCGGAATACCACCTGTCTTATTAAAGGAAGGGGAAGGAACGTCACCTACGAGTACACCTAGAGCCCCAAAGTCCCTCGCAACTGCCCATTCACACCTGTCGCTCCCTTCTCCATTCGGAAGCTCGGCTGCTGCTCTTTTGTCCGATTCGGCAGGAGCTTTCAGGGTCGTCAACTGGACGGCTGGACACAATAGAACAGGAAAAAGAAGCACAACCTGCATGAACCACGCATGCCCCTTCCCCCACACTACACAGCCCAAACTTCCGTTCCTGATATGTTCAACACCTACACCAGCTCATCGATCATAGCCTCCAAGTAGCTATTATCCGTCATCTTTACTTTTCTTGCCTGGCAGCGGGAAAGAAGCGTCAAGCTATCAGCAGTTGGTGCTGGTCTCTTTGCGAACAACATCGTTCTTCCTTTCCATAGCAACTCATTCCGGATAATGCAAGCAACCGCGGACGTCGAGATGCAGCTCTCCGTCCTCAATCCCCAGCCACAGAGGCTGCCAGGGCCCGGCTTGCTGCATCACCTATTATTTGGTGCGGAAACGGGGCCTGTGAACTCAGAATATGTCGTCTCGCGCCGATCTGAGACAGCTGCCGTTCCGGCACTTGATTACCAGTCCCCCGACGGCCGGCGTACTGTCTTGTCGTACAGCCAACTGCATCAGAAAGCCCAGCTACTGGCATCAGAGATCAGCCAGAGACAGCTCAAAGCTTCTGAAGCCTTGGCTTCAGTCAGATCCGGTGATGCGGGAAGCTCGTTTTCGGCAAAGTCCCAATATGACAGCAGCGGAAGTGTGCCGCTTAAGGACCTGGTCGTTCCAGTGCTCGTTCCCCAAGCTCCAGAGCTCTACCTCTCTCTTCTGGCCATCCTTAAGGCTGGGGGGGCTTTCTGCCCGATCCAACTGGATGCGCCAGCTGATCGCATTCGCTTCATTCTGTGCGACGTGTCTGCTACTGTTGTCTTAACAACACAGGAGATGGCATCCAAGCTTCCGTCAGACCTGGCCATCGAGGTGGTGTTGGTTGACCAAATTCATCTTCTTGACGACCTAGACCTGCCTCATGATACGACTCAGTTGGCCCTGACAGATGCACCACCGACGCGAATTCCCACAGAAGTCGACCTCGCCTACGTCATGTACACGTCCGGGTCGACAGGCACTCCCAAGGGTGTCGGAGTGCCACATATCGCTGCAACCCAGAGTCTCCTCTCCCATGACCGTCACATCCCGCCCTTTGAGCGCTTCCTGCAGTTTGCCGCCCCGACCTTTGACGTATCCGTCTTTGAAATTTTCTTTCCCCTGTTTCGCGGCGCCACCCTCGTCAGCTGCAGCCGTGCAGAAATGCTGAGCGACCTACCGGCCGTCATCCGCAGCATGAATGTTGATGCCTGCGAACTCACGCCCACCGTGGCCGGAAGTCTCCTGCGCAGCCGCAAAAACGCCCCGTGCTTGCGCCTGATGCTGACCATTGGCGAAATGTTGACAGAGCCGGTTGTCCGCGAGTTCGGCGCCAGTGCTGGTCACCCCAGCATACTGTGGGCCATGTATGGTCCTACCGAAGCCGCCATCCATTGGTTAGCCACCCCGAATCCTAAATACACTCTGATGACCTACTTCTGACACCAATACAGTACACTTCAGCCTGCTCTGGATGGTGCAGCCTCGGTGAAGAATATTGGATTCCCTCTGGACACCGTTTCGGCGTACGTCTTAGAAATGCCTTCAGGCGATCAGCCGGCTGGGCCAAAAGACCCCAAAATTGTGCCCCTGGGCGACGTCGGCGAGCTGGCTGTCGGTGGGTACCAGCTGGCCCGTGGTTATATAAACCGGCCTGAGCAAACCGCTGCGGCTTTCATCGATACTGAGAAGTTTGGCCGCCTCTATCGAACTAGCGACAAAGCCCGCATTACCGACGAGGGCATCTTGGAGTGCTCTGGACGCCTGTCAGGCGGACAGGTGAAGCTACGCGGCCAGCGAATCGAGCTTGGTGAGATTGAACAAGCTGCTCTTCGAGCGAATGGCTGTCTTGGAAGCGCAGCCGCCGTGATCAACGGAAATCTTGTCGCCTTCTGCGACGCTGGGCCGAATGAGGAAGCGGATATGAAACAGAGGGTGTTAGAGTCATGCAAGTCTTGGCTGCCCCGGTTCATGATACCCGGCGATATTGTCATCATGTCCGAGTTCCCTCGTCTAGCTTCCGGAAAGGTCGACCGCAGACGTCTTGTCGACCAATATGCAGATTCATTGCGATCGGCAGCAGCTTCACAGTCACTCAGCCCGACAGTCTTCAAGGACGATCTCGATCGTCAGCTCCATGAAATTGCACGTGATATCCTCGGCTGCGAAATAGAAAGCAACTTCCCGCTGGCTGCAGCTGGTGTGGATTCGCTGCGGTCGATCCGATTTGCAGCCTCGATCCGATCTGCAGGATTTCATAACGTTAGCGCTGTTGATGTGCTGGAAGCCAAAACATTGTCTACTCTCCGTGCTCGGATCCAGCGTCTGAAAGACGATGCTGCAGAGACTAGCGACGATGTCGACATACATACTGCACAGGAACTAGATGCGGACACCATTCTCAGCGCAGCTCCCGTACTCGAAGGGATAAGCAGAGACTCTATTGAATTCATCTCCGAATGCACCCCGGTCCAGGCTGCCATGCTCGGCGAAACGCTCGCAGACCCACAAGCCTATTGCAACTGGATCGAATTGGGCTTCGCAGGCCGGCACGATGCCGATGAGATTGCGTCTTGTTTCCATCGTCTGATTGAGGCAAATGAGGCCTTGAGAACTGGCTTTATCCACTTTGATGGCCGGTTTTCCCAGGTGGTTTGGAAGCAGGCTTCTCCAACACAAATTCAAAAAGTCGACTTTTCGACACGCGACTATGTCTGGGGTACCGAGCAATCTTTTCTCATGGGTTTCCGTGTCGAAGTATTCGAGACAGAGTCTTGTGACACGGATATGACTGTTCGCGCCGTTTTGCATATCCATCATGCAGTCTATGATGGATGGTCTGCGGACTTGATTCGCGCAGACTTGGAGACAATGCTTGGAGGTGGTGATATCGCAGCAAGACCTCCGTATAGTCGCGTGGTTCAGCACTACCTCTCAATATCCACAGACGCGACTGATGCAGCGAAGCAGTTCTGGGCCCAGTTGCTGAACGGACATCAGCCCAGTCCATTCCCAGAATTGAGGACACGGACCGACGAGCCTACTGCTATTCTTTCACTGGAAAGTCTTCTACCGAGCGTAGACTCCGACGCAGTCGAGAGCATCTCCAGAAAGCTCGAGTGCGGCACACAAGCTATTTTCCAGGCAGCATTGACATGGCTCTGGGGTTCTCTAATTGGCTCAAGTGACGTTGTCATCGGCACGGTAGCTTCTGGTCGGACGCTTCCGGTGGATGGGATCGAGGACACTATCGGCACCTGCCTACAGACGGTACCTCTTCGCGCCGATCTCTCACAGATGCGAACGATCCACGATCTTCTGAGCACCATACAGTCTACAAACAGGGCACTTCTTCCCCATGCGTTTCTACCTCTTGCTGAGATAAAGAAAACAGCAGAGCTGCTCCTTGGTCAGCCGCTGTACGATGTATTGTTTGTGTACCAAGAGTCCCTTTACAGCCAGAGGACCTCGCGGGATCTCGTTTCAGAAGTGGCTCACAAGGACTATTTGGAAACAAAACTGCTTTGGGAGATCGAACCCAGAGAGGGCAAGTTTCACATTCGAGCGACCTTCCACGGCGACGTGTTCCCCAAAGAGCAGATTGATGTCATGATGGCGCAATACCTCTGCATTGTTCGCCACCTGGCCAACAATGTGGATAAAGAATTGACATCCATTCGCTCCTGCTTTCCACAAGATCTTCTCTCATGCTACAACATTGACTACAAGACATTCAATGGCTGCGCAGATCTCGCGCACGTTTTTCAGAAAACGGCTCGGCAATATCCTAACAGGCCAGCTGTCTGTTTTGCGAGTTCCATAGGAGAAGATGGCATTGAGTTCCAAACGATCAGTTATCGTGAACTAGATGGTCTTTCGAATCGTATCGCCAGATACCTGCGGTCAAATGGGGCGGCTCCAGGAAATATTGTGTCTATTATACTGGAAAAATCAATACTTCTTTATGCTGGCATGATTGGAATCCTCAAAGCCGGTTGCACCTATGTCCCTCTCCTTCCAAGCATTCCTTCTGCCCGAGCACGCACTATCATGGAGCAGGCGGGCATTCAGTTCTGCTTGACCAACAGGTTAGCAGCGGCCACCCTTGTTGGTCTACCAGTAACGCCACTTGATCTTCAGTCAACCGATCTCGACAAATTTTCAGACTCTGCTGTTGAGGGTGTACCCGTTGAACCTTCTAGTCTGGCATACATCATGTACACGTCCGGAAGCACAGGCGTTCCCAAGGGTGTCTGTGTCACACACTTCAACATCTCCAGCCATTTGGATGTCTTGACACGCATCTATCCACTCAGGCCCGATGGGAGGTTGTTGCAATCTTGTTCGCAGGCCTTTGACGTTTCCGCTTTTGAAATTTTTTTCACTTGGAAGACGGGCATGTGTCTCTGTTCAGCGGTCAATGACGTTCTCTTCGATGATCTGGAACGTGCCATTCGTCTACTCAACGTGACCCATCTGAGCATGACTCCGACCGTAGCATCATTGGTAAATCCAAAGAATACTCCGTCTGTTGAGTTCCTGGTGGTAGCCGGTGAGCCACTCCTAGAGAGCGTTTTCAACATGTGGTGGCCAACGGGAATTCATGTTGGTAAGTTGGTTATCTGTTTTATGGTCCTGTCTCGTGCTATGGCTGACACATGTAGGATACGGCCCATCCGAGACCACAAACATTCTCACAGTAAAACATATGACATCCCAGAATGACGTCACATCGCAGCTGGGATTTTCGTTTGAAAACACGTCGACTTTTGTTCTTCACTTCGACAGTCTTGAGCCAGTGTCTAAAGGGGCGTTGGGCGAGTTTTGCTTCGGAGGTGATCAAGTTGCGGCAGGATACTTGCAGCTGCCAACGATGACCGCCGAGAAGTTTATCGATCATCCGTTTTATGGAAGAATCTACCGCTCAGGTGACGTCGGACGAATGCGTCCAGACGGCTCTCTGTTGATCATTGGGCGGATAGACGACCAAATCAAACTTCGCGGCCAGCGGATCGAACTCAATGAGATCAATTCCATTCTCCAAGAATCCGGACTTGTATCGGAGCCCATAACGCTTCTTCTCCGCCACGGCGACTCGAACCCTGAGTTGCTGGCATCTTTCTTCACACCTTCCAAACGAGATAGTTTGGGATCCACATTGTCCACATCCCATGTTACCGACTTGAGTAATGAATCCTCTTCCTTCATGATCAGGCAGCTGTTCAGCCTGTTGCAGTCACGCCTGCCAGCCTACATGGTCCCAACTCATCTGATACCAATATCGTCCATCCCGCTTACCCCGGCCGGAAAGACAGACAAGCGAGCCTTGAAAGAGCTATTTCAAGCTCTTCCGCTGGAGCTTCTGTCTTCGACGAGCAATTCTGGCGGAAACATTGATGGTGGTGACAAAAATGGCGGCCAGTGGTCGGAGTTGGAAAAACAGATCGCCCGGATCATTTCTGAGGCGCTCAAGGTTGGCGTGCAGTCCATTGGCCGATGGACACCTCTCCCGAGTCTCGGTCTCGACTCAATCTCAGCTATTCGTCTGTCCAAACTTGTTCAACAGTCACTCCAACGCCGGCTCCCGATTTCAGTTATCCTCAAAAATGCAACTGTCGCGCGGCTATCACAGGCTCTCAGGGACGAGTCCCCCAAAATCGATGCGCCAAGCCTCTATTCGCTCGACCTCTTCTCCGCAAATTTCCTTTCCGAGTTGCGGCAGACACTGGATTCTCGCGGCCTAGTATGTGGCAAAGTACTGCCTTGCACACCCCTGCAAGAAGGCATGCTCGTTTCTCCTGCACGGAACCAATCTTACATCAACCGCATGCTGTTCAAGCTGAGTGTTCGCCCAGAAAAGTTGCAATCCGCTTGGATGAGAATAAGCGAGCGCGAGGAGATCTTGCGCACATGCTTTGTTACAACGGACAGTCCCAGTCATCCCATCTCCCAAGTCATTCTTGAAGGCTGGAAATCATCATGGATTGAATATGATACGCAAGATTCAGACAGCCAAGGGACTGCAACTTCCATTGAAAACGTCATCGATCGGCACGTGCAATCGCTGGCAGATCCAGTTGACTCATACCAGCCGCCTGTCTCCTTTGCGGTCATCAGCCAGTCAGATGGATGCTTCCTATCATTTGTTTGTCATCATGCAATCTACGATGGAGAGGCTATGGAAAAGCTATTGTTTGAGGTTGAGCAAACGGTCAAAGGAAAGCCCCTCCCACCAACGGTTCCTACGTTTGATTCGTTCTTAAGTCAGGCCCTTTCTCTGCCTTCATCGACAGAGGATTTCTGGAAGAATCACCTGAATGACTTCAGACCAATATTGCTTCGGAACGAAAGCTCCATCTCCATAAGAGAAAGCAAAGTTTCAGCCAGCATTCTCGAAATGCCTTTGTCCGGTGTGCAGGAGCGGGCCCACAATCTCGGGTTCTCACTTTTGACCACGCTCCAGAGTGTTTGGACATGTGTTCTCAGTCTACTGGGAGAAGAAGACGACGTCTGCTTTGGAAACGTGTACAACGGTCGATCTCTGCCCCTAGGCGGAAGCGATGAGCTTGTTGCGCCTTGTTTCAATACCTTGCCCGTCCGTGTGCAGTTGTCGACGTTACGCACCGTCAAGGATCTGATGTCATATTTCCAAGCGTTGAATCCAGATATGATGAAACATCAGTTCACACCGTTGAGACATATTCAGAGAAAATATGCTGGTGGTAGTGGCCGCCTCTTCGACAGCCTCTTGCTGCTCCAGCAACCGTCACGACCACTTGACAGCATAGTTTGGACGCTTGAACGAGACGATGGGGAGATGGATGTTAGTTTATTCTCTTGACTGCTCTTCTTCAAGACAGTGGCTAACCCATTTGATAGTTTCCTCTTGTTTGTGAGCTGACCCCTAACCAAAGCCAAGACAGCCTGGGCATTCAGATCCACCACGACAGGTAAGAACCAAGCACATCCCGCGGTCCTGTGTCTCTATGGCATATTCGCCAATACGAAGCTAGCTCGTTCTAAGGATAGTTTTGTGTAGTGCATTTGTCTCTGATACTGCATCATCGCTCGTATCGGAACTATTCGGGAATCTATTTGAAAGCTTTTTGCGTTTTCCCTCCTCGCAGATACCTTGCCGTGACGACTTGGCACCTCAACTGCGCCAGAAAATTTGTGAAGCGGGTTTGCAGTTTCACCGCATGGCACCAATCGACAATGAAGAGAGACAGGCTACAGCGGGTTCACAGTCTGTAGAGGACTGGAATACAACAGAATCCACCATCCGCTCAGTTCTTTCACACTTGTCTGGTGTTCCAGAAAACCACATCCGAAGGAGTACAACTCTTTATCGTCTGGGACTCGACAGTGTCAAGGCGGTTCAAGTTGCTGCGAGGCTGCGAAAGCAAGGCTTACCAGTCTCTGCTGTAGATGTTATGGAGTACCCTAGCAGTATGGAGCTCGCCCAATGTCTTGCGAGAGCCTCTGCTGCAGGTTCGGAAGCGTCGGCACTGAATTCGTCATCCGACATTCCTTTATTATCTTCACCAGCGTCATCCTCGGCAGAATATGATTTCTCGAACTTCAAAGTACATCTTCAATCTTTACTTGCCAAGCATGGGCTCGCAAACGAGGATGTCGAAGCAGTTTTCCCATGCACACCACTCCAGTCAAGTCTGCTTGTCGAGTTTTACCGCTCAAGTGGGCGCCACTACTTCAACTTTGTTGCCCTTCAGGCCAATGCTGATGCAGTTGTGGCTTTGACTGCTGATAGCTGGGCCAGAGCGTGGGAGCAAGTCGCAATGATCACTCCAATGCTCCGGACTGGGTTTGTCAGCATGGAAGATGACAAGATGATTGACATCCCATCTCCATTTGCAATGGTCCAATACAGTACTCCTGCTGCTATATCTTACCACACCAAGATTGCTGTTGTTCCAAAAAACAGGATCGGCTGCTTTTCAACCTGTCGAAGTGGAGGCTCGATGCAGCGCAAGCTGCAATCAACAACATGCAGGTGCCACCGTGGCAGATCGTCATCGTGGAAGACCTCAATGGCACGGGAGTGACCTGTCATTTGGCCATTCATCATGGCCTGTACGACGCGGCCAGTCTCAGTAGTATTCTTGACAATGTTTCGCGATATGCCAGTGGCTTACCACTCAAACGGGCTCCACAGACTGAGACTGCAGTGTCCGAGATTCTCCATCAAATCACATCATCTACGTCTTCAGATATATCCGAAATGTGGAAGAAACTGGCCACACGTGCAGTCATCAATACATTCCCTGTTCTCACACCACTCAAGGCCAAGTCGCCTTTGGTGAAAGTTGCAGTCAGCCAAAGCTCCAAGTCGTTTACTGAGATTTTTGGTGCCGCCATGAACTCTGGTTTCACCGTTCATGCAGTTCTCCAGGCAGCTTGGACTCGAATCCTTTCGTCATACATCGGAGATTCCGGTGTTGTATTTGGAACTGTGTTGTCTGGACGAAACTCAGAAGCGACATCTGACGCCGTCTTTCCGTGTCTGACAACGCTTCCTGTCGTTGCAGAGAATCATGCATGCAACCGCCAACTTGTGGAGCAGTTGATGAGTTCCAATATCCTGCTCCAAAAGACACAGCATGTCCCATTAAGCCAAATTCAAAAGTGGCTGGGACGAGCTGACTCGCGCCTATTTGATACTCTTCTGGTCTACCAAAATATTGACCGCAATGGGGAGGCTGGACAAGTCCATCTGCCGTGGAAAATCATCGACGAAGAGGCGCATGTTGACTATCCCATCTCTCTCGAAGCCACTCCTCAGACAGATGGGCCGATGCAGTACCAACTCACGTTCGATGCCAGCGTCATCCCCGTCGAGCAGGTGGAACTCCTTCTCCGCCAGTTCGATGCCACCGTATGTCACCTCGCTTTTCACCCTGACAACAACGAGGATGATTTGATAGCAACGGAGCCAACGATTTTCAGTGCCTTGCCTGCACGAGACACAGAGCTGGAGTCCGAAATCAAGCTGATGCATCAATTTGTGGAACACCAGGCAAGGAAAATACCGCACAAAACGGCTTTACAGTTTGTTACGGCTTTTGACGGCGCCGGAAACCCAGTCTCCAAAGAGTGGACCTACGCAGAGCTGAATCATCGCGGTAACGCGGTAGCCTCAATCGTGTCTCAGCATTCTGTCCCGGGAAGCATTGTTTCCATTTGCTTTGACAAATGCCCCGAGGCTTTCTTCGCAATTCTGGGAATCCTCAAAGCTGGATGTTCGTTTGTAGCCTTGGATCCCGAGGCACCATCAACCCGAAAGGAATTCATCTTGCAAGACTCCAAAGCTGTCCTCCTCCTTACAGACACTCTGAGGGCATGCCAGCCGTCGTCTACAACAGGCCTTTTCGATTCAGCTGTGGGGGTGGCAATCATTGGATTGGACGAGTCCTCTCTGGCATCCCAGCATGCCGGAGATCTGGACATTCAATTTTCCACAAGTCGTGAGATTCTTCCAAACGACAACTGCTACTGCCTGTACACATCTGGCACAACCGGGACACCAAAGGGTTGTGCGATCACACATGAAAATGCTGTGCAGGCTATGCTGGCTTTCCAGGAGCTGTTCCGGAGCCACTACGACGAAACTTCGCGTTGGCTTCAATTTGCCTCCTTTCATTTTGATGTCTCTGTTTTGGAGCAGTACTGGACTTGGTCTGTTGGCGTTGTTCTCGTTGGTGCTCCTCGGGACCTCATTCTTGAAGATCTTGCAGGCACGATATCACGGCTCTGCATAACTCACATCGACTTGACACCGAGCTTGGGACGCCTGCTTGATCCAAGCGATGTCCCGACTTTGTGTCGAGGCGTATTCATAACGGGAGGTGAGCCGTTGAAGCAGGAGATGCTGGATTCTTGGGGCCCAACTGGTGCGGTGCACAACTTCTATGGACCAACAGAAGCAACGATCGGTGTGACATCGTACCCTCAAGTGCCACAAAATGGACGTGCATCGAATATTGGCAGGCAATTTCCCAACGTCGGATCTTTTGTGTTCCGCCCTGGAACACAGACCCCAGTCTTGCGCGGTGCTGTCGGTGAGCTTTGTGTCTCCGGAAAGCTCGTAGGCAAGGGCTATCTCAACCGTGAAGACTTGACGAGTGAACGCTTTCCAACTTTGAGCGAAGAAGCCTACCCAGGGTACGGGGAGCGCGTCTACCGTACCGGAGATCTTGTGCGGCTGTTGTACGACGGCTGCTACGACTTCCTTGGGCGGGCTGATGACCAAGTAAAGCTGCGAGGTCAACGACTTGAAATCGGCGAAATTAACCATGCGATACGTCTTGGAGTTGGGAATAGCATTGGCGACGTTGCAACACTTGTCATACGGGACGACGTGAACAAAAAGGACTTTTTGGTCTCTTTCGTCGTCATCTCAGACACATCTTTGGCTTCGTCTGCAGTTTCGAGAAAAGGTCTTTCTTTGGTGCCGATTCCAGGCGACACGGCAGCTGCTCTGTCCAGGCAAGTACAGGCGGCTTGCCGCGAACGACTTCCGGGATACATGGTGCCGACTTATGTGGTCCAGCTTCCGTTCATTCCGCTATCAGCAAACAACAAGGCTGAGGCAAAAGAGCTGAGACGGCTGTTCAATTCTCTGACACCAGAAGACCGCATGAAAACGACGGGAGCCGGCCATGCTGGCGACCAGATCGATACCCTGAGTGGCTCTCCTGGGCAAGAGTTGTTGTATGTATTACGCCAGCTGTCCCTCTTGGACAAGGACGAGGGGCTGGCACCGAATACTAGCATATTCGAGCTGGGAATCGATTCAATCTCGGTCCTTCGGTTTGCACGGGCTCTCAAGAAAATCGGCCTTCCTGCTGCACCGGCACTTCTCCTATCTCATCCTATTATCGGCGACCTCGTTATTGCGTTGAAGACTCAAAAAACAGCTGCCGATCTTGGGCCACTTTTGGAAGCCCGTCTCCTTGTGGAAGCCTGCCAACACAGAAACCGTAGCCATGTATGTAATGCGCTTGGCATCAGCCCCGATGATATCGAGTACATTGCCCCATGCTCGGCTCTTCAACAAGGCATGGTGTCTCGATCGAGGTCAGGACAAGAAACCACGCAAGCATATTTCAACACGTTCACATTCAAGCTGGCGGAGGATGTGTCGATCGAACGCCTGATGGAAGCCTGGAAAGTGGTGGTGCGAAGAAACTCGATTCTTCGCACTCGGTTTGTTGTCACCAATGAGGGCGTTGTCCAGGCTGCCCTGAAGTTTGCCGACGTTCCATGGACACAAGTTTCTCTAGATGGCGGAAAGGACATCGCAGAAGCTTTGGAAGAATATACTGCTGTCTGGGTCAGCTCCAACGATGGTGATGTGATTCGCAGCCCTCTTGAATTCTTGGTGGGCGAACGGCAGGGAGATCGGTGTTTCGTCATGCACATTTTCCATGGCCTCTATGATGCCATCAGTTTGGATCGCATTCTCGACCAAGTTTTTGCCGACTACGAAGGCATGATGGGAGACGATGGCCAAGATGGCGGTACGTCGTTTTTGGATGCCTTGATACACGGACCTCTACGCAGCTATGGGAACAGCCGCCCTTTCTGGGAGACACACCTCAGAGAAAGTTTCTTCAAGCCACTTTCAAGTTCGGCTTCATCGGCAGAAAGCCTCCTGGACATCACTGCGAAGCGGTCCATTCCCTTTGACTCTATTAACAGTCTCTGCTCCTCTTTGGGGGTTACTCACGCAGCCTTAATTCAGGCCTTATGGGTAGCTGTACTCCAAGAGACATATGGCGATGGCACTACCCTAGGCCTGGTTCTTTCTGGACGGACCATTTTCGACTTGGACGGTGTCGAAGGTGTTATTGGTCCGTTGTTCAACACGCTTCCCTTCTACATGCCGAGAAGGAAGAACGAGACCTGGGCCTCACTTGCAAAGGAATGTCATGCCTTCAACACGGCCATCCTACCATTCCAACAAGTCCCACTTCGAGATGTTCAAAAATGGTGTTCTTCTGGGCAGCCGCTATTCGACATCTTGCTTTCATTCCAATTTGGTGGCGCGTCGTCATCTGCTCAGAAGATCTGGACAGAGGTGGACTCAAGCACTCAAGCAGACTACCCCCTCGCCCTCGAAGTCATCCTAGATGGGGCCACTGATGGCACTTCGAATGTCGAATTTTTGCTTGTTGCCAGGGCTGGGGCTTTCGAAGAAGCAACGGTTCATCAAATTGTTGACAGACTTGTCTTGGCAGTGGATACAATGTCAAGGAACACTGAAGACTTGATTTTCGCGGCTGAAAGCGAAGATTGCGCCATTGCGGAGGAGGCAAGTGACATCGTCAATTTTGCCGACAGTGGAAACTCACTTGAATGCGTTGCTAAGAAAACGCCTGCCCATCTTTCGCTGTTCGAGTGGGAAGGCGACGCGACGAAGATCAGGCAAGAGCTCTCCCTCTTGAGTGGAACCACAATTGACTCGATCCACGAAGAAACGACTCTCCTTGAGCTTGGCCTAGACAGTGTGGACACAATCAAACTCTCAGCACGTCTTAGAGCACTGGGAATCCATCTTTCGAACAGTCAACTTATTCGTGGCCAATGCATCTCGGAGCTCGTCAAAGTGATTGCCACGACAGCTGGCAAGACGGGGGAAAACGATACTGATGGCAAGGCCGACAAGTCTCTTATACTGTTGAATAGTGTTTCCGCTTCGCTACGGGAATACCTTGCTCTCAGTGGACGTGACCTTTCTTTCGTGGAAGATGTTTTACCGCCGACCCCATTGCAAGAAGGCCTAATCGCAGATATGATTCAGTCTGGATTCACACGTTATTTCAATCACGACATTTTAGAGTTGGAGCCGGGTGTTGATTCAGACCGGCTCAAGAACGCCTGGATGAGCGTTGTCAGAGCAAGCCCAATTCTGCGGACAGTCTTTTACGCTGTTGACAGTCTGGAAATTGACGTGTCCTATTGTCAAGTCGTGAAGCGCGACATTGACATTGAGGATTTGATCACAGATTGCGAAGCCTCCGGTCAAGACGACTTGATTGGTCTCGTAGAAGCAGTCAGAGAACGAGCGATGAAATCGGAAGGAGAGTCCGGTCTTCTTCATCTGACTTTCGTCCACATACCAGTAGAACAACGCCGCTATCTCGTCTTGTCTATTTCTCACTCTCTGTATGATGGATGGTCTCTGGATCTGATGCACCGCCGTGTCGAATCTGCGTATAGGAACCCGGCGGGTGACACAGGGCATCCTGACACCAGGTCGCCTTATCTTCAGCAGCTCGGCAACATTCTCAACTCGTCAGGTCCACAATCAGAGAGCTTCTGGAGAAGCTTCCTCTCAAACGCGCAGCCAACGCATGTGAAGGCGAGTACGGAGAGCCAGGAGCAAACTGGTGGAGGCAAAGCAGTCACACGTATCGAAACGGCATCCTCAGTTTCAGCCGCTGGTCTCCTCAGCTTCTGCAGGAAAGAGGCAACGAGCGTACAGGTTGTTGGACAGGCGTGTTGGGCCGCTGTCTTAGCTACACTGACGGGGTCGTTGGATGTTGTCTTTGGAGTCGTCTTGTCAGGAAGGGAGACCGAAGGGGCCGATGAGCTTCTGTTCCCGACCATGAACACTGTGCCAGTACGCGTCATATTGCATGGCACAACGGCTGAGCTGCTGCAGTACATGCAGTCGAATATGGGAAGCATCAGCGAGAACCAACACTTCCCCCTGCGCAAAGCACAGAGAATGGTTGCCAAGTCTGAATTCGTCGGTGAATACGGTGCTTTCAATACCTTGTTCATTTTCCAGAAGCGAACACCAAGACAGCCCTCTTCCTTCGAAGAAGATAATCAGCCACTGATGCATTCGATTGAAGGGTTCTCAGACGTCGAGTACCCGATTTGTGTCGAAATGGAGGTAGTCAGTTTCGCTGGCAGCGAGTCAATTATTTGGCGGATGGCTTGCGACAGCTCATATGCATCGAGCAGTGATGCCTCCCGCATCGTGCATGAGCTAGACACTGCTCTCCGATTCCTCGTCCAGTCTTCATCTTCTCCGGCACACCAGGACAGTATTCTACGTTTTGAAGAGAAAGGCGTGTCGCTTTGCGGGCTGCCGACCTTCACTCCCCTCCTGGCAAAGGAAGTTGGGAGTCAGAGAAAGCAGACGTCGCCGGTGGAGCTAAGCAACAATTCGTGGTCCCTGGTCGAGGAAGCTATCAGGTCGACTCTGTCGGTGGTGTCAGGTGTACCTTCCGAAACTATCAAGAGAAGAGGGCAGACGCTCTATCACCTGGGACTCGATTCCATCAGCGCCATCAAGGTCAGCTCTCTCTTGAGAAAGACGCACGGTCTATCGCTTGGGGTGCGCGAAATGCTTGCTTCCGAATCAGTTCAAGATATGGCAGCGTTTGTCACAGCTAAGCAGTCATATGCCACCCCAAATGACGATGAAAAGCAAATCACTGCCTCGATCTCAACCATACTGGATTCTGTTCAGGCAGATGCAGTAATATGTGCGGCTGGAATATCGAACGATGAGATCCAGCAGGTTCTGCCTGCGACGGCAATGCAGGTGCATATGGTCAGCGTCTGGCAGACCTCGAATGGTGAGGTTTTCTTCCCCGAGTTCCATTATAGTCTAAGCGGGGTCTCTGGAGGGCGAGAAGCAGTCTTCGCCGCATGGGAAGCATTGGTGGCCGAAGTCCCGCTTTTGAGAACCGTATTGTTGGCAACGGCATCCAGCACAGTACCGATACTTCAGGTAATCTTGAAGCCCGCTTCTGGTGTGCGATCCTCCGTCAGTGAAGAAGTGTGGCCCGCGGTGGCAAGACACAAGCCGCTGGCTTTCTTGACTGCCACATCTGCGACTGAGAGCGACCGTTTTGTGCTGGCTTTGAGGATTCATCATGCGTTGTACGATGCAGTCAGCCTCCAGACCATTCTGGACCGCTTCCAGCGACTCTGCAGCAGTGAGGCCACGGACGTGATGCCCCTTGTCAGCGAGAAGACAGATACATTCGGATCATGGACATGGATGATAGCACGCCAGATGTCTGAGACCTCCAAGAGACTGCAACAAGAGTTTTGGACCAGGTATTTCTGCTCAGCAGCGAAAGACGCACCCAAACGTGTGTCTGTGTCGACAGAGGCCCCTCTGGGTCGTGTTTCACTGTACAAAGAGGCGGTCCTTTCAAATATTACCGTCTTGCGGACAGTGGCCTCGACTCATGGTCTGAGCCTTCAGAGCCTACTGTTTGCAGCATATGCAAAAGCGCTGTGTATGGACAAGAGAAAGAAAGACGTCATCTTCGGAATTTACCTTGCAAACAGGGAAAACGAGGTCGAAGAAAGCGGGAGGCTGAACAAGCTTTTGCAATATCCAACATTGTGTTTGGTCCCACTACTCATATCGTCGCCCACACAGCGAAGCATGGTCGACCTGGCACAACAAATTCAAAGAGACATCCATGCCATATCGTCACCTCTGGCGCCATCCTCGCCAGCACCAGCAACATCGGGTCTCTGGGAAATTCGGGATTGGGCAGGGATTGAGGTAGACTCTTTTGTCAATTTCCTGCTACCAGATCAGGACATGGAGACAAAATCGGCCGGCGGTCGGTCTGCGAGTCTGGAATTAGTCAAGTCATCGGGCGATATTTCGGCAATGCCCGTGTCTGATACAATCTCCTTCAAGCCAGACTCATACGATGGCCTAGGGGGAAATACTGTTAAATACGTTTACAAGGTGAGCATACCAGTCCGAGTCGCAGTTAAGCTACTTTCTTTTCCTTCCACTAACGTTCTACAGGATGCTATTGATTTGGAAATGGCCGTTCGGGGTGATCGGCTGGACATGGGAGTGTTTGGCTCGCATACCAAGCTTGGGGATGATGGAGCAGGAGAGCTCATGGCCAAAGTCATATTCTACTTGCTAGAGAGCAGTGTGTGAGACATGGTAAAAAACGAGGCTGGTCGTAAATTATTTTGGGTATTATAGTACGTATTGTATATTTCTGGTAGATTTGAGGTTTTCATGGGTCCTCTGCCTTTCTGGATTAATCTCTCATCTGTCTTGCGTTCAGATTGACGCGTTTGTTGCGCATCCAGCCGCGCCAGGCTTCATATCGGCCGTCATCATGCTCTCCAGCCGGCCATTCGGCCAAGAAGTCGGGACATGTGCCCTTGATGACCTTGGGCACACCGTGCCAGGCAAAGCGCGCATGTCCGGTCATGTATATCGCATCGCCCGAGCGGAGGCGCAGCAGAACGTATGGCTTTTTCTTGCAAGGCCCGTTGTCGCCATCTTCCGTGGCAGGCTGTGTGCCGTCCGTCTCGCCAAACTCTCTTGTTGGCGCGGCCATGAAGAGGGCGTCGCAGCCCATGCTGAGACTGATGAGGCCCTTGTCGGTCTCTTCGGACACGTCGCGATGCATCATCATTGTGTCTCCGGGCGTGTAGAAGTTGACAATGGCAGCCTGTGCCTTTGTCTCGGGGAAGAGGCCCTTTAGGAGGCGAGCTAGGCGAGGCGGGAAACGTGGACTAAGCTTCTCGTCGCTGTCGTCGAGAATATCTTCATCGTCGTCATCGTCATCGTCATCGCTGCTTCCAGTTCCAATGCTGCCTTCAGGGTAAACGCGATGCGTCCAGTCGTACTGTCCGCCGAGAGTGACCCAGTGCAGACGGCGCTCGAGCACCTGGCTGATGGAGAGTGGCCGGTGGACGGCGGGGTCCTTGGGCCGAAATGTGGCCGCCTTGGCGCGCGTCGCGCTGTCATTCTTGTTGTCGGACGGGTAGGAGAAGAAAGAGGCCCGACCGGGAGGATAGGGCAAGACGTAGTGGGGATGCAGGTTGGTCTGGTGGCACGGCCGGCTCAGGTCGCGGTGGACCATGCGATCGAGGAGGCTGGTCTGGACAGCCGGCGGAATGAGCGCTGGAATGACAAGGAGGCCTGACAGTCAGAGGTAGGACAAGACAAAAGACAAAATGACGAAAACTTACCTGGCAAAAGGGGATGGGCGTAGACGGGAATGTCGGTTGTTGATGCTATACCAGGCTCGACAGCCGCGGCCGTGCCGTCGGACAGAAAGTCGTCAAAGGCCACGGAGACACGGCCGTGAGGAAGCGTGCCAGCGGGCAGCAGGGCTCCATTGTCGACCTCGTCAATGTCATCGGCCTGCTCGATCTCGTCGGGAGTGGCCCGCGCATAGGCCTTCCAGCGGCTCCGCAGGTAGCCCGACGGCTGCTCGTGTGCATCCAGGACCGCAATAGCGGCAGCCGGCATCGTGTTCTCCTTTTTTTTTATCGATTTTGGCGGCGAGGCCTGTCCGGCAGGCGTCTGGTCTTTCGGTCAAACCAGCTGTCTGGGAATAGAGTCAGGCGGATTTCGAGTCTTAATAATATCTTCCAGTTGCCCCGCCATCTTAGAGACGATAAGATAAGCAGCGAGAAAACGCGCCGCGACGCGTCCCTCCCTTTCAGCCCCGTTGTGGCGGGCAGCAAAACGCTGTCTTATTTGTTTATGTACAAGTACGCTACGGCCACAGGTCTAGTAAATAAAGCAAATTAATTGCTTCGTGCTCAATCTTTTCGTCGTCCAATCCCGCCACCAGCATCAGCATCAGCAACTTCCAAAGTGGCATCCCCGCCTGTTGTCTCTTCTCCACTTCCAACGTCTTCCACTCCCTCACTTCCCTCTCTCTCTCTCTCTCTCTATCTCTCTTGGTTTGTCCTTTTGGACCAAACCTCTCTTTCTTTCCCACTTCTACCGTTCTCGTCATGGCCCATTGCCTTTAGATTTTTGTGCTTCCTCCCCCTCCCCTCTCTCCTCCGAATCCCCCCTGTCTCTTTCCACTTCCTTTTCCTCATCAACTGTGGGGCCGGCTGCAACTCCTCCATTTCGTCTCTTGTACAACGCGGAAGTCGATACAGCTCGCCCTTATTGGACCCAACCACAGACAGCGACCCGACTACTCCGTGAGCTGGACTGGCCGATTTTCCTCGAAAACGACGCGAGCCAACGGCACCACTCCATCTCTCTCTCTGAGCAGCTGGGACACCCCCCTAGTTGCCACCTAATCGCCCACGATGGATAACTACCAAAAACTTGAAAAGATCGGTGAAGGTGCGTGACTGCGGACAAGGTCGCCGGCAAAGGACCAAGTGACAAGACAAGGCATGCTGACCGAGTGCGGTCCCATCCGCGAGACAGGCACGTATGGCGTCGTGTACAAGGCACGCGATCTCTCGGCCGGGGGGCGCATTGTGGCCCTCAAGAAGATCCGGCTAGAGGCCGAGGACGAGGGCGTGCCATCGACGGCTATCCGCGAGATCAGCCTGCTCAAGGAGATGCGTGACTCGACCATTGTGCGACTGCTCAACATTGTGCACGCCGAGGGCCACAAGCTCTACCTCGTCTTCGAGTTCCTCGATCTCGACCTCAAAAAGTACATGGAGGCGCTGCCGGTTTCGGACGGTGGCCGCGGCAAGGCGCTTCCCGAAGGCACCGGCTCGCGTCTGCAACATCTCGGCCTCGGCGACGACATCATCAAGAAGTTTATGAGCCAGCTGTGCGCCGGTGTTCGCTACTGCCACAGCCACCGCATCCTGCACCGCGACCTCAAGCCCCAAAACCTGCTGATCGACAAGGACGGCAACCTCAAGCTGGCCGACTTTGGCCTCGCCCGTGCCTTTGGTGTCCCTCTGCGTACCTACACCCACGAGGTCGTCACGCTGTGGTACCGCGCCCCCGAGATTCTGCTTGGTGGCCACCAGTATTCCACCGGCGTCGACATGTGGTCCGTCGGCTGCATCTTTGCCGAAATGGCCACCCGCAAGCCGCTTTTTCCGGGCGACTCGGAAATTGACGAGATCTTCAAGATTTTCCGGTGCGTCCTGTCGTTTTCCTTCCACGTCTTGGTCCCTACTGACAATGCCAGCCTCCTGGGCACGCCGACCGAAGACGTCTGGCCCGGTGTCACCACATATCCCGATTTCAAGGCGTCCTTCCCGCGCTGGATACAGGACACAGACACGCCGCTGTGCGCCAGCCTTGAGCCGGCAGGCCAGGAGCTGCTGGAGCTGATGCTCATCTACGACCCAGCCAGCCGCATCTCGGCCAAGCAGGCCTGCAACCACCCGTACTTTGACGACCTGGCCAGCAAGCCGCAGAGCCGCACCACCTACGGCAGCGGATATCATTAGCAGGGATTTCCGTAAACAAAAAGGATGGGTGGCGGACGCAGCGACGAAGACTCCAGACTCGAATAGGTCTCTTTTCCTCTTGATTTTCTTTTATCATGTGTGTTTTTTGTCTGTTTTGTCTGTTTTCTGCTTTCCCTGCTGTTCTGTCTTACCTTTCCATCCTTATGCTATCCCTTCGGAGTTCTTCCCCCTTCTTCATGCCATAGGCACCGGCGTTTTTCTGGAGGCGGGTGGAAAGGGGAATGGGGGGGTTCAATACAATGATGAGAGTGTCCAGATGCTTCGGTCTCGAGGACGATGGTACGCAACAAGAGACGGCCTGCAGCTATGCCGCTTTGCAATTGGGAATACGCTGTATAAGCTGTCTTGCTTGCCGCATCGTGTGTCACCTCGAGCATCCTGTATTTGTCCAAGACAGACGAGAGGCGTCGTTGACGGCCTCCACGACCTTTCAAAACCACGGCGAATCTGGCTCGCTTGCATCAGCCCTGACCCCGGTCCCGATTCGACCTCTCTTCGTGAGAGGACAGACGAGGATTCAGATGGTGTGTGATGCGTTGTGACAGTGAACTCGCTCGCCGAGTCTGTCCAATCGCCGCTTCGACAAGCAAGGCGCATCTCCCTCGGATCGGCTGTCAGACGCCATCCAGCATTAGCCGCCCGTCTTGACCACCTGTTTTGTGCGGCTTGCAGCAAGGGAGAAGGGTGACAGTGGCTGGAAGGGCAGTTCGCGTTGGCCGGCAGAAACTGTCACGCTTGCAAAGGGCCTTTTACCGGCTGGGGAGGCGTTGTCATGATTCCAGATGGTCCGAGACATCGTGTGGAAGAGTGAGCGTATATCACAAATACGAGCACTATACAGCAGATAGCACTAATGCCCGAATTAGAGGATAGCTCATTTGGCTCTACGCACTATTGCTACTCGTATCGTGCATCTTCCCGTTTTCGTGCTGTCTTGGCCACTCGTATATAGTAGGTCTCGGTCTGAGTGCTTGCATCTGCCAAGGAAGAAAGCGTGAACAGGTCAGTTTTGCATCCCTTGACAGTGTCCAAGACTGGAGATTGGACGTCTCGAACCGGCCGGTGTATTGCCATCTTGCAGCCGATCCGGCGTCTGGATCAGCATTCTTCATTCCGATTTGGGACATCCTGCAGCCTCCCGTGGCTCAGACACCGACCGGTTGATGTGGCAGTCGGCCGCTCTGTGAACGCGTCTATGTGCGACGTAATGCTACGGAGCACGGAGCACGGAGTATGTATGTAGCAGATGATTGTCTTATTGCCCTGTCAGCTTCTATTTGTTTTGTTCCCTGCCTCGCGTGACAGGTTGCCCGGCCCCGACGGATATCAGGCCCGCGTCTTCCCAGACACAACCAATGCTTAGCAATGATAGACGAAACAGGACGGCGAGCTCCCAGCCGAGAATAGCAACAGCACCTGAAACGGCGAAACCACTGACACGGCCGAGTCGGCTTGTGTGTCTGTAAGCTGTCGGGGGCCGCAGAACGGGGCCAAGCAATACGACCACGGCACACGACTACGCCGAACCAAGCACTCGCTCGTATCTTGGGACATCAGAAGCAGGACAGCCAGGGTTGCGCAGGCAATAGCCGCCGCCAATGGAGTCCCTTAAAAAGCAAGGGTGCGCGCGCCTATGGGCTCGTCTTCTATTTCTAGAAAGTAAGAGTGCAGGAGGGTGACTGGTGAGAAGAAGCGCTGCAGTGGAGGCAGTAATAATGGCAAAAATAGCAAAAACAGCAAAGCGCTTTTGGCAGTTTGATCGGCCGCGTCTCTGCACTCCGCCACCAGGCAAACGCTGCCATTCGAGCAGAGCATAAACAGACGCCGCCTGTGGGAAACGAAAGCGGTGGCCGGCCGTGCTGTCGAGCCCGGTCTCGTTCTCGTTCTCCTTCTCCGCAGCGGGTTGCCGGGCCCGGGTTCATCGCCCTATACGGAGTAGTAGAGTCCGGCCTGTGCGTCTAGCGGTCCGTCTTTTGTCTTCCTTACACGCCCCCCCCCCCCCTGGCATACGAGTCCTCGTAAGTGGAAAGGCCAGAGACGACTTCTTTGCCCAACTGTGACCGCCTCTCGTCTGCATCCTCTTTTTTCCTCGTCCTGCTCTCCTGACCGCCCTTTATGCTTTCCCCTTTCACCTCCCCTTCTTCACCGTCATCCGTCGTCAGACGCATGGTCCGCCTGCCTGCCCGACAGCGTGCTACGACGCTGCGACGTTACTGATCCGGACTGGACTGGCTGCAGCAGCCAGTGGAAAGGGCAGACGCGACGGCCGATTGGCGGTCAGGCCGCGGCAAAGCGTCTCTCGCACTGTTTCAGGTGGGTCGGCCAATCAGAGCGACCCGCTGCTGCCCCTCCGTTCCGTCTCGGGCTTGTTTGCAGGCCTGGGCTTGCCACAACATCCACGATGCCCCTGGTTGCCTCTCTCCTTTGGTGTGTCGTTGACATCCGGGGTCATCCGATGGAATGACGGCCGGGACAAAACGGTTGATAGGCCCGTAGGCGTGCATCCCATTGCGCGCTGAGCGATGGCGCAAGCATGTTTTCCCGTCCTCTCAGCTCGGCCACTGCAGCAGACATCTTGGATTAAGGAAGAAGGAAGGGATGCCATGACGAAATAGGCAGCTCGTTCTCGTCTCCTCTCGCCTGAGAGCAGCCCTTTGGCTGTCAGAAGACGCAAAACGTAAATCATGTGGACTCGCAGGGCGCATGAAAATTGCCTTTGGAGGGGATGATAGGCTTTCCATGGCAGGCTATGTGTGCCGGGGACGCTACGCGTGAAGCGATCTGTGAGCGGCAGACCTGGTAAGAATGAACAAGAGCAGATGACGCCATCCAGGCAGCCGTCTCTCGAGTGAGACCTCAAAGGTCGTCTGCTTGCCCGTACGAGCACGAATGCGCTCCTGTACTCCGTACTATGTAACAATATCATTCATGTGCTCAGACAAGACAGACCGTACGATCTCAGTCGAGCTGACGAGCGCAGTATCCTCGCAGGTTTTTCTTTTTCATGCCGTCCTATCTCTCTCTAGGCGTTCAGCTTCTCTTTCCTGACGTGCTTTCTTTTTTTCTCATGCACGGCTTGTTTCGCCTGATTTTCCCCTCTCTTTTTCCTCCCTCCCTTGATAGTGTGTAGTGTGTGTCTTGCTTGGACACAGCTGACAGGACTCGCCGGGATTAGGGACAAGACCCGGATCAGCGCCCCCGCCTTGCTGCTGCTAAGTATTGATTGGGGGCCCCCCCTCCCCTGGATCTACGCGTGAACCGATCCATTAGGGCAAGTCGCGGCTGGCCCCAAGGGTCCCGGGAGCCCCAACGCCCCAATCCAGTCGGTCTAGCACGGCCCTCACCAAGGGGAAAAAGACCGAAAAGGGAAAAAAGGCAAAAAAGGGAAAAAAAAAGGCTCCCTGCCGCGACGTTCGGAATGTTGGTCGCCGGCTACATTGCAGCAGCTGCCCCTTGCTGTGGGAGAGACAGATGCAAGCTATTAATGAGCCCATATAGTCAGGGGCATTTCGATAGTCTCCCCGACACTGCTCTCGTACTCGTATCTTACTATCGTGTGCAGATGGTGTGCGTTGTGCTCATACGGAGCAATCAAAGCCTATGCAGTCAATAAAGCACAAAGCAGGGAACAGTACGGAGTACGAGAACGAATGACGGCCGATCATCAACAAGAACGACATCTTGCCAATTTCTGCCCGGCCCCACAAGGACGAGGGGACAGAGATGGGATCTGCCTCGATTCGCAGGGCAGAGCGAGGCGAAGACATGTCTGCGCACACGGCTCGTATCGTACTTTGTCCTTTTGCCACTGCGCAAGACATCTGAGCAACGGCTGATTGGCCACCCGACGATCGGACTGAGGCGGCGTGGGAGTAAGGCAGGGGGACAGGGGCCGGGAGACAAATACAACCATGCACTAGGAGTAAGATACAAAGTACGAGTACTCGTAAGAGTCATAGGACAGAAAAACGTCTTCTTGCCTTTTTCGACACGAAACAACGGCAGCAGGCCGCGAAGCCGTATGCAGCACTCTCGTCGGCCGTTCTGTGCGCATTGCTGCCCAGACCGCAATTCTCGTACTTGCCATCGCATCGTCCGTCATCCATGGCCAAGTCCATCTCCAGATCCATTCGGGTATCCATGTCCTGCGATCTTATGCACCAGACTGGGGGCCACGCCACGCCACAAAGGACAACGCATCACCGCCCAGCCTTTCCGGCTTTTTCTGCTCGTATTCCGCCATGTAGCGTCTTGTGGGGATGGCAAGCAGGACTTTCTGCTCTTGTCCGCCCTTTTGTCCCTTTGGGCTCCCTTTCAGCGTGCTTGCACGCGAGTCGTTCCCCATGGTCCGGCGACGTGCTCGCAACGCCGGCTTCAGCCCATTGGCTGCTGGCGTGGCCCTGATGATCGGTCGAGAACGCGTTGCGCTCTGCTCGTTGGCTGCCTTTGGCCGCTCGCTTGTTTCATCTTGCTGACCGTTAGGCCTAGACGGCCGCCGTCGACCAATCGACGCCTAGAGCGCACAAGGGCGAACAATCTATCGTGGCCACTCGAGTGCTGCCTGTTGCAGCCTTTTGGCGACGAGCGACGCGCTTGTGCAATCAGAGACGCCCGTCGCAGGTTCAAAATAGAATGCTGGAAACAAGACGATGCAGCGACGGAGAGCCGCCGCTGGCTTGCTCCTTCTCCGTCCTCATCGCATCCCCGTTGATAAAATCGGCATCGTGGTCCTGCTCCAGACCTCTTAATCTTTTCTCCATCTGCCGCCCTCTCTCCCTTCTCCCCGTCGTCTTCTCACCATCTTTGCCCCCTCGTCTGATAGCTCGGCCAGCCCTTGCTTCCTTGCTCCCTTTGGTTCCTGTCTCTGCGGATCGTAGCGCCCGTCGTCTCTTCGGCAAGACAAGTCCGCCACTTAAACCATTTTCGCTGTGCTCTGCTGGTCATTGCACGTTGTTGTCGTCCCATCCCTCCTTTTTATTACACCATTTTTTCCATTCAATCCCCCCTTTGGCTGCTCCCTGTCCCATTCCAGTGCAGGCTGCTCGAATCTCGGACTCGCCTTTCATTATCGCATTATCGCGACTCTACAGAGTAGACCCCTCCCTTTCTCGCCCTCGTCCCAACCTCTAAACACCTGCCCGGCCGCCGTTCGGAATCTGCACTTAAGAAGGCTGTCCCCGACTGTCAGACCAGCACTACTTTCCACCCGCAATCCAACCCTCGTTCAGCCATACCAGTCAGCCTCTTCCAGGCGTTCGCTCTCATTCAATCTTTCTGTCAGGACAAGCCCTAGTTTAGGCGCCTTCTCTAACCGCCTGTCTGCTCCTTCAGCGCCTACTCAAACGCTTTGCCTGCTCGTCAGTCTGCAGTCTGGGAAGGAATACACGGCTCCACCGTACTCCGTACTCCTCCCTTCTGTGACACCGTTTGCTCACCATCCCAATCAGGCAATCGCTTTGTATTGTCCCCCTCGCTTGCTATTGTTCGACACTCGTGCTTTCCTCATTAAAACCACTTTGGCCTCACTCTTGGCCGGGGGTTTTCTGTCCGCTTTTCAGCAACAGCCTCTCTTTCTATCTTCCAACATCTTCCCGCCATTCTCTCCTGGGGTGAAAAGCTTCATTCTTTGCACCATTTTTCGCCACACGCAATATCTACTCCTCGCCAATTGCTCCACGACTGAGCTTGTCTCGGATACAACAGAAGCAACACATTCCAATCTGTGGATATCTGCTTGCTTATTCCTGGTTTTCGGTCTCGCATTTTCCACTACATTCCTCGGCCGGCCATTCTGCATTCCCATCCGTCTCTCTCTCGCCTTCAGGCTGTTACCTAGCCAATCCCTGTCCTTGCCCCGGACTTGTCCGCTCTAGATCGACAGCGCCTCCTTACGTGCCCTGGACCACGCAGCTCTGCTCAGCACCACACCAACACGGCGTGATTCGTACTCCCAGCCAATCCTACCCGCTAAAAGCACGCGCCAACCACTCAATCCTTGTAACGAACGCCGCTGCGCAACCCTTGGTCTCCCTTCCAGCTGGACCACCCCCCCTCCCTCTCCCAACCGCGCCATTCGACACCCCCTCCCCCCTGCGCCTGCAACTTGTACGCAACCACTCTCTGGCACGCACCTGCCGACTTACGACGTACGAAACTAAGGGCTCAGCCTCGTGGCCTTCGCAACCCATTTGACCTGTTTGAACCGGTCCACCTGCACTCCCAATTTTTCAGAAACCGACCCTCTTAAGCGGCCCCTTGTGTAAAACAAGTCTCTCTCGCCTTCTTGTCCTCCATACCACCCCCCCTTGATCGCTGCACAACCGTCAGTGAGCCCCGGCCCACACAAATTAACCTCGCCGCATCCACATTGACCATCAGGTCCCGTCTCCACCAGCTACCCAACACCCACCACCGCCAGCAACGCAGCTCCCCTCCCGGGATATATTATTCCTCGGCCGCTCACCTTCCTCTGGAACGCTCCTGCTCTGCTCTCCCAACCTTGCTCTGGGACGAGGATTTTGTTTTTTCTCATACTTCTCACCCTCGTTTGCATACATCGAAGAGCATATAGAAAGGCTGTTCTGTTTGTTCTCTTCTTCGACTAACATCACTTTGCACTTCAAACGCATACAGTCAAACACATCCAACAAGCCCAACACGGCCAACTTAAACGACCTGTCCATTCTCACATTCGCACAACACCATCCGCTTACATAACCATCATGGACCCGACTCAACAGTTAAGTTTGGCGCAGCTGAATGCCGCTGCCCTGAGCCGGTTCGTCTACACACCCGTCAACCGCCAGATGATCAAGTACCTGGCCGATGCGGCCTTCAACGTCATCCAGTGCGACCCCAACATGATGCCGCCGTCGGCTTCTGAGGTGCACCGGCGTAACCAGCCCACCCCCCCTGACTCCCCGTCTCACTCCCCGTCTCCTCGTGCAGTGCGGCGGGAAGACGGAAACCTGCCGAGCCTCGACGTTTTCATCAGCCAGCTGGTCGTGTCTTCTAATGTCCAGGTGCCCACGCTTATGAGCACTCTGGTGTACCTGCACCGGCTCAAGGCCCGCCTGCAGCCCATGGCCAAAGGACTGCGCTGCACCACACACCGCATCTTCCTTGCCGCACTCATCCTGGCTGCCAAGTACCTGAACGACAGCTCGCCGAAGAACAAGCACTGGGCCAACTACAGCGTAATCACCTCGGACTTTTGCAACTTCGGCTTCAGCCGCACCGAGGTCAATTTGATGGAGAAGCAGCTCCTATTCCTGTTGGACTGGGATCTGCGCATCACCGAGGACGATCTGTACCGGGAGCTGGACGTGTTTCTCGCCCCGTTGCGCGACGAAGCTGCAGCACGCCATACCCGCCGCGTCCAGCGCGAGCTTCGCCTACAGCTACAAAAGCAAGAAGAGGACGAGCGCAAACGCCTGCTTTACGAACAGCAACAGCAGGAAAACATCCTCCGCTCGCACCAGAAGCAGCTGGAGGAAGAAGCCTCGGCTTGGCCTATTGCAGCAGTTTCCGCATCGGTTCCTGGCGGTTACTTGACGCCTCCTCGCTCTTCTAGCTCCCGCGGAAGCTTGAGGTCTGACGAACTGTCGTCAATGTCGATGCCTCGCTTGGCATACAGCGCCAGCACCAGCTCGACCAGCAGCTATGCCCCGTCACTCAGCTCCTCGCGCTCGCACTCACGTGCCTCCACGCCGCTCTCTGAGCTGGACGACCGGCAATCATACACCTTCAGCCTCGACGACGAGCCCCGCACCCCGTTTCGTGTTGTCAGCACGCCCAACTCGCTCGCAGGATCGAAGCGCACCCCGAGCCCTCTCTCCAAGGGGAGCAAGACTCTTCTACCCTACGAGATCAGTGTCGACGACCTTCGCGAGATCCAAGACGGCAGCAATCGTGTCAAGCGAGTCCGTGGCATGCTTGGCCGAGTCTTCGGATCCAATGCTCTTGTTCGATAAGACTAGAGCATCAACCTGCTTGCGCTCTGTTCATTTTTGTGTTTGGCGTCTTTAGGGAAAGCGTGGCGTTTACAGGGATACAGTTCTGCTTCTTCTTTGTTCTTTCTATTTCACATCAACACATCACATGGCGTTATGAAGGCAGGCATCGGAAGAGTGCATTTACAAGGATTGTACTCTTGATTTCAAAGGGATGGACATATAATATGGCCCTTCAGGGGAGTGGCCAGCACCGGCAGCAGCTATTACCGAGAAGGAAGATGGAGTAGCAGTACCCAGGTCGGAGGCTGCTTTGCATAGACTGCTAGCTGCGAATACCTCTTGTTTTTCTCTGCTCGCAGATAAAGTACATCCATCGCATAAAAAAATAATAGCTACATTATTCTACAAGCTGATGAGCATTGCTCAGCCTATTCAATCGTGACCATTGCCTTCATGAAGCAGGAGACCGTGGGCTGTTCTTCTGGAAAAAGTACGGCCTTAACATCTGGCCACTTTTTGTTGTGTCATGAAGCCGGCGATTCCAAATGCACGGTGCCAATCGCATACTAAATGCAGCAATCAGGACAAAACTGCGGCCTTGGGCTGGACCTTTCGTGGCCCAACAACAACAACGTCAACAACGACGGCAGAACGAGACAATTTCTTCGCGCACCCCCCCTCCTTTGGTACCCGTAGTGCGCGGCTGGATCGATGGTCTGATGGCTTGGCAGCCACTTGGCGATGGTGATGATGGCGATTATCTGGGTCGCCTGTGGCCCATGGTGGCGCCAAAGCGGAAAGCTGCTTTCTTCAGTCTGCCCGACGATGCGCCTTGGCCGATCTGCCGCACGTCCGCGAGTCTAGGAGAACTGGAAGTCTATTTTTGCCTTGCATAGGTGGTTGTCTTTTGCTTTTTTTCGTACTCGTATACCGCGAGTGCTAAGGTGGCGGATGTCCACATCGTCAAAGTCATGCGTGAACTCAGCCACAGCGACACGCTTCCCCACCCCGGGCCTCTAGGCACCAACTATTCTTCGACCTTCTCTGACCTAAGATGCTGTCGGCTTCCATGGTCATAAGCATGACTGACGCTGCGCCTTCCCCACACAGCGGCCGAAAAGCCGCATCCTGCGACGTTGGCTATGATGGCTGAGCCTTGGCCGTTTCTTGTCGAGAATAAGCTTGAATCTGTCAACCTCGCCCCCACTGATAAGGTATATAGCTCCTTCCATTCAGCCCAAGGCGTAGTGCAAGTACGCAATCTCATGCGAGCTGATCTCATTGCGATCGAAGTTTGTCTCTGTTATCAACAGCAAAGGAAGAGATGCTGGGCCTTCCGTATTCCCGGTACTCATGGAACACGTAGATACGAGCACATTTCGTTTTCCAAGGACCCCAGCAGCTTTGGGGAAAGATTAAGACTTGTACAAATATGCATTATTTGAGGATGTCCGTGTTTAGATGGGCATGGAAATGAGTGGCATTGAATGTTATGATCACAAACAGAAGTAGTCCGCGGCTTCTTTGACTATCATCAGCAGCAACGCTCGTAAATCTAAACTTATACTCAAGTATTGACTTATGGAGATGTGGCAGTCTTTTGGATCACTGCCGGACCTTTTTGGTACTTTCGTCAACGGAGTTCCTGATAACTTCGGTAAACAAACTATATACGTAGTGTATGTTACAGACCGTTGACTAATTATGACAAAAAAACTACTGGGAGAGAGGAAGACTTTGTTCTCGATCGACAACTATCAAAGAAAGGATATATATACCCTGTCACATCCTACAAGCATACTGATGCTTCTCTTTTACATCCACGTCTTTTATTTTCTCGTACATAGTGGATTATATTATCGCTTGGAGTGTGTTTGGCACTCGTTTGTTAATGATATCATATACTTCCGGCATAAACCTGAGCAGCATAAAAATACAAAGTCCATCGACTTAAGCATGTGGTACTAGATCTAGTAAGTTTTGTGATCTTATAGCTTTTAGCCATCGAATAGCACACCTTGCTCCGGGTTCGTAGATGTTTTCTTTTTGATCGAGACGGTGACCGAGGATGCGGTAGACACTGGCAGCGTGGCCGGTGCAGTTGTCAGGGAGTCAAAGAACCTGACGCTTTCGCTGGACTAAGTAAGTTTTCTATGCTAAAACCTCGACTCGAAAAATTGTTCGGTGGGTTAGACGCAAGATATCGGCTTGTAATTGCAACGTTCTGGCCGTATGTTTGACGATTGTTTCCTCTCGCCCAATAATTACGCGCCCTGATATATGGTTGGTTGGATTGCGCCAATACACCACAATCGCCATTAATGAAGAGACAACAAAGAAGTTTACATAAAGAGGGTGAAAAAGCACAACAGATCTCTTTCATTCTTTGTCAGTTCTATTTCTTTATTCAGGAGTGAAGTGGCCAGCGATAATGCAACTACTTTACCTACGACGTACGGCATCCTGATCTGTTGCAACGATATAACATTCGAAATATGCAAATTCTACATCTACTGATTCTATTAGCTTCATTTCTTCCGACTGCCGTGATGGCGGCCAGTCATTCAATACGAGGAGCTGATGGCCGAGCATCGGAGACGACTGCTCTGTCGACTGTCACTATCGCAGCGACGCTTCCGAGCGCCGCACCCCAATTCGTCAACTCAACGCTCTTCGTCTCAGCCATTCTCAATAGCACCAACTTCTTCCGTAGCGAGCACAACGCGACGGCGGCCACCTGGAACACCACCACAGCGGCCTTTGCGACCGCTTATCTGGAGAATGACACCGACTGCACCTTTGCCCACTCGGGCGGGCCGTACGGCGAGAACATTGCCATCGGCTGTTCAGACGCGGCATCCTGCGTGGACGCCTGGGGGAACGAGCGCCGCGAGTACGACTTCTCCCACCCAGCCTTTACCGAGGCTACCGGCCACTTCAGCCAGCTGGTCTGGAAGAACAGCACAACCGTGGGCTGCGGGCGACGGCTCTGCAGCAACAAGCAGAAGAATTCTGGCTGGTTTCTGGTGTGCGAGTATTGGCCACGAGGCAATGTCATCGGCCAATTTGGCGAGGAGGTGGGCCGGCAGGCCGGCAGGACGACGGAGAGCGCAGTTTCCGCAGACAGACATACTTCTTCCGGTGTGATCCTTGGGTCACTGGTCGTGTTTTTCCTCCTGGTGAGCGCCCTGGCAGGTGATGCAGCGACCGCGCTGGGAGGCTGATGAAGTTGCGGCGGATTCGGATCACGTCGACCGGTCTAGCCAGGCTTGGTTGCGTTCGCCTGCAGCTGTAAACCAATACATACATGCATGCTGGACATATGCATCCTGCTCGCCTTGTCTTCCAGTCGGTCAAGTGCTCTCTTTAACCCTCTGCTAGGGCATGCGTTCTCGCGGGGCGCTGCAGACCGCCTGGTAATTGATCATTTCGCCACCGGCGAGACCGGCGACTCGGTCATCCACGAGTGCGATGTTCTCACCGGATGCAGGCTCTGTTCCCCGTCAGAAAAGCTGTGGGGGACAGGACAGTCTTGTCATTCTGAAGCTGGTTGCAATGGTGGAACCCCAGCTGCAGCTGGTGACACGCGGAATTTCTTGACTTGCTGTAGAAGGCACGCTGGAGAAGGCCACGTGTGTCGCTGTAGCAGCCAAATAAGTATGCCGTGCCTGCCGTGTTGTTCTGTCTGCAATGGCCAACTCCTCCTGGTCTCGCCTTCCCACTTGTGTCTCCTGCTGTGCTTTGCAGTGCTGCTGCCCAAGAGCCGTTGGACCCGCTTTGTTTGGGCTCTGAGGAGCTAGCTTGTGGTGTCAGCCTTTTCCAGCCTCTCGTGGTTTTCCCCTAGCTTTCCCCAGCTCCATTCATTGCATCGCCTTCTGGACTCGTGTCATTTACTGGCCTCAGGCTCTCATCCTTTCTCCCTCCCGGCTTGCATCGTCTGTGACCGTGCCGTGTCCTTCGGTGTGCAGCCAGTCCCGACTTTGATTGAAGACTGTATCTTTGCTCGTATGTACAGAATACAGTATGTTATTCTCCTGCCTACTAAACTCTTTATCTCCTCTGTCGTTACCCCCTCCCTCTTTGTGTTGCCCTCTGCTGTCGATTGCCTCAACGTTTGTGCTCCATAGACGTCTGGCGTAAGACAAAACGGAGGACTTTCCGATCCACTAACGTAAGCCCTGGCCCGATAGGTTTCTAGCTAGCCTTGGACCATCTTCGAAACAGTGTGTCACGACGTGCAATTTCCAGGCTGATCTTCGCTTACGTTTGCGCGTCGATCCAAAGACACCCTAGGCTTCTGTTCCGTCGGCGCGGCAGTTTGCATCTCGGACCAGACAACGGCCCATTTCCTAAATTACGCACCCAGCGCCGCCTGCATTGGCTGATGAACACAAGACCCCAATTTCCCTGCGACCGAAGCACGGCTGCGTGATTCAACCATCCCACGCCTCTGAAGGCATCGAGGCTCTGTACGTCACCCTCTTACAATGCTTGCCGCATACAAAAGGGGCTTCTCGTCTCTGCGTTGCTCGGGCTAGCCAGCCCTGCTCTAGATTTCCTTTTCCCATTCTTCCGCTGTTCTCACCCATTTGCACTCTCGTCTCCACCTGCACTTTTCGTTTAGGATTTATACTAATAATTGCAGACCTCTCTGACCCAATACAAACCTTGAACGTGCAGCTCGGGAGACGACATGCCGACGAGTCTGTCTGAACCGTCCCAACCAAGAAACCAATCCTGTTCAAGCGCCGTCTAGGCCGCATCGAAGCATAGCCTCTTCCCCTCACTTGATCTTCACTCGATCTGCAATACTCCTGTCCATTGCGCCACATCCTCCATACCTGTCCGTCTTTGCCCACCGCAACCTCCTCTGTGACGCAAGCGATCACCGGACAACGAATCCCAACCACGAACCATCCCACTGTCTCCAGCGCCATGGACGACAATCTGGGCTTGGCCCATACAGCCGTCACGGGCTCCATATCTGCCGCTGCAGGCTCCGCACAAGAGTTCTTGGCCAGCAATTTCTCCTTTGACACAGTGTCGCGTGCCACTTCGCCCGGTGTGCCTGGCTCTCTCCGCCCGGACGACGACAACAAGAAGCGCTACCGACAGCGCACCTTTAGCTATCTTAGCCAGCTCCCCTACCCGGTCGAGGACGAGGCTGAGCGTGACGCCACCCTTGCTGCGATTCTGAAGAACCTATACATCTCCATCAAGGCCGAAGATTTTGCACCCGGCGCCGTGCACTGGTCTCGCGAGCTGCAAGGATGGCTGAATCTCAAGTTCGACATGACCCGCGACCTGCGAGCCAGCCTGGCCAAGCTCTACTACCACCTCGCCATGGCTCCCGGCCTCGAGTCAACCGTGACCGACCGCTTTGGCCGCATGCTGATCACATTGACCAAAAAGAAACACTACCTAAAGCCAGGCGATGATCTGGTCTTGGATTGGCACCCGCTCTGGAAACAGCTGAAGAGCATAGTGCTGCCCAGCGAGATCGCTGTACACCAATCTGTTCAGGCTCGTGTGTACAAGCAGATATTACGGCTCTGCTTGCACGTCCAGTCCTATCTAGATCCGGGTGAACGTCGCGAGATGCTCGACGAGATACTCCCCTACTTCAGCACCCCCGACATATCGAATAGCTTCGTCGTGATCGGCTTGCTGACCATCATGGTCCCCACAACCCCCGCTCCCCCAACGAAGCCACAGTCCCAGCCGTCCGCGTTTCTGCCAACATACTTCCACCTGTGGTCGTTGGTGAACCGGTCCAAGGCCGTTGACGTCTCGTTTCTGGACATCCTATCACGTCTTGCAAGGGACCATCTCACGTGCGCGCATGTTCCTTTTACCGAGCACGGCATCTTCACCAAAGACCAGTCCGATCTCTTATTTACCTCCCTTCTGCGGCTGACCGAAATCCCTGTCGGCCAGGCGAACTCGCCCTATGTGTCCAGCCTGTCCTATGCCTCTGGGCTCGCAGTTTTCCTCGACAAGGACCGGAAAAAATATCCCATCCCTTACATGGCTGCCCGTTGGATCGCCCATTCTCTGTCACCGGCTTGCCTGCTTCCGCAAGACAACAACTCGTCGCCTGCCAGCAGCGTTCTCACGGGCCTGGAAGGCTTCTTGGAGTCGATCGACACCTTTTTCCATCCCTCGAACCAGGGTGTCTGGACTAGCTTCCTGGCCCAGTTTACGCATCACCTCGCAGACATCTTTGTTAATCGCTGGAACCGAGAACAGAGCGGAGAGCTTAACACACCCGCGTCTCGTCGCATCACACCCGAGCTGAAGCGCCGGTTTGTGCTGGCCCTCCGCGACGTCACGTTTATGGGCCTCTTTGGCAAGAGCCAGAAGGTTACCGGCTACTATTATGTCACCCTGCAATGCCTCGCCTTCCTCGAGCCGAGCCTCATCCTTCCCGGCGCGCTGCAACGCTTCTACCCAAGTCTTCAGGGTCTGGTTGAGGTGCACCGAACGACAGCCAGCTTGTGTGGTCTGCAGATGATCGCTCATATCCTGTCACGCGAGAAAGGCTTCCGCTGTCATGTGACTGCCCTGTTGGCGCTGGCCTTACCTGGCATTGACGCCAACGATCTGGGGAAAACCCAGCACACGTTGAGCTTCATACAGAGCGTGGCGCATAGCATCCCATTCGCGTCGCTGACGAGTGACGAGAGCGAGGTCCATGATACCGGCCTTGCCGTCCAATGGGTTCAGGGCGAGATGGAGCGCTTTGAGCGTGAGGGCCAAGACGTTGAGATAGACTACAGCGCCGAGCTCTCAGACGAGGTGGAAGCTAGCATTCTCCGCTCCTCCACCGCCGGCTTTGGTGAGTTCATCCTCGCACTGCTAGGCAAGGTCTTCACCTTGGTGGAGAACCTGCCGGACTCGGCTCATGTTCGGTCTGGGTCGCCGGAAGACAACGTGATAAATTCGCTGCCTGCTGCCTTTACACCATTATTCGCCTCGCTCTCGCCTGAGCTCTTTGATGTTGCTCTGGAAAAGCTTGCGACCTTTGTTGGGTCGCACGTCGTCAACCAGGCCAGAGACGCGATGGCCTGGATTATCAATGCTCTCTGCAAGGTCAATCCTGAGAAGTCTCTGAAGGTCTTCGTACCAATGCTGATTGTCAATATTCGCAACGAGATCGACTACAATGGGGCTGCGTCTGACCGGAATAGTGGTGCCGATGTTCTTCCACGGGACCGTGCCCTTGTCTGGTATGTTAGCATCCTCAGCATGTGCGTCGTCCATGTCGGAGGCGAGGTTCTGAAATACAAGAACGAGCTCCTGTCTATTGCAAAATATATGCAGGAAAGGTGCCGGGGCCTTCCGACCCTCCACGTTTCCAATTTTGTACATCATCTGCTTCTGAATCTGACGCAGACGTACACTATTGACAATGCCATGTTCGAGCCCAATGTTATCAAGGATGGCGTTCGAATTGAGCACTGGGGCCATACCACAGCCCCCTCCGAGCTCACTATCAAATGGTACCGGCCTTCGCAGCCGGAAATTCAGTTTGCAACCGAGCTCTTTGAGTCGCAGGTCAGCGGCGCCAAGGAAAAAATGGAGGCTCTGATGAGCGAAGAGCCACCGGTGAGCCGCAAGGGCAAAAACAAAGAGTGGAGCGACGAGCTGTCTCGTGCTTTGAGTCAAATCCGCCTGGTTATCTCTGGAGTGTCGGCACTGTTCGACCCTGCCCGGGCCTCGACAACGACAGGCTCTGAGGACCGGAGCGAAAGAAACGTCCATGGCGTTGATGACATGCAAATTGATGGCGATTCGACAACATCTAGGATCGTAAAGGGTGTAGACGACGACACGGCCATGGATGAGGACACCGATCCGCTTGCCGAAGTTGCTGATGATGATGAGCTGCGCCGCCAGTTCACCTACCCTGCGGGCTATCTGCTGGACCCAAAGAGCGAGTTGTTTGAGCGCATTCACGAGCTGCGCGAGGACATCGGCCGTCTCCTGTCACAAACGCACAAGTTCCTCAGCGAGTCGCAGGAAGACGACGTGACCTGCTTTACAGCACTGTACTCTACCTACCGAACATGGATCACAGACGTCGGATTCGAACGGTCGGCACACCCGCTGGATCGCCTCCTGCGGCTCTACAGGTCTGACACAGCGTCGTTCAAAATCAACGGACTTCGAAAAGCATACCCGAGGGCTCTATTGGTCAAACGTGCCGACGCTTACCAGCTGCAGAGGGTCAAGTACAACTCGACCTACCGATTGAAGAGCGACTTGGACAAGCGTCTCCTACTGGACCTTGCGGAGTCTTGTACGTCGTTATATGCCGATGTACGCCGGGTTGCGCAGAGCTCGCAGGACTCGTCTCTGAAAGTGCTGATAGGAGGACGTCCACTGGTCATTCCGGTTGTGCTGGACAAGCTGCGTAATGCTTTGGACACAGTCGACCACGACCGCATCAAGGGTGCCATGTACACTCTGCTCTTCACGTCACTGGTTAAGACGTTACTGCGTGACTGGCGCTTTGCGCCTACGCTCATGCGGCTGTACATCGAAACGGCCGCGGTGGACAAGGCATCGATCCAACACCTGTGCGCTAGCGCGGTATATCCGCTGCTCGAATTTGGCCAAGCCTTTGAGCGTATGGTCATCTTTGATCACGACATGGTGGATGCTATCGCGCCAACTGAGAAGACCGAGCTGGTCGAGTGTGCGAGCAAGATCGAGAGGCGACATACCTTTATTGTCGGGCGTCGCGCCAAGGTCGAGAAGAACAAGGCCGCATTGGGCCTTGAGCTGGCTGAGAAGGCAAAGACGACACACTGGAAGGTGGCTGTCCGCTGCGCGGTGTTTGCTAACAATATGTGTTTGCGCTTCGAAAGTCTCGCTGCACCAGCGTTTATCGACCTTGTGGCTAGCGGAGCGATCGACCAGCACCCGACTCTCAGGTCGAGCTACCAGAGCGCCTTTTCCAACATCTTCATGTTCATAGACCGGCGAGCGGTTTATAACCACGACTACAGGCTTTGGCTACTCGAAAAGGAGATGAGCAAGAACAAGCTGGAGATCCCTGTGCCTTCTGACGGCGGCGATGCAGAGTGGACTCGCCAGTACCTTGATTCCTTCAGCCAACAGGTTGCCGAAGGCGATGAGCCTGGTGATGCTGTCCCGGAGTATTTTGTCGACTCTGACTATCCAGGCTGGCTGGCTTGGGGCAAGTCGTTTGTTGCATACCGAGCAAAGCCGGCTGTGTTCGATGGGTACGACGAAATCGAAAAGGCTGCACGAAGCCAGATTGGGGCGATCCTCACCAAAGACTGGCTCAGACAGTGCTTCGACTACATGAAGCAGGAGCCGCGCGACACGCATGCGGACAGGTTCAAGGTTTCGGACGTGTCCCTGCTGACGCACATCTTTGAGCTGGTGCACAGCGGCATTGCGGCGGTGACGTTTGACGAGGTCAAGGAATTGACGCTCGAGGTGTACGGAGACGGCTCTGACAGGCACCAGCACCGAGCGACGGCAGAGATTCTGGCGGCGCTGCTGTCACGCGGCGTGGAAGAGCCGAGAGAATACCGCAACCGTGCATGGGCGTTTGCGGCGCCGATGCTCCTGCATGTGATCAACGAAAAACTTACGCCCGAAAACCTGCAGTACTGGATGACGTGCGTGCATATGATCACAGGCCTTCGAGACCCGCGCCGGTCGCGCGAGTTGGTGCTGGGCCTCGAGTCTTTCCGGCTGGACATGACGTCCAACGCGGCTTTCAAAGACTCGTCGAGGGTGTCGTTGCTTGAGTTTCTCATCAGCGATGCTGGCTGGCACTTCCGCGACGAACAGCCGATTCTGAACGACATTCTGCAGCACCTGGACCACCCGTACAAGGCAGTACGTGAAGCCATGGGCCGCATATTGGCGACAATCTACCGCACTCGCTACTACGAGGCCTTTCCGACGGTGGCGGCGCTGCTGGAAGCTAACAAGGAGGCGTCGTCGATCGGGATTCGGCCGTACAAGCCGTCGGCACAGTTCTCTGACACGGTTGCCGATGTCTTTAAGCGGCTGGAGGCATGGAGGCTGGAGCGAGTGCCCGGACAGCAAGAACAGAGCAGTTACACCTCAGGCTCGAAGACGGTGCTGATCTGGCTGGACTGGATGCTGTCTTCTCAGGAGTGCACGCAGCTGGTCGAGTTTTTCCCGGAGCCGTTTATCGATCAGCTCCTGCACATGATGGACGTCAAGGAAGACCCCGAGCTGATGCGTCTGGCTTACCACGTGTACCGACACCTGCCCAACGTGCCGCTGCGCGAAGGCGAGGACGACGCGTTTATTCGCAAGCTCATCGACGTGGGACGATCGGCCAGCAGCTGGCACCAGCGTCTGCGGGCGCTAATCAACATGCAGGTGGTGTACTTCCGGCGGCTGTTCCTGACGCGGCCGTTTCGCAGCGCAAGTTGCTCTTCGATTCGGTGGGCGACATGCTGGCAGACTCGCAGCTCGAAGTGCGCGACTCGGCTGCGGCTACGTTGGCCGGCATGATTCGATGCTCACCTGGCAGCATCCGCAATCCGATCATCCAGTCGCTCAAGCTCCGCTTCCAGGAACAGCTGCGGGCGAATCCCATGCCCAAGAAGAAGCGGGCTCTGGCGGCAGATGAGACCGGACGCGACACGCCTGTGGACATGCAGCGCCAGGTCATCCGACGCCATGCTGCGGTGCTCGGCTTGGGAGCCCTGATCGAGGCGTTTCCCTATGCGACACCACCTCCGGCGTGGATGCCGGAAGTGTTGGCACATCTTGCGACGCGCACGGCGAACGACCCCGGCGTGGTTGGAAACGCAACCAAATCGATCTTGGCTGAGTTCAAGAAGACACGACAGGACAGTTGGACTGTTGACCAGAAGGTACTGCTCTATTCCAATGTTTTCTGCATCTCGTTTTCTTTCTCCATGATACTGACGTTGCTGTATAGTATTTTACACCTGAACAGCTAGAGGACCTGGAAGGTGTTCACTGGAAGAGCTATTTTGCTTGAAAGGGTTATTGGCAGGTGCTTGGAAAGAAACGTCTATTATGGGTAGTAGAACGGGTGAAAGTCACACGACGGTTTGGGCAAACAGGACGTTGATTATGAAGCACGAAGTACTTTTTCATAGTTTACCAGGCCGTTGGAAGTCATAGAGCCAATAAAACTCTGTTCATTCAAATGGTCCTCAACATCCTCAAAATATAACAAAAGCAGCAAAAAATAAAAAAATCAAAAGAAACTCCCCCGGGTGGGTTTGAACCACCAACCTTTAGATTGCAGAATTTATCTGATAACAGTCTAACGCGCTATCCAATTGCGCCACGGGGGATATTTGATTGTGGCGATTCGCGTCGAAAAAGCGCCCTTCAAAGCGAGTGCGGGGCTCTGAGTGTAAAAAGAAATGCTACTATGTATGACACGGGCTGTCCGCCGATGACGGCATTTAGCTTTTCCTCGGAGACGCGCGAACAGACTAGCCTTGCATTGTCTACAGTAGGGAATTCTGGCTTTTGGCTGCTGGAAGGGTTTCTCTGCAGGTCGATGACAGCGAATACGTCATTGCGCATGGCTGAAACCGTGGCCGGTTCGAGCGTCGAAAATGCTCGCAGATTCGGCGTCCTTTGGGGACGTTACTTGGGCAAATTGTGTTAGCGCCCGAGTCCCCAGCGAAACGGCGCGGGCCCCAGAGCACTGGCGTTGATGGGCTAGAGCGGCCGTGTTTTGCCACAGGGTTTCATTCTCTTGTCTTGTGGCCTTTTGACGCGAATGACTGGAATGGTGTGTGATACGTCGAGCGCAGGGAGAGGCCGGTCGCAGCAGGCAGCCAAGTCACGTAACGTTTCAACCGCCGTGCAACCTGTCTTGTCCGGCCAGTCTTCTCGGCTGAGAGAAGGAGAAGGCAGCCTTTGTCGGATGCGTATATCGTACTCATAAGATGGAGGTTTCGTACTCGCTAGGTGGAAATGTATAGCACGTGAAGTGGATCTCTTGTCCTGCATGATACGCAAACGGCAGGCGCGGAGGCAACCCAGACACCCTTCGTGGCTGCAGCAATGCCCCGCTGACATTTCTGCGTGTTGTCCCTCTGTCGTAACCCGCACCGTTTTCGCTTCTGTCGTCATAGCCCCAGTTCTCTAACAGGCCTTTCATAAAAAGCAGTTTCTCCCACATTCGACACATCATCACGCAATGACCCGCCACGTGCAGTCAGCTCTGAACTTGTGATTTTGATCTTGCCATCATTGCTGCCTTTTTTTTTCTTTGAGCGCTTTTCGATTCTGTTTGAGTCCATCGAGTCGGGCCACCGGTTTCCCGCTTTTCTGCGCCTTTTCTGGTCAGAATACGACCAACTTCCCAGAGAATAGCATGGCCCCAGGCGCTTACCGGGCGTCGACCGGTGAACTGGATAGTCGCGAATATGACCGGGTGTCGTTTGAGCGGGATCGAGAGCGAAGAGACTGGCACGGCGACGAGCGAGTGAGCCGGCACGAAGAAGACGAGATTTCTATTAGCAGCCGACGAGGAGGTCCACCGCCACGACCGCGCGACCGATCTCCGCCCATCGACTGGCCGCCGCGGGGTAGCCGGACGTTTGAGGACGATCGGGTAGTGCACGAGCGGCGGCGGATTGTGGACGACGACGATAGCAGCAGCCTGCAGTCTGGTCCTCCTCGCCGACGCCGAGAGCCACCAAGACCAGCCGTGATCGATGGCGATGGGAACCGACGAGTGTTTGTGGAGAAGGAGATTGAACGGCTGACGATGCGCGACCGGTCGCCACCGCCACCAATGGTCCGTCCGACGCGGCTGGTGCGCCGGCAGTCCAGCCTCGATACGTTTGACCGACAGCCGGCACGGCGGTTCCACGACCACATCGAGGAGATGTATGAACGGACACCTGTGCGGCTGGACGACGTCCGAACACGGGTCGACGATGTGTACATTGACGTGAACGGCGGCTACCGCAAAGGTCGCGAACATGACGGCTTCCACGAGACCAGGCTGGTGCACAAGACGAGTCGGCGCCGCCACAGCCGGAGTCCAAAGCGGCCGAGCAGCAGCAGCAGCAGCAGTGCCAGCGTCAGCTCAGCCAGCGTCAGCAGCGGCGGTGTGGCGCTCAAGGGCACGCGCAGCGAGTACCCCAAGAAGGGCAAGACCCGTATGCCGGCGCGACTGGTCTCGGAGCGGGCGCTCGCCGACCTTGGTTACCCCTTCATCCGGGAAGGCAAGACGATCGTAGTGCAGGTGGCACTGGGCCAGGACAACATTGACGAGGTGCTCAAGCTGAGCCAGGACTACAAGAAGAGTATGTTGGACAAGCGAGACGTTGGACGTTGTGGATATTGGTTGCTAACATAGAAAACAGGCGAGAGCGAAATGGTCGAATCCAAGACGACAAAGATCACAAAGATAACCACAGGTGGTGGTAGCCGAGGCGGCAAGGTGGTTGAGGAGGAGCGACGGGAGGAAAGGCACCGCGATGATGTTTACATGACGCCAGCTATGTACTCACCGCCGCCGATGGCTCCGCCTCCGCCTTCGGTCTATGCACCGCCGCCCGGACCGCCGCCCAACTACGTGTACCAGAACGAGGTGCCTCCTCCGCCGCCACAGCCTCCACAACCAACAGAATACATGACGACGATCAAGATCCGGGACGACTCGCCGGAGCGCATGTTCACAACAGCCGCGACAGGACCCACGTCGAACTCATTGGCCCTGGTGCAGCCGACATCGCGATCGCTGGCTCCGGTGGTCATTGATGCCGGCGGTCCGTCCGAGTACTCCGCCTACTCGACCTACTCGACCTACGGGGACGACTATCCGTCTGGGCCGGCGACCATGATCGTCGATCGCCGCCACCGTCGGCACCGGTCACATTCGCACTCGCACTCGCACTCGCGCTCGCACTCGCGCGGCGATGGCGCGCTCTACGCCCACGTCCACGACGGTTATCACCACCATCACCACCACCGTGACCGCGAGCTGGTGCGGACGGAGCGGCTCAGCACGGGCGAGCTGGTCGTGTACGAGGACGAGGTCGAGCGGATCGTGGAGCCGCACCGTGGCGTGCGCATCGAGAAGGACAAGAAAGGTAGGATGGCGTTGAGCGTGCCCCGATACCGCTAAAGGTGTGCGATTATCTCAATTTCTCTACTTTTGCTGTTCTACAGTTTCATGCTGACTGATCATTTTGTCTGTTCAGGTCCACCGCCGGCTCTGATGAGAGCCATGCTTGCGACCTTGACTTGATGTTTAGGGGCTTGGTCTACTGCCTTATCTTTACTGTCTGAACGCTAAATTCTCTCCTTGTTTCTATTTGCAGGCGTCGTCTCGTTTTATGTGGTTGGTTAGGCTGGGTTTATTATGAATGAATGTTTCCTATGATATCTCAGGGCTTGACTTGTAGGTGTTCTACGTTGTTATTATGCTTCGAGGTTAGATACTGTGGACAGTGATGTCCTACTGATTGAAACGAAATTCTGGAAATGTTTGTTCCCTCGCTCAGAGTCTAAGACTTAGTGCTTGTGTGTGTGCCTCCGTAAATGGCTTGGATAATGCAACGCAGTGCAGCAGTCACCAGAAATACAACCTTTCTTACGATGGCGCCACAAGCTTCGCCCGCTAGGCGCGCGACGAGTTTGTGCCCGGTCACTCCGGCACCACGGTCAACGGCTCTGCCGCGTCTCCGTTCGATTCTCCCCGTTTGATTCGAGGCGGCTACCGTCTACAGAAGGTACTTTTGTGCTGTGCACTCACCGGGCATATAACTGTCTCCTTCACCACCTTCCACCACGTACGGCCATAGATACTGGAAAGCACGGGATCGCGTCCGCTCTCCCCTAGTTAAACCAGTAATCGGCGGATTAGTAGTTGGGTCGGTGACGACCAGCGAATACCCGCTGCTGTACGTTTTTTTCCTTTCGATTTTCCGTACTCTTTTTTGTCTCCGCTGTTTTCACTCCCCCTTTCCCCCATTTTAGCCTTTCTGACAGGCACGTGCGGCCCCGCTTGTATCAGGCAATAAGGCCTGAGCAGAAATAACGCGAGCGCTAATCTGGTCTTGGATTAGGCGCAGAAGAGCTTAATTATCGCGCGACATAACTCATTTCCTATCTCTCTGTGCCGTTCTTTAACAATGCCCAAGCGCCGCACTTTCTGTCGAATGGCGTCGAATTCATTCATTCTTTTCTATCCATACGGCGGTCATATCTCTCTCTTGAACATTGCGTTCCCTGCCTCTGCCTTTCTCATGGCTGCTTCACCGAATTTCACCTGTCTGTATTAGCGACAGATATCTCGGATACTCCACACTCTTTTAACGACCTTTCTGAACGACCAGACTTCCAGGGCATCGGCCTGCTCGGATCAATTAACCTTGAGAGGCAGATTGCTTTGCTTTCAAGACAACACCCATTCTGTTTCCGTATTGCGAATATCGTCTGCCACTCGTTTTCGACTCCTTGCACATCTGCCTATTTCGTCTCTCGTCCTGCCCCTCTTTTCGCGACAATGCGATCATCCGTCACGATTGCCGGCTCTGCCACGGCACTTCTGGGGCTGCTTGTGCGTCCTGTAACTGCAGACGCAGAGACGGTCTACGTGACACCGCACGCCAGCTACTCGTCCTCGGTCGGCGTGCTGGGCTGCAAGATCAACACCGACCGCGTGGCCTACTGGCCGGCCGAGGTGGACTGCAACAACCTCTGCGTCTCGCTGAGCTACGGCGGCCGTTCGCTCTATCTGCTGCGCATCGACCACTCGGGCGGTGCCCACGACGTCAGCTACGACGCCTGGAACTACCTCCTGACCGGCAAGTCGGCCACCGAGGACCCCATCGCCGGCGGCGCCACCGCGATGACGACCGAGACCGTCGACATGGCCAACTGCGCCGACCTGCTGCATGCCAAGGCCGACGGCAAGACTGCCCTGCCGCTCAGCGCCTCCAACAGCATGAACTACCTCAACAGCTGCCTCGAACAACAGGCCGCCGGCAACGACAGCTGGGTCGCCCAGCACTACGCTCTCTTTAACATCGCCGACCCTCTCTGCCTCTACGGCTACGACGAACCCTGCTCGCTCGACGACTGGCCCAGCCAGAACCAGGCTACCTGCCACCACGCTCTCGGTGCCGCTGCAACCCTCAGCGACGCCACCCCCGTCTACAACATCGAGTACCCCAGCGGCACCCGCGTGCTCGCCGGCGGGGCTGCTGTTCCTGCTTCGTCCAGCACTGCGTCCGCTTCCAAGTCCACTGCCGCTGCCAACAATGCCGCCGCCTCGTCTGCTGTCGTTCTTGTCGCTAGCTGGACCGCAGTCGGTCTCGCCAGCCTCGTCCACTCCCTCGTCGCCGGCTTCTTATAGCGGGCATTGCCATAGGGACTGACACGGCCCTGCATCTTTCTTATTCTCGACGACATGATGGCTTGATGGTTTTGTTTTTGGTTGTCTTAACTGAGTCTCCTCTTTCTTCCGACTTATTTTCTTTTCAGGATATCCCAAAGCGTAATCTATTTTTGTAGTTGCTTGGTGTCTCGCAATATTGCGAATAGGGCTGGAAACTCGATCAGTACCGAAGTAACAGCCCTTAACGGAGTTTAACCAATGGCTCTCCGTGATAGAATAGCATACGTACTCCGTACTAGAAACACATTTATTCTAAACATGAATTTAAGCTGTGACAGAAAAAAGAGGCCTTCAGAGAGGGCGAAAATGAAAAGGACCATATATTCGCCAACCAAAAAAATCATCACGGGCATCACGGCGCGGCGGCGGCAGGACAGTCCGATTTCTTAGAACAGCAGCATCCCATCATGGCTTCTAGGGTATCCTTGCAGTACATGATCGCAACCGTAGCCACCTTAGAGTTAGCCGCAATCGCAGCCGTAGCCACCTCAGAATTAGCCGTAATCGCAGCCGTAATAACGAGAGAAGGAGCTACAATTGCAACTATCATTACAATGCAGGCCAAGGCTTGAGCCCAGATCAGTAAACCGGATCTTCTGATGTTCTCGGCCAGGGAAACAAAGCCTCTATCGCTGTTCTTGACAAACCTAGCAGCGCTAGAGGATGACAAGTCACTATTAACACTAGGCGCGGTTTGGGGGGGTGAACTGGCGAGCGATCCCCCATTGTCCCGGTTGCTGTCTGTGGCCAGGTCCTCTTGGTCGAGATCAGCTGCACGACACGGATGTGTTAGTATTGGCTGCAGTGCTAGCTCTGACACGCTGGAAACATACCCGTCCTGGATATTGAACTCTGAGTATCCTCGTGATGCGGCTCTAAAAACTGCCCTGGAAAAGGACGGCCGGTCTCTGCACCATGAGGTGAAGTATCGCGGGCCGAACTACGGAGGTCATGGCCTGGAGATACTTCCTTGGCGATCGTAATAGTTTCCGTGCTTGACTCGTTTTCGGGCTTGCGAGCCTGCTCGAGGTCGGCATCGTCAATGCTGTTTGGCGGCGGGGTTGTTGGGCCTGTCCATGTACCAATCTTTGAGGAAGCAATGTCTACCGCCTCGTTTTTGACACCGCTTTCGTCCTCTGCTTCCTGGCCCGAATCACCGCTATCGGCGCTTGGTGAAGTGTTATTTGCGGTGCCGTCCCCGTTGGACGTGGTGGGCTTGCTCGTGGCAGTGTATATGGACGGGATAATATTCTCAGATTCTGGAAGCGCCTGGAATTTATTTTCATTGAAAGTCTCAAGCCACACGACTAGATCCTTATTCGAGTCATTTTCCGGGTCTTCGCCAGGCCAGTCGACGGACGAGCGATTCGCACGCGCGCCGTTGATCGTATTGACTGCAGCTGCAGAAAATGACTCTGTCAGCTCGTTCGGGCCTTGCTCGTCGCCGGATTGCTCTTGGGGTGGTTCTGCGGTTGTCGCATTGTCATCGTGAGGGCTGGCAATGGCCATTGTTAGCTGCATCAAGCTGCCCCTTCTCACACCTTGTCGAGAAGTTATGCTCACCAGTCCACAATGCCTCTCGCGCGGTTATTGTCTGATTCATCGACGCAATTATCAGGGGGGGCTTTGATTGCCGACATGATGATGACGTTGATGTTTGAGGATAAGCTGGATTCGAGCGATGTGATAAGCCGGATCGTATCCTGCAAGAAGAGCACGGAAAATAAAAGCGGTCATGACATTGGTAGCTTATTGCCTACGCCCGAGAATCGCTCTTTGCTTGTTCCTTACAGAGTAGGTGGTCATGCTGGAACAATCCCATTTTCTTACCTCATTATACCTCTATAGTTCAGCTATGGTGGGGTAGGCTCGGCGGCCACTAATATGCGGGAGAGTTGCTAACTTGTTTACGTGTCCGTTAGGCCGAGCTCCAGGTGTGCTGTGCTGATGGTGCTTTTGTTAGATCACTCTCAGAAACGGGTTCCTGTCTTCGTGTTTCTTCTTTTATCCTGGTAAATTTCATGTCGACCTATCGTAGCCTCCGGGCTTCTGAACTATCTGTGGCACGGGAAATCCACCTGTAATAGAGTGATAAGGGCAATGTTCTATGATTTAGTCTTATGTATGCGATAGAAGCAATGCTAACAGCATTGGTGCCGTTATAATCTATGACCAACATAAGATAGAAACCCTAAATGGGAGATGACATTTACACAAGCAGTGGGCCCGCTCGCATTCGCGAGCGTTGAGAAAAATCGGAATAGTTTTTAAAGCAAATAAACGGGCCGTTTCCGGCGATTATCTAAGCGGAAAGCGGCATTTTGATTGGCTGAAGCCGTAAACAACAGTGAATTCATAATAACAAAGGAAGTGGTGATAATTTTCTGAATCCTGAATAAAACAACAAACTTTTGCTCGAACAGCTTCACTGTAAGTACGGTATTCATCCACAGCGAAGCGCGCGCGCGTTTCAGGCAAAAACCACGGCCGCCACACGACTTTACAGCTTCTCCCGACCACGCGCATACCCGAATTCTAATTGGAAGACAATGCTAACGTGCTGCAGCGACCCACCATTTTTTTTTCTACTACGGAGTACAACATATACAATTGCAATGGCTGCAGCCGGTGCCGTTACGGTCACTCTACTAACAGCCGACCCGAATGCAAGTATTTGCTCTAGTGACATTTACATATGGTTATAATAGCTTGGCGTATTATTGGGTTTCAGTTAATCATCTATAGGTGTTGAATATCAAATAATAATATCAGACCGCAATACTTTTTATCTCAGAAACATTGCAGTCTTCTTAATTTCTATTTAATTGTGGTACTTTTTGTTCAGAGCGGCTTCCTTGTGCGCTGCTTTTAACAGCTTCCGTTATATAAGCCGCGTTTCAACTTTCGCGTCTGCATCCACGTCTACTGCCGCTGCCAACAATGCCACCACTTTGTTTGATAACTTCCTTGTTGCTAGCTGGACTGCCTTCGGTCTCGCCGGCCTCGTCTACTCCCTCGTCTCTAGCTTATTATAGTGGTGATTTTAATGGGGACCAACACGGCCATGTATCTCCTCCTACTATGCTGCTGCTCTTCCCTTATTATCGACGATATGATGGCTTAATGGAACATTTATCGTTTTTGTGTATCAAGAAGTGCTTCTGGTCTAAGTAACAAGGGCCACACAGTTGAAATATGTACCCGCGGCGGTTTCTTTCTCAAATTTGATGCCAACGAACTGTTCCGACCCTTCTCCATCTTCCTCGGCCGCAGCCTCTCTGGCTTTCCGAGCCGCGTCTCTTTCTGCCGTTTCTAATAGCTATCGATACGTAAGCTCGATTTGAACTTCACAACTTTTTCGCAAGGCCGTAGCTTACTGGCAACTGCCAACTCATTCTACAAGGGCGGTTAGTTGAATCTTTGCATTATAGGGCCTTGGAAACATACAGCTAGTTGACGTCTGGTATTCTATATGAATGAAGAGCGGTTAATTTGAAGAAACGACCATTACCATTTTAGGCATGCAGAGACTTACACGGAGCGTCGTCTCCAGCGTCTATAAAAGTATTTTAGGTTAGAATAAAAACAGTATTGCAAGTATAGAGCGGTGGGTACTGGCCGCCAATTTCTCCTCTAGGCGCTGTATCGCTTTGTTAGTATCTTACACAACAAGAAAATCAGTTTGGTGCGGGAATTCTTCACCCCAACCATGGCTCTTTTCTTTCTAGAATCAAGTTGATATTCCACAACAAGTTACAACGTTTCCAAGGTACATTACGAGCAAGATGAGCTATAGGCTATATACATTAGTATCACAGAATGTTTTCGCTTTATAGGACTGTTCACTCACGGTGGTCGCGCTCTCTCTCTTTCTCTTTCTCTCCAAGACCGATAGTGGACGGAGGCGGGGGCCAGGGTCAGAGCCAGGGCCGGTGATTAAGGGGCCGGCGAGGTCGGTGGGGCTGAGCGGAGGAGTCCTGGGGCCGACTCCCCGGCCGCGGGTTTCTGTGCGACGACATCTACTTCTGTAATATGCCCATGTAAACAGTGATGGAAGAAACTGTCTTTCCCTGATAGCCGGGTGATGTGCGTATTGTTTCGGTTTCGCTGTCCTGATGCAATTTGAATGTGACGGCAACTTACTGTTTAGTGCTTTTCGTCAGTATACATAGATGCATGGATAGAGAGAAAGACAACAGGAAACTTCGAAGCAATAGGACATTATTTGGCAAGCAGGGGTTGGGTCTCAGAGTCTGACCTTGATATCCCGTGAGCCTGAAAAGATTGATGGTAGTTTTATTCTATGGTATCGTGAAACGCAAGCCGTGAGCTGTAAGCCACACAATCAAGATGGTGGATGGGGGCTTAGCACAGGGTGCTACGCCAAATGTCACTGAATGTAACTCAACAAAACGAATAGGGTAAAACGATGATGGAGACGAAAGGTGAAAACTTGGAGGCAATTTTCAAAGTTTATCCTAGGAGAGCGGGATGAGAGGGGTGGCCTAATGCCCCTCCCTCTGTGTAACCATTATCATCCTTGGCACCTGCCTTTCCTGTGGTCCCACAACGCCATGATACTCGCATACCGTCTGTAAGAACCGAAAAAAGTAACAAAATAAAGAGGAATGCACAGGTACAAGTGATGAGTTTCATACTAATATAAAAACAGCGCTTTCCAGTGTGTGCTAGAGACACGCCTTATGCAGGGATCCGTTGATTAAGGCTATTTGGTGATAGTCGTGATGCTTCTACATAGTAGGAGCGGAAGCGGTGCGCCTATTGCACCATTTCGGTATTCTGCCGGGGGCGGTGAGCCGAAATACAGTATGTGGAGTGTGTCTCTATGTTCCCATACGCACACCCAACGAAGTTCTTTATCTCATACGCGCTTCTTTTGTACGATCCTACACTTCTTCAGTGCTTTGACAGACCTTGTATATCTATTTCTGGCCAAGACACGCCGATTTTACTCGTGGCCAAAACGCATCATGTCTGATGCGAATGCGACCACCCCGAGACTCTTTATCGCCCGACATGGTATGATGTAGTTTCCAGCGCCCATTTCGTGTGTTGTGCCAACTTGTCTTTAGGCGAAACCGAATGGACCATTTCCGGTCAGTGCACGGGAAATGCCGAGATCCCGCTTACTGAGAATGGGATCAGGCAGTCTCGCGGGACAGGTACGATGTTGGTCGGGCCTGGAAAATTAATTGACCCCGCCAAACTCGCTCATGTATTTTGCAGCCCTCGGAAGAGGGCGGTCGATACGTTGGAGTTGCTACTCGGCCAAGAATGCAGAGATGACTTGGAAAGCAAAAACAGACTTACCATCACCGACGACATCACGGAGTGGGATTACGGGGCGTATGAGGGGGTGATACCTGGCGACGTCAATGTTCGAAGAAAGGAGCAGGGCCTGGGAAAATGGAATATCTGGATCGAGGGATGTGAAGGCGGCGAGTGAGTCGGATAGGGCGATGGGAAATTGGCGACCACAACGCTGACAGCCGCCTAGGAAGCCTGATCAAGTAAAAGAGAGGCTCGACCGGCTTATCGAACAGATCACAGAGATCCAAAAGCCCTTCATTCATGGCGGGCCGGCCCCAGATGTCATGGTGGTATGCCTCCTTCACGCGCTGACAACAAGCCCTGCTGATAAAATCCAATAGGTTGCCCATGGCCATATACTTCGCGCTTTCGTCAAGAGATGGCTCAAGTATCCGATGGATTTCGAGTTTACAATGATGATGGAGCCGGGTGCCATTGGCATTCTCAGCTATGCCCACCACAATATCGAGGAGCGTGCCCTTCTGGTTGGCGTGGGTTTCCCAACATCTGCTTGATGGTAGTTTGCCTGGACCGAGCCGCTTCAAACCCCCCATGTTGCAGTGCAGCAGTCATGAGTCCACAAGCTACGCGTTCATAGAATAGCTGTGATTGGAAAAATCAACGATAACTTCAGATGTTACCATTGGAGACCTTAGACTTTTCACTCAGAGCCGGTAATTCGGCTTGTCCACTATCTGACTGACCCGCATGGAACCGAGTCTTGCCGACGGCTGATCCTGAGAGCTTGCTTTCAATGCGGGGGTTGCATTATCTGGCTTCGATGATCCATAGAGCCAGGTCGGCACGTTATAATTGACCCGCCAGCACCTCCTCATCTGCCCTCACCCCCCCTCCTTGTTGTCACATAGTATAGTCCTTCAGACTCATCCTCATGTTGCGCAACGATATCGCATTTACTACCACGGACGGCGTTGTCCTCAGTGGCTGGTTTTATCGGCCGGCTACGACGACAGTGGTGGTCGATCAGCCACTGTCCTGTGTCATCCTGTCCCACGGCTTCTCGGCGATCAAGGATATGGGTCTGCACGGTTTTGCCAGCCGCTTTGTGAGCAGCCTGGAATTGCCTTGTCTTGTCTACGACCACCGTGGCTTCGGAACCAGTGCCACAGGTGCTGGACAGCCCCGTCATGAGATCCTCCCTGATCAGCAGATTGCCGACATGCAGGACGCCATCACCTATGCCCAGAGCCGTGCCGATGTTGATTCCGACCGCATTGCCGTCTGGGGCAGCTCCTACAGCGGTGGTCATGTTCTGCGCATCGGTGCCATTGACCGCCGTGTTCGTGCTGTTGTGAGCCAGGTTCCCTGCGTCGATGGCTGGGCCAACTACTACCGTCTCGTGCGGTCAGACTTTGCCGCGAGCATGAGTGCCGCTTTTGCAGACGGTATGCTTACAAGTGGAGAGAGCATTGAGCCTTCTCTCGAAGTGGCTCAATGCCGCTGTATCTAACATAACGATGCAGACCGCATCAGTCGCGCTGTCGGCAAGCCACCCACCACAATTGCGGTTGTCGACAAGGATCCGCTCAAGCCATCTGCCCTGCAAACGCCTGACAGCTATGTCTATTTTAGCGGCTGGGGCACACACTCATCCTGGCAGAACGAGGTGACTCTGCGCAGCATCGAGGCCATGCGCGCCTACAATCCCGCTGCGGATATCAGCCGCATTGCACCGACGCCGCTGCTTATGCTTGTAGCTGACAACGACGTGGTGGCCCCTACGGATTTAGCACTGGAGGCCTACTCGCGAGCTCACGAGCCCAAAGAGCTGCACCTCTTTCCGGGTGGTCACTTTGATGGCTACGTGGGCGACAAGTTCCAGAACAACGTGAAGCGGCAGATCGACTTTTTGCAACGGCATCTTCCGGAGTAAGAGCCAAAAAAGTGAAAAAAGCATCAAGAACAGACAGGGGTTCTCCGAGAATTGAACTCGGGACCTCTCGCACCCTAAGCGAGAATCATACCACTAGACCAAGAACCCAGTATCCACTTTCTTATAAAATGCGCCACACTACTGGCTAAGGGGACGTGTCTCTATACAGATAACTGGGATACCGAAGAAAGATCGCTGTAGATGTAAGACGCGCATGTTTTGGCTTAGCCTTACGTCAGTCTAGTGGTTGTTAAAGAGTCATGATGCAGCATGGCCACGTTTCAATCGGTAAAAACTGGCTGTTTCTACATACTTTCCACGCCCGTGCACTGTTAGTACGAAGTACTCTACTGCAGGCTCTAGACATATTCCTATTTGAGCTAGTTCCACCGGCTTAAAGTTTGCCGTATCTTACATGTATTTCAGTATATGTGTCCTCAGTGTTGCCCTTACAATGCATGCGATCAATGGATTGATGTAATGTCAATGTATAAAGTCGAATTGCCCACAAGCAACGACTGCTCGTCCTAAAATTGCCCACAAGATAGACGATGGGGGACTGGGGACTCCAAAGTGTTACTGTTGCCGATGCTGCGGACTTGGCCCGCAACAATATATCCGCTTTTTGGCAAGACCGCATCTGGAGAGTTATATGGCCCAGCCACGTTACTCAAGACTTTCTTATTGCCCAGATGGCTAAGCGTCAGTCCAACAGTCTCTTGAGGAACCGTGCGGCGACCCGACATCAGAAAGCTGTTGACCCGGCTACCGGAGCCTTGGTCGGATACGCCCGCTGGGTGCTTCCAAACAGCCATCTGCAGGCGAAGAATGGCAACGAGCCAACGTGGCCAGGAGCCTTAGTGCCCACAGTCAGCGAAGAGGAGCAACGCTATCTCGAGCAGCTGGCCGGATCCTCCTGGTGGCAGTTTCGGCCCGAGGTTGAGCATATGGACAACAGAGCTATTGCTGTGAAGAACCGGATCATGTCGACGAAGCCTTATTTGAGTGCGTCACAGGATTCGGGTTTTTCTCAATTTTACTGTTTGTGTTTGTGTTTGTGTTCCTACATCTGACTTGTTCCAGTGCTTGATTACCTAGCCGTCCATCCAGACAATCAGGGAAAGGGCATTGCTTCCTTGTTGGTCGCCAGCGGCATACGGGAAGCTAAAGCTATGGGCCTTCCTATATTCATTCTTGCTTTCGAAGCCGGTATCGGTGTCTACAAGCGACTGGGATTCCGTGAAGTTGACCGAGTGACTGAGGATATGGCTAACCATGGAGGCGAAGGGGAGTATGTGGTCTACATGATGGTCTACGATGTCAATACAATGGGTGACAACCCACAACTGGTAGTATCAAAGGGCAGTTCAAGAGATGTAGTGCTATCGCGAATATGGCCAAGTGCCGCTGATATTTGGAGACGCTACTGGGAAACAACAGAGACCACAGATACCGAAGAAAGCCTTTAGAGATAGTACTTAACCGGCGCCCTTTGCTGTACTTTTGATCCTCCAATCACTACGATCGTACACAGCCTTTGTCATACGCTTTCTCTGGTATGAAAGGAAGAATGAGTAACCTGTTGTTTACAAAATGTCAGACGCCGGCTATAGAGCTGCGACGCAAGGGTTGATGCCATGACCCAAGCATGCTTTTGTACCTTTCTCTAAACGTTTTAAACTTTGGTATCCGATATGAAAGACCGGAAAGGATAGTACAAGGTGTATATTATACGGTAACTGTTGAAAATAGATATGCTTGCAAAGATGTCCTTTTACCCAGTAGGGCAGGCTTGCATCAAGCTCTGCTCAAATCTGCTCAAATCTGCTGCACGCCAAAGGCAACCGCCGAGACGAGCAAGGCACTAATGGCGAGGCCCAGCGTGTTCACGATCGCCAGTGGCCGCGTCTCAGAGGCCGCACTCTTGCTGCTGCTGCTGCCGCTGCTGCTGCTCGCAGTCTTGGTGGCGTCAGAGGTGGCGGTGCTGGTGGTAGTCTTGCCGGTGGTGCCAGTATGGGTTGTGCCGGTGTGGGAGGTGATGGTGTCGGTTTGGGTGCCAACCACGACCGAAGCTTGATAGCCGGTGGGAATAGACGAAATGTCTCCCGAAGCGGTGGCGTTGTTGTCATTGCTGCAGAAGACTTCCGAGTACTTGGCGCCATTGGCGTAGAGACAGAGATAGAGGTCCTGGATGGTCTGGTCTACAGCGAGGCAGTAGAGACCACAGCTGTCGTGGTAGCTGACGACGTCGGCATTCTTGCAGCACTTGGTCATGATTTCCGTGTGGTTGCCGCCATAGGGCATAGCACAGTTGGCATTGTAGGTAGGCAACGTGTAGAGACCTGCGCAGGGCGTCGTCGTGGCCGCAGCCGCAGAAGAGAGTGTAGACGTCATGATTGCAGTGACCGGTACTTGTTATGCTGGTGTGTAGCAAGCTGGGTCGAGACGGCGCAGGGGGTGCATTATTAAAGCCCGTTGGGGAGCGAGGAAGGTTTAGGCTTTGTTTACTTTTCACCGCGATAGCGCGTCCTCGTATAGGACACCTTAGTGCAGGCTGAATAAATACGAGAGATACGAAAACAGCTGCTTTGATCTACATAAATAGCGCCAGTTTCGCCAAGGCGCGAGACCGGAACAAATGACAGGTGCCTGAACTGCCCCACCAACGCGGGCGAGTGCTAGCGGGACGACAGGACGCCATTTTCCCTAACCTCCAACGGGCTGTCACTAGTAAGATAAGTTACATTGCAGGCCATAAGCTCGTATCTGTAAGCGGAAATTTGGCTGTATTTTGGCACTGGCGCCGGCCAAATAGAGCCACGCCTATTTGGCTGTGTCTGAGACAGTTTCAATCTGTTCTTGCCTTCGTAGAGTGACTGTACAGTGTCTGTAGAGTGCCTTGCATCAGTTTTTATTGCTTGTATTGTGTAAGTGGGATTTGAACCAATTTCGGCCTAAACGAGGCCGCAGATATTTGGATTTGCTCCATGCCTCGATAAAGCAAATGATAATGGCTGACATAAGACTGTTTCTCGTTTCATACTCAGCACATTCCCTCCTTCACCCTTCTTGGCGATATGCCAGTCGCCTTAACAACTAACTGAGATCACCTTGGACCTGTCATGGCTTTGCCTTCTTCACCTCTACACTTGTCAAGAGCAATTGCGATTGCGCAAAGGGTGCAAGTGCAACGGTGTCTCAAACTTGGGCTTCTTGAAAAATAGCCGAGAGGCTTGTGTTGCTGACTTCACGTGTAAGCAATACGACCGTATCTGTAACATTCTTGTTTTTATTGCAGACCTAGCCACTGCTCCTTCAAGCCTCTTCTTCGTGATATTTCAATCTATTATTTCTCGATTTCCAGCTAACTCAGGTAAGTATGTGGCACTTGGGAACATACCCAGAGTTTTTGAGTTGCACAGCACAATCTATATCTCCTTGCCCGCAATTTGATGCTAGGGTTGTCCAGGATTCCCGTAGACGTACATGTACCCCTTGATCCACAAGTCATGTTCTACCCGCCAGGGGAATGGAGCGAAACACCAGCTGACACCGTCTGGCACGAGGAGAGTCCGACAAAAATTCTCTCTATATACGTAGCACGCAATGTCTACCTCGTCATCTTCCTGGGATTTTAAAACGCTCAGGCCAAGCCACATTTGGCTGAAGAGCGATGGTTCCAATCCACATCATTAAGAAGCAATGTTCAAACAGCGCCGGAAACATAAGGTATCTGAATAATGCTGTTGACCCCATTTGGTTCCGTTGCCGTGAACCGGTATTTATGCGTTAATTTTGTTCAGCATGGAAAGGCAGTACATTTACTGCCTACTTGCCGAAAGTGATTCTCCAAGGGTAAAGGCGCCGTAACATGCAGCTCACCCTCGAATATCAACAGCGAACTCTCGAAGAAGACCGATTCTTTCAAGATTGGTGTAAAACAAGGGCAAAGAAACTCCAAAATGTGCCGACTGGGTGTGATCTCGACAGGAATGTCAATAGGCTGATATCTTCGTCGACCCACCAGCTGCAAAGCTGAGTCGGTATGGCTACCCCATCGAGCGTGATTTCTACTATCGAAACAAGCCCCACGGCAAACTGACAGTCTGAGACGCCGAAGGCCGAAACAATTCTGTATCTATTTGAGCGTTGAATTTGTTTTGCGCTCTTCTGTAAACACCACACAAGACTATTGGTGAGCCTCACCCTCCAGAGGTAATAACAGACACCCTCGTACGAGCTTATCGATGCGAATGATATACGACGCGTAGTCGAGCATAAGAGCATTCGGCTCCGACATCTTGACGCCAGAAAGGGACACGCAAGCCGATCTAGTCCAGTTGTCCCCGGAACAACTTCCTTCATCTGAAAATCCGACTGTTCTAAGCAGTGTTTACGCTGGATTTTTCAGCTAATGGAACTCCTTGCTATCACCCTCGCGCATTCAGATATAGCAATTTTTGTTTTTGTTTTGGAAAAGCTACCGGTTTTTTTTTTGGCGATAATTATGATGATCTTTGCAAGACTCCGGTGCCGATAAAATGTGGTGCCTTGTTTATTGTTTGAGATAACAATACACGTTCTAGTGATGGGGCAAAACAGAAGGAACAGTCTTGCCGATGTTTGATTGTCGAACCATTCGCACGCTACTGAAGATTCTCGGACTGCTGCGACATGCTTTGCCGTTGGCACTCCCTGACATCATAGTGTATGTGGGGCTCCCCCACGATAAATTTTGCCCCATCTCAAAGCCGGGGATGTGGGGAACTGATCCTACCAGTAGAACAGCTTTTTGGCACGCGAGACAAACCTTTGTGGTTAGAAATCATGAAGCGTTCTTTCGTTGATGCTTAGAAAAGACAGATACTCTTGGAAGTGAAAGGTATCATGCATTGACAATCGGTCAAGAACAGGTCTTTGCACTAGGCAGAACCCATGCCGAGTTTCGGCTAGTAGAAATGATGTCGGTATAACCGTTAGATAGGTGCCATCGTGCTGACGTTTCTGCCACCAAAATAAAGAGTTTTGACGAAGTATTCTCTTCAATATAGCAGTCATCTTTACAAATATTGGAACTCTGGTCGCGACCGTTTTATCTTAACGCAGTAATATACTAGATCTATCGACGTCCAGGACAGGACCCCATGGTTCTTCCAACTGCCAATGCCAGATTTCCAGGTTTCTCGTAGTGGGTCAAAGAACACATTTTAGGCAACAATTTCCGCTAAAACTGTTCTCAGAGCCGGCACCGATAAGCAAAAGAGACCCGTCTGTCAGGACTTCGGCCATCGCCGAGCTTTCGGCCGTTGCCGAAGTTTTTACCACAAAAGGTTCACCTCGGGTTAGACCATGTTCTATCTTAGCTACTACCGAAAAGTGACTGCATCTTTATAAGGCCGGCTGAATCTCGCAGTTAGTTGAGCATGCACTAAACGAAGACAACTTGGATGGTATGACTACCACAAACATGACGCTCACAGAGGGAAAAGCATACAGTATCGAGCAGGTTGAAGCCGCATTGTCGGAAAAGACATCTAATGGTGCAGATCGCGGCCTCAACAGTTCAAATCAGCCACTTTACAATGACAAGGAAACAACTAGAGTGCTTCACAAGGTTGACTGGCGATTGGTACCAGTGTTGACCTTGCTATATACAGTTTCTTTTCTCGACAAGGGTAACATTGGGAATGCCAAGGTTGCAGGCATGACTCGTGATCTTCACATGACAGGCACGCAGTATAATATTGCTCTAACGGTTCGTTGACCTCCTTCAGGGCACATGAAGAAACTTATATTGAATCATTCGGATACTTACTGAACATAAATCTTCGTACAGATGTTCTTTTTCCCTTATGCCGTATTTGAGATACCTAGCAACATAGTTCTGAAGCTTATGCGGCCATCCCTGTGGCTGACTATTCTTGTCATTGCGTGGGGCATCGTAAGTGACATCTGCATATTCAACTGATCTCATATCGCTCTCTCACGGAAACATCTAATGTGAATAGGTCATGACCTGCCAAGGAACCGTGCAAAACTACCATGGTCTACTCGTCACTCGCATCCTCCTCGGCTTCTTTGAGGCTGGTTTCTTTCCTGCCAGCACTTACTTGCTCGGCGATTGGTACTGCCGCTTCGAACTTCAATGGCGTCTGTCTGTTTTCTTTTCCGCGTCATCTATGGCTGGAGCCTTCTCTGGGCTTTTGGCTTTCGCAATCGAGAAGATGGATGGTATCGGGAAACTCGCAGGCTGGCGGTGGATTTATATCTTGGAAGGAATTGCGACTGTTTTGATCGGATGCGTGATTCCTTGGATCTTGCCAGACTCGCCTGAACGGGCATCATTTTTGACCTCGCAGGAGAAAGAATTTATCAGAAATCGCCTAGAGCAGGATTCTGGTACGTCATCCGGGAGAGTTCAAACAGCGGACCCGCTTAAGTGGGCATATGTCTGGGCAGCTGTTCTGGACTGGAAGATCTGGTTTACAGTTTTCATCTACTGGGGTAACACGTGAGTCCTCCTACGTTGACGATATGAGAATTGTTCAAGGTTCTGACTCCGCGGCCGCATCAAGTATCCCCATCTACGGGTTCACATACATGGCTCCAACAATTATACTGGAACTTGGTTATACCTCTGCCCAGGCACAGCTTCTGACAATCCCAATTTACGCCGTTGGTCTTGCAGGAACTCTCATCACCTCTTGGCTAGCCGACCGACATCAAACACGCTGGCCGTTCATAGTGATTCCATACTCGATCGCACTCTTCGGCATGGTTGGCCTGCTGGCTATACCCCACCCAGCACTTCCTGGTCTAACTTATGCATTTCTTTTCGCAATTCCGGTGGGTGTCTATCCGTCTGTCGTCTCTCTGATCTCTTGGATTTCCAACAACTTGTCGCCTACGTGGAAGAGGTCCGTGGGTATGGCCCTCAGTATCATGATGGGCAACTTTGGTGGCGCGGTTGGATGTAATATCTACCTAGCCAAAGAGGCACCTCATTACTGGACAGGATTCGGCATCTCACTTGGGTGTTTGACACTGGCGATCGTATCCACCTTTGTATTGCGCTGGGTGTACTTGCGAGAAAATGCAAAGCGAGACAAAATTTCCGAGGAAGAGGTCAGAGCGATGTATACAGAAGGTGACCCTGGCCCCTTTCCAAAATATTTCTTCAACTGACAGATTGCTAACTGTATGACAGAGGAGCTATTAGATTTTGGGGATCGCTCACCATTGTATAGATATGTTTTGTAATGTGAACAAGGACGGCACAGAAACATTCCCGTCACGTCAAAAATTGCTGCATGTATTGATTTTAGGAGAGGAAATTGTCAGATTACTTGTCCCGTCATGGTGATTGTAGGGTACGTACAGTAAGAGATAGTACAAGCTTCGTTTATTTCACAGGTGAAACGCAGGTTCTCAGTGCAGACAACCAGAGATAATCCGTGACAGAGTTGAGAATAGGACATTACACTTGAAGCCGTCTCGCGTTATTTAGAACTGGGATCAACATCCGTAGAAGTTGCCCAGTGATATCATCTCAGAGGCCGCGAGAGTTAAATGATAGTCGCCATGTGATTAGCTCCTGATGGTTATCACCTAGATAGTTTCACATGAGATGCACGGCAACTAACATCCCACAAAATCAACAGCCTGGCTGGAGACTGTATCACACAGGAAGTCCATTGCCACGATCAAGAAACAAGGGTCCACACGCCCGATCACAGTACTTGTCATGACCGGTTCGGCTGTCAGATAAGGCGTTATACGCACGTCGTACATATATCGGCGTCAGAGATACTGGGGCATAGAATCTTATTATGCGGCGAGTGTTTAGTGCTGGGGATTAGTGTGGACTAAACCGATCACGTGACTTTAAGGATTCTCAAGTTGTACAGTGTATATACAGTTGTCGAACGGACAAGGCTAAAATGGGTGGGGAGTGCACGAATACATGTACTGTATGGCGCAGGGCGCTATTTAGTATGGGATTTCATGCACGTCGGCATAGCTCGGAAGCACCTAAACATAACAATACACAGATGCTCACTGCTATGGTGTAGCAAATTCCAATTGACAATTGGACGTGCACTGTGTCGGTTTTCCGGTGCTTGTGCGGAAGCATGAATAGGGCGCAGGTCCACAAAATATGGCTGTAAAGTACAAAGTGTTAAGTGATAAGAGGAAACAGTTAAATTGCCGGTCCTCTCCCACATTCGTAGATAAACGCCGGCTAGTAAATTGCCGCCCTGATTAATGGCAATTACACACTTTCACTTTTTCCTCAATGCGAAAAGCGAGCCCCATGAACAACGACCAGCATGCCGGGTTGCCTAAACCCAGGAAAGTCCCCACCACCTGCCGAGTTGGCAGACATTGACTAATACCGATGCTGCAACAGCGCAAAGGCCTGTCTGCCATGTCGGAGGGTGAAGATGCGATGCTGCCGGTCAGCCAAAGATGATGCAAAATGTGACCGATGTACCCGCAAAGAACTGGACTGCGTTTTCCAGGAGCACCGGCGTGGCAGAAAGCCAGGCACAAGGTTGGTGGCGCTATTACTGACAACTATGAGAAGTAACCGTGTATTCACTGACCGCAAGACTGCAAGACTGCAAAGGCTCACACCAGCAACACGAACATCTTCGATATCTGCTCAACCATCCCCTGTGACGCCCTCGCAGTCATCACGATTGAACGAATCCCCCCCTGAAGCAATACCCTCGACAGAATTTACGACAGCAACAGCGGCTGCGGCACGAGCCGTCGAGGAGCGCGGCAATAACACTCTGCAGCCCTACAGCCTGTTCAGCCCTGCTGCCACACAAGGAAGCTTTAGTCTCAACACCGTATTCGACAACGATGCCGGCCCGGTGGGATTGCCCGGCCACGCCCCCTCTATGCCGGCAGAAGACCCGGTTCGTCTGAGACTTGTCCATCAATCCGTGGCAAAGTCGCTGTTCGACAAGTATGCAGTCCCATATCGTGCAGTGGCGTGCAGCTTTTCGGCATTAGCTTACCCTTAGCTTCATGAGCATCCTCAATCCCTACATCAGCCAGTTGGATCCAGTGTTGCACACCTTTGAATGTGTCCAGCAGCAGTCTACGCTTCTTTTCAGCTCCATTCTATCAGCCGCGGCCAAGTCGTTTAACCCAGCACTTTACACCCGTCTTCACAATCATGCAGAGACTTTACTGGCTGATAGTTTCCGGCATGGCCACAAGTCTACCGCAGTCATACAAGCCATCATGATAAATACATACTGGAAGGAGCCAAAGGACACACGGGCGTGGACTGCTCTGGGATATGCAATCCGTCTGGGCATGGATCTCGGTTAGCACAAGTTGGTACCATATGCGTTTCGTCATCGTGAGTCTTTGACGGATTTGCAGGTGAGAGAGGCGCGGAACGTGGAGCGGACATGGTTCACCTTGTTTGTCTACGACCGGAGGTAACAAACCACTCTACTATCATTATCTTTCTGCACGGTGTGTAAGCTAATGAGTGCAGCATAAGCCTGCAGACCGGCAAGCCCTGGATGATTGAGCGGGACACATTTATGGAGTCGATCAATCCTTGGTGCAAAGACCCTCTTGCAACGGCCAACGATGCGCTTTTGGGTGCGTTCGTCACGCTGAGGCTATTGAGCTCAGAGGTGTTTAAGCTTCTGGGCCCCAAACCTTGGAGTAGCCACGGCAGCTGCGTTTATAATTTTGATTCGCTGCTGGCCATCATCCGTGGCCGGATCGAAGAATGGGAGGCTCGCTGGATTGCGTGTGTCGACACAGGTATGTATTTGCCTTGTCTGATTTTTGTCAGAATATTCGTTGTATGCTGTGGTCTGACGAGAACAAAAGAGAGCTGTCATCCCTTTCTGATACATTTTTATGCAACACATCTGCGCTTGCAGATATTTTCCCTGCCGCTGCAAGACATCCTGTTGCTAAAAAAAGCCGACATCTCGTCAAATCTTGAGATCTTGTGGGTCAGTTATTCCAGCGCTATGAACATGCTGAACCTGGTATGTCGCTTCGCCCCCCGGCTCTACTTTGCGCAGGACTCTGTCCATATTATGACGGCGTACAGTGCTGCATTTTTGGTGAAGCTGTTGTTATCGGCCCCGGAGTCGATCGTGGCCGAAATAGAAAACAAGACGGTCGCTGCCATCTGTGCGTCTGGACAAGCATTCTCACAGCAAGCCGCGCCTGATGGTTCTAGCTGTGCTCTGCAGGCTAAATTTCTCGAGAAGGTTTTGTCAAATTTCAAGGAGAAAAGAGGAGAGCAGCCGTCGATGAGGGAGATGGACAGCATCACTGTTCCACTACAGCAACCTGAACGGAACAAAAGCGGAGACACGGCTTCCGAGTCGTACAGACAAGCACAACAACCCCTGTCCGCCCAAGGCATAGCACTGGAAACAGAAGAGCGATCTACCTTTCTCACCGGCACCGTGCACGACGGATTGGACTTGTACCAGACGGAGCTGGAAGCAGCTCCGTCTGACTATTTTGAATGGGCAGATCTATGTGCCAATGCTGGTTTCAGCATCCAAGACGGTGTATTTTTTGCGCGAGAAGACTACGACGCAGAGTAGTATTTGCAAGAAAAACGTATCAGGCCATTCTCATGAGTCATATGATCTAGATTTCAAAGACGAACAGTGTGGAAGAACGGAATGCTTGTAAGATACCAATTCGGAGTTATTCTATCAGACGACTGTACTCGAACGTGCGTACCATTTCCCCTATTTTTTCTCCATTTTCTCGGGTTGTACCTCATCGACTGAAACTATGGGGTCTAGCGTCGTCTCAGAATGGCCAAACGTCCGGAGGCCTTGTCGTACAATTCGAAGCTGTGAAGGGCAGTGTGCATCTGGACAAGCAACCAGAGCCTCGGACGTGATCCAATCGTTTCTTGCAGTAATTCTTTGTTTGGCGGATAGAAGAGGCAAAACCGATGCTTTCAGAGTTAGTTGTCGATTCGAATTTGTGTCTTGGTTCCATGCAACTTACCCAGACTGTATATGCTGAAGCCTTGATTCGGAGGCAGGTACAACATCTCACCCTGAAGCATAAAGTAGTCCCCGTCTTTGGCGCCACACATGATCCGGCGACCAGGTGGGCAGACTACTTCGACGCGGAGGTCATAGAGCTGAAATGACTCATCACTGTTTTGAGACGCCATTTTTTTTTGTGTAAAGTAAGAATACAGGTAGAGAGAGGGGCGCCAATGCATTAACATTAACTTGTTGGTAACGAGGTGGACCTATTTTCCACAGGCCGATAAGCGACCGGTGATCATCTAAGACACCGACAGCAGGATCGCCCGCAGTTCCAAATTGCGTATGCGGAATTTCGAGCTGTACTCCGTCCCGCCTGGTCTGCTCTCCGTTCCGACTGACCGATTGGCCGCTTGTGTCGTAGAAGCTCTGTCAGCTGTATCTGCAACAGGTGGACCCTATTGACAAGACTCTGTACTAACGAGTGAAGATGTTCGCTGTATAGCTGGGCTTTCTTATTAAGATTAGATCTAAACCCACTTACGTTGGAAACCATTCCCTGAATTTGCACGCAGTACTTCAGTGCATTGACAACGAGCCGCACAAAATGAAACGTGAGGCTACAACGGCAACCACGGTACAAACCAATTTTGCTTAAAAAGGCAGTGTAAGTACTAGGTAGCTGTAATTGCTGCCATGCATTTTATTTTTATTTTTAATATCGAACGTTTAACAAAACCTTGCTACATAGAGATATATCTAGGTGCTCCCCATCATGACCCAAATAGCGCAGGGGAATGGTGACGACAACCGTGTTTGTATATGGATTGTCATTTATGCTCCATCGCACGTTTAGTGCATAGCCCGATACTCGTTTCCACAGTCCCCAAGCTTTTCCAGCATCCCGTCCGACTTCTCGCCATCCTTGCCTAGGGCAACGGCATCGATACTTGCCATCTCTTCCTTACTCAGGGTCCAGCCGAATGTTTTTAGGTTCTCTTTCCATCGGTTCGACATGCCTAGCCTTGTGCCAACAATGACCGCACCGACGCCCCTCTGTTGCAGCACCCATCGTGTCGCGACGTTGGTCAGAGATACTCCGTGGTTTTGGGCAATATCGTTGAGGGTAACTAGTAGTAGTTGAAAGTCATCCCAGGATGACCAGGTCAGGATGATGTCGAGGTATTTTCTTTGAGACGGTGTAAGGCCGACCTCGGCAGAGTATATCTCGGGCACAGGTTTCGCCATCCACTTCGAAGAGAGCATGCCGCCACACTGTCAAAACAATTAGTATCACAGACTCGCATGTGTAGGTGGGAAGGGATGCCGTACGAATGTTCCATAGACCAACAACTTGATGCTATACTTGTCGCAGACATCTGCCATCTTCTTCCGCGGTCTCGAGTCAAAGAGCGAAAACTTTCAAGTTAGCCGACTGTCTCTGCTTCTAAACAAATCGATGTGGCCTGTTTTGGCTCGCTGTTATTACCTGGACCTGGTTGGAAACTACGCCAACCTCACCAACAGTCTTTAGAAGATGCTCGCACACCTCTGTAGCATGCTCTGAGTCAAAGTTGCACAGCCCGATTGCCGATACAAGCTCTGGGTGAGATTTAGTAATCCGAACGAGCTCTGCTAAAATGTCCAGATAGTCTTTATTGTTGTACTGTCATTATTAGAGACGTCGGCATGCTGAAATTGTAAAATCGCAACTCACATCGTGCCAGTGGAACTGAAGTAGCTCTACTACTCCGCCAACTCTTCTGGAACGCTCTTTGACCATATGCAGAACATATTCCGGAGTGAAAGAGCATGGCTTGAAAACGCACCATTTTGTCGCGCAAAACACCTTGGACTTAACAGCTTGTGGCAGCCTGTTTCGAAAGTCTCCGTAGATAAGCTCGGCGTCGCCCTGATCGACAGCATGTCAGCCCCAGACCATCAGTTTTCTCTATTTCTGTTCGCCCAAGGCGAGTACAATGCACCGCCATGACGCTTACATAGTGGTCGGCCATGTCTGCGGCCGTCAAGCCGGCCTCGACCAGTTCGACGAGGCTTCTTGTCTGCTCCTTGGCCGTCCCGGACCCCCATGCGGGAGAACTTAGCTGCCAAAATCCATTGAAAAGTCGAGGCAGTCTAAAATGCCCAAGCTGGAAACTCTCGACCTGGCCCGTGTTTTGTTCGTGGGTGGCAACATCTACCTGGATCAAATCGGACGCTGTCGGCACAGTAAACTCGGACTCCAGATGTGGGTACATGTATATCAACACGTCCCGGGCTTGCCGTTCTGGGCGGTTGAATAGATACTCTAGACCGCTCGCGCTGCAGTAGGTTCTGCAATTCTGCATGCTCGATAAAAGGGCCCGTAGGAATGTCTCCCTTTCTGGCGTTGCGTGCAGATCCGACTCTTTGAGTGCTTGGATTGCTTGAATAATATCTCCACCTGCCTTGACCAGACTCGCCTCAAGGGACGAGCCCGAGGTCCAAATTGCCTTTGCTGAGACGATGCTGTTGATGAGATGGGTAAGGCTGAGTATGTCAGCGTTGTCTGTGCCTCTCATGTACATTGACATCAACAGTGGAGTGGCGGATAAACTTACTGTGGCAGGGCCTCTTCCACGAGCTTGCAAGAGAATATGCACCGTATCCTAGCGAGATAATCGATCAATACTACTGAGGCCTCGCTTGACCCCACCGGAAAAAGCTCCAATGGCGGTGTGAAATCCGGCTTGGCTTCTGACAGCCGCTCCCGGACATGGTGAACAAATGGCTTCTGGTTGACAGATCCTTGAGATATTAACAACCGAAGGGCACTCCGTAGAATCGTGTACGGTACTGCAGCAATTCTGTTAGCGTCACCCATGTACCGAAATTCCCGCATAGAGAAGCCATGCGTGTCCGTGTCCGTGTTCTACTCTACTCACAGTTCAAAAGGAGGACATCGTCCATCATATTCCTGTTATTGTCAAGTTTGGCCCATTTCCAGTGGTCTGGAATCTACTCACACGTGGCCAGACATGGTAGGGAATGGGCATCCAAGAGCCTCAAGATCTTTGTGTATCTCACTGTAGGCTGTTGCTGCAGAGTCGACCGAGCTTGGTATCTGGCGTATGGTGTCTTTTCCTATTGTGCAAACAGATCTTGGACGAGTAGCATGGGAACAATCCCCCGAAGCTAGCCATCTATCCAATCTTTTGAAGGCGAAGGAGATATCGGGTTCAAGGGCCCGGCGGCACAGAAGTGGGGTTGGGAAGTTACCGGTATACCGGCGTCTATTAATCACGGGTCCTTAGGTTAGAAATATTTTTATTACGCCCACGCTATTTTCTTATCTGTGTACGAGGTACGCAACCGGGACTGTACCATGTTTAGAATGCCCCCCTCTGTAAATCATAGGCCTCTCCTCTAGTACAGCGCACAGTGAAAACTTTACTTGCTTGCTAAAGACCCTAGTCGAGCACCGGTTGGTATCTTGTAAAACTTCACATTCTGTCCCTAAATTTATAGGACCGCTGCCAGCTACAGGTAAAGTAATGTATAACTGTATATTTGCAGTAGCAATTTCCGTCCAATATGGCAATATACGCTTGATAGAACTTAAGCAAGATGCGAGGGGCTGGCCCTAAAGGGGAGGAACTAAGTATCTTATAGGTAAGTCACCTGGAATATGCTGTGAGGCTCTTACACCTTACAGGTACTTTGCAGCGCAGGCCCACTATAATTGCTTACAAAGCATGGCATTTAGGTATTTTTAGGTTCGCTTCCCCACTCGTTTGACCCTATGATTTGCCAATAATATCGTAATTTACCGCCCTACTTAGTCCGAGAGCACTCTAGAAAATTTTGTCCAGAACCCGTCTTGGCAGTGATTTTGGCTCTTCGTCGTATCTATGGGCCTCTCTGGCAATAATTTCCAATTCCGTTTCAATATCGATCTCGGTAGTGCTGTATATTTTCAATTTGAGCATGATCTTAAAGCCAAGGTAGAGAACAATGAAAATCGGAATGTTCACGTAAGCAGTGAGAAAGCCGCTCGCCGTGAAGTGTCCAGGGAAAAACACGGAAAAGCCTAGCAACATTAGTGGCAAACAGCAGGGGGAGGACAACAGTGCACGTACCAGAGAACAAGATGACCAAGATCACAAAAACAAGGGCAAACCAGGCCGTATATGGCTGCAGTGGGCTCTTGTAGGGCAACTCGTCTCTAGAATGGCCCTGCGCCTTGAAAGCGTAGTACATTCGGAGGAACGAGATTTCCAGAACGGCCCAGCCAATCAAGCCAGAAACCGTCGTGATATTGACGAACCAGCCGAAGACCACGGACGCGCTGCTTCCAAGTACAAGATAAGCCAGCGGCAGAAAGATGGCAGTTGCGCCCACTGCATAGACAGGCACACCGAATCGATTGCAGTGCTGAAAAAACTTGGGTGCATGACCCTCTCGACTGAGGCCGAAGAGCGTGCGCGACGCCAAGTAGACACATGCCGAACCGCTAGAAAGCGCAGAGGTGATGACAATGGCATTGATAATGGACGGAAGAGCTTTGATACCGGACTCTTGAAAGGCGATGACGAATGGACTCTGAGATGCGGTACCAGTGGAGACCTGCAGTCTCACGTCATCTGAGCGGCTGTAGAAGTTAGTGGATACCGGACAACATTATCAATGGGATGGGCTTACATGATCAAGCCGGCAATGAAGATGCTGAGAACGTAAAACAGAATGACTCGGGTGAATGTCCTCTTGGTAGCCTTGGGAATGGTCCTCCGAGGATCATTTGTCTCGGCGCCCGCAATGGCAACGACCTGGATGGCGCCATAGCTGAAGGCAGCCGAGATGAGGGTACTCCACCAGGCCAGAAACTTTCCCGTGTTGCCGTCTGTAAGATACTCGTTAAAAGGGCCTGGATGTTGCCAGTTGCGGAAGCCACGGCGGTCGTGATCGGGACCGCCACCAAGGTCGACTACGAGCCCGGCAATGATGATACCGACGATGAGCATGATCTTAAGCGTCGCAAAGACCACTTCGGACTAGTCCTATCAGTTTTCCTCAATTTGCTTCCAGTCTGCCTTTGTCCATACGCTCACTGAGTTGCCTGCTTACCTCTCCATAGAGCCGGACTCCGCAAAAGTTGACAACGAGAATGAAAACAAGAAAAATGCTGATCCAGACGGCTGGGCTCACGCTCGAGTCCCAGAACTCGATCAGGCCAGACGCTGCGGTGATCTCAGCAGGTGCCGTGATGGCCATGCTGTACCCTGTATAGTATGAGTATCAATTGTCGTAGTGGGCAGATTCAGGGCCACAAGCTTACAGAAGTTCCACCCCGTCGCAGCTCCACAGGCCGGTTCGACCATTCTAGCTGCGTGCCGTGTAAAACCTCCGGTAACGGGCATGAATGCCGACATCTCACCCGACGTGTACGAGACTGCCGCGGTTACTAAGCCCATGACGACGTAGCTTAGAAGAGCGCCGACCGGCCCAGCTCTTGCAATTGCAGACCCCGAACCCAAGAATAGACCTGTGCCCTTGTTTGTGCTGTTAGTCCAGCGCCAGTTTCGCCTTGTGTCTTCGGTGGAGGCTCCTTACAATCATGCCCGCAATGGCTATCATCTGAAGGTGCCGCTCATGGAGACTTGGCTTGATTCCATGCTCCATGTCGATGGACCTCTGCTCCACATCCACCACTGAGCCTTTTTTCTCGTTTGTTGACTCCATACTGGCAGACTTGTCAAGGAGGAAGACTGGCCAGCGAAATGAGCAAGCAGTAGGGTCGGTCTATGTTTGTCAACTTAAGCCGGCATTTACTGTACTTATATATTCAAGTCTTCTTCATTGTCAACAGGCCAGACTCCGCACGCGTAAACCTATCCATGGGATAAAAGACTCTTGTTGATAAGGCGTTGGTGGAGACAAGATCTGAACAAGGGCCATATCTGATTAGTTGCCGACTCAACAATTTCGACTTCGCTCGGCCAAAATACAGATTAGCGGGACCGGCGACCGGCATTCAAAATTGTCGCCAAGATCCAGAACGCGCGATAAGCTTTACTACTAAACTGCGACTGCCAGAACACATGCAGTCGGTTGCATGTGTCTAATACTACCGGAAGTGTGCCAGTTCAATAGCACACGGCCCTTCTGCTATTCGCAACCAGCTCCGCCTCACCCCCCAAAAGCATGGCAGATATTGACATTGACGATGTGCTTGCAAAGCTCAGCGTGCCAGAAAAAGTCGCCCTGACTTCCGGTAGGTTCTGTATTCTGTCATCTCTTCTTGTTTGTCCGCATGTAAAGCAAGAGATTGCTCACTGATAATAGGGATCGACTTTTGGCACACTGTGTCCGTTCCCAGATTGGGGGTTCCATCCATCCGTATGTCGGATGGCCCCAATGGAGTCCGCGGCACGCGTCTCTTTAACGGCATCCGGTCGTCCTGTTTGCCGAGTGCGGTAGCACTGGGGGCCAGCTGGGATGTCGAACTTATGGAGGATCTCGGTCAACTCCTTGGTAGAGAGGCAAAAGCCAAAGGGGCCCATGTCCTCTTGGGCCCAACGATCAACATCCAAAGGTCGCCCCTCGGTGGCCGGGGCTTTGAATCCTTCTCCGAGGACGCCGTGCTGTCGGGAAATCTGGCAGGACACTATTGCAAAGGAATCCGCAGTGAAAAAATCATACCGACACTGAAGCACTTTGTATGCAACGACCAAGAACATGAGAGAAAGGCAGTCAATGTGATTGTCACGGACAGGGCCCTAAGAGAAGTCTACCTTCTTCCCTTCCAGATTTCCTTGAAGCTCTCCGGTGCGGAGGCGATCATGACGTCATACAACAAGGTTGGTGGCATTCACGTCAGTGAGCACAAGGAATTGATCGACGGCATTCTACGAAAGGACTGGGGATGGGATGGAACCGTGATCAGTGACTGGTGAGCATACGGTCTCCCCTATCTGGCTTGGAATGGAAAGCGGCTGACGCTATGCAGGAACGGCACATACAGTGTTAGTGAAGCCATCAATGCAGGGCTAGACCTGGAGATGCCGGGACCTTCACGCTTTCGGCAGAACGCGCTTACTGCGTGCGTATCCTCGAACAAGGTCTTACCTATGGTTCTGGATGAAAGGGTGCGGAATGTCCTCAAGCTGATCAAGAGGGCAGCCGGTTCTCGGATTCCTGAGCATGCACCCATGCGCGAGCTCAATTCTCCAGAAGACCGCGACTTGCTTCGCCGGGCCGTGGCTGAGTCGGTAGTACTCCTCAAGAATGAGAAGAGTATCCTGCCCCTCGATCCCAAACGATCGGTGGCTGTCATTGGCCCCAACGCGAAGGCAGCGTTTACATGTGGTGGAGGCTCGGCATGGCTGCCCGGGTACCATTCTATCAGCCCTCTAGAGGGAATCACATCGAAAGTTCAGAGGGATAGCAAAGTACAGTTCTCACAAGGAATTACCTCCTTCAAAAAGCTCCCGCAATTAGGCCCACACTTAACCACACCCAAGGGCGAAGTTGGATTCATCTTTCGAGCCTACAATGAGCCGCCATCGGTGAATAGTCGCCAGGTTGTTGATGAGTTGCACCTGGAGGCTTCAAAGGCCATTCTCTTCGATTACACGCCTCCTGGTCTTCACCCTACAACATTCTATGCTGAGGCTGAAGGTACGTTTACGCCGACAGAGAGTGGTATGTATGACTTTGGCGTCACTGTCGCGGGTACAGGACAGTTGTTTATCGACCAAGAGCTCGTGGTCGACAACGAGACCGTGCAGAATGCTGGCAATTCATTCTTTGGAATGGGGACCGTGGAAGAGCTCGGCTCCAAGGTGCTCGAGGCTGGAGTACCATATACTGTCCTCTTCCGTTTCGGAAGTGCCCCTCTGAGCAAAGTAACGAACCCGAAAGTCGTGTCGTTTGGCAAAGGTGGTTTTTCCTTTGGTGCTAGCCGACGCGTGGAGACAGAACAGGCCATTGCAGACGCTGTGTCCTTGGCTGGATCTGCAGAGCAGGTGGTGCTCGTGGTCGGCCTCAACGGTGAGTGGGAATCAGAAGGATTCGACCGCCCTAATATGGACCTACCGCCACACACGGATCGTCTTGTCTCGGCCGTTCTGGCTGCCAATCCAGACATTGTGGTTGTGGTCCAGAGCGGAAGTCCGGTCAGCATGCCCTGGGTCGATGACGCTGCCACAATTCTCCAGGCATGGTATTCCGGCGACGAAGGTGGCCATGGGCTGGCTGATGTGCTCTTTGGGGACGTGAATCCAAGTGGTGCGCTTCCATTCACATATCCCCGACGGGTCCAGGATAACCCGGCGTATATCAACTTTCTTTCCGAGTCTGGCCGCGTTCTGTACGGCGAGGACGTATATGTAGGTTACCGTTATTATGACAAGGTCGATCGCCCGACTCTCTTTCCATTCGGCCATGGCCTGTCCTACACCACGTTCTTGACATCCGAGCTGGAGGTTGCTCTCTTCGAAGAAGAACCTACCCGGCTAGGCAGTGACGAGAAAGTCCGTGTCACTCTCAATCTCACGAATATTGGAGACCGTGCAGGAGCTGTGGTGATCCAGATATACATTGTGCCTGCCAGAGAGACTGTGCGAAACGGAAAGGTTGACCGCCCCATCAAGGAGCTGAAGGGCTTTTCCAAGTCGTTCCTGGACCCTGGACAAACCAAAAACATCGTGGTAGATATACCCACCAGGTTGGCAACCAGCTGGTGGAACGAGCAGAGGAACCAGTGGCATAGTCAGGCCGGTGTCTACGAAGTCTGGGCAGTAACATCTGCGGGGTCTGTACTCAAAAAGAGCTTTGGAATGAAATACACAAGGTATTGGAGTGGGATGTAAAATATTACTTAGCCTGGGAGATAACTGGAAGAATACATACAGCCAGATTTACACTTTCAGTAAGGTGTTCTTCCATTCTTGCTTCTTAACCCAGTCGATCACGGCTGTACAGGCACCCCAAAATCACCTAGCTTCAGGATTGTCTTGTCAAATCCATCCGTCATGACCAGACGCAGTGTAAAACCCCTTCATGTCCTCGTATTCACGCTCAAATTTTGGATCACTTAGCTCGAGGTTGGGCGAGCCGCCTACGAACTGGGTCTTTGGTTGTAGTCGTCTCCCAAGCCCCCACTTTGAGTTGGCTAGACAGCTCCTCAAGCAGGACCTGCACTTAAACAATTCTCTCACCAAAGCTGTGGATGTATTCCCGGGTCAGATGTTGCGTTTCTAGCTGTTCCAATCCCGCGCAGGCTGTCTCTCGCCGGCGACAATCGGTTCAGGTCTTGTTGTCGGGTGGGGCAAAGACGGAATGTTCTCTTACACTTCTTGTGGTTAAGAATAACTGCGGCTTAAGCGGATCTCAGCCCAGGCAGTTAGGTAGACTTGGATTATAAACCCAAGTTCAAAATATTGTTTACTAGTAGCTGTGTGTGCCTTTCCGGAGCTATCTCCGCTCCTCGCTTGTTTCTGAAAGTAAGCGGGCACTCAGTGAGGATGGAGACGGCAGACATTGTTTACCAGTAATATAAAGAGAAGTCTCGGCTTCCAGTCACATACGAAGAAATATGGAATATGCTGCTGGCAGGAGGCTGTTGGCGATGTCCCGCCGTAGTGGCGGAACAGAATGATGATTCGTAGGCAATTTCTTTCCAAATTCAGAATTAAGGCGCGGCTCCCAATCTGGTTTCTGTTTAGAGTTCCGCTGCCACTGTTGATGTTTCCTTCCTTGAAATCTGATCCTATTCAGTTGCTGCTGCTTCAACGTGTCTCTACGCCACGAGTCGTGTACATTTGAGCAAGGATCCACTCTATGCCCAAAACAGACATCTCGGAGCCGTAATCCTTAATCCCGCTTCGGAAGTACCGGAGACAAGTGCTAATAGAGTGGTTCGAATAAAGCAGGTATGATTGTTATATCACTTGGAAATGCGTATATAATACAACATGTAAGCCTCTCCTTTCCATAAAAAAGGTGTCCGCACATCTTTGCATTATGTCTTTTTCGTCACTCCCTGCCACTCTGTCACCGGCCCTCAGCGGCCGAGAGGCCATTGCAGACGCCATCTACCGCTGTGTCATCGCGTATGACACAGATGATTTGGCACTATTCGAATCTTCCTTTACTAGTGATGCCATCTTCGAGGTTAATGGCAAAATTATGAACGGCCTCGAAGCCATCAAAACACAGAGCTTCGTCCCAGTCTCCAAGATGGACACAAACCACTTCATCAGCAACATACGTATAAACGTGATCGACCCAGATTCGAAGGCACAGGTCACCTGCTCAGCTCTTGCACAACACTACCGCAGCGGCGAAGGTATGAAGCCGGGTGCTGTGTCGCTACTTGCCGGCTCCCTCTACTGGGCAGATGTGACTAAGGACGTCGGGGACGAGATATGGAGGATAAAGCATATCAAACTCAACTCGACGTGGATACAAGGCGACTCGGGCGTGCTTACCGATTAAGTTGATTTGGAGAGGAACGTTTGCTTTAGTAATCGTACCTGTCGTTAGTGTATACGGGTTTTGGTACATTGTCAATGATGGATTACTGCAGAGATAAAGCGCGAATCTTACAGTGTCCTTAGTTGTCCTGCTATGTAGTTCGTACAATTTGACACCTCTTCCTTCGAACACAAAGTACGGAGTATATACGTGAAATTTAACACCGAGTCGCAATCAAATCACGCATTCATTGAAATGCAAGGGGTTTATGGCAGAATCTTCCCCCTTCCTTTCATTTCATTTACACAAGTACTGGATCCACACAAGAAGACCAAAATCCGATCCCCCCGCCACCAACACAAGCGCCCAAATACGTTCAATCTCCACACGATCTGTAAAGAAAAACGTCCTACATAGTGAAGATGCTCTTGAATTTGGCTAGCAGCAACCAAGAATAGAAGTGCAGGGTGTAAGACAGGCCTACAGACCGACTGACCATCTCACTGCTCACTCCTCTGCATCGTCAAGAGGGCGCCGGACAGCCCATCTCAGCTGGTGTGCGCTTTTTATTCTAGTCGCGGACGTGCTACCTGTTGTTGATGGGCCTGTAGCTGTAGCTGCCTTGGTTCTGGTCTTCTTGTTTGCGGCCGCGGCGGCTGCAGCTACCGTTCCAGTATTGGTAGACGCGGTCGCTGTTCTGGTCCTGGTCCTGGTCCTCCTGCTCGCGGTAGCAGCAGCTGCAGGCCCCGTTCCGGTCCTGGTCTTCGTCTTCCTGGTCGCAGTTGCGGCAGCCGCAGTTACTGTTCCAGTTCTTGTAAATGCGGTGCCGGTTTTTGTCTTTCTACTTCTGGTGGCCCTGGTCTTCCTGGTGCCTGTAGTGGTAGTTCCATTTGCAGAAGCTGCCGAAGACACAATGTCGGCCGCGGCATCCTTGTCAATATTCGCATCCCCAGCCAAAATAGCCTTTACAATATATAGTCCTTCTTTCTCAGTGGTGCCGGCGGCGGCGAGACCCTTTTTGGCGGCTGGAAGGTCTTTTTGGTTCTGAACCACCTGGGCGGAAATTGCGCTTTTCTTCTCTTCAGTGACAATGTTGTCCACCGTGTTGACGTTGGCTGTAACATCGGTCTGCTGCACTGTGATGCAGCCACCGAAACTGAAGTTGTTAATACAGCGAACGGTACACATGTTTCCGGTTGAGGCTGCAATTGTTAGTCCATTGTGAAAAATAAATCTTACTATGTAGCTGTGGAATAGACACACCTCCTATGCATTTAAGGTATGTTGGCATTGTAATACTTAGAGTTAGGTCTCCAGTGCCATACTCAGCGTTATTTTGAGTAACCGTGAGGTTTGTTTGCCCATAAGCCCCCAAAGCATTGCTGGCCTCATCTAAATCGCATGCAAATGGACCGCTGCCGTTAGCGTAGCGCTGGCTGATGACCATTGTGATAGTGCCGCCTTGCGTGGTAGTGGTGTAGTTGCCGGTTTCAAGGAGCTCCTCGGTGACACCGGCCTCGCTGATGTCGCCGGCGAGTAACGTTCTTCCGCAGGCATTTACCGCATTGGCTACGATCTCGGCCTGGTTGATGTAATTTGCATCCGCATAGTTGTTGATCTCAACTGGGATAAGAACATTAGGGCACTGTGGCTGATGAAAACAGACAAGATGGCATGAACTTACCCTGCATTCCATAGCTTATGCCCACGTCACCCTTTGCACTTGCTATGACGCCCTGGCCATAGGCCACAGAGACAAATACGGCCAGTGTCAAATCTACCCGAAAAAAAGACTGCATCGTGGTGAGCAGAGAAAATGAAACTTGACGTATAGAACAGTAGATTTTTCAGATGAGGAGAGAAACCCGGTAAAATAAGACAGACCAGCTGGTGGATAAATAATAGAACTAAATAGATAGCTGAGGAGAGAAGTAATTTCTCTGACTATAAAGAGTATAGAACGAACAAACCAGATTACAAAGGGGGGATATTCGGGACTACGGTCGCGCTTTGGCAATACTATAAATTCCTAAGACGGAGTCCCGAAAAACACAATGCGAGTTCCGTAGGTGGCCAGCCGACGGAGCGACATAAATTTAGATAGTAGCTGCCGACGTGCATAGACGACCGACATCACTGTTTCAAAAGGCATTCATCGGATCATATGATTATACAAATCGGCTGAAACCGCAGCGACCCCACGGAAACAATTGCGCTCCAATTAGGTTGCGAGTACGTTCTGAAACCGCACGTTAATCACTGCCCAGACGTCGATCAGCCGTTATCAGGGGTATGCAGACTCCCCTTAAAGGGACTCGCCAAGACCAGCCCCTCGAACGACGCATCGAGACAATAAGCGTCGATGTCGAATCCAATAGTTTCGCATACTCGTCATCTGTCTCAAGACTACCAAACTTTTAACTGTGCTGAGAAGGCTAGCTATTAGCTGTGCAGATGCGTTAATATGGTCTTGATTTATATAGACAGGTCATTTTCTGTGTCCGTTGTAAGTAATTTGCGTAGGCGGGTTAGTAAATTCTCTATTTTCTGCATTATCAACCATCAATTCCTTTGCTTCAGAAGTTCTGTGTCCTTTCTCCGTCGCTGTTTTTTTTGGTTCTTCTCATTGCGCCATGCATGCCTCTCTGCTTTCCGTCGTCGCCCTTGTCTCTCTGGTGCAGGCTCACGGAGTCATCATGGCCGTCGCCGGGATATCCGGCAATTCAGTAGGATACTCCGGTAAGTCTTTGTCGTATATAAAGTCACAATATAGCAGCGCAGGTTTGCTGACCACTCCAGTGGACGAGAGTATCGCACGCAACTGCACGCTTATCAGTCCTTGCCAGCAAGACACATCCATTATCCGGGACGTCGAGATCAGCGCAAACACCACCGGGGTCTGTGGTCGCACTGAACTAGATGGCAACATCGACATCTCCGTCAGCGTGGAGTCTGCCATTGCGACAGACAATATCACACAGGTAACGGAAGGATCCACTCTAACCGTGACGATACACCAGGTGAACCAAGATGGCAAGCAAGACATTCGCCCGCATCAGACGCTGAACTATTCACTGACATTTAATAGGGGCCGGACCATATACTTGTGATCTATTCACATCCAACTCCTCTACCACGGCCACGGCGACGCTACAGGTCACAAACAACGTCCCGGGTTCGAATGGGCTCTCTCTGGCTAAGTTTACAGACTTCAACATGACGGTCATAATGCCTACAGATTACACATGCTCTCAAGGTTTGTCTGTCTTATCTACGGACCACTACGGACCGCTTGAAAAGATAACTGACATTTAAGGCTCGACTGGAAACGTATGTACCGTCCGCTGTCGAAACTCTGCCCAGGCTGGTCCATTTGGAGGTAAGATGCGCATTCTACCTCTGAGCAAATTAATACACGTCGGGAAGCTAACTCATAACCAGGTTGTTTCGCTGTAGAGCAGATATCCTAGGAAAATATACCCATTCAGTATAAAGACGGGAGGGCCTAGACCAACTGTCATTTTGAGTCCTTATTCCGTCATTCACTGGAGTAGACGACTGATAATGAACCGCTAAAGGGCCCAGTCTTCTGATGTACTTTTCTCATGTTTGTTTTATTTTCACGAGCTTATTATCTCTTGCAACGAACGCTAGACGATATTTCGAGGCTGGAGGCCGTAAGGAACGTGGACTACTCAGCAGATGTCTTGCGAATGTCGAGCGTACTTTTTACTACAGTGGGAACAACACTATTAGGTCCGAATCCATGTTCACCACGAACGTAGTATATTACAGATACACCTTCACAACAGTGTCAACGTTATATTATCCCGATTTTCTCTGGCTTGAATACACTTGCCTTCAACAGCTTCAGTGATGGCTACAGTCTTAGTGATGTCCGTTACTCCCCCCCCTTCCGGTGTGCTGAACAAGGGGCGACTAAGTAATGGCCAGACGAATCTTACCATTAATGACTTCCTTTTTAGAGGTGCATCTTTCAGCACGAATCTGTTGTGTGTCAAGGGAGACGGTGTGCCTTTATGAGCTCAGTGTGCACAAACCGGTTCGAGTTTTGAACAAATAGGACGATGGCACAACTTAAATAAGAAATAAGAGACAGTCAATGCTTGCAGGAATCCATAGTAGTATTTGCATATTTGGAGACGCCGCTCTACTGTAGGGTATTTATGTCGTTTCGCATACACCGGCCATTGATCACACAGCGATCAGATGCTACCAGACCACGGGGCGCTTGACCAGCCACTCTCCCAGCCGCAGTTGAACGAGGCGGCCCAAATCTGTCGCCCCATCCGTCTGCACATAGCCCTCTTCCATATCTCGCAGCAAGTCGTCAATATAGTCACCTGCCCCTGATAGGTGAAGGATGTGGGCAACTGCGCAATGAACAGCGAGAAGTCTAGGTGATGGGGGATCGATGGTTCGTGTCCTGGTAACATGTAGAGTTCTCGTTACAGGAATTGGAAAGCCAAAGTGGCGGGTTATGAATTCGGGAAGATAGGACCTGATAACATAAGTATGTATCTGGTCCGGTACTGGCTCGAAATATATTTTGAACTGGCCGAAGTATCGATGCAGCTGAAGGTCTAAGGTAATGGCGTTGAACGGACGATCAATCTGATAGCCTTCAATCAGACGTGCGACACCATAATCGAACATGTTTAGTATTGCGAGCGCTGTCTGTTTCGCAGGATTCTTTACTAACGCGTTAGCTTTGTGTCAGGGAGAGAAATAATAAAAACATACCAATTCAGACTTCGAGTGGGCCGTTTCGGTTAACGAATGCGGTAGAATGTGAGCAACTTCTAGATCACCGAACGGAAGCGGACTGTCATCTAGCAGATTGCCCTCGTCATCTCTTGCATCGGACCCGTGTAGACGTGCACGGAGTTGTGCCTCTGTTGAATCAAAGTGGCGCGTGATCACGCACTGGTGGCGGTCTCGAACAAGACACGCACCCCGTAAGGCAGACAGTCGATCTGGTGTTCCGGCAAATGTCTCTGGTTGCCGTGCAAGCCTTTGGATAGCAGAGTGGAAAGCCGGTGAGGGCTGTGGGGTTCGATGCGCCGTTGCCTTGACTGTAGAATAGGTTAGGGCCAAAAAAAGAACGGAATGAAAGGACTGAACATACGAGGTAGAAAGAAAAAATTCATTAGGCAATCAGCAAAGTCAAAAAAAAGGTCCGCTAAACCGTCGATTTCATTCAGTTCGAGGACGTTTTCCCCTCCTATCGAAACAGCCAGAAATTTAAAAAAGCTTCGCAATACATTATCGCGCGACTCTTGATTGATCGCAAACTCGTACGTGCACTTTGTCAGCTGTGCTTTGTTGTACGGACTGTTTTTGGCGTGGCCGTTGAGATGCTGAACGATGTGGTGAAATCGGGCCAGGGCTTCATTGCGCTCAACCGTAGAGAATGGCGGTTCTATAGATGATAAATCAAGGATTCCTTCTAGCGATGCCTGATGGCGAAGATGAGGTGTTGTATCAGCCATCGAGAAGATGGCCCGGGCGGCGCTGGAGTGGTGTTGTCAATGAAATGTGGATTTGTCTAGAAAGGTGACAGGTTAAGACTCTGCACACGGGTGGGGCCAAACCATTCAGGACTAGCCCCGTATTTCGCGTGACAGCTTTACGTCGTACGGAGTACGGAGTAGTGTCAAGCATTGGAATCCGCCACACTGTGGCCCTTCCGCCCCACTTGGCCGTACGGGCCTGTAATTGGTCAGAAGGCACAAAAGGGGCCTGACACTAGTATTAATACGGATCCCTAGAAGGGTCGCGATGTATCTATTTCTTCCTTAGTACACAACACTCTTTCGCCCCACAACTAGACACTATTCAGCCTCCTGCTCCTCACAGTGCATCACGTTATATGACCGCTACGTATAGCCTCCTTTAACCTTCACAAGTAGACGTTTTTTATTACGCTATCAGAATGACGTAGTGATTTTATGCGTATACGGAATAATTACTCCTGCAACGGAACTTTATCCGCGACATTTTAAAATTATGCGTGATACAAAAAAAATTCACAAAAAATCCTTCAAAGCTATCGAAATGATCTCAATATCGACAACCTTGACCGCCCTCGTCAGCCTTATACACGTCTACATCTTGGTTCTGGAAGCGTTCTTTTGGACAGCCCCAGTCGGACGCCGAGCATTCAGACTTACGCAGGATCTAGCTTCTAAAACACGGCTGCTCGCTATTAATATGGGCCTGTATAACGGCTTCCTAGCTGCTGGTCTGGTCTGAGGCGTGCTGCAACCCGACCCAGACTTCCAGTCACAAGTCCGGCTCTTCTTTCACGGCTGTGTCGCTGTTGCCGGCCTCGTTGGCGCAGCAACATCGAGTAAGAAAATTCTGTACGTGCAGTTTGTGCCGGGTATCCTGGGTCTTGCGGCTACACTGCTGGGACTCTAAAGAAAGAAACTGTGTGGGCCCTCTGGAATTCGAAAAATAAAGTGGTGAAATAGCCAAATTCAGAGCAGAGGTTCTATAGTCTTACGAGAATATATGTCCTGCTTTGCTAGAGCCGCTCATTGTCAAGACTTAAGTCGTTGCAGCTGACAATCATAAACTGAATGGTGAAAATAATTGACATTGTGTATTATGCGCATCGTGCCTGACTGAGGTACCAGATACGAATAATCTTGCCAGAACCACACAACTCACAAAGTTGAGTTGAGGAGGTCATCTTTCCGGTCAGGAGGCAAGCCATTTCAAAGATAGTGATTGGGATCGTAGCTTTTCATAGACACCGTGTGTGCTATTGGTTCTAACATCAGGCGTCGACATCTTCACGGGCTGAGGGAAATGTTAGAGTATCTTGGCATATGCAGAAACTAGCAGTTGCCGAATGTTTCTGCCTCCGGCTGAACCCTAAACTAATCTGTGGTGTGGTACTCCGTACTCTCTCACAATTAAAAATGTAAACCAGTAGCTCTTGAGATCCATCTATATGAAAATCCTCGGCTCGTAGTAGCTTTCCTTACCTGGCAAGTTTCGTCGATAAAACTGCACAAAACACAGATATAAAAAGGGTTCAAAACCAATACTAGGCCATGTTAGAGTCTTGGTTCTGCCGAAAATACGGAGTACAATGTCTCGTTTTTCTCCAGGAGGTGTGCGCCATAGACTCCATCGTTTTTAGTTTGGTGATTTACATACGGCTGTCAGATAATTGGGACGCAATTGCACAGTGCACCCATGAATTTATGCCACACGGAGTACTGCACAACTATCCACACGAAAGACTGTGCAGACTTGCGTACATAACAGAGGCGTTTTACCTTACGCGCGCTTCTGCGGCTTGGACTGGCAATGTGAAGATGACAAGTTCATGTTTCGTTTTCTGTAGCTATAGGCTACTGGTATGTATTTCTTCCAAAACGATTCCCATAGACCGCACCACGGCCCAGACGTTTCTCTCATTGCAACTTTGAACCATGAGCATCATAAACTTGCGCTCGCAGAGTTTGGGGTCTTCCGTCAACTCGAGCATACCAAGTTGTTCAAGGTTGCGTGTTGTCAGAGATGTTCGCTTGTTTCTAATGTGCTGCGTTAGAGCATTGTTCACCGTGTTGTACACCACCCTTGCTGGATCAAAAACCCTTGCGACAGAGTTTCCAGTGCCATGTGCGTTCCGGTCGTTCAGGTCTGTTGTGGCGAACCGGAGGACACGGTAAAGATCCAAGAGGGCACGGAAGCCTATGACACTTATCCATGGCGCTTCTGTCATGGCCAAAGATACATCCTTTCCCCAGATGCTGTCCATAGTGCTCATCAACTCCTCGAATATGAGCAAGAATCCTTCCTCGCCGAATGGTCTCTGCATTGTGACGCTGTTCCTCGACCTCCTCCCGAGAATCTGAGTACCGAGAGAAAGATGGGCTGCGGTGGCAAAGGAGGCCGTTATGTCGGTGTCCACGATACCACATATAAGAAAGTCGTCGGGGACACAGAGACTGATTTTGGCGACCCAGCATATCAACTGTGCTGCATTCCACAGCCGTTTCCCAGTCTCTCCATTATTTGCGGCATTCAAACTGGCACTTTTGAGTCCGAGTATGACGCTCAATGCCGTCGATATCTGACTGTTCTGTGAGTGCGTCAAAATATGAAATGGAGACGGGTTGGACGGATTTGGAGGAAGTTGATAGAGATAATGCGTGAAGCCGCGAACTATGCGATATATGTTGACCGTGACGCAGAGCAGTGCAAAGTGCGAATACGACAAAGCCTTCAAAACTGACTCAGGAGGCCCACCGGCCATTAATGTCTGCGTGACAAGGAAAAGAGATTTCAAGGTGGGCCCTCGATCGTTTGCCGGACTATCCATGGCCTGGTAGCTGGCGGCCTCTTGGATTATTTGCTGCGACCATTCATGGGCGGTGTTGGCTTCCCAGGCCTGTGTAGACCAAGGTAGTTCCCAAACAAGCTCGAGAGAGGATATTTCGGGCCTTGTGTTACACGCGAGAACCAATTGGAAGTCGATCATGGTTAGGCCATAAAGGCTCATTTTCAAGGACTCTTCGTTGATGAAAGAGTGCCATGTGTCGTCTGACTGGACAGGACCCATGACCAGCTCCATTCTTGCGTCCAGCTCCTGTCTCCAGGAGTAATTGTACTCGCAGATGTGTTGCTGGAACAGCCCGGCTTCTCTTATATCCTGTGCGAATGGTGACAGAAAAAACCCATGATTAGTGTTATGCCCTCCAACGGGTTTAGCATGGCATTGTACTTACAGAGACAAGACCAGTTAGCATTTGGCGGCTCTGGGAGAATCTCTCGGTCGCGAAAGCACCGTAAACAATACAAAGAAGAGAGGTCTGTAGGATCCAGTTGTCCTTCCATCTGCCAGGATCTGAAATGGCCTGAGACGTCAATTGTCAGCGTACCGTCTAGTTGGATATAACACGGCCACGGTTCTGGAAAGTCATAGACTGGTGTGATTTGCAGGTAAAAATTGTGGTAGGGTCACTGACTGTGTTTTGTAAGCTGACGACACAGGATTCCCATAGATCATTACTCTGCTGTTGCGCCACCTCAGCCGATATCATGGTATCTGTTTTGCAGCGATAAAGATTTCCGATGGCGGCTGCTATATTTACGAGTGGCTTGGGCGTTGTTTCGAGTGAAAATGTAGGCCTGTGTAAAATCGGAAATCCTGGATGGAAGTTTGTAAAATATGACGTGATGCAGGATGCAGTGGCGTCCTCGGACAGACTACATTGCCTGTTATTAGAAGGCGTTGACTGTAAGCCTTCGACAGGTTTCTTGTACGCACAGATTGTCTTGTTGGGGCATGTTGAGACTCCGGGCTGCATCGAGGAGATATTCTAGCCCATCATCTGTTTGCTGGATAGCAGCGCCAGCAGCTGTTTTTTTGGCATCCGTAGACGAAGCCTCTGACGGTACGCGGCTGTCAAGCAGCTTCGCCCTTCTCGGTGTCGGATGGCCATCGCACCGTTCCTGGTGTCTTTTACAAATGTCCCTGAAGAACCGTTAGGCCAAGGTCCGACCATGCGGACGGAAGGGGCATCGAAACACACCTCCTGCTAAAGTTGGCCTGACAAAGTTGACACTCAAATGATTTGTAGCCGGATGCCCCATGGCCTGTTTGCCTTCGTTAGGATATCTTTCCCATTTAAAGGTCCGGTATACGATAGGTTAGGCTGCTTTACGAACGTGTTCTTTTATGCCGCTTCAAGTTTTCCTTTGTGGGCGTTAGAGATGGCAAAGACGAAAAGAACGCGTGATTTAAGTAAACATACACTTCTGGTAAATGACTGTGCGCAAAAGGGACAGGCAAATGGGCGTGAAATATCCATTGCTCGAGCCGGAAATATAGCCGTAGACAGCTGTAATCTTTTCTACCAAGCTGCACCTTGAGTATGCAAAGGCGGCGTTTTGGACGCTAAATATGGTGTAATAGCTGAAACGGGACTTGCGCTGCGTTCTCGGCGCGTCTTGGCTGGGCCACACACAAGTTCAGAGAGGGGGGATACTGCGCGATATATACGGCGTCAATGATAAGAGATGCATGGGGCCCCGTTTTAACCCACTTCGTAGTGCATCTTAACTTCCGCCAAGATCTTGGGACTAAGCCCACTCGAGCAAGATACGCATGGACCATTCTACAGCAATCTAGCCCCGTATTTGGCGACAATGCTGTATTTTCATGCCTAAATTCGAATGCCGGTAGCCTGTATTTAGAATAACACGGAGTCATGTGGAGAATTAGAGGCAAACTCAAAGTATTAACAATTCCAACCAGGCTTTTATTGTGAACAGCTTAATGCAGTCTATGCATGGATATAAAGTAAAGGTCCGACATGAAGTCTTATATTGCAGTGCATTTTACCGTTTCACGCCCCAGTCCGACTACCGGGCCAGAAACTCGGAAACATCCTCCTCCCGGTAGATTGGCTGCTTGTCCACGCCGTCGAGCAGACCGAGGTACCAGCTCAGGTCGTGTCCATCGAATTCGCGCTCGGCACGACCGTTTCCGAAATAGTAGAATCTGTTGTGGTTGGCGCGGGTTAGACGGTAGTCCTCCCACCGCGGCGTCTCCAGGGCGTCGAAAAAGTGCACCCGGGATCCGGGCCACATCATGACTTCGCCCTTGACGCTGCCCTGCTTAAACCACGAGTTGCATGAGCCACTCCAGGCCGTCCGTGGGATGAAAGCACGGCGGTGCTCGGCAAAATCCTCGGTGGCCTCTTCTGTTGGCTCGAAGGCCGTGATCCACTCGTCTGACATCTTCTGGATCATCTGCATGTAGTGCTTGCTGATCTTCTCCATGACCGGGAGAATACTGCCGTGGCCATAGACACCGAAGGGACCGTTAAAGACTAGGTTCCATTAGTAGGCATGTAAGGATATGGGTATCAAGGCTTCGTTGGCTTTCGACTCACTCAAGTAGTTGGGGAAATGAGGAACAGACATAGACAAGTATGTCCGGGACGCATCCTTCCATTCCTCGCTCAGGCTGCGGCCACCCCGGCCGATTGTCGGGTAACGCGGCTTCCAGGTGACGTCGAATCCGGTGGCACACACGATGATGTCAACCTTGTGCTCGGTTCCATCGTCGGAGATAAGGCCATCCTCGGTGATCTTCTTGACACCACCGCGAATAAAGTCCACGTTGTCCTCGCACAGGGCCTCGATGAAGCCGTTTCCGGGCGTTGGCCGTCTGCAGCCGATCTCGTAGCCCTTGGGGATGAGCTGCTCGGCAACTTCGGGCTTCTTGGCCGACTTCCTCGTCATCTCTTTGATGGCAAACTGGAAGCATGTCAGCAGTCAGAGACAGAGACAAATTGAGGTCGGATGGAGCTGACCTCTCGTGCCTCCTCTTGCTCCTTGGTGCCGTTCAGAATGAGCCTGAACCGCCCGTTGAGCTCTGACTCGACAAATTTCCGGTACGTCAGGTACTTCTTGGGGTCCGTCCGCATGACCTCCTTCTGCTCATCCGAGTCTGGGAGGATGCGTTAGAAGTGCTAAGGAAACCGACTTGTGTTGAAGACGTTGCTCACATTTGAAGTTGGCGCCATTCGGTCCGGCAAAGCGCTGGCCAAAGCCTGCTGTCACCCATGTCGTACTCCGCACAAAGGCCTTGAGGTTCTTGACAACTGCAATGCAGTATTAGTAATCAATATGGGGAACTGTGCTGTTTGGTCGAGGTAGGCTGCTCTGCTTACTGGGCTGCAGGGCAGGGATGATCTGGATGCCGGATGAGCCGGCGCCAATGACTGCAATAGTCTTGTCCTTAAAGTCGACAGACTGGTCCCAGTTTGCACTGTGCATCATCGGGCCCTTGAACGTCTCCCGTCCCTAACAATTTCGGGCCACTTCCACTTGCTGCAGTGCAGATGTTAGCGGGTGTACTTGCTTAAGGCAGCCAGTAAGCAAGGTACGTGGAGCATACTTCAGCACACCAGTAGCGTTCAACAGAACGTTGCACTCGTCCTCGAAGAACTCATCCGGCTTGTCGAGCTTCTGCACCCGGACACGCCATGTCTGGGACTCTTCCTGCCAGTAACATCCAGTGACGAGGCGGTTCACGTGGCAGTACTTCAAAAGATCAAACTCCTTGGCGACGTTCAAGAAGTACTGGTGAATCTCACGGGAGCCCGAGTAGCTGAAGGTGACAACGTTAGTCAAACGAGCTCGAGGGCAGTTCGATGGAGGAGTCGCTTCATGCTTACTAAGTGGTCCAGTCTGGAGAGGGTGCCCACGAGAACTGGTAGCAGACGGAAGGAATGTCGCAAGCGCATCTGGAAGGTTAGCTTGCTTCACTGCATCCTTATCTGCATCGACACGGGATCACATACCCTGGATATCTGTTCTCGTACCATGTGCCACCGATGACAGGGTTCTTGTCGTAGGCAACAAATTCAATGTCAAGATCGCTGTTGTTGACCTCGTGACCGAAGCAGAGTGCGCTCGCACCGGCACCAATGGCAATAACCTTGATCTTACGGGGCTTGCGCATGGGCTCCTCCTTGATCTGGTATGTCGTCTTTTCCGCAGGGGCCGGGCTAATGTGAAAGCCGTTGGCCTCTGCAGGTGAGCTGTTTGTTGGGATAGACATGGTTGTGGGAGATGAATCGATAGCTGTCAGGCTTGTTTGTCTGGTGCAATGGCTATACCTTCAGCAAGTCAGTGTGCAATCTGGAGTTGATATAGGTTACTCGCGTCTGACAGATCAGATGTTCATCGAACCATTCCAGTGGACACAGACAAGCAGCGGAAGAGCAAGGGCTCCTTGTGGAAGGCAGCTCTGGGAACTCCGGAGCTCCACTGATAGAGCACTGCTCTCTCATCGATTGCCTGCCCCCATCCCCCGTCCTCATCCCGCTGCCCCGTAAAGGCACTTGTCCACGTAGCTTTCGGCCTAGGCTTATCGGTGGATCCATCCACTCGCTCTTTGTCCACCTGCACACTCCGCCTCCACAGCGCTTAGCCAGGTTTTTAGACCAGGTCCAAGACCTTATCGTGGTCAACTTATTCCAATCCGCCTCCACATCACGTCCAGGATCCCCTCGCTTTCCAGCCATAGCCACCAGCTTATATGTTAGGCAAGGTCTTATCCAAGAGGCGAATGCATGACACGACCTCACTCGCTCCCTTTGTGCGCTACCACTGATAAGAATATTGGCCTCGTACAGATTGGATATTAGTGATGCGCATAAATGTGCTCGTATATCAGGGAGTTGTTGAGAGCCGTGGAAAAGGAGATTAGTGCAAAGCCCTGCAATCCCGAGATGTGTACCCACAGATAAGACCTTCACCAAGGCCAGATAATATTTATTTGCCGACTAAAACCGTCACTTTCTAGAGTTGTTGCTGGCTCGTTGGTGTTGCCCTGTGATTCGTCAACCTTCACTCAGTCAACTTACTGTCTTAAGCCTTGCCAGAGAGCCCAAGAAGGAAACCCTGACCCAAGGCTTTCTCGACAACATGGCAGGACACGAGGTGTCCGACACCAAGACGGCCATGCAGGATATTGAGCCGACCAAGGTTGACAGCGAAGCCGCCCGGCCGTCTGCCGAATGGGCGGCCGGTGACATCGCCAACGTCAAGCTCCAGGACAGCTCCCTCGACCCGGCTCTCAGGGCCACTGGTGGAAACATTGTGCACTACTCGGACGAGGATTATGCCCGCGTGCTCAAAAAGATTGACACGCATGTGCTGCCTCTCATGTGCTGGATTTACATGATCCAGTTTGCCGACAAGTCCAGTCTCAACTACTCGTCCCTGATGGGCATCAAGAAGGACAACCATCTGAACGGGTACCAGTACAGCTGGCTCGGCAGCATCTTCTACGCGGGCTACATTTTCTGGGAGTAAGTGAATACACCAGGCGAGCACCGGCCATCCGTCAGTGAGAACAACTGCTGACAACTGCCTTTCTCTCCCCTTACAGATTCCCCACCACGTTCTTTCTGCGACGCCTTCCCCTGGGCAAGTATCTGTCTGTCAATATCGTCTGCTGGGGTGTCGTCTTGGCGTGCCACGCAGCCACCAGCAACTGGGCCGGCCTGATGATCTCACGTTGCTTTCTCGGCGGCTTTGAGGCAACCATCACGCCTGGTTTCGTTCTGATCACATCCATGTGGTACAAGCAGAACGAGCAGGCTCGCAGAATGGGTTACTGGCTGGCCTGCAACGGTGCCGCTTCCATTCTTGGTTCTCTGATTGCCTACGGCCTGTCGGCTGTAAACCACTCTGCCTTGGCTCCCTGGAAGATCCTCTTCCTCCTCTTCGGCCTCGTGACCGTTGTTACCGGCTGCTTCTACCTGTGGTACATGCCTGACAACCAGCTGAACGCCAAGTTCCTGACCGAGGAGGAGAAGCTGATTGCCGTGGAGCGCATCCGAGACAACTTCCAGGGCATCGGCAACCGCGTGTGGAAGTGGAATCAATTCTGGGAGGCACTGCGCGACCCGCGCACCTGGCTCTACGGTCTCTACTCCCTGCTCATGAACATCCCCAACGGAGGCATCACTGTCTTTGGAGGAGTCGTCATCAAATCGTTCGGCTTCGACTCGCGGACTTCACTTCTGCTCAGTGCCCCAGGCGGTGCCGTTGATATCATTGCAAAGCTGTTGTTCCCCTGGCTCTCCGATTATTTCATGGACCGCTCTTTGTTCTCCTTCATTGCCATCCTGTTCCCCACGCTTGGCTGCGTCCTGATGACCGTTATTCCCCTCGAGCACAAGGGGGCTCTCCTGTTCGGCAACTACTTGATCTCTGTTGCCGGAGCGTCTTGGTGTCTCGTCATGGTTCTGATTTCCAACAACACTCTTGGCTACACCAAGAAGTCGACTGTCAACACTGTCCAGATTCTTGGTTATGCCGCCGGCAACTGGATCGGCCCTCAGACCTTCCGCAGCAACGATGCACCGCTCTACCACACCGGAAAGACCGTCATGGCCGTTCTCTACGGCTGCTCTGCTCTTGTGCTTGTAGCAATTCGGGTCATCAACATTATCGAGAACAAGCGCCGTGACAAGGTCCAGGCCGAGTCTGGCATTGACCTCAACGACCCCGAGGTGCAGGAATCGATCCAGAGATCCAAGTTCATGGATCTGACCGATTATGAGCAGCCCCACTTCCGATACATTCTGTAAGCGAGGCATCGTTGGGTGGTATGGATAGGGTGCGGATGCGCTCCCCCTTTTCACAAACCTATCTTCCTTCTTCCTCGTTTTGTTATGGGGGACTAGGAACTAGCGTTTCATTTCATTTCTTCTCTAGTATAACGCTGGGGCTTATTTCGATACGATATTTCGATACGGAACAATTGAATCATTTGCCCTAATTAAATTTAAAGGGCACATATGACCAAAGAAGTTTCTTCATATGTGCATTGTAGAAACTGTAATACATTGCAACCAAAGCCTAAAATCCTAAAATGCACGCTGCTTTTATTTTCTGCATTCTACGCTGCCCAATCTGCTACCAGCACTGCCAGAGTGTCGTCACGCCCAACATTTCCCGGGAATACTACGTACGGAATGCCCGGGAATCGGCTTGTGTCCTCGTCACACCTCCAGATCGGCACCCCCGGGACGGCTTGGCCTAGGACACGAGCCCGCCGCATGAGGAGAGACTTGCTGGCCGCATCTGAAGACGTGATGCCTCCTTTTGCAATCAGGTATCGCGGCCGCACTCTGATGCTGTCAACAACACGAACGAGGCTAGCTGCCACCCTGGATCCTATGCCAAGAGCATCTGTGCCAGTGATCAGAGCCCGAGACGTCATTACAAGGACGTCTTTACCCTGGCTGATCGTGCGTGTTGCCTCTTCAGCAGCCTTGACCACTGCAGACTCGGCTTCTTCGACGTCTCCCACCAAGGTGTTGACATTGAGCTCGATGACTGCAAGGTCGTGTCCCCTTTTCTCTAGCAGAACTTTCAGTTGGGCCGTCGTCTTGGGCACATAAGAGCCACAAACAATCAGACCACCTGTTGCCGAAGCTGGGGGATGGCCTGGTTCTACTGGGCCCACAAGGTCTGAAAGACCGAGAGGGGAAATTGGGGGAATTCCTAGACGAGACGACACAAAGGCAGCGCCCACACGATATAGGTAGCGCTTGCCTCCAGTCTTTGCAGCCGCAAGGAGACCAGAGACAAGAACATGCATGTCCGTTTCTGCTGCTGCGTTGACAATGATGACCGGTTTTGTTTTCGGAGGAACGGCTAGCAGTTTTTGCATCACGGCCGTTGGGCCACCGACCCGTATATCTTGAATCGTGATGGAGAGGAAAGGAGAAGATTCGTTGAGCTGTGAAGGGAATTTTTCCAGAATGTACTTTCTCAGATTAGAGTTTTTGTAACCAAAGGTTGCATCTTGAGCAAACGGAGTCTGGCTTGCGGGCACGAGCATTTCTCCTTCGGCAACGTAGTGGATGTCGTCAATGGTGTATCGCCCTCCCTGAAAAAAGAACGGGGATATGACCCAGCCGTCAAAGGGCCCCATAACCTCCTCGACAGTCTGTATCTCCTCGAGAACGTGGCCACGCAGGGTTGAGTCTCCTCGGAGGACAATGTCGACCGTCTTTGCGGCTCTTTCTGCGGCACGTTTTACCTGACCGCAAATCTCGAACAGGAGGCTGCGGGCAGCAGCAGATGGAAGCGCACGAGAATTGGTGAGGATGAAGAATCCGGTGGGGTTTCGCTCGAACTCATCGTCCAGCGTCTGGTCGTCCCACACCAGGAGGACATTGACATCATGACATGTCTGAGTGCCAGTGGGATCATCGTCGAGCACGACAAGGGTGGAAACCTCTCTGTTCTGCACGATCGTCCGAATGTCACCGAGCGCATCATCCATGGTTTCCGCAGGCAGGCTCTTCAGAGTTTCTTGCAGGGGAATGCACTTCGGCTCTGGCTCCTCTGGGAGGCCCTTCGCCACAGATACATCTCTTGCCGGCGTCCACAAGCGAACAAGTCCGATATCTGCCTCGCGGCTGAGTCCATGCGCAGCACCTGCGATGTACAAGTTGTGTGCCACACCAGAGACCGGGCAGATGCAGCCAAGGCGCTTGCCTTCCTCCAACACAATACCCAGGTCTTTGACAAAGATGGCCAGAGCAGAGTGCGGAGTCCAGTCGTTGTCCAGAATCTGTGGTACACGATTGACGAACATCCAGCTGCAGGCAGCCGAGCTACTCACAATCTCGTAGACAGACCTCATATCGAGGCCCAGACGAGACGCGAGGGCCATAGCCTCGGCTGCTGCTGCAATGTGAACACCGGCAAGAAGCTGGTTGACACACTTGACGGACGAAGCTGCACCAACGCCACCTTGCACGAACCGTAGGTTGTCCTCGGTTCCTGTCATGGCCATAAGAAGACTGTAGATCTGGCACACGACGGATTCGTTTCCTGAGCAGATGATCTAGAGACAAACGGCTCAAATTAGCGACAGAATGACCGTGAACAGTTTTCAAGACGTACTGTAAGGTTTCCAGACGCAGCTCGTGCCACACCTCCACTGACGGGTGCATCGAGGAGAGAGATGCCCCTGTTCAGGCCATCAAGCCTCTCCTGCAGGCCACGGACAAAGTGCGGCGGCACAGTAGAACTCAGGATCACAACAGCACCGTCGGGAAGCGACTTGACCACCTCTCCCGACCCAAAGAGAACATCCTCGGCTTGAAGTGCATTCTGCACCATGAGAATGACGACGTTGGCGTCCCGTGCAGCTGCAGCTGGGCAGTCTGCCCGAGTGCCCTGACCCCCATGTGCCAAGAATTTGTCAACGGCCGCAGGGAAGATATCGAAGCCGTGGACTGCATATCCAGCACGAAGCAGCGATGCGGCCATGCCCTGGCCCATGGCACCGAGGCCGATCATGCCGATCTTTCTGATCTGGCAGCCAGACGTAGCTGGAACCAGTTGTCTGCGGCCGCCTGGAGCGCTGCTGCTTTTGTGAACCGCATCCGGTGTTTGTGGCAAAAACATGCGCACCAGTCCAGCATCATCTTCTCTTCCGTAGCCGGCTGCAGAGGCGGCAATATACAGCTGCTCGACTGTGGATCCCAGGGGAAGAGGGAAGCCGAGACTGCGACCAGTCGAGACTACAACTCCCTGCGAGACAGTTAGCGATTTTGAGGGATGACGTAGACCAGAGGGAAAAAACAGTGAAATAAACGCACCATATCCTGGACAAACGTATCCAAAGCAGAGACAGTCGTCCAGTTCGAATCGAGCATACGCGGTACCCGATCTTCAAAGGCCCCTGAATTTCCGGCCGCCGTGATGATGATGTCGTATACCTCACGGGTGTCCAGACCGGCTTTGGCAGCCAGAGCCATGGCCTCGGCAGCTGCAGCAACATGTGTGCCGACCAGCAGCTGGTGGACCAACTTGACCTTGCTCGCCGTGCCAAGCCCCCCCGTGATCACGTGCAAATTTGCTGATATGCTGCGCAGCAAGCCGTCTGCGTCTGTGAGGGCCTCTGCAGTGCCCGAGGCGATGATGGCATCCCCAGAAATGGGGCAGTCCACCACATGCACATCAGGTCTGCCGTGGAGCGTAAGCCGAGATTGGAGTCCGTCGTAGAAAGTGGGGGGGATTGTCGAGCAGATGAGGATAGTGGCACTCTTTGGCAAAGCTATCGGCCCAATCTCGTCTCAGTTGCTAGTCCTGAATGGAGATCTTTGGGTTTCTTACTGACCTAGAAGCGCCCCGGTTTCGTTATTGAACAATACGTCGCCTAGTTGCTCTTCGCTGGCCACAGTGCAAACCAAGAAGCGAGAGTGCTCTGCGACCTGCTTTGGCAAAGTGCCAGCATGCCCTCCACGCACAGAGAGCTGCGCCATGCTGGACGGATCGGCGTCAAAGCCCCATACGCCATAGCGGCCGCCCTGGATGAGTTGCTCGGCCATCCGGAAACCCGTGGCCCCGAGGCCAATAAAGCCAACGCCCGCCAAGGACGTGTCAGTAGTGGAAAGAGCCATGTCTTTTCCTGCGTTGTAAGCTCTGCTCTGCGACGTGCAGTCAAGATTGACTAATTCTATTCTACGAATTAGGGGTGCTTCTGCTCATAAAGAGCAGAGTCTGGCTTCTGCGGACGGTTGACCAGTCTAGTGGACTCCCTTCTTTTGGGGTGGAGCAGCAGCGGTGGTGCATCGCCGGTAGTTGGTCAGAATGATCACTAATGTTTTTTGTTAGCCGTCGACTCTCTCTGTGGAGGCGGAGCATCTGCTATCGGCCGATATCGTAGCAGGTGCTTCTGTTAGTGGAAGCAGCAGAAAAGGACCTCTGAGCTACAAAACATGTGCTTGACATTTGCGCATGAGGCACATCTTTCTTTTCACATAGCAACATAGCAACATAGCCATTGCGAAGATATCCAAACCCACGTCATTTCTGCAAAGATGGCTTCCACTGATGCGTTTGGATGGGTAAGAAGTCCATCTGTCCTTCGCAGTCGTCGATCTCTCGTCTGACAGCTCTCTACAGTATGGGCTCGGTTCCATGGGCATTGGCATGGCCCTGAACCTGCAGAAGCATCTCGCTTCCAAGGGTATGTCGCCGCTTCACTACAGCAACCGGACTCTGTCGCGAGGCGAAGCCCTCAAAGAGGCTGGTGCGATCCCGGAAGCGACCTTTGAAGATGTTGTCGCCAAGTCGACCATTATCTTCACCATGGTGAGTCTATTCTCCACTCGCCTTTCTTCTCTCGCGATACCCGCATTCTAATTGCATGATAAAAGATCTCCAACGACCAGGTTCTCGACGACCTCGTGAGCCAGGCTCTCGCCAGCTCTGCCTCCCTCGCGGGCAAGATCTGGGTTGATACCTCGACCGTCCACCCGGACACCAGCACGAAGTGCGCAAAGCGGCTCGGGGAAAAGGGAGCCACGTTTGTGGCCTCACCCGTCTTCGGTGCCAGTCCGGTCGCCGCCTCTGGCCAGCTCATCTTCTCCATGGCTGGCCCGGCCGCTGTGATCGAGAAGCTCACCCCCTTCGTCGTCGGCGTGATGGGCCGGCAGATCATTAACATGGGCGAGGATGTGTCCAAGTCGAGCCTGCTCAAGATCTCGGGGTACGTGCTGAACGAGATGGGATCGGCCAGTCTGATACTGATAAAGCTAACAATGGTCACTGTCGCAGCAACATCTTCGTTATCGGGCTCCAGGAACTCGTGGCTGAAGCACACGTGTTTGCCGAGAAGACAGGTCTTGGCACGGCACAGATGGAACAGTTCATCGGCAGCATGTTCGGGCCCGTTCTCGAAAGCTACTCGAAGCGGATGACTACCGGCGCTTACGCACCGCCACTCGACGTCAAGCCCGGGTTTGGCGTCGATCTGGCATCCAAGGACGCTCGCCATGCCGTTTCCATCGCCAAGGACAACGGCACCACCCTTCCTACAATTTCGACCGCCCTGGCTCGCATGACAGCTGCCCGCGAGTACGCTGGCGAGTCCCTGGACAGCTCTTCTCTGTATGGCACAGCCCGATTGGAAGCCGGTCTTCCTTTCTGGAGTGAAAACAGCAGACAAGGAAACTAGACAGATTTGGGTTGCCGATATCATCTTATACTCCGCACATAGACTTAATATAGATTCAAGTAAATTAAATAACTACATCAAGATCGTGAACGTCGCTTCTCTGCTGCTTTCAGTCGCTCGGCCTCCAAACTCTACTGTGTTGACAGTGCCGGATGGTATCAGAACCTTCCAGTCAAGCCTCCACTTCCTCCATCCGTCCGTCTCCTTCGTTTTCCTCCACTTACCTCCACCTCCACCTCCCCAGTGTCCGTATCCACCGTCTCCATCGTATCCAACATCTCCAGCATCTCCACCATCTCCACCACATATCTGCGCCATAGCGGACCCCCTTGCTTACAGGGCACTGTTCCGTATTTTGAGCTTTAGCCTTGTTGACTCTTACTCATGACTACACAAATACGTGATAAGACACAGGGTTTGGGTCAAGCCAACAATGCACGGACAGTTGTCCACGTCTTGCATCTGCACAATCTGGCATTAGTCTGTGGATCTACCGAAGTACGCTATCTAGCGCTGCGGCTACGTATTCCACGTTTCCTTCGTTTAACCCTGCAATGGATATCCGAGAGCTATCTGCCATGTAAATATGATGTTTCTCTGCACGTAATGGAAATTAGCATTGGACCTCATTGGACAGCAGACTCTGGTCTTACCTCTTAGCTCCATAACCTTTGCAAGGGGAAGCCCCAAGACACTAAACATGCCCTTCTGTTCCATGATTGGCTTCCAGTCTCCAGGGGTGTCTAGATGTGTCATTGTGAGCGATAATGTCGCAGGAAATTCAGGAGCGCAAAGATTCTCACCTCGCTTCTTCAGACCCTCGTAGAGCGCAGTGCGCATGCCGGAGATCCGCGAGCTCATCTTGATCAGGTCTCTATCCCACTGGGCACGCAGCTCGTCATCGGCCAGGACCGCAGCAACGATGCGGGCACCAAAGGCGGGAGGGTTCGATATCTCGGCGCGAGTCTGCTGTGCGAGTCTTGACTGCATTGCTTTGGCCGACGCCGCAGTTTTCGTGGCCATGGAAACGTATCCAACTCGCTCACCTGGATGCCCATCAACATGTTAGCTTGGCTGAAACTCCTCTCCTGTGCAATAATAAATGTCCGTGTAAACCCACCGTAGAGACCCATGTTCTTAGCAAACGATGCGCAAATGACAGTCTCTAGCTTCAGGTCGTTTACAAAATGCCGGATGGCAAAGGCATCCGCTTCGTAGCTGCCAGACGTTATGCCGAGGTAGGCTGCGTCAAACAGGGGCAGCAGCTGCCGGTCCTTGATCACCGTGGCAATTTGGCGCCATTGCTCGTTGCTGGGATCACAGGCACTCGGATTGTGTCCGCTCGCGTGGAGGATGATAAGCGAGAGAGGTGGCGCCTGAGACAAGTCTTCCAGGATGGAAAGCAGATCCAGACTGCCTGTTTTTGGCGAGGACCAGCGGAAGTCGCGTACCTCAAAGCCAATGGTCTCAAAAACCTGGCGGTGATTGGACCAGGTCGGGTTGTTGATGTAGACGATAGTGTCTTTTGGCAGTGTCTGGTACAGAACAGATCCTGCCAGATGCAGGGCCCCGGTCCCGGACAATGACTGGCTCGCGGCCACCTTGTTCTCAGACACGACCGGTGAGTCCTTGCCGTACACCAGCTCGGTAACATGAGTTCGGAAGGGCAAAAGGCCTAGAATGGGCAGATACTCGTGGTTGGCATCACGGATCTTCTCCTTGGCACCGCGAACCGAGGGCAGAATCCACGGGTTGCCATGCTCGTCCTTGTAGGTGCCCTGACCGAGGTTCACCTTGCGTGGGTCCTTGTCGGCATTGAAGGTGAGGGTGAGCTCGAAAATCGGGTCGGGAGGGATGTAATCGACGTGGTCGAAGACGGAGACCTCTTCGGCAAGGATGGAACCCATTGTGACGAGGCAATGGATCTGGGACTGGGAAACGCGTGTGTATGAGACTTCCAACCGAAAGTGCAAAGATGGGCAGTGACGTCGAACTTGTACTAGCACCCAGCCAGAGAGACCATGTAAAACTGGCAGGGAGTCATGCGGAGCAGAGGTGGAGGGTGGACAACAAAAGTAGTGCTCCACTGCGTTCTCCACTGGTCGAGACCGACAACGGATGAGAGCTCCAAAGACGCTAGCTCGCCAGCACAATATATACACAGGCACGGTCTGCTGCTTCTTCAGTTTGACTGGCACGTTGTCATGCCGTTTCAGACCACCAATCGAATACCAGCAAGATGAGCACAAAGCCAGCCTATGGGGTGTACACCCCGCTCGTGACCTTTTTCCACGAGGACGAGTCGATCGACTATGAGAGCACCAAGGCGCACATCAAACGCATGCTGGAAGGGGGTGTGACCGGTCTGGTGCTGCAGGGCAGCAATGGCGAGGCGCCACATCTGAGCCACGAGGAGCGCAAGGAGATAATCCGGACAGCCCGCACAGAGGCCAGCTCGCTTGGTTTTCCGGGTCTGCAGCTGGTCGTGGGCTGCGGTGCGCCCAGCGTGCGCGAGACGCTGTCGTACCTTGCCGAGGCCAAGGAAGCCGGAGCCGACTTTGGCCTGGTCCTGCCGCCGGCCTACTGGTCTGCAGCGATGACGCCGGCCGTCGTGGAGGGCTTTTTCAGCGCAGTGAGTGGCAGCAGACCCGTCTTCGTTTGGCGTGTCGACCGAGACTGACGTGGTGTGGCCACAGGTAGCCGAAGAGGCAGCGATGCCGATCCTGATCTACAACTTCCCGGGCGTGACGTCGGGCATCGACATCAGCTCCGACTCGGTCATCCGGCTCGGCAAGAAGCACCCGGGCAAGATTGTGGGCGTCAAGCTGACGTGTGGCAACCTGGGCAAGCTGCAGCGGATCAGCTCGACGCTGCCGAGCGATGGATTTGCTCCGTTTGGCGGCAAGTCGGACTTTTTTCTGCCGGCGCTGGTGGCTGGATCCAACGGCGTGATCGCAGCGCTGGCCAACGTGGCGCCCAAGGCACACGTCGAGCTGCTGCGGCTGTATCAGAGCGGCGATCTCAAGGCGGCCATCGCGCTGCAGTCCAAGCTGAGCCACGCCGACTGGGCCCTCTCCAAGGTGGGCGTGGCCGGCGTCAAGGCGGTCGTGTCACACTTCTTCTCCTACGGGACTGGCCGGGGCAGAAGACCGCTCGGCGTCACTACAGTGTCTGCCCTGGGCGAGGATATCGTCACGCCGATCCAGGCGGTGGTCGAGATCGAAAAGCAGCTTCAATAGACCGTACGCTTAATAGACAGAATAAAATAGACAGTATAAACAAGATGTTTTCGGCCAGAGGCAAAAAGACAGTGCGCATTCATGACGTTGTCAATACACGGCTAGTTCTAACCTCTGTGTCGATGCGCATCACAAGAGCTTCGGCCTGTTTGGCCCAAGCTTCTTCCAATACTCCGTTGCTCCGTAAGGCGAGGCGATAAGAGAAAAAATGCATTGTCCGCTGGCAGTTGGGCAATGTGGAGCTCCACTTGGCGCGGCAAGCTGGCTTCTGGACCAATGATTGGCTTCTGGCTGGAGAGCATGCTCCTGGGACGGCATGTGGACGGCATGGAAGTCACCTCCACCTCCTCCGACTCCGCTGGGCAATGCAGCGCAGCTAGAGGCATCGGCAAAGCTGGCCGAGAATGGCCCTGCATTTTATATAGTAGACTCGTAATTCTCGCAGCATAGAGCGTTGTAGCAACAAGGGCACTGCTGCAGACCGAGCATTCGAATTCTCTGATTCGACCTGACATCTGAAGCCGTCACCATGGTTGCATCTTCTGCCCAACGGCCCATCCGGATATCCATCGGTAGGTGATTGGGACTGGGGTCGGACGATCGGATGTACGGATAGAGGACCAAAAGGCTGACTGTGTACTCTGCTGCAGATCGGGGCGGCACCTTTACGGACTGCGTTGCCCGCGTCGACGGCCAAGATGACATTGTGATCAAGATCCTCTCGGTCGACCCCCACAACTACAGCGATGCGCCGACAGAGGCGATAAGACAGGTGCTGCAGAAGTACACACAGAAGGAGATTCTGCGAGGGGCCGAGATCGATCTCAAGGACGTGGGTGAGTGTGACTCGTCTGCATCTCCAGAACGATGAATAGACAAGACTCGCTGACGGCCAACCAGAATGGATCCGCATGGGCACGACGGTGGCGACCAACGCGCTACTGGAGCGCAAGGGCGAGCGGACGGCCTTTCTGGTCACGCGTGGCTTCCGTGACGTCCTCCAGATCGGCAACCAGTCGCGGCCATACATGTTTGACCTGGCCATCCGAAGGCCGGATCCGCTGTACTCGGACGTCTTTGAGGTGGACGAGCGCGTCGTGCTCGAGAGCTGTGCCGACTCGGACCTGCGCGTCCTCAAGCTGGCCTCGCCGTCGCCGCTGCAGACGGTTTCCGGTGCCTCGGGCGAGGCCGTGCAGATCGTCCAGGCTCTCGACCAGACGAGCACGCGGGCATACCTGGACGCGATCTACGCGCAGGGCTACCGGTCCATCTCGGTCTGTCTGATGCACGCATACATCTACCCAGCACACGAGCTGCAGGTGGCCACGCTCGCCCGTGAGGCCGGCTTCGAGAACATCACGCTGTCGCACCAGGTCTCGTCGCGACCAAAGCTGGTGCCTCGGGGCAACTCGGCCGTTGTGGACGCGTACCTGACCCCGACGATCCGCCAGTACCTCGAGCAGTTCTCGTCAAGCTTCCCCCATCTCGAACGTGACGGCACCCGGCTCGAGTTCATGCAGTCCGACGGCGGCCTCGTGCCGGCCTCTAGCTTGCGTGGCCTGCACTCGATTCTCTCGGGCCCGGCTGGCGGTGTTGTCGGCTACTCGCAGACCTGCTTCGACGACGACACCCACCGGACACCCGTCATCGGCTTCGACATGGGCGGCACCAGCACTGATGTCAGCCGCTTCGACGGCGAGCTCGACCACATCTTTGAGACCACGACCGCTGGCATCGCCGTTCACGTGCCCCAGCTCAACGTCAACACTATCGCGGCCGGCGGCGGCAGCATCCTCGCCTGGCGAGACGGCCTGATGTCTGTCGGTCCCGAGAGCGCGTCCTCGCATCCAGGCCCTGCCTGCTACCGCAAAGGTGGCCCGCTCACCGTGACTGACGCCAACCTCGCCCTCGGCCGCCTGCTGCCCGAGCATTTCCCCTCCGTGTTCGGGCCCAACGAGGACCAGCCACTCGATAGCGAGATCGTCGTGGCCAAGTTCCGCGAGCTGACCGACATCATCAACCGCGACACCGGCCGATCCATGAGCTGGCCTGAGGTGGCCAACGGGTGCGTTCTATTGTCCAATAATGCTTATGTAAGCTGACACGTGACCAGGTTCCTCGACGTCGCCAACTCGGCCATGTGTGGCCCCATCCGCAGCCTGACGGAAGCCCGCGGCTTCAACACGGCCGACCACAACTTGGCCTCGTTTGGTGGTGCCGGTGGCCAGCATGCCTGCGCCATCGCCGAGGCGCTCGCCATCCGCCGCGTCATCGTGCACAAGTACTCGTCCATCTTGTCGGCCTACGGCATCGGCCTCGCCAACGTTGTCCACGAGGACGAGCGGCCGTGTGCGCGGGCCTACGAGGGCGACAACGTGCCTGTCATTGCCGCCAGCCTGGCCGATCTCAGCCGCGAGGCCCAGAGCCACCCGTCCGTCCAGCCGTTCAACGTGGTCGACGCCCACTGCTTCCTCAGCATGCGCTATGATGGCAGCGACACTGCTATCATGACCGCCCTGCACGACGGCGTCGATGCGGCCAAGACTTTTGTCGATGCCCATCACCAACAGTTCGGCTTCACCCCCGTCGGCCGCAAGATCTTTGTCGACACCATCCGCGTACGTGCTGTCGCTCGTCAACCCGAACCATCGCTGCCCCAGACCTCCTCTTTGCCTGTTTCTAGCTCTATAGCCGCCATCCCCAAGTCCATCTCGGTCAAGTCTGTCTATTTCGGTTCATCCGGCTGGACTGACACGCCCGTCTACCTCTTTGCTTCCATCCCGGAGGGTGTCGTCATCCCCGGCCCCGCCTTGATCGTCGACAAGACCCAGACACTCCTTGTCGGCCTCACCTCGTCGGCCTACATCGACAAGGACCGCCTCATCATGGACGTCGACTCGCCACGCTCCAAAAATGTCAGCGCCCACGTGATTGACCCTATCGCCCTGTCCGTCTTCCGTCACCGCTTCATGGGCGTTGCCGAACAGATGGGCCGAGTCCTCCAGAATGTTAGCGTCAGTGCCAACATCAAGGAGCGTCTCGACTTCAGCTGCGCCATCTTCACTCCAGACGGCTCCCTCGTTGCCAATGCACCCCATGTGCCCGCCATGATTGGCAGCATGGCCTTTGCCGTCAAATCGCAGATCGAGACCTGGCAGGGGAAACTCCAGGATGGCGATGTCCTTATCTCTAACTCGCCCGCCTATGGCGGCACCCATCTGCCGGACTTGACTATCATCACGCCCGTCTTTGACGCTGCCGGAAAGGAGATCATCTTCTGGGCTGCATCTCGAGGTCACCATGCCGACGTAAGTCTGATTCCTCTCTCATGCTGCAGTTTCGCCTTCCCGATCCCTGTCTCATCCTGTCCTCGTTTTAGGTCGGCGGCATTTTGCCAGGCTCGATGCCTCCCAACTCCAAGTTCCTGTGGGAAGAGGGTGCCGTATTTGACTCTATGCTTCTCGTCCGCGGTGGCGTCTTTGCCGAAGAAGAGCTCACGCGCATCCTCTGCGTTGAGCCAGCCACGAAGCCGGGCTGCAGTGGCACTCGCTGCTTCCAGGACAACGTCACCGACATCAAGGCCCAGGTGGCCGCCAACCACACCGGCATCCGTCTAGTCCGCCAGCTGATTGAGGAGTACACCATGGACGTCGTTCAGGTCTACATGAACGCCATCCAGGAGTCGGCCGAGCTGGCCATCCGCAACCTGTTCAAGAAGCTCGCCGTCCGCTTCAACGGCCACGAGCTGTCTGCGGTCGACTACATGGACGACGGCACGCCCATCTGCCTCAAGGTCACCATTGACGTCGCCACCGGCAGCGCCCAGTTTGACTTTTCCGGCACCGGCCCCGAGGTCTACGGCAACTGGAACGCGCCGCCGGCCATCACCAACTCCGCCATCATCTACGCTCTCCGCTGCATGGTCGACTCTGACATCCCGCTCAACCACGGCTGCATCAAGCCCATCACCCTCGTCCTGCCCGACCGCTCCATGCTCAAGCCCAGCTTCGAGGCCGCCGTCTGTGCCGGCAACGTCCTCACGTCCCAGCGCATCGTCGACGTCATCTTCCGGGCCTTCAAGGCCTCTGCCGCCAGCCAGGGCTGCATGAACAACTTCACCTTTGGCCGCGACGGTGAGAACGGCTTCGGCTACTACGAGACCATTGCCGGCGGCAGTGGTGCTGGCCCGACTTGGTCCGGCACCAGCGGCGTCCACACAAATATGACCAACACCCGCATCACCGATCCCGAGTCCCTCGAGCGCCGCTACCCCGTCGTCCTGCGCCGCTTCTCGCTACGGCCAGGCAGCGGCGGTATCGGTGAGTTCTGTGGCGGCGACGGCGTCATCCGCGACGTCGAGTTCCGTCTTCCCATGTCCGCTTCCATCCTCTCGGAACGGCGCAGCTTTGCACCCTATGGCCTCGATGGTGGCGGTGATGGACAACGCGGCCGCAATACCTGGGTCACCACTTCAGGACGGACGATCAATATTGGCGGCAAGAACTCGGTGGCTGTCAGCATGGGCGACAGAGTCGTGATCGAGACGCCTGGTGGTGGTGCATATGGTGCGCCTGGTCAAAAGGAGCAGTCTGTGGACGCATCCAAGCTCCAGCCATCGTTTGTACCTCTCGCTGTCGGCAGCGTGGCGGCGACCACAGCTCTTGCCGAGCAGTCTTGAGTAGATAGATTACTTGCATATAACAACGACTAGCATTTCTTCCACATCGCCGTATACACTGCCCAGACATTGATACCTTCTTATGCGAAAGAGGTGTTAAACGTGGGAATACATAGCATCCCTTAATCTCACCCAGTGCTAAATAATAGAGATAAAGAACCCGATTTAAGCATGATTCAGCGAACTGAAACATATTCAAGTACCAAAGTCAGTCGTGTCCAAACAGAGAAGACCTTTTTCATGTCGATCATACATACGGCACATGAGTTCCCTACGAGTCCAGTTCAAAGCCACCAAAGTTGGCTGGCTTCCTCCAACGCTGTCCAAATATCTGCAAAATTATATACGCTGGGATGACAATAACCACACAAAGGATGCCTTGGATAGCAAAGCTCCAGGTATAGCCTATATTAAAGGTCAGCTGTACTGAAAAGCAGTACTGCGGTGGCTGAGAAAGGACTGAATGTACCATTGTATTCGGTCCAATTATAGATAAACCAGGGCACCAAGAAAGCCGAAAGCTGTCCAGATTTTAGTCCCTTTCATTGCCTGGATAAAATCGTATGAGTACACTCCAGGGGAACTTACATTGATAATGCATGAGTAAAAAACGGAAAGCTCGTTCGCAAAAGCAGGATAATTGTCGACCATGTAGGTTGTCACAACGGTGTTGCCAATTTGCAGGCCAGCAGCGTCTTTGCGAAATGTCAGCATGGGAAAGAAGAACAGGTTGCTGAATCGCAAACGTACACAGGAAGAAGGCCACCTGGCCGACCATCCAATGCCAGTGACGATCCACGGAGATGCCCCATAAAATCAGGCCAACGGCGGACAGGAACACAGCTGGATAGCCGAGCCAGAGGCGCATCTCCGGCTGTCGTATACTGTTGTTGCGTCTCGCCAGTATCATGACAAGCTTGTCACTGGCGTGGCCGGAACAGAATACCTCGGCGAACAAGACGCCGACAAGAAGACCAATGAAAAGAAGGCCCTGAACCTGCGGGGTGTCGGTCACGTAGGCCAGAGGCTCGACTGTCATGACAGAGACGATCCACCAATATTGGCCGTACACATATGCCATGATGCTGATGACGATGTTTGGGTAGCCCCACAGCTTGAAGACCACAACCCAGGGTGCCCAAATCTTTGGGTAGACAAGCCCTTTGATTCGACGGATGTTCTAGATAGTGACTGGTAAGATGTGATGAAACAAACTGAGAGAAAGCCAACTCAATGCACACTACAACTTACAATAAACGGCAGATCCCGTGTCCTGTGGATGGTCTCCTCAGATGCATTATTGCTCGGTCCAAACTCGAGCTCGATCATGTGTCGCCGAGGGTACAAAGTCTCTGGCAGAGCGAAAACCGTGAGCACAAACAAAACGGCGTAGGCTATCGTGACGTGGTATGCGACCCAATACTGGTTGACCGAAACAACGAGTCCACCAACTGAAATTGACGTGTCAGTGGCCATATATATCAAATCCCCTTCCTCTATTGTACTGCTCTGGTAACTTACAGACACCGCCGAGAAAACTGCCCATGTTGGCAGACATGGCCCACAATCCAACCCTCTGTCCTCTTTCATGCTGAAATGACACGTCGTTGATAATGCTGAGCCCAAGGTTGCAGGCAGAGCCCGCACCAACCCCCTGTAGAAAGCGCTCAAACATGTAGGCACTTATATTCTGTCCGTGGATAGATGTACAGCCTGAGGCAAGAAGTGCCACAGCTGTAGTAATGATCATGCAAATGCGCCGTCCGTAGATATCGGCCACACCACCGGTCAGCAGTGGGCCAAATATGAGACCAAAGGCCGAGATCGCAAATGTCCAGTTAGTTTCGGCGTACGAGGCGTCAAACTGATCCTCAAGCAAAAAGAAAGACGGAATAGGAGCTGTTGTCAAGTACGTCATGAGAAAGTAGGAGTAACACACGATCGAGATACACGTGTATTTTCTCCAAACAGACCAGTTCAGAGGATCCAGAGAATCGCTGGTCGGCGTAGGTGAGAGCAGATTGCCCGCAGGATCGAGCCGTACAGACCGGCTGGGGTCATTCGACGACGGCACCTTCTCCTCGGCGGAAGACGTTGTATCAAAAGGCTTATCCATGTTGCCGTAATGGCGATACAGAGTGCTCGATGGGAAATAGCGACTGAAGGCTGGGAGCACTTAAAACAAAACAAATGGACCGAGCGGTTGCTTCATGTCCATGGCCCTGACTTCCTACTATTACATATGTCCATATTATCAAAAGGGAGGATACTTTTGAACCGGTCAACTATATTATTACTATATGGAGGAGAGGTTTTGATTGCTGGCGATGGTACTCTGTTTTCCTCCTATCTTCCCCTAACAGATTTTCTTTATCCGTCTAGGCACCCGTCGCTTTCAAGTTCCTCTTTAGGTTTAACGCGTGACACTGCAAACCTAGCTGACCCTTCTCCTGCACGACTTAAGACATTTACTATGCCAAATACGGACAACTACGCGACTAGCTTACCGGAACGTTTCGTGTCCTGTGTGGACCTTTTAAAGCACAGATAGCACAGAGACTTATTGTCATTGGCTGTCTCGGCAAGGCTTTGTCTTTAGGACTGTCTGTACGTTATCTGGTGTGCGGGAATAAACCCCACGAATGCATTGTTAGTATATCAGTACTCCGTACTTACTCCGTAAACGTTCGGAAAACAGCGTCGTATATTTGTCCTACTTCGACTAGGTGCTGGTCGTAGTTAGTTGAATTCGTTGCTTTTTTCTGGATTCTTTGCAGATAGCGACGATTCTTCTGCAACAAGCAGTGCCACGTCGCTTTGACATTCTCTCTTAGGGTTTTAAGCGACATGCTAAGCCTACGCCTGGCTTCGAAGTTGCCACCTACCTACTTCCCCCGAGGCAAACAAAATTGTGCTCATACCTCCACCCGTGCCGAAGTCAATCTTAAGGATATAGACGGAACCTCTCGGATTTTCTCTGTTCTCTTTATTTAATGACAAGCTCTCTATACCAGCTTCTGCCAGAATACTGCACCTCGATATTCAAAACTAAATCATCAACTGATAAGCCATTTGGGCTACAATTTCTTGAGATGGCTGTGCTTGCCACACCCGTTCTGCTTGTTGCAATTCTGGGCACATTTATTGTATTCTTTTGGGGGCGTCTACGATCTGCTGTCGCATCCATCCCAGGGCCGACGTTGACCTTGTTCTCGTCCTTGCCACTCAGATACCAGGAGTTCCGGGGCAATCGGACAAGATACATCCATGATCTGCACCTGAAATATGGAAGTGTCGTGCGAATCGCGCCCAACGAGATCACCTTTGCATCCCTGGAAGCCATGAAGGAGATATATATGTCTAATGGCAGCGGCTATGACAAGACAGAGTTCTACAGCCTGTTCAAGCAATACAATACGGGGCAAGATGCCCCAAGATATTCCGCCGTGATAATGTTACCAAAATCTAACGATTGAAAACAGGGTGATGTTTTCCACTCTAGATAAGCAAGAGGCAAGTTGGTTATTGGATAATGGAACCTTGGCTCCCACAAACATGTAGCTAACACCCCATTTGCAGCATAGCAGGCGAAGACGTCTCCTGGCTGATCGCTACGCAAACTCCAATGTCGTGAAGGAGAAAGCTATTGAGGGAATCCAGCAGAGAAGCAGAAACTTCACAGCGAAAGCCGCCAAAATGCCAAACCAGGAGATGGATATCTATGTATGAGACCCGCAGTTGATGTGCCAGGGGTGTTGCTAACTTGAAAAACAGGTGTACCTTCACTGCTATGCTTTCGACTGCGTCACCCACCATTTGTTTCACCCTTATGGAAGCAACTCGATTGACCAGCAGTATGATGAATCAATCATGCGCGAGGTGTCATTTGATACCAGCTTGGCTCGTATGTTATTGATGAAATAAATATGGAACATAGAACCCCTTATTCCTGGCTAACCTTAACTATTTTGTCACATACAGGTCGACTTATTCAATATTACACTCCCAATCTGGAGTATCTGGCAGACCTTTTGGGCCTCCTTCCACCCATACGAACAATACCAAAAGCCCAGAAGCTCGTACTGGATGCAGTGGGCCAAGGCGGTGTAGCAGATTTCACGCCACTGTCCCGCTTGCAGGATCCGAAACTCGGCCTGGAGGAGATTCAGATGGCTGCCGAGTGCATGGATCATATGGTAGCTGGTATAGAGACCACTGGTGACGTCTTGTGTTGGCTAATGTGGCAAATATCGCTACCGGGCTACCAGGCTATACAGGATCGCCTATATGCAGAGCTCACTATGGACTCGGCCAATGGGGAAGTGTCATACGACCAGCTTCCGTATCTCCACGCGGTATTGAAGGAGGGTCTGCGCATATTCCCTTCAATTCCGATGAGCCTCCCCCGTTACGTTCCCAAGGGCGGTAGAGACATTGCTGGCACATGGCTTCCTGAGGGAATCATTGTCAGCTGCCAGCCATACACGATGAACCGGTTTGACCAGGTGGTTTTCCCGGAGCCCGACACGTTTGTCCCAGAGAGATGGCTAGACAAGGAGGTCGAGACAGAGCAGAACCGTCTCTTCTTTACCTTTTCCAACGGAGGGCGTGGCTGTATAGGCCGACAGTACGTTGTAACTCTATACCCCTTGTTACTACCCCCGCTGATATCGTTAGTTTGGCCATGGTCGAGATGAAGTTGCTTCTGCGCGATGTATACTCCACATTCCGGACTGTTCTCACCGAAGAGGGCATGACGGCCGACATGTCTATGGCGGATCAGATCATCTCTTCGAGGCCCAAGGCCCAGAAATGCATGGTGAAGTTTATTCCACGGTAGCTATCCCATGTGCAACCAAAGGCAAGCTGAAACAGGCACCAGTAAGGACTTGTAGTACCCTGCAGTTCTGTTGGTTGCTGTGATCTGATTATCAGGCTGATTGAATGGATATAGTATACGTATAGTAAATTTAGATGAGACATAACAGTACGACGAGAAATGAGCGCATAGATCAGACATGAAAGCATGATAGCCGCCGTTCGCTTCTTTGTAAATATCCTTTCATATTGATTTTTATTAGTACGGCAGAAATTCGGGACTCTCCTCTGTTAATATGCCATTCATTAGTAAATATTTTTGTCGAAACACACGTATATTTTCCAGCTCACCTAGATAGGTCAACACATCGTGCTGTTGTGAAACGGATGTCTTGCTCCAGACGTATTCCAACAGAGCGGACGAACGCGTGATGTGAGGCATCCGCATCCACGTGCTCATAATTTCAAAGGCCTTTTTTATGGCAACCCGCGCATCAGGCAACGCCCAGAGGCCGGCCGTGAACAGCGGCGTGGCCATCAGCACTCGAGGTGACAGAGCCGAGGCGGACTTCATACTTTCTGAGCAGTGGATGATCTGCTGGACAGAATGACGTACTTCCGGTGCCCACATGGGTAGGCACTGCACGGCGCCATGGATGTACAGCAGAGCCGTATGCAAGAAGCCAGCATTACTCAGGGCGTAATCGTGCATGATGTCGTGTGAGAGCGACAAGGCCTGTTCACCATCGAGACAAAGACGGCCCACAGCATCCCGTTTCAGGCGGACATGAATTTCATGTACTAGCGCTTCGGCCTCAATGGCGATGTCGTCATCCGTTAAGATGGAGTCTACGTTGTTTTCGTTTCGCTCTTGGCACTTGAACCGTCGGCGACGTTCAATCACCAGGGCGCCAACCTCTCGGAAGAGATCGGGGAGGTCTGAGGCGACACCACCAAACACGTCGAAATACACCTTTCCATTCCTGAGGCCACTGCTCGCCATCTCAAGCTGACCTCGGTGCAGTCCCAGTGGCGTGAGGGCAACCAGGGCTTCGACATTGTTGTACCAGCTCGCGAGGAAGTCATGGATGGAAGCACTACGGCCATTCGCTACCGTTGTGTCTGTCACTCTAGCATGCGGGCAGCTTGCAGCTTGAAGAATGGCCCGCGCGCCTTCGAGATGTGTTCGCCACGAATGGCTAGCCGCGAAGATTTGGGCCTGGCACAGAGTTCGCGTCGTGGCCAATGCAACGGCGTGCTGGTCATAGCTGGGCTCTGTCAGCTGCTGGCGTAGACTGCTCATGCTGCAGTCCTCAAGAGCAGCAATGGCCTCTTCGGCGTTGTTCCGAGCCGGAAGTACACCGAGAGCATGCAGATGGCGCGCAGCAAACGCCATCAAGGCGAATAGCAGACAAGGGTGAAGAAAGGACGTGGGAACGACAGAGCGACATATTTTTGTACGGACGTAGTCGCTCGGAGCTGTCAGACGTATGGTCTCATGGACGTAGTGGTGCAGGAGAAAACGTTGCATGCGAGACAAGTCGGGGGCCATGTCTAGAGCCTGCATTTGTAGAGGGAGACCTGTACTCGAGAAGAGGTCCAGGACTCTTGACGGCTCCGGCCGAGCCGAGTTGGTGAGGGTGACATCGACAGCATCCACAAAGCCGGCAGCTGGACTAGCTTCTACTATGCCAGTCCCTCTAACAGATATCAATTGCGAGGCTGGGACAGGATCCCGAGGCTGTGCAATGTAGACCCATCCACCATCATCTCCGGCACCGCTATCTGCAGGCACGATTAGTATCTTACAAGCACGAAACGACAATACGATTTATAACGTACATAGTCTCTGCATTTTGTCTGCATGGTTTCCAAGAAGCTTGGGAAACGCCCGACCACCCCACCTGATGTTAAGCTCGTAGTTGCAAGGGCTACCAGCCCGTTGGCATCGTAAGCAGTCTGGCTTTTGCTGGTCGCACCGTTTCCGGTGATGCCGACAGCGTGTGCAGCCGGCTCGCGACCTCAGGCTCTGCCTTGCTATTAGATTCTTGCCCGCTGGCGACATGACAAGAGACGTTCAATAAGGCCAGAATAAAGCTAGATAAACGAAGTTTGGTGATGATTCTTTGAGGAAGCAGCCGGTCTTATCGGTACTAGGCAAAGAAGCAATTCGGCCGAGCATTATGCTTCAGTATTTACTCGTCGATGCACACCCTCGATATGCATCGTTATCTTGAGCTAAAACCCAAATCATCTTAGTGGCGGAGCCCGGTTGTGGATGGAACGGAACGAGGGCAACGACACCTCGTGATAGCCTGGAAATAACGAGCTAATACAAAATAGGGCATTTACGCGACACAAATTCCTTATAAATCTGGGTGTTCCTTCTCAATTCACGCTAGCTTCGTCGTACTCTTTTCTGTTTAGAGATCGATGAAACTAAACGTTTTCCGTTCCAAAGCGAGGACCAGAAAAGACAGCCGTATTCATCCACGTGTAGAACTTCGTCATGACGATCCGGCTATCCACGCGCATCTCCATCCGCTGGGGTGATGATTCGCCGTCCGAGCCCACAACCACACTCGTGATGAGCGTTGACGGCTATTTCATGGACTTGCGCGTGAACAAGAGTGACGACTCAGTGGACTGGGCATTTGCCGGGAGGAGGGAGATTGTGTCCCAGGATCCTTGTAAGGCCTCATTCTCTTCTTTGTGTTCTCTGATTTCTGTGCCATGATCTAAAGGTGCTGTCCAGAACTGATGATGCAACTGGTACATAGTACACTGTAGGTGGCATCATATCATTGACTCGCGGCACATTTTCGACCCCGACGAGGGCGAATTCGAGAATCTCTCTAATGGAGACAGTCTGGAGACGGGAAGCATGTCGTGCCCCGAGAAAGGCGGAGTGGTAACTCCATACGAGGAAGTGTGGCGCTCCATACAGCCAACTGCAGGACTTGAGCGGGGATGGATTCTTCAGCGCGAAGAGGATGACGGCAGCAAGACCATCACGTTTCTGGGTCGGGTAGGCAGTGTTTTCTTTGCCATGAAGCAACAGCCTCCCAGCGGGCATCTCACTGTTCGAAGAGAGGAGCTCCAAACGGCCGAAGCCGGATCCGATAAAGCTCCACAATGGGTCACAAAGTATCACTCAGGAAATGCCACTCTGCCGTCCTTGGCGAACGCAGGCCTACTCAACTTTCCAGATGAATTGACATGGAAGGTCGGCGATGAAGTGACTATCCAGGGTCAATTGTACACGGTTCGCGCTCAGCATTCATAGTACTTTTTGTTTCAATGAAAACACATATAAATAGGGGTGAGATGATCCCTAACGTCATGACGATCCCGAAGAGACATTGTAGTCAAAGGCGTCTAATCTAGGGATCGTATCAGTACCTAGCCGTATGAAACATACTGATTTATAAAAAATATCCTCAAGCCGCTGATTGAGTCTATGCAGATCAATATAGTGCTACTGTTGCTGTCGTTGCTGTTGTTATCAGTGGAATCGGCGTTAACCAGCCGTATCTTAGGCAACCCGCCACTGTCAAGCCCTATGGTGACTAAAATGGCGCAATCCCCTGCTATAACGACGCTACTTTATCTGTACCACTGTCATCTCTCCAACTTCCTGTCGCTTCAAACCTACGAAAGCAGCACCCACAATGCAGCAAAAGACAGCAACGACACTCCCGCTAGCGGTCGAGCGGCAGCCGAAGCGCGTCGCGAGTCGCCTTCGGTCAGCATGTCTGCTTCTTCCGCTGGCAGTGGCGGCTTATCTGATCGCTCCCTACGGCATCCGGCCCTTCACCTCGATAGAGGTGCTCCCGGCGGAGTCGCTTTGCATCCAGCCGCCCGCTCTCTTCCCGAGCCAGCAAGACAAGAAGCTGGAAGAGGCTTTTGGGCACATATCTAGCGAAGCATTCCGCAATCTCAGCGTCGCGCATCTGTCGGGTGCTGTCCAGATCAAGACGGAATCATTCGACGATCTCGGACCCATAGGCGAGGATGCCCGATGGGACGTCTTCGTCGGCTTCCATGCCTATCTCGAGAAGACCTTCCCGCTCCTGCACGAGCGGCTGCAGGTCGACAAGGTGAACACGCACGGGCTGCTGTACACGTGGCCGGGCAGCGATGCCGCCCTCAAGCCGTCGCTGCTGATGGCCCACCAAGACACCGTCCCGGTGCCGCTGGAGACACTGGACGCCTGGACGCATCCACCCTGGAGTGGTGCCTATGATGGTCGCTTTGTCTGGGGCCGCGGCTCTAGCGACTGCAAGGACCAGCTGATCGCCGTGCTCGAGGCCACTGAGCTGCTGCTGCAGGCTGGCTTCCAGCCGCGACGCACGATCCTGCTCGCCTTCGGTTTCGATGAGGAGACATTTGGCTTCCATGGCGCTGGAAACCTGTCAGCCGTCATCCGCGACCGCTATAGCCACAGCGGCGGCCTCGCCGCCATCATCGACGAGGGCGCCAACTTCGAGCAGGCCTGGGGCACCCTGTTTGCCAAGCCGGGCACGGCCGAGAAGGGCCTGACCAACGTCGAGGTCGTCGTTCGCACGCCCGGTGGCCACTCGTCTATTCCGCAGGACCACACCAGCATCGGCATCCTCAGCGAGCTCATCACCCGCATCGAGGCCTCCCAGTATCGCACCCGTCTGGACGAGCAGAACCCCTACTACACGCAGCTGCAGTGCGGTGCCGCTCACGCTCCCGACTTCCCGCACAAGCTCAAGAGGCTGCTTGCCAAGCGTACTTCCCACAAAGGTAGTGATCACGGCAGCTGCAGCAAGAAGCCCGACTACCTCGCACTCGAGGCTGCCAAGCAGGGCCCCCAGATCAAATACCTCTTGCAGACCTCACAGGCCGTCGACATCATCTCGGGCGGCGTCAAGGTCAATGCCCTCCCGGAGCGCGTCAAGGCTGTCATCAACCACCGCATCAACGTTGGCGAGACCTCGGACGTCGTCTATGACCATTTGACTGCCGTCGCCGGAAAGGTGGCCAGCAAGTACAACCTGACGCTCCACGCTTTTGACGGAAAGGAAGAGCCTTCGTCCATCATCCTTTCGAGTCCCACCCGACTTGATCCCTCGCCGGTCTCTCCGGCCGACGGCTCCGTTCACGGTCCGTTCTCCATTCTCGCTGGCAGCATTCGTGCTATCTACGGCGAGGAGGTTGTCGTCAGTGAGTATAAGCAGTTCTTCTGATTGCCAGTTGCGGCACTAACCTGTTCAAAGCCCCCGGAATCATGACGGGAAACACGGACACGCGCTTCTTCTGGGATCTGACCGACCATATTTTCCGCTTTGCGCCTGGGTATGATCCTGAAGACGATTCCGATATGACAGGCTCTGGAATCCACACAATCAACGAAAAGGCCAGTGTGGCGGGTCATATCAACGCTGTCAAGTTCTTTGTGCTGTACATTCGCAACCTAGATGAGGCTGATCTGTAAGGTACCTATTTCGAGAATTGGAATTACCCTGCTTGTGCCGACACGCCAAAACGTGCGCCGTTGGTCCCGTATTGTCGATCGTGCTACAAGGATGAAGACAGTGTTCAGGCCCAGCTTTACTTCGTTCCATTGAAAAGCCAAGGATGAGCACATCGCTAAGATTGGATTGAGAATCGCAAAGCAGAAAGGTTCACTTGTCTTCGAATTGAGATCCCGCTGTGGTTTGTGAGATTTCGGAGTTGTTTCGGGGTTTCTGTGCTGGTAGTTTGAATGAGGGGTGGTCGTAGCTTCCTCCAATTGGATTTTCTACCGCGATGGGTCATTCCACATCGTCATTCTCGAAGCTACCGAAATCCAAGCAACACAATAGACACCGAAAATGGAGTCCTGGGTAGAAATCGATCCGAAAAGCGACTTTTCGCTGGCAACCCTTCCGTTTGGCATCGTCCACACGCCGGCCGACCGCAGCCCGCATGCTGCTGTCGCTGTGGGGTCGCAGGTACTGGACCTCAAAGTCCTGTCCGCTCAGCCCGGCTTCTTCGACATCTTCCCGGCGCTCCATGACCACCCCGATGTGTTCTCCCAGCCGACGCTGAACGCCTTTGCGGCCCTTGGTCGGCCTGTCCACCGTGAGGTGCGTGCTGCTCTCCAGGGCCTCCTGCAGGCCGGAAGTGCCACCACCCATCCGGCTTTTCTTCGCGATAATTCGGAACTGCGAGCGGCCGCTCTCTTCAGCCTGTTCAAGACACATATTCCCATGGCCATTGGCGACTATACCGACTTTTATGCTGGCGTCCACCACGCACGCGCGGCCGGCTCTCTCTTCCGCGGCGCCGACAAGGCACTGATGCCCAACTACGGCTGTCTGCCGGTCGCCTACCACGGTCGAGCCTCGAGCGTGGTCGTGTCTCGAACCGGAGTACAGCGCCCATGGGGCCAGATATTGGAAGAGCCGGCCTCTGGCGTCGAGAAGACCCCCGTTCCTACAACGGCACCCACCCGGCGTCTTGACTATGAGCTCGAGCTGGGCTGCCTTATCTCTGTACCAAACGAGCTGGGAAGCCAAGTCTCCGTCGAGTCCGCAGAAGAGCACATCTTTGGCTATGTCCTGCTGAATGACTGGAGTGCCAGGGATATCCAGAGCTGGGAATATGTCCCCCTGGGCCCCTTCAACGGCAAGAACTTTCTTACTACCATCAGCCCCTGGGTCGTTCTCGCCGATGCTCTTGAGCCTTTTCGAGTCCCGGCCGTGAGCCCGTCAGAGCCTCTGCAACCGTACCTGGTACAGTCTGACGGAGCCACCGTCTTTGATATCGGTCTTTCGGTTGACCTGACAAGTGCGTATCCTCGTTTATTCTGCTCGATCTAGCTCTCCTCGCTACTTGCTTCTCGCTAATACGCCTGTCCACAGCCCCTGATGGTGATAGCACAACACTCACACGAGTCAGCTCACGCAATCTTCAATGGTCCTTTCCCCAGATGATTGCGCACCATACTCTCGGTGGCTGTCCATTGCGCACCGGCGATTTGCTGGGCTCTGGAACGATCAGTGGACCGAAGGGCGGCAGCGAGAGTGGCTGCCTGTTGGAGATGAGTCAAGGAGGAAAAGAGGAAGTTATGCTGTACGGAATGGATATGCGAACGTACCTTAAGGACGGCGACACTGTCACTCTTCGTGGGTCAGCCTCTCATGGTGAAACCTCTGGAAACGGTCGTGTTGGCTTTGGTGAATGCATCGGTCGTATATTCAGTGCAAGGGCTCCCAAGTAAAAATAAATTCGATAATCTTACGACTGGCCCCGTTCTGTTCCTTGTCGAACAGAAACCACAGAAGATCGAGTCTCTTTCTTTGAAGCCGTAAGCCCCGTTAGTTCGTTTCAAAACTTCCGCCTCTTTTTGTGCAGGTATTTCTACCGAGGCACACAATTTCTCAGCAGTTCGTATAGACACGGACCGGATAAAACTGGGCGTTATTAGAGGCCTCAGAAGTCCTCTTTCGGGAATTTACGGTAGCCTAGAAAAGGAAGTGTTCGTCCGTGTTTCTGTGAAAAGACTGATATGACCACAACCATAAAAGTGCATCGGGTTGGTCGGATCGTCCATCCTAAAACTAGTTGTAGGCAGATAGGCATCTTTAAACCTCGTATCAGATTACTTTCCCAAAAAAGAGACATTTTTTTTCTCATAATAAGAGAGTATATTTGTGCTATTGTGCAAGCGTTATGCAATGTGTTAATGCTGAAGAAAATGATCCGAGACCTGTGTGTCGATGCATCCACCTACCCATGCCTAATGAAGCCCATTCCGTATAGAATGTTTTCCTGTTCGTTCATGCCACCAATATGACCAGCCGAATATCAAAAAGAACGAAAGTACAAGAAACAAAGAAAATGAAAGAGAGAAAACAAGAAAACAGAGAGTAAAGCTTGAATCCGCCCCAACCAGCTCACAGGCCCCCGAATTGTTAAGTAAATGGCCATTTGAAAGTGTCTTGCTTAGAAGCCGCCGTTGGGGTTGGGGTTCAGGATGACAGCACCGCCCTGGATGACGGGCGGAATACAAGATACGCCAGTGTTGGCAGCGGCAGCCTTGTAGGCCGACAGCGTGTTGGCCGAGTTGAAGTTCTGGTTGATCACACCGGCCATGCCCTTTTGACAGTGGCTACCGACAGTCTGAGCGCAGTAGTACCAGATCGGGTTGGAGTCCTCGACAACAATCTGGAAGACGTCCGGAGCCTGGCCAGAGGCGGTCGGCTGGAAGCCAGAGAAGAAGCCGTAGCCCGTGTTGAGGGGCTCGCAGGGCTCACCAAAGGACGACTGCGCAACCGAGTGGTTCTTGGGAAGGTAGTGCCACTCCACAATGTCGCCGATCTCAGCAACGACGTTGTCTGGATCGAAGACTAGGGCACCACCGAGGCCAGCAACAACACTGTGGGTGACACCCGTGAGGGTGACCGTGCGCGAGGCCAGCTCCGGGACAGTGGCTGTGGGCAGAGCCGCGGCGAGGCCAGCGACAGCAGCGAGAGTAGCGACAGCCTTGGTGAACATGTTGAAATATGTATAGTAGAAGATTGTTAGAGAATTAGATGGGGCGTTGAATTGATGCTGAAAAATATGTGATTGGAGGTTTTTGATTGCAGCCGTTGTTGTTGTGATGATGAAGATGATTGTGTTGGTGATAAAGGAAACAAAACTGTCGACATTGAGGCAGGCAGCTTGGACTTATATAGGCCTTTGAAGCCGAGTAGAGAGTCCTGGAATAGGATTGTAAGAAAGGGTGAGCCATCTTACACAATCTTACGCACTACAGAGCAAGACGGTCGTCTTAGTCGAGTGTCGCCTTGAGGCGTGGTAAATTACGACCCCAACTTTGAACTTAGAATCCTAAATTTGTGTGATGCTTAGTTAGGTTGTGGGCTGTGGATAGTGAGAACAAAGGTGCTCAGCCCCGGAAGCATCAATGTGGCGCCGTTAAGGCCAGTTCGAGCCACACAAACAAACCTTATTTGTGTTCTTGGCCAATCAGCAGCATCTCTCGGCTTATATTAGCGGGCACCAATAATACAAGGCGTAACTCTAGGGTCCATTCTATTTACGTATACTGTGAGCTGTTGTGCTGACGGCTTACTGCAACGCCCGACGGCGGTGCAGTCTGCCACGTTATTTCAAATCCCGATACTAGGGGTGTAAATTGCAGAGGTTATAAGATTACGGCCGCAGTTTGGTTTGTTCTCGAGCACCATTGTGGGCCGGAATGGTAAGAGGAAGCGTTTACTTGCCCAATATATCCTTAAAGGACCCTGTTCTCGCAAACAGAAAGTTCTAGCATGCAACACAGCAGCCTATCTTCGACATTCCGGCATACAATACGAACTTTGGTGCTTGCAGCAGGCCGGACTGCGCTGAGAGGTTCCAACGTCAGCGTTCTGTACAGCTTTATCAGGTTAACTTGTGTGGCTCCCTTCTTAGGCAGTGGAACTCGTACAGCGTTCCACGAAATTCCCGAGCCAAGACTCGGCTAATTAGTGGAGGTCCCAAGAGCTGCCCTAGTCCAGCCTGTCAACGTCATATTGTTGGAGGGCACGACGTGCCGCCTGCCAAGAGACCTTTGAAAAGCCTTGAGGGCGGAGCACGGCACCCACCGTTGAATCCTTCTGACTTTATACACGCAGTATCTCGTATCTTATTGGCCGGGTGTCAGGTAGACGAGCTCATGAGCATCTGTCACGAGTCCAAATACTCATTAGCCGGTGGGGTCCTGAAGAACAAAACTCTTTCTAGATTAAGCAAGCCGAAGGATGAGATGCTGATATTACGACGGATAGCAAGAGGTCTGATGATGACTCATCAGGATTAATCCAGGACACCGGCATCAACAAAGCTTCTCAGTCCCGCAAAAAGCATCCGATTTGAATCCTGCCAGCTAGGACTTTCGTTAGCTCTACGTTGCCAGACAGTTTCTAGACAGCATAAAGGCGCCTCTGCCTCGCTATTGCGATAGTATCGTTCTATCCTCAAAATGTTGCAGTCCTCAACCAGCCTTAATCGCCTCTACGGAGTACCCTCGTTGTTCTGCTCCTATTGACTTGCAAGCCAATAGTAGTCACCTCAATCGCGCAGCACCGGCGACTCCTTCAGCACTGCATTGGCGCCTCGGGCTGATTTCCTCACATCAAATCCTAGCACTTGTCGCCTTGGACGTTTTGCAGCCCAATATACAGCTATGTTGATGCTACCTTGCCCTGTGCTGTGCATATGCACTTGGTGGGAGTCTCTATGTAAATTCTGCACCCGCCCACTCCGAAGAAAAAGTCGAAGACAGAAGAGAGAGAGTGAAGCTCGAAGACAAATTCGAATGCAAAGGAGAGCCAACGAAGAGGCAAATAAAGTTCCCGGACGAGAGCCGACCAGAGATGCATCCCCTATGGTTTTCAATAGCGACACTCTTTCGCCACGAAACTAATGGGCGACCACTCTTCTATCTCTTCTATCAATCGAACATGGATGTCTTGGGTTGGAGCTTGTTCTGCACAGCAATTCTTCTTGGCTTATCGGTGCTAAATTTGAGACTGGAAGAGCGCCTATTTATATAATCCCACAATGCAGTATATATCTATTATAATTTTCTGGGGGGGGGTTTTTTTGCTCTGGTGAGAGGTCCTATACATATCATGGCTTTCGGGATGGTAAGCCGAGTATGAACCCTATACTGACTGCAGACCGAAGCCCGGATTGTAGACATGCCATGTTTGATCGTCGCCCAGTACATTGACGGTCGTAGGATAGCGAGTTTGACGGAGTATGTCATTGTCCTTCCAGCTCGCAAACGGTTGACACCGCACGTGATTCAGGGTAGTAGACGCAAACACGGGGCTTTTCCTCTGCATATTTCGTACTTTGATTGTTCCTTTTGTCTACTCAACGCCCATGTCAACAATCAGCGCCATTCCCGCCCGTCTATAATTTTGAACAAGTGATACACGAGGACCTGTCGGTCTGCCTATCAAAGCTTTTGAAACACGCGCTTAAAAATCTCCCGACTCTTCTCCAGGTTGACCACACGCAGGCGCTCGTTGTCCAGGTGGGCAGCGTCGCTGGCCTGGCCGCAGGGCAGATGGGCCGCCGGCGCGCCAAACTGCTTCTCGAGGAAGCGGATGGCCGGGATAGACCCGCCCTCACGGATGTAGAGCGGGCGCCGGGCCTTGTACGGGGCAGACGAGCTCTGTCCGTCAGCTGCTGCAGCGGCATTGTCGTCGTTCGGGGGGTCCATGTGCCAAGCCCGGATGACGGCCTCTTCGAGGGTGCGGAAGATGTAGTTGTCAGGGTCGCCGAGCCAGGGCTCGGCCCTGTTGTCGATGTGGATGCTGAAGTGGTTGGTAGACTCGAGCTGGGCGAACTGGTCAGCCAGGAAGGACTCGAGCGCGGTGATGACATCGTCGAGCTCCTGGCCGGGCACCAGACGAAGGCTGATGTTGGCGCAGGCGTGGGAGCTGACGAGGCTGCCGTCGGGCCCAGAGACCTTGTAGCGGTGGATGGTCAGGTTGGGCTCGCGCCAGCGCGACATGAGGCTGGCCTTGAGCAGCTCGGCCGGGCCGTTTTCAGGGCAGCGCCGCACGAGCATGCGCGTGATGGCGTCGAAGCGGGCCTCTTCGTCGGGGCGCAGCGGCAGCACGCCGTCGTAGAAATGCGGGATCATCACGCGGTTGCGCGGACCCTTGAGCTTGGCCAGCACGGCCGTCAGGTCGCTCAGCGGCTCGGCCATCATGTAAGACCCGTCGACGCCCGAGTGCAGGTCTGGATGTGGCGAGTCCACGCAGACGGTCGCATGCAGCACGCCGCGCAGGCCGTACGTCAGGCACGGCGTCTCGTCGTCCAGCCAGTAGCTGTTGGCCAGCAAGATGTAGTCGATATTGCCGATCAGCGTCTGGTTTTCGCGCACGGTCTCCTGGAAGCCCCGGGACCCGGCCTCCTCCTCGCCCTCGATCAGGAAGATGATGTCCGACTCCAGCTGCTTCTCCTGCATCAGGTCGGCCACCGCGTACAGTGCCGCCATGATGGGGCCCTTGTTGTCGCTGATACCGCGCCCGTACAGGTAGCCGTTGACGCCCTTCATCGCAAACGGGTCCGACGTCCACTTGCCCTTCTTCGTGTCGGCTGCCACCACGTCGTAGTGCCCGTAGAAGAGAATGCGCTTACGCCGCGCCTCGCCGCCCTCGGGCTGCGGCTTTCCGGCAAACTTGGCATACACCACCGGGTTGTGCTGCTTGTCCTGTGTTGTCAGCATCTGCACCTCGCCGCCCAGCCGCTTGAAGAGCGTGCACAGGAACGTCGCGCCCTTGTGGCAGTCCTCGGCGAACTCGGGACGCGAAGACACCGTCTTGTAGGAGATGAAGTCGCGCAGGTTCTTGAGCATCACGTCTTCAGACACCTCTGCCTCCTGGTCAGCCGAGCAGCACTGGTCCGGCATCCGCCATATGCTGACGATCTCATCGTTGGCGCCGGTGATGAAGAGCTGGCTGTTCTGGAACGTCGTCGTGGCCGAGGCCAGGATCTTGCCGTCGTGGGCTTTCCAGCGACTGATGCACTGGTACTTCTGGCTCACCGTGTCGGAGGATGACGTGGGCGTGCCGTAGTGGACTGTGCTGTGTTTCTGCAAAGAGTCAGAAGAGGTGTAACAGGACGTAAGCAGGCCTGTAGACAAGGGAACATACTGCAGCAAACCCGTTCGCCGAGGCGCTCCATAGGAAGCCCCATTTCATCTGCAGAGTCATGACGTCGCTGTTGTGGGCCTTGATGACGCGCAACTTCTGGCGCGTGTCGAGGTCCCAGAGCTCGACAAGTCCATCCAGCTTGCCGCAGTACAGAAAGGAGCCGTCGATGGCGAGCGAGAGGACGGACATGGCGTCGTCGTTGCCCAAGGTCATGACCTCGCTGATGCCGTGGCCGACCTCATCGCTGTCGCTCTCGCCGTCGCTGCCGCTGCCATCGTGGTCGGCGGCCGAGCCAATCTTCCAAACCTTGACAGTACCGTCGCCACCGCCGGAAATCAGCACCTCGTCGTCGGCCGGCAGGTTGTGGGCTGGGCCCTTGGCGACCAGCATGCAGTAGACGTAGCCGTAGTGGGCAAACTGGTGGATGGCGCTCGGATGGGCCTCGAGCACGGTCTGGGCCTTGGGGATGTGGCTCCAGCGCTCCTCGTTACGGCGCGGTGTGCTAGAGCCGCCGATGGCCTTGGAGTCGAAGAAGCGGTGGTGCCTCTTGTCCGGATGTTGGGCCGAGTCCTGGATGGCGCGGCGTCGCGGATCGTTCAGGTCAACCCATTGGATGGACGTGTCCTGCGCCCCGACAAACACGGTGTGGTGCTGGACAGAATAGACCACGCTGAAGATGTCGCCCACATCATACGAGCTGTAGATCTCGTAGAGTCGTTCAAAGGTCTTGGGGTTCCATATGCTGATGATGGCGTCGCCAGCCGAGGAGACCAGAAACTGGCCCAAGCTCGGCTCAGGGTCTGATGCGGTGGTCGAGGGTTTTGATTTTGACGACGAGGACGGAGGAGGAGGCGTGAGAAAGAGGCAGAGGACACTGCGTTTATGGGCTTGGATTCGGTGGACCGGCTGGTAAGGGCCGAGAGCCCAGATGAGGATCTCGCCGTCGTGGGTACCGGCGAATACGTACTCGTCGTTCACAGCAATGGCAAGAACAGAGCTGTCGTGCTTGAGATCGTGCACGCGGTCCAGACTGGGTCCCCGAGTCGTTCCCTCGCCGTCGGCAATGGCCAATGAAGGAGGCCAATCCTGGGGCAACGGGGCGGTGGGCATTGCGTCGGCCGTGTCTGTCGGGGATTAGACGTGTGCGTGTAGAGGAGAGGGATCGCGCGTATCGTGCTGGGTCGTCGTAGACGGAAAGCAGAGAAATGCAAAGGGAACGTGGCAGGAAGAAGGTCGAGGACGGTCGAGGACAAAACGGCGAGGAGTCAGAAGTGCAAATGACGCCAGCCGCTGAGCGGAGCTCGTAATGGTTCAGCATTTTCTTTGCTTTAGCGTGGGTCCAGCCTTACCAGCCCGCTAATTGGCGCCAAACTTACAGCGCTCCAGCGGGCGCATTTAGTGGCACTCTTAGCGGCCCAGATCCTGTGCCCCAGACGGTCGCCGATGGAGCACATTGACCGGACACGCAGCTAAGCAGGGGCAAGACGCGAGGTTGCAGGGCAGACGAGGGCCGAGACCGTCACTGGCTGAGGAGACAAGAAAAGTATAACAAAGGCATCCGCCATGCAGGCAACGAAGCCGGGCAAAGTGGGCCGACAACGGCTGTTCGTGCAAGAAGAAGAGAAGGATCCTTACCGAGTGCGACATTCGCGTGCACGCCCAGGCTGTTCTGGTCAGAGAGGAGGCGTTCCTGGCAGCCGGGACAACTGCCGGGCTTTCTCGGCTGGCCAGACTCAGGATTACTCGCAGACCCAGGCTCGACGACGCCGCTCCGGCCGACGGTGCCGTCGTTTGGGGGCACGAGCATGATGGGGCGGCAATAGCTGTTTCGCCTTCCGCCGTTGAGACGCCACACAAAGGCCCTGGTCGGCAACGGCTGGTCTGGCGAGTATGGGACGTCACTTTGTCGCTGCTGCTGCTGCTGCTGCTGCTGCTGCTGCTGCCAGAGGACAGAAACCCCTTTTGTATCGTCCAGGCGGCTGGAAAGACTATCTGTCCATACCGAATGACGCGACACAGCGGCCGATGGCATCATCAAGGACGGGCGGCGCCGTAGCACTGACACATTGACCTGAAAGCTGAAAGGGGGGGAAGTGGAACTCTGTGGTCCAGGGGAAACGACCGATCGACGAGTAGCCGGCAGACGGGCCAAGGCAAGACAGGCAGGCGAGCAGACAAACCAAAAGGCAATCCGGTACGGAGTAGTCAGCAGTCAGACAGTCTGGTAAACGACTCTCTCTCGGAGGACGGCTCTACACCGCTTCGTCTCTGCTTGCATGCAACACACTATCAAGCCTGCACTCTTATCTTCTACAAACGGAAGGTCAGAGTATCGTGGGAGATAGACAGAGCGGGCGAGCTTGGGGGGAAGCGGCAAGCTTTATAGCACACATGCGTGCTCCTGATCCGGAGGTGGAGGGCAGTCGCGCCAGGAAGCGAACCAGCCGCGGGAGATCTACACGAGAGCAGCCCAAGAAAACCGACTCATGCACACACTCAGTCGGCTGCCGTCAGGCACGAGGTTCGTCCCGACCAGCCACAACCCCGGCTCTGTACGGGTTGGCAAGACACTTACATTAGTGCCGTGGTGCACACCGGGGCGGACGTGCTACAGTGGTGCCGTGTGCGCGAGAGCAAGGCCATCCGCTAGCAGAGATACGCCGATGCACGCCGATGCACGCGCTCCTCCAATCGGACGGCAGACAGAAGCCGCTTTCAGCGTCGCAAGTCGGACTGAGCGAAGAGGCACAGCTGCACGTGTAAGGAGTTTCACACCAACCCCGGCTGCTGGCTGTGTCATTGGCCGTCCTTTGCATAAGGGCCTCACCGTCTTTCACTTGCCTGTCAATCACACGATGTCGCGGGCCTGCTGAAAACGAGTTCACATCTGGCCGTCTGGAAACAGGACGGCGAGGTGGTGTCCACTTATGAGTGATTACCTAATAGTGGTCCGTGCACCGCGCTCCCAGCGGAATCGGAAAAAATAAAGTGACGATTTTTTTCGAGCCGGACAGAAGAAAGAAGCGAAAACCTGCCTCGGATTGACGACTCTTGGACAGCAGCGACAGCTCCCCCATCCCGGCGAACATCCGACGCTCGACGACATCCGCTCGACCGCTTCCGCTGCGACGGCCTGATAGCTCTTCCCGGTAGCCCGTGTTTCCACAGCAGACAGTCCTGCGGCCGTGTGCTCTCGAGGCTTTGCCGTCCTTCTTCGGAGTCCACCCCACTTCCACTTTCACGACCACCAACCACGATGGATCACGGCCGCGACCCGTGCCCCTATGTCATTCTCAATGACTTTGGCGGCGCCTTTGCCATGGGTGTATGTTGCCCCGATGCTATCTGCCCGCCGGCAGCAGCCGCCTTCCTGGCGCAAAGAGACTCGAGCTAACGATAGTCTTCTCTCCAGGCCATTGGCGGCACGATCTGGCACGGTATCAAGGGCTTCCGCAACTCACCGTACGGCGAGCGACGGTTGGGCGCCATGACGGCGATCAAGATGCGGGCGCCGGTGCTGGGCGGCAACTTTGGCGTCTGGGGCGGGCTCTTCTCGACCTTTGACTGCGCCGTCAAGGGCATCCGCAAGAAGGAGGACCCGTACAACGCCATTATTGCTGGCTTCTTCACCGGTGGCTCGCTGGCCATCCGCGGCGGCTACAAGGCTGCGCGCAACGGCGCCATCGGCTGCGCCGTCCTGCTGGCCGTCATCGAGGGCGTCGGCATCGCCTTCCAGAAGATGATGGCAGGCAGCACAAAGCTGGAGGTGAGTCTCCTGCTGCCATGCCTCATGCCTCCCTGCACTTCACCCACTGACGTTTTTGCAGCTCCCGGCACCTCCGCCGCAACCAGAAGCGATTGCAGCGTAAGAGCGACACCAACAGCGATGGCACCGTTTCCAGAACCCAGCACACACATCTCTGCTCTCTCTTGACGTTTTCTATTATTTTTTCGATATCGACATCTTCTCACCGTCAATCTCCCTCACCTTTCTCTCTTTTCAATTCACGGCATTCTTGGCTTTCTGCATGGGAGAACGCGGGCTGGCCGGCGTTTGTATGGCTTGTAAAATAGATGGACTAGAATGAGAGGAGGAAGGGGCCAAAACTCGCTCAGTCTACGGGGGGCTGGTTAATGAATAAAGTTTCAGACAACTCGTTGTCGTGATGTTGAAGCCAGTACTCCGTAGCTTTGGGTCCAGTGCATATTAATAGCAGTGGCCACAGGGCAGATCGTAGTGGGTCCTATTTGGGTGGATTCCAGTCCACAAGCAGTGCGGTCACAAGCCGTCGCAAGCCGTCGCAAGATAGCTACGGACTTCCACACTCCGTAGAGGCGAGAAAAAGAAAGCGCTGGGCCGCACTAACGCAGCAGTCAGGTTCAGCGACAGGATCATGCCGTTATCAACGGTGGACTAGGCCAGCACACCGCCGATGCCGGCACCGATGTGGACCACGGGCGAGTGCCGGTGCCTGGTGAATGACGGAAGAACTGAACAGAGACCGGTGTGAATTTCGGGCCACTGCTCTGTTCAGTTGAGAATACATAGCAGTCATTTTAGTTCGGCCAAGGTCATTAGTGGCAATCGGACACTCGGCAGGCTGGCCCGATCTCGGCGGTAAACCCGCCGCTAGCCGATCCCGCGTTATATAACGCCGGCTGATAGGAAATGCTGCGAAGCCGGAGAGCTATGCAACAACGACAGCAGAAGACGACCAGAGACACGCAACAGACAGACGTTGACCACGCTGAACCGAACAGGATGGCGACAACGAAGAAGCCGGCAGTGCCGCCATCGGGCGTATGGGCGCCGGCGGTGACGCTGTTCGACCCGGACACGGACACGCTGCTGCTGGAAGACCAAAAGCGGTACTTTGGCTATCTCGCATCGACGGGGCTGGCCGGGCTGGTGGTGCTGGGCACAAACGCAGAGACGTTTCTGCTGACGCGCGAGGAGCGGACAGCACTGCTAGCAGCGGCGCGTGTGGCCGTAGGCCCCGACTTTCCCATCATGGCCGGTGTCAGCGGTCACAGCACGGCGCAAGTGCTGGAGTACATGGCGGACGCCAAGGCGGCCGGTGCCGATTACGCGCTGCTGCTGCCGCCGGCATACTTTGGTGCCAAGGCGAGCCCGCCGGCGGTGGTGGCGCATTTCTACGACGACGTGGCCGCAGCGGCACCGTTGCCCATTGTGCTGTACAACTTCCCGGGTGTCTGCAATGGCGTCGACCTGGATTCGGACACGGTGGCCGGCCTGGCTCGTCGCCATCCCGGCGTCGTGGTCGGCGTCAAGCTTACGTGCGGCTCTGTTGCCAAGGTCGTCCGTCTGGCAGCCGAGCTGCCACCTGACAAGTTCGCCATTTACGGTGGCCAGGCCGACTTTCTCGTTGGCGCCCTCGCTGTCGGAGCCGCTGGATGTATCTCGGCCTTTGCCAACATCTGCCCCAAGACGGTCGTGCAGATCTACCGTCTCTGGACCGGTCACGCCAGCCGCGCCAGCACGGACGCCCTTCGCCACGACGACAGCCGCTCTGCCGATGTCCGCTCTGCCGACCGTGCTGCCGCCATCGCCCTCCACAAACAGGCTGCCCTGGCTGAGCGCCCCTGCAAGAACGGCATCGCTACGACCAAGTACGCCGCTGCCGTCTACACAGCTGGCCCGGCCGGCATCGCTGATGCCGTCGCCAAAATGCGCCCTCGCCGGCCGTATCTGGAGCCGTCCGAGGCGGAGAAGGATCGCTGTCGGGGGCTGTTGGCCGAGATGGCCAAGGTCGAGGCCGCTCTGTAAAGGCGTTTCTAAATTGAATATGACTAAATTAATATATATAGATATATATCCTATTTAGCACAGTGTCGGGCTTCTGTAAACTCCGGCTGTCTTATTCCGGCTGCCAAAGACCAGTGCTAAACGCCGGCCGGATTATAAAGACTAAATTGCATATGTCATGCTGCTCTATTGCTTGTTGGCTATTTTGTCGTCATTGTCGTCCACCTGTTTACTTGCGCGAATCTGCCCGCTTCGAAAATGTCGTGCGCCGACTGCTATACCGGCTCTGTCCACGAGGGCAAGCCCCGAGGCAAGACCATTGAGCTCCATGGTCTCCAAGCCTATGTCACCGAGCCGACTGGCAATCGTGCCCCCAAAGCCATCATTGTCATTCTCCCCGACGCCTTTGGCTGGGAGTTTGTCAACAACCGTCTCCTGGCCGATCACTACGCCGACAAGGGCGACTACAAGGTCTATCTGCCGGACTTCATGCTGGGTGCGATGCGTCCAACGAAGCCTTCTTTGCTTGGAAACTAGCTACTGACTACAGCTGTCGTCTTGCTTTCATCCCTCACAGGTCGCTCAACTCCAGCCGATGTCATCCCGTCCATGCGTGATCTGATCAGCGGTGGATTGTTGTGGAAGCCGTAAGGCCCTATAGCCTTGTTTCTCCCCCTCAGTTGTGCCCTGATATTCACTACCATCAGCTACTACCTATGCCGCGTTGCCGTCGGCATGGTCCCCTTCCTCCTGACGAACTACATCGGTAAGTCGCATCCGCGGGTGCGCCTCTTTTTTGAGCGTCTGCGAGCGGCCGAGGGCTCCGACGCCCTCATCGCCGCTGCCGGCTTCTGCTGGGGCGGCAAGCACGTGCTGCTCATGTCCCACGACATTGTCCCGCTCATCAATGCCGGTTTCGTGGGCCATCCCAGCTTCTTCAGCCCTAGTGATGTCGCCGCCCCCGTCACGGTGCCCGTGGCCGCTGCTGTGGGCAGCCTCGACCCGACCCTGCCCGCCGCCTCTGTCGATGTTATGCGCAAGGGCCTCGAGGCCGAGACCTTAGCCGAGGCCGTGCGTGGCCAAGTCACCGTCTATGACGGCTGCGGCCACGGCTTCTGCGTCCGTGCCGACTCCACCTACAACGACATCACCAAGCAGGCCTTGGCCTCTGAGGATCAGTGCATCGCCTGGTTCAATGGGCACTTTGGTCTGTAAAGGGGTGGGATTGGCTGAAATACAGATTTGTTACCTGACATCTTGTCGTGTTGTTTAATCGTCAGTTTGATACCAGAGTCGGATGTAGTAGCACAAAAGTTTCTTGAAGACGAGACATCTGTCATAGTTCAACATATTGTCATTCGTCCTGAACTGAAGAGCAGAAAAGAGAAGAGTTGTTATCGTTGACGCGGAGAGAAAAGCAGCCGACTTGCGTGGTAGCGCTTACTTGGTGCAACCTTGTTTGCAGGTGGGGATGGCTGCGTATTAAAGGGCGCTCAGGGCCTGCAATCCAAGTCAAAAACGGTCGTGCTAGTAAAGAACTGTCTCTCTCTGACAATGGATGCGGCTACAGCCGACAGCAGCCTGCCTGAAAACCTCAAGGCCCGGCTCAAGGCGTCGTACGATGCGATTGCGCCGACATACAACGCCTGGACGATCGGGCACTCGCCCATGCGGATGCAGTACCTCGACCTCCTCATTGCACGGCTGCAAAAAGAGACAAGCACAGGCGTCGGGCCTCTGCGCGTGGTGGAGCTCGGCTGCGGCGCCGGCGTGCCCGTGACGGAGCGGCTGCTGACAGCACTGCGTCCGGTGCACGTTATGGCCAACGACCTGTCGTCGACGCAGATCCGCCTGGCCCGGACCACACTGGGAGACCACGGCGAGACGGTGGAGGGTGGTGGCGGCAGCAGCGTGGACTGGCTCGAGGCCGACATGATGTCGCTGGCCTTTTCTGATGCCACGATCGATGCCGTCGTCGGCTTCTACAGCCTCATCCACCTGCCGCGCGACGAGCAGACCGAGCTGCTGGGCCGCATCGCCCGCTGGCTCCGTCCCGGCGGCTGCCTGCTGGCCAACTTTGCCGAGGTGGCGAAACCGGCCATCGTCATGGATCGCTGGCTCCACGACGACGGCTGGATGTTCTGGAGCGGCTGGGGCGTTAACGGGACGCGCGCGCGCATCCGCGAGGCCGGTTTTGATTTGGTCGTCGCCCAGGTCGAGCAGGACGCCGTCGATGCCAACTTCTTCTGGGTGCTTGCACAGACATCGTATGAGGACCATACTACAGAGTAAAATACGGAGTCGATCCAGAGCTGCGTAGATGATTACGTAATTCAAATAAAGCCCCACTTTCCACCAGGCAATTGGCGTATCGCGTCCCTGCCTGATTCGGGTGATGCTGACCTGTCTGCACTTTTCTCTCTCTCGACTCCGTGCCGACATCTCCAGAAGCGTCCATTTCTCCGGCGGACGCCCTCAGCCTCCGAACAAGCGACAGAACCGAGATCCCCTCCTCCACCATGGTGACCGCACTGGCACGGCGGGCAGCGTTGCCGCCGTCCATCTTGGGGCGATGCCGCCCGGCCGCCCTGGCACAGCTCCAGGCTCGGCCTCGATCAGCAGGCCTGATGACGACAGCGATGCCAGCGATGCCAGCGATGACGGCGACAACAGCGGAACGGCCAGCATGGCCATCTCCTGGCCAGCAGCGACGAGCGCTGCAGACGAGCGCAAGACGACAGGTGCCGGGCCCGTCGCCGCTGCTGGGGGCCATTGGCGGGTTTGGATCGTCGTCGGCTATCCCGGCGGCCTACTTCCAGAAGCCGTCGCTGCCGGCCAACACGATCATCCGGTTCGTGCCGCAGCAGACGGCGTGGATTGTCGAGCGGATGGGCAAGTTTGACCGGATCCTGCAGCCCGGTCTGGCTGTGCTGATCCCCTTCCTCGACCGCATTGCCTATGTCAAGTCGCTCAAGGAGATCGCGCTCGAGATCCCTAGCCAGAGCGCCATCACGGCCGACAACGTCACTCTGGAGCTCGACGGCGTGCTCTACACGCGGGTCTTTGACGCCTACAAGGCGAGGTGCGTTTTTGTTCCTTTTTTCTACTCCCTTCCCTCTTTCCCATTCGCTCTGCTCTCTATCTACATCGAACCCGCTAACTCTCCCAGCTATGGCGTCGAGGATGCCGAGTATGCCATCTCGCAGCTGGCCCAGACGACGATGCGCAGCGAAATTGGCCAGATGACGCTGGATCACGTGCTCAAAGAGCGGGCGTCGCTCAACACCAACATCACGGCCGCCATCAACGAGGCAGCGCAGGCGTGGGGCGTCACGTGTCTGCGGTATGAGATCCGTGACATCCACGCGCCCGCCGCTGTGGTCGAGGCGATGCACCGCCAGGTCACGGCCGAACGGTCGAAGCGAGCCGAGATCCTCGAGTCCGAGGGCCAGCGCCAGAGCGCCATCAACATCGCCGAGGGCAAGAAGCAGAGCGTCATCCTGGCTTCCGAAGCCCTGCGCTCCGAGAACATCAACCGCGCGTCCGGTGAGTCCGAGGCGATCCTGCTGCGCGCCACCGCCACTGCCCAGGGCATCGATGCTGTCGCTGCCAGCATCGCTGCCGGCCGTGACGCCGCTCAGAGCGCCGTCTCGCTGTCCATTGCCGAAAAGTACGTCGACGCCTTTGCTCGTCTCGCCAAGGAGAGCACGGCTGTTGTCGTGCCCGGCAACGTCGGCGATATGGCTGGCCTCATTGCCACCGCCCTCGGCGTCTATGGCAAGGTAGGCGAGGCCACCCGTCGGCCCCAGGAGACCGCCCGCGCGCTTCTCAAGACGAGCGACGACACCGAGACCGCCCGCGAACTCAGCTCCCCCCTTTCCCAGGCTTCCAAGAGCAGGGCTGTCCGCGACCATATCGTGGAGGACTTTGACAAGACTACGCAATCGCGGTGATCAGATTTGGGCTTTGAACAGATGAACGTCCTGTATCGATAGTATTCTGCTGTGCGTCGTGCACGCTGGAAGCATCAAATGAAAAATGAAAAATGAAAAGAAAAGGAGAAAAAAGAAAGAAGAAAAAAAAGACATTGTCAACGTCACGTGTATCTCAACTTTCACCCAAAGCAATACATAATCCTTTCTGCTCTTCCCTAAACGCCCAGCTCTGTGCCCACGGCCTCCAGGGCCTCTCCGGCCAGGACCAGCGTCTTGTCATCACCAGCCGTGCCGGCCACCTGCATCGCCTTGAGCAGCAGCGGATACAATCGCAGCAGGTGTTTTCGCCCGTCGCTCTCAACACCGTCCAGTTCTGGGATGGCTCCCGGCTCCGACCGAAGGCTCACCAGCTGTCGCAGGATGCGGTACAGCTCGCGTCGCTGTGACAGCGGCTGTGGCATGTGTCCGCGCAACGGCTGGTCCGATACATACGCCCGAATCGTCAGGGCACAGCGCAGCATCAGATAGCCAGCTGCCGTCTTTGCCAGCCTCACGTGCAGCGCGTGTTCTGTCTCTGTCTTGTCTGCCCTGCCTGCCATCACTGCCGGTGCCAGTGTCATCCCTCTAGGCGGCGCCCGTGGCGTCGGTGGCTGCACCACAATCGACGGCTTCCCGCTCGCATCTTCGTGCGCCTCCACCAACGCAAACAGCTCGTCCAGACAGACACGGCTCATGTCCGCTCTCTTCGTCGGCCGCGGGTCCACCGTCTGGCCGCTGCCCGGCTTGTACAGCCTGCTCAGGTTCGCCGCAACCACATCGTCCGTTCCAGAGGGCCCGTAGAGAAGCGATGCATCTGCTGCTGATGGCGCGTGCACAATCGATATCCGGAACAGGCCCTCAGCATATGCCTTTCTCGTTCTCTCGGCCACCGCCCCCGATCCAAGCGACGGGATGATAAGCTCGCGCAGCTTTCGAAACGCGCTGATGTCGAACTGCTGGTCGTCTGCAATCACGCTGTCCTCCACTGCCGCTTCCTCCAGCTTGGCGCTGATGATCCCGTTCGCCACCGTCACCACTGCGTCCCATGCGTCCTGGAATGCCTTCTTCGGCACCGTCTTCGCCTTCAGGTGCGGCAGCGTGATTTCCAGGATCGCAAGCGTCGCCTTCACCGCCTCCTTCCACGGCTGAATGCTCTTCGTCACGATTCGGAACCCGTATTTTAGCCCAATCGGCTTCGCCAGCGCCGTGAGTGCTCGAGAAAACGCCCCGCTGCTGAAGATGTCCGGCTCCGATGCATTCTTCATAATGTGGTAGTGGAGGATTGGCATGCTTGCCTTGGACATGGCCACAAATGTTCGCTTCGGCTGCACCGACGCCTCCGGCAAGTCAAACGCCATCGACACAAAGTCCGCAAGCAACAGAATCACCGCAGAAGGCACCCCGTGGATGTCCGTCCGGACAATCTTCAGCACCTCCAGAATCTGCCCTTGCAACGGTGTCGTGTATTCAATGTCGTTGGCGTAGCTTCCCGGACTCGCCCAGATCATCGCGTCACGCAGAAGCCCGAGCATCTGCTGAATTGTCTCTAGGTCCATGTCTGCACGCATCAGCCGCTCGATCTCCAGAAACGTGTTCACCCACGACAAAAGACATTTCTGGTTGTCTTCTGCCTTTGCTGTATCTGCCACCGGCTCCGACGCTGGAACGCCGCGGGACCAAAGTTCCCATGCCAGCCTGACTGCCTGACTGCTAAACGACCGCCGCGCTCGTCCGTCGCTCTTCGACAGAATGCTCGTCAGGCTTCCAAAAACCGCCGTGCTGACGTCGAGCGCCCTGAAGTCCAGCATCGTTGCAAGGTGCTCGAGCAGGTCTTGCCACAGCGACGGAAACACCTCGTGCGGTACCAGCACTTCCAGGTAGTTGGATAGCAGTTCCGAAACCCCGTTGACAATCACAACAGCTGTTTCGTTCCATTCTGTAAAAGTCGCCGTACCCGCACCGTTTTCGCTCGTTATCTGCAGCTGCTCCTCCGTCGACGACAGCAGCTTGAATATAACCGCCCGGATGCATACCGCCCAAGACTCCGCACTGAGGCTATTGCCGTAGGCGTGAATTATACGTAGCAGTGTCTGAACAGCACCTGGACACTGCAGTCAGCGTTTGGTGCAAGAAAAACACAACATTTCGCTAGAGACCTACTGTTTCTCAGCTCCAACCGATGGTCCGTCGTCACCGCAGTGAGCCGCAACAAGAGCAGCATCCACAGAGCAGCTCCAGACCCTGGGTGCGACGTGTTATACGCCAGCTTCACCAGTGCGTCGTCGCTCGGTCCTCCTTCCATCGCTGCCGTGATCGACATCGAGCTGTTGCGGCTCAACAAGAAGTCCGATATGGTCCAATAGAATGTCACCGTCTGTCACAAAAACTATGTTAGCCGCTGCATCGCGCAAGGGGTGCACACGGGTCGAAACGCACAGTCAGGGCAACGTTGAGATCGTCATCTTGGGAGCAAAACTTGTACAGGCTGTCGACAAGGTTGAGGTAACAGGTATTTGGCAGCGACGGAAGAAAGTCCGAACATATCAGCTGCAAGGAAGCGAATGACGACTTGATCAACCGCACTGATCTTGTCTTGAGCACTTTTCCTCGTTTATTCTCCTGCTCCACAAATATGGAGTCGATAGACTTGAAAACCACAGTCCACCCATTCGTAAGCGTCTCGCCGCTGTCCTCGAGGAGGCTCTTCAGTCCGTCGAGGAGCGCTTTGTGTATGTCGATGTCGATGGCTTGAGTAGCTACCGATCCTGCACGGTCCTCTCGTTGTAGTGGCAGAAGCGAGCCTTTTAGTGCTTCCAGAAGCCGGAGCTGGATCTCGCCACGTACGTCTTCTTCTGCCGTTGAGACCGCTGCCGTGGCTTCAAGAATAAGCCGCACCAGCGTTTCCGCAGCACGCATTCGAACGGTTGCTGCTGCTGCCGTCGAGCTGAGCGCGCCGACCAACTCGCCAATGAGTGGTGTCCAACCCGACACGTCTGGTGGGTTGTACAAGAGTCTCTCAATATTGATCGATGCAACGTCTCCCAGTTTGGCCAATACAAACTGGTCTTCCTGGCTGGAGCCTGACACTGGCGCAGACGAAATGCTCATCACCCTTTGGTGCTTAACAACGGGTGTTCTGAGAGTTGCCCCCTTTGCAGGCTTCAGTGTCTCTCCGATCGGAGACGTTGGCGATTGCGGCCGGCCTCCGGCCTGCGGTGTCGCAGACTCCGTCCGTTTCTCCAGGAGGCTACATATGGCCACGACAATCGAAACAAACGCCTCGTTGGGGAAGTCCACTGTGCTCTCAAAAAGGCGAGACGCAGCCGTCTCAACAGACTTGATTTCCGAGCCGAAATTCATCAAAAGCGTATTGGCCTCAGCTTCGGCCAGTTGATCGGCCAATCTCACAGCTGCTGGCATTCGCCCTGGCGTCTTCCCGGAACAGAACAGAACAAAGTCGGCCTGTTGTAAAGTTTCCAGCACAATCTGCCAGGCTGATTCCAATGTAGGGCCCAGAGCAATGCCGAGGTTTAACAACGCTCGAAGACACAGAAGATTTCTCGTGTTTAGAGCCGTAACACCAACATCCGCCGACGACTGTCGTGGCTTGTCAGATGCTGAGTTCTGACTCACCAGGCTGTCAACGCTGAGTAAGCCACGGGCATTGCTAAATATACTGCTGCCATCGGCACCTGCAGACGTCGGCGTCGACGGCCGGGGGCCCGCGTTAAGACACGCTGTGAGCACGTTTGGAGGAACGGCTGCTTTCCCGAGCGTTGTGAGAAAAGCATCCCGTGGGGTGTTCAGTTGCAATAATCCGGCCACATGCGTGAATCTCTGGAATGCTCGCACCAAGCTGTGATAATACTCCGAATCCAATGCCGAGTACAGGAATGTCGAGCAGGTTGCTAATATAGCAGGCCAGCAGCTGTCCATCATTTCTGCACATGTCTTCACCTCCGAGTACTGAGGGTGCTCCTTCAGCAAAAGAGGGTTCAGGGGAACAGGATTTTTTTTGAATGATGCCGACCGTTCTAGGCCGCTGGACACGTCATCTCTCGACGATCCACCTGCAGCAGTAGAAGCCGAGCTGCTCTCCAACTTCGCGCTCTTCTTCCGACCGCGGCCCTCGCCTGGAACAGTAAGGGGGAGAATAAACTTTGCCAAGCCTTCCGATAAGGACGTGATGCAAGCCAGGATCAGACTGAAAATATACGAATCTGGTATTGTAAGAGGCTCAGCTTTGTCTAGCTGGTCGATACAAGGCGTTCGTATTGCGCTCCACTGTGAGCTGATGCCCGTGCTGTTCGTCTCGGACGTGACAGAACCGCCGATGATGCCGCCGCTTGCCTCAAGCACCGCCTGGTCTGCCGTCGAGCCGCCACCCACGCTTGATCCGGCAACGGGAATGGTCGACTGGTGTCCAAGGCCAATCACACTGGGTCGCTCGGTAGACGCCCGGACAAAAGTTGCGAGCAAGTCTTGTAAAATATTCTTCTCTCCTTCTTTATCGTCGTATAGCGTGTATATTAGACGCAACAGACTTGGGTCAAAAAATATCCCCTTGAAAGCTTCCAAACAGAGCACTCTTTTCCACAAGACCGTTTCTTGATCAAGAACGTAGGCCAAGGTCGAAAGCCCTTCGCAGCTCTCAACAGCCAAGAGCGTCATATGCCGCCGAAGGACGGTGTACATAACACGAACGAGGCGAACGGCAGTAGGGAAATTTGGCCTCCCTGTGAGACTCTTCGTTATAAATGGCATGACTCTCGAGCGAAGAATCTGTGTCTGTTCCGGATGGGACGCAAATATGGACGGATGATTAGTCAAGACAGATTCGATGAGCTCTAAGCCGAATGTCTGCGAGAGGTTGGAAAACCTCAAGTACTCGGGACGACCAGATGCCGTCAGGAGACAAATATCATTGAAGACAAGATATGCATCCATCGCAGCAGCATGAAGCGGAATTCTGCCATCTTGCAGTGGCGCATCGCCAACCGGTTGCGTCTGAGGGGGGGATTCTGCAGTCGACGATTAGTATAGGTTCTTCGCCCCGTCATTTATATAGATATGGAGGCTCACTATCTTCAGCTACGACTTTGTCGAAAACCGAGATGAGAAGCTGTTGGAGCGTAGCAGAGGCAGTATTGTTGACCACAACATTCTTGCTTGTCTGGAGGACAAAGCATATGTTCAGTGTAGTAATAAGCAAGTCGCCCGACACCTCGTTGGCATAGTTTTGAAGCAGGGTCGGGAGCGACTGCAGAATCCGAAGCTGGACATCTAGCCCACCGGCGGAAGACTCTCGAATCGCTTGAAGGACCTGGTCCAGTCGCGTGTGCGGAACTCCTTTTGCAGCAATGAGCCGCTGCAGGCAAACGATGGCGATGCCTGTGAACTTGACATTGCGCGTGCCGCAGGCGATGATGAACGGGTTCACAAAGTTCGTGCACTGGGAGAGTTCTGCAGGGCCATGGTTAGTCAAAGTCGTCGTACAAGAAGAACGGAGCGGCCAGTACCTGCTCCAATGTGCGCCTCGGAGCTGTCTCTGAGGCTTCTTAGCTCCTCCAGAGACTTTTCGGAAGCCTTTGAACCTTGTCAGCCACAGTCCCCTAGCACGTCCTGTCTCCGGAACAGGAAAAAGGAGGGCGCGTCGCACCAGTTTGAGATCATTGTGCTTGCGCTTGCTCTCCTGAATGAGGTTGCCGAGCTCGGAATTGAGAAGCTGGGCCGTCATCTTTTCCGCGTTGTAAGTATAAAGGCCCTCGACATAGTGGAAGGTTTCCGGTTGCGTTCAATCAGCTGGCGACAAGACTGGGGCGATCAGCGAGAGCGGTAGCCGTTGTTTCATAGGAAGCGTCGCATCCAGAAGTACTTGGTGAGAGCTATTGGCAATAGAAGCTTGGACGTGCATACGTAGCCCCATGGAGCCGATTACGCGGCAGAATTGAACACCGCCTTTAGTCAGGCCGCCCAACCCCGCCACGCTGGAGATGAAAATGGTCATCCTACAGCCTTCTATTGCTAGGACCGTCCGATATAACATTACCTGTCGACATTTGTGGATGCTTTTATCGTTACCACCAGAAATCCCTATATATATACACCAGATACAAAGTATCCAGTAGGAACCTGCACTGATTGCATTCGGCACAATGGCGGTCGCACAAGTTCCGCGCAACTTCAAGCTCTTGGCCGAGTTGGAGAAGGGCGAGAAGGGGCTGGGCGCAGGTACGACATCCACGGATCTGCCATGGGTCTTGCAGGGCGCTGCGAAATGTCCTCTAATCACGGTCCTCCGATGCTAACAGGATTACAGGCGCATGCTCGTATGGCTTGGAGGATCCTGAGGACATCTTGATGACAAACTGGCGAGGCACAATCTGGGGACCACCACACGTAAGTGCCAGATGAACAAGCCTTCCAGACCGTACTTGCGGTCGATATTAAGGCGCTGACGCCGTCATTTGGTCGCAGGGTAACCACGAGAACCGGATATACGAGCTTAAGATGAACTGCGGCGAAAATTACCCCAAAGAGCCACCCACGATCTATTTCGTCAGCCAGATCAACCTGCCGGGTGTCAATAACGTCGATGGCCTTGTGGACAAGAACTGTATCGGTATTTTGCGCGACTGGACGGCCATCGCGGCGCAGTTGTCACGAAACCCGCGGCCGAAGGAGGACCCTCTTAGCCTTGAGACTGCTCTGATCTCCATACGGAAGTACGCTTTTTGGTATAGGACCTGACAGTTGTGAGACTCACTGGCTAACAAACTCTTACTAGATACATGGAAGAGAACAAGAAACTTCCGCAACCTCCCGAGGGCTCTCGTTATGCCGTGTATAAGGACACCATTTAAAGTAGTTACCAAGCCACTGCGAGAGCTCCGGGAGCTCCGGGATAAGCCCGAGGAGATAGGAGGTCCGACGACGACGATACCGGAAGGGGCAACACAGCGGGTGCGGGCATTTCAGATGGCGTCTTCGCTGTTTTACGGCTTTTTGTGCTGCTTAGACAGTTTCATTCAAACATCCAGTTTTATCGGCCACCACATATTTCTACTATCTCTGCTTTCTTCCCCGGTGCACTTTCACAGATGAATGCAAATGACCGAATGGATACGACACCATGATGCCACCTCCGTAGTGTACCTCGTTCATCTTGTGGTGACCCTGCAGCATGGAATCCGACGTCGTAGCAGCGGATTCTAGAACGATTCGGTGGGGCACTAATAGTATGACGCGTGCCCCTCTGGCGCTCACGTGCCGACGTTTAATCTTTGCTCTGGCGAAAAAGTGCAGTCAACATCGACGAATGCAACCTTTGGCCTCAGTGCTGCCGCAATCACCACTGGCCTCGTCGGATTGCCAGATGAATGCCTTCATTCTTCATTCCCGCCCGCAGTTCGCGGCATCGAACAGCATGTCCGTCTCCCCGTGCACAGCAAATAGCTCGCAGTCGTCTTTGCCTGTCTAACATGATCGACAGGCTTTGCGCTCTACAAAGCCCTGCTCAAACAGGCAGCTCAAGTCCCTCTTTTAGATAAAGCAGGGTCTTCGACTTCGGGCCCGCCGATTCCTCCTATTCAAAAATTGATCCGGAACACATTTGAGCTGAACCGTGGGGACACGAGTCCCCGACTGGTTCTTGGAGCGTTGAACAATGGCTACAAGGTGCGATAATGGTCGAGGCTGTCTTCTGTTCCCTCAGAGCGAGAATTGACCCGCCGATATATAGTTCCTCAACCTCTTAGCTGAGGCGCAGACACCCTCGTCACCGGCGCATGCATCAATACTAGCATTTCTCCGGAAACCGATCGCCGCCGAAACCATTGCGAAGTCCACAAAGGCACCACGAACGAGATCGAAAAACAGGAAACGGACAACCCTGCCTTCTGCACCACACCCAGACACGGTGCCCCTCCTCACACGGAGGACCATACCGGGCTCAGAAGAGTCCTCACCCGATAATCAGTTCACCTTCCAGCACTACGAGTACGTCTCGACGGCACGGCCGCGACCGCTTTCCGAACTGAGCCGCACCATAGACGGGCGGCGACGCGTGCCCAGGCTGGCGACTGATGCCACCGGCCTGCCGTTTCTGCGCCTAGGGCGGCCCCAGTCACCCGTGTTGTCACGGGTGATCCGGCAAAAGGGCCGCAAGAGACGCGACCGCATGCAGCTCGCCAGTGAGCTGCAGCGGGACGAACTCGATTTTGCGGCACAAGAGGACCTGTGGGAGGCTTCCGTAGAGAAGCTGCTGTCGGATGAGAGGCAGGAGAGCGGTTTCGGACAAGGAAGAAGAGAACCGACTTATGCCCAGGGTGTGTCGGCTGGCATCAACTATCTGAACGCGAAGCTGAACACGGAGATGGCCGACATGCTGGCGCGATCGAGAGCTATGCTACGAATTGTCGACGAGGAAAAGGCCCTCGCAGAGAAGGAAGCGGAGATTGAAAAGAGGCTAAAAAAGAACGAAGAGAGGACGCGTTACCCATCAGCGATAGCACAGCATGACGACGGTGTTGTGCAACCCGGCGGCGGTGAACCTGCATAATTTTATCTCGTTTAAATGGAGTATTGTAGATGGAGTACTATGATGTCAATTGATAAATCGCTAAATACAAACCCAACCAACGCCCCAGTTCCTTAGTACGTGATATGTGTTTTGTTTTATGTGAACAATTTTGTTATGAAGCAGCCTGTACAGTCTGGGCGGCCTTCCAGAATGCGTCGTTTACGTCAGATGGTCGGAAGCCTGGCGACCGGATAATGCAAGTAGCCCGCACGGAAAGCTCTGCGGTTTATTGTATTAGCGATGATGCTCTGCTGTCGTATCTTACACTTTACAGCAACGCTTTAATAATGGTGCTTACCTTCAACAAAGCGATCCACGTCCAATGCTACAGCACGACGGGTAGCCGAGTCGGATCTGCTAGATCTGCTGGAGCAAGAAGGGCTCAGGCCAGGCGGGTGGGACAATTGGACGAAGTCGATAGACGTTGCTCCAGTATGCTGCGAGGGCGCCTGTCTCTGCGTAAACATGAGCATGGATTGCAGGGCATCCTCGCGAGCATATGCGTTACTGTCATTGCCGCCCACAGGGACCGTGCTGTCATTGCCGCTGTTCCAGTCGAAAGGTGCATCCCGCGGACTGCTGCCGGGGCTGTGTGATATGGCCTTGGCCACAACGGATTTGTCTTTGTAATTATCGACGCCCCCAAAGTCATCCGCATCCACTTCGACGATGATACGCTCGGACCCGGCGGGAATGTGCACGCCCCGTTGGCGCAGGTAGAGCTCGGTGCCGTGGCAGTCGTAAAAGGAATTTTCGAATCCGGGGATGTCGGTACAGCTCCAGAGCTCAGGGTCATGTTCCTCGGCTTCGATCTTACGGGCCCTGTCGGAAGTGAAGGGCCAGCAGTCGTCTTTTTCCTCGATCGGCCCCCAGCGTTCAGTTGATAGCGTGGCATTTAACGGCTGGTCCAGTCCATGGAAAACTCGCTTTCGAATCTTCTCGATCGGCTCGAACATGACGCACAGGCCAAAGAGGCGGGCGAACTCGTGCGGTGGCGGATTCGGGGAAGACAGCAACACGTATGCTTTCTCGAGGGCGGTCCGCAGCAGACGGAGACCAAAGGTCCCTTCGAGGGAAGCAAACGACTTTGGGAGAGTCAGTCCCCCATAGAGATTGACTGGAATGGCACCCAATCCGTTGGATGTATTTGGAACCGGTGTGTTCCGACCGGAAAATGGGAACATCGGCATTGCATGGCCGCCAAAGTGAAACGATTCGTTGTTGGTGTAGTAGTTTGGAGTCATCGACATGAGTGAGTTGCTGCTGCTGCTGCTGCTGCTAGGCACAGTCGTCGCTAAGCCAACACTGTTGTCATACACCGTCTGCTGGCCCGAGTACATGGTGCTCTCGGTCAGCTCCGGAGACTCGACAACGACCCCTCCGTAGAGCTGGGTTGGCCGCTTTCGCGTGTCGTCTGCTGTGTTCATGTGATGCGAGATGGGCATAACCTGCTCAGCCGAGCTGGACCTCTCTCGTGTCGAGTAGCCAAACACTTGCACAGCATCCGCAATAACCTGCTGTTCCTTGGACATGCTGGTGGTTGTCGTAGGCTGCCGGACGGTAGCGGTCATGTCGCCGGCGTCTTCGTCCTCGTCGTTGTCGTCATCTTCGTCTCCACTGGCTCGCCGGGCAAGATCTAAGAAAACCTCTGTGGTGCTGTGAAGCTGCCGAGCGAAGCCTGGATGTTGATCGACCAGGCCGTAGCTGATCGCTGCGTCATTGAGATTCATAAAAGCATTGCTCATGGCCTCATTCGCTTCCTTCAAGGCCTGCACCTTCTTCTTGAGAAGCATGATGGCGTTCTCTCTCCGGCTCCGGTAGGCCCGTTGGGCCAGTCGGATTTGTGTTCGCCGTCTCTGTTCCGACTTTGTCAGTAGGTACAAAGCAGTCGGGGAGCAGAGCTGTGCATACGTCGGCTGCGGTAACGTCCTTGACGGCCACTCTCGGACGGCCTCGTGCCCGCTTCTTTTCCTGCTCGCCATCTTCACCACTAGCGGTGGAAGCGCGTTTCAGTGTCTCTTTCATAGCCGAAGGGACCTTGGAAAATGCAGCGATGGTCGAGTCTATGCCAGCGACTTGCTGCGCACTTAGGGCGGCCTGGAGACTGTCGGGTGCGTCTCTGCAGATCTCTTGTTGTGTGGATCTTCGAATTCGACCCGCCTTCGGAATCCGGCCACCGATGTTGAATTGCTCTGCATTCAGAATAGCAAGATCCGGCTGCATGAGTGGCATAATATTTGGGGGTCGGGGCCCCCCTTTCAAGGCTTAAATTGGGGCTGAATCGGAGAAGTTGAAGGATTGTTATCATGGATTATTGGCTGGCAGCAACATTAGAGCAGCAAACAGACTGGAGGAAGGAAAAGGGATTACTCCGTAGAAGGGAAACGGAATTGTTGGCTCAATCAGCACACCAGTGCTAGTCTTAGCGTGCCTCGATTTGTCAGCTATGAATGCAGGTGAACCGGAGCGATATTTAATGATTAGTGAACAAGCGCCGACAGGCCGACCAGTAGCTTCGCACCTATGCTACTGGTTCTTTGTTAGCCAATGTCTTACCATTACTAGCAATCGTCAAGTGCCGTGAAACGCGCATTGGGCCATTTCCTTTGGAATCATTTGATTGTGACGTGACGTCATAATTCACCACATCGGTACTCGTACACACGTATCTTATTGGCGCTTCGTTGAACGGCGACGCAGCAGACGATACCAAATCCCATCAAAAACAACAAGTCCTGTGGCTGCTGCCGTTCCGCTCTACGGCCACGGTTATCAAACTACCCGAAAAGCAATGGCTCTTGCCACGTGTATGAACGGCGATGGTAAAACCTGACGGATGTAGCCGGGCGGTGCTCGTAAGCACGAGGTGCGGTACCATCTCCTGGATTGCAGGTTCTGTTTCGTAAGCAACCGTCGTGCCGTAATCTCCCATGATGGTGCATCGGGGGCCAAATGAGGGGTACGGAAAGCTCAACATTGCCGGTGACCCTGGTGGCTTAAACTGAACCACAGCAGCCGTACGGAGTACTCCGTATTATTGGGTAGCAATCAACCTTATTTGATTGAGGATCCAGAGATCAGGCCAGCAGGTAAAATTGACTTCTATGGCAGAGCTATCTCAAGGCAACCTCGAGAAGCCGGTTGATGCAGCCTTGCCTATCAAACCAATTCAGCTCTGGGGCAGACAGTTTGCCAGAGAATTCCGGATAGGGAGATGTTCCTCGAATATTAGGGCTCATTTTACAGTATCCAAATCCAAGTTCCAGATATCCATTTCAGGAAACTGCAGGGAGAAATACATGCAGCATAAGCATTGTACTCCGTACGTAATTTTTACTGAAGTGTCGAGCTCAGCAGCCGTTACGGCAAGGCAGGTCTAAATACTGAAAAATCACACGTGATTTTCGACGCCCGGTTAGCTCAATCGGTAGAGCGTGAGACTCTTAATCTCAAGGTTGCGGGTTAGTGACTTCTTTCAAGCAGTTTAGAAAACAAAGCACCGGCTAACGGACCCTGAAGGTTCGACCCCCGCATCGGGCTCAATTCCTGATGCGCCTGTCCTACAGGCACTTAGATTCCAGACCTTTTTTTTTCGTCTTTTTGTCTATGATGTTTGGTCTACTATTCGCATGCCTCTTGCCATCTGGGTGCACCTCTGTGACTCAGCTTGTCAGATGTTTTTGACATTAGAAAAACGTAAAATTGTGACTTATACTGGTGAGTCAAAACGACAACACGGAAATGCATGTTTCACCCGCTCAGATTTTCTATACACGAACCATACGATCGAAGCAGAGGTCGAAAAGTGGCTCATCAACATGATTTGCCATGTTTGATTCGTGGCAAAGAAATTTTCACTTAACATTCCACATACATACTTGGATCCACCCAATCCAGTTAGCTCTAGAGGAATGGCGTAATGAATGCTCATCAGTCAAGAACGAGACCACGCCAGACATCTGCGTTACCATTGCCACTATGGTTGGACACAGAGACACGCGGAAGGCTAGATTTCTAACAAATAGTCTATGGGCCCACAAGGGCTATCCGACATATATCGCTCCCAGCTCTTCTAACGAGTCGTACCCAGTTAAATCTATAATGCGCTGACATGTACATCATTTCAAGGAAGAAAAAAAGAAGATTAAGGGATAAGTAGGAAAAGGAGTACGAGGAACGAGCAGGGGTATATGAAGGCGATTTTTTTTTAGAAAAAAAAGCAAAAAAAAAGCAGAGCATGCATGATGTGATTTTAATCCTTGTCCTCGTCGTGGCCAGGCCAAACAATCTCGCGATAGATGACGGCACGGACGCAGCGGAAGGCAATGAAGATCCAGGCGATGATGAGGCCGAGAGTCATGGCGGTGGTGAGCCAGAGGACGCCTTCGCTGCCAAAGGCGGTGCCGAGGCGAATGGTGGCGATGGTGAGGCCAACGTTGGGGAAGACGAAGCTCCACCAGCTGAGGTGAAAACGGCGATCCGGCATGCCGGCGAGGACAGCAGCGGCAGCAGAGAAGAAGAACCAGAAGCTGAGGCCCCAAAGAAAGACGGCAGAGGCGAGAGCGAAGAGGCGGATGGCAACGGAGACAGCGAGGAGGCTGGAGGAAGAAAGGACGTCGTTGGCAGAGGTGCCGGAGCTAGCGGCGATGCCGTCGAGGAGAGCAGTCATGACGTGAGAGGGGGCGTGGGCGAGGACACGAGGGTAGTCGGAGGCGATGGAGACAAAGGCGGCACAGGTGAAGCTGGGGGGGCCGACGGCGATGAACATGCCGGGTCGTTGGGCAGGCAGGCCAAAGACGATGAGGCGGGAGAGATAGGTGGCGTACATGAAGACGGAGACGAGGAAGCCGAGGCCCTGGGCAGCGAGACCAGCCGTGAGGACGGGGAGAGCACGGGCAGGCGAGTGTTCGGGCGAGACGACGCCAGCGAGGGTACCGGCGAGCATGACGGGGAAGATGGGCAGGATCCAGGCGGGGGTCATGGCGTCGATGCGGAGGCGACGCTGGGGCTTGACGCTGAAGAGGATGTGGTACTGCAGGACGGAGTAGGCGAAGGTGGCGGCGACGTAGATCCAGAAGGCGACGTAGAGGAAGCGGAAGAGGCCAACACGGTTGGCCGAGCCGGCGGAGAAGAAGAGGCGGCCATAGACGCCAGCACTGGAGAGCATAGCAGCGATGGAGAGGAAGAAGGTGGAGATGAAGAGGGCCTCGTGGGGGTGAGTAGCAGCACGGCGAAAGGTGCGGCGATGGAGGGTGAAGCGACAGCAGAGCGCGGCGGTGATGAAGCAGAAGAAGACGAGATCGAGCAGGAAGATGACGAGTCCGATGGTGTTGAGGCCGTAGAAACGATGGGGCGTGATGCCGAGCACGAGAGCGACGCCGCTGGTGCTCATCGTGACCGTGTACCAGGCAAACGTGAAGTGATGCAGCCGCTCGCGCAGCGGCATATAGGGCTGGAGGTACGTGGGCACGCGCTCGAGCGTGGCAGCGCCCTCGCCAGCCGTGTTGGTGCGCGCGATGCTGGTGCGCGCGATGCTGACGCGACGGCCCGTGTTGGTGGCATTGCTGCCACGACGGCCGGGGACGATGTCGGCCGAGTGCGACGACGAGGGGGGCGTCGAGCAGCAAGCGGCCTCGGCAGCTTCAGCGGCTTCAGCAGCTTCGACCACGGCCGCATCGACGGCCTCTTGGTAGGCGTGCAGGTCGGTGCGGCGACTGGACGGCCGATCGAGCTGGTCGAGCCGATTGGTCGTCGCAAGCTCGAGATCCATCGACGAGGCCATCAGATTGACGGGGCAGAACGGCGTGTCTGGGACAGAGAGAAATCGGGCATGACGAGGCGACGTTGCGGCCGATCGTTCGTTCTCTTGGACACGTCGATGCAGAGCAGACCGTTTCTCCTTTTTATCACTCCAAACGACCGCCTCTCTTCAACGACAGACCATACGTGGGGGGCCTACAGCCCCAAAAACGCCACAGCCGCACCCGGCCGTTCGCCAGGCGATAGAAGAAAAAAAAGGGAAAAAAAACCTCCCCGAAAAGGGGGGCAGCTGGGTTAATTGGGCACGAATGCGTGTCGGCTGTCGCAAATCGACTGTTCGGCTGTTTATCGGCGGCAGGTGGTGAGATCCGACAGGTGCTTCCGCCCAATTGACCGACATACAGGCGGGGGGAATAAGTGGAGAAAAGCAATGAGAGTTCAGGGCCAGTGGGTCTGTTAAAGGGATCGTCTCCGCCGAATATCATGAACATATGGAAGATAAGAGGAGAAAACCAAGTATGGGATTGAAAAGCCAGTCAACTGGATGGCAGGAACGACAAATTTAGTCATCAATGCGAACACATTCAATCCGTCAATGCAGACCAGTTTTTGATTTCTCAATACAGAAACGCAGAACACAATCAATCTCAATCCGAGAAGAAGAAAAAAAAGGAGAAAAACAGAATCAAGGAATCTTCAATTGCAGAGACTCATTCCCCTGAAGCCAATGGTGATACCAGGCGACGACCGTTGTGGTTTCCTGGCTTCAAACAGTCCTGGGAAGAGGCCTCCAGCCGTCCCCGAGGCTGGCGTAGCAGAAAGAATTGTTCCATGTACGACGTAGGTGACCAAACCGGCCTGACGATCACCGCGAACCAGCTATCCCGGCCCGTCAGGCTGGTGCATGGTCGCCATTGGCGCCGCCACAGCCTCGCTTGCGCCCCGAAACCGTTGCTGTTGTGCTGGCACCTGTTAGACCTCTGACTAGTGGATTCTGCTACACTTCTGGCTACTGGCTCCGACACCTGCAGCCGCCGTCCAGCTCTGGCCGGCCTGCCACGTCCCTAGGCCGCTCTCATCCCTGCCAGTTCCTGAACCAATCAACGCCCTCTCTGTGATTGGGCAATCCAACGTCAAGGCCCACACTGTGCGCTAACGCACCCTTCCCCTCGCCGATCCACCGACTTTGTTCTGACGTGGAAATCCAACAGCCTCGCTGGTCGGTCTGGCATCCAGAGCCGTCCAGGCTCGCCAGATGCGCTGGTCGCTGCCCAATGCTGCCGTGACCGCGCACGTCTGGCCTGGAATGGAGCCAGCCGGAGGCGCCGTGCTGTTTGTGTTCTCGTTGTCGTCTCGACTGCCTCTGCCTGCCACCTGGTAAACCAAACGTGGTACGATTGCCTAAATGTGACGTCAGAAAACTGTTTGACCACACAGTGCGTCAGAAGACCCAGACGACCACAGCTGGCTGTGCATATAATTGTTCCTGTACGGAGCATTCAGTACTGCTCTTAAACGGCAGGCACGCCCCGAATCCCTTCAGACAAATCTTTTCTGCATCATTCTCCTTCCAAGTTCCCCATCCACAATCACCTGCAGCCTGATCCATCCAACATGGTTGTCGAATCCGGCCTCTACGAACAACTCGGCATCAGCCGCGATGCATCCCACGATGAAATAAAGAAATCGTACCGCCAGGCCGCCCTGCGATGGCATCCCGACCGCAACCCAGACAATCCTGCCGCAGCCGATAACTTCAAGGCCTGTCTCGAGGCTTACGAGGTCCTCTCCGACCCGGACAAGCGTGCTACTTATGACTCCCAAGGTCTAGGCGGCAGTCGCCAGTCTGCTGCTCCGCCGCCCTCATATCCTCGCCAGCAAGAATATCAGCAAGCATATCGGCAACAACACCAGCCAGAACCCCAGCAACAATATCAGCAACAACAACACCACCACCAACAACAACAACCCCAGCAACATCAATATCAGCAGCAACCGCAACGACGTGCCACGTTCTCCCACTCGGCAACGGCCAACGCCAGGCCCTTCCCCAACTTCTTCTCCGGCACGTCCTGGGACCCGGGCTTCCCCAGCTTCCCCGCGCACCGTCAGTCGGCGACTTCGTCTGCACGTGCTGCCGAATCTGCACGCGCTTCCTCTTCCGTGCACGACGACGACTTTCCCCAAGACTTCTCCGACGACCCGCGCGTCCACGCGGCCAGCTATTCCTTCCATATGAGCAGCAGCAGCAGCACCAGCCACGCGGCCGACGGCACATACTCGGCCCAGTTCCACACCTGGAACAACGTCGACGGCCACCGCAGCGGCAGCGGCAGCGGCACGCTCGGCAACAACTTCAGTCCGCTCCTCAATGGCTTTCATAACGAAGCTCCACCCACCTTCGGCCGGCCAACAAACATGTTTGCGGGCACGAACATGAACGGTGACCGCGGCAACTCCCGGCAGAGGGTGCAAGACTTTTCAGGACAGCGGCGGTGGATGTGATGACCGGGTCCATCAACGGCATGTCGATGCCGTGCTTGTCTTTCCAGAGCACTCGCCTGGAGGGAGACACAAACAAGGGCTGTGGTATGGCACCCTCACGCTGCCCGTCCACACAAGTGACATACTCTTAATGACTTTGGCTCAAGGGTACTGCACCCTTTGATGACAATCGTTCGAGCCGTGTAAACTGTGCATGCCCGCCAGGTTTCATAACCCAGAAATCTGCTGGAGATTGCCTTGTGTTTCTTGTCTTTGGTAGAACTGAATCAAATGCAGATGCAAATCGATTGTCATTGAAACGTGATTACGTAAGCGCCAATAGCAACACTATCCTACTCGTCATCTAGGGCTCATCACCGCCGCACCGTGTCCGGCTGCTCTGGGCTTGTCATCATCTGCGCTATGGGCGCCTGGCTGCGAGTGAGCCATCCAGGAAGCGATCGCCGGTTGCTCGCCTGCGGAGCCGGTGTTGCTGCCGATGCCGATGCCGATGCCGACGGGCTCTCTCTGACTGCGGTACCGCCGGTCGAATCCGCTCGCCTGGGCAGAGATAGAGGCACGGCCTCGATTGTCCCGACGGCAGATGGCAGCCGGTTCAAAGGAGTCACCTGGAGGCCAGGCCGAGAGCCCCCATCCTCGCCTTCATCCTCGTCCTCCTCGTCGGCGTCCTCGTTTCTCGCCTGGTCGTAGGAAAAGTCCTGTGTCTCTGGCTCTACTGTCTTCCTCCGTCCTGCTTCCGTCTTTGCCGGCGCAGACGAACGTCGCTCAAAGGCCGAGTCGTCCTCTTCGTCCGATGGCAGCTCGACTTCTGAAGCCAGGGCGGCACGCTTGCGATCGTGACTTCGAATTGGAGTCCTGGCCGAGGTGCCGTCCGCATTTTCGTCCTCGTCCTCGCCCTCGTCCCCATCGCCGCCAAAAGCCTCCACCAGACGACGTTTGGCGCCGGCAGACAGCTCTGTCTGTGTGCTCGGTATGACGGCCTCCGGCCCGTCTGCTTGCTCGTCCGCCTCAAACTCGGCGCGGGCCTCCTCAAATTCAGCCATGTTATGGGCATACCAGATCTCCAGCTCATGCTGTACGGCCGGGTGCTTGGCCGTGTCAAAGCTGAGCGCTCTCGCCACCCTTCCCCAGTCGCGCGTCTTCGGGTCAGGGGTCACGTCCTGGACTGTCGTCCAGAGCGTCCATATGTCGAGTAGCCGGCCGCCAATGACAAACGCTCGTGGGATGTAATAGCCGCCGCCGTTGGCATTGAAAAAGTCGACAAAGCCAAGGAACTGCTTCTGTGCACCGTCCTGTGCCGAGACTTCCTCCAGCAAGGCGCTGGCATCAAAGTCGACGTCGCCATCCTCAACATCCTCATCCTCATCTCCACTCTGGTCTCCATTCCTATCGTTGCCGTCGTTGTCGTTGTGGTCGTGGCTGGCCGCAATGGCTTGGTTGTCGCCGCTCGCGGCATTCGTCATGGCAGGTGGATCTACTGCTGTCGATGGCCGCTCACTCAGCCGGTCCTCTTCTAGGTCAAACGTGTCAACCTTCTCATACCAAGCGCGCAGGCGTTTGTAGCGGGCTTCCCACTGCTCGATCGAGACTTTCGGATACTACAGACACGTCAGTGACATCGTTCATCTTCTGCAGCGCCGCCGTGGTAGACATACCTGTACGGCGAGGGATCTAAAGAAGGCGGCCTGGGTTTTATTCTCGCCCGTCCGGGACTCTTTCCATGTTCCTCTCATGATGGCCATGTCTATACTGCTCAGAAAGGGAACTCGCTCGTCGTGAGTAAGGGGCGGCGGTGCATTTGGCGCCGCCACTGGTGCCGACACTGTTCTTCTTGATGTTGGTTCGACGGGGGCTTGCAAGGACTGTTGCACTCGTCTGGATGCTTTGCCTTTCGTGACATAGTCGTGCTCCACGATTTTAGACAGCTTCTTGACCCATCGATCTCGCCACGAATGAAAGGTATGGTGGGGATACTGCAGAGTTGCAACGAGTCAGGAAGACGCTTGGGGTTTGCATGGAAAAGTCAGGCGAACCTGTCTGGCCAGATCCTTGTAGATCTCGTTGCCTTTGACGCCATTTTTGGCTCCTTCGGAAAAATCGGCTTTCTCCCTTAACCACTCGACCAGGATCCTGTCATCCTCGTTTGTAAAGCCGGTTCGAGTCCGTTTCCGTGCCTGGATCGTATCGTAGGCGGAGCATGACGACGGGGCCACGTCGCGCGAGGCCGCGTACGCGGGGGTCTGCGAAGCAGCCGGCATGCTCTTGCGCAGTTCAGCCACGAGGAAGCGCGACTCGTCGACCCTCGCGTTCTTGGACAGGCACTCTTTGACCCATAGGTACGAGTAGAAGCGGTCTGGGTCGGCCACGTACTCGTTGTGGTCGACCAGGCAGATGTTGGCATCGCGCTCGAGCACGACAATCTCTCCTTTTCGCTTCTACGAAACAGGTCAGAACAGACAGTTCAGAGGGCGAGCAGGAACAGCGCAGACGTACTCGGACATCCAACTTGATGAGCGGTGGGACGTGTTTGGAGATCCAGAACTTTATGCCCTCGAAGCTGAGCGGTTCCATGGTGGCAACTCGGCGATTTGAGATTTGACGGAGTCGGCCAGGCTATAGCTGGCTTACGCTACTCGGTAGCGCAAGAGCTCACACTGGGACCGACCAGCTGCCTTGTACTCGTATGGCCGTGTGCTTTGTCGCGAAGTATGTCTGCGCGTTGCCGGAAGACGCGGGGAAGATTGCAGATGCCTGTCACAGGACGCTGTTCATCGGTAGATGTTGGCGCGTTGAAGACGATGGCCTAAACACCAAGTCACGTGGGGCTTCGTCACTCTGCATGGGGCATTCTACGACGTAAATCAGATAAGTGGGTCTACGAGGTGCTCCACTTGTGCTGGCTTCATTCCTCACAAGTACTCCGTATCTTACATATCATTCTGCAGGACGCCAGCTTCTTGTTCTCAGCACAGGTTCAAGATTACGAGCAGACGTGCAGCTCTGTGCCCGTGTTCGCCCCTTTAACCCTCTGCGCGTGCTTTACGGCCGGGCCGGGTCTGCCTCTCTCTCCGTTCGTTTTCCTTATGATCCGGCAACCGGCTGCAGCCAGGACAACGACAACGCTTTCAGCTCGGCTGCCGCGACCCAGAAGGTGATGGCGATGGGGACCGTCGGGACGATCGTGACGGTGATACTGGGCATTTCGTTCATGGTGTTTGTGGCCTTTTTCGGGCGGCTGCCCACCTTCAGGTGAGCATGGACGGGGAGAGGCAGACGACGATGGCGAACGCAGACGAGAGCGGGATGCTGACAGGGCTTGTTCTCCAGACACACGCCGATCGCCTGGCTCCACCGGCTCTTTCTCGTGCATCTCCCGGGCGGGGTGCTGGCACTCGACCGCGGGCTCACCGGCGGACGGCTCTCCCGGTCGCTGCGGCGGTTTGGCAGCTTCATGATGAACGACAAGCACCCGACCGTGCTGATCTTCTTTGTGCTGCTGCTGGGCGTGTCGGAGTGGCTGGCAGTGCCGACGGCCTGGCGACTGATGGGCGGACTGCAGCGCGCGACGCTGGCGGTGCTGGCAGTGCTGCCATACGTCTTCCTCTGGCTGGCGGCCTTTTCGGATCCGGGAACGGTGTCGCTGGGGGTTTTGCGCGTGCAGCTGCTGGCCTATCCGTACGACTACGCGCTCTTCTACCCGGGCATGCGCTGCCGCACGTGCAACCTGCTCAAGCCGCCGCGCAGCAAGCACTGCTCGGTGTGCAAGCGCTGCATCGCCCGGCTGGACCACCACTGCATCTTCATCAACAACTGCGTCGGCGCCGGCAACCAGCACTGGTTTCTGCTGCTGCTGCTCAACACCGCGCTGCTGACGTCGTTTGGCGGGCTCGTCGGCGCCGGCCTGATCGCCGGCCGCACCGCTCGCCAGTTTCCCTCTTGGTCGGTGCTGCCGTGGCGTGCACGCCATGTCGCCGGCGATGGCCGTCCGATGGACCTGCAGGACTGGCTCCTGCTCTGGTCTTGGGGCATGCGCGACCTCGTGCAGCTCGGCAGCGTCAGCCTGTTGGCGCTCCTGCTCAGCCCGCTCGTCTGGGGCCTGCTCGCCTACAACGTCTGGAACGTGGCGACCGGCCAGACAACCAACGAGAGCCTCAAGTGGGCCGACTGGCGCGACGACATGGCCGCCGGCCTCGTGTACCGGCGTCGGCTCAGTCGTGAGCGCGGAAACCAGGGTAACCGCGATGGCGTGCCGGTGTCGCTGGCCGACACGGCGTCGCTCACGCGCTGGCCCCTCGAGCCTGAGCACGTCATCATCTGTGCCGACGACGATGGCAAGCCGCCCTCGGCCAGCGACCCCAGCCTGCCCGGCGTCGGCGAGTGGGAGCAGGTCTGGCGGTTGCGCGACGTCGAGAACATCTACGACATTGGCGTCTGTCGCAACTTTACTGACGTCTTCGTGCCTGACTACAACTTCAACACGTCGGGACTGCCCAGCGTCGAGGCACGTGGACGCAGCCGGAGGCGACCGATGGGAAAGTGAGCGAAAAGAGGGAAAAGAGGCGTTTACTTTAAAAAGCATTGGCAAGCGGTATCTAATATTGAATACATCTTACGCAAATGACACGCCCTGGTGGGCAGATGGGAATGTGGTATATTGCGCTCGTTGCTCATCATCAGCTCTTTCTCAAAGCTACGTCGATGCAGATGGACGGCCAGCAGTCCGTCGTCTCCAGGGTCGAGCCCGACCAGAGCTTGCCAGTGCGGCCTGTGCCTTTTTCTCCTGCCGCGCTGCCTCCATGTCGGCGATGATCCGGCGTTCCTCGGTCTGGTCGATGGCCGATTCAGTGCTGGTCTCGGTCCAGCGAATCTGGTCAAAGGGCACGACTGGGACGTCTGTGTCTGTGGATTTGGTAGTGTTTTTCGTGGTGTTAGCGTGTTTTGGTGTGTTTTTGGCGGTTTTGCTGCTGCTGCGATTTCTCTCGGCAGCAGCCTTTGGCCTCGCCGTCTGCACCAGTCCGGCCATACGACAGATGGCCAGCCGTGTGCCGGCGACGCCGAAACCGCCGCCTTTGGGATCACCGGCACCCGTCACGAGCACGGCCCGGTCCCAGCCCTGGCCCTCCATCCAGGGCACGGCGCCCCAGCTGTCGCGCTCGATGGAACGCAACGTCTCCCACACGTGCAGACAGCTCTCGCGAATCTTTTCGTCTCCTGCCAGCGCCGAGGACCCGGACGTCGACCCGGACCCCAGCAGCTTGTCTGCCTTGGTCAGAACTACCGTCGTGCGCACGTTGGCATCGCGCAGCATTGCTAACGCCTGGCGGTCGCCGTCCTTGATCCCGGCCACGGCGTCGACCAGCAGCACGGCACCGCGTAGTGTCGTGCGTCGCTGCAGGTACTTTGCAATCTCCGTGCCCCACTCCGACCGCGACATGAAGCCGTAGCCGGGCATGTCCAGCAGCACCAGACTGTGGGCCGGTGACGGCTCGCCGGGTTTCTGGGCTCTCCGCTGTGATCGGGAAGCGAGTGTGGTGGCCGTGGCACTTTTGTTGTTCTTTTTGTTGCTGTTGGTGTCCCCTTCACGACTATCAAACACCACCGTTCCAGGCCGCAACGGTGGCCCAAAGCCGTACCCATTCATCATCACCGTGCAGCCGGCATGGGCACTCGTGATGGCCAAGCCCAGACGACCCGGACGAGCACCGTGACTGCGGCCGGCCCGACCACCCGTCTCCAGTCCGGCCAGCGCGTTCAGCAGTGTCGACTTGCCCACGTTGGACCGGCCCAAGATGCAGATCTCGGGCATCCGCGTGTTCACCGGCAGGTGGAGAAACCGCGGCGCCGAGTAGAGAAACCGTGGCGCCGGCTGCAGAAAGAGCGCCGTCGCACGGTCCAGCGACAGGCTGCTGGGCATCGGAGCCGAAGCTGCTGCGGCTGCTCCGGCTTCGACCCCATCGCCTAGTAGTGCCGGCACGTAGGCCAGCGACCGCACGACCTCATCTCGTCGTGGCACAGGTGACGATGCTGGGGTTGTTGGTCGCGGTTTGGCCGTCGGTGCCGGCTTTGTCGTCTTGGCCGTCTTAGCTGTGTTGGTTGGCTTCGTCGTCTTTGTCGGTCTGGTCGGCCGAGACACCCTCACAGCTGCTGCAGTTGGCCGGCCGGACGAGAAACATTGTTGCTGCTGGCGACAGTTACCTGCTCGTCGTGACGGAATCGGAGAGCAGATGGCATCGATGGCCTTCCGCCGCAGTGGAAGCGAAAACGCCAGGACCCATGGACCCCGCAGATTGCTCTGCATCGTTGTGACTGGCTTTTCGTCAAGGCAAAACGCTGATGCTGAGCTTGACTAAGAGGCGGTTATGGTAGAGTTTTTAAAAAAAAAAAACCCGCTATTGGCCAGTAGCTCCCCACTACGTCCGCCAGCCGCAGCCTTCCAACAGCCTCTAGCGGCTAATTAGCTGTCCGATCCACTCAATCCGGCAGTGATGCCTTTTTTTCTGCCTCAATTCTAGTGAGCCGTCGTTGCTTTAGTATACAGCGAATCTCCTCCACCAACTCTCCACCACAACCATGGCTTCCACCCGCTCGCCCGAACAGATTCGCGCCCTCTACCGCTCTTTTCTGCGAGAGCTGCCGCCACGGCCAATCCTCGTCTCGCCTAGAGCGCCTCTGCACTCTCAGCTGCGCGCCCAGTTCGAGTCGGCTGCTCCGTCCGCGTCCGCCACCCAGGCGACCGCATCACCCTCGCTCAGCCACGGCGAACACTACGTGTCCTTCCTACAGGCGCAGCGTGTCTACACCACGCTGCTTGAACGCTACAACCCTGGCATGGCCGGCACCATGGACGAGGAGGAGCGCATCCGGCTGACGGCCCGCCGCGTTGGCATGAATCTGCCTGTCGAGTTCTCTGAGGATGCAGAGGGAAAAGAAAAGAGGAACGGAAGCCAATGATCGCTTCACAGGGCCTGAAACCCGTCCTCCTAGGACAAGTTCTGCGTTAATGGGTCACATTAATGGGTCACATACAAGCTGTATGGCTACAACGAAACCAAGGATATGTCCCAACATAGCAAAAGTGCCGCGCCAAGGAAGACCAACAATACAGCCAATCTCTGCTGTCATCCGCGAAAAAGGCGACAGCCTCGGACTATACATGTACACAATGAAGCTAGGTATGAAGACAAGCAGGCACAGCAAACGCTATTCGTGTCGTCTCTTTGGGTATCAACCGCAGCAGCTCGTATCTTGTCTTGGTACTCTCGTTTCTCGTTTCTCATCCTCGTTTTCTGCTCCCTCACACACTTCCTATCCCTCCATCCTCTAGACTCTCGTCCCAGCCGCCCGTCTCCAGCAGCCAGCCGCCGACCCGCTCCTTGACCAGGACGATGCTGTCGCCCAGACCAGCGCGCCATTGGTCCTGCACCACGCGCACTTTGTCCTGCAGGTCCTCCGTCAGACGAGCCCGCTCTTGTTTTGCATTTTGCACACCTTCGGGCTCAGCCACGCGCGCCTTGGCCGCCACCGTCGCCTCCTTGACCTCGTGGAGCAGGCAGAGCAGGTTTGTCTGTGACTCGATGAATTGGTGCGTGCTCTTCTCTGCGTGCAGCAGCAGCGAGAAGAGGTATTGCAGCGGGTGTTTTCGGTAGCTCGGCGTCTCGTCGTATTCGGCTGCTGGTACCCGGATCGCAAACCCGTGCAGGTCGCCCGGAATCTGCTCCAGCAGCTGTCCCAGCGGCGGCGCAATATCCCAGAACGCGGACAGCTGGGCCTCCACCCCGCGCAACACGTTCTCCTCGATCACGTCGCGGAATTCCTGCATCCGCTGCAGACTCTCCACCGCGAACATGTGTTCCCGCTTGGCCACGTCGTCTGCAAAAAACGCCTCGGCCTCCGCCAGCTTCTCTTCGTTGCCCGACTGTCGGTATGGCGTCAAAACCATGTCACGGTACCGGTCGTTGCGGTCCGTCAGCAGGTCGTAGTTGGCCCGGTGCAGCATCTCGCGCGCCTCGAATATCCACTTTAGCAGCGTCAGCTTCTCCAGCAGCTCCGGCTGCTCGTCGCCTTCCTCTTGCGGCAGGTTCGGGTCCCATTCGTGCGTCTCCACAAACAGCCGCCCGCGCAGCTCGTCGAACAGTTTCGTTGCCCTGGCCACTCGCCCTGTCACCAGCTCGTTGACCGGCATCACCACCGTCGTTTGAAACCGGTCAAATTCTGCCTTATTCAGTGCCTTCTGCTGTGCCTTTTCGCCTTCGGCCGCCTCTGCCTCTGCTGCTGCCGCCCCGGCATAGCTCATGTGGCCGGTTGCAATCTCCTTCTGCAGGTTTGCTCGCATGAGCTGCCTCTGGTTTTCTGCTGCCCGTGCTGCCTCGTCGCGCGCTGTCTGGCTTTCGCGTGAAAACCGTTCCTTGGCTCCCTCAACCTCGGCCAAGCTCGACAGACTCCTAACAGCTGACCGGATCGACGACAGCTCCGGGTGGTTGTTGCTCAAAGCCGGGTGGTGGCGCGGGTACGGTGGTGGTAGCGTCACCAGGCGTGACACGTCGAGCTGCGCGGCGCTAGGCGTGTTTGGTGCCGTCAATGCCGGCGACGATGTCTGCGCGTTGAGCACATGTGCCTGCGGTGTGTGTAGCGGCTCGGGGATCTTCTCGAGCGGGTATTCGCTGGAATTCTCGTATGCGCGGTAGTAACTGCTGCTGCTTCCACCAATACCCAGGCCGGCATCATCTGCAGGCCCGGGCAGACTGTTGCCGCTCAGAGGCTCTGGGTTGTCCGTCCACTGCAAGGCCTCGCGGGCTTCCTTTGGCACTCCCATGTACTTTGACTCGCGTTTCGATCGTTCCAGTCGCCCAGCCCCATCACCCCCGTAGGAGCTAGACTCCCACCAGCGGCTGGCCGTCCGCCCTCGCGAGCTGTTGTCATCGTGGTGCTCGCTGACGCTCATGCTGAGGATCGGCGAGAGCGAGGGCATGTAGTTCGACTGCTGCCACCCAGCAGGCGGAACCGTGGGTGACATGGCCGGGCCACTACTCCCAACACTGCCGATGGACTCCATACCCGCTGAAACTGGTGCCTTTTCCAGCGCAATGCTGGAGAATCCAGGCGTTATCGGAGCTGACGACGGGCTGTCGCGGAACACCGAGTTCATCGAGCCTCGCTTGGAGCCGCTCGGTTCTGAAGTTTGCGGTGTGAATGCGACAGCGCTGGTCGCCGCGCTGACACCTGCACTGGCACCGCCGCTGCCCTGCGAGACCACCGACTGCCGTCTGTCCACCATAGGCCGGAACAGATCTCTGGTGAGATCAAAAATCTCAGAGCCCATGACCCCGATGGCAGCAGCATACCTTTCCCGGCGGATCCTCGACTCGCTGACCACAAACTCGGCAAATAGCTTCACGCGCTCGGCATCGGAGCTGGCAGCCTCCTCCCTCTGCGCAAACTGGTGAAAGCGCTCCACGGTACCCCGACTAAACTGTCCGCCTGTCTGTCGCACGGCCGTTTCCTTCGAGATCAGTTGGGACGCAGAATAGTGGTCATCGGCACCAGCTACTGTCGTGTCGATCTGTAGCCGCGTCGTCGACTTAGAGGCTGAGCGGCTCTGAGACGGAGGTGTCGGGGGGGCATGCTGCATGGGAGACTCGCCCGCCGCGTAAAGACCTGGCGTCGATACCGTCGGCCGCTTCTTCATTGGGTGCGGTGAGAAGGGTGGCGTTGCCGTTCCTGGGATGCTGCCACCCGTGAGAGTATCGCCCGTTCGGGGGGTACCGTCAAATTGAGTTAGTCGACCGCTGCCTAGGCCACCTCCGCTCCGTGGAGTCGACTTGTTTATGGTGGGACGCCGCACGAGGCTGCCGATAGAGTCGGCTGAGGGAATCACAATATCCGACATTCGCTGGCTGCTGCTCGATTCATCCACCGACCCCCGCGTGCTTGTTCGTGTTCGGCTTTCATTTCGCCGTTCCCGGAGCGTCTTCTCGCCGCGCACGGCACCGTTCCGGGCCAAGTTGTTGCCGGCATGCGGGGCGTTGGGCGAACTGGTGCTCGAATTGCTCGAGGCGGTAGACTCATACATCTCTCTTGAACTGTTGGCGCTTGAAGCTGTCTCCCCGAGGGAATTTCGGTTGGGTGTATAATCCAGCCCTGCTGGCTGCGCCCTGGGGCCTTCTGCCCCATGTCCCTGGGCCGGCTCACGAGGCGTGCTCGTAGCTTCCTGGTCTACCCATCCTGCCGGCGTGGGCGGAATTGGGCCGAGAGAAGCCACCCCAGTAGGTGGTGGCCGACGGGTCGGAGGTGACGCGACGCGTTCAGGATCCATGACTGCTCTGTTCATGCTCTGCGATCGGGAACCGGATGGGGGTGGCCCCGGTGGCGGTGGCGGTATGGGCATTCCTGATTCCCAGCGCACTTGCGACGAGGAGCGCGAACGAGCTGATGTCGGGGTTCCAATGGCGCCTGTCGAGGCAGCACGGCGAGATCCAGGAGGCACTGTCGCTCCGTAGATAGCATCATTGGGGATCTGCAAGGGTTGCAGTACTGGGGGCGGTGGTGGTTGTGGAGACAGAGACGGTGGAGGCCGAGGTGGGATATGTGCGTGATGCGTCAAAGTGTGCATATCAGATGGCGGGATGGTTGTCACTTGCTCTGTTGCGTCGCGACGACGGCCAAAAGACGGAAGGCCAAACCGTCTCTCACGAGAGCCGCCTCGGGAGGTGCCAGGAGGTGGTGCAAAGCTCTGCTGGCCGGAAAACGGCTCTGGCGATGGTCGTTGGCCAGTGGGAAGAGGTGCCCTGACGGCAGATATGTTGGCCGGCGAAGAAGTCTCGTAGATTCCGCTCACAGGCCGTCGTTGGCTCCGAGGCGGCGAATATGGTGGTGGAGGCGGGGGGGATTCTTGTGCTGTTAGTAGGTGTACATCTGGCGGTCTTCAGACAATGAATCGAGCACACTCCTGAACACTCACGTTGAGGCTGCAGGTCCTGGAAGTGGTGGTGGCCGCGGTCCAACGGTGCAGGTGAAGGAGCCCATTGCTGTGGATTGTACGGCTGGATGGCACTTTGTGGCGTCTGATTCACCGAGAGGGTGCCATGAGAGGGTATGGATAAAGCAGACAATGGAGTATTCGCTGTCCCATGTAGGACGCCCAGTGAAGAGGTCCGGAGCGGATTGAGGGTGGCACGTAGGCGTGAGGTCGGGTCGCGCGACGTGTTCATGTTGGCGAAGTAGAGAGCTGGTGTTGGGGGAAAAGGACACACGACACACACCAAAGCGTGCCCTCCGGATCGTCTTGACTGTGCTCTGTCACTTTATGGTTCTATGCAAAAAGGCTGAAATGGCAGACGGACAGGTGAGATCCAGATATTGTGTGGACAGTCAGTCCAACAAGATTGTCGATATAGACGAGATGAACCCGAGAAGAGCCCAGGAAGTCAAGTTTCAATGACGAGCCAACGATCAGCACGATGCATGTCCGCAGAGGCAAGGCAGTTAAGCAGACTGATGGCGGCTATTTTTCGCGTTGTTTGTCTGACAAAAACCCGCGTGGTAGGTGAGATGGCAGTTGCGTCTTGGCGTGTCTCTCAATCCGCAGTACAACCACCGCAGACAGGGAGACAGAAGACGAAACAGAAGAGAGCAGACGAACAGATTAAACAAACAAATAGGCGACAGTGCTGCTAGCTCTCCGAAACGCGCTCCTCGAGGTTACCACACGCGCGATGCAGCAGAAGGCGTGCAGAAGTGTGCAGAGGGGGGGGGGCAAGATTAAGAGAAAAAGGCGACGGGAAGAGAGGGGAGCCACTGCGGGCACTGATAGTACGGCAAAAGTATCACGACCCCCCTGAAGTCGGACCATGCATAGCATTGATGGTGGAAGGGGAAAGGTACGACGGACGGTGCGGGCTGGTCGTCTTGGAACCACGCGGAAGGTGCGCAACTAAGAGACTACGCCGAACGGGGTCGAGTACTGTGTCATGCAGTGTCTCGCCCGTTAGTTTGGGCCTTCTGGAGCGAGGAGACGACAGGCCGGCGGTCTGTCCCTGTCCTCTTTATTGTCGCCGTGCAGTGTCCGCATTGGCCGCCAATCCTGCAGAGGGGACGATGCTACCTTGCAAGCTAAGGCTGCTGCTCTACTCCGTACAAGCCGTGCCATTTTAGCTGTCACATTGCAAGCCTGTCTGTTCCCGGTCCTTCTGCACAGACTGTTCCAGCCTGATCCAAGTTTGCTTCTGATACGAGCAGCGAAGCTTACCTCTTTGGGTCTTCGTGTCCTGCTCATGCCGTCCGCACGTCATCCGAACTGATCCCATCGGCCTCCTCCTTCCATCTGCTCGCCGTCCGGGCGAGCCTGGTACGGCCCCAACAGCAGCAAGGAAGCGGAGACGAATGTGCAAAATAAGATGGGCCGCAGGTCGATTCTTACCCCTGCAACGGGTGGGCCAGTCATCAATGATTGGCTGGTGTCTTGGCTGGATTCTATTCTTGGAACAAAGCCACACCACCTGGAGCGGTCTCATTGGCCAGGCTGGATGTGAATGTGCCAGCCGGCGCTTAACTTCACATGCGAGATCTGTAATTGGCTTGCCGACTGAAAGTATGTTTGCGCTCTCCATTTTGGGAGGCTAGCCGGGTTGAGACATGGATCGCTGATCCAGAAATACTCGTACAGCTGGAGGGCACAGAAAGAGCCCTGTCGCAATGCTATCGGGCCCCGGCTGACTCTAATATCCCTCACCCAAATGCCCTCCCGTCAGTTTCACCTGTTTACCGGGTTCGGTGTAACCAGAAATGAATCCAACAGACTTTGTGATCTGTTTACATTCTGATGCCTTGCCTACTCGTGGTTATGATAGCTACTATGTAGCGATAATAATAGCCGTGATCGGGCCCGACGCCGTAGCTGACCTAGCCACATAACGCCTGTAATGCGTTGTTGTATATTCCGGGAGCTTGATCCTTGGCGTCAAAAAAGTACTGGCAACTACGGAGTATTGAAACTTAAATTGGTAATGGGCGCCATCGACAGTGCGGAGGTTGTTGCCTTGGCGATGAAAATAGATGTCGTACGGAGTATAGGCCAGTCAAATCGAACCGGCCACACGTCTCTGCTTGGCTGCGAGTAATGGTAAATAGTTGCAATTGTCGGCATGAGACAAATATATTGCTCACTAGGCAGTCGAGCCAAGCTATCAATTCAAGAGCTGTTGGAGCAGTTGGGGGTTTGACTTTAAGCTTCGTACGGCTTTGATATTGTTTTCAAACATAGGTCATGAAGCAGGTACAAAAAGATTGCAGCTTCTATGGACTTGGCAAGAGCTATTTCCGGCTGACCCAAATCTTGAGAAGTAGGTACTAGCTCGGGTGTTTTTAGCCTTAGAGGAAGCCTCGAATGGCTGCTCGGCTTTCTGGTAAGTGTAGATAATCTGCAGTCGCCTACGTCTGCCGCATTCCCAAAGAGCTTGCAGCTTTTTCCCGAGGGTAAATTAAGGGCTAATATACTTGATGCAAACGGACATCGCCCTATGACGGGGACACATGCACGCTGTTGGTTCCTACTAGCTTAGCAGAAGACGATTAAACTGTTTCTACAGCTCGCCGACATGCCTTTGAAAAAGTTCGATGCCTGCCGTGGTGTACGGTTCTCCGGCGAAGCCAATTGGCAATTGATAGAATATGACGGAGCAGCTAGTAATATTATCTGCGATTCGCTCCTTCACGTAAGATGCTCGATAAACTCGGCAACAAGTGTCGTGAGGATGGACGTCCCCGAAATCCCCCAGACGATAAGGCGGTGAAGAGCGCAGAGTGGGGTTATCGAAATCTGCCAGACGCTATCATTTCGCCGAACGACATAGAATCCTTCCATGTCTTTCTGCTTCTTCTCTCTTTTCCTTTTTCTCCCTGACATATTTTTTTATATGCTCCACACCCCCAACCTTCTGAGTGCTTCCTGCTCTCTTCTTTGCTCCCCCAGATGCTGCAATTCTCCTGAGTTCTCTTTGGCACATTTGCAGTGCTTCTCGAATTATCATCCTCGCATCCTAGATTATGTAGGTCTCTGGCTTTGTTTTGCGTTTTCACACCTTTATTCTCTCCTTTCCACTGCCCAACAAGGCCAACATTTTTCATGATGAGACAACCAGCTGGCACCAGTCATAGGGCGACTTGTACTCCCTTCCTTTGATGACACAATTTGCTGAGATCTTAAAGATCCTCTCTGACTTTTCCAATTTCTTTCCCCTTCGCTATTTTTGCGTTTTTGTTCTTCACATCCTTTCGTGTTGACTGTGCTGACCGAAGACTGGAAAAGATAGCTTTCTTTTTAACAGTTTTAACACAATGGTGTTGCACAACCCTAACAACTGGCACTGGGTGAACAAGGACGTGTCGGCGTGGGCGACTGAATGGTTTGAGCAGAACCTGACGAAGCTGCACGCGGAGGAGGGGGATACAAAGGCCAGAATATCCAAGGTGGTCAGCTCCACGGGCGACGTGGACGTGAGTCAGAGGAAGGGAAAGGTTATCACGATCTATGACGTGAAATTAGTGCTGGAATACACAGGTAATGACACGATGCCTCTCGAAGAAAATGTCCCCAGCATTGCCAAAGGTCTGCCGGAGACTAACGTGTCCTGTTTCTTCCTACAGGGTCCACTGCGGAAGAAGATGACGTAAGCGGGTCGATAACGATCCCGGAGGTGGCCCACGACACGGAAGAGGATGAGTTCGTGGTATGTCTGCTTGGGAGAGCGAGGACGAGACGTCGGGGGATATGGTCGAGCTAACGTAAGATGTGACGCCCAGTTCGAGATTGACATCTACTCGGACAGCAAAGGGAAGCAACCGGTGAAGGAGCTGGTGCGGACGCAGCTGTTCCCGCAGCTGCGCAAGGAGTTCCTAAAGCTGCCGGCAGCGCTGATCGCGGAACACGGGGCGGGCATCCAGCACGCCCCTGGCGAAGACCCTTCGACCAAATTCCCGCCGATGAAGTATCTTCCCAACACGACAGCGGCGAAGCGCGCAGAGACGACTAAGCAGACCGAGGCTAGCTCGGAGGTGCACGTGGTTAACACGACGACGGTGACGGATTCAGAAGAGTTCCGGACGACGGCGGCAGAGCTGTACCAGACGTTTACGGATCCGCAGCGGATTGCGGCGTTCACACGGGCGGCGCCGCGGCTGTTTGAGGGCGCCAAGAAGGGCGGCAAGTTTCAGCTGTTTGACGGCAACGTGGACGGCGAATACCTGGAGCTGACGGAGCCGACGCACATTGTGCAGAGCTGGCGGCTAAAGCAGTGGCCGACGGGCCACTACTCGAAGCTGCAAATCGACTTTGACCAGAACGACGTCGACAGCGTAACAGTGATGCGTGTCGAATGGACGGGCGTGCCAATTGGCCAGGAGGAGGTGACGCGGCGCAACTGGAGCGAGTATTACGTGCGCAGCATCAAGCTGACATTTGGGTGAGTGGCATTTGTTTCTGTGAAGACGTCGGAGATTGGATGATCGGATGGTATACTGACAATGCTGATGCAGCTTCGGAACGATCTTGTGATGAAATGGGCGAAACAATCGAGGGCGTTCTACGGCGGAGTATACACTTGCATATCAAGAGAAGGGCATCCATACAGCAGGGCCAGGAAAGAAGGAGAGAGGAAGGATGCTTACAAATCAGACGGGATCGTTGGTACGATGGCGCGCGCACGTTGATCAGGATAACGAAAGAGACGACAAATACACGGCGCCATGCAGATAGCGCTCACCGAGCTCTGGCGTGAGAATCATGTAAATGGTGCGGCCTAGTGCCTCTGTCTTTGTTAAAAAGCCCCGCATCGCCGTTCAAATCATACTTGCTTATTGCCTGTTCTGCTTGCACAGCTTGCAACCACAATCCGCAACCTCACCACATTTTCCAAGCTCTGCAACCATGGCACCCATCTACAAGATCGCCCTGATCCAGTTTGATCCCAAGGTGTGTCTCGGCTGCCGTTGCATATCTGTATTGTAAGACACGTTTCCCAGCTAACGGCGACAACGGCCAGCCGCTCGACCTGGAGGGCAACTTTGCCTATGCGGCCAAGTCGATGCGCGAGGCGGCCGCTGCGGGCGCCCACCTGGCCGTCGTGCCCGAGTACCATCTGACGTCGTGGGTGCCGGAGCAGGCCGGCTTCGTGGCAGCCAGTGCGGCCTCGGGTGCGTTCCTGGACCGGTACCGGGCGCTGGCGCGCGAGCTCGACATCTGCATCGTTCCAGGGTCGATTGTGGAAGCCCACAGGGTGGGAGAGTCACGTGATACGGCCTCACCGAAATCCACGCTGGTCACCTCGGTCGCCGACGGCGAGGCGGTCGAGCTGCGCAACATGGCCTATTTCATCGAGGCGGGCACGGGTGACGTGATCGGCCGCTACCAAAAGGTGAACCTGTGGCACACGGAGCGCAACGACCTGACGGCGCCGACACGGGAGGCCGCAGCTGTGGCCGGCAGCACGGTCAGCTGGCCGCCTCACGTGACCTTTGATCTGCCTTGGAGCCGGGGCCAGACGGCAGACGGCGAAGAGGATCGACCTCTGCGGGCGGGCCTGCTGGTGTGCTGGGACGTGGCCTTCCCCGAAGCGTTTCGCGCGCTCGTGGCCGACGGCGCCGATCTGATCGTCATCCCGTCGTTCTGGGGCACGTCTGACGTCGATGCTGAGGCGCTCGGTCACAACGCCGACTGCGAGCTCCTCTTCCTCCGGTCGGCTCTCGTCGCGCGCGCGTACGAGAACACGTGCGCCGTGGCGTTTTGCAATGCCGGCGGCGCCACCCAGCTGGCCCAACCGATCGTCGGCGGCCGCGGCGAGCTGCTGCCCGGCGAAAACCGCACCAGCATCGTCGAGCTCGACGTCGATCTGCTGCGCATCGCTGAGTCCAACTACAAGGTCCGGGCTGACATGCGGCGTCAGGGATGGCACTACGAACACACTTTGGTGCCTCCGAGGACGTAGGAAGGAGAAGAGCGAGTACAGATGGGAGGTTGGAGAGACAGTTTACAGAGCAGATCACAGAACAACTGCACTATAATTTAGCGCATTCTTCCCAAACCGGACTTTACCTATCTTACACGTTCTCACTCTTCTGCACCAGATCTCGCATCGCCAACGTGATCCAAAAGTTCTTCTGCTTCACGAACCAGGCATTGACCAGCTCCCACTCCAGCTTCTCGTCCAGAAACTGGATCTCAAACCGCCGCAGCAAGCTCGGCACCACCTTGTAGATCTCCAACAGGCTGATGTTCTTGCCAATGCATGTCCGCGAGCCCATGCCAAACTGCAGCATCATGCCGTTCATCTCCTTGATCCGCTGCTCTTCGCCCACCCGCGCGTCCGCGCTGCTGCTTGCCACCGCCTCGTCCACGAGCCAGCGCTCCGGCCGGTACGCGTCCGTGTCCTCGCCAAACACGGCCTTGTTGTGGTGCATCACCCAGGCCGAGCAGCCGACAATGGTGCCGCCCGCGACAAAATGACCAGCGATCTCCATGCCTCCCGCAGGTACCACCCGCTCCATCGGCAGCCCCGGTGCCGGGTGCAGCCGAAACGCTTCCTTCACACATGCGTCCAGATACGGCAGCTTCTGGCTCTCGTGCCATGTCACCAGCCCTGTCTCGTAATCGCTGAACAGCCCGCTCCGTGCCGCCTCGTCCAGCTCCTGACGCAGTCGCTGCAGTGCTGTCGGGTTGCGCAGCAGATAGTAGAACACCGCCGACAGCGAGATCGCCGTCGTCTCCGATCCCGCAAATGCCATCGACACCGCCATCGTCTGCACCAGCGTGTCGTTCATGAACTCCGGCCGCGCCTCCTTGGCCGCCAGAAATTTGGAGAGCAAGTCCACCGTCGGCTTCTTCTTCTCTGTCTTTGTCGGCAGAATTGGCCCGCTGCCCTCTACAATGTCTGGCAGCCGTTCGGCCATCCGTGCCCGTGCAAATCGCGCCACCGGGAAGGTCGAGTCAATCAGCCCGTACTGCGACAGCTTCAGATAGATCGGGTTCTTCAGCAGTAGCCGGTCAAGCAACGGTATCTGTCCAATCTGTTTTGATGTCAGCATCTGCGCTTCTGGGAACCCGCCCTCAACCGTTCAGACATACCGGAGCCACATAGAGAAATAGCCGAGACAGGTAGTCGACAATCCCCTCTATGTCTTCGTTCTTCTCGATGAACCCATGCCGCTTGCTGTACGTTATCTCTCCGATCACGTCGAATGCATAGAATTGCAGCCACCGGGTGAAGTCGCATCCAGCCGGGTTGCCAACAAATAGCTTCTCCGTCTGCTTGAGAAAGAGTTTGGTCGTGTTGTCCACGAATGGTTCGTACTGCACCAGGGCCGACATGGCAAACGCCGAGTTAACACATCGCCGGAACTGTGCGTGGAAGCTATTGTCTGTAGTGCTGAACAGGCTGGCGAGGCTGTGCCCCTTGACCACGGACTGCTGCACAACATAAAATTCTGACTGCACTCATGTCAGTGTTGGTGTCAACATAGTTGGTTGTGTAGGGCCAAGCTACCTTGATAAACCCCTTATTCAATCCATATATTGTTCGTAGGGCTTTCGGATCCGAAAACGAGAGCACGTTCGGGCCAAGACGAACGACAGAGCCATGCTGTTCGTGCAGCCTGCGGTGTGTTTGGTCGGGATGGCGTTTGTACACGTCGTAGAACCTCCACCAGTCCGTTATCGATGCAAGGAAGGGTCCGGGGTACTTGCTGAGGCCTTTGTGGTAGCGGTTCCGCGCCACATATAACAATGCAAGAACGGCACATATGCTAGGCCAGTAAGCCGAAGCTACGGCCACGATCTGATCTGTGATTCCCTTCATCGGTCGTATGGCTAACGTTATTGGGAAGGTTTATCTGTCCGGTTGAGGGAGTCTCTTGACCTGCTGGAAATGACTTCCTGGTTAAGATCTGTTGGCGAGGGCCTTGGCTGACATATATGTAGTTCGATCCCCCCCGGCTTATGTCTGGCGAAGTGGATTAATACCTCGCCCGATATCGTGCTTGTGATCCAGCAGAAGGTTATACCTATTGGAAATAACACTGTCTTAGCCAGAGTTATATCCTCGGCCAACTAGTCTTGCATCGGAACATCAATTACCTGCAGCCGACAAAGCCAAGTACAGCATGAGATCAAGCAATAAGCGATGGCCGGCACATCGGTCAGAGGAGTACCGCGTCCTAATTATCGTAGTGGAGAAGGGGCGTTGGCATCTGGTTTTGAGGGAAGACGTCGTATCCCAGCGAGCCCCTCACTCCTCTGTTCTACTTTTAGTTGCCCCATACTGACTATACCCCAACGGCTCTTTTTTAGCCCTCACTTTTGACGCCGGAAGACTTGGCAAAGACGCTGGAAGACTCATCCCATGCGTAAACGTTTGGCCGCAATTGCCACTGCCAGCAACTGATCGGCGAATCAGTGGATGTCAAGAATGCAGGACGTCCAGGTGGAGCTGAGATTCGACCGATGAAGCTGTTAGTGGAGAAGATCTCCGCAAACCCCTCATGCGGGGTTGGCCCTTCTCCAACTCGTTCGGCAGATGTAAACTCCATTCAGAGCTGCTGAAAACGCGACACGACTTTTCACTGGATGCATTTATCCACTTGTTGGTGGCATGTCAGCTTCTCGTATTATGATTCTGGAGTCGAGGAGCGAGTGCAGAGTTGCGGTCGTCAGCCAAAATACAAAAAATAATGCGAACTTACCGAGTATTGCAATTTCCATTGAAAACAGTTTGGGGAAGCGATGCTTCGGCATCATAGATCCGACATGTCCCACACTTTAAGGGGTTTCTGTCTGCTGACCAGCCTGCTACACTAAAGGAAAAGCCGGCTTTTCGCAAGGACTTCTGGAGCTGTTTTTACATATCTATATCTGGTGGTATCAATTGCAACATCCTTAGAGGTCGAAAAGTACTCGTAGAAAGAATAAGTCCAAGAGGCAAGGTCTTTGCAGGGAAGTTGCAACTCACGCCTTCCTGTCTCTTTGTGGGTTATTTTAGGATGGACGAATCGCTCTGTCGAGACTAAATATTACAACTGCAAAAAAAGGGGACACATAATTAACCCAAGAGCAAAAGACACGACTAATCGACGGTGGCCGCCTATTCCAGCAATGCCAGTACACAACACCTTGAAGCGCCATCGAGGTATGATATGGACGTACTCTCAAAAGTCTCTCTGGAACTTTTCCATGTATCAATCTAAAACAATCAAGACTTCAAACATCTGTTTCTGCGCCCTCATCGATCGGTGGCAAGCGATTGAAAATGGTGTGCAAAACTTGGTGTTGCCGTTTCTTCACTCGCCACCTCCCCTTTGCCTTCCTTGACTGCACGCTTTGAAATGGAGCCTTCGCTTGTATGAAAGCCCTGCCAGCTGCGTCTAAACCTTTGAAGAAACTGTCAAAGGCACGCATCGCCTCGTCAGTTGTCTGTTCCCTGCTTGTTGCTACATCGCGTGACTCGTACTAGGGCTGGATGTGCAACGATGACCGTTTCATGACTCGAACCACAACGCTCTTGACATGGCAGGGCTCTCTCTAAGTCCTGTCTTCATCGTCCGAGCTGTCTTCTGCTTCACGGACCCGGTTTGTGAGGTCGGCCGTCAGACCGCCCTCGTTCTCGGGATCCAGATATTCGCGGCCACCCAGCACGCTGAGCGCAACCGGAAGGAAGACAAGTGCATGCGGCGAGGCGAACAAGACGAGCGCCACCCAGACACGGAAGTAGTAGATCTCAAAGATTTTGCTTCTCGTGAATGCGAGCACACACACCCCCAGCAATTTTGTGAGGGTGATGCCTGAGAAGACGGAACCGCCGACATTCACCAGAGCTGCCCAAGCTCGCTGATCACGAGCACCTACGAACCGAGTTCGCGCGTTGTTCCGCAGAAGACTGGACGGGAACGTGAAGGAGCGTGCAATGTGAGCACAAAATTCCACCGAGATGCCAACACAGATGATCAGATTGACCAGAGACACCGCATTGAGAGAGACGCCCATCACAGCCATGGCACCAGTAATGTCGCAGATAGTCATGGCAACGGTCACAGCCACCACCAGTGCCGTTCTGAACGAGCCGAGCAGGACCCAGGAAACCAAGAAAATGATCCCCATCGCCGAGCCAAGAAGCGCTCCAGAGAGCGACACGATGGAGGCGTACTGGTCAAAGAAGACGTAGAACACGCTGTAAGGGAACACCTCCACGCCCGTGGACGCTGTGATGTCGGAAGCGATCCTTCGTGCAGACGCGTACGCTTCAATGAAGTCGCTCTGTGATCTCAGGGGCGAGTGCATTGTCCGGAAGTGGCTTGCTGGCACCGTATCCCGTTCAGAATCAACCACGATCGCTTGGCCGTATGAGGCCTGACCGCCAAGCGGGCATTCTTCGGTCGTCGGCGAGGCGAGGAACTTCTTCAGGTAGTGCACAAACTCTTCCCCCTCTGGCATGCCGAAGAGGCGTGCGTTCCAGGGCGGAGAGCGTTCGGCGAAGCAGGGCTTGCCATCTTCGACGCAACAGTCCTCAAAGTCCGGATTCAGCCAAAGGAAGAAGTCGTCAATCCAGCTGGCCGTGGGCGATGCAATGAACGACACATTCGTACGCTTGCGCTCTTGCTCAAGAATGCCGGTGAGAGAAGTGAGATCGCACGAGGGGAACCGCGAGCAGAGCTCCCTCTGGTAATATGTTTGCGTTGCATTCGTGCCTTTAGTAACAAAGTACACCGGCGGGCCCAAGTCGAGGTAGTCGTACAGGTCGTTGAAATAAGGGATAAGGTATGAGCCGTCAGGAATGGCGACGCGCTGGTCCAAACCGAGTTCGACAAAAGGCATCAGCGCTATGGCAGCCGCAAACAGCCCACCGAAAACAACAAAAACGACTGTCTTGACACCCTTCTTCAGGAGAGCCGGGGCATAACGCTGTCGAAGGAAGCGCTGTAGAATACTTTCGTGTGATATCTCATCGTTGCTGCGCCTGTTTGAATATTCGCCGTCAAATGTTCCATTGATGTGCACACGAGCCGACTTGACTGGTATGCAGAACAGTATATCGGCTCTGTTGTCCTCCACACGAAATTGGTTCAGTGCAAGAACAGAGACAAAACCGGTCACCTGTAGGATAGCGTTGATAAACACCGCACCCGCGGCGTAGATGGCAAAGTTGCGAACAGCGGGCATGCCCACAAAGGCACCAAGCGCAAACGAGACCGTTTCGGTAATGGCGGAGAAGAGGATGGATGGGCCTATCCGTCCAAGAGCAAGGGCAACTCGCCGTTCAATCTCCTCGTCACGATGGCTGACATTGACCCGCTCAAACTCATGCACGATCAAGAAGATGTTGTCGACGCCAACGGCGAGAACAATGAATGGGATGACGTCCACAATGATCAACGTTGCTTTTAGGCCAAACCAGGAGAAGAGGCCGATGGATGCCGTGATGGACATCACGACAATCAGGACGCCAATGAAACCAAGCCCAAACTTCGATTGCACCACAAAAACACCGAAGTGGTGGAACAGGTCGCTGAATGAGAGCGTTGTCGAGCCTAGTGCCAGAGACGCGTACAGGAACATAATAATGTAGCTGATGGCTACAATCTTGGCGTCAGTATTAGTGGACTTGTTGAGCTCCTCCTCTAGGCTGATTTCGGTGGAAAAAGAGAGGCGGAGGCCCCTGGATGTTGCTTCTTCTTGCACCTCAAGCAATTTGTTCTTCAATGCTCGCTCCCAGTCCATAGCCAGCTTGACCTCCGGGGTGCCTTCTTCGTAGTTGTTCACAACCCAGGTGACGGTGATTGCTGGTGCATCTGCTACATGTTCGACATCGGAGAAGCCCCCAAAGATGGCTTCGGGGTCCAAAGGCTGCCCGTATTCTGGGCGACACTCAACAGGGCTTTTCGCACAAGCCGTCAGGGTCTCTTTCCAGTACTTATCCAGGAGTGCAGTGTCGCTACCAAAGTAAGCAGACACAGACTGCAACACACAGGCCTTTCCTGTAGGCTTGAAGCATACATCGTCAAAGGTCATGCCGAATTCGGATCCCTTAATTTTCTCAATGCTCTTCTCCACATTCATCCACCAGAATAGAGCGTCGTAGCTCAAAACCGGACCGGGACCAGTTGGGAGCGTGTCATTGACAAGGAAAATCTTCTCGGCACGGTAAAAAGGCCCGAAGTTGGTGTCGAAAAAGGCTTTTTCTTGTGCAGCCGCTGATGAAGGGCTTACCCAAAGCTTCTCTGGGACCAACTCCAGCTCAAATCGAAGCCAGCCCAAGCTCAGGACCGTGGCTACCAATAGACTGGCGCCGATGCTGGTTCCAGGGAATCTTGCTGCCCAGTGGCCAAGCCTCCTGAACACCGCGTTGCACATTGTGTTCAGCTTGTAGCTCTGGGGCGGTTCTTCGATATCTGCGCCAGTGGTGCCACTTCCGTGAATGATCTGGTAGAGGAAAGCGCGCCGGTCATCGTCTTCTACGTCATCGTCCTCATCATGACCGCTGCGGGGATCGTGAAGAAGTGGCAACGCTTTGGTTCCGCCATTTGTGTACCAGAAGCGCAGTGCGATCCAAGCAAGTAGCACCGCAACGAAGACAGAGTAGACGAGAATTGAAGAGAAGGACAGGCATGGCAAGAGGCCGACATGGCAAGAACTAGCATTCTTAACCTCTGGAAGAGCAGGGCAGACACTGGGACAATCTGTGCAGGCGCAGCGGAAGCTAGGGTCCTCGTCGTTGCATTTCTTCGGTGTCATTTGGCGGGGTTTCATTTCTGGCTCTTCGTACTCGGCAGGGAAATTCATCTGGAACGGCGAGCCGCCGAGCCTCTTCTTGCCCAAAAACGCCAGTAGTTCGTGGTAATCTTTTGCTCCGCCCCCAATCAGGTCCATAGCTTTAGAGTTTGTTGGTCCGAATTTGACCTCCTTGCAGCTATCGTAGAAGCCGGTGCCGTACTCTTCCGATACAAGCTGGTCAAGCTCTGTAACCAATACTTTATCGTTTTTCTTGGCCGCATTGGTGACATTGATAAAGAGAGATTGGTCGGGCGAGCATGTGAAGGTGCAGAAGAGGTTGTAAAAGTTATCCTTGCAAGCTGGACACGACGAAATGAGCTGGTTGACGGTACCGAGGTTGTCTTTCAATGCGGCGACCTAGAAGAACATGCCAGTTAGATAACGAAACCCGAGTAGGACGAGCCGCATAGATGGGGAATGAGAAATCTTTCTTTCAGAGATGAGCATAGCGTACCTGAACATCGGTGCAGCAAATGGGGCCGGTGCTCCATTTCGCTCCGCACAAGCCAACCAGTTGCTGCCTCAGAGCTGCATCCGGCTCCTCGGCAAGACCATTGTCGACACAGGGAAGTTCCGGGCTGAACAGACTTTGCTTTCCGCACTGACCGCGGATCGCACATCGGCCGGCTTCATGCTTCGGTGTGTATTTTGTTTCTTCAGCTGCCACTTGGTCGAGACCGGCCAGCACGAGAAGCACAGCGCTGCCACCGGCCGTAATGAAACGGGATAGCCGCGCCATGATCCCGTGATGGGACGGGCGGGTAGAGTGAGGTAAGCTAGGCTCCCTTCAATTCCGGTCACTGCCAGTCGTTCGATCAAGCTTCCGAGCTTATCAGACAGTCGGAAATTCGGCTGCGAGCTTATCTCTGAACAGAGAAGGGTGGGAAATGCGTAGAATGAAAGGGAAGACAGCCGGGAAAGCTGGGATATGATTATGAGCGGTCAGTCTCCCAGATTCAAGGAGCGTTGGGCGGATCAGAAGTTGTTTTGTACCTGTCTGAGTTGGGCGGGTGGTAGAGTTTCGTAAGATCGGGCAAAGCAGCATGGACTGGACCTGCGTCATCAAGCTAACGTCCGTGCATAAAATAATCACGTGCAACCCTCCATATCTTACGATGCATATTCCGTACTCCGTACAAGCTTCTCGATACACCTTCCATTACGGAGTACAGAGTATATGAGCGAATTCACTATGCTAAACTAGACGTGTTATCTAAAAGAGAAAAAAGAGAAAGGTAAATAGAAAAAAACACGAAAATATCGCCCTACGCCTTGCTACATGGGAGATGCACAAAATAGACAAAAAGCTGGGCCAGCCAGAAAATCAACCTCCAGGCAGCCATCAGGCAGCCAACTCCACATCTCGACTCACTTCTTTCCAGTAACGAGATAATGGCCGATTCCGGGCTGGACCTTCCAACCAGCCCTCTCAAGCGCCGCTCCGACTTCTCCATACATACGGGAGAAACCTTTGGCGCTATGCACTCCAGAGCCAGTCACGACGCGCAGAGGCTCGTTCCGAGCCTTCTTTATCCGATGCTCGCCGAGCTTAACCCACCACTGCTGCGTGCGTTCAACGGCGATGCGAACACCGTCGTCGACAGTGACGTAATGGACATCGATGACGTCTGCAGAGCTCTGTTCCTCGACAAAGGCGTCGGCGGCCGCGCTCTGCCGCAGCCGCGCCACGGCTGCCTGTTCGCGACCGCGATCAGAGTACACTGCAGCCACCTGACGGAAAAGAGGGTCTGAACGACCTCGACGAGTTGCTGCCGATGCAGCCGCATAAGAAGCACCGGCTGCAGCCCACGATTTCTCGGCCATCGCCGCCTGGTCGACACAGTTGCCAGGCGTCATAGACACCTGGGGAGGGGCTGATTGTGTCGACGAGCGCTCAGCACACTCAGCTTGTTCGTTGACACTCAGGGGCGCAAGCTTGTAGTCCACCGACAGCCGTTGTCGCCCAGTCTCCTTCTCCTTTGTATGTGCCTTCTTCCGGCTTTTCTTGGCTGGAAATCCATCCAGCTGAAAGAAAGCGTCGATTCCCTTTAGCCGCTGGCCCGTCTCCTCCAGATGCTTGATGTTCAGGAGAATGTCTGACGCCCTCATGGCATCGCCCGCCGACTCCTTTAGGGCTCTTCTGATATCCGTGTCCTTCAGCATGGGGAAGATGCTCTTGAGGGTCGCTTCTGGAGTCGCTCCAGCGTCGGCTGTGTCTGGGAGAAGTTGATCTCTTGCTAACGGCTGAAAGTCATCCGCCATGGCCGACGCAGCAGTGCGCGGAGAGCCAATATCGTAGTCGGACGTAGCCCATGAACCGCTATTGGTTAGAGAAGGGGACTGTGCGCCTTCTATATTCGAACCACCTTCGGAGCCATAGTAGTTGCCGGTGTCAAAGCCGGAAGCTTCTTCGTCGCGCACATCTTTAGATATCTCGGCGAGCGCTTTGCGTGTTTCCTGGTAGCCCTGCTCTCGAAATATGAGTACGACAAGGGACTCATCCACCAAGGACCCAAATTCTGTCTTTGGACAAGTTAGTAGGATGTACACCTTCATGGTGGATGCCGAATTATGCAGGAGCAGGCGCATACGATTAGCTTGTCTAGGTCTTCTTCGTCGCCCCTTGGGGCCGATGCACTACCCATGGCCGAGGCAGCGCAATCTGGCGGCGGCCACCAGACGGAAAGTACGGCGTCTTTTGGTGATTATATTGGATGTATTGTGTGGTTTCTGTTCCATTTCCTTGTCTGTATGGAGCATGATAGTTGCTTGCCCAACATGCCCAACTCGTTGTGTAATCACAGGTGACCAAACGAAAAGTGAATACGGAGTACAAAACCCGATCTCTTGTTGAATTGCGTGCACAGGCCAGCCCCTCGCACAGGCCAGCCCCTCATGTATCACGTGATTATATACACATTTCGGGACTCCGTACGGAGTCTCTAGCCTCGATACGGAGCATGTACTCCGCATTCGAGACTGGGCAAAATTGATTGTTTCCTACATCAGCACTCCGTACGAAGTACACGCGAGTTATTTGGCTCATAGGCAGAATCCACGAAATCCTGAGCCTCGGCGATGTTTCTGTTTGTAGAGGCCCGGGGCGAAGTCCGAAAGTGGACAGTGGGTTTCGGCCCTGCATGACTGTTCCGGAAACAGCAATGCAGCAATTACTGAGACCTTATTGATGGGAACATAGCAAGCTGCGCTAACAGACGATAAGCTCTTTTGAGTCAAGCCTACGAATATAGCACTGGAGAATGACGGTTGCCTGTTGTGACGCTGGCTGCGGCCGATATCCCACTTGAGGCCTTTTCTCACCTGATTGTGAACCCCAGAGTCTCATATTTATGCGAGCGGAAGTTCGCGAGGCCAGGGATATACGAGTAGGCAGACGCAAACAGAACATTGGCTTTCAAGGCTATGCTCACATGGTACTTGACAGAATACCCGGGCAATGAGCCGCGGCCCCTGCGATGATTGTGTTACAGGTGGCGGGATCGGAAGGCGCGGACGTGTCCCAGTGAATCCACTCGAGGTCGTGAGATAGGTCGCCCCTGCCGTCACTGTCACGGGTCCACTCAAGCTCGAATAGTATTAATAAGAGCCGTGCTCGTACACGCACACCGTCTTGAGCCATTACATATATCCTTTTACTTTCTGCAAATTTTGGAAATCAGGCTTGGCAATATCTTGTCATATCCACAGTTGACCCCTCCATCTCTCTGCTCCCAGGTTGCACGTCGGCGGTAGACTCGCCGTACTTCTCTGTTGCGAAGCTGCCCAGGCTGCCTCGATGGACCCAAGCAGCAGAAAACGAGGCTATGTCAACTACCCTGAACCGCTCAAGGGGTAGGTGTTGGCATTTCCACAGCCATGGCTGCCCAGCCGTTCCAGACGGCCATCGCCGTGTGTCGCAACGACCCCGTTGGACTGCCGGTGAAGAAAGAGCCATGCTAACATGATTGTCGTCAGGCCTGATGTACCTTACCAAGATGATCGCAAGTCGAACCCCGCCATCCGGGGCTGGATTCTGGTCATTTGTGCCTACATGTGAGCATCCCACTGGGACCTGGAGAGCCATAGCTCACAGAGGCTGACTACTGGACAACAGAATGGAATATGTAGGATTTATTCGCCGTACGGTCTGGAAGAATGCCGGCTTCGCCACACTGCGCAATATTCGGCCGCAGATTGAGGACTACGAGCCATTCTTTGAGCCGGCCATTGTCCCGCTACCAGATGCTGTCGAGCCGACCGACAAGCCGCTAGATTTGACACTGCCAAGCTCTCTACCACCACCACCGGCTGAAAGGTACCCCGCGTCGAGGTACTATTCGTCAAATGATTACCACGAGCTCTACCTCTCCGGGAAGTTGACCCCAACTGCTGTGGCAGAAGCTCTGCTGCCTCTGATCCGACGGAACCAAGGCCAGAAGGGCCCGTACTCAATTGGCTGGTTTGACACAAAGGAAGATCTGGTTTTGCGGGCTGCGGAAGCATCGACTCTGCGGTATCGCAAGAAGCAGTCTCTTGGTCCTCTGGATGGCGTCCCGACGGCCGTCAAAGATGAGTATGACATGGAAGGGTACATGTCATGTCTCGGCTCTGTGAACGACTACACTGGCAGCTTCCTCGAAGACGGCACCTACACGACATGGTGCGTGCGCAAGCTGGAGGAGGCGGGCTGCATCATCCTGGGCAAGCTGCACATGGTCGAGTTTGGCCTTGACACTCCTGGAAATAACATCAACCACGGAACTCCACCAAACCCTTACAACGAGAGGTACTACACGGGCGGTAGCTCGTCAGGTGCCGGTTACGCTGTTGCCTCGGGCCTCATTCCCTTCGCGCTGGGCAGCGACGGTGGCGGCAGCGTGCGGATCCCGGCCTCCTTTTGCTCTGTGTACGGACTGAAGCCAACACACGGACGGATCTCTTTCAAGCCAGGACAGAACCACTGCATCACCTGCGCGTGCCTCGGTCCGCTGGCAGCTGATGTGCGCACACTCGCTACGGCTTACTCCGTCATTGGCCAGCCGCATCCGACGTCCGCCTTCCCACCTGTGCCTCCGCCATCCGTATTGCTTGACCGTCAGCGCCCAACTCTTCCGTCCTCCCTCTCGGCACCGTCTTCTCCGCGTGTTCTTGGCATCCCGAACGTGTGGATTGCGCAGGCTGTGCCGGCTGTCCAGGAGCTGTGCAACACATTTATTGAGTCTCTGGTTCGCGATCACGGCTACACTACAGTGCCCATCGAGATACCCCTCTTGGTTGAGGGCCAAAATGCCCACGCCTTGACCGTACTCACGGATGCGGCCACTCTTCTCCCGGAGTATGGAAACCTCACGCCGACAACGCGCATTCTGCTTTCATTGGGCCGAACAACGCCGGCGACAGACTACCTGCTGGCCCAGAAGCTCCGTCGCGCGCTTGTCCAGCATTTGTCCTATCTGTGGCACAAGCATCCCGGCATGATTATCATGACGCCAACAACGAGCTGTGCAGGCTGGCCGGTGCGCAGTCCCAGTGAATACAGTTACGGAGTAAGCGATGGTGACACCACAATTCGCAGCATGGAGTATGTTTGGCTGGCAAACTTCTGCGGTCTCCCATCAATCAGCATTCCAGCTGGTTATGTCGTGCCGGAAGGGCAGCCGGGTGCCGGAAACATTGCAGGCGCCAACGTCAGTGGGAAAGTGCCAGTTGGCATCATGGCCACGGGTGAATGGGCGACAGAGGCTGACTTGCTCCGCTTTGGCATGGATGCCGAGTCCGTTTCGGCTGAGCGCCGCGCGCGGCCGTCTATCTGGTACGATGTTGTGGCATCGGCTAAGCCCAAGAGTGCTATCACAATTTGAAACGAGGGAAGGATTCACACACGAGTGTCGGTGTGTGGCGTGTGGTGGGGTAGCAGGGAAACGCTGCAGTTGGCCCATGTATGTGCTGATTTATTAGCCTGCCAATTTATGCAGCAGGTTTACACTCCATAAAGAAATGGAAGGCATAGCAGAAAGTGACGTGATTTACACAGTGACCGTTGCATGGTATAGTGCCCCGCCCCTCTAGCGAGCTTATTGGTGCTGGCCAAATCTGTCTCATAACTGATGATGATCAGAATAGGCCCTGAGATCGTTCGCGACGAAATGCAGCGCCTTTGACGAACAGCCTGCACGGGTAAAAAAAACGGGCACAGGTTGCATTAGATACGATAGAGGGGCGGTGTGGCTCTTTTTTTCCGGCGAGATCATGATCACAGCCCAAATAAGGCCAGCGCTCATAGAGCCGGGGGAACAGTTGTGGCTGCGGCTGGTGGAACCAGTTTACGGCTAGGAAGCCCGCATTCGGACAGTGTGGATGGGATGTTGCCCTCCGTCTGGACGACTGTCTGGTATTTTTAACCGTTCAGTAACCTAATGCGGCGCCCATAGCGACTGTCCCGCAGAGAGTCTCCGCTCGGTTGCGTGGAGCCCGACATTGAAACGAGTCGAGGCCGTTTGTCTGGCTGGAAAAGAGGCCGTTGCGCAGCATACATAGTACGACGTAGTCCCGTTCTCTTGCTGCACAACACATTGTTGACGTGTCTGTCATGGTCCACAGTGGTAGGTATCGCTAAACTGCAGCAATGACAGTCTCAAAACGGAGCAGTCAGTGTTCTTGAAGTCGGGCTATCACAGGTGTGTCTAGATCAGCATGGATCGGCCTCTTTCTTTAATTCCACGAGGGATAATGGTTACGTCTGGTAAGCATAGATAGCCAGAGGGGGTCAATGAGCTCCTAATATGTGTTCAGTGTGGATATGAAGAACGAGACCAGCAAGACACAAAGAGCACATACCCAAGCTATCACAGGATATATATAGCGCTAGCATGTAGCATGAAGGTGCAGCCGTACGACATATCTAAGCACGGCGCCGTCCAGTCGACATAGTCATGACGGGGCAATGGCCGGCCGTTCGTTGATGGTTCCGCAAAAAGTCCAGCTTGTAGAAGAGGGACAGTTATGAAAACAGGTTGCACCGCCACAATGCCGCCCACCTCCTTGTGCTCTGTGAGCATCAGCGCTATGACACGGCAGCGGCTATCATTGCGCGTGCTTGCCTTTCCGCAGTGTTACTGTTGTGTGCGTTTGCGGCACTCTCTCGGTTACAGGTTGCATTTGCCTTATCCCGCCGCCCTCCTCCAGCGAAAAAATACAAGACCGTCTCGGCAGTTCTGCAATGTTACACCGAGGATGTTCTTTCGACCAGCATCAGCCTCAGCCTTTTCTGTCTTATCCGGTGTACACATAAAGGTCGGTACAAAGAGCTCCGAGCAGGCAAACATGCAAGCTACAATTTTCACAGCCTGCTTGAATGATCTTTATCTTACGATTGCCATAGATTCAAAGAGTACTTCTTCCTACACTAATCCAGTATAGGTCACATAAGGCAGTAGCTGCTCAAATTATTGTGTTTCTTAATGGTGTACGTCATCAATATCGATTATGCTTTACGTTTGTAGTAGCAAACGAAAGACATAGCTACATACGGAGTACTCTATACTATGAGATGTAGGTCATATGGCCCGCGTGTTCAGTCTATCAGAAGTACGGGTTTTTTGTAGAATAACCGAAGTAGAGAAGCGCCACTCAAAGCGGAGGAGATGAACATATCAAAGAAGTGCTTCCACGCCATCGCTGTAAAATGACCTCCTGAAGCTAGCACGTTAGTTACTTGTAGTTATAAGCTTCTTCTGTTTGGTAGCTCTCGGCTTTAGACTAAGGCTCACGTGTATTTGGCTACAAGCGCATCATAGCCAGTCAAACATCAGACGACGAGTACTCGCACTCGTACCGCTCTTGCGCCGGAGGTCGGAGATGTAGCAAGACCGAATTCCGATACCAAGAAATCGCATCGTCTTGGCTGCAGCAAGGTCCGAAAACGCAGCTGTCGCCCCGTTGTGTCTTACGCCGCAATCTCGCCGGGAGATAGCCCAAGTCTCACGGCCACTGGAGGAGCTGAAGATGCTGTGTACAGAACACACGAAATTTCCGACAAACGGAAACACAAGTCTCCTGTGTACATGTATATCCGAAGTATCACCACCCAGAAAGCAAATAGAAACCACCTGCGTACGAGCAGGATCAGCTTCGCCATCGACACTTAGCTGTGGGGATCTGCCATGTTCTAGGCGCTGTGGATAACGCTACAGGGTTCTTTTTTTATGCATCGGGATCCCCAACCCGCGTGGAGCAGTTTCCCGCTAGTGGAGCTTTACAGCGCGGGGTTTATGCTAAGCACAATTTTATGCATCGGAGTATGCTATTGCCGTCCGTTTTATGCACAAGATCAGGGCGCGTGCCATGTCGATGTCAGCCAGTGTCTTCACGAGCCGGATGGCCTCACCGTGCTGCCATGCAATAGCCGCCACAGCGGATTTGCCTATTCGAAAGACTGGTAGCCGGTACCTGTAGACCGTATGCTCGCAGTAATTCACAGCTCGCCGACTGCCGGTACCGGTCTATGCCTCTCATGATAAACGTGGACGGAAAGTGTAACATCATTTGCCTCTCTTATTCCCTGGGCCGCCAAGTAATGAGGTAGGAAAAGGGGGATAGTAGCCGTGTAATAAATAGTCGACTGTTCAGAGTGGCGTTCTCTCCCTCTCTTCTCTCGCTGCTGTTGCTGCCCATCCCCGCTCCTGCCACGGCGCATTTGTCAACTCGCTCCTTCCCCCATTTTCGCTTTTTGCTTAAGTTGGGCAATTTTCGTCCTCCCATTATTTTATAGTTTGACCATTCTTGACCTCTTTGTTTCTGGCTTTCCAAGAAATTGCGCTGCCATATGACACCAGGCCTAAAGGCTAAGAAAGTGCCGGAAGAGCTTCCATAGCCAACAACAAGCACAAGCAGGTCACTGTACGCCACTGCAGCGCCAACAGATCTACCAGCGGTTTGGTAGCGCTCGATGTAAGTGACGGCTGTCAATATCACTGGAAATGGAAACAAATCACAGCCTCTTTTGAGGTGAAACCACAGTTCTGGGATTTTGTATGTCCTGGAGCCATAGCTCTGACGTGACCTACACTTGTATATGTTTTTATGTGTCGATACTGACATGTAACTTCTTTGGTTTGTTTCTCTTTACAGAACCGACTAGTACCATGACTCTCGACGGGAAAATGCAAGCAAAACGACCTTCCGATACTGAAACCGACGATGAGGTGCCCTTGGAACGTCAGCGCAGCGTCGAGCAGGCCGCCGATGAGGGTCACGACGCCGACATCCCATCCAGCATCGGCTACGTCTTGGACGAGCGTGGGGAGGAGAAGCTGCGCAAGTCCCTTGCTGAGCAGAGACGCAACTCTCTGGCACGCCGCACCAGCCATGGCACAGAAGACCGTGCCGTCGCTGACGTGGAGAAGGGCAATGCCAACGATGGCGCAAAGGGTGATGCTGATGCGCCCGAAGACGAGGCCAACGTCGTTTGGTGGGATGGACCTGACGACCCCGAAAACCCATATAACTGGCCGACCTGGTACAAGAGTCTACTGTGCGGACTGATCAGTGCGGTGACGTTTGTCACGCCGCTGGCATCCTGTAAGAAAATTGCCGTAATCCCTTTTTGATACGCCGGTCAGAACACTGACTGTCCAAATCTATTCAGCCATCTTTGCGCCTGGCGTGCCCGAGCTCATGGCGGAATTCCACGAGGACAGCACCTTATTGGCTTCCTTTGTCGTGTCCGTCTACATTTTGGGTGTATGTTTAGAGGCCCTCTCTACATTCTCTGTTTCCTCTGCCCAGCTTACATATTTTACAGTTTGCCTTTGGCCCTCTGCTGATCGCCCCTCTGTCCGAGATCTATGGCCGCAACATTGTTTACCACGTATGCAACGTTGGCTTCATTGCTTTTGTCGTTGGCTGTGCCCGGGCACCTACGCTCGACGCGCTCATCGTCTTCCGTTTCTTCAGCGGCATCTTTGGCTCATGCCCCATCACCAACGGGGGCGGCTCCATCGCCGACATGGTTGCCCAGGAAAAACGTGGTCTTGCCATGGCCTTTTTCTCTGTTGGTCCGCTGATGGGTCCGATCATAGGTCCTGTTGCCGGTGGTTTCCTGGCCAGTGCTAAGGGCTGGCGCTGGGTCTTCTGGCTGATTGTGATCATCGCCGGCTTCCTCAGCCTTGTCTCCGTTTCTATCATGCGTGAGACCTACGCTCCCATCCTGTTGCAGCGCAAGGTAGCGCGCCTGCGCCGCGAGACTGGAAACGATTTGTTGCGTAGCCGTCTGGATATCGGCCTCAGTACCAGGGACTATTTCACCCGTGGCATAGGTCGGCCCATCAAAATGCTGACCTTTTCACCCGTCGTGCAGGTTTGCGCCATCTACATGGCCATCGTCTACGGCTATCTGTATCTCATGTTTACATCAATCACCCAAGTATTCGAGGAGACATACGGCTTCTCCACCAACATGGTCGGCCTTGTCTATCTGGGACTCGGCGTTGGCTCTATGGGCGGCATGATCTACTTCAGCGCCATCTCTGACCGTTACATCAAAAGCCAGTCCCTTAAGGAAGGCCAGGGCATGAAACCCGAGTATCGTCTGAAGCCGCTTCCTGTGGGTGCTATCTTGCTTCCCATTGGCTTCTTCATCTACGGCTGGACGGCCGAGTACCACAAGCACTGGATCGCGCCTATCATTGGAATGGTTGTCATTGGCTTTGGAAACCTGGTGTATGTTCTTCCTTCTTCCTTTGTCCACTTGCTTCTGTCTGCTGTATCTTGTGCTGACTAGCATTTCTTTCTTCCAGTATCTTTATGGCCCTACAGCTGTATCTGGTAGATGCCTTCAACATCTATGCTGCATCTGCGCTGGCAGCAAACACCGTTGCCCGGTCTTTTGTCGGTGGCGTGCTACCACTTGCCGGTCTAAGTATGTACGCTAAACTTGGCCTTGGTTGGGGCAATAGCTTACTGGCCTTCATCGCGCTGGCCCTGGTCCCGATACCCTTTTTGATCATAAAACACGGCGAGTATCTGAGGAAGAGGTTTGAGTTGAAGAATCTGTGAGGCGGAGACGAATGAACAGTGCTGTTTAGCTGTGCGATTTAATAGGGGCCACATTTTGATGGTTGGTATCCGTGCACAATCCGGCGACGTCGATCATCAGAAGGCTTTCATTTATACATTTTCTTAGTTTCCCTTTCCATGTTTTCTTTTTTGATCTGGCATTGGAGTATGTCTTCGTAGAAATATACAGAGTAAAAGGTATCTGGAAACGTGGCAGCTTTGACTAGATGTGGGATAATTCAGCTTGCGCAGTAAAAGTAGGATGTCAATTAGGTTGTTAATCATTTTAGCGTAAAAGAGCCTAAATGTGAAATCACAGTGATGTTGAACCTCTGGTTTTTAACGCAGCCAACCAGCATGCTTTATCGTTTTTCGTATTCCGTGCTATGCGTTCAACGTCATCTTCCTTTTCTTCCACATTGGTTCTCCTCTTTTATGTAGATCCCTTGGTTTTGCCAAGGTCTTTCGCAACATCAATGTTTGGGTAACGGCAATCAGTCTCGTGTGTGTCTCAGCTTTTGTTTGATCGCAGATCACGATTCCCCGTGACATTGATTTCCTTTCTGGACCTCATAGCAAAAACGACCTTTACTTTGGTTGCTGACGGTTGGGTAATACTAAATAGGATAAACCCAATTCACTTCAACCCGGCGATTCACCGGACTCTCCGTACATCCTATTTTGGCCAGGGGAATAGCGTACTCTTGGATGAAGAGCAAGCCTAATACCAGAATCACGGTCACGGTGCTTTTTACAGTTGCTAGAACCATCTTGCATCATGCCGATAGGAAGCTCTAGGACCAATCATTCGTTCTTCTAGGGGTTCTGTTTTGATGGTCCATGCTTGTCTGCCGATCTGCAGTCTCATCAGTTGTCCTTCTCCGCCTCGCTTGCTATGTAGATCGTGGCCCTGCATCTTTCGACTCCATCTCGGTCCATGGATAGCCGTCGTACTATGTGCTGTTCAAGGCTCGGGATGCGACAGCTTGCGTTTTGCCGTTGCACCGTCGTCCTTTCTCTCAACCTGTTCCTCGTCCTAATACGGGGCTGTACGACGTATGATCGACGGGGTGGTTGTTCGTTAAAGAACGGCACCCCTGCAGCTGCCAACTTTTGCAGGATCCGGCATTCCGAGTTTCCATAACGATTCAAGACTAGATATAAATTCGCGTTCGTCGCCGTGGTTGTTCTCGCTCTTCCTTTATGTACACTAAGCAACGAGCCTTTTTTTCTCTGTCGTTTTCATTTTATTCACTCTCTAACGAGGTTCTGTGAACTTCATTCTCTTCGTTGTTACATTTATCGTACACCTTAACCTTCTTTTCCTTGTACCGCAAGCTCGGTCTTTTTTCTCTGTTTTTCCCCATAAAAGTACAGGCTATTCAATACCTGTCGCTTACTTGAAATAGCTCGCTATGTCTTCCAAGATTCTCTTTCTCTCTGCTCTTGTAGCCTTTGTCGAAGCCCGGTTTGGCCAGGAGCAGGTTCCTGTTGCCGCCATATCGGCCCTCACCAACCGCGGCAAAGCTGGCGATGCTGGAACGCTCTCCGGACAGGTTCCGGGCGTCCTCCTAGCTGGTGCCAATGCCTGTGCAAAGGTAAACTCATTTTTGTCTCACCATGGCTGCTGATAAGAGCTGACTCCTGATTGCAGCTCACACTTGCCGACAATATCGTTTCCACGCTTGGAAGTACTTCTGACGTCTTATCCGCTGCTGCCGGACTCGTTGCTGCCGAGAAAAATTTCAATCCTTTTGTCGTGTCTGTGCCTTCGTTGTGCTCAGATCCCACCCTGCCGACCACAGCTGCTCTGCGTGGCATTGTGCCTTTGGTGGACCCATCAGTTGGCGGTGCTGATACCGAGAACGCAAAGTCGAAAACGTCGCTGACGACGCCGTTTAGTGCTGATGGCAAAAGTGTCGCCGATGTTGCTTCTGCCAACGGCTTCACAAACTTTACTTCCCAGGGCACCGACGGTTCGACGTCCAGTGCATCCTCAGCAACTGCCCCATCGAACGTGGGCAGCAGCGGATCATCCTCATCGTCGACGGCTGCATCTGCGGCCACCAATTCATCATCTTCTGCAACGGCTTCTTCGGCGTCTTCGTCTTCGACATCTATCTCCTCTTCTGTTGCATCTTCCAATTCCAGCAGCACTGGAGCTACCGTAAACGGCGTCCAGCAATCGTCAATCTCCGGACTGGACTTTGGCCTCTGCGTTCCGACAATGAAGTTCGAGGCAGGTCTCAATGGCCGTAAAGATACCGAATCTACCTTCCAGGCGATCGACTCGCTCGTCAACAAGGGCCAGCAGGAGGCTCTGAACCCCAACATTATTACGAACCGGATTTGTGACCAGCTGACCAACGTGTGCAATGCCAACCAGGCTGCCAAAGATGCGTGCGCGGCTGCGAAGACGAAAATCTCGTCGCTTGGTACCAAGGATGTGACCACAGCCGATGCCTGGAATACGGCATTGGGATTTGCCGGAACCAACACCAACCCAGATAACGCGCCTCAGACTGGATTGGTGGGCCACTCATAGGAAGTCTATGAGAGCAAAATGTTTTCTGGAGTGCTGGAAATGCATTCTGTGATCAGCAGCTGATGAAATTGTGCTGTGTCAGGCTGGGTGGTATCAAAGCTTTCTGCCGGTCTATCTATTTATTTGTCAATGATTGAAAACTGATAGGCCTTCGTCACGTACAACCTGAGATTAAACGGTGCATTAGACAATACATCATAACAAGCCAGCTTGAGAAGCATGTACACCCACGCCGGTGATTATCTCTGAAATATGATAACGTTACCAACAATCCACGCCATAAGATCCAGAGGAGCTTTCCGAGCAATGTAGGGAATGCAGCCGGCGTATTACCCGCATGCTTGATCTATGTGTTATAATATTGGCTTGTGGTCAGTGGCACTCCGGCTCGGCTCTGGGTCACCCAAACGGGAGAAGCAGTGGATGTGAGCACTTTCCGGTCATCATACTGTCGTTGGCGATGATGGACGCACTGCCATGGACAGAAATGCAGATATCTCTCTCGAGATTACCCTACCTTGGCGACTGGCCATACTTTTGAGCACTGACGCGATATGGGAGATCGTCCGCCAAGCGCACTGCTCCAACCGTGGCATGCGTCTCGATACTTTCAACGAGTTTGGGCAAGTTCCATTGACTTTTGTACAGTCGTTACTTCGTATAAAGGATGAGAATAGGCCGATGGATCAAAGAAAGGGTATCATTATTATATGCCATTCGTGCTATTTTCCCTTGTATGACTACCGATACTAGTATCAGAGAAGATGTTCTTTTCAATCAAGTTCTCGGATGTCTGCCTGCATTTCACCCTTTAGTCCAGCCCTGGGAATGAGACCCGCGGCTTCTGCGGCTCCTTGCCCCTGCCCTTGCGCCTCTTCTTCTTGGACTTGCGCTTCCGTCTGCCTTCTTTGTCACTGTCGCTGTCGCTATCATCATCATCGTCGCTACCGGCAGCGGAGGCGGCCCGCTTCTTGCCCTTGGCGCCGCCATCATCGTTATCGCTGTCGTCACCGTCATCGCTGTCGTCATCGTCGGCGTTCGCCTTGCCACCGGCGACGTCGCTGTTCTCCTGCCAGATGCCGATCGAGCGTCCACCGGCACTGACGAGACGACCGAGACAGTCAACACCGACGGCAACGACGCTCTCAATCTCGTCATGGCGCAGAACCTGCTCCACGCGGCGGGCGTGCAGGTCGACGATGCTGACGCTGCCGTCGCCGGCACCAACGACTACGGTCTGGCCATTGCCCCATGATGCCTCATCGGGAACACGCACAATGGCATCGAGGCTCTCGCTCTCGTTGCGGCCACGACCACCGGCGACGTAGACGCGCTCCTGCTGGTCGTCCCACGAGCCCTTGTCCCACAGCGTCAGCACGCCGTTCTCGGTGCCGACAGCGACGACAGCATTGCCACGCAGTGTCCGGGGACCCAGTCCCGAGGGGATCAGGGTTGAACACAGCAGCTCCGAGTCTTGCTCTTCAGAACGGGTGACAATGCCATGGCGAAGGTCCGTGATCGCCAGTGTGCCTGCACCCGTGCTGACCCACTGCTTGGAAAAGCCCGAAGTGCTCTCGGCCGACGGCGGCAGCGGCGTGATGGACGTCACGTAGTCGTCGTGCGGCTTGTGTGAACGAGCCGGTTTCGGGGTCACAGCGCCGCCGCTTTGCTGCCGCAGATCAAAAATGTAGAGAAACCCATCGTCGGTGCCGAGTAGCAGCGTCTGCGGCGACAGAACGTGCATGATGGCCGGTAGATCGAGCGCGCCGTCGTGCCGCGGTGGCAGCTGGAACTTGGACAGCACCTTGCCGCTGTGAGGATCGAAATGCTTCACGATGGCGTCGGCACCAGCAGAGTAAACGGCTGGAAAGCAGCAAAGAGTTGTCAGCTCGCAGGGTTCCCGTCCTCCCAACCCCTCTATCGACCAAGCACTACTCACACTGGCCATCCAGTCCATAGGCCAAGCTGCGACAGCTTCCCTTGTGTCGCTTTGTGGTCCATATCGGTTTGACGAGGCCCTGCTCGCTGCTGTCATCGTCGGATGGAAGGCGGTAGCACTCGACGCGGCCGTTGGAAAGGCCGATGGTCAGCAACGGCTCGGTGGGATGCAGCACCTGGTGGAAGACATCCGCCGAGAGTGGGAGCATGCAAAGATTCTCCAACATCGTTGCGCAGTGTCAGCCGGGTTCGCACGGGAGTGTCGCAGTGCAGTCGGATTGATGTGATTTTTTTTTTCAGTTTCAAAAGCGTATTTCCAGGAAGAAAAATCATGCTAGGGCGGTTTCTATTCGCCAATGCACCTGCGCGTGGCGTTGCCGCGAGCTGTCTCAGCGATCAGTACGCTAGCGATTAGCGTGTTGTTGGTGGCACGTCTGCATTGCCGGGGAAGTGCTAACGAGAGCTACACAGCTGTCTGACGGGTACACACCCGTTTTGTGTGCCCCTTTATTTTTCGAGGTAGGACCGAAACATGCGACACTCCTCATCCAACGAGAAGGGAAAGCACAGCTACTCGACAAAGATCAGGAGGACTGCGGGTTTTTCGTCTTCTTCTGCGACCTCTGTTCGCTCCCTCTCTTTGCCTGTCCTCAGCACTTCCCCCTCGAATTTGCGCCACCTCGCCATAATCCGATTTGTCAGGCAGGCCCCAAAAAAGACAGCTAACATAATAATATCGACCCGCCGAGAATGTCTTATGAGGCCGACGAACATGAGGCCGAGCATGACACTGACGATTTTGACACCGACGATCACGATACTCACGATACTGACGAGCATGAGACTGACGAGCATGAAACTGACGAGCACAAACTTGACGAGCCGTTGCAACGCAAACAGAGCGCGTTAAATCGTATCGCAAAAATGTCAGCGTTTTTGCTGTTCGCCGTTTTGGCCACCGCTTTGCTCTTTGTCAGTGCTAAGCAGGAGCAAGAACCTATGCGCAACCTTGTATACTGGACCGGGTAGGATATGTGCTGTCCTAGGACCCTTTTTCTGTCGGCCAGACGCTGACGCGCCGGCATCGATCTTCACAGGCAGCACCAGGACGTGCCCTCTGGACTTCCGGAGATGGATTATGTCTCGCACGTGGCTCTGGCCTTTATGCAGTCAAGCCTGTTCAACGAGTTCGACGGCGTGAAGCGTACGGAGTGGCCGCTCTTCACCACTGTAGGCCAGGCCCGCGCACGCTTTGCTCCAGGCACCAAAGTCCTCGTCGCCATCGGCGGGTGGGGCGAAACGGCTGCATTTTCTATCGCAGCACGGTCCGAGCAGTCACGAAAGCGGTTTGCGCGCAACGTTGCCGCCATGGTAACAGCCACTGACGCTGACGGAGTGGACATTGACTGGGAGTATCCAGGAGGCAATGGCGAGGACTACAAACAGATCACAAATGACGAGAAGGCGTGGGAGATCTATGCATATCCGCTCCTCCTGGCCGAGATCCGGTCAGCCCTGGGCCGGGACAAGATCATCTCGGCAGCGGTCCCGGGAAAGCCAGAAGACATGCTCGCATTCACGCGCCTGACAGTACCTCGCATTATGAACAGCGTCGACTTTCTCAATGTCATGACGTACGACCTGATGAACCGGCGCAACACCGTGACCACGCACCATGCGGGCGTCGAAAATAGTTTGGCGGCCATTGATGCCTACATTGCGGCCGGTGCTTCACCTCAGCGGCTAAATCTGGGGTTTGCCTACTATGTGAAATACTTCAAGACCGAGCACGATGATTGCCAGGTAAGCGATTCCCGAACTCACCCGCCTATATGTAACAGAATTTGATGTGCTGAAAAATGATAGGAAATGGTAAACCAAGGGAAGGCACCGATCGGCTGCCGAACTCTGTTGATGGAAGATCCAGGAACTGGCAAGGACATGGGCCGGGCTGGTGCGTTTTCGTGGGACGATGCTGTTCCGTCGAGAGTGAAGAGCTCTTATAACCGGGCGATGAAGGAAGGAGTGTACGACGAGGTGCACGGCGGTCATTACTACTGGGATAGTAAGGAAGACCTCTGGTGGACATTTGAGACGCCTCTGTCGATTGCCACAAAAAAGTTTCCGCTCGTCGTAATGAACAGGCGACTGGGTGGCGTTTTTGCGTGGGGCGTGGGCGAAGATGCCCCGTTGTACCGGCATTTCAAGACGTTGAGCCATGTGATGGAGTTGATCAGAAGCGGCGAGGGGAAAGCTTTGTCGGACGAGCTATGAATATGCTAGCAGATGCATGGCATGTGGATTTTGAACCGAGACGGGTTCCAAAACGATCATGATGGCATGAGCAACGAATTGTGTTGATCGAGGGTGCCAAGTATGTAGATGATATTGCGACTATGGGGCAACGGGCTTTGGCGAACGACCTCAGATGTAAGCTATTCTGCATGATAATGTCTCAAGGCGAACACAGTAGCCGTTTATTCCACAACTATGTGTATACTCGTGACTACAACGTAAATGTGCAGCGAGCCCTACACGTTTGATCAGCTACGAAAGATTAAACACTATCGTAATGACTGAGGGCAACAAGAAAAAAAAACTCTCTCGCCGGGAATTGAACCCGGGTCCCGGGCGTGACAAGCCCGTATACTGACCACTATACTACAAGAGATTGGAATTGTTTTGATATGAAAAATTGGCCGCGGCTGCGGTCTAGTTCGAAAGGCAATTCGGTCGGCATAAAATTCAGGCTGCAACAATCAAGACGACATATTGTTTTCGCGACAATTGGCGGAGCCCAGCGGATGTAAAAGCTACTTCAACTCGATTTTCGGCAGTACCATCACTGGAAAGTCGGCCATGTGCAGCTTGGCGCTCCCGTAGGGCACGAAGCGCGCACTGAACGGCACAGCGCCGGCCACCGGTTCCGGGATTGTGGGCGGTGCAGCGGGTGAGTCGTATTCGAGCGGCCATTCGATCTCGACGGCAGCGACGCACAGCTCAACGGGCGGAGCGCCGAGCGTCCAGACGGGGTTGGCCAAGTCGCCGGCCACCGGATGCTGGATGACACGAACCTGCGACGGGTCGATGGCGATGCTCCACGAACTCGTCGGCTCTAGCACGTGGTCGTGCGTGTGGTCGTGAACGGTGGATCCAGGAAGCAGCTGGTCTGCATGGCGATAGTGACGGGGCGGTCCGGAGGTGGTGGTGTGGTCGATGGCGAGGCTATAGAGCAGCGGACCGTAGTAGAGGGCGGCGGTGTGGTTTGCGCGACGGACGATGCGCAGCTGCGTGGCGAGCTCGACGGTGAAGACAGCGGTACCACTACCTCCCGGAACAGACAGTCGGTGGAGGCCTGGGTAGGGTGAGAAGAGACTTTGTATCGTCTCAGTCTTGTGGCCATCAGTTCCCCATCTTCGGTGTTGTATCCGGACAGTGCTCTTCGATGCATCGGCCCAGGTCGGGATGCGAACGTAGAGAAAAAAGGGCGCCGAAGCTGTCACAGTGTACGTCAGGTCCAGTGCAAAAGGATAGTGCGTGTCGACGCGGACGGAGACGTGGGTGCCGTCATCGAGGGTGGTGTTGACGAGCGCGGCGACCAGGAAGACGTGGGCGAGGCCACCGTCCTGCGTGCGCACAAAGGCATTGGCGAGGAACTTGGGGTATGCTTGCGGATGGTTGACGGTGCAGCAGGGCTGTGAGTAAGGAAGGTTAGTTTTGTCTTTCTGCTTTCTTTTCTTTCTTTTCTTTCTTTTCTTTTTATTTCCCTTCCGTTCTCGTCACCCTAACACTCACATAATCAGGCTCCAGGCCAAACACGTTACCATATGTGTTGACATCGGTCCACAGACCCGCGCCTTCGGTCAGGTTTCTCGCCCAGGGCTGGTTCTCCTGCTGGACATACTGGTGCGACCACCAATCGGGTGAGATGGAAGCCGGGAGTGCGTTGAAGGCAGCCTGCTCGGCCCAGTCGGCCACGTCGTTGTCGCCCATCTGCTGGTAGATCCAAGCGGTCGAGAACATCATCTCGGCGGCCGTGCACAGCTCGGCCCCGTGGCTGGGGTTCAGATTCGTGATGATCTCGTCGGCCACGATGGAGCCGGCCAGTGATCGATGGTAGCGGCTTAGCAGGTTGAGAGCCGTGCGAGTCTGCTCTTTCAGGGCCTCGTCTCCGGTCATGCGATATATGGACAGAGGATATCGAAGGCCTGGAGGTCAGTGGGGCAACAGCAAACGGGACTGAGATGGCACAGACGCACCCTGAGCCATGTTCACGCCGTGGGTAAAGACCCAGCTGAGATTATAGGGGCTGTCGTTGTCCAGCACGGCTGGAAAGGCGGTTTCGACCCAGAACTGGCGCCAGTCGGCGCCCCAGAGCTCGCCGCCAGCCACCATGAGCTCCATGGTCTCCCACAGGCGCTGCTGCTGCTGGTGATCGTGGGAGTGCTGCTCGTATAGCCACTGCAGCGGGATGTGCATCTCGTGCGTGCGGGCGACGCCGAAGCCGGCCGTGTCAAAGACGTCGTCGTCGTGCACGATCAGGCCGGTATAGTTGTCCTGCAACATGCTGTGGGCCAGAACGACGTAGCGATGCATGGCCTCGACGATACGGTCTGTCTGTGCCGGATCGGCGTCTGCGTATTGCTGTTTGTGTCCGTGTCAGCAGTTGTGTCGGCGATCGATCGCGCCAGACGTGTCATGTCCTGTCCTACCATTAGCCCCAGCAGCAGCAGGCAGCGGGCCCAGAGACCACGGGTCTGGTGCGTGGTCTCGAAGCCGAGCCAGCCGTCGGGCTGCTGGTGGTCGAGCACGTAGTCGAGGTACTGGCGAACCTGAGTGCGGATCCGAGCCGCAGCTGTATTGCCGTCGTCGTCCTCCAGGCTGAAGGCCAATGGCACGAGCCCATTGAACCAGTACGGAGACGCCTCGTTCAACACGGAATACTCGGAACTGCCGCCAAGCCACTGCGAGTCGTTTACGAAGCGGTAAAAGTCCAACATGCGGCCGGCCAGGCCGTCAGCCTCGAGCTGCAGCTGGTCCCGGATCCATCCGCGCGGTTTGACTGTGCCCAAAGCGAGTGGTCGGTACAAGGCTTTCACGACTATAGAAATGGTTCAGTGGGCCACCAGAGACGCGAAAGCGCAGAGGCGAGCAAGCATACATTCTCGATGGGTCCCGTGTCGGTAAATCCCGAGAGGTTGCTGCTGATAGGACGCCTCATCGTATGGGCTTGCAACAGGTGCAGCTGCCAGAAGGATGACAGCCAGATAACAATATATGCGGACACGCATCGTAGCAGTAGGCAAACAAAGGACTGTGACTATTGCGACATATGTTGTCTGCTCGACAGGTACTCTGTAGAATTGGGTTGTAGAGGTAGGTAACCCCACCAGGAAACCCACCAAATATACGGAGTACATGAGATAAAAAGCATCCTGTCACTTATCACTTACAGGCACTGCCGATCTTTGATAGGTAGAGATATGAAAAGGGGTACGGAGAAATGGTCTCAATAAACCGGGATTCCACAATTGAATGTTCTATTATTCTATCAACTAGTTACGGATCCGAACAGAGTATTAGAAGCAAAAGACCTGGTCGGTCATACGCGAAACGGGTCCAGGGGTCTGGAAGCCGAGCGACTGCAAAGCCGCTTTGGAGGCGTTGATCATGCCAGGAGGCCCACAGAGCATGATCTTGGTATCGGGGGCGGGCTTGGGCAGCCTCTCGCGCATGACATCGGCGGTGACGAAACCAGAGCCATACGGCCAGTCAGCGGGAGGGTGGTCAAGCATGTACCAGACCTTGAGGTTGCGGGGATACTGGCGGGCAAAAGCGTCGAGCTCGCGACGCAGCAACATGTCGGGCTCGGAGCGGTTGGCATAGATAAGCGAAACCTCGGTCTGGTCGTGGCTGTCGTCGCAGATGGCGCGGATGAGCTGGAACATGGGCGTGATGCCAGTACCGCCGGCAATCATGCCGATGCGACGACAGAGCCGGCCGCCAGGATTGTTGTAGCGCATGGCGCCCTTGGGGCCGCGAAAGCGGACGGTGTCGCCAACCTGCAGGAGGGCGAGATAGCGGCCAGTCAGGAGGCCGTCGGGGTAGCAGCGCACGAGCAGCTCGAGCCGGCCGCGGTCAGCGTTGTTGGATGTCGGCGTGTACGAGCGTGCGACTGTCTGGCCGTCGATGGTGGCCTGGATGGCGACATGCTGGCCGACTGGCAGCCCGAGAACGTCGGTCGGCTGTGGCAGTCGGAACTCGAGCCGGAAGACGCCGGGCGCGAGCTCTGTCTTGGCCACCAGCGGCAGCGTCTTGTACGTCTTCGGGTCGAGGAAGCCGGCCGCCTGCAGCAGCGGTCGTGGCCGGGCAACGCGTCTGGACGTGGTTGTCTGCGTCCGGATCTGGATGGGAAAGCGTGTGAAGCCACTGTCGATGTGCAGAAACCGCGCCGACAGCCGGCTGCCAGCAACACCGACGAGAGCGGTCCAGAACAGGCTGGCCACGAGGACACCGCCACCAAACGTCGTCGCCGGGTTGCTGCTGCCGTGAGAAGGCGACGGAAGAAGGCACAGAAGGCGGGACACGTTGTGTGCACCCCAGAGACCGGGAAGGTAAACGGCCGCGACTGCCGCTCCAACCGGGACAGATGCCATGGCCAGGACGGGAAGCACGTGCAGAGACAGCGACGACGATGACGACACGGTCTTGGCCGACGACGATGACGACTGGATCAGCTGCACGGTTTTGGTTGGACGGCCAACACGAGTACCCTGCAGCGTGCCGACAACCAGGGCAGCCATGATCTCGTCGGCATCCTCAGAGTGGCCGGCATCATCGTATTCGTGCGAGGCATCAGTGCCGGCCACGTCGAGCAAGATGGCCGCACCACCAGGATGGTCCTGCAGATACGAGGCCACATTGTACACTGATGTGTCAGCAAGACCTAACTGGACAGGATGGGATGGAATTGCAGAGGGGGCTCACCTCTTCCGTGGACGGCAATCCAGAGATCCTCCTGAGTCTTGTGAGCAGCGACCTCGTCGGCCGTGAATTCAGGCAGGCTGGCCATGGTGAAGGTCGCAAAGAGCAGAGGTTGGTCCTGCTGGCAACATCGGCAGACCAGCGCCGGTTGCACGAACTATACCACTACTTGTATTGCCACGGATGGGCACGAACGGGTGGAGCGAAACAGTCGGTGACCGCTGCCGGTCCACCCCGAACGGCCCTGTTCTTGCGGAAATGGCGACGGCGTATCGGCAGTGGAGATGGCCGCACGCAACGGCCAGGTCTTGCGTATACAAAGTACTGAACAGAGCTCCATTAGCCGAGGCTTACCACCGCATTCTCCACAAAGGGGGACGGCAGCTCCTGCCAGATCTGACCGATACGTAGTATATACGCCACTTCCCCGACATGGAAACTTGGGCAGACCGTCTCTTTCTGTGGCCATCTACGAGTCTCTGAGCCGCGATGCAGACGCAGACCTTTTACTTTTTGGGCGAGCCCGGTGCCTCGGCCAAGGCCATCGACCTGGAGCCCGACCTGTCCTTTGACCAGCTGCAGGCCCTCGTCGGCGCCCATTTTGCCGTGGTCAAGCCGTCTGGTAAGAGCGTATCTGTCTCGTCCCCTATCGCATCCGTTCGTTCTCCGGTCTGACAGACGGCCCCCTAGGCATCGCCTTCCAGAGCGGCGACGATGCGCTGAACGAGGTGGCCGAGATCCTCGCGGCCGCCGAGCCGGTGGCCCTCACAGTCGATGGACACGCAGTGCGAGACGTGCCCAGTCCACCGGGCGGTCTTCCCTACGTGGGCAACTACCTGCAGATCTACCCAGACCACCTGGGCAACCACCAACGGCTGTTCGAGAGCCTCGGGCCCGTCATTAAGACGGTCTCGCTCGGCCGCACCGTCTACCAGACCAATGACCCCGAGCTTGCCCTGGTTGCCTTTGCTGAGGACGCCTTCTTCACCAAGCACATCAACGAGGCCCATCCGCTCTTCCCCATCAAGACGCCTGAGGCTGGCGTCTTCCTCGGCGACACCGACACGGCCGAGTGGCGGCTCGTCCACAAGTTCCTGCCGCCAGCTCTAGGACCCAAGGCTGTGCGCCACTACGCGCCCACGATGCAGCAGACGATCGAGTCGGCCTTTGCCGTCTTCGACGCCCTCGACACCCAAGACACTGCCTGGAACGTGTACCCCTACATGGTCAAGCTCGGCTCCCAGGCCGTCGGCAAGATCACCCTCGGTATCGACTTTGGGCACTTTGCCGGCCCTGACGCCCCCATGCACGAGATGGTCAGCCTGATCGCCGAGCTGCTCTCGCTCAACAAGAAGGTCATGTCGCGCGGCGACTGGTACCGCAGTCTTCCCTTTGGCGACCCGGCGCGACTGCGTGCCGTCCGCGCCCGTATCGAGGCCATCTTCGACGAGTCTGTCCGCAGCGCCACTGCCGCCGGCGTCGAGGACCTGCCGCTGCAGACGGCTGCCCTGCAGGCCGCCAACATGGTCGGTACGTCTCGTCTGGTGACACTAAACGCTCCTCGAGTCTGTGAGTCTGTAAGTCCACGCTGACAACCCCTAGACTATGCTGTCCGCGCGGTCGACAGCAAAGGCGAGAAGCTGCCGTCTGCGAACCTCCTCTCGGCCCTCATCGTCGTGACTGGCGCCGGCTTCACTACCACCAGCTCGCTGCTCTCGTGGCTGATCTACTCGCTCGTCACCTATCCCGGCGTCCAGGACCGCCTGCTGCAGGAGCTCGTCGACCACGGCTTCGACGATGAGACCGTCCTCACTGCTGACTTCACCGACGGCCTGCCCTTCCTCGACAACTTTGTCAAGGAGACCCTGCGCCGCCACAATCCCTCTTATCAGCCCGGCCGCACGGCCAAGGCCGATCTCGTCCTCCCCGGTGGCTATCGTCTGCCGCGCGATACCATCCTCATTCCGGCCCTGCACCACATCCACAACAACCCGGCCGTGTGGGACAACCCGACGCGCTACGACCCTGACCGCTGGGACACACCGGCCGCCAAGGCCGTCCCCAAGGGGGCCTTCATGCCCTTTGCTGCCGGCCCGCGCATGTGCATCGGCTTCCACTTTGCCCTGCAGGAGGTCAAGGTCTTTCTTCCCAAGCTGGTCTATCGCTACGAGTTTATCCGCGAGGGTGACGGGACCATCGAGTACGACCCCATGTTTCAGCTGATCCGGCCCAACAATCTTTATGTGCGGGCGAGTCGACGTGTCAAGTGGCCCCTGAAGACGACGGCTTAGTCAGCGGAAATGGGAGAGCGGTTTGATGTAGAGATCTTAATGTAGATAATTTAGAACATAGAAGGCAGACTGCCGGTATAGACTTTGTTCGCTCAGGAGGTGCGCGCCGACAGCGCCGGACCGGAGACATTCCTTTCAGGGTATATTTCGAAATTATCTTATGCTCGTACTCGTAGTGGAGTCGTGGTCCAAAGCTACCGAACCGTTCTGTCGTCAATGTAACGGGTTCCCCTTTCTCCTGCAGAACCGGAATTGATCCGCGGCCGTGGCGAACGAAGTGGCGAGCCCACCTTGTCTTCAAGTTTCGCTCTCATAGGCTGCTCAAATGGCAGGCAGCGCAGGACGGCGACAGCCGAAAGAAAGGTCGGAGGTGCATATACTCCGTAATGCGCAGATACCAAAGCAGCCAATCAGAACTGCCATTGGTCTTATCTTGCCCGCTTTTAATGCTTCTGTTAACACAGGTACTCGTACGGAGTATTTCGTACCTATTCGTACATAGGGAGTACGTATGATACAAACTGCAAAGAGACTTTTTATCTATGCATGGACGTATATCGACGACTGCCTTGATGCTAGTAACAATAGAGAGTACCCGGTAGAGTCAATGGCTGACTCGATCGTGGTTGGCTAAAATCCGGGGCGAGCCACAGGGTTTCAGCTGAAATCTTTTGTCAGAATATTTCCAGCCCAATCCCTCACTGCCGATAGTCCATTTCACACCTAAACTAACGGAAGCGAGGTCGGCTTTAGTTAGCAGTAACTGTCATTCAAATGGAGCTCAGGAGATCTGTGGCCATACACCAGTGCATCGCGTCACCTCTCCGTAGCTATTACATGAATCCATCGAGTCAAAGTTTCGATCTAACACGGGCCCTATCTGATGGCCCCCCCCACACTCCACCCCTAGTCCATAGCGTGCCCATCTTCTTAATTAGAGCTGTTCAGATCAACAGTGCTAGCCGTCTTTTCTTGTTCGGTGCTCTGCAAAACAAGACCGGTCGGGATGGCCGTCATGCTTGGCGGCAGCTAGTGGTGGGCCTATGTATCTTACGAGCACTCCGAATGTCAGGAGCCGCATAGCCACACAGCAGCCCAGACAGATACGGTCGCAATGTCGCGCTGCTCCGAGTGCCCATCGGTTACCCCCGACCATCCCATCGGTCAAGGCTGCGCAGAGGAAATGTGACAGGAGAGTAAAATTCATGTCTGTCGAGGGACGTTGCATTGGAAGGGCTGAAAACCCAGAGCTGTGTAGATGGGTAAAATCACTCAGCAGCCCACGGCGATCGCCAAAAAGCACACTGTATCCTGGTGCGTAAGGCTGGCCCGTCGGTATGCGTGCTTTCCCCAGTACGAACTCATAGTGCCCAACCAACGTCACAAATTTCGCCCGTTGCACTAACACAACGGCCTTCTGTCCATCCACCCACCCCTCTCCTATCTCATCATATAAGAGTACGCCGCCCTCTGTCCTCACCCTCATGGAAATGGGTATTTAAACCATCAGCTCGACTTGAGCGAACAGACTGATCTGCACAGCAACTGCAGCGACTCGTTCCTCGCCCTTTTTGCAATCGTCTATACGCACGCATTCTCGCTCCTCGCTCCTTTCGATGGATGAGGACCAGATTCCGGCACAGATCGTGCCATCAAGGCGGCGGAAGACAATGGGCGACTACCTGCACTCGCTCAAGGATTTGTTTTTCACGCGCAAAGGCCTCCTCGGCGATTACGACTACGGCTTTCTCTTTAGGCCCAACCTGCCGTTCATGAAGGCACCCCGGCTGTCGTCGCCCTTTTTTGGCCTCAACGACTCTATGCCTGTTGCGCTGGCGCTGCTGCTCGGCTTCCAACACTCCCTGTCTATGCTGGCTGGCATCATCAGCCCCCCGCTTATCATGGCTGGTGCTGGAGGCGCCAACCTGACCCAGTCACAAGAGCAGTACCTCGTGTCAACCGCTCTGATCGTCTCCGGCATCCTTTCCATGATCCAGATCACTCGCTTCCACATCTACAAGACACCGTATGCGGCTGCCTTCTTCCCTCCCCCCCATGCTATGGCCAAGCTGTCTGGGCTGCACAAACGGCTGACATCAGTGTAGGTACTTCCTCGGAACTGGCCTCATCTCTGTCGTCGGAATCTCATTTGCCATCATCCCCGTCGCCTCGGGCGCCTTCAAGCAGATGTACGCCAACGGCTTCTGCCCGACCGCTGAAGATGGAACACTGCTACCGTGTCCTGGTGAGTGTGTATATACTGCCCTTTGTTCTGCTTTCTCTTCTGCGTGATCTAACTTTCCAGATGGCTACGGAGCTCTGCTCGGCACAGCTGCAGTCTGTGCGCTGCTCGAAATTCTTATCTCCTTCATTCCTCCTCGGACAATGCTGAAGATCTTCCCGCCCATCGTCACCGGCCCCACGGTCATGCTTATTGGCATCTCGCTCATCCAGTCTGCCTTTGAGGATTGGGCTGGCGGTTCCGGATCTTGCAGCGCCACTGACCCGTCTGCATTCTACGCCCTTTGCCCCAATATCGATGCACCCCACCCGCTTCCATGGGGCAGCGCGGAGTTTATGGGCAAGTCTTCTGTTCATAACTCTATATCGCTTGTAGCTGACACATGCAGGTCTCGGCTTCTCCGTGTTCATCGCCATCATTCTCTGTGAGCGGTTTGGTGCGCCCATCATGAAGTCGACATCCGTCGTGATCGGCCTGCTGGTCGGCTGCATTATCGCCGGCGCATGCGGATATTTTGACAAGTCGACGATCGATGCAGCCCCGGCAGCTTCGTTCATCTGGGTGCACACGTTTAAGCTGAGGGTCTATGCGCCCCTAGTACTGCCGATGCTGTCGGTCTTCGTCATCTGTGCATGCGAGGCCATTGGCGACGTGACCGCGTCCTGCGATGTCAGTCGGCTGGAGGTCTCGGGCCCGATCTACGAGAGCCGGATCCAGGGCGGCGTCCTCGCCGACGGCTGCAACGGCGTGCTGGCCGCCCTGATGACCATCACGCCCATGACGACGTTTGCCCAAAACAATGGTGTCATCGCGCTGACGCGATGTGCCAACCGCAAGGCTGGCTACTGCTGCTGCATCTTCCTCATCATCATGGGCGTCTTTTCCAAGTTTGCCGCTGCCTTGGTGGCCATCCAGAGTCCTGTTCTCGGCGGCATGACCACCTTCCTCTTCTGCTCCGTCGCCGTGTCTGGAATCGCCATCATCACGCGTGGCGTGCCATTCAATCGCCGCAACCGCTTCATCCTGACTGCCGGCCTGGCTCTCGGTTACGGCGCCACCCTTGTGCCTACCTATTTCTCCTATGTCTTCACCTACAAGGGCAGCAACAAGTCGCTGTCCTCCTTCCTCGACGCCATCGTCCTCGTCATGGAGACTGGATTCGCCGTCACTGCCGCAGTCTGCTGCATGCTCAACCTGTCACTGCCCGCGGAGATCGACAATATTGACGAGAGCGAGATTCCTGCCGACTTTCCCGAGCCCGACGAGGCACCACCCACTCGTGGCGAGCTGGCCAGAAAAGAGGAAACTGATCGTGTCGGTGCTGGGAGCGATGTAACGGCACCGCGGACGTTTCTTGAGAAGTGAGGCGGACTTGAAGAATGGCACTTGAGACGCCAACTGGTAAATGGGACTTGGATTTGCGTTGATTCATGTCCAGGACCGGACCAGTCTCTCTTCTTTATGATACCTATCTGAGTTTATGCAACACGTACGGAGTTTGAAGCGACTTTTTCCAACAGTGGAAAGCAGACAAAAGGACTGTGGTACATAGTAATACGTACATGAGCCCATGCCCAGGTCATCACAACCGTTACTATTATTATTTGTTTCTATCAGATTGCACCTCGCCTCGCCAGATACTCTCATTTACTGTCCAAACTGATAAGATCATCAATCATAATGAAACCGCCAAACCGTAATAAAATCATCTGCAGAATGGTGAACGGCGAAACTGGCCCTCGTAGCTGATATCCTAATGTATACTAGTGAAATCAGCACTGATTGCTTTTCCAACATAACACCCACTATCCAGACACGCAAGCGATGCACAAATAGTTCAGAGACACTCAACGGAACGACCCTCTTCGCCGTTCTGCCGCTGTCATCAGAGTGATATCAAAGTGGACACCCGGGATATTCCCATCACCAGTTCCGTGATACGACGGAAAGCTCTCAGCTGATTTGTCAGTGTTATGTCGCTTGCTTGCTTGCTTGTTTGGCGACTTACCTGTGTAGCCCACCTCACGTCTGTCCACTTCCGCATAACGGCCCCAGGCACTTGCACAGCCCGAATTGCCGTGAGGGTCGCGTCAATTCCAGGCACCCCAACAAGCGTCACATTCAAACGGTCAGCCCGCTGCAAGACGCGGTGAAGCCATGTCGCCTTGTCGGCCCAGTCCTCAAAATCTATGCCGACACCCCAAGCCCAGCTTACAAGCATCGCGGTAATAAAGCCGGTATTAGGAAGATTCAAGTCCTGCGTCGGGGCGAGCTTGTTGTCGATATATTCGATAGTGGCCATTGTCATGTAGCCGAGCATCTCAATGATTGCACCGACCTGCTCTGGGTCATCCATCACTGATTATAAGAAGCCGAGTTAGCAGTCTACTACCTAATAAAACGAAGCGGCATTATTAGGGACGTATGCCTTACTGCTTAAGTCGATAAATCCACTGTTGAGGAACAGAGCGACACTCTCCAGCAACGGCCACAGCTGCTGTATATTCGGGTTGCGTTCGTATACTTGGTTGAATTGGATAAGCTACGTTTATTGAGGTACAATTGGTCAGCGCAGTCACCAAATGAAGTATGCTGGCCACTTACAATATTTTGGAGCACTTCGAGCTGGCCATACAGACTGAAGTCGTTGTACACGTGCATCTGAAAGGAGTCTTGGTCGCGCTTCAGCGTCTCGAGGATCCAAAACCGCGAAATGTCCAGTCCGCGTACGGAAGAGACACAGGGGTGGTCGGGATAGAGGGATGCCAGCTTGCCAGAGATGTTCTTTTTCCTGTTTCTGGCATCTTCGCCGCCCTCGGCATCCTCGCCACCCTCGTCATCGTTGTCGTCTTCATCTTTACCGTCCTTATCGCCCTTGTCGTCATCTTTGTCGTCCTTGTCCTCGTCCTCGTCCTCGTCCTCATCATCCCCGTCCGGGTTGCGTACTTTCCTCTCGGGCACACAAACAAAGTCCCAGTCGTCGTAGCCCTCGTCAGCCTTGAGTATGACGGGCTGCATCATCGCATCCCGTTGGTATTTCAAGAGAGTCGGGCTTCGGATACCTAGTTTGGATTTGTTCTTCAGCACCCATACACCACACCATACTGCTCCCACCACTCGCGGCTGTTTAGCGTCATGCTGTGATCCGGTGTCGCATCGATGGCCACAACCCAGCAGTCAGGCATGGGAATCTTGTGGATGTGATCGACGGACTCCTTCGGCATCACAGTCGGCATGAAGAACTCTCCATTGGGTCCCATTGGGATGCGGTACGAAATCGGGATTTGAGCCGTACGCGAACCCGGAGCTGGCGCTGGCGCAGGAGCAGGAGCGGAAGCCGCGGCCAAGACTGGAGCAGATGTTGGGATTGTGGGCGGAGCTTCAATAGAACCTGGAGCTGCTCGCGAGCCCGATGGCGACGATGCATTCGCTGCTCTCGACACCTTCGTGGGCTTTGTAGTTGCAACTCCGACATTGCTGTCGCTGTCAGCGAGAGCGCGCTTTCTGGGAGGCATTTGAGGTAGGTGGAGTACAAGATCGGTGGAAAAGAAACTTTGGTGCAGGTTCTCGACTGCGAAGATTTGAAGATTGATGGTTTGGTCAGCGGCGTGTTTGGGTGTGTTGTTGTACGGAGTACGGAGAACCGTTTGCGAGTATAACGACGCGTACTTTACGCGTCGCGCGCTTAATGAAAGCACGTCCCCTATGCGAAGTGCCGCCACTACACGTGATACCAATTCCGCAGACAAACTCAACAAGGCAAACCCTTTTTATGGTCCTGCTTACAATTTATTGAGACTCAACATACCAAGACGTAACGGTCCAAATTGTACGCCTGTTTCTCCGTAGTGAATGGCTCAGGTCGAAGAAACTTATACGTCCTTTAACAAGATAAAAACACTGATGCAACACAAATAGTTCTATTACGTCTAGTAGTACGCATCTGCCAAGGCCTTTTATGATGTATTTTAAAAATAGAATGAGCTTAGCCGTCATTAATGTCAATTACGGAGCAAGAAATTAGATGCATGAGTTTATGCAAGTAGCTAAAAAAGAACTCATTATATTCTCTAGACAAAGAAACTACTCGTGTTTACGGTACGTAACGCCGTAAGCTTGCTATATTGCTGCTTGCCTTGGGACTTCTATACCATATCAACCTAGTGTCAGGGAGTATAAAGCAATCATAATGAAAGTAAACGATTTAATAGCCGTTATTATTTGCTTATCGTGTGGAGAATGGCCCGGCAACAGACTGGCACAACACTTCGTTCCTGCAAGATAGTACAATGGGCAAAACAGTACTCGTACGCACACTATAAAGGTGGCTCACCGAAACTCTGCATAACTGAGCTAGTCTAGGAACAAACTACAGAGTTTATGTAGACATTGGGTGATTGTTTCACGCGAGAACATCTAGCGTGCCTCAAAGGCGGGCCATGAGAAGCCGTTAAGAGATTTGCTGCAGCGAACGAGCTGCCGGAGTACTATGCAGGCCGTGATACCGTGCCCAGGGCCTGGGCTAGGTCCGCAGCGTTGCAAGCCACGAGGGAGGGCGACATAGTCGGGGCACATGCATATCAGGGATTACCTTCTGCTTTGATAAGGAACATGACCTTCCTAGCTCGCCAGTGCGTTGACGCCGCGGCCGCGGTCTCGGGATACCGGGACCCACTGCTTCCGCTCTTCCCAGACGCCGTCTAAACCATAGGAATAAGGATGATGTCTATGTCTTGGTTAGGCGAAGAGCATCGTCCGTTGTTATAGCTCGAAGCCGTGATGCCCTTATACAATCGAAGACCTCGTGGCTCAGGGCTCGAAAGATGGTTGGGAACTGTTGCATCCGGATGACTGCATCGCAAAGGTCCATGCCATCCCAGCTAGAGGAATATGGAGTAGATTTCAGACAGGGGCAGACCGGGTTGAGAACAATGATGATAACAGCAAACTTTTCGAGTGCAGAGACCTGGAGATGGGGGCCGTATTTGAACATAACACCTCGTGTTGCCGTCTCATGTTTGCAGCCGACGTTGCAATCATAGCGACAGTGGGCGGTTGATGACTGACCACGATGATGCGAAGCACAACAGTGACAGCAATGCCCCTCTCGTCAGAATGAAGATCTCGTAACGCGCGCACGGTCACCTATCTGGCCAATGGCAGATAGCGGACAATGTGGATTTTCAGCGACATGGGTCGGGGAGTTTGGAGCCTCACCTTCCTTTTTGGTCGTTTCTTGCGATTAGCCGGCTCGTATTCAACAGTCTCGGAGGAGAGCCCCAATGGTATCGGTCGTATTGGAGAGGGAAGTCCACTTGCCGGCACGGCTATGCCGAATTGGGCGTCGCGATAGGCGAAAAGGCGGAGATCTGTCTGATTTGGGCGGGATGCCGATTCCAGCATTCCCCTGCTAAATGACGCACGCCGTTCGTTGCAAACGGAAGGTTGCATGAAGATCCCTGTGCAGCGGCCGTTGAGGCTGCGATAACGGGCGATGCCAGTCGCAAGAGGAAAGTGTAGGCAATTGTATTGGCTTGGCGAAGGTCCTCAGGCCAGCTGCAGCTAAGTGGATGTCATCTCGGAACAGCCAAGGTGAGAGGCCTCTGCTCTGTACGGAGTAGAGAGCCAGGCGGTTCGCTTAGCCGATTGACTCTCCTCCCTCTAGCAGCCTGGCTCGACAGACGAAGATGCACGCGCATGGCAAGACGCAATATATATATGCGACGACGCGGCCACTCGAGCAAGACGACATTCCTTCTCAACAGCCAAGATGCGTCTCTCAGCCATAGCAGCCAGCCTGGGGGCTCCGGCCATTGCGGCTGCCACAGCCAACTACTCACTCTCGGACACTAACAAGGGGATCGCACCGGGTGCTTATATTGTGGAGTTTACTCCGGAACATGTGCGTTTCCGGTGGCAAGAATGACGGACGACGAACGGCACTAACGGGCAGCAGACGTCTGTCGACAGCTTCTACCAGAACCTGTCGTCGAACGGGATCCACGCGGTCCAGCGCCGAGCGTTCGATCATGCCTTTTTCTCTGGCACTTCGTTCCACCTGCCGGCGAACCGGACATCCGACCTGGACGTTATTGGCAACTTTACGCAAGTCAAGGTTTGTGTCTGCACATGCACCACTTACAAGCAGTGCGACGTCTAACAGTCATCCCAGGCCATCTCTCCGGTCCGTCTGTTCTCGCATGGCTCGCCGATCTCGCGGGACAAGCGCTTGAGCAAGGTGGAGGCGCTCGCACGGAGCAACAAGAAGCGTGCGCTCCAGGGGGCTCCCTCGTCTCACGTCATGGCGTAAGTTCTTTGCCAGGGAAGGTGACGACGGTGAACATTCAGCTAACAGTCACGACTAGCGGCGTGGACAAGCTGCACGCAGAGGGCATAGATGGCAGCGGGATCATGATTGCTGAGATCGACACAGGGTAAGTCTTTGTCTTTCCGTCTTTCTGTTGATCCTTTCTGGCTGACATGGACTGCAGAATCGACTACACGCTCCCGGCTCTGGGCGGCTGCTTCGGCCCCGGCTGCAAGATCTCGTTTGGCTATGACCTGGTCGGCAACAACTACACGGGTGCCAACACGCCGGTGCCAGACAACGACCCGCTGGACTGCAACGGCCACGGAACACACGTGGCCGGCATCATCGCGGCATCCGATGACCCGTATGTGCTAGGTGTAGCACCCAACGTGACCCTGGGCATCTACAAGGTGTTTGGCTGCTCAGGCGACGCGGCCAACGACGTGCTGATCGACGCCTTTTTGATGGCCTACAACCACGGCGTCGACATCATCACGTCGAGCATTGGTGGTGCCAGCGGCTGGCCTGAAGAGCCATGGGCAGCCGTGACGGCGTCCATCGTGGCGGCCGGCACGCCCTGCATGCTGGCGGCCGGTAATGACGGGTCTGACGGCATGTTCTATGCCTCTTCGGCCTCTGCGGGCGACGACGTGACTTCGGTCGGCTCGGTCGACAACATCCGAACGCCCTCCGCCTCCCTGCTGCTGGACTACGTCGTGGATGGCGCTTCGACCGAGACGACCTACAACGAGGGCTCGGGCTCCTTCACCGGTGTCAGCCTGCCGCTGTATGCCAACTCGTTCAACACCAGCATCACCAACGACTTCTGCAGCGCCATCACGGCCAACCTGACCGGCAAGATCGCCTTGATTCGCCGTGGCACCTGCACGTTCGAGGCCAAGGCCGACGTGGCCAAGAATGCTGGCGCTGCCTATGTCATGTTCTACAACAACATCGCCGGCACGATGACGCCGTCGCTGGGCTCGGCCTCTCTCACCGGCGCTGGCATGGTCTCGGCTGACGTCGGCACCAAATGGGTCGGCCTCCTCGCGGCTGGCAAGACGGTCACGCTGACGTTCCCCGACAAGGTCGAGCTGCTGGTCGACCCGACCGGCTCAGCCAACACCGTCTCGGGTGGCCGCATGAGCACCTTTAGCACGTGGAACCCGACCAATGAGCTCACGATCAAACCGGTCGTCTCGGCACCTGGCGGCAACATCCTGTCGACGTACCTCTCGGACAAGGGCGGCTATGCCGTCGAGTCGGGCACGTCCATGGCCACGCCCTTTACCGCCGGCGTTGTCGCTCTCTATCTACAGGCCAAGGGCCGTGGCATCAGCCCGAAGCTGATCAATGCCGCGCTCTCCGGCTCGGCCACACCCCTCGTCTTCAATAACGGCACTGCTGACTCCTCGTACCTCACCTCGGTCGCCCAGCAGGGCGGTGGCCTCGTCAATGCCTATGCTATGATCCGTGGTGGTCTCTCCGTCACCGAGGCGAACCTGGCCCTCAACGATACCGCTCACCACGTCCAGGACGCCGCCTTCTACGTCCAGAACGACGGCACCACCACCGAGACTTACACTCTGTCTCATGCCCCTGCTGCCAACGCCTATGCTTTTGATGCTTCCTACACCGGCGAGGTCGCCGAGTTCCCTCCGCCGATGGACACCAAGTACGCTACCGTCCAGATCTCGCCCTCGACCCTGACCCTTGAGCCGGGCCAAAAGAAGCGCGTGACAGTCGAGGCCACTCCCGATGCGTCTCTGGATACCACCCTGGTGCCCTTTTACTCCGGCTTCGTCAATATTACCGGCGGAGGCTCCTCCGTCTCGATCCCTTACGGCGGTGTTTCTGGCAACATGCACGACATTGTCATGATGTCCGATGACGGCCCGTGGCCCTACGTCATCGGCGGCTTCTACAACACGACCAACACGACCAAGACGTACAAGCCATCGGCCGAGACGTATCCGTCTGTCATCTTCGAGTCCCGATGGGGATCTGCCGCCGTTCGCATCGACGTTGTCTCTACCACAGGCCCCAACCTTTTGCATGAGGCTGGCATGAACATCACCGGCTCCATCGCCGGCTTTCCCCTCATGTGGACGCCGCGTAGCTTCTTGTCTGGCACCTGGGACGGCAGCCTGGCCGACGGTACCACCGCCACCAGCGGCACATACAAGTTTGTTGTCCGTCTGGCAAAGGTTTTTGCTGATCTGGCCAAGGGCAGAGAGTACGAGACCTACGAGACGGTCGAGTTTGTTATGGATATGTCTTAGATGTGTGGACAACTCGGCTAGAGTGTAAAGGCATGAAAATAAAATATCGATTTCTGTCTAAGCGTGTCTCGGTACACAAGGCTACGTAGCTCGCCTCGAACATCACATCCGATATGGTGTAATGGCTAACATCGGTCGCTCTCACCGACCAGCTCGGGGTTCGATTCCCCGTATCGGAGCTTCTTTCACAATCTCTTGTAGTATAGTGGTCAGTATACGGGCTTGTCACGCCCGGGACCCGGGTTCAATTCCCGGCGAGAGAGAATTCATTTTTTGGGGAAAAAGAACATGTTGTCGATGGTGTACGGCTTTTTTATCAAGACTCCGTTTTGGCTTTTTTGCCGCTAAGAGGTTCTGTCGAACGAGCTAGGCCAGAATAGGTTGGAAGTAAAATCTTGTACTCCGTAGCGCAGGATGGAAAGGTACATGTACCCTGTGGGTACAGCGCTCAGACCCACCTATTTAGTATGAATATCAGGCATATCGGCATATTTCGTAAGTACCCAACCACACACATGCTCACTCAGAATGCAGTCGTGATTCGGCTTAGTTGATCTCAAGATACATAGTGGCCTGCCTTGAAAAGGCCTCATAGCAACCATGCCGCCGGAGCTACTCATACTGTCCCAGCAGTTTCGGGCTTTGGCGCGCCAGTCGCTTTGTCGCCCATAAAGCCACCCGATACAAGGTCCATCGCAAGCTCAAACGGATCCGATCCTGCTTTCTTCTCACCCACGGACGTGAGTCCGGCCGCCGAGAATGCCTGTTCAAAGTCGCGCTGGATGTCCTCAAAGTCCTCAATGCCAACAGAGACGCGGATCAGGTCCGGAGTGACTCCGCCCTTGATTTTCTCCTCGTCAGGAAGCTGCTGATGGGTGGTGACCCATGGGTGGATGATGAGGGTTTTAGCATCGCCGACGTTTGCAAGGTGAGAGCATAGCTTGAGGTTATCAACGACGGCGCGGACCCGATCAATGTTGCCGGCCTTTTCGGTTCCCAATCACATCAGCAATCATTTTCAGCATGACAGGGTAAGACTTGATGGCAAGCACCAGGGCAGAGGGATGACAACGTGGTAGGGCGCCAACTCACCACACCGAACGTCAGGACACCGCCCGCACCGTTGACCATCACCTTCTTGGTGTACTCATAGTCCGTATGCGATTTAAGCCCCGGATAGAGCACCCAGTTGACGCAAGGGTGCGCCTCGAGCCACTCGGCCAGCTTCTGTGTGTTCTCAACATGTCGCTGTCCTCGGAGGGAGAGCGTCTCGAGCCCCTGGATGAACAACCAGGCGTTGAACGGGCTCATACAGGGGCCGAGATCACGCATGCTGTCCATCCGTAGCTTAGCCGAGAGGGCTTTGAACTTGTACGTCCCCCAGAAGCGCAAGCCGTGATACCCGTCCGCAGGCTCCGTGAAGCTGGGAAATTTCCCAGATGCAGACCAGTCGAAGTGACCACCGTCGATGACGATACCACCCATGGATGTACCATGACCGCCGATCCACTTCGTGCACGAGTGTGTGACAATGTCGGCACCCAATACGAGGGGCTTGCACAGGTATCCCCCCATGCCGAAGGTGTTGTCCACGATGAGAGGAATGCCGTGCTTATGTGCGACTTCGGCAATGGCGCGGATGTCTGGAACGCTGTGCTTGGGGTTGCTGATCGTCTCGATGTACACACAGCGAGTATTCTCGTCGATGGCAGCATCAATGTCTGCGGGCTCGTTGCCCACCACCCACTTCACGTCGATCTTGAACTTCCTCATGTACACACGGAACTGGTTGTACGTACCGCCGTACAGCCACGAAGTACTGACAAAGTTCTGTCCGGGCTCACAGCATTGCGTCAGGGCCATGAACTGTGCCGCGTGACCTGAGGCTGTGGCCACAGCCCCGACACCACCCTCGAGCATGGCCATGCGCGTCTCAAAAACGTTGTTGGTGGGATTTCCCATCCGTGTGTATACGTAGCCATCTTTACTCCAAGCGAATTTGCTGGCACCATCTGCAAAGGAAAGTTGAAGGTAAGCATCGCCACAGACAAGAGATATTCGATTTTAGGGCATCGTTCCCACGTACCAGCAGCATCTGTGAAGTTGTATGCAGCCGTCTGGTACAGTGGCACAGCTCGACATCCGTTGACCGGGTCCGGCTCTTGACCGCCATGTATTGCGACGGTAGAGAATTTGGGTTCCCTATTTTTGGTCAAAAATTCATGCTGTGACCAAGACTACTGCAAGTCTGCTTATACAGTCCAGATTCAGATAATGTACGTACCAGTCCACATTAGCCAAAGACCCAGAGACAGGCATTTTAAAAAGGGCGTGATATCAACAAAGGTCAGGAAAGGTATTGGAAGTTAGAACTCTCAACGTTGTTCGGATGACCACCCAGATTCTTTACCAGGACAGAGCCTGAATACAGATTTATAGGCAAAAGAAGCCCAAACAAGAACCTTTCCAGTATCGTTCGATTCTTCCCCTGCCTCCACTGAGACCACATTCCGTATATCTCGTCATTTCTCGGTTCTCCAATACGGAAAGAGCTTCCAAAAATATTTTCTTGCTATCTTGGAAGAATTGAGATAGGGGATAGATTGAACTGTTACGAACTGATCTGAGTGATTCCCGGGTTTTGACTTTTAACTACTACGTCGTACTCCGTACCGGGATTTACACAAATAGACAAGGGTGTGTGAAGAGTCCTGATAAGCATTTCAAACCCCGTGGTCCGATTTAAAAGTTCGAAAACTAAGAGATCGGCAAGTCCCCGTACGGAGTATTAGTCCATTTCCCTTGTTTTAACATTCCACAGTGGAGCTCCGATATGTCTACTCGTCTTCTGTTTCTCCGGCATTTCCACAATTACCGGTATCAACTGCAGCGACGAGCACCATTCAAATTTTATTATTATTATGCTCTACCTGATTTTACGTCGGTGTGAGAAACGGATCGGCGGCGCTTCGTATTTGGTCTGTCAAGGGCTTTGTGTTAGCATTTCACCATCATCCAATCATTCTTGATTTTCGCAACACCCAACAGAGACAAATGCAGTGACATGGATAAGGACGCCAGAAGATGTGGTAAGTTGCGTGATATCATAGCGATCACCCGGCAGGGAGTGCTTTACACCCCACGCGAGGTAAGATGGCCGTGACAGGATATGTTCTCAGCGTGGAGAAGGCCAAGCGGATTCTGGAAAGCGTACCTCGCATGCCACCTAGAGCCTCAAACGCCACTCCGTAATTTTCCAAGGTGGCCAGAATAGACGCCAGCCCTTGCCGAAGACGTGTAAGCAGGCTGGCAGCCAAGAGGCCATTGTCGTCTCCGCTGCCAGTCTCACCACCCTGCTGCTGCTCCAGACCAGCTGGGTACAGTGCGTTGGTTTTGTGAACCACCATAAGCAGGGCGTAGGCGCACTGCATCGCACAGCAGGCAAATGCGGGCATCGTGCGTGGGGCCACGACGGCAGTTGCCGAACAGGTCGGAGAAGACAGACAGCACAACTGCTGAACCTGGCTGGGAATGCTGGCTGGATTGGCTGAGCCGGTGGGACTGTTTTCTTGCTGCTGGGTCCGCGTTGTCGGGGGTGGGGGCTGAATTCCAGTGGGGTTCGGATAAGGCAGACCAGCAAAGGACTGGGTGATGTTGAGGGCAGACTTGAGGCAAATCTTAGCAGACTGGTGGCTGCTGAAAGGGAAAGAACGCGAGGGGTAATTATGGTTAGTACGGGCTGATGGAGAGGTGGTGGGGATATTGGAGGAAGAAAAGGAAGATCTGCTGGTGTCTGAAGGGGTTAAGACGGGCATGCTGGACATTCCAGAAGTGCCAGCTCGAAGTGCAGAGAACGGAGGTGGTGGTGAGATGCTGATGCTGTTGAAGGAGAACGAGGAGCTGCACGAGCAGCTGTCCGACTGCTTTGGCTCCTGCTGGATTCCATCCACTCTTGCACCGGCTCCCGTCGTCCATTCTGAAGGCACAGACGTGAGGTCGCAGTGTCTGCGAGAGAACACCGGATGATCATAGAAGGCACAGTACCGGTGGACCTTGATGCGGGCGCTGTTAAGCTTGATGCGAGCCATGCATCTCAAAGAGCGTGTGAGGACTTGCTCCGTAGGGTCAACGGGGGAGGCGATGGTGCCGGGTAGGTCCCAGAGATTGGCACTGGTATTGAGAGGCTCAAGGAAGAGCTCAAACTCCTTCATTCGCGCATAGATGCGTGTCATATCGTCGCCGGCCTGAACTGTCTTGTTGAGCTCGACAACGAACTGTGTCGCAGCCAGAATGGCCTGTTGGGCCTGTATATAGACAGTGAATGCCTGAAAAGGTAATTGCAAGTCAGTGTTTTGATATAGAATCTGTGGGAAGGAGAAAAACCACCTCTGGGTCTGCCTCGATGATGGGAAATTTGGTTGTGAAGCGCTGCGCAAAAACTTCGAACGTCGGATTCGTGTTACCCACGATGGATCCTTGGCAGACACAAACGTACGTCATCCACCAGACCCTTCGCTTGGCCTCGACCGCCTCAGCCCCGTCGGGCGTTGTATGTAGACCCAGAGCCATCGCCGCCACAAGTGCTTGACCGGCCCGGCTCTGCATCTTCTTGATGTTACCACGCTGGGCATACTCATAGACACTGAGGATGTCGAGAGCGATGACCGACTCGAGATTGAGCGGGACGCCAGGATGAAAGGGCATCCGAGTGGCAGAGGATATCCCTAAGTGCACGTTCGCCGTCTCCTCGGTTGCCTGCTCGAGCGCCTGAGCCGGCTCGACGGATGAGTGAGGTATTTCGTTCTCGATCTCGATGCTCTCGATTGCCGATTGGGCCAGATACTGGGCGTATTTACGCCGAAAAAGAACAGACTCGTGGTCTTGGTGATTCATGTCGTCAGGGCAGGGGATCAGGGCTAGAATGGCGGAGATGGCCAGTGATATGGGGGACGATGGCTCGAACTCATCGTCTCTCATCTGGTTCTGGTATTGGGCCAACGGTCTGTCCACAGGCACATCCACCGGTGGGGGCAGGATCGGGAAGTAGGCGTGTATGAAGACATAGTATGCCTCCAGACTATATCGTTCCTCAACGTCGGATTAGTCATGTTACCTGTATGTATCTTTTACATTGTTATACATATCCACTTACATGGCAGCATCGCTGCTGTATGTTCGGACCATAGGAACCTGCGGTAGAGTTTCCAGTCCCGTTTCCGGCCTATTCCCGGCGTCCATGTCCGGAACATCGTCCTGTCCAGCTGTGTTGTTTCTGACGGAGGTTGTTTCGGATGCGAACAAACTGTCGAAGATGAGGTCGCTATCTTGATAAAAGTCCTCCTGGATCTGCGCGAGTCCCGCTCCGGGATCGATATAGTTCGCAACTGAGATAGCTGTTCTCGGCAATCAGTGTCAACTACAATCAACAAGGTGATGGCAGCATAACACTGGGTACAGCACATACGGTCATGCCTTTCCCTCTCCTGCTTCTCCTCAGCCATCCTGACCTGTCTCGCACGCTCTGCGACGTCGTCCGGCAGCGGACGGTCCTTTCTTCGCGCGCGAGAGCCACCTCGCCTGCTAGGCTTGTACACGCACTCGCGGCATTGGTTCTGGCACTGTCGATCAAAAAAGAAGCGTTAGGCAAATTCTTCCAAGATGCAGGGGTCCTTCAATCTGCATCTCACGTTAGCGCAGGGCAGCCGCCCATCACATCGGGTCCGGGAGCCTCGGCTGGTTTTCCTGGGGTCAGCAGATATTCAATATTACGATATAAAAGGGTCGGGGTATCTAGAACATCTAAAGTAGTGATCGCAACGGCCCGCTGAAATGGGATCCATCCCGCTTACCATGACAGACACGCCACCTTGGCCGGAGGCGTGGCGAATTTCCTCCTGGCCGCTGGGTGCGCATCAGTAGACGAAGTGGAAGCAGCGGTTGACATCTTCGAGAGCTGCACCGTACTCATAGTACGGGATATTCTGATCAATTAATGCTGACTTTCCAATGGGCATCCGGATCTCACAGCACCAGACGAGCAATCCCGTGCAAGTATCAGATCAAGGGTTGTCACTTTCAATTGAGATTTGCGAGGTTAGGAAACGGCAGGAGTTCGCGAGTGGGGGGCGATTGCTGGAGGATGTGTTAAAGGGAAAACTACGGAGTATTAAATCCCGGGCTATCCATCTGGCCTGCCTTGGCTGCATAGAGGTGGTCTGTTTCCTAAAGCGGTGTAAGAGAAACCGGCGAAAACCGGCGGGAAACCCCACGTCTCTGCAAGGTGTTGAGATAAAAATGGGGCTTCATTACCAGTCCAACTTAGTCAGCCAGCGCGGGTCAGCATCCTGAATGCAATGCTTGCGCAGACTTGTGCAGGCACGTAACTAAACTATCACCACCTCCTTAGAGCCTTACTTTGCCGGCTTATCCCGCACTAAAGAGACATGTTTCTACCTGATTGTCTTGATCGCTACTTTCTGTCCCATTTTCCCTAGAAAAGCACAACAACTATTATCAGAACTTATTATCCTCACTTGCGTATGCAGCTATCTTAGACCAGCAAGACCAGTGCATAGTAATCCTCAGAAGAGCATATTTCCTAACAAATGCACAAGTCCCAGCAACGAGACAAACTTCCGGCTCTCATTTACTTCGTAAAGATCACGTTAGACGCTGGCTTCTGGCTCACTTGCAACGTGCTGTGAACGTGTCCTAATAAGTATGACAAGAAAATCACCTCTGCTTATTTAAGGCATTACTCACAAAATATCCGGCCGAGAGTAACTCCCCACAGGATCGAAATCGAGCTTTGCACACTAGCTGTCAGCATCTGTATACAAGCGAAGAGTTTAAAGAAGTAGAAGTTTCGCTCACCCGAGACTCATGGATCTCACCCAAGTCTAGCTTGGCGTAAATAATTGCTTCCTTGTCCCAGAGTGGTTCGGAAAGAAAGTGTCCCAGTGGGCCCACGACACAAGAACCACCGTGGTTGACGATATCATTCTTCTCCCATTTCCCTCCATCGGGTCTTCTATCGTGGTGTTCCGGTGTGAAAGGGGGGTAGTCATCGGGAAAATCGGAGACACGGCAGACGGAGTTCACAGAAATGACAAAGCAACGGCCCTCCTTGGCAATGTGCTGCATTGTCGCTGTCCAAGCAGGGAGGTCATCGGCGTTCGGAGCCAGATATATCCTACAATGAAAATTGACCGGGATTAATCAAACGCATCTGTCACCTTTTGGTCAGGATCGGGGCTTGGAGAGGGATTTACTCACTCGATGCCTTGCTGGTAAAGAGCCATGCGAGCCGCAGGCATATAATTTTCCCAGCAAATGAGGCTCCCGATCTTCCCGATGCTTGTGGCCTCGACAGCAAGGCCATCTCCAGCTCCACGGCCCCAGACGAGACGCTCAGCGGCTGTTGGTATTAACTATACAGATACACCCCCACCAAGTTAGATGTGACCCAAGCTCTGGCACATTGAGTAAGCATACGGGCATTGAACTTGCCTTGCGATGCTTGTACAGCATGGACCCGTCTCTGTCCAACAACAGCGCTGTGCAGTACAGTGTGCCGCCGGCCTTCTCGATGATGCCAACCTGGAGCAGGACATTGCAGTTTCGCGCTGTCTCAACGAGGACGTCATATTCGGGGGAGGGGACCTCGACGGAGGATTTGCAGTACCTAGCGTACCACTCTCGTCCTGTGGGGCATCACGGAAAACAATGGCTTGTCACTAAAAAGGCTAGATATGATCTTAGAATACACTGAAACTTACCCCGAGGTTCCCTAGCACCTATGGTAGCATCGAAGGAATATCTCCAGGGATAAGCGGAGAGAAATGCTTCACTAGGGACACGGGATAGTAGAATAACCCCAGAGGTCAATTGCGAGAACTGTGCTGCTGGTGGGCGAATTAACCCACGGGAACACCACAAGGTCAGCTCCTTTGGCAGCCGCTTCAGCCGTCAGCTTGCCCAGCTTCTCCAGGCTCCTTGCCAGATCAAAGGAAACAGGCGCTGCCTGAACGGCCGCGACCGTCACTATTTTCGACGAGGAACTCATGATAGGGCTTATCATTTTGGTAATATTTCATAGCTCAAGCGAAAAAACGGTACATCATTCCACTCCATATATACGCTTTGCAGTCAAACATGCCTTTATTTTGTCAGGCTATCTGATTCTGGCTGGGCGGTATGCCTTCTTGCTGCTTGTTCGAAGTTGGATTCGTTGTAGTTCAAACGCCGGCGTTTGTTACTGATAGCATATTCAAATCCCGGGGCAGTATCCCGAGTGGGGAAGGGGAACTGTATCGGCTCGCCATCATCACAGCAATTGTAGGTATGCTATGTATACAAAGTAAGCTTATCAATAATACCAGTCGCAATTGAAACACAATGGTGATCAGATTAGTCACCTCGGAAAAAAAGGAAAAAAAAAAGAGAGGATGTAGATTGTGGCCATATCTCAAAACATCGCTGGTTGGCGACAGCATCTACGGAAATAACCCCCCGGGGTGCAGATACTATAGAGTGGTCCAAAATTCCATCGCTACCACATTTTTAACGTTCTCATTGGGACGAGAGAATCAGCAAAAAACGAGTCAAAATCCCTGAGACAGTGCCTGCCTACTAAATAGCAATGGCGCTGCGTAAGTCTATCTCTTTGATTTGTCTAGGAGGCTTGGGGACCAGGAGCTGACCCATCTCGATGGCTCTCGAAGTCCTCGCCGACAACCCGCATCCAGATAATATCTACTCGAGCTTGATCCAAGGGCAAAAGTTCGCCGTTATCCCAAGCCTTGAACTTGAGTCTGGGGACGTCTTACATAGCTGCCCTGTGGCATACAAGACTTGGGGCCGACTGAACGAGAACGCCGACAATGTCTTGGTCATCTGCCATGCCCTAACAGGTAGTAGTGATGTCGGTGACTGGTGGGCTCCTCTTCTGGGACCGGGGAAGGCATTTGACCCACGCCACTTCTTTATCTTTTGCGGTAACGTCCTGGGATCGCCATACGGGAGTGCCTCACCCTTGACTGCAGACCCGTTGACGGGGAAGCGGTACGGGCCTAGCTTCCCGCAGACGACTGTGAGAGACGACGTTCACGCTCACAGGAAAGTCCTAGATGCTCTCGGTGTCCGGTCGGTGGCCGCCGTCATAGGTGGGTCGATGGGCGGCATGACAGCTCTCGAGTGGCCATTGTGCAACGATCAGGGCTATGTGAGAGGGATCATACCCATCGCAACGGCGGCAGATCACAGCGCCTGGGGAATCTCGTGGGCCGAGACGCAACGGCAGTGCATCTATGCCGATCCGGTTTTTGATAGCGGCCACTATGATCCTTCCCCTGAGGGCCAGCCGTCAGCAGGACTTTCAGCAGCACGCATGATCGCAATGCTGACGTACCGCTCGTGCGTGAGTTTTGATCACCGTTTCGGGAGGAGGCCACCGCGACAGACTCAGATATCGAATACGTCTTTGGATATATCAAAGACGTGGGGCGGGCCTCCCATGGATCTCCCGAGGACTAACGACGCTGTCGTGTCTTCCAACAAGCCCGTTGACAAATGTGGCATCAGGATGACCTCGCAGCATGTGAGAAGTCTTTCTCACACATTTTCTGCCCAAGGATATCTTCATTACCAAGGCGAGAAGTTCATCGGGAGGTTCGACGCCAACTGCTACCTTCATCTAACGCATAAGATGGACAGTCACGATGTCATACGAGGACGAGGACTGGAGAATCTCGAGCTTAACCGTCCAGCCATCGACGGGTACGAAAGTGACGAAGAGACTTTGCGAAAAATCTTATCCAAAGTCCCCCCAGGAGCACTAGTCATTAGCGTTGAGACCGATGCTCTTTTTCTACCAGAGCAGCAGAGGCGTCTGGCTGCCTGTCTTCCAAATGCCTCAATTTCCATTCTCAAGTCGTCCGATGGTCATGATGGATTCCTGCTCGAGTTTGAACAGCTGGACGCCCTGATCCAGGCAAAGCTACGGGTTGACATTTCTCAGTTCTACCAGCAGGTACATATGTATGAGATTGTAATGACAGAGATTCCAGGAGGACAGGGGGAAGGGTCACTTACCGGAGAGGTTGAGCAATGGTGATCTTGGTGATAACTTTCATATTTTCAACAACTGGGTCAGATTATACGATAAGTGCATTGGCAAGTAGAGGCACTTAGAGAGTGTGGCAACTCTCAGACTCGATGTTTGACATCGACTAGGAAATGATAGAAGTCACGGACACTCTTGTGTCTTTTCCACTCTACCTATCTATCAAATCGTGCCACCTTAGATTATATCATACTACGGCAGTTCGCGAGCTTGTCTGCTCTTACATTATCAAACACTCTTTCTTGGAAGTGTTTCGAATTGTCCAGAGATAGAACCCTAGTTCAGTAAAATTTCAGCACCTGATAGCATTCAGAAGAACAAAAATAAGTTATCATGAGAAGTCTGAAAAATAGCATACAAATTTGATTCTACACTGAAATTTTCTGTTTGGGAAATTTCAAGACATGTAACAAAGCAGATTGTTTGCAGCTGCATTTAAATCCCGAAACCACGAATTACTAATAGATCTCCGGAGTTCCCCCTCGACCCCAACAAAGTTACGTGGGGCGTGCTCAAATCCCGGGGCCGGGATTCCGGGATCTAGTTAAGTTAAAGTTTGCATATTGCATAAGGCAAGATAAGCATTCATCGACATAATTCCTCTGGTTCCTCTAGTAGATGTACCGCATGGTATTGTGGATTGGTCTGTCCTGGATATAAGGCTATAAAACTTCAGCCGACTGTGAGGACAACTGCATGATCTATGTCTGAGCGTTTATTACTTGAGTTTCAAAACATCCTACCTGCTACCTAAACCGCCTACTTTGTATTGCTGGACCACAACACTTACGCCCAAGACAGCCCACAAATGTATATCGAAACCTCTGATAAGGAGTGGCTTGTCCAAAAGTACGGCGGTACTAGTCTTGGAAAGCTCCTGGAGCCGATCTGCGGCAATATCATACCGTCATTTCTAGAGACTAACCGACTAGCGATCGTGTGCTCGGCTTTATCTGGCACAACGAAGGCCACGGGGACGACAAGCCTGCTGCTTCAATGCATTTTAGCGGCCGAGGCCGGTCACAGGGCTCAGGGTCAGCTCACAAAGACGATCGACCTCATCGCGGAGAATCACATCAGGGTCCTGGACCAGTATCTTGGACAAGAGCAACATCAGAAAACACGATGTAATAGTGATATTTACAGAGCTGCCAAGATGGAGATCGAAAACCACTGTCAAAGTATAAGGCGGTTTCTTCTTGCTGCACAGGTAGTGTTCTTCAATTCTTCACCTCTGCCTTTGATCTGAGAAGAACTGATATGTCGACTACCAGATTGTCAGTGAGCTGTCGCCACGGTCCAAGGACCGCGTGATATCCCTAGGGGAGAAGCTGTCGTGCATCATAGTGGCAGCCGTCCTGACAAGCAAAGGGATCCCGGCGCAGGCTGTCTCGCTCGATGATATTGTCGAGTCCGTATTTGGTCCTGCAGTATTGGATCAAAAGGATGCCCTCCAAGGTTTGAACAATGAGTTTTATCACTTGCTTTCCAAGGAGATTGCGAGAAGATGCCACGGATGTGAAAAAAAGGTCCCGGTGGTGACAGGTGAGTGGTGCAGAGGGTTTTGCCAATAATCAATTTCATCACCCAGAGAGATCTGCATACTAAATCTCGCTAGGTTTCTTTGGCATAATGCCAGACTCCCTGTTGAAGAGTGTAGGCAGGGGATACTCAGACCTATGCGCGGCCATGTGTGCGCTCGGCCTTGGTGCCATCGAGCTGCAGATATGGAAAGAGGTCGATGGCATCTTCACTGCGGATCCACGTAAGGTTCCGTCAGCGAGGCTACTGTCAACCGTTACGGCGGAGGAGGCAGCGGAGTTGACATTCTATGGGAGTGAGGTGAGCTAACAGAGCCATTACGGCTGTGCTCACAATCCTCTTGTCGGCTGCGAATTTGTGTTAATGGTGATACTAATAGGTGATCCACCCCCTCACAATGGACCAAATTCGGTACGCCAATATCCCCCTGCGCCTTAAGAATGTCTTCAACCCATCCGGCCAGGGTACAGTCATCTACCCGTCTCGACTTTCGCCGCCATCTACTCCATACGCTCCACTTACACAGCCGTCCAGGAGCGATGTGGCGGGAAAGGAAAGGACCGATGCAGTCACGCTTCAGCAGAATATCCCGGCTGCCTGTTTCATGCTCGAAAACGGTTACCACGGCGAGAATCAAATACGTCGGCGACCCACGGCTGTGACGATCAAAGAGCCAATCACCATGGTCAACGTAGCTTGTAACAGAAACACGCGATCGCAAGGCTTTCTTGTCAATGTGTTCTCTCGCTTGGACGATGGTGGTATCTCGGCAGATATCGTCACCACGAGCGAGCGGACCGTGAGCTTTGCTATGCAAGGACACCCCGACTCAGCTGGAGAAGAAACAGGAATAGGGAAGTGGAGGAAGCTGAAAGGGGATCTAGAGAAGTTTGGGAAGGTGAGTCTCTTGAAGTGATAATGGGTAGACTACTCGTGAGGAGATGCAGCTAACAAGATACAACAAAGGTTGTTGTTAGCGAGAACATGTCTATCGTAACTGTGGTAGGGCATCGTATGAGGAATATGGTTGGTATATCAAGTAAGCTAATTCCCAACGTGCCTTCAAATTATACCTACTAACGTATTCAAAGACGAAATTTTCTCTGCTCTGGCATCCGCAAAGATAAATATCTACATGATTAGCCAAGGCGCAAGCGAGATCAGTATTTCGTCAGTACCAGAAGTCGATATCTTGATTTAGTATGGAGACGCTCATTGACTTCTCTTTTTCAGGCTTATTGTCCGAAACGAGAATGCTGTCTTAGCGATGAACGTCATCCACAGCAAGGTCTTCAAGATTCCAACCCATCAAGAACAAGAGAACAACTTCATCCAGGGTAAGCTATTTCTTTCTTTCGCCCTTTTCTCGAGAAATACAATCCAAATAGCCGGATATATGGAGCAAGGAATAAGCCACTTTGCTTATATTTGAGAATAAAATTAGGGCCCTGGTTATATTAAGAGTTGCATGGTCCTCAGTTAATAGGGCTTCTCGGAGCATGCTAAGCTATTGTTCCGAACTAAGGCAGATATTGGAGAAAGGTGATTCATACATCCGGCAATAATTGAAGGGGTATCGTGCGGTCTTGGAAGTGACGGGCTGGACACCAATGCCGTGAGCCGTTTCATGTGTCGCAACAGTACCTGCAGCTTTCCTGGTTTGATTGTATCTTGGCAACAGTTACAGCGCGAAATTATATCGCCAGCAAGTCTAGGCCTGCAAACGGCTCAGCCGTCCGATAATGGATTGTGTGGTTTGTTGTCTCAAGAGAAGGTCTGGCATTCAGTTGCCCAAGCCTTTGTTATCAAGGAAAAGCAAGGGGCCACCTCAAAATGTTTGTGGGCTGTGAGACAAAGTATTAGATCGTACCACTGTTAAAGGGGTACAAGATCGCCACTCCGTTGTAGCATCTTCCTATACGATGGAAGTTCTTGTGTCCGTCTCAGAGATATGCATGAAATACTTTGAATTTTGCTCGTTGATAAACATCCCGCTTTAACCTGTTGCGGGATTGATTAATTATCACTTCATCTGACTACGCTAATTCTGTGTAAAGCTCCGAGTGCCCGTGAAGATTACCTTGCACTGGCCAGGATTGCCACCCGATTGACCATAAGCCAGTCAACCATTTCTTTTCAAAACCATGATACACGAAATGATACCATTCTCCTTTTTAGGATATCAATTACTTCATGACTGTTCCAGAATAAAATAACAGGCATACCCCTTACTGTATAACAACTTTTCGAGTTTCTGCTTCCTTAAAAATACCACATTCTATGTCGTCAAGTGGTGGTTTTCTTTCGATTAAAAATGTCCCAATACGCTCATAGTGATCAGAACCGGGTCTCGAATGCAGAACCAGAGAAACAAGGTAGTCAACAGCGCCTTCTGGCCGTACAGCCATACGCAAACAGATGACTTCGGCTCCGAGCAAAACCTGATCTGGCCCTGGCGCATCTAATATGTAATCGGGATAAAATGAATGACCGATTGCAGTTGACATGCCCTCAAAGAGCAATCCAAGTTTTGCGTTTCCACCAATCTTGGTCTGCATCACGAGGTGACACTCTACCACCGCCCCTATAACAGTCAATGTTCCAGAGGAAACAAGCCCAAACCTACGATAGCCAGTCTTATCATCGTCACCCTTATCATCGCCATCCAAAGCCACAGTGCAAGCCTCGATTTGTGCAAGATGGCGAGGCTGTCGTCCCCGTTCAGACACAATTCCATCAAACCACCAGATATCCGGGTGCCAGGACATGATCTCATCATAGTATTGGGTGTTGTCACAGACACTAGCCCAGGACCATGTAGGCGCACTGAGACACTGAAGATCGTCACAGGTGCGCGGCCGTGGCTGCAACGATGCTCCACCGTATACGATCCACAATAGATCGTCTGACAGAGTGTCCAGCCACAATCCAGCTAGGTAGTTGCTGTGACCTGGATCTGCACCTGTCCCTGTGCGCTTTGTAGCTAATACCTGGGCCAGACCACCAATGGCAGGCAGTCGGTCGCGCGGCTTCGTGATGTCGAGACCCATATAGCTACTGACCATTGTTCTCCACAGCCGAGCCATCCAGTGGCCAGCTGATCTGGTGCCACCCTCTGCCATCGAGGGCACTACGCGCATCTTTTTGCGCTTGTCATGGTTTTCCATAGCGTCCGTATACAACAGTTTCGTCATTACCAAGGGAATATCCTCCGATGAGCCAAGGAAGAGAACGCCACCACATTCGCATTGCATATCTGTGCAGCACTCAAAGAAGAGCTCATACGGACCAAAATGCAGCATACGTGTCGACAGAAGCCGTTCTTGGAATACCCATGCACGCGTAAGCAGTCGATGGTACTCCGAAGTCGAGTGAGAGACGAAGCCGGGAATACTGTTGTTTCCGCTCAAAACCGTCGTGTTTTCGCTGTGGTGGTCTATCTTCTGTCGAAAGAACAGGGCGTACGGCTCGCCAGAAGACATGGAGTTTCCTGTGACGCAGTATGTAGGCGACTTGGTGTACAAGCCGTCGGTACTACTGTGCGCTTTAGTGGCTGCCAGCGTGATAGCGGCGTTCCGGTATACTTGCGCCATTTTTGCCGACTCTGCCTTCCAGTCCCCCAAAAGTCATCCTGCACAATGCAGAGTGAGTCGATCCAGATGTAGTCGTAACCTAGGCGTCTGGTCAGAAGCGCAGCATCGCAAAATGTCTGTGGAAGCACCTCGAGCCGAATTCCATGTGTTTTATGAACAGTGGGGTTCGCTCCCGTTGTCGAGATTAGCTGCTTTGAACCCCAGCAGTGGCTCAGGCACAGATAGCTCCCCGTAGCGTTTTCTCCAGGCTCAAAAACCCTGACAACATCATTGTGGCTTACATCGACAACCCGTGTCGGTAGTGTCGGAGAATTGGGCGACTTGCAGGCCTCATGGGCACTACTAAGACACGTATCGATCCAGTCTTTTGCCTTATCCAGCGCTGCATCAGAGTCTGTCCCAGGAGACGTCTGGTTGCTGACTGGAATTGACTCCCAGCTTTCCAGGACGGGATACTTTTCTGCACGTACTGTGTTAGTCTTTTCTTCGTTATCTGGTCTCCCACCGTAGCTTACCGTCCTCATCAACAAAAACTTGTACAGTGAACCGGCGTCCATCCTTAAAGTGGAAGACAATATTCTTGTCGACATCGGTTGGCTGCTCTTCTTCCCCTGTACTTTGACTGCCCAAAGTCGCGTGGCTTTCGTACAAGAAACCGATATCACAGTCTTTAATCTGCAATTCGTCTTTGTCATGCTGGCTAAAGCAGCCCCGACATCCACGAACAAGGATATCGCACACTTCACAACTTGTGGCTGAAGTAACGATGGCGCCCCAGGAGACTCCAATTTTAATATGGTGGCGGTTCTCCTCTCTTTGGTCGTCATCATGACCCCTGAAGTCGTTGCACAATTGACAGGGCATTTTGGCAAGTGTCAGATGCGAAACTCAAAAACTGGCATGCGTTAAATAGCATCAAAGAAATCCAAACTTCTCATCAAATTTTCGCCCAATTTCAGAAACCGCATTTTTTATGACATCGTTCTACTACCCCTCCTTGGCTTGCGAATCATATTCGCTCTTTCTGCAAGGCACCACGTGTGCCCATCTCAGAGGCTGCGATCAAGCGACTAGCAAATAGCTGACAACTTCAATTAGTATCATGAACGAAAATTTTGTCTTCGACGACACCGGCCTTTTAAATCGCGCTATTTCTCCTCTTGTTGAAAAGCTCTATTCCACAAGATAAGCCGCCAACGGTGAAGCCCTATGTTGTAAGACACAGTTAACTTGGAGGAAAAACAGAACCAGATGATAGGTGCCGTCTCAGATGCTCTCTTTTATCTATCTGACAGAAAACGGATCAAATCATCACGGGCTTGTGGTTTAGTGGTATAATACTCCCTTAGCATGGGAGTGGTCCAGGGTTCGATTCCCTGCAAGTCCATTTTTAACTTCTTAGCCATAGTTACTTTTTTTTTCCTGCCTTGCGCGGTTATGAAGTATCTTATTCGTGCAGAATATCTTACGGAGTGTTCTGTACATCGGACGTTATTCGATCATTTATTCTGGTTTCTGATAGATCAACGCGTCTACTTTTTCCCGTAGTCTATTCACCATCTACCGTTTGTATCTTACATAGCCGACGCTGTCGCTGCCATGACTGCCATTACCGCGTTCTCTGCTAACCAACTAACCATGCTTGGCTTCTGCTTCCGTCCATGCTAATAACCCGGTAGGTATTTACGGATTATGGTATGAGGGTTTAAGGGTGCTTGCTTGTTAGAAATATGTTGGCTTCAACATGTGATTGGTTAAGTCTTTTCGCCAATTAGTCTTATGACGGTCCTTGCGCCTTTATGCTAAACACACCTTAGACCCAGTGTAACAAAAAGTAGTAGGCGAAAGCGTTGTGGTACTCCGTAAAGTGTACTTCGTATACAAAGTAGTCCTATAATAATGATTTACAGGGGCGCACGCGCCAGATTGAAAACTCCATGAACATTAATGATAAACGTCACGGTTCCGGTCTGTGATCGCAGAAATTGGGGCAAGAGTAATGACCAATCAGATGCCGTTTTATGCACAGTCGCGAGCGGCTGCAGTGCTGACCCGATTGGTGCCACAGTGGAAATTGTGAAGCGAAGGACCCCACTGCTACTCGTTCCTGACTACTCCGTACTCTGTATCTTAGCATTCGACAGAAATATATGTTTTTATCTACAGAAACTGCCAATACCTTACCTGACAGACCGGGTTCTTGTCGTCAGTGCTAGGATATCGACACCCATAAGACGTCAACGATGGACGTCCGCTGCACCACGGTCGCCTTCTCAACACCACATTCGCACACGGTCGTCTTTCTACATGGCCGCGGCAATAACACGCGCGACTTCTTGGCCTCTTGAGGGTGTCGCTTGACAGGCACGGCCGCACCTTCGCAGACGCTCTGCCTTCCTTCTGCTGGGTGTTCCCCTAGGCACCGGTGCGAGGATGCGCCTCCAGCCTCCTAAAAAATAGCCGCAGTGATTCGATGTTTGGGATACGAGCGAACTCTCCGAGCGTGAAGAGCTGCAGGCGGAGGGGCTGCGTCAGTCCATTCTAGCCATCAGCCGCATTGTCGCTAGCGAGGCGAAACTTCTGGCCGCTGGGACTGGGTTGTGCTGGCTGGCGTCAGCTTCGGCGGCGCTGTAGTCGTGCACAACTTATTTAATCTGGAGGTACCTGTGTCTGGGGCATCCGGTTGGCTGCATCAATCGACTTTTTAATGCCGGTGCCTTTTTTTAGGCCGGACGCTGGCCCAGATGCGACAAATTCTCGGCCTCGTAGCCGTCGATAGCAGCGACACCTAAGACGACACTTGTAGCGACGTCCTCCGCCGCACGCCGATTCTGCTCGAGCATTGTGTGCATGATCCACTGGTGCCAGACGAGATGGGCCGGGATTTCCGGGAGACGTTGCGCGGATTCGACGCGACCGTTCTGTGGAAGGAATATACCGGTGGTAGACACTGCCACAACTCGCCTGCCAGACTAGACGACGTCAATGACCTTTTGTAAAAACAGGTCGTCGAGCAAATCAGGGTGCAACAAAAGTCGGATTTTGAACCGCCTACCAAAATTTATTCACAGCTTACTCTGCCGAATTGGAGGGGTTTTGATAAATGTCAGGGAAATGCTTCTGTTACATTCAACCCGTCTTCCAAGTCGAAAGCAGAGATTGCCCCAAAAAACAACACAATATACCAACGACTTCATGCAACCAATCTCGCGGCATCATCGCCTTCGAACAAGCCTTGCTTTAACATCGTTGCGCTTCCTTAAACATAGACCTGCATGTACGCTTGCGTTATGCAGTTCGACTATGTGTTACAGCACCGCGGTCAATATGGAAAGTAAGTGCGGTGTTGGGGAATTTGCGGACAGATGCATCTCGCGGCGTCTTCTGTGGAATGCCGTTGAACACTGCCGGACACTTGTTGCCCCCACTGTTAAGTCCCGCCGCGCTTTGGTATTACGTAACTAAGCGCGTTTGCATAGCTCTACAGCCGGCCGATCCGCAATACCTAATAGCAATCGGCTTCTAATTCTAACCAATTCATCGAGCACGATGGCGACGCGACACAGCCTGGCTCAACGCCTTTTCAGCCGAAACAGGCGGCCATCTCCGACAGCTCGTCTTGCCAATTCCGATGTGCCAGTTCTGCGTGCCTCACCGGCAGCACGCGTCCTGCCAAGACACTTTCGGGCAGCGCCGGCGCGTCTGACGGACGGTGTCTTCCGGGGCCTCACCGACACCCGGCTGCCGATACCGTGGATCGAGGCCTTCCGGCTCCAGCAGGAGGGCCAGAGTCTCGGGTTCGAAGAGGCACACCACCATACACGCGACCTGACGCCGCGAAAGATGCGCGACAGCTACCACCGCGTGGTACGTGAACATGGACAAAGATGAACGAGGGAGCAGAGGAAGTGGTGATGGTAGCCTAGACGGTGCGTGATGCGGGGCGCGTGGCTGACGACGACTGCCGTGGACAGGTTCTCCCGCTAGGTCAAGATCCCTGGCTCTCGGACACGTACATCAACTCGTCCGGCCACATTCGGTGGGTGCCTACAAGCCAGCGATCCCTTCCCCCGCTTGCACGTGGTGTTCTGACGTCCTCAGACTAGGCGCCATCTTCATGGATCTGGACGCGCTGTCCGGTATCATCGTGTACAAGCACACCGGGCCCGGAGTGACGACAGTGACGGCAGCCCTGGACCGGATCGTCATCGCACACCCACTCACCGAGATTGCGGACCTCGAGTACAGCGGCATGGTGACATACGCCACGGGCCGCAGTAGTATGGAGATTACGTGCAATGTGGCGCGGGCGCGTGGCGCAGACGAACCCAGCCGGCCGGAGGATGTGCTGCTGACGTGCACGTTCACGATGGTGGCTCTGGACCCGGTAAATCGGAAGCCGACCAACGTGCCGAAGGTGCTCTGCGAGACGCCAGAGGAGCAGCAGCGGTTCCAAGCCGGTGAGGCGCAGCTGCTGGCCAAGAAGCAGGCACTCAAGACGTCGCTGTTGGCGCAGGAGCCTAACGATGCCGAGTCGGCGCTGATCCACCAGATCTGGCTCCGGCAGCTCGAATACCACGACCCGAACCGCAGCCGCCGGCAGCCGGCCAACGTCGTCGCCATGGCGCGCACGCAGCTCTCGACCGCGGCCATCATGCAGCCGCAGTATCGCAACCGCCACCAGACGATGATCTTTGGCGGCTACCATCTGAAGCAGACCTTTGAGCTGGCCTTTTGCTGCGCCGCCTCGTTTGCCCACGCCCGGCCGACCTTTATCAGCGCCGACCCCTGCACGTTCCGCAACCCTGTCCCGGTCGGCAGCGTGCTCTACCTGACCGCCACCGTCGCTTACACCGATCCGCCTGTACTCGAGGAGGACGGCCGCGAGCCGGAACATGGCGACCCCAAGAGCCCCGTCACCCGCGTCCACGTCCGCGTCGACAGCAAGGTGCGCGACGTCGACCATGGCTATGCCCGTGCCACTGGCCAGTTCAACTACACCTTTTCCGTGCCCAAGGATGTCCGCGTACTGCCACATACCTACGAAGAGTACATGATGTACGTCGATGCTCGCCGGCGTGTCATGGCGGCTGACTCGCAGAAGCCACCCGTCGGCACCGCTGCCGATGTAGAACCCGGCCCGGAAGCGGGCGGTGTCAACCTGATAGAGTAGTTATGGGACAGGAATCAATAGAGATGAGTTACAGGAACCGGTATGAATTTCGTACTTAGGATAGGTCGGCAATTATCGTGGGCTAGAATGTTAATTTTGCTTTCGTTGCAGTGTACAGAGTTGATTATTGGCAGGAGTGATTGTAGTGTATGCGATGATTCCCTAGGCAGAAGAAATCATCCGATGGTGTCTCTGGCGACTTAAGTCGATAGAAGGAAAGGCGTGTCAAGAGGCGACGAACTTTTGACGTCGGGTCGATGAATGGCAAATATTTCCGAATTAAATGTACAGAGTATCAGGCATGCATGTGGTAGACAAATCCGGCCAGATTGTGGAGCCTGACTTGTCTGGAAATTTTGGCATCAGGGAGTATATTGTTTTTTAGGGGCACGACTGTCGCTTGTTCAACCTCAGAGACATATTTTGAGACAGCTGTTCACAAACTCAAGTACGGCTTTTAAGTAGCAAGCCCGGCTCCTCAGAAGACGGCCCCAGGCGTTTGCTTTTCCGGGCAATTTTTGAAATTCTGTACTTCGTTGAAAATTTGTCTGCGCAACTTCAACAGTTGCTTACTTTGCGTCGCGAAAGATGGGAAATAATGCGCCGTGCGCAATTGTCAATTTCCCGACCTCCGTGATCTCCACTTTACGTCTTAGCGCTAATATCAAATTGCAAGCGTAGGAACAGTGTAAGAAGTTGTCATCCGAATGTAAGGGTAGCCAACAGTAGAGCATTATTGATAAGATAACGCGTGTATCTGATCGGTACCAAAGATGAAGCATGCAATCTGTTTCTGTCGGTAGTTTTGTGCTCGGACTCAAAACTTACCCCAGAAGACCGATCTTCAGGCCCACAATACGATACACAGCCTTATCTCTTTTGTTTAGCCTATTAGCTGTTGCTGCTTGGCCGCGAACTCTGCCATCAGTCTGCAAAGAGATCGGTTACTGTCTCGGTACCTCGCATCACCATTGTTTTCAGTGTGGAAGACAACTGGGATGCAGCCGGGCTTGCTTTCAACTTATCAACGAGCCGCGACTCCGGCATGGCTGCGGACCCATTGCCTATTGCGGGCATGAGCACAGGCCACATTCATAGCACGTATTGGGTGGGGGCCACACACTGTGGAAGCGGAGGGTCAATATCGATACTGACGCATGGCATTGTTGAATCGAAATTTTGAGCCGCCTCGGTTTGACTGGTTTCAGTGGCAGCTTTGCCAAATTTAATCCAAGTGTTGCCAGTGCCGGTCTACGCATAGCACCGCTGCAAGATTCAAGGCGATGGGGTTCCTTGGACTTGGGTAAGTCTTTCTTTATATGCTACGCGGAGAATAGCTAATATTGGCTAATTTTGACAATTTTTGACAGAGATGACCTAAACCTGCACACGATAGCTCCATAGTCGTTCCAGTTAATGTTTAACATATTATTGATGCAGGACAAGTAGTCTTTTCTAAACAGGGTTTGCGCGGGATGGGACACGTAAGAAGAATGAGAACAGCTCTAGTAGTTGCACGTGAGGAAAATAAAAGATGCGTGCAACTAATAATAGCGATCGGCCGAAATTCGTAGATAAGCGCTTTCATCGGTTGGTCCCGGCCGAGATAAGCACCTCACTTGAGCCGGCGGATGAGAAACAAGTTCGCCTGATTCGACACAGGACAAGACGAGAACGTTTCAATTGCACCTTCTCAAGTCACTTTGCTGTCTCTTTGTGATTGACTGATTTTCAGTTGTTTTATTACCGTCTATCATGCCCCACTCGGAACCCCTAAATACCGCTACGTCATGCATTGAGGTGGTGCCGCTTCCAGCTTTGGAAAGACTCAACACCCTACTAGGAGCAGAGGTTAAGCTGGCTCCCGGCGGAGACCTCGACCACTTATCGTCCGACGACGAGAAGAAGCTGGTAGATGCACTGCACGAGCACAGCGTCCTCGTTGTGCGACGAGCCGGCATCAAGCACCCATCGACAATGACTGCTTTGTGTCGCATCTTCGACAAGGATGCACTGGATATGCACAGCTACGGAAAGACGGCCGTACGTGAGAAGACAAATGTGCTCAGTCGCAACAATGCTGGCCGTCTTAAGGGCGATCCCAACGTCGTCGTCATCGGCAACGGCTTCTACGAAAACTACGATGGGGGTGAAGACCTACAGCTGCGGCATGTGGTTCGTCTGCCCGGGCCGAGACCTGTATCTCTTCATCTGGGTGCTGACGCATCGGGTTGTATAGACCCAGGCTGAATTCCATGCGAAGCCGCTCACAGAGGCAGAATTAGCCGATGGCCAGACGCGATTCTATCGGTGGCACCTCGACGCCCCTTTGTATGAGCGATATCCGGGCAAGGTGACGATTATCAGCTGCCAGGAAACCCCTGGCTATCTTCCCGATCAGAAGATTGTCTTCGAAGATGGTAGCGTTAAGAGCGTCTATCCCGGCGGCACTGCTTGTGAGTTGAAGTCCTTCAGCCCCGGCTTTGCAATGCTGCTTGTTCGCCCTTCTTACCTGTTACTCTCACCTGTTTATAGATGTTTCCGGCGCGCGAGCATTCAGCCTTCTGACACCCGAGGAGAAAGAATGGGCTATGAACACAAGGGTTCAGTACGCACCTCGAGCGTATAACTGGATCGGTGACTGTAAAGCTACATCGGATGGCCTTACTATTGAGAGCGAGGGAAAGGAGCGTGATTTCGATTCGATGGAGCCGTGGACTTGGGACAAGGCTCACTGTTATCCGGTAGGAAGTCTCAGCCATCATGGAATATCTGCACATTGATCTTAATAACCACACACACAGCTCGTCTTCCGCAACCCTGGAAAGCCGTCTCGGCCTCACCTGATCGCCCTTGGTTGTTGCGTGTACAGCCTCATCACCACGGATCCTCGTACTGGCAAAGAAACGACCATTTCGGACTTTGGCGAGGCGCGCAAGAAAATCCATTCACTCATGAAACGGTCCATGAGCGACCGCTACGTCTATGTGCATCGATACGAGCCCGACGATCTCGTCATTTGGCACAACCGTGCCGTCTGGCATTCAATCACAGGCGAACTCGGCAACTCCAAGCGTCTGATGTGGCAAGCAGCCAACGGAAGTCCATATGCTCCACAGGCCGCTCAGTGGGACGAGGTGGACATTGAGGGAAAGACTTGGGCAATGGATATGTGTGTTGGTGTTTGAAAGAGGATGTCACTGCTTTGCCACTGCCTGAACAGATGAACAAATCATCATAGATTAGCCAGCGCAAAGTTGTCCACTCATACCTTACGGAGTACTCCGTACGTTGAACATATCAGCCTATGCCGAAATCGAAGCATGTTTCTTGTTTCCTCCAACCCAACAGTGGACCAACATCGAACATGACAAGGAGCCCAACAAGCGCCTCAACAATTTAAAAACTGCGCTATGATTGCCTTTCATATACCCCGTTTTTACATAAAAACGTGCGGGAAAAAAACACTCACGGGATGCCAACCTCGCCCGAAATGAAAGCAACCAAGATGTTATGAACTGGACACCGGTCAAATTGTCCCATGCTACATAGTATGTAGAGCAAGGCATAAAAAACGGTGTGCACATTGCTGCCCTACAGGGCAAAAGATGCGGTGACGGACACGAGATGGGAAAGGGGTGATGGGGATATGTACTCCGTATGCCAGCTGGAAAATGTGGACTAAAATACAAATAATAGGGGCAAACGCCGATCTGTTCGTACGTCGTACGCGATCGACATCCCCGGCAAGGTCCCGCAGGCCAGGCCGCCCCGTCGGGACCACTAATTTCATTGCCTCCATCTGAACGGCGCCGACAATTAGCAACCAATACGAAGTTGGCGGCAGCGAGGCGCCGAATGAAACGCTGTAAGCTGGTTTTTGTTGGCCGAAATCAATACCCCACAATCCACTGATTACAGAGCTGGCACTGCCGGATGGAGCGCCTGGTCAGGTGCTCTGCTTGTTCACCGTCAATCTACAGCACATCGTCGTGCTCCATAGTTAAATTTATCTCGTATTCTAATGTCATCTCGACCGTTAGATGGACACGCATCGTATTCGGTGGCTCTAAACTCACTGACCGCAAATCTAAAACAATGATCTATGTTGTGGGGAAGGTGGAAGCGTGTGTTAGAAGGTCTCCAACATAGAGAGCAGAGAAGAATCCGAGTATAAGACTGCGCTTTCGTTCTGTCTTTTACTTATTTTTTTTTCTCTCATCCTCACTCTCATCCACACTCTCATCCTCATCTTCATCTTCATCTTCATCCTCGCCCTCACTTAAATTTCTATCTTCCAATTTCCAACCGCCAAAATGCAGACCTCTTTCGTCGCTCTTCTTGCCCTCTCGGCTGGCGTCCTCGCCAGCCCCTCCGCTCCGGCTCCGACTCATGCATTCACTTGCAAGGACGCCAATGAGGGCTTCGCCTGGTCCATGACTCTCTTTGAGTACAAGGCCACTGAGGTCTCGACCACGCCTGCGCACCAGAACGTCGACGGCGAGGTGTCCTTTAACATCTCAAACCCGGCTCTGCTGTCCCTCCAGTCTTCCTCTGGCTGCAGTGGCAGCTCGGTCCAGTACCCCGACTACTTCTACGGCAACATTGTCTACGAGTGCATTGACCCCCGCATCGACACCAACACCAAGACGACCTTTACCTACGACGCCCCAAGTGGTCTCCTCAGCATCAACCAGACCTGGACTTGCCCAGATGCCAAGGACCCTGTCTCCTTCTTCGCGGCCGGCTCTGTCAACCTTACTCTGACTACGAGCAAGACGAGCTACTCCAACCCCGACTGGAAGATGGGCCAGACCTACGCTAGCAAGACCGCGATCAGCACTGGCCCGTCGCTGGTGCCTATCACGGCCTTCCACATCTCTGCTGTCGTTTAAGCTTTGAGCAGCACTATGAAAAGGACGTCCTTGGGGACTACTTTGCAATAATCAGATTATCTACATGGCTTCTACTTGCCAATACGATTTGGCTTATAGACCTTTGAACGGGGGACGCATTCTTCCGTGGATATAAAGAGACAGCAGCTAATACATCGGGCAATAATTCGGTATCTGTTGTTTCCGTAGACGTGACATAAAGGCGACTAAGCAGAGATCTGCACAGGGAGAAAATATACATAGTAACGGTTCACTTTACGATTCCGTAAAAAGCAATAAGTGTCACGGCCTGATCGCCCCTCTTTTGGTACTACGCAAGATACTAAGATCAGAGGACAATTTTTCAAGCTTTGCCTCTAGTTGGAAAAATGAGCGCTTACTATGCAGAGGCAGCGGCTCGGGCTACTGCATATTTGATGACCACCAGCTAGGAAGATACGACGCATCTAGCACGAGTACCAGCACCACGCCACTAACGGTGGGCTGCGCAGACAGAGACTGCCTGGGAGGGTAGCCCTTTAAGTGGGGTTTCCGTTTATCTCTACCAATCTACAAAGTAGCCCGTACGTACAAGATTTGGTGCCAGTCGGAGTTATGAATCTGTCGAGAGAACGTCATCAGATCATGTCTATCGCCGGTCTGCCTTTAGATCGGCGTTAACGTTGATACGTAAGTTGATTGCAGGGCATATGTAGTCGTTGACGGCGGTGATCTGTGAGAAGAGCCGCTGCCGCACATCCTGCAAGAATTCAGTCGACTGCTCGTACGTGTATGACGACATCATGATATGCACCAAGAACGGGTTGGCTGCGGCAGCCAGATAGCGCGACGTGTTGGTCCTGCCGTCATGATGCAGGTAGACCGAACAGGGCGCGCAGTGGTGCGTCTGGTCGTAACGTGTTTTCTGCGCCCACCGCGGATGCTGACAGAAGAACTCGTAGTCTCGCCGGTGGTGGGTGTCGTTCTGCTGCTGCCGTTGGTGACCGAAGGCAGACCAGTAGTCTGGCCGCCCAAGCATGTTCTGCACAGCTGCGTCATGCATGCCCAAGCGGTCGGCCATAAGCAGAAATCCCGGCTGCGACACATCGGCACACCATTCGTATTGTGCCGTATTGTCGTACTTGAGCGAGATGAAAAAGACTATCATGGTGTGCGTGAGCTCATAATCGGCGTCGAGAGTTGATGAGCCTGACGGAGCAGACGACGACAAGCTGTTCTCAGGCAAGAAACTGACAAGGTTATCGTCCATGATCAGTGGGTACCATGTCATGCATTCGCTATCTATCGCAAGCACACGAATACTTGTCCGGTCCGCAAAGTTTGCTGCACTCTCGCAGCTCGTCTGGAGGAGTTGATATGCCCATGGCTGGAGAAGCGGACGGCTCGTCGGTAGTGGCATCTCGAGATCCGCACACAAGCCAGGACTCGGAGTGGGCAGGTTTTATTTGTGGCTTCTGCTTCGAAGAGACCAAGAGCAGCAGCTGCCAGCACCTGTGGCAAGAACAGTATGTTGAAGTTTTGAATGAATACGGATCTTTATCATTCACGATGCTGCGCGGTCTGGTTGAGGTGAAGGTAGACAACTGCGCGAGGTTGGTGTAGGACTCCGCTCAGCCATCCACGGCCAGTTTAGGCGAGAGAGATCACTTCGGTCGGAAGGCAGAGCATGCATCAAACAACAATGCCGCCCAGGGCGTAGCATTTGTGTCCTTTCAGGCTACCCCGCCACCTGACGCGCCACATGATAGCAATCTGAAGGAAAATGCCAAGCCAGATACCGCCTTGTTGAATGGACAAATAAGAGCTTCAATAAACCTGTTCTTGTGACTTATTTTCAGCACAACGTACGTTACTTCTCAGCCTTCGGAATTAGAATGTGCTAGTTCCAAGCGGTGTGACAGCGTTGTTTTTCGTGCGATGATAACAAACGGTAATTTACTACGTCTGTTCCTCCTTTCAGCCTTGACAATAATCTGTTTCTGTTAGTTCGGAAATCTTTCGTCACAATCGTGGCTGTGCTGTACTTTTCGGACGAATTAGCTCGCCCGGATATGCCCAATATTATTTTTCATAGATTTCTGTTTTTGATTTGACTATTTGTGTTTAACGACTGCTTATGTCTAGTTGTTGTTGGCCTTATTCCGCAATTTTATAAGCCTCTACCTTTTTTCACGGCTTACTCCACTTAACGATAGGATTGCAAAATAGTGATCTGGGGTATGGGCATGAAAAATACGACATTACACAATTGATAGACTAGACTCCTGAGGATGCCATTAGAAACCCAGAGTCATTCACTGCGCTGCCGTGGCCGCGGACATTACCCATAATACGCCTCCCGACGCTGATGGAGAGTTTGTCGAGTTCTATACCGGCTTCACAACGCAAGGCTGGAAATATCAGACTGGAAAAAAGAAGAGAGAAATTGGAAAGAATTGTGTCCTGAAAAATCTGTGCAGGAGTGTTAATAGACATATAATCGTAGTGGACAGTGTACAAGCTGGTGTACGGAGCCCTCTGTACACCGTACAAGAGGAGGTCCCAACTCTGTGAACGGAGAAGTCTTTTGGGAGTGTTGCTATCCGTACCGAGCATGCACGATGATGAAACAAGTGATTGGTTGCGTTGTAAAGTAAAAGCTAGTTAGGCAGCCAGTTATATATTGATGGGCGAAGGTGGTTGTGATTAGGGAAGATTAGTCATCTAAAGCCGCAGATCGACGCACTGCAGCAACTTGGAAAAATCCCCGTTCTATAGTTGTGGCTGGGGCTGGGGCTCTTTCAAGCCACATTACTGCGTGCTTGTACAAATCCTTCAACTAAAGCGGCGAGGCTCAACAATTCTGTCTATCCCTGTGCCGATTAAAGACCCATAGAACGACATCGGATCGCAGCTGACTAAGATGTGTTCTTTTCCGTTTGCAACGAATAGCTTATCTGTCTACCGTGCGTAGGATTGTCGAACGAAAAATAACAGGATAAGTGCCGGCCACTCGAAGGCACACATTTTGTTGGAGCGAACAATGGTAAACTGAAGAGGCTATTGCTTTCCGAGAACAGGAGATTCCAACGAGGCAAAGAAAAATCAATATTTAGCCAAGAAATAAGATAAATAGAGTGTGTTCTGTACGGTCACCATTGTCTGCTATGTACCATCAAAGTCTGCATCGTCGACCTTCGTTTGACTGGCCATACATTGTGAAAGCCTTTGCAGCCGCTTCTCTTGGCGCAAGCCTCTTTGCGTCCCTTGCCGCGGCCCAATTTCCCGCCCAACCGACAGGCCTAACAGTTGTGCCGTCTGAGATTGAGAATGAAGTTCTTATCACATACAAGCAGGTACATACAGGGCCAAGATCAACAGGGCAAGATAACATGCAGACTATGTAGTGACCAAAAGGCGTCCATCTGCGAGACGCGGCCTGGTTCCAAGGCCTACAGTGGTTACGTGCATATCCCGGCCAACAAGACGGCCGACATTGGAGGCTTCGACATCAATGCGTATTTTCTGTATTTCCAGGCGCGTGAGAGTCCCGAGACGGCACCGCTGGCCATTTACCTGGCGGGCGGCCCGGGCGAGTCATCCACATATGCGGTTTTCGACAGTGAGAACGGTCCCTGCATCGTCAACGTGTTTGGCAACGAGACGACTGAGAACGAATGGTCTTTCAACCAGCACGCCAACGTGCTCTATGTCGACCAGCCGGTGCAGGCCGGCTTCTCTTACAGCGACCTGATTAACGGCACCGTCAACATCGAGGATGAGGCGGTGATGCCACAGGTCTTCGATAGCAGCAACGGGCTCCCGGCCGCCAGCAGAATATCTGGCTACGGCACGTTCCCGGGACAGGACGCTGCCAAGACTACCAACACGACCGTCAGCAGCGGTCGCGCAATGTGGCACTTTGACGAACACTGGCTGACGTCGTTTCCTCCATATGCGACGACTAGCGCATTGGAAGCAGGCAGCAAGGCCATCAGCGTCTGGGGGAACTCTTACGGCGGCTTCTGGGTGCCCGAGACGGGTGTCCAGCTGAGCCGCAACCTGGAGAGGCTACACGAAGATCATCCACTGCACGGCCGCCAGCTAAGGCTCGAAGCCATCGGCACCACCAACGGCTGCATTGACTTGGCTACAGCAATGCTTGGCTACCCCGAGTTCGCCATCAACAATACGTACGACGTCCAATTCATCTCCGAGGATCTGTACACCGCCTCGATCCAGAACATCACTGGCTCTGGCGGCTGCCTAGACCAGCTTCAGTACTGTCGTGAGATCGCCCAGGCCGGGGACCCGGAGACCACGGGGGCCAATGCCACGATCAATGAGCTGTGCCAGCTAGCGCTGCTCTCGTGTGAGATCGTCATTAATGTGTTGAACGAGGTCAATAACGTGTCGGCTTTTGACGTGGCCGTGGCCGAGCCCGACATCTGCCCCTACTACCTTCCTGTCGAGCAATACCTCAACAGGGTCGCCGTGCAGCAGCAGCTGGGGGTGCCGCTCAACTTCAGTCTGCTATCCTACACAGTCGATAAGGTCTTTGGCTTCGCCTCCTCCTCTCCCTCTCTTTCCTCGTCCACTGGTGATGCCGCCCGTCAGGCCGGTGTCAATAACCTCGCGTACCTGCTGGATCGGGGTGTCCGGGTTGCCTTGATCTTTGGTGACCGAGATTACCGCTGTCCCTGGACCGGTGGTGAGCCTACGGCCGAGGCCGTGATGTGGTCCGGCCAAAATGCCTTTCTCAATGCCGGCTACCAGAAGCTGCAGAACCTCCCACCCGATTCCCACGGAGCCGTTGTTCGCCAGGCCGGCCAGCTCTCCTTCACCCGCGTGTTTGATGCCGGCCACAGCGTGTCTGCATATGCGCCCAACACCGTCTTCTCCATCTTTAGTCGAACCCTGGCCGGCCTTGACGTCGCCTCTGGCCGCCTTCCTGCCCACGATGGCTACCACACCTTTGGACCTGCCAACAGCTATAGCTGGCGTAACACGATGCCTTCTGGCTGGCCTATCACTGACAGCTGCATGGTCGCTGGAAAGTTCTTGCCTGTGGACCCTTGGGTCGCGTTGGTGAGCTCGTAAGGCCGAACTGGTAGGAATAGGAAGAGTTCAAGGCTTTACACACAGGCTTACCTACCTAAAAAAACATTCATCTTCGGTGGAAATGCACGATCAATGGAGAACAATAGTATATGTTTTAACAGCGCCATTTTTCATAATTGCATTACTCATAATTGTATGTCTATAGTTTTGTCAAACTCGCATAGCCCATCTTCCGCCTCTTAGTTGCACCATCTAGCTACGATCCAAGCGGATTCTCGGCCGGCAAACACGAAATAACTTCCATGCAGCTTCCAGTAATAGAACCCTAAAGCGGGGGTTTTTCCAGTACCGGCGAGGGGAGATGTGAGTCTTCACCAGGACCGGCATCAGCACTGATGATACTAACCAATAATATTTATTTCCGGCCATCCACCTTTAATGCCAAGGCCGTGGGGGGAGGTTGCAAAGTCGCAGAGCATGTGGAGAGTCAACAGATAATGTCTGCATTGCAGCAGGTAGCGCTGAGGCCGGCATTTCCGTTATTGTTATAGCCGGATTTCGTATAGCTCATCTGCTTTTCGTCTTGGAAGCTTTACGACGTAGAGAGTAGCGCGACAGATTTTTTGTGCGTGGATCGAGAGATAATACCACTACTTGTCTTGTGTATATTTTGGCTAAAGCCCGACGAATTGCATTGCATTTCTAGCAAGGCCGTTAATTAAGTTGTGGCCTCTTTTTCTCATTTACATCAATTGCCTTTTGCTGATATCCTTACTTGGGGAAAGCTCCCTTTCCCCATGACTCCACCATACTTTGATTTAGGTACAGCTGACATTCGTGATGAGGTAGTCGTAGGGATAATACGAGGAGTAGCTAGGAATGTCTGAGCCAGATCTTAGATATGTTCCTATCCAAGGATCGAGGACAACCTCCAACTCAGAAGTTGTATCGTAGCCAGGCTCCACTCCGGTATATATGATCACAGAGTAAGGAGCAGAACTTGTGTGCTCCCAGTCACAGCATGCCTATTTGACCTAGTCAGATGTTGCTGTCGTGAGTTTTGTATTCGATAGTCTGTGAACACTGCTTACCGAGGAGAGGGACGTGACGTTCATTGAGTCATATAGTCTTTTGAGAATACCTGCACATTTATCAGCAACAGTAAATGTAACACCGAGCAATTTTGTGTCTGCGTACCGAATGCTAGTCTCTCTCCACTATCGGCAGTTGAGCCATAGACGGAGAGATCAACATTACAGCCAGTACTAGCCTGAGCAGCGTCAACTGCAAGTGCTGCAAGGACGGCAAGAACTGAAATTGAGTGCATATTGAATTTATAGGGCAAAGGTTGTCCCAGGCGGAATGAATTCGGCGAATGTAAAACGTATATCTTCCGGGTCCGTGTCTTATTCGAAAGCAAAATCGGACACGGCTTGGAAGGGGGAGACAAGAACTTATATCGGTGCGATTCGTCCGAAGCTCCTCTTGTAATACTACTTCGGATGAATCGAATGAGTAAGAAAAGCGTGATGACCGAACCAACAGCCCACGTAGCACTCAAAGATTGAGACTCGTATCGCTGACGTGATTCGGCTAGATGTTTATGTGATGTGCCGTGATTAACCGACATTCTTTGTTCCGCGATCCTTTGTTCTGGTTAGTCTTCTTCTTGAATATCCTTCTTATCGTCGGGTCTGAAACAGACACGCAAGCTGGCTCACAGGCCTCCTAGTAATTAGGTGGGTCGTGTCGTAGGGCCCCACGGTCACATAATACGCGTACATACACGAGTAAGGCAGCTCGTCACATCTCAGTCTGCTTTCAAGACATTCTTGGTCGTATTCACTATAACTAATAGGAGCGAGGAAATCACGCAGTTCCGGGCCCATAAAGCTAACGGTGCAGAATAGAAGTAGAAGCTAGACTCCAATTTGGATTGGCCAAATGACAGCTGTCAGCTGCCAGGTTCGCAAAAGTCTACAACGGTTCATTTTATTATCAAGCAAAGGCTTCTAGTCCTGGAAAAGCTTGGTACATGCTCCGCTTTCGTTTTATTTTCTCAAAAGAAGTCTGTCATCGAAATTATCAGATCGGGAGAGTGGAGATGAGCGGGCCGTCAAAATGCGGGGTGCTGTTGGTCATACACGATCTGTCAGCTCCGAGATACGATACACGTTACAGACTATACCTGAAGCTGCAGCAGAATAGGGGAAATTCTATACAAAGGACCTAATTAAATCCGTGATATGGTTTTCTAATTTTTTCTTGTACACGAGCACCTATGTCGAAACCCCGGAAAACAAACTTATATAATTGTGTACAGAAACTGATACAAGAAAGCGACGAGAGTTGTAGTTGTGAAAAACTGCAATCGAGAAAAGAAAATAAGAAATATCCATCTGCAGATATATACGAAGACCAAGTCCACCACACATTCCAAGCTCGATAGCCTAGTGCTATATGTCCTCAGGCAGCTTTAATTTGCCTAAGCACGACCGTCGGGCCAGTACGTGGCAATGCGGCCGGTAGGAGACTTCATAACAGCACCGTTGCCGTGCCAGTCGTCAACATACACCCGGTCGGTGCCGACCTTGTCAATGTACCAGTCGCGCACCACCGTGTTGACATCAGAGGAGTCGCCCAGCTTCTCGGACGCAGCCAGCACCCACTGGCCATCATTCATCATGTCATACGCACCAGTTGGAGCGCCAGTGAGGATCCACTGCGTGAATCCCATCCACGAGTCGCCATTGTCCTTGTCCCAGATCAGCACGGCGCCGTCACAGCCGCGGATGAGGGAGACGTCGCCCCAGGCGTTGCCGCTAGAGTCCCAGCTAAACTCAAACCACGTTCCCAGGATCTGAGAGCTGCCGTCAAGCATGGTGCTATCAACACCGCGCTGGACACGGCCCTCAAAGTCGCTGGGCAGGCTGACGTACTCGGTCTCGCCGGCGTTGATTCAGATGTACTTGTACGGGACATCGTCGCAGCAGTTCTGGTAGATGTAGAAGCCACGCCAGTCCGAGGCAGCGTTGGTGATGAAGATACCCTTCCCGCCGCTGTCCGTCTCGCCCCAAGTCAGTGTGGCGGACGTGGGACAAGACTTGTCGCAGTAGCTTGAACGGCCGACAAGTGAAGAGTTTCCGGGATGGTACCGCTTCAGGCCGTTGTAGCTATACTTCGGTACAGTCTGGTTGGCAGTGATGGCTGCGATGTCGGGCATTGAAAGGCTTTTGGGGCGCGAGCTTGCGCCATTGGGGATGCTGGCTGCGAGCGAAGCCCCGACCAGGGAGAGGGTTGCAATTGCCTTGAGTATTGAGAATAAGAGACAGAGTTTAGAGGGAACGTCTTATAACAGGCTCGGACGTGTAGAGAAATGTCCAAGAGAAGTCTTGTATTTGTTGCTGATGAGGAGAGGAAAAACAAGATGGTAGAGGGAGTAGCCACGCTTTATATAGATATTCAGTCACATAGAGTGGAAGGATAGCTTGAATATATGTCATCTGATGGTTAGCAAACAGCAGACCTAATGCAAAAACGTATATGATCGTGCCGACAAATCGGAGTCACCGGATGCTGCAAGCACCTTCACAGCATCATGGCTGGTCTGCAGTAGGCCGCGCTCCTTTGGCCCATATCTTCGAGTACATGCTTGTCCATTGTCGTTTTGATCCTTCATAGACCTAGTGGTCACGATGTGCCGCTTGTATGCTTCTGTCCGTTCGTCTGCAGCCTTGGCCCAAACCGGTATCAAACCCGGTGCGGCTACATCCCTCTTCTGCGCAGTGTATCTATCTACACACCTATAGAAGGAGGGTGGGGGCGAGGATTCTGCTGATCCTTACTGCAACTGCACATGCACATATTCTGCGTGCATCTGCACATCAGATATACCTAAAACACAAGCACGATGACCAATCAGGACTATTGCGTAGTGTCTTGGTCGTAGATCCACACTCAGCTCACATCAAGTCAGGGTGCTGCTTTACTATAATCCTCTCCACCCAGAGATCTAGCTTGCGGCTGTATTCGGACAGTCTTTGCTTAATCGTACGAATATCAAGAAGCACCTTCCTATAGTAGGCTCAAGAGCTCATACACTCGTGGGCCGCTTTGTAGAAGGATTACGCTATTGGGATTCACCTTCATTGCAGCAGGCGTGGTTGATCCTCGATCCTCTGAGGTGTGCCAGGGCCAATCTAACCACCGTGCAATCCATAAGCACCTGTTACTCCATACATCGTTTGGGCGCCAGTGCTCAGTGAGTTGCGCAGCTCAGCCATACAGGGTTATACAATGAGCAGACAACATATTGCACTATACATGGTAAGCATTTGCGTGCACAACAATAGACACAATCGCGCATGCATTTCCATTTTGCTTTGGTATGCAGGCTCACTTCTCGTGGACACGAACTACGACCTGCGGCATATCCTGATCTCGCTGCCCTCCTTCCATGTGGCGGCTTTTCGCGTTAACATGATCGCGAGAGAAGGGAGCAGACTGAAGAAGTACATGCATAGCTTCAATATTACAGAAAAAGAAAGTAAACGCGTAAGTTCATATCCCTGTACAGATTACATAAACGTCTGAAGTCACAGGGCGCGGTCAAGGCTCGTCTCATATTGTGGAAGGGAGTAGCGAAAGGATTTGGGGATGTAACCTTAATTTCCCGTACTGGGCAATAAACGGAACGGGGCAATCCTACGGGCTTATCCTCGCTTCTAGACCGGTGGCTGCATCGCCTCCTTTTCGCTGCTGTTAGTCATTCTAGCCGAAAATATCGTAGTATTTCCTGGTGTGGCTTAGCACTTGCATCCTTCCGACTTCGCCGTTTGGGCTAGCCTTGTTTGGCTAAAATTCGGCTTCGGTTAGTGATGAGGTAGACAAATATTACAACTTGACTTCACTGAGAAAAGACAACGTATGGGAGATAAAGGGTTATCTGAGCGTATTTTACATTTGTTTCTGACGAGCGAATTGAAGGATTTGCCGAGTTTGATCCTGCAGAGACCGAGAAACACCTAAATTGTATTAATGGGCGTAAGACCTAGGTGAGACTGAAGGAACAATAGTGCAAGGGGTCATCAATGTGCGTTGGAAGATTTGTATCTCGTTTGGCTTGAACAAAGATATTATTTGTGTATTTGCAAGTTCATAATTACAGGTGAGGCTCACAATTTGGCTTGCATCAACTAAGAACGGTTTAGGTCCTATCTATTCAGGAGGTCTTCAAGCTGGAAGGGAAATATTTTCTTTCTTTAGAGACCAACTTCGTAATCTCAAGTAGACTCTATCGTAGTTCAGTGTAGACGCTACGAGCTGCATGATGTATTGTCTCAAGGTCTGGCTGATTACGCCAATAAAGCGGTGCTAACAAATTTTAAGTGAATAGGGCAATTTTGACGGAAATGTCCTCGAGTGGGTCCTTCTTGTTGAGGATAGAGCGAAGTAACTGGTCGCGGCAAGCGATTTTTCGACTGTAATAACATAAGTGACTTTCTGGAACCCAACCACTCTAATATTGCGACGTTGTGTTCTTGCTAAGAGAGCATTAAGCAGTGTTAGTTACGATCTAGTATTACAAGTCAATCTTTCTTAACTAGAAAACGGTGATGGGAAACTACTGAGTTCCAATAGTACAAACGCACCAATTCGAGTAAGCTGAAGTGTTCAAATCAGGGGTTTTACGTAATAGAATAGTAGAGGGCTGCATAAAAACACCTTCACTTGATTATTACAATAAAGTGGCGGTGAATAATACTATGCGAACTCGAAATAATCTACTAGTTCTTACATACTGTGTACATTTGTTTGAGTAAATATACATATAGACATAGTTGGTACGAGTACAGAGAACGCAACGAGCCCTCGGGAGGTCCCGTGACGTACACGATACAATGCACGTTTTCGAAAGGCGTACTGGCGCGCACTCACCAACGAAGGAGGCGACGTATTATGGTATCAGAGATAATGCTGTGGGCTACAGTAAAGTTATGATGTGGACAGACTGCTGATATTGCACCATATATAAATACCAATTTTTAGCTTCCAAAAAGGGTAAGTCCTGTAACATATACTAGTGATTGACGGGACATTGGTAAAGGTGAATTATTGCTAAAAGCAACAGGCATTATTTTGAATCTAATACATTGGCGCCCTTGAGTACCTTGGACTGGACAGTTGCTCCTAATGGGCCATCCTGTAGCCTTTTCTTTGTATTTTCATCATTCATATATGCGATTATCGAATTTGGGACACAATTCCTGCCACCAAGACAATTACAGAAAAACACTGGCGAGATGCACATTGTATCCCAATTGGATAATGACGGCTTATCTGGTGCTGTTTGAATTTAGTGCTACATCTTTGGCAAATTCAAATATACTACAGCACTCTACTCTATATACAAATTTGCGACAAGCTATCACCAAAACTACTGCATGGCCGGGGGCAATGTGGATGGTGGGTAGCATCGGTCAGTGATATCACTGTTGCCCCACCAAGTAGGGAAATCCGTGTTTGTGAGACTAATGGTGAAAACCATGATGGTTTGCATGATCTGTGAACCACAATCCAATCCCACACCGGTCAAATAGTTGTACTTGCGAAACCAAACGGGATGGTACCGGTATATGTATCCCATGCTATAGTAACGATGTAGTTAGCAAATATAATGGAGTAATTTGGTCGTTGCACGGGGATACTCACAAAACAAAGGCTACGATAGCAGAAGTCATGAGATTAGTCGTTCCATAAATAGGGAAATAGGTCCCTCCAAACATGAAGACCACAGGGTTGAAGTACTGCTCAATGTTCCAGTGCGGTTTTTGCCTGTGGATCATGTACGCGAACAAAACGGCAGCCGGTCCCACAAGGAAGGCATAGTAAATGTAGTGGTAGTTCGACCCCTTGCTGAAAAACGCCTTTGGTCCAAGGACGCCCCAAATGACGGACGTGGAGTAAAAATTCCGGCTCTTCAGAGCCAACCAAGACGAGCTAGACTTGACTCCAGTCAATGTCTCGACACCAATGTCGTTGATAATGGCTCGGGCAATCCCGTAATTTATAAAGGGTCCCAGCAGAGTTCCGTAAACCTGAGCTATAAACAGCTCTTTTTCTGGAATCTTCATGTAAAACCCAAACTTGTAATCAGAGCAAAGGTTAAGTGTTTGATCTAGGACCTGGCGGCCAAACACCAATGTCGCCAAGACAGCCTTGGGATTGCCGTGGAAGAGCGCACCAGCAATAAGTTCGCTAAAGTAAGCCATTCCAACTTGAATGTTCGCAATTCCGAACAAAATTCCACTCGGGAAGGTAAACAACAGGGACACAATTGTAATCACGATAAAGCCCCACCATGGAAGTCCCCAATGCCCGCCATAGAGTGAGCCGATGGAAAGGCCACCAGCGATGACGAGGATGACCAGATACCACCAATGGGGAACCCGGGGGTGGTTTGCCATAAGCTTTAGGTACGGGTCATCCTCGTTCGAGGTCCGACCATGACGTAGAGTGTCTCGGACAGCCTCCCAGCCGTCTTTTCCGTACCATAAAACGGCAAATGCGATCGCACCCGCTGACGACGCAAAGCCCCAGAAGAACGTCATTGCATATGATGTTGACCAGTAAGGCTCGGAATATTCAGCCATAGCAGTATAGTTTCCATGTCCAGAAGCGGTCAAAACGCGGGAGACGTTGTACTTGGTTCCAGTGGAGTCAAAAGTCGATGACGACATGGCGGGAAAGTTTTTGCTGTCAAGTGTGTTGGAAAAATAGAGTATGGGGAACAGGAACCAGCAGCAAAATACCGCACCAGCAACCTGAGTTGCCGTGGACCATAGCGGTGTATAGAGAGGTGAAAAGAAATTGATGTAGTTCCAATCGAGTGAGAAGTCTAGCATGCCGAAGCCGTTATTGCCAGAGCCGAGAATGTAGGCGATCCAGTTTCCATGACCCATGTAGCAAAGCAGTGGTAGGGACCCTAGCATTGGCCATATCAGAGATGGGAACCATTGATAGCAAAATACAGCACTGGCGACTATGGCGAAGTAGCGCAGAGATCTGGCAGTTGACGCAGGGTCGTTGTGCATTGCATTTAGCAACGCCACATTGGGAAGGACGACAGGGTAGAACATCTTTGGTGGGCGGACGACGATGTCTCGGAAAAGCCCGACAAAGCCGTATCCAACCAGTTGCGACGATATCAGGAACATGATGGACCACCCAGCACCGATCCTTTGGCCTTTTTTGGTTAACAATAGCACAGCACGACAGCTGGTGGACAATAACGGGGGACAGCTACTTACCATAGTAGAGTTCAAGGGCAGTCAGCGGACCGAGACCGTACGCCGTGTGCTGACTACCCCAGACAGCCACAACAATGAGAGCATGCTCCTTAGCGTTCCACGGTCCTGGATTTAAGCTCCATTCGTAGCCAAGTGTCTTGTATTTTGTCGTGGGCAACCATTTTGCCATCAGCATACCGGTCCACCACGAGAGGAGCTGCACTGTGACAGTCGATAGGGTGGTGCTGTACGGCTTGAAGTAATAAAATGTCGAGATGATGCAGCCTACGCTGACCCAGAAGCCGGCCAGGACCCAGAAGCGAAAGGTCAAAATGGGCTCACTATGGAAAGCCGATTAGTCTACTGTTGCGGCAGGTTTCGCACGGTGGTGATGGAAACTCACGTTGGGTCGTTGTGAAGCGAGACCACCTTTGCCACAAGCGGTGCCGCATAATTTTTCAAGCATGGATCTGTCCACTCCTCGTCTTCGCGGCTGGTGGGCTCTCCTGGTTTCTCGACAAGGCCGTCTTGGATAGAAACGGGCTTCGAGGCCGTTGATGGTTCTACCTTTTGGGCGGCAGCATCAACATCGGCCTTCATGGCCGACTTTTGCATTCCGTCACTTTTTTGTATGACCATATTTTTATCTTGTAGTTAACAGCCCCTCGGCACAAAAAAAACAGGCATCCAGTTTAAAGCGGGAACGGAATGAGAGAGATCTAATATACGATCGGATGGAAGACAGTAACTACGAATCCACAGATCCTTATCATACAAATAGGCAATGCTCCGCACATTGCAATCTGGAGCCTATCTGGTAATATGGGGGAGGAAGTAGCTGTTTATCCACATCTGATCATATTTCACAGTTCATTTTAGTCCTATCTTTTGCCATCTGAGGATTTGCGGTAAGATCCTCTAATAGCCTCTCTCGACCCGGTAGAATCCGAACGAACCCTCGAAACGGAGAGGTGCACTGTGGAAGAGCAGTTTCAGCGCTTTGCTTATCCCGCCAAGTAATCAAACATTTTGACAAAGTTGATAGCCCCGTATCTTGTATTCATCACCGTAGATACATATGCGGGTTGGGGTTCAATAATATGGAAAGATATACAAAGCGTGTGCTCGCTTCCCCTTATCTTTTTGTCGCCGCATATTCAATAGCACTGCCGATCACGGTTGCTAAAAGAGGCTGAGCTGGTAAGATACTATCCGATCTAAAGCCGCCGGGTTTTCCGGGATACATCGGGTTTTCCGATCCAGCGGCGATGTGTCGGACCCTGGTTGTAATGAACTTTTGCTGTAAGGACGTGTGGAAAATACGGTATTAACAGTGCTTATCTGCTACAAACATGACATCGTTCTTTATGGCAGGTGCAATGTGTACACTCCGTAGTGCATTTTTTTTACCCCGAGGTTTGTGTACAAAGGATTAGACTTGATAGGACGCATAACAATAAGTGGTATATTGTGCTTAACGGTTGTGAGCATCGGCTGGGCCAGATTTCCTGATCTGTGTGCACATTATATGACCGCATCCCTTCTTCTTACAGCACAACTTTATACATCGAATCCTTGTAAACCATACCTGTCTATCATTCATTTGGAGGGCAATATTACCTTTAATATGGTGCTGCGGCTTTCCACCGGACGTTCGTGGCATTATGATAAGCGAGGATCGAGCTGCGGGGAGCTCTTAATCGGAAGGACGGTGGGGGTACGGAGTAGTAAGGACAAGGACGCTGAGACGCTATCCGTCCCACACGGACAATTAATACGCTAGGCTTGAGGGCCTTTCCGTTTGACGCCGTTTTAAGACGGCCCCACTTGTCTATCATAGGCTTTTCAAATCGCTCGCGTCTGTTATGAGCTATTGAATTGTCATACCGCCTGCACCATGTGCAAAAGTAGGAATCCCATACCTTCCATTAACGTAGGCAGGGCTATTTATATCCAATTTTGATTTCAAAATGAGTACCAATTGCTTCGGTTTAAATGGCTTAATGGAGATCATACTGTACTACGCATAACTTTCCCACAGTAAAATGTTCCACCCTGTGTACCTTTTTTAATCGTTGTCCAAGCATGTCAAGAAGTTTGTTTAAGCCAAAGATCTACCACAAAGGTTGCAGTATCTGCACGGTCGCCACATACACGTATTTCTTGGTTCTGCGGACGTTTTCGAGCAATACTTGAGAATCTTCGAAGTGCAATTGGCCGAGAGTCTCGGACAGCCTACCGCAGATAGGCTGTATCGAGAAGTGTTCAGCCGAAAGGCATGCGCATAGATCGACAAGCGGCCGGCCACCATTGCAAGTATTCGGGATATTCGGATTTAGCAATTTATCCAAAGTCAACTTGAAACACCGAAAAAAACAATATCTCAAGTATTGACAAACCAAATAAAGCACTCATACACAATAGCCAAGAGTCACATGGCAGCTGTCCCCTTCGTGCAATGTCTGTCAACAAGTTTTTAGAAAATTATCAATATATCTATAGCCAAAAACGGTATTAGATCAGGGGCCAAATAATGTTCGGGCATTGCCTTCCTGCACAGCGTGAATTTTAGTCATGTTGCCGTCAAATGCCGTCTGGACGTCGCTATTAAAGGCGGTGGACAGAGCTGAGCCAGCAGCAAATGGAGTGAAAGGGGTGTCCGAGCCCCAGAGAATATTGGTGTAGTCGACCCATCGCAGAAGGGGTGCAATGGCGAAATTGACAGGCCAAGGACCAGCCAAGTCAAAGTAGAAGCTTCTAGCCAGCGTCGCCTTCATGGACGAGTCGGTCAGATTGAGGCCAGAGTAAAGGCTGCTGTAGGTGACGATTCTATCAATGGTTGGGATGATGCCACCGCCAGCATGAGGCATGATCCATTTTAGATTAGGGAAGCGGGTAGGAATGGTCGAGTAAAACAGGTCGGCAAATGTGCGAGCCGTTTCAAAAGGAAAATCGAGCGTAGGGGCAGCAAACTGACGAGTAGCCACGGGCCGATTGAGAGCAGCCCAGTCTTTCTCCGACACGGGATCGGCAGTGTCGTTGATGTTATACAGAGAGGCGGCGTACTGGGTGCACGGCGTCGTGGGGTGTTCAAAGATTGTCACATTGAGGGCATTGAGGGCCTTGTAAACAGGATCGAGCGCCGGGTCGCCAAAGTACATCCCAAAAAAATTAGATAGCAGGGCGACGCCGTCAGGCTTCGGGCTCAGCTTGGAGAAGACATAGTCGATCTCCTTGAGTGATGCCTGAACATCGGGAAGGGGCAGCGCAGCAAAGTAGCCAAATTTGTCAGGGTAAGTAGCTGTAAGATTGGCAGCATACTCGTTCACGCGACGCGCAAGGCTGATGGCGTTATTGGTGGCATTGATGGATGGTACTGCAAGGTAGACCCCTGGGCTCGAGATGGACAAATATGACTTGTCGATGCTGTTATTGGCCATGAACTGAAGCGAGAGCTCGGGAGTCCATGTCTGGGTGGCCTATTAGACAACTAGCGATGAAACGTTCTGAATGAAACTGAAGACTTACTGGAATACCAGGCATTCCATCTGGGCCAGGCGTTTGGCCTGCATCTCTCAATGCCTGGGCGTAGAAGTCGGGAAGAAAATGAGAGTGGACGTCAATTTTGTTGATGCCAGAGCATTTTGCAGCCGCCACCAATTGGCTGAAACAAGCTAGTACGTAGCAGTATTTGTTGGCGAGCGAGGATTTCATGGTGAAACCAAAGGCAGATACTCACAGCTGCTAAATTTGGTTGGAAGGAGCCTGCGTGTCGTCGCTAGAGGGAGAAGATTAACAGCTAAATTTGTGCCGCCTCTGGATCCGAGAAGCAGAGTCTGGCAGAGACAAGACTTATAGCAGTCCGGAATCCTGAAGGGGGGAGGGGGAACTCAGTATGAGACAGGGCTGTGCCCATGCTGAGTTATATTAGCTAACCCATGCCAGAGATATGAGCTCTGTACGAGTAAACCTGCATTGTCGGCGTTACATACTTCGCAAGATACTAGCTGCTATTTGTCGGTCCCGTACGCTCTAAACACTGACCTTATCGAATGTACGGAAAACTACGGATCTCCATTCACCGCTAAATTGTAGCAGCCAGTTATGTATGGAACAAGCTGTGCATGACTTCCCCCACTACGGAGTACAGTACGGAGTACGGAGTACTGTCCGTAGGATTAGCATCCCTGAAATCATGGTCCCGTGCAACGCTACTGTAGGCCGAAGCTCTTTACGGAGTACGGAGTAGACCCATAATTTCGGCTCCGACAGGTTACGCTAGTTAAATGAGGTGTGAAAATCAGCTGAGGAATACTGCAGGATGCCCGGCCAGACTTTCCTTCTTTGTAAGGTACTCCGCGAAGGCCGTGGTCTGGATCGATGTGAGATCCCTTTGCACGCCCCTTCAGGGAGGATTGGAATGTGAAAGAAAATATGCAGGGCTAACGATTCAGCTTCCGCCTTTGTCGTAGTTGCTTTGTCAAAACTCTCGGCTAGGCCGTATTCAGTATCACAGCTAGCATGTAAGATACATTTCAGTTTCAGAGACTCTACTTACTCGTATACCATAGCCTATTGACGTCCCGTCTAAAGACGAATTCTCGTTGTGCCTGTACCTTCTCTGGATGTATGTCGCGATGAGTATCCTTCTGTAGAGTTAGAGATATAAGAACGAATGTCTGTTCAACAAATAATGTCGACTTGCTTTTTCCTACAATTTTCCTAAACTCTGACTGCCCCACCGACTTATCAGATGTAACATTCAGCCCCAAAACGTCGAATTCAACGGCTTCATTCCAGCAGCCCCCTTTACACCATGTGGTACGTTGGAGACATTGCAGTTTCACAGAAAAATCATGCTTTAGTTGGACTCGAATTTAGCTTCACGATTCTCGCCGTGGTTTTGGTCTTGCTGAGGATTTATACACGAATATGGCTGGTAAAAAATCTGGGCTTTGATGATGTCTTCATCGTTCTTTCTACGGTAAAGTCACTTTTTTAGTCTAAAAGCTCTCGGCTGCCACTAATATTATTCCTATCATTCAAGTTTGGAACTGTAGGGTTTTTGGTAGGAGCCATAGAGCGTACGTTTGCTGCGCGTCATTCCTTTTCGTGTGGTGAGACATATCCTAACCCAATCGCCACAGAGATTCGCTACGGACTGGGCAAGCCCCCTGATGTTGATCTTCTGTCACCTTTCATCCAAGCGTCAACGGCAAGCGTCATTTCTTATACGATCTGTCACCTTGCGGTCAAACTGTCCATCTCGATACAGTGCCTGCGAATCTTCTCTACTCCAACCGCAAAACGAATCTTCATTGGCTTCATCGTCTTCCTGTCAATATACGGAGTGATGTGTCTATGCTTGACTGTTATGACATGCCTACCTGTACAGAAATATTGGGATGCATCCATTCCCGGTCACTGTCTCGACAACCGAGCTCTGCGGTACGCTTTTTCTGGGATCAATATCGTGAATGACATCGCCCTTCTGATTGCACCAATGCCGTTTCTGCTAGAATTGCATATACAAAAGAGGGTTAAGGCTGTGTTGGTGTGCGTGTTCGCCACAGGAGGACTGTGAGTCCTAGACATCTGTCCATATAACAAGATGGAATTTGAGTTTCGCTAACGAGGCCAGAGCCTGCATCGTTGCTGTCATCCGGCTCTATTCGCTATGGTCTTATAGCGCAGTCTCTATTTCTGAACGCCCAGGTCAGTCGTTCATTGTAGCCCAACTGTACTGCTGAGCTCAGCTGACAGGCGATGCTCGTTACCCAGTGAAAGGAATTGCTGTAGCAATTTGCTCGGGATTGGAATGCAACATGGCTATCATGTGTGCGTGCGTTCCTGCACTAAAACCGTTTGCCAGCAAAGTATTTCCCAGTCTCATCGATTCGATCAATTCGGCAAAATCCGGTGGCCGACGGTATACCGAAGGCAGTGGCCAAAACTACAATAGCATCATGCACAGTGGCGCCATCTTAAGAGTGCCTGTCGACTTGGAATCCGGCAGGGGCATCCGGCAGCAGCAGCTGTTTGAAATGAAGACAGTCGGTGTATGTGAAGACAACGGCAGCGAAAAGAGTCTCGTTACGTCTTCAAAGACTCCCCATCGTCGCACGCAGATCTTGACAGTCACACCACAAAGATATATCGATACATAGAACAAGATGCAATGCTCCTACAGGTTTAAAAGCTCCACAGGAGCAAAAATCAGTTTAGTACTACGTACAGAGTGCTTGCCTTGTTACGAATGCCGTTGACACTAAAGTGCTTTAGTTTAACGCTGTGATTTGGTGTTTATGAGTAGAAGGTAAGATACCTGCAGCACACACTAAATGTTAATCGCGTACAACCCCGCACTCACCACAGACCACCTAACAAATGTGATAGCCACCTGAAAACTAGCCCTACGGAGCTCTAACACGCCTGCATAGAAAGTTATGCAAATTTTGCCAAGGAAATGCATACTTGGCAGACCAGCTCACTTGATATTACACCTCTTTGTACTGCTACATTTCTAAGGGATAGAGATTCCGTTGGCTCGGGAGGTGAAGACTTGTTTAATGTGATAAGGAATACGTGTACTGTGTGGCGCAGGACGCTATTCAATAAGGGATTTCGTGCACGTCAGCATCCGTTACGGAGTACTAGGCCTATAATTCAACGAACAGGTTTTGCATGAATTTGGCTGCACACAACCAGGTCTATTCCCATATCACCGAGCTTCAACGCGAGAACTCATTTCCGCATCCCGAGGCTATAACCATGCTCAAAGCATGCCCCGGAAGATTTCTTGTCCGTCTTCCAGATTTTTTATGCGGTCTGTAAGGAAGGCCCGCTGTGTCTTAGTTGCCCTCGACTCCGAAACGACATTTTCAATTTTGCTGTCAGGTAGGCAGACGACAACCAATGGAGAGAATATGTCATGCAGATTGCGGACTATATGCCGCTCTATGACTTGGGTTGTGACATTGGCGATGAAGGTTTTTTGTTGGACCTATTTGGTACCGTTAATGAGGCGTTACAAATCGAAATTAGATGAAAAATGGCACTAACCTTGTAGATGGCGAGTAGGCCATCCAGGGCCTCCTCGCAACTAAAGTCGTCCATGTTGGAAGTGTCAGTGTCTGCTGCACATTTATCCATAGCACTGTATAACTCCCGTTTTAGGTCAATTGGCGGGTAATGACTCCCATAGTTGCACTTCGAAGTTGGAGCATGATCGCTGCGTATATGCTCCCCAATTTAGACTTTTATTCTATCGCAGCGGTTTTTATAGATCGTCGTTGTGTAGTAGTGATTGTAGTTGATTGGAAAATCTTTACGATCTCGGGAAAGATTGTCCAGCTCGTGCAAAGCCGCCTGTCGACGTGCCTTCATCGTATCGTGGATCAATAAAGACCTACGCAAGTTAGTATTTTGGTTGATTGCCTTTGGAGCAAAATCCTTGCCATATTCTAGACTTAAGGTCGGTGCGCTATAGCAGTCTTGGATCCTAGCGAGAATTCTGCCCGTATTCCCGCCTTAAAGTAATCATGCTCATAATTTCCAGAGATGCCGGCCTTGCAAATTTCATAGCACTCCATAATAAACCGGGCTAAGAAGACACGGCATTCTGCTGCTGTCGTTCGTGACTCACCCAAAATCTTGAGTTCCTCGTAGGCAGAACTCAGGGAAAGATCCAGGTCTTCTTGGAGGCGAGGGAGCTCCTTTTTCGAGTGGCCAACGAGCAGATGACTAAGCTTGACGCGCAGTGCATCAATCCCCACATCATCCTTTGGCAGGCGTACTGAAGAATGTTCGCTCCGACAGGGTTCGCTCCTGGACAGAGTACTCGCTCTCTTCGAACTTTCGATTTTTTATTACGTGCCAGCCGAGCTTGAAAAAAACGTCTCCGTTGCGTGCAAGCTCTAGGAACTTGGTTTCAGAGCCGGATCCGGCGCTCAGCCGGTCTGGTTTCGTAATGACACCCAGCGTCCGCTGCAAAATCAGTTTAGAGCTCGTTCCCTTGGTAGTAAGAACTGGGGGGCCGCTTACCTCTCCTTGAGGGTCAAACTTGCGGACTCGCTGGAGGATGGGCTGGTTTGCGGCGTCGTTGGTAGCAGACACTACAGCAAGGCAAATTGTACGGGGCTGTTTGATATAGGAGTCCGTGATTTCTGCAACCATTGCAACATCGGCTTCAGACACTCCCTTTGTAGACGCCTGGATCAGACCTGGAATGTCTACGAGGGTAAGATGGGGCTAGTCGGGCCCCAAGATATCGATGCTCAGAGTGTCACGTGCAAATGCGCTGCCTGTGTTGTCCATACTGGAGATTCCCATGGCATTCATAGCCTTGCCCATGATGTCTGGCATGTCTTCGAAATTGGTAATTGTCTCGGAGAATTTCCGCATCGCATTCTGTTGAGTCAGTGACCTATTACTGTCCGGGATGATGCGTATCGTAAGGCTGCTGTTAGGTTCACGGCGGAGGCTGATCTCTGTTGCAAATCGAGTGCAGAGATTATCATTTCGTGGAAATGGTATCTCTGTTAGAGCCTCGAGAAGAGAGCTTTTGCCGGAAGACTGATCGCCACAGACAACGATCTGTGGCAAGGATAGGACACGGTCCAGTCCACACTTTCGCACTTTGGAGACAGTATCGAGAATACGGCGTTGCTCATCTGTTTGCAAGCTTTCCAGTGAGACGTTGGTCTTCAAACCATCTTTGGCCGAAGGCATTGATTCTGGATCAGTTGCGGTAGCCATACTGATTCGTATCTTTGAGTTGATATCAGGACCTAAATTTCAGAATTTGGAAGAAAAAGAATCCAAGTAATGATTCAGTCGCACTTAGTACGGAAAAGAACTGCTATTTATATTGCACTTTTACTCCCTTTCTCAACGTCTCCAACCTTCTTTCTAGATGTCATTTTTTCCACTCAATGTTTCAGTCTCATGGTTTTCACCGACTTTTAGTCCCTTGGTTACCGTGTGTTAGCTGCGCAGCTTTGGCCAAACTCAGCAAGCATGCGCTAAAAGTTATGCGTCACAAAAACTGCATATGCGATGTGATACACATTTCAGACCGCAGAAAGTAACATCAACCCGTTTACACGGTCTGCAATTCGGTTGCTACTTTTTGTTTGTGCATGCTATAGCCCTGGGAAAAGAACCAACTGTGTTATTTGGCCAAATTAGGAAGCTTTTCACTAGCCGGACTTCTGCAAAGTACAACCAAACGTTGCCGAATGAAGACTGATGACTATTTTCCACTAATTCTCTAGAAGCATGAGACTACACTTCTTGATGCTAGTAATCAAATTTGCAACTTGTCTGGGATTGTTGAAGCCAAGCCCAACCACAAGTTTTATCTACTTCTTAATCACTTTAGTAAAGCAGAAAAGAATGTTTTTTTTCTTTCAAACATACTGCCACGCCTGCCCCTTAGCCTTAGACCCCTCTGAGAAAACGCCTTCAACATTTGCGGTGGCTGGTAATGGCCTGCACAATTGCTGGTGCCGCTCTCCTTGAAGGTACATGTCCGTTCATACACTTGGATCAGGACGAGAATGTTACGTGCAACGGCCACCATCAGACCGCCGATACCACCACCGGCTAGTTGTTATACTACAAGAGACTCGATATGCAATCTCTCCCATGCACAGAATGTATACCTAATATCCACCCTGGCCGCAGACTGTCCACTAACGACATGTTCCCAAGACAAATCATTGATCCTCTGCCACTCAGCAATCTGTTCCATACTCGGGGCAATTCCACCCTCTTCGATCTCGATCACCCGCTCAACCACTTTGGCAGCAACGGTGCTATCCCAAACCGCTTCCCGTATTGCTCGCCGTTGCAAAATACTCAAGGCTTCGCGGCGGACCAGGCGTTGCCTGCATTTGACACCGATTATATAAAGCACAGGGGCAATTCCTATCTCCGGCGTAAAAGTCGGTTTAATTGACCCAGAGTACCGCTCATGCGCTGCCGCTATGTCGCCCGCCAAGGCCACGCATCGCTGGAATTGGGGTAGGAAGCTGTCATAGCACATTTCCCCACCAGGTCCATAACTAGCTAGGAGAGTCCATGCGATTGTATGTTGCAACCTTAGTAATGATATGAGCGGGTACGTTTCGACACTTGTGTCACAGGAGCTGCCTTGTGGCAGCATGTTTTCGAAAAGACTGAGCCACGTTTCCAACTGCTCGAGAAGGATAACCTTGAATGATGAGGACAACGACATATCACCCCTCGTGGACAATTGCTGCTGCGAGTTGTGCAGCCTCATTACCCGAGCGACGAGGATCTGGAGGTGGTCGGCAGCTTGGTCGACGGACTGAAAGATACTGACAGAGGATGGAAGCTGGGACGCAAGTATCTCTTGAATATCGGCAGGAGTCCAGTCCACCAGAAATGTTTCAGCCTGCATGTCGAGACGGCGAATCTGGCTTGAGACCTGGTAGATAAGCGTGCGAACTGCTGAGGGCCTGGCATCGATGTCGGCGTTGCGTGAGAGCTCCACGCCACCCTGTAGGTGTTTCAATGCTCGTACATGATTGCCCGCGAGATGATCAAAGCAGGTAAAGAGATAGCAGACCAGAAGGGTGATCGCGATGGTTTCGGTATTGTCGCCATTTTCCTGGTTCAGAAGAAGTTGGATGGCACGATTATAGTGAAACAAGGGAGCCTTATCTGGTAGCCAGTCTTTCGAGAGTTGCAGTTGATGCGCACGGTTGCTAGAGTCGGCATCGACGTAATTTCGGTAGATCAATCCTTGAGCAATGGCAGCATATCGCACCGATGGCACTGTTTGAGAGAAGAACATGAGAGTATTCCGCCATGATTCGCAGGGGTGGTATTCGTTTATTTGCTTGATCGAAATATGCTCAAAAGCACGCATGGCCTCGCTCTGGACTGGGCCAATTACTGGTAAGACCATAAAGGGTCTGAGATTCTTTAGAATGACCCCGTGGTCTTTCACGTGCCCTTGATTTGGCTGATATGCACTAATCATCGTGCAAGGGTAGTCACTGTCGCGGCTACCTGCTTCGTTGACCCTCTCGATGTGATTGCGACTCGATTCAACTCTAGGCTTTAGATCGAGGGGTTTTTCACTATAGCCGTCACAGGTGCGACCTGTGGACTGGCATTTCAGGCACGAAGGCCGAGACAGATCGCATTTTACTCTTCTTATCCTAAGAGGAACGAGGTTGCGTGTCAGATTTCAAGTCGAACACGACTGGCCGCCATGTAGCAATACACGAAGTCGACACTCACTTGCAGGTCTTGCAGCCCAGCCTTGACTTTGGAGCAAACGTTCGAGGCTTCCTCCTCCATGCTTGATTAGCTGTCTTTGACGTTGGCTGGCCATGTTTCACAGCGGGCGCCATTTCAAGCGAAAAGCTCATAACCCGCCAGTTGCATGCCACAATGGCCCCAAAATTGTACCAGGTCCTGACCTAGTTTTAGGAGGATCGTTCATTCGTTTGTTCGTATACCAGCGGGGAAGTCATCTGCCGCGTCCTTTGCGATGGACACTTCGTGAGAAGGGGTGGGCGGTGCATATAAAGAAATCCGGGAAGACGGAGTAGCTCAGAGACAAGGACCAATCGGGAAAACACGCGCAGAGAACTAGTCTGTACCATGATAAATTGATTGGCCAGTTCGTACAGGTGGAGCGCCACGAGAGGAGAGCTCCACAATCCACCATTTTGGTAAAGAGATACAAAGGCAATATAGCAAGTTAGTAGTAAATACAAGTACCCTTCTATGCTAAATCTTTTTATACCACACCTCGTACATTGTAGCCAACGAACAGAGAATGTTCTGATATTCGACAGTCTGCACCGCCGAACTGATATGTCTGGCTATGGCCCGTAGGATTTCGAATCCTGCTGCCTAGTTATCGTACTTACGATCTTTTTAGCTCGTGCCCTCGCCGTCAATAAACGCCCAACTCCCTGAGCTCAGATTTCTATATATTCTCTGTCGTCCTCCTCAGCTCTTCAGTTTTGCAACTTGCTCTTCACCTCCTCTCACTCAACCACATTTCTCTTTGCAGAACCCGTGCGCTGTTGGTGTGCGGTAAAAGTCCGTGTTTACTTGTGACATACTTCGAACAATATTGGGCATCATATCTCGGGTGCACGAAAGACAGCCGTTCTCTGTTTTAAGCTATCTGGGCTTCGTTTTCTCTTCGCTAGCATCGTCATCGGAACAGACGCCCTCGGTACGGTGAAAGATTGCGTCCCACTCTGTCGATGCGTCGTAAATGCTAACCTTATTACCTAGCTGTCCATATTTTTCGCGGTCACACTGTCTACGAACAATTCGATATCGGTAACTTCTACGATTACGAAGGCGTCCCTGATGCGTGGAGCTTCTTATTGTTCTGCTCTGTCTGGACTATTCTGGGCGTTATCTTCCTCCTCATTGCTGGAAACTACTTCGCGGATCGTGCAATGGTGGGCTACATTCGTGTCGCCGTCGAGGCCGTGGCTCTTCTATCATGGCTTGCTGGCTTCATTGCCGTGGCTATTAACATAGGGAGCAGTGCTTGTCCGAGAGAAGAGAACGGTTATGGGACGCTCAAGGCGGCGACAGTCTTTGGGGCGCTGGAATGGGTATTGTTCATGATGACCACGTTCCTGACTGTTAAGCACGTCTTCAGCAAAACGCGCTGGCCAAAGATTTCTACGCCAAAGACTTCTATGACCAGCACCGTTGCACCTGTTTGATCAGCGGCGTCTGGCCTCTCGCGGTACGTCACAAACCATTGGAACTGTCGGCTTTATACAGGCTTGTGGAAAGTGGGGAAGATGAAGTATTCAGAAGTCATTTCATTGTTATTTTGAGAGGTGTCTGGGCTTTTGTTCAGTAGTACGTGCAACAAGTTGTGTATCTTGAACTATACAACCCTTATTTTCGCCCGTTTCCACAAACGTAGAGACTCGAGGTGGTAATTTACACAGCGATGAACTTGAAGTCTAAGATTAGTCCCAATAACAATTTACGCAATAGAACTGTCTTCTACATTGCCTTGTTGTGTCCACTGTCCCGGTTTACTATGTCTTCTTTCTTGTGGCACTTCGTCTCAGTTATCCTATGTTCAAATCTCCAAAGTTTCAACAACTTTTAGTCCCGTAGTTATTGGTTGTTGGCCTACCGAGGGCGCTGATTCGGCATAGCTAAAACAGTAAAGAACGCTGCTCCTCTGATAGCAGCCTGAAATCAAATAATGTATTGGTGGCTTCACTGGTAGTCCACTACCTGGAAGTAGGATATATTAAAGTTGCTGAATAATCAGCATGGTTGGAGATGCCGAGGTGACCATGTAGTGCCACCGGTTCTCGAGGGACTGGCCGAGAAGGACCACAGAGATGACCATGAAAGGCAAGCTGAAGATGATGGCGCGTAGGCGCACCTTAGGCTCAAAGTGGTATCAACGACTATACAATCCATATCCCAAGCCATAAATACAATGTGGTATGGAGGAAAAGCAACTTCCACTCGTGGCAGGCTCGCCGAACTGCCGGATTCGAGCAAATAGGTTGTAGTGTGGATCGGAGGATATCGGCAATCTTACTGATAGAGGGCTAGAACCTTGGCCGGTCGGGTAGATATCAAACTGGCCGGCCTCTTCCATTGGCGTCATAGCGTGTGCATCAGCACAATCATCAGCAAGATGCAGGCATTCAATCCAAAGGTACACCTGGCGTTCGAGCCGCCAAAGGCGCGGCACTCCTTCACGGAGCTGGGCCTGGACAGGCCAAAAAATACGCCAGACATGTGTTTTACGGAGCCGTTCCCACTGTTTTCGCCCGAAGGTGTGCGCATGATTCGCCGCGAGCTGCTCAGCAAGAAAGTGCTGGACAAGCACCTAACATCTTGGCCGCGGGCGCCGTGCATTATCAGCGGCCATGAGGAGGTACGTCCTTGACTGTTCCGGGAAGAAAGCGAGGGGCTTCGATTGACGCTGACCGGACAGACGGCGACATGGATCCGGGAGATGTGGTGCCACCCGGCCGTGCGAGAAAGCGTGGAAACGGCCTTTGGGCTGCCGCTGCAGATCCTAGGTCGGCGAGGAGAGATTGGGCACTGCAACGTGCAGCTGGGAGCAGGAGGAGTTGAGGCCGTGTATCAGCTGGGAGAGGAGGCCGCCCTTGACGAGACAGACGGGACGAGCGTGAGCACCAAGGAGAAAGCCGAGCAGGCGGACAGCCAGGGCGTCGAGTCGGCGTACGACGACGTGCTCACGGACGCCTGGCACCGAGACTCGACGCAGGTGGTGGTTGTGGTGATGCTGAGCGACGCAACGACGATGGAAGGTGGCGAGACAGCGATCCGCGATGGCAGCGGCCACGTCTTGAAGGCGCGGGGAGCGCAGGCTGGCAGCGCGGTGCTGATGCAGGGCGCACACACGTGGCACGCAGCGCTGCGGGCGACAGGGGGCGCACATGAGCGCATCAGCATGGTGACCAGCTGGCACTTCCGCGATGCCGACTTGGACGACAGCGGCACATCGCTGCGCAGTATCCGGTCCGACGAGCCGATGGCGGCCTGCATCCAGGACCACTTCTTTGCCCACAAGCTGCGCAAGCTGCGCGACCGCATCGACGTCCAGCTTGACCGACTCGAGGCCCGACGCGTTGTCCCGGCCGAGGACCCCGACCGGCCGCTGCTCGGCCGCGCCGTCGTCGAGGAATGGGTGGGCAACCAGCTCGGGCTGCTAACCCAGACCGCCTGGGAGCTGTGTGAGCGCTGCCCCCGCTGGCTCTACCAGGACGTCCCACCGGCTGTCATGGCCGACTACGGCTGCCGTCTGGTCGTGGACAGCACCAAAGACGCCACCAGCAGCAGGCTTCCGATCGTCTCGCGCGTGTTTTCTCCCGATTGGGACATTGGCTTTCTTGCCGGCCTGTTTGCCGGCATCTCTGTGGCCCTGCTGTCGGCACGCAGCGTGCGATAGGCTTTAGCGCAGTCGTAGTGGACTACTAGCAATGATGCGAGATAACAAAATATGTACGGAGTCTGTCGTAAGATGACGATGTGGTGATAGCGTAGGCCGTCGGGAATGTCCGAAGTGGAATGGGTGCACGTGTTCTTCGCAAGCGCTAGCAGCTAGCTATCACCTCCCTAACAAAGCTCTATCAGTACGTCTTCAGCTCATCATCTTCTCTATACCACCTCATTATTACTATTCCTTTTGCTGCAATGTGGCTGACACTACTGTAGAGCCTCTCCAGTATGCTGACTAATACAGAACTTACAGCCGGTATAATTTAAGGTAGTTAACGTCCAGACTTACAGATTTTGTGGTGGCGAGGAAGAAAGGACTCCACCAGCCTTGCACGGAAACTAAAGTTCTTGAAGAGATGAGATTGATAATGTGCATGAAATTGAATCCAAAGCTAAAATAAAAAAACACGTTCGATGATTCGTATATTAATACAAGAAAGCCCGCTTACAGCTCGGCCTCGTCAAAAACGCGGATGAACTCGTGGTAGAACAAGATAGCCTCCATATGGGCATCGAGAGCAATCTGAACAGTTAGCACGCGCCAAGACAGAAGTGAAGGCTAGACTCACCCTCTCGTTGACGTCGTGGACTCCCCCCCAGCCCTCGTCATGCCAAGCACGGACGGGGCCAAAGCGGTAGATCTGCGAGCTCAGGTCCCAGAAGAAGAGCGTATCCGTGTTGCCGCCGGCATACATGGGCGAGACGAGGACGTTGTTACCGAAACCGGGCTCGTCAAAGACGTGCTTGATGACGCCCGCGAGGTATGTCCAGCTGGACGACGTCGTCTGCGAAATCGGCGATGGTTCCCGCAGAGCCGTCTTCCACGAGAGCCGCAGGGTGAACTGCGGGAGGTCGTCGTCATCAGCATCACCGCCGTCGATGCCCTTCTCGGGCCCGTAGACCAGCCGGACGCCCATAGCTTCGGCCACCGGCCGGACGGTGCGGATCAGCTTCACAATCACCTGATCGAGCTGCTCCTCGCCGGCGACACGGTAGTTAATCAGCGCGCTCGCATAAGCCGGCAGCGCATTTGCTTTGTTACCGGCCTGGAAGATGGTCACGGCCTGTGACGTGTGCAGCAAGCTGGCCGCCTCAACGTCATCGCTCAGAAGAATAATCGTTCGCGCAAGTCCTTCGTCACTGGGATCACGCAGGGCCGCACGCAAGGCCGGATCCATGTCCACGGTCGCTTCATCCTCGGCTGCGCAGCGCAGCAGCGAGTAGAACGGGTTCTCGGCCGCCAGCCGCGACGGAAAGTTGTCTTCGGCCTCGGCCTCGAGACGTGTCACTGCTGCTGCCAAAATGCCTATGGCCGTGTGGGCTGGCGGAATACTGCTGTGGCCTCCCGGCACGTGCACGTCCAGCACGATGTCTAGATAGCCCTTTTCACCTGTCTCGGGCGTCGCAAACGTCCGGCCGAACTGCCGGTTGACTCCCAGGCCGCCCTCGTCCACGATGATGGCAAAGGCGTCTTCGCCCTCTGGACCATCACCGTAGATCCCCCGGAGATGTTCGGCCAGCCGCGCCGCGCCATATCGGTATTTGGTTGCCTCCTCGTCAAAACCAAAGGCTGCCACTACTGTCCGCTCCGGCTCAAAGCCCTGCTCCAGCAGTGCCGTCAGCGCCGACAGGATTGCCACCACGTTGTTCTTGCAATCGTGGCTGCCGCGCCCGTTGATGTAGGTCCCATCAAAGTGCCCGCTGAAAGGCGGATACCGCCACTCTGCAAATGTGTCTGCGGCCACCGGGACCGTCTGCAATGTTAGCACTCCTTTCCGGTCTCGTGTCCCAAATACTCTACACATAGCAACTTACGTCCTGGTGTGACATAAGTAGCACCGGCTTAAGTGTCTTGTTGCTACCTCGCCACGTGTACAAGAGGCCATGCTCGTTGACGACTTCAAATTGCAGCTTCTCGTGTCTGCCTGGTGTAAGTCAAGTGAACTTTTAGCCATTGGCCACGTAAGCCACTTACAGGAGCGAGAACGTTTCCTCAAAATATTTCTGCAGGTCGTAGAAGGCATCCCAACGAGCATCCTCGCCCATACGCCCCATATCCTGGAAGTCCTGCGTCGGAATCTGCACGGCACCAGCTAGACGGCTGACGCTCAGGTTGCGAAATTCCGCCGATCGGAACAGCTTCTGCACATTGTTCTCCGTGATGTCAGGCCGAGCCGACGGTCCAATCGCCCTCTGGGCGGGGCATTGCGGCAATGACGGTGTGACGGCAGCTGGGTGGTGGCACGAGACCAGCCGGCGGAAGAAGGACGAGCCTGTCGTGGCAGTGTGGTAGCTGTTAGACAGCAGCACGACACCGGCAAAGAGAGCCGTCTTCAGCCGCCATGACGTCCGTCTCGACGGCTCCCGCATTCGGACATTAGTCGAAGTCAGCGGCAGCTTGAGCTCGGCCATGGCTGCAAGATAACGATGGATAATGGCGAATTTCTTGGTGTACTTCTTCGAAGAATCAGGGCAGGAGAAGAGCCATGGCCTAACGGCCGAGACGAGTCAGATTACGCATGGAGCAACAGACTTCCGGCGCCGGCTGTTTGCTCAGAGTTGCAGGGCTAATTAGTGGAGTCACCCGCTATCGCCATGCCCTAGAGGCCCTGTCGTTGTGGGGACTCGCCTTCTCGCTTACTCCCCAAAAGGGAAATTCTTCTGACTTTGGGGGTGGGTGTTGACGAGATCGATCAGGTTTCCTCGTTTTCCCATTTGTAGTGATAAGAATATACCACGATTGTGTGACTGGGTCTAGGAAGCCCAGCGATAAAGGCAGGCTGTCCCGAGTTCATTCGCAGGCCTCCTTGCCTGTCCACTGACATATGCATGTGTAATTACTCGTACATAGACAAAACAAATGTATAAATATACAGCGCGTGCATGGCCCCAGGGTTCCCCATTTCCCCCGCGATAACGAGCATCTGGTAAGATAATGATGGCCTCCGACAATAGAACCTCTGAGATTACTGGAATCGTCGTCGACAGCGTCCTCAAGGAGAAGGACCCTCATGTCGTCGAGGTCGGCGAGCTGACCGTCTCGGCTAGGGCCCGCGAGCTTGTTGCCGAGCTCGACAGCGAGCTGCCCACCGGTCGCTGGGAGCTCTGGGCCTGGTACGGCTACTACTTTGCCAACAACAGCGCCGGCACGCTCAGCTATGCCCCTCTGAGTATGTGGCATTGATACAGGTTCTCGTCGATTCTTCACTGTCATCTCTCACCCTACTCACATCCTCCAGTCTTCCAGTCCATCCTCAGCCAGGTCGGCCATGATGGCAACGACCCCAGCCAGGACTGCAGCAACAGCCTAGACCCCTGCGTCGTCAAGTTTGGTAGCCGCACCATGAACATCGACACCGTCACGCTCACCTGCAATGGCATCATCTTTGCTTTCAACGGCTTTCTGCTTCTGCTCCTCGGTCCAATGGGCGACTACGGCCGCTGGAAGCGCTGGATCCTACTGGCCTGCACTCTCATCTGTTGGACCACCCAGTTTGCCTTTCTGGGTCTTAAGAACGGAGGCCAGTATAAGGCTGCTATAGTGATCTACATCCTGACGAGTTAGTGATTAAGCCCTTCTATCCCGCCTTTTCTATTTTCTAATCCCCCCAGCCGTCTCATACAATCTCTGCCAAGGCTTCTGGCAGCCCTCCCTGCCGCTGCTAGCCCGCAACACTCCCGCTGCCAGAGAGACCAGACAGGTGTTTGTCCGCGGTGAGATCAGCGAGGATGAGTACGTCCACTGCCAGGTGCTGCAGCGCAATAAGCTCAGCAATATCTCCTTTGCTGCCATGAGCATCGGCTACACCATCGTGCTCATCATTGCCATCGGCGCCGCCTTTGGCCTGCACGCCGATGCGTCCACAGCCAACAACACCCACGCGGCCGTTGTGATCGTCGGCATTGCCACCGGCTTCTGGGTCCTCCTCGGCTCTCCCTGGTTCTTCCTCGAGAAGAAGCGGTCCCAGCCTCTGCCACCCGGCCAGACGTACTTTTCCGTCGGCCTCAAGGCCTACTGGCAGCTCCTCCGCCACTGCCGCAAACTCGGTCAGACATGGCTCTACCTCTGCGGCTACTTCATGCTCGCTGACGGCTACGCCACCTCCAATCAACTCGTCGGCCTCTGCCAGAACAGCATCGTCTCCTACAACACCATCATCTCCACCGAGCTCTACATTGTCGCTGGCATCTCCAACGTCGTCGGCATCGCCATCCTCTGGGCTGTCCAGCGCTACTGGCGCATCTCCACAAAACCCATGCTCATGTGCATCTGCGGCTTCCTTCTCGTTGTCCCCGTCTGGGGTAAGTCTCCCTGACCTGTCTTGGTCCTAGACCCACAAGAGTACTGGCTCTGACATACCCTCCAGGCTGTATCGGCATAGGCACAGACAACTTTGGCTTTCACAAGGCCTGGGAGATCTGGGCCTGGAACGTCTACGACTGTGCTGCCATTGCTCCCTTTTATGCCTTCACGGCCACCATGCTGGCAGACATCATCCCAAAGGGCCGTGAAGTCACCTTCTTCTCTCTCTGGGCCCTCTTTGGAAAGTCGACTGCTTGGATTGGCCCCATCATTTCTGGCGTCATTATCGACCACACAGGCAGCACATGGAAGGGTTTTCCGTTCTCACTTGGCCTTAGTGTTGCTGGCTTCGCTCTGATCGCTCTGGTAAATGTGCCCAAGGCCAGAGGACAATGCGCTATTTGGGCTGAGAACGATCCAACTCTAAGCAAGGACAAGCGAGAGACTTCCTAGATCAACCAAAAAAAGTACTTTGATTATGGATAGACAAAGTGGAACCTGGCACTATGCAAATAAGACGAATTGTCTGCCCTAGAACGAGCAAAAAAAAGCAACAACGATTCTCGGATTCTTCCATGAGCTCGACCTCCTTCGTCATCTCGTATCACTTGACCGTCTTCGCTGCATCCACTGTCTTCATCTAACCTTGAGATCATTTCCCCCAAGGAAGTTTTGGCGTATCGTCGACTGCCGCTTAGTTTCTCTGCTTATTGTCCATCTTTCCCTTGTCAGTCCCTTTCCATGGCCTCTTCCTCCCACAAGAATCTGCCCATATAGAATGTCGACATCATCTTTAGCCAAACACTCCCACAGAAACGGGCATGCGAGCCATGTGCTGTAGACAGCTGGCCTTCCGCCGACCCTGATTTTACTGCGTAGACAGAGTTCGCCGCTTCCAAGTATTTCGAGCATGAAGTCCAAGAATATTTTTGCTTGCCCTCGCCATTTCTCTTCTAGGCACTCCGGTGTTCGATGTCGATGCGTCGTCGAAGCGATTTGCGCGAGCCTATATGTACCACCATCTGCGTCGAGCCCGGCAACGACCTGTGGTTGTAATATTCGCGTCGGGACAAGGATATTGGGGGTCGGCATCGACGAGTTAATACCAGCTGGACCTGGCTCGCAGCATAAACCTCACCTCCGTAACAAGCTGAAAATCGTGTTTTTGTATCCTTATACAGAACTGCATAATAGAAACAAAAGCAGATTCTGTACTTTTGCAAAAGTGACCTCGAAACCGAGTGGGTATTTCCCGTTTTCGGCATTTTTTTCTCAAAGAATTTGCTACCGATGAAAAAGCATGTCTGCTTAACGTTCTGGTAGACAGTGACCAATCCTCAATAAGTCAAGCCACCAGTATATAGTGCCTGTGTTAAGCTCTGGGCTGAAAACCGTTGTAACAGTAGGAGGATGGCGATCAGAGAACCCCCAGGGTATTTTGTTCCAGGTGGTCGAAAGCACATCGTTATGCAGATTATACAGTAGTACATCGCGCCATCGACGACTCTGGAAAGCATTTTCTAGAGGTTCCACATGTTGCAAGCAGTGGAAGTCAAACCGCACGAACGAGCGATTCTTTTTATCAAAGGGGCCTAGTTTTGAACGGAGGCGAATATCTTGCCGCGCTAGGGTAGCAAAATGGTGGTAGAAGCTGCCTGTCGTAGGCGCAAGACTTGACGCATTCGCACCCCAGTCGGCAAGGGCCTGCATCCACGTATCTCGAACTCGCTGATCATCGTCTTCGATAGCCATTCGGTAACGGCTAAGATAGTTAAGACAGTCAGCCCAGGTGTCATCGAAGGCCGGAACAGTTTCATAAAGCAGCGCCATCGTCGAGTAATAAAGCATGTACTCCTGAGAGTCTGGGAGCCGGTGGCACAGAAGTTTCAGGAAACTGCGAATGCCATGCCGCCACATGCTTGCTGGCCTTGCATACTTGACAGCCAGTCGTCGCAACGCCGGAGATGCAGATGGGTGCTGCGAAGCCAGCATGAAGTCATGATGCTCGTGTAAGAGCGTGCGATGCAGGGTGATCAACGCTTGCCATTGCTTGTCAGTAAACTTTGTCTGGGGCTTTCTGCCGACTCCACCCATTTCTGAGTCGACTTCAATACACTTGGTTTCCACCATGACTAGTCCGACGTAGATCCCTTTGACTTCGTTGACAAGCTGTGACAGTGATATAGGGCGTGTCTCCGGCTGAAGCTCCATTGAAATAGAGGTTTTGTAGCCGACATGCATTTCCTTTGCTTGTTGTCCCGTCGTCATGAAATCGGGGTCCATCGGCGATCTTCTGTTACTTCCTGCATCGGTAGCAGCGCTTCTCTCCGGTTCCAAATTATCGCATGGACATCCCGGCCCAGCACAATGCCGGTATTTATTGAGAGTTGCAACATCACCGGCTGCGGTATGTTGGTACGAATGAGAACGGTCATGTATATTATGGTCGAGGCGAGTATCGTTATCGAGCTGTAAACTCTTTTAGTCAACGCACTTTTCTGGACAACGGGATCGTGATACATACCAGTGAGCACGATTCTGGTTTTCGCAGAGGAGAATCAATGTTGCTAGCACCCAGAGGATACCGCATCTGCTTTTTGTAATTAGGAATGCTTCTTACTTAATACGATGATAATAGTGAAATGCGCAACTTGCATTGCTTTGATGTGTTCCGTCCATTCCGGTGCGATTTCCGGAATGCTTGCCTGAATCGCCGTCGCTGTCCATTGTGCACGTATAGAGATCTTCTTGACTGCAACTCGACTGGAGGTTGCAGACATTACTTATGTGTTCAGTTTTGCCCATCCACATGTATGGCAAATGATGTCTCGGTATCGTGTATCGAATAGATGTATCAAACAGATGTATTAAATAGATGTATCAAATAGATGTATCAAAGGCAAAATGTCACTTGACGGATGGTTTGACGGATAGCTTGGCCAACGGAGTCCTTGTAGTAGGAAGACAATCTCATCAGCGCAGCAGGTAATACGGATTATTTATGCTGGCCTCCTATCACAGAAAACAAAACATTTACCCTGGTCGCCAAGCTATCATTGGTTAGAACAAATGCGTGCTTACGGAGTACATTTTCAGCCTTGATCTTCTCTTCGAATTTCGCGTCGTCGGTGGACTTCTTACCCGATACACGATCAACAACCCGATACATAATTGACAACCAAAATGCGCCACGGCTCATACGGTTGCAATAATGCTAAGAAACAACACTGGAGATCAGAATCATCATCACCCTCCCTGAAAAGGCCTGAAGAGGCAGGTGGGGAAAGCAGCCGGATATTTGATAGCACAGCCTCATCTAGAAACGAAGAAGACAACAAACCGCGACTTGCACTGTGGTGTTTTCTGGCGTCATCCTACATCTTTGTTTATCCTCTTCAAGAGTGGCTGGGTACAGAGACGACTCGTTTCTTCAACAACGTAAGTGCAGGTACAGATACAGGACGTGCACGAGAGTATTGGGGAGAAGTCATAGCTGACCGTAGCGATTTAGAATACCATCCACGCTTTTGCCGATCGTCCTATTGTGAACTTCGAAACTCTTACCGGATGGAACCCTTCGATGAATCAGCTCTTACTCGGCACCCTGGTGATGGTAGTTCTATACTGGAATGCCATATGTGCCATTTTCTCAAAAGGAGTGTGGGCTGATAAATACTTAAAATGGGTGACGTTGACGGGACTTTTCGTTGTTCTTTTGGTTGAGCCGTGTATAGATGGCGCCAGAGGACTGGTCCTTATGGTCATACCCATGACTCTGAACATGTGTGTGGTTGTTTGTCTAGTTAACGACGCTTTCTTAAGCCATTGAAGCGTAGGGTCAACAGTAGCTCTTGTTTCTTTTCTTTTTCCTACGATTATTTCGTCTTATTTTCGAGGTGTTGGGGGCGCTGCTTTCTGTATGGCAGTGCTTGGAAGAATAAGTATAAATAAATACATCTGAATACAAGACGTTTTGTTTTCTTCATAATCTTCAAACGACATTTTACGCTGAAGGGTGCTATGGCTTACAGAACACGTATAAACACTTTGTAGATAGTGCAGTTCAAATTGTTATCTTACAAGATGCTTGGTAGACAGGGTTTGATACTGCTAAAGAAACTAAAGAAGGCTTATCAACCATAACACTACACACAGTCACTGGGCACCCATAATCTGGTAGATATTGCATCCCTGTCCCCTAACACGAGCGGGACCCAGCGTTATAACGCACGAAGTGTGCAGAAAAAGCTTAAGTTGTCCAAGTCATGATAGTTACAGAGATGTGGAGGATGTTCATTACCCCTCAATACAAGCCACGTCACTACGTTACGACACGTTGCTGGCGTCTGTTGGACCAGCGCTCGTCTTTGTCTTACTGCGAGTAGACTCGTTGGGTTGTATCTTACGTGACTATTCACTTGTACTGAGATCAAGTTTTTCCAGTAGGGAGCACTTTAAGTAATTTCGTTGCCATCGCACGATAAGTAAATACTTGACTGCAACCAATCTTATACTATGGCGGACATGGCAGCCATGGTAGCACGGCGAACAACTTAGAGACCGTGGCAGAGTCAAGTAAGGCGCCGCCTCGTACAGCCGATGGCATTATGTGCGGCGAACTGCCAACGGACGAGATCCCAGCCGATGGCAAAACGTTGACCAGAACTCGGCGTGAGAAAATTCTCAAAATGGAAAATATCACAAACGAGGAGTTTAACAATCTCTCGTTCAAAGAGAAAGTACGTCTTTGGAAAAAAGTTATGGGCCGACCTGTATCGCCTGAGCGATCCCAGATCCTTGACGCCGAGATTACGGAAGAAGGTGCGGAATCCTGTTTTGCGCCTGGCATGATTGCGGTCACGATTACTGACCGCATCCAAATGCAGCAGCCGTCATTGTGTACCAGACGCCCCGCAAGGTAATTTCGGTTCTCGAAAATGGAATTGCAAAGAAATGGACGCGGGGAGACTCTCAGCTGCACGAGATGGAGGCACTGCGCGTTGCCAAAGAATGCGGCCTGCTCGTGCCAGATGTGCGTGGTTATGGGACGACACCAGCGGGGAAAATATGGCTGGCGATGGACAAGATCGCCGGCCAGCCGCTGGAGCAAGTGTGGAAGGACCTGTCCAAAACGAAGAAGACGGCGATTGCCCAGCAATTAGGCGCCTTTATGGCCCAGAAACGCGCTATGCCCCCACCAGAGGGGCACATTGGGGGCCCAAGGGCTGGCCAGCCAGGGCGCGAGATCCGCCAGTACCACGACTACGAAATCCCCGCGTGCCGTGATGAGAGCGAGTTTAACAAATACCTCCTCGGTGCGCTTCTTTGGAACACGCCTGTGCCATTTCGCAATGCCTTTGCCGAGTGCCTACGCGCCGACCATCGCATCGTCTACACACACGCTGACTTTGCCCTGCGCAACATTATGGTCCAAGATGGGCAGGTGACGGGCGTTCTTGATTGGGAAAATGCGGGATGGTTCCCAGAATACTGGGAGTATGTTAAGTTCTTTCACCAAAACTTTGGTAACAACGACTTCCGTGACTACGCCGACATTATCTTTCCGCGCAGTTTCCCCAACGAGCTCATTACCTACACAGCCCTCCTTAAGTACCAGTATCCATAAATTCTGTCGAATGAGCCAGACCAGAGTGGGAGGGGCGTGCACGATTATGCAGTGTGATGAAAGAATACATGTACTGTGTGGCGCAAGGGGCTATTTAGTACGTGTTTTGACGCACGTCTGCATACCCTAGAAGTACCTAACCATAACAATACATCTCTGCTCACGGGGCACACATAATTCGTCAAATTCAGGCGCGATAGGAAATAGGGTTCTAGCTAATAAGCGCTAATATGCACTCCCTAGCGCACTTACGTAGAGGTTCGGGGCACTGCTAATGCTACTCCGTACTGTACGTGGCCTCTGAGGCCACTAAACCTTGCGAGCGTAAGCCTTCGACTAACAAGGTGCAAACTACGGAGCTTAGTGGCTGGATGGCCCCAACATCTTGCCGCCCGCTACCTGTAACAAACTCCGTCATTTCATATGACGGATACAATCATTCGGAAAATTTGTCGTTCACAAGCATATCCCAACCCGCAAGAAAATCAGCCGAGATGTGGGACAACCTTTGCTCAATCTTCGACGAGCAAAACGTACGAGACGCTTTCCCGAAAGCTTCTAAAGACCTAGGCGAGACTTTGTTATTGGCAAGCAATCATACAACGAAAATATACATAACATGCATTCGGAACAATCAAGGGGACAAGAGGTCTCTGATACGATAAACGTGTACTCCGTACGACTATTTCTATAATCAAGCTTGATCGATAAGGAGTGATGGACAAAGATGGTTGTTTTTAGGGAAGACAGCTATCTGAGGCCAAAGTGGCAGCCTGTATGAGTGGTTCGTGCACCTCTGCGTTTCATGGGCTGCCTACGCAAACGCAGTCAAGACATTTATCGAACCGACTTCACAAATAGCGTCGCTTACGACGTGCTCCCTCTCCTCTTCGGATGCCGAACTGCTAACAACAGAGACTGTATACTGGAACCTTTTTGCGTCAGGAAAGTTGATTGGCTTCATAATGAGAGGCTGACTGCCACCAGGCAGTGCATTGCGAGGCTCAGAAAGGCTGGGCGCATACTGCACCCAGGGAATGTGCATCGGCACTGACAGCGAGTTGCGGCAGTTGGCACACCCGGCCACGTGCCACCTGCTAAAGACGGGCTCGTAGCCCATTAGCTGGGGCTCCCCGGCCCCTACATTGGACTTGCCCATGATGGATACAACAAAGGAACCGCCGATGAGACCGCGATTGATGCCGGACACACGCACCACGCGTGCTGGTCGAGGATCGCGTTTTGGCAGGTCGATGACGCTGTCGTAGTCGTATCCGACCTTTGTAATGTCCGCCAAATCCTGGAGATGGTCATAGATCAGATACAGGACAAATTAAAAAGAAACAGGAGGACCCACATTGGAAGTTAGTAGGTCAGTGTCATTGTCCGCCTTGAAAGGCGTTAGCGGCGTGTTCATGTCCAGCCATGTTCCATCCGACGTGCCCGGTGTCGGTCCCTGGTTGTCGATAGGGCTCGTGCCAGGATAGAGGGGCTTAACAGCAAGCGCAGACGTCTGGTCATGGTGCGTTTGCCAGCTCCAAAAGACCCGGTCGATGAAGCAGTGGTGGAAGTAGAAAACGGGATCAAAGGCCGCTGTGTCATTCTCGCCCATATCGCCATTGGCGCCTTTCTGTGCCGGGTCCGGATTGTCGGGCAAGTCGTAACCGCCAATGGCGAGGTGCATGTAATTATGAGGCAGTTCAAGGGACACGGCCAAGTTTTTGGTTGGGCTCTGCTCGTCGGTAACCGGCATCCCGAGGTTGGCCGTGTGATCGTCATTGTACTTGGACGCTGAGGTTGTGTTGGAGAAGACGGTGTAGTTGGGAGCAAACAGGCATAGGTTGTACGCCTCCGCTGCTCCTGGGTGCGCATTATTATTCTTATCTACAAAGTGATCGAGGAAGTTCTTGACCTGATCATCCAGCTCTTTGTTCACTTCATCTTGGCCCATAGCGCTGATAACGGCATTGTGCTTGTCCGTTGCCTCCTTGTCATGTGGACCAATCAGGCCGGAGTATGGATACCGTACGGTCTCATAACCCTTATATTTGCGGTAGTCGATAACTTTGGTCCCGGCGAGTCTTGCCAGTCTGTCCAAGAATCCTTGTTGGAATTTGTATGAGTACAGAGGGTTGTCGATTGTTTTTCCCCTGTTTTTGCCGCTTTTGTAGGTATACGTGATTTGCTTGATAATGTCCGGGAGGCATGGCTTTCCTAGCTCGTTCCAGTACGGCATGGCCACTGTTTCACAGCCCTCAATGCTGCGGAGCGCCTTTTCAAAGTAGTGGAGATAGGCTCGGTGCCATGTAGGGAAGAGAACGTTTCCATGGTGGCAGTAGCCTCCCCAATATGCCGAGTTGGAGTATCCAGCACCTCGAAAGGGCTGGCCATGCAAACTAGCAATGTGAAAGAAGGAAAGAGGGTCGTCGGGATCTTTCGCTTGGATGCCCCGAAAAGCGGTGATGAGCTGGTCGCGTTCAGCGTCAGTAAGTCTCTCGACGTCCTTGCGCACATGTCTCCCCTTCTCTAGTTCGAATGGTCCTCTCCGGTCACCAGACGGGTTGGCCATCGCAAGCCGAAGCTTGGTGCGACCATCGACTAGCGTAAAGTCATACGTGTAGTATCCGCTGCTGACTGTGGCGCTAATGGAACCATCCGTCGAACCCGGTCGAACGTTTGACATTTGGCTGATCGTGATTGTATTGGGCTTAACTTTTCCCTTGGCGTCCACAGTCCACTGACGGCAGAGAACCACAGATTCTCCGTTCGCCACATTTCCGGGGATAACCAGAGTCACCATCTCGTTGACGCTGTAATGATACCAGTTGAGCTTTCCGATGAAAATCAAAGTTTCAGGGCTCGGTACAGCATCACGGTATTGGAGAGACAGCGAGACCATTTGCTGTGCGCCTGCCGGGTTCGACATGGTGAGAGACAAATTTTTCATATCGGCCGAGACGATGGCATCAAAGGAAAAGTACTCAAACGGAACGTGAACGTATTGGTTTATAGTCTTGGTCCCACTGGTGATCTTTCCTAGTTGGAAAGTGTTCCTTTTCTCAACACCAAACGCGTCAACCGTCCATTGCCAGTATGCTGACACGGGGTCATTGAGAGCGAAGCCGACAGGAAAGACAAGTGTGATACACTCATCTTCGGCCTTTTGATGCGTATCTTGATTCCAGTTTAGCTTCCCGACGTAGAGAAACATGGTGTAGGATGGTTCATAAAAGAGGAGTGATGATAGAGATAGGCAGCTGTAGGAGATGTAGAAAATTGGCTGGGTTTCTCTGTTTCTTCTAACCTCAAATCCCCTTACACGTTACTATATATACTTCTCAAAAGAGATACTACCGCTGGCATCCTATTGGACTTAACGAATTGCCGACAAGTCGCCGTCAGGCACATCGCCAGGCCCACTTGCAGTTGGAAAAAGGAAACAGCTTCGATATGCAGTCTATCAGCTGAAGTGCTGAGAGGATGGTCTAAACAGTTATTGGCCGGTTCTACGACTACCATGTTCTCGGTACCCCAGCTACGTGGCGTAAAGCCAGGTAGACTGCCCACTTTAAAAACGCACTCCCGTAGCAGATGTAAAAAGGACGGCTTAATTCGCGAGATCGACAATACGGTAGGTCAACAGAGAGTATAGCACGGGAATACTGTGGATTTCCGGAGGTCACCTCTGCCGCCGAAATCGCTGGATAAGACGAAGCCCTGATCTGCGCGCACATTGCGCACAGTCTGGTCTTCAGTCAACCACCCTACGAAATATCATCACCGGATCTTCTGAAGGCCTTAGAGCTAACTACGATACGTGCAACTGGTCCGGACGTATATCCCCCAAGGATTACCGTACGGGTCCTACACTGGTATTACGCGAAGGCACTACCTTCGCGTTACAGACTAGTGGTGCACGGAGTACAGAGTAGAAGCCAAAGGAGTACTCCTTACGGAGTACTCCGTAAGGAATCCGCCCCATTTAGCAGTAGAGGCCTGTTATTGGTCAGAAGTCACAAAAGCGGGTTTCGGACTAGTACGGAATTAGTACAGACCCCTAAAGGGTCGCAATGTACAGAGTATTGTCTACGACGTATTTCTTTCTTACAATATACTAGACTGCTTATACTACACCTAATTCAGCCTCCTGCCCCTTACAGTGCAATAGTCATCTTTACAAACCCTGCGTATGCGTCATAAGCTCTAAGCCTGCACAGCATTCACCGACAGAATCATAGCATCAAAACCCGATTGTAAGATACGTACTACATAGTATGTAATGCACTGACTTACAGCGGGGGCTGCAATTAGACTAATTACAATAGCGTTTCTGCTATGCCTAGTCCGTAATGTATCTTTTCCTTTTTAAGCATACCTTGGTCTCTATGTACATAGTAGCAACTCTCCACTACATCCACACCCCCAATTGGAAGACCACGTCTCAAACCTTTATGTAGCCAAGACGCTTCAGCTCAGCAAAATCAATACAGGGCTTCTCAAATGCCAGGGGTTAAGTGTGTCCTTAACTAAGGCACCACAGCCGTAGGGTACGTTGTTGGGGCCCCATCCGTCTACTCCGAACAGGTCGCTCTAAAGGAACTCTGCCAAAGGGACACCGGCTGTGAGGTCCCGGTAGTTGCCCTCGGAAACTAAGAGTAAGCTTAGCTCAACAGATCGCGGCGTGGGCAGCACCTTAAGCAACGAGGGCAGGTCTTCTTGAAGTACAAAGAAATGTGAGAGCCGGTCGATGGGGAAGATGCTTTGGAGCGGGATAAAGTGGCTGTCGCCCGATGGGCCGTTGTCCCATAGGTCATGCACTTTATCGGTAACAGGCTAATATGCTCTAGGCCCGGCGCCACCGCCAGCGTCCGTCAGAGGCAGCCGCTGTGATAGGCACGCCAGCCGTAGAGCCCGAGGCCGCCGACGGCTAGGGCTAGGTCAGGACAACGAAAGCCAGGCCCTTGTAGAGTAAAGACAAGGCCACGCTGCTCGGCGCACTCTTGGTCAAAGACGTGCGCATCAAGGTCTGTAAGGAGCTGGTTGACATTAATAACCAGCTCTGTAATGCTATGGCTTTCCTGCAGCGCCTGCTGGGCCTGGCTAAGCACGCGAGCGCCCGCGTGATGATGCGAATTCCACGCCATACATCCTCATCGCAATCAGACGTGCTCTCCCACAGCCGTTGCGTCCTCGAGTGGCCAGCTGCACGGCATCGGATAGTTGAAGCTCGGCGGAAAGGCACGGATTAGGGGCGTCTCGTACAACGGTCTAAGAATCCAGTCATATGCACAGGGTGTGATGGTAATGCGTTGTAGGACCGGGAAGCGCTTCAGTCCGTATTCCAACGCATGGGCGTCAAGTCCTGTGGCCAAGACATTGCTCTGCTGGCTTAGAAGCTGTCGGTAATGCCTCCACGAGCGTTGTAAAGATATGTACACTACTAGCTTGGCGCGGGTAACGTGGTCGGGCTGCTCTAGATCGAGCCGCTTGTGGTTTTTTATGTTTTGTACATTCTGTTCACAGGCCATACAAAAAAAATTGTGGATACCCCTCGTCGTCTTTCGTCATCCTCGTCATCCTCGTCATCCTCGTCCTGTTTATCTTCATCTTTGGCTTTATCGTTTCCGCCATTTGTCCTCGTCAAAGTCGGGATCAAAGCCAGACCTTCTAGGACCCGGTTCGTCCTTCAAGCGTGCATCGTCCTAAATAATCTCAACAATCTGCCTGCGGAACACATCGTGATCTGCAACCGCCCGGAAGACCTCAATGTTGCGCAGATTCGCTGACAAGAAGACACGATCCAAAAGGAAGAAGTCACAGTTATAGAGTAAGACCGGCTGAAATCTAAGCCAAAGATCTGCCAGCTCATTCATAGCGAAGGTAGTGGGGTTTTCAGAGAGTGTGAGCCAAGTGTGGGGAAATAAACTTGAAGGAGCTCTGCCCGGCTTATGTGCAGTTGGCAGACAAGGCAACAAAACAGTATCCAGAGGCTAATTAGCAAAACAAGTTATAAAATCAGACGTGGCGTATCTATTCTTTCTTCACTCGTTTTAGTTATTAGAGTGTAGGCGACCTTGGATCTTACATGCGGACAATATGCTATGTCTGGTCAGCTGGATGGACCGATAACGCGGTAGACCTTGATTGGCGAAATGGTGTTTTTTACCTATTGCTAATGAAAATGGATACGACGTTATCAATTCACCAATTTAAGACCACCCAAGCCCACGGCTTCCATCTTCTGCTGCAAGTACTCAATCGCACGGCTGAAGGTCTTCTTTCCATCATGACAGGCACCGCTTTCGATATGCTGTGCCAATGCACTCACAGCCGAGAAATACTTAGGTGTCGTATCTTTGCTAGAACTGTTCATGAGAGCAAGCGGGCAATGGAAGAGTATTTCACCGGGCACTTGCTGGGGCAGGGCTACAGACATCTTGCCATGAACGCCCGACGACAGATGTTGCTGAAGTGCTCCGGGCTTGAACATGCGAGTACTGGTCGCAGGACAGAAGGGACATCGCTTAGTAGCAGGTTGGGGATTGGACTGCAGAGCAAGTATGACATCGTGTATCGTAGGCATAGATCCGGAAAGGGGTACGAGAGTTGGCGAGGATGGGTAGGAGTCGAGGAAATCAGCCGACGTCGGCGTGAGCATCGGGCTCGGCATGGATGACGTCGAAGCAGTGGACGCTTCGTCCAGCAGCAGGTTCTGTGTGCAGGGTTGCTGGTCTGTGATGATTCTCTCCGTGTCCATTTGTGCAATGCCATTGTCCAGGATGGCCTTTGTCATTCCGGATGTGCACTTCCCACTTTCGAGATGCATCAACTGTGCGGACGGGCAACGGAATTTCTTGTGGCATTTTGCACCTGCCACGCACTCAATGTGGCAGAGTGGTCGGTGTCGTACAGACGCACAATGCTGTTTGTATGCAGTGTCGGTGGCAAACGTCCGGTTGCAGCATTCTGTCGGTTGTTTTTTCGTCTCCTGTTTTGGAAGAGACTTGTTCTTTAATTTCGTTTCTGGTATGTGTCGTGGGCTCCTAAGATGGTCTGAAAGGGCGTGTTCATCTTTGAAATCACGATCACAATCGCAGCAGTGAAACTGCATGGTGGTTGACAACGCCATTTTCAGGGGAATGTCTAGAGGAGCTGAACCAGAGGGAAAGTGGTAGACTGAGAGCTACAAAATGAAGGACGAAAGTTGAAGTGGGCAGCGCTGATATACCTCCCATATTGTGCACAGACGTCATACTGCTGTAAATGGAGGGGGACGGCCAGTATTCGGGTCAAGCTATTATCAAAAGTACGTCGTCGAATAATACGAGATAAGAGAGATGCAGCCAACGTACACGTCTGCGACAGACGTGTCACCCTCCATCACGAACCGTTATCAGTTGCTGACGTGAGCGCGACAGCTTTTAGGCGTGACGCAATAGTCCAGAGCGGGCTGATGCTGCTGGCCAGACATGATCTCATGGATCCATAGCTTGGCCTAGTCGGAAGGTCCACGGACAAACATGTACGGGTTCTATTTGAACGGGCCCAAGTTGCCGAGCCAAAAAGTCCGGCTAAAAGTCCGGAAGAGCAAAAAATGGATACATCCGGATTCGAACCGGAGACCTTTCCCATGCGAAGGGAAAATCATACCCCTAGACCATGCACCCTTGCAATTGTTGCGAAAGTTTGTTAAACTTTGGGCTATATGGAGTAGCCGTGTATTTAGGCAACCCTTTTTAGAGCCAGCAAGGCCTAAGCCAAACAAACAAAACCAGCCAATCACAGCGTCTTGTAGCCTAACCACGACACCTAATCAGCCTCTTGCAAAACAGCTAAGAGTTAGACTAATAAACAACAATAGGCCAAATTATACCAAATCTAGGTTACAATGACAGAATATCACTAGTTTACGCCTTTTGTTGCGTTTGCAAGACGCTTTAAAGTATCAAGGCTCAAGGCTACGGTACGGAAAGCGCTGACCGCCGGGCCTGCCTAAAAGGAGTTATAGGGGTCCTTGTGGGGCGCCTAGGCTCCTCGCTATCAAGACGCGAGATTAAGCGCCCTAAATTTTCGCGTTTGGCAATTCGAAACAGCCTTGGACAACGTGCATCGAACTTGACGACGACACCCTTAAGACGGCCATTAGACGAAGATTCGACGACTACGAGCATGCGGTCCAGGGAAGAGAGCTTCTGTATTGCGAACAACGGGATTTAAAAGGCCTTTTGGACCTTTTAGCCTACATTCTTTAAGCGTTAGCGCTGAGCGGACAGCTCGGCAAGTTAAGCGTGTAGACTGTTGGGCTTTGTTAGGGACGTCTCAGGGGCATCTCAGGGGCATCCAAGAGTCGTCTTGCGCATACTCTCAGGAGCGGCAAGCGGGACCAGTGACGGGGCGCAATCGAGATCGAGCAGTTGCGAGCAGCAGAGCAGTCCTGTTTCTTGTGCTCGTGGACGGTCAAACGAGGCGAGAGATGCCATCGCAGCCGCTGCCAGGAGGAGGCCTTCCGCGGCGAAGCAGTTCTGGGCTGCCGCCGTTGCAGGAGCAAGAACACCGGCCAGCGGTTACATCGACATCGACATCGGCGCTGTCGGTGCTGCCAGGGTTGTCGACACGGGCTCTGGCGCCACAAACGCACGAGCTGCGGACAGCCCTGGCCGAAGGAACGCTGGTGACGCGGTTCCAGGCTCTACTGATGCGAGACGACACGCGGCAGGCGTTGTTTCGTGAGCGGCTAACGGCAGGCCAGCTGCAGCAGCTGTTTGGGCTGGGACTACCGCCGACACTGCGTATCATGCTGATGAACACGCTCGGCGACGTGGCTTGGTTCCGCGAGCTGCCGGCGACCGAGCGAACGGCCGTCGAGACGCGGTTCCGGGCACAACCAGGCGACGGGACAACAGCCACGCCGATACCAGTGCCAGTGCCATCGCCATCTCCATCCCCGATCCCGGTCGAGGTGAAACGACCCATATTCAAGGCTCGGCGAACGGGACGGTCGGTGCTCTCGCCCACGGCCAACAGGCTGCTCCTGCACGACCGGCGCGCATCCTCCGGCAGCAGGCTGTCGACCACGTCGTCGACAGCCTCGTCGGTCGCAGCAGCTGATGCAAAGGCCCGACGAAGGGCGGCTAGTGACCCCCCCGTTGAGCCGCAGCCGGCAGCCATCGCTAGCGACTTGCTACCGCCGAAACGAGCCCTCTCCGAGGCTGAATCGGACAGCAGCAGCAGCGGCAAAAAGAGAAGCAAGCGCCCCAAGCTGATGGGCCCCGAGACGTCGTCCGAGGCATTGTCGGCAAAAACTCCGTCTGCTTCCTCGTCTGCAAGGAAGAAGGCGAGCGTGCCTGCAGCCCGTGAAATCATCGAGATAGAAGACGACGACGACGAGGTTGCCAAGGACGCCGATGAGACGGAAGACGACACGTCCGACAGCAACACCTCGGAAGACGAGGTCCTGGCCGACACGACGCGCTCCTCTGGCTCTGCTGCCGCACCCCAGCCGCCCAGACGGATCCTGAATGCACTCAGCGGTCGCCCCTACGACATGTGGCAGGGCAAGGAGCTGCTCCTACGCTGGGACGGCTTTCCGGACGACCCACACGAGCTCCTCGAGACGGCCAAAGGCGCCGCCATTCCCGACAACTACCAGCTCTCCGGGCCGCTGGCCACGCCTTGGGTCTGCCCCATCCGCCCGTGTGGCCGTCACTTCTTGTCGCTGGCCAACATGGGTCTCCATTTCAAGGTGAGCTGGCCAGCCGTCAGCCTGGCTAGCCAATGATGCTTACAGACCTCTACCTTGTCTCAGATTAATCATCAGTTTGCCCTGCTCCATGACAACCTCGACGGAAGCTTCTCGCCGGTGCCGGATGTGGCCAAGGCACCAGGTCAGCTCGGTGTCTGGGTCATCTCCCGGGCGAAGCCGAAGCCGAAGCCAAAGCCGCAGTTGCAGTTGCAGTTGCAGTTGCAGCGGTCGGAGAAGCCAGCCACAGAACAGCCACCGGTCCTGCCGCAGCTGTCCCAATTCCGGTCCACGTCTGGCCCGGTCATTCCAAAAGACACGGCGCCACGATCAGAGAGAGAGAGAGAGCGGCCAGATCGACGTCTCCTCCTCAAAAACGAAATCGTCATGGCCACGCCCGGTCGCGAGTACCTGGTTCTTCCGCTCGAACTTCGTGGAACAGAGAAAAACAACAGCAGCTTTGGCGTGCCGTTGCCCGACGGCTACCAGTATTCCACATACCCGAAACATCCGTGGATCTGTCCGGTGCGCACGTGTCGGTCTGTCTTTCTCCGCATTCCCAACCTGGGGGCCCACTTCACTGTAAGTCTTGGCTGCAGCGTCTCTCTTGGCCTCCTTCGCTGTTCCCGCTGACCGTCAGCGAAAACACCGCCGCCGGCTGCTTAACGACAACGGCGACGGCACGCTCTCGGAAATCGGCAAACACGACGCTGCCCGTGGCATTGTGGTGTCGCAGACCCGCCGCAAGGCCGCCGAGCTCGAACCGCTAGCCGTGCCGCTTCCGCCGGGATACAACACAGCAACAGCTGTAGCGGCAGCTGAACCAACAGAAACAACACCTTCTACAGTTTATAATACAGTGCCTCATGAAGTTATCGACACTGTGCTCTTAGGACCTTTGGCCCACACGACGCCGACGTGGGAGTACGCCCAGTCACTGCTGGTGCGGCACTGCGAGCAGATGCCGACCAAGGGCTACGTGCCACTGTTTGCGCAGCTGGCCCGCCTGCGCGACATTCAGTGGAACGAGCTGTGGACGGCGCGGCACCCGTTCCACGACACGCTGCCGCGCGACGTGTCCAGCCTGATCTTCCAGCTGACGGGCGAGCGCAACAAGCTGCCATGCCAGTACTGCCGCGAAGGCAAGGGCCCGTTTGCGGGCTGCGTGATCCTGCCGGTCCACGCGCCTGTCGAGCTGCACGCTGCCGTCACGTGCTGTGCCAACTGCCTCTATCACTGCGGCCAGGCGGGCTGTTCGCTCAAGACGCACCTGCGCGACCGCTTCGGCGTCCTCTTCCCGGACGTCGACCTGGACGCCGAGCGTCACCGTCTCAACCTGCCGTCGACGTCGTCAGCCGACGCCGTCACGGATGACAGCCTAGACAGAGGCCCAGCTTCTTCTGCCTTTAGCCGCCGCTCCGAGCGGATCGCCGTGAAGGAGTCCGTGGCCGATGGGCTGGCAGCACCGGGAACCGACAGCGCCGGCATGGGCTCTACTTCGGTCAAGCGCAGCCGCTCGGGCAACGCCACGCCGCAGCCGGCTCCAGCCACCGTCATGACCGGCGCCAACGCCTCCATCGCCGACTCGACCGGCCAGCTGCTCGAGATGGAGGACTGGAAGGTCGCGCCCGGCCACGTCGAGGTGCAGCGAGCCGCGCGTCCCGGTGGTGAGATCCGCACCGAGAGCGTCGCCTTCTCCAACGCCTACCTCACCACGCCCGGCCAGCTCGTCCGCATCGACCACAACCTCTCCTTCTGCGTCCAGGTGGTCCGCCCGGGCGCCACCCAGGTGTTCAACCCCGATGCCTCCGCCACATACGTCTGCTCGCTGGCCGCTGGAAAGCTGCGCGTCCGCGTCGACGACGCCGAGTTCATCGTCGGCCCCCACAGCATGTTCCAGGTTCGGCCCGGCCAGTGCTTCACCGTCCAGAACCGGCTCTACGTCGACGCCTACCTGCACATGTCCGCACTACGGAACCTGCCGTAGAGAGCCGATGCGGACCGAAGGCGAGGAGGACGAGGCAAAGCCGGCACAACGTGCCCATCTTGGCAGTCCTGTACAAATAGAACATGCATACGGAGTAACAGTCGGGATTTAGGGCGCAGACGCATCCACAGAGGGTCAGCAAATGCTTAGTCAGCCCATGGGAAGTATCTTCCATGTCTTGCATGTCAGATGGCCCGCCACCTCATCGACCAGGGCGATTATGCCCACGTGGCCATCCTCGACATTGTCGACCGGGCTGTCGGAGCTGCCGTGGCTGTCGATCTTGTCGCAGCCGCAAGCGAGACAGCCTCCTGTGCGGCATCCAACAGCTGCTCGCAGGCCCATCTGTGTCCGGCGCCGTCGCCGAGATTAGCGGCAACAACGTCACCCTGTCACCACCCCTTCCCTACGCCGACGTCGAGACAGAGAAGAGCATGGCAGCCTTCTGGTCTCAGCGATATGTGCGAAGGCAAAGGGAAGACAGTACTGGACTCTGTCCGGCTCGGAAACACGTTCAAGTATTCAACAGTCAAACAGTCCAATTATATACAAGAGTGCCCTCCGGAAAGCAAAAGGCTAAATCTAACAGGCGTCATCGAATAGCGTCAAAAGTCGTAAATCCTGGACTTGCACAAGCCTGTGCAGCATGTATATGCATGAGCCCATCCCGGGTCATCCAGTCGCCCTGTTTGGTCCCCCCTCAGACGTACACCCGCTGGTTGGAGTGGGAGCTGCGCCGGCTGCGGCTGTGGTGGCTGCGGCTGGCCGGTCGGTGGCTGCCGCTGCCGCTGCGCCGGCGGTGGACGCGCGTGGTGGTCTCGCGCACGTAGCGGCGGTCGCCCTCGGTCGTACTGAGGCGGCTGCCGTGCATCCAGGCGAGGATGGCAGTGCAGAAGAAGAAGACGCAGTTCATGATGCCAAAGGCAAAGGCCGTCTTGAGCATCGCGCACGGCTTGTCGGTATTGATGCTGATGCCCTGGCCGCTGACTGTGATCAGGCCGGCCGAGACGACCCACGGATCGGACGCGGAGATGTGCGTGCAGTTGGCCGTGGCGATGAACCGCAGCTCGTACACGGCCGCGATCAGCGTGCCGACAAAGCCAAGGTCGATGAGCGCGACAAAGAGCGCGTTCATGCTGCTGCGGTGGTAGCTGAAGATGGTGAAGAGGCACCAGGCCACGCCCAGGACCGACGTGATAAAGAGAATGAGGACATAATTGGGCGTGAGCTCGTTGGCGCTGATGAAGCCGTGCACAAACCAGGCGAGGATGCCCATGGTCGGGATCTGGAGCCGGCGGGAACAGTCGGTCAGCGCGCCCATACGAGAAGGGGAAAGAGGAGCAGGCGACGAGCCAGACAATGACCGGACCAGCAGATACGTACCAGCGTGATAATCTGCATGACGCGCCAAAAGGCGAAGATGACTGCGAACACCATCGTAGACAAGCGCTCGCAAGCTGGGGCAGATGGCAAAAACCGTTGCTCAACGATCCTGAGAGCTGGAATGCGGCCCCGTTCGAGATAAGCTTTCCTGCACTGTCTCGGCACAGACAAGAGGACTGGAATGCGGAGGAGAATGGAGAGAAGAAAAAGCAGATTGCAGGATGCAGAATGCAGAATGCAAATGGCAGATTGCAAAAGGCAGCAGGTGGGGATGACGTCTGTCTTTAGCGACGGCCTGGCAACGTCCTTGTATCCTGGGAATACGAGCAACGAGGAAGGCAGTCCAGGAGCAATGGGAGAGATCCTGGGCAAGAGCGACGCCAGCAGCTTCTCCAGGTGGGGGGGGCGACCGGGCAACCAATGGGGCCCCCAGGCCCAGCCTCTTGCAGCAACCAGCTCGTCTGGCTGCTACACCACCATACTTTGTATGCCGTAAAACCTCGCCAGCGAACCAAAAGGACCAGGAGCCCGACTCGGCCTGCATGGCGCGTCGCATCCACCAGCTTCACACCACGGTCACCGTCTTCGTTGCTCTTCTCGCTCTGCTTGACCGACAGGTCGAACGGTCTCGAACAACACAAAATGGCGGTCGATTATTCACCGGGCAACAGCTGCAATCGGCGATGGCTGGGGAACACACTAGCCCCAAAACGAAACGCCAGCAACGCTCGGACCTGGACAAACGGTGGCTGGCGGCTGGTGGCTGGTGGTCCTAGGGCGCTACTCCGTACAATTTAATGCTTTACGGAGTACGTCGTACGGAGTACACAGCACGAAATACTCCGTACGACGTATTCCCAGCCACCACCAAGACCTTGTAAGGAACATCGTGATTAGATTAGGTCATAAAAACTCCGAAGTCCGTGCCATGACGATTATGTAATTGGTATCCAACACGTTGAGACCACATTTGTCCAGCTCACAGCTCCGTCTTCACCTCTCCTGGTCATCCGCCATATCGTCAAAGTCCCGAATAACCGGGGCCAGGCTGTCGGTCTCGTCGCCATCACCGCTCAGCAGTGGTCTGTCGCTCCTCTTCTCTCTCCTTCTCCTGCCTTCCCGCTCGCTGCCGCTGTTGTTTCCGCTGCCAGTACCGCTGCCGCTGCCGCTGCCGCTACCACTGCCACTGCCAGTTCCATAGCTGCTGTAGATCTCGCTGATCGGCGAGTTCTCGACATCAAGAAAAGCTTCCGCCAACGACGGCTCCCTGGGGATGTTGGGCAGCCTAGGCAGCGGTGGTAGGCCACGGGTCGGTCCTTTCCTCTCGGCGCTGCCACCAGCCCGGCTGTTTGCTTCACGCACCGCTGCCTCTGACCAGTCCACATCTTCCATACGCCCGATGCCCGTACCAGGGCTGGTCAAACCCGCACCCATACTTCCCTGGCCAAACGTCCGGGCCATCTTCGGTGTCCGATTTCCCCGGAGTGCCGACGACGATGACGGACCGGCGCTCGAGGCCTCGGACATCACGCTGCTGCCACCGGCCACGGACCCTGTCGGCGAAGGCGTGTATACGCCAAAGGACCCAAACGGCGCCGGCAGATGGCCGCTTCCGCTGCCACCACCACCTCCGCTGTAAGGCATGCCATGTGGACCTCCAGCTCCATGACCACCCACTGCTGCCACAGATACGCCCGATCGCACAGACTGACCGCCGCCACCGCCGCCGTACGACGTCAGGTAGCCTGTCGAACCGCTCCGTATTGTCATGCTATCCATTGTCGGTGGCCGTGGGAAGGCATAGCTGCTGCCACTGCCGCCGATACCGCTGTGCCGCTGTGCTGGGCTCGTCGTTCCTGAACCGCCGCCCGCCGACGACGCAGAGCTCTCGTCGTTGATGTTGTCACCCTGGTTGGTCGCGTTCCATGTGTCTGCAACCACCCAGCAGTGTGACAGCTCGTGGGCCGCCTCGTCACCGCCACCGCCGGTAGTCCGCCAAGGCGGCATCTTGGCACCCTTGAGCCGCGGAGACAAATGGTAGGCCACGCCCTCATGGTACCGCATGTTGAGCGCGTCTACCGCCACCGAAGCCAGTGTCTGCAGTATGCCATATATGAGCACCCATCGCCCGCGCCGTGCTGTCGAAGGGTCCACGTCGCCAACTCGGTCCGCTTTTTCGAACTTGGAGAACGCATCGATCAGGTCCGACTGCGTGAATTCAGAACCCAGCACCAACATGTTCGTCGCCACCGTGTACGCCAGCTGCACTCGACGCTCGACTGCCCCTGCACGGCTGCTCATTCCCGCTTCCGACTCCGGTACCAGTGGGTAGGGATGTGGGATGTGTGGAAACCGCAGTCGGTTGTCAAATTCGACCAGCATGTCCGTCATCGGAAGGTCCGCCGTGTCCGCCTCAAACGCCTTGTTGCCACTCTCTGACACCAGCATCCACTTGCGTCCCGAACGTGCCTCAGAGCCGTCCCACACAATGTCACGATCCACGAGATAGTCGTACAGGGCCGCAAAGTCCTTTTGGATGGCATGTGCCACCGTCCGTGTCAGCCACATGTCGTCGTCCTGGCCGCCTCCAATGGCTAATCCCGACTGTATCATCGTTGGGGGCGGCGGCAGCGGTGGCCACCGCCCGTATGCGCGCGTGTAGTGTGCGATCAGGAACTTCTGCAGCCGATCTGCTGCCCCCTTCGCCGGGCTCTTCATCGCCAGCCCGCCCATGCTGGACACAGACGCCACGGCCCCCGGCCACATATCCACGTAGTGGAAGTTCGCCAATCGCTCCTCGGCTGCCTGCACGCGCAGCTGCGTCTCGAGACAGGCTCGTTCCAGAAGGGCGCGTGTGATTGGCGTCACACTCTTGAAGTCTGCGCATGCCTCCAGGTTGGCATACATGCCTGCGCAGTGCAAAAAACACTCGCGCCAGCCCTCCTCCCACCGCACATCCGGACTTTCTGACCACGCAAGGATCGACACGGCAGCATCGGGCTCGTTGCGCACGTCGTCTATGCCACGTGCTCCTAGATAATTAATGATCGTTCCAACGTTGTCCGTCTCTGGCGGCATATACGCCTCGAGTCGCGCATGTAAGTCTGACAGCGCCTGATACAACGACAGCCCGACGAGGGAGGCGTGGTACAACAGTGCAAGCACATTGCGCGTCGTAATGTGATGCCGCAGCTGGTCCGTCTTGCTCATATTCGCCGGTGTCGGGAAGTACATCTCGTAGCTGATCTGGCCATCGGCTTCTCTCAAGCTGTTGTCCTCCGAGATCGGTGGCGTAGGCTGGCCCATGCCATGTCCGCCTTGGCCGTAACCATGGACATAACCGTGGCCATAGCCCTGCAGCCCCAGATGCTGTTGACGATGTTGGTGGCCGCTTGCACCAGCCAGGTGCCGCTGGAGCATGGGTGGAGCGCCGACTGGAGATGGGGGCAGCTGTATGTCCTCTTCCGTCGATCCCTCTCGCAGCTGTGTGATGAGGTACCGAGATTCTGTAGCTTCGACGATATGCGACGACAGTCGGAAGGAAGGGTTTGGCCGCGGCTGCTGTCCTTTATGTCCAAAAAATACGAGAACATCTCCGTTTGGGTCCCAGAGCTCCGGGTCCTTGCGCAGCTTGTTCCATCTCTGTACCGGTCGGCCGGCTCCGATCCAGCGCTTGATTTGTGGCGCCGTCGCAGCCGGTGGTATAGGAGGAAGCTTCGCCGAGGGTGGCGGATGCATCGCACTGCCAGGAATGTCCCATGAATTGTCGCTCGTTGGTGAGCCGTAGGCTTGCTGGAAATGCTCTTGTTGCTGCTGTTGCTGTGCCAGGCGTTGGGCAACCATTGAGTCCATAGATTCATGCGCCTGGTCATGCTCGCCGGATGTATCACTGCCCAGCGGTGGTCGAACAGTTGCCGCAGAGAGCGGCCGGAAGTCGGGATCCTTGTCTTCGTTCTTGTGCTTCTTGCCAAAGGTAAACGCCTTGACCAGGCCTCGGCGCACATTTTCACTCTTCCTATCGACAGCCGAGCGCAAACCTGATTTCTCGATGCCCGACACGTCTTCTGTCCTAATGTTAGGCCGGCGCGCTCGCGCGTATGCAAAATCCTCCAGAGGGCCGCCTCTGAAGTGACCGCCTGGACCGCCCTGCCGGCCATCCACGCTGTCACCGCTCTGACTTTCAGAGCTTGCGCCCCCCCCTATGTCGTTGCGATAACCACCATTTGTCGGCTCCACCTCGCGGATAGGCTCAGAAAACTTCAGGAAGCGCGCATTAGTGGTACCTATGCCAGTGTCCTGCCTCGCCGGCATGGCAAATTCGAAGCCTGCATTTTCCTCCGAGCTGGTGGTGGATCTGGCCCCGGATCGAGCCACACCCTTGCCGTTGCCGTCGACCTTGGTCTGTGTGATCTTCTTGCGAACATATGCGCTCCTTCCAGACATGGTAGATGTCTAGCCGTTTACGTATTGGCGAATATCCGGGTCAGTTGGGTCAGCAGGACTGATCGATGGTCAGTCAGTCAATCAAGCAGCCGAAGTAGGCCGACTTGCTGCAGTCAAGCTGCTCAGTTCGAAGACGACGCGATGGTATAGTAGGAGTGTCTCCAGAGAGGGTTGCATTTCAGGCACCTGTTCGCGTCAACAGCCGTCCCAACACAGAGGGGGTCGAGTTCTTAAACAAGATATATGAAGCAGAAGGGAGATTTCAATGCAATCCGAAGCACGACGCAGCTAGAGAGAGGGGGTATATGGCAGTAGTGTCATACAGGGGTCGCGCCCTAATTGTAAACGAGAACGAAAGCAGCATGGGGGTGTTTCTTACGATCCAGAGACAGCAGGCCGTCCCTGGGACAAAAACAATGATGGAACGGAGATTCTGGAGACAATAGGAAGGTCCGGCAGGGGTCGCATGCATGCGGTCGGGATCGCCATCCCCTGTAATCGACCCTTGCCACTGGAACTATAGCATTTTCTTTCTTTTCTTTTTTTGCGTTCATATCAAGTGGAGGGATTATTATGAACTTATTCCCACTTGGCGACGATTGTAACGGGCGGGAGATAAGGAAAGGCAGGCGGGACGCATGTAGTGGGCTTAGCGGAGGGGTTATCATCTTACCTGCACAGGACAAAAGAAAAGGCGTGAGGCGTGATCGGCAAGGATGGCTCCGGCCGGACAGTGATGTGCGCCCGCTAATAACGTTTCCCGTTACGCCGTCCGTCGAATTTTATTGAGAATGGCGAGAAGGACCGTCTTTTCGGAATTCAAAGCCCTCTCGAACGGTGTCCGACGACCAGATGATCCTCATAAGAAGACAAGCTCTCTTCAGGTCCGGTGTTGGTCGGACGATCGGTACAACAGCAGCCTTAACAGAATAGCAACTGACTCTGGATGCGGAAGAGAAAGGGCTGGGCTGCCGTACCGAAAAAATGACGAGTATTGTTCAGGAGAGACTAATTGTCGTTGGTGCGCAGCTAGAAAACACCAGAAGCTTTCAAGTCGTGGGCAGTCTGGGTTTTCATAGTAAGATATCTTACTTGTTCGTATGAGAGCGATATGCGGCCGGGGGACTAATGAGAGCAACCGTTGATTGAAAGGTGTGCGTGGAGATCGGTCGCCGCACGCTCCTCTAACCAGGTCCAGTCTGACAGGCCAAACAAACGCTCCAGTGGATGGCGAAAGCCGGAGGTGATCTTACATAGTATGCTGGTACTTGTAGGTAAAGCGGGGACGATGATAGGGGGATAGTAGGACGCTATGCGTTGCATTTCTCTGCGTGTCAATCCGTCCAATAGTGTGCTCGTACGAAACGAGTTGCTCTGCATATGGAGGCTTGCGTTGTAAATGTATTTAAAATCGAGCGAGGGACGCATGAGACGCACTGCCAATCCCTCATCAGTTACTCCGTATGGAAAGTACTTATGGAGAGTGGCAAGATTCTAAGGGGCTGCGGTATGTTAGAAACGCCATGACGCGGGTAAACGTGCCGGTGCGAGACACTGAGAGTAATTGTGCTCGGTGGAAGGGAGTCGATGCTTCACAAGCAGCGCACAAAACAGGCATGGGCCTGTGCCATGCGACGTCTTTACTATGTCCGGCAAGCACTAGTGTGAGACGCCGTTACATAGTAGCGGGTGGGCCGACCTGCGATAAGAACCGAATGGATGTTCAATTTGAAGCCGTAATCAGCAACATCGGCGAAGAGCCAACCGTCTTTGCTCATTGGTCGATACTCGCCTGCCGTGAATACAGGCACTCACAGCACTCCGCTAGTCATAAGCAGGCAGCGGCAGGCTCGGCCTTATTATTCGCTTATCCGTTGCAATTGCTGGTACAAGCGGGTCTCTTTGGTCTGTTTGGTCTGTTTACAGAAGGGATTCCGTACTATGTACGGAGTAGATGGAAGGACACGGTCGTCTCCTCTTCCATGGGTTTCCTGGCTCTTGGCGATGGCATGGCGTATTAGCGTGCGTGGCTCGCCCTTCAAGGCTACCGTACCAAACAGTTTGCGATAAAATACATAGTAGACGGGGTGGGCGCTGGCGATAGATTTAAGCGAAAATGCTAGGGTCGAAAAGAGATGAAGGTGTCTGCAGGTGTTGCCAGAAAATATGACTCGTTCGATAGATGTAGACAAGAAACGCCAGCTATGTAAGGAAGGAAGGAAAGCAGCCCCCATTGCCCATACGGAAGGCGGTAGGGTGCTCGCAGGGGGAAACAGGGTCGCCCCCACTTGGGCAACTGATACGGCAGTAAAGTCACGCAGAATTGTGGATAGTACGGAGTATGCAACGCAAGATGCATTGGGGAAAGTGGCACCGACCTGCACAGAAAAGTGCAGAGTACGGGGTAGGAACGTCAATATGCGAACAAATTCGGAAGGCACAGGGAAGGCTCGCCGGCAAGGAGAATTCTGCAATCCTAAAACAGGTTCGGTGGACACCTGACACCGTCCGCGAGGCTATGCTGGTTCGAGGTCTATGCCGAATGCACGCTACGCCGCATTGGTGGGCCGCCGGGTTGTCTGGTAGCATGTCGGAGCACCGATGCACGCACGCACGACCAGACGTGATCCAGAACTGCTCGGAAGAACAGGTGTCACGCTTCAAATTACCAGGACTGGAGCATAGCCGGGGGACGTCGTCAATGCCCCTGGACCCTCTCCATCTTATCCAATACTTGTACCCGCGATCTTCGATCGTCTCCATCTGTGGTGGGTCGTGACCCGGATATAATTGTTTTACTATGTATCTTACATAATGCTATTTCCAGCAGCCAGCTGGATACAGTGCGTCGGTGCAGGGGACGACAATGTTCGCGACCAAGGAAAGCAAACAGTTTGGACCGAGTCAGCCTTACAAGCACTAACTCCTATGTACGACGTATGTAGATACTTCATACACAGTACGTACATACACGTAGATCGCTGCCATGTTTGTGTTAATGGCAGTGATCTCCCGAACAGCCTTACCCACGGTCTGTAATTCCATACACGGAGTATCTCATACTCAATTAGTGCTGTTTGACATTTGGCATGGAGCTTTTTGCGCAAACATATATTCTACACTCGCAGTCCATACGACATGCTTTCTGTTGCAAATGCATAATCGATCGGAAGAGCAGATGAAGTAAATAAATGGCAAAAATGGTATGTGGCCTACAAATGAAGCCGAACATGACAAAAAAATTCGACAAGAACAGGATTCGAACCTGTGCGACCGAAGCCATATGATTTCTAGTCATACCCATTAGACCACTCTGGCACCTTGTCCCAATTGATGGAAGAATTAGTTATTGGTGTAGTTTATATACCCCGCTTGTACGGAGTACTCTTACACCAATGGGGATAATACGAACGAACCAGAAGAGTCCCAAGATACTGCTAGGCAACACCTTGGAGACAGAACAAAAGAGAACGTGGACCGACATCGCCCTGATTACTGTAAGAATCTTACCTAGCTGTATCGTTTCTCTTTTTGTATCATGTACATCGCGTTAGATGTTTTCTGGTGTACATATTTGTACTCTATGCCGTGGCCAACGAAAACTGTAACTTCATTTATCTTATTTGAAATGTTAAATCTGACGAAAGTACGATATTCGAATACAAATCAGTCACGAGTGTTTATAAATGGTCTTTGTGCACTCATATCTAATCAATAAGGAGCAAAGTCAGCCCATAAAGATTTCTTCTAGACAGTCACATTTTTATGCTTCGGTCTACAAACAGCTCTCCTAATTATCCAGTTCGACTTTTTAAAAGATCAGAACCTGCAGTTTCGAAGAATGGCTACCCCAACAGCAACAAAATTGCAGAAAATGCCGTCCGTCAATTCGTGCTAATAAAGACCACATCTACGTATTTACCTATTAAAATTGCCATACTCGGCAACACATTGAACAGACATCAAAACGCATACATCGCTGTTCCTAAATTACCATACCCATTTCGAGAAATTCCTCCTGCTCTTTTCGACCCATACGCTTTATAGCGCTTCGATGGCCCGCGCCAGAACGTCAATGCCACGCGCGTCTAGGCTTTCAGATCCAGTGTCTTCCCGGAGCAGCGTGGCCACATCACTGAGCACGCCCAGCGGGATATAGCATCCCGTCTTGGCCCTTTCCAGGCTGTCCTTGAGCCGGCTCGTATGCTCCCACTCGCGCGCTGCGACCTCGGCCTCTTCAATCACCCGGTCAGGGATTCCGCACATGGCCGCGCAGTGCATACCGAAGGATCCCTCCGCCACGCCGTCCTCCAGCCGGTAAAGGAACGTCACCCGTCGGTTCTCGTTGTCCACGAGGATCTGCATGCGCTTGGCACAGATCTCGGGGTGGTTCTCGAACTCTGTCGCTAGCGAATGGTAATGAGTCGCAAAGAATCCCACACAGCCAATGTGACTGGCCACATGGTGGAGCACTGCCTGGGCAACGGCCACGCCGTCATACGAGGAGGTGCCGCGGCCCAACTCGTCCAGGATGACCAGTGACCGTGGCGTGGCTTCGGACAAGATCTTCTTTGTCTCGGATAGCTCGACAAAAAAGGTCGACTGCGCCGCGAAGATGTTGTCGTTGGCGCCCAGACGTGACATGATCCGGTCAACGGGCGTCAGCCGCGCCGAGACAGCCGGTACGTAACAGCCAATCTGAGCCATGATGACGGCAATGCAGGACTTGCAGGTGTTAGATCTATCCTTCAGAGGGAAAAGGCAGCACAGGCGGAAAGAAATGAAAGACGTACCATGCGCAAGATAGTCGACTTGCCCGCAGCATTGGCACCAGTGAGAAGGCTGATATTAGCCGCATCGCCACCCAGACGAATGTCGTTGGGGATGAAGTCATCCACCGTGTTGAGCATGCAAGGATGGCGGAGCTCCTCAAACTCAACCACACTGCGTTCCTCGTCTACAAACGTAGGCCGGGCGCTGGGCTGGCCGAGCGACGACGATGCCTTGGCTAGACTGATAAGACAGTCCAGCTGCGCAATGATACGAATGGCCTCCTGCCAAATTTCGGCATCGGCGTCAAAACGCTTGCAGAAACGCAGCGCAGCCTCCCGAGTGAGTTGCGAATGGGTCTCTTCGGCCTCTTGCAGTCCCCGCACAAGCTCGTCCAGCTCGGCGAAATAGAACCGCCTGACAGCGTTGTTTGCCGACATCTGTCTCCAGGACTTGGGCACCTTGGTAGCCTTAGGAACCTCCACCTGGTAGATCTCTTTGCCGACATCTGTGAACTTTGCATTTCGGCACTTCAGCTCAGCCTTGCTCCTTTCAAGCACCGACTGCAGCTTGCCTTTGATGCCTGTGATGGCGTCTGCACACTCGTCGAAGTCCTCGTCGATGCCTCGTTCCGGAATCAGGAGCTTGTCCTCGCGGGCCCTCTTTCGGTCGAAGGCCGTCTTCCAGTAGCTCAGAGGTTCGTTCAGGTCGGGCATTGCCGCCAGCAGTCGATCAACGAGGCCGTTACCCCCGTTCAAAACACGAAGAAGGCCCATAGTGTACTCTATCTGCTCAAACCCTTCGAGGACGCGCACAAAGTCCTCCGCCTTGCACGAGCCAGCATGGATGCGGGACGCCAAGCGCTCAAGATCGGGCATTTTGCACATCTCGGACGAGAACTGATCTCGGAGACTGCGGTCTGCATTCAGCATGTCCACGGCATCCAGACGCTCGTTGATTTTCCGAATATCGCATAGCGGATGGCACAACCATTTCCGGAATAGACGCTTACCAAACGGCGTGATACACCGATTCAGTAGATTGAAAAGCGTGCCTTCCGGTCCACCGTTGACCGTGTTAGAGAAGATCTCTAGATTGATCAAGGTCTGCCCGTCAAGGATCAAAGTTCCGTTTCGGTGGATAGGGTTGTACATCTCAAAATTTGCCTGACTAACCAGGTTCCTCTCCAATTTGAGATCGCGCAAGTAGTTGACCAAGGCCCCAAAAGCGGACATTAAGAAAGGCTTCTCTCTAACTTCGGCGAGCTTCTTTGGCCAGTCCTCGTTGCCCCCATCGTCAGCGGTAAAGTAGCCACCACAGTCCAGCTCTCGCCGGGTAGTGTCGGCGTCCCAGAACTCACTCCCCGACTTTCGGTAATTCCAGATAGTCATGGGTGTTGTGTTGTTCTTGAGGATGCGGAGTGCCTTGGTGGAAATGCAATTTTTCTCCAAAATCAACTCTTGTGGTGCCATCTGGGCGACAAACGTTTCGAACTTGGTAAGTTCTGCGTCATCCTCGAACTCTGAGAAGAAGAATTGGCCTGTGGCCGCGTCCACAAAGGCGATGCCAAATACAGGCTTGCCATCAACAACGTCTTGCTTGATGGCAGCACAAAAGGTAGCCATGTCGTCCTGAAGCATGCTGCCTTCAACCAGAGTACCGCGCGTGAGAACACAGGCAAGCTCACGACGGATGATCTTGTCCTGCTTGGACTTGACTGCCGACGCACCCCGTTCCCGCATCTCCTTCCCCAGTGCTGACTCCATTTGGTCGACTCTAGCTACCTTGTAGCCCTTGGCCACGAACTGGTTGACCCACATGTCGAGCGAGCTCTCAGGCACACCCACCATACGCATGTTGACGCGGTCCGTCAGCTTCAAGTCGAAGAGTTGGTGACCAATGGTGGCATCGTTCTCGTAGAGCTCAAAGAACTTGCCCTTCTTGAAAAACACGATTGTGTCCCAGAGCTTCTGCTTGATTTCCCAGTACTGCTTCTCAAAGGGCGAGAATTTGTTCCAGGCATTAGGAGGAACAAATACCGTAGATTTATCAAAGTCTGGGTGGCCTGGCTTGTTGCGGTTCATGTCCATGATGTTGGCGAGCCATGAGTACCTCTCCTCTGGCTCTCTGGTGTAGGCCTTTTCCTTGGCTTTAGGGTTCGCAGCTTTGGGAGCGGGAGCACGGACAGCTCTGGAAGACGGATCAGAGGGCTGAATATTGTCTGGATCAAAGCGCCACTTTTGTGCCGTGGACGTCTGCACTTCGTTGAAGATTTCTTCGTCATCCATGTCGTAATCTTCCTCCTTCATCGGTGTCGGCGAGGGTGTTGGCCGTTTCCGAGACGCCTCAGTCTTAGTGGGACGTTTTCTCTTTGCAGCCTTAGACGTGACGTCGGACTCGTCCGAGACAACAAAGTCGGCCATTTCGTCTAGAGATAGCAGATTAGCAAAGCATGTCTTGGTACCATCGATGCAGAGTGGCATACCATCTTCATGATCAACGACCGGGACTTCTTTGATGTCGTTATAGTCATCGTCATCGTCATCGTCTGCAACGGCTCGAGATCTGTTACGACGTGTTGTGTTCATGGACACGAAGACATCTTCCTCCTCGTCCGAAGATTCGGCGTAGTTTACCGGTTTTTTTATCTGTTCACAGCGAGCAACCTGTCAGAACTGTGATGAGAGATGAGGAGGGCATATGCTGCTCACCTTCCGAGGTGGACTGCTGGTCGGAACAGTCAAGTGCTTTGCAGACTTCTGAATTGGCTTAGCGGGAGTCACAAGAGGCGGTCGGCGTTCTTCGGTACCTTTGATGCAGAGCCGTAGAAGCTGGCATTTTCCTGGGAGCTAGGCGGCTCTAATGCATCACTGCTGGGAACGGGCGTGACCTGAGGGCGCGTTGAAGCCCGGGCATTGGCCTTTGTTTCACGCAGACAAGGTGATGAGAGAGCGGTCTCATCGTCAATGCTCACACCGGTACGAGTCCTCGTTGTCGATGGCCGGACCGTAGATGGTGTCTTTGCCGTGGGTGTCTTGGAGAAGAAGCCTAGAATGCTCTGTTGCTTTCCCGTTGACTGGGACAGCTTTTGGCTTGCCGATGTGGATTTGGCCGGCGTCCGGACGACCATTGCCGGTTTGTCTGCCATAAGAGCAGGCAAATCAGGGGAGGTGAAGTAGAGTGTATGCAATGAAAGCGCAAGATCCAAGGAGGAGATAAGAGTATCAAGAATGCAATGGGCTCGCGGGACACTTAAAACAGAGGGGCTTGAAAGTTGTAAGTGAACCTGTACTCCGTAGGTGATAGATGGCTTTTGGAAGCTGAAAAGCACGACGCGAAGACATGGGGTCTCCCCAGGCGCAAACGCAGACGCGAGTGGTCGCGTCCATTCGCGTTTCTGGCCACGCGTTAAATGGGTTTGCGGGTTGCGAGCAGTCACATGGATGCGGACGCTAGGACCAATCAAGCACGCTTTGAACAACGGTCCTTATCCAAGGCTACGACGTAATGATGGCACATGTCCAATTGCTTTGCCAAGCGACCATCTCAAGGCAACAAACTGTCATCTGAGCCGTGCTAAGGGCCACATATGCCCAATCATATATCACAGCACAAATACATACTGTCTTACTTCTTTTTTTGTGTGTGGCAGGCCGTAAAGCGCCGCAGCATTGACTATTACGTCCCCTTCTGCACAAAGTTCAACTATTCCTTCTAGTGTCTCTCTTCTAGTATTCTTGCGACCTCGTGCCACCGAAACAATGGCCTCGCGACCTTCCCTCTTTTCTCGTTTCTCCTACTCGGGCGAAAAATTGCCGGTGCCTCCACGGCATTCACAGATTTCACGCCGTCCAATACAGCACAAACCCAGCGAGTACGATCTTGATCAGCTATCGCCCAACCCCAGAAAGCATATCTTCAATTCCGGATCCGAGCCTGCCTTTTCTGCCGAGAGCGCCTCAGTAGCCTCACACTCTATTGCCATGCGTCGACAACAATCTAGCTCACCCCGAGCTTCTCCCAGCTGGAAAGAGGAGCCATCGTGGGCACCACCATCACCTGTCACCAGGCCGAAGCAACGGGCCCTCTTTGCCGGTCCTCCACCGCCTATTGCATCTTCAGTTCTATTGCATAGAGAGATTGAAGATCGCGGTGGTTCAATCCAACTCTCGCCGGGCTATCAACCCGGAGACCATATGGGCACGTTTTCTGACCGCTTGTCGACAAGCACTGTCATCTTCGACCAAACCACGGCCACTGCAGATCGACGTGGCCCTCGTACAATACCTTACGAAAATGAATCAAAGTGGGTCAGTTTGCAGCGACGACAGCGGTCGATTCAAAGAGATATTCAAAAACTCCTTGACGTCCAGTCAGCTGGATTGCTGGCTGGACTGGGCAGAGGGCCGCTGAGCCCAGGCTCTGGAACCGAACTGGGCAGCGATACCAGTGGCAGTTTGAACAGAAGCCGAAGCAGAGGCAACACGCCCACTGCAGATTCTGTCCGCACAACGAGCACGCCTTCCTTGCGGCTGCCAACCGATCGAGCAACGGCGTCCGGAGCCGTCATTCCCGTGCGCCAGCCCCGTCCCAAAAAGCTCGGCCTGCGTGGTGCACGGTCTGGGCTGGCTCGCAGCATCTCGCAGCTGGCTGTTCTCAAGGCGGAAGAGGATGCAACACTGATGGCAGCGCTGAAGACACGGAAACGGGCGTTGACACAGCTGCGTAAGCTAGCCAACCGACGGGACAATATCGTGGGCGAGCTGCATTCGCTGGAGGCAGACGACGGAGAGCCGCTGACGCGTGAGCTCATCACACTCAGCAGCGCACATACGGAAACCACAAAGCAGATTTTGGAACTGGAGCGGCAGCTGGCGATGCTGCGCAGCCGCAAGCGCACCCTGGAGGGCCGAATTGCCGACGCCACGAGTCAGCGCGACGCAGGCCTGAGCGGCTACCGTGGTGCACTCAAGGAGGTCGAAGGACAGCTGTCGGCTGTGCTTTCGCGACCATCGGTACAACCTTTGGATGTTGAGGCTTTGGGCAACAACGCACCAGAGCGACCACCTGGTACCAAAGAGGAAGACGATCCCAGTCCAGGCGGAGACGAATCTGCATCGCCGACAGGCGGGGTGGAATTCCTACGGTTACGCCCAGAGAGGCGCACCATGGAGATGGCCCGTTCCTGGTGGGAGGGAGAGGTGGAGATCCTAGAACGGCGCAAGCTTGAAGTGAGAGCAGAACGGACTGCGCTAGAGAAGGGCGCCGCAGTCTGGGAGGATGTCGTGCACTTAGTGTCCGGATTTGAGTCCAACCTTCGAAGGCAGATGTCCGGAGAGGACAGTGACGACGTCAACGGCGGCACAATGGGCAAGGGCAAGGCACCGGCGCTGAACCCTGAAGAGCATATGCAGGCGCAGCTAGGGAAAATGGCCGAGATCATGACCAAACTCGGGGGGCATATGCGCACTGCCGAGAACAAGGGCTGGAATCTACTGATCTGTGCCATTGGGGCCGAGCTGGAAGCGTTCCAGGAGGCACGGCAAATGCTCCGCGAAGCTTTGCGAGCGGCCGGGATTCACGTGGACGATGAAGAGCCCAAGTCTGGCAGCGCTGGAAACTCAGGCATAGACGAGGAAGACTCGTCGTCCACACCGCGGCTTACGCAATCGGTTGTCGCCAAGACGACATCCAGGCCAGCAGAAGTCCTCGTGGATACCGAAGACAACGACAGCCATGGACATGGCACATCTGAAAGCGACGACAACGATGTCCCGGCGGACTTGTTTGCGACGCACAATGCCGACGACGACGAGCGCAGTACCGGCGGCAATGACAGGAATGACCATCTACACGATAGAGACGACAGCAGCGAGAATGAGGTGCCACTGGAGTTTTTGTCAGGACATTAGGAAGACGGCGAGACATGGGCGTGTCTTCTGGCACCGGATTTCGGCGTTACGGAACTTTTGGATCTGCATGTCTGGTGTATCGTATTATACGAGTACGGAGTACGGAGTAGAATGCCACGATAATCCAGATACCACACATAGCAGCGCGCTACCATGCAATTCAGCTACGTCTTAGCAGTTAGATTGTCAGGGACCTTTGGCACGCGACATATTCAATATGCGGCTGGCTTTGCATAACCGGCTGGTGTTCGGCAAAATAGGGCCCCGGCTTTTCCCATGCCCATCTGCCCGAAGCTCCACAGCCGGGAACTATTACGAAAACAGGAGCAAGCCCTCTCTGTAAGACACAACAGACCACTTCTTTGCGCCCCCCTCAGATAGAGGGGAACTATTTTTTTTGATTTTCGGGGAACTTCTCTGTAAATGCAGGATGTGACGTCTCTCTTTCGGTCTCTGTGGCTTCGAGCAGGCGAACGAGACGAAGGATACGGCGTACATGCGGAACGAAACAAAGAAGTCCGGCCAAAAAGCAACACTACAGGAAACGCCACGGTAAAGAAATCCCGTCTTATAACAAAAGGGCCTGTGAAGGCTGCCGGAAAGACAGAAGAAAACCCAGACGCAAACAAGGAACCAAAAGTCATAACAACCATAAAACCATGGGAGCCTCTCATCAACGTCGTTTGTCGAATGCAGCGTGAGCTGTTGTTGTCGTTGCCGGAAACCAATCCGTCCGTCTCCCAGCAGGCCTAGGCCATTTCCTGTCGAGGCATTGCCAGGACGGTCATGCCACATCACATGCCAGCCCTCGCGAGGATGGTTGGGCTATTGGGCTGATGGGCTCATCGTGTCCGCTCAAACCAGCTGCTTGAGCCGGCCAGCGCAACAGACTGGTCCATGACCCATTCGCCAACGCCGAGGTACTTGTCGATCCATTTGTTCATGTCCTTGTTCTCGCCAGAGGCTTTGTCGGTCTTGAAACTGGCCCTAGCAAATCTCCCAACCCAGAGGGCGAGGGAGGTCACTGTTAGTCCAAGCACTGGGCACGGCAATTCGTTTGGGCCTTGGTTGGGCCGCCTTTCTCCTCGATTCTGCTCACGTTAAGCCGGTCGATCGTTTCATGCCGGCCAGAAAGGCGGAGACTATAAGAAAGACAGTGAGTACATGATTCCCTGGCTACTCGATCGTCCCCGTGGCTGCACGGATTGGGAGACACGTACTGAGAACCGCATCGAATGCGTAGTGGGTAAGCTTTCCGAGCTTTCCCCACAGTCCAAAGGTCAGCAAGTTGAGGAACTGAACAGAGGGCGATTCGGTTTTCGTTTAGAATCCCAGCTGGCTTTCGGCAGTCTGACAGGGAAGGAAAAAGGGATGCAATCTGCAGAACTCACCATCTTCCCTGAGTCGATAGGCAGATATGTCCAGAGGTTGAATAGGTGAGACAGGCGGATGTCGTTGATCGGGCAAGGCGGTATCTTCTTTCGAGTGAAGGAGGATGGACGCAAAGTGCTTATGACTGTTTTGGCAGGAAATTCTCCCGGTTCCTTGTATGTTCTCCCGACGTGGTTTGGCCGCAGTTTTCTGTGATTTGTCGGTCAGAAAGGAACGGGAGAAGGACGCCCGGCACGAGATGCAAGGTAGTCTACCCGCCAGCTGACCCGCCCGCCCTATCTTAAGGCGGTGGCAGGTAATCAGCACGTGACGTTACGATGCGCCGTCGACTGGCCCCACTACGACAGAAACCCCTTATCTATTATTATCGGAAAACGTCCGATAAACGGGGACTACCAGAAACGAGTGTTTTGGGTTGTCCTCACGTTGGCCAGCCGTGCAAAGCGTGTTCGCGCTGTCGGCGTCCCGCTGGTGGGACCAGATCCAGGGCCGAAAAACAAAGAGCGCATTGGGGGAAGGAAAAGAAGACATGTTGCTGATAATAACACGAGAAATTATATCAGGCATTTGGGCGACAAGGTCATTTTTTCTGTTAATGGAACCACCTTTCCTAGTTCGGAAGGCTGAGGGGTTATTTTTCGCCGCGTTTTCCAGCGAAGTAATGCGATTTGTTGCCCCGCCGGCTGGCTCGCGACCGGTACTCGTATGCTGGGACACGCTGAGGCATGGCGACCGAGTGGTAGTCCGGACCTGTTACACTTGGAACAGCTCAGTGGCGGCCCGATGGGGAAGCAACGGATGAGAGAAAAAAAATAGCTCTCAGGTCTGAGCATTGGAACATCTGTCGACGGGAGTACTTAATATCCCATTTTCCTGTTCTTTTGAGCTTTTTTTCTCGTCCGCTATTATACTCGTCACTTTCATTCCCAACGAAACTTGCAGACCACCTGAGACAGCTATCAGAGCTCCCTCTGGTGTAGTTGGACTAAATAAATCAACCCCTCCATCTTCCTTATAAAAAGGCGGAGCGAAAATTTGTTCTAAAAGCCTCAACCAAACCTGACTTGGAATACAACAACCATAGCCAGAACGTTGAAATCACTCAAAATGCCTTCTGCTCTGGAACACCTCTCTCTCGGCGGCCGCATCGACTGGCTGGCCTCGCTCGACACAGCCCACACGCCGGAGAAGAACTACCGCCGGACATCCATCATCTGCACCATCGGCCCCAAGACCAACTCGGTTGAGGCCATCAACAAGCTGCGCACAGCCGGTCTCAACGTTGTCCGCATGAACTTTTCTCACGGCAGCTATGAGTACCACCAGTCTGTTATTGATAACGCTCGTGCGGCCGAGAAGGCGCAGGCAGGCCGTCAGATCGCTATCGCTCTCGACACCAAGGGACCGGAGATCCGGACTGGTAACACCACGGGCGATGTGGACATTCCCATCACCGCTGGTACCGAGCTGAACTTTACGACTGACGAGCAATATGCCACTGCTTGTGACACGGAGAACATGTATGATATCCTGGTATATATTTGGGGGTTTATAGCCCAGGCTGACATTCTTTCCTTGCAGGTACGTTGACTACAAGAACATCACCAAGGTCGTAACGCCCGGCCGCGTGATCTTCGTGGACGACGGTGTCCTGGCATTTGACGTGCTTGAGGTTACGGACGAGAAGACGATCCGGGTGCGTGCCCGCAACAACGGGTTCATCTCGTCCAAGAAGGGAGTCAACCTGCCCAACACCGACGTCGACCTGCCGGCCCTGTCGGAGAAGGACAAGGCGGACCTGCGGTTCGGTGTGAAGAACAACGTCGACATGGTGTTTGCGTCGTTCATCCGGCGCGGCCAGGACATCCGTGACATCCGTGAGGTGCTTGGCAAGGACGGCGCCCACATCCAGATAATTGCCAAGATTGAGAACCGCCAGGGTCTGAACAACTTCCCTGAGATTCTCGCAGAGACGGACGGTGTGATGGTGGCCCGTGGCGACCTGGGCATCGAGATCCCGGCGGCCGAGGTGTTTGCAGCACAAAAGAAGCTGATTGCCATGTGCAACATTGCGGGCAAGCCGGTGATCTGCGCGACGCAGATGCTGGAGTCGATGATCAAGAACCCGCGCCCGACGCGTGCCGAGATCAGCGACGTGGGCAACGCCGTGACGGACGGTGCCGACTGCGTGATGCTGTCGGGCGAGACGGCCAAGGGTAACTACCCCGAGGAGGCGGTGCGCGAGATGAGCGAGGCCAGCCTGAAGGCCGAGAACACGATCCCGTACGTCAGCCACTTTGAGGAGCTGTGCGGGCTGGTGAAGCGGCCAGTGAGCATCACAGAGTCGTGTGCCATGGCTGCGGTGCGCGCGTCGCTGGACTTGAACGCCGGTGGCATTATCGTTCTGTCGACGTCGGGTGACTCGGCCCGGCTGCTGTCCAAGTTCCGCCCGGTGTGCCCCATCTTCATGGTGTCGCGGACGCCGAGCGCGACGCGGTACAGCCATCTGTACCGTGGCGTGTACCCGTTCTTGTTCCCCGAGGCGAAGCCCGACTTTAGCAAGGTGAACTGGCAGGAGGACGTCGACGGCCGCATCAAGTGGGGTATCGAGCGTGCCACGGCTCTGGGTGTCCTCAACAAGGGCGACACGGTCGTCGTCGTGCAGGGCTGGAAGGGTGGCATGGGCAATACCAACACTCTGCGCATCGTCAAGGCGGAGACGGAGCTGGGTCTTGGCTCCGCATAAATGGACTGAGACAAAGGAAGACAGACACTGATGTGTCCGTTTCCTGCAGTGTCTGACCCATTAAAGTCGGTTCGTTGTCACCGCTCGTTGTCTTTTGCCGTTTGTCTCGAAAGGCCAGATCTCATTTTTGCGCAAACTCTCAAGAGGGCAGACAATAAAGAATAAAAAAGTTTCTAAGATGTGTCCTTGTCGGCCGGTCTCTGTACAGAATACACGGCAATCATGCCACGCGGTATAAGCGCGTGCTACGGAGTATAGAATAGAAATAGAGCCAGAAGTGTACAGTTTGGGTTCTGGTGGCTCAATTTGTCTGGATTGTACGATGCCGCCTATAACGATATCGGTTTATAGCAAATGGATGACAACGATGCGGCAACTGCCAGGAAGCAGACAATATCCACGCATGAGCAAAGCGCTGTTTCGCAGTTCAAATATCTAACATGATATCATTCAGACAGGGATCGTTCCTAGCAATGACGTGTCTCCGTTCCCTTTTGTGTTCGCCCCTGCCGTAGCCTCGGCCTCTCGCCCACGAGTCTCCGTTCCGTCTGCGTCTCAGAAGCGCACGCCCCAGATGCCCCGACCGCCGCTGACGCCCAGCCATTCGCCGTAGTCGCTGTTTGACAGCCGGGGAACCCAGCCGAGGTTTCCGACTTCATAGTCGCACTGCCAGGCGGCGACGGGTGCGCGCGCGTTGTCGGGCTGTGGGCCTCCGTTGGCGGGGACGCCGGGAGGGACGGGAGCAGCAGCTGTGTTGCCGCTGTTAAGCAAGTCCCAGATCAGGACCTGGCAGTCATCGGCGCCCGAAGCTAGCATGCCGCGGCGGTGTGGCGACCACTCGACGCAGTTGACGGCGCCGCCGTGGCCGCGCAGCTCGAGCAGGGCTTGACCGGGCTGGCGGACGTCGAGGATGCGGATAACGTCTGAGTCCTGGGCAAAGGTGGCGAGCAGGTGGGTGTCGTGAGGGGACGTAGCCAGGCGCAGGAGCGGGGGGGGATGGGACATTGTCTGCTGGGCGAGCGTGGGACTTATCCTGCCGCCTTGGGCATCTGTGGGTGTTAGGGAGAGAGGGAGAAGGAGAGAAGGGGGAGGAGAGAGGGAGGAGAAGGAGAGAGAGAAGAAGAAAAAGAGAGAAGGAGAAAAACGAGAAAAAGTAGACATACCCCTTTCATCTTTGCCGGTGGGCTCATAGATGATGGTGCTGTGTTCGAGGCTGCGCAGGTCGAACATACGGACGCTACCGTCCTGGCCACAGCTGACAAAGACATCCATGCTGTTGGCACAGAAGCGGACATCATAGACCTCCTTGTCGTGGGCGATGAGCTGGGTCTTGGCCGTAAGCGAGGGGATGTCCCAGATGGTACAGGTGGTATCGATGCTGGACGTGATGATGAGGCTGGGCGAGACGGTGTTCCAATCGAGCGAGGTCAGCGGCGCCGTATGGTCGGGCGTCTTGGAGTTGGACAGCAGGGCGAGCGGCGTGAGTTTAGTGGGCGGAGCGTCAGCCCGGCCGCGACCGATGGTGCTGCTGCTAGTTCCGCCGGACGGCGTATCAGACGGCAGCGACCAGAGCCGGAGATGATCGCCCGACGTGGCAAGCAGGTCAGTTGACTGCTTCTGCGGCGACGGCGGCTCCCAGAGCAGCCGCGTGACCGGATACGTGTGCGTAGCCTCGGCCACCTTGGTGAACTCCATCGAGAACTTGGACGTGCCGGGCGAGAAGGCGTCCATGGGGGTCTGCGTGATGTGGGTGTCGAGGATTTGAATCTGCGGGCGTCAGCGGGAGGAGGGAGTTCACCGGGCCACACCCGGGAGGCTTGTCCGTTCTCCGGCGGCGAAAACATACAAAGTTGTGGCCATCCTCGAGGTAGCTGCCAATGGCCAGCTTGCCGGCTCCGTTGCCCGACGATGGCCATCGGCACCAGTCAAAGGCGTACATGGCCCAGGGCGTCATGTAGTTGCTGGTGCCCGGCTGGCTGTTGGCGGGGTCATAGCCGCTCGAGAAGCCGTCCGAGAGGGTCGTTAGTCGGCTCGGGGTCGGATGTCGGCCAGACCCAGCGGCGTGTTTCTCGACCCTCCTGGCCGGAGGATGTTGGGGACGGACGTGTTCATCGTCGCGGGCTGTGGGCGGGCTGCGGCCGGATGGCAGCAGCGGATGACAACGACTGTCGCAGGACGAGAGAGGACGCGCGAGAGAGATGCGCTCGATAGGCCGCGTCGAATGGGACAGGGGCTGTCGCCGGGTGCCCTTGCTTTTGCTGTTTTGTTGTCGGGTTTTCTGCCAAGCCGAAGCCCAGATTCGCAAAGCTCGGCGGCTAGCGACTTTGCGACTTGCGCCTGCAACTGCGTCGGCGGCGGCAGAAACGAAAAGAAAGCGAGACTGTGCAGCTGGCCGCGCGCACACAACTCTCTGGTCGTGGTGGTGTCTGCTGCTCAAAGGCGGCTGGTCGCCCAACCAAGTGGTATGGCTCCAAGAAGCTCCGGGGAGTGGCGGGGTTGTTTCTTCTCGGCCGCGGGCTGAATGCCCCAGCTTACAGCGGTCTTTGTAGGGGCTGGCGCTGGAACGGGCGCGCGGTCGGGCTAGCTTGGAGCAGGGAGAAGGGTAGTTGTTTGATTGGCCGACACGGCCGGCTTAAAGTTGACGCCTGTCCGAATCTAGTTTCGGCTTGAAGCTTCGAGGCCGTCTCTTTCATCGAAAAAAAGGACAACAAGAGATTCGACATCGAAGGGCAGCTTTTTCGGCAGGCTCCTACCGCCTTTCTTTTCCACTCTTTCTCCGTCTTGATACCTGTTTGGCTGCGTCGTCTGTCATTTGCGTGGCCCTCTCTCTGAGCCGCTCTCCGCTTTCTCACACTGCCGTGACCTTTTATTTATCTGTCTCCTTTCCCTGTTGTCAGAAAGCCGAGTTCTTGGACAGGCCACACTCGTCGCGATGGCAACAAAGGGTGCTCATTTCGACGATTCGGAATCCGACGATGACAACTTCAATCCAGCTCCCGCTGACCTGTCTGATGCCGAGGATGATAATGGCCGCGAGGCAAACGCGGTCGCCTCGAGCTCGCCGCGCCGAGAAGACGACGACGACGTGAAGTCGGAGCCCCGAAACCAGAGACGACGTCAAATTGACGCCGACGATGAGGAGGAGGATGACGGTGAGACGAAGACAGAGAAGAAGAGGAGCCGACACGTGGAGGAAGAGGATGAGGATGAGGACGGCGACGAAGACAACGAAGAGGCCGATGAGGACGAGGATGAGGACGAGGATGATGAGGAGGACGAGGATGACGACGTGCAGGCTTCGGTAAGATTGCAGCTAGCGGCCGGACGGCAAGCATTGTTCTAACACGGTTGGCAGAGACACAGGCGCAAACGCCATAAGCGCGACAGCCGAGCGGCGTTCTTCGATATCGAGGCCGAGGTGGACGACGAAGACGAGGCCGAGGACGAGGAGAAGGAGGGCGAGGAGATTGAGGATTTCATCGACAACGCGCATCCGGACGACCTGGAAGAGACGAACAACCTCAACGACGACCGGAGACACCGGGAGCTGGACCGACGCCGCGAGCTGGAGCAGAGTCTGGACGCAGAGAAGCAGGCAGAGATCCTGCGGCAGCGGTACGGAAACCGTCGGCCGGCGAAGGGACTGGGCGACTCGGCGGTGGTGCCGCGGAGACTGCTGCTGCCCAGCGTGGAGGATCCGAGCATCTGGGCGGTGCGGTGCAAAGAGGGCAAGGAGCGCGAGGTGGTGTTCTCGATCATGAAGCGAATTGAGGAGCGGATGGGCACGAAGGAAGAGCTCGGCATCACGGCGGCGTTTGAGCGCGGCGGCCCGCAGTCGGTGATGAAGGGGTACATCTACGTGGAGGCGCTGCGACAGACGGACATCATGACGGCGCTGGATGGGATGCTGAACGTGTACCCACGCAACAACCTGATCCTGGTGGAGATCAAGGACATGCCAGATCTGTTCCGGATCACCAAGACACCGACGCTGGAGCCGGGAGCATGGGTGCGGCTGCGACGGCCGGTCAAGTACTCGGGCGACTTGGCGCAGGTTATGGACGTGACGGAGAACGGGCTCGAAGCGCGGGTGCGCTACATTCCGCGTCTGGACTACGGGGTGCGGGACGAGTCGCTGGCGCTGATGACGGCGGAGGGAAAGCGCAAGAGGGTGCCGGGAGTCGCAGGGCCGCGGCCACCGCAGCGGCTGTTCAGCGAGGCGGAGGCGCGGAAGCGCAACCCACGCAACATGATGGCGCACGCGCAGCCGAACACGTGGACCTTTAACGGCGACTACTTTGAGAACGGGTTCCTGGTCAAGGACATCAAGCTGCAGCAGCTGGTGGTCAAGGACGTGAACCCGACGCTGGAGGAGGTGACCAAGTTTGCGCTGGGAGCCGAGGACGGGACGGAGAACCTCGACCTCAAGGCGCTGGCGGCCAGCTTGAAGGACAGCAACGCAAACGTGACATATGTTCCGGGCGACGTGGTGGAGGTGTACGAAGGCGAGCAGAAAGGCGTGGTGGGCAAAGCGGTCAGCATCGTGGGCGATATCGTGACGATCGATGTGACCGAGGGCGACCTACGGGGCCAGACGATTGAGGCGCCGACAAAGGGACTGCGCAAGCGGTTCCGGGCCGGCGACCACGTGCGGGTGATTGGGGGGCGATTCCGGGACGACGTGGGCATGGTGGTCAAGATCGAGGAAGACCGGGTGACGCTGTTGACGGACCAGAACAACTCGGAGATCACGGTGTTCAGCAAGGACGTGCGGGAGGCGAGCGACACGGGTGGACAGGGAACGCTGGGGCAGTTCTCGCTGCTGGACCTGGTGCAGCTGGACCTGTCGACGGTCGGCTGCATTGTCAAGATTGACCGGGAGTCGCTGGTGGTGCTGGACCAGAACGGAGACACGCGGCAGGTGATGCCGTCGCAGATCAGCAACAAACTTCCGAAGAACAAGATGGCGGTGGCGGCAGACCACAGCGGGTCAGAGATCCGGCTGGACGACGTGGTGAAGGAACAGGGCGGCCAGCGGCGACAGGGCAAAATCATCCACATCCACCGTTCGTTTGTCTTTATGCACAGCAACGCGACAACGGAGAATGCGGGCGTTTTTGTGACACGGGCGAGCAATGTGAACACAGTGGCAGCCAAGGGCGGCCGCGTGAGTGCAGCCGCGTCGGCTGGCCCCGATCTGGACAGCATGAACCCGGCGCTGAAGCGGAATCCGGGCGGAGCAAACGGAAATGCGATGCAGGCGCCACAGCGCGTCTTTGGCCGCGACCGGGCTGTCGGCCAGACGGTCACCGTGCGGCGTGGCGGCTACAAGGGCCTGCTGGGCATCGTCAAGGACACCACCGACACGCTCGCTCGCGTCGAGCTGCACACCAAGAGCAAGACCATCACCGTGCCCAAGGCAGACCTGATCTTCAAGGATCGCGTGACGGGACGGTCGATCGACATCAATGCCCGTGGCGGGCGTGGCGGCGGCGGCATGGGTGCCGGCAGCAGTGGGCTCGGCCGTGGCTCGGCACCAGCCTGGGAGAATGGCGGTGGCCGCACGCCGCATGGTGGCAGCGGTGGTGGCGATCGGACGCCAGCCTGGGGTCTCGCAAAGGGTAGGTTGAGCTTCTGTCTTTTTCTGGTGTCTCCACTGTTTCTGACTAATGCTGACTAACACAAACAGCTACCTCGCACACGCCAGCCTGGAACCGCAACGACGCGTCCGGCTCTCGCACGCCCGCCTGGGCCGCAGACGGCTCCCGCACGGTCAATCCTTATGATGGGAGCCGGACGGCGTACGGCTCTGGTTCGCGCACGCCGGCATGGAGTTCCGGTGCCAAGACGCCGGCTTACGACGGATTTGGTCTCGGGTCCAAGACGCCGGCCTGGGGTGCCAGCAGCGGCAGTGGTGGTGGTGGCGATGCCTGGGGATCGGGATCCAAGACGCCCGCATATGGCGTGTCGGCGCCGACGCCGGGAGCCAGCGGCAACGACAACTGGGGCTACACGCCGGGCATTGGCTCTGGCCAGGCCTACGATGCGCCGACGCCAGGTGGCGCCCTCAATGCGCCGACGCCAGGAGCTCTGAGCGCACCGACACCAGGGGCCTATGCGGCGCCGACGCCCGGAGCCGCTCTGAGCGCACCCACGCCCGGCGCCGGGTGGCAGGGCGGCTGGGGGGCCGACACGGCACCGACGCCGGCTGGCGCACCTACACCAGCAGCTGGCGGCGGCTACTACGGCGCACCCACACCGGCTGCCTATGGCGGTGCACCAGAGACGCCGGCAGCGAGTGGGCCACGGTACACGGACGACGATTAGGTGTGGTGAGAGGGTAGAGGAGAGGAGGGAGGAGAGAGAGGAGAGGAGAGGAGAGAGGAGAGAGACGAAAGGAGAGAAGAGAGAGACGAGAGGAGAGAAGAGAGAGACGACAGAGGGACAGAAGTAGATCAGGCGTTTCATGGCAGAGCAGATTTTTGTTCGATCGTTCCGGGTGCGGTTGCTATTTAAAGAAAATTGTAGTGTTAGTAATGGACAATTCAGGCGATATTATCTGAACAGACATGTTCTGAGAGCCGGTTTGCGAGCCAGACGTATCAGTAGCTAGAGTCAATCAAGCAGGATATATGCTGTACTCCGTAGACAATGCCGTATCCTCCAGTGGCAGGTTCGGTCTTTCCTCACGGTTTCAACATCGCATTGCGCAGGTCCAGAAAGAGCCCGTAGGCATCGATGCCGACGAGGACGGCGACGAGCGACTGCTTCGCCTGGCCAAACGCCCGTCGGGGATGCCGAATCACAAAGTTCTCTTACTAAACGGACTAATCACAACCAAAAAACAAAGTACGGAGTACATAAAATGAATCCTTCGTCTTACAAGCAAAAATAACAAAGTACGGACGGGATACATACGTTGGATCTTCGTCTTTCCGCTCATCTCTCTACATGATTATTATTTTCAGTGTAGGTTGGAAACACTAAGACATCGCTGTAATGATAAACATACTTAAATTCTGTAAAATCTCCCAGAAGTCTGGTAGACTGCTAAAATACACCCAGCGTATACCGTGCCCTAGGCTGTACAGAGTGGGTTCGGTTGGAGCTGTGTCGCTTATGGTAGTATCTTGCCACACCTTCTACCATTATAGCGATTGAGATCCTTGATGCGGACAAGTGCCAAGATGAAATGAAAGTACAAAAACGAGAAACTGGGTGTAATCTCGTTGCGAAAGACGAGTCCTTTTCCATGGTTCAACATGCGGGCGAGGCCGGCTTTAGGATTAGGTTGGGGGCGATAATAGGCACTGGTAGACTTGCGGTCGCGATGTTGGCAGAGATATACAAAACTCTCCTTACCTAGGCCTACCAGCATGGGCGCACATAGCACATCCCCTCCTAAATTGTACGCTGCAGACGGGATACTTCAAGAGAACGACGAACCGGTCAAAATGAAAGAAGAAGTCGTGGCCGTCGACGGGCTTGCTGAAGATGCTGAAGATCTAGGTCTCTCTCTAAACATCCTGTACAATTAATGTCGGACAAATCATTTGCCCCCTTTAGTACCGAGTTGGGTGCCAGAGTTGCCGCATAGGTGATGCATCTGGCCAAATCTATTTGTGACTGTAATGCTTCCTTTACCCAGACGTCTTTTAATTAGAGATCCAAGTACTGCTCTAAGTTGCCGATGCCAAAAAAACAAAATTCAGGATTGGCTGTTCTTTGCGCCTACTCCGTAGTCATGCGCAAATCCTGGCAGCTTACATCCTACAGATGAGGACAGGCCACAACGAAAGGCGCACCGCGTTTTGACAGCCTCCTCTCTGGTTTGGTAATAGTTTGCGGCGTGGGCAGAGGCGCGCTGTATGAGTACTTCCGTACTGGTAGGCGGCCTACACGTGATTAAATTTAGCAGCTAGCCATATTTGTCGAATGGTATACAAACTGCAAATAAGACAAGAATGAATAACAGTGGGGTCCTACCCTCTTTTTGGACAATTTGACAATATTTACTCCGTACCGCTGCGTCCTCCATTACATCGTAAGATACATTAAAAAGCTCCCGCTTACTCAGCTTTACCGGCAGGGGTCCTCTAGAGACACGGGTCAAAATTCTAACAGACTGGACCCAGTTTTGTATTGACATTAACCTTTTAGCGCCACAGACCTTGAAACCACCCCTTTCTACAGACGGAGCAAGGAAAGGACGGCCAACGAGATTGCAGCCATGTTACATCTTTACAGTCAACATTAAAGCTTTCGTAACTGTTCTTATGTTGGTTCGTTTCTCTTCTGTTGCCGAAGCAAACAAGCATACAGACTGTGGGTTAAAAAAGGGGACGACGAGATATAACAAAATCAAACAGGACACCGATAGAAAGACTGGACGTGACCCGTGATACAAAACCAGCCAACATAAATCCACCTTTGCACCCTTGCCCAGGTTTCTTCCTCATTGGTCCCAAGACGCGCTTTATGTTTTCCATTACACGGATCTTCCTTTTTTGTGTGTGTCGCGTTTTTCACCTTCCCCCCATCCCTTTCCCGTTCTTCCCAGCTCCCGACCAGAGAGCCTTCTGGCTGTCCTTGCCGCGCGCTTACCGCTGCGACATGGCCTTGGTCACAAGTCTCTTCAGGGCCAGCTCCTTCTTCTTCAGGTCGTCGGCCGACGAATCCTCAATCTCCAGCTGGGCCATGGCCTCGCTGAGCGTCTGCTCGATCTTGTCCTTCTGCCCACGCTTGATCTTGAGCGACAGCGTCGGGTCCGAGATGATGTCCTCGACACGCGAGATGTATGACTCGAGCTGCTGCTTGGCCTCGAAGCGCTTGCTGAACGCCTCGTCCTTGGACTTGAACTCCTCGGCATCTAAACAATCAGCATTATGTTCCGAAAGGAAGTTATGTAATCAAAAACGTACCGCCAATCATCTTGTCGATCTCAGCGCTCGACAGCTTGCCGATCGAGTTGTTGATGGTGATGTTGGCGCTGCGGCCAGAGGTCTTCTCCGTGGCAGTCACCTTGAGGATACCGTTGACGTCGACCTCGAAGATGACCTCAAGCACCGGCTCACCGGCGCGCATGTGCGGGATGGGCGCCAGTGTGAACTCGCCGAGAGACGTGTTGTCCTCGCAGTTGGCACGCTCTCCCTGGTAGCACGGGAAAGATACTGTGGTCTGACCGTCCGATACCGTGGTAAACGACTGATGACTAAGCGTTAGCTGTGGTAAAACCAGAGAGGCCTGAATAAACTGGAATGAAAGATGAAAGTTTTCGAGGCCGTCAAGTTGTAAAGTGGGGCCTTCCGAGAAGTGGATACTTTCAGATCTTCCCGACATTTTAAAATGGACCCTTTCCAAAAGTGGACCCACTCAAAATGTCATCAAAGAAAGCATCGTCGAAACATCAAAGCATCAGGTAGGAAACATCAATGGAACGGTCAAAGGCTTACCCGCTTCTTCAATGTCGGGATGGGCGAACCACGTGGCATGACCACGGCAAAAATATTTCCTAATCGGGAAGGAACGAGTCAGCGGATGTTTGTTGAGGGAGCACAAAGGTCAAAGTTGATAAGGGAGGGTGAAGGAAACACAAGGGTGAAAATGACGAGCAAGTAAGAAGTGGGTCAATTGAGGGTGAGGGAGCACAGAAATTGAATATGGGGGAAAAAGTGAGGAGCGTGTGATGCGATGTAAAGTTGAAAGTATGAAAGCAAAGTGACGTAGAAGGAGAGAATAAAAAGTAAGAAAGAAGACGGATAAAAGAGATGAGAAAAGAGAAGGAAAAAATGAAAGAGGTGCTGTTTTCTCTTTTTTTCTCTGGTAGGGGAGGGGATGGAAATGTTGTGCATGTGACTTACCCTCCATGGCGACACCTAGAGACAGGGGGACGACGTCGAGCAGCAGCAGGTCTGCGGTGTCGGCCGAGGTGGCCTTTCCAGACAGGATGCCGGCCTGAACGGCGGCGCCGTAAGCGACGGCCTCGTCGGGGTTGATGCTCTTCTCGAGCTTCTTGCCGTTGAAGAAGTCGCTCAGCAGCTTCTGGATGCGCGGGATACGGGTGGAGCCGCCAACAAGGACGATCTCGTCCACGCCCGACTTCTCCATGCCGGCGTCCTTGAGAACCTGGGCGACGGGGTCAAGAGTGCCCTTGAAGGCGACGCTGTTCAGCTCCTCGAAACGGGCACGGGTGACCTGCATGCTAAAGTCCTCGCCGTCAAAGAGCGAGTCGATCTCGATCGTAGCCTGGGTACCGCTCGACAGGGTGCGCTTGGCACGCTCGCAGGCGGTCCGGAGACGGCGCAGAGCGCGGGCATCGCCAGACAGGTCTAACAGAGGAATGTGTTAGTTAGAGTCCCGGGAATAAAAAGGACGCTAAGCGGAAGGGAGACGGGAGGACCCACTCTTCTTAGTCTTCCGGGTAAAGTCCTTCTTGCAGAAATCCAGCAGGTTGGTGTCAAAGTCCTGGCCACCCAAGTGGGTGTCACCAGCAGTGGCCTTGACAGTGAAGACACCGCCCTGGATGTTCAGGAGCGAGACATCAAAGGTACCGCCACCCAGATCGTAGATCAGGACGTTGCGCTCCTTGTCAGACTTGCCCGCACCCAGACCGTAGGCAATGGCAGCGGCCGTCGGCTCGTTGATGATGCGGAGCACGTTGAGACCGGCAATCGCACCGGCGTCCTTGGTGGACTGGCGCTGGTTGTCGTTGAAGTACGCCGGCACGGTGATGACGGCCTTCTCCACCTTCTTGCCGAGCTTGACTTCGGCAATCTCCTTCATCTGCAGGCGGGGCGATTAGTCATCTAATGCATGCGTGTAATAAATTTTCAGTGGCTCCTCGTCGCCCCGCCGTCCTTGGACTTACCTTGGTGAGAACCATGGCGGAGATCTCCTGGGGGGAGAAGGTGTGGGTGCTGCCCAGGTACTCGACTTGGACCTTGGGGTTGCCGTCCTCGTCGACGACCTTGAACGGCCACGACTCGACGTCCTTCTTGACGGTCGGGTCGTCGAAGCGCCGGCCAATCAGACGCCTGTAAATCGAATTAATACGGTTATGGCCCATTGCGATTCAGGCGTGGGGTTGCCTTCTGGGTGGGCACCTACTTGACGTCGAAGACGGTGTTCGCGGGGTTCATGGCAGCCAGGTTCTTGGCGGCCTCGCCGATCAACCGCTCCTCCTCGGTGAAGGAGACGAACGAGGGAGTGGTAAAGCTACCCTGCTCGTTGGCGATGATCTCGACATTGTTGCCCTCGTACGTGGCAACGCACGAGTAGGTGGTGCCTGCAGGAAACAAGTTAGCCGGCTGATTCGACAGAGAGACAGCGAGAGAGGGCTCGCCGGGACTGCGCGCCCAGAAACGCAAGACTGCTCAGGACATACCCAGATCGATACCGATCGCACCGTCGTACACTTCTGTCGCCATTTTGAAAGGATTGATTTGATTTCGTGGGTTGACGAAGGGGAGGAGGAAGGCGGAGAAAAGAAAGGGCAAAAAAAATGAAGACGAGAATAAAAAGAAGAGATAAGACTGGAGGGGGATAGGACGAGAAGGGTTTTCGTATGGTCCCTTTTTTCTTATCCCTAATGCTTTTTTTCACTTTTTTTTTCGACGTGGGGCATAAAAAATAATTTAGTTTAGGTGGGATAATTTACAGTCCGGTGCGGTCATGGCAGAACGTTGTTCCACTTTAACGTCCAAGCCCTCACCGCCTTTAGTCACTGTGCGGAGATTACACATGCCACGTGATGTATATGTTTCGCCGCTGAATACCGACGTCGTGTCAGTGGTGAGTTTCGAAGTACGAACTGAGCAGTAATTACCATACAAAATCAGAGATGCTATCTGGGTAGCGGGCGGCGCTGGCTTAAGGCAGGGCGTATCACCTTGTAACGTAGATCAGTTTGCTTAGTAAGAAGATAGGCGAGGGTATCGTGAAGTATTGAAAGGATGCCTGGCTGGTCTTATACTCGTACAGTAGACTTTATAAAGTAAGCTAGGCGGAGCAAGCGTACTTAGGATGAAACCCCAAAACAATTAAAGTAGGAAGTCTAGCAATTCCCTCTGTGCAATGTATATACACCATACAGAAACGCCATTGTATCCAAACCTTGTTATGATGCAGTTTGCTCTCCTCCAAATCAGTGCTCTCTGCGTGTTCAGAATACTCTCAGAAGCATACATCCCCAAGCATTATCGCCTTCCGACCGGCCCTCTTAATGTCGCTGTCCGTCCTCGTTGGTGCCTGTTGGCGTGATGTCTCGCTTTCCAAATCGCGCGCCCAAGCCGCCAATGTCGCGCCGGAAGAAGTTGCCAATGTTCTTGAGGTTCTCGTTGATCGTAGCCTTCTCAGATACGACCGAGCCAACCCCCGTGGCGCCAAAGGCACTCGTGCCGCCCAACGTCCCGGGCGCGACCACCGATCCGAGGCCACCCGTCGCGCCTGTGCCGACGACGCCGCCCGATGTGCCCAGCCGGTCGACACCGTCGCGCGCCGCATTCAACAGCCTCTCGCCGATGCTGGTAGCGTCCAGCCGGTTCTGCATGCCGGCCGCCGCGTTGCTGCCAAGGCCGCCGCTTTGGCCGGCCTGGCTCATCAGCGGCGTCAACAGCGGCGAGTTCTGGACCAGCTGGCGGACCGACGCGCTGGAGCTGTCACGGTGAATGGCAAAGAGCTCCATCAGGTACGGCTGGTCCTGTTTCCGCACGCCTTTGAGCTCGAGGATCTTCCGGAAGTTGCTGTCGGATCGGTCGGCAATGTGGATCAGGTACGCCTGCACCAGGCTCTCCGGCGGCGACGGCTGCACCTGCAGTGTCTTCAGGAGCGGGTCGACTCGGCCCATCGTGTGGTTGACGCGCTTGACGTAGCTGGCCGTCGAATGTGCCGCCGTGGACGCCGTCGTCGACGGCACGTGGAACGAGAGGAGACTCTCAAACGACTTGGTGAGCGTGTATTTGTCCAGAAGCATCTGCGTGTGTCAGCTCAACAAAGTACGGGCTGGACAGGCTGTAGGGACAAAACTCACCTGCTCGGCCGCAATCTCAGACACCGGCCGGCACTGGACGACGTTGGCGAGATAGGTCGCAGCCATGGCCTCGACCAGGTGGTCGCAGAAGGCGCGGGCATACTGCGGCTTGGCCACGACGGCCAGGATCTCTTTGGCTCGGCCGTCGACGTGGCGCATCAGCTCGGACACGTAGGAGCTGTGGTCGCTGACGGTCTCCATCTGGCCCCAGCTGGTATTGCGCATCTCGCGCCAGGCGACGTCGCAGTCGGCCTCGACCTTGCGCACGAGCGTCTGCACGGCGCTGCTGGCCACGCCGAGAAAGGCGTCCGCCTGGGCCGAGAGGTCGATCCGGTCTGCCAGCTCGGCGTCGATCCGCTTCTTCAGGCTCTCCTCCAGCTGTGTCGTGTTGCGGCTCCAGAAGTCGGCCGTGTTGAGCACGACGATGACGTCGCGCAACGGGGCGCCGGCGCCACTTTGTTGTGCTGCTGTGGCCGGCAGCTGCAGCCAGCTGAGCAGGACCTGCTGGGCATACTCGTCCAGGTACTTGGCCAGGATGCGCGAAAGATCGAGCAGGCGCTCGCCCGTCGACAGCTTGGCACATTGCGAGAGCGTGACCTTGTAGACGTGGAAGAGTTCGAGGGCGGACGGGGCGACGCTCTCGGGCGTGAACTCGTCGTCGTCGGCCACGAGCGGCCGGGTGCGGTACTGCGGGATCAACGCGGCCAGCTGGCGGTCCTGCGAGTCGACCCAGAGGCTGAGATACGGCTCAAAGGCCACGCTGATGGAGCCGCTGTACGTCTGGGTGCGGCCGTCGGACGAGGCGAGCGTGTCGATGCTTGCGCGCGGCGCCTCGCTGGCAAACCGGCGCTCTAGACCCTGCTCAAAGTCGAGCGTCTCCTGCAGGCAGCTGAGCAGCAGATTGACGTCGATCTTGCCGGCGCCGTCGGGCCGTCGCATGCTGCGCTCCAGGATGCCGCGGAAGTCGTCGCGCGTGCCGTCGCAAAAGGCCGTCGCCAGCGTCTCGTTGACGCGCCAGTGTGCCGGGAAGAGGGCCGCGTGCTCGTCCTCGTGTGTCTTGAGCGTGCGGCGGAACCAGGCGTAGCGCCGGCCGATGTTGTCGAGGCTGCCGGCCTCGTCGCTGCCCCGGAACACCTGGCGGTATTCGCGCAGCTCCGTGTTGACATACCACGTCACCAGCCGTGTCCGCGCGCTGTCGCCCAGCGCATCCATCACCAGACAGGCCTCGACCAGCGTGCCACGCCGCACGGCCACTTCGTCTTTGGTAAAGGCCAGCTCAAAGTCTTCACACACCTGTTCTAGCAGCTCGCGCTGTAGCTCGCCCACGCCGCGGCTCAGTGCCGCAATCTGCTCGATCGACCGGTAGCTGTTGAAGTGGCGCATCAGCTGTAGCACTGCCTGCAGCAGCCCGGCACAGTCTCGGTACTGTCGTGTGTGAGCTAGTCCACGCAGCTGCTCGTATGCCGTCGTCAGCATCTGTAGCCGCTTCAGCGCCGTCATCGACACCGTCAGGTTGCGCTTGGTACCGTCCAGCCGCTTGATGTCGGCCGTCATTGTCGTAATGTCCTGCTCCGTCTGCACTGCCCGCGATCGCACGTCCTCGATGCGCGAGAAGACAGAGGCCAGCTCTGTCTGGGCCGACTGCATCCGCTCAAGAGACGCCCCTGACCCGTATGCCTGGGCCGTCTCCATGGCGGCGATCTCGCTGGACAGCTCATCGGAATGGATTCGGAGTCGGCGGGACACGATAGGGAGAGAGCTGACGGCTGATGGATGGCTGAAGAGGATGTTGAGGTGTTCGACGGGATTGTAGTTTGCTGAAACGACAAGTCTCGGTCAGCAACCAATCGGCGGCCTGGACAGGCGGACAAGGGCACACCAACCTGAATCGAAAGACGAGCGCTCAGCCACGGCGGTGCCACTCATCTTTCTGGTCACCCGGTCCGGATCCAATCCGGAAAAAGGTCGACGGTTGAAGTGCAGAGAGAGTTCTCAAAAATTGGCAGAACCCATGGAGAGAGAGCAATGGAAATCCGGGCCCCAGGCAACCGTGCTTGGCCCTTTCTGTAGGGCGTCCTTGCGGCTGCTGATATCTCTGGTTCCACCGGTCGGATCTCGACGGACGGTCGTGGTGCACTGTTGTGAGATAGCTGTCGCAGCTGTCCTCCTCTTGCTGTCATCGTGGCCCAAACATCGTCTTAGGGGCCACACAGCCACACGCCGTTGCGCCTTCCGTGCCTGGTGTCCCGAAAAGGAAGGCGGTGGTGGGCCAGTAATCAGAGTCACGTGACGCTATCGGATCGTGGGATGCAGTTCACAGAAATCGCTTCCTGCGCGGTAGAAAAGGATCGTCCTGGCCGGGCCGGAAATTAGAAAGCAAATCGCAACGCTCAATCGTAATTACGAGTACACGACTCACCGGCTCACAAGCACAAAGCAAGGACCCGTCGGGTGCGAATGGAAAGACACCTACACCCCGGCTTTATCAATCAGTGGTCCTGCGTGCTGCAACCTTCGTCACATCTGCTTGCCGGCGGGGCGGAAGACAGAAAACACGCGTGGACGACAGCAAGGACCCGCTGCAGTTATCTGTCTGATTGAGCATCTTATCGGACGTGGTTCGACCTGCCAATCCAGCCCTCCGGCGTGTCAGTTCCCCTCCAGTGCACTGCCTCTTCCCCACCACACTCTCACTTTGGAGCAAGATACATGGCGGCAGGCCAGACAGCCCTGGCAGCGAGCTCTACTCTGCCTCTGCGGGATCCTTCTGCTGCACACCATACATGCAGATCTGCCCAACATGTCGTTGTTGTCGTTGCAATTGCACCCAGCGCATGCATCCTGCCTGCAGCAGTCCCACACCTTGCTACAGGAAATGGCCGACTCGTATTATTGTACGAGTACTTTGGGAAATGACCAATCAAAAGCGGCCTGTCACTGCCTGTTTCCTACACTGTGAAGCCAACCAGAGACCTCGGCAGTGGCGCCATCCCTCCAAGTAACAGGCCGTGAGGCTTTTTCTATTTTCGGCTCAATACCATATCTAGATGTTGCCAGCTGTCTTCCCGTTTCTCCGTGGAACCGGTTTGTCAGTGCAGATAAAACCACACATGGCAGAATACGAGGATAGAAAGGACTCTGCAACCGAAAAGTTGGCACAATGGGCCTTTCGTCGAAATGAATACGGATCTGATGCCCCGAACGCTCTCGCCAGCCGCTTTCCGCTCGTCCAGGCCGTGTTGCTTCCTATGTATGCATGCAATGCAAGGCTAATGGCTGAAAAAGAAACGATGTTATGCATGTGCCCGATGTTGCTCCCGCCCGTCCTCACTCTCTTCCCGTGGGTATGTGGTTCTTTTTAGCTGCCGTAGACGCCGTCCCTGAATGAGTTTTTCCATCCGTTCCTTTTTTGTAGCCCTGAGCTGTCTTCCGGAAAGAAAAAAACGCCTTGATTCGCTGTGACCTTGATGACCCCCCTTCCTCCGTCCGTAACGCCCCTATGAGCCGTGTAGTGCGCGAAAGCCAGCCGCAATCAGACTTCGCTTGCTGTCTTTGGAATCAGATGGAGCTGTCCAGTAATACAGCCCCTGCTCTCTCCACGCGGTCCGTTAGCAAAGCACACCATGGGCAAATAGGAGGAAGACTGACCCCCAGCGACTTCTGCTTGCAAAAAGCAGCCTTCAGGCGAACGGTCTCGGGATTGTCGTAGCTGACAAAGCCGCCGTCACCACCGACGCACTGCGCCGCAACGACGCGCTTGTCGGTGTGCTCCCGGGCTCCCCGTCGGGGCAGCTCGCGATATTCAAAGGTGCCGTCCTCCATGCCACCGGCAGCCGAAAAGCTGTGGCCGGGGCCGGCGGTGTCGAGAAAGCTGCGGCCGTAGAGCGGGATGCCGAGGAGGATCTTCTTGGACGGCACGCCCTGCGACATGAGGTGCTGCACGGCCGAGGCGCCTGAATTCTCGTCCTTGCCGACGGCATACAGCTGAGCCTGGTGCCCACACTTGGGGGACCACGGTCCGTACAGATCGTAGGCGGCCAGGTTGACCAGGTCCACGTAGCCGGCTACATGCCGGAGGTCCAGCACCTGCAGGTAGTCCTTGTTGGCGGGCAGAGACGCCGTCACTACGTACTTGTCCTCGGTCAGATACATGCGCACCTGTCCGAGCAGGGCGAGAAAGTCTGCTCCTTGCTGGGCGTCGCTGGGATAGGCCCAATTGACTGTGTGGAAACCGGGACCGTCAGCTCGCTGTCTGCGCCGAAACGGCAGATGGGAAGGAAAACAGAGGCTCGCTCACTGTCGATGCCGTCCAGCCCCGAAGCATCGACCAGACCCAGAGCCGATCTCGCAAAGTTGTCTCGTCGGATCGGATCGGCTGCGACGCTCGGAAACACCGCCGCCGACTCGGTACCGCCGATCGAGAGCACTACCTGCAGATGGTGGTGCTCCTGCTTGCGGTGCATCAGAGACCCCAGTGCTCCCTGCACGCCATCACACGGCGCTCCGGCGTCGGCCCATTCGTCGCTCAGCTGCATCCGGTCGTCAGCCTTGTCATCTGGCCCCGCCCCCCTGAAAATATGGTGACGACTTACAAAGACAATTCCCTCGAATGTCACCTTGGCAAATGCATAGTACACAAGGCTGATGCAGCTGTAGTTCAGCTGGCCGGGGGTGTCTTCTGCGTAGAGTGCAGAGCTTGGGTAGTATACCGCATTTGTAAACATGATGTTGGACTGGCTCCCCATGCGTGGCTTGCGAGACGAGGACGCCATCGTGCTCTGTGGGTGGGGGAAAGACGGCAATGTGCTCGATAGCGGTCTAGGAAAAGAAAAGGAGGGACAGATAGGACGATGGCAGTCAGAAGGAAAAAGAAGGAAAAAGAAGAAAAAAGAAAGTAAAAAAGGCAGGAGAGTAACACAAGGACGGTATATGCAGACTCGAGACTAAACAAGCATGGTTGGTTTAGACGTTGAGGAAAGACGACGGTGAACCGAACTAGTAATTAGTGTATTCACCCCAGGTCCGGCTACAGGAGAAGAAAAGGGAAGAGGATAATATACGGGAGCTAAACTGCACCAACACATGTTGGACTTAGGGGCTGACGTGTTGTTCGGTCGGGCAGCAAAGTAGACCACCGAAGGGGCCGGGGGAAAGTAATGAATTTGGGGAAAAAAGCAGCAACAGGAGTATACGTGACTGGTGAGGCAAGGGGAAGGCGGAAGGCAAGGGGCAGACTGATAGGAGACAGGAACCCAGCTTGTGTGTTTTGTACAGCAAGGTCGGAAAGCCTAAAGGTGCACGAGTGCCAGCTTGCCGGAGGCGCAAGAGCTCGCGAGTGCTGGAGAGAGAAGGCGGCCGAGACGATGAGTCGTGCCCAAAGGCTGTTGCTGTCGGTGGGCCCTGGCGTAGAGGAGCCGAAGAGAAGAGCAGGAAAAAAACAGAACCAAAAAAAAATACGAAATACAAACTACAAAAATACACATATGAATTGGAATCAGAAATGGAAATTGAGAAAAAGCACGGGAGCGGCCAAAGCAAGGCTCGTTCGCTTCAGCGGATCCACAAGGCCGGCAGCAGACATGCATGACATAGTTGTCGTCCTTGTGGCTGCGGCAGAGCAAAAGTGGCCAGCCACGACAACGGGCACTGCTTGTCTGAACTGTGTATGGACAGCACGTCTGTCCGCGGACGGAGCACAGGACCCATCAGCGACAGCCCAAGCGCAGGTGCAGGTGCCGCGGTACGAGGAGAGAAAGAGAGGACGAGAGAAGGAGAGAAGGAGAAGGAGAAAAAAAACGACAAAAAGAACGAGAGAAAGGAAGGAGGCGTCCACACAGCTGCTTCGCCCCCGGTCGAGAGCCCCGACCATCGTGAGATAATGGGTAAGGCCGTGTGCACACCGGGCTCGTGCTAGCCCTGCAGCTACTACGACGTCTGAACGCCCTCCTCCGTCCTCGTGTCCTCTTGGCCTTCTCGGGCGCAGCGTTACCACCACCTGACCCGGCAGGTCGACCGTCGGGACGACAGCAGCTGCGACCTCTTCTCTCTTCGTGCTTCTCGTTCCTCCCTCGGCTGCTCCTTTCACCCCTCCTCCCCCTCCCATAGGTTGGCTGCCCTCCGTCCTGCTGAGCTCATCCCACCCCCCACATCCGATCAGGAAACGAGCCTAGTCCGTTTTCCCTGTGGCCTCCGGCAGATTGCAGGCCTGCGAAATATACGAGCAAGTAGAAGAAGCACCACCGAGTCCGCCCCGTGTCGTGTCCCACGAGCCGACCGGACCCAGAGCCTGCTGCCTGCAGTGGAGGGGCACAAGGTGATCCGCAGAATCTTCTGGCGGTCAGCAGCGAGCGGTTGAGCACATACGCTGGGAACGGCAGGCAGATCGGCTAGTCTGTCCATGGCTGGCTGCTTGGCCGTAGCCACGGGTCGGGCTAGCCTTAGTGGCTAGCCCTGGTGGGTAGTGCTTGACATATACGAGCAGGCGTGCTAGGCGTGAAGCAGCCTGCGTGATCGCACCGCCTCGCTCGCCAGACCCGATTGTGTACCACGGAGACGGGACGAGAAAGAGCCTGCGAGGACCAGAGACGGCTCAGCCCTGGTGACGGATGGGGTCATGGATCATGCTACATCATGTTACCTGTATCATGGCCCATGACTGATGACCCATTGTTCGTGGATCATGGATCATGGATCATGGATCATGGATTGTTGTGAAGCCAGCACCCCGTGACTGTAACTGCCTGTCTGTTGATGGGGTCTAAAACAGAATGGAGTACCAAGGTTGTTCCGGCTCGATGTTGCAACCACCACAGAAAGGGCCGTTCTTCTTGACGCCTACCCACCCCTCCCTCTATTTGTCTGTCTGTGCGAGTTCTGTGCTGCCCCTCCCCCTCTGACAGCTGCCGACGGACGAGAGTAAGATACTTGTCAGTTTTTCACGCCGCGTGTGCGTTGGCAAGTCTCATGCGTTAGCCCGTCCCACCGTCGCCATCTGGGGGGGACAGACTGGTAGAGAGCAGCCGTGTCACTGGCTGCGCCGGAGCAGGACGTCCCTCTAACTTTGCACGTCGTACTATGCAGCAGCACTGGCAGCCAGCACCATTTCGCCTCCGTCTGCCGTCGCCGTAATCAGCCCTGCCTCTCGAGGAAAAGAGCCGAGGGCGTCGACGTTGAGCTGGAGACGAGTTCGAGACGGAGAAGCGGAGGGTACGGAGCATGCAACAGCTCACCGTTTGCAGCCCAGACATCCTGGGTAGCAGCCCTTCCAGAAAATTCCAATGCTCGACCTAGCGTGCGACAGAACGACCAGCCGATGCGACGTGCTGTCCTCGCCCGCGTTCTCTCGCTGGTTCTCAGCAGATCTGCCAGAGGATGCAGCGTGATAGTACATACATAGTCCGATACGATGACGTCTTGTTTCATTGCTTCCCTGTCTTTGCCTAGCACCGAATCCAACCTGCAAGTCATCCATCCAGCAATGCCTTGCTGGATTTGGCATAAACGGCCGCCTTCAATTTCCCGTTGGCGTTTCGGCTAGCGACTCCGTAAATGGCTCGACAGGCCCCATGCTCGTCAGTTGTGCGCTTTGCGTAAGAGACCCGTTGCCGGCTGTCGAGTCGGCGCGGCTCATTTGCGCAGTACTTTTAGTTTTTGGACCTCAACCCGAAGCGGCCGTCCTCTGTCGCCAAGACAGGCTGATGTCCGAAAAGGCAGCAACAGGCTTTACCGCTACTTTCGTCCGGTCCAGGTGAAGGGCAAAAGGTACGAGCTGACTCGAGCAGCTGAGTCGGAACCATTCCGACCCTGCCAGCTTTCCTGTCTCATTTGTCTTTCTTCCTCTTTTGTTCTTTTTATTTTATTTATTCTTGTGTGCCCGTGTTGGCGAAATGGAATTATGGAGCAAGGCAGACGATGGTGGAGCTCGTTGTCCAAATCCGGTTTGAGCAGGCGGTGAGCGCCGGTTTTAGTGGCCGACAAAATTGCAGGGAAGGAGTACTTTTTACCCGTTTTTTTCTTCTCTCATCCAATTTTTATTTTTTATTTTTTCACTCTCCTTTCCTACTTACCGACGCTGCGCCTTGCACCGCCAGCACCCAAGCAACACGAGTTTATTGGACGGAAGAACAAAAAGAAAAGGGTTGGGCAGGGCGCCAAACAGCTGGCGGACTGGGACGAAAAGTCGTCGCCCCAGAAGCCACCGCAAAAGCCCTCGACGTGTTGGTCCAGGTCCAGCTGTTGGTGACCGACTTCCGCCTGGCTTTTGACCGGCCATCCTTCCCGATTTCGCTCATGCCGCTCATGTTTCGCATTGCGACTCCGCCGCATAAGGCAGTTGTTCGGGCGGAGATCTTCACCTGTTTTCCTTGTTTTTTCCCTTCTTGTCCCATGTCTGGCCAACCAGTGCTGGCCGGCAGGTGACGAAGAGGCAGTGCTGGGAAAGTACACTTTTGCCTTCGTTTGGCAAATTGCTCTACTTTGTAGCACAGGGCAGAAAATAAGGAAGTGCAGGAAGGCGAGCTGACTGGTATCCTTGCAAGCTGCAGATCTTGGGTGATTGTTTCATGTGCGTTCCGGTAGCATCGTTAGCAGATGCTGTTGGCTGTGTCGTCAGCCGACCGAACATTCCATACTCCCCTGCCAGAGACCGCGTCTTCTCACGAAGGCGTGAATGGCACACGCACTCTCAACACAATTACCCCCCTGGTGCGTGTGTCCTGCTTCCTGGCAGAGATCGATCCTTCGGGTACAAACCCGTTGCTGGGCACCCGACCTATAGAGATCGTTTTGCATCTCCTTGACAGGTCGGGAATCAGTTGTGGTTACATGTGCAAGTGAATTATGTCATAGAAGTTAAATAAATGATGTTTGGAAATGCGTCTCGTTTTTACAAGGCTGTCTTGACGTATGAGTCGTGAAAAGAGTTAAATGACCAGCTTGTCAATGTCGGTCACTCCGACCTCGCTGCTGCTCCGACGACTTCCCAGGTCGCTGTCGAGGCCAGGCGTCGGCGGCGGCAGATTGGCCATCTTGGTGCAGATCCAGCAGCTGGCGTACATGTTGACGCGGTCGATGCACACGCCGGGCTCGCGGTTGCCGTGGCGCTTGGCCGCAAAGCCGAGGCGCTCAAACACGTCGACGTACCAGGGCAGGCGGGCGCTGGAGCGCAGCAGCACGCGACCGCCGAGGCGAAGGGCGCGGTTGAGCTTGGCGATCTGCGAGGGCGCGCCGTCGCCGCCGCGGTCAAACCAGTCCATGCTGTCCATGATGACGGCCACGGTCAGCGACGCCGGCGCCAGCCGTGCAATCACCTCCTCGATCTCGTCCGTGTGGATGCGCAGCCCGTCAAAGGCGCCTGGCCGCGAGAGCCGCGCGTGGGCTTGTGGCGACTGGTAGTCCAGGTGGCAGCGTCGTGAGAACTGCCCGTCCAGACAGACGAGGTAGTACGGGTTCTCGGCCGCCAAGTGCACCGTCTCGACCATCGGGTCCAGCGTGTTGACCATGTAGTGCCAGACGGCATGCGAGCGGATGTTGCGGGCTGTCGGCTTGTAGGTCGTGTTGTTTTTGTTGCTCTTCATATCCGTCACGTGATCGTCCTCGATCATCGCCAGCTGATTCTTGGGCACGCCTAGGGCCGTCCAGAGGAAGCTCTCCTGGCTGACGACCAGGCCAGATACGAGACGCGACAACAGGGCCGGACGAATCTTGGCCTGCCAGATCTCGCGCTGCTCGTTGAGCGTCTTGGCCTCAAGGATGGCCCGCACGGCGCCGCGGCAGCCAAAGACGTAGCTGATGTAGCGGAAGATGCGGATCGCGTTGCGCGAGCCACCCGTGTCGTATAAGCCGCCGGCGCTGGTGAAGACGTGGGCGTTGCGCAGCCAGTACTGGAACCCGCGGCTGGACAGGTGCGGCGACAGGCGCGAGAGCAGCAGCTGGCGGAAGCCCAGGTGCCGACCGTCCCCAAAGAGCCGCCAGAAATCGTCGTAGGGCAGTTGTGCTGAGTAAGCAGCAACTTTGAGCTCCAGCAGGTGGTTCTGCGCCGGGTTCAAGTCGACCGCGTGGATGCGGGCCGGGCTCTGCAGCGCATACGAGAGGATGTTGTCACCGGCACTGGTGATGGCCAGCACCACGTCGTTCTCGCCCAGCCGTAGCAGCCGCTCGTCCACGCGTGTGTCCTCCCACGTGAAGGCGTAGATGTACTCGTCGTTGAACTGCTTGTGCTTGGCCAGCTGATCGTCGTAGTAGATCCGCCAGTGGTGGTTCTGATAGAAGAACGCCGGCAGCGGCAGCCCAGCCGAGAGGTTCGCAATCGCCGTTTCAAACGCCTTGGACCGCATCTCTGGCGCCGTTCGCTGTACGGCCCGCGAGAGGGTTGTGGCCGGACTGGGTGGCGGCCGGGATGCATTGGTACCCGAGAGGTACGGCGACTCTGTCACCATGGCGTCGACGCGCTCCACTACCTCGTGCGGCAGGCTGGTCGCGTGAAACGGCTTCTTGTGGCAGCCTACCCAAATGTAGTACGGGATCGAGCCAAGCGACCGATTCCGATCGTTGGCGCTCAGCACCGTGCCAAAGCGGTATTCAAGGTAGTCGCGCCGTCCGGCCTCGAGGCTGACGCGGTCCAGCTCAAACCAGGCCCGCCAGAACGTGCGGCCGATAAAGGGAATATGCCGGTTGACCAGCCCGCCCGTGTAGTTGCGGAAGCCAAAGTCGGCCTTGCCTTGCACGTAAAAGTCAATGGCGCCGATGACGCCGTTGGGTGCGAGCAGCGACGTCAGCGAGTCGATGACTGAGTAGAAGTCGGGCTGTTCGGTCAGTACGAGACACGAGATGCGAGCCACACAACAAGGGGAAAGACACGCACAATCATTGACAGGCTGTAGGACATAGTGATCAAGTCCGCTCCACCGTGGGCGGGCCGGTCGAACGAAAAGTAACCGGTCTGGGTCGGTGTAGCTGCCAGGCGGTCGGCCTCGTAGTCCTCCAGGCGGAACTTGCGTGCGTCCTCGCAGATGACGTGCACGTTAGACCAGCCGAGCCGGGCAAAGCGCTTTCGCGCCACTGCACACAGGGATGGCGATAAATCGACCAGGTACACGCTCGAGAAGAATTCGGGCACGTTGACGAATGCCGACATGGCCTCGATGTTCCAGCCTGTGCCTCCACCGACGTCGACCCAGACGCGCTTGGGCGTCGTCGGCTTCGCCATTGCCGCCTTGCGGCCCTTTGCCGCTACCTGGCTCTCGTCCTCGGTGCGGCAGGCAAGCTGGGCCGCCACGAGGGCTAACATGTCCTCACGACCCTTGAGCAGGGCCTTGCGCGTCACGTCGTAGACGCCAGCTTGCGTCTGGTAGAAGCTCTCCAGAGCATCCTGCTGCGTGCCGTCTCCACCACCACTGTGCGGCTTGATGAAGCATGAGTAGCAGAAGAGGATGAGAGACTTGACGAGGCTCGGCTGCACCTCGTCTGGCTTGCCCGTCCGGCTAAAGGACGAATACAGTTTCGTCAGGCCAATGACAGCAGATAGTGCCACAGCCAGCCCAGCAAAAAGAAGCTTGTTGTTGCCCATGCTCGGTGGCAGATTGTTACCACCAAGAGAAGCCATGATACTCTCTCATTGCTATCTCAGAGAGTTGCGAGCTGTCTGTGAAGAGGTATAAATGGTGTGTATACAAGTAGATGATATATGAAGAAGAAAGGCCTGAGACGGACAGGGGAATCAGGGAGAGGAATGCAAGGAGAGATCAATAAGACTGCGGCACGAGAGCGCAAGGAGAGGATGGCCAGGTATATAGCTGACCGGTATGTCTTCTGATCACGTTGACTATTCGACAATGGTCGCCTGGTTCTGTCGTGTTGTGCTTGACCTCGTCCATTCCCATACGCTGCCACATGAGAGCCGTGCAGTGACCGAGAGGGGGGTGATCTTCGTATCTGGCCTGTACTCTGCAGCCATTGACCAATGGAGGAAGCGCGTGCGCGAACCATTTGCGAGGAACCAGCCTCTGATGGCTGCGCTTTCGGCACCTGCGCCGGCTCTGTCCAACAGCAGGGCCGATCTGGCGACGTGGGAGCATCTTGTCGGGTCGCCCTAAACTAGCGGACTGGATGCGAGATACCGGACTTGGGAAAATGGGAAAATGGGAAGATGACAAGAGGGCGAGGCGCTCTGGCAGGCAGGAGCGTGGCTCTGAGTCGTGCCTGCGTGCTACGATCCAGTGCGATCGCCCGCCCCACCTTTCGCGTTCTCGCCAATGGGGTCGCTGGTTTCGGGCACATGCAGAAAGAGACAGCATCGCTTTCATGTTTCTCAATACATGGCGCTGTAGGCGACCAAGCAGAGTTGCCGATACACGTTGGTTCACGCCACGTGACATTGGCAACACGTGATCGTTCCCTGCAGATTACTCACGTTGTCTGCTTACCAGAACTGCCTCAACAAGACAGCAAATCTTTCCGAGGCGAGCAGAACAAGCTTCTGTCACCAATAACGCATGGGCCACGAGACTGTGTGTGCTAGCCTGATCCGCTAAAGCTAGAAGGTGCATATATGACAGAGTCTCGGCGACCATGATTGGCGAAAAACGAGACCACCTGCCCTCGCTGCTGCTGCTGCCGGGGCCCCCGGAGCCAGCCAGCCGGGCGTCGCTGAGTGCCGCATACCGACCGCCGCTGGAGATGGCGCTGGCCCGGACAAAGCGCACAGACAAGGCGGCCACGCTGATCGTGGCCGTGGCGGCGTCCTGGCTGGATGGTCCGTCGCAGGAGACAAAGGAGCTGGTGTGGCCCGACATGTCGGCGCTGCTGGCGGGCCTCTACACGATCATCGCGGTGCTGTGCGCCAAGATGGACATTGCGACCGACATGGACGGCGGGCCGGGCTCGGTGGACGTCCGCGTCGTCCTGCTGGACCACGACCGCAGCCGGGCCTTTCCCGATTTTTTGCCGATCATCGAGCCGAACAACACGATCGTGGTCGACCTGCCATCGTTTGCGGCTGCCTACCACCCCTGGAACGACATCTTCCACGTCCAGAGCGAGGCCGGCCTGCACCTCAACAACCTGTACGTCAAGTTTGCGCAGACGGTGCAGCGCATTGCCGACGACCAGCTCGTGGCCGTGGCCGGCGGCCTGACGATGCACCTGGGTCCATCTGCGACTGCTTCTGGCACGTCCACGCCAGCCTCGCGCATCATGCATCTGCCGACGCCGAGCCATGCGTGCGTCTGTCTCGGCGGCACCTTTGATCACCTGCACCCGGGCCACAAGCTGCTGCTGACGGCCGGCGCGCTGCTCCTCCGCGTGCCTACGCCGCTGTCTGGCCCGGCCTGCGAGTACGTCATCGGCATCACCGGCGACGATATGCTGCGCAACAAGCGCTATGCCGCATACGTCCAGCCCTGGGACGAGCGTGCCCGCAACGTCATCTACTTTCTCGCCTCCCTCCTCGAGCTCGCCCGCGACGGATGGGAGGAGAAGATTGGGCCCGACATCGACGAGCACACCGCTGGCGACTTTCGTGCTTCTTTTCGCAATGGCTCCATCACCGTGCAGTGCGTCCGCATCGACGACGCGTACGGTCCCACCACCCGCCGTCCCGACATCGGCTGTCTCGTCGTCTCGGGCGAGACCCGCTCCGGCGGCCGCGCCGTCAACCAGGAGCGTGCCAAGCTCGGCTGGCAGCTGGTTGACGTCTTTGAGGTCGACGTCCTCACCGCTGACGAGGTCGCCACCGACATGGCCGCAGAAGACGCCACTGCCACGACCGCCAGCTTTGAAGCAAAAATTAGTAGCACAGAGATTCGCAGGGTCAAGGCTGAGGCGGCTGCAAAGGCAAAATTAACTGAGGAGGGAAAACAGGCCTCCACATCGTAGCAAAAGCGTTATTCCCAGAATGAAAGCCCAATTCGTGCGACGCTATCTAGCACACGTGACGTACAGAGTACTAATGCTTACATAATCTAAATCGGCACCTGCCCCGTGCCTGGCGCAAGCGGCTGGGGAAGCGGGCACCTCTGGCATCATCAACTCGGCTGTGCGCAACAATAGGCAGCTCCGACGCCATCCCATCGTGACCCAGCTTCCGACTACGTATATCATCTTCAGGACGAGCTGCATGTTTTTAGATGTCTCTGCTACGCAACGAATAGCTTTTGATCCCGCACACAGGCGTGTGCGTGTGTACGTGATTGGGCACTCTATTCGGTCTTTTTGCGAATCTCGACACCATCGTCAACACAGCCTTTTCACCCACAGGTGAAGCTCTCCCCTCAACCATCGTCACTTCTCTTCCTTCCGTCCTACCTATCCTCCAATTCTCCTCGCTCGAATTCCTCCCAAGTCCTTCCTTCGCTCTCCTGCTCCTCTTTCCTTCTCCTCCACCCTTCATCGGCCCTTCGAAATGCCCGCACCGCAAGGCCACGGTAAAAAGGCCAACGGCCCCTTGGCGCGTCAGCGCTCACGGAATACGACGCCGTCGAGCGTGGCACCGCCAACTGTGACGGCCAGTCTTCCGGAAATTCAGGCACAAGACCTCGAGTACATTCAGCTGCGGTTCGACGTGTTCCGCAACCTCTCCTACGACGACCTCGTGGACTCGGGCACCGGTGCCGGCTCGAGCATCCCTGACTACAAATCCATAGACGGCATTGTCACACGGCTGAAGAAGCTACAGGCAATCTCGGACGAACGAGGCAGCAGCTACGACCGCGGCATGCGGTTGTTGTCGCATAACCGCCGCACGCGCATGGACGACTTGGCTGCCGAACGCAGCCGCGAGGAGGAGCGGGTGCAGCGCGAGGCAAACGACGAAGACCACCAGCGGCGGGCCAACAAAAAGAAGCGTAAGGCGCCGGAGGGCACGGCCGCGCAAGAAGTTGTCACCGGTATGTGTCTGTTGTCAGCATCTACACATCATACCTACTCTACCTTGCTGTCCCATACTGACGCTGCCTCGAGCCGCAGCAACACCCAGCGCGATGGAGGTGGACGAGAAGACAAAGATTGTAGCCGCCGATGACAGCCCGTCCGAGTCCGAGTCGTCCGACGACGGCGCACCACCGCAGCGCCCGGTGCCACAGAACCAGACCTTTGGCGAGGACCCGTCCACGTTTCCCGACCCGACCGTGTACGAGGTTCGCGCAGTAAAGAGCGGCATGTCAGAAGACGAGATCAAAGAGATCTACTCGGTGGCCGTATACCCCAAGTCAGACCTTGCAGATCTGGTCGCAGGCGACCCTCCAGACAAAGACTTTAGCAATGCCAAACCATCCAACCAGATCAATTTTTCCACCTTTTCCAGCTACATCGAACCATACTTCCGGCCCTTTACCGAAGAGGACCTGGCGTTTCTGCGCGAACGCGGTGACCACGTCACGCCCTTTCACATTCCCAAGCGGGGCAAGAAGCACTACAGCGACATCTGGGCGGATGAGGACGGCGCCATGGCCGTCGACTCGTCACCGCCGGTCTCGGGGCACGACAAGCGGCTGCCACCAAACCAACCGCGTGGCAACATCGACTCCATGACGGACGAGGTGGCCGAGACCGACAGGCTGTCCGTCGGACCGCTGCTGGCCCGCCTGCTGCAGGCCATGCGACCCGAACACCGGGCCCCGCCAGTACCGACTGGCAGCGACAGCGTGAACGGCAGCGTGGACGTGTCGATGAGCGGTCTCGGTGACACGAGCGTAAATGGCACCGACGGCCCCGCAGGCGAGTCACAGAACGGCGACGGCGAGCGGGTGCTGCCGGTGGCAACACTGATGCCCGAATCCGCGTCCGAGACGTGGAAGAAGGCCACCCATCCGAAGCTGGACTACACGCAGGTTGACGAACGGATCAAACAGGAGCTGCGGCATATTGGCTTCCTGCCGTTTCCCGACTCGGCCCACGGATCGTCCGTGGTCAATAGCACAGGCAATGGTATGGGCGGCATCAATAACAGCAGCGGCGGTGGCAACAGCAACGGCAATGGCGGCAACAGCAACGGCAACGGCAACGGAAGCGGCAACGGAAATAGCAATGGCAGCAACGGGGCCAATGGCCACGGATCCGGCGGCGGCAACGGGAACGGTTCAGCAAATGGTGGAGGCGGGAACGCGGCTATCGACCCATCACTGACGGCCGACTACGACGGCCACTACGATGACGAGGTGGCCGCACGGCTGCGGTTGCTGCAGTCGAAGCTGCGCGAGCAGATGTTGATGAACGGCGCCCGCAAAGCGCGGCTGGCCGAGCTAGTCAAGGAGCGGATGGCGTACCAGGAGTACCAGACCATCCTGGAAGACCTCGACGGCCAGGTGCAGGCGGCCTACTTGAAGCGGACCCGGACGATGGGCAAATCGAAAAAGGGCAAGCGGCCGGGTGCCGGAGGAGCCGGAGCCGGAGGGGCTGGCGGGGCTGGCGGAGCAGCTGGCGGAGCAAACGGCGCCGGCACAGCTCGGCCAGGCATTGGTGATATGACCCGGCTGCTGATGGAGCGGAGGCGACGGTGGATGGAGAGCATCGGTACCGTCTTTGATGACGAGCGGCTGCGCCGCGTGCCGCGCCAATGCGAGCCTGACAGCAGCATCTTCCCGCCTGCCGAGATGGCCGGACTGATCAAGAAGGAACAGGAGGCTTGGGACGAAGAGGCCGACGAGGAGTAGCTGCACTGGTCTGCTCACTCTTTTTTTTCTCTTGCTATTTGCGTCGTATGGCAGCTGGCGCTATTCGGAAAACGGGACGGCGTTGTCAGGCGGGAAAACGAGCATTGGCCGATGAGAATTATCGAATCGTTTTATCCAGTAATATATACGGAGTACACACGTTTATGCGACCATCGGTTGCTCTATTGCTCTCTTATGCTCCATCTATCCTGTTGTAGGCAAGTGTTGCCCATAAAACCATGCGTAATAGTGGCTCCGTACTTTACGCCACGTGCTCAAACAGACGCACGTTTTCCTCCCGCTGTCCCAGACCCCGTTTCCATTATGTAAACACCATGATATAGGAATGGCCAAAAAAAGAAAACTTCAGGACTCCATGGCTTATAAAAAAGCCTGACAAAATGCAAATCAAATGGGTATGAGCTTCGTCAATGACAATTACCATCAGCCAGATCAGAGAAATCCCGGAAACACCTTTCGTCCTATTATTCTCCCTGTGGCGAAGACGGACAGTCAGCATCTTCTCGGGCGAATCGGCATTGCTTCTTCTTTAGAAACGTACATCTTGGCCTATCAGTCTCTTCTCTATCAGCGTCTGTCCGTGCCAAATGGCGCATTCGCCTGCGAGTGGCCTCGGAGACAACTGCACGCCGGTCATGTCGTTGTGCTGTAGGATCTGTAGGACTTGTTTGCGCCGCAAGCTCAATGGAAGCGCTAAACGTCGGCGGAAGCCGTGGCTTGGAGCTGTGAAGCCGCTTACTGACCGAAGAGCCCCAACTGCGGATGCGACCGTGCGCGCTCTCGTCGTCCGAGGCAGCCACGTCAACACGCTCACGGAGCCGTCTGATGGCGCGCTCTCGACGCACCATAGCATTCGTGATGATCGGACAGTAGCCTCTTGGCAGCATGGATGCCTTGCAGAGAGGGCAAAGAGAACTGATCTGACAGAGAAACTCATCTATGCAGTCTGGGTGGAAGATGTGCCCACACGGAAGCTCGCGGATGATCGTGGCCCGGTCTTCGAAATTCTCCAGGCAGATCTGGCACGTAGGCTGGTAGTCCAGGTCGCCCACCACAGGGGCTGCTGCTACAAACGTTGCTTTGGTGGACGATGCGGTCGGATCGTGACGATTTGTCTCAGTTCCACATTCGCCACGGCTTTCCGCGCCGAGGGTGCTGGAGAGAGCGGCAAAATCGTTCGTACCGGCCAAGCCAGGCGCGGAGGCATTGTGGTGGCACGCCGCCTCTAGAGTTGTCGAGGACTGATATGGGAGTGGCTGCGAAGTAGTCAGGGCGGGAGACGCAGCGCTAGCAGTCATACCGGTGGGAGAGCTCGGTACGGCTTTCGGTAGTGGCGGTGACTGTGGTGGATCATAGCTGTAAGTGAAAAGAGGAAACTTGTGTACATGGCAGGCGGGAACAGTCAAGCGCTTGATATTCATAATTTCGAGGTTGACGTCGCCCGCCACGACGCGTCGTCTGAGTGAGATCCGGCGGCGCCGCCAAACGGCATGCATGAGGAAGACCGTCAAGATGACCACGACCAACACAACGCCCGCAATCGCGAGCACGAAAACCCAAACATTGGGAAGTCCCGTAGGCGTCGTGACTGTTAGCTGAGTCCATATCCGTATGTAGTCAGACGAGTCAGGGTTGTAGAGGTTGCTGATGTTGTCGCCATTGGGCACCTCGGTTATGTTGCCCGAGTAAAGACCCAGCTGGTACATCATTTCGCTGCCAAGTGAGCCGGAAACAGCAAAGATGGGGTAGTGGTTCTCTGATTTCCAGCTGCCGCCATCGCCCAAGTCCCAGATGTCAGAATCAGAGTCTGGAGTGCTCGCCAGCTCACCGGTCGGCACGTAGAAAAGAAAGGCACGCAGCGGATCTTCACGTGCAGACGCAAGGTAGGCTTTGGTGCAGCTACTGTTAAACCAAGGCGCGACGGCGATGAGATTGTAGTTGGTGGCTGGGAGATCAGATTGGCGAACGGCCGAGTCCGGCACATACTGCCGGGCATAATCGGCACAAGGATCATCACTGTCAAGGTCTGGCACGTAGAGCAAACCCTGCAGCACGCCGTTTTCTGTTGCTGTATACTTGGACGTGAGGACGGTCAGGTTGTCGGTAACATCGTCGTTGTAAGCGATGTCCTTCTGTGGTGTGCAGTGTTAGATGCGAGGATCGGACATGTGATCGAAGCCAATGCTGTCATGATGACTGACCCAAAGAGCGGTGAGGTTCCGAATGATGGTGCTGGGAATGGTATCCTTGCCCGACCACACCGGATCGCTAAATAAGAGGCTACTTGGCAGAAAGGTAAGAAAAGAGTTAGTTGTGAAAAATAGGGTGATTAATCGCGGCAATGTGCAACCCCGCGCCCGTCGAGATGACTGATGCCGCTACAGAAGGGCGCCCTGCCCTGTTTGGCGGGATCCGTAGACTTGGGTTGGCCAAGCTTTGCTTGGCTGGCTTGGCGACGCGAACTTGTGGGGATAGGTGTGGACCTGGCCTTTCTCCAGAGAATGGGGAGGCTACGGAGTACAGCTCCAATCGTACAGAAAGGTACCCGATAGACGTGCGAGATATTCCGAGCAAAAAACTGCGGCTCGGCAATGCGCGCAATGTCTGCTTGTTTGCTTGCTGGTCCTAGGAGGGCTGTTTCCGGTAGACGTCCCCTGTCCATAGGGCATAGAACGTAGCAGTCGTGCACGTGAGACAGCAATCGGTAGCCTCCACCCATTGGCAAATTTCCCTCACCTCAGTCTGTGAGGAGACAGGGGAGGGCGGTAGTGAGGGCTGGACATGGCTTGTAAGCGCGCACAATGCAACGTTTGATAGATCCGATGCATTCAGAGCTCAGACAGCGGCGATGTCGATGCGGACAAGTGGCAGCAAAAGTCGTCGGTCGAGGCGGAAGCGGTGGCGAGAATGGTAGTCGTCGAGGGCGAGGAGCAGCAGACGACGAGACGGGGATGAAGGATGAACATAGGCAAAGCATATACGTACACGTCATTCTGGAGTCCATCAAGAGCTGTCCAACGTCAGTAATGGATCGCCTTCGGCCGCGGGCTTGGCAGCTCTTGGCGAGAAAGACGGAGGAAGAGGATTGGACGCAGGGATGGCCAAAAGCCTCGCGGAGGATTTGAGGCAGGTCGCCAGAGAGCAGAAAGCTGCAGCAAGGGTAAAAGGCGGGTATGAAGCAGAATGGTCGATCGAACGACGGCTGCCGCGAACAGAAAAAAGATGCCGTGATGCGATGGAACGCTTTCTGGGCGCCAAGGAAAAAAAGGCCAAGAAACCAAGCCAAGACAGGAGGCGATCATCCAACGAGAACGGGGCAGCTAAAAATAAGGACAAGAAACGGAACTTACACATGCTCATGATCAATCATGTTCTAGTGGGTTTAGGTAACCCAGACCTTCAGAGAGGAAAGGGTGGCGGTTGAAGATGGGATCATCGGCAGAGGCCGCAATTTGTGACGCTGTTTTCTTGGCTTTTCTGGGCAACGGGGGAACGGTGGACGGGGAAAGGAAAAAAGAAAGAACGAGGCATGCAAATGGCGGAGGGCTCTTGGGGACGTGACGAGGGAAGTGGGGTGAGAGAGAGGGGAACAGGGGGGTTTCGGAAAACTGGATGGTCGTTTCTCTCCGTCGCTTGTGAGATAGGGCGGATCTGGCTTTAAGGCACCAGGCCTAGCCGGAGAAGGGATTTAACAGCGGGTACCGACACTTGGACCAGCGAGGGAAGGAGCTACGTCGTATATGCACCAGTCACCTAGGAGAACTTAATGGGCAGGATGTATTATTTTCACTAGTCGCGACGATGCTTATTCAATTGAATTAATCCAGAGAACCTGGCGTTTTGAATGGCGATTTTGATGGTATGTATACGCCGCGTAAAAAGCCATCGAATAAGGCTGGTAAAGGATTAGACGATATTGAGCAATAAAGTGGGCCTGGGGGTTGGTCTCTGCATGCCTCGTTGTCGGAAACATTCCGTACTCCGTCGGAAGTACGACGTACTCGGCAGGACCATGCGAGCGCTGATCAACATTGGAACTGACAGTCGATCTCCAATGGTCTAGATGTACTCCGTAGTAATCCCTAATACTCCATTGCTAGATTAGTCCGCAGAACGCTATCTCGGGGTTTTGTCTGAAGGCAAAGCATGACTAATCAGTCAAATACAGTAGAAGACTGTCTTCAAAACCTCTTCAAAACCAGGTTAACGTCTGAATTAGACGCCCACCATGACGTAGACCATTACACTGCGTAAGGCAGGGCCGTTGCCCTGCATTTAGGAGTCACGTTTTCGTACCGTCCCGACAGGCTGACCCTTGCCTTTTGCAAAAAACCCAACGTCTCAGAAAGCTAAATACCATACGAGTAGGATATTCCGCATTAAAGTGAGCACTTTTAGCAAAACAAATTGGGCTTGCGGAAACATTCAAAGCCGCTCAACAGATTCTCGGACATGGATGTCGCCCAATATGGGTCTAGAAGTAGTGCCCTGGTTTCTTTTATTTTCCTATTCGAGTTCAGCGTAGTTCTGTCTAACACTCGCCATACGACGTAACATAAAACAAGACTGCTGTAGGAATGAACGTGCCCCTTTTCCATTTTACAACCCCGGAGACTTATACTTCATCGGAAGAGAAAATTCAAAAGATACGAATTAGAAACGACTGAGAATCCCTTGGTGAACAATTGAGTTATCCGCCGGCTATCTCAAATTTCTGTTCTCGTTGATTGCCACCGCCATCCGCGCAAGATGGTAGCCGGTAAGCTAACTCGGAGCTTTCAGTAGTTTTTAGTTTGACGGAAAATTCAACACGGGTTATACTTCTAGGTATCAGTCCGAGTGGATCGACCGACTACACAAACCTAATTGGGGGCGGTACGATCGATTTCAATGGCACACTACTTGAGATTGTAGGGTGGGCCCAGGCCGTTTCCATAGTGTTCTCGAAATTTGATAACTTTGACGTGCTGGTTGACGATGACTTGTTGTATACGATGGGCCTGCAGATATAGCAATAATCGAACGTGAAGCAAAGCGAAGCGATGGAAAAAAGCCGTACTGTAGACAAGAAATCGCAGTTGTGTAAAGTAACCCATATACGCTGTGAAGCCATTTCAGGGTGCATTATACTTTCTTCAGACTTTGTAGGCATACTCACAATATAAGCCTGAAGAAAGAATAATCCATTTTATATAAGTTGTCGCTTCAAGAACGCTTACACCATGCGGTCTTGAAACTAATTTCGACGATTGCGATGACATGTGGATGAAGACCAAGGGTCTCCTTACCTTTATGCACTCCGTCATATAGCCCTTTACATACAGACACGAGCCCTCAAAATCAGATTCACATCAGAAGAGGGATCTTGTCGAAGGGAGACGCATTTACCATTGAGCGGAAAACCAAAGTAACGTGTGTGGTGCGCTGTCTTGCCGATTGCCCCACTATGTGCTTTTAGCCGCCGGTGAATTCCTTTAGCAGTAAGATACGAGTGATTTTGGGGCCAGTTTTCCAGCAACGACGCGCCCGAGCTACGGCCTGATACGATTTCTCTATTTTCAACGTCATCTGCTTCGTTGTATTTAACGCAAATGCCCCAGATCCATCGCCGGCCCTCCAATTAGACATTTTATACGCAGTCCTCCCCTACAGCTTCTCGTTGGGTCCGGCGATCAGGATCTTGATCACCTGGCCCTCCTTGACCTTGTTAAAGGCCGTCTCGGCCTGGTCAAACGGCACGGTCGTCGTGATGAGCTTCTTGACGTCGATCTTGCCGGCAGCGACGAGCTCGATGGCCAGCTTGTAGTCGCCGGAGCCATAGCGGAAGCTGCCGCGTGCGGTGACCTCCTTAAGGCAGAACGCCATGATGGGGAAGGTGATGTCGGCGCGACCCATGCCGCCCTGCACGTACGTACCGCCGTTGCGGACGACGTGCAGGCTGGCCTGGATGCTGGGCTCGGCACCTGAGGCGTCAATGACGACGTCGGCACCGCCGCCCAGGTCGGCCAGCTCGACAATGTTCCGGGCGTTTTCCTCGGCCGAGACGCGTTGGCTGACGTATGTGTGTGTGGCCGCGAAGCTGCGGGCAAACTCGAGCTTGGACTGCACGATGTCGACGGAGACGACCTTGGTCGCGCCATAGGCCCGTGCCACGGCACAGCAGAGCAGGCCGACCGGGCCGGCACCCATCACCACGACGGACTGGCCCGGTTGGATGCGGCCCTGACGGCCGACAATGTGCACGGCCACGGCCAGCGGCTCGATCAGCGCGCCCTCCTGCAGCGACACGACCTCGGGCAGCTTGTAGCAGAAGTCGGCCGGCGCGGTCCAGAAGCCTGTCAGCGTGCCGTCGATGGGCGGCGTTGCCGCAAACCGCATGTCCGGGCACAGGTTGTAGTGGCCGCTCAGACATGGCTCGCAGTGCCGGCATGGGTATCCTGGCTCCAAAGCCACCCGGTCGCCCACCTTGAGCGTCTTGACTGCGTCGCCCACAGCCACCACCGTGCCTGCTGACTCGTGGCCCAGCACCATGGGCTCCTTGACCACATAGTGCCCGATGGCACCGTGCTCCACGTAGTGGATGTCGGAGCCGCAGATGCCCGTGTAGTTCACGCCCACGAGCACATCGTGGGGCGACTTGATCGTCGGCACCGGGCGCTCCTCAAAGGTCACCTCGTGCTGCCGCTTCAGCACGAAGGAGAGGTTCTGCGGAGAGTCAGCGCAGAGCCCGGCCAGACCAGCAACAGCGATGAGCAGAAATTCGGGCATACAGATTTGCCTTCCGTCAGAGAAGCCATTGCCAGTGTAGATCGATCGTCTTCGATGTGGTGTGCAGAGGGGGAAATTCGAGAAAGAGCGGGGATGAGGTGCGAGGAAGTTCATAGAAAACAGGACAGAGTTTTGTCGTTGGCCACACTGACAAGATCTATTTGTACTCGCGCGAGCTCAAGGGAACGTGTCGTTCGCAGCGGCCAGACTCCACGGAAACGCGCCGTTTCTCGGACATCGTGTTAGCGCGTGGAGCAGTGGCCAGAAGACAGCCTGAAATGGGGGATCAGGAAGCTCCATTAGCGGCAGGTTTTCTTTCCGACCCCACGTTCCAGCGGTGTCCAGCACCTCATTGACTATAAAGCTGCCTACAAGCAGGCAGTGCGGGGTGATTCCAGCACAGCTTCTGCCCCTTCGCCCGCACGTTTTCAGGCACCGACAGCTCATTGCATCCATCATGAGATATCGCTGGTGGCTTGTAAGTTTAGCGTAGAATTTATCCATATTAACCGCGCCAATCACAGGACGCAGACACAAGACAGCAGCCGGAATTAGCCTGCCAGACCGCTGTCCCGCCAAAAACATCATGCTGTCATGCCCAGATATCTCGCACGGAATAGCATATCCCGCCTGGCCCCGTGGACACCGATATGCACGGTCTCGCCCGGCACCACGTCCACCAGGTTGTCATCAAAAACCACGTCGTCTGCTTCTTTGTCTGGCCCCTCTACCACCAGTCCCTTGACCGGCACTTCCGCACTAAGAGCGACGGAAGTGCCGCATTCGGCAAGTTTTACCACCAATTGCTGCGGCCTCGCCAGATGAAGGTACTTCAGTGGTTCTGGCCAGTTGACATACCGGGCCAGCTGCCGTCCGTCTGCTCCTTCCATCCCCGCTGTCACCAGGTATGCTGCAACGACGGTGCGTGTTTCGTCGCCGGCCTTCCTCACGGGCACGTCCAGTTCTGCAATTTCTATCGATCGGTTCTTCAGCAAGGTGATGCCGTGGGCAACGACATGCTCGTATGTCTGTTCGCCCGTTTCCACGTCCCATGCACGCATAATGCAGTCGACTGTGAGATCTTCGAGCGCCAGGTTGGATCCCCAGATCTCTATCTTCGTCTCCCTTCTAGTCTCAATTCGCGAATGGCGGCCGCCCATGTGGACGTGCTCCCGCCGCGCCATGCCCACGCTGACCGGCGCCATCTCGCGCTTGACGGCGTAGTATGCATGCTTTGGCCGCAGGTAGTAGTCGCAGATGCTCCAGCTGGTCACTGGCCAGCAGTCGTTGATCTGCCACACCAATGCCCCGCCACAGTACTCCTGGCCCGGTCCTTTCCACTGCCGCTTCCACAGCCGATATGCCGAAGCCAAGCACTCCGCTTGCATCAGTTGCGTGCAGTACACAAACTGCTCTAGCGGGTCCGGAGCATACCGCAGGTTCTCCACCAGGTACAGCGCAATACGCCGCTCGTGTCCGGCAGCCTTGTTATGGAAGTCAATGGTCGAGCTTTGCGCATACCGGTCTGGGTCGTTGCGGCCCTGTGGCAGAAATGCGTCAATTGTACGCACACTGGGAAACGCCTCCATGCCAAACTCCGACACGAAACGTCCAACCAGTTTGTCAAAGTCCTGGTACTTTTCTTGCGTTCCATGCCACACGTTCCACTGATGGATGTCGCCCACTGTTGGGTCATGTGTATCCACCCCACCACCCCAAGGACTGCCGAAGTGGTAATACGTGTCCGGGATGAGTGCCGCGCACACATCTGCGAGTATCTTTTCGTAAATGTATCGTGCGGGAAAATCGGTTTGCAGCCAGCTCTCGGCGTCCTTGTTAGCGTAGTCGTATGTGAGACCCTCGCTCTCCTGGTACTGGTAGTCTTCGTTATTGCCAGCCCAGATGACGATGCTCGGATGGTGGCGCAACAAGCGCACGTTAGCTTCAGCCTCGCGGCGAATCGAATCACAGAAAGCCGGCCAGGCAGGGTAGTTTCCACAGCCGAACATAAAGTCCTGCCACACAAGGACCCCAAGCTCATCGCAAGTATCATAAAACGCCTGTTGTTCGTAGATGCCACCGCCCCATACGCGGATCATAAACTGGTTGCCATCAGCCACGAGCTTAACCCAGTCATGATAGCGCTGGGGCGTGACCCGGGGCAGAAAATTGTCCGCAGGGATCCAGTTGCTGCCTCCACAGAAGATTGAGATGTTGTTGATCCTGAAGAAAAAGCTTGTGCCGGTTTGTCCATGCAGCGGCTGTTGTACCAGTTCTGCACGTCGGAGACCGATCTTCTTTGTAGTTGTGTCGACATCCTTCAGCTGCTTATCTGTTCTTGCCAGCAGTGTCGCTTTAACCGTATACAATGGCTGCTGGCCGTATCGCACCGGATACCACAATGCTGGGTTGTTGATTCTAAAGCTGGCTGAAGCAATTTTTAGTGCAGAGTCAACCAAAATGGTCTCTGACGCCACCAAGGAGTCACCGAGGGTGACATCGAACCGCACTGCCTCTGGGACATTGGGTCCCGCCTCGATCTCAGCTTGAGTGGTGACCGTGGCTACCTTCAGACTTTTGTCGACTTCGGTACGAAAGGACAAGTCCGAGATACGAGACTCGTAAACTTCCAAGTAGATTGGTCGCCACGGTCCACATGTCAACAAGGTTGGTCCCCAGTCCCACCCCTGGTCTGGTTAGCATGCCATGTCACGGATCTCTCTGCGTCGAAGAACCTACCCAATGGTATTGGGCTTTCCGCACGGCGAGTCGCGAATTGTCCCCATTCCAGCAGCCCCATTTATGGTGTGGGTGCTCATCTATGCGCTTCCAGCCACGAAGTGATGCGTTGTCAAATGTGATGGTGAGCTCATTGCTGCCACCAGCAGATGTAATCTCGGCAGTGACATCGACACGATGCGGCAAGAACATGTTGTCGCTCTCTAATATGGTCTTTCCGTTTAGTACAACGGTGGCAAAGGTATCAAGGCCATCGAAAGCTAGGACGGTTTTCTCTGTTGGATTGTCTGTCGTATGAGGGGTCAGAAACGTGGTTCTGTAAACCCACTGGCGCTCACCCACCCACTGCACGAGCAGCTCATTTTTTCCAACGGACGGATTCGGTATCTTTTTGTGTGCGAGCAAATCAAGGTGGATGTTTGTCGGAAATTGGTTAACAGGAAGCCGATGGCTGTCATCCTCGCCGACGGCCTTGAAAGACCATCCCGAGTCGATAGGGACGATGATGCGGGGCATTGTGGCCAATGACTTGATAGCAACGTGAGTGAGGCGGTGATTGCCGAAGAGCAGATTCTGATGGTCGACAGGCCGAAAGGCAAGAAATTCGGCTGGAAGTCTGAGCTTCCTCTCGAAGTAGGCCGTCTATTGTCGTGCCTGCTGTTCCTGTCGTCTCATTTTATGGTCCTTTCTTTCCTGATCAACCTGGCCTACCCCTCTTTGGGCAACTCGGCATGTAAGACAAGAAGCCTGAGTCAGCAAGCTTACTCTTTTCGGCTGTTGAAAAGTGAAAGTGGCCAAGTGTTTCTGTGAGAATGAGAACGGTCAATGCCACGAGAGTGGCGAATGTAATCAGTTATATTAACGTCCTGTCAGGCTAATTCTACAAGCAAAAGATGGAGCCTATGTTCTGTGGCGGGGTTGTTGGCTGCTACAGGATGCTTTGGTTTGAGTTAATTCCGCATCGGCGGTCAGATCGTCTGTTCGTATCAATTAAGTACTCGTGCGCGAAATTTTATCCAAACAATACAATATTTAGCCATGTCTTCAGTGGCCTTTTGCTAACCCTCGACTTCGAAACGAATACATGAACCAGCCACCCTGGGGTTGCCGCTTGTAGCGCACATAACCGCCGTATTTACGCCCCAAACGCCCAGATGAGATCCCGCATAAGATGCCAAAACAGGTTGGCTATAGCAATGTCGTGCTCCCGTCATTTTCGCTGTCCTCCGCTAGTCCTAGCAGACGGCCGACATAATTCGTGAATTCGTGCATGCTACCGTGCGTGGCAGCCACATCGGTCCAGAAGACGTTCAGGTGGTTCCGATCAAACAGAGCGTGCAGAGACCAGACCTCTTCGGGGTACTGGCCGATGAGGAAGATGAGGTCCTCGTAGTCGCTGGCGGCCTCGCCACGGCGCCAGCTGTGGGCCTGAAACTTGGCGGCGAGCTGGTAGAAGAGAGAAAGGACAGGTACAAAATTGGAGCCATGGGGGGTGGCAGGAATGGGCAGAATCCCTTCGGTTCCGTAGCCGTAGCGCAGGTCATTGGGCGTTCCCAGGTGGCCTTTCGTATTAATACAGGTGTGTCCTTACGGAGGGCCAGAGGGAACGAAGGTGGTTTTCACTGTACAGCGCAGCAGCATGCAGACGTGAGTGCACCCCGTACACTTACCGCTTATGATGACGTCTGCACTGACGGTGTATGTGCTCGTGTTTGGCCATTGTCGATCCCAGTCGCCGCCGGTGTGTATGAATATCTGGATGCTGGTTTGGCCATGTGTCTGGGGGATGCACACGCTGAGACGTGTGAGAAGGGGTGGCACGGCAGAGACGCGTGGGAGTCACGGAGAACGGGGACACAAAGAACAGGATCGTGGTAAAATACTATCGACGTGCAACATACCGATGCTCTGTCTGCAGCGCTCGCTCCAGCACGTTCATGGCGCTATCGACAGTCACGTCGATATCCGTGGTCGTGCGTCCTCCCCCTCGTAGATACACGGCCCACCCACCCAGAAAGGAGAAGGGGATAGCATGGTACTGGAAGAAGGTGCAAAGGAAGCAAGCCGCCAGCCCAAGGTTGGCTACGGGCGGATACCGGGACTCGGCATACAGAACACCGAACCGGTCAGTATTGTACACCTCCGCCATGGGAGCAGAGGCGGTATCTTCTTCCGCTTCTGGTAAGTTAGCGGGTGCGTCTTGGTGGGTCATGCCGCAGCGTGCGAAGGATGGAAAGCGTTTAGTTGTCCTTGGGGACGTCTCGTTGCGGGGTCGCGAAAGAGACAGGGGAAAAAATGCAAGACGAGATCAGCAGCGATGCAGGACTGAGAGGGCGAAGTAGACGGAAACATGAGTGAAGAGGAGAGAGCGACTTGGGGAGATGGAGAGAAAAAGGAAGGGTGATGAAGAGAAGAATGGAAAGTATTAGAGAGTAGCTGAGAGACGGCGAGAAGAAGAGCATCGTTTCCTAGAGCAAGGAGTGACACGGCGAAAGGTGAAGGCAAAACCGTACCGAATTTACGGGCCAAGCCACCCGAAGCACAAAAAATACGGTATGGCCGAATGTAAGAGGGTGTGCATGTGCAACCGAGTCTGATCTTAAGCGCATCCAAGGGAACAGGTTGGGCAGGTAGGGTAGGGTAGGGGGGAGGGGCGTATATTCACCGAAGACAGCCAACAGCAAAAGCAGTGGAACAAAAAGCCACGACAGGGCTTTAGGGGGTCGCATCCCACGGCAGAAAGCAATCACATAGGAAAGACGGGCATCCACGGCGGCAAATGCGACAAACGCAGCAGAGGAAAACGACACAGAAGCAGAAACAGGAAAGAAAAGGAAAGGAAAGGGGACAAAAGGAAAAAGGGAGATGATCAGAATGCGAGGGGGGCATGAAGGAGAAAATCAGGTTGGTTTTGCGATTGGGCGGCATCGGTCTTGGGATGGCGAGCCATAATACGGACCAGAATGAGGAATCACCCCCAGACAGCAGGCGGGGGGGTATGCGACTCAGTGATCAACACGCTTCAGTTTCCCTATCGAGGTCGCAGACAGCGCGGAATTGCCGAGCGGAACGGTGAATACATCCACCTGCAGCGGGCGAATCAGAGCCAGGACGCGCTGGGGAGAGGGAGAGGCGGGGGACTGGTCCGGTCGTGTCTGCGCCTGTGCTTGGATGTGCTGGCAGCGAGGCTGAAGCGAAGCTGACCTTGATTCCTGCAGTAGCCAGGCGGGACGGCGTGAAGCAGGATAGACATGCGGCCAAAACAGGAAACGAAAGCCGGGACAGCCCAATGGGGCGAGCCAAGCCAAGGATACAATACGAGCACTCGTATATCACGGCCAGAGTACGGAGTACTCCGTATAATAATATGCATTATCTAGTCGTAAGAATGGCTTGCAGACAGGGGATTTCGAATACAGGCGTAGACGTGGTTCAAGATGAGAGAAACAGACTCTGATGGCGGAAACGGACAACGCATACAATTAGACGACTATGGCGAATATGGACATTAGCGCAAGGGGAAGAGAGCCGGAAAGGAAACGTCTTCGTCATGCAGGGGTAACGAAAGCAAAAGGAAAATGGAAAGAAAACCAAAGCGAAAGACGAAGAGGCGGAAAATAGCGAAAAAATGCAGCGGCAAAAAAAAATGCAACGAAAATAAAAGCGGCAAAAACAAGAGCCAATAAAAAAAAAAAAAAAAAAAACACGCTCAATATCCGCCACCGTCGCCGGCCATTCTCTGTAGGTTGCTCGTGTCTGCAGGATGTGCACCAGCTATTGATTTGCACTGGCATCTCTGGCGTCTGCCATCCTCCGTCCTCCGGCCTCTCTCAACAGCCGCACGCATTCCGTCGTCGTCGGCTCGGCAGCGCAAACACTTCTTCCCACTCGCGCAGCGCCATGCCGCCGCCGGTGCCGCCACGCCGCCGCTGTCTCGCCGCACCGCCGCCGCTGCCGCTGTCGTCGGTCGTCATGTAGCTCTTGATGCTGCCGCCGTCACTGGCGCCGGCATTCCAGCTGGCGCCTGCATCGCCGTACTGAATGCCGCTCATCGGGTCGTCCGGGTCAATCTCGCCCAGCTCAATCTTGGTCAGAATCATGCGCGCCATGCGACCAAACACGTCGTCGACGCCCTCGCCATTGAGCGCGCTGACCTCCACGGCCACTGGCACACTGACGCCGCTGGCCCATTGACTGGCCTCGGCCGCGCTGACCTCGCGGCCCTCGGGCGCCACCGTGGCCTTGAGCTGCGACCCCAGGCCAATGGCCGTCCCGGTTCCGACTCCCATTCCGGTTCCGCGGCCGCTGCTGCTGCTGCCTGCAAAGCTCTCCCCTGTTATGGTAGCCGGCGACGAGGAGAGGATCGATGCGGTCGACGGCGTCGCCGACGGCAGGCTCGTGTCGATCAGCACGTCTGCCGCCAGGTCCAGCTTGTTGCCCACCAGCAACGTCGTCAAGTTCGGCGACGCCAGCGCCCGCGCATCGTTGAGAAACGGCTGCAGCCCGGCAAATGACTTGTGCGACGTCACATCGTAGACGAGGATCGCACCCGCTGCACCGCGGTAGTATGAGCGCGAGACCGACCGGAACCGCTCCGTGCCGGCTGTGTCCCAGAGCTGCAAGGACGCATGTCAGTCTGTGTGTGTCCCGTTTTCGATCGAATCGATTATACGCACCTGCAGCTTTATCCGCTTTCGTCGTGCGCCCGTGCCAACCTTGATAATCTTGCTCGAGAACTCGACGCCGATGGTCTGTGACGACAGCACACGCCATTCGTTCTTGACGAAGCGGTGAAGAAGACAGGACCTGTCCTTTTGTCAGCCGTATCCTTCTCTTCTCATATCCCCACCTCGCTCTCCTCTTCCCCCCAACTCGGTTCTCCTCCCTCTGTTCCACTTACTTTCCGGATCCGCTCGGGCCTAGTAATATGATCTTGGCGAGGTAGTCGTACATGCTGCCGAGCTCCTGCACATGTTGGGGGGCACGCATCAGCGCTTTGCGTTCCGTCTTGTCCACCGCCCCATCCCAGAGGCCGCTGCCCGCACAGGCCTCAATCTCACCTGCTCGCGTGCCGTCCCGGAACTGTCATCGCTCGAGCCGGAGTACCCGCGTGGCCGATTCATTGTGCTCGTAGCCTCGGCTTCGCTTGTGTGTGTCGCTGATATCCACCGTCTTTTGTTCTATCTCCGTCCGTCTGCCGTGTTCTATTCGTCGGAGAAGGCGATAACAGCGGCGGTACTTCACGGGGAGGTCGGACAAATCTGTGTTGCATTTAATCGCTCATACTTTTTTAACAAAACAATAAAAACGAGATACAGTCAACAAAAAAGCCAGAGACGAAAAGCCCGGACATGCAGACTGTGCGGTGCTGGGGAGGGGCTTGAAAGAAAACGTTCCATATGTTTTGGAAACAAACGTGCTTGCGATTCAGTGTGCTGTTATCGTCACCTTATCCGCGTCACGTGGAGAGGTAGCTCGCAGTCATGTGACCAGGTACATGCCGAGGCTTCCCCAATATTGTGCCACAACAACGCACCTCTCCTCTTCGCTGTCTCATGCATCTTGCTCTTGCAATGCAGCACATTCATTCATGATCCCAAGTCTTCTCATCCAAATCTATGATAAATATACAAACGCAATGAGAATTGAAGGCCGCACATTTGTCATCTCAGGCGGGTGAGCTCGCCTCCCTCTTACAACGGTTATACATCTGCTCTAGACCACCCAATGCTGACAAGTTTGTTTTCCTCTTTTCTTTTTCCAGCGCCTCTGGATTGGGCCGCGCTGTTGCCGAAGACCTCCGTCAGCACGGAGCTGCGGTGGCGCTGCTGGATCGCAATGAGGAAGACGGCCGTGCAGCGGTCGAGGAGTTAGGCGGAGGCGACAATGCCCACTTCTTTGCCGTAGATGTGACCAACACAGCGAGCATCGCCACAGCCGTTGAGGGAATTGTTGACTGGGTGGGGGCCACAGGCAAGCCTCTCGGCGGCGTTGTGCCGGCAGCAGGGGTCGGCTTCCCGGGCCTCCTTCTCGACCGCAAGCTGGAGCCGCTGTCGCTGGACAGCTTTGACTTTGTGCTCAACATCAACCTGCGTGGAACAGTCGACCTGGTGCGGCAGGTGGTCCCGTACCTGGCGGGTGCTAAGGGCAAGGATGGTAAGCCCGTGGGGGCGGCAGATGGCCCGGACGGTGAGCGCGGTGTGGTTATCATGGTGGCCAGCGCGGCCGCTTTCGAGGGCCAGATGGGACAGGTTGCGTATTCGGCTTCCAAGGGCGCGGTGGCCTCCATGACGCTGCCCATGGCCAGAGACCTGTCCCGGCATGGCATCCGCGTCGTCACTATCGCGCCGAGCATGTTCGACACCAGTATGACGTCCGTCATGACCGACAAGGTCCGGGAGAGTCTTCTGAAGAGCATGGAGTTTCCGAAGCGCCCCGGGAAGCCCAACGAGTTCGCCATTCTCGCGAGGCAGGCCATCGAAAACACCATGCTGAATGGCGTTGTCATCCGGTTGGATGGTGCGAGCCGCATGCCGAGCCGACTGTGATCTCGATATCTTCCATCTTGTGTGGTTCGATAAAGCTTGTACATATAGCATAGTCGTGCTAGGCCAATAGCTATTCACATCCAAGACGCTACAGTCTACAGCTATCTGTGACGTGAGTTTGTACGACCTGCCAAAACAAGCATCCAATTTGTCTTTCCCGAAGTCCACAATGCCATAAGAACATGTTTTGCTATCGGGGGAGTTATACTACGATCATGTGGCTCAACGCGGTGAGCTACTTTGCAGGGAAGTCGTGCATCACCGTGTCGCTGTCAAGGACTTCCGCACCGAGCAATGTCAGAGGCCAAACCATAAATCGGCCCGGCATGAGAAGTTCTCTCAGACACTACGACGACAATAGATCATAGACTGGTGGACGACCACTCTAGTGTCACCGGTCTTATCGACTGGGAGTTTGCGTCTGTGGAAGCAAGAGAAGTTGTGTTCAACTCCCTTGCAGAACCTTGAGGTCAGTTACAGAGGAAGATATCTAGTTTCAAGCTTTGAACACCTCTTGGCCTGAAGGACGACAGCTAAGAGAAGCGAGAGTTAAGAGTATAAGCCCGAAGCCACCGCATTTACCATGTATTTGTAAACCTACTATTTCCAACTCGAACTATCTTACAGTCAAGAGCTAGTGCATGTAGGCTTTTATGGGCAATGATGTGCCCCTCTGGTATAACCCTAAGACCACAAATAACTCCTTGTCCGTCGTAAGCATACAGCGCAGTCCTATTACCCGACAACTGCTCCGCCACCATTCCGTAGTTCGCGTTGTCATCGAACAAGCAAAGCTTGACTATCTTTGAGGACAGATTCAGGCTCATGTCCTTTACCATTTCACCACCTTCAGGGGTAACTTGGAGGCAACGGAAATATCCCTTGTCTCCGACCGGCCAACTATGGCCCTCAGTACTATCGCCATCAAACTTTTGGTAGGCAAAGACCATGCCCTGCCCGACAGGTACAACTTTGACTAAGGTTCTTCCATTGGGAATCGGCCTTCCACTCGCATAGTCTGCGGCTGGGTAGATTTCGCCGAAGCCAAGCTCGCTGCCATCGTCAAGGGCAATTTTATACCAATACCCTTTATTAGACAATATTCGGTCGCCATGACTGTCTTCCAACTCCTTCTATAAGTCTGTATTAGATTACATTGTAGCTTCAATTTAGCTGCTAGAAATACTTACGATATTTGGATGAGAAGATTTATTTGAGAATATACCTGGTACTTTGCCTAATAAAATCTCAGGCAGATTTCTTTTTGAGCTTCCATTTTGTTGTAGTAAAGAGTTTAAATCTACTCCGTACCTTACTTTGGTATAACAGGCGGGCGGTAGGCTTAATTTATTAGAGGTTTGTAAGAGGGGCAAATAACCCCTCTTTCCTTGTAAAGAGCCAAGGGCCTATTATAAGGATAAGTCCTAAGCCGATGTGACTTATAGCGCTTATACGGATAATATGGAGTATACGGAGTACGGAGTACAAACTGCAAATAAGACAAAAATGAATAACAGTGGGGTCCCACCCTCTTTTTGGATAATTTGACATCTAATAGTGACCAAATTTTAAAGCACCGCCTTGAATCAAAGTTGAGTATGTATAATAAGCCTGGTAAAAGCCTGTCAAGATATGCCATTCAGAAGCAATAGTAATTCTGTATCTTTTGGTACAGTTTGCTATGTACGAAGTAATCTACTCCGCACTCCGTACTGCGCTTTGCCTTAGCTGTGGTACTTTGAAGACTGAGCCATACAGAGTATCATTGCATTGGTTACATATATCCCACTCTGATTATTTAGAACATTGGACCAAGTTTGTATCAGATGATGGCCTGCTATCCAAGACAGAGGTTCTTAGTGCTCCTCCTGGGGTGCGCACCACTTGTTGCTTAGTGTACCTTAAAAGAAAACTTTCAATCACAAGTACACATCGCGGCTAGCCATTCCTACTCTGCCCTGTCAACAAGATCGGCGTAATTTGTAAACTCGTCGTCGGCCAGGAACATGTCGAGTTCTTCCGGGTGGGTTCCCAACGCGAGCTCGATGCCGCCATCCTTCTTCATGGGGAAGACGACGAGGAAGCGGAAGCGGCCATGGCCGCGTTCGAGCTGGGGACGCATGGACTCAGGCGAGCCGGCGTTGGCAAAGAGGCTGTCGCCGAAGCAGATGTCGTCCATGGGGAAGAGCATCAGGTTAGAGATCATGGCGTGCATGTGGTCGAGGCCCATGTTGGCAGTCGAGAAGCGGGGGTGATCGGGGAGCGACTGCAGGAGGGAGAAGACGTCGTGGACGAGCGAGGGGGTGATTCGGGTGGCTGCTTGGCGTAGAAGCAAGGCGACGCGACCGATGGTTGTGTTGGGTGCGCAGAGCTGCTCGACGGGCATGCTAGAGTGGTTGAGAAGGAGGAGGCTGCCCATGTACGTAGATGGAAGCAAGGAAGAGAAGTAGGGACGGCCGTCGGAGGGCAGCTCAAGTATGGAGACATCGTCGGGCCCAAAAGAGCGGCCGTGAGCCTCGGTGGCGATGCGGTATCGAACCCGGATGGCGGCCCGCCAGAAGAAGGCCTGGACGATATCGCTGATGGAGCTGGCGGGTGTAGCGATGCCCTGGGCCGCCTGGTCGGCAAGAACGTCGCGCTTCATCTGGGCAAGCTTCTCGGGCCGGATCATGAAGAGGGTCGTCCGGAGAGGCCGATCAGCCGGTGGCGGCGGCCAGACAGAGTGCAATTGGAAGGCTGACCGAGGAAGTCGGTCGTCTGGAGGGCAGAACGGCAGAAAGGCCCAGGTTTCGGGATCGATATCGGACAGTGGCCGAGACCAGCCCTCGTGCTCGTGGATAATCTCAGGCAGGCTGTGGTTGAAGCTCTCGGGATCGTACCAGCTGCAATTGGCGGCCTGGTCACCCTGCAGGAAGCGACAGTTCTCGGCCCAGGCCTTGATGGCGACCATGACGCCGAGGCCATTGAGGCAGCAGTGGTTGATGTCGACGGCGAGGAGGCAGCCACCATGAACAAAGTTGGCCTGGCCCACAAAGATGTCGGCGGGCAGCTGGGGAAAGGGGTCATCGCGCAGAACAAGGCTATCGTGGAAGGCCGATGGTGCGAAACCGTGGTCGCGCAGGTGGACAAACGACGGCAGCACGTCCGAGAGGTCCCGGCAGACCAGTCGGTTATGGACCAAAGAAGCCATGGCGAGAGGCGGAATGGTGACGCAGAGGTCGTCTTGAACGAAGCCGATCTCCTGCTCGGAGCAGCGCATGACCTTGCCGCCAAGGGCCGGGATCATGTCCAGAGTGCGATTCAGGCCGGCCTGCAGGTGGTCAAAGGCCTGCCGGAAGCCGACGCCCGGTTTCAGCGGCAGGTAGAACACCAGACCCATGCCGTGATTCGGATTGACATAGTCGAGCGCATTGAGCCGGAACGACTGGCGCGCCTTGTGCTGCCGGACCAGGGCCTCCATGCTTGCAAAAGGCCGGGCAGCAGCCTGTGATGTCGCTACTTCTTCGGTCCTAGCCAGCAAGATCTGCACGGCAGCCGTCAGCCTTTCGAGCGTCGGGTTCGCGTACAAGTGACGGGGAGCGATCTTGTCGGTGAGACCGGTGGCTGTCCGGAGGGTCTTGGCCGCAGAAAAGACGCCCAGCGAGTCCAGTCCGAGGTCGAAGAGGTTCGCATCGACCGCAACGTCCTGGATACCGGGCAGCGACGAGGCCAGGATGTCGCGGATTCAGGCCTCGACGGCCGCTGCAGAAGAGCCGCCATGGATGGTGACGGGGCCGACAATGTGGTCGTCGCTGCGCGAGTGGTAGAAGCGTTCGATGTAGTCGGCATAGAGGGCTAGGGTGGCTGACCGCTTGACCGTGCCCTTGTCGGTGCGAAAGAAGGGCTTGTCGGGCTCAGCAATGGTAACAAAGTCGCGCAGCAGCTGGTTCTGGTGGCGCGACTGGCTGTTGGCCTGCCGGACTGTCTCCCAGAGGCTGTCGAGAAGCCGGTGGTCTGTCTGGTCGGAACCGTCGTGCAGCTCGATCAGCAGGCCAGCCTGCGGCCTTCCGGTGCCAAAGACGAGACAGCCCCGGACAGCTGGATGGGTGGTGACGAGGGCCTCGGTGTCGAGAGGCGAGATTTTGTAGCCGCTGGAGAGCACGACGAGGTCGTCACTGCGGCCCTTGAATGCCCACAAGTTTGGCTTCCCTGGGTGGCGCACGTACAGGACCTTGAGGTTGATGGACTGCAGGTCGGGAAAGGTGTGAAAGATGCCCTGGAAGAGTGGCCAGTACGCGTTGCGATGGACCCAGTGTTCAAACGTGTCGGGCTCGAGCTCGAGCTCGCGGAACTCGAAGCCGGCATGCGGGTGGAAGCAGAACCAGAACCAGTCTTCCCGCGGCGGCACGAGGTTGCCGATGAACAGACCTTCCGTCGTGCCCGTGAGATTGAGCACGCGTACCACCTGGTTGACCTTGCCGGCGCTGACCGGACTGACCGGACCGCCCGATGCGCAGATGAACTTGGACGGCCGCAGCTTAGTCAGCACCGAGGCCGTCTCGCCGAGCTCGTCCACCAGCGACGGCACCAAGCTCCAGATGTCGATGGTCGTCGTCTCGGCTAGCCTCTCGACGAGACCCATGTTCGGCAGCACCCCCTTCGGGCCCAGGATACAGTGCAGGCGGAACAGAGCCGGCATCAGGACGTTCATGATCATCCCGGCCCCGTGGCTCATCGGAAAGGCCGAGTAGATCCGATCGCCCACTTTCCAGTCCGTCGTCCACGGCAGCAGCCCGTCACAGCCGTCAACTGGTGGCAGCAGCCGCACGGCATCCATGGTGGCATGTGCAGAACCTTCATCGGCCGCCTTGCCAGCAGGTCTTGGACCAGAGAAACCGGGGTGATGTCGCCGGCACTCGCCCAGACGTTGCATCCGGTTGCCTCCAGCACGGCCAGCCCGCCTTCTATGCTATTCTTGGGCGAAAGGAAGAGAGCCTGCGCGAACATGTTGGTTCAGTCCGAGGTGCATCACCTAGCAGTTAAATAGGAGACGTACCGCATAGCCAACCTTGACACAGGCATACGTCAGGAGAATGTGTCGCAAGTCGTCTGAGATCAAGAGAGTCAGTTGGCCGGCACGGACAAAAGTTGATCGAGAAGCAGATCCGGCTCACGTGGTCCAATGTAACCCAAAGCTTGGATCGAGTCGGGCTTTCCGACTTGTCCCTGCAGCCACCAAGCGGTCTTGTCGACGGCCTGGGCAAACTTCCGCGCTGTCACCGGCTGGTACTGCAGCGTGTCACTAGCGATTGTCGTCAGCGAGAATACGACGCGGTCGGGCTCAGCAGCTGCCAGGCTGTCCATGATCTGTGGGATGAGCCTCCTTCCATATGGAGGCGATGCAGTCGTCTCGGCATCGGCGTCCGCGAGTAGCAAGTAGGCGCAGCTGGGAGGAGACCCTGTGCTGCTCTGGCAGTCTGACTGCGACGGCGACGACAGCGATGCGGTCGAGCTGCTGGGCGATTCTTGTTGGGGTGTCAGGGCTCCGCTGAGATACGTGCTGGCACTGAGTGGCCGCGCTGGCTGGAGGTAGCTGGCCGACAGCTCACCAATGCCCGGTGCGTCGCCGGCGCGCTGCTTTTCGCGAAAGTGGCTAGGCCGGCCGACATCATCGTCCGAGAAGACGAGCTCGAGCCGGTCGTCCTTGGCAAACTCGCCCATCGGTGCGCTGATCCAGGTTCCGTCGGCCAGCTGGGCCACGCTGCAGTGCCACGGCGTCGTGAAGCCGGTCCGCGTGTTGAGCAGGCTGATCGACACCTTGGTGCCGCAGATGGACTCGTGGATCGACAGCCGCAGGTGATGGGGGAAGGCCGCCTTGACGGCGCCGGCAAAGGCCGGCAAGGTTAGAAGGTCTTTTCTTTCTTTTCTTTCTTTTTTTATATTTTCTTTCATTTTTCTTTCATTTTTTTCCATGCTTGTATAAACTCACATATCCCCGGATCAGCATCTGCTTCGCAAGGTACTTGCAATCACACCGATAGTCATTGGCCGTCCGGTCAGCCCCTCGGGGAAAGATGTGCTTCAAATCCGACTCGAGGAAACGCTTGTAGCCGAGATACGTCAGCTTCGTGTCCGAGTTGCTGGCAATCTCCTGGTCGATGTCGAGGTCGTCCCGGCCGTACTTGTTGAGCAACAGCCGGCGGAAGTTGGTGCAGTTGGCCACATACGTAATCTCCCGCATCTTCTTCAGCTGTGGCACCTCGAGCAGGTCGCGCATCCGCGAGAAGCCAATGTTGTCAAACTGCTTCTGCACGGCCATCTTGCGCTGCGCCTCGCCATACGCCCATGTCTCTTGGTCGGATATGCAGAGCAGGTCTGGAAAATCAGAAAGATCAGAAGACGCACAATAATGGTGGGCAGATCATGTCTTAACATCCAACTCACCGTTGTATGTGATGCCGTCTGAGATGATCGTCACTCGGGCTCCGGCTGCGTAAATTTCCTGAATGCGGTTGCACATAGTGTTGAGCCGGTCCAGGGCCAGCTCTTCGGCTTTGTCCGGCAGACTTCCCAACACCTTGTACACCTTGTTGGCCGACTTGAACGGAAAGGCCGGAAGACATGTCTCAACCGGGGTGCCAGCCTCGATAGACCAGCCAATGATTGCCAGAAAATGGGCTGCACCTCCCTGCTGCTGCTCCTTTGCGTTATCAAACTTGTTGAGTGCATATTCACTAATAATGTCCAGGATGAGGCGAGCCGTCTGGCTGCTGCCACCACCAGCTGCGGAATTGTCTCCGGAATTCTGCACGTCTTGCATTGTGGCTTTCTGAACCATTGGGCTGGACCGGAGTGAGTTGGACTGTTGGTACACTGCAGATCTGTCCTGAGAACGGCGGTGTAGACAAATGATCGATGGCCGAGCTAATATCAAGCAATTCCAGGCGAATCCTCAGTTACTCGACTCTATTTTCTAGAAGCAAAACAGACAGGCAGTCATGTCCGTTTTATCTACGAAATTCCTGGGCTCGGCTGCACATATCCCAGTCTTACTCTTTGACCTTGCCTCTCTTGGTGAAGGCCATTATTCCTATGCAGTCAGATTGTTGTGAATCATCACGATGGAGAAAATATGTCACCGATCAAAACACTAGAGCACAAGCGCGTTTGAGAAGGTTCGGCTTCTGCAGACTGAGCTGACGACTATGCAGGCTGGCCCAGCTACCACCACGGCCTGAGCAGATTTGAGTCAGTTCCAAGAGCTCCAAGAGCACGCGAGCCGACGCCGGAAAAATCGCCTCGACAGAAACTGTTACAGGTGGCTTCATGGACAAGCACAGATGGGAGAAAAAGCGCCGACTACTCGGCCATATAAGCCTTGGCAGTCGCTTCCCTCTCCTAAGACCAAGGCTGAGAGATCCAACTCTGCTATCTAAACGGACCTGTTCTCGTTCGTCTATAGGTGGATTTGCAGGCTCGACGAATTATCCCTCCAAGCAGAAACAAGCATCCGTCAAAGATACGTTCTCTCAAAACAGCAGACATAAGCCTCCTCAGAAACCTGCGGCCTCTAGGTATGCTGCAGCCTTAAAGTACGCAGATACTGAACTGGGCCTCGCGGTGGACAGGCTTCAACGGGCAAATTGGAGCATGTATCGGCAGTATGCCACCATATGAGCTCCTTCAACAATGTCGGCCTATCGGCCCTTTACAGGCTGTCTGGACCTCTATCGCCCTTTGCGTCAGAGTTGCAGCGTTGCATTCTCGCCGCTGCCAAGGTTGTGGTCCGTAAGCACGTATCTTAATCGCTATCCCAGTCAATGAAGGTTCTCCTGATGCCTCTTTTTCTTCTCTTCCTTGGATTGATCTCAACCAGTGCATCGAATCTCGCAAGCGATCGCGCCCTCTGGACGAATACGGCTGGATGAGGACAGGGGGCTGGACTCGATTCTTCAAGATCAGCACAACACCAACTTCATGTCTGACTACGGCACGTTGCCATTCTAGCGCCCCGTCATTCTGCAGACACCAAGCGAGGGGCGAGGGGCGGTAGTTTACTGCCTCATTCCTTCCATCATGCTATTGGAGACGGTGTGGCCTGTCTGATCTTTCACAGGGAGTTTCACAGTGCCTTGGAGGCCGTTTCTGCCACATCGCCTGCCTCTTCGCCCGTCGTCATTTCAGACAAAAAGTTCTCCCTTCTCCCGGACGTGTGGGAGCTGCACCCTATGCCCATCGATGCGAGCCTTCACAGTGCTCCCACAACAGTTGTGATGGAGTGGACTGGTGGTCCCATTTCCACTCCGGTTGTATTCCATTATCGTGCTTCCTGTCGCCGTCCATCTCCAAAGCATTCTTCCACGAATGCAGAGAGAGCAGCGTATCTGTTACGTCTGAACTGTCCTCAATCATCGCCTTATTTTTTTTCCACTCTCTCATCTGACATGAAGTGACAACAATACACACACGCTTAATACTGGGCACCCATAATTTGACAGAAGCATGTATGCCCCAACCCTGTCATAATACCACGAAGGAGGACCACGTGATGTGTGGCGGCAGCTTAAATATTCGTACTTTGTCGCGAATACTCTATATCTTCCATCTTATTTCCAGCAAAGTGCAATTTTTCACAGGTCTTCCCTCCTAATGATCTTATTGACCGGCCTGCTAGTGGTCATCACACTATTATCCAAGATTGTACAGTCTAACTATACCGGCCTACAATTTACCATGCAAGATTCTTTACTTCTCCAGCTCCCTAATGTTGAAAGCTTTCTGGTCACGCCTGAGAATCCAGCACGCAACGACCAGCTGGATCACGCACGATGCGCAGCACTGCACAACTTTATCCTCCGGTACGGATAGCTGGCCGACGGGCGGTCGTTGGATGATTTGAACAATAATCCCTTCTTTGAGCGCTATGACGACGCGGACGAGATCCGTGACCGGCTACATGACTCTCTCGTTGCCTTCCTCGAGGCAGCCGAGATCCCAAAAGAGATGTGGACCTTTTACTTTTGGGTTTCCGGCATCGCCGAGCCGTCGGAAATGTTCCAAGATGGGGTCAGCAATGGCGAGGCTGACCGCTTTGTCGTGCTGTATACGACAAACATTGGCCTTGCTGGGCATTCGACCGGACTCGTGTATGATCAGCGCACCCACCGTGCCACAATGGCGCTTGGAATAGAAGATCTCGACTTTTCACAGCCACCCGAGCAGCATAGCGACCTTTGGCACCCGCTGGAGACGGTGCTCACCCAGTGGATTGAGATGATCCGCATCGGAAAGATCACGGCATCCCCAGAGGACGAAGGCGATGGCGACGATAGCGACGAGCGTGTTGGGAGTGAAGAGGGTGATGCGGCCGGCAATAGAATAGAAAAGGCCACAAACGAAAAGTTGGGGCCTTGGACATGGCACGCATACAGCGCAACGCAGGTCGACAGCGCCGTTGCTGCATCCAACAGGCTAGCCTCTGCCATTGAGAGCCGCATGCCCGAGGGCTCATTGCTGCCGGAAAGCGCCAGTCCTCTGCTCCGCGACGCCGACTTGGATGCTGCTGCCGTGCCAGCCAACTGCTTCATACGAAGCTTCTTAACCCACATACGTCCGCCTCGGTTCAGTACTATTGCGCCCGGCCTACTTGTGCCGCACGATGCGGCGCGCTTTGCTCGCCAGCAGAGATTCACGCGCATGGACTACGCCTCTGCAGACGACGGCCAGCACATTATACCGCCGGTACTGATCTTTTCCGCCGAGGGCGACCGCACTGTCAACTTTGACTCGGACAGCCGATACATCTCGCACAATCCCTTCTGTCGGGCTTTCGCTGATGGTGTGCCGGCCGGAGACCATTCCGTACCGGCAGGCCTCTACAGCGAGTCGGTGGAGCGCACTGCTGTCGACAATGCCGAAGAAGGTTTCCGGCTGCTCCTGCCGTATTGTCTTCGCGAAGCCGGCCAGGAGGACTCTGGGGCCAAGAAGAGTGATGGTGGTTACGTCGAAAAGAAGAGTGTCGCCGACTTGTTTCAGCATGGTTTCAAACCGTTTGGGGGTGAATGGTGGAGGGCGCAGCGGCTGGAGAGGCTCTTTGATCGCTGGCGAGAGTTGGTCGAGAGTCGCGTCTGGGCCGTTTGCGAGACAGGGGTCCAGGGATCGATTGATATATTCAAGGACGCCGACACCACGAGAACCCGAGACTACTGGATTGCACCCAGTTGGTGATACTACTTTGACTAAGCATACAAGAGTAACTACATGAGAGAGGCCTTTGCTGTCATCAGTTGTAGAATGGGACCATGCCACGAATGGTGCTGCTGTGCTGCACAGATCTGCGAGCAGGATCATGAGACAATAACGTGACAATGTGGTCGCTTCTAGGCTCTTCAGGGGAAGGTAGGGTCAAATGGCCTCGTTGGGTACAGGTGGCTCTAGCACTATTGGCTGATCTGCTGGTCCCACCAACGAGTCTGTGTCAGGCGCTGCAGGTCCTTTTATGTGGTTACAGATCTATTACGCAACTGGTAAGGTGTGGTCGTTGTTAGGAGAAAAGCAAAGACGGAAGATCAGAGGTGCTCGGGACAAGAGGGACGGAATGTGAGTAGGCCGGACTTCCGGGTGGCATCATAAGGTTTGGTCAGTCTTTTTGCCCGGCAAGTGGTATATAACTACAGGCGATGGCCGTCTTAAGGATGGAAAATCTCTAGACCAATATTTAACTTACACACACTACAATGTTACACAAAGCACAACATTGCACACAACACACTTAACACTCTACACAATGTCTGGTATTCTAAAGCAGCCACTGCACGTTCTTAAGCTGATATCTATACAAAAAATTAATTTTTATAGCTTTTACTCTATGCACTACTAGCCTGTAACGCAAAGGTGCTGCCTTTTGCGTGATACTAGTGTAAGACCTGCACAGTAATCCTTGTAGGATATACGTCTAGACTAGCTGTACGTTTTGTAGTGAGCTTCTTTAGAAGATATAGTGATAATGTTTCGTAGGGTGGTTAACTGGAGTCTAGACTGTGCGCAATTTGCGCGCAGATTAGAGCTTAGTCTTATTTAGTAAATTTAAACGGCAGAGGTTAGGTAACCTCTAGAAATCTACAAGGGGCAGCCTTATTGTCCTGGTCGTCATCATCGTCGTCACCTTTTAAGAATAGCCTTGTGTATGTCATAATAAACGAGCGACGAGGCGACCTCAACCGGCGGACTCTCCTCGGCAAACTGTGTTTAAGTTGTTTCAGGGTCCCTTTGCCGCCACCACATACCGAACTGCGCAGAGCATCAGCCCACGAAATCCTGTGCTTTAGACTTAGGCATAGACTCGGGAACATGTGTGTGGGCTACTAGGGCATAATAGCAGCTTTTCCCTTTCCGAGAGCCCCAGAAGCGCCGTCCTCAGACTGAATGGCACACGAGTTCTTCTAGTTGTCAGTGGAATAGTCGTCGTCGTCGGACCCCTTTAGCATCATCTCCCTCTCGAAAGCCTCCCGTTCGAAATCAAACTCTGAAAAGTCTTCGTCCAAGTCGTCTGGGCCGGCAGAACCAGACATGGCTGCCACTCGCACACAAGCCCATTGGATGTTAATCATCTTGCGCATATTATTGGCCTCCTCAAGCGTGTCGAGAGCGATCTCGAACTCTTGGCCAGTGACAATAGGTCTAAACGAACTGTGCTGGATGGCGTTGGCATAGCCTTTCAGGTCAGGCCCGCGGCCCTCCCCGTATGACCCTTCCGCTAGTGCGTCTGCCATCCTCTGGCAGTCATTTGTTCCTGGCTCGACCCGGATCGTCCGCCGTGGGTCCCCCTTTTTGTGCGGCATCCAATGAAATAGTATCACAACGGCATGCTTCTCCCCCCGCGGCACAATCCCGGAGCACTCGATTCCCCAGTGTGGCTTTGCCCACCACGCGTGCAAATATGGGTTCAACGAAATCATGTTCCATGCTTTATCAGAGGTGCCTAAGCTGGCCTCGATGAGGGAGACGTATGAAATGACCTCGGGGGGAGGAAAAAACATTTGCAAACAAGTTTGAAACCGCGACGTATACAGGATTATGTTCGTCGTGCAAGAATTAAACGCAAATGGCACAATGTGACACGCCTCTGGGTGTATAGTGTGTGTTAGAACGCACATGCGATTATCCCTCTCAAGACACTAGCAAAGTTAGGACAGCGAAAGATGTACATGCGGATCTAGCGGACAATACCATTTGTTTTTCCGCCTCGTTGCGATGTGTAGAAGACTCGGGTGGCCCCTCAACTGCATGCCGCTCCTTATTAGGAGCCTTTCGCTTTTTCGTAGCTGCATCCGGGTGTTTTCCTTGTAGAACTATAAGGTATCCGTTAGTTAGCATAGGCAGGGAATAAAAAATAGCTTCAAAAAGGAAGGACTCACAGTATCTGATAAGGTCTCGCATGCTCTCACGCACCCAATGGAAGCCTGCGATAGCGTTAAGAACGTGACCAACGTTGGCATCAGGACCGAGTTTAGTGTTGCGCACAAGATCACGAAGCAGATCAAGTGGCATAAGCAAAAGAATAGAGACCTGCACGGCGGTAAAGGCAGTAAGCATCGGGTAAGTTGCCTGGATGTTCTTAAGAAGCTCATTTGCAAGGTCCTGGCGAATCGCCACCTCATCTGCAGATGGGATCCACGTGGCGCTGCGCATGGTAGGAAAGGGAGTATCGAGAAATGACTTGAGGGCGTTGATGTACTCTCTTGGCGGGTTTTGTTCCAAGAACTGGTCCAGGGCTTGGTGGATAAAAGAGGACGCCATCGTGATGATGGCAGGCCGAAAGGAGAGATGTTGATAGGTAAGAATAAAAGAGAGGACGGATTTGGTTTAGTCGGTAGCGAAAGAGGGCCTAATGTACGGAGTAAGGCGAAAAGGCATGACATTCGACAGGGCTGATCTGTACGTACCGTGCCACGCCCCACTTTAATTAGAACACGCAGAACGTGCACCAACTAAAGTTGCTGCTCCCCAGAATACCTAATCACCCAGCCTACCTGATCAGGTACTGCTTGTATAGGACCTGCATATAAAAGATACTTAAAATGCTTTATCTTTAAACAGCTACTATAAATTAAGTTAAATAGTTGAAAAATATAGCGAAGTACTTTTATACTACTCTACTCCTGTGCGGCTAGCATAGGTGGTCTTAGGGGTGCACATCTCTTACTACTTAATACAACGATCTTCGCCTTATCACGTACTCTGTGCAGAGTACGGAGTATTAAAAGGTGACAAAAATGCGTCGGCCGGGAATCGAACCCGGGGCCTGTCGATGGCAACGACAGATTTTACCACTAAACCACCGACGCTAATTGGTGAGCAATTATGTACTTCGTAGACTTGCGAAGTCAAGATACTAAGGCAAGAGGCAATAGACTACTCCGTACTTGGATTACCCACCTTTTCCTTGCACCTTGGGCCCTGTTCTCCCTCCATTGTTTACGCGCTGTACCGAGCACCCGAACGTATTTAATTTGCACCACGGAATCGAGCACCTGGTATAAGAAAGAGGGTAAGCCTGGGTACTCCGTACCCGTGATGTTCTTAGTCAGGGCAGCGTTTGTAGCGATATTACTACTTACACCTAAAGGTAATAAGCCGTTACGCGGACCTGTACTAAGCGAAATAATCACATCTTACTTGCTTTAACTGTTGCCTCTTCAGTTATTTAGTTATAGAGAAATTGGACAACGAACTACAATCGACTATAAAACGTTGCGACTTATGAATTGAGAAGAGGCTTCAAAGGGAGGCTTTGTAAAACAGCTGCTTAGCGATGACGGATATTGAAAACTTATTCTACTTGAGAATTCGGAGCCGGAAAGTAATCCGGCGCATAGCGTTTTAGTAAAGAGAGAAGAGAACGAGGCCGCAGGAAGCGCTCCTAAGAGAAAAAAGTAGACTGGCAATTACAAAGGATCGAGAAAAGGGAGAAATCCTTGGAGTATGGCATGCTTCTGAGACTTGCCGCCGACTTCGAGCACTACTTTCTTTAGGTTGCTCCGCGTGGATCGAGTCATTATACGAGGTTAGACTTCTAGAGTCGGCAGGTTGGCCGAGGTAACGTGGCACATACTTGGGATTTCATGTCTTCTACAATGTCAGACAACTTTTTCTTGCTTTCTTCGACACTATTCACATCGACAAGATCAGGTTGACAGTGAATGGCCTCTTGTAGGTACCACTTGATCTCGGAAGCTTAATCTGGATGCTGGATCGGAGTACATAATCACGCCATATACAGATTCAAAAACACTGGCTGACGAAGATCTATATAACAAGTAAGGCGCATCAATCACACGGAAATGAAATTCGGTGTCCATTCGTCTCTATTTCGGAAAAATAATCCACCTGGTGAGGACTGTCATAGTCTTTCTTACACTAGAAGCAGAAGACAGCCACAAAGATGGCCAGGCCACCAGTCACTGAAACCGAGTAGAAAAACTTCAACCGAAACAGGGATGTGAAATAAGAACCTAAAGATAACAGAAGAACAACAAGTGCTATCATAGAATAGGAAACAGTTTCATAGTGCAGCCCACCTCTACTAGTAGTCGGAACTGCTATACATAATCTTTTCCCTATGGTAGCCGGACCGCGGTAAAGAAGTAGGTAAGTTGTAGTCGTCATCCTCACGCAGGCTATCGCGCAGGATTCTGTAGCCCTGCTGGCGCTTGCTAAAGGATTGGACCCAATGCACAATGCTGCCAAGCTCGCCTGTCCACAACAGGCCAAAGAATATAACAACGGCTTTCACGAGCACGGCAGCAGCCCAGTATGCCCACTGGTTTAGCTTTATGTTGCGGACGTCGTTGGTGCTTATTGAAGATGCTAGTGGTGGCACTTAAAGGCAAGAATATAATCGCAACAATGATAAAGGCATATATTGCGTTGTCGTGCCGGTCCTTCGTCGTGTCTCGTCGTGTCTGTTTTATTTCGGTTCTGTAAGGTGTCAAGGTAGAAACATCGATACTACGTAAGAAGTGCTGACGCCTCTTATCTTGCTCATAATCTCTCATAATCTTTGTTTCCATCGGTCATAAGACATTGCACCCTACCCTGGAACCGGGCGGCTTGGACACATGTCGTCGGAGAAGATCGCGGAACCGACAAGATCTCAGCCTACCAGGCACCATACCGGGCAGAGAGCCTCGCAGGCCTTCCGCCAGCTTACATCGACGTCGGCGAGTGCGATGTGTTCCGCGATCCGGTCGTGGCCTACGCCACGAACATGTGGCGTTGTGGGTCTACATGCGAGCTGCACGTCTGGCCAGGGGCATTCCACCTCTTCGACGGGATGGACAATCCCGACGTGCCGCTGATCCATGCGGCCATCAAGACGAAAAAGGCCTGACTGAAGCGGGATGTGTTGCCCACGGGCGGTCAGCACTCGGGAGAGCATGCTGTAAGAGCATCGAGTAGCGGGTAGTATTGACTGGTATATCACACGAGACTGCGTCAACTGAGCGAGTTAAATAGAGGTGGTTTTTCTCCGGGTTGAATCTGATTTGCCAGATTTTAGCATACATAGATGCGATTAAATCAATAAAATGAAGCTGTGTGGATAAGATGACGTCAAGGTAGAAAATAGAAAAAAACAGAGCAGAACCCTCCTTTTCATTCCCGTGTCCACTTTGAATGGGACAGAGATGGGTATACAGAACTTTAGATCCAGACATTGAGCGGATGGCCAGCTGAACTGGCCAACTACAGACTCTGCAGCCTGATGGGATGCATAAACATTCGCAAACACGCTCACACTAAGCCGGATCCATCCAATGTGCTCACTTTCATGAAACTAGTGCGCGGCCACAGTGAGTTGTTCGGCAACGAAAATGGCAGTGAACGGGGAGTTCGTGCTCAGTGCAGCTGTCGCTCATTTGGTAAGACTTTTCACCTTTCCGGCGGTTGTATCGTATATGCGCACTCGGCGTGATATCGCTCTCAGAGACCGCAGACCAGGTTCGATTGCTTCGATGGCTTGGCTTCTACGAAGCAAAAGTCGGGGACATACAACTTGGCTGTTTTTCATTTCTGACTAATTCTTCATCCCCACACAAAATGGCATCCCACAACAGCACTGCGCACATCATGGTTACGATCAGCCCAGATGGTAAAACTAGTGTCGGTGCTGCAATGGCCATGTCCGATAGCCCCGGCTCGACCGACAAGAAGGCCGGCCTACCGACAGAAGACATTGAGACAGCATCCTCTTCACTGAGCCTGGAGGAAAGGAACGAAAGAGAAATTGTCGAGCATCCCAACGAGATCACCGATGATGCCCAGACTGGTGTCAAAAAGGCCGAGGCCGTTGCTCTGGTCTGGTCCACGGCCGCCTTATACTACACATATGCCTGGTAAGTGCCTGAAAATGAAAGAAGCTGCGATGACATGATGCTTACAAGAAAACTCTTTGAATAAGGATATGTCTCTGCTTCTTTATCCTCGCACTTCAGTCCTCTGTCGGCAGCAACATGATGTACTATGCATACGCCGACTTCTCATCCGCACCGCAGATCTCCCAGGCCTACATCATCGGCTCTATCATCTCGGGTGTTATCCAGCTGCCCATTGCCAAGACCCTCAACCTCTGGGGCCGTGCCGAAGGTTTTCTCGTCGTCCTCACTGTCTACCTCGTTGGAATCATCATCCTCGCTTCCTGCAATGGCGCCAAGAGCTTTGCCGCCGGTTACACGATTTACTATATTGGGTACACGTCTGTCAACTTCATTCTCAGCATCTTTGTTGCCGACTCTGCAGGCCTACGAAACCGGGCATTTGCATACGCCTTTATCGGCACACCTAGCATCTGCACCGCCTTTACAGGATCCTTGATCGCCCAGGCATTCTATGAGCACTCTACGTGGCGATGGTCTTATGGTTGCTTCGTCATCATCGTCTTCTTCACATTTACCCCTCTAACCCTTGTCTTAAAGTTCTACCAACGCAAGGCTGAGAAGATGGGCCTTTATGTGCGGACCCGAAGCGGTCGTACAACCTGGCAATCTGTTGTCCACTACTTTTACGAGTTTGATCTTGTTGGTGGTTTCTTTCTGATGGCCGTCTTTGTTCTTCTTCTATTGCCCTTTAGCCTAGAGATATACGGCTACGGGAGCTACTCGTCGCCCACGTTCATCTGTATGATTGTTTTTGGTGCCGTGCTGCTGCCTGTGTTTGCGCTCTGGGAGAGGTTTATGGCCAAGACCGCCTTCGTCAAGTGGGAGCTGTTCAAGAAGCGGACCGTCGTCGGTGCCTGTGTTCTGTCAGCTGTCATTTTCTTCAACTATGCCGCCTGGGACACATACTACTACTATTATCTCCAGGTGGTCTACAATCTCAATACGGCCAAGACTGGATACATGAATCAGATCTACAGTGTTGGGTCAACCATATGGGCTGTCTTGTTTGGTGTTTGGATCCGCCAGACAAAGTACTTTAAGAAGGTCTGCCTCTTCTTTGGCGCTCCGCTTCTGGTACTGGGAGCCGGCCTGATGGTGCACTTCCGTGGCAGCGATAGCAAGATTGGATATTTGATTATGTGCCAGATATTGATTGCTTTTGGCGGTGGAACCTTGGTTATTGGTGACGAGATGGCTGCCATGGCTGCTGCCGATCGTGAAGGCATTCCCATGGTCATCGCCCTGATCAGTCTTTTCGGCAGTCTCGGCGGTGCTATCGGCTATGCTGTGGCAGTGGCCATCTATTCCAATACTTTCCCGTCGGCTCTGCTCAAGGCCCTTCCTGACGACACCAAGGCCGACTATCTCACCATCTACCTCGGTGGCTCGACAACACAATTACTGTACCCTATCGGCACTGCGGCCAGAACTGCTATCGACTATGCATGGACAGAGAGCCAAAAGTATCTATGCATCGCAGCAGTTTCTATTGTCGGCCTTGCATTCCTGGCTGTTGCCATCTGGAAGAACTATGATGTTGACAGGAGGCAAGTCAAGGGCCTTGTCTTGTAGGACGCATCTATATAACTTATACACTGCTCTCTCCCACCCACTTCGTTTATTGGTATATTTAGTTATTGATACGGTCCTTCCCTTTGCTTATCTGCTGATCTTGCGGCACAAAGACTTGCAAAAACAATTCCTCGTATTATTTGTTGTAATCAGAGGGGAAGGCTACCAAACTATTCACATGCCTTTTAGAGCATACTGTTTCAGAACAATTAGTACGAGCTGAAGAAATATGCCAGTAAAAAAAGATTGTTGGAAATTCAGTATTAGGCACTACTGCATCGCCAATAGATGAATACAAATGCTGAAAATGCTCTCTTTCTAATAGCTATCTCTGGCTCACACAGGTGGAAATATGACAACTTGATTTGCCGCGGAGGGTTCTCTGGCTTGAATTAAAGAATAATATTGGTTGCTTTGTCGCTTTTGTTCTAGACCGTACCGACGCCGTGATATATGCAATTCAAATGCAGTTGCCTTACGGCTTTTCGTCCTCAAAAGCCATCTCACACTTAGCTTTCAGTGCGTCGCGCAATTTGCTCTCGCCCCGGTTGGCCCACACGTTATATCCGCTGGAGCTCAGCGGCCAGAGAACCTTGTTATCGATAGTCTCAATCCAGTCGGCATTGGCCGGTTTCGGCTTCGACGTGATAACGTCCAGCTCCTGTGCGATTTGTGTGCAGTAGAACTCCAATGGCAGGTCGTTCACATCATTGCCAAACGGATTCTCGATCTCGGACCCAATGTAAAGAAGGCCGAGGATGATGTAGCCGGCCACCATAGTTCCCGGGATAGCCACCCACCCTAGGTAATTGAACAGCTGAAAAGGCAGGAGCGTGACATATATCCAGGTAATTTGGTTGATAGCAATGGCATAGGCGACCGGGACAGGTGTGGTAAGCACGCGCTCTGTCTGCACCAGGACATCGTTTAGGGAGGTGATATTGGTGTCTGCACATTCAGCCCATTAGTACCGTGCTTCCAGGTATAAATTAGACGACCAAGAACTTACACGCTAGAGTCTGTTGCAGAGGGTAAGGTAGCTGTCCGTTCTTGATAACTTCGTCTTGTCGAAAGAAGCCAGGTACGACAGAATTTCCAGAGGCAGGTTTCCCAATGGTCGACGCGCTTTCTTTATCGCTTTCCTCGGGTTGCTGGCCGCGAAAGAGAGGTCCAGAAGAGAGCCGACCGTCTTGAAGACGCCTTTCTTGAATCCCTTGGCGCTGTTGGGATCCGCCCGAGTCGCGTCGCCGGCGAGCGTGTCGATGTGGGGAACAAGGTTGACAAGGTCCTCGTAGTTTGTGTAGGGCTCGTGTCTTAGCTTGTGCTTGAGAGCAACGGCGAAGGCATTTAAGAGGTTGATGGCGGTTCTGTACTTGTCAGTCTCTGCAGATAATACAGCGGACTATCTTCTGGTAAGCTTACAGCTTGGCAAGAACGTCTTTTTCCTTGTGTTCTTCTCGCTCTAAGCAGTGCAACCAATAAACACGACCCAGAACATTGCACGTCAAGACCAGCTGGCCCCATGACTTCCGACCTTCGTTGTATCTGTCAAGTATTAGTAAGCGATGATATGGTGACGTGTTGCCTGCGCCGTATCATGCACACCTTTCGTAGGCCGTGGAGCTTCGGAAGCTCAAGGCCAGACCGACGACAAAACCGGTGACGGTCAGAAGCGTAGAATTGATTCCCACTATTGCAGAACAGTGTCAGTTTGAGTGACGGATTGAGAGAGCGTCTGGATCGCGCCGAACTTACAGCTCACGTTCGTCATGAAGGAAATACAAGTGATGCACGTGGCCCACCCGCCGAGCCAAAGCAGAGGGACGATCAATTTGGGTAGGATGCTACCATGCATTTGAAGGAACAGGGGCCACTTGGAGTGCCTCAGAACATCTCGAGGACCAGACTGTCGCAGGTAGTGTTAGTTCACGTGGCGATTATCGGCAGACTTGGATGTTGCTTGCTGGCGGGTAGAATGGAGCCGGAAATTACGCACAAAGTAGTCGTCGAGGTCTATCTTGCTGTGCTGGCGGCTGAAGGGGATCGGCTTGTGCCCGATGGGGCTCCTAAGAGCTTCCTCGTCTGTCCCAGGTGTCGGTTTGACGACAAGGTGCGAAGGCTTTCCCGCGTACTCGAATCCATGGTCATCCGCTTCCGTAGAGGCATTGCCGGTCATCGTCTCGCCGTCGGCCATCGTGCAAAATGGTAGGGCGCCGACTATGCAGATAGTAGAGTCCAGCTATGTCGGCCAATTTGTACAGAGTACTGAATAAAAACTGTATGAAAAGAATTAAAAGAAGAATAAAAGAAGGAAGTAAATTGCGACCCCAAGGACGGGAGCTGTTTGTCTCTTCTAGCTCCTGTCAGAAACGCTTTTCAGGGGGTCTATTTTAGGGGCCGAAACAGGATCCTGGATGCTGGTCCACTCTGATACTACGTACTAGCAACGTGTAATTCTCGGCACTCGTATCCCCCAAGGAGAACCCTACCGTGAATAAAGCGCAATTTGCGAGCACAGGGATACGTATTGCGAAGTATACGAAACCGTTTTACGCGTAGGATTTGCCCCATGTAAAAACATATCACAAATACGTGGCCGAACGCCAAGCGCAAGCTAGCAAACTCCCTCTACCCAATTGACATAAGATAGCGCACAGACTACCGGCTGCGGCTTCTACTTCGAAGCCGCCCCCTACTTAGTACAATGTACGAATACGGTGTAGATTACTCCGTAAGTTTACAACAATCCTCCCACATGCTTTTCCAGAGATGGTCCATGCAGGCCTCCAACAGCACGGAAGATACGGCCGTGGGCCAGATGCCACAGATTTATACGAAGTAGCCAGAGGCTTTACAGGATCTGGTGACCCATGCGTTCAGTGGTCCGTTAGTTGCTTGTCTCCTCCTGCCGCTGTGTACTGCAGGGGCATATAATTAGTGGAGGCCTACGCCCTGATTTGTCGGGAACCGGCGCGTCAGCATCGCCCGTCTGGCTCATCATGCCAAAATATGACAAAGTGAGAAAGCGCCATACGAGTGCCTGCATATGTATCGGACACGCCATTGCTCGCGGGCTAAATACGCCTAAATAGGAACGTACCGCAAATTGGCAATTTGCTGCAATCAGCATCGATACAGCGGCCATCCTCAACGATATAACCACATGAGTCGGGCCGTACTCTACTCCGTAGATGTATTCCGTTACGAGAAGTAGTCAGACGACGAGAAGCTACGGAGAAAAAAAAAACCGGACTGGCTTAGGTATCTTACGGGGTGTTGTTGCTAAGGCGAGCCATCTTCTCTTAGTGCCTATAGCTTTTTTTCACTGAACGGCCGAAAGACCCTTCCACTAAAATTCGTACGAGGCCGTCGAAGCACGAAATAGTAAGATACTCCGTATCTTACATAAAAATGCATAGCCGTTCACGCTTACTCGCATGCGGCTAAAACGGCGCGCGTAATTATATCCAACGTCGCGTTTTGGTAGTGGATCAGCAATATTCGCAAAGTGGAAATTTACATGGTTTCAGACTCTCTTTACGGAGTACGTATGCAGAGCGTGCAAAAACGCCTTATTATTGGTTAGATAATGTACGGTGTACGCAGTACGGAGTACGCGGGGCAAAAAGGCAGAACAGCTCTCCGCAAAAATGCCGTTTTCAACGATGGCAGTGCCCACCATTATGCAAGATTATATATTTAAGTTATCTGTGAGTAGCCTGTACACTGAGCGAGTTTGGGTGGAAGGACGTGCCCTGAATTGCGTGTGTTGCACCTAATTTGTTCGATCGTTGTCAAAGCTTGGAGGTCATGTACACGGAACAAAGTTTGTCCCGACCGCATACATTCGGCGCCATGATGTCACGTGGGACTTCAGTCAGGCGATTTGACTTCTGACGGGATCTGTCAAGAGAACTAGGCAGTCGGCAATGCCGAATTCACCGACACATCAAAAGGGAAGAGACAACGCGTGCATTCGCAGGCTATCAGGTCTCCAAAAATGGCTGAGGCACCGAGAGGCTTTGCAATTTTCCGCGTACCCGGGCTTTCACTGTAATGAAAGATGGGAGCAGTCTGAGGCTTTTGTCGCGATCACGGAAACGATCTGTTCTTCACCTACCATCCGCTGTTTTAGACTAATTAACCTACGAGGAACTCGATTATTTGACTGCGATGGAGCTTACCTAAGCTACTGATCGAATTGTACCTTTCACCCTTTAGGCCAAAGTTGTAATTCGTTGCAAGTGGAATATCGAGTCCTGTCTGTTCCGAATAGAGACGCACATTATGTAAGGAGAACAGGTAAAGCACCAGAAATCTTGAAGCCGCAAGTCTATGCTCGTTCTACCGAACTCTTGGAATCGATCGATCATCGAAACATTTGCAGATATCATGGGTTATCAGGGACATTGTCATCACGCCTATGGCGTTTAACGACATGCCATTATCAAACAGCTTTGGTGTGCATGAACCGTCTGTCTTGCATGTCATCATTGGGTTGATCACAGAGGGAGACATTCACGGATTGGGCGAGTCGTGTGTCGATCCAGCCCATCATAAGCGCTTGGAAAGGGCATACAAGAAAATAAAGGGCCTCTCCGTCTACGACCCAAATAGCATCTGCCAAAAGCATGTTTACTTGCTCCCGTACAGTGGCGGACGAGACGCATTGTGGTGATAGCGTTAGTCGCAGACAAGTTCTCCTCTCCATTTGGGATTGCCTTCCGATCATCGAGCTGCTCGGTGGTCACGTGGTGCTATTGACGACGAGAATGGCCATGGTGGTCTTCAGTCAGCCGCCGTCGGCATTGCACAGGACGCAGTGCAGTAGCCATACCCGATCAAGACTTCCCGGGTGGCCTTGCGCAATTTGTGGCGGCTGGCGGGCATCTGCTCGACCTAGGACATGCGGTCGATGCACTCAAACAGCCGTCTGAGCATCTCACATCTATGACGTATCTGGAATCAGCAACACCCAATCTCGACTATGCTTGCGATGTGCAGTGGCCGTGAAAGTGTCGGGAAAAGATGTGACTGTGGACGGCGCCAGGGCTGGGCTTCGAGCTGGACAAAGAAGCTGGCATCGTTACAAACAGCAATTTGGCTATGGGCTGGGCGAGGGATGATCCTATACGTGTAGATATTTGACCCGTCCTTAAAGGCCTAGACCCGAGGTGGCAGATCGGAGAGGGACAAGAATACGGGATACTTTAGTGCAGTTGAGTTTTGACAAGCAGGGGAAAAGTGGAAGAACTATGAGATGTGTCCACCATCTGATTATGTTGCCATGGTCCGCTGCACAGGCGCACATATGCGGTGTAAAGCATGAGTAAAGCCTGGTTGTGGTGGGCCGGAAGTTCCACGACCAATATTACAGTTGCGCAGTTGTCTCGTGTTCCGACAGAGTTAAGCAGCCCCTCTTATTTTAGGATCCGCTATCAGGCAGGAAAGCTGGAGTATTACGGCGTACGGAGTATGGTGTATACTCAAGGTGCTTAGGCAGTGGGACGCGACAAACCGGGTCAGAAGCAGGCGAAATACGGGTTCATAGAAATTTGTGATGCCCAAATGGGTGGGACACTCGAGTGGGATGTTCGGGTGGGATGGAAACTGTCTGTGCTGATTAGAGCCGACCCGGCTTAGAGCAGCACTAGAGTCGTTGCTGCTGCGGAGTGAGATTGTGGCGCTTGCGGTCCTTACATTTGTTTGGAAGCGATGCTTAGCAACCACGGCTGTTTCTTTGCATTGTCTTATTTGTATTTAGCACCGAAAACGAACGATGCATGCTATCTCACTTACGACATTGGAGACCTTGACTGTGTGGATTCGTAGAGATATCACCAGGGCTACAAATGTTTCCTCGGAGGTTCCCAGAGGGCCCAGAGGGCTCTAAATTAGCTCACTTCGGTATGATCAGAAATTGCTTCTATGTCTACGGAGTACTTTCTGTATATAAAACTAGATAATTGCGGAATAATTAAACACACACATTTCGTAGAGCACACCCACTTCGTAGATATTTTCTGTACAATTTGCATACGGATGTCTGAGCAATGCGAGCAAAGCTTCTTCAAAACCTTTTCATTGTCATGTTGTTGTGGGAGATGAACATGTCGTGTATTTTTTTTTTTTGCAAAAGAAAATCAAATAAACCGGTAGTTCCAAAGATTTGACAGGTGAGAAACAGCCACAAATTCAAGGACAAGCAGCATATTTTGTTCCCGGGGATTTGAAGGACACGATCGGCGGTTGGGAAGAGAGGCAGGCTTCTAAGCCAGCAGAGTAGCCAGCACGAGTGAAGCGATGATGGCCAAGCCCTGGCCAAGCAGGTCAGAGGCGGTGGTCTTGCGCCAGAGGCTGGAGGCGGCGCTGACGACAGTGGAGGACGGCAAAGAGGTGCTGGTGCTGGTCTCGGAGGCGTTGAAAACGGTGGTGCCGTTGGCGTCCTTGGTATAATTGCCGAGAAGAGTAGCGTTAGCGACGGTTGGGGCTACAGCGGTGTCGTAGGCCAAGCAGGTGTCGTTGGGCGACAGCAGGCAGTCGGGAGCGATGCAGATGGCCTGCAGTTGGGCGCCAGCGCTAGGTGGAATAATTGCCTCTGCCGGGGCGCAGCGCAGGTTGAACTTGTCGGTGAGAGTGCTGTTGACGAACTGGGCATCGGGATCGCTGAAGCCGATGGAGAGCAGGCCGCGAACAGCCTGGTCGACGAAGAAGCCCATTTCGCCGGCATTGAGGTCCATGAACCTGTGTCTGTCAGACTGTCGAAGGCAAGGAGGGGGGACGGAAGAAGAAGGGACAAGAAAGGTGAACGTACTTGTGCACTTCGTACATGGATGCCTTGCCGGCATAGTTGGGCAACGTTGCGGAGCCAATGTGCGAGCAGCCAAGGAAGGCGGCGAAGTAGGAGTACACGTGTGTGAAAAATATGCTATAGGCCGTCTGGTCAGCAGCTGTGCGTGATTTGGACTCTGAGATGGCTTACTACTGCGCAGATGTGGTGTTGCCGTTTCCGGGCTTCAGGTTGCGGGCAGCCTCGAGGCCACCATCGTCGAGGAAGTTAACGGCGGCACCCGAGGATCCGCCTGTATTGGCGGAGGCAAAGGCGCCGTCAAAGTAGCCGTTGAGGTCGACGTCCTCACCTGCATAGGTGGTGGGTGTGAGAGCACCGGTGAAGCCAGCGACGGAAATGGTGTTGTACTTGGAGAAGGGACCCAGCAGGGCCGAGTGCAGGACGAGGGCCATCAGGATACGCTCGTTGTCAGCCGTGTTCTCGCCCACAGTTTTGTTGGTGTAGAAGTCACAGGGTGTAGTAGTATTGGGCCGATCCTGGGCAGCAGCTAGAAGCAGCTGTGCCATCAAGACGGCGAGAGATAGGAAGACGTTGAATAGCGCCATTATTTAAAACTGGTTTTTTTTTTTTTGGAGTTCAGCAGAAGGGTTGGGAGCAGAGAAGGTCTAAGTGCTTGGAGTGTTTAGACGGGACTGAGGAATGTTGTCATCGGAGGTGTGTCCCCATTGTGATGGAAGTAACGGCGTATTTGTACTTTCAGACGGTTCCTGACAAACAAGGCTCATCCGAAAGTCGCAACTCCTAGTCAGGGGAGACCCAAGTGATGCCAACAACCATACTAACAGCCATGCTTACAAGCTTGCTAGAACATTGGCCGTCCTTGTTTCGACAGCTGTAGCGGTAGGGCGTCGGACCTCGGCCGGACATCGCATGTGGACGAAAGAAAAACAGACAGTTGGCAAGAAGATGCGGCTATTGGTGGACAGACGGTTGGAGGCCGATGTCAAGAATAGATCGGTCTCGCCGTTTCAGGCGCAGACCTGACTAAGTGGTCACGTAAGTTGTATCGCGTGTGCCTTGGCGACAACAGCAGTGTTACGCCTGCATGAGCTGGCACCAGCGTCGATGTGACCAGTCTCGATCTTGGCACGGCGCTAGTCGTGGTAAGCTTACGCGCTGCAGCTGTTCCCTGTAAGGCGACTGGCGGCAGGGGCGTTACGTAAGCTGGGCGTTCTCGGCGGAGAACGACGGAGCGAGGGAGGCCGGGCGCAATATCTAGAGAGGGATCCGCAGCGTGCTGCAGCCGAGAGCAGCCATCAAGGACAGACAACAATGGACAGAGCGGGTGAAAGCAGGCAGAGCACAGCTTCGTCCGCCGCTCCTCCGGGGCCCAGACGGGCTCTGCGCAAGGGCACACACAGCTGCGGCGAATGTAAGCAGGCGAACGCGGGATCTTGTGTTTGGACAGAGAACTGGAGAGCAAGCACTAAGACAGATTTTGCTGCACGATAGGCAAGAGGCGCAAGACGCGATGCTTCTTTGAGAGTCCGCGGGCAGTCAAATGTGTAGGCTGCCAGCGTCGAGATACGGCCTGCATCAGCCAGGAGTACGTCGATGTGCCCTCGCAGGAGGTGCAGAAAGGGTCGAGCGTTGCCGAGAGTCTTGGCCAGGTACAGCAGATGCTGCAACAGATCATGCGGAAGACGGCCGAAGAGGAGCAGGAGCAGAGGAAGGTAGTCCAGGATGATCAACAGCAACAACAGCAACAGCAGCAACAGCATCAGACACCATTGGCAGACGTGCTGCAGGCAGACAACCCGTATGTGGACACGTGTCGGCGACTGCACGCGGCCCTTCCGTCGCAGGAGGATGTGCGGGTGCTCTTTGAGGCGGGCCGGACACCCATCTACGTGCAGGCACTGTGCAATCCGTACGAAGAACTATTTGCCGAGGGCAAGGCGCGGTCGCTGGAGGCGATGGCGGAGCTGCCGGCGGCGACGGCACACCCGACAATCCTGGCACGCAAGGTGCTTCACGTGGCGCTCTGTCTGCAGCAGCTGGACCCAGGCTTCGATGCCGGGGCAGTGCAGCTTGGCCAGCCGGTCGGAGAAGCGATGCGGATGCTGTTTTCGCTAGCAACGACAACGGTCACGTGCCACGACGAGCTGCTCGACTCGCTCGAGGGGCTAGAGTGTCTGGTCTGCGAGGCCGTGTACCTGGTGAACAGCGGCAGTCTGCGGCGGGCGCTGTTGACGCTGCGACGAGCCTTGACGCTGGCACAGCTGATGGGCTTCCATGCGACGCGACCAACACCCTGGACGCTGCGCCGGCTCGACGCGGCGACGCGGGTGTCGAGCGCGGTCACGTGGTCTCATCTTGCGTGGCTCGAGCGATTCGTCGCTCTGCTGCTGGGACTGCCGACAGCGATCACGGGTGGCCCGACGGCACCGTTGCAGCAGCCGGCCGACCAGACGGCCAGCGAGTGGATGGAGAGAGTGCAGGTAGACGTGTGTGGGCGCATCATGCGGCGAAACGAGGATCTGGCGCAGAGCCGAGAGAACAAAGACCTCGGCAGCGATGCCATCTATGCGACGACGCAGCAGATCGACCGTGAGCTCAGTGCGATGGCTGAGAGCCTGCCGGCCGCATGGTGGAGCCCGCTGGACTTTCCGGCCGATAGGGTCCTGGACATCAGCGACATGATGGAGCGCATGATCAGTGCACAGATCCAGATCGTGCACTTCACCCTCGTGGCCCTGCTGCATCTGCCCTACCTCCTGCGCCAGCCGACCGGTCCGGACGGCCTGCACGTTTGCCTGTCGCGAGGTGCTCACGCGCTTCGTGCCGTTTCGGGCACTCGTGCGCGTGGTTTATTGCTGCCGTCCGGTCGACTTCTGCGCCCTCACGGCAGCCCTCGTGCTGCTGGTGGCCCATCTGAGTGGCCAGCGTCACGCCGACTCCGGCTGGTTGTTGCCTCATCACCGTCGCGGCGACCGCGCCATCATGTCCAAGGCTGTCGACACTATGGTCGAGCTCAGCCGGCTTAACGACGACGAGCTCTCGCGCCAGACCGCCGATCTCGCCCAGCGTCTGCTCGATCTCGAGGCCCGCAGCACCAAGGACAGCCTTTGCTATAGTGCCACGGCCACGTTGGCCGACCCCCTCCTCGCTGACGACTCGCTGCTGCTGCAGATCCCCTACTTTGGGTCCATCCGTCTCGTCTGCGAGCCCACTGCCTCGCCGGCCTACTCCGATATCTCGTCTGCCTCGTTCGAGCACAGCTACGTGTCTCTGCCCAACCTGCCGGCCTATGTGACCCATCTGCCGTCCTACGGCCAAGCCTTTGTCTCTGAGCCAGTCGACCAGCCACAGCCACAGTCGCTACGTCCGCTGTCGTTCCTCTGCTACGACCCTGTCGTACCGCCCATCCCCGGAGAGGGAGACCCATTCGGACTCGATGTCGACATGCCCGACTTGATGGCTGGCACCGATGTCTGGGCCTTTCAGGGCGTCGACGGGACCATCTTTGAGAACCTCATGCGCGGTGCCAACTACCCCCCCAACCACCCCTAGCGGACGGCCCGAAAAACAGAGAATGATTCTAATTTTGTCTGCCCAGAGCATTTGATCATCGATATGCCTTTTGCATCTGGCCTCGAATGGGACTTTTCGTAGGCGCTAAGAAGGATGTAAGAAACAACAAAACACGGCTGTGCTTACTCTCCGGCGGAGTTTCCGCCGATCTGTTCTCTGTTACATTAGTGCCTGGAGTACAGGTGAATAGACAAAGCCGTCTTACGTTAGCCACACGATTTTGTATATCTATATAGTATTTAAGCCAAAGTTCTGCCCCACGTTTTGTAGCTACGCAATCCGCATCTGCAAAGACAGTATCGTTTCTATCATGACTACTACCAACACCTACTCGGAGACCAAGGTCCGTCCCACAGGATGGGAGTCCGCCCCAGACTCGGAGCGCTTCTCCCTGTCCCACATGGGCCACATCATGCCCAAGATCTACGTTCTGATCGCCGAGGTCTTTTCCCTGCCGGAGCAGGCCGACAAAGATGCCATTATCAAAAGCCTCGTTGCCGGATTGGAGTTTGCCCTGTCGCAGTTTCCCCTTCTCGTTGGTGCCTTGGAGATGGACGAAGCCAGCGGCCGTATGTGGGTGTCCAAGAAGAAGACGTCCACTCTGAGCCTGCACGTCAAGCATATGCTCTCGACCGACGACTTCCCCTCCTACGATGAGCTGGCCAGGAAAGGCGTACGTATGCAGCCCAAGTGATCGTTTACGGGTAGACAAGCAGACACTAGCTCACAACCGTTCCGACACAGTTTCCCGCAAATCTGATCGCAGGCCACCAGCTGCTCCCCGAGTCCGTCACCGCAAAGCAGCTGCACTCGCCCCTGGGCGACAACAGCCAAGAGGGCCTGGCCGTCGCCACGTTCCAGATCAACTTTATTGGCGGAGGCCTTATCCTCGGTGCCGCCGTACACCATTGCGTGTCCGACGGGCCCGGCTGCGATGGCTTCCTGACCACCTGGGCCCAGAACAGTGCGGCTGCTGCCGAGGGCAAATCCTTTGTGCCCATCACCCCGTTCCGGATTTCCGGCACGCCGCTTGACGTGGCTGACCCGTCGCCCGATCGTATCGCTGACCTGGTCGCGGCCTATCCGGTCGTCAAGGATGCCGGCGGCCCAATGGCGCCGCCTCCAGCAGGCTTCCAGATGCCGGTCTTTTCGCAGCAAATGTGGCACTTTCCCCGCAGCAAGCTCGAGCAGCTCAAGAAAGCGGCCTCGCCGAAGCAGACATCAACAGAAAGCACCCATGTCGACAACAACAGCAGCAGCAGCTGGGTCTCCACGTACGACGCCATCGTGGCCCTTCTCTGGAGCGGCATCACGAGGGCCCGTATCGACCTCTTCCACCCAGACCCCGAGACCACGGCGCTGATGGTAAACGCGCTCGACACCCGTCGGATCTGGAAACCGCCACTGCCCGGACGCTTCCTCGGCGTCGGTGCCGCGCCCGCCCGCTCCGAGCCCATCGCCATCCGCGACATCGTGCAGCTGCCCGACAATCTGCCGTGCCTCGCTGCGGCCGTGCGCTCGTCCATCCGTGCCATGACCCCCCAATATGTCACCGGCCTGCTCGAATGGGTTGCCGGTCATCCCGACCGCCGCTGGCTCGAGATCGACATTCGCTCCTTCTTGGGCATGGATCTCGCCGCCTCCAGCTGGCAGGGCATGTCCGCCTACTCTCAGCACGACTTCGGCTTTGGCCTTCCCAGCGCCCTGCGCTGGCCCAGTCCGGCTATGGACGGCTTTGTCTTCCTCTATCCCAGCCGTGCTGCCACCCCCGGCGCTGACCCCGATGAGGGCGTCGAGCTCTGCGTCTGTCTCGAGACCAGCTGCCAGCAGCGCCTGCTCAAGGACGAGCAGGTTCTGCAGTTTGCCCACCCCAGAGGCTGATACAAGTAGAGGATGGGTTGTCGGTGTCATGACGGCATGGCGAGTTGTATAAAGCGTTTTCGTTGAAGAGTGGCAAGGCATGAGTGACTTCCGATTGTGAGCAATATGGAAGAGCAGAGTTTGGCAATAATGCTGGATTATCTCCAGGATAGACCCACATGGCTGAGAGAAACGTTTTGTCAAGAAATCAGCAAGGTCATCATCGCAAACGGCATCGTAGTTTATGATTCGCTCTCTCTATGTTCTTCATCGGAGCTGTCTCTAGAGCGTTGACGAAAAGCGTTAACGGTGGCGCGCAGACAGTTTTCCTCAATATCGATCATCTTCGTCTTTGTCTTGGATATGCTGGAGAAGTCGATACCCGAGGAATCAGTTTGTCTCAGGAACGATGCTGGTGCAGTGTTGCTGCAGTGTAGTTGCGAGTGTGTGGGCCGAGTTCTAAACCCAGTCTCCCATTTTAACTTCTGGCCGTCTCCTCCGATCGCAACGATCACTGCTGATCGGAACATGTCCACTCTTTCATTAGTCTTCTTCTGACTGTTTAGTTGCCGTTTTTAGCCTGATCTTTCTGGTTTGCATAACAACCGTGACCAAGACAAGAAGCTAGATACATAAACATGTTCCCATGTCTTCGCATAAAAGTTTGATTGCACGAGAGCGGCCGAACCGCCCAAACAAGACTCTTTAGTAATGCGGGGCATTTACCGGCTGAAGCACATCCAATAACAAACTGCGTGTCTGTGTATATTGTGTGCTCTAGAATACGTGGGGTGTCTTTCTGCCTTGAGCACTTCAAGCCCTTCCTAGGCTTCGATTCCCAGCTTCCTTTACCAGGACAAACTGCTGTCTAAGAATGGCTCCATTACGCGCTACTCTCGACTACTATGACTACATGGGCATCGCACAAGATGCAGATGACAATCAGATCAAAGCTGCATATAGACAGCTAGCAAAACTGTATCATCCGGACAGAAATCGTGGCAACGATGAGGCCAAGGCAAAGTTTCAGACGGTATATGCTGTCCGAGGAAAGACTCGTTTCTCAGATACAAAGATGCTAATGATATTCCGGTAAATACAGCTCCAAGAAGCATACTCTATACTTATCGACATCGAAAAGCGCAGACAGTACAACCAAATCTACCCTTCCATCCGTACCAAATATGCCACCCCGAAGGCCTCTGCCAATGACAGAGGCACAGCCCAGTGGGACAGCACCACAACGAAACCAGCGCAAGACAACGACGCGTCCTTGCGAGTATTCCAGGAACAGCTTAGCACAATCGACAGAGAGCTGCAAGCCCTCTACCAGAGTCTTAACCGGACAAAAGGCACTTTGAAAGAGAGTCAGGGGTCCTTAGACGAGGTCTTAGCTGCTCTACAAAAGCTGGACTTGGAAGACAGAGAAGACGAGGCCGCAGAAGTCTTAAGTAATGGTTGGTACAGCTACCTTTTTGGGGGACAAAAGTCGTCCGCTCAAGAAGAGGAAAGAAAAAACAATAGAGCTAGGCGCCAGACGGAACGGCGGGTTGGGCGCCTCGTGCATGAATCTAAACGCTCAAGATGCAGGGACAATGTCAAAGGCCTACAGGGAACCTTGGCAGAGCTGGAAATTAAGGTCGAATTGAAGGAGGCACAACGGAAATTCGTTTTGCGAAAACGCGAAGATGCTAAGCGTGCTGCTGAATGGGCTCGCGTATACGCAGAACAACAGGCCGCACGGCAGAAAAAGCAAGAAGAAGCACAGAGAGCTCAGGAGGAGGAAAAAAAGGCCCAGGAGTGGTCCAGAAAACATCAAGAGGAGTCCAGAAGGTTTGAAGAAGAGATCAGGAAATCCCAAGAGGACGCCTGGAAAGCACGAGCGGACGAGTTCAGGAAGCGCAGAGAGCGAGACGAGAAAGCTCGTAAGGAAAAAGACGAGAATGATCGCAGAGAGAGAGAAGAGAGGGTTCGCAAAGAAAACGCCGAGAAAGCTCGCAAAGAAAGAATTGAAAAGGCCCGAAAAGAAAGCGAGGAGAGAGCTCGCAGGGAGAGAGAGGAGAGGCTACGCAAAGAAAGAATTGAAAAGGCTCAAAAAGAAAGCCAGGGGAAAGCTCGCAGGGAGAGAGAGGAGACAGATCGCAGAGAGGCTGCAATCTTAAATTCTGACCAGTGGTTGAAAAAGACCCGCGAAGCGAAGAAAGCACAGGAGGCTGAAGCAGCCCGACGATGGGAGACAGACGTCCTGAAGGAGACCCGGAAGACAAATGGGAAGGGCAAGACCCCACACAGAGCGGCCGCTTGTTCGCATAAGACGTGGTGGATCAAGGTGGATGGTGGACACTTGTGCAAGCATTGCGAAGAGCTCACCTTTCGGTTCGCATACAAGTGTCCTGACTGTCTGACAATGGCCTGTGCAGGTTGCATGCGCAGCTTGAAGGCTTAGGTGATAGTTAGTTCAAGGCACCAGTTTGATCGGCGAGCTGTTAAAATCAAGCTTGCAAGAGGCCTGTAATCAGTGTAAGCCCAAATTGATTTGCTAATAGGTAGTGCTTTAAGAGTTATTCTATGTTCTAGAAATTGCTGATTTTATAACACAAAATCATCTTTATTTTCACCGCCAGGCCTTCTTATCTAGTACCTGTGTACTTCATTCTCTCCTGATGAAGACTAAGTCTTTAAATTATTTTTAGTATGATGGACTTTAAAACTTGACTTTTCAAGGATTAATGGTAATTTGAATGTCATGCCACCTGTACCATACGCAAAAGTAGGATTCCCATAACTTATAGCATAGTAGGCGGGGCTTTAGATAACTGATCTAATTTCAACAGTGCTTCTTGGAACAGGAAAAAAGGCTTAACTATATTAGGTCGTAGAATAATGTACAGGTTCAATAATTCGTAGGCTCATTACGTGCTTAAGTCCTCCCTCCGGCTCTTGCTGTTGTCCCGATCTAGATAGGGTACCTCACCCAGCGAGCACACCCGGTCACCGGCCCGGGCATCGGCATAATCGTATGTGGCGCAATGCCATGTGCTGCGGTTGTCCCAGATCGCCATGTCGTTCTTGCGCCAACGGAAGCGGACCTGGGCGTCGTGGTTCTGGGTCACCAAGTTAAGCAAATAGCTGAGCAGCATATCTGACTCGTCTTTCGTCACGCCATTGATGCGCTTCGTGAAGCCCTTGTTCACATAGACAGATTTCCACCCGGTGACAGCTAGGAAGTATTAGACCATGACCACAGGAAAATACCACGGGTAGGAAGCCATACGGTTTGTCCGAATCACAGGGTGTGTCGCCTTGAGGTTTCCACCCTGATTAAGTGGGGAGCCCCTGATGTCCTTGCGGATGGGATTGCCGAGACGCTCGGCTTCTTCGTGGAAGAACATGGCGTCATGCGTCGCCGTGAGCCCCTCAAGGAAGTCTTGCATGTTGGGGGACAGACGGTCATAAATCTCATATCCAGAAGCCCAGAGCTAATGTAGCTACGTTAGCATCTGGATATCTATTCAATAAATCCACATGGTGCCGTAAAGACTTACTGTATCACCTCCGGTGGGTGGCAAGGTGTGGATCTTTAGCATGGCATAGTCCGACGGGACGGTCTCGAACGAGATGTCTGAGTGCCAGCCGGTACTGGCAAACCGGCTGACGTCGTTGAGCTGGTGCGTGAGGCCGCCGCCCTTCTTCTGCTTCTCACTGCTGATGACGCTGATCTGGTCGCCCAGCTCGCTGCTCGGCTCCGTGAGAGGGTGGATGTGCAGGCCAGAAGATTCTGGCTATTTTTTTTGTTAGATATACGGGCTGGAAAACTGGGAGTCGAAGCAGAGACTCACGCATCCAGCAGCTCGGGTTATCCGCAGACAAAATTGTTTCATCTGCTCCGGTGTGAGTTGCTGGTCACGTAGGAAGACAACACCACGCTCCGAAACTAGCAACAATTAGAAGCGGCTCCCAAACGACAGCATGGAGGAGGATCATACTGGTAGCTGCCAAGTCTGTGAACACCTGCTCGTCGGCGTCTAGTAGGTCCACGGCCTGGAGGTCGTTGAACTCCCGTCCGATACAAGGCGTCAGGTCATTATGGCTGAAGTGATCTAGAGAACCGGAATAGACCAGAGGCTTAAGGCAGCGAGTCCTTGCAATGCTCTGGTCCACCTTTTGTGGGAACGAATCTAATGACGGCATGTTGGGAGGAAAAAAAACAGCAAAGCAATGCGGAAAGACAGTATGACCAGCTGACTGAGTATGCCTGTGATGCATGCACGAAAAAACGGTCGGACAAGAGATAGCAGCAAGATAAAGCTACCGTAATCTGTTATATAGAATCGCTAGGCGAACAGGAGACTCTTGCGGTGACAGTTGTTTGAGTCGGACATCGGACCAGAAGTGGATCCGTCTACGAAATGACGTGCTTGGAACGACGACGAGCTTGTTCGATACGGTGCAATTCTAGTCCCCACCGTCCGGAGAAAATATCGGAGCTGATTTGGCGGACCCACGCGACGAATACCGAGCGATTCGCTTCATTAGAATCCGGGGTTATGCCTGGGCTCGAAGCATATGCCATTGTAGCTCCAAAGCACGCAATCCAGATGTGGTCGAGGCCAGCTAAATGGGCAGCTCGGGAGAGAGCCTGCATAATATTAATATGCAATGTATAGAAGCGCCCAGCGAGGCTCTGTGTCTGTGACAAGCTACATTCTGTCTCGCCGTAAGAACCAGAAAGATGGATATTCAGCCGACAAAAAGGCAGAGTGTCGAGGACGACGCCTCGGTCATCAAGGCGTCCCTGGTAAGCGTCGGTCGCGAGAACCTGGCACACACTCTTCCGCCACACGAGTCGTATGAAGGGCGGCATCGATGGGATGCCGAGATGACCTGGACGCCGGAGGAAGAGCGATGGGTTGTGCGAAAGGCTGACATGTTTTTCCTGCCGATCCTTTGCTTGATGGTGAGTGCAGTCGTGCTGGATTGCAGTTGAGGCCTGAAGTGTATGTCTTTGCTGACGGGAAATGCAGTTTTTCGGTCTCCAATTGGATCGGGGAAATCTGTCCAATGCCCTGGCAGACAATCTTTTAAAGGACCTGAAGATTAACAGCGACGACTACAACAACGTGAGTACGCTGTGTACAAGCTCTGACCTGAATACAGCTAACATACAGGAAAGGGTACTACCATTCAGCTTGTCTGCTTTCTCGCTGCCGAGTTCCCTGTTCAGATGCTCACGAAGCGGCTTGGCTTCAAATATGTGCTTCCGATAATGATGTTTTGCTGGAGCACTGTTTGTATGTCATGTTTCGTCCATTCTTTCGAAAGGTTATACTGACCTTTCAACATAGCTTGGGCTCAGGCGTGGATGACCGATCGGACTTCGTTTTACATCACGCGTGCGCTGATTGGCCTTTTTGAGGGTGGTTTCATTCCAGGTTGGTGCCCTATTTCTGCTAAATTGTTTTGGCCGCCGTGTTCTAACGCCAGTGTAAGGCACAATTTTGTTTGCTACGTACTTCTACACGTCTCAAGAGCTTTCTGTTCGACTTGCCGTGTTCTGGTCAACCCTGAACATTGCACGCGTAATCTCGGCACTTCTGGCAGCTGCCATTCTTAAGATGCGAGGCATCGGCGGACATACAGGCTGGTTCTGGGCCTTTCTCCTGGAAGGCATTCTAACTGCCCTGATTTCCATTATTGTGAGTATATGAAGGACATGACAACCTGGTATCTGTTGCTGACAAAAACGCTCCAGGCTTTTCTGTACCTCCCCTCGTCGCCGACGTCGACAAAGAGTTTCCTGTGGAGGAAGTCGTGGTACACGGAGCGTGAAGAGGCGATTATGGTTAACGTGAGTTGGGCCCCCACGACGTCCCCTCTTGTCTACTGTCTTTAACCAGGGGATGATATACAGCGCATTCTCCGTGACGATCCAGCCAAGGGACGTACCGCTTTGAAGGAGCCGGTGACGTGGCACGACATCAAGAGCGCGTGGTCGGACAAGTCGATGTGGGGGCTGTACTTTATCGGGCTGGTGGCCTACATCCCGGCAACACCGGTGCAGGCGTATCTGACGCTGACGATCAAGCGGCTCGGCTTCACGACGTTTGACGCGAACATGTTGACGATGCCGTCGGCCGGCATCCAGGTGGTGACCATGCTGGTGCTGGCATTCAGCAGCGACTATTTCAACGAGCGGACGTTCCACTGTTTCTTCGGCGAGCTGTGGATCCTGCCGATGCTCATTGCTCTGCGGACAATTCACGATGGCGGGCGGGATTGGTCGCGATTCACGCTGATCACGCTGACGTCTGGCTGTACGTTCCCATTTGTGCTGCGAGTCTGCCTTTGCACATGCTGACAACTGTACGCAGACCCGTACTTCCACCCGATTGTATCGGCGTGGATCTCGGAAAATACGTTTGACGTTAAGAAGCGGACGATCACGGCAGCTACGTACAATGTGGTCGTCCAGATCGGCTCTCTGATCGGGTCGCAGATCTACCGCAAGTACGATGCGCCCTACTACAAACAGGGCAACACGGTGCTGCTGTCAATCTGTGCCTTGTCACTGGTTGTGTTCATCGTGCAGCGACAGGTGCTGGTCCACCTTAACAAGAAGAAATCGGCCGTCTGGGACGTGATGTCGGCTGAGGAGAAGACGGCGTATCAAGAAGACACGCTGTCACGTGAGAAGGAGGGCAACCGCCGGCTGGATTTCCGGTTTGTCTACTGAAGAGGAAGGAGGAGAATGTTTCTGTACCAGCAGGAATAGAAAAATGCAAGTCTTACACAACACTTGCAGACGCACTAAGCAGGAGCCAACGTAGCGCATCCAGGCTGCTGGGTAATAGTGGGGCCAGAGGGTTGCGCAATTGATGGTTCAGATGGCGCAAGCGATAGCAGAGAACGTGCCGCGACCGATCTGGTGCGAGCAATGTGGTCAAACATCATGCAATGCACAACGGGGAAGGAGACAGAGGACGGACAAGATCGAAGACGACCGGCGGATGCATAGCCTACCCATGCTGGCCGGTTACATGGCGCAACCGCTATCGATGCCCAAAACGACAGCCACTGGCCGAAAGATCGGCAGCAAGCGGGCCTGCGATGGCTGCAAGGTGCGCAAGGTGCGCTGCTCGGGGGCGGTGCCCTGTGGCGGCTGTCGGGCGGCGGGCATGCCGTGCACGTTTCTGCGGAATCCGGCCGTCCGAGGGCCGAAGAGCCTGCGGGCGAAGACGATGCTCCTCATCGCGAAGACGCAGCAGCATCAACAGCAAGAAGAGGAGCGAGAAGGGGAACGACACGCAGAACGAGAACGAGAACAAGACGATGGAGAGCAGGGCTACGATGGAGGCAGTCCGATGGCAGATGATCGTCTACTGAGCAGTCTGGACACGGCCATAATGATATCAGAGACGGCAGCTGGCAACAAGACCCCGGTGCAGTCGCTGGTGCTGGTGCTGTGCATCTTCCGGCTGCGCTTGTTTCCACTGTGGCCGATTGTGGATATTGAGGCGACCATGGCGTCGCTGCACCACCGCAGCGACGAGGACAACGACGGGGAAGACGGCAGCAGCAGCAGCCTGGAGGCATATGCGCTGGCCAACAGCATCGGGGCAGCAACGGCAGCGCAGCTGAAGCTGACACAGACAGACGTCGGCAGCGATGCGGCAGCCATGGAGGCTGAGTGCCAGCGGGCACGCATGGCGCTGCAGCGAGACGGCAGCCGAGAGCGGCCAGCAGGCATCGACACGGTCCGCATCTCGTTCTTCCTGCACGTCTACCACGAGAACAAAGCGCCAGGCGGGACCGAGTCGCTGCTGTATCTTCGCGAGGCCATCACGCTGGCGCAGATCCTGCAGCTGCGTCAGCAAGGGTCTCTGTCGTCATCGTCGTCCTCGTCTACGCGCGAGCGACAGACGTGGCAAAAGATCGTTGCACTGCTCTTTGTGACGGAGCGCGGCGTCGCCCTCCTGCACAAGCTTCCGGCCATCTTGCACTACGATATGCGGCAACTGGACTTTGACGATGCCGACGATGCGACCCGCGTGCTGCCCGGCTTCCGCAAGCTTGTCGGGCTCTTCTGGATGCTCGACCAGGCCGGCGCCTTTTCCATTCTGCAGCGGGCCAGTCCCGAGCCCGAGCCCGAACCCGAGTCCGAGTTTCAGTCCGAGTTCCAGTCCGAGCTCACCATCTCCCATCGCGGCCGCCTAGCCCTTCTGCAGCAGCGGCTGCGTGATGTCGCTGTCGAGTCGACCGTCGACAACGACGTCCAGACGGCCGACATCTGCGTCACCCGTCAGTGGATGCAGGCTGTCCTCTGGCATGCCTCGTCTGCCATGCGGCCACGAGGTAGGTCCGTCAGCTCTGAACAGGCCACGTCCCTGTCCCATCCGGTCCAGATCGCCAGACGGTTTCTCCAGGCTATCGCCCGTCTGCCTAACACTGCCGTCGAGGCACACGGCCCAGCCATGGTGAGATACATAGAGGCCTTTCTTCATCTGCAAGACAGCCCGCTGACCTCGCAGGAATACAAAATTTACGAATTGGCAAGAATCGTCCTCGATGCTGTGGCTGCTGACTCAGCAGGCCTTCGCGACTCACTCGACATGACCCGAGATGTAGTGGTCCAGCTGCAGAAGAAGCTGGCGTCGTATCGCGGCGGCAACAAGACGCTTCTGCTGCTCCTGCACACACGCACGCGCGACCTCCTGAGCGACAATCGCATTCACCACATCAGCTCGGATGGCTTGGCCGCCTACGACGGCAGCCCGCAGAGGCCAGCTGTCCTGTCCAGCCAGATGAGCCAGGTGTATACGCTGCAAACAGAGCCGACAACCTCTGTCCGGTCTGCGACAGCCGAAAACGAGGACGACAACGATAGCCAGGACTCGTGGTTTCACACCACTGCCTCGGCACCGTCACAGTCCCAGCAGATCAACGCCACGTACTTGACGGGGCAGCCTTTTCAGGCCCCGACTACGGCCGTCGACGTGCTGCTGGCTAACAGTGCGTTGTGGGAGCCTTCAGGCATCTGGGACCTTGCAGGCGGTACCGACATGATGGACTTTGACGCGTCGTCGGCCAACTGATCCCGCTTCGATGATTGTCTACTTGCATACCCAGTCTATCTCTGCAACAGCACGGCCAGACCCTCAAACGCACTCAGCTCTATGCTATCTCCGCCCTCAAGGCTGTCTGACGACCGTCCGACGGTGGAGAGCAGCACTTCTGGTGCCCCGGTCCACGGCTTTCTCCACCGGACCGTCTTGGCGGTAAAGTTGCAGGCCACGAACACGACGCTGCCGGCGGCCGACGTGCGGGAATACGCAAAGACGGCTTCATCAGCCTCGTCGACCAGCGCGAAGCTGCCGTACACGACCACGTCCTTGTGCTGCTTGCGTGCTGCCAGCACTCGGCGCCAGCAGTGGAAGACCGAGTCCGGGTCGGCCTGCTCGGCTGCCGCGTTGACCACGGCCGCGTTGGGGTGCACGCGCATCCAGGGCGTCGCCTCGTGCGCTGTGAAGCCAGCGTGCGCCGTGGTGTCCCACTGCATCGGCGTGCGGGCGTTGTCGCGCGACTTCTTAGTGTACTCTCGCCGCGCGGCCGCTCGCGCTTCATCATCGCCGCCGTCGCCCTGCAGCAGCGCCCAGTGGTTCAGACAGTCGACGTCCTTGTGCTCGTCCATGTCCCAGGTGGCCGGGATGTTGTGCATGCCCAGCTCCTGGCCCTGGTAGAGGAAGGGCGTGCCGGCCTGGAAGCCGAGGAAGACGGCCAGCATCTTGGCGCTGGCTGCACGGAAGGCCGGGTCCTCGCTGGCAAACCGGCTCACGCTCCGCGGCTGGTCGTGGTTCTCCAGATAAAGCGCGTTCCAGCCGCCGTGGTCGTACATGAACCGTTGCCACTTGGCCACGATGGCCTTGAGCTCGGCCAGGGCCCACGTCCGCGGCGAGAACTTGCCGGCCGGCCCGTGGTCCAGGTCCATCAGCTCAAAGTGGAAGATCATGTTGAGCTCGCCGCGGTCGGCCCCGACGCTCTTGATGATCTCGTCCGTGTCACCCACGCACGGCATCTCGCCCACGCTAAAGGCCCCGTACTCCCGCAGGATCGCGCCCATCTGCTGCAGATACTCGTGCAGCCGCGGCCCGGCTGCATAAAACTCGCAGCCTGCCAGCACCTTGCGGTCCGAGTCCGGAAACGCCTGGTCCTTGCTGATGAAGTTGATCACGTCCAGCCGGAAGCCGTCGATGCCGCGGTCCAGCCAGAACCGCATCGTCTCGTGCACTGCCGCCCGCACCGTCGGATTCTCCCAGTTCAGGTCCGGCTGCTCGCGGCAGAAGAGGTGCAGGTAGTACTCGCCCGAGGCCTCGTCGTATTCCCACGCGCTGCCCTGGAAGTGGCTCTGCCAGTTGTTTGGCGGCTGTTGCCGGCCGTCCGCATCGATCCGCGGTTTCCGCCAGATGTACCAGTCGCGATACGGACTGTCGACCGAGCTGCGCGACTGCCGGAACCATTCGTGTTGGTCGCTCGTGTGGTTCACCACCAGGTCAAACACCAATTTCATTCCGCGCTCGTGTAGCCGATCCTTGAGCTCGTCCATATCGTCGAGGGAGCCATACTGTGGGTCGATGACGCGGTAATTACTGATGTCATAGCCCTGAATAGTGGTTAGACTGAGAAACACGGGGACAGAAAGACGGAATAGAATGGTCGAAGAGGAAAAGGAGACGCGATTGGGCAAACAATCTCACCATGTCCACCTGCGGACTCTCGCATATCGGCGACAGCCAGACAGTATCGACCCCGAGTGAATGCAGGTAGTCGACCTTGGAGATAATCCCCTGTAGGTCACCAGTGCCGGAACCGGTCGAGTCCTTGAACGATGCTGGGTAGATCTGGTAGACGGACGCTTCTTTCCAGCTGGCCGGTTGAGGGCCGTCGACGGCCACGTGAGGAGGCATGATTATGCGCTTGTATATGGGGATGGACCGATGAATCCGAAGCTGTGAAGCCGTGAAGCTGTTAGAATGTGCTGTATGCCTTGACTGCGGGGTTGTCAACCACTGACAGGTCCGCTGGACCAATCAGGTCCACTGTTCCCTTAGCCCCGAATTCTCCACGAATTTCTCCGGCCGTTCATGCTAGCGCCGGCTCTCACGATGGCGACATCCAAGCTTCGCTTTGCATCATAGCTACCAGCTGTCGGCCAGGTGCACGAAAATCCCGCTCCGAGAAATACTCCGGTCTCTTCGCGACCGGCCGACTCTCCTCATTCTCGAGGTAGAGTAGCAGTTCTTGCTTGCACCATCCTGCCCATTTCATCGTCATCCCAGCTGCACCACCGTAACACCACCCTCAGTCAACAGCCAACCCCTACAATGACCTGGCCAGAGCCAAGAAATACCGGCATGCTCTACCGCCGCCTGGGCAACTCAGGCCTGCACGTTTCCGTGCTTGGTCTGGGGGGCTGGCTCACGTGAGTCGCCAATGACTTCCGTCTGCATCTGCATGCTGGCTGCGCTAACTGGATCTGGCAGTTTCGGTGGACATGTCGACAACGGTTCGTATCTATATTCTGGCTGTCCTCCTGTCGGTCAGGCCGTGATCTAAACTGTGTCCAGAAAAGACGGTGGCTTGCATGAAGCAGGCGTATGACTGCGGCATCAACTTTTTCGACACCGCCGAGAGGTAAGATGTGATGACTAAGCTGCTCGCAACAGCACAATGGCCCACCTGTTGACATGGGCTTGCAGCTATGCCGACGGCCAGAGCGAGGTAGCCATGGGCGCTGCCATCCGGCAGCTCGGCTGGAAGCGCAACGACATTGTGGTCAGCACGAAGCTCAACTGGGGCGGGGCCAACGGCGAAGTCTTGGTCAACAACCACGGCCTGTCCCGCAAGCACATCCTCGAAGGCCTGCGGGCATCGCTGGCGCGCCTGCAGCTCGAGTACGTCGATATTGTGTACGCGCACCGGCCGGACCGGCTGACGCCGATGGAAGAGACCGTTCGGGCCTTTAACCACGTCATCGAGCGCGGCTGGGCCCTCTACTGGGGCACGTCCGAATGGGGCGCCGATGAGATCGCCGAGGCCTGCGGTGTCGCCCGTGAGCTGCACCTCATCGCTCCCGTGGTCGAGCAGCCGCAGTACAACCTGCTGGAGCGCCGCCGCGTCGAGGGCGACTTTCAGCGCCTCTACGCCCGCTTCGGCACCGGCCTTACCGTCTTCAGTCCCATCAAGATGGGACTGCTCAGCGGCAAGTATAACGACTCGCCCGATGCCCCGCCTCCTGGCTCGCGCTTCGCCGAGAGCCACGACCGCTTCAGCAACCTGGTGCGTGACTCCTGGTACGGCAACGACGAGTGGAAGTCCAACATCGCCAAGGTCATCCAACTCAAGGTTCGTCTTCTTCTTCTGCTCCTCTCATCTACTCTCCACAACGCTGATCGTCCAGCCCATTGCCGATCGGCTCGCCGTAACCCAGTCCCAGCTCGCTCTGGCCTGGTGCCTCAAGAACGAGCACGTGACCTCCGTCATCACGGGCGCATCAAAGCCCGAGCAGATCGTCGAGAATGTCCAGGCCATCAAGATACTCGACAAGCTCACGCCCGAGGTGCTGGCCGAGATCGACGCCATCGTTGGAAAAGTCGAGCTGGACCCGGCACGGCAGGACTAGAATGGAGTGGACCGGGACGTGCTGCGCAGAAAATGCGATTAGACACTCCATTGCTAGGATAAAATAAGAATATACCCTCTTCCATATCAGCAGGCGCAAGCAAGTGTCCTAGACTGCTGCTGGACTGACACTGGCGATTCGTCTAACTCCAGTACTAAGAATGGTAACATGGCTCTGCTCAGACGGCCTTCGAGGCTATACAGCCAACTTCCATATACTACGCATGGCTTAGGACGGGACACTCCTGTCTGAGTAAAACTATTCTTGTTTATTACTATCTAGGCAGTACGTATAGATACTCTGACTTTTCCATAATTTAGTTTTGCACCACGTAGTATCAAATAGCCGGACTTTCCGCATCGACCTCTTCACTTCTGGCCACCTGCTCGGTTCTAGCCCACATGCGATAGAGAGACCTATGATCATAAGCCCAAGAACAGTTACGCCAACGCTTGTGTTTATACCAGTTTGGGCGAACCATTGTGCTCCACTTCCAGTCCGACAACGACCGCATATTCCCCAATAGTTTGTACGTGACAAGCTTCACAACCCATTCTTTCTTCTCTTTGTGGATGATCGTGGTGCTGCAGTCCATCAAGCACACTTTGCAAGATGTCAGAGAGTTGTCGCAAGGCTGGAAGAACTCAATAGTGGAGCTGCTCATAGAAAGTTCGGGAATGTTTTTCCATTTAGAAGCCCTCCAGGCCTTCGTGTGGAAGTGCTCACAGATCCGGATCCCGGTTCCGATGATATAAGAGCGCAGCTTAGAAGAATCTCCGCCCAAGTCCCGTAGAGTGAAAGAGGTCCGTAACATGAACTGGTCTTGGACAACTTTGGGAAGCCATTCGCCCTGCAGCGATACGCTTTGGTCGAATATCTCTGTTCCAGACTGTTGCAGCTGAGAGGCAGCTATACTATGTGATGGGCCGTAGAGATGGTGATTCATAATAAGGCGGCAATACGTGTATGGCAGGCGATAACGCTCGTCGTTGAAGATATGTCGGCAGTGCTTACCAAACCTTTTGGGATGGGTGTTTGTGGCGTATGGTGCGACCCACGATGAATTCCATCGACACAACTGAAAACAGGTCTGGCAGTAAAAGAACTGGGGCAAGTCCTTTTCAAGAAGAATCAAAAGTTTATCTGTCTCAAAACTTTGCATCGTCCCGTAATGGTCACCAGTCAGACTTGGTGGAACCCGGCTGACGTAATAGCATATGCTAAAAAGATCGCGGCAGGTCAGCGATAGCAATATCGCCGACTTGCGGTCGAGATGATCCCGAATGAGAAGCAGAGGTTCAGGTGATAGATCGCCGAGTTGTCTCGACTGTCCTGGTTGGGGTAGCTCCGGTGACTTTGGTGAGCAGATTGTCCCAGAAGTCCTGGTCGGCATTGGTTGCGAGCGGGTGCTACACAGCGACGAAATGAGAGAAGTCATGCCAATGGTCCCTTTTTTTTTTTTCTTGGACAAAAGTAAACTCATGGACAGAACCATGGGTCTTGCAGTCACTTTTACATAGGTATACGAATTATAAAAACCTATATTTTGGCAAAGCTTGGCAAGAAGGTACTCATTATTAATGCCTTTTTGATGTTGTTGCAGACCAACATCGGCTTACCAGGGCAATTGTGCGTTTTCACAAGGATTAAATACACTTAAGACAGTAGTCCAAGTCTTAAGTCACCCAACTATGCGGGAGTAAGAATACCTCCAGAATATGGGTTCTCGCTCTAGATCATCAAGTCCTTGGTTGTCCTACTTACATCTTACAGCCTGGCCATGATTTGGTCTTAGTGGATATGTGCTTACTAATCATTAAGGGGAACTCAGATTGATTGCCATTACGGTTTTGATCCTAATAGCAGGAAAAGAGGCGGGTGGTGCAAAGCAGATAAACGATGCTCTTATTAGCCACGTGATGAAACTCTTCTTTACATGACTTAGATAATAGCAAATCACAAACAAACAAACAAACAAATATACAAAATGGCCATGAAACGCCCATCTCATGGTCCGAAACCGTAATCATAATATTAAAAATGACGCAAAAAACCCACGAACTGCAGAATTCGACCTCGCGTAGGGGTTGCTTGCTTTGAACTACTTGCTTCTTCTTTGCTAGGAATTTTCAGCAGTGTTTTTATAGCGGAGGGGCGATGCTTCACAGCGGCGTTAGGGGCCTAGAAGCAAGTAAAAAGTATTAGATCCGATTAAGAAAGATTAATTGCCATTTCCTTCCATGCAGCAAGCACAGGTCAGACCTTTGCTCATTTGTATCCGGAAAGCATACGGAGGATGCTGCGATATGTTTGGCCTACCACTCACAGCCCGGCCGCCAATGAATGTTGTCGCTTTAGCAGAGACCAGGAACATTGTCCGGTCACGTGTCACGATGACCCTCTAATTTTTCTCACCGTAGCGGACCTCGAACAAGAGCAAATCACGAAAATCCATCAATTCAGTACAACTTTTGTGCCATTAGCCAATAGTGCATCCAGTTGGGTTGTGCAGTAAAAAGGCCTTTCTGCCGGAGATGGCACTGTTCAGTAGCGGATGCGGATACGGATACCAGTGATTGCCGAAGCACTACTTCCGTTTTATTTATTTTACTTTCATTGTCGACCATCCGGGAGCTATCCACATCCTTCCGACTTCCGTAACCGCGCCGGCTTACTGAACGACTGCGTCCATGGATTCTCAGGATCAGCCGTCCGAGCAGAGGAAGCGCACGCGCCAGGCCTGTGAACCCTGCAGGTGTGTCTGGCCGTCCCATGTGGACAGCACCTGATCGAATGTTGACATTGCAGGCGCAAGAAGGCCAAATGCACCGGCGAGCGGCCCGGCTGTAGCACGTGTGGTCGATTGCGACAGCGGTGTTTTTACGCGGCCGACCCGCGTCCAATGGCGGACATGAGCGTGACGAGCGAGGTCTCACGGTCAGAAGCCGAGACTTTGGTGCGTTGGTTGCTCCCCAGAGGTAAAGAACAGGCACTATCTAACACGAGGTCGTCTTGCAGAGCACCCGCGTCCTCGCTCTCGAATCGACGCTCACAGAAGTGCTTGAAAGCCTACGACAGGGCACACACGGCGGCCAGACGCAGGTGCAACCGTCCTCGCAGCCGCCATCCGATCGGAGCTCCCAACCACGAGAGACGACAGGCCTGACTGGTTCATCGCGCCTTGCTGCTGCTGGTGGCGATCTGCTGCCGCCATGGCCAACAGTGCTCGCGGCTGCTCGCGACTACCTGCAGTACTGTGACAGCCAACCGATCCCGCTCTTCGACCCAGAGAGCTTTGTGGAGACGCTGGCGGACCGCGACGAAGAGGTGGTGTACGGCGTGCTGGCGCTTGCCGGGCATTTTGCGAGCAGCCCGTCAACGGACAAGGAACAACAAGAGCGGGACTGCAGCGCATATGCGCAGGCAGCACACCGGCTGGTGATGGGACGTGTCAGCGAGAGCCGAGTAGAGCTGTCGACGATACAGACATTGTGCCTGCTGTCGTTGATCCGATTTTACGGTCAGTAGATGTGTGCAGGTGTCTCGGGAGTCCACCGGCCGACCGACTGACTTGGCTACAGACGGAGCGATCGACCAGAGCCGAGTGCACAGCTCGCTGGCGATGACGCTGGCGCACTGTGCAGGGCTGCACATCGAGGTCAACCGGCAAGACAGCCATGCGGCAGCCGAGGAGCGGCGACGCTGCTACTGGGGGGTCGTGCTGCTGCGGCGACTGTTCGGCTGGGCGATCGAGGGGGCAGAGGACGACGGCAGCGGCAACAGGACGATTCGCGGCGGACAGCTGCCGCTCTTTCCGACCAGTCCGTCGTCGCCGCTGTCCGAGAGGACGAACGGGGCTGGTTGTCGCCGGTGGACCGAGGCCGAGCGGCTGGATGGCATCCTCAGCACAGTGATCCAGCTGGCCGAGGTGTGGTCGCTGGCGCAGGATTACGTGCGGACGCGAGGAGCATCTGGCGAGACGACGACGAGCTCGACAGCACCGCCGCCGTGGTCACCTCAGTCCAAGTATTCGCGGGCATTGCGACGGTTGATGGACCTCGGTCAGGACCTACCGCCGCTGCATCGCAACCGATGCGTTCGGCTGGCAGACGTGACGGCCGACGACCTCGCAGACAGGCGGGGACGCGCGTATTGGGCGCCTTGGTTCCTCAGCCACTTCCTCTACCACACGGCCATCTGTCTGCTCAACCACCCACTGCTGATGACGCTGCAGTTCCAGGACGGCCGCGGCTTCTCAGAGGTGTTTCTGCAGCAGACAGCCCATCTGGCGGCCTACCACAGCTCGTGGCTGCTGCACTTTGTGCACTTCTTTGACACGCGTCGGTTTGCCGTGTCCGATCCGCTCTTTGGCTATTGCACGGCCGTGGTGGCCACGATTGAGCTGCAGCACAGCTTCTCGGACGATCGAGCGCTGCGGCACAAGGCTCGCGTCAACTACGACCACTGTCTCGCCTTTTTGCGGAGGCTTTCGCGCGACTGGCCTTGCGTGCGCCGTCTGGTGAGTTTGGACCGTCTTTCTTCCTTCAGTGCCGGATGCTGACTGCGGACAGACACAGAAGCTGGACGCGCTGGCCGACCAGATGGTGCGCCACGACACCAACGACTCGACGCTGACGGTCAACATCTCCGGCTTCCTCGACATGCTCGATCTGGCCAGCTCGTCTCGCGTGCACGGGTCGTCCATTTTTGGGGCGAGTCTGTCGCTGCACGTGACACACGAAGAAGCGGCGACATCAGACCCGACGCCCCTCTCGCGCCTGCCAGCCATCACGACGATGGACCCAGCCAAGGCCACAGGGCGGGACGAACAGGCAGGAGGCGGTGTCGCGGCTGTCTCGGCGGCCGACACACGGTCTCTGGTGCAGGCGAGCCCACTTCCCCTGGACGGTGGCAGTGGCAGCGGTGGAGACATGTTCCTCCCTGCGGATCAGCTTCTCGGTGGCCACCTGCAGGATGTGAATGCCTGGTGGAGCGGGACCTGGGGCGATGCGGCTGGAAGCTGGGCGCCAACCGGCTTTGGCCGGAGTGCCTGGCCCCTGGACGGAAACGAGCCGTACCCACCATAGCTGAAAGCGTCACGAGACCGGATGTGTGCCGTTGGGCATCCGTCATGCGGGTCATTTCGGGTCGTCATTTAGGGCGACTTTTCGGCGGGGTTTCTTGTCACTTTGACGGCATTCAGCAAGTCAAGATGGCGGAAAAGCTGCAATACGCCGTACATCAGTACGGCTCACAACACGAGCTTCAGCGGTTGGGTGTCTGGGAGGTAGACACCAAGGACACAACGAAGCCATGGGTCGTGTAAGATGCCGGAATTCCTGCACTGTTCACAATTCTTACAGCTATCTTCAGATACATCCACGGAGGCGCATGGCGCGATCCGCGCATTCTCCTAGAGACGTTTGTGCCGACGATTGACGAGCTGTCGAGGCAGGACAAGTACGCCGGCGCGATGAGGCGGGTAGCCGGCTTTGTCTCGCTAGACTACCGCCTGAGCCCGCATCCAGACCTGCCACAAGACCCGGCTGTGACGTCGCCGCGACAGTTCCGCAACGCCCAGCACCCGGACCACCTGGATGATGTGCGCCAGGCGATGGCGTTTCTGCAGACGAGGTACAGCATGGGACGTCGCTACGTCCTCGTGGGACACTCGGCGGGCGCGTGTCTGGCCCTGCAGCTGACAGCCAGTCCGGGTGGCGTGGCACTGCCGCAGGCCATCATCGGAGTTTCGGGCATCTACGACCTCACGGGCATCAACGAGCGGTCGGGCGGGTCGTACGGCGGCTTTCTCACGGGCGCGTTTGGCGACGCCAGCACGTGGGACCCGGTGGCTCCGCGGACCTGTTCGGCCGACTTTGCCGTAGCGCTTGCGGGCTGCTCGGTGTTGTTGGCACGGTCACAGGACGACGAGCTGGTGGACGAACCGGAAATCGACAACATGGCTGAGCGGCTGCGGGCCGATTACTGCTCGCCATCGGTCTGGAAGGATCTCCGGGGACCACACGATTCCTGCTGGGAGGAGGGCAAGGAGCTAGCGCGTCTGATAGCAAGGCTTTTGGATGGATGGTAGACGATGGTAGACGAGTGTTGTGAGGTCACCTGCCTACCTACCAGAGCATTGATTGAACTTTCAACGAATGGCTATCAAATTCCAGATCGAATCTATGTAAGAACCTGTCTAAACCAATCTATGCCTCTTCCAGGATAGCTTTTCGCAGAGCGCCGACGCAGCGGAAGACGTCCTCGAAGCTGTTGTACATGGGGACCGGGGCGACACGGATGACGTTGGGCTTGCGCTGGTCGCAGACGACGCCGGCGGCCTCAAGGGCGCGGCCGATCTTTTCGAGGAGGCCCTCCCGCAGGAGGACGCTGATCTGGGCGCCACGCTCAGCCGGGACGCGGGGAGTGAGGAGGACAAACGGAGGCTGGCCAGCGGGGGCGTCAGCGACGATGCGATCGAGCAGACACTCGGTATAGGCGGTCAGCACGAGGCTCTTGTGGCGGAGCTGCTCGATGGAGGTGGCAGACGAGAGGGCGTTGAGGGCGCCGTGCAGGCTAGCAAGGTCAATCGCGCTGGGGTTGCTGAGCTGAAAGCCAGACGCGCCCACGGTCGGCTGAAACTGCTTGGCCATGTTGAAGCGAATGGACTTGTCGGCGCCATACCAGCCGGCGAGGCGGTTGCGGAACCGGAAGCCGTCGTCCTCGCCGCGCTCGACGGTGCCATGGCGCTCGTGCACAAAGGCGCCGGCGATGGCACCGGGGCCGGCATTGATGTACTTGTACGTGCACCAGGCGGCAAAGTCGACGTCCCAGTCGTGCAGGCGCAGGGGGACGTTGCCAGCAGCATGGGCGAGATCCCAGCCGACGACGAGGCCGCGGGCATGAGCGTGACGCGTGATGGTCTCGATGTCAAACAGCTGGCCGCTGTAGTACTGAATGCCGGGGAGGAGCAGCAGGGCAGCATCGTCGGCGTGGCGGTCGATGGCGGCCAGGATGGAGGCCGTCGAGATGTAGTGGCCGCCCTCGTGAGTGGCGTCGCTGTCGGGCTGCAGCTCGACCATGGACGTGGCCGGGTCGAAGCCGCGCATGCGGATGTGCGTCGAGATGGCGTAGTAGTCGCTCGGAAAGGGCTTCCACTCGAGCAGGATCTTGTGGCGGGCTGCTGTCGGCTGGTAGAAGCTGCCGAGGAGCAGCTGCACGTTGACTGTGAGCGTGTTCATCGTGACCACCTCGGCCGGCACTGCCCCGACCAGCGGTGCCATCATGGCCGAGCAGGCTGCCTCCAAGTCCTGCCAGGACGCCAGTCCGGACCCGGGCAGCTGGTGGAAGTGTCCGTAGACGCCCAGGCCGGCCCATGTTGCCAGGTGCTGCTCCAGGCTGGTGCGCACTGCCTTGGGCTGCAGCCCGAGCGAGTTGCCGCAAAAGTACACCACCGACTGCTCGTCGTCGGCCGTCAGCGTCGCCGTCGGTGCCAGCACGCGCTTTAGCGAGGCCCGTGTCGGGAAGATGAACTGGTCGCGCAGGTCGCGCAGGACATCCTGGCTGTCCAGTCGGCGGGCATATTCGAGTGAGTTGGCCTCGGCCGGGAATGACGCCTTGCCGGTCGTCTGCACGGCCTCGAGTGGCGTTGCAAAGTCCATTCTGGTGCGTCGATGAAGGATCCGGTCGCTCGTACGATGGCAATCCGTCTGGTCACCTTATACACTCGCCAAGTTGGGGAGAATGTTGGGAGCTGAGGGCGAGGCCCACTTTAGGCACTGGAAAAAAGCCTTTGCTGCCATTCGTTCCGCTTCCGATCCGCTTCCGGTCGGCTAGCCTCGGCGCGCGGAAACGGCTGACTCTTCCTGCAGGCCGTACAGGCAGCCGAGACACTGCAATCTCAGACATGCGTTAGTGAGCGAGCGGAAGGAAGAGATGCTCAGCCGGGCAGACAGGGAGAGTCAGGGGCTCGTTACGACGTAGTCGTATATATTTCTCTGTGGGCTTGTTCCTGGTTGTAAACCGGTAAGACAACATCCTTCTCGCTCACCACAATGTCTCCACACGCCGTCCTTGAGCCGGTGTCGTGCAAAGCGGATGCAGACGACTTTGCGGCCTTTGGCGTGTCTGGGAACGCATTTCTGCCGTCCAGTCCGCCGATTGACCTGTTGCCAGACCCATACTACCAGCCATGGGAGCAGCTGGCCGCCCGGCTGCCGGCACTCATCCAGAGCAGCACGCTCCGAGACGAGGTCCAGCAGCTTCCCCTTCTCCATACGGACGGCCTTGTCAGCGAGCCCGAGCGCCGACGGGCATACTCCATCCTCGCCTTTCTCGCCCACGGCTACATCTGGGGTGGTAGCCAGCCGGCAGAGGTAAGCGGAGCAGTAGCACAGTGTATACACTGTGTGTATAATGTCCTTATACTGTGACGCTGACACTGCCAGATCCTTCCACCGAGCCTGGCCGTGCCACTGCTGGCCGTATCGAAGCAGATAGAGCTTCCACCGGTAGCGACGTACGCGGCACTGAACCTGTGGAACTACGGCACGCGCTCGTCCGCAGGCGACCTGGACCTGGACGGCCTGTCGGCGCAGCGGACCTTTACGGGCACCGTGTCCGAGTCGTGGTTCTACATGGTGTCGGTAGCGATGGAGGCTGAGGGCAGGCGAATGATTCCGGCGGTGCTGCGGGCACTGCGAGCGATCCGGATGCGAGACGAAGGGGCGGATGGGGCGCGGGCAGCGTACACGGCGACAACGGCAGCATTCGAGGCCGTGGCAGCGTGCGTGCGACAGCTGTCGGTCCTGCTGGCCCGCATGCATGAGCACTGCGATCCGGAGACGTTCTATCACCAGATCCGGCCCTTTCTGGCCGGTAGCCTGGGTATGGCACACGCCGGGCTGCCGCGCGGCGTCTTCTACGACGAGGGCGACGGCCGGGGCGTCTGGCGACAGCTTCGTGGCGGCAGCAACGGCCAGAGCAGCCTGATCCAGTTCGTCGACATTGCGCTGGGCGTGCAACATGCTCGGGGGGGCCACAGCTCGCCTCACGTGGCCTCGGCAACAACAACAACAGACGGTGTCGCGGCAGACCAGCAGCCCAGCTTCCACGAGGAGGTGCGCGACTACATGCCCGGGCCCCATCGTCGCTTCCTCGAGGCCGTCCAGCACATGGGCAGCCTGCGAACGTTTGCGCTGGGGAATGGCGGCACGGAAGACGTGGAGGATCAAGAGGACAGCTCAGACACCATCCCTCGCCTGCAACGCCGCTGTCGCGCTGCCTATCACGACGCCGTCGACGCCATGACGGCCATGCGCGATGGCCACCTGCAGATCGTCGCCCGCTACATCGTGCTGCCCAGCCGGAAGCCGTGGACTGGCGCGGCCGAGAACGTCAACCTGGCCAGCGCGTCCAGCCGCCGGAGCGCGACCGACAGCACAGCCGGCAGTGATGAGAGGCTCACCGGCACCGGCGGCACCGAGCTCATGCCGTTTTTACGCAAATCCCGCGACGAGACCGTGGCAGCTCGGACGTGCTCGTGGTGATGCTTATGTAAGCAGACGGGCCGACAGTGTAATAGTATAGAAGGACAGGGCGAATGTAGATAGTAAGATTCGAGAGAACATCTAGAGGAGCTAAGCGATCTAATAAGAAAGAGGCAACAACCGCCGGACATCCGGCCAGTACCATCACACCGCCAGCAGATACAGGGATCAGGGAAGAGATCAGGGGACATGTTTATTCGCCCGGGTTAGCGAGGAGCCTTACTTTTCAAGTTACAGTCTTCACTAAGGCTAATGTTCAATTTACTTCTCACTGCCCCTTCACACAGCCAATAAAATGCTGCAGCTCCAGCTCTATGCAGACGGTGACAAGGATCCGGGTGCAGTGCATCCATCTGTTCCTATCAGAGCTGAATCTCAAAATAGCAATAGGATTCATAGACTGCGTCAGAACGTGACACAGATCTCTCTTCGTGACCTGAACTTCTCACCGGAAGCCACCGGATGTCCGAAGTGCATGGCTCGACCTTGAATAGATGAAATCTGCATCAACCCAGACCGACTCAAAGATGACATTGTGTCAGTAAAGACACGCGAGTCTGCCTATAAAGCCGCCGACACAACTTCTATGATTTATCTGCACATCTGCACATCTGCACATTATCTTCAACCTTCCCCCCATCATCAACGTTCTCATGGCAAGCTCGGAAGATGACGCCATTCCCGGAACAGAGATCGTCTACCGACCCGGACAGCATGGCGGACCAGACGCAGATCACATAGACCTGGTCCTCATTCCTCAGCCCTCTTCAACCGCTGCTGATAACCCGCTCAACTGGACTACCCCCTGGAAGACTCTGGTCCTCGCCAGCCAGTTTGTCTTTGTCTTTGTCTCCATCATGACCCCGCTGGCTATTGCCCCTCTCACCCACTTCTTCATGCTGCAGTTTGACAAGACCCTGCCGCAGGCCAATCTGCTCTTTGGCGTCGCCGCCATCACCCTGGGCTTTGCCAACTTCCTCATCGTTCCTGCCGCCAACGTCTTTGGCCGCAGACCCATCGTCGCCATCTGCGGCATCATCTGCCTCCTGGCCAATGTCTGGCAGGCCCTCGTCACCAGCTTTCCCAGCTTCATCGGCGCCCGCGTCATCTCCGGCCTCGGGGCTGCCGCCAACGAATCCATCATGCCAATGGTCGTCGCCGACATCTTGTTCCTGCACCAGCGCGGCCAGTCCATGGCCCTGTACTTGTGAGCGAGCTCTGTCTCTCTGTGCCGGCCTCGAGACTGACCCTTGCCGCTCCAAGCTGGGCTTACTTTCTTGGTCTCTTCTTCGGTCCCATCATCGCTGGAAGCATCGGCGCTCGCATCAGCTGGCGCTGGTTCGTACGTAGTCCAGTCCCCAGACGCTGTGGCCCGTCATTGACCAGGCCATCTTCCAGTTTTGGGTATGCACCATCCTGCAGGGCGTCTCGCTCATCTTCATTGTCGTCGCCTTTCCAGAAACGAAATATGTCCGCCCTGTCGACCCTGTAGAGAACATGGGCGAACAAAGAATCAGATCTGGCACCACCAACGCCACAGTCTCGGACTTGACAGAAAAGGCAGCCCCCGTGCCCCATATATCCTCAGCCGACGTCGAGACCGGTCAGCCTGTATGGGACGTTGCCGCCGATGCTATCGTGGCGATAGATGCTGATGCTGCTGCTGCTGTTGTTGAGATCGTTCCAGATCGTAGCAACCCCCTCGTCGGCCGCGGTCGCCCGGCACGCTGGCAGTGGTCACTTGTGCCGAAGCCTCGCTTCGACCACGGCCTAGCATTGGTTGTTCGCGACCTTGTCTCCCCAATACAGCTGTTTCTCATCTATCCCATCGTCCTCTGGGCATCACTTGCCATGGGCTTCGCAGCAAACTCGCTGCTAGCACTCAACCTGACGCAGGCCCAAGTCTTCCTCGCACCTCCCTACAATTTCTCGGCCGACCAGGTTGGCTATGTCAACTTCTCCTTCGCTGTCGGTGCTGCTATCGCACTGCTGACCGCTGGCCCGTTGTCTGACTGGATAGCACTGCGAGCAGCTCGACGCAACAGCGGCGTCCTCGAGGCAGAGATGCGGCTGCAGGCACTGATACCGTTCATTGTCGTGAACCTGGTCGGCATGGTCGTGACTGCCGTCGGGTACCAGCGAGGCTGGGACTGGGCTATCACCGTGGTCGTCGGCTATGGCCTTGTCGGTATGCAGGTTGTCGGCATCCCGGCCATCGTGATCGCGTATGCTGTTGACTGCTACAAACATCTTCCAGGCGAAATCATGATCGCGGCCACGATTGTGAAGAATACCTTTGGCGTAAGCCCTCTCTCCCTGAGCTGTGGATGAACGTGGCCTGACAGTTGCAGTTCGGCATGATTTTCTATTACAACGACTGGACCGCGCGGGGGGGATATCTTGCTCCTGTTCTGATGCTCATGGCTATCACTGTCGGCTTATCTGTCCTCGGACTTGCTGTATTTATGCCCTTTGGCAAAGCGCTGCGGCGGTGGACGAGAGACTCAAAGATGCACACGCTGTGATGTTGTTGCGCCATGACGAAGATAGGGCCGGTGCTGTTGGGACTTGTGTACATAGCGAACATAGCGTCGGCCATTCTCCAATTGCTATTTTGGATCCAGTCCAGCAACGGCCAACGTCGGCCGACTGCCGCACCCGCCGCTTATCGCCTTGTTCGCTATTTTGGCTGTCAGCTAGCTTTATCTCGGCTGCCCTATCTGACGGCAGCCTCCACACGAGGACCCTCGACTGCCCTTTAGGTTTGGCTGTATTTCGCGGTACTTCATGGCGCCATTTCCTTTCTTCCCTTCTTATCGGGGCTTCCTCCTTTTTGCGCGTTTTCGGTAACTTGCTTCTGTGCTTCCAGGTCGTCTTTCTGTCTAGCGATGTTAGACCTCATTATCCGAAACGGCCGGATTGTAAGAAGCCGCCCACCCGCGGGATGATTTGCAAAAGTTGCATGGTCTCTAACAAAGTGCTCTTAATAGGTCACCGCGGCAGAGGTGCTTCCCCTGGGCCTCGAGATCGGCGTCAAGAATGGCAAGATCGCCATGATCGGCCATGGTCTGGAGGCAGGCAGCCAGACGGAGATTGTGGATGCCGAGGGCGCCTATATCACACCAGGGTAGGTGTCCAGGTGGACGGACGTCTGCTCACTTTTAGCTGCCATTTTGATGCTGACGCACATCTGCCTCTCCCCCGACACAGCGGTGTCGACTCTCATGCGCATATCGAGCAGGACAATGCACCCACGGGTGACACTTGGGAGACCGGATCTCGGTCAGCGCTCGCTGGTGGTAACACGACGGTGCTTGCATTCGCGTCGCAGAAGCGGGCCGAGGAGAGCATTTGGCCAGCCGTGGAAGCGTATCACGCCAAGGCCAAGGGCAACTCGTACTGCGACTATGGCTTCCACGTGATCCTAACGAATGCCAACGAAGAGGTGCTAGAGAGAGAGCTTCCGGCGCTGCCTGAGCACGGAATCACTAGTATCAAGCTGTATATGACGTACCGGCCGCTCAAGCTGGACGATGGGTCGCTGTTCAGCATCATGATGGCAGCGCGGTCCCTCGGCATCACGATCATGATCCACGCCGAAAACAACGACATTGTGGAGCAGATCACCGCGTGGGTATTCCCTGTCGGAGTGCTGTGGTGGCTGCTGATTGCCAACTGCTGACCGACATCTTCCCTTCCAGGCGCCTCGTCAAGAAAGGCAACACGCAGACCTATTTCCATTCTGTCGCGCGGCCCCAGATTGCCGAGAGTGAGGCAACGTACCGGGCCATCAGTCTGGCCGAAGTGACAGACGCGCCGATCCTCATTGTGCACATGTCGTCACCGACAGCATTGCGACACGTCCGCGAGGCGCAAAACCGGCTTCTGCCCGTGCACGCCGAAACCTGTCCGCACTACCTGTACCTGACGAGCGACAAGCTGCGCTCGGAGCCGCATCCGCCGCACGACTTTGACGGCGCACGGCACATCTGCGCGCCGCCACTGCGTCACAGTGCACAAGACCTCGAGCAGCTGTGGCAGGAGCTGGCCAACGGCACGTACACGGTCGTGTCATCGGACCATGCGCCCAGCCTGTTCGACGATCCCAATGGCAAGAAGCGCGGACTCACGGTCGACGCCAAAACGGGCGCCACCCATGTCGATTTTCGCACCGTGCCCAACGGGCTGCCCGGTATTGAGACCCGGCTGCCGCTGCTGTTCCACCGCACGTTCGATCCGGCTCTGGGCCCGCCGGCCGGCAACGCTGCCGTACACATCTCGCTCCCGCGCTTTGTCGCCCTGACGTCGACCAACCCGGCGCAGCTGTACGGCCTGGCCGACTGCAAGGGCAGCCTGCAGCCGGGTCTGGATGCCGACATTGTCATCTGGTACCCCGAAGCAGTGCCGGGCGCAGACGGACAGCCATCGCAGCCGCCCGCCTTTTCCATCACAAACGACTCGCTGCACCACCGCATCGACTACACGCCCTTTGAAGGCATGGCCGTGCGCAATTGGCCGCGGTATGTGTTCCTGCGCGGAAACCGGGCTTGGGATCGTGATAACGGCGGCGTGCTGGCCTCCAAGGGCGATGGATGGTTCTTGAAACGCAACCGCTCGCGCATCCTGACTGGCCAGATGGGGCGTACGGCAACGGGCATGAGCAGTGGCGAGTGGGCATCGTGGATGTGAAATGCTGTCGTGCTTCACGGCGTTGTAGACATAAAAGGATGCATTCCATAGATCAGTCGTAGAAATTAGCAATAAGCATCGTTATAGAAGACGTTTGGCGGCGGATGAATATTATATCGCACAGATAAAGATGACTGCAGGTGACATACGGATGAAGCGGCATTTCGTTGAGGACTGAAAGTCTTGAAGGGGATGCTTTGTAAAACATACGAGAAAAATGTAAGGCTTCGCTAGGTCCTCAATGAAGGCCAAACGCGATATGAAGGGGAAGAAAAGAACCGTATGCAAGCCAACATGAGGAAAGCACGGCCCATAAACGGGTCTTCCACCGTTGGTAGGCAAAAATATGAAGTATGCAAAAACAATAGCAACTCCTCGTTTCGATCAAGGGACCTCCGGGTTATGAGCCCGGCGCGCTTCCGCTGCGCCAAGTTGCTGTTCTTGTTGTGGTATTTGCTAGTGCTTCGACTAGTCGTTTCCGTTCTCTACCGGCCCACCACGAGAAACGTGCTGGACACCGGCGAGACTCGGCCGTGGCACTCTGTTGTAGATAACGTCGCATACGAAACACCAGCAAAATATATCAGTATGACTAAGCAACATCAGAAAGCAGCTATGCGCAAAGCATCGTGAATGAGTCTTGAAGATTTTGTCTGCCAAAAGGGAACTGAATCTCTGTCACGGCCGAATCCAGTTAGGCCGCCAGTGCCAATGAAGAAGCAGCGTTTGTTTATAGCCAGAGTGGGATAGATCACGTGATTGGTATTCCCTACCGTTTTCCTGTTTGTGGTAAGCTCCCCACTGTGTGCCAAATACGCGTCGTTCTGCCGACGCGGTCCGTTCATTTCGCATTTCGCATCTGTCGCAACTGTCGCAACTGTCGCAACTCTGCTCTGTGGCTGGCCATTGCGAGCACAACCAGCGAATCCACAAACGTGCATGAGTCATGGCGCCCCCACGAGCTAGCGGTCCTCGGCGCTCACAGCTGCCGAACGAGCACATCTACACCTTGGGAGAGCGTGGCCGGTAAGCGAGAAGACAGACGGGGAAGGGAGGAGAAAAAACAAGAGGCGAGAGACCCGCTCTCAGGCTGACAAACGGCAGCAAAACCGGCGTGACCCTGCGCGACACGGGCGTGCGTGATGAGCATGGCATGGAGCCCATGGAGAGCATCTTCTCGTCGCCGGCAAAGTCGTCTCCAGGCGATGCGCTCGATGCTTCTGGGGACGAGCAGGTGGAAGAAGACGGCGGGGAGGAGGACGACGACGATGGCGGTGAGGTGGACATGGACCTGACGACTGGTGAGAGCGAGCCTTGTACCTTCCATCCGGTTTCCCTCTGCTGACAGTCAACAGTCGCTGGACCAGGCCCGGCGGCTCTGCTTAACGGCCAGAACACGGCAGCCCGTCTGGCGATGCGGCAAGCACGCTCGCCTGCCGCTTCCAGGTCGCTCTTCGGGTCGCCAGCTGTGCGTGCGGGCCTCAATAACAAGGGGGTAGCGGCGGCAGCAGGTGACCAGAAGCCGAAACACGGCGCGCTGCGCCAGAATCAGCTGCTGCGGCCACCGTCGTCTCCCGACGCTGCAAATGCGCCCCCATCGAGCCCGGTCAAGCCGGTCAAGAGACGGCTCGACTTTGGTAAGCCGGTGTCGGCAAATGCGCTGCGCAAGCCCGTGCTTCTGCCGGCTGCGGCCAGACGGGTAGAAGAGGAGGACGACGACGAGGAGAGCATCCTACACGGGACTCCTGACAACGGGGCAGATGACTCGATGCAGATGATTGACGGGCCAAACGAGTTTGCCGACGACGAGCCCGAGGAGCAAGACGAGCCTAGCGTGCATGAAGACGTCGCCGAAGAAGAAGAGCCGGTGCTGCCGACAAAAAAGCGCGGTAGACCACCGGCGAAGAAGACTGCGGTCAAGGAGGTTGCGGAGCACAGGCTGCGGCTAACGGTACGAAGCGACGTCGACCTGGTCGGCCATCCAACGCCAGCAACGACGTGCCATCACCACCGCCATCTCCACCGCCTCACGACGATGAAGCAGACGAAGAGCAGGGCAGCGCAAAGAGGCAGCGCAAAGAGGCAAAACCAAAAGGTCGGCCAAGAGGGCGGCCGGCAGCAAACAGGCCGGTGGTTGAGGAAGCGGCCGATGAGGGTCAGTCGGGCGAGGCGAGCCAGGCAGGCAAGCGGATGACGAAGAAGAAAGCAGTGCCGGTAGAAGCAGCGACCGGGCCGGCGCCCAAGAAGAGGGGCCGGGGCCGCAAGTCGTCTGGTGTCGGAGCGGCGATGGCGGCAGCAGCAGCGGTGCCTCGAGGGCCGCCACTACCCAAGAGCCGGGGATTGGTGATTCGGCGGCGGGAGAACGAGGAGGACGGGGCGATGAAGCGGACGCGGTCGGGGCGGACGTCGTACCAGCCGCTGGCCTTTTGGCGCAACGAGCACGCCGAGTTCGAGACGAGCGAGGTGGCGGACTCGACGTGGCGAGATGCCCAAAAGGGCACCGGCCGACGCATCGTGCTGCCGGCGATGCGCGAGATCTACCGCGTGGAGGAGGAGAACCTGCCACCGCTGGGAGGAACGGGTCGACGAGGTGGTGGTGGTGGCAGCAGCAGCCAGCGGCGACACAGACGAGGTGGTGCAAAGCGACGGGGCGACGGCGACGACGACGACGATGACGATGGCGACAACAACAGCGGCGGCCCCGAGCGACAGGCGTGGGAGTACGATCCCGGACGGGTGCAGGGCAAGGTGGCGTTGTGGCGGCCGGAGCACGAGCTGGAGCCACCGGGACCGGACGAGGTGTTGGAGCAGGCCGAGTCGGAGATTGCGCTGTCGGCACTGGCAATCCAGACGCAAGACGTACGCGATGGCAGCTTCCGGTTCGCCAAGACACTCAGCCTGCCGTTCTTTGGCACCGGCGTGGTCGACCTGGCGCCCGGTGCGGAGAAGCGGCCTAAGAACTCGCGCAAGATGCACATGGCCTTTTTTGTCCACTACGGCCACGTCGCCGTCACGGTCAACGAGACCGAGTTCCGCATCGCCAAGGGCGGCATGTGGTCTGTTCCACGAGGTCGGTTGGCTCGTCCGAGGCGATGGATCCGTCTGGCTTTGGCACAACGTCCCGCTAACTTGTCCAGGAAACTACTACAGCATCGTCAACGATACCGACCGGCCCGCCCGCATCTTCTTCTCGCAGGGCTGCGAGATGCTGACCGTGCTGGAGCCGGACGCCGAAGAGGAGTGAGCATGCGTGTATGCATGTATGCGTGTATGCGTGTATGTATGTATATGCAGGTGGAAAGCTTGTATGCACGTATGCGCAATATCTGGCGGATGTCTTCTTTTCCCATATCTGCTTTTCATGTTGCCAATGTCTGGGCCGGTCTTTCAGCGGAGCAGTGTGTCGTCATTTCTATCCAATGTCCTACGGGACTTTTTGTTACAATTGCCTGTGGTTGTAGCCCTTTGGATCATCGGGTCCTCCCTCACACCTCCTCCGACATGACCTTTTTGAGCCGGCTCATCTCCGTATCGTACGCCGTCACGCGAGCCTGGGCCGTCTGCAGCTTCATCAAAAGGTACTGCACCCGCTCAGTCGTCTGTGCCGGCTGTCGTGGCAGGCTGCCCAATAGCACCAGCTCCTCCTCGGCCTTGGCCACCGCCTTGGTCTCGACGGCCGTCCGAGCCGCCAGCACGCTGCGGTCCAGCCGCGCCGCCAATGCTGTGTCGCTGCGCAGCCGTGAAAATGCTGCCTGGTACACGGGACTGCCGGCGCGAATCGTCTGCGGCCGTCCGCGTGCTGACCGGATCGTCACCAGCTCGGCTGCTGCCAGCGCGTCCAACGCGTCCATCCCGTCTGCCGTCGCAAACAAGTCCGACAGCAGCACTTCGTTGTACCGCAGGCTCTCCTTAGCCGCTACCTCTCGAACCAGGTACCATGCCTGCTCAGCCGTCCACGCTCGCGGCGAGCTCGTTCCTCTGCTGCCCGCCGTCGAGCCAACACCACCCGGAGCCGCTCCTGAGCCGCTCGACGATGAGCTGCTACTGCTGCCACTGCTACTGCCGCCAGCCTGCTTACTCGGTGCCAGCAGAAACATCTTGATGATCTCTGTGGCGCTCTGGTCCACAATCTCTGTCACCGCCCGTTTCGGCCTCTGCCCGCTCTTCAGCCGTCGCACCAGCGACTCCAGGTCCGTCAGACGACCTCCCAACACGCCAATGCACTCGTCCAGCTCGCTGATCGCTTCCCGCCGAGTCTGCGTCGCGCCCAGGGGGCTATCTGTCTTTGTTGTCGTCGTTGTCGTCACTGCCACGCTTTCCTCTTGAACAGCCTCGATGGCCGTTTTCCTCTCTTCACTGCTGCTGCTGCTGTTCTCTCCGTCGTCCTCCTTCACCGCCAGGTGGCTCAACACATATTTCTTGGCCACCGCAGGCGACAGATCTCCTAGAGCCATCTGCCGGAATACGCGGTCTGGAAGCGCCTTGACCAGCGCCTTGGGGTACGACGTGTCGCTCGTCAGGAACACAACGTGTGCCACATTTGCCTGCACCAGTGCCGCCGCCCACTCAGCCAGCTTGTCGTACACCAGGCCGGTGGCGTCCTCGTTGCGCTGGCCAAAGTTGTCCAACACAATCACCGGTCGCCGCTCTGGGTGTGCCTCCAGGTACGCGTCCTCGTTCAGGCTGGCGTCAATGTCGCTCTTGTGGCGGCCGGCAAGGCCGACCTGTCGCATCGCTACCGCCGCCGTCTGCAGGATCTTGGCCAGCTGCTCGTCCAACGTCTCGGAGAAGCCCGACTTGACGCCCGTCGTGCCCTGAACCGCCAAGTCGACCAGGCTGCTAATGTTGTTGGCCCACGAGAACACCGGCCGGTATCCGACCGCGTTGGCCATCTTCTTGATCGTCGCGCTCTCACCCCGCGCCTCCACGATCGGCTTGCAGTCGATCACCAGCACGTCCCGCCGCCCGCTGAGTGCCTGGTCCACCACCAGCTCGCGCTTGCCCGAGCCCCGGGGTCCCTGCACCACGATGAACGTCTCCGACGTCTCCAGCAGCCACGTGTTCAGCCAGTCGAGCAGATCGCGCCGGTGGCTCAGCAACGCCCGCAGCCCAGGCCGGCTGCCGCTGCCCACACCACTGCCGCCGCTGCCCATTCCCATCCCGTCGGCCGCTGCGTCGTATGAGTCACGCGCAAACGCCAGCATCGCCGATGTCCGCCGCTGCAGCCATTTGTACAGACTGCTGTCACGCAACGCAAACGAGTGCTGCACGTGCGCTCGGATGAAAAACGTCCGGATCGGGTCGAATACTGCCACCGTGACCGTTGCCAGCAGTGCCGCCAAGATCGGAACCACAATTCGCTGATGGCTCGTCAGCCAGTCCCAAATGTGGTGTGCCCGTGCCCGCGGCTCGTACGAGAGCCGCAGCCGTGTCGCCCCGTTGACCACATATCCGTGCAGACAGCTGCGCGCCAGAACGGCGTCACGCACCCGCACAAAATCAATCACCGTATACCGCGGCAGCGTCTTCGACTCAAACGGCTGCGACGAGATCTCCGCAATCTTTCCGTAGCGCCGGAACAGGCTGTAGATGGTCTCTTGCGAGAGCTCCAGGCTGGCGCTGCCCGACGCATCACCGCCAGCGACCGGAGCAGTCGTAGCCGCGGAACTTGCTGCTCCTGTTCTGCTTGGCAGTAGTGGTGGTGGTGGTGGCGCACAAAATTCAACACGTACCCGCTCTGATGGCACGCGCGAGGCCAGATCCTCTAGCCAGGGCACGCCGCGCACGAGTCCTGCACGCATGCAGCCCCAGAGCGGATTGAACCAGGGCCGTACTGGGCTCTTGTACAGCGACCTCGTCAGGGACTCCTCAATTTCGGTCGCCGCCAGGTCGGCCGGGTGTCGAAACTTGATAAACACGCCGCCGTCTTTCAGTCGAGGCACAATCTCTGTGATAGTCAACGGCAGGTCGGCTGGGATGGCCCGCTGCACCTGCGCGACGGGGTCGAACATGGACAGGATGGGCGATAGTAGAGATGGCCCAGACGACGTCGACTTGGCCCCGGTGAGCCGCCTTAGCAGCGTAGACACATCCGCGTCGGTGTAGTCCGACGCAGACAACCACAGCCGCCAATTCACCACACTACTCACGCGCAGCGGAAACACATTGTCGAAGAAGATGATGCCCTCGCCGGGTTGCGCCGCAATGTGGCCGCTCTTGTCATCGCCCGTCGTCGACGTCTCCCACCGGCGGAAGACGTTGCCTGTCTGCGCAAATCGAGGCGTTCGGTGCCGTGGCAAACGGCTCAGCTGGGACGCCCGCCATGCCGGCAGAGACACGGCCGAACGAGAGCAGCGAACCGCATTCATGGCTTCGGCACCAAAGCTATTTGTATGCCTGGAGCCGGCACTATCGTTTTCGTCTGTCGTACGGACAGAAGGAAGCTTGAAGAGATTGAAGCTCGAAAATCCATGACCTCACAGCATTACTTTCCCCATTCGGTTAACTGCCAAAAGTCCCGAGTGGGATGTCAGCTGATAATCCCATCAAAACCCGACGGAAAGAGAAGGAACGGTCATCAGACAAATAGTAAGATAACAAGTCCTGAACAGCCGTACAAGCACTCAAGCATGCTGGCTCGAAGCTGTAGGCAGTCGCTTCACGTGACCAGCTTCGAGCCCATCACCGCATTGAAGCGCTCCAGCCAATCAGAAGCCTGCCCACCGCAGATTGAACCTGGTCCGGCAAAAAGCTGCTGGTGCAAAAACTCAAGCTTAATAGAGCTGTGCTCTGCATCTTTCCACTTCTTTCGGCGCCCTCTCCAGAAAGGAAAAATATGGGCTGGTTGTGGTCATCAAGTCCGGCCCCGTCCTCTGGCGGGCCACCTGGGGCCGAGTCTTCGCATGCAACCACTGCACCCACAACGACAACATCGCCGACATCGACATCTACCTCCCACGACGACGACAGTCAGCTGGACCCCGACGAACGGGAGCTGAAAAAGCTCTTCGCCCTCATCCAAGAAGACAGCGTGTCGACAAAGGCGGCACCCACTGACGCACAGCCCGCGAAGCCGTCTCTCCTGTCGAATCTGAAGCCCTCCTGGTTGTCATCGCCCAGCGCCAGTGCCGATGCCGATGCCAATGCCGAAACCTCCTCCTTTATCGATCGCGAGCGCTCCCTGGCCGAGGCTGTGCTGCCCACATCCATGTCCTGCCAGCAGGCTTTTGACCTCGCCTGGGGCTGCCAATCACCTGTCGGCCAATGGCGCGCCGTCTACCGTCATGGAAACGTGCGGCCCTGCAGTGACCTCTGGGAGGACTTCTGGTTCTGCATGCGCGTCAAGAGCTTCTCGCCCGGCCTCGCCAAGGATGAGGCCATTCGAAGCCACTTCCGCAAGCGTGAGATGGAAAAATACTACACACCCAGCAGCCGCTCCAGCGAGGACGTCTGGCGCAGCCGCACCATCGACGAGGTGCTGCCCCCAGACGCTGTCTTCAATAAATCCTTCAAGGCAGTTCTCAGTGGAGGAAGCAGCAGTGCTCCTGATGGCACCAATACCGACCCTTCTACAAAACCACCTGCCTCCGAACAGAGAGACGCAGAACAGATCCGAGCCGACCTGGAAAGACGACGGCTGATCCGACAGCAAATGGGCTACGAGAAATAAGATTTGAGGGTACAGAAGAATACATCAGGAAGAAAGAAGAAAGAAAGACGTGGACTTGGAATTTGCTTATACTCACGATATTCATGTTTATCACTTGTATTTTATTAGGACAGGCTTTTTTCATGTTTTTTATTCATTACCATACAACTCCACTGCATGTATACCCCGACTTTTTCCCAGATTGCATCAGTCGTTTGTGAAAAATAAAGCAATAAAACAAAAGCAACAGTTGTGTCTAGCCCCGACTATGCCTCAAGTCCCTAACACATCTGTGCCCGGTAGGCTGCATTCTGTTGGCAGCACAGGCTCTCTAACCATTAAATAAAAGGAATCGTAAATCGACGGGGCTCCCATTCCGCTGCTTTCGCTTAGTCGACCTCCTCCACGGTCGGGCCGTCATCGTGCGCGGCACCGGCGCCAGGAGCACCGGCACCAGGGAAGCCACCCGGACCGCCGGCACCCGGCATGCCACCCTCACCACCAGCACCGTAGAACTTCATCATGATCGGGTTGGCAACAGCCTCGAGCTCCTTCTGGTGCTCCTCGTACTCCTCACGAGTGGCCTGCTGGCTCTCGTCGAGCCAAGCAACGATCTTGTCAATCTCGGCCTTGAGCTTCTCCTTGTCGGCAGCGTCAAGCTTCTCGTCGACCTTGGAGTCGCTGAGAGTGTTGCGCAGGGAGTAAGCGTACGACTCGAGGCCGTTCTTGGCAGCGACACGGCGGCCCTCGGCCTCATCCTCCTCCTTGAACTTCTCGGCCTCCGCAAGCATGCGCTCAATGTCCTCCTTGGAAAGACGGCCCTTGTCGTTGTTGATGACAATCTTGTTCGACTTGCCCGTGCCCTTCTCGACGGCAGACACGTTCATGATACCGTTGGCATCCAGGTCGAAGGTGACCTCAATCTGGGGCACACCGCGCGGTGCGGGCGGGATACCAGTGAGCTCGAACTTGCCCAGCAGACTGTTGTCCTTAGTGCGCTGGCGCTCACCCTCGTACACCTGGATAAGCACACCAGGCTGGTTGTCGGAGAAGGTGGAGAACACCTCGGACTTCTTGGTCGGGATGGTGGTGTTGCGGGGAATGAGCTTGGTCATCATGCCACCAGCAGTCTCGATACCGAGAGACAGTGGGGCAACATCGAGCAGAAGAATCTCGTTGGTCGACTTGGACGAGGTGTCACCGCTGAGAATGGCGGCCTGGACAGCAGCACCGTAGGCAACAGCCTCATCGGGGTTGATGGACTTGTTGGGCTCCTTGCCGTTGAAGTAGTCCGTGATGAGCTTCTGGATGCGGGGGATACGAGTAGAACCACCGACCAGGACGATCTCATGAACCTGGGACTTGTCGATCTTAGCATCCGTCAGGACACGGTCAACAGGCTGCAGAGTCGACCGGAAGAGGTCCTGGCAAAGCTCCTCAAAGCGGGCACGGGTGATGGAGGTGTAGAAGTCGATGCCCTCGAAGAGAGAGTCGATCTCAATAGAGGTCTGGGCAGACGAAGAGAGAGTACGCTTGGCACGCTCGCAAGCCGTGCGCAGACGACGCAGAGCACGTGCGTTTGAAGACAGGTCTAAGAAATGTTAGTATATAATTGTTAGTGAGAGTTGAGACAGGAGTACTGACCCTTGCGGTGCTTGCGCTTGAACTCGTTGACGAAGTGGTTGACCAGCCGGTTGTCGAAATCCTCACCACCCAGATGAGTGTCACCAGCAGTGGACTTCACCTCGAAGATACCCTCCTCAATGGTGAGCAGAGACACATCGAAAGTACCACCGCCCAGATCGAAGATCAGGACGTTGCGCTCGCCCTCAACCTTCTTGTCAAGACCGTAGGCGATGGCAGCGGCAGTAGGCTCGTTGATGATACGGAGGACGTTGAGGCCGGCAATGAGACCGGCGTCCTTCGTAGCCTGACGCTGGGAGTCGTTGAAGTATGCGGGCACGGTGATAACAGCGTTGTTAACTGTGCCACCAAGGTAAGACTCGGCAGTCTCACGCATCTTGGTCAGGACCATGGAGGAGATCTCCTCGGGGGTGAACTGCTTCTTCTCGCCCTTGAACTCGACCTCGATGATGGGCTTGCCGCCCTTATCAACGATAGTGAAGGGGAAGTGCTTCATGTCGGCCTGGACCTCGGCGTCGGCGAACCGACGGCCGATGAGCCGCTTGGCGTCAAACACAGTGTTCTGGGGGTTCATGGCGACCTGGTTCTTGGCGGCATCACCGATCAACCGCTCCGTGTCCGTGAAGGCCACGAAGGACGGTGTGGTGCGGTTACCCTGGTCATTTGCAATAATCTGTGGAAGAAAGTTGTTAGTATAATGATGAACCCAGATGCAGATGTTTAAAGATCTTAGGAGCTGAGCTCCCGTCAGGTACATACCTCAATCCGGTCATCCCGGAAGATACCCACGCAAGAGTACGTGGTACCCAAGTCAATACCGACGGCGGGTCCCATAGACATGATGGCGACTATGTGGTTTGGATTCTCGGTTGTGGTTTGGTAGATGCTTTGGTACAATAACTCTTTCTGAAGAAGAGGTTCTGAGATGTGTTGGGGGGCTTTTATGTTTATTGAAGAGAATGGAGAGGAAAGGAAAATGGAATGGGACAGGAGGACACGAAAGCAGTGGCTTAAATGCAAAATGGAAGGAAGGCAGAGACGATGAAAATTTGGGCTCTGTTAGCGGGACGAGCACAGAAGGTTCGAGAAAGCTTCAGAAACCGACGTCTGTAAAGACCCCACCTTCGTCACAGAAAGCACCGGCTGCTTCTTGCGAATTCTCTAGGTCGACGCCCCAGTAGGTGAGGGGCACAATTTCCGTGCACGGGCCATTTAGCGCTCACTGCTAGGCTCTGCAAAGCTATCTCGTACCTCGTTGGGTGGCCAACCATGGAATCTGGTAGGCTACCGTAGATGCAGCTAGAAGTACACCCCTGTAAGGCTAACATCACTCCCTGCTGCCCCGCGCTAGCATGTAAAAACGAAGCAACCAGCCAACGACTTCCAGTGCCCAACCAGAACCGGCCAGCACCTGATGGTGAGTGCTGGCAAGCGCTGGAAAGTGCTGGCAAGCGCTGGAAATTGCTGTGCGAAAAAACCATCTTACAAGGCTCGGTACTACTTTGCAGACCATGCAATGGTTCTTCATTGCCTCATCGTGGGGCTGGTCAAGGCAAGTGCATAGCTAGCGATTCGGCCTTGTGAAAGTGGGCTACAGGTCCTGCTAGCAGGTAGGAAGCAGTGATACAGAAGATCTTTCTAAGTATCTTACGTACGACAGACAAAAGAGATAGCATAGGAGAGAATGAGGTAGAAGAAGCTCCTGCTTTGATGGATCCTCTTTCGTCGGACCCCGCCAAAAGTACCCCACCAAGCCCTCTGCGACTATTTAGACGTACGGAGCATACGTTCTTTAATCATCTCCCTAGAAACCGATTAAGACGGAGAGAAACAAGGGGTATCTTCTCTTTCCACGATGCAGATGCGATTTACGCCGGCGAATCTGCTCAGGGCGAAAATATGCGCAAAAACTCGAAAACAGTGCCGAGAAGAGCAAAACTGCGTTTCCTTCAATGCGTTCTTTCGTTGCCTAAGACGGCCAGCGTGTGAAAGTATCAGCCATACGAAACATTACCATGACGAAGTCAATGCCTTCACCCCGAGACAGGCCGCATCTTGCACATCTCCGGCACCGCCGGTCATCGGTAGATTGCCCCACTTGTAGCCACAAAGGCATCTTTCATAACCATGACCTGACCTTTATTTGTATGTAAGGTCAAACCTGCTCTGTGTGTCCAGGTGTAGCAGACAAGCGTACATTACAGTTGGTTTCTATCAGTACTTTCTTGCTATGCTTAGATAAGACTACGAATCCTTCCCGCCTCTGTACGCGATATTTGAGCCTTAGGCCGAATAATGCAGGCAGGTTGCGTATAGCAAGGCTTGCACCTTTGTAATGCCACTCCGGCAGCTACAATATTTCAGCTTCAATTTTCCGTTTTTCCAGGGCCATTTTTGACGATCTGGTCTATTATGGCGATTTAGGCGATTCGAACTGAACGCTGTAGCATTCCAAAGGCAACTAAATTGTGCCCACATTCAGTGACAATCTTTCGACAGAAGTCAAACATCCTGGCCATCAAAAGATCGACCCAAATCACTTTAGATGGTATGCTACACACGTGGCAAATTTTGTCAGCAGTGGCCTGTTTCAGCCGTATGCGAAGACCAAAAACAACGTCTGCTGCGCGATTAGAAACTGCAGATGCAGACGCCCACATCCCAGCTCGTGTACTACGTAATATTGCAGATTGCTGTGAGTTTGCTACGGTGCAAGCTTAGGCACTATTGATTGTGGTATGTCACGTGATGATGTGCGTGATCTCCCCAACTCCCGGTCTGCTTCGATCAACATTATATATACGGCAAGATGCGACTGATATCAAAGTCTCTCTGCATTTCTTTGATCCTGTAACTTAGCTAGGGGCTTAGTTAGCAGGAACAAATTATATCTTACGACCGCAAACAACAACACAATTTTATACTTCACTAAGCGAGAAAACAGACTGTTAAACCTACATTGAAACAATGATGATTGGGATGCTATCTTTAATTAGAGTTATCAGGGTCCTTTATCGGCCTCTGAATTTTTACAAACTTTGGTAAGGAGCATCCGGCCTTGAATGTTTTTCGTCCGTTCATGAGAAGTTATCCGCTGGGCCTCTTGTCCAACGAAAATGAAACGGTTAGTCGCCGAGGTGACTACCGTGCTCTTTCCCCTAGCTTGCGTGTTATTTTTCTTATTCTTCGGGGGAGGAGTTTGCGTTTTCTTGATCATTATCTGTCTAAACTCAATTATCTATTATACATATGCTCCACCTTTCTCGTTGCTTGCGTCGTCATTCCCAGCCTCCAAGCTCACCCAGGATAATTTTAAGCCTTCGGTCGGCAAGCTGGATAATTTCACTTACGCCACTTTGAGCGCTCAGATACGATACAATGTTGGACATTTCCTCAGATTTGACTTGAAGAAGGACACCCATGATGCGAATCCACTCGTTGTTGGACTCAATCGGGTAGTCGCCCACAACGCCGTCACGAGAGGAATCGCCCTTGTCCCTTTGCCTAAACTTCTTCAGCTTGCACATGTAATGCGCTACTCCCTTTTCCAAGTAGATCGATAAGCGGTCGATGATAAGGGCAATGAGCATAAGCATGGCCCTCGGTGCTGGACAAAGCTTGCATGCCAGCCAGGTTCTCATTAGAATTAAAGAATCTTTGAGGTTTTTAAGCACAATGTCGGTGCATAGATTTTCATCTCGAAGCTCTCGCAACGCCATGTCCTCCAACAGGCCCATTGCTGAAACCGAACAGCAGCAGGGGCGAGTGTGGGAGTTGTAGCTTTGGTGGCCGACTTGATATTGGATGCTGTGCAAAGCATGCGATGCATCATCTGTGAAAGTGTTTTGCAGGTTTGACGTGGCGTATGGCTCAGCATATGCTGCGAATATCGATCTGTTTATGGGCAATTCGAAAGAAAAAGAGGGCTCTATATCAGTGCCACCACCAAAGACTCGACTGAAACTTCCATTGCTTGCATTTTCCGTGTTGTTGAGAGCAGTAGCTGTAAACGCGACTGCCGGAGCGTGCGCTTCTATAGCATTAGAGCCGCTTATCGAATCCAAATAGGGCAAATCTTCAACGAAGGATGCGTTCTGAAATCTGCTCTGGTCTTGGCCCAGTACATTTTCGTCTTTATTGTCCAGCCATGGGTCAAGCAACAATGAATTTGCCCGCTGGCCATCCAGGCCCAGACAGAAGCTGGGGCCGTCTTCTCGCAATTGTTCGAAGCTTCCGGAACCAGAAGATGGGGCAATGGAGTTCATTTCGAACGGCCTAGGTGTGGGGTCAAATATCAATTCATCCAGGCTCGGGGCCGTCAATCTGACGACTTGCGCAGTTGGCGACTGTAAACTGCACATATCCGTCACGTCGGTGGCCGTTCTGGCCGATGAATTCAATGGCAGCCTGGCTAGGGTTGGGGTTCCCCGACGGGATGCTGGCCGGGATATTGTATGGCGCAATATTTGACGTCCGTTATTATCGAAGTTTGCCTGTCTGTCGCTCACCATATGGTCATTATCGAAACTGAATATCGAATACGGGCTTCCACTGCTGGTCCTGGCCCTGGAGACGTTTTCTGCGTGGTTCGTATTGCTGCTTTTGCCGTCACTAATGCTGCTGCACACGCTGAATTTTCTGCTTCCAGTTCCACTGCCATTGGTGGCCATTTCATCTTGTGTGCTGTTGCTGTTGCTGACCAGGATGTCGGTCCGCTTTCTTCGCGGTCTACAGCGCTCACTCGACGTTGGATACACACATGAAATACCGTTGGCGAGGCATTTCCCACAGCCAGACTTGTCGCCTGTACATTTGACCTGAAACCCTGTTAAATGATAGAAGAAAACTGCAGGTTAATTACAATTGACGAGTAGGTGAAAAAGAAACGAGAAAAAGCAAACCTTTTTCATACGACATTCAATACATGCGAGGCGAGCTGGGCGTCGGCTACCAAAACTTTCAGCACTGGCAGGCATCAACTTGACCTCAGTGCCGTTCCCCCTGCTGCAAGAGAGTGTTGCAAACATGTCTGTTAAAAAGGATGAGGGCTAGAAACTAGGAGGACACCGAAAAAAAAATTGGATTTTGTCTACTGTTCCTGTGGTAGCTTTTTTTCTTATTGCATCGTCCGTAGTCTCGATGACCACAGTATATGAGCTGTCGCTGGTCGCCGTCTTCAATCCTCGAAACTGGTTATGAGAGACAGCAAGACACTGTTTCAGAGTAACTGTACTAGTGAGCCTCTAAAGAATCTAGGGGATAGGCAGGGGATGAGAAAAGAGGTGAGGATATCTTGTTGATGCACCAAATTGTAGCACAAAGATTTCTGTGGTTCTATTGTTATTACAACGTATGGTATCTTTCTCTCTTTGTGCTGTGACTTCATTGCTGTATAAGAGTTTGATGGTCTAACCTGGCTGCTCGTCCTGGTCTCGGTACGATTCTCTCCAGCATTTGTTCGTCTATCCAGCTGTTCCTGATGTCGTTTCGATGACTTTATGATAGATCTTCGCGATACTTTGGCGCTATTGTCCAGTAAAGGTAGTGGGTATGCGGGCTGACGACCAAGATACAAGCGGTGAGGGATGATGCGGCGAGTCCGATAAAAGCGAACACATCATGCATGACATGAAGACTGAATTGCGGAGACGCGAGAAAACATAGCAGAAGGTAAAGTGCTAGGCATCTTGGCGCTTGCTACTCTCTTCATCATTTGACCAGCTGGAAGGTGAAGCTGACTTACAGAAATTAGGCTATCATTAGGGATACTTGAAGAGCAGTTCGTTGTACGTAAGGAGGACACAAGACCTGCGAAGCTATTTAAAAAATCAAGGCAGTTGCAACTGCGGCCAACAGTTGGAGTGACTGCAGTATGCCGCGTTAATTAACAGGGCAGGCGAAGAAGGAACGACTCAATCTTGATAGCAATGGCAAGCGAGCTTCGCTTGCTAAACACAGCAAGGGATGGATGCGATGATGCTGTGTATAGCGTTTCCGCATCATAGTCAACCCGTCGCCTATTTGTTGGGCATCCCTCCTTGCTGCGAGGATCGAGTTAGGAAGAAGAAAGTATTCGACTCACATTCCTTGGCTGATTCACCCTGTCTTCGCTTCGCACATTCGCAGGGTGAATTTCGGCAATGTCGGTTTCAGACAGCTCATTTGGCAGTTTTAAGGCAACAGCTACGAATATGAAGAATGGCCGTGTATTAATCCACCAACCTAGTGCTGTCTTAGAGAGAGCCGCGCGAGCGACTACTTCCCCAGAAAGCTGACCTAGAGGGTATCGCCTATTATTGTCTCTTCTCCCTTGACTTTAACGGCCCCGTTGCTTCCGTGAGCCGAAAAACGTCTGGAGAATAGAGGCTGGCATTCCATCCGTATTACTCCCTTCCCGCACCAACTGACCGCATACTCGATTGCGTTTAGGTGCGAGTTATGGAGCTATTCGAGAGTATCCGAACCTCCATAAGTTCAGCATTTGTACGGAGTACACGGATGGGAAGCCCAGACAGGGCCAGGAGGGCCTAATATCATTCGCATGCCAAAGAGCCAATGTCTCGCATATCATGGTATGGATTCGGCTTCCCCGCCCTGGCTTAGTGCAATCCTGCCGCTGTGTTGCACAGCCTTGATAAAAATCTATGTACTCCGTATCTTACGTCGTACTTCGTACTATATGAAAGTCAGCGTTAAGTTACGGCTGTTGGCTAACTTGCTAAGAGAACCGCTAAACGAGAACAACTGCGAAGCGAGCTGAAGCAGAAATTTTGCGCCGCTGTCATCAAGTCTAGCATGATATGGTGTGCCTATTCAGGGGCCCTGGCTACCTGAAATCGTCCCCATCTATCCGTGCTGCGTCTTTAACGAAGAAAATGTACAAAAATTGCCGAAGACGGCAGGAATCCAGCCGTACGATACGGATTTATGTGAGAATAGATGAAGCCAATGAAAACCAGGTTTTTCCATATCCCGCCGCAACCCACAATCGTTGCCCCAAATATTGGTAAAGTCGCAATACATTTATGAGATATTAATAAATGATTGCCATCATCGCAGGGAGAGCCGCTCAAGGCTATTGCTGTGTTCTTGACACGTTGGCTCCACTGGCCGAAGCGGACCCTTCAGTCGGTGCGCTCTGAAGCGGATGGAGAGCTCTCGATGCCGATGGCGATGCGCTGCTGCTGCTTGCAGCCATATGCAGCGGATAGGTCGTGTACGCACCGGTTGCTGCTGCTGACGGTGGTGCCACGGATGGTGGCGGAATGGCAAAACGGTTTCCGTCGGTGCCGCTGCCACTGGCCGTCCGCTCGATATCAAATGACATAGCGGAGCGATAGGACGCGGAGGATGGTTTGCGCGCTATATGCGAGGAATACGAAATATCCTCGCCCAACGCACCGGCCAGGGCATCCGATGGAGCCAGAGAGGCGCCAGTACCAGCTTGACGACGGCCACGCTGGCTCTTGTTCTTGTTGATCAGCTCGCTGCGCAGGTCCTGGAGCTGCTGCAGCGATTCCTGCTTGCGCAACTGCTTGCGGGAGGCCTGCGACTTGGACCGTGATTGCGACTTGGCTTGCGATTTGGCCCGCGACAGAGACAACGATGGCCGCATACCATCACCACTGCCACCGTCCAATGACGACACTCGCGACCGTGTAGCCGACTCGTTTAGCGTGTGGTCGTCCAGGGCTGCACCCCAGCCCTCTGCCGCATTCGTTGGCGGGATGGTCGTGTGGAGGTCACGCACAGCCTGCTTTTCTGCGCTCCTGTTGCCACTGCCGTCATTCCGGTTCCCGTCCTCATCCTCGTCCTCGTCCTCGTCGCCATCTAGGTCAAGAAGGGGCACGAGACGCAGGGCGTCCTTGCTGTTCTTGGCCTGCTGGCGTGCCTCTGCAGCAGTTGCATCAGAAACGGCGACCGAGTAGGTAGGGTTGGCAGGGCTGCCCAGCGCGTCGCTGCCGCCACCCGGAGCATAGATCGGCACTTTCTTAAGGGCCAGGGCCAATGCGCACATAAACTTGGAGCGACGAGTGGCCCGGACGAGTTCGTTGTGCCAGTTGGACTTGTGCTTGATGGCGATGTTGAGCGTCAGCTTGTCCAGGTTGTTGACGCTGCCGACGCTGATGGATAGGTCTGGCTGGAAGTCGCGGGCGTTGTCCGGGTGCCGCACAAACTGCTCCATTTCCAGGCGCAGTAATTCAATGTCCTCAAAAGAGGTGTCGTACGACACGCTGACGTCAATGACCTCGCGCTCGGCGTTGCTGCGCGTCACGTTCTCGATCCACAGGTTGTTCAGCTGGATGTTGGGCACCTGCACGACCTGCATCTTGTCGATGCGCACAAAAACGGTGTAAAGCAGCGAAATCTTCTCGACGATGAGCTCCTCCTTCTCCGGGCCGTTGATGTCAACGCGGTCGCCGACATCGTACGGGTGCTTGACGAAGAGAAAAATGCACGAGCCGAGGAACTCCTGGGAGGTGACGGAGAAGATGAAGGACAACGACAAGAGGGAGGTGCCGGCAGTGGTGAGGGTGCTGATGAAGCTGCTCTGGAAGAAGGCGAGGAAGATAAAGATGGTGATGAGCAGGACGCAGAAGATCAGCACGTTGTCAAAGACGGCCAGCGCCTGGCTGATATCCTTCATGCTGTTGGAGATGGCCTTGCGCTCCTTGCCGATGTCGACGACCTTGCGGATCATCTCCTGGAGGCTGATATCACCGTTGCCGTCGGCGTCGATGGCGATGAAGCATTCCTCGGCCTCCAGCTTGTGGGCAGGGCCCAGGACCTCCTCGATATCCTCGGGCGAGAGCGAGTCGCTGTCCTCGACCACAAATGACATCCAGATGCGGCGGGCCATAGCCTCGGACGTGCGCACCTTCTCGAGGGCCTCGACAACGATGGAGTGGGCAGAGGTGGGGTTGAAGACCTGCTTGCCGGTGATCTCCGAAGCGAGGTTACCGAAGACGGACGTGACCTTGTCGCCGATGCGGCCGACGTTGCCGATTAGGTGCATTGGCGCCACGGACCTGGACTTCTTGTGCATCTTGCGAGTGGAATTTAGCATCATGTCGATGCTGTCGTTGATGAAGTAATCTTCGTCGGCAAACTCGGGGCAGTACATGGGGAACAGCGCGCGGGAGGCTTCGTACATCAGGCCGAGCAGGTGAATGTCGTGCTTGGACTGCTTAATGCGGTTCGCAAAGGAGCGTTGGTGGTAGGAGATGCTGATGAGCTGGACGATGGCCTTCTCGACGAGGAAGACGGCCGACGAGACGTACAGCGAGCCGAGGATCTGCTTGATGACGTAGACCCACTCAAAGTTATTGTTGACGAAGAGGAACTTGAAGACGAGCCAGGAGGCCAGAGCCCAAAAGAAGAGGGACAGGGGGATCTCGAGAGCGCGAAGCACGGTGGCATATTTGCGAGTGCCGGAGCTGACGACGCCGCAGAAGAACATGAAGAGAGCTGGGAGGAGGTAGGCAACCAGCTTGGCGGTCCAGAGCGTAACCCAAGCAGTCTCCAGCCAGATGAAGAGGTGGAAGAGCGGGGGCCCAGCGATGGTGGTGTGCGGAGTGGTGGTCTTGTCGGTGTGGTGGCCAAGAGGGATGTTCTTCGTGTTGTCGGTAAGGGGGAGGACGACGAGGGGGATGGCGAACAGGAAGGCGACGGGGATGACGTAGATGAGATAGCGCGTGACGAACGACTCGCTCATGATACGGGTATACAGCTTTCCCATGAAGTTGAGCGAGATCGACGAGTCGGTGGAACTGCGAGAGACCATGGGAGAAGGGTCATTTTTGATGCGGCGGCGGCCAGCCGGCAAGTTGCTGGGGCGGCGGAAGATGGTGTGCTTCTCGTCGACGGAGTCGGAGCCATCATAACCGCTGCTGGCGATGCGGTTTAGGCCCACAGTGGTCTGGTTGTGCTTGCGAGCACCGACCGAGCTGGTGGTGCGGATGGGTGCAAGCGGGATATCTGCTTCGGACTCCATCTGGTTGGATAGCGGAAGGAAGCCTTGGGATTTGAGGAACCGTGGTGAGGCGAGAGGTGAGGGAGGCATCGGAAGGTCAAGCCAGCTGTTGGGAGAAGGCTGACAAGTCGTGCTTGACAGTCTTGAGGCGGTGGTGTGGCTGCGATGCCGAGGAAGAGATCAGCGAGGCGAGACCAGTCTCGTCGAGAGCAATTGGCATGCAGTCTAGCTTCGATGCAGCAGAGAGATCCGAATGGACGGTATAAAGACGCAAACAACAAGGAAACGTCGGACAAAAAGGCGAAACAAATGATCTCCGTCACACAAGAAGGAGAGGAAGGAGAGGCACCCGCCAAATATGGAGAGAGAGCGTGTACCCCTAGACGGGAAGAGAGCCTATTTTGCAGATGAGGCACGAATGGTGGACCAGGGATATAAAACAAAGGAATCGACAAGGGGGAACATGCGACGTATGCAGAAGTTGGAAAGAGAGCGAATATAAAGAAACGCAACCGTGGTTGAAAACCCGAGTATGGACAATATGAAGAAGCCGGAACGGATGGGTGATTAGCAAGATGATAATCCATGTATAAAAAGACAGTCTATAAAGGAAGAGAAAAAAACGAGGAACAAGCCAGTGGCGGGCCCAGTACGAGCAATTGGGAGATCTGGTGAAGATGGAGTCCAGATTTTGGGCGGGTGGGTATTGGCGTATCGAGGACCCTTTTTTCTTTTTCTCTCTACGGAGTAAGTTGGGGGGGCCGGACAAGTCCTGCAGGAAAAACCGGTTGGTCTCCAGGCCGGAGGGTTCGCCAGGGTGGAGATTTACAGGGGTGTCTTGGCAGCCTGGCAGGGAAGTTGCCACTGAAAAGGGTGCATGCCGGTTTGATGAGACAGGCCGGCTGCAGGCCGGCCGTGGCGAATGAGGAAACAGACGGCAGGCGCGATACGAACGATGCGAAACGAACAGCAGCCAGCAGCCGACAGCAGCAGACGGCATTTCGGCGGCCCCTCTTTTACCCCTTTCGCGCATGCCCTTGCAGGACAGGACCTTACGAGTCAGTCGGCAGCGGTGTTTCAGCGTGGCATTCTGTGGCCCCGTTGCATCTCCTTCTTTCTGACTTTCTTTGTCCTTTTTTTTTCTTCTCCTCCAATCTTGTGTGGCGCGGCCAGTCAGTCCCAGTTTTCCTTCTCCACCAATAGATGACGCTTGCAACACGAGCCCTACATGATGGCCTAGACTCTAGTCTACTCCGTACTCTGTACGCGTAAAGCTCGACGCCAGCCGATTCTATTCTTGTCTACGTAGGCTTGACGTATGCCGTTTTTGCACCGTTTTCCGTCGGCCGGCCGCGTTCTAACAGCCTTGTTTTATTGTGGGTCGCCTGCAGCGATAATTCGCGGTAGTTCATGCCTTTACAACAGGTTTCCGCGTCTGCATGTTCAGGAGAGAGATACGCCAGCAGGTACATACGTGACTGCCAGACAGCTCCAGCCGGATTGCAGGACGCGCCTATCTCCTCCCCCAAGACCCGGGGTCATCGGCTGGAAGATCGGCAGTGTCACGGAGCAGCTATGATGCAAGAATGCAGGTGGGCGGATGGAGATGGGGTAATGTGGATCGCTGGGGATGATTGTGCACGCAATCAGATGCGAACGTCGCAATGATGGGACGGTCGATCGTCGTCGTCGCTGGAGTTTCGCCCTGGACGGGGCTCTCTGCGCTTTTCGCCGTCATCTGTCGGAATCGAAGAGAAGCAAAGCAATTGGAGATGCAGGTGGTCCAAGCTTCCACCGGCCGTTTAGCGCGTGCCTGCCAGAAGTGGTCTAAACACCGACAGCCTCGCAGCTGCCGAGAGCTGGCGTGACATGGCCTAAAAAGCAATCACGAAAATTCTGAACCGATCACCAGCCTCGTATCCGACACTCTGTCTGCTGCAGACCACCTCGCCACGCTCCGTTTGTCAGTTGGACAACCAGTCTATCCGATTCTGTCGACACCATCTCACCCACGTCCCTCAATGCTGCCGAGAAGCGGCGTGAGCCGGGCGATGGCGAGGCTAGCGCTCTGCCGTTGCGCCGGGCCGGTCAGATGGGCCAACGTCCGATGGCGTGTCAGCAGCGACAGCACACCGACTCGTCTGCCCGTGCCAGCATCTTGTCTCTACTCCTCTTCCGCCTCGTCTCCTAGACCAGCCAGGCCGCCGCCCCGACCGGCCACCGGCCCCCGCGCCAACATCGACCTGCGACACATCCGCCAAAACGCCGAGCTGCACGCGGCCAATTGTGTGCGGCGCAATTACGGCGCGCTGCGCGACAGTCCGGCCCGCATTGTCGACCTGTTCGCGGCCTGGCAGACGCGCCAGCACGACGGCCGGGCCTTGCGCGAGGAGGCCAACGTGGTGCGCCGCCGGCTGGCCAACCCGCCGGTAGCCCGCGAGGTCGAGGAGGTGGTCGCTATCCAAGACGCTCAATGCAGCCGTGACACCCTCCTCGAACGCGCCCGCGTCCTCAAGCAGCAGCTCGCTGGCATCGAGGCCGACGAGGCCCACCTGACGGCCGAGATGCAACAGCTCGCCGCAGCTCTGCCCAACCTCACCAGCACCGACACGCCCGACGGGATGCACACGCTGCTCTGCTACATCAACTGTGACGGCGAGGCTGCCGGTGAGGCTGTCTCGCTGCTGCGGCGCCATCACCACAACACGCGCAGTGGCCGCTGGCGGTCACACGTCCATATCGGCACCGAGCTCGGCCTTCTCGACTTTGCCGCCGCTGCTACTACGTCCGGCTGGGGCTGGTACTACCTCCTCGGTGATGGCGCCCGCCTCGAACAGGCCCTCGTGCAGTACGCTATCGCTGTCGCCCATCGCCATGGCTGGCAGCTCGTGTCGCCACCTAGCCTCGTCCGTAGCAGCGTCGCTGCCGCCTGCGGCTTCCAGCCACGTGACCAGGGCGGCGAGCAGCAGACTTACACCATTGACGGCGCTGGCGCTGGTGGCGGCAGCAGCCCAGATACAGCGGCCACGGGCATCTCGATGAGCCTGACAGCCACGGCCGAAATTCCTCTGGCTGCCCTGTATGCCGACACAACACTGCCGTCGTCAGCCACCTCAGCCACCTCTGATGACTCAGCAACAACCATCGCATCCTCCGACTCATCCAACACCACCTCATTCAACCCCATCCGTCGTGTCGCCGTCTCCCGCTGCTACCGTGCTGAGGCCGGTGCTCGTGGTGCCGCCACCAAGGGTCTCTACCGCGTGCACGAGTTCACAAAGGTAGAGCTGTTCGCCTGGACAGCGCCCGACCTCGACGCTGCCACCGAAGTATTTGATGAGCTTGTCGACATCCAGACCGAAATCCTCTCGTCGCTCGACCTGCCCTGTCGCGTGCTCGAGATGCCGGCCAGCGATCTGGGCGCCTCGGCGTACCGCAAGATTGACATCGAGGCCTTCTTCCCCAGCCGCTGCGGCGCCGTCGCCGATGCTGTCGCCGATCCCCAAGGAGACCCCCCCACCGACATCGCCCTCATCGATGCTGGCTGGGGCGAGGTCACGTCAGCAAGCATCTGCACCGACTACCAGACCCGTCGTCTGGCCACGCGCACCCGCATCGATGGCGCCCTCGTCTATCCCTGGACCCTCAACGGCACCGCCCTCGCTGTTCCCCGCATCATAGCCGCCTTGCTTGAAAACGGCTGGGATGAAGAGGCCAAGACGGTTGCCATTCCCGAATGCCTGCAGCCCTGGATGGACGGCCAGGAGTTTATCAGTGTTGGCAACCGCCAGTGGTAGTTTGTGTATCTGCTGTCTACTGAGTGCATCAGCCTATTGCAAGAATGATCCATATTCATAAATAGACACCAGCCATGGCTGGAAACAATACCGCAATCCGCAATCCGTGAATCCTCCAATCATACAAATACACAAAAGCACGCCGCTCTCTTCCCATTATATACACAGGAGACCTGTCGTCCGCCTCTTTATTCACCCTCAACCGGACTCGGCCCTGCCGAATTCGCGCCCGCCTGGCTGTCGGTCCATTCGCTCATCACCTCGTCTTCGTCCCTGTCAGAGTAATCCGAGTCGTCATCACTAGTCACTGCTCTTGTTCCTACTGATGTCGCGTAGCTCGACCGCCGCAGCGTTCCCGCTTCGCTGTGCTTGTCGGCGTCCTTCTCTCCGTCCTTGTCGGCATCCTTGTCGGCATCCTTCTCGCCATCAATCTTCTCGCCATCGGACTCTCCTCCTGTCCCATACACCTCTTCCATCCTTGCCTCTGCCTCAAAGCTCATCCCACTGTCGTCGTGCAACCGCTCGTCGTCCATCTCCTCGTCGCCCATCTCCTCCTCGTGTACCCCATCCTCCTCGTCCGTCTCATGGAGCGGCGTGTTCTCCTTGTCTGTGTCCAGTCCCCCGTACGTCTTCGTCGCCTGTCGTCCGGCCCAGCTACTCTTTCGCAGTCCGTCTCCGGCTGTCCGCACGCTTTGACTCCGCTTCATCCCCCCGCTCGCCCCGGTTTTGTTGATCTGGCTGAGCGACAGGATTCTGCGCGAGCCCGCCTTGCCCGTCCCGTTGGCAGACGTTGCTGGCAGTGGATTCCGCTGAGACATTGCGATGCTGAATGCCGACCGCGCTTTGTTGCCGCTGTTGATGTCTGAAGCCCGGCCTGGCGAACTCGCCTCCTTCGACGGCACCACCCTCTTTCGGTTCATAGCCTCGCGGCCCTTGTTCCCCTTTGCCATCAAAAGCACCCGCGAGTGGTCCATCACTCCCTCCAAAATCCGCCGCTCCAGACCTTCTGCTCGTCCTTCCATCTCGTGCAGCTCCTCTCGCCGGATGCGCAACGCCGTCTCCAGCGATGACACATCTGCCGTCATCCGTGTCCGGTTGCGAAGCAAGCTCTCTTGCTCTGTCCGCAGGCTCAGCACGCTCTCCTTCAGCAGCCTCTCTTCCTCCTGCAGATATGCGATGTTCTTCTCCGCCTGCTCCGCCTCCGCCCGTCGTCGCTCCAGCGCTATACTCGTCTCTTGCAGCGTCTTTTCTTGGCCCTCGTGCTCGTCCGCAATCCTCTGCGTCTGCGCCGAGAGGAAAACCGAAATCTCGGCCGCTGTCCGTCTCATCTGGTCGTGCACCAGCTCCAGAGTGTCCAGACGGGACAGTGCTCTGTCCGCTGACCTCGAGTTGTCCACAAGCTCGTCGAACTGGTCCAGCTTTGACAGCTTGTCTAGCCGGTCAAGCTGGCTTAGCTTTTCAAGCTGTCCCAGCTGCTCCAGCTCTTGCAGCTTTTCCAATTGGTCCAACTTCTCCAGCTCGTCCAGTTTGTCCAGTTTCTCCAGCTTGTCGAGTTGCCCCATACGTTCCAGCTGATCCAGCTTGCCCAGCTGCTCAAGCTTTTCGAGTTCTCCCAGTTTGTCCAGCTGTCCGAGGTTATCTAGCCGGCCAAGACTCTCCAGTTGCTCGAGCTTCTCGAGCTTCTCTAGCCGTTCGAGCTTGTCTAGTTGCTCTAACTTGTCCAGCTGTTGCAGCTTCTCTAGTTCTCCAAGAGACTCGAGTTGGCCAAGCTTCTCTAACTGTTCGAGCTTCTCCAGTTGTCCAAGCGTCTGCAGTTGCTCGAGCTTCTGCAGGTCCTCAAGCTTTTCCAGTTGATCCAGCTTGTCGAGTTGCTGGAGCTTGCCGAGCTCGCCGAGGCTCTCCAGTTGACTAAGCTTTTCTAGCTGCTCAATCTTGTCGAGTTGCTCCAGCTTGTCGAGTTGTTCCAGCTTTCCAAGCTGCTCCAGCTCGACCAACTGTTGAAGCTTGTCTAGCCCATCTAGCTTCTCCAACAGCTCAAGCTTTTCAAGCCCTCCAAGCTTCTCCAGATCAGCCAGCTTCTCAAGGTCGCCAAGCTTCTCTAGTCCTCCAAGCTTCTCCAGCTCTCCGAGCTTCTCCAGCAGTTGCAGGTTTTCTAGTTCCTTCAACTTCTCCAGTTGATTTAGGTCAAACAGTTGGTCCAGCTTTTCCAGTCCCTCTAGTTTGTCCAGTTGCTCCAACTTGTCCAGCTGTTCCATCTTCGTCAACTGTTCCAGGTTTCGAAGCTCTTGAAGACCCTCTAGCTGTCCAAGCTTTTCAAGCTGCTCTAGCTTCTCAAGCTGGGCTAGCTTCTCAAGCTGCTCCAGATTGCTCAGCTTTTTGAGCTCTTCAAGCTTCTCCAGTCCCTTCAACGCTTCGTTCGTAACCTGCGTGTGGTCGATAAGCCGGTCAATCTTAGATCGCTGGTTGTCGAACGCCCGCCCGGCCAGGCTGGTCAGATCAATGATTTGATCCAGCTTGACGAGTTTTTCAAGGTCAGCCAGCGCCTGGGTTGTCGTCTCGGACTGTGCCACAAGATAGTCGAGCGTCTCCAGCTTCTCAAGCTGCTCCAACGCCTTGTCCGTGTCTTCGGAATGCTCAACAAGTCTGTCTAGCTTGGAAAGGGCCTCATCGACCGTGTGCGTGTGGCTGACGAGTTCGTCCATCTTGTCCAGCTTGGTGATTGCATCTGCTGCTCGGTCTGCCTGGCAAACGAGCTTGTCGAGTTTTTCCTGCACCGTCGAGTCGTTGTACTTTTCAACTGCCGGTGGCACCAGCTGTTGCTCAATGACCCCTCTGGTATCGACAAGCTTTTCTTGCATCGTGGTACTGGACGATTTAGAGTGTTCGTAATGTTCGCTCACAACCGTCAACACGTCCTTGATCGTGTCCAGGATCTTGGGCTGGTATTCAATCACATGGCCGTGCAAGCCGTTGACAACGTCCATAGCCTCCTTGACCTGGTCCCGAGTCTGCTGGTGTTCTACTTTGGCATCAACATGGTGCTCATCTGCCTCGTCCACCAAGACCCCGACCCGGTCGAATACTGTTTTTGATGCCTCCTCCATCTTCTCGAGCGAGTCGGTGACAGCAGACCCGAGCGTGTCCACCAGCAGTTTGAGCTCCTCGGCCAAGGTTTTCGTGCCGACCACTGCTGCTTCCACCTCGACATCACGGGCCTCCTCCGCCGTGACCCGGGCCTCTGCAGACACCTGAATTTCGCCGAGCTTGGCCATCATCTCTCCGATGCGCTCGTCAATATTCGACTGAAGTGTCTCCGTGGTCTTTTGGAACTTCTCGTCTGTCTCCAATTTGGCACCGATGACGCTGGCTCTCGACTCTTCGAACTCTGCTCTCATCTTCTCTAGCAGGCCATGCAAGTCGCTGCCACTTTGGCCCATGGTCTCGCCCAGAGTCTCCAAGGTCTTGCCGACAGTTTCGATGCCAACAACACCGCCTTCTAGGTTGGATTTGATCGAATCCTGGAACTCCTCCAGGAAAACCTTCACCTCGCTTACCCGTTCGCTCACGCCAACAATCTCAGCCTGTCGCTCTTCGAAAGATTTCGAGCTGACCTCCGCTTCTGTCTCCAGGCGGTTCTTGAGTTCTGCAATGACTGCTTCTAGTCTCGCCAGATCGTGTTTTGTCGGCAGCTCTGTGATTTCATCGACCTTTGCAAAGTTTGCGACTGCCGACTTCACGTCTAGACAGGCCATCGAGATAGCATTGATGTCAGCTTTGGTGACTTTGTCGGGATTTTCCAGCTGTTGCTCGTGACGCTCCTTCATGTCGTCGAAGCTTCTGGCGATTTGCGACACCAGAGACTCCACCATATTGACATCCTCACGCGAGGACAGCCCGTCCATCTGAGTTTTCAAGCCGCCAAGACTGAGCTTCGTTTCCAGCACGAGAGCCTCAATCACATCGATGTGATCCTTGCGTACGACCTGATCATCGTCAATCATGTCATCGAGACGTGCCTTCGTGTTGCGCAGAATCGTTTCGATAGCCTCAACATCCTCCCGATTGGCCGCGTCTGTTGCAGCGCGTGGCACCTCCACAGGCGCCGGTGCGCCCTCCCGGCTCGGGATGCCTGTCAGTCCCGATACTGTCTCGTGGATCATGTGCAGTTTGCTCTCCATTTTTGCGAGCTTCTCTTTCCACTCATCGTCTAGTGGCATAGCCACCGCCCCTCCACGGGCTACTTCGGGCGTCGCCTCGGATATCGATTCGGGCGACGATTCAGACGTGGACTCGGGCGACGATTCAGATATCGATTCGGGAGACATTGCACGCGCCGTCGGCTCCGATACGTTGCCCATGACGTCGACCTTTGAGCGGAGTTGCATAATAAGTATCTCGAGATTCTTGATGTCGTCTGGTCGAAGCATTCCAGTCGGAACCAAGGCAGTGCTCTCCACCGTGGCTATATCCCGGCTCTGGTCGCGCAAGCCATCGATGTCCGTGCGAACGTCACTAAGACCGGATTTCAAAGCCTCCAGAATTTCGTCATTTGCTGTCAGGTCCAAGGGCTTGTTACGGAATTTTTCAATGCTGTCGCGAAGATCGGACATGCCTTCTTGCAGCGCGTCAAGCACCTCTGACGTGCCAGCAACATGGCGGTTATTGATTTCGGTCCGTAGCAGGCCAACACCCTCTTGCAGTGCTTCCAAAACTTCACGGTTGCTCATGGCCGCCGAAGGCTGTTGCGGCTGAGGGACAGCCGGAACTAGAGACGAGTTCACGGTGTCTCTCAGCGACTCAATTTCCTCCCGGATCATGTCTTTGGACCCGTCGTTCGCCTTAGAAACGAGGTCTGCGATCTCGTCGCGGAAAACATCAAGGGTCCGAACCAAACTCTCGGAGAAGTCTTGGCCAGACACAGCAGCAGAGACTTTGTCGACGTAGACTTCGAGATCGGCACGGAGTTTCTCAAGCCCATCTCTGGTAGCATCCAAGACTTGTTCGGTATCACGTCCGTTGGCAGCCACGTTCTCTTTCGCCTCGTCAGAAACGGCCTTGAACTCATCGCGCATAAACTTCATAATATCCTGAAGGCGTCCGACAATCTCGTCATTGCCGGTAGTGGGCGCCACCAGGGCCATGCTGTCACGATCGGCATGGGGAAAGTCGAACCCGTTCAGCCCTTCCTTAACGGCATCAAGCATGTCCTCCTTGGTGATTTCGGCGCCACCTATTGCCGATGGAGCGACAGGAAACTCGTAATCCTCGAGGCACTCGCGAACAGCCCCAAGAACCTCGTCTCGGGACAAGCTTGCCGCTGGCATCTGGGGGGGAACAAAGTGTTTCAGGCCTTCTACAACAGCCGCAAACACTTCGTCGGGCGTAACACCCGCGGACCGTTCGTCGCGAGGGGAATATTGCCGAAGGCCCTCTCGCAAACAAGCCAGCACCTCCTCGCGCTCCAAGCCAATTTGTTGAACTTCGATATCCGGCTTGTACGACTCCCAAGCATCCTTGACCGCCTCAATCACGTCCTCCTTGCTGGCGTGGGAAGCATCGGCCTGATTGGCCTGCGCCTCCTTCAGCGCGGAACGAATCAGATTGTGAACCTCCTCGTAGTCGATGGGAGGAATGGCTTCGGCTGCAGCGGCAGCGGCAGTGGCCACAGTGCCAGCAGATTGGCGTCGGTGCTCTCGCATAAGGTTGCCCATGTGTTGCTTCATCTCAGCAAGGCCCTCCTCGACGACCTTTGCCATATCGACTCTCGTGTTCGACTCCGGTTCGTCCTCCTCCTTGGCCCAGACTTCGTCGAGACGTCGGCCAATCTCACGACCCATTCCAAGAACCTCTCCACGAAGCTCCCGAACGAGGGCTTTGACTTCAGCTGTGAGACCACCGCCCTGAGCAACGCTGTCCTTGACAGTCCTGATGACTTTCAAGACGTCGTCATTGAGCCCATCTGGGATTCGTACATTTGGAGCAGAAGACCGCCTCAATTCGGGCACGCTCCGGTGCATCAGACGCTCCATCCGATCCGTAATATGGTCGCTGCTAGCATATTCCATTTCCGAGCCAGAAGGCTCCTCAAAGCTGTACGACCGCGAGCGGCGGCTATCACCGGCATCGCTGCCGCGGGGCATGGAAATGATGGTCTGTTCCTGACGCTCTCTCACTACACGCAGCAGCTCTTCGATCTTTGATGCCGATGCCATGCCGTCGAGTCTGTTCAAGATCTCACTGAGGCGGCTAAGCAACAGCTCTTGGCCTTCCTTCGTACCCATTTCATGGAGAACTTTTTCGACGAGGGAAATGGTAGCCTGTCCATCTGCCCCATATAATGACGGAGTGCTCATAGAGTCGCGGTCGATAGATGCGGCGAAGCTGTTTGGCGAAGGGATCCGAGGAAGCGAAAATGGCCGAAGAGCTTTCTGGGTCGGAGACATCATATGCGCGTGGGGCTTGCTATCGATGAGAAAGCCTCCGCTAAACGGATCTCTGGTTGTCGATTGAGACTTGGAATCTCCTGCCGTGGTGATGAGCTCACGTAGACTTTTCCTGATGTCCTCGTCTCTTGCGTTGGTGGCCGCCTTGAGACTGAGAAGATCGGTCGCATTGTCTCGGCTTCGGCGACTGAGTAGGCCCATCTCTTTCTGCAAAGACGTAGCAATGTTGGTCAGGCTGAGAATTTGTTGCGAGAGCGCGTCCAGCGCCGGGACAGGCTGCGCCTTGCCTATCGGCATCGCATTCTTGACGTAGGTGCCGCCTGCGGCGCCATTTGTCACGTTTGACAGAGCGGGTGCTTCGCGCTGCGATGCTGACGGTGGAGCGCTGGAAAACGGACCAGAGTCTTTCTGATTCGGATTTGTCGACGCCATACTGTGTAGAGCCAGCATTGTCGCCGACTGGGGAGATGTGTTCTCGCCCAGGATGGTCTGGTGTGGTCGCCGGACGATCGGCCGTACGATAGGTGTGTAGCTGGGACCGGGAACTGGAGACACATAGATAGGACGGTCATCCATCTCGTTTGGCAGGAGACTATCGCGGCCTCGCACCGGCGTCGTCGGTCGCACGGCTTTCTCGGGAGAGCGTGGGGTGGGGCTGCTCGAGTCACGACCACCCTCAATCAAAAGACTTAGGTCACGAACAGAGCCTGGCTGGACTGGGGGCAGACGACGGTGTGGTTGCGACGAGGGCGTGATGACTGGGGCAGAGGGTGGAACTGGGGCTCGAGGTAGGCGCTCCGGTGACTCTATGCGCCTGGCCAGAGCGGTAGAGCCGAGAGCCTCGCGGGCTTTCTCATGCAGTGCCGCATGAGCAGATTGGATTGCGGCAGAAGTCCCGGCACGCGATGTTCCGACTCCGACGCTGGGCGACTGCGTATTGAGTGGCAGCGGCGGAGGTGCTCGCACAGGATCGGAGCTGTCCCACCTTTTTTTCGTATACCTGTTAGTTGGTAACCAAACTGCCATTAAGGACAATCGATGAGAAAGACAGAGGAGACAGGAACAAGGGTAATTGTTCTTGGCTCTGGGAGCAGGACTTACATGGGAATGAGGGCTCGACCGTAGTCAGAGCCAGAGCGTTGGTGCCTTATCGCCTTGTCAGGAAGAGCGGCATCGCGCTCGTTTGGAGGCATCTTTGGCAAAATGGGGTTTTGCTGGAATGCAGAGTGGAGGGATTGGTTGGAATGGGGTATCTTGTTGATGTTGGGTAACTTGTTCGGATCTGCGCCCGACCCGCGGCCAGCAACACACTTAGAATGCTAGCTCCAGTGCTGGGGATGAACAAAGTTTAAAGAGTCGGTGAGGATGTCTAGACGAAGGCACGGCGATAAAGTGGTGAAGGAGAGGGATGTGGATGAGAGAAAAAAGGCAGTGGGTGTTTGCCAAATTGCGGATATCTCGCACGATTTAATGACGAGCTGCAATCTGCGTGCAGGCCGTGGGAGCCACATAGAGGGGAAGGAACTGTGGACCGTGCCTTCCTCCGAGTGTGCGGGTGTCGATCTAAACAGGCAATTTCGAGCCTAGGATAAACAAACCTAGTTCCACCCGGCAACGGAATCGCATTCTAGTGGGTCTTTGTTGTCATTAAACACAACATGGTGGAAATCTGCGGGAACTGCCAGCAAATCAAATTTAACAAGTGAGCTGAGATGTGCTTACAATGCAGAGGCCACAGCAGCTGGCTACTACCCTCTCCCTGCGACATATCGTATACGTCTATACGCAGCGCAATCCCCTCGTGGCGCTGTAACATTGAGGCCCACCACGATAACGAATAATATAACAAAACAAAACAAAGCGCCCGATGGTTTTAATCCACAAACGCCACCCGCCCTCCCGATAACCTCCCTCCAACACTGTCTAGTTTCCTCGTCGTTTCATTTTAGCCGCCGTGCTGCTTACGCGGCCACCTACCGCTTCGCCAGCACGTTATCAAAAGCCGGGATGAGCGTTTGCGCCAGCCAGAAAGAGAACACGAGCTTGGGGCCGGTCATGAGAAGCTGTGCTGTTAGAAACAATCAAAGCAAGAAGGTGGGGTGGTGCGACAAGACAGGGTGGGGCTCACCTTCGGCACCAGGCCCTTGAAGAAACTGGAGAAGCCTTCGTTGCGGGCCATGTTGGACAGGATCTTGAAGCCGCCCTCGGGGTTCTCAAAGTTGCGGTTCTGGATGCGCGTCTTGATCACGTCCAGGGGCGCGGAGACAACGAGGGATGCAGAGGCACCACAAATCGAGGCGACAAAGTTCTGGTACCAGCTGGCCTTGTTGTAGTCCTGCAGGCCAAAAACGAATTCCTTGGCAAAGGCCGAGCCACCGAAGAGCTATCTGTGTTAGACGGGGGACGACCCAAAAACAGCACCAGTAGGGTTACGTACAGCAAACGAGCCAGGCGCATTGCGCGCGGCAGTCCAACCCCAGCCACGGTAGAGGCCGAAGCCCTCGTCACGAACGATGCGCAGGACGCCGCGACCACGGAAAGCCTCCGGGTTGGTCTGACGCTTGATCTTCAGGACGTCGAGCGGCAGCAGGACGATCTCGCCAATGCCAATCAGGCTGCCGGCGGTAGAGTGCAGGATAGCCTTGCCGGTCTTCTTGCCAAAGGCCGCCTCGAAGTTCTTGCCATAGTGTGTGGTCAGGTAGTCGCGGGCGATGGGTTGGCCGCCGTACTTGTACACGCGCTGCAGGACCTTGTAGCCAGCGGCATAGCCCAGGCCGGGGAACAGAGAGACAAACTTGCGTCCCAGAGGTGCTGTTGCCTTGTCCTTGAAGATGACTGCGTTCAGCTGTACCGAGGATGTGATCTGGAAGACGGCAGATGCATTAGCTTGGCGACACCTTGCGGCAACGAATTGATTAGAAGAAATTGATCGGTGTCCTGTCGCAGAGGATGTAGTACCTTTGACTCGTTGCTCATCAGGCGCTTGGCAATTGTATCGACCTGTGGGCGAAGTTAGCAAATCTACAGAGTATTTCGTGCCCGCCAAATCCGCAAACGAGAGCCACATACCGGGTGGAAGATAGCCAGTTCAGAAATACCAGCAGAGCCTGCCACAAGTATGTCAGTATGTTTGTTGGACGTGCCCTTCTTTCCACTGATACGCGGGCTCTCTCATACCAGATCCCAGCAGCCGAGCGAGGTTGGACTCCTTCCGGGCATCACCAGCTGGAGGAGACATCTTGTGCAGGTCTAAAGGCGAAAAGAAGCAACACGGGAACAACGAAACACAAAAGTCTAGAATGAGGAACAGCGCTGTTCTTTGCAAAACAAAAGCTCCCAATGCTGTTTCGTTCGTGTCTAAGGCGTCGCACATGCGATCTCAATTCGAGCCACAAGAAAAAATTTCATAGTGTGAGCGGCAATATTTCGCTGCATGGCCCCTCTCGACGGTATAAGCTACCGTCATGCCAGACACAATCGACCGTTATCGGCTGAGTGGGGCCATCCAGGCCGCTCTTCGACTTCATCTACCCCGTCTTACATGTGAATGTCGGGAGAGCTGCACAAGTCGCAATGTTCCTGCAGGTGCGGTATTTCTACAAATCTGTACAAATCATCTGACATAAACGTAATATATCTTGACAAACAAACAGACAAATGCATAAATCCTTGCTTGTGGAGTCCATAGTTGACAGGCTTCTGAGAAGCCAAGTAAGCTTATTTATGAATAGCTCCGCATAGCATATGCTTCAGCTGCATAATTTCAGCATTATGTTGATATGAACCCACTTGTTCCATCCAAACCTCCGAGAGAGCGATTTTACAGTGATTCTTGGCTATTTGCATCTGCGCCTTCCCATCAGGTTGCATGCGACTAGAGTCCGTAAAAACATCGCTATTCGTACACATTCTCCTATCATCGCCAAAGAGGAGCTGTCACTTCTACTGCCCGTTCTACGACCGCCCTCACGCGATCGGCAAACACCCGATGGGTGCACTCAATCTCCAAGTCGTCTAACCAGACCTTGGCATCCATCTTGTCCACTTTGACCAAAATGCCCGGCACAGGAATCCCAGACTTGTGTAGGCGATCCAGCTCACGGCTGACTTGTTCTTGCCTTTTGCGTGCTTCTTCCTCTTCGTCCACCATCTCCTTGTCGTCAACCTCCTTGGCTACAGGCAGTCGGGGCTCGGCAATCGGCGCCACATTGTCGGCACCGAACTGGGCTTCTAGAAACATGCACAGACGGCTAAACTGCTCCTCTGCGGTGATGTTTGCGTGCAGATTGCGCAGAGGTAGTTCGTGATGGTGATGGGAATGGCCGTTTTTGCCAGATTCTAAACTGTTAGCAACCAGGAAAGTGAGCGGTGCGCAGAAGGGACGAGGGAAACACGTACGTTTGACAGCAGCGGGACTGCTCTCAACAGAGAACAAAACAGCCATCACGGCATCGGCAATGCCATCGTTCAGCAGATTGCCTTCCCATTCCAACTCAATCTCGCCGTTGGTGTAGTACCGCACCGAGACGCAGCCCATGACCAAGTAGGCAGCCACCAAATTATTGATTTCCTCGTCAGCCTCTTCTTCTTCTTCTTCCTCATCCTCATCGTACATTTCTTCGTCCTTCGCCTCGACCTCCCCGTTGCCGTGTGTCTCTTTAGTTAGCACATCGCCGTTGCTTGTGCCATTGGCAGCATCGTTCTTCTTGCTCTTTCCGTTGGAGGGCCGCTTTCGGCGCATCTCTGGCAGCTCTTCGATGGTGCCGAATGTGCCCTCGAGTGCCCATCGGATCAGGTCAATGCCAGCTGCGCTGAGAGTCAGCCTCTGCCGGCAGATGATTGTCGTAGTCGTCAGACCAGCATATTCGTGTAGGTCCTCAGGCGCCATGAGCGACAGCTTAAAGTCATTCTGCACCAATACTCCTGTTAATATCGGCCCAGCCGTTTGGTGCTCTTGCTGATCTTGGAGAAGTTGTGTCGGGAGCGTCACTGAAGCCAGCTTTCCCACGACCTTGGCAATCTTATCGGTCTTGAAGGGTATACGAAGCTCTTCGCAATTCCTCGGGCTGTAGACTTTCATCTTGTCCTTGTCCACCTTGCCGGCATTCAAGGACAGAAGCTTAGACTTGAGACGCATCATATTGTGCTGCTCTCCATGAACCAGAATCTGCGCCTCGTTAGCATTTGCACGTTCTTTGCTACTACAGAAACAACATACCACTGCCGGAGCATTGACCTCCTCGATGAACTCTCGGTTCTCCGTCCCGTCCACGTGGGCGGCAAAAGAGAACTCTTGCACGCTACACCGGCGAGGAATCATGACCTTTTCCGAGTCCGCTCCCGGTGCCCGTCGGCCGCCACCAGCTAAGCTCCGGGACATGACCGCCTGAATGTGGTCTGGTTCCTGCATGATCTGCTTTGCCATGGTGCCCTCAACACTGTAACCGGTGATGATGACGCCATTTTTGTCGCTGGGAGCCCACCGTTCCAAAAGCTCGCGACTGACGCCGTTCTGCAGCATACCTGGACTTGCCAGCATGACACAGCCGCCAATATCCTCGAAGCGGTCCAAGTTCTTGAGCGACCGAATAAAGCGGAAGTCCCAGGGACCGCCACCGCCAGCGCTGTTGCCGGTCGCCTCGGCCTCTTTGGCACGCTCTGCGTAGAGCCTCTTGATGTTGTCGTTCATTGCGCCCGTGTATGTTTGATATACAACCATACATTTCTTGGCCAGATTGCTGGCATAGTAGATGGGATAGTTCTGGAAGTCAGAATGCTTGCTCCAATACTCATCCAAGATCAACAGCAATTCCTGTGCACGCCCAAGAGCGAACACCGGCATCAATACACGGCCACCTCGGTTCAAGATTCCGGTAATGGACTTCATGAGCGCCTGTTCGCGCTCTAGGCGGGGGACATGAGAAGCAATTCCGTAGGTAGACTCGGTAATGAGAACATCGACCTTGACACCCTTGGGCACCGTAGCCGACACCAGATGCCGATCCAGCTCGCGGGAGTAGTCGCCCGTGAACATGATTTTGAGGCCGGCAATCTCGATGAGAAACATTGCAGCCCCAAGCACATGGCCGGCCGGGTATGGTGTAATGCGGATAGACGAGACAGTGTGGGTTGTGTGGTAATCAATGGCTTCGATCTGGCGGAATGTGCTCAGATGGTCTTGCTCCGTATAGACCGGTTGTGACGTCGGATTTGAGGATGTGTTGCCGACACGAACGCTGTCCTGAATGAGCCACTTGTAGATAGCTTTGGTCGGGTGTGTCATAAAAACACGTCCCCGGAAGTTTGTCTTGGCCAGGACGTAGGGCAAGGAGGCAGCGTGGTCGACGTGGAAACTTTGATTGGCAAGTCAGTATGGGCGAGTATCTTTGCGAGAGGTTGGCTCAAGGACAGCAGCAGGGGGGTATAAAGCAGTTGGAAAGTTGAGATACAATCGGTGGATTCACGGAGATCATAGGACGCAGTGTCGCCTGTTCTGGGGGAGGGCAACAAAGACGGAGAAATTGTTGGAAAGGAACTGATTGTATTGATAACTGTATACAAAGAGATTCCTCAAGAGACGTGGGCAAGGAGGCACGCTGCTGTCATCGCCAGAGCGACCAAACCATAGCAGCACTACTGTAGCTCGTGCTGAGATTGCACGGGTAGCCACTCGGGTTTGCCACATCCCGGTATTCGTCTGATAGGGAACCACCATGTTTTCCAAGCTCAAAGAGCTTCGCAGTCGGGCGAGCAAGTAACAGAAGAAACTAGGCGGATGTAGGGGAAGCTTACTGGCTAATGAGAAGGACATCGACGGTACTCAGATCGAAATCATCAAAAAATGGAAGGGAGGCAAGCCCGTCATAGGCTGGGTGCTGGCCGGCATCGAGCTGCGTGGTGACAAGCAGGGTTAGCAGAGCTGTAAGCCGTAGTAATGTACGCATGTCACTTGTCTTACCATGACCGTTTTCCCCTTGTACTGTATGATATGACAGGACCGGCCAACCTCGTTTCCGCCACCTAGACACAGGAACATGAGTTCGTCAGAGGGATCGACAGGCTCCTCCAGCGTGGCAGCCATCGCTGCCACTTTTCGCTTGGATGCCATTGTATAAGAATCAGAAGTGGGAAGAGAAGAAGAGGGGGTAAGACGGGGGCAGAAGATGTGCCTATATCCGCGACATATGCCAAAGCTCTGACTTCCTGGAAGACGCAGCGTCTGTCACAGAGCACTGTCCACTACAGCTCATCGGGACTATGGGAAGGAAGGGTGTGTGTCGCGAAAAGCAAGGTTGCATCGAACTGCGACTAGGTTTTGCCTTGTTTGGGGGACGCGATGCAGTAGTTATCGGCGGTAGATTTTTCCGCATCCGATGCACGTGATGACGACCGCGAGGCGGGAAACTGTGGCGCGCCAGTTTGGCTCCCAAAGCCAAAACGCAAAACTCTCATTCTCGCCATACCAAGGACATCGCGACAAACGGCACGTCTGCCATCAACGCACACTTATCGCTGCACCACGCAGCGTGTTTCAGACCGACCGACCATTGCACCCGCACATCTGCACGAGACCTCGGCTTTCTGCGAAGCTGTCTGGTCGATACACGCACTCGAGCCGCTTCTGGATGGGGGCCTTGCAAACGAATTGAAGCTTTGGGAGGTTCGACAGGCTTGCCTGTCCGGCCTGGCGGAAACGGCACCGACATTTCCCTTATGCGAGTCTGACGTGGGCGAAACCATCATCGTTCCTGCCCGGTTGCTTCTATCCTGCAGCCGGCAAGCCCTTGGCCAGCGATAGCACTTCTCTCAGATCCCACTCAGTCTCCCCCCAGTTCCACTGCCAGCAAGAGGGGGGAAGCTTCCAGACGCATCGATACAATGGCCCAACCACAGCCCCAGGTCCCGCAGAGGACGTTTTCGCCTGCGTCGCAAATGGCGCCGTCTCCGGTGTCCCACCCCGGAACTCCCTTCTCTGGCCAGCCGCCGGTCAAGAAGCCTCGTCTCTCTCCTGCGCCTTCGCCTCAAGAATTGACCCAATCAGGCGCGACGTTTTCTCCTATACCGGGGAACAACCTTCTCACTAACAACAACAGCCCGGCCACGCCTGGCACGCCCAACTCGCTGGCCTCGCCGACGCCGACTTCCATCTCCGCACCCATGACGCATGCGCCTGGCGGCTTGCCCTTGCCCTCTTCCGTCTCACCTCCCACGACTGCATCGCCCATCTCGGCGCCGCCTTCGCTACCCCCGACAGGTGGCCACGGAACCTACAGCGCTTCGACCCCGAACGGTACGGGCCACGGAACCCCCACGATGCAGCACCCCTCGACGCCGTCTCAGATGTTCTCGCCCCGGTCGCAGGGACAGATGCCCGGCGTGATGACGCCGACAGGACCTCCCACACCGTCTGGACCACCTCTTCCACATATCGCCCCCGCGCCGATCCCTCCGAACGCCTCGGCCGCGAATGCGTTTGCAGCAATGGCAGGGTCGCCTGTAGTGCAGACGCCGACTGGTGTGATGGGGCCGCCGTTGAAGCCGGCTGACCGGCAGGCCAAGGAATACCAGTACGACGTTGATGACTCGCTTGCGGGTACGGGTATCGACTTGCGGCAGGAAGAGCAGTTCCAGGCAGACTACTTCGCCGGCTCGTTTCGCCAAGAGGCACGGACGGGCTTTCCGGCTAACGCACCCGGACGGCGCAGCTCATTCTACGGCGCGCTTGTAGCCAACCAGCCGGTGCAGACTGCTGCTGAGGTCGACCAGCAGAAGGCAGTGACGGCAATAGCGAAGGCGAAGTGGGAGGAGTCGGCGCGGACGCTGGCCGTTCAGCGCAGCAATGCGCTGCGCAACCCTCTCCTAGAGCTGAACGTGCTGCATGCACGAGTGGACAAGATTGCGAGAGAATACGGCATCGGAGTCATATTGGACCCGAAGCCTAATGCGTCGGGCACAGTCAAGCTACGACAAGATGTGGACTTCCCACAGCCACGGCTGACGGTGTCGACAAAACGTGGACCGGATGGAGTGACAATGGTGACAACGAGCGGGACGTTTCTCCCAGAAGACACGTACCTTGCAGACCAGTTTGCTCTGCTGTCGCTGGCAGCCAAGCATCGGATCCGTGAACTGCTGGAGGATGCTAACAAGGTGGCGGTGACGCGTCAGCGCACGTCGCATGGAGTGGTTCCAGATGAGTGGATAGATGCGGCGGCACCGCTGAGCGGCACGACTGCAGGCAAGGGGGACGACGGGAGTGCGAACGGCTCCCGTTCGAACTCGCTGAAGCGTGAGTTTTGTTTCACCTCTCTATGCAAAAGATCATGACTCTGACAGAAGATTTCCATGTACAGGCCCCCTTGAAGCAGATGGCGACGAAGCCACGAGCGCGGAGGCTGCAAAGTCGACGGTGCCGGCTGTGAACACACTGGCGCAGAGTCTGCGGGTTGTGGGAAGAGAGGAGCGGGAGTTGGAGGAGAAGCGGCTGCTGAAGCGACAGAGGCGGGAAGGCAAGATAGATTTGGGACCGACAACAGCGACGCCGCGGGCAGGGACACCAGGAACGCCGGGCTCGGTGGCGCCGGAGCCAGACAAGCCACCGACGAAGAAGGAGCAGAAGAAGAACGCGGCAGCCAAGATGACGGAGCAGAACGACACTCTGAGCGCGAACCGCACGAGTATGGCATTTTTGGGAGGCCGCAAGAAGCAGTACTCGTGGATGTCGGGCGGCTCCTCGACACCGAAGCGGGGCTTCTCGGCCGGAGGTGGGATGGGAGGGGGTGGTGGTGGGCCGGGCGGACCAGGGGGAGGAGCAGCAGCAGGCGGGATGGGCGGTGGTGGTGCAGGTGGTGCAGGTGGACGTCGGCCGGGCGAGCCGGCGATGCTGACGGGCGAAGGCCGGACACGACTGGGAACATGGCGAGAGGATGGACCGAAGGGACAGGACATCCAGCTGCGGGATTGGGTTGTGGTCTTGGAGGCCGACGGACGAGAGCCATCAGCGCTGCAGCAGGCATACAGCCGACTGGACGGGCCGGTGGCATCGAAGCCGACGGCGTGAGAGCTCGCTTCTTCTTTTTGCCTGCTCCAATCTGCACGACTGGTGCAGCATATTTGCTTATCTCGACCAAGACAAATCAACATGGGACGGCGTTATTGGGTCATCTCTGGCCAGTGTGTGTGTGTTTTGTTATTCTCTGGAGGAGTGCTTCTGGACGGTTGGGGTGGCGTTTGTTTTCCGTTTCTTTCCTTATTCTCCCCCTTTTCCTATTCGATTCGCTTCTTGTGCTGCCTTGCCTGTATATCGAAGGCCTGATGTGGTATTTTTCAACCGGCAACTCCCCCTTTTTTGTGCCGTCGGTTCGCCTCTGTTCTTATAGATATCTCTTAATTTGAAGAGACAGCCAGCAGACGATGCTGGCGGCAGGTTGTAACATATGGTTCTGTCAGAAGCTGTGAGTAGACTGTGTAGTGAGACGAAACGGAGCCGAGGACGGTGCGAAAACGGGACGAAAACGGGGACAGGAACGGAGTAGCAGACAATGATGCAATCGGGGAGACAACCCGACGGAGGGCGCATCGCAGCTTCCTTCCCCGCTATCGCCGATGCCATTACTATCTTACGTATCTTACTCCGTATCTAGCTCTCTATTTTGACTGGGTTTTTCCATCGCAGTTCCAAACTCTCCGACAGCTGAGTCTCAACGTGTGCGGATTCCTCGACGATCCCATTTCAAAATGGCCATCGCTGTAAGCTGTTCTGTGCGCCGACGGGAAGAGAGCGATGCGGTGACTAAGACTGGATTCGATTTCGCCAGGCCATTGGTCAGATCTGCTCGACGGCCTCCATGGCCCATAACCTGGAGCAGTGCGTGAGCCTCGTCCACCGAGCAGCCGCAGCAGGGGCCAAGGTGGGACAGGACCCCAGCGGAGACGACTGTGGTGTGTGGGCGGTCTCGCACTGACACGGACACGGCGCAGGTGCTCTTCCTGCCGGAAGCGTCCGACTACGTTGCCGCCTCGCCGGCCGAGTCGCTGCAGCTGGCCCAGCCGGTGCGGCAGTCGCCCTTTGTGCGCGGCCTGCAGGCGGCGGCGCAGCAGCACGGCATTGCCGTCCATGTGGGCGTGCACGTGCCCGTGACGGTGCGGGCGGCCACGACGGTGACAAGCACCGTGGCGCCGACCGTGATCGATCCAGCGGCCCATACGAAGAAGCTGCTCAACCGAGCCATCTGGATCGACGAGGCCGGCCAGCTCGACGACGACGACGCGGCCGCCTACGACAAGCTGCACCTGTTCGACTATGCCGGCGCGGGCCTGCGCGAGAGCGCCCACACACAGGCTGGCACGCAGCTGCGGTCACCTCGCGAGACAGCCATCGGCCGCGTCGGCAGCCTCATCTGCTTCGACCTGCGCTTTCCCGAGGTCGCGCTGGCACTCGGGCAGCCAGGTAGCAGCAGCATCCCCCACCTCCCTGCGCACATCATCGTGTATCCTTCCGCCTTCACAGTCCCGACCGGTCGGGCACACTGGGAAGTGCTGTTGCGCGCGCGGGCCATCGAGAGCCAGTGCTACGTCGTGGCGGCGGCACAGGTCGGACGGCACAACGAGCGGCGGGTCAGCTACGGACGCAGTCTCGCGGTCGACCCTTGGGGGCGCGTGCTCTGCCGGCTGGGCGGCGTGGTTAATGGCGAGGCCGAGGACGGGTCCGAGCCGGGCGATGCTGAGGACGGCGCCGTCGGACAGCTCGGACTCGTCGACATTGACCTCGCGGCGTGGGCCAGCATACGCGAGAAAATGCCGTTGGTTCGGCGGACGTGAGTGATTTTGTCTTTTTGTCTTTCTGTCCTCTTTGTCTTCTTCTTCTCCTTCTTCTCACACTTCTCCTCTCTCATGCTAACACGCACAGGGACGTCTACCCGGAAATCACATATTAGAACATTGTCTTTGCTTATTCACACCGGTCCTGACAAAAGGCGGCCATCCAAAGATAGACTATATAGAAAATGGCCTCTTCCCTTCACGCACGGCTGCTTGTGAACAAGCATGCCGCCCTTCGCTATGCTGCTGCTCCACCTTCCCTTCGAAACCAACCAAACGCCGGAGATGCACAGTATGAAAGACAAAAGTACGAACGACAAAGACGAACAGGTCGAAGAAAAGACAGGATCAAGGAAACAAAGAGATAGAGAGACACGAAAAGAGAGCAACAGAAAGAGTACACAAAGCGATGGAGGAAAGACAGCCCCGCTCAGCGCTGCGGCGGCATCGTCGGGGCTTGGGCGGCATGTTGCGAATCTGCTTGATGAGGAATTCGCGCTCGTCGAGAAACTGCTCGTCCTCAGTGCGCTCCTCGAGAAAGTGGGACAGGAAGTTGAGCAGCTTGTCACGGTTCATGATGAGGATCTTCTGGACGGCGATGCTCTTGTTGGGGTTGGCCACAAAGATCTTGAAGACGTGAAAGCCCTCGTACTGGACCATCTTGCGATCGTCGCGCAGCAGGTTCATGCAGATCTTGAGGTGCTCGCCGCTGTCGACGTAGCGTGTCATGACGCTGTAGTTGGAGCGGTCGAGCAGGATCTCGCCGAGCAGCTTGATAGACTGGCGCTTGGTGACGTAGCTCTGCGACAGCACGAGCGTCGTGTTGTAGCGTCCGAAGAAGAGGTCAAAGTTGACGCTGAGATACTGCGGCACGAGCTCCTTATGCCTAGTGAGGAGTTCCTAGAGGAAGGTCAGCGTCCGTGGAGTGGGCAGGTAACAAGGGACACGGACTCGGAACGTCGTGAAGGCATCAGCAGCGACCTCGAACGAGCTGGTGTCGATCCAGCGGAAGAACTGCCAAAAGACACCTCGGCCGCTCTGCAGTCGCAGCATGGCGATCTGCGAGACGCCGCCGGCACTGGACCCGACAGCCGGCCGCGGCTGTTGTGGAGGCGGTGCAGGCAGAGGCATTCCACTGCCGTCCTGCAGCTGTTGTTGCTGTTGCTGTTGTTCCGGTGTGGCAGCAGCCTCGTCAGCGCTGATAGCCTCGACATCGTCATACAGCACGACGGCAGCAGCAGCCTCGTGCTTGAGAACTTCACGCAGGATGGAGCCGGCCGTGGTGGCACTCTCCTTGTGGTCGTAGCCGTGGCAGAGGGCGACGAGGACGGAGGGAGCGCGATGAGTGACGAAGCTGACGGCGAGCGGTGGATCGGTAGGGGGAGTGCCAGGAGGTCGATAGCGGAAGACGGACGAGAAGACCACCTGGGCGTCTTTGCGCGACTCAAAGGGCAGCAGACGCAGGGCCTGGGGCAGCAGCAGCAGCACCTGCTCGTCGATGATGCCCTGCACGAGCTGGTAAACCTGTTCGGGGCTGCTGTCGACTTCGGGTGATCCCTGGAGGATGGCTTTCATCTGGGCGAGACATTTCGGGAGGGAGTCGTCGAGCTGAAATGGCACAGGGGTTAGGAGGAACGAGAGTGAGGGGAAGAAGAAAGAAACCTGAAAAGAGAGAAAACCGAAAAGAAAGAAAACCGAAAAGAAAGACACACCTTTGGACTCGGATTCCGCGGCAGATCCAAGCGGACAAGGAGGTCGTACGTCTGTCTGGCCAGCTCGGCCGCATTGGTCCGGCTGCGGCCGCGACCGAAGAAGAAGGACATGGCGGACGACAGTGTCGGGGACAAGAACAGGCCGAGCGAGAAGACGAAGCCGGTAAGAGGACGACAGGACGACAGGACGACAGGACGACAGGGAGACGGCGGCGTCTGCCCAAAGCGGCGAGCGGCCAGCGAGCGGGGCGGGTGGTCGATGCTGCACGGACAACTTGTCGAGGTCGACCGATCAGGGTCGAGGGCTGTGAGGTAGTGCGGTGGTGGGTGCCTCCAGAGTCGTGGGGATCCGGGATCGTGATTCGGACGCTTTACGCTTTGAACGGTGAATATTTTGAATATTTTGCCTATTTTATTTATTCCTGCTCTTATTTACTCCGTCCCTTGTTTTTGTTGTCCCTCTGGGAACCCCTCCATCACAGCAACGGCCTGCTGGGGGAACAGGCCTGACGCCTGATGGCGGGGGTATCTGGCGCGTTGGGGCGTGCGCCAGCAGCGGCTATTGGTGGGCTGCAGCGCGCTAAACATGTCATTTACGGCACATGGTGATGCAGCCTTGTCGGAGTCTTCTGGGAGTGGCCTGTACGTTATTTCGGGTATTTTTTTTTTTGGTTACAGCGTCTTGTTTGGTCTTTTTGCATTCAAACGTATTCTCGTTGTCTTCTCTGCCGTCCAGCTTGAACGTAGACACGTCTACTGGCCGGTATGCCAGCCTGAATTGTCTCTATTCTGCAGCTGTCCAGAATAGAACATGTCACTTTCAAACGTAGGTCCTCAGCCAGTCAGCCGATGATGGCGTTTGCGTCCACAAGCCGTGTCCAGTCTTTCAGCACCCACTCCGCACCCAGCACCCTGTAAGCAGACCGCAACTGTTCCTCAACGGCCCTTCTTCATGGCTGCCTGCTCAAGTCAGCTCCTGCAACGGTCTTTCCGCTCGAGCTTCCACGCACCAGGTAGCAGTTTTTCAGCTTCAGAAACTCAGTCGCACATTTGTCCTTGTGGACGGAGTTGTAGTCGGCCACGATGCATTTGCCGTAAGCGGAAGCCTGTCCAGTTAGCAAGATCTTTTCAGTTTGACATTTTCTTCTCTTCTTCTCTTTGTCCTCTTTCTCCCCGTCTTTTCGCTCTCTTCTTCTCTTCTCCTCATCTTTCCTTCTCCTTCTTCTTCCTCCCTCTCCTCCTTTCTCCCTCTCCCTTCTCATACCTCGGCAGGACAGGTGGCGACGGCCGCGGCAACCCGCTGAATCGGTCGCGTACGTGGCTGCATCGTCGCGGACAATTGTCGCCGGCGACAGGATCGATGGCGCAAGCGTGGCGGACACAGGAAGCGGCAGCGCAAAGAGACACAAGACGATGCGCTCGTCCAAACTTGCGCTCTGTCAGGTTTCAAGCAAATTTAGTGGCTCTCCTATTGGCCCGCATACTCAGCGCCTTTCCCAATTCGGTTGAGCCCAGCCATTGCAATTACTTGTTCATAGACAGAAATTCAGTTGCAGGAAGGACAACGCGCTAAACCTCTTAACGCGCCAAGAAAAAACCCCCCGACTTTCTCGACCTCTGTCTGCCGTCTCTGCTTTGTGGGCTTCCCGCGTTGCTATTCGCGCTGCAGGAGTTTGGGTTTTACCTTTGACTTTTTTTTTCTCTGCGCTCCTCCCTTTTTTAATCTGAATTTTCCTGCCCATCCAGCTGCCGCGCTATCGAAGCGAATCCTACCCCCGAGAACCGATCGCGAGACGACAGCTTTCCGTCGAGCTTCACCGCAACGTCGACCATCCAAAACAAGCGATCGGGCTTCCGCTTGGCTTCCGCTTGGCTTCGCCACCGCGCCGGCCGACCGTCCTCTGGCGCTTTATCATGCCTTCGCCGGCGTGCGCGCTCCCATGCCGTCTCACGCTGCTCCGCTGTCCTCTCGAGATGGCCGAGTCCGCTCGTCGTCGATCCAGGACCAGCGCGAGCCCTACTACTACACCAATGAGGACGTTGAGCTGCTGGACTCGATCGTGTCGCTCGGACAAGAGCTGCTGCCGACGCTGCCGAAGCGCGAACAGCTGCCGACGACAGCGCTCTTCCGCGCGGCCGACATTGTCTTTCCGCAGTATGGCATCAGCCCCGATGGCGAGGACAAGTACAGCCGGGTCATCTTTCTGATTGGCGGCATGCGCACGACCGACGACCTGTACGAGCGCTTCCGCACCGTGCTAGAGCGCATGGGCATCGTGATCGAGTACGTCGACGGGGACGAAGCAGCGGCAGCGTTACCAATACCGCTGCCCACGACAAGCACAGACCCCAAACCAGTGCCTGGGCTGGTTCGACGGCACTCGGACGGCACGACGGCATCGCAGCAGCACAGACGACGGTCCGACTCGCCGGCACGGCCGCGTGGCCGGGTCACATTTGCGGACGAGCTGCAAGAACTGCCGATACCAAGACCACCGACAGCGATGGCGATTCGTCCGATGGATCTGTGGCCATCGCACGTGGAAGCCGACGTGGAGAGTGTGGACGACGACGACGACGACGACGACGACGCTGGCGACGACGCGGACAACGCGGACAACGTGGACGACGCAGACGAGGACAGCGATGACGAGCAGGGAGACGGAGTCGACAAGGTCGACCAATACACACGGTCTCTTGAGATGGTGCTGGGACTGCCGGCAGCGAAATACGAGAAGGACAGACAAGGCAAAGAGTACAAACACGAGCACGAGCAGGTCTACAACTTGCCCATACGGCCACGAAACGAGGCAGCGACAGCAGCAGAGGAGCTGCCAGGGGCCAGCGACACGCTGATTCACGAAGAGCTGGACGCTGGTCCGCCGGCCAAGGTGGACGTGCGAATCATGGCGCGCGTGGCCGACACGTTCTATCTGCGCTTTGCATTCCTGGGCGGGCAGGCAATCGAGAAGTGGAGGGCTGCCAGCATGCAGAGCGTAGAGCGGGAGCAATACGCCGTCCGGATGGACCGAGAGTTGTCACTATCGGAAGCGGTGATAGTATGGGGAGGTGCAGTAGAGGGTGAGGTGGAAGGTGAGGATGAGGTGGAAAGTGAAGCCAAAGGTGAAGACGAAGACGAAGATGAAGACGAAGAAGACGACGAAGAAGACGAAACAGGCCTCCAGGTGCTGGAGTATCGCGACAAGATGTTGAAGCTGGCAGGACGGGCATACGACATCTCGCTGGTATACAAGGCGTTTACACACTGGCAGGTAATGGCGCTGGAAGAGGAGGAGCGGACACAGGTGGCACGACGACACGTGCTGCGGAAAAAGGTGTTTGTGGGATGGCGGACACAGACGATGCAAGACGAGGCAACAGTGCGGTCGCTGGTGCTGGGCTGGGCAGTGGTGCGATGGCGGACTTGTCTAGCAGATATCTGGGAGCAGCAGATGACGGCCGAAGGAGTGGACGAGAGAGAGCTGACGGTAGTCGGAGTCTGGACATGGCTGCGCGCATATCAAGAGCGAGTGGCCGAGGCGATTCGACAGCGCCACGAACAACAGCTGAAGACGGCAGCAGCACGACAGTGGCAGGCGATCTGGGGCCAGAAGACGGCGCGAAGAACACAATCAGCACACTGGACGCGGCTGCGACTGGTGGGTGCAGCCGTGGACCACTGGGTAGAACAGGCCCAGACACAGGCGGCGATCCGGCTGCGAATCGAAGCAGAAGAAGACCTGACGTTTGCGCGAGCAGCGCTGCAAGACCTGCAGAAACAGGCGCGGCTGGCCCGCGAGCTGCGACGAATGCAAGCAGCACGACGAGCGGAGCTGAAGCTGACATCGGTAGCAGCCTGGTGGCAGCGGACCGTAGCCGCAGACGAAGAGGTGGCCAGCCAGGATCGACGGCTATTGCGTGACTGGGCGCTGCTGTGGATGCGCGAGGTGCGGCTGGTGCAGTTCCGGGCAGACATGGTGCACGACGCCAAGGTGGACGCAGTGCACAGCTGGATGCTAGCCGAAAAGGTCGTGTTCCTGGGACGATATCGAGACGGCCGGCTGCTGCGACGGGCCTTTGGGCTGATGGCAGAGGTGGCCGGTGTGGGCGGTCGACGGCGGCGATGGAACGAGTGGGAGGCGCAGAGAGACGCGGCCGACGAGCTGCGACAAGCCAACCTGTTGTGGACAAGCAGCCGGCAAGCGACAGCGAGGCTGCAGCACCAGCGAGCACAAGAAGCGCGGGCCGACGCGCTGCTGTGCCGCAGCCGGGCAGCATCGGCTTTAGGGCGGCTGGCGTCGGCTGCAGCAGCATCGGCCTGGCGTGACAGTCAGCTGGCCTCGATGGCCGCCCGCGGCGCATACTATGTGGCCGTGACGGACGCGCTGTCGGGCTGGGCACAGCTGGCACGACAGACGCGCGAGGCCCGGCTGCGGGCGACGTATCGCGCTTTTCGGCTGACCATCAAGCGGGAGACGGCGCGATCCTGTGTGGCCGTCTGGCTGCAGCAGAAGACGAGCCAGAACGAACGACAGACGAGCCTGCTGGCGACGGCGGTCACGGCAGCCGACACGCGCATGTGCTTTGCCGCCGTCGACGCGTGGATTGCCGCAGCTAACGACGGTCTTTTCCGGCAAGCCGTGGCGATCGAGGCCGATGCCGAGGCCTATCTCTCGCGCTGGCGGCTGCGACTGGCCGACCAGACGACCATCACGGACGCGGCAGCCGAGCACCACATCGTGTCGGTCCTGCTGGCCCGCTGGGACGGCTGGGAGCTGCAGGCGGTGCAGGCGCGGGCACGACGCCACACGGCCGCGGCCCTGCGCGAGAAGAACGAGCGTCGACTTGTCCGTCGTGTCGTGGCTGGCTGGCAGGACTGGATGGCCGAAGAGGCCGAAGCCGAAGACGACGAGGTCGAAGACGAAGCCGACGAGGCCGACGAGGACGAGGACGAGGCCCAGGACGAGAACACGACCATCCACTGGTCATCGACGTCGTTTCCCAGCAGCTCGGCCTGGCGACTCGGATCGTCGTCGCTGCGGTCATCAGCCGCCACCAATGCCACCAATGCCACCACGGTCACGGCGACGCCCTTTCGGCCGGCCTCGAGCTTCTTGCTGCACCCCATCATGGAGGCCGATCTGCGGTCGTCCCAGATGCAGATGGCCGCCCAGACGCCGACTCGACACCGGCTGCTGCGCCTGACACCGGCACCAGGGCGGACTCTGAAACCGACGCCCAAACCGACGTTGGGTGCAGGTGCAGGCACCGGTCCAGCTCCGATTCCGGCTCCCACGCCCGCTCGCCTGCGTCGTCGGCTGCTCTCGGCCGCTCGTCTGGCCGACTCTGTCCAGCTGGGGCCCATGTCGGCCTTTGACGAGGACGAGGATGACGAGCACGACAGTCGAAACGGTCACGGCCACCTCGACGACGATGCCGATGCCTCGTCCGATGCCGACGACCTGCTGCTTCTCCAGAGCGGCAGCCATGCTCGCCATCGGCTCGGCCGCAGCTATACCGCCGCATCGGCCACGAATCCGCGACGGGGACCTCCACAGCCACCGTCTGGCAGCGTCCACGCCAGCGCCAACACCAACGCCACTACCACGCCCATGGCCCCGCTGCCGTCGCCGTTTGAGCGCCGTCTGCGCGCCGCCTACCGGTCGTCGTGGGCGCCGGGGAACGGCCGTCGCACGCTGGCCACAACAACAACACCGCTGCCGAGCCGACGGTCCGCTGCCGTCACGTTTGCGGACGACTATAGGGGGTAGGGGGGACAACAGGGTTGAGGGGATGCAGTGCAGAGTGCAATGCACAAGTCTCGTCTTAATGAACGTGATCGGATCATGAATGGCTCTTTTGGTGTTCTTGGACCTCAATGTTGATGTTGTTTTGTTGTTTTGTTGTGCTCTTTTGCTCTTTTGCTCTTTTGCTCTTTTTTGCTGTTTGGTCACTCTTTCTCATTCGCCCGCTTCACACATTCGCCGGAGTTGGCTTCTTGGAAAGGTGGTGCGCCGGTTGCGCAAGGCGTTCAGGATGGCTCTCGGTTGTATAGCAGCCCCAAAGCGGAACTTCAGCCCGCAGTATAGCAACCAATGATTTCAGAATCACCATACAAGAACCACGTCTCGTCTGGCCATCAATCGCATAATCGGATTCCAAAAAATGCCCAAAACGTCTGCCTCCAGTCATGTCGCGTCCAATATAACAGAAAATGGTCTGTACAGACAAAAATGGTCAAAAAACGTCCCAAAAAAGCATTACAAGTTTTTACTGTCCCGACCGCTGTCCAGCAGCCAGGCTCATGACCCATCCCTTTCCCAATTCCTCTTGCTTCGTCAACGTGCGTCTTCCATCCGTCATCGGTCTTTCAATCCCTCCAGCACCCGCGCCTTCAGGCCGCCCAGCTGTTTGTCTCGCTTGTGCAGCACCACCACCAGGTCGCGGTATCGCTTCTCCCACATCGCCGCCAAGCCTGTCGTATCGTCCGGCATCGTCGCTGGCAGTGTCCCCATGTCCGGCGGTGTCGCATACGGCGTCGCATTCGTGCTTGGTGGTGTCACCGCCGGTCGCTTCCGGTCCACCGCCTCCTCGCTGCTCTGCCTCTCCGCCTCCGCCTTCACCTCCATCGGCGTCTTGGCCCAGTACGTTTGCGGCACCCTTTCCACCATGTTGAACCGCCGTCGCACGCTGCCAAACCTGAGCTCCCAGCTCATCCCAAACTCGGCATATTCGTCATTCTCGCCCATCCGCCGAAGCTCCATCTTCGAATGGTCCATCAGCACCCTCGCCCCGGCCAGGATCGCCACGTTGATCAGAAATGCCTCCCCTGAAGGCGCCTTCTTGATCAGGTTCGTCATCACCGTGTCCGCAATCGCACGCGCCTCGTCAATCGTGCAGCCCTGCGTCAGCTGTCCCTTGGCGTCCCGCCATTCCGCACACAGAATCTCATGCAGGAAATACGCGTGCGTCTCATCCACGTTCGTCCGGTCTTTCTGCGCATCAAAGTGAAATGGTAGGCTGAAGAGTGGCGCTGGCGCTGGCTTGCCCAATACGCTGCCGAATGTACCGTTCATGTTGTTGCTGTACCCGCCTACCGCCGTCCTGCCCGTGCCCAGAGAATTGCTCACTCCTGGGACCCGACCGGCATTGATGTGGCTGTTATTGTCCATACTGACAACAACATCATCCGCCTCCACCATGTACACGCTCCGATCCTGCCCTGCTGTGGCCACGGAATATAGCGATGAGAAGGAGTCGTTCCCGAACGGCTGCGTGCTCATGTCCTCATGTTGATAGTTCAGGTGATAGCCTGCCATGTTCCCGGCAAAGCTCCCGTAATACAGCGGTGACGCGAGCGCATTAGGGTCCAAAAAGCTCATGTCAGAGCCGAATGGCGCGCATCCGTTGAACATTCCCAGCGGCGACACCGCCAATGCAATGCTTGAGCCCCGGACTTCCGCCCGCTCCGGTCCGTACATTGGCTGACGCTCAGAGCGCTCATCACAATGCCTGGACACCGTTGCTCCGCCGTCGGATGTCGGCATCTGCGACACGAGAGGGATCAGTACCGAGCCGGCCGAAGATGTGCTGCCTGCATCATGCAGCACCGGGTTAGCCATATACGTGGATGGCAGCTCCGGCGATGTCGAGTTGGACAGCTGAGCCGGGTATGCAGTCTCCGTAAAAACTGCCGCTGTCTGCTCCATTGTGGTATATACGGCCTGCGAGCTCTCAACAGCGGCTGTCTGCTGATTGTTGCCATTTCTGCGGGCTTTGCTACTGCTGTTGTTGTTGCTGATGCCGTTGCAATTGCCATTGCCGTTGCGCTTAATGGGCGGTCGGCCACGCGTCTTGCCAGAGCCGCCAGTGCCGCTGCTGCTGCGCCATGCCGACGAGACCACCTTGGCGCCGTGACGACGGCCGGAAGACCGTGTTGTCTTGGCCGGCTGCGCTGCCACAGCCGGCTTTGGCTCGTCTCCCCAGAAAGTCTGCCGCGTCGGCGTGATGGATGTTGTCGGGTATGCCGATAATGGCGACTCCAACTCGCTGCCTGTCCACGATGATCCCACCGGAGGCGTCGGCAGGGACATGTGCGGTCCCCCGCTCATGTCGTACGATGGAATATGCAGTTGCGGATGCTGCACCTGCACATGTGCTTCCGCGTGCCCTGAGTTGCCCGGCGGCTGCGCGAATGCGTATATGGTATTGTTGTGGGGGTGTTGCGGCCATGAGCCGTTTGCATTTTCCGGCGCGTCGTCAAGGCGCTGCTTCTGCAGCGGTGGCATGCAGCTCAGCAGCTGCTGATCTGCGTCCTCGTCCGGCCGCCTCCGCCCCCGACGTGGCTTTATCTCGGGAACAAGAGCACGCAGCGCCATGTCGTCTTTTGCAGCCACGCCGTCGCGCAAATAGTCGTCAAACGCACCGAGATCGGACGGCACCTCTGTCCAGTAGCTATGGCCACGGTCCATCAGATAGTCGAAGAACGCATCAACATGCATAGCATGCATCCAGCGCTGGGACCGTGTGAGCTAGGGAGCAGTGAAAAGGCAGCAAAAATGGGGGCTCTTACCTTTAACCGCACAGCGTACTGCTGGATTTTCTGTGAGCTTTGGCCACTGTCCTGGTCAGGAGGATCGACGCCCAGCTTGAGCGCCAGCTCAGCCCACGTCTTGATCTGCTTGCTCTCGAGCTGGCAGATGAGCAGGAACAGCGTGTAGATGCTAAAGCTCTTTCCGCCGCTACGCGGAGGCGTTCGGAATGCCTCCCGCAGAGCCGCCGTACTGCTATCCAACGGCACAATCGGGTTGCAGTAGAGAATGAAGCTCACGTAGGCGTCCTCAATGGTCGTGCCCGTCACGGAGCGGTCAGGCAGAGAGTGTCTCATTGAGAAAAGATGTGCAGCCGGGAAGCTGCTCTGTTGTCGTGGGTGTTGCTGTTTCTGTTGCTGTGGCAGCTGATGGTAATGTGGATGCTGCTGCTGCTGCTGCTGCTGCTGCTGCTGTCGATGCGGTCGCTCTCACTGTCGCTGTTGCTGCAAATGCTGTCTCCGGCCCCAACAACAGCCGCCGTCCATCTAAAGAGAAAAAGCAATGGCACCTGATGCTGTTCTGGTCACTCTTGTCATGACGACCTCCTGCAGAGGGCTTGGCGTCAGGCGTCAGATGAGATACAAAGGCTAAGCGCGTGTCTCTTCTAGCTGCGAATCCACAGAATTGGTCCGGTGGGGATGTCTTGTGTATAAATATAAAGCCCGTTCAGTCCAGATTCAGACCAGGCAAGAAAGAAGCAGGATCCGACAGAGTGGTCGCCGCGTGGCAATTGTTGGCCGATGGTGCGCCTCCCAGTTCTACCGGTTGTGGTCCAACAGCTCATACCTTTGCCAGCCGCCCGAGCGTAGCGTTGTAGCGTCACTGTTAGGTCTCCGACTGCAAATGGGTGGACGGGTTGCAGGCTGGTGGGTATCGAGAATGCTTGTGTTCGGAAACAAAGTACTTTGTTGTCTCGTGGCTGCCCATTCTAAGACTTGCCCTTTGTTACCCCATGTATTATTTTTGCCGCCAGCAGGTAGTCGCCAGCAAGGGGCCCTCTGTCGCTCCTGCCTCGCCCCTCTTTCAGCCGCCCGGTCCACCAGCCCTAATCAGTAACCCAGAATAGCTTTTGCCAATTTTGAGCTATGTGTCAACCTTATCCCATAGTCCTGCCAGCTCGAGAAAAAGGTCAGAAGGCTGACCTGAACGACCTTACTGTTGCGACGAGCAGGCGAGATGTTGCACGTGCCACTCTGTAAGTGCACTCGACCCGGTGTCTGAAACCCAACTCCCCACTATGCGCTGATCCCGATCGGACCTAAGCCGCCAAGCTCCGAGCATCGTAGTTCTGTAGCCTGTAACTCGACACCCACAAAGTGGAAGCTTCGTTCCAACAGCACACACACACCGCAGATCGCCAAGCGTCCGCAGTACAGGTATGCGTCCTGAGGCTAGAGTGTTTGACTTTGTCCGGTATGAGTAAGGCGCACAATTCTACGAGCTTATTAGGCGGTCATCTATCTGCGCAGCTCCTCCTGAATCGATGTTTAAACATACGGTCAAGGAGAAGCAGGCCCTGGCCGTACAGTACGATACGTAATTGGCCTCCAGAGAACTTTTGTCGGCCACGCCGTCTGCCCTGTCCTCCACTGTTGCTGCTGGCCCGCGCATAAACCTCGGGGCGCTAATCGATTACGTGTGGCGCCGTGGCCGTGCTGTCTCTTGCCCTCGCGACTTTTTCTATTTTGCCACGCCTCGCCACTCTTCGGTATTGGCAACGTCAGTACTCTGTCAAGTGCACTGCACACACTGATACCGTGTTCAGGGACAGGTGCTTCAGTTCGTCCCGCTAGTCTGTCCGATTACTGAACTGCACGAAACTGGAGAATGCACTTACCAGCCGCTTGGGTCTAGCTATGTTCCAGGCAACTAAAAACAAATAGACAAACGCATGCCGGCGCCGACGCTTAGTCTCAGAGTGGCAAGCTCGGCCGAGCAGAACAGGTTATGGTCCAGGATACCCCGTCGGCAGTTGTTTCATATGTTAATCCTCATCTGCCGTTGCTGGACTACTGGTGTCTATGCAAAATGTACGGAGTATTGAGAACGTTTTCATCGCCTGAGCCGTATATATGATGTTCAGACGGTGTGCAGTTAGAGTGCAGACACGGGGCCGACTGTGGTTAGCCTGTGGTTCGTGCTGTAATACGAGTCGCCTCAAATCAGGCCCGGCGAGGAGAGGAACTATACGAGTAGTCCTCTGGTTTCGATATAGATCACGCTATGGTTGCGTTCCCTAGCCCGGCTGATATTATAGCGAGAATGTCCCGGCAACGTATATGTAGTATTACTCAGCCACGACCCAGACAGCCGGGACCTCTTGTTTCTTGAAGCAGGTTGCAGTTACTACTACGTAGATGGAGCAATTGTTCCGCAACTAGCTCAGAAATAGGGGTGATAAGTAACAGCAGACGCCCAAACAAGGCTGCAGGGCTGTATGCCCGTGATTTGGCATAAATGCTCGCCAACCTGCCCTGGCTGTTTGTATGTAGCAATGGAAGCAGCCTGTTTATAATGATACGCTAGATAATGACCAACTGGAGAAACGCCGCATTAGTGTAACATACGACGAATCATGGAGAAGAGATAAGCGGTTTCTCTATGTAACCATTGCGTCGTCGTCGTTGCTTGTGCTTCTACAGTACTTCGTACGTTGCTTGCATCTCAATTGTCACTGTCTCTCCTTTTGTCCGCGATGTCTTCCCGGTCCATTGTAGCATGCGTGCTTTCTAGCCTCTACTTGGCAAGCCTGGTTTCTGCTCACTCTCCCCAGCAGCAGCCGATGCAGGATAGAGCAAGCTTTGTCAGCAAGTCAATCTTCCGTCATCAACCCGAGATGCTGGCTGCTCTCGCAGATCCGGGTCCACATCTATACGACGAGGTTGAAGGCACCCCCTTCCAGGGCACCGTGTCCTTTGCACATCTTGAAACTCCCGACTGCTTTTCAGCTGCCGAGGATGGCATTTTTGACATTGCCATTGTCGGCGCCCCTTTTGACCTGGGCGTTACATACCGGCCTGGCGCTCGATTCGGGCCCGCTGGAGCTAGGATGGGCTCTAGGCGAATAGCGCCTTCGGTGGGCTACAGGTACGTCGTATGCAGGGCGTCAGGTCCTCCCTTGCGCACCCCTATAGCTGTTCGACGGGGCTACCAAGTGCTGACGGCCAGCATGGACAATGGCGTGAATCCCTTCCGGGACTGGGCCAAGGTGGTCGACTGCGGCGACGTGAGCAACTCGCCTTTCGATAAGCTGCTGGCGATACACGAGCTCCAGAAGGGCTGGGAGGCTGTCGCGAGTCGCAAGGTGCGCAACCCTGATAACGGCACCGTGCCACGCATCATTGGCATCGGTGGCGATCACACAATCAGCCTACCGGCAATCCGCGCGCTGTCCAGGACATGGGGCCGCGTGGCCGTGCTGCACTTTGACTCCCACCTAGACAGCTGGGACCCAAAGCAGCTTGGCGGCGGCAAGACAAAGTACGCAGAAATTAACCATGGAACCATGTTTCACATCCTGCACGAGGAGGGCCTCTTGTCCAAAGATGCCAATATGCACCTTGGAGCGCGAACAATGCTGTTCGATAAGTCGTACGACTTGGAAAACGACGCGCGGTGCGGCTTCTCGTACATTCGTGCCCGGGAGCTCGACGTTATGGGCGTCGACAAGATCGTTGCAAAAGTTGTGGAGACAGTGGGCGACAGCTTTGTCTACTTGAGTCTCGACATCGACGTGCTTGATCCAGGTAAGCAACCGTCCCTGTGGCCCGGCTGAATGTCAGTGCACTGACTCCCGCACCAGCCTTTGCTCCGGCTACCGGAACAATCGAGCCGGGCGGGTGGACAGCGCGGGAGATGCTCCAGATCCTCGACGGACTATCTCAGGCCGGCGTCAAAATTGTGGGTGCAGACGTTGTCGAGTTCACGCCTGTGTACGACAACTCGGCGGAGACCACCGGACTCATGGTTGCGCAGCTCGTCTATGAGATTCTCCAGTGGATGGTCCGGGTTCCTGTGTCCCCACAGTAGAGTGGATGTTTGGATGGATTGTGAGATTACGGAATCTTGTGACAGAAAAAGAGGAGGGAAAAGATTAGTGTACTCCGTACTCCGTACGGAGTAGTGCATTCGGCGTCCACTGCCGCTTGCTGTAGTTGTGTGCCACCCGAGCGGTCAGGGAGCCGGACGCCACGACAAGGAAGCCCTGGTTGCTGTCGGCGCCTCCCGCTGCCGAACAACTTTTCTTTTGAAGCATAATCGTCCTTCCTTGATCCTAGCATCATGGGCCCCAAAAATTACTTCGTAAATTATTAGTCAGTGGGCCCGTGCATTAGCACGTGAAGCCGCGAGGTGTTGGTGTGTGGGGAAGGTGCGGTTCAAAGGCCGAACCCCAGCCAAATTTTGCGGCATGCCGTCATTGTTCCGGGGTTTGAACCTCGGCTTCAACGTGGCAGAAGCATCTCCACGACACATGCATTCGTAGCAAGCCGATAATAGACAAGTTTACGCGTCTGTCAACCTGCTCTTGGAGTCTTTGTGCACGTCTCATCTCGTTCATCCTTTCCGACTCCTAACCTCTCGTCATCACCACAAGCGTACCGCTGTCATCATCCGTTATCCACCATCCACCATTCACCATCCTCCATCCACCACCCACATAAATCAAGCACCGCGATCCACACTATGGCGCCTGTTGCCTCTAAGCCCGTCCCCGACGCCGACACGGCGGTGCCGCTCCCGGCAAACGACAGCGTGGCTCACGCCATCGCGGGTGCGGGCGGGGGCATTCTGTCGACACTGGTGACATACCCGCTGATCACGCTCTCAACACGGGCACAAGTGGAGTCGAAGCGCGCGGACTCGTCCTTCCTGGCGGCAGTGGAGCACATTGTAGCACGTGAGGGCGTGTCTGGTCTGTATGCAGGCCTCAACTCTGCCGTCTTCGGCATCGGGGTGACCAATTTCGTCTACTACTACTGGTATGAGTGGACGCGGGCCGCATTCGCACAGGCTGCCGCTGCACGTGCGGCCACACCAGGCCGGGTGGCCGGAAGACTGACGACGGCAGAGTCGATGATTGCGGGCGCCGTCGCCGGTTCGGCCACGGTGATTCTGACGAACCCGATCTGGGTGGTGAACACGCGAATGACGACACGCCGACGGCCATCGACAAAGAAGACTGCCTGCACCAGCGCCAGTGCTAGTGCCAGTGCCAGTGCCAGTGCCACCATCTCCAACCCGTCGTCAGCAACATCCACGGCAACGACGGACGAGGAAGCCGTGCTAGTTGAGTCGGACAAGGAGAAGAAGGAAGCGACCAAGGACGTGGAAGCGGAAGCGGTAAAGGAGCCAGAGACAGCGGCCGTTGCTGCGCCCACGTCAACTATCGGCACCCTCTTGGCCTTGCTTCGGGAGGAGGGCCCGCGGGCACTGTTTGCCGGTGTCGTGCCGGCGCTGGTGCTCGTGATCAACCCGATCCTGCAGTACACCCTCTTTGAGCAGCTGAAGAATATGGTACAGGCGCGGAGAGCCCGCGGCGCGCCCTTCACACCCGGCCTGGCGTTTATCCTGGGTGCCGTGAGCAAGCTGTTTGCTACCGGCATCACTTACCCATACATCACGGTCAAGAGCCGCATGCATGTGGCCAAGGACCGCAGTCAGGGCGGCGTGACGGCTGTGCTGCGCCGCATCATCCAGGAGGAGGGCTACGCTGGTCTATACAAGGGTGAGTTTTGCCGTACTCCTTGCGTCTCGTGTCATATCCGTCGAATTTCCCTGGTTTCGCCCGTGCTAACGGCTTCTCAGGCATCGGTCCCAAGATCACGCAGAGCGTTCTGACGGCTGCCTTCCTCTTCGCCCTCAAGGACGTGCTGTATGCCCAGACTGTGCGGCTGCGGTCGGTGGCAGCTGCCAAGAGGATCCATGCTTAAAGGGTGTCCCGCTCTGAGCAAAAGATACATCTTGCATGTTGGTGGACGGTCACTCATGACAAAGGTTTCCATGAAACATACGGGTGTCCGAAAAATATTAACGCAACCAGGGAGATGAGCCTCCTGGTTGCGGCATGTATAACTAGCTTCTCTACCGGTCGTTATTCAAAAATACAACTGCTATATCCTTAGAGAGTAGGCACTTGCAACTGTGAAGCAGGACATATTGGTATTATCGCGCCACCGCCATTACTTTACGCTATGGAAACCTATTGTGTGTTATTACAGCAAACATCTTACATGCAACAGGAAGCAGCAACTCCTCTTTATCTCCGCCTTCACCCTTTCGCGCCTGCCCAAACCTAAGCCATCGGTCACTCTTTCCTGAACGATTTCTCATTACTACCAATACCCCCTCTTCTGGACATCCAGCCCATATCTTCTCTCTTTGCTTCACTCTAATCCCAACCACCTGAGCGCCTTTTGACTAATGATGGCGTCACCCGCCATATGCCTTTGCGCTTCACTTGCTGCCCGGCTGCGCACAACGTTGCCATTTGCATCCGGGGCTGATGATTCGCCGGCTGCTTCTTTTGTGGCTGTCGCTCCCGTTTGGCGGCTTTGGAAGCCTGCACCGCCCAGATCAGCAAGCTGGGCTCTCTCTTCGCGGAGGAACAGCGGCATTAACATTCGCATGTACATGTCGTTGTCCAGGTCTTCTTCGTCTTCATCGTCGTCTTCGTCGATTCTGTTTTCCTCCCCGCTGCTCCTCGAAAGGGCGGCGTTGCTGGCTCTCAAACTAACCATGCTCATCACATGTTGCATCCTTTCCATCTGGGTTCTGCGTCTCTCCCGTGCTATAGCCGCTGCAGACCCGCTCACTTGCACCGTCTTCGCCACAAGGCGGCTATTGCGGCCAGACAGCACAGACACAGCCATTGCAGGCGCAGGCACGGCCGCAGGGGCGTCGATCAGAGTTGATGAGGCGGTAGAAACGAAGGAGCATGGCGAGGCTGGGCCGCTGAGAGAAGAGCAGCGTCGCAATGTCAAAAGGCTTGTCTTCAGACGATCGCTCACGGTGAGGATCGATGTGCCCACCAAACGCCGATGAACCGAGGCCACGAACGCTGAGATGTCGAGTTCAGTCGCATTTGCCGACAGCAAAAGGTCAGCACGTGCATAAGGATCGGTTTCGTCCGATAGCGTAGCCGTTGTCTGGGCGGATTTGGCGCGGGGAGCGAGCAGTGCCGCCACTTGCAACAGGCTTTGGCCCAGCAGCTGCTGCAGCTCAAAGACCACACCCAGCAGCTCGACCGGGTAGTCCAACATCAAGAAGCGTATGGAAGGGTGCGTCCGGAGATAAAGTTCGAGCTGTGGCACGATGAGTGCAGCCAGCGACTTGGCAGAGTCTTTGTTGCTGGAGCTCTTCAGTGTCGTTTGTGCCTGACGGGCAAGGACCACCAAGTACCGGATATCTAGTCGACCACTGCGGCTGCTCCACGCTGTTGATGATGTGGCCCCGAGAGATAACAGCCTGCCCATCACCGTGGCCGTGAGCGCAGGTCGGACGCCATTCTGCACCCCCAGGGCCAGTATCAGATCAATGCAACCGCCGTCCTTGCCCAATAGCGGTGTCCACAGATCGCAGTCTATCGACGACAGATAGGCAGACAGGTCGTCTTCACTCGCACGCTCGTGCTTATTCTGGCCGTCAGCCGGTCGCTTCAGGTGGTCGCCGAGAGCGGCTCGCAAGGCATTTTGCATTTTCATGGCCGTTGGATGCTCTGTCGTCAACAGTGCAACGAAGCAGTGCTGCTTCGTCTGCTTCACGATTGTGGGAGGCGGTGTCTGTGCTGGGGTAGGTGGCTGCTGTGTCCTATCCGTTGCCCTGACAGTGCTCGGAGAGGGCTGTGAGTACCGAGACGATCTATTGTCCATCGCATATTTGTACCCAGTTGCAGCGAAAGGGTCGTACCCATCCAGGCTCGACCGTGGTGCTGTGATTGCTACTGCAGGCAACGAGGAGTCTGCCAGAGCCCCACCCGGTGGTGTTTTGGGAGTATAGGGTCGTGGAGCATGTTGCGCTGATGGCGTGCCTTGCGGTTGTAGCCGGGTTGTACCTGGTGTTGCTGGATTTGTGCGAAAGACGTCATCACGAATGCACACACTGTCGTCAGCCATACTTCGGCTCCGCGCTATGGCGAGGTCCAGGACTGGGTGTGAAAGCCCATCATGGAAGTGAATGACCAGGTCTTCCACTAAGGGCAGCACGGGATCAGACCCAGCCTCAGGTTCAAACGGCCTAGTGGCATCCGTGCCACGGTCGACACACATAGGCTTGGCGGCTACCGCCGATCCCGTCTGGAGCCGCAGCTTAGGCAGAGGAGACTGTCTGTTTCGACTAGGCCCGCCTAGCTGCTCAAACGTACCAGCCAGCAGCAGTGGCACGGCTGGCACAATCGACGACGGTCTTGGCCTCGTGTTCTGCATCAGCAAAATCGAATCCATGGTCGTTCCTGACACAGGCCGCAACGATGAGTCGCGACTGAGCAAGAAGCTTATGCTACGGTCGCCCAGTGACTCCCTGCTTCCCTCTGGTGGTGGTCTGCTGTCGCTGTAGAGCGGCTGACGTTCGAGCGACCGGGCTCGCCATCGTGTTCGCCCGCGTGACTGTCCCAGTGCTGGCGAAGTCGTAGCCATGGCTGCAGCAATGGCATCCGGCTGCATGGACAAGGGAAAGATGGCCGAGGAAGGTGACGCAAACGGCGAAGAGAGGAAGCTCTCTGTGGCATCAACACTGCCTACGCCTGACCGTGTCATCCACACACTGCTAGCGTTGCTCTGGACGGAAGCCTGACTGACACGACGGCCGAAGTTCGCTAGTCTGTCACCGTGAATCGGCAGGTTCAGGCTGTGACGTCGTTGTCGAGTGAGATCCAGCAGGGAGTGGTTGGCCGGCTGGAGGCTCTCCGTTTCTTTGTCGAGTGCTTCGGCGGCACGCATGGCCCTTGTGCTGGGGTCGGTGTCGGAGTCTGTATCGTTGTCACTATTCTTGGAGACACCGCGCGATGGCTGTGTTGGCTGGAGAGCAACGTTGCTGGCATCCAGCCCAGCCAGGCCGCCCGCTACCAGCTCCTCGAACAGCAAAGCAGCAAGCTGCAGATCGCCACCAGCAGCATTGTCGTGCTTACGGATGGCCTCCACACACAACGCATGGCTGGCGGTTGTGCCCCCCTCCAGAAAGACGAGTCGTTGGTCGTGGCACTTCTTCGTGAAGCTGTTCAAGCGCAGGAAGTCGGCAGCGGCTCTGTTTCGAGCCGCAGCAGCCTCGTGCACATTCCGGATGAAACTGCGGGCATCAAAAGAGGAGCCGGTGAAGCTAGAGGCCGATCCACTTTTGGTTGTGGCTAGGTTTGCCTCTTCAAGGTACGCCTGGATGGCCGGCAGGACGAGGATGTTTGGCGATGCGGGCAGGAGGCGAAGCTGGGTGGTCACCGCTTCCGGAGCACCTTCAAAGGCAATGAGGCAGGCGTTGTTCTTTAGACTCGACATCTTAGCGTCTCGCATACTGTAGAGCATGAAGTTACAGAACGGATGCCCGCGGCTGCATGTCAATCAAATGAGGCGACGGAAAAGGACGATGGAGGAAGGGAGCAGGGTTTTAAAAACGAGAGAAAGGGACAAGCCGGATTGGCAGCGCTGTGAGTCGAGAGCCGTAGGACGCAGCCTTCCTATCACATCCGATATAACTGCCGGGGTCTGAAAATAGTAGACTGCCGGATGCCGATTGAAAGTCCTTCGCTAGGAAGCTAGAAGCAGCCGTGCTTACTGGTATGGAAGCGGTAGAAGAGAATGTGCGAGAAAGAAGGAATGAAGAAGCAGGGCACTCGCTGATCACGACTGATCCGGCTTAATCAAGAGGCAGGAGGTCGGTACCAGAAGTAGGAAAGGGGAGGGTGCCTTTGGCGCACGGGCAAAAGGCGTGCAGCAGTTCTCGAAGCACGGCCTGATCGATGGCGAGAACGGACGAGCATATTGGCCAACCACACGAAGTCGCCCTGCACAGAACTACGACAGAGAGGGGCGTACGATCTACCAAAGAGGATGTTGCTCACGACCAACATCAACAAATGGAAGGCATGATCGCCGAATGCCACGGCTGAGGCCACAAGCAGGAGAGGAAGTGTGGGAGGACAAGGGGGGGAAAGGGGTGCAGGTGCAAAAAGGCTGCAACGGGGCAGAATGCAGGAGGGAAGCGGTCAGACTGCGACGATTGCATTACTCTTAAGAGAAGCCAGTGTTGTGTAGCTGCTACGCCGTACATGGCAACAGAGCGTTGCAGCGAGCTCGCCTGTATGTTACGTGTTCAGGGGCGGGAGCCTGGACGGCAGGCGGTAAATTGGGAAATGGTGACCTGAAATCGGCGTGTAAGTCTACTTGTTATATTACTCTGCGTGCGCTGGTTGAGTTGGGTCCAGCACGGATGGTGGGTCAGAGTCCTGTATCTCAGTGCCGAGCCCACTGTACCGTTGGACAAGACAGCCAATCTCACCTGTGTATCGGGGACGTGTCGTTTCTCACGTCGCACTGCAGGCCAGTGTAATCAGAGGAGAGGTGCAGTGGACCGCTCCTTCTCAAGGCAGGACGGATAAAAAAAAAGAAAAGATGAAGGGAAGGAGCGGGATGGGGCAGAGGATGGGGAAGGTGAGAAGATATTACATACATAGTAGTATGGTAGCCACCAATCTGGTTGACTCGAAAAGTAGCAAAAAAAAGCAGAGAGGGTCTCTTCCTTGTATATCCACAAAAGACGGGGCACAAGCGGCAACAGAGCGCATTTTTGTGATGTGTGTTTTTCCATCTATATTGCACTGCGCCAGTCTTAATATACAAGCGGTCTTTGCCGAGCTTTTGCTCCGTGCGACAGCCTCTTGACCGAGGTAGGGCTGCTGGTTTTATTGCCTTCCCCAGCTCGATCGGCGCCGGGCCAGGAACGAGGCCTAGTTGTATAATTTTTTTTTTCCTCTCCGAGATCTCGCATTGGCCTCTTCTTTTGGAGGGGCCGTTGCAGAAGCACGGGCCACTTTCTATAGAGAGCTCCGTAGTCAACCATGTTTTGTCGACGAGAGGACGCCAGCCGGAGACCATACGGAGTAGTTCCTCTAGAGTATTACTATGCAATACAGTGCTTGCGTGTCGTCTAGATGAAGACGGCCAACTCCACCCCCTTATGCATGTCCAGCTCATTACACTGATGTGGCACGAGGCAATAGTGTGCTGCAGGTAGCCGACATTGGGAAAAGGAGGCCCGACGGGAGAGACCTTACACAAGTTGAACCGGACTTTTTCGTCTCGTCTTTTCGTCTTACCGGTTTCTTTTTTCCTCTTTCCTGTTTCGCGAAGCACAACAGCTACCGAAACGATGCTACCGTCACCCTGCTTACACAGAGCGTTTAAGACCCTCTTACGGGAATATCAATTGCAGAAAGCGGCCGGTATTGCCGATGTAGGACGGGCCATCGGGCCCTCATCACCCTGAGCCATTTGTCCTACTCCGTATGTAGCAGCTTGCGGCACAGACACAGTTTGAGCGGTGCTTTTGTGCCGGCTGTCCTGCCGTGCAACCGGGCATCCGTAGGCACCTGACCGCTAGAAATGGAGTGGCCAGTGGCACCATTGGCTCAGTTTCGGCGGAGCTGATGGGGAATGAAGAAGAACTGCCGTTTGCTCGATTATTAAGGGGGGGACTTTTACTCCGAGCTGGCGAGCTTCATCACCAGTTTGTTTCATGTAAGATACCCCGTAACTCGTTTGTTTCGTCTGTTTCGTCTGTTTCGTCTCGTCTTTGTCCCACTCTCTGGCCCCTCAGTCGTCCTCCATCAAGGCTGCGAGCTCGGCCTCCTCTTCGACCGTCAGCCCATCCTCTGTTTTTTCTGCTGCCGCTTCTTCTGCTGCTGGGGACGCGTCATCCTTCAGGTCCTCCTCCTGCCGGCGCACCAGGTCATCCAGGCCGGCACGGTCCAGTGGCCACGTACGCAGTGTGCCGTCCAGGCTGGCGCTGCAGAGTCGTCGGCGGTCGGCCAGGACGGTGATGCCGGTGATCTCGTCAAAGTGGCCGGCCAGCGTGGCGTAGCGGCGGCCAGTGGCGCGGTCCCAAAACTGGACGTCCTCGTCGCGACCGGCCGTGACGACCCAGGCGTCCGTGACGGCCACCGCGCGAACATGGTCGCCGTGCGCGAGCGTGTCGCTACCGTCGGCGAAGCCGTGTATCCGCGAGAGGCATTTGGTCGTGCCGTCAGCGCTGCACGTCCACAGATCAATGTCCTGGCCGTCGCCGTCGGCAAAGTCCTCAAAGAGCAGCTTGTAGACGGTCGTCTCGTGGGCCAGCAGGGTCCGACGAGGCCCAGCAGCCGCAGCCGCAGCCGTGTTTGCAACAGTCTCAGCAGTCTCAGCAGCGTCCTCCACCTGCTCCCAGCCATCCGGCCGGATGCGCCAAATACGCCGGATGTGCGGGTCGCTGCTGGCACTCACCAGCCATAGCTCGTCGGCCGTTGTGGCCACCGGGTCGATTGCCAGGTCCTGCACGGCCATCATGGCCGGTCCGCCCGTCTTGTCCTGCAGCGTGTGCAGGCGCCGGCCCGTGGCCACGTCCCAGACGATGATCTTCTTGTCAGCACCACCGCTGATCAACACGGCCTGGCCGCCCAGCTGCCCGCACACGACCGCCTTGACAAAGTCGCCATGGCCGACGTACCGGCGACCGACCACACGCGTGGCCAGGTCCCAGGACCACACCGTCTTGTCCCAGCAGCCAGCAAAGAGCGTGCAGCTGGTGCTCGTGCTGCCCAGCGCGAGGCTGGTCACTGGCGTCGTGGGGCCGCGGTATGCGGCCGTGGCGGCATTTGCATCCTGGAGGTCAGCGTGATTGATCGTCGGCGTGTCTGTGCGCTTACATCAATGTTGACTCTCCGCGCAGAGCCGGCCGACTCGGCGATGAACACGTGTGAAGCAGAGGTCGGATCGGCAATGACTGCCAGCACTTTGGACTTTAGGGCGACCGGGTTGCCATACTTGTTGGTCGACTTGGCGGCGCGGCGCTCTCGCTTCTCTTGTGAAGCACTGGGGAGCGGACAGGTCTTAGTTTTGCATGCAGACTACTGAGGGAAGTCATAGCCATACTCAGTCTCAAAGAAGTGCTGTGCGTTGGAAGATGTTTGCATGTTGCCTCTGATGTTCCCCAAGGAGTTTGCTGGCAGGTGCTACCGGGCGGCAGAGACAAATGGAATTTACTCCGTAATGGGGAGGGGTCGGCCGGTCGTCACCGCCCAATTAATCCATGTAGCACTAAACGCGTCCAAACGCGTCTTCCCCACAGCGACCACGACTTTTGCATTGGATGGGAACAGCCAGATGCCACGATTATCGTGACAACAAGTAAAGCAGACTGCTCTCTGTCCCTGGGCTTAAAGCTTTTAACCCTCGGATTGTCATTGCTCGCCTGACAACTCCACGGCAGACATCAACTTCATACAGTTGTGGCTCTCCACGTGTCGCTTTCGGCTCTCATCTCCAGACTCTTGTCTCTCGCCCGGCCACCTGTTTCTTGTCTACTTCTCGACACATGTCGGCAGCCGCAATGGCTTCACGGCCACGGCCGCGGCCTGCACACATTGTGGGTCCGACGCGCTGCGCTTACACGCCCAACGGAAGGCAGCTGGTGACGGTCGGGGCCAATAACACGATCCGGCTGTACAAGACGGGATTCGACGGCGAGCCAGCGAATGTAGACGACTGCCAGGAGCAGAACGTGGGCGTGGCGGCGACAGACGACTTTTTTGTTGTCGGTTCCGAGGACGGCACGGTCAGTCTGTACTCGCTGGACACCAACAGCTTTGAGCGGTTCCTGGTGCGGACGTCGCTGCCGGTGCGCGACGTGGCCCTTTCAGCCGACGGACGCTGGTGTGCAGTGGCCAGCGACGAGTTGACGGTGCGCGTGGTTGGCACCGAGGACAACACGGTGGTACGGCACCTGCGGGCGCACAGCCGGCCGACCAAGCATGTGGCCTTTGATCCGCAGGGCCGCACCATCGCGCTAGCCTGCACCGACGGCATTATCTACGTCTACTCGCTGACAGCTGAGGGCAGTGGCAGTGGCCGTGGCAGTGGCAGCGATCCCGAGCTTATTCGCAAGCTAGACGGCATCATCGGCAGAGCCTAGAGTCGGACGCGGAGGCGACGGCGCACATTGCCTGGCACCCAGATAGCCGCGCCTTTGCCGTGGCCACGCCAACACGTGACATCCAGGTGGTCTCGCGCAACGACTGGGAGAGGCAGCGGGTCTTTTCGGGCGGCCACGAGGGCGAGATCACGGCGCTGGCCTGGTCGCCCAATGGTGCCCTGCTGGCGTCGGCCGGTCGTGACGGCAAGATGCTCCTCTGGGAGACGCGCACGCAGTCCGTCGTCGCACGACACGACTATGCTGGCGTCCAGGACATTGCCTGGCACCCGACCAACAATTTGGTCTCCTTCACCAACGGCGAGGGCGAGGTCTACATCTGTCCCGACTTTGTCGGCCCCCAGTACGCCGCCCTGCTGCGTCTGCCCGTGCAGCCGAGCCCCTTCATCCACGACCCGGACAAGGCCGTGCCCAACGGTCACAACCGCAACCGCGGTCACGGACTGCTGGACGTGGATGCTGCCGTTGACTCGGGCGACGAGGGCCTGATGAGTGGTCTAGAAGGTGGCAGCATGGCCGGGGGCGACGACGGGCTGGACGAAGACGATTTTGGCCTGGACGATGACGAAGACGACGGCTTTGTGGTGGACGATGACGGTGCCGGATACACAGCAACAGCAACAGTAGAAGCGACGGCAATGGGCCGAAAGCGACCCCACGACGGCGATCCATACGACCTACAGCGGAGCGCGAAGCGGCCAGGAGGATCCGGTGCGACCAACGGGCGAAGAGGAGGCGCGGGCGCATCGTGGCCGCCGCGGTACCACGCAGCCTTCCAGCCGGGATCGACACCATGGCGCGGAAACCGCAAGTATCTCTGCCTCAACCTCGTCGGCGTCGTCTGGACGGTCGACCAGGACGCTCATCACACGGTGACGGTGGAATTTTACGACCGCGACTTCCAGCGCGATTACCACTTTACCGACACGTTCCTCTACGACAAAGCGTGTCTCAACGAGCATGGCACGCTCTTCTCGTGTCCACCGCGCGAGGACAGCACGGCCGGCCGGCGTGGTGGCACACCGGCCATGCTCTTCTACCGGCCGCACGAGAGCTGGACCCAGCAGCGGCTGGACTGGCGGACGGCTCTGCCGGCGGGCGAAACGGTGGTGGCCATGTCCCTGAGCGCCTCATACGTGACTGTGGCGACGTCGGCTGACTACGTGCGCGTCTACACACTCTTTGGCGTGCCCTGCCGCGTGTTCCGACCCAAGAGCACACCCGTGGTCACGTGCGCCAGCTGGCACGACTACGTCTTGACCATGGGCAACGGGCCTGCCGCGCCCGACGGCACCGCCCGGCTGCAGTACACGATTCAGAACGTGCAGCGCGATGAGATATGCCAGGACGACGACACGGTGGCCCTGCCAGCCGGCGTTACCGTGCAGTCCGTCTTCTTCTCGGACGATGGGGTGAGTCGGTCCTTTCGGCAAGCTCGGATGTTCGGCGTGTTCGGCGTGTTCGGCGTGTTCGGCGTTCTAGTTCGGATTAGCTAACCTTTTCGGTCCAGGACCCCTGCATCTACGATTCGACCGGCACCCTGCTGACGCTGCTGCACTGGCGCCAGCCGTCGCGGGCGTCGTGGGTGCCGCTGCTCGACACCCGCCTACTGCCGCGCCTGGCCTCGGGCCGCAAGCACGAGTCCTACTACCCCATCGCGGTGGCCGACCGCCGCTTCCACTGCATCATACTCAAGGGCGGCGACAAGTACCCGTACTTTCCGCGGCCGCTGCTGTCCGAGTTTCCGTTCAGCGTCCCGCTGACGTCGGTGCCGGCGGGCGGGAAGAGGGGAGGGGGCGAAGACGGTAACGAGGATGGCGAGGGCAGTGACGAAAACGATGACGAAAACGAAAACGACACTGAGCGCACCGAGGAGGCCGAATCGCGGCGCCTCGAGCAGACGCTCGTGCTGCACAACCTGCACGCGGCCCAGATGGCATCTTCGTCGGCGGCATCGCCCAGCTCGCTGGCGCGTCTGCACCTCGAGGCCGACAAGACGCTGCTGCAGCTACTGGCGTTGGAGTGTCGGGCCGGCGAGGAGCGCGGCATGCGGGCGATGGACCTGGTGCGGCTGCTGCGCGACGGCAACGGCCACCTGATGGAGGCCGCCGTCAAGGTGGCCGAGCGCTACGGCAGGGCGGTGCTGGGCAGCAAGATCCGCGAGGAGGCTGAGCGCCGGTTGGCGAGGCGAGTAGAGCTGGAAGAGGACGAATAACAGGGATGTCTTGGAAACGAGCGTTTCATTAACGCAAAGCGTACGGAGTACAGAGTAAAATAGGATATCGGCCAGGAAATGATGTTTTGATTTACCCGTTTTGCTCGTTACTCTTCTCTCTTTCTTTCCTCTTCGTTCTCCGTAACTGCATGATACTCTCACCCCTCCTATGCAGTTCGGCCGCCGTACGACAAACTGTCCCGCTGTCTGGATGATCTTGCATGACGGCCGGCTGAGTTCCTGTTCCCCATTCGAAAATAAACGAGACGGGCAGCTTGTACGTGGGAACTGGGACCAAACGTTGCACCAGACGATGGCAGAGACACAGGTCGATATGAATTGTTGCATACAGAGCATTATGCGTGCTCTGCGTACTACTATGTAGGTCGTCCCCAACGCCGTGTATCTACGAGTACTCTGTACGGAGTACGTTGTAATAAAAGATTCCAAGCCGGGAACAGAGGGCCAGGGTTACAGCCAAAGAGGAGACTGCCGTATTACCAAACTGGCTGCAGTTACGTCAGAGAGGGGAAGCCAATATAAAAGTGAAAGGAGCTTGCTTTGAGGAGGTCGTGCGTGGTATTGGAACAGCTCCTATATTGCCCCGTCTTTCTCTGACCATACCCTCCGACCCTCCGGCTCCAGGCACGAGGGAACGACAGGGACGCGGCGCATGAATTACCAATCAGGCCAAGGAGCGGTGCATGCAGCTCAGACAGGAAGGCTGTTTGCAGTTCCCGCCTGACAGGATGTTGGCGATGCAACGTTTCCTCGGCTCTGGCAATCTCTGCCATCTGCCTAAGTAGGAGTATATATGGAACTATGGAACCATGGGACCATGGAATCCTGGAACCGATCTGGCCCCGGGAGAGCGGCAGAGAGCGGCAGAGCAAGGCAGAGCAGAGGCGTACTCGCCATGAGCCTCGCTCTCTGTGCCAACTGCATATTACTGTAGCCGACGGCAAGACAGCCGCAGTACTGCCACACGCCACAACCCTCACGCCTCACGCCAAAAAGCCTGGGCTGGACCGGGCTGGCTTGGCAGCCACGGCCCCGGTCCTGAAATATCGCACACACATGTACGGAGTACGGAGTGCCAATATTGATTCCACTTTGGGAGGACTATCGTATTGCCTGGAACGTGCACGGGGCATGGGGCGGGCCCTGGGAGCATGGGTACGGGGCATGAGGTAGGCGGCATGGGGCAACGGAGCAATGGCAATAATACTAGCAAGACGAGTTTGTTGATCGCCATATCGAAGAGTCGTACGTCGTATTGTGCGATAGCTCAACGAGGCTGCGGAAGTTGCAGCTACGTGGCGTCCAGGCGGAGTCGATACTATGTATCTTACATACTGAGTAGTATGGCAGCTAGCGGCAGGGTGGGCGTGCATCCCATCGCCTGGCCAAGATGCATGGCATGACAGCTGCTTGCAAGTACGATACGAGTACTCCGTGGGATGAAGCTCACCAAGAAAGCTCCTTTGCGATTCTCGCATCTTACATAAGGGCTGATGGCCCTCGTAAAAACCCACCGTTACCCACTGCGGGCCCCATCGCACCTTCCTGTAAGTTCTACGGAGTAGGAGGCAGGTCATCCTGCATGCGTTGAGCGTTCACAGAACGCGTGCAGGCGCGATGCCCTGGCCAATCCTTATTTGCCCATAGCTCCCGCGTGGCCGCGTGGCTGGCCTCTCCGTCGTGCCTGCCTCCACTAGGCATAGAGTATGACGGCATTGCATCACCGGCAGGTGTCCTCATCGTAAGAAGCCATTTTCAGCCATCACCAACTCGCCGTCTTTGTCCTCGTCTTCGACATATTCACCAGATCCCGCACTTCGGACAATAACCATAACCGGACGGCGATCTCTAGCCAATCACCCTAGCCCCTGTACCGCTGACGCACAAAGAGCCGCGATGATACGAGTACGAACAGCCCTACATACATAGTAGTACTGCTCATGCTCAGTAGCTTCGTCTGGCGAGCAGCCACTGCTGCTGCTGTCCTAACCTGATACCTGCAGGCTGCATTGCGCTATCGCTACAGGCCTTTGTTCCACCTGCCGCCGCAGCCGCTGCAAAGCGAAGGGCGCTGCCCCGTCAGCTAGCAGGAAGAAAGCAGCGAAATCAGCGAAATCAGCAGAAAAAAAACTCGAAACACCAGCACACCAGTGCCCTTCCGACCAATCCCAGGCGGCTTCTCGTGGCCCAGCCGGACGCCAGCATTGTCCGCGTCGACCCACCGGGACACCCTCCAACAGGAGCCGTCTATTACGAGCGTATTACACACTCGTATGCCTCTGGCCCATTGCGCTTCTAGCGGGCCGACTCCGTCCCTCAACCCGCAAGAAGGGGCCTATCGCAGCAGGCAGAGCAGCAGTCCCCTTGGACGCCTCCCTTTTTCTTGTTGTCCTGCATGCGGATCCACCTCGACTCCATTCCGGAGCCATTGCCTATTTGGTGCTCGACGGGCTCCTCACAGGCCTTGAGGCAGGAAGAAGCAAAAGAAGAACGAGAACTCCCTTCTGCTGCATTGGCTCTGCCTGCAGGCTGATGGTGCCATGCAAACGAATGGTAAACGGCCCCCCAACAGCACTTCCACTCGCTTCTCTAGCGCTGCAGAAGCCTTCTGGACCGCCTTCGATAGCCGCTCCTGTCAACACGGTCTCACTGCGAGGGATTGATCAGCATCGGGCTGCCTTTCTTCTCGAAGAGCAAAGTGGGTACGTCCCCTCCTTTGAGCATGCTCCTTCTGTCTCCCTTCCGTGTCCCCCCCTTCTGCTGCCTCCCTGTCCTCAGCGCTCGCGAACGCTATAGCCCTAGCGCACGTCGCCTGGCTCTCTGCTCGTTCGTCGACAGAAGCACCAGACATGATGCTATCCATGGCTCGGGTATTTTGTGGGCCTCTTCTCCCTTTTCCTGATCCCACACTGCAACAGATTGAGGATCTGACGGGATGAAATCGTTGCAGAGCACACAGACACATATTAATACAGCAAATACAGCAAATACAGCCCGGCTGCAAATCCCATCCCATATTTCGACCCCGGACCCTTCTGAAGCCGCTACCTGTCCGTTCACGCCCCCTACCCCCCCTGTTTGGCTCATACGGTACACGGATGTATCACCCTGCTCGGCCGAAGGCTCTGTAAATAGATGCGCGAAAGCTTCGTCCACTGACTGCTTGGCACTACAGAACCCATCTGCCTCCTCTCTGTGAGCGGGTGGGACCTCTGCGCTACGCTAGTGCCTGTGTACTGCTCGCCTGTTTCTCCTCTTTTGCTCTTGTCTTCCCGTGTATTCTTCCTGTATCCCCAGAGAGGACCTCTCGCCTTTTCCCTCGCCACGAAACCCTCCCAAGTACAGGACTTGGCCGGTCCTTGTGCACCGCCGCCCCTTGATCTCCCATCCTTCCTGTGGCATCTTTCTTTCTTTCCTTCCCCCTATTCTTCGGCTGCGCTATACCATCTCGCCAATCGGCACACACTGTCACTTTCCAAAGTTCACGGTTCCTGTGATCCAAGATCTCCTGGGGTCGTGCGCCACATCCTCTCATCCCCCCTCTGACCTAGGTACAAAGCTGGTTTCCTGCATCTCTTTCTTGTTACCCCCATTTTCGAGCACTCCCTTTTTTTGGTTTGTTGCGTCTGCATCTAGCCTTTTTGCCCCAACGGCGCGCAGTGTCTAATACTACAACAGCCGGGCGCAAAGTGCACCTTGTCGGGCACTCTGGTTCTTATAAACTGCACGCCAACCTCGACTACCTCGCACGGCTGTTTTCCATTGCTCTTTCGACTGTCGCCACCGCTGATAATACGCCTCTCCTATCGCTCGCGCCACAGCCCCCTCAACGCGTAACGACCACCTGTTGCGATCCTCGCCTGACTCTACTGAGCTGAACCTTGCGCTTGAGCTTGCGCGCTCCAACCCAGGCAAAGCATACTACTCTGCCGCTAGCGGTCAAACACAAGAAGGACGGCTTGCCCTATCGTGCTGGGGAACGTCTGATAGAGGCGAAGGAAGGACGAGGACCAAGAGGACCGAACCAGAAAAGCATCAGCTGTATCCTCGAGGGGTGGCAATGAGGTTCGTCTGGACAGACAAAAAGGCTGCTGCTCTGGAGAATCGTGCAGCTGCAGTGCTCGTAAACTAACTCGTCATTCTTCGTCTTGACAGGAGATGACAGCCGCTACCGAATCCGCGTATCTGACTCGCATGACCGACGATCCTGAAGAGCCAATGACAGCACGAACAATTCCAATCATGACTCCTACAATCCAGATGTCTGCTCCCTCTCCGGGAGAACCGATGGATGTCACCACGCCGACAGACAGCTCGCCGCCGCCGCGGGCCGCTCCTTCGACGAGCAAGAGTCCCGACCGCAACACCGCTGCCCCGACTGCTGCCGAAGTCCGCATTGGCACGGGTGCTTCCGTGTCCAACAGTCCGCCAACGGGGCCTTCAGAACCGGCCCTCAAGGCGGAACAGCAACAGCCCCTTTCAGCTGGAGCTTCGGCGTCGTCAATACCAACTGCAGCAGCGCCGGCTGTCCACCAGCCCAAGATCGTGCAGACAGCCTTTATTCACAAGCTTTACAAGTGAGCCCCAGTGTCTAGGAGCCCCCCCAACTGTCCGTGTCGGGAGCTGACCAGTTGTCGCTGCTACAGCATGCTAGAGGATCCAAACATACAGCACCTAATTTCCTGGTCGGGCACCGCTGAGAGTTTTGTCATGTCGCCGTCGCATGATTTCTCCAGAGTCCTTGCGTATGGCTTCCTCTACCTTTAATCTGCGTGGTGGCGGGAGAGTTGTGCGTTGCATGTTCTGACATTGACCAAGCCAATACTTCAAACACACCAACATATCCTCGTTTGTTCGCCAGCTGAACATGTACGGCTTCCACAAAGTGAGCGATGTCTTTGCCAACGGGTCCGACTCGACGACGCTGTGGGAGTTCAAGCACGGCAACGGGAACTTTAAGAGAGGCGATCTCGTCGGGCTGAGGGAGATCAAGCGCCGAGCCTCCCGCCACTCGCTGGTCCATCGCGAATATAGCAGCCAGAAGCCGCCGCCGCCAACGTCACAGCCCGGCACGCCGGTCGAGTCAATGTCGATACCGGAAGGCGGCGACCCGCGGATGAACATTGACCAGGCCATGTTCAACTTCGATGCCCGGCTGCAGCGCAACGAAGAAGCCATGCACTATATGCTCGTCAAGCACCAGGCAGCCATGGATGTGATCGCGCGGCTGCTGCACTTCAACCAGGAGCTGTCCCGCAACATTTTGCACCTGGTTCCGAGCATGGACAATCCTGTTCATCGAGATGGTAGGAACCCTCTTGTTTCTCCACACACTCGTTGTCCGTCTTCGTTTCTGACCGGACCAGTCGTTGCTTTGCAAAACGAGATGCAGAGACAGGCCGATATGCTGCGCTCCCTCGACGAGCCGCACGAGCCGCCCTTCTCCGGCAGCCGGCAGTTCTTCTCGGGCATGGACAACGCCCCGGTTTCGCCACGCCAAATGCCGCAGGACGACCCACGCCGGCCAAACACCCTGACGGTCCCGCAGCCACGATCAGCCAACAACTACTACCGGCCACCTGTGCCGTCCAACCTGTCTATCAGCACCCGCCGGCCTTACGGATCGATTGGTGGCTCGACCACACAGTCGTCTCCGTCCCGCACACACCTGCCCCCACCGCCTCCGATACCACCGCATACGCTGACGGCGATGGAGCCGCCCGCAAACAGCCTGGCACGGCGGCACACGTCAGCAGACATCCGCGCGCATGGCTGGCAGGCAAACGCTCCGCATCTGAACCCGTTGGGACCAGGACCGCCGCCGCCGCAGTCACAATACCCATCGTCGCCAAACCGGCTGGGACCCGAAGACCAGCGAATTCGCGAATCCTTTTCAGCTTACTCGCTTCAGGTGGCTTCCCAGCCGCACTCACGACCGGCAACACCGCCACCGCCACCGCCATTTAGCCAGAGCAATGGGAACAGCAATGGGAACGGCAACGGGAATGGCAATGGGCCGGATCTGGGATGTTGGTCATGGGGGGCTGCCTTCAACCGAAATGGCAGCCTCGGCGTGAAGAATAGCTCGGCGCCTTCGACACGCCGAGGCAGTATGGCACACATCCTGAACCCGACAGACACAGCCGAACGCCCGGACGAGGATGGGAGCCCCCGAGACGAAGATCGGAAGCGGAAACGCATGATCTGAGCCTCTCACGCCAGTCAATGCCGTGTTGTATGATGGTTGCGGCTGCTACAGCCGTGTTTGTCGGATAGCTGTGCCTCATTTTTTCTCATTTCTCATTTTTTTTTGTTCGACTCATTTACCCATTTGTATTTGTTTGGTCTGCGGTGCTGGCCGGTGACGAGGCCAGAAGAGGGAACAGGGAGTGCCCTCACATGGAGCCATCAACAGCTACATGTCGGTGACTCTGGATATCTCGTTTTATGCGCAAGGCGAAGCTCAACAAAAAGGATGTTGTGGTTATACGCAGTATATGTGGGCCATGGGTTATGTGTGGTCTTGAGCTACCCGCTCTGGACATGCGACTATGGCCTGCCGTGGCTTTCTAGGACCCAGAAGGGCTCTTGGTATATAGGCATAGGTATCGGGAAGACGCCGTCTCGAAGGGCGGGTGGAATGGTTATCTTTGTGGCATATTATTATTACTATTTTTATTATTCGGGCAAGGACAGGCTGGCAGGATGGCTGGCTTCTGCAGATTCAGTTGGGCAAGACAAAGAAACAGTCATAGCCATATTACCCGGGGAGAATACTACAGAAACAGGCGATAGAAGACTGCAGATGTGTTTACTAGTTGTGGAGAAGGCCGGCGAAGCTTCCGCTATTTTAAAAATCAATACCGTAAATATGGGGTAAGCGGCCGGAAAATAGTTCAAAATAAAACGTAAAAATAAAAAGCGAAAAGGTCAAGATCGGTCAAGACGACAGCAACCAACGACGCTGCACTCGGCACTCTACTTGGAGTATATCCCAGAATGGCACAGAGCACCGATCTGAAGCCGGCGGCGGCCACAGCAGACGAGCCAGCAGCCGTGGAGGAGAGCAACCGACCGCTGAGCACGGCCCAATATAGCGTCTTGCGCGCTCGACTCGACCTGGGAGACGGCCAGACAGACGAGGGCGAGGGCGAGGACATTGGACGGCGTCGACTCGGAGGGCTGCTGGCCAAGAAGCGAGCATCGCCTGGTGATGCTACGGCGATCGGGGCAACGGCAACGGCGACCGTACCGCAAGTCCCTGCCTTCCGACCAAGCGACCCCAACGACGGCTTGGGAATGCAGGCCCTCGACGATGCAGACACCACAGCAGACGGCAAGACCACATTGAGACCACACGAACTGCTTCTACCGCTGGGTGGCCAGGCAGCTGCTGGCCCGACGACCAACCGGCGGGCTCGACAGCTGATGGTGGCCCCCAAAGCGGCGATGCGCGGGAAACCAGGCGGGAAGATGGTCGGATGGCAGAACGGAAAGACGGGCGGGACAGCAGGCGGGCCAAACGGACGGCCAAACGGAAGTGGTGGCCGTGGCTACGAGAGCAGCAGCGATGACGAAGCCGGACGCAGCTCGTTGGGACGGAAAAAGGTCAGAAAGGGCTGAGCATAACCGATCGATCGATCGGACTCTCCCCCAAAACAAGGATGGCAAAACAAAACACTAAGCCAGAGGGCAGCACCTCCACTCAGAGGACCGCTGCATCCTAGGCCCTCTACATTCTGTGGTGTCATACGTTGCATGACTAGTCGTATAGAAGCCGTCTGGCTCTGCCTGTAGACCAGGTCATGTCCGTGGAACAATAGCCAGGCCATGAGTGGCAGCCAGGTGACACCGCATGATAAAAGGCATGTCGCAGATCAGGATCACGGGATGGATCCATTACTGCATTATGGCGGCTCTGATTAGCTGGACGCTGCTTGGTCAAGACAAAAACAATGTCAGATAATAGTAGCTGTATATTCGCTTAAACAAAGGCTGCCACTATTGCTTTCTTTTTTGTTCTTTCGATCTGAACACGGCTGATGCTACTGTTCCTTGCTCATAAAGGCGTCCACCTCGTCCTTGTATTCGGGTCGCCAGCGCGACAGCGGTGCGCGGCCGTAGGCCACATCGCCGGCGGACCACAGCACGCGGCAGCTGTCCTGGGCCTCGGTCACGTCGTTGTCGGGGCAGAGGATGTAGAAGCGGTTGGCGGCCATGGCGGGCACGAGGTAGTCGATCACCTGGGCGGGCGACCAGGCGCCGTCGGGCTTGGGCTTGGGCGTGCTGCCGCCGCCGCCGGTGAGTCCGGTATGGGTCCAGCCGGGCACGAGCAGGTGGACGGACACGTGGGGGGCACGCTTGGCGAGGTCGAAGGCGAGCTGCTCGGCGAGTGACCGAACGGCCGCCTTGGACGCGTTGTAGGCCGGACTGGTGCCGGGAGGGTTTGTGATGCCCTGTTTGGAGCCGGTGATGATGATGGAAGCCGAGGTCGAGTCCGAAGCAGTTGCCTCCACCAGCGGCAGCACCGTGGCCAGCCCGTGCACGACACCCAGCACGTTGACGTCCCAGATGCGTTGAAAGGCGGCCGGATCGGTCCAGAGCGAAGGGCCACCGACACCGGCGTTGAGGGCCAGCAGGTGCACCTGGTCGCCGAGGTGGCTGTCGACAACCTTGCGCAGCCGCACCCAGTCGGCCGGCCGGCCGACGTCCATCTGCACCGTGGCCACCGAGAGCGACAGCACATCCGACTGTGCCGTCGCCTCGATGATGCTCGTCGGCGCTGCTGCCAACGCGGTCTCGTTCACGTCGACCAGCACGACACGCATGCCATGGGACACACACTTGATGGCCAGCGCGAGGCCGATCCCCGAGGCGCCGCCCGTGATGACGGCCGTGTTGCCGGGCTTGAAGACAGACATCTTGCAAGTGTGATGATGGGTGAGCTCAAGAATCGACGGATTTGAAGGATGACAGGGAGAAAAGGGAAGGGGAAGAAAGAGCGGGGAGACAGGAGGCGAACAAGAACGGAAGGACCGATTGAAAAGGCAAGAGCTACAAGAGGCAAGAGCTACATGTCTAGAGGGAAGGAACCATGAACACCCCCCTCATCTCGCCGAGCTATCACCAAGATCGGACTTAGGCCTTAGTAGAGCCACATTGTCCGATGCACGATGCAGCAACAGCTAAAAGGTGCAATTATTCCGGTACGGACTGTTTTACAAACGATTGCGACAAGACGAGACGAGAATGAGACAGAAACGGGCAGCAGCAGCCCGCAGTCTCGGCCGAAAAAAGGGCAGACCATGAGAACAAACACCAAAGCAAAACGGCAAATCATGAAAACCCTGCACCAGCTCCAGCTCGCCAGCTCCAGCTCGCCGCCTTAGCCTTCCACTACAGCCCCCGCGGGATCAACGGCTGCTTGGCCATCAGCAGCGTGACGCTCTCGCGGGCGTTCTGCGACGCCCAAATGCTCTCCTTGCCGCCACGCCGCCAGGCATCGCCGGCCAGGAGATCGCCACTGCCACTGCTGCCACTGCCGGCAGCACCACGCACCGACTCGCCCATGATGACCTCGAGGTCGCGCTTCTGCGAGCTAAGCCACTGGCGCACAAAGCCGGCCGGGTCGGTGGCCAGGGCCGACAGGAACTCATGCTTGCTCTTGGACATGGCCACGGCCTGGATCAGCACTGCTAGCTGCTCGTCCAATCCGGCCACGTCGCGCAGCAGGCTCATGTACTGCGCGCTCTGCACAAACGGCCGCAGCTGTTCTCGCAGCGGGTCGTCCACGGCCACCTGCACGTCGTACACCGTCGCTACCGGCGTCGCGCCCTCCTGCTGCCGGTGGAACGCTTCGTCCACCCGGATCGTGTATGCCAGCTGCACCGGTGCCAGCGGCCGGATATGCGCATTGACGTACTCTTGCAGGAGAGGGATGTAGCCGACATCGTTGTTGACGAGCTGTAGGTTAGCATGAGGTAAAGAATCGAAGATGTAGAGAAAAAAGAAAAAAAAGAAGAAAAGAAGAAAAGAAGAAAAGAAGAAAAAACACACCTTCCGCAGCTGCTCGTCACACCGAAAGTTGCGCTTCTCCTCGTCCTCCTGCAGATGCAGCAGCCGAATGTACTCAAACAGCCCCATGACCGCCTCTGCCCGTGTCGCCTCCCGCATGTCCACAATGTCGCCCAGGATCTCGTCCAGCTCAAACCGCTCCGGCTCCTCGTGCCGGAACAGGTTGATCGTGATGTTGACGTTCTCGTCGCCCGGCCGCTTAAACGTCAGCTCGTCAAACTCTGCCGCCACCGGCTGTGCTGCTGGCGGCTGTCCTGGCGCATGGATCACGCGCTCCGGCCGCTTCCACTCCACCGTTTTCTGGCTGCCCACTGCCGTCTCGCTCCCCTTCTTGCCGTTGTTGAACTCCACCGTCATCGCCCGGAAGAACTGCGTGAATCGGTACCGCGACGGCTTGGCCCCGTCCTTCTTCTCCTTCTTGTCCTTGCCCTGCTGATCGACATCCATCGCCTCGCCCGCAGCCCCTTCCTCCTTGACCGCTGAGTCGCCCGCGCCGTTCTTGTCTGCCTTTTCCTTCTCGACCCCGTCCTCCTCGTCTTCGTCGTCGTCCAGCAGACGGCCCTCGATCTTGACCCGGTACGACGCCTCCGCATTCGTCGAGAAGTTGAAGCTGTCCACATTGCCGCCGCCGTTCTGCCACAGCTGGTTCTCCGCCGTATTGGTGATCCAGATGCGCAATGTTTTGAACCGCTGCCACCCAACCGTCAGCATTTCCTGTCCTTTCGTCCATTGCTCTCGCCAAGCTCCCTCCTCTCACCTTGGGAATGTTTCGCTGCATGCTGTCGACAATGTCTAGACGCTTGCGTGTCATCGTCGCGTCCAGCCGCCGCTCAAAGTCGCGTAGCTCGCGGTACCGCTGCACGCCGTCGCCCACCACCACGTCCTCCACCCCGTCTGGCATCGTCTTGTCCGTCGGCTTACGGCTGCGTCGCTTCGCCGCCTCGCCTGCGTGGTGCTGTTGTGCCTGCAGTTGCGCCTGAGCTGCCGCTGTCGCTGCCGCCTGTGCTGCCGCCGCCTGCTGTTGCTGCTGCTGCTGTTGCTGCTGTTGCTGCTGCTGTTGCTGCTGTTGCTGCGCCATTGCCACCTGCGGCGTCAGGTGTGGCGCCATGCCGTGGGGACCGGCCATGTGGTGCGGCGTCATGGGCGCGCCCGCGTGATGCACTTGCTGCGGATGTGGCGGCATCTGGGCGACGTGGTGGTGTGCGATCATCGGCATCGGCGCCACGTGGTGCGGCGTCATTACCTGCTGGTGCTGCTGGTGCTGCTGCATCACCATGTGCTGCTGCGGCGTCATCGGCGCGTGTCCGTGTGTGGCCATCGGCGCCATGTGGTGAGGCATTCCCGGAGCCATCATAGGAGCTGCAGACAGAGAGAAGAAGCCGGAGCAGAGAAACCGGTTAGCGGATGACGGCGCGAAAAAATTGGAGCAACGGATGGAAGAACTGGAAGAACTGCAACAAAAAAATGCTTCTTGTCCGCCCTGGAACACCGGCTCTTGAGGGCGTGACAAAACTTTTTCCGGGGCTCGTTTTGCTTGGGGCCCTCTATTTTCAAGTCCTACATACCAGGTCCACCTCGCCGCGCATTGGGAGCAAGCCCATGCGGCGACCGCTGTGGCGGAATCTGCTGTGGATAGGCACGGTAGCCCGGCTGCATCTTGTCCAACCCCTAGCCAAGTACCTTTTGTCTCTTTATTTGCTAGCGGCCTTTCTACTTTATCAAGGACCGATTCGATTTGTCCCTTGATTGACACCTCGACTTAGTATGCGTAGCCTAAGAGATCAACTCGTGCCAAGTGGAGAGAAAGTAGTCCAAAGAGGAAAGCCCGGTAGCTTCGCAATGCACTATCTGTCAGACGGCCGGGCGGGGCGTCGTGTGGATTTTCGTGGTGGGCTGGAAAAGGTGTTCGTGTTTCCGTCTGTGTTGAGTATCGTCAGAATTCTGATAAACGCGGCCGCGTCCATTAAATCGACAAATTCACAAGGTTGGGGACTGCGACAAACTGGGACCCGCTAAGCGCGTCCAGCAGGTAAGATACGTCAGCTAGCCGCATATACGGAGTATGCACTTACATGCATGTACCTTTAATCAGATCACGTGGCTCGTCACATGGACATATCTCTTTTCCACGGGACGCCTTCCATACCCGCTCAAGCAACTTACGTATCTTGCTTTGTTTTACTCTTGACTGGTAGTTGGTGTTGTTGTTTTGCTATCTTCCGGCGCCATGCTACAAACAAAATACCAGATTACAAAAAATGCTATTCAAAGACAAATGCCAGTATGAATCCAATGGGGAAAAGGTGTAGGGAAAGAGAAGGAGAAAAAAGTAGACAAGATCGAAGAAGTAGACAGGGCAGGACTCTGTCTGCAAAACGGCCGGCATGTAAACCAAGAGGCAATCTCTTTAATACAGCGCCAGATCCTCACCGCTGTCGCTGTCTCTGCTGGACTGTTGTGATTCGGCCGACTATACTATCGTCACTCCAAGAGCACGCTTCAAAATTGTGCCCCCAGTCCATTTTTTGACTGCCGTTTGCTGAACCGGTTTCTCTTACGTTCCGAAATCGCCGGGTCGTCACCGTTGCCTTGGCTTTGGCCAGCATATGCCCCGCGCCCCCCTAGTGTACTGGATGGACTTGACATTGCAGAGGGCATCTCCCCGAACTCTTCGCTCCGGTACGATGCAAGAATGTTTTGCGACAGCGCCAAGTCCTTCGCCCGCTCCAGCGACTCAATCCACTCCTCAACTGTGGCCATACCAGCCTCCGGCGAAGCAGGTCCAGACTTCGCGTCCTCAAACGAATAATGTGTCCCGCCCTAGTCAAAATGTCAGCTGCTGCATCGCCTGGTACCAGGGCACTAAGAGCTCAACTTACTGTGTCGACGCACCAGATGGCCTGTCCCTTTGCGTCTGTTTGCGCTCTCCACACGCAGTCGGCGCTGAGAAGCGATAGTTCTTGCTTTGCTTTCTTCTCATCGCCGCCCGCAGGCGCAAGCACAATCCGTCCACCCGAGGTTACTATGACCAGCCGTTGCCGTTTCTTTGTCGTGCTTCCGCCGAAAAACCGGGCAAGCTTCTTATGTCCATCCCCGTGCTCGCTGCTCTTCCCATGACCGTTGTTCGGAATCGGTGCAGATATGACCATCAGATCACCTAACTTGAGTATACGCTCGTTCTGCTTGGTCAGAACCGGAGACCAGTCGAGGTCCAATTGTGTTGGTGGCGGAAGCTCGGCGATAACTCTTGGCCGGGAGCTTTTGTTTGGGGCTTGCGTTTGAACACCTGTACTTGCACCAGTACTAGGTCCCCTTGACGTAGAACTTGGTTGCTGTGCTGTTGCCGAATTGCCGCCCAGCTTGATGATGCCTGTCTCCTGGCTCGGTGGTACATAAGGCTGCAGCCTTGGCGACTTCGTACGCCAAAGTTCCTTCCCAAATTTTTGACCGTCAAAGAACTGGTGGTTCATGATATGCTCGATCGTGAGACGCCGCGCTGGATCCAAAACAAGGCACCGTTCTACCAGGTCACGAGCTGCGTCTGGGAAGCCATGCGGGAAATCGTATTCAAGGTTGACAATTTTCTGGAAAGTCAGGTACTCGGATCCGCCCTTGAATGGGGGTCGCCCGACCAGAAGCTGATAGATGATACATCCAAAAGCCCATAGGTCGCTTGCTTTGCTCGCAGATTTGTCCATCAACAGCTCGGGGCTGACGTATTCGGCGGTTCCAACAAAAGAAGCCGAACGGGTATCTCCTGTTACTGTCAGCCCTCCGCTGTTATCTGCGGGCCGAGGATCTCTGGGGTCCGGTAGCAGTTTTGCCGTTCCGAAATCAGTGATCTTGACATGCATATTTTCGTCGAGAAGGACGTTTTCCGGCTTCAGGTCGCGGTGGATCACCCCCCTTGAATGCATATACTTCAGGGCGTCGAGAATCTGGGCACCATAGAACCGAGTGCACTCCACATTAAACGTTCCGGTTTTTTTCAAGGTCCCCAAGAGCTCACCCCCACCGCAAAGGTCAAGGACGTAGTACAATGAAGACTCGTCTTGAAAGGTGTAGTACAGGCGAACGATGCCAGGGTGTTCGGTGAGGCGATTCAGCGTGTTCTTCTCAATGTTGACGTACTTGACTTTCTTCTCCTTGATGATGTGTCGTTTCTCAAGAACCTTGATTGCGTAGTCTTTCCGCGTTTGGCGATCCGTGGCCAGGTACACTGAACTGTAAGAACCTTCACCCAAAATTCTGCCAAATGAGAAATCCTGCACGCCCTTTTTGACCGTTCGCAAGACCGGTTTGCCAGAGGCATCCACTTCTCTCCTGACGCTCACTGCCGCTCCTCTTTCTTTCCACTCGTCAACGCTTTTTGGCAATGACGCCTCTGACCCAAGCGGTAGAGAATGCGACGTTGTGGGTGGGCGATCGTTGGAGGGAGTCGTCGCATATCCACCAGCCATGCCTTTAGAACTTCGTCGGGGGGGCAGTGGGCTGTTGCCAGACGATAGGGGCGGATTCTGCCGGGGCCCGTTATACGTCCGGTCTGTGTGACTTGACTCTCTTGTAGCCACTGAAGAAACGTAAGTTTGGGTGGTAGAGCGTGAGTCGCTCCGTGACGGTATGCGGTACGACGCAGATCGTGTCGGCTCATTTCGCAGGCCGCTAACTGCAGAAGGTGATGTCATGTCAGAATTCGAGGCGTTAGATCCGGCATATATGTTTGACATTGGCCTTCCCGGAGATGTACCTTTTTGGTATACCGGGCCGTGGGCGTGTGAGTATAGGTCCGAAGAGGGCTTTGCAGAGGGGTCGGTGCGCGGATACATTCCACCGGCTGAATGGGAAGGTCGAAAGGAGGCAGCCGCATTCTCCTCGGTATATTGTTGCCGCTGTGAAGCAGCTGGACTGGGATCTCGGGATGGTATTTGTTGTACTGCTAGAGACGAAGGTTGTGCTAACAAATCGTTCTCTTCTGGTATGCGGCTGCCGTTAGAAAACTGTGCCGACGGTGCTTCATCGTATGTACTTGTCGGCGCAACATCCACGGCTGCAGATTCGGCATCATCGGGGTTGGCGATGCGCAAGCCGCCCAGAGCCTTAGACAGACTTATATCTCCGTTCATCGCGGCGGCGGAAGGGCTGCGTCGGCCGCGGGGCGGGGCGATAGATGAGACTGGCAACCAAAGCAGATGGTATGAGATGGGAAGCAGTCAGCAGGTACCGATCACATCCACAAAGTGCCTCTCTGCACGACGTGTGTTCCAGCTTATGGGCCAGAATCTAAAAGGATGATTGGCCGAGCTTTTCAGCTTCCATCGGGGCTCCGTCGGGCCAGACTCGATGTTGTATGTCTTCAAGATAGTTCGACGGCTCGTTCGCGGCAGGTGTGGGTTGTGTATTTACAAAGAAAAGAAAAATAAAAGAAAATAGACGTAAGGCAGGCGTAAAGCGGACGCGGAAGTTGCAGGCACGGACAGAGATCCTCTATGGCTGTACGTAGAACTGATCCAGAGTAGTTTGGCTAGCGGCTTCGACTAGACGAATGTGAGACGGCGACCGTGAGAGCTTGCTGGGACAAGGAAGCTATCCCGACAACCTCTCCGGTAGCGACAGAGTAGGGCGACGAAAAAGGAGAGAGCACACGGCGAGTGGATGGAAAGGTGGAAAGGCACTTGGCGTCGAAGGCGAATAACAGGGGACAGTCGTGGAAGTCTGCAGCACAGTTTAGGGTCAGGAGGCTCGTCCGCGGAACAGGAAGGGAGAGCAGACGCTCGACAGTCTGTATAGAGAGGCGTAAAGGAGAAATACCACGAACCAGTAGATATAATACTCCCGCTACCGGCCCAGCCGCTCGGGACTCGGTGTCACTGGCGATGACTGTCGAGAGGTGGCCAGTGGGCGAAAGTTGGAAGCAGGGGTGAAACATAAAACAGAGAAGCAAGAAACAGGAAACAGGAAACAAAAAAAAAACGAATGCTGGTTAAAAATAACAACGAGAGAACAGAGCAGGAGTGGCTGCCGGGAAGCAACCCAATTGGCAACAAATGGCCGACTTGGTCGAGGAAAGAGCGAGGAGGTTTGCGGTGTGCAGAGAGTAACGCAGAAAACGAATCGTTGGGTGGTGGTGGTGGTGGTGGTTGTGGCTTGGAGGCGTCTGCATTTCAGCGCTACTACCTCGCTCAGTGCATACCACACAATCAGCACACTCAAGTGGCACACGCCAAAAAGCGGCCTTTCCTGGACCTACGAGTAGTGGGCGACAGGTCTTTTGGATGGATTTCCGGCCATACAGCTCTAGAATTAAGGCACCCTTTCACGGAAATTGGGCTCTATCGTTTCTGAATTGAAATGAGCATGGCAGGTGCAGGTTGGCCACCTGCCTTGTTTTACGAGGGAAACTCGCTCAGCGTCCTGCGCGATGTATCCCAGAATAGAATCCCAACTGCACGCTGTCGCGTCCACGTCATATCTGACATATATCTCCTGTACTCCAGCTTTAGCTCGTTGCATATTATACTTTCCTCTTCGTTTCGACGAGTACTCCGTACTCCGTACTCCGTCTCCCCCCTCAGCTTATTACATAGCATCTTGTTTCCTTTCCCCCGTTATGCTTCAGCTTCGAATCCTTGTGGAGAAGTGGCCCGAGGGAAATTGGCAGCTCCATCTGCCCACTCAAACGGGTATTTCGCCATGTAATTCGCCTCCTTTTCGGCCACATACATTATATGCATATAACACGTGTAATATACATCCATATAAGAACATGCGCGGCGCTCCGTGTGGCATGTACTAATCCGAGCAATCGCGGTTATCGTCACCTTAAACACCCGGTCTTGCCATTCATTAACTTGAAAAATGCGCATGTGCACGCTACCACGGTGGGAAGGTACGCGGCCATATCTGCCCTGCTCCTGCCTTTTACGATGTCCACATTTTGGACAAAGAAATCTCTGTGCATACAGACAGCACGAGCTGGCGGCTGTTTAGCCATTAATTTCGAGGATGAATACACTTACAGCTAAACACGTCTAAAACCTACAATCCCATTCTTCGTTCTGCATTTGACCGCACTTCAGTCTCAATGACATCATCTGGCATCGCATACCATGATACGACTTCCACTGACAACACTTTTTGTGACCATGGACGAAGTGAAAGGGTACGAAACCCGCCAGCCTATCAATGTGGCGCGGGCCGTGGGAGATGCTCACGGCACAGCGGGTCAGATTTACGAGCAGGACGAAATGAGCATGAATCCTGTGGATACTGAAAGTCAGGCACAGCCAACAGCATTTCGGGGCCCCAGGCCGAAGACGCCTGAACAACGCCATTCAGCTGCTCGGAACAACTTGGTGATACGTTCGACCTCGCAGCAGTCGACAGTACCGCTAAACGAAGAACTCCCCTTTGTTAACTATACTGGCTCGCGCACTCAGATCGTACCCGACACTAGCTTAGGCATCGGGCTAGTTGCCGGTGCGGATGGCGATCCAGGGAGCGCCGCAAATCACAACGTAGATGATGACGCGGAAAAGGTCACTCCCACTTCCAGTCGCCTTAGTGAAGGTCTGTCTGAACGCAACACCCGTCAAGGAGCAGTCTCCAACAGTCCACAATCTGCTAGATGGCTAGCCATGCCTCCACAAAGGGCATCTCCGGCTTGGAGAGCCGCCAGGCAAGATCACTCACAGGCTACACCCATCGACGAGTCACCTCGTTAGCTGCGAGAGCCACATCTGCCCGGATCTTTCAATAAGCAATCTCCTTTTCAGGAGCCTTTTCAAGGAGGCGAGATGGACGCGGCCTTGGGCGCGGCCATGGAAGCATTAGCACTTGACGAACTTAATTCGTCTGCCGAAAGTATACCGAGCCCAGGTGTCCAGGTATGTGCAGAACCCCTTTGATAAGATGTATGCCATTTGGTGCAAGCCGTACTCCGAAGTAAGCCTGACACAGGGAACTATGGGACATTTCGATGAACCGGAACAGGAGACTCAGTCCCGTTAAAAACATCATGTCGCGCCTCACAGGAAGCTTTAGATTATGTCGATTAGTCATTATCGGCGCTACAAAGGTTAGGTGCATAGGCGTCAGTAACTTTCTTGACGTCTTGCCTTCTATTGTGTCAGGACCATCGATACCGGGCGAATCACCACAAAAGTGGTTTCAGGGGGGCGTATCATTCGGACTCCAGAAATGCCACTAATAGGAACTCGGCGCAGCAGACATGGCTGTGCTACTATGTATGCTCAGCGTCTGCCTAGATAAGGCATATGACAAGAAGCGGCCATGCAAATTATACGAGTTTTTTGTTCTTGACCTGCAAGACTGGCGGTGTGCTCAATCGAAATCGCATAACTAGCTATTCACAAACCATAGTTATGCACATATGTCCTCAGTACAAAGTAGTCGTATTCTATAATGCAGATTGCACAATAATTGTGCGCGACTACACGCTAAGGGTGGAAAACGTCGCGAGATTGAGCACTATGGAAGGCACTACCCGATCGCGGAATAAATTTGCCGGAGCTGCCGAAAGACCAGCTCACCAACGAAGGGGGGATATGTGGGGCTGTCGGATGGCCTGCTTGCAATCAGGGCTTCCGGAGGCTTGGAGTAACAGATCGCTAGTCCACACCAGGTGTAGCATTGTATTGGCTTACGTGCTTCTTCTCGGCGGTCTCTAGAGGAGTACGGAATATGTACGTATGAGCTATCTCGGTGTGCGGCTGAGCGACATTGCATATTGCTAGTGTCTATGTCTCTCGAGGCTCCTTTGGAAGAAGACTACTCACTCACCTGCAGTTAAAATCACGCCAGGGCGTCTGTACGTACATGCCCTCGGGCCACGGGCAGAGATACAGTGTGCAGTACCGTGCGTTAGGATGATGCATGCTATCTAACACGGAGTACGGAGAACTGCAAGTACTGTTGCCGCTTTCCACCTAGCGCGAATCAGAACTCGGCGGATCCTTTGGCACAGTGGCCAATCGCCAATAAGATGCACGGTTTTGGCATTCCGCCCTAGTCATTGCGACGCTTTGTCAACCCGCGTCTTCGTCGCGCATTATGCTCTGGAAACGTGCAGACGAGTACATACGACGTAGAGCACGCTGTTGATTGGTGTGCTGCAAATTTCAAAGCCTATGTAGCTGGTGCCGAGATGCAAGTGATAAAGAGGGCACGTGGAAAGGGTGAAGGAGGAAGGAGGATGTTGCTCTACCTTGACCTACGTTAACGTGTTGCCGTCCAGAACATTGGTAGTTGGCCCGGTGAAAGGGCAGGTGAGATACCCAACAGGCTTACTACGCAAGGAAGAGGACCAATATCTTTGTCTTAAAACTGCCAGGAGGGTTTAGTGCTATAGCACATGATTGTGCCAATGGCTCGTTTGCCTTCCGTGAGACGTAGTCAAGAATGGTTCAGGCCGGCGTTTTCTGGCATTCGTGTTACTAGAGTACCTAGATGCGACCTAGTAGACGTGCAAATGCACGTATGTCTCGGGAGTATTGGCTCAGTCTTTTGCAAACGGTGAGCTTCTATGTTTTCTTTCTTCTTTTCTTCGCCTTTTTTTTATCATTTTTTTTGTTCCCATTATTTTCCCTCTCTTCCTCTGCCACACCTACGGAGCTCCTGCCCTTCTCATATTCCCACCCATCCATCATCCATTGCTCGTCCGAGCAGCCACTCCCTCTCACGTCTCCTGCTTCCCACACTCCCCGGCACCACCCTCGCGCCTTCCCTTCCCATAAATACTCCACCTGCTTCCGTCTTCTCTGCCCTACGGGTTCTTTCATTATTATTTCTATCTCATCCTTCTAACCTTTCGCCCCTACAATTTACCTTGTTGCACACTCGTTGCACTCTCGCTCATATTATCCTTCGTCTCCTCTTCGTCCCCTTTCAGAATTGCTTTACGCCAACGTGCTTTTGCCTCAACTAACGGCAGCGCCCCTTACCTCCAGCCTTGCTCTGATCGCAACAGCCACGTCCACCTTGGGCCCTCTCCTTCGACGAACCTCCCGCCGCCTTCTTTCGCCTTGCCCAGCTCGATTCCGCCGTCAAATTAGTGTCTCTAACATCCCCTTGTGCTCACTTACACTACACTGGATTGCTTTTCATCTTTTATCCAACCCCCAGCCGTCACTGCCCTACCGATTGATATTGACCATACAGAACTATCCTCTACTGAGCTTTAGAGCCACAATCCATAGCACTGCACGCCTTCACCTCACTTGCGTTCGCATTGTCACCTCACAGTCGCATTTCTCACAAGCAGGACAGATCAAAATGGCGTCGTTTGACTGTACTTCCTCACCTATCCTGACCATGACACCTCAATCCGCGCATCAAGGTTCCTTGGACCGGCGCTTCTTCCCCCACCCATCTGCATCATTTGGTCTCCCTTCATCGTGGACACAAGGCCTCGGACAGGCTTTTGCGCCTCCTCCGCGCGGTCGCAAGCGGTCCAGAGACGAAGCTGCAGTCAACCTCGACTCCCCCGAGAAGGTGCCACCGCCGGCCGAGACTGTCAAAGACGACGAAGACGAGTGGGAGTACGGCCCTGGCATGATCCTCATCAAAAAGAGCAGCGGTTACGTGCACGACGCCAGCACTCAGTCAGGCACTTGGCTGGAAGAGAGCGCAGCAGCTTTGGAAGCGCAGCGGCAAGAAGACGCCCTTCTCGCACAGCGGCGCCAAGCGCAAGATCGGCCATCTCTGCGCAGCCATAAGTCGTCGCGCATCGATCTCTCTGCCCGAGCATCGGCGCAAGCTGGCAGCTCTCGGACGAGCCTAGGGCACGACCTCTCGGACGCGTCGTCCAAGACGCCCAGCGGGGCTGGGTCGCAACCGATCATCGACGACTTCACACTTCATCTCGGCATTGGATGGAGTCGGCTGAGCGAGGACGAGCACATCCAGGCTGCGGCGCGTGGCTGGGCACGGTACATTGAGAAGCACTATCCGGTGACCGAGCCCAAGATTCTTCTCGAGAGCAAGGGGCTGGAGTCATACCTGGTCGAAGCACGTGAAGGTTTTTTCCTCTTCGGGATCGACCTGCACCAGGGCCGGCTTGTCAGCAGCGACGCGCAGCGCACTCTCGCCAACCTCAAGTGCAATCCGCCCGTCTTCGACGGCGAGCATGTGATTACTGCTGCCGGCACGCCACGGGCTACAGGGATGGGGCTTGAGCAAAGCGGTGCCGCACAGGCATCGGCCGACTTGGACATGGACATGAATTAATGGGGTGACCATCTGCACTATGGGTTTTGGGGCGTTGAAGGGTTTGGGATCAATGGGATGTTGATGCGCGGATACGGTGGTGGTGTGGGGCTGGCCAGGGGAGCAGGAAAGGAAAAAGGTAATCTTCTATCGTCGTTTTTCTTCGTCTTTCTTTGTCTGGACGTACTCTCGTCATGTATCGGTTGTGTTACCACGACGAGAGGACGGCAACGCCACAAACGATATAAACTGTACAAAACCAACCGGGATTACACTTAACAATTTTAAATTGAGCAGGCCCATGGCTTGGCGTCACAGCAAGGAATCATATATGATGACGCCGGGCTACTACCCATTAAAGACACTACGTGCTTTCGTGTAGGCCGTAAGCTATCCGTAGCTGGCGGCTACATACGTAGTAGTACAGAGTCAATGCAGTCTGCAAACGAGTGGGTTATACACATGTACTCAGAACCTCAGTGCTTAGTCATCAGGACCCATCTACGGGCTAGTATGGCATGTCTTTCTTCCGGCGAACAATTACGTCGTTCCCCAAGCACCGAGCGTCCAGGTGGCGGTGCCGGTGCCAGTGTTCCCCGAGGCACCGCCGCCGGTGACGCTGCGCATGGCGAGGCCAGCGGCGCCACCGGGGCCCATGCTCTGGCGCTGGAGGGTCTTGATGTCGACGTCGGCCGGGCGGACAGCTCCCAAGGCGCCGCCCTGCTGGGTCCACTGCTCGCGATCGACGGCGGCCAGAGTGGGCACGCGCAGCTGTGTGAGCAGGCTGGCGCCGCTCCAGGCGCCGAGGGTCTCGACGGCGCGCAGCTGGCCGGCGCTGGGTGGACGGATATTGCCGGAGCTGCTGATGCTCTCGCTTCGGGCACGAGCCTTTTGCAGCTCGGCCTCGACGGGATCAGGTTCGGGCTGGGCGCTGGCGGCATCGTGCCACTCGGCGTCGGCGGAGAGCGTGGCGGTATGGGCAGTGGTGCTGCCGGTAGCGACAGCAGCTGCAGCAGCAGCTTGTAGCAGCTGCTGCTGGCGTGTGGTCCTCTTGAGCTTCGGGTTCTCGCGGAACTGAGCGACGGCCTTGCCTCGCACGCCATCCCAGCCCTGTTCGGCCACCAGGCCGGCGACGTCGTCAAAGATGCGTCCGCGCAGGCCAAGGACGCCGGTACAGCCGCCGACAAAGACGATACGGGCCATGCAGGTGGCGCGCACGTCGACGGGAAGTCGCTGCAGGTGGCGGAAGAGGAGCAGCGGTACCGGCAGCTCCTCGTCGTCCCAGCTGGCAGGATGGATTTCGGCGCCGGGATTGCCGCTGGTGGCGCCAAAGAACGTCACCTCACACGGCTCGGCCAGCTGGTCAAAGGCGAGCCGGATCGTGGCCGGTGGCGTGCATGACTCGAGGGGGATTTCGGTCGTGCGGCTGCCCCGGCGATTGTGTGTTTTGTTGGTAGTGTTGTTGTTGCTGTTGTCGTTGTGATTGTTTCGCCTACTGCCGGCGTCCTCTACCGTCTCGTCCGTCTCGGCCACCGTGGCTAGGCCGGCCTCTGTAGGCAGGTTATCGCCGGGACGCACTGCTGCGGCTGGTCGTCCCGGTTTGCACCAGACCAGCCGTGTGGCCACGTCCTCGCACTCGTCGAAGCTGAGCACGTGTGTGCTGCTGTCCCGGCTCGGCCGTGGCTGCTCTGGCCGGCGGTCGTGTGGCAGCAGGCCGGCCAGCAGATCGTGCACCTGCTGGATCAGCATGCGACCTGCCCGTATTGTCCGCGTGCAGGCCACCTCGCGGTACTCGTACACGCTCGTCACGGTCGTCTCGGCCCAGCCCAGATCGACGACGAGGGCGCTGCGCAGGCCGGCTGCCATGGCTGCGGCCACGGGCGCTGACAGGAGCGAGACGCTCGGCGTCAGGAAGCGCCCAAAAAGGGTGTCGAGCGTGGCCGACAGCAGCGGAATCGGCAGAGTTGGCGGCAGGATGACGACCATCCGTCTGGGGCGCGAGTCGACCATGAGATACCTTGTGAGTGCATCCCGAAGGGCGCGCTCGAGCTTGTCGCCGATCAGACCGGCATCCACATGGCGGACATCCAGCTTCCAGAGCTCGTATGCGCTGTCCCATCCGTTGCCCGCACCTGCACCTCGCCAGTTGCGGCGGTAGCCGTCCTGCCAGACGCGCAGGTCGCCGACACGCCGCTGCTGCTCCGGGCCAAACATCATGGTACCCCGGCTGACGGCATCGCCGGCAAAACCGGCTACTAGCTTCCGTGCCCCAATCTCCATCACGATCGTGTCCTCCTCAGCCCGCAGTGCAGACGGCGACGCAAACGTGGAAGGGGCCGTCCGAAAGGGCGAGGGCCCGCTGGGCGTCGATGGCACCGCGCCACTGCGCCCGCTTCCCGCAGCAGCTGCACTGGCCCCGGTGGCACCTGTCCTGATGTTCGAGACGGTTCGATGCGCAAGCGAAGGATTGGCGACGGACGCCATGGCCCCGGCTGTCGGTGAGGCGTCCTCGGGAATCGGCGCCGATTGTGTTTAGAAAAGCAGGAAAACGCAAACAGCAAAAATGCACCCCCGGGATCTGTATGTACCGCGCTGCGTCAATCGTGTCGTATGGTCGTTGTAGTGGCGGCAGCTCGAGGAGCTCTATGACGATACATACTTTCGGCAGCTGTGGCGGTGCTTGTGGCGTCCCCACTGGTCCCTCTAGAGACGCCACAATGACATCCTAAAACAGCAATAGCATCAACAAAGGACATCACAAAAGCTCCGTACAGAACGACTACGGTCCGACAGCAATGCAGAACACGTGCTTCTTTGCTCTTGGAATTATGTTTGCTTAAAGTCATGCGGATATACGGGGGGTTTTCGTTACCTGGGTCGTTTGCTTTATTGTTTAGGTGATTGCTGGCTTCCATCTCTTTTGGCTTTCTCAGGGTTTCATTGTTGGCCTACACCATGGGTATTAAGGGAATCTACAAAGAGATTGGTGCCGGGAGGCGGATAGCCCTCCACCGGCTGGCTGTTGAGAGCCTCGAGACTCGAGGCCGGCCATTACGGCTGGCAATTGACATTTCGATATGGCAGTTCCAGATCCAGGCAGCTCGGGGTGAGTTTTCATGGTTCGTGTCCCCTATATTTTTCGTCTTGATCTGACGGTGCGTGCAGGCGGTGCAAACCCAGCGATCCGCACTCTGTTCTACCGTCTCGTCCGGCTGCTCGGCATACCCATCCAGCCCATCTTCGTGTTCGATGGCCCGAACAAGCCGGCGTTCAAGCGCAACAAGCGGTCGGCCAAGAGCGACGGCACGGCGACGGCCATGGCCAAGCGCCTGATCCGCCTTTTTGGCTTTATGGCCCACGACGCGCCCGGCGAGGCCGAGGCCGAGTGCGCGCTCCTACAGCAGCGCGGCGTGGTCGATGCCGTCCTCAGCGAGGACGTCGACACGATCATGTTTGGCTGCACGCGCACGCTGCGCAACTGGTCGTCGGCCACGGCCACCACATCTCCGCCCACACACGTGTCCATGTACGAGACCGACAGCCTGCAACAAGACAAATCCGGCCTCGACCGCGAGGGCATGGTGCTGGTCGCCCTGATGAGCGGCGGCGACTACCTGCCCGAGGGCATTCCCGGCTGCGGCGTCAAGCTGGCCTGCCAGGCGGCCAAAGCTGGGTTCGGGCGGTCGCTGTGTCGGCTGAAACGATCAGACACATCGGCGCTGGCTAGTTGGCGCGCAAACCTGGTGCGCGAGCTTCAGACCAACGAGAGCCGGTTCTTCCGAACGTGCCACCGCAAACTGCTCATCCCGGAGCAGTTTCCTAGCCTCGAGATTCTGCGCTACTACACACACCCCGTCGTTTCGCCGGTTGAGATCGTCGAGCGGGTGCGGGCCGACCTCGAGGCAGTCGAGGCGGCTGATCCTTTGGTCGTGATGCGGGAGAGACGGGTCGACATCCCGGGGCTGCGCGACTTTGTGGGCGAAACGTTTGACTGGACCGACCGAGCCGGCGCGATCAAGTTCATCCGCGTGTTGGCGCCCAGCCTCCTTTCCCGGATACTGCTCTTGCGATGGTCTACGGACGACGGGGCAGAGGACGGGTGGCCGTCTGTGGTAAAGGGCATCTCCAAGCAACGGACGCACGCCAGCACGGACGACACACCCGAGTTGAGAGTATCGTTCATCCCTGCCACCGTGGTCAGTCTTGACCTGGAAGCCGAGAATGACGCGCCTGCTGTCGCCTTTGGACGAGACGGGCTCGCTCTGAACAGCGATAGCGATTTCGCCGAGCCATCACCCGAAGAAGCTCACACGACTGGTGCCAGGAAGGCATCTGCCTACGATCCGACGCAAGCGGACGTTGCCTGGGTAACGAGAGCCGTTGTCGAGATTGGGGCGCCTCGAGCGGTGGAAGCATGGGAGAAGGGACAGAAGCCGAAGGCTGGCACCAAACGGACCAAAGAAAAAGCAGCAAACATCAAGAAAAAGACAGCGGCCGTGCCCAGCATGCCGACCGGCTCTCTCGATCGCTACGTGCAGGTGACAAAGAACGCAGGTAGAGACACGGCGGCAGTACAGGGCACTCTAGACGATAGCGAAGCCGACTCGGAGTCCGTCCAGCCACAGACAGCAAGACGGCTAGAGGAGCGGACAAGACTACGGCGCCAGCCACCGGTCGCAAACCCGTGGTCGCTGGCCGGTTCACAGGCGCCTCGGATCACGAAGTCAGCCGTCCGCGAGCCGCTGCGAGACTGCTCGAAGGTGAGCAGTGTGTCACCACCCAAACCCACCAGCTCTGTTGCAGCTGTCGTGGTGGACCTGCTATCGAGCCCGGAAGAGCCGAGGCTGCAATCGCTGGCCAAGACGAGGCGAAGCCGTGCAGCTGCGAGCCCAACAAGAAGTCCGAGAAAGACGGGAGTACGGAAGACAGAGGTAACGACAGAAAACAGCCAGGTGACAAGACCTCCGCGACAAAAGTCGATCCGCGACTTTTTGTCGCAGCCGGTGACCGTGGCCTTATCATCAGACGAAGAAGATGGGGTGGAAAAAGAGGCTGGAGGACGGGCAAGTGAGACAGGCGAGCGATCAGTGCCACCTGCCAAGTTAAAGACGGTGTACGTCCCCCGTCGGAGCGCAGTAGGCTACTTTCGCGAGGAGACGGTGGAGGAGGATGGGGCGGACGAGAAGACGACAGGGCATGCAAGACGAGGCTGGCGGAAGAGCGAAGTCAGCATAGTAGACCTCACGGGTTTAGACAGCGACTAGACACCTGTACGGAGTATTGACCGTGTCCACTAAACAGACTCTGACCGATAGCAGGCCGAGGCCAATCACGGCTGCAGCTGACTCGAGCATGAATACATGATAGAACCGGTAGTCAAGGGGAACAAAGAGGGAGAGCCCCACCAGCAGAGATAGGCTGTGTGGCGAGAATGCAGCTTTTCTGCAGAACCACAGCCACGCTGCAAGAAGGCAGGAGGATGGAGGGGCCGGATGCCTCCACTAAACGAGGACCCCTGTCAATGTGCCGAGTGCTCCTTCCCTGTGAATCGGTGACCAAGCTGCAGTCTTCTGACCTCGAGTCTCCCTGTCTTCATGTGAGGCAGTTGGATTGCGTTCATCCCCATTTTCCCGTACGTCGTAGTGACGCTTTTCGGATTTTTCCCCTGCTCCTTGATTTTCTGGGGCGAGGACGTGTCCAATGCTGGGCCTGTCGCATGTTCCATTTTTTCGTGCCTCCGAATTCTGATTTGCTGCCGAGCTCCGCAACGCATGCACCCACCTCTCCAATATAATTCGACGATAAACATCCAGAGGCCAAGGCGGCCTCTCAATTTCGCAGGCAAGGGCAAAACCGTCCGGGACATCGCGTTTGGAAGTGTTTTCGGTGTGCATGCGGATGACAAGTCGAACGAGAGCTTTTTTGTTATTGATCCAACCGGTCAACGACTCGCAAACCGCGACAGCCTCAACACGTCCTCGACGGGCGGTCCTGCCCCATGGTCGCTCAACTCGATTCGTTCCAGTCGTCCTCGCTCGCGTTCCGGGGGTCCTCCTCGGCTGTCGGCAGCGTCGGCGTGCCTGTGGCGACCACCTCTGTCGTGGGCGGTACGCCGTCGTCTCGATCCCGTCGCTACAACCGCAGCCATGTGGGCGGGACGTCGTACGTGCCGCTCAACGAGTTCCCGACCTTTAGCAACACGGGCGACGTCGAGATTGTCGTGCGTGTGCGATCGGGCCACGAGAACCGCTATCTGCTGCACCGCGACACGCTGGCCCGGTGCTCGGGCTTCTTCGAGGCCAGCACGAGCAAGGAGTGGTCGCGGGCACAGGTGGTAGGCGATGAAGCGGAACGACAGACGGCCGCAGAACTGCCACTGCCACCACCACCACCCGTCGCCCGGCTGCCGAGCGGTGCGGAGCTGGCCAGACTCGGCGCAGGTGGCGGCAACAGCAGCAGCACGACGGCCAACAGCAGCGACAAGACCGGCCGTCGATGGCGATACGAGCTGGACCTGGGCCAAGACGAGAACGACAAGCCGATCCTGGTGCAGAAGGAGGAGGACAGTCGGCCGACCGTGCCGTCACAGTCACTCTTTGGCGGCGGTGGCGGCCTCAGCAGCGGCCACAGCCTGACGTATCGGGGAGCCGGAGGCGGAAGCAAGGCAGCAGCGGGGCCGACACACAGCAACTCGAGCTTCTTCCGGTCGGTGGCCAACCTGACGCTGTCGCGCGAACATCACTCGTCGTCACGACGTCACGGTAGCGGTCACCATAGCAGCAGCAGCCAGAACCTGACGCACGGGTCGTCATCGCTGTTGCCGGCAGCGACGGCCGACGAGATCGACATCCTTCGCGACTACGACAACCTGTTCCGGATCATGTACAATTACGCGCCGCTGCTGGACGGCATCAACATTGCGGACGCGTACGTGCAGTGCAAATCGCTGCTAGCAGTGGCCGACGAGTACGACGCGCTGGGTGTCGTGGGCCCGCGCGTGGACCACCACCTGCTGCAGTTCCAGAGTCGGCTGTGGCGGCAGATTGCCAAGTACCCGATCAGCTACCTCCGGCTCGGCTACCTGGCGCGGTCGCGGGTGATCTTCCAGGAGGCGGTGGTGCACGTGGTAGGCCAGTGGCCGGCCGGCGAGCGCAGTCTGCGGGCAGCGATGCCAGACGCGGTGCTGGACCTGATCGAGGACAAGGTGGATGAGCTGGCTGAAGCCGTGGCCCGCGTTGAGTCACGGCTGTTCCGGCTGCACCTGACGACGCGTGGCGGCGAGCGCGTGTCGCCGTCGACATCGTATCTGGACTGGCTGGCCGTGTCGCTGTTTCGGCAGTGGCTGGCCGACAACACGACACCGCCGGCCGAGTCGGGCTCGTCGGCACCGCAGGCGCTTCTTCCCAGCAGCCGGGCAATGCCGGAGAGGCGTGGGAACGGGGGTGCAGACCGATATGGGCACCGGAATGGTGGTGCTGGTGCTGGTGCTGGTGCTGGTGCTGGCCACCATCGGAGCGGCCGGGCATCCTCATCCTCGTCGACCGACTCGGGCGGCCGCATGGGCGCACAGGAGACGGCAGCCCTGGCGCTGCGAGTGCGAACAACGACGGTCCCGCCGCTCTCGCCACCGCTCTCGTCGCTCGGACGGACCTATCGCACGCTCGGGACGGCCGGCGGGCTCTCGTTTCTCGGCCACGACGAGTGCAAGCGCTTCCTCAAGATGTCGCCCGACCTGTACAGCCGCGACAACCTGCGCCGGTTCGAGAAGCGGATCGATGAGATGAAGGCCATGGCGCGCGAGATTGTGCGCCCGCTCATGGGCAGCGGGCTCGAGCTGGACATGGGTCGCAGCAGCGGCGTCCATGGCGGCAGCGGGCCGAACGAGCACATCTCCTACTTTACGTGCACATATCTGAGCGATCGAGATCTGCCCTGGTATGTAGAGGGGTGATGTGTTGGGACGATGACACGTGACTGGCTGAGGATATTCGGCACGTGACGAGATGGATGATGGAGAGCTGGACTCTGACTGGATGCGGTCCATTTGGTTGCGCTAATGATAGGATCACGGATGATGCACGATATATGTCTTGACGGCCGCAGCTGCTTGCTGGTCTGTATGCCACTTTATGTTTTTTTGGTCATGTTACTGCGATTTGGTTGCCTCACATAGTTTAGGATACCCGTTACGAGGAGGGTGTGTGACAGTAGTGTTTGTGAGAAGAACCGCCTGTGTGAAGCCGCCGTAAAATGCTGGCCCTTGTCTCAATTCTATCAAAAATCCCGCAACGTCGCCACCAGGCTGTCCAGCCGCATGACCTGTCCGATCAGCTTCTGCTCGACGTCGCAGTAGCGCTGATACCGGTCAAAGTACTTTTTCTCCAGGGCCTCACGCTCGCGACCCTTGACGTCGGGCCGCTCGACAAACGCGAGCACCTCGCGGCTGGCCTGGCGATGGACGTCACGGACACGCAGACAGCGCGCCATGGCCTTGTAGGCGTGGTCCAGCAGCATGTCCTCGGCGCGGGCCACGTCGCAGTACCAGAGAAACACCGTCCGGCTGGCCGACCGGTTGTTGTCGCGCGGGACCTCCTGCACGTCGACAAAGCCGTGTGCCTGCAGCTCCAACATCTTGTGCTGCACCTCGCTCTTCTTCATCAGCGCCAGCCCCGGCAGCGTCTTCTCGTCCAGCTTGCCCTTGTCGCGCAGAATCCGCGCCAGCCGCAGTCCCTGCCGTCCCGTCTGCCGCTCAATCGCGTCGTCCAGCTCGGCCTCGCGCAGCCGTCGCAACAGCGGCACAAAGTCTACCGTCCACTGCCCGCGCTCGCAGTGTCGCAGCAGCTTGAGCCGGTCGTCGCACAGCAGCAATAGGTGCTGTCGCATCTGCTGCAGCCGCGTCTCTTGGCTCGCCGCGGCCGACGGCGCTGCTGCTGCCACGCCCTCGGCAAACTTGACTCGTGGCGTGTTGTGCTCGGCTTCGTTGCCGTTGCTGTTGCCGTTGCTGTGGCCGTTGCTGTGGCCGTTGCTGTGGCCGTGGCCGTTGCTCTCTCCATTGATCGCTGCTGCCTGTCGGATCACTGGCGTTAGATGCACCTCGCCCTCCGAGTCGTAGTCCTCCTCGTCCATGTCATCCTCGTCTGCACCGCTGCCGTCGCCATCGTCGCCCGCTATGAACGCGTCCACCTTGGCATGTCGCTCCAGCCGCTCGGCTGTCGGCACGTCGATCTCGTGTCCTGCCACCTTGCCGATCCCCGTGAACACGTCTAGCGACGGGCTCAGGTGGTCGAACACGTCCCACGTCTGGATCGCGCGCGGCCGCAGAAACTCGCTGCCTGCCGCGTCCATCATCGGGTTTGCACGGCACCGCGGGATCGTCTCGGTCAGCTGTCGCAGCAGCACCGCGTACACCTGCGCTGTCGTCTCGCCCACCGCCGCCGATGCTGCCTGCACCAGTCGCTGGTTGCGCAGCAGCACTGCACATCGCTCGTGGTTCACCCGGAGGATCGTTTTGGCCTGTCCTCGTTAGCACGACTGCTGCAAATCGCCCGCCATCCACCGAGAACACCTACATCGAGCGGAGTATCTTGGTCTCCGTCGTGCCCGTTGGCCACGTCGCTGCCATTCATCAGCTTCCGCAGCTTCTGCCGCCCGCCGCCGTTCATCTGCAGCGTCCGCTTCAGCTTGCGCGGCTCGTCCCGGAGCGCTTGCAGGTGCTCTGCCAGACGCATCTCGAACTCGTCCTTTTTCTTCCCCCGGATCTCTTCCGGAAAGTACTTGCGCGTCACGTATTCTCTCGCCTGCGTCAGCCGGTCCGGGAAACTATCAAAGCTCGCAGGGCTGACTACCTCCACCACCTCCGCCAGGATCAGCTGCGAGATCACCGCGTTCAAGTGGTTCATCGACCGGATCGCCGTGCCCTCGTGTGGCCCGCCTTGAGCTTGTCCCTCCGCCGCATGATCACCGTTTGTCTTGTCAACCCCGTTGCTCTCTCGCAGCGATGCCTCCCACCGTACAATCTTGGCCGTGTACGCGTCCTTCAGGTCGGCAATCCGCGTGTGGCCCAGCGCCAGCAGGTTCTGCACCACGTCCTTGGCCTCCATCCCGTACAGGCTCTCCACCATCTCCAGCACCTTGCCCGACCGCATCACGTTGTAGGCAGCCTCCGGGTTGGCATCGTACATGGTCGTGCCGTCAGCCGCGTTGACCTGGAAGTAGAGCAGGTCGTACTGCAGCAGGACTGCGAGCCCGTGTCGAAGCTGCCGTGGAGTCAAAGACGTGTGATGCGCCAGCTGCGCCACGCTGGCCCGTCCATGGTTGATCAGGGCCGCAAAGATTCGCTGCGACGCATGTCAGCATCACTGCAATCTGCAGGAGAGAGAGAGAGAGAGAGAGAGAGGAGAGAGCCGTACCGAAGGAAGCTCCCCATGAATATCATCAATAATCAGAGTGCAGAGCTCCGCTAGATTCTTCGTCTGTCTCATCGCATCGTCGTTAGCAGGCACAGCCTCTCGGCAATAGAAAAAGACATCTTCTGCAGGTCATCCGCCATGTAAGAGCAAAGAGCAATGCGCATGTGACTCACCACCGCCAACATAGCGAATCAAAACAACAGGTTGCTAATTCGCTCAGGTCTTTGGCATCTAGAGATCCTCTCACTATCTCTAGAGCTGCCACAAATGCTACCGTAAAGTCATTGAGAGGCGTGTATCGTATGGGAGAAATTTTCAAGAGACGCTCCGGCGGCCTTACTGCAGAACTTTTTGGGGGCCAACTAATTCACTGTCTGGCGTTCGCCAATTCAGCGGGTGGGCCACGAGCTTCCCAGCGGGGTCTGGCAGTGGGGAAAGAGCGGACGTCTCATGAGTTCCAGAGCCGCTCCCAGCTGCCAGCTGCCAGCCGGGCTAAAGGCGAGCCACCAGCTGGCGCTGTTTTTCCGTCGGTTTTTTTTCTCGCTGTCCGAAAATTGCTCGGAACGGTGGTTAGGCCGTGTTCTTCCCTGCGCGAAATGAAATAACTCGCAGACAATTGGATGACCACACTTCCCCCTGCTGAGGTTAACGGGAAAAAAATAGACAAGAAAATCAGCCCAGCCCGTCGAAGCTTCTCACGCCTCCTCGCACCCTCCTGCAACACCCTCCCCCAAGTCAATTGAGGCTCCACCCCCTCGCTCGCGACCGTCCCCTCGTCCGAACCATGATCTCGAGATCCGCCGTCTCAAGAGCAGGCCAGCTGGCCCTCCGGCGGCAGCAGGCCTGCGTCCGGACACAGACCCGTGCCTTTGCTGCCGCCGCTTCCGGCCCCTCGGCCTTTGAGCCGACCGACATCGCCGGCGTCAAAGTCCTGTCCAAGGATGGCCAGGGCCCCTCCACAAAGCTCGCAGTCGTCGCCAAGGCCGGCACCCGGTACCAGTCTGCGCCCGGCCTGACCGCCGGCCTTGAGGGATTTGCTTTCAAGGTGAGCGCGCCCGAACCCGGACCGTCAAACCGTCAAAACGGCCAATGCGGCATCCATCGCCTGCTGACCTCAAACGCCACAGAACACCTCGAAGCGCTCGGCTCTGCGGATCACGCGCGAGAGCGAGCTTCTCGGCGGCCAATTGACCGCATACCACACTCGCGAAGCTGTCGTGCTCGAAGCCAGCTTCCTCCGCGAACACCTGCCGTACTTTACCGAGCTGCTCAGCGAGGTTGTCTCGCTGACCAAGTTTACCAGTAAGGCTTTTCTCTCTCTCTCTTTCTCTCTCCCTCTTCTAACCGCCACAGGACACGAGCTGGAAGAGGACATTGAGCCGGTTCTGCACATCCAGCAGGAAAAGTACTCGGCCAACGCCCTCGCCCGCGCCGTCGACGGAGCCCACGATGCTGCCTTCCACTCTGGACTCGGCCAGGCCCTCTACCAGAGCACCGCAACCCACGTCAGCGAGCACGATGTCGCCGCCTTTGCCGACGTTGCCTACACCCGTCCCAACATTGCCGTCGTGGCCGATGGCGCCACTCAGACCGCCCTCGCCAAGTGGGTCGAGCCCTTCTTCAAGACGGTCCCGGCTGCACCCAAGAGCGCTGCCGCCTTGAGCACTGCCGCCTCCAAGTACTACGGTGGCCAGCTGCGCGCCGACTCCGCTGCCGGCAACGCCGTCGTCATCGCCTTCTTTACCGCCGGTCTCAACGCTGCTGACCCCGCTGCCGCCGTGTTGGCCTCCCTGCTGGGCGGCAAGTCCAGCATCAAGTGGGCTCCCGGCTTCTCTCTCTTGTCCAAGGCCACTACCGGCCTTGGAACCCAGGTCGTCGCCCAGAACCTGCTCTACTCCGACGCTGGCCTGTTCACCATTCAGATCAGCGGCGGCTCCGCTGCCACCGTCCGGAAAGCCGCCGAAGAGGCCGTCAAGGTCGTCAAGAGCGTTGCTGACGGCTCTGTCAGCAAGGAGGACCTCACCAAGGCTATCGCCAAGACCAAGTTCGACGTCCTGACCGCGGGCGAGTCTGGCAGCGCTGCCTTGACTGCTGCTACCGCCGCCCTGTACGGCGCCAAGGCTGCTGACACCAAGGCCTTCGAGGCTGTCAGCGCTGACAAGCTCAAGACAGTATGTGTCCCCCTCTCGCTCCCCCTCTTCTCACACTTGGTCGCTTGCTAATCCCCCTCCCAGCTGGCAAAGACCTTCCTGGACGGAAAGGCGTCGTTTGCGGCTGTGGGTGACCTGCACGTCCTGCCGTATGCTGAGGATGTCGGCCTCAAGGTATAAATTAATCAACGGTCGCGGATGTTATCTTGACTAGGTCGGGCAGGGGAATGAAGCTTTTGTATCAACAGTCGTCCGAAACCGCGGGCAGAACAAATCCTGGCCCGGCCTTGGGTTCTTTGTGCATATAACCCCCTCTTCTTAGAAATTCCAAAAGAAAAATGTGCAGTAGTCAAGGTGATGCTGGCTTGGGAGAGCCAGGGGGCGGAGCAGTCGGCGGTTGTCTATATATCTACAATACAGTTCTGATTTCACGAAGACCCTTCTATCTGCTTTCCTTTTCCTCGCCTTTTTTCTCCAGCAATTGCAGATCAACCGGTGGTGTAGCTCAAACTACGTGTCACGTGACTAGTCGGCTGCGACGGAGCGGAATATGTCGCGCAGATACTCCGTAATCCCGAGCTATTTTGATTTCTGGATTTTTCGTCCCCTTCTTCCTTTTCCCCATCGAACGAAATTGCCGACCGACCGAATCTCCAATACACCACCTACGCCGAATCCAATCAAGAAGCCGCCAGCTTCCCAATTATCAAGTCAAAATGGTGTTCGCGTGGAAAGCCGCAGGCCTGACGTGAGTGGCGCCAATGGGTAGAGGGACACGGAAGCAAGACTACGAGGAGCCGCCGACCTGACCGTTTCCTTATTAGCTACAACCGCTACCTGGCAGTCGCCAGCCGCGTCGTGCGTCAGAGCCTCAAGGAGGAGCCGAGACTGGCGGCTGAGCGCCGTGGCCAGGTCGACCTTCGGATCCAGAAGTGGGCGGTAGGTGCACACCCAACAATCCGCGAGGAAGAGGCTGTGTCAATTTGCTAACAAGGCTTGGCAATCCAGAACGGCAAGGCCGGCGAGCCGGCAAACCTGACGAACGACGTTGCCCCCGCTCCCGCCACCTCGGCATAAGAAACCCGATGTTCGGACGGCCGATCGACGAGATGGGGCGCATTCGACTGCATGTGTGAGGGGCGTCTTTGGGGGGCAGCGAGAGCAGCTTCTCGGCCGGCGGAGGATAGACGGGCTCTAGGAGAAACCACGCGAAGACAACGGCCCGTCAGCTGGCGCCCCGACTCCGTGGACTGTTTCGGTCAATCCTTTGTGCCAATTCGCCCATGTATTCGGCACGCCTTCATGCATGTCGGCCGAATCGTTGTGTCGGAAGAGCGATTGATTTCTTTTGTAGAGATTGAAAAACGAAAAAAATATGCAACCGTTTGAGGACCAGCTTCCTAAGCCAAAATTGGCCGTTCGGCCGATTTGGGCGTTCTGCGCGTCGTCTCTTCGCTAGTGAGGGAGAGCCTGTAATTGGAAATTGCTGGCTCAAGTAGCCGCAAGTGTCTGTAGAGTTGAATGGGTGGACTTGGGCAAAGAGCTCTGCCAGAATTGGCCGTTCTGCCGCCCTGCAACCCTGTTGACGGCTATCAGGTTGAAGGGACCACTATTAGGCGGCTCGGGGGCCCAGAGGTATGCTGCCCCTCCTCTCTATAGCCATCCAATTCAATACCAATTGGGCAGAACAAAAATTAGCACATCTCATTTAGGGCCCCAAGTGACTACAACCTCGCCAGTTTAGAGCAGCGCTTTTGTAGCTGAGCCTCTTTCCCTCCAAGACTTGCTGACTGGCGCTTTCGGGAAGGCGATCAACCCTCTGTGCATAAAATTTCTGTTAACGTGAGCAGTTGCGACCCACTGCCCGTTGTCTGTCTCCAAAAGCAGCTGACTTGACTGAAGAATTGAGATTGCCTGCTTCAGACAAGATAGCAGAACAGGAAGAAGACGCCCACGTACCACAGATAACAGTCCACAACACAACACAGATTCTATTGAAAATAGCTCTACCCCGCGCCATTACCAGTCTCGTTCCCGTCTTGCTTGATGGCCAACGATGAGGCTCGGGAGGCCGGAGGGTCTCCCGGTGCAACCCGGGACGAGTCCGCTGTGTCCAGTGGTAAGCCAGTTATTTTGGACAGTCGATGCCTTTGATGAAGCATCTTGCATTCTCACAATAAGCTAGAACTCCGAGGCCTCTCTCTCAATACCGAGCCATCTGTGCCGGCCCTATCGCAGCCACCACCATCCCGGCCCATATCTAGTGGCGTTGTTTCTGTGGACATCACAGCTCAGTTCATGGCAGCAGCGGCGAGTAAGAATTCCTTTTTTTTTGCAATGGCCGAATTGTCAGAGCAGAAAGGATTTACTAACGCTTCATACAGCTCTTGGGCCAGGAGAGCTAATCAAGGACCCCTTCTTCACACTCTTTGAGTCTGTTGGGGCACTCGAGGTAAGAGCTGAGCTGAGATTGAATCTTTACCTTACCGTGTTGTGGAATCATGACTGAGTTTGTATGGCTTCATCAACTAGATCATGGATCCCAAGATGGATAGTGGCTGCCTTCCTGCCGAAGAGCTGGAAGACGACACTTATGATTTTGCACGTCCTCTGCTTCCCGAGGAGGTTGTCGGAATAATTGACCAGCTTTTATGTCTTGAGGTATGCTACACTTTGCACTTTTTTGTTGAAATTGCCGGATGGTTCTCTGACCAAATATATAGATGGCCTGGCATCTAGGCTACCCATTGTCTCAGACGATATTCACCAGTACCTACATATTCGCAATCCTTTCGCCTATTCCATCGACTATTTCAGAGGTCGACTTCGTCCGTGGCCGCAGCCCACAGGAGCTGATTGCGTCTCCTACTCACGCCGTCTTGCGTGCGTATTGCATTAGCCTCATAAAGACGTGCTGGCATGTGATAGATAGTGTCAAAGCCCAAACTTATTATGAGGCAAGTGCAAAGCCAGCACAATATCGTCAACAAGGTCTCTCATCACTGACTTTTTGATTTGATTGTAGGAAGAGGACTTTGTCACAAACACATATCATCTGTCTCTACTTGATAGCATTACTCGGGAGGAAGTGCGCCAAGTATTGTTCTCGGCACGGACAGCTGTCCTCGACCCCCGGAAAACAATTGGGCGCAGGATGTTGCTCTGGCATTAGACGCCCGCCTAGAGTTTCGTGACGCATTTCTTCATGCCATCGAGCTGGCCGAGCTTCGTATTCAACCGGATGCCCTACAAGTCCCCTGGAAATCAATGTTGGCTGCCATGGAAGGCGTCAAGAAGACACATAAACTGGGCAAGAATTTGCCTGGAGCTTTTAGTGTCAAGCTGCAGCGTCGACTAGCCAGCACTATGCCACCACGGCCAATCGTACAACCCAGCTTCGATGAAGCCTGTGAGCGGTGGCTACGCTTCTGCAAGGATGGTGCCAGCGTTATCGACGTCCTCCGCTATGCGGATCCGCAGAGTTTGCTAGTGAGTGGTAGTGAGAGAAGGTGGTTAGTTGTGTGCTGTTTTGTGTTCAAGGCTAACATCTCCACGTAGAAATTTGTGCTCACCTTCCAAGCTCAGAAACCACAACCGTTAGTATTCATACGAACACTGATGCAAGATCTGATCTTTGCGGATAATATCATGCTTGGCCAGATGAGCATCCGGCAGGTGATGGACGATGACCTGGCGCTGCTGGTGTTACCTGCCAGCATGCTGCTCGACCCAACAAACGACGAAGTCGAGGCGGTGCAGGATCCACGCTTCGCCGTGGCCCAGCACATGGAAGAGTTCCGACAACGCGCCTTTCCAGCATACTTTGAAGTATTCCGGACGCTGTGCCAAAACCGCAGCCGAACACGTCGGATGTTATGCCGGGCCATCCAGGAGTGGGACAAGCTTCAGATCGACGCAGAGGACATTGACCAACTGGTGGAACATGCTGTGGGTGGTGGCAGGTCGAGAGGTGGAATGACGTCAGAGGGGCCTACTGCTGCTGATGCCTTGCCTCTATCGTCATGGGCCTTCCTCTATAAACTGCAGCTGATGGAGTGGGTCACGCAGTTAGGTTTTGAGCTGGAGGTATACCAGGTCGACGAGTTGCCCGGAATGTATTGGTACCTGAGCTACCTGGCCAAACGGCGGGTGCAGCATGTCGAGCGCATCCGCAGCTTCACTGTGCGGGCTATCCAGGAACACCAGCAGCCCCGGGCCGGAAGGAAGGCCAGCACGCTGTCAACAGCCGAGCACACGGCCTACGTGCGGTCGCTGGCGTTTCTGCGCGCAACCCTGATTGACGCATCGGCGAGCTGGGAGCTGGCCGAGGCGCTGTCTTGCTTCTATTCGGTCCTGCAGCGGACGGGAGAGATGCCTATTCCAGACCGACCCTTTGGCAGCGAGGAGCTGCGCTACGAGTTGCGCATGCGGCCGTTTGCTGCTGGTGGCCCATCGGAGCTGCCGCCCTTTGATATATTTGCCGCGGAGGTGAAGCAGGCCGACAGAAGCGTGGCCGAGATGCTGACGTATGCTGAGAAGGCTGTCGGGGCGGCCAAGAAGGGGTTTGAGGCTCTGACCAAGCTCGACGAGCGCGAAGAGTCCTTCTCGGCCTTCTGCCATGACAGATGGGTGGCGCGGACAAAGGGTATGCAGAAGTCAGCCATATTTGCCGGCATCGCAGTGGCGACGGCACAGAAGGCAGCATTGGACGAAGGCACACAAAATCGGTCCAGACTGACGATCGAGGTGCCCACGCCGGACAAGTGCTATCACGAGTGGTGGGTCGTTCCAAAGATCACCATTAAGCCGGCTGCAACATAATGCTTGTAGAGATTTGTCTTCTGTTACACCTGCGCTATATATACTGCGTTTGTACCCTGGGCGAATTTGCACGAGGCTTCACGGGCTGTTGCTCAAGCATGTTTGTTCAGATTCGGAGAGAAAAGCCAGCTGGGAAAAAAACAGAACTACTAAAATGAACAATAGACCGTTGACCCACAGACGAAACAAGGGGAAAACCAAAATGGGAAGACGATAACAACAGGAACGAACGTAGAACAAAACAAAAGCGAGCACATTAACCCATCGCGTCCCTTGTATCTCCTGTCTTCGCCACTTCTAAACCTAAAAAGAGACTTCCCGGGTTACCTTGCAGTCCTCTTCTTCCATCTACACCACATCCCTCACTCCCCTTCCATCTTCCTGTATCGGCTTCTCGGTCGGTCGATCACCGACGGATTTATCAGCCACTTTCCACTTTCCAGTCCTTTGCTATGCGTCTTGACGAAGCGTGGCAAGAGGGCTGACGTGGAGAGAGAGGGGGAAACAAATGGAAAAATCAGTCAGTAAAAGTAGGGCTGGGATGGTGCAGAATGGCACAATGCGCATTGGGTGGCGTGGCCCGAGTTGTGTCACCCGGAGCAATTAGTGACGAGAGTCCAAGCGCCGAGCGGCATGTGCTTAACAGCAGCCGCCGCTCGAGTTGTTGGACACACCGTGACCGGCGCCGACCTGCACGCTGGGCTTGGTGTTGTTAGTGGCCGTGCTACCCATCCGCTCCTTGATCTGGCGAGCCATGGTGAGGAAGGCCTGCTCAACGTTGTTGGCGTTCTTGGCCGAGGTCTCGAGGAAGGGGATGCCGAGGCTGTCGGCAAATTCCTACAAAGAAAGTCAGCAGGCACTGGTGGGGAAGAATCAAGGCGGCGGCAGCAGACGTACCTTTGCGACCTGGTAGTCGACGACTTTCTTCTCGCTCATATCGCTCTTGTTGCCGACAAGCAGTTTGTTGACGCCCTCGGTGGCGTATCTGTCAATCTCCTGCAGCCACTGCTTGACGTTGTTGAACGAGTCCATGTCAGTGACATCGTAGACGACACAGATGCCATGGGCACCACGGTAGTACGAGGACGTGATGGTACGGAAGCGCTCCTGGCCGGCCGTGTCCCACTATTGATTTGGCTGATTAGTCCGCTGTTGTGTGTATTGGACCAGGGTTTGCTGTACTTACAATCTGCAGCTTCACCGTCTTGCCGTCCAGCTCGATAGTCCGGATTTTCTAGACAGCGGCAGTTAGAAAGAGGAGTCCGATGGGCAGAAATGCAGTCGGAGGCATCTCGCAGAAGAGCCGCTGCGGAGGGCGGGATTATACGTACAAAGTCGACACCGATGGTTGAGATGTAGGACTCGGTATAGGTATCGTCGGCGAATCGCAGCAACAGACAAGACTTTCCAACACCGGAGTCACCGATGAGGAGAAGCTTGAACAGATAGTCGTACCTGAGAAGTGGGAGGGCGATATGTCAGACAAAGCTAGGGATTAAAGGGATATTGCCGAAACATTGCTGGGGGTGGTGATAGGCGGGCAGGATAAAGTCAGGGCGATGCGAAGCCATGGAAGAACTCTAGACAGAGGAACGGTCAGTCAGTATGATGGCCACGCCGTGGTTGGGGACAATGAGGTTGAGGCAGGGCGATGCGCTATTCAGAGGGACAATGCATACTACTCGGGATTCATTGTGGCGGAGCGGTGAACTGGCGACGAGTCGAGAGTGACGGAGAGACGAAAACGAGGTGAGGACGAGATGGGGCAGTAAACACGATGGCGACAAGAGAGGCGGCTGGCGGCGGGTTGCGGATGTAGGTTGTGTTGCGTTGAGGGTTGGGTGATGTTTGAGAAATGGATGAAAAGAGGTTCTGAAAGGAACAGGAATAGGCACGGATTTTGCAGCGGTCAGGTGGGAAATCAGTGAAAGGGGAGGAAGGAGTCGATGGGCTGTGCTCAACGCCTTGCATGGCCAACTTGCACACCCCTCTGCGGCACGTGGATGTTCACATGACTACGCTACATATCACGTGTGCGGAAGCCTAATTGGTTGCCTGTCTGTTTGCCTTGTGGGGCAGGTGACTATTCTGGTCTACACCGTCCACTGAGCCGGATTCCGGCCCTAGAAAGCATGAAAGACGATAGGCAGAGGGAAGGACAGGGTGCAAGACAGCGCAGCTTACCACGACCGGCTGTTCGACTGGCTGTTGCGGGGAGAATTCTTAGACGAGATTCTGGCCAGCCTATCAAGGTCCGGCAAATTGACCTGAGGGACAGTTGGCAGGCCTTATTGCCGCCAGCCGATAAGGCCTGCTCCAGTTAACTTTACAGGTGATCTGAACACGCTTATAGCGGGCAATCCCGGTTCTGCCTGACATCATTACTTTTTTCTGGCCGGAGCTCAATCTTGATCAAATCCACTTTGGACAATCACCAGGCACGCCACATACCTGATTGCCAACGGCGTCCTGCCAGCTTAGACGAAAGTAGCACTGCGACAATTCTGACAGTGCGTGTGTCTATCGCATTCTAGCCCGTACACGTCTGTAGCATGACGACAGCGACGCGAATTGCACGGCGACGAGCGACGACGCCGGCCTTGACGGGGCCGTGTCTGTCGACGGTGCGGTCAGGCCGGCCACCACGACGGCCGTTTTCCGCGGGGCCAGAAGGCCATGCACAGCGACAGCAGCTGTCGGAGGTGTGGTTTAGTGCGACATATCCGCATCACGGCCTGGAGCTGCCAGACAGGGGACGCAAGCGACCGGATGAGCGGACGCTGAAGCTGGGCAAGAGTGAGTAGTGTGTGTGTGTGTAATTGTGGACGTCTTGTTCTGACGGGTGCAGCCCTCCGGATCCTGCAAGAGCGGCTACCGACGCTGCTGCAGTCACCGCTGCCGTCGGAGATTCTGTCGCCGACCATCTCGCTGCATCTGTTCCCGTCGACACATCCACACCTGCCGGCGGTGTCGGGCCGGGTGGCGTACGTGGCGGCGCTGTGGACGTCGCCGCTGGCGTGGAACCGCGTGCCAATTGTCGGCAACGTGCGGCTGGAGATCCTGTCGGAGCGCATGTCCAAGCAGCCGCTGCTGGCGTCGCCACGGCGAGCGGGCGCGGGCGACGAGGAGCTGGTGGTGCGGTGGCGGACGATCGGGGCGGCATCGGCTGGCGACGACAAGACAAAGACGACGACGACGACAACAACAACAACAACAGACGCAGCCAGCACGACAACCACAAACACAAACCCGCTGCTCGCCGGCGACCCGACCAAGGAGTTCACCGGACTCTTCATCTTCGAGTTCGACCAGGAGGGTCGCGTGCTGAGCCACACGATCGAGCACGTCGAGGAGGGCGGCAACTGGGAGCGCAGTGTGGGCGCGCGGTTCGTCGGCCTCACAGACTGGCTGCTGGGCGGCATGCGTGGCGGGTCGCAGCCGCCAGTGGCAGCGTTTGAGCTGCAGCAGCCACATAGGCTGCGGTAAAATATTATTTTCCTCTTCCTTCTTTCACTCTCTTTTTTCTTTCCTTTCATCTCATACTGGCTTGGAAACAAAAACACGGCACACGGAGGCTCTTCTTCACTCAATACCCCGGGCGTCAGGCGGTGGGACGGCATTTTATTCAGACTCTGTAAGATATACGCGCACAAAAAAGGTGGAGAACAAAACACGGAGCAAGCTCGCACACACAATGAGGTGTCTACGCCTGTCTACCTGTCAGCAACATAGGCCTGAAGCTGGTCTTGGGGTACTGTGATGATGCGGATCCGGTCCTTGCGGCTGCTGGGCGAGTAGTAGAGGGTGGCCAGCATGTCGTTGTTGTTGGTAGCATTCCCGTTGGCATTGCTGTTTCCGTTGCTGTTCTCGTTGCTACCAACGACCGTGCTGCCCTCCTGGCCATCTGCTTCCCCGTCTACAGCGCCTAGTAGCTGCGGCATGTTCTGGCTGTTGGTCCAGCGGCTCCACACCTGCTGGCAGATGTCGTCGTACCGGATCGGCTTTTTCTGGTGTTGGGAGCCGCAGCCAGTGCTGTCGTCGCCGTCGTCGCCATCGTTGCCAGCCGTTGTGGGGGGCGTGACGACGACGAGGCGGTCGACGATGTGGAAGCGGTCGACGATGGGGAAGAGGCGTGCGAACAGCAGCTCGGGTTGCAGGCGACCGACACCGAGAGCAATGGCAGAGCAGGCAACGTGGCGCACGCGGCGGGTATCGTCCCTGGACAAAAAGTAGACCATGGATGTAGTGGCGGCGTCGTCGTGCGGCTCGAGGTCGCCCTGGAGCAGCAACACGTCGGTCTCGAAGTTGAAGAGGCAGCCATGACCTCCAGGCCGCCGGTACGTGTTCTTCGGAATGCTGGTGAGGCTGTGCTGCGGCCGGTCGCGAGTCTCGGGCGAGCTGACGGGCTGATGGCCGGCCGTGAAGATGCGCGCCGGCGCCTCTGCCAGATCGGCCAGGCTGTAAGGCACGCGCCAGGGTCAAAGGCGCGCACATAGTGGCGGCGAGCGACCGCGTACGCTTCACGGCTGACCCGGAACAGCACCGGCAGCAGCGCCGGCGACCAGCGCTGTGGCGACATCCGGTCGTAGACGCACTGCCCCGGCACTCCGGACAAGTACGTCGAGTCTGCTGAGTGGCACGTGACCGTGATCACGCGCCTCTGCTGACGCAGCGCCGCCGCCCAAACCTGGAGGCGGATCTCGGCTGGCAGCTGCCCAAACTGCCGCAGCGACGTCGGCGCGCCTGGCGGCAACGGCTCCACTGCCTCCTGCTCCAGCGCGTCGAACTCGAGCCAGAACAGCCGTCGCGCTCGCGCGCCGCGTAGGTCCTCGTACACGTGACCGTCGTGCTCTTCGGCTGCCTCTCCGTCCCGCCTGCGACGGTCGTACAGGCCAAAGCCCGGCTCGTCATTGTTGCTGCTGGGTTCTAGCTCTGCCAGCGAGGCTAGGATCGGATCTGTGATGGGCAAGGTGACCGCCATGACAGAAAAATGCGGCTTGCTCTCGTCGCAGCGCGTTGATCAGACGAATTGACCACCCAAAGATCGGGGTGGCGCCCCGTATTTCAACACCTTCGCAAGGCTACGGCTAATGTGCTCTCTCTCTGGCTTGGTCTCAGCTTTAGCGCGTTCTTGCCGACATACACCGCACTTTAGCCCGCTGCCAATGACAGCTGAACACATCTTGGCTGCAGCTGCTGCCTCGTCGTTTCTTTTTCGATGCACTTCGATAGCAGTGCAAATCCCTGCCCTCTTGAGCGTCGACTCACCTCGCCGTTACCTGCATCTGCTTTCCTTTTTAGTCAACACTATCTGTTTTTGCCCTCATGCTGTCTTGCCTTCAAACAGGCAGTTGTTTCGGGCTCCCCCTCTCGAGCGGTCGTTGCGGCCAGAACGGCTCTTCACATGCCGACACAACAGAACCGCAGCTCTGCTGCAACACACAAGTCAGGGTTCCTTTATACTGGTTCGCATGCCGGCTCTTTCACTTCCTTGTCAAACACCCCTGCTTCTTCTGGGCCAGGTCTCGGTGAGTCTGGCCAGACAGCAGCTGCAGGCTACATCTGCCCACATTCCCTTCGTCGTCGCGGCTGAACACGGTTGCGTCGTTTCTGCTGCGTTCGCACCTGCTTGAGGAGCGGCTCTTCTCTCCACCGTCGAAACCACACCGCCAGATAGATCCCGTGTGTGGCATGTTCGTCCTGAATCTCCTCTCGCCTGCCTGTCCTTGGCTTGGCGATGTCGACGTTGTCCAGGAAGGCTGCTGCTGCAATGCACTGACAGGTGGTCAATATCTTATATCGCCTTGTCTGGACTCGTTTCGTCTTCTCTGTGTGTGCAGCAGACGCCCGCATGCCTAGGGCAGCTCTCTCAGCGTCACTACATTGCGCGGCCAAGCGTTCAGAAAGCACTTGGAGAGATAGACGCCAACCTTGCACATAAGTGAGACCTTGCAACAGCTTGCAGAGGGGAGAGGGGGGAGCACCCACCTCCGTGTGTCTGCATATGTAGGCCCGTAGAGCTTGACTATGGTGAAGTAGAGAGAGTGCAAAAGGCAAATGACCTGCCACGCGGCTTAGTCAGCAAAAAGAGGCGTAAACAAGGCCGGTCCAACTCACCGAAAACATGACCGCCCCGGTGGCAAGTTGATGTAGAACAGTAGGCCGATGTTTTTTCTGGAGAGCAGCCGGCCGTGAAATAGAAGCTGGACCAGCCCGGCACAGCCGACGCCCTGGACGGCGCGGCCCAGCAGCACCGACAGGGCCGACAGGGCCGACAGTGGTGCCGCCGTGCAAAGAGCACTGCCCGTATCATGCTGATGATGGAAGTCTGTATGGCGGCGTCCCGGTCAAAATTGCTTGGCCTGCAGTTGTCGTTTTCTCTGTGTTCGACGGCAACCTCTCGGGGCGGCTGTGACGAATGCACGTAGACTATGGATAGGAGGAAGAGATAGCTAAGCTTTCTGTAAGCCGAATTAGCCTCCATCATGAGACAGAAATGATAGATGACTGCAGGTTGTGGAGGCCATAACGGGAGAGGGAAAGGGTTAGGGAAATATGTCAGACAACGAGAACAGGAAACACATGCCAGAATATTGCAGACAGAACATATTCCACAAGTACAGCAAGCAAGCTGGCAGCGGGTGAAGTCACTGTGAGCCAGGAGAAAGGAAACGAGGAGCATGAGATATATGGGGGAGAGACAGGAGCCCCTTGGCTATGTATGCGAAAAGCTTCTGGGACAAGTGTCCACATGCATGACGAGCTGCTGCTTGGCCGGAGTAGTAATAATGACGTCCTCTCGGCCGGTATGTATGGTCAAGATGGAGAGGCAGGGACAGAGGAAGAAGACGGGAGATTATGCTACGAAACAAGCCACGATGCAGCATACGAGGCTGGGTGTCGACTTGGCCAGAGATGCAAGTACATTCACGGCATTGCCATCTTCCGTGGGACAGACACCAACCAGCCGTGCGCCCATCGGCGACAACGTGCGACACTCCTGTGCACGATCAAGCACATATGACCCAGTGCAGGTGCAAAACACCGACGAGTCGGCGCGTTCTGCATCTGTGTCTGCATACATATCCAGCGCTTCTGGAGCTGGAGGACGGATCGCCGAAGGCCGAGTCTGGAGTCTGTCAGCCTTGCCCGGTCCCGCCTCTATAGTTCGCCTCGACCAGAGTAACGGCCTCTCCCACCACAGGTGGCTCGCCCCTCTGTGGGACACTAGCAAAGACAAGTGGCCAAACAGTGAGGCCGCTTCCTGCTGTGTCTAGCAGCACTAGGACCCCTGCTCTCGCCTACGACACGACTCCACGTCGCCCCATATGCCGCAATTAGAAATCCTGTCCAGTCGTATCTTCCATGGCAGGCCGAATATCGGAAGTGCCATTCCATACGCCTCTCCCATATCTCGCTCGGGCGTCCGGAGCAAAGTGTGGGGGCAATGGCCGGCGGCTTGAGCAATTTTGGGCAATGTTATCTACCCCAAGTTGTTGTGGTGTGTCTGGGCGTCCTGGCCTCCTCTCCTGGCTCGCCGCTCAGCCGTGGAAGATAAGCAGTGTCTTGCATGCACTTTGACTGGTTGGTCGTAATTATGGACCAGAGAACAGACAGCCTCACATGTTTTTGGCTCGAGGACCAGGGTGTTGGTGCCTTTCCCTATTTCGACTAAGTCACCCCTCCTTCCCCCGCCGAAGTTGGGGTTTTTGAGGGGAGATATGGAGATCCTGCGGAGCCGTTCTGCAGGACCGGGGCATGGAAGACCATTGATGGAACATGTCTGCTTGGCTTGCAGAAGGGTCCCCGTCCAATAGCAATGCGATTGATACGTGTTTTGGTGCGTGCCGCATACACGAAGCTTCCGTATAAGTCCTTGCAGAGGAGATGCACAAACGGTGGCAGAAGAGTGCAAGAGTACTCGGAGAGCTAGGAAAGGTAGAGATAAGCAAGAGAGCAGCACGAGAGCAGCGATAAGACAACAGAGAACACGAGGTAGTCACATCTTACCACGCGTGCTCGTCATCTGTCGTAATCTATGGCCAGCCACGACTCTTCTTTCATATTTCCCGATAAAGCCAAAACACCAAATCAGATCAAAGAAAAGAAAAGAAAGACGACAGGTTGATGAGCTAATCCGCTGTAGCGCGTCCGACCATCCGTGGTTAGCGTGGCCAGTCCGCTCGTCCGTCAAGGCAATGGCATTTTGGTTAGCGAGTCGCTCTCTCCTTCCGCTTCGCGCAGCAGCGCTCACATCACGTTACCCGGCTTTGCTGTTGCCTGCCTTCCCGCTCAACTGTCTCCTCGCCACAGGGATGCTTCAACCTGCACAACCCGGTCATCTTCCCAAGACAGCGGCACGCCGACGTCAGAGTGCAGCGATCGCCCGCAACGGTCAAGCGGCGCCCCAGCGACAAATCAAGAGACAGACAATCACTCGGATCCGCTACCTGTATCTAACCATGCAAACACTCCACTGTGGGGCCGCATAGGTTGTGGGCTCGTTTTATTCTCACCTCGCCGTTTCCTTACTGCCGTGTGCCCATTTATTCTCCAAAAACATCCTCTCGTCCGAACGACACCACCCCCGGCGACAGCACAGGAGCCAACGGCTGCAGAACTGAACGCTCTGCTGTCCGTCATCGCTGCTCCTCCACGTCCGCTTCTCCGGCAACTGGTCCTGCTTCGGCCTAGCGCCTCTTTCACCACCTCACGGTCTCGGCCTGGCCCAGGCAAGCCAGCCTTATTCCGTCGAGGTCAGGCTCTTGTCTATCCTTCTCTTCTTCTTCTCGAGTTCGTCCTTCCAGCCTGTCCGCACTGTGTAAGTCTGGCTCGGATGATCGCCGTCTTTCTACAGCCGATCATCTTTCTGTTCTTTGCTCTTGTCCAAGCTAACCTGGGCTCTTTTCTCCCCTTGCTCCGTTTGCCTCTCTGTCCAATTCGGCAGTCTGACGGCCTGTGTCTGTTATCTTGTCATCTTCCGCTGACGCGCAACCGGCAAGACTTATAAGATCCACCATCTAGAGTTGGCCGTCGAGATCGGCCCCTGCCTTTTGCCAGTTTTGTTCTGATTACTCGTTTCCACCTTCCTTCTCCACACTGCCACACTCGCATCCTCTCGTCGCTCCTATATCGCGGTTACAACGTGACCGGCGCCAGATTAGTCGCCCCCCCTTCCCTGGACAGTTGGCATCCCGTTGCTGCAACCCTTTACCGAACAAGGTATGCCTTGATTTCCCATGCTATGCTATTTTTTCCCTGGATAGGCATCCAGGTCTCTCGGCAAATTCAAAATAGAAGCTCGGGCCCAGAATAAACTGGCCGCTTGCCGGTCTTGCGGAATCGGAGGTTTCAAGCCCTGCCTATCAAGTGCTACCTGCCTTTCACATGTACATGGAAACAGTGGCCGACAAGGCTCTTCGCGCGTGGAATGCAGGGCGTGTGTGTATTGGAAGGGTGGAGCTGCACGGCCTCTTTCCTCTTTGCCGTCTGCTTTCCTCCGGTCTCCCAGTGGATATCAAGGAATCAACGCTGCGACTCCCCGTCCTTGTCTCGGGGTTTCATAGCCGGTCCTTCTCAGCTGCTGTCTGCACAACCCCCCTCTCCTTGCTGATGCAAGGGCCGATCGCCGGCTAGCAGGAGGACAAGGTTTCCGCTTCTGCGCTACATAGTGCTATTTCCCATGGGCATCTGGGAACTCGCAGACGTGCACTTACATCAGCAAAAGACGCTACCTCCTCCACACACCCGCATGTCCCACATATGATCCCCCCCACACTTCGGCTCTCCCACAGACATAGATCAAGACTCGGTTCCTGCGGTCTTTATCCAGTTTACCTGCTCTCTTCCTTTTTCCCTTTCGTGTTGCCGCTTCCTCGGTAGTATCTGTCTTGTTTTTAGTTTTATATCTCCCCTCGAGGCCGGTCCAAGTGGAATGCCACCGTTGTGTGTCCAAGATTGTCACTACTTCTACCGCACAGCTTTGCGCGGCTTGAACGTTGCCACGACAGTCTCGCCTCTATACGCTTGAGTCTTCGGCCAACCCGCTAACATGTCGACCCAAGTCCGCACCTTTACGGCTCCCAAACCGCTGGGCGAGTCACTCTCTAGTGCTGCGTCCATCGCCACAAACCTGCAGTCACCCTATATTCCCAGATCTGTCCCTACATACCCGGACATCCCTCGCTACAACGCAGGTGGCTCCCGGGCTCAGATCAAGCCAAGCTCCATGTCTGCCTATGTCAACGACCAGGCCGGCGGGAACGGTGGTATCACGTTTGCCCACCAGGACAGCCTGCCGAAGCTGCCCATCCCAGAGCTGGAGAGCACCCTGCAAAAGTATCTGACCGTCCTACGACCACTGCAGACGACGCGCGAACATGCGGAGACCAGAATCGCAGTGGAGGAGTTTCTCAGGCAGGATGGGCCTGAGCTGCAGGAAAAGCTGAAGAAATACGCCGAAGGCCGCACGAGTTACATTGAGCAGTTCTGTATGTTTCCCCCCTTATCCTTTCCCTTTTCCCTTTTCTCAAGTCTCGTTTTCCTCTTTCGTGTTGGCTGACCATCCAAGGGTACGATTCATACCTGAACTATGACAACCCGGTTGTGCTTAACCTCAACCCGTTCTTCCTGTTGGAAGACGACCCGACACCGGCGCGCAATAACCAGGTGAACAGAGCGGCGTCGCTGATCGTGTCGTCGCTCATGTTTGTCCGAGCCGTACGAAAAGAAGAGCTGCCACCGGACACAATCCGCGGGACTCCGCTGGACATGTACCAGTACTCGCGGCTGTTTGGCACGGCCCGCGTGCCTACCGACAACGGGTGCCAGATCGAGCAGGACCCCGAGTCCAAGCACATCGTGGTGATGTGTCACGGCCAGTTCTACTGGTTTGACGTTCTCGACGATAACTCGGACCTGATCATGACGGAGCGGGACGTTGCGCTGAACCTGCAGACAATCATCGGCGACGCGACACAGACGCCGATCCAGGAGGCTGCCAAGGGGGCACTGGGGGTGCTCAGCACGGAGAACCGCAAGGTGTGGTCGGGGCTGCGCGACGTGCTGACACGAGAGGAGGGGTCGAACAACGCGGACTGCCTCAGCATCGTGGACTCGGCGCTGTTTGTGGTGTGTCTGGACTACACCGAGCCAGCGTCGGCGGCGGCGGTGTGCCAGAACATGCTGTGCGGCACGAGCGACATCGAGAAGGGGGTGCAGATCGGAACGTGCACGAACCGGTGGTACGACAAGCTGCAGATCATCGTGTGCAAGAACGGCAGCGCAGGCATCAATTTCGAGCACACGGGGGTGGACGGGCACACGGTGCTGCGGTTCGCTAGCGATGTGTACACGGACACGATCCTGCGGTTTGCGCGGTCAATCAATGGCCAGGCGCCGTCGATGTGGAAGTCGACAAGTCCCGACCCGGCAAGGCGCGATCCGGAGAGCTTTGGTGACGTGACGGCGACGCCGCACAAGCTGGAGTGGGACATGGTACCGGAGCTTACGATTGCGGTGCGGTTTGCGGAGTCGCGGCTGGCCGACCTGATCGAGCAGAACGAGTTCCAGTGCCTGGACTTTGGGGCCTACGGCAAGAATTTTATCACCAGCATGGGCTTCTCGCCAGATGCATTTGTGCAGATGGCTTTCCAGGCGGCATACTACGGGTTGTACGGGCGGGTGGAGTGCACGTACGAGCCGGCGATGACCAAGGTGTACCTGCACGGACGGACGGAGGCGATCCGCAGCGTGACGGAGGAGTCGGTGCACTTTGTACAGACCTTTTGGGCGGACAACCAGGCGGAGCTCAAGGTGGAAGCACTGCGACGGGCGTGCCAGCGTCACGTGACATCGACACGGGAGTGTTCCAAGGCACAGGGCTGCGACCGGCACCTGTACGCGCTGTTCTGTCTGTGGCAGCGGCTGGCGGACGACGAGCTCTTCAGCAACACGGGGACGGGGACGAGCAGCGCGGACTATGGCAGCTCGTTCGGGTCAGAGCGCGGCTTCAGCCCGGTGCCAGAGGAGAACGGCAGCGTAAATAGTCACGGGAATGGTCACGTGAACGGCAACGGTAGCAGCAGCAACGAGACGCCGGCGCGGGCGCGAGGCGACAGCACGGGGTCGCGGCAGAGCGGGCAGCACATGCCGGCGATTTTTCTGGACAGCGGGTGGGACAAGCTGAACACGACGATCCTATCGACGTCCAACTGCGGCAACCCGTCACTGCGGCAGTTTGGGTTTGGACCCGTGTCTGGCGACGGGTTCGGGATTGGCTACATCATCAAGGATGACGGGATCAGCATCTGCGTGTCGAGCAAGCACCGGCAGACGAAGCGGTTCGTCGACACGCTCGAGAGCTATCTGCTGGAGATGCGACGAGTGCTGCGAATTACGAGCCGGCGGTTGGGGTCGATATCGTCGAAGCAGATGTCACGGGCGCGTGAGATTGACAATATGCGGCCGCGGCCGCCAACGCGAGTCAAGTCACGCGGTCGTCTGATCACCGGCGGCGACGTGATCAAGAGCATGTCGCGTTTGGGGACGGAGTCGCCGACGACTGACAGCATGGCGATGAGCGAAGACGACGAGTTGGGCGGATGTGAGTTTTTTTCTCTTCTCTTCTTTTCTTTTCTTTTTCTTTTCTTTTTCTTTTTCTTTTCTTTTCTTTTCTTTTCTTTTCTTTTCTTTTCTTTTCTTTTCTTTTCTTCTTTTTTCTTCCTTTCTGTCTGCTAACACCAATAGACGGCTTCTTTGATGCAGGAATGCTGCTGCAGGCACTCAAGGCTCGCAACGAGGGTTATGACCTCGGCGAGCCAAAGCCGTCGGAGAGGGCGTCTCGACGTCGGGACATTGGCAAGAAGCTGCGGCTGATCGACTACTAGCTTTCTATTCCGTATTTGATTTTCCGTCCTACACGAGCGATTGATGCAATAGCCATTTAGCGAGCACACAGGTGAATCTAGGCAGGGTATGGGAGCATGATAAAGTAAAATGGATGAAGTGGTCCGTAAGAGTGTGATCATGTCACGTGCCAACAGTTAAAGTTAATAACGTGAACACGCGTGTCCAAAATCGCGTCTTTAGCAAGCACGCAACCCATTGACCAGCAATCGATCGGACGACGCGCGCCATCCCATGAGCGACCTGCATGCGCTGCTGCCCGACTTTGCGGCCGGCCGCTATGCAGCGCTGATTGCGGGCCTGGAGACGCACCGGATCGGCCTGAGCGAGGTGTTGACGCTGGATGCCGCCGAGATTGGTCGCCGCACGCGCCTGCCGTTGCTGGACCTGCAGCTGTTTGGGAAGGAAGTGAGGGAGCGGCTAGCAGGAGAGGGACAGCTTACGAGAGAGGGACGGCTGGCGGGAGAGGCCGGGCGACTGCCGCTCCTTCGCATCAGCACGCTGGACGACGGTCTCGACGCGGCGCTCGGCGGCGGTTTCGTGCCCGGACAGCTGGCCGAGATCGTCGGCGAGAGCGGCGCCGGCAAGACACAGCTGCTGCTGGCGCTGTTGCTGGCGGTGCAGCTGCCACCACCGCGGGGACTCGGCCGCAAGGCCCTCTACATCGCGACGGAGGCGCCGCTGCCGACCGGGCGGCTGGCCCAGATGGTGCGCACGAACCGAGTGTTGGCAGGCACAGTTACAGACGCCGACACGAAACCGTCTCCGGCCGCCTTTCTTGCCAACATCGCCACCATCAACACGCCCGACCTCGAGGCCCAGGAACACATCCTGACCCACCAGCTGCCCGTCCAGCTTGACAAGGCGGCCGGCGCCTTTGGGCTCGTCGTCATGGACTCGGTCGCGGCCAACTTCCGACCATTCTTTGGCGGCAGCAGCAGCACCGGCAGCACCGGCGAGTCGTTGGCTGCCCGCAGCCTCGAGCTCGCCCGTCTTGGCATGCTGCTGCGCTCGCTCGCCCAGAAGCACAACCTGGCCGTCGTGGTGGCCAACCAGGTGGCCGATCGGTTCGACCGCGCCGATCGGCCTTCGCTCTCGGCCAAGCGGCCACGCCCCGACGTCTGGCCGTCGCCCCATCGGACCACTCTGCTCTCCCAGCCAACTGCACAGCCACATCTACAGCCACATTCACAGTCATCTTCACAATCACACCCACAAACACAACCACATCTACTTCCACTTTCATCACATCCTCCTCCTACCCAGGCCTCGTCGCAGCTCCCCTCACAGCTTCCCTCTCAACCCTGCTCGCAGCTTCTCCCCCAGTCGTCGCCGCCGGTCCTCCAGCTCGACCACCAGCAGCTCTGGTTCACCGGCTGGGGAGACGACGCCCCGCCCGCCCGCCATCGCGACAGCCCCCGGAGCAACAAGTCCCCTGCCCTCGGGCTCGTCTGGGCCACGCAGCTGGCCGTACGCGTGGCCCTCGTCAAGGCACCGCGGGCCGCTACCGCCGCCGACAGTAGCTGGGTCGACGACTGGCCAGACCCGCGTACCGGCGTCGTGGGCGCGCCCCGGCTGCGTCAATCATGGCGGCGCTGGCTCAAGGTCGTGTTTGCGCCGCACGCGGCGGCCACGACGTCGGCCCAAGGCAAAAAGGGCCATCGACATGAATTTGAAATCACCATGGGTGGGCTGCAGACGACCGGTGGTGATGCACGTGACATCACGTGATACCAGTTGTGAACACCACAAATGAAAACATCTACGAATCTATGCCCAATACAATGACCGTGCTACCTTTGCGCCGACGGATGCCGTGCTCCACCTCCGTCTTGTCTGCTGTCTGCCTCTCCACCCTCACGCCGGATGCGGAAACTCGTCCTCCAGCTGCAGCCGCACGCCGACGTTCATGCTGATGAGCTCCTGGACGAGCAGCTTGGCCGCGTAGGGCATGGTCATCTGGGTGACGTCGCGCGTGCTGCGACAGGTCTGGCAGTAGCCCTTGTAGCCGAACAGGCCGCAGTGCTGACACAGGTCGAGCGATGTGGCGTCGGAGCTGAACATGAGTCGCTCGAGCAGCAGCTGGGACGCGCCATAGGCGATGAGACAGTCGCGCTCCATCTCGCCTAACCGCAAGCCACCATCACGTGACCGACCCTCAGTCGGCTGCCGCGTCAAGATGGCCCGCGGACCTTTAGCGCGCGAGTGCATCTTGTCCTGCACCATGTGCTTGAGGCGCTGGTAGTAGATGGGCCCGTTGAAGATGTGTGCCTCCATCGGCTCGCCCGTCGTGCCGGACGTGAAACAGTCCTTGCCGGCCCACGAGAAGCCGTGCCGGACAAGCTCCTCGCCCATGGCCTCGACTGGATGTGACCGGAACGCATCGCCGTATCCGTAGTCCCGTCGTCCAGCCACCACCGACGCCTTGCCTGTCAGACACTCAAACAGCTTGCCGACCGTCATCCGCGACGGGTAACCGTGCGGGTTCATGATAATGTCCGGCACCAGTCCCGAGTCTGCAAACGGCATGTCCTCCTGCTCCACAATGATGCCCACCACACCCTTCTGCCCGTGTCGGGACGAGAACTTGTCGCCGATCTCCGGTCGTCGCGTCTGTCGTGTCTGCACCTTGAAGATCAGCGTGTCCTTTTCCGTCTGCGACACCATCACCTTGTCCACGTAGCTCGGATCGTTAATCCGGTACGTCAGCGACGAGTCCCGGTACTCGTTCGATCCCCGATCGGCTCCGATCCCCGTCGTTGTCAGGTCTACCGGACTCTCCTTCTTGATCATCACGTCACCGTGCTGTACTCGCCAGCCCACCGCTGCGAGCCCGTCGTTGTCAATCGCCGCGTGCTTGCTGATCTTCTCGCCGTCCTTGTCGCGCTCTGGTCCGCCTACTCGCTCTGTCCGTCCGTTCGGAAACCGCTGCATCTCGGCCACGTACTTGCGGAATACCTGGCACCGTCCGTACCCCCGGTCGATCGACGCCTTGTTCAGCACCAGCGCATCCTCAATGTCGTAGCCCGAGTACGACATCACCACCACCGTCGCGTTCTGCCCTGCCGGCAGCTTGTCATAGTGCACCAGCTCAATCGTCTTCGTCGCCACCATCGGCCGCTGCGGATACACCAGCGTGTACAGCAGCGTGTCGATCCGATGGAACTGATTGTACGCAATCGCCCCGATCGCCTGCTTGCCCATCGCGCACTGATACGTGTTTCGCGGCGACTGGTTGTGGTGTGGAAACGGAATCAGTCCTGCCACTGCCCCCAGGATCGTAAACGGCTCGATCTCCATGTGTGTCGATGCTGCCGTGCAGTCGGCTTCGTACAGCGCCACCAGCGCGTCCTGCTCCTCGTTGACGTCCAGGTATTCGATCACGCCGCGCCGCAGAAAGTCGTCAAACGTCACCCGTCCCTGCTGCAGCAGCCGCAGATGTTCTGCCCGCAGCCGCGACTGCCCGTTCTTCACAATGATGTACGGCCGGCAGATCCGGCCCTCGTCCGTCGCAATGTGCACCGACGCAAAGTGCGAGTTGATGTTGATGCTCACAAACGGCGAAATCCACCCACGCCGCCGCATCGTCCGGAATCGCGCACAGAACCGTCGCGGATTCGGCGTCAGCGCATACGGCGTCCCGTTCACGTGCACTACATACCAACCTGCTCGATGCATCTCCGCTCCCGAGAAGTTGCGCAGCGGCTCCACGCTGTCGTCCAGCGAAAACACCCACGCCCGCACCGGACCCTCCTCCACGTGCGTCGTGATGTGCGTCATCAGCGCCAGGTTTTTCACCAGCCCGCATGCCTCGCCTTCCGGCGTGTCCGACGGGCACAACATTCCCCACTGCGACGGCTGCAGCGCCCGAGGTCCGCTCACCTTGCGCGTTTTCTCAAACTGGCTGCTGATCCGTGTCATCATTCCCAGCGCGCTGATGTAGCTGAGCCGGCTGAGCACGTGCGTCACGCCTCCCCGATTCATTCCGAACCGCTTCACGCTCCAGTTGCCCGTCTGGATCGCCCGGTTCATCCCCTGCGAGATGTGATGGCCTGTCGCGCTGATCGACGTCAGCGGGTCGAATGCCACCCCCTGGTGCGGCTTCTTGAAAAACTTGTCAATGTTAAAGCGCAGGTCGCTCTGGAACTTCTTAAACAGGTCCTCAAACAGCAGCGACAGCAGCTGTCCCGCCAGCTCCAGCCGCTTGTTGCCCACAAAGTCCCGGTCGTCCACCAGCTGTGGGTTGTGCATCGCCATCAACACCCGTCGTGCCATCATCGCCACGTACACCGCCTTGGGGAAAAAGTCCAGCCCATCGATCGGCACGTGCGCGATGATGATGTTGGCCAGCGCGTCCAGTCCCTCCTCCACGTTGTTGCGCTTCGTCGGCGGCCCCATCGGCCGCATCCCTCCTGGCCCACCGCCCGGCCCTCCGCCGTTGCGTGTCCCCATCTTCACCCGCGCGCCCACGTACTCTAGCGCCTGCTGTTGCGTAAACACTCCCATCTTCGCCGCCTCGTCAAAGTTGATCGCAAAGTCGTCCTGGTACCGTCCGTCCGACCCGGCCACCAGCTGCATGATCTCGTAGTCCGTCAGGCCACCAAACGCCTTCAGCACAATCACAATAGGTATGTTGTCCACCAGCACGTTGTGCTGCAATGCAATTCGCTCCTTCTTCAGCGTCACGTACGTCTTGCTCTTGCGCTCGTGTGTCGAACTCGTCACCGACGCCGAGATCACTCCGTTCTTCTCCTCCGACTCCACAATCACCCGGTTCTTGCTCAGCTGCTCCTGGATCAGGATCACCTTCTCCGTCCCGTTGACGATAAAGTACCCGCCCGGGTCCAACGGACACTCGTTCATCACCTCCATCTGCGAATTCGTCGCCCCGCTCAGGCAACACTTGGAGCTCTTCAGCATCACCGGCATCCGGCCTAGCGTGATGTTGCGCCGGATAATCCGCTTCTTGTCTCGCGTGTATGCGATGTCCACCACGATCGGGGCCGCGTACGTCATATCGCGCAGCCGGCACTCCATCGGTGTCACCTCATTTTGTGACTTGATGTCGCTGAAGTCCGTCCGCGTCGGCCGTCCCACCCGGATGTCGGTAAATTCGAGGTAAAACCCGCTCTGCACATCACTGCGAATCGTCCGGTTGGCCGTCACAATGTCCTTGATTTCCTGCTCCACGAAGAAGTTATACGAGTCGATGTGTCTGCACAGAACAGCCTCGTTAGCTGTCATCCCGCCAGCTCCTGTCTTCTCCCTCGGTACTTACTGCTTCACGAGACCTGCAGATCACCCATGTCAGTTTTCTTCTTACGCACCAGCTTTCCCCCCGAAAAACTCACCCTTCACCTTGAGGAAGGCCGGTAGTAGCTGATACTTGTCGTCCTTGGTGGAGATGGGGTCCGTCAGCTTCTTGCCATTGTAAAAGGGCTCGAGGAGAGCCTCGAAGCCGTCGTCTATGACTGCCATAATGCGTCTGTGAGTCTCCGTCCCATGGTATCAAAAATGTAGGACTACTTCATGTGGGGGACACTTGAAGAGCTCTATATCAAAATCTTATTGCGTCGTGGTGGGCGACGATTTTTTTTTCTGTACCTAGTTTGTCATACAGCACCTGCAGCCTGGTTCTAATTGGCCCGTGCTCACCTTGAGGCTGGTCACATGCCTAATGCCGAAATGGAAACTATCCCTGCACCGCTCGGGTACTTCGCAATATGGAGTAGTCAGCCAGTCTGCGAGTACTTCCAACGCCTCGGGATCACGGGGAAGGCAAAGACCGGCTCAGGAGAGAGTCTACGGTGACAAGGCTCGGGGCACAGTGCGCATACTGCCGCCCCTAACACAATCAGTGCTTTTTCCCGGCAGAAGTTCATACGCCGTTATGCCTTTCCCATCGCTATCTTGCAATTGGCCGTGCGAACACGCGCCAGCGCATCGCAATCTTACTTCCTGCCGCAGTCACCATATGTCCCCTAAAAAGGTCGCCTTCCCGCACAAATATGTGGCAATTCAGAGTCGGTCGAGCCACTGACCGCCCATCATAACGCCACCTTCCACCACTCGGCCACCGCCGCTTCCGACCAAACCCATGCGCGTCGCGCATGATTTTGCTAGACGATTTGCTTTTATTGCTACTTGTAGACCACGACCTGAGCGTCGACGAGCTCGACTTAATTTTTCCATTTCTTCCCTTCTCAACTTTTTCTCGTCGGCCTACTTCTCCTTCTGCTGTCCTCTCACTTCTGTCGCCGTCTTTTCACTCATCTCTCTTACTTTCTGTCAGAGGTCTTCCAACTTTCGCCATCTGGCCTCAAATCGGGCTCCGTCCTTTCCCATATCTCCACCTGCTTCTCCGCCAATTCTACACAATGGCGGTTGGCTCCCTCCCCAGCTTCTCACAGGCGGACATTCAGTCGCACAAATCGAAGAGCTCATGCTTCGTTACCCTTGGCAACAAGGTTTACGATGTCGCTGATTTCATCGAATCGCATCCCGGTGGGCCTGAGCTGATTATCGACTATGCGGGCCAAGATGTCACCAAAATCCTCAAGGATGAGGCGTCGCACACCCACAGTGACTCTGCCTACGAAATGCTCGACGAGTATCATGTAGGCTTCCTGCAGAAGTCGGGCAAGACGGCAGAGGCCAATGGCGTATCCTCGGGCGTCGAGACGAGCAGCGACGAGGAGACCACATTCGTCCACCCACGTACGGGCATGGCATGTGAAGAGGACCTGAGCAAGGACACTGATATCGTATCCGACTACAAGAAGAACAAGTTCCTCGACCTGAACCGTCCGCTTCTGATGCAGGTCTGGTTCGGCGGCTTCTCCAAGGAGTTCTATCTGGACCAGATCCACCGGCCCCGTCATTATAAGGGCGGCAAGTCAGCGCCGTTGTTCGGCAACTTCCTCGAGCCTGTCTCATTGACGCCGTGGTTCGTCGTCCCAATTGTGTGGCTGCCATGTGTTAGCTACGGCTTGTACCTCTCCAGCTTCGGCTTTGCCAACGTGGGCTACCAGGCGCCCTTTTTCGGCTTTGGACTCGTAATCTGGACGCTAATCGAATACGTCCTGCACCGCTTCCTCTTCCACTTGGACTAGTATGTTTACCCTGATGGCATGTCGGGTCCCGTTTCTTCAAAGCTACATGCATACTGACCGCCGCTTCACAGCTATCTCCCTGACAATCGCGTCGGGCTCACCCTCCACTTTCTGTTGCATGGCGTCCACCACTATCTTCCTATGGATAAGTACCGGTTGGTGATGCCGCCGACGCTCTTTGTTGTCTTGGCCACGCCATTTTGGAAACTGGCCCATTTCATCTTCGCCTATGACTGGAACGTTGCCACTACGGTCTTCTGTGGAGGCATCTTTGGCTACGTCTGCTACGATCTTACCCACTACTTCCTCCACCACCGGGACCTGCCTTTGTGGTACAAGGGCCTGAAGAGGTACCATCTTGCCCATCACTTCCTTGACTATGAGCTCGGCTTCGGCGTTACGAGCCGTTTCTGGGACCAGGTCTTTGGCACTGAGCTCAAGATGAACACGCCTCCTATTGTCAAGGCCCAATAGGCAAAGCATCGCATTAGTCCGATTGTACGACGTCAAATGATGGAGGCTCGCTCTTGGACAAACTGTTAATCGCAGAGCTGGGGACGACGTAAAACAAGGTGCGGACAGCAACAAGTATGGACATAATTTATCAAATGGAGTTTATGGGACAGTTTCATCGCGAGAAAACGCGACTCTGTCGAATAGATACTAATACCTGTATATACCGAACTGCATTTTCTTGCTTTCGGATCACCTTTCCATACCTTTTTAATAGCTCGCATTACCAAAAAGATGTTTATTGATGATATTTCTTAATGATAATGAAAGTGGCGATACTTCGTAGTCTCTCACTAACTTCTTACGCACAATTATACACGTGACTGTATAACTCGAATTACGCTATGATCATTCAATTTTTAACACATGTCCCACTTTTCCTGCCTAATCAATTTCTATTCCTTTCTTCTTCCAAGCTCTCTTTGTATCCTTTGCAACCCAATCAAACCACTGCTTTATTGAATTTCACTTATCTCTCTCCCTCTTCCTCCCCTGTGATCTCAAAAGTCTTCTGTTTTGTTTTTCTAGTGTGGACGATATGGCTCACCTCGATGTAGAGGCTCTTTTGGATGCGGCCGCGAACGGCGACAGCGGCCCGAAAGGACAGAATGGGAAATCCGAGACGCTGCTGAACGGCCACGGATCAACGAATGCTGATGACGCCGACAAGTATGCCAACGGAAAGAGCCACAGCAATGGCGGCCGCAGTCCCGACGAAAACGGCCGCAGCCGGCATCGCACGCGAAGCCGCAGTCCCGAGCGCGAAGAAGACCGAGAGCGCGATCGTAGACGGCGGGATCACCGCAGTCACAGTCCGCGCAGCGAAGCCGGCAGCCACAAGAGCAGCAGGCGTAGAAGCCGGAGCAGAGACCGGGAGCCGCGCGCGGGTCGAAACTCACGGCGCCGGAATCGAGGGCGCGGTGGTGGCGGTCGTGGTGGCGACGATGTGATGGACGGCGATCATTACTCCTCCCGGAACGGACGCTCGCGATCACGGTCTCCGAACCGATACTACCGCCCGCGCGACTCGCGACGCGACCGTGATGATGACCGCGGTGGCCGGCGACGCGACGACCGGGATTCTGACCGCAGACGGCGCGACCGTTCGCCCCATTCCCGCGACACCTCGATGCCGCCGCTGACTGAGGACGAACGCGACCGGCGGACCGTCTTCGTGCAGCAGCTGGCCGCAAGACTGCGCACGCGCGAGCTGAAGGACTTTTTCGAGAAGGCTGGGCCCGTGGCCGAAGCCCAAATCGTCAAAGACCGTGTTAGCAACCGATCCAAGGGGTTAGTTTACCCTCTCTTTTCTTTCCTAGTCCATTTTCATGGCCTTGCCTTTGCTAACGACGACTAGAGTTGGCTACGTTGAATTCAGAAGTGAAGAGTCCGTCACGGCTGCTCTTCAGCTCACAGGTCAGAAACTGCTAGGTATCCCTGTCATTGTGCAGATGACGGAAGCCGAGAAAAACCGACAAGTACGTAGCACAGCAGAAGCGACGAGCAACGGTAACTCTACCGGAGTGCCCTTCCACCGTCTGTACGTGGGCAACATCCACTTCAGCATTACCGAGTCCGACCTACGCAACGTATTTGAACCGTTTGGCGAGCTCGAATTTGTCCAGCTGCAAAAAGACGACACTGGCCGCAGCCGTGGCTATGGTTTTGTGCAGTGGGTTTTGCCTTTTCCGATGCATTTTGGTTTCTTTCGTTCGAAGACTGACACTACAGATTTCGTGACTCTGACCAGGCTCGTGAGGCACTGGAGAAGATGAACGGCTTTGATTTGGCAGGGCGCCCCATCCGAGTTGGTCTCGGAAACGATAAGTTTACCCCAGAGTCAACTGCGAATCTGATGAAGGGGTTCCAAGGTCGCGACCAGCAGCAGCAGCATCAAGGCTCTGCCTTCTCCGGCTCTGGCGGCCGGGGCCAAAATGCGAGCAACTTTGACCGTGCCGGTGGCCGGGACAACGACAAAGGTAGTGGCGCGGGTGCTCTAGATGACACTGACGTTGCTGGCGTCAATTTCAATAACTACAGTCGAGACGCCCTCATGAGGAAGCTCGCTAGGGCCGACGATTCTTCTGCCAACGGTACAGGTGGTGGCAGCACCTCGGCTGCGGCTGATGAGCAGCAGCGACCGATTCTGAAACCCCGGACAGAAGCAAAACCGCTCCCGGTTAACGTGAATATGGCAAGCCGATGTGTGGTCCTGCACAACATGTTTGACACATCCGAAGAAGAGGGCGAAGAATGGATCAAGGAGCTGGAAGACGACGTCCGCCAGGAAGCCGAAGAAAAATACGGTCATGTGGTTCACGTTGCTTTAGATCCGAACTCGATCGGCGATATCTACCTGAAGTTCGACAAGGTCCAGGGCGGCGAGAATGCCATCAAGGGCCTGAACGGCCGCTATTTCGGTGGTCGCATGATCACGGCTGCACCGGTTGTGGATGCCGTCTACAGTAGTTTGTTCTCTCGCACAAAGGCGATCTAACAAGCTAATTTGGTGGCCTACTTCTCGACCTGAATTTAGGACTGTCTTTTGGTAGGCAACTCTGGCGCGAACCCGAACCTCTGCAACGAGCTGTGAGGATATCGATGTGCTAACTTCGGTCTTTTTTTACAGCCTCGTTGGCTCCTTTTCTGCCGCATCTTGGATGTTGCTTGCTAGCCGGTAATCAACCGTGTTGATAAGAGGCAAATCATGCATTCTCACCATTCCTCGCCAGTGTTCACCACCGCTTGAGCTCAAGCCTCGCCATAATCTCTATTCGCCCGCGCGTCAACTCGCGGGCAAACTTCGCCGCTTCAATCAAAAGTCGCATCCTTTCGAACAGGTTTTTGATTTTCCTCCCACTCCTTGTGTGTCTCATCTCTCGGGCCAATATCTGCCTAGAACCGTTTCTAGAGACGTTCAATGCGATGCCGCCATTGCACCCACCATACGACGGCAAGAAAAATATTGCCTGCTCTACGATACACCCAAGCCTTCGTTGCTCGTCTTACAAATCTCTAGAGCCCATCTAGGACGGTCGCGTTGCCGACGACGAAAAGTATCAGCTCTCGAGTCGGCAGTTTGATGCGCGTGATGCTAACTTTCATTACAAACACGCAAATCCCAGTTCTATGTTTTGGCCCTGTACTTTCTCGTTTTTTGATATTTCACCTAGCTTGCAGATTTCACCTCTAGATGGATTGTGAGCAATCCTTTGTTCTGCACCATCCGTCGCCGTCTTACTTTCGTAACTTTAGGTCTAGTGTTTTTTCCACGCTGTGTATATTGTTGTTAGCTAAATGTGAGAAAGCAATATGAGAAAAAAGCACGTTAAATGCTCACCGCGATGCATGGGTACTATGAAGTGAGGACTCGGTCTACTGTTGTCAAAACGATTGTTTGTCTGGTATTTGCTTTCCCTCTTGCGCGACATTTAACTTTTGCTGGCATAACTTACGTGCTTCCCTTCTAGATCTCCGTCGAAGCGCATTTGACGCAGACGTTTCAATCCTCCCAGGAGTGCGTAAGTTTTACTAGCATTGACAAGACCATCAACAAGCATCACCTAAGGGTGAATTATCTCATGTCTCTGAGTTTTTCAGGCTTCATGGCCACTGCTTCAATACCGCTGCTCTTGGTGATTATTGCTCCTGTCTGTTTTTGCGTTCTTTTTCGTTCGTGAATTGCATTGCCGGTGTTCCTCTGTGTCTCATTGAAACCTTCGTCCTGTAAGCTCTAGCAGTGTTTGTATTGTATGGTCAGTCCGAGAAGTACCCGTAAACTCAGGTTTTGCCAATGAAGTGCAGTCTGTCTCTCAATGGCCAGCCATTATACTCTCAAGGCCTCGCTGTTGATATTCGCGAGACAACAAGCAAATAGCTGTCACTTTTCAGCGTCAACAGTCCTCAATGTGCAAGAAACTAAAAGCTTGTGCTTTTACGGCAATATAATTAGCAAAGCTCAACAAAAGAGTTGCTTTTCCTCGCGAGGCCTATCGTCCTTTGAGTCGGCCCGTCTAGGACTCTGAAAGCCGGACAGGGTGGGGACTCCTGTGTGCATTGATTTCTCCGGGCATACTCTTCCTTTACACAGGACCTCCTTGGGGGTATCATTCACCCTTCAATGGCCGCCGGACACTCGAATACTACATTAATACGGTCACAGGTTGAGTCCTGCCTGCATTGTATTTCAAACTACCTGGCCCATTAAGCTGCAGTTTCGCATTATCAAGGCAGGAGATTGTCTCCACGGCGCCCAAAGGGTGATCGATTTCTGGCCTCTCCAATGTGGCCAGAAAGGGAGGCCATATCAGCTCCTGTATGGATTCAAACAACGGCTTTATTCACTTGCCATCTGTTTCATCTGGACATTCAAATAATTCCCTTGGCATCTTTCATATTTTCGAAAGTGGAAAATTTCATTCCCTGTTTTTTTCGGTATTGCATTCCATCATTTTCTTTCCTTACCCAATCGACATTGTTTCCCTTCACCTTTTCGTTAGAAACCATCTCGACCATATCGATTTTCTTTAGTTGCTTGAAAAATATCAATCACTTCTCTTTTTCTCAAAAGAGTCCATCTCGTCGGACTTGCCACGCTACCCACGCTATTGACCTTCTTTAAAAGCACAAACAATCATTTCAGCTGGGTACCGGGTACTTATTTTGCTATATCTTTTAACTCTGAATGCACACACTTCAATCATATTGAGAGCTTCTTTCTACGCCTGCCCGAGAAGCACTGTTAGGTATGTAAGGCGATTATTGGAGTGCGCTTTTCTTAGACTTGTGATGATTGTTGTTCCACATACGATCGTCAAGACCCAGCTATAATACTGCATTTCTACCTCCAGTACTCGTGATAGTGGTTATATTTCCTTTAACTTTTCTTGTCTTGGGTCTCTTTGATCATCTTCAGGTGTTATGCTCTCGCTCGATTTCGACATATCGTTGGTATCTTGGCAGAAGCTTTCCAGCCGAAAAGCACGTTCTTACCCAGAGCTTTTTGGGCATATGCAGAGCATCATTTTGTGCTTTAATCCCGAGCTTGTGTCGTTTTAGAAGACCTAATGGCCATTTTCTCATATTCTAATTCGGCAAAGATCAGAATGCCTTCATCAATCTCGGATTTGTCGTCAGACGGTGGGATCTCTATCAACCCTGGGCTCACCTCGCTTTCACAAGCCAAGTATACGACCGGGAAGAGCTTTACGAACGCTCTAGTTTCTTGCTTCCAGAACTCCGTTCCTATATCGCGGCCCCAGATTTTGCAAATGACGGTGACTTTCGGCGTGAGTGATCTTCTGTCACACGAACTCTAGTCTCTCCATCTCTACCTCTCATCTTGTCCTTTACCCAGCTTCATCATCCGTCTAGAAAAGTGGCGACACAGAAGTTAAGATGTATTCTTTATCTCAGGACATTCGGGCTGCATGCCAATCTGCACAAAGCCGTATCATGAGGTTGCAACAGGCCACCAACACGCAAGTCGGCCTTACTTCTACAATCCGCGAAGGCTGGTTTGACGAGCTTCGTCACGTTGCTCAATGTTTCATCACAGCACAGCAGGCCAGCGCCAAAATCGAGCAGGCCATCAATACAGAGCGTGCACAGCTTCAGGGGGCCCTTTCAGCTGCTCTGAATGAGCGTGATGTGACGAAATCAGAGCTGGATTCCGCTCGACAAGAAATTCGATTTTTGCGCAATCGAGTAGACGAGCTGATGAGCAAAGCGTCAACACAGCATCACGTCGATAGTTCATGGACAAACTCTACTTACGACGTAAGTATACCCATGTCCAGAGCCTCTACAGATATCCTGGTGTCCATAACTAATTTCTGGGGTTTTCTAGAAATCAATCGCTCGGTCGGTCCCTGAGTCTCAAGTCGAAACCTCAAGTTGGCTCTCGAGAAGCTCTAGCCAAGACAGTCCTAGTGATGTCTCGCTCAACGACAGTTGCGTCGATCTGCTTCAGCAACTTCCCACAAAAGTGGAGGACATGCCATTCACACCAGAGCGAAAGCCGACATCCTTGCCCTATAAACATGATGGCAACGCTTACAGATCGGACACGCCTGGTGACTGTCAACCTTTCAGGTCCTCGGCGGACCAGATATATAGTCAGAGTGACCAGTTGAAACCCTTTGTCAGAGAGTATGGGCCTCTGGTGCAGCGGACCAAGTACAACGGAATAATTGCCAAGACTCCCGATTTCAGTGGTAGCCTTGCAGAACGTCACAGAAATAACAGCAGCACCAATGGCCACAAAGCAGCTGGCCGCTTTAACCGAACACCGTTTTCCTCACAGGGACCCTTTGCTCCTCCTCCCTCGCAGCACCAACCTGGTAATGCCTTCCGTAGCCAGCATGATACGAGAGTTCGTGCATCTACGCCGACGCAGGGATCGAATATGGGGATGCAGTCGGCAATTCCGCCTCGCCAAAATCAAAGAGAGCTGCACCAGAAGCCCTACCCACAGCTGCAGCAACGACAGACCTACCCTGGCCCCGATACTCCAGGTCTGCTGGAACAGGGCTTGGTGCCTGCGCCCTCTATGGAGCTGGCTTTGGTCCAGAGCCGGTACGAGCCTTTCAATGAGTATGCTCCAGGGGTTGCACCTCTGAACACATCCGACGAGGAGCGTATTCGAGATATCTTCCATTTCTTCAACAAGATGACAGACTGGGTCACTAGATACTGCAGCGTGCCAAACAAGAAGCTTATCAACGACATGGAGCGGCTGTTTCCTCGGCTCTGGGACTATGCCTGCTCGGCGACATATCCGAACAAGGCGTCGAATGCCGCCAGCCACTCCATGTTCATGCTGTCGAGCGATGAGTTCCGAAAGTACTTTTTGACCCGGCTCCTTATTCAATATGTGGTCCAGCAGATGTGGAACGCTCAGGCGTGGGAGGGTCTCGACGACGAGTTAACAGAGGTCCTGATGAGCGTCAAGCACCGCCTGGACCCCAAATACGGTTATGGTGAGTGTGATGCAGCACCCCAAATATGCAGCAAATGAAAAACAAAGAGATCGAAGTAAGGAAAGCTGACGAGGCTGTACAGATGCCATCCTGCAACCACACGAGCGTCATGCACTTGTGGAGAAGCGCTCGCGCGCGATCTACGACTTCATGCGACAGCCATCCTGGAGCAAGATTAAATCACAGAAGATGAACGTGGCGCTGACACGGTTCAAGGACATTGTCGGACCTATGATGAACCGGGAGGACATTGATCGACAGGCGGCTCTGCACGAGCTCTCGGGCATCAGCGAGGGTGCGCTGCGGCTTTCGGCCATCCTCAACACATCGCGGCTCTCCTTCCAGTTCATCTTCAACGAATGCGGCATCAAGTTCAGCGATCAGTCGCACCGGCCGCTCAACGCAAGCCTGCCAACGCGGGAGCTGCAGGCACACCACTGGCGGCTGATGTGTGTGGTGACGCCTGGCATCACGTATCGCAACGATGCCGGCGTCAGCGTGGACCCGCGCTTCCTGGCCAAAGCCAACGTTCTGCTGATGCAGTGAGCAAGGGATCTGCATAACGAGTCCCGTCTCGCCTATTGCTTCGATCTCAATTTGCCATCGTCATAGCTTCGTATATTTATCTCCCCTGGTTCTGTTTGTGTCCTGGGTGCATGTGAGTTGCTATCTACGCTTTTGTCTTTTGCTTTTTGCCTTTTTATATCGATTTCGCCTCGCCTTTCACTGCCAGTTCAGTTGGTGGTCTGATTCGTTGCACTCGTCTGCTGCCTTTTAATCCCATCCGAATGGCGGAGATAGATTCTTTTCTACCGTTCTGTATCTCGCCAATCGTTGCATTTCCCCGCTGCTCGTTATTCTGCACTTTCCCTAGTCTCCATTTCTTGAGTTCTTTTCTTTCTAATTCTTCGTCTTGCTTGGGAATATGACTGGTGGGATGTCTTATTTGCTTCTTTGCTCTGCTGTTCGCGCTTGGATCTCGGAAAACATCCATCGCCAATGCCTCCGAACACGCTGGCTTTCCTTTTTTTGCTGCTCCCGTTCTAGAAGAAATCTTATACCAGAGGCCCATACCAACATCCCCGACAAAGGGTCTGGGGTGATATACATCGTGGCACCATGGCACAGAATTGCAGGGGATGGCTAATCAAGGGGAGGAGTAGTCCATTTCCTGTTTATCACTTTGTTTATATATCCAATGCTTTGCGCTTTTCACTAGTCTTCAATCTCCAAGATATATTCAAGAACGCGGGCCTGGCCTGATTAGTGAAGGGAACGAGATGAGTGAGTCATGATACGATCATATCGAAGTGAATAGACATTACAGACCCCATCAAACTCCCACAAGACAGCCATAATATTACAAACCGGAAAGACCAGAGTCAGCTGAGCTTCAACCCAGGCCAGCCCTTTTTCTCAACGGGGTATCTAGTATACAAAGACGAGCATTTCCAAGGCCAAACTGGAGAAAAACGCAGCCAAACTCCAGCTATAATAAAATTGACATCATCGAAGGTGGAAGGTCATCGACCAGCCGAGGGCGGACGTGCAGGTCCGGTGGGAAGGCGGTCCAGACGCTTGACTACAGCTCCCAGCACGGCTTTGAGAATGCCGTCAGCGGTCAGGGCGGCATGACCGGCGCCAGTGTATTGAATGTAGGCGTCCCAGGTGACAGTATCGACCATGTCGCGCACGCCCTGGCCGCGGACCAGCTCGCTCAGGTGGTCGTCGAGGGTGCGCAGGTATTCCGAGGCGCCGGGCTCATTGCCGACCTTAAAGAACTGGATGCCGACCTGGAAGGGCGGCGCATCGAGGGAGTCGAGCTTCTGGGCGGCGTGGTAGAGGACGCCCTCGAGGTCGTCGCTGGGCTCGCCGTCGGTGATGACGATCATGTTGACGGGCTTCAACTCGGGCTCGTCCGGGTTCTCCTGTAGCTTCTGCTGGTAGTAGCGCAGGTACGGCCGGATGATATTGCTGATGCGGGTGCCGGTCGGGGTAGAGCCGCCGGGGCGGACGGTCTCGAAGATGCGGTTCACCGTGGCGACATCACGGACGTTGGAGTAGCCACCGGTGGCCTTGCCAGGAGGCGTTGCAGCCGTGGTTGGTGTTTTGTGGTTTAAAAAGTAGAGGTCGATGCCGTCGGCGTCGTGCGTGGTGCAGATGGGGGCAATGTTGGCCAGGACGGCGCCGACTTCCTGCCACGAGCGGCCGGCCATGGAACCAGAGTCGTCAATGACAAAGATGGTGTCAAAGGTCGACAGGAAGGCATAGCGGTCCTCGGCAGTCGTGATGTCGTTGACCGTCAGACGGGAGATGTTGGACCGGGTGGAGGGAGCCAGCGACGCCGGGCGATGACGACCACCTGCACTGGCGCTGGCAGTCGTGGGTGAGACCGTGTTGACGGCCTCGTAAGGAGGAGGAGGATCATTGACTCCGGCTGCAGTATCTGGTTAGCAAGCAGTACGTGTGCGTGTGTGTGTGTGTGTGTGTATGCATATATGCCATTTGCACGTTTGTCCGTGTCTGTGTCCCGCATCTCCATTCTGAGCTTACCAGGACGACGGGTAGCCGGCGAGGGATTGACGAGAGGGCTGCGTGATTGACTATCGCGTCTGTTGGCTAATTCGCGAGCAGTTTCTGCAGAAGGTGCTGCGAGAAAGCCGTCGTTCTGATCGGCTGGGCGTGGGCCCGTCACAGGACTGCGGGGGACAACGGATGCAGCAGCAGGAGCAGCGGTGCTGCTGGTGGCGCCATGGTTGTATGAGCTTCCGCTGCCGCCAGACGGGCGACTTGCTGTCGGCTCGCCCTCATAGCTGGCCTTTCTCGAGAATCTCTTGAACGAACCTATGATGGATTTGCGAATGCTGCCGCTGCCGCTGTGGCTGTTGCCGTCGTTGGCGGTGCCGGAGGAAGACATGTTGTCAGGAGAGGTAGAGGAGGCGGGGATATGCGCTGTCGTCGCCAGAATGGGACGAACGGAGTACTTGGCAGCGACTGTTGAAGGCTTGAGATTCACAAATGTCAAATCACACAAGGGTTGTCGATGCGGGGCGAAACGTCGTCTTGATCGACAAGAGGAAGGAGCGACGGAAAAGAGGGGATTAAAAAGGGACGAGGCAGGGAAGGGGGGTAGCGAAGGGCTGACGCTGGTTGGCTGACAGGCAAGGTTTATTTACCGTTCGAGAAGGAAAGGCTGCGCCAGCGAACACGGCAAACACGCTCGGAGGCAGCTGCAGGAAAGAAGCAGCGGGAGAAGAAGCATGACGCACTCGCAGTCGACTTTTTCGCGCTCCCTTCTTTTTTCCAGGCAGCAAGCCCAGTGATCAGTGATCGGAAAACAACTGATCCCAGGCACCTTGTGGGGATGACTGTCGATGTGCAGATCACAGGCACAAGCAACAACGAACAAGCAGCCTGACAGGGCTAACAGGGCGCAGCGGCTGCCCGATGGCAGAGTGGGGCTCTGTTGGTGCTCGCGGATAGGGCTCTTCTAAGAAGCTGGGGTGTCCCTATTCGCTGAATAAGGTCGAGGCCTTGCACAGCCACAACAAGGGCTTATCTAAGCAGAGAATCAGAACGGGCGAAATGGCAGGCGCACTGACAGTGCCTCTTTGCCCCTTTTCCGCTTTTCGTCCTGTGCTCTGCGAGCTCTGTGCTCTCTGCTGCAGAGCTCGCCGTCCTCATCCGGTCTTGAGCCGCAGGTGTGCCTCCCTTCCCCTGAAACAGCAGACCTGCTCGTGGAAAAGTGGGCGTGGCTGGTCTTGGCACGGCAAGAGCCCCCCTGAAACTGCATGTTTTCAGATGCTAATAGATGCTATTAGATACTCCGTACTACTCCGTAATAATACTTGCTGTTTCTGCCCCCCACCATGTAACTCTTCAGCTCGTCGCTATCTATTAGCCCGCTGCCGTTCGCTGCCGTCGATTGGCCCTGCCAGCCCAAGCTTCATCCACCCCCTCTGCTCTCGTCTTTACTGCTCTTCAAGGACGAAAGCTGGCCCCGGCACTGGCCCGGAGAATGGCTGGATAAACCCCGCGGTTCGGCTGTCCCCGCTATTTAACGGAAGACCAAACGGCCCAACTGTTGCAAGAACATACGGCTGGCAGAATAAAAAATATCGCAAAATCGAAAGAGACATTTTGCTTCACCCCTGAAACGATCAAAGCTTCAGTCCTATTTATTCTGTTCGTCTGCTTGCACTCCCCTGACCTGTTTCTCTCTCTTTTTCTGCATCTTTTGCCCACCCTGAACCGTCGTTTTCCCGGCCTTTTTCCCCCTCAATTTTGCCCGCCATGAGCAGCAGCCGCAGAATCAGCATCAACCGGAACACGGGTGTCCCCAAGCCCTCCCGCCGCTTCTCCTTTGCCGAGCCTGGTGTCAACGGTATTTCCTGTCTCTCCGGCCTGCTTGCCGCCGCATCCGCACAGCTAAACTACTGGCCTTGGCTGACCTTCGCTGACTTTCTTCCCCTCCAGAGGCTAGCAGCAAGGTCCACCGTCAGTTTCGCGCTGCCCACGAGGGCCATCTGCCTCATGCCGGCCTAGACGCCACGCGTGCCTCGACCGGCGTCGTCTGGTGCACGGAGCGTGCTGCCGAGTTTGGCTTCCTCGAAGAGCCCGAGCTCTGGGCCAACCTGGGCCAGGGCGCCCCCGAGGTCGACGACGACATCGAGGGCTGCTTCCCGCGGCCCCAGACGCTTGACATTGGCGTGGCCAGTCGCGAGTATGGCCCAACCGCCGGTATCAAGCCTCTGCGCGAGGCCGTCGCCCACCTGTACAACGAGCACCATCGCCAGGGCAAGGAGAGCAAGTACACCTGGGAAAATGTTGCCATTGTGCCCGGTGGCCGTGCCGGTTTGATCCGCATTGCTGCCGTGCTGAACAATGCCTACGTCGGCTTCTTCATCCCGGACTACACTGCCTACAACGAGATGCTGTCGCTGTTCAAGAATGTGAGCGGCCCTCTGTCCTCTGTTTTTTGATTTTCCACTTCCCCATTTCTTGTTTTTTGTTCCCGACTCACCGCCTTTCCACAGTTTGCCGCCATCCCTGTCCCTCTTAGCGAGGAGGATGGCTACCATATCAACCCGGAAAAGATCTCGGAGGAAATTGCCCGTGGCACTGGCGTCATCCTGACTTCCAACCCGCGCAACCCCACCGGCCGCGTCGTGGCCAATCCGGAGCTGGCTGAGATCCAAGACCTGTGCCGTGATCGTGCCACCCTGATCAGCGATGAGTTCTACTCGGGCTACAACTACACGAGCGACTGCGACGGCACCACCATCAGCACTGCTGTAGGTTTCCCCGTTGCCTGTCCATTCCGCTGTCACACGTGCTGACCCTGTTCTTCGCCAGGAAAACATCATCGATGTCGATGAGGACGATGTGCTCATCATTGATGGCCTCACCAAGCGCTTCCGTCTGCCTGGCTGGCGTGTGGCCTGGATCCTCGGCCCCAAGGAGTTCATCAAGGCCATCGGCTCCTGTGGCTCCTACCTGGACGGCGGTGCTAACGTGCCCTTCCAGGAGGCTGCCATCCCCATGCTTGAGCCTGGCCTGGTGCGCCAGGAGATGATTGCTCTGCAGCACCACTTCCGCGAGAAGCGCGACTATGTTCTTCGCCGTCTGCGCAGCATCGGCTTCGTCATCAAGTACGTGCCCGATTCGACCTTTTACCTCTGGCTCAACCTCGAGGGCCTCCCCGGTCCCATCAGCGACGGCCTCAACTTCTTTCAGGCCTGTCTGGCCGAGAAGGTCATCGTCGTGCCGGGTATCTTCTTCGATCTGAACCCGGCCCGCCGTCGGGACCTGTTCGACTCCCCGTGCCATCACTTTGTCCGCTTCTCGTATGGTCCGCGTATGGAGACGCTCAAGCTGGGATGTGACGGCATCGAGCGTGTCGTGAACAAGTATGTATCGTGGACGTCCAGAGTTGCATATTTTCCCTTGGCTAACCCCGACTAGGCACAGACAGACTTGAGAGCGCTGAGAATAGGAGGGTCGACGGCGAGAAGAGCTGTTTCGAAAATATCATGCATCTTCATTTGCCTTGTGGGATTTCGGTCGTGAAATCCAAGTTATGTCCTTTGACGACTTTTTCCTTTCCTCTTATTAGCCATTTCCCTCGTACGCTCTCTGTTGTCCGATAGACTCGTCTTGATGGCATTAGTCTAAAGCACCATAAGATATACTCTGAAATCAATAGACACACGTTGAACATGACAAGATCGTATGTTGGGGAAGTTGGGCGGAGAAGTGCGTAGGGAGTTATTACCCGTCGGTCGATCGTAATAGATCACGTGCCATTCCTTGATAGTTTCTCGCGACCTGCTGTCTATATATTGCCTAAAACGTCCCACGTTGCAATGTTGTCTCACGTCTCAAACTAAAACAAGCACTCCGTACTCCGTACGCTGGGCCGTCTTTGCATAACTTCTCGTGGTGATGGTCATGTGCACAACAGCACGAGAAACGCTACAAGGCCATGTTCAGTGGCGCCAATGCATCGATGTGAGATGCAAAGAATCGGTTTCATTCTATGTACGGAGTAGGAAGCTGTCCCCCACGGCCTGAACTTCAAGCTGATAACTATTGGGTAAAATATTGGCTTCGGGCTCGTATTTCTCCAATAACCGATGGTAATCCCAAAACCACGGGACAGAAAGAAACGTAAACGGGGCACTCGTACTCGTAACGAAGTATTCGCAACACAGTGCTTTGTAGCACGTCATTCAAACGGCCAATGTCGTTCTATATATCAGATTCAAGAGGGAGGGATAGCTACTTTTTAGGTCTAGGGTTTCCGCGGAGCCATGTTTCTCGCATACACATTCTCTTACTGTCACTTTACAGTACCACCCGATCAAGTTCATTTCCTCACTACACTGTCTTTTGCCCCCACTCTCAGTCCGTCCTAATGTATGACTATGCCCGGATGACCGTTTTGGTAGTTGATATAAGGTAATAAATAGGTAAGAATACTATGTGATGGAAGCGCGTACTAGAAGAAGTATGTTAACGTCCTCGAGAATGGCGCCATAACCATTTGCTGATACCATTCTCTGACTAATGACGCCAGACTCGACATGCAAGATACAGCTCGCAATTGGATGTAGTGCGCTATCACCGAGGAAGGCTCGTGCCACGGGTATAGTACATGGGGTAAATCGCAGTTATGTGATATTCATGATCATGAGGCCACAGTATAAGCGAAAAAAAACTGATGTCGAGGAAGCATACGTAGGAAGAGTCTTCAAACATTCTCAGTCATTGAACAAGCCACAAATAGATGGAGCTTTCGCAATGGATCTGCTAATATAAGAGAGGATAGCAGATTGCACTGTAAAGTAGAGTATTCGCACTATAGGTACGGAGTACATAAGCCATTCGTCGACCATACACCTTCCGACATGACAGCTGTCAATTCGATAACCCGAGCTTCAAACAGAAAAAAACAAAACAAAGAGTCTGTCTTAAACATTACTACCCTTGAATCGTTGGCGTTCCTATTTATAGAATCAAGATACTATGACCCTATGATAGATTTGTCGAGAAATGAGTCTAGGCGATTAGCAATACTTCTTTATTATAAAAAATATACTTGTATCATAGTTTCTGACCGGCCATCAAATACCCAAGTTAATTAATTCCAGCTCATTGTCGACTACGCTCACTATTTTGTTCAAATCGAGGACAATCAAGCTAGCCTTGGAGAGAGTAGAGCAATCCATAAACGCATTGCCTCTTTTTTTCCTTCTACAATAGGCATAGGGTCTCCCATTAGACGATGTCCAATGTTGGCCTACCCAATAGGTCTGACCTGTCTACTGAAACGGATAAGAAAAAAGCGACGAACTACGGAAGCATACCATTGCACCAGACATCAGCGTGTATTTCTTTCATGTGTATCCATTCTTGGACAATAATGGCAGAGTCCCTAAGATGGTAATGCTGAAAATCTTGGCTCCGCAAGGCTATATGACAGTAGTATAAATCCAGATGCGAGGGACTACTCAAGAATGATCAACGACGCGAATGCTGACAACTCAGACGATCTTTTCCGCCGGGTCCTAAAATTCCAACTAGACTCTTCAATGCAGGAAACTTTAACCCCTATCTTTTAGTTTCAGTGTAGCCCAGCAGAACACGTTTGTTGGTGTTCTCATATTAGAGGGACTTCAAAGAGCCGCGATACGGACGGCTGTTGCTTTCGCCGAAACTGTTCCCTTACACGGTTTTAGCGCACGTGACATATACATAGTGTGTACGATGTCACAATCTCGGCATGCAACCTAGATATCCAACCGGCTGCTGTGCATCGGGCCGGAATATGCAGAGTGCGATGACGGCTGCACAATGGTAAAATAAAAGAGCATGGTTTGCCCAATGGAGAGGAGTCTCTTCTTCATCCAGTAGTCCACACGCGGCTGGCAAAAACATGCATAGTATCAAATTCTATCCCAACGCCAACAATCTTTTTTTTCCCACAGACCGGAAGCAGCTGGATAAACCTCCACCTTTTTCCCTGTCCAAATTCTTCTCAAGAGGGTCCAGCACATGCTGGACAAGCATTTCGGTCTCTCTAACGGAAGCTCTCGCCGAATCATCCTTGATAGGACGCGCAAAAGGTGGAAACATTTTGATAAAAGGGAGTCCCACCTGCCCAAAGCGAAGCAAGTGCCGGTTTGGCTGCATGTAAGTGCATTTGAGGAGGGGAATGAGAAGCTTGCTAGACAAAGTACGCAGTACAGATCGCGTTGAAGTGGAATGTCGACATCGATCAACAAGCACGCCATCGCATGACGTGACTGATTACACTATAACCTCTCGCGCTTTGACCCACTCTACTCTAACACACCTTGCATATGGGGACAGCAAGCAAATCTCGATCGACTAACATGGCCAAAATTACTTGTGGCTAACTGATTGATGGCACTTTTGGTGTCCTGTTGTAGGGGTCGTTTACGGGGCTGGTTTATCCCTACGACGTGTGTTCGAACCAGCCCTGTATAGTCGTATGTCTCGACAGCTGATACAACCATCCAAAGGGGGGGAGTCTGCAGCATCCCTATCAACACAATGCGTTGAATGTGCCAAACCCCTCCCCCCCCCCAGAATGTAATCGGAATGTCTGTGGCAGTTTCGGTATTATCATGATACGAACGATACACGATTATGCTAGAGTTGATTGGGCCTTCGCTGTTTTATCAGCCTCTAGTACTCGTAATGAAAAATTCCGCAACTGCTGTCATAATATACTTGGCCACAAAAGCATATATACTTACCGCTGTAAAGAACAGCAGGCCCGTCATAGTGAGCTTGCCACCTTCGTGATACACAAACCTCCATACATTCTTCCCGATTTAAACTCCTCTGTAACCCCGAAAATCAATGGACGAGGCAGCAATAGCCATAACAGCAATGCTTCCGCCTTCTGTCTCAGTCCCCTTCGTCCGACGAAGGGGATTAGCTGGCAAACGAATACACCGTAACCATCCCTGATGTGATGAACCTATGAAGAATGACCCAGACTCAAAAAAACCAAATGGGAAAGTAGAACGTTTAGCCGGAAGAGTCCCGGGCCTCGTTTTCCTCGTCTGTGATTCCTGAGGAGGAGGTGTCGCTCCCTGCATCGCCACGTCTGTTCGCCTTTTTGGCGTGCTTTGCTTTGAAGTCTTCCAGTAGCTTGCCGAGAAATTCTTCGTTTCCGGCATTCTTTTCTAAAACAATGCCCTTGAGCCACTTGTTTTCCGTCTCCAACTGCGAGATTCTGTTCTCAAGTGCCGTCACCTTATCGGTCATTTCCTTGGCCGACTTCTCAAGTGCCTGCTCCCGCTGCTTCTTCTTGACCCGAAAGCGGGCACTGGCTGCCGTGTTTCGACGGCGCTTGTCTTCCTCGGCGGCTAGTCGGGTCTGCTCTTCGAACGACATGGCACGTGTAGAATGGTTCAGAACGTCCGGCTTGCGCTTATCCGCGGCGGCTATCCGCGGCGGTTGGTGGCTGGAGCCATAGCTGTTGTGATGCCCACTGCTTTGACCAGTAGGACTGGAGGACTGATAACCATGTTGGGGGCCAGGCTGGATGGGTTGGAGGCTCCCCAAGTTGTCCGGGTAGGACGGAATAGACGGCGATGGGTAGGCAGCGCCAAAATCCGGAAAGTTGAAATCGCCTGAGGCCATTGTGCCATGGTCAGTAAGTTTTCGCATAGAGGCTTATAACATGGCCGGTGCAGCCCCAGAACAGCGGCAAATGGCCCAATAGAATGCGAAAAAACGAGAGTTGGGACGCAATCGGACGTGTAAGTAGTAGGAAGAATATGGGTGATGTGCGATATGCAACAATTAAAGAAATCCAAAAATAAGGGCAGATAAGAAGCAGACAAAATAGAAGGTAAGCAAGCCTAAAAAGAGAAATATCGAGAGTAACTCCCTAGCTGGTCCGGATGCCTACCAGAATTGCTGAACTCCCGGGCTGGCAGATGAGAAGGGGGGTAGCTCTGGACTGCGCTGATGAGCACAAGTCACGGGGTATTGCACCATCAGAGCTCGCAATTTGCACAACCCATTTAGTCGCTCTACCCTCCACCAGAACGGATGCTGGCCACATGGACAGCAACACGTTCCAATTTAAAACGTTTAAAGAAACCCCCCCAAAAGAAATAACAAGACATGCATAGTACAAGTGGGGAAGGCGAACCGACGATCTTCTCGAAGAACGGGAAACAACAAGATTAATGCAGGCTGTGATGATGATTCGACAGGGTAGAAACAACAGCTACCAATGTGATTCGGTAGAGAATTTCGATAGAAATAATCCCATTGCTTCGGTAAAATTGCCGTTTGCTGTTTTCCGGTGTTGCCATCCGGGTCTAGGTGAAAATGCCACTCTTGAAACACTTGTAAAGAGAACCACGCCGCACCGACAATATGCGTCTCGATCTCAAAAATTTCGAGACAAGACGGACCGGGAAAGAAGTCCCTGAACATCCAAAGAGACGTGAAAAGCATTGTAAGTTACTGACCTGTAGCGATGAAGTCAAGGCTGTTAAAATCGGTAATGGCAGCAGCCGTCTCTTCGGACACAGGAGTGACAGCATCCGACGGCGACCCGCCGTCGGTTGTGACCTTAGACGGCTGGGACGGCTGAGGCTGGAAGTCGGTGTTCTGACCAGTCTCGAGATCATAGAACTCGGTGTTGGTGAACATGGACAGGTCCTGGTCGTCGACCGTTGGGAACGAGTCCTCCAGTACAGATGGGTTTTCGTGCAGTTCGCGCAGGAACTGCGAGATGTTGGGTCCGCGGCGTCCAAAGGCCATAGCTGCGGTTGAGCGTCAATGCGCAATGTTCTGGTGCAAATGCGAGTTGTCGATAGCCGGGAGTGGCCGTGCTTCGGCAGAGTTCTGGCTCCGGCGGGGCACAATGCGGAAATGAAGAGACACAAGTCGGGTTGGCGACTGCCCTCAGAATGGTATGTCAAGGTCAAAGGCGACCGATGTTTTTCGTTCTTGTCCACGGGACGAGTTGTCGTCGGTATTGCTGCAGTCTCTGATTTGGTGGAACCAAAACGTATATGCAGCAAATTCGGATGTTAAACGGCGGGCGACGGCCAGTTGATAAACAATGTCAGCTCGGTGGTTGAGTCGAGCTTTCCCACGCAGGTCGAGATATCCAGTGACCGTCGAATGTGCGTCTGGCGACGAGTATAATTGATGGGCTGATGAAGAGAAAGAAAAGAAACGAAAATGGCCCCGTTCCCTAGAGAGAGAAATTTTACCGTGGCCTCAGAGCGAAAACAGCGACAATGTGGGAAAAGGCGCATACCGGCCCCCTAGTAGACCAACCTTCGTACATACCACAATTAGTCAAAGCCACTGACAATAGAGAAGACCCCACGCTCGCCACATAAACCCCACTATAAGGACTGTACAGGCACTGTAATACTCCGTACCGGAAATACAGAGCGTGCCTTTTTCTACCCCACTACGGAGCACACGGGCGTCATAAATCAATAAACGCCTATTACGAGCCCTTTCCGTACGCACAGAAAACAAGTCTAGCCGTGGCGGTCTTTTGACGAAAAGGTAAGTAAACCTTGACGCACACCGTTTCTAACGAGAAGTGTGGGAGGAAACTTTGGGGTGAGCGTTGCATGCCCGGCGGTAAACGCGCCGGCAATGTAAGTCTGCGCAGGGCCAAGGCAGCTAACAGCAAGCGCCCTCCCCGATGTTCGGCCAGATTGGTCAGCTCAACTACAAACCTCGCACGGTGAGCCCAACGCCTAGATCGACTAGACTATTACGCATCAGACCTCAATGGGCGAGAAAGGGGAAGGGCGTACGAGTACATGCCGAGGTTATGATAAGTAGCAAGAAGAGCACAAACGCACCGCCTGTTTTATATGACGATTCTGTTCCTTTTGAAAAAATTCTTTGCAGAAGAATTGTACAATATCACTCTGTACAAGAGCAATCAATGATCCATGCAAAACACGCAGCAACGTTCATTCGCTCTGGTCGGGATCCTTCTCCGAGAAACGCGCGGAAAATGCCCGAAACCATGCGGCAAGAAAAGGACCCGAACAGCCGGCAAACTTGGAAGCAATCTACGTAGTCGAGCTGTTCGCCGTAGCGGAGCTAAGCGGCAGGAACAGGGTGCTTCATGCGTCTGGACTACACTTAGTTTGCAGTAGCACGCATGATGTAATAGACTTTTGGAGACCGCAGCTTACAAATACAACGTGAGCCTTTCATCCCCCGACAGCCAACCTCCCGTACACGTGATATCCTTATCTCCCGGTTTCTCGGAATGCCTGGAAGGGTGTTCCTAGCACACGGCCTTTGCTGTCAAACCGCACGCCCTCCATCCGCAGGAGAGAGCGCTTCTCAGCCAACGTGATGCCCTCTTTCACCGCCTGCTGCTTGCTGCCCACTTTCTGCCCTCTCTTTCGCTCCGGTCCAACGCCTTTGAACCCGCCCAGGCCACCGCCGGTGGCTATGCAGCGGTGGCACGGCACCATTGGTGCAAACAGATTGCGTCGCATTGCATTGCCCACCGCTCGCGGCGATGAGCCTAGGTAGGCTGCCATGATTCCGTATGTCGTGACCTGTCCTGTGGGGATTTGGCAGAGCAGCGACCAGACGCGTTGCTCAAAGGCCGACCTCCCAGAAGCGGCAATTTGCTTCAGCGTCCGGTCCCTGGGCGACGGTGTAGTGGCCAATACCACCGTTGTGATTGGGGCAGCCGTGGCCGTAGTAGTAAGCCCTACTGAATCGACCATGTCTGTCGTCTTGGTGGAAGCTAGCATGATGTCTCTGCTTTAGTTGCCTGACGGAAGTGTTTTGAGCCGACTTTTCAGATGCTTGTGTAGAAGATGAAGAATTGCAGCACACACATTTCTCAGCCTCGTCGACAAGCAGCCGTATATATATGGCGTCAACCCGCTCGTTGCTACGGATGTTTTGAGAAAGGGGGGATGCATTTGAGTCACAACCTCTTGCTGCTGAAGTGACGAATCAGCGGTCGATTGGAAAGGCACGCGTGTGTAAGCAGGCGCGTAGTCACGTGCAAACTCAAATGAGCTTTCTTTTTTCTTGCCATCGACAAGAACGAGTTAGTTGAATCTCCATTGCTTTTGTTGGATGGAAAAATGTTGGGTTAGAATAATATCAATTATTTACGCCCTGCAGCTTGGATGAAACTTTTTCAGGTTACGAATCTACGCCCGACACACGTCGCTGAGTGATACGATTGTATGCCCTGTGGATATGGATTGCTTCGTGGCTTCCATTGAGTTGCCGGTGAAAGAGGTGGCAAATTGTTTTTGTGTAAGGTATCTTCAGTCGTACAACAAGACAAGGTGAGCAACGAGTATGAGAAAGACGGTGGAGTGGTGCTGTCGGGCAACAAATCTGCAGCCTCGTGTACTCCGTACAAATGCTGCACTTTTGAGATGCAGCCACTACAGAGCCGTAATGTAAAGGAAGACACGTCGATAGCCAATTATTACTAGACATTTTAGGCACTATCAGGGTGTTGTGTTATAGCTTTGCTTTGCTGACCTTGTGCTTGATTCGATCGCAAAAATGAGGCCGGTCGCCCGAGGGGCAGGGTATAAAACGTAGAACTTTCGTAAGGTCTACAGTCTTTTGCTTTCTCATCTCCCGACTGTTCGACTGTTTAAATAACGTATGTCTTTCTTTGAGTCGGCCTCTCTTCTTCTTCTCCTAATATCCCCGGCATACTTGAGCTATCATCGTCAAATATAAATTACTGTTTCTGCAGCATATTCCCAATATAGGCGCTTGCGGTACCCCTTCAAATATTGCTTTTCTTTGTTCAGCTTCACTCTGTTTTTTAAGCATCTGGACCTTCTGGTCTGACGTTTATGCAAAATGAACGCAGGCAGGATGAACATGGGCAATCGGAGGTGCGAATCCTCAGACTGTGGTAAACCGGTGGTATGGAAACATGCGGAGGACAAATCGATTGGCCAGCTGTTGCATTGGAAAGCTCTGGCCGAGTATAGAGAAATTATGATCAAGCTCGGACATTCTGACAACAGCGTCCTGGATAACTTGAGTGAACAAAACGGCAAGCGAGGCGAAGCAACTATCGCGTTTATGTCACTGCTTCTACAGAACGAGCAAGAAGACAAACTCGAGCCAGAAACGTCCGAGTGGCTCGCATCCGTCACCATACGCCAAGCCCTCCCGATACTGCGAAGAACGTGAGTACAATTTGGTGGGTAACGTGGAAATTTATTTTGCAGCTGAAGCATTTTTAACAACGAGTTTGCCAAAGACACCTGCAAGTTCTTCTTCGGCACCACTGATTGCACCAACAAGAAGCCTGGATTTGACACTTTCTGTCACGAACGTGAGAATGAAAAAGCCCCGTGTGTAGTGCATTTAGTGACTAATTGACACGGTACAGATATGGTGTGCACGGTTCAGAACTGCTTCCGATGTAAAGAGCAATACTTTGATCCGCAGTACAATGAACGGGACAACAGCTTTTCGCGTAAAGAATACTGCTCGAAGCGTATGTTGTCACTTTTGCCGATCAACCTTGTCTTAGATACAGAGTATCTTGAAGCTGTTCCATGGTACTAATCATACAATTGCAGACAGCTGTTCTAAGTCTAACTGCAATATGCTGTGTGACGAAGTGGCACCAGATAAGTTCGGTCGATATTGTCTGAAGCGTGAGCGACTCATATCTCCAAGCCATTGCCTACTTCAATGCCCGTTCTCACATATGCTTCCTCTATAGACCGGTTCTACTACGAAGGCTGTCTGGAGCCGAGCGATTCTAGTCAGGCAGGATACTGTATCAAACGTAAGCATCACTAACAAAGTGTAGAGAGCCAAACCAACTAGTATTGTTGTGCTAATAAAATCACAGACGGGTGCAAATTCCCCAATTGTACCCAACTTTCAGTCAATGGCTTCAAGCTGTGCAAAAAGCGTAAGCCTTTTATCTCCGTCAGCCTGTCTCTTATATGGACATTACTTACTGATCACTATCCAGACGTTGAATGCAGCGACAAGAATTGCAACCGGCCAAGGGTTGTGCTCCCCGACAACAACGGCTCTACAGACAAGGATCGTACCGATGGCATCGTTGAAATTTACGAAAGGAGGGCCTACCTGCTATTCTGTACCGCTCGTGCGTGAACTTCGAAAAGCCCCAAAGTAGCAGATTCATGTTCTGATATTGACTTGCATAGATGGTACATGCTCCGACAACGGCTGCAAGGGGCTCCGTTCAAAGGGTGCCATGCACTGCCGCAAGCATGTCTGTGCGGAGAGAGACTGCGTCTATGGATGCAAAGATAAGGCGAAGTTCTGCAACGCCCGTATGTGTTTTTCAACCGTCTCAAAAACTCGGACCGTTGCTAACGTGCTTCATCAGACCGATGCAGGATGCCTGACTGCCAGAGCCCCAAGACCTGGAAAGAGGACCTGCGTCTCCGTGAGGAGTTCTGCTTGGCCCGTAAGTCTTTCTCTACCTTTTCCGGCAGCCTACTGCTTCATTTTGCCCAAAGTTCTGAGACTGACATGTCTAGACCTGTGCCGCAATGGCGACTGCGCTTCTAATGTAGAGGACATGCATTTGTACTGCGATGAACGTACGTTACTTCTCATCACCTATTACACCCCCGTTGGATGTGCCTGGTTATATGCTGACTTCCTATTTAGACGAGTGCTCCAAGCCCGGCTGCGTTGCCCGGATTTCTGGAAACAGTCTCTGTCATGAACGTAAGCGCTCTCTTCCCTCTCAATTATGACATACCCATCTGCGTAAGAACTAACCAGGCTTCGCTCCCCTTATCAGATGCCATTCTGCAAAACACACAGACCATTAGAGAAGCTACCAAGTCCGAGTCACAGGGCTGGATCAGAACACTGCAGCCTCGTGACTACAGCCCAGCAGCTGGCCAACAATATACGTTGCATATGCGTGATGGAGGTCGCCGCTATGAGATGTTACCACCATCTCCGCCGGCTCGAGCCTTTCCGTCCCATCACCAGCGGTACGAAAGTCGCCCGTACGGCCATCCGCCGTCTCCGGAAACACCCTTCGATTCGCCGGCGTCAGATATTGATGAAGACGAAGTGCTACCAGGCCACAACAATGGTCCATCTGATCCGGTACGTGGCAACATCGGAGTCGGAGCGAGAGCCAACAGCGGCAATGGTAGTGGGGTTTTGCCTGCCGGAGTCATCCTTCAGAAGAGGGATGCACCAGTCGACAAGCCGTCATCACTGAACGTTCAGAACATGCAAGGAGGGCCTGGTCGCGTCGGAGGTGGCACAATCCAGCGGCCTTAAGGCCACCCTTGAAAGGGGAGAGCACAGGGTTTTGTGGACATATTTAGTCAAGGTGGTTCAGTCTAGCTTCTGTATTATGCCAGCTGTTTTTGAAGTGTACGTGATTGTATTCTTGGCATTTCCGTAGAAGCAACAACACCTAAAATATACGACCAGTCTTTGAGAGACATCCTTTCTGACACCCAAATCGCGAGCTCGTGGTCCGTCAAAAGCACGAACACAGTGAGAGCAGGCCAAACATCCAACCATTCTGTTCTTCCATATCGCAGTCCTCCAAGAAACCGCACACGTTCAGTCACCTGTATCCAGCTCCAGGTCCAGCTGTACCCCGTTGCTGACTCCGTAGTCGTCCAGCGACAAGTGGTCCTTGAACGGCCGCTCACCCTGCCGCCGCAGCATGATCTCGTTCGGGTCTCGTCCGATGCGTGCCGCCACCATGACCTTGAATTGCTTGATCAGATCTGAACCAAGACATGGAATCGCCGCCTTGGTGCCTGCGGCTGTTAGCAACTGCAAACACAAACAGAACATCAACAGCTTCGAAGCTTAAACTCACCCAGTCTATCATTCACGTGCACGATCATGAACTCCTGGTTGGCGGTAGGCACAATGGTCTTCTTCTTAGCGGCACTGGCGCCTGGTCCAGAATCGGTCTTCTCCTTTTTGTCGCGGTTGTGTCCGCGATCACGGTCACGACCTTGGCCACGGCCTTGATCTCTGCTCCGATCTCCGCCTCGATCCCCGCCTCGATCCCCACCTCGATCCCGCTCGCGATCTCGCTCTCGCTCTCGCTCTCTGTCCCGTGGACCGTCGCGGTAACTGTCTCGGCGCGGCGAGCGAACTCGAGCTCTCTCTCCATCGTCTTCGTCCTGACGCTTCTCCTTGACCTTGAAGCCCCGACCGCTCTTTTTTTTCGGCCTGTCCCGATCCCGGTCACGATCCTGGTCTCGGTCTCGCCCTCGGTCCTGGTCGCGATCACGCTCACGGAAGCGCTCACTATTGGAGTCGCGGTTTCGATCTAGCCTGTCGTCTCGTCGTCGGGGCGAGCGACTACGACTGCGATCCGATCTGCTCGGCCTACCGCTGGAACGGTTTCCCGCTTCGGTGTCGCCCATTTCGAGTTGAGCTTAAGAACGATGTTGTCCATTCTTTGTCGACAAACTAAAGCTACTACGGAGTAGAGACGAGGTAGACATGAAGGCGGTCAAACGAGGCAGAATACCAGTGGTAAATCTACACTTGTCTTACGACGTGTATAAGAATATACAGCACTCGAAACATTGAAATCAAAGTAGTAAGCATACATGATAGCTAACGACTAGGTATTTGCCTGAATAGAGTCTGTGATGACTCGCTTGTAATCCATAATAATGGTTAGAGATAACGAAGTCTCCTAGGCATACAAATATCGGCTTTTGTTACCAGAACACATGTGCAAAAAATTCTTCAAAACCCAACAGACGAAGTCACGCCGAGCCAACTCCACCTCGTGCCAAGCTACTCCCAAACGCCAGATGAAAGATGTCTCGTACAAAGCTACCGACAGCAAATGTCACAAATGAGGTCGGGGCCAAGAATTACCAAGAATTAGGCGATACCACCGGAGGCAGTATGACACAACTATGCCTCGTGGTTCTTCTTCTTCTTCTTCTTGGGCTTCTCGCCTTCGTCATCACGCTTCCGCTTGCTCGGTGCAGCGGCCTCATCGCTGTCCTCGCTCGGCTTCTCGGACTTCTTCTCGGTCTTGCGAAGCTTCTTCAGCTCCTTCTTGCTGTGTACGATGGGGTTACCGCTCTTGTCAACCTCGACGTCACCACGCTCGTACTTGCGCTTCAACTTATTGACTGAGATGCCAGCGGCCTCGGCCAGGCGCTCGTAATCCTCCTCGGAAAGCTTGCGTGGTGCTAGTCATAAAGTTAGCGGTTGAACCTGTATGCATAGAGGCGAAGTCCAAGTCTTACCTGATGCGCCGTTGGTGGTGCCATTCGTAGCCGGCTCCTCGTCGTCCGAGTTCTCCGGTGCTGGTAGGCTCTTTTTCTCTTTTTTGTCCTTCTTCTCCTTCTTGTCTTTCTTTTCCTTCTTTGCCGGAGTGCTCTCTGCAGCTGCTGCTGGTTCATCGCCAGTGAGACCATCGGCGTCGATGTTGTACTTCCGTGCCTCCTTGACTTCCCACTTGCCGGGTGCTTCGCTGACGCTGTTGATGGTGAGGGTCTTGGTCAATGGCTTGCCTTCTAGGCGCCGCAGGTTCATCTCGAGCTTGGCCTTCGCGGCAATACCCAGGGCGGCGCGAATCTCATCATCGGCATCGTCTTCGAACTCGGCGAGAGCGTCAGTACGCACAGCAATAGCAGCCTTTGCGGCCACCTGACGTGCGATCTTGCCCTTATTCCGACCAGTTGCCTGGCCCACGAGCGACGAGTGGTAGATCAAACCATACTTCGGGGTCGAGTGCTTGGTCTTGAGAGCACGGAAGAGGGCCTTCTCGGCACCAACAATCTGAATGGTCGAACCGGCACTCTTGGCGAGGTTCATGAGCGAGCCGGTGTGAGCAATGAGGCGAGCGCCGACGAGGAATCCAACAATCTCCGTCAGGTTAGGTGCGATGGCCTTCATGCGGGCCTCCAAGTAGCTGGCAAGCTGTGCGCGGTATTGCGTGTATGAAACTACCTGCTCGGCCAGGAGCTTGATGTTTTCCAAGTCCTCCTCGGCAATGTCAGCGCCCATGCTCACGTCAGCAGCTGCCTTGACCGCGGCCTCGATCTCTTCCGGCAGAACCTCGGACAGATCGGCGTCCAGGATGTTGTCACGCATGCCGACCGCAATGATTACCCGGGCGTAAGCGAGATTGTCGTTCAAGATCTTAGCCAGCTCGGGGAAGTGCCAGCCGTACCACTCCTTCACACGCATAGCATAAGTGTTGAGCTCCTTGTCCAGATCATCGAGCAGGGCGACAGCCTGGATGATCATGACGTCAACCTTGTCGGCAGAGAACTTGAGCTTGTGACGAGAAAGCGAGTGGGACAGACCCAGAGCCATAGTCGTGAAGCCGGCATCGTCAATGCCAGGAATGAGATCGGTCAAGTGCTCGCGAATGCCGCGGTACACCTCACCGGCCACAGAGCCAGGAGCTGCGGTGACTGCAGTAATGTTGAATCCAGGAAGCTTCGACAGAGACACTCCGAGTCCCTTATCTGCGACGGCCAAGGAGAACTTCTTCTCGTCCTTTACGCTCTCCAGCAACTTTGCAAGCAAAGGTGGCACCTTGCCATCAATGAGGCCATCGAGCTCGTTGATAGCAGCCGAGGCGCTGTCCCACTTCAGAAACTCCTTAAGCTTAAGCCTGGTGAGGGTGCTGTAAGTACAATTGCTTGTTCCATTGTGGAAAAATGTTTGCTTGGCCCGGGGTGTTTAAGACAAGAGACAAAGGGTGGTTGGCATGAACTTACTCGTCGTGGATCTTTTCGGTGGTGGATATCCGAAGGCTTAGGTCGTCACGGTCAAGAAGCTTCTTGTCCTTGGCCTTGAACAAGCCGTAGCTGTAAAAGACATCATATTAGGAAAGGGTTACGGGACAGAGAGTGCCCTCGTCGGGACAGAGTTCGAAGAAGTCGATCGCGACTGCCTGGACTTACCCTGCACTTGTCTCTGCGAGGACGAAGAGAGGCATTTTTGGGTCACAGTAGATCGTGTAGTCTAAATCGCTCCTTCCTTTCGATTACAGCAATTCCAGCCCAGTTTTTGCAGTTTTGGCGTTCTTGCGTGGAAGTCGCAATAGTTGTTGATAGGGAAGGAGCAGAAGGAAATAAATTTTTTGACATTAGATCTAAAACTTTTTTTTCTGCCAGAGCTTTTTTGCACCCATTTTTATTTTGCTGGAGTGGGGCGGTGTGGCTGATAATGTACTCCGTACGCCACGGTGTGAGTCATTAGTCATCATGTTTTATCTTAGCCATCTTACGGAGTACTGCCTGCTGACTTGCTTTGTAGCTGACCTGAGGCTTTTTGGAGCACTAGCTAAAGCAACAAACACATTGCTCCTGCCACAGGTGCATCTGGCGTCGCAAACATGGAAGGCCTTTTCTTCAACGCCAACAATGGGTGAGATTAGCGGAAAGATGCTTCTTATGTATTAAGGTCTAGTGCGATGGCTAATCTTCATCCCTCAGGTACATCGAGGGTATCGTCCGAGGTTATCGGAACGGGCTTCTCACCAATGCCAACTACACCAACATGACGCAATGCGAGAACATTGATGGTGTGTTTTCAACTTCCATCTGCCATCTGAACCCCCCCGCGTGCCTTGTCTTAGCTGACCAACGTAACCTGATAGATCTCAAACTTCAGCTTGGTCCTGCTTATGGCGACTTCCTCGCCTCCCTACCTCCAAACCCGTCGACGTCTAGTTTGGCGGCAAAGACGACCGACAAGCTCGTTTCCGAATTCCGTTACGTTCGTGCGAACGCGTCCGGGTCTTTGGCACAGTTCATGGACTATCTTACCTACGGCTACATGATTGACAATGTCGCTCTGCTTATCACCGGCACTCTTCACGAGAGGGATACGCGCGAACTCCTTGACCGGTGCCACCCACTCGGCTGGTTTGAGACGATGCCTGTCCTCTGCGTTGCGACGAACATCGAGGAGCTATACAACAGCGTTCTCATCGAAACGCCTCTTGCGCCCTACTTCAAGGGTAGCTTGAGCCACACGGATCTCGACGAGCTGAACATTGAAATTGTCCGAAACACGCTGTACAAGAACTATCTCGAGGACTTCTACAACTTTGTCAACACGCATCCAGAAATGGCCGGCACACCAACATCCGAAGTCATGTCAGAGATCCTCGAGTTTGAGGCAGACCGCCGCGCCATCAACATTACCATCAACTCGTTTGGCACGGACCTGTCCAAGGCCGACCGCCACAAGCTTTACCCAACATTCGGCCTCCTGTACCCCGAGGGCACCTTGATGCTCTCCCGCGCCGACGACGTGGAAGGCGTCCGGCTGGCCGTTGATGGTGTCTCCGACTACAAGGGCTTCTTCGAGGCTGTCAACCTTGGTGGTGGGTCCGCTGGCCCCGGCAACATGGGCGGTGGCGCAGCTGCGGATGGACGGAGCTTAGAAGACATGTTCTACCAGAAGGAGATGGAGATTTCCAAGAATGCTTTCACACGGCAGTTCACGTTTGCCATCGTCTACGCATGGGTTAAGCTGCGCGAGCAAGAGACCCGCAACATCACGTGGATTGCTGAGTGCATCGCCCAAAACCAAAAGGAACGTATCGGCAACTACATCAGCGTCTTCTAGTCGCATTGGGTTGTTGGCCTATACATTGCGCGTCATCCATCTAGGCCCGCCACCTACACCGTGTATTTTAAATACCCACGCATAAGGCAACCACCAGCCCCTTTTCTTTCTGAGAGGGCATCCATGAATTTCACGGAACGGCGTCAGGAACGAAGTTGGAAATTAATATCGCACTGTCGTGTGTTTGTTCTTCGAATGGTGACTTTGATTTTTTGCCCCGTCTGTATCGTACATGAAGAATTATATTGATTTTTTTTCTATACTCTCGGTGCCGTGAGTCAGTAATCGTCATACACGTTGAGGCGCGACGCTAGGCGAGCCGAGACGTTTCGTCCTAAACAGAAATCTGCTCTTTCCAGGTGGCAGGCGACAGACCCAGAGTCTCGATCAAGCTCGTCCACCTCTCGCTTCCACGTTCCTTTCTCTCCAAGTATTTCATCAGTTTCTGCCGTCGGTGACACAGCAACCTCAGGTTCCGCCGGTTAAACTTGTCATTGTTTCCCTTTCTGCCTTCGAAAGCCCGAGCCAGCACGCGAATCTTTGCCGTCAGAATGGCGATCTGAACCTCTGGAGATCCCGTATCCGGGCCGCCCCGTTGAAGATGTTCACGCGGTGGCAATCCAGGAGCCCGAGGCTTTGGCCGCAAGACGTTGTCGGTATTGTGGCGACCAAAGGACTCTATGCACCGCCGAATGTTGGCATGTCTGATGCCCTTGCTGCTGGCGTTGTCAAGCGACGTAATGCGCTGCAGCGCGATCACAGCCTTCTCATGCCGCTCCTCATGCTCTCGTAGCTCCTGTGCCTCGCTTACGGCGTCGACCACGATGCGGTTAGCATTCCCCAAAGGCTTGCTCAGTTGGTATGCCATGGCAATGGCCTCGTCGAGCTCCGTCCGCGACAATTGGTGATTGAGGATCTCCGGAGACGTCGGCAGTGCGCGCGGCTCTTCCGGTACTTCCCCAGCCTTCGGCTTGGGTGGGGTAGAAACTGGTCTCTGACCGGCCGAGTCGAACGACTCGACAAAAGTCGTCGGTATGCCGTGCACGGGACTGCCCCATGCAGCGTCGCGTGCGCCTTGGATCTCCTGCTGTCGCTCAACCTTTGCGGCCTTGCGCGCCTGTATCTGCGCCCATCTGTAAGGCTCTTGCTTCATCATCCGCTTCTTCTCTTTCTGCGAAAGATTGGCCGTCTGGATCAGCGGTTGCAGGCTCGGGGTCGGCCGTCTCGCAGCCGGACGAAGGCACACTATCGGCAAGCGTCAGCTCCGCTCGGCCTGGCACATAAAAGGTATGAGAAGATGACTATTCTTACAGTTCAGGACGGCCAGCCCTTGCGGACACGATATACGGGGCGCCATGGCTGTCGATTGGCCTCTATGACGAGTATCTTCTACGGCACCAAGGTGCGAAGTATCGACGATGGAACCACCACCCAAATTTTGCCAGATGCGCTTTCCCAATACGAATTAGCTCCATAGCAGCAGCGGCAGATTATATTTCCGACTTAGCACGATATCGATGTCACGTGGTGAGGCGTCTAGCTCTAAAACCCTGGCGGGGCGGCACACAAGAAAATTAACGAATAGGGCTGTCATAGTTTTTCGTGGAAAAATTTCGGCCCCTCATAAATTTAGAAAACTATCGCGAACTTTAGCAGGGCTTCCTCTTGTAACGCCAAACGCCATATTGCCCATACTTCTTGACAGCTCCTTTTCTTTTACCTTTACGGAAGAAATCTGTCAAAATGGCGTCCGCCAACCTTCCCGCTATCTTCAATGCCACGAGCCAGGACATCGAGGTCCTCCTGGCAGCTCAGTGCCACATCGGCTCCAAGAACTTGCAGGTTCACATGAACCCATATCTGTGGAAGACTCGCGCCGACGGTGTCAACGTCATCAACATCGGCAAGACCTGGTACGTTTGCTATTTCCGAGTACAGCGTTCCACGAGACGTGCAGCTCGAAGAAGTTGTAGACTTCGAGATGTGAGAGTTGGAGAATCGTGCTGACAGCTGTGTTCAGGGAGAAGATCGTCCTCGCTGCACGCATCATCGCCGCTGTTGACAACCCATCGGATGTCTGCGTTATCTCCGCTCGTCCGTACGGTCAGCGCGCCGTCTTGAAGTTCGCCGCCCACACCGGTGCTCAGGCCATTGCCGGTCGCTTCACTCCCGGTTCGTTCACGAACTACATCACCCGCTCGTTCAAGGAGCCGCGCCTCATTGTGGTGACGGACCCGCGCACCGACGCCCAGGCCATCAAGGAGGCCAGCTACGTCAACATCCCCGTCATCGCCCTGTGCGATACCGACTCGCCGACCGACTTCGTCGACGTTGCCATCCCCACCAACAACAAGGGTCGCCACGCCATTGGTGCCGTTTGGTGGCTGCTGGCCCGTGAGGTCCTCCGTCTGCGCGGTACCATCTTCAACCGCGAGACCCCCTGGGACGTCATGGTGGATCTGTACTTCTGTATGTTTTCTGTCGCCCTCTCGCTCCTGTGACCACTTGACTAACATGCACAGACCGCGACCCTGAGGCTGAGGCCGAGGAGAAGGCCGAGGAGGAGAAGCTCGCAGCCGTCGAGGAGGAGCCCGTTGTTGCCGAGGCCCCTGCCTTCGGTGGTGGCGACTGGGAAGCTGCTCCGGCTGGCTTTGCCGGTGCTACTGGCGCAGCTACGGCCACTGCTACTGCCGGCTGGGACGATGCTGCTCCCAACCAGCAGTGGAGCGCTGAGACCGGTGGTGCCCAGTGGGGTGACGACGCTGCTCCTCCCAAGGAGGGCACTCAGTGGTAAACGCTGTCTCTCTTCGTCGCTCGAAACCGTTTGCTTTCTTGACAGCGTCAATGATGCTCTATGTCAGTGACATCGCTGTCTCTACAAAAGGAAAATAGGAATCTGGGAGAAAGAAGGAGAAAAGAAAAAAATGCGAAAAGAAATAATTCTGGGAAATGTTCTCTTCTTGTGTTTTTATACCGGCGAACGAATTTGTCGGTGGATAGGAGTTCTGTTTTAGCCACACTGATGAGGGAAAGATACTCTCTTTCGACAGAAGTATGACTTGCTGTGTTACTCTCCTGTTGGAGAAGAACGCGGCATGACAGCATGTCTTGAGATGGGAGGGAATGCCCTGTGTGCTGCACAAAAGGAATTGACTTAATCGTGATTCCGCTCTTGTCCACATGTATAGCAATCAAATATCAAACACAAAGAAAAGAATTCAGCCTGACGCTCAATAGTAATGTAAAGCTTTAATTTTACATATGTAGGAATCTTAGTTTAGAAAATAGGAGATGCCCACGTATTGGTATCAGAGACAGGTCATGCCAGAATTGTAAAGCCTATTGAAGCCATCTTGTGACTCTGATTCGACGCTCGGTTGTTATAGTTTAAATATTTATGTTATTATGCTCGTGTGTAATTGGAAGGGAAATTCTAGAGGTCGCTTTGATTACTACAGTCACAAATTCAAATAGCTATCTGACCCTAAAGTAAATATCATTTACTACATTTGAGGATTGGTATGAGTCCTTTAACCTAACCGTCTGCCCTGCCGACAAATATATATACCGTACCTTCTAAATCGCGGTATGGATGGCGAAGACTAGGAATGATCTACGAGACGTTCTAGAAGCCTCCTTGTTAGGTATTCAAAGGTGATTGGAGGATACCGATGTCGAACGCTGTAATCAAATTCAAGATGAAATAAGGCGAGGTCTTCCTAGTCCGGTCATAATATAGCACTATTCCCATGATACGCGGTATGTACACTATATATAGAAAGGTAGACGCAACAAGGGACATGAAGCGGCCCTCGATCTTTTTGGGAGGGTTTTGACCGCGGCTGTACTTTTACCAATGACGAGGGCGTAACGGTATTCCATAACAGAATTTGTTAAAACCCTGCCTTGTTTGAAACATGGCACCTCACCACTCTTATGCGCCTTTGTATCACAGCAATTGGGCTGCAGAGTCGAGATCTACCATACAGCAAGCACCGTGCCCTCCCACATACTACATAGCATAGAAAAAAAGGCCATCACTACTGCTACTGCCTTATATTATTTGCTCTCACTTATGTAAGATATGGCGGCGACCGGTCGCCAAACCGTTGCTAGCTCCTTCCCAGCAACATGAAATATAAAATACTGCCCTCTCGAGGGGAGGAAGCTGATATCTTACCGATGGTCATACCTGATTATTCATCAGTATTTTTCTCGTCTTATCAAGCATACTGCTCCGTACAGTACAGTACATATGTACGGGTACATCCGGTACCTTCACAAGCAAATTCTAGGAAGTGCCTGACTGTATTCCACATATCACATATTCGATGCTTATCAAAATCAATACTCTGCATATACTTTGATTTACTCGTATTGAAAGGTTTACGAGTCACAAAATATCATATGAAAGGTGTTTATTGAGCGCCTTGGCTTCGTTAGTGTCGTTGTTGGGTTGCCTTTCACCATGGCAGCAAAACAGGGGGAAAGAGGTAAAAGGGGCGAATGGGGTGAGAAAAGTAATCCCAGGAGTGGTAGTGGGCGGCGGAAACTGACCGCCTCCCGAATAATCAAACGACACATTGCATCCCACAATTCGGACAGGTTGGCGACGACGGTCTCTTTCGATTTCTCCGTGATACGAGCAGTTGCGTTGTTTCTTATAAAAAAGCGTGGCATATTTTATGAACACGACGCATTGTGGAACGTGGCAGTGATACGCGGAATGTGATTGGCTGCAGATATAGGCTTCTCTGAATGGCACAAGCCAGTCTAGAAGTTTTGTGAACGAGTGTTTGAAGGCTGCAGGTCTGATCTTGCATTTTGCCCCCAAACATTGCACAGCGCTTTGTCGTAGCACGAGATTGTATCGTGTTGCTGGAGGATCTCGATTGGGATAGCAATGCCGAGAGGTGACGAAAGCCGTGCTCAAAAGACATCGGCAGCCAGCAACGGCATTCGCCGGCTCTATTTCTTCAAATGGTTAGGACGATGACGAAATTCAAATGACGATAAGGGCTTGACGCTGTACGAGTACATAGGGAAAGGATGCTCCGTACGGGAGTATGCATCTTATGATGCAGCATACGTCGTAGCGTTAAAACACCAGCCGCTGTGGCAATAATACGGCCGAGTTGCACTGGCCCACAAAACGCTTGGACGGGCGGATAGATTGGCTCATCGATAACGCTGAGCTCAAGCACAGAGGTGGACAAAATACGACAGCGCACTAAGACCGTATTGTGCAAAAGGGCAAACATGGAAATCAACACGGATAAGTAATGTGGCTTGTGTGATGCATTAGTGGACTGGTTGTGTTACAGATTATACGGAGTGCTCGTACGGAGTACGTACTCCGTATAATATTGATTATATCTTACCACTAGCAAGACGGGGCTAACAATATCGTCCGTGTCGAGTAATAACGAAGGCGTATAAGGGGATCCCCGAATTATGTATCTTGCATATTTGTACGGAGTACTCGTAAGATACATACGGCTTTCTGTCTCAGCCGTTCTTTTATGTGGAGTCCTTGTCTGAAAAATGGCTACCCTCGCCCGAAAGGCTGGCACAAGCTCTGACGTACGTCGTAAGCTCGCCGGTGCTTGTTGCTAGGCAAGATACGATCAAAAAGGCATGCACTGGCGTCGTGCAGGCAGTACTTCTGAGCGTGACGGAGTACATGCTTGGAATACCGTTGATTCCATTTTTTGTGGACTACTTCTTGCAATTGCCTGTCTCGTACGAATATGATGTACGATCGTGAGAGACGCGCACACAAGAACATGAAAACCAAGGCAGGCGAAAAAAACAAGCTGATCGGCATCTGGCGATCGGTGGAGCAGGACCGTTCGTGCTATCCACGATACTCCGAAGCCAGAGCCGAAGCGACAAAACAATGGACAGGCAGCACGGAGGCGCCCGAAGGCCGTCAGGTTCGGGAGAAAGGGGGAAGGGGGTCTAAGAAGTCGGAACACACTGATTAGGCAAAGGAGCGAGAAAGGAAATGCATATGTAGCATGAGCAATTTTTCCAGTGCAGGTTGTCGGTGTCTCTGTTGTACTATTTGCATAGCATTCTGGCGCGTGCGGCGGCTAGCCCAATATTCCCAATGAAACCCTGGTTGCCCAATGAGGAGTGGCTGGAGCCCGACTGAGCAGCAGTGGCTGTTCGCAATAATGCAGAGGAAATAAATTGGCCACTCAGGTCGTGCCGGAGCAATGCGCGATACTATGTACGATACGAGTAAGCGTGAGGTTGCTCACGTGTGAGTTTGCTCGAAAGGGGTTTGCGACCGTACAGTATTCCCCATGAGCCGCCATCGTATGCATTGAAACCTCTTTAAGAAGGTAGGCCTTGTTTCTTTTTCTGCAAAATGTGAACCGACACAAAACGTGCGTACCACCTGTGCATTCATTCCTCAAAGCTTCTCTGGATCGCGGCCCACCTGGTGGCTGGACTTCCATGCCGCGAGCAGGGCTGGCTTGTCTTGAACGGTCTTTACCGGTGAGGAAGCCCAAGCGGAGACAGGTTTACGAGTACTCCGTACGGCTTCTCCCTATCATGCGAGGTGTCTCTGCTTAGCTTACGGCTTACGGCGGCCTTTCCCCCTAACGTTTTAGGGAGCAAAGGGAGTACGATTGGAAGACACAAGAAAGACAGGGACCTGAAACTTGGGTGTGGACAAGGGATCCGGGATGGTCACTGTCCCGTCGCTAGCAAGCCGCCGGATGCGGTCCATCGTGTCTTGCCTGCATGGAGCTCCGTGTCTTTTCTTGTTTTCCTCTGCCTCATTGTTGTGTCTCCCGCCAATTCGCGTCGCTCACGATGCAACAGTCCGCGTGCAGCCCCATCCTGGTTGGTGCCACGAAACCTGACAGGTTCCGTTTTTCCTTCACAGCCGGCGCCGCATATCTCACGAAGCACATACCACTATTTCTCTCCAAGCGAGCGATGGGTCTGCTTAGCGGACAGAAGTAAGATGTAGTGTAAGCGGCTGTTCCTGCCCTGTGTCGCAGCTTCCTCAGGCTTACTCGTGATACAGTGCCCAGCCATGAGGGGGACCCCAATCAATACTCTGTAAAGCACGGTCCCGTTGACTGCAGGAAGCCTCTTCCCCAAAGAGAAGGCAGGAGCGACAGATGGGTGCGAAATTGCAAGAAGCATGGATGAAACCTGGCGATGCACTTGCTCACTCCGCCGTCGCAGCCCAACAACGTAATGGGAACGTGGTGCGCCCCCAGCTGGACATCTGAATGCGGGGGAGGCTGCTAGTCGGCCCCTGTCTCTCCAACATGCATGCCCTCTCGTACTCTTTTTTTCCATCTCACGAGGCCTTGTGCTCACCGGTGGTACTAGAGGCGGTGGAACACGTTGAGAACTCTCCGGAGGGCATGCTCGTATGCCGGCTGTCCGTTGGCTGGCTAGCTACGGAATAAGCAAGGGCCGTCCCGGGCTTCGACACGCTGGGGATCTGCTCGTACGAGCACGCATCTTCCGTGTGCTGCTGTCGACAGGGTGCCTTGAGCCGGCGCCAAGGTGCTGTGCACGAAACGATTGTGGGCTGACAGGTGATGATCGAGAAACGGGAGCAAGAAGAAACGGACGGCGTGGCCTGAGAATGAGACGGCCCTGATCTTGGCTGGCGTTTGCGTTTGGTTCGGTGCTGCGAAAGAAAAAAAAAAGACGGTGTTTGTTGCACTACTAGCAGTGTGTCGAACAGGCCGAAGGAACTAGCCATATGCCATCCAACAATCGGTCCACAAAGGAAGAGAGAGACCACTTTGTGAAGATAGGGACAAAGTGGAGGGTAGATATAACCTGTGATTGGCTCGCCAGAGAGTGGGGTTTCTGCTGCATGCTGCAGGGCCGACCTACGAGTGCTCCGTATGTCGTCTGCAACCAAGGAAAAGTGGACAGGGGAGTAGTGGCTCTTTGGGTATCAGTACAAGTGGAGGCAGACACGGCTGGTGCTCGCCAGGTTCTTCTCATTGTGTCCTCTGCATTTCCCTACGGAGAAATTGCGCCTCTGGGACTCTCTTCGAGATCGTCACTTTGGGACATCTTCATGATGTCGCCTCGTCGCAACTCTGGTTATCTCTCTTTGTCTCACGTTAGCAGGCGGGTGGCGAGATTCGTGGCCGCCACCGCTGCCACACGGCGGATACCGCTTGGATGTACGAGCCACTTGAGAGTAAGATGCGTATCTTACGTTCAGTATCTCGCCTATGCCAAGGCGACCGACTCAACCGGATTTGTTTCGATGATCTTCTGCCGCCCTGGCCTCACTTTATTGAGTGGCGCTGTGATGGAAAAACCAGCCGGCACAGCCAGTACGAGATACGGCCTGCCAAGGCTTTGCGACCTGGTTTGCGACCTGGTGTGACAGTGGTCGTCTTGTTTTTCCCCTTTGGCAGCATCATTATCACTCCGCGTCCTTCGACTCGTACGCTTTGCGTTAATCCTCTTTCCCCTCACAGCTTAGCATCTCCCCGCAGCAGTCGTATCTTACGTACTGGTTGTCGCCCTGCTCGCTCTTCGTGCACACCCGTCCGGTCCAGACGTCTGTACTATTATGTACTCCGTAATCAGTCGTAAATACGCAAAGCCGCTTGTTGTCACATTTTTAATTTCAAGACCAGATTCAGACCATCGGCCAATAGACTTCACCGCCGGTGACTGGGGGATAGAGCGATAAGCACAGTAGCTCGCCACAGCCCCTCCCCCTATCCAACACTGTACTATTAGCTACTTGCAGCCTCCAGACTGGCCGGCTAGGGGGCCAATCGCTGTGCGAAAGCAGCAGAGATAGCGCGGCGCAGGGAGTACCAGGTACACCCGCTGGCGAAATATGACCACGCCCCTCTGCTGCAGACCTGGTTCTGCCTGTCGTTTTGGTCTGGCCGCTGCTCCGTGCGCCAGATGTGGAGCCTTCTCATCCATGTCTTGCCTCTCTTCCCACACCCTGGCCGATCTTGCTGATGTCAACCCCCCCCTCTTCCTTCTTTTTTTTTTTCCCTCGGACAAGTATCGACTGGTCGGGCTAGGAAAAAGAGCAAAAAGCAATCCCAGCGCACGCTCACTCACTCGAACCTCCTTCATTGTCTCTTTTCGGTCGTTGCAAGACCCCTTTTTTTCGACAAGGCCTCGTCTTCAAACCTGGACTGTTTTTCCCGCCCTTTGCTCTGCACTACTACCCTGCGGGCAGAGCTATACACGCATCTGGATTGGTCCAGCTAAGAAACCACCGTTCCTTTACCGTATCGAAGCCCCCACTAGAAATGGGCCAGAGAGAAAAAGGGAAGCCTGAACAGTCTCCGCCGCTTTTCTCCCGCCATAGTACTCGTACCAAGCCCAAGTTCACGATCCTTTCTCATTCTTTTCTCCTTTTCCTCTTCATCTGCTTCGTCTCGTCGCCCAACGCCAACTGCAACTACCACGTAGCGTCACCGGCTATTGCGACTCTGTGCATCACCAACGCCGTGAAGGTTGCATAACCTGATTCCTCACTCGCCGGCAATTCCGCCCGTTTGCTCAATAATCCAGCCGCCCGAGAATCGCCTTGGCCTGCTTTCATCCGAGAACGCCACCGACCAAGATGGGGCTGTAGCCTCGCTAGACATCGCTAAATTTTCATTCGAGACCCCCCGGAGTCCTCTTCTGTCTTCTCTTCTCTGTTTCTGCCGGCAGTTTCTCTTTCCTTTCTTGCAACAACAGCAGACGACTTCTATATTGCAATCTGACGACATCGAATCACCCCAGCTTTGCCACCTGGCCCTGACCTGTCAATGTCCCGCCGTCGATAGCCTTCCACTATGTTGACAGATACTCTGCATCTTCGAACTGCCCGGCAACTACCACAGTGTCGAAATGGAGCCGCAGCATCCCCATCCATCTCGCCCTCATTATCCTCACCTACTTAACCTGCACCCCGCCACATCCGTCTCTTCCCCCTCCTCTCCTCAGCCCACCCTGAACCGAACCGGCGGCAACACGCCCGTATCCTCGCCCGGTGTATACCGCCTGGCCAACTGTTCCACTCCTCCGATCATGGCCTCGTCAATGGCCGCGCTGTCGGAGAGCGCTCCCCCTACTCCTGCCCGTCCCTACATTGACCCGTCTTATACTTTCCCACTAAAGCCAGTGCGAGAGTGAGTATCATCTTGTTCTCGTCTTTGCGAGACCTGCCTGTTCTGCCGTCTCATTGTTTGTCTTATTAACCTGCTCCAGGACACATACAGCCTACGTCGAGCGTGACTTTGCCACTGGCCGGAAGACAATCAATGAGTACCAGGTCATCGAAGAGATTGGCCGCGGCCAACACGGCAAGGTCAAGTTGGCCAGCGACAGCTCCAACAATCACATGGTAGCCATCAAAATCATTCCTCGTCTCTCCAAGACCCGGCGTCTCGGCAAGGTCTCTGCTGCCGACCCCCAGCAGAACACGAAACGCGAGATTGCCATTTTGAAGAAGATTCGGCACGAGAACGTCGTCGCTCTCCTAGAGGTCATCGACGACCCAGAACTACAAAAAATCTACATGGTCCTCGAACACGTCGAGCGCGGAGAGATTGTCTGGAGGAAAAAGGGCTTGCCCAACATCTGCTACTTTGAGCGCTACCGCATCGAGAAGGGAATGCATGGCCAAGTGCTGCCTCCCGGCGAGCATACCTGGTCTGACGTGGTTGACCGAAAAGCGACGCTTCGAGCACTCCGAGAGGCAAGCGCCAAGAACCTCCCGGCTCCGGTGAATCGGTGGACCACGCAGTTCGGTGTCACCGTCAATGATGACGACGACGGACAGCTGCCCTGGTGGTTCGTTGCTGATACCAGCGCTGAGCTCGACCCTCCTCCCTTGGCCTCTCCGGCCACGTCTCGAGACACTTCCCGCGGGCCGTCACGCGTGGCCTCATCCACATCGGTGATGAGTGTTCCCACGCCTGCGTCGTACGACTCCGAGCCGTCGCCACTGTCGATGATGGTACAGGACGGCGATTCGGGGGCAGCGACGCCAAGTCTGTTACACCCCAACCATGCGGCAGCCTCTGCGCTGGAAGGAAGCATGTATGGGCCCTACACCGATGACTCTGCCGGTATCCGCCGGCGGTCGCCCAGCATGGCCGAGTCGATCTTCTCTCACATGTCCAGCCTTGATTTTAACGCTGTTGTGCATGACCCATACGCCGACGACTTTTCTTACGTGCCCTGCTTTAGCATCGAGCAGGCACGGTCCACCTTTCGTGATACCGTACTGGGACTCGAGTATCTGCATTACCATGGAGTCGTCCATCGAGACATCAAGCCTGCGAATCTGCTTTGGACGAAAAAATTCCGCGTGAAGATTTCCGACTTTGGTGTGTCATACTTTGGACGGCCTATTCGAGACGGAGAGCAAGACGTCTCCGTGTCAGAGGCTGAGGCTCTCAACTTCGACGATGACCGCGAGCTTTCGAAGACTGTCGGCACCCCGGCTTTCTTTGCGCCTGAACTGTGCTACACCGATCTCGACCAAGAGCCACCTAGAGTGTCAGAGCAGATAGATGTCTGGTCGCTCGGTGTAACGCTGTACTGCCTCATCTTTGCCCGCATCCCGTTCCTGGCGGAAGACGAGTTCTCCATGTTCCGAAAGATCGCTACAGAAGAGCCTTTTATCCCAACCAGCCGGCTGAGGCCGGTGGGAATCTTCACTGATCCGACCGGATCGTCGCTATACCAGAGGACAAACACGCTTCCGTACCGAAACGATGCCGCCCCGGAATACGAAGAACTCAGCGAGTCGCTCCTGGACCTATTGAGGAAGATGCTGATCAAAAACCCAGACCAGAGGATTCGGCTTCGTGACGTGAAGCGCCACAGATGGGTCACCGAAGATATTGACAATGTTGATGCCTGGCTCGAGACTACGGACCCGGCCAGAAGCCAGGAGCGGAGTATCCAGGTTGACGACGCAGAAATCGGCGAAGCCGTCGTCCCTCTCAGTTTGCTTCAGCGCGCCACCTCCGCAGTGAAACGTGTTTATGGCAAGGTCATCCACAGCCGATCCGAACGCGACGATAGCATAGCGATGACTTCACGGCGCCGGGCGAACAGCTCGGTTGCCAGCTCCATCGGCGAAGCGCCTGTGTCACCGCTCCCCATCTTTGGCGGTACTGCGACAGGTAGCAGCACTGTTCTCGGCCATAGCCACAGTCATGGCCACGGTCACGGTCACGGCCACAGTCTTGGTCACAGCCATAGCCATAGTCACAGCCGCAGCCACAGCCACCATTTCCACCTCCACTCGGGCGGTCATACACGAGACGAACGCCGGCCAAGTTTGCGTGGTGACGACTACCTTGCCACGGTCACCCAGATGCCAAGCGAGCACCCGTTGTCCCATAGCGTCACTGCCAGCCCGTACGGTTCGCCAGGCGAGATTACCCCGAGTTCCGAGTCTGCACAGCGGCTGATGTCTGCAGAGGCGCCAACGACGACTGTCCGACCAGAGACACCAGGTCTGCAACATTCCGACTCTTTTGTCGACGGAGCCGTCGATGACTCGTCCTCCAGCAGCTCCCCGTTGTCGATGGTGCGCCATACGCACTCACGGTCCATCACCAATGCAATCCTGAGCCGCGACTCGATCTTGCGGGAGATTTTTAGTAGTCATGCGACACCCTCTCCTGCCGACGCTAGCGCGGGCTCGAGCGTTGCGCCTAGTGTTGCCACAGTTGTTCGGCGAGCGAGAGAGGTTCGCTCGGCTACTGATGTCGGTTTCCGGGCCCGATCTGTTGACCGCGCTGGCATCGTCTTCTCGAACTCGGACCAACGAGCCAGTCCCGTGGTTGGGCTGAACACAGAAGTTGCGCCAGGAAGCCTTCAGCGGCTCGATACGACCAAGCTTGCACTTCCTTCGGCATCTGGGTCTCCTCTGCCATCTCCCCAATTTTTCTCCCCAGGCGCCATCGCCGCGTACTATCAAAGCGACTCTGAGTCCAATGTTCAGGCTGGCCGGCTTGCACATGCCACTCCAGGCGAGAGGCCCGCAACAGCTCATCGGGTTCAGGTCGTTTCGGGAATACTACCTGATAGGGCCACCCGCAGTGCATCGAACAGTGTGTCTGTGGTCCAACAGCCCAGCAATGCCAGTGCCGCACCTGTCACGCCTGCCACACCTGTCACGCCTGCCACACCTGTCACACCTGTCAAAAAAGTGACACCTGTCTCGCAAGAGCCTCTGACACAATTGAAGCAAACTGGAGCTATTGCATCACCATCACCAAAACGATTTGCCTCTGATTGGGAGGAGGCGAAGGATGCGATTGGCGACGGCAGCACACTCGAATACGAGAGCAATACGGTGGCTTCGTCCAGCTGTGCATCTATTGGGGCGCTGAGCCACACCAGTCCTTTCACAAGCCCAGGCGATGCAATGGGCCCGTCATCGTCGACGAGCATGCTGGAACCAGGTAAAGATTGTCCCAATCACATGCTGGCGTTCCAGTCTGATCCGTCACTCCCTGCGCTCCTGAGCGGAGCCAGCTCTGTGTCAGCTGATATGGAAGGTGACTTTTTGGGCGATCCTGGGGTTGTCAATAGGCAGTCTTTGATTGATGCCGACCCATTCACACCGCCGGCGCTGGAGAAGACGGGGGCGATGTACGGCTCGGAACACATTCCGGTGGCAGGATTGAAAGATCAGCAAGAATGGGGCAGCGGAGGTGCGATACCGGTGGAGCTCGACCCCCACACGGCAAGAAGCACGCCGGCGGCGCCTCGTTCTAGGTCGCGACGAGTCAGTGTGGATGACGAAGATCAGGACAGCGATAGCGACGGTGGCCTGACGATGGCCAAGCCACGAAGGAGGGGACTCACGACGTCCCGAGAACAAGCGCCTTCCACGTTTGCACATGGCGGACGAGTGCAGCTGGCGCGGCGCCGAGACACAAACACCAGCATCGAGAGCACAGAGACGGCGAAGAAGGTGCCTGTGCATTACGACTAGTGTGGACAGCTTTCTTCTCCTTCCGTGCAGCTGCGATGTGGCAAATGCGAAGGAGGGGATGTGCATTCAGCTGCATGCATGAGCGGCACAAGCAGCACTAGCTCATGCAGCATACGGTACAGTTACCGAACCGTATTTTCTTGATACCACCACCTGATAGACATTGCATCGGCGGCTACTTGTTTTTTTTATCATGAAGCATGCATTATTGCGTCTGTTATGTGCAAAGCCATCCACACGACGGCGGAGAGACACTGCCAAGAGGGCTGGTCTTTCCTTTTTCTTTTTCTTTTTCTTTTTCTTTTTCTTTTTCTTTTTTCTTTTTTCTTTTTTCTTTTTTCTTTTTTCTTTTTTCTCTTTTCTCTTTTCTCTTTCTGGGTTCTGTTTATTTTGTTCTTCGCTTAATTCAGTGGAAGGATCGAGTACAGCAAGTGTATAGCGTTCTTGGATATACTACAAAGCACTGCTTATGTGTCTGGGGACGCTGCTTTCTTTTCCATTTTTTCTCTTCTTTTTTTTTTTTGGATATATGTGAGATGGAGTGAAACGATACGGACGTGGTTTTATGAAGTCGTCGTTGGCTGGATAGGAAGGTATAATATCCCACATCCTTCTGTATATGTATGTATCTTGGGCTCGTGGCGAACGGACCAAAGGCGTTAAATACCACTTGGAACATCATGTGACAGACACTACTGAGTATACTGCCGTGTGTGCTAGCCGAGCCGTGTTTGTTGCTTTCGTCGCATTGAGTGATAGAGGAGAGTGCCACTAACAGCGGCGATTCCAATTTGGGAGATTCCGACAACGACCAAATTAGGTCGACGATCGCGAGAGCAACGTTTCGAGCTCTCGGCTCCCTTCACGCCATTCTGCCAGAAGTATCACGACTCTCACACACTTACAAAGAAACACGCACTTGGTTGTCGCACGACTAGTCTCCTTGACAGCGGCTGCTCGGTGCCGCGATGCTGCGATGCTGCTGACTCATCGCCCTATGACAGTACACGATGCTGACTCATCCTTGCCAACTGCGACACATGGACGGCGGCGTAAGGCGTCTGGAATTGCGACCAAATCGCTGTCGACCGCTTGCACGTCGGTCTGTTTCACCACCGACGGCGGCAAGCGTGCCATGGGGCTTCTGCCTTTTAATGGACGTCGGCGTCCTGGGCCAGAAGCGAACTTGATTCTGGGCTTCTAGCTGAGCTTCACGTTCCGGGTGCTTGTGCTGTAGGGCTCTACATGGCGCGATCACGTGCAAGAAAACGGTCTGCCCATCAGTAACGAAGGACGGCGTTGGTAATGTAAACGTAGTTCTGTCTATCTGGTATATAATTACAGCACGTTGCAGCAAGTGCCTATGGATTCGTACAAGGGACACCTGTCCCCATTTCCGGTGGTCCACCTGTCGGTAAACGTGCAACATATTGGAATACAGTGTGCTTGCAGAAGCATAGTAGAACGGACGACAGAAATAGTCCGTGATAATCTGGATAGGTCTGGCTGAGACCTTCTTACTGGCCATACTTGATGATTGGAAACTTTGCTCGACCCGCAAATAGCTCCATGTTTTCTTTCTCTCCGCTGAGCACCCGCTCCAGCTCCAGTCCAAATTCAAGAGTGCTGCGCATTGGCTCCTGTGGCACTCTCGTTGGACAGTTCCAGGTCATATACTTGGACGATGCCAAAGACGTGCCAGGCTTCTTCACAACATGCGCACTATCACTCTTGATAGAGATGGCATCTCCGCGAATAGCCTTAGGTTCGGGGACCGGGGCTGTGTCCACGGAGGACTTGCCGCTCTGCTGGTTAGTGTCAGGCTCACAGCTCTCGGAACCCCCGCTGGACTTGGCTATTCTCTTCGTAGCAGCCATGGCCGTGTTCTCGGAAAAGTTGGTGATAATATATGCGCGAACCTCTGCGTAAGCGTTGGAGACTGGCGTCGATGGGGCTGTCAGAGGGGGCCAAGACTTGTCTGCCACAACACCCATGTTGACGTTTACCGGCGTCTGTCTTCCCTTGTCTTGACTATTGTCCGCGCTGATCAATACACCGAAAACGCTGTCAATATCGCTTATCATATCTTCTTGGCTCCGGTTGGGACAAGTTGACATGGAAGCCTCTGACAGCCGGCGCTCAATTCTTGGCAATTCCGTTTCTGGCCCAGGTGGAGGCAGCTTGACCGGCAAGGTATCGACGCTCTCATCCATGACGTTAAAATGTGGCTGTAGAACGCCATCCGGGACATGTGCATCAAGCTTTTGAGATGAATACGTAGGAACGGAGTCATCCTGCGTCTGGGTCACGCTGACGCTCTGTCTTCGCGGCATGATCTTGTTGAGGCCCATTTTGAAAACCTTTTCGAAACTGGCTGACATCACCCTCGATGAAAGAAACATGAGCCCGCCTTGCTCATTGACAGACTTCTCCGACGCTACAATTATGTCGGCTTTGTCTAGAGTGTTCACGGACAGTGGCTGGGCTTCGAGAACCCCATCAGGGGAAGACGTGTTGGCACCAGTGGCATGCTTGGGCTCAGTCGGCATGTCTGGTACTGCGTTCCACCAAGATTCCGGAAAGCCCCGGGTGTCGACGGATCTACTCCGCATATGTCCTGATGGTGCGGTAGGCTGCAAATCTTCATCTAATTCGATGTCTTTTAAGGCTTTCGATCCACCAAGTCCTGAGTTTGGAGTTAGCTTCAATGTATTGCAGTAACACAACTGACGAGGCCACTTACGGCTGAGAGAGCGGAACTGGAATGGAAATCCCGTGCTTCTTCTTCGTGAAATTGCCTCTGAGAAGCTTTTGCTATCGTCGTCACTCACATTCAGCGGGGGGAAATCCCTACAAGTCGTCCAGCTCTGACTGTCTTTTCTTGATTTCAGGGATCTCCCTCCATCTACAATAGAGTTCAGCTCCACAACTGGAGATGGCAAGTTGAGTGTGCTTATGTGAGATGCCACCGACGGGCCGCTCCTGTGCTCCCCATTTTGAATATGCGTGCTGGCTGCCGTACAAAGGTGGCAGGATGAACGTGACTCTGGGCCGTCTGAGAGCATTGGCTGTTGCCCTTTTCCGCAGCTGCCACATATGCATAGGGTGGGACTGCTAGGCTTGCTCGCTGCAACGATATGCGCTTCGTGAGCCTCATGGATGCTTCCGTCCTCATCATACGACCCCAGCGACTCAGAAACATAGCTGACGTGGCGAGAAGTAGGTTTGTGTTCAGGACAGGCAGTTCTGGTGTTCTCCACATGAACGGTAGAAAATGTTCCATTGGCATTTCCAATCGCACGTTGGTCCGAAGAAACAGTTGTATTCTTACGAGAATCATCCAGGGAGGCGCCGCCCAGCAGGGACACGAAACAGCTTTCACAACCGATTGATGGTCTCTTCCTAGTAACACCTAGGGACTCGCTAATTTGGTCGACTGGTTGCAAAGGCGATACGGCCGTTTCTTCGTCCAGTGCAGCGACTTCCGAGCTTTGTCGGGATCGAACTGTCACCAACGTGGCCTTTCCCCAGCGTTTCTCCCCCACAGCTCCACGGATCCGGCTTCGGATTCTGAAGCCCCGAGGCAAAGAAATTCTAGACCGGGATTTCAGCTGGAATGTGCGTGGCAAGTTGGTTTCCTCAGGAAATAGAGGAGTTCCTCCGTCTGCTTTTTGGAGGAAATCAGCCTGGATATGACTGCAGCCAAAACTGGTGTTTTCGATAACCACATGCTGGCCGTCTCGTTGAGTGGCTCTGTTGCAAGAGTTCTTGGCATTGCGACTGGGGCCTCCATACGAGCTAGCCACATCTGAAGGATCCTCCCTGATGGTTGACATAGCGACTCTTCGATGCGAGTGCGTTGGTGGGGGATGCTGTTCTTTCTGGAGCTCTTCTTGGATCATTTTGTGCGCTATGCGGCGCACCTCTGCTCTTCGGGCCATAGCAGCAAAGTCATCCTCATCACTGGCGACACTTAGAGCACGACTGCGGGTGGATTCGGAAGAGGGAAAATGCCGTAGTGCTTCCATATGGGTTTTCAGCAAGCTCAGAGGGCTCGAGGCGGACCCCTTGATGCTGTTACATGCACTCCTGGAAATTGCCGGCCCGGCGGAAGTTGAGACGGTGCCGGCACTTGTCATATGAGGCACTCCATCGTCGCTGTCGGTATCGTTGTCCACAAGTCCCTCGAGTCCGGGAATCTTGGGGATCAGATAGGCTGGGCGGGACTGTCTGGGGTCGGCACAGGAATGAAAATCGGACAAGATGGGCGCAGAAGACTCTGCAAGAAGATGCGGAGCGGGTAGACGCGGTGCTCTGGTGGGAGAAGCAGCTGCGGGTGACGTTGCAGAGGACCGGCTGTGAAGGGACGATCCCTCCCGGGGCTCTTTGCTACAGAAACAAAACATGACTAGTGCGACCTTGTTATGACGGGATAAAGAAGAGATGGATGCATGCAGACCGGCTTCTTGGCCAAAATGCCAGTTTGCTGGAAGTCGAACGTTAATAGAGAAGCTGCCTCGCTGCCAATAATGAGGTAGATGAACCGGTTGAAAGGCCAAAAGAGATTTTGGGTCACGATAGTTGGGGGGGGGAAGAGGGGAGGATGCGTCATAAACGAACGCAGGGCGATGGGCTTGCCTCGCTCCTTCCAGGTTCGGACACAGACAACCTGGCTACGAAAGTCCCCTGCACCTTCCATCACAGTCGAGGGAAGCGCGCATGGACAATTATAAATCGTCATTTCTATCTCACATGCACGAAAATGGAAAGAGAAAGGCTGAGCTGGGACAGAAGGCACGCCCGTCCGGGACGTTTTATTATTTTCACAAGGCTTAACATGCAACACGTGACGAGGCCCTTTTACGCCGAGGATCACGTCTCCTCCCACGAGTAATCGGCCCAGAGATTGCCGAGACTCAAGCCCATGAGCTCGACGTTGAACTCGGAGTTCAAGCCCTGGGGTATTTGAATTTGCTATGGAAATTGTTAGTGAGACGCAGCGCGGGCGGACTGTGGGAGGAGACGGCGACATACCGAAGCATCTGCATTGGGATTGGCCATGCTGGCCATGTTGGCCATGTTGGCCATCCACCAAGCAGTCGTCGGCTGGATTGCATCCGGGCCCATACCGATGCCGCCGCCTTGACTAGATCCCTGTGACATGGAAAAGAAAGGGGCAGTCGGCTGCGGGAGCGAAGAGGGCGTTAGCATGTCTGCGTTGCTGCGACCATGATGGACGGAACTGACTTTTGGCCGGTCCAGCACCTCGTTTCCCAGGATGCCCATGGTCATCTTTGCCGGAGGGGCGAGCAGCGACTGTGGCAACTGTGGCTGCAAAAGTGGTGGTGCCTGGCGCTGTTCGTGCCGTTCCGGTTCATCCTGCTGGTCCTGCTGCTGCTGTTGCGGGCCATCTTGGCGCACCAGCAGCTTGCAGTGCAGGTTGACGAAGCGCTCGGCAGACGAGGCCTTGGCAGCCTCGGGGGTCTTCTGGCCGAGATGGGCCTCCAGTAGGCCGGTGGCAGCGCACATGATGGAGTAGCCCCACGGCTCGTTATTGCCGCAACGGAGCACGCGGTCCTCCTTCATGGCCAGGCACTTTTCAAGCAGCCTCATGGTATGCTGCGAGTTGACCATGATCATATTGGTAGAGCCTAGGGGAGGGGAGAAGGATGAGTCAGCAACGAACCTCAAGGGGGTGAAATGGGGTCAGACGTACCTCTAGGCTGGAGCATGGTGACGCTGCAGAGGTTGATGGATAGCGTCAGGGCGTCCTCGCGCATGAAGTTGAGGGTGCGGACACCCTGCTCGGCCAGCTTATCGTGCAGCAGGACCATGTCGCGGGCAGCGTTGTAGTAGATGATCTCGGAGTACTGGTACTTGGAGTTGGTCTTGCGCAGCTTCAGATACGGCTGATGCAGCGGGATGATGTACTGGCGCAGCTGGATGTGCAGGAGGGTGTAGGCCAGCAGGGGGGTTAGGTGGGCGGCAGTGAGGATATCGCGGTCGGGGCTGGCCTTGGCCTGCGACTCGGCAATGGCACGGACGTCCCACGAGGGCAATGCATCGATTTCCTGGGTGATGTCGTTAGTGTAGCGGATCACCTGGTCGTAATCGAGGTCGTCGGGCGGGCCGGTGAGCACGCGGCTGAGCTGCAGACGCAATTCGAGGCTCTGACGGCTGAGGTGCTGATAGGACGAGAAGGTATACTCGTCGGGTGGTCGAGAGGGCGGCAGCACGGTCGAGTCCTCGTCAAAGTCCTCGTCGGCGAGATTGCGCGGCGAATGGACGTCGAAGCGGAGGGCGCTCAGCAGAGTGGGTAGGCCGTGATCAAAGGAGGCCTGCATGTCGAATTCCTGGATGGTCGACCAGATACGCCGACGCATTTCCTGGTTGTAGGCCGACACGTTCTCGTGGATGTGGCTGGGGTCCCGATGCAGGCCGACCGAGACGGCATCCTGGACCAGCGCACCCGACGCCTTCCAGAAGCGCTTCTTCTTGACCGTGTTGACGCGCTTGGCCAGATAGACGAGACAGGCGACCTGGTAGTGCACCAGCTTGCGGTGCTTTTGGCTCTGGCGCTGGCTCCAGGCCTCGCAGGCCGCGATCCACTGCTCGGCCATGTAGTGTGACTGTGACACCAGACCGACGAACCGGCCGGTCGGATTGCCGCGCAGACAGCTCGAGATGGCCATCATCGACAGCAGCAGCGCCGTAAAGGCCGACGGCCGGGTCTTCTGGCCGTCCCAAAACGACGCGTAGTCGCGCCGGAAACTGGGAATGTGCATGATGCGGTGCACCTGCTCGAACTGGTTGAGGTAGATGTCCACTAGCACGTCTGTCTCGTCACGTGATGGCAACAGTGCCTCCAGTTCGGCATCCGGCCGTGCAAACATGTCTTCGCGCTCGTGCATCCGTTTCGCCCGGTCCTTGCTCTTGAAGTGGTGCACATGCAGCGGCCGCAGCCACTCTTCGGCCGTCTCCTTCATGAACGGACAGAGGCCAGTCAGCTCGCTAAACGCCATGCACGCGTTGTGCGGCCCAAAGTAGCGCGTCTTGAACTCCTTGCCGCGGAAGAAGCGCAGCTCGTCGCCCACCTGCGTCGTGGCCGCGCCGCCCGACCCGTAGATGTGCTCGACAAATGTCGACGGCGGCGACTGGCCCGCGTTCCCGTCACCCTTGTCGGCCGGCGAGTCGTCATCGTGCACCGTCGTGCTGCCGTCGGACAGCGCTGCCGTCTTGGCCTTGCTGCCCTCGTTCTTGTCTTTGTCTGACTGCGTCAGCATGGCTCGCAGCTGGGCCACCTCGAGCTCGAGCCGCCGGATCCGGTCGCTGCCACCGCCCACAACGTCGGCATGATGCTGTGTTGAGCTTGATGGCGTGCCGGCCGACCGGTGCGAGTCTCGACGGTATGGCGGGATCATGCCGCCGTCACCAATGGCTGCGTAGGCCGCCAGCCGCGAGTCAAAGTTGGTCAGCGCGCCCTGCGACAGCCCGTTCTTGGCCGGCGGCGCCAGTCCTGGCCGCGTCTCGTACGTGCATCGCTCTGGCGTGCCCGACTTGATGCAGCGCTCGCACGGGAAGCCCCGGTCGCATGATAGCTTCCGGCGTCGGCACTCCAGACAGGACAGCCGCACGCGCTGCCGCTTGCGTGCCGGCTGCTCGCTGCCGTTCCCGTCGTCGTGCCCGTCGTCGTCCTGCAGGTCCTCGCTCCTGTCTCGGTCTCCGACGGCTGACTGCTCGGCGACTGGCGTCGAGGATCCACTCTTGCTGTGCTCAGAGGGCATTCTTCTCCCGATGGCCCGAAAGCGTGAGCCAGTAACGACTGAGAGGAGCTGTCACACAGCCTTGTCTCCTGGTCTTCCTCGCCGTGTAATAGGTCGTACGTCGTATGTGCTGTCTGCAATCCCCACTTGCCACCAGACCGTCCTTGTCTGTGCCGTCTGTGTCGTCGTTGCGCTTGTGCTTCGGTAGTCGGAGCGCCACAAAGACAGGGAGCACAGGGTGAATGCATATGAAATCAACGTCTTGAATCTCATACCGTGTGGCCCCTGTAGACTGTAATCAGAGCGACAATGACGCAGCGTGCCCAGCATCGGCAGCATCAGCTGCAAATGTCGATATGCTGGAAAACTTCGTATGCGGATGGTTCTCGGAGTTACGAGCACTCTCGTAAGCCGATGCGGCTAGACGGCACAGTTCTTCTGAACTGACCCCGATACTAGCATTAGCGCAAGGCTCTACGGAGTACGGCTCTAAATGCATACCTCGTCCACAGTCTGGGGTCGTGTGCTTTGCCTCCGCATGCTAGCACGCAAGGATGGATTGCCTGAACGGGTGATAGGCAAAACGTCACCCAGTCGTCAGTCCTCACTCGTCAGCCGTCAGCCGTCAGATTGCCTGCATGAACATCTGCAGAACAGAAACTAGTGCCATAGACCCACTTTTAATACATTCACAACGACGCGTCTTGCAAAATACATAGCAGCCGCGTCGCCATAGTTCGCCGTCTTCATCCACGAGCAGATGGCCCGGCCAGGCAGCAAATAATGCTAACGGGTCCCCGTCACAAGAACTGATATGCGGCGCGCGCACGAGCAGACTGACTACGGATAGCGTCTGAACCCCAACTGGCCTCTCGCACAATGGCCCGGATATCAATTCCCGTCGCTTCGCGATTATCGTCGTCACTTCGCATCAGTCCCTCGAACCCAGTCGTCACGCGCATCCTCGGCCGCCTGTCGCGGCCGTCACTTCTGTCGCTGGTGCTCGACTGGCTGGCTGATGGGAACCAGGCCCTGACCGGGCCGTATCTGCGACAGCAGCCGGGCGAGGCCGACTACAACGACGACGATGACGACTTCTACCCGCCAGCAGCCTCGCTGGAGGCACTGCGCGAACACTACAGCAACGTCCAGCTGCGCAAGGGATCTAAGCGCGAGGTGCTCGACCGCGTTCTTGAGGGCGACTGGCGTCACGGCGTCAGCATGTACCAGCTGGCCATGGCCGACGTCCAGTATCTCTACGACCATCCGACGAGCCAGAAATGGACGGCTTTTCGGATCGTGCCCATGAAGCCGCAGCTGCCGGATGTCGACGACGGCAGCGACAGCGCCACAGCTGCTGCAGCCTCAGCCATCGTCGACACAGAAGCGCTGGTCGTGCCGCGCTTCCACCCGTCAACCTTTTTGCGCAACCTCCAGGCCCAGATCCTGCCGGACGTCAAGGTGCACTACAATTTTGATCGCCACAAGCACCTGCCGCTGCTTCTTCTCCGCATATTCATCCTCGATTCCCCCTACAATACCGCGCGGGCCGTCGTCGATGGAGGCACCTCCGCCGCCAGCCTTGCCACCGTTGAAGCCTCCCGGACCGTCTACGTCGCCTTTCCCGACGCGTCTCCCTTTGTCTACCTGTCGAGCTCACAGACCAGCGAGCAGCAGACAGGACCCGGTGCCGGCGTCGGTGCTGCGGCGCCTCCCCCCACGGCCCGCGAAACAAGGGGCCTGCGCAACCTAGTCGTCGAGGCCATCCCCAAGGCACTGTCCCGGCCCCAGGAGCGCTATGGCTTCCGGCCCACCAGCATGGTCACGCGGAACCTGAGCGAGATGCTGCACCGACGCGGTGCCGGTCGCACCAATACGGCTGGCGGAGGATGGGCCATCTATGCCGATGAGAAGACCATCGAGTCGCCTCTCAGCACGGTGCTTCCAACACCGCCCCTGTCGGAAGTGGACGACGACAAGACCAAGGAGGGCGAGAGGGAGAAGCGCAGGCGGACGCTGTCTCCAGGTGCAGAGCGAGAGCGACGGCTGGCCAAGCGGAGAAGGCTTGTGGCAGAAGCGCGGTTCGGCCCCACGGCCAGGATGGACGATGGCCTAGGCGTCGAGCGGGTGGATATCGTGATACAGGACCCCTTTCCAGGCGATGTGCCCGGAGAACAGGAAGATGTGGAACGGCCGACAGCGACGATGGGGCCGATCGACCATGGAAGACCGAAAGGAGGCGGTGGTGGTGGCCGTCGCAGTCAGATCGGCGCAGTCTTGGCTCGCGAGATCGAAGTGCAGGATGACGAGGACATGGCACGAGGTGCAGACGAAGCCGGCCCGGAGTCGAGCAATGTCTGGCGCCCACAGGTAGCCTTTACCTTTCACGGGTCCCATGTCTTTGCCGGCATACGACAGCTGGTCGAGGCCGGCGTGATTGACGGAACGAAGATGCCGGGATGGATGACGGGAGAAGAAGGCGTCACCGTGGGCGCCATACGTCACGGCCGCATCCGAGGCCACAAAGGATCCGGCATGCTATGACGGCTCATTGTCTTTCTTCCTCCAAAACGACGTTGTGGTTTGGCCTGGCGTTGGTCATAAATTATATACAGATTTGCTTCTATACGATCTACGAGAGTTGTGCCGTGTCTTCCAGGCCAAACAGCTTGATCGTGTTAGCCCATGCTGCCTCGCATACCTCTTCCACCGGCACACCCTTTACGGCTGCGATGATGGTGGCCACCCGCTCAATCATGCAGGGCTCGTTGCGGCCCTTGACCATGACGCCCTCTTCCCACTTTTCCTTCTTTACCACCTTGAACCGTTCCGGCACCACTGGCTCTTTCTTCTGCTGCGGCGGCTGCTTGCTTTTCTTGGGTGTTAGCGTCCGTTTCTCCGTAGCTGACGTCGCAGGCACCTGCTCGACCTGCCGGACCTGCTCCTCTCTGGCTTCTAGCTCTGCATGCTGGACCTTGGCCGCCTCGGCTGCCTCGACCAAGTACCGCCAGCCTTCGTGGCTCGGCCGGACCTCGCACCAGGGCCCGTCTGTCTCGATCATGAGGCGGTCGAGCCGGATGGCCTTGAGCACCTCGCAGTTCTCTGCCGTCTTGAGGCTGCACCCGTTGACGCCCATGTACAGGCCGAGATCCATCAGCTCCTCGGCCTCGGCAATGGTGCCCGTGAAGCTGTGGACGACAGCGCCACAGGCCAATCTCTCGAGCCGGGGCCCGAACTGCTCCTTCAGCAGGCGGACAAAATCCGCATGACAGGCGCGGGAGTGCAAGAAAAGCGGGAGCGGACGCGACAGACTGGCGGCCAAGGCCAGCTGTGTCGAGAAGGAGTGCCGCTGCGTGCTGGCCGAGCAGTAGTGCAGCCGGTCGTAGTCGAGGCCGATCTCGCCAAACGCAACAAGTGCGCTAGCGGGTGCTGTCTCGATCAGGGCGTGGAGGTCGGCCACGATCTGGGCTGACTTGGTCGCGTCAATCTCGCCGTCGTCGGCATGCGGCTGTGTCGGGTCTGCACCGCATGCCGCCACATGTTCGTCGTCGTCGGCCTCGTGATGGTGCGGGTGTCTGGCCTCGAAGATGGCGCTGCTGCAGGGATGGATGCCGGCTGTTGCAAGAACCACGCCGGCTGGAAAAGACGTCAGCACGGCGGAGACGGTGGAATGGACTCTTTAGGACTGCCTACGGAATTCTTGGGTCAGCTCCAGAGCGTCCCGGGAGCTCTTGAAGCTGGAGCCCGTCACAATGAGCTTGGTGCAGCCGACATCGTGAGCACGCTGGATCACGCTGGCCAGATCGTCCGGGTGCCGCTGCTTGCCGTAGTATCGCCCGCGGAAGATGGGATCAGCCAGGTTGATTCCGATCTGGCATGGTGGAACGTCAGCAAGCAATGGCCTTTGCCAGTTCGGCACATTTCATGCGCACGCACGTCAATGTATCGTGGCCGGTAACTCGAATTTACGACAGCCGTTGCAGAGGCCGACATCGCTGCCGAAGACGTGGTCAAAGCTGCCGTTGCCGTGGCAGACAATGGAAATATTGACAGTCTAGATCGTCTGGTCAAGACGGAAAACAGCCTAGGAGCTAGGGATATGGGCATTGGTGGGTTGCGTCGTCTTCGGGTAATCCTTTACAAGACCTCAACAGCTGTTTCTGTGAGTCACTCTCTGCACAGACATGCCATACAAGCGATAGTGGATATGGTTGCCTGGTTGCAGCATTTCTTACCTAGATTGGCGTCCAGGATGCAATCTTCATAGCCCATTAATGGGGGGCAGACGCGCGCGTCGAAGTCGCGTTTGGAGGGGTGATACGATGCTTACTAAAGCTTTTTTTTTCGATTATAATGTTTTTTTCCGCGCTATAGCGATTGCCCCGCTTTTCAGCAACGCGTTAACAGACAACAACCGCGTATTGCATTTAAAGTGGCCATCGCTGTGAACACTTTTCTCTCCTCCACCTGCTTCTCTCTTCCTTCCCCTCAGGCACAATTCAATTCCAGCATTTCCCCTACCATTTGCCTTGTCTTTTTCTTCTGCATTGGCCGTAGCACACGCTTCGGGTCTGGTATTATACAGAGAGTCCTCCAATCTGTGGAACTTGGGACTCGGCATCTCTCACCGTCTCTCTTCTCCCCACCCGCCGCACAACCTTACGACCCACGATGTTTGTCCGCAAGCGTGGTATGTATCCTTGTCCCTTGCTCCTGAGACTGGCATTGCTACTCTGCCCATTGGCCGCTGGAACGGGGGTGCCACACGCATACTAACTACTTCTCCAGACGGACGCCAGGAGCGTGTCCAATTCGACAAGATCACGGCTCGTGTATCACGGCTGTGTTATGGCCTCGACACTGAGCACATTGACCCTGTGGCTATCACCCAAAAGGTCATTTCTGGCGTTTATGGCGGCGTGACGACCGCCCAGCTAGACGACCTGGTAAGCCGCAACAGCACTCGCTCCTGTTGCCAAAACCACGTTCTAATTCGATTTCTACCCCGCAGGCTGCAGAGACTGCTGCGTACATGACAGTCACCCACCCTGACTATGCGGTCCTCGCTGCTCGCATTGCGGTTTCCAACCTCCACAAACAGACCAAGAAGCAATGGTCAGCGGTCATCACCGACCTGTACAACTATGTCAACCCCAGAAACAACACACTGTCGCCTATGATCTCTAAGGAGACATACGATTGTGTGATGCGCCACAAGGAGGACTTTGATTCAGCTATTGTCTATGACCGTGACTTCAACTACCAATACTTTGGCTTCAAGACCCTGGAGCGGTCCTACCTGCTCAAGCTGAACGGTAAGATTGTCGAACGGCCACAGCACATGATCATGCGCGTGGCAGTTGGCATCTGGGGTGACAACGTGGAGCGTGTTGTTGAGACGTACAACTACATGTCCAACAAGTTCTTCACGCATGCCTCGCCCACCCTCTTCAACGCCGGCACCCCGCAGGCCCAGATGTCGTCTTGCTTCCTCGTGGATATGAAGGATGACAGCATTGAGGGTATTTATGACACTCTCAAGACCTGCGCCATGATCTCCAAGACAGCCGGTGGAATTGGCCTCAATGTCCACCGCATCCGGGCTACTGGCTCCTACATCGCCGGTACAAACGGCACGTCCAACGGTATCGTCCCCATGCTCCGTGTCTACAACAACACGGCTCGCTACGTGGACCAGGGCGGAAACAAGCGCCCTGGTGCTTTCTGCATCTACCTTGAGCCTTGGCACGCCGATGTCTTTGAATTTCTCGACCTGCGCAAGAACCATGGCAAGGAGGAGATCCGCGCCCGCGATCTGTTCCTGGCCCTCTGGATCCCTGATCTGTTCATGAAGCGTGTGGAGAAGAATGGCGAGTGGACACTGATGTGCCCCAACGAGTGCCCTGGCATGGCGGACTGCTACGGCGAAGAGTTTGAGGCCCTGTACGAGAAGTATGAGCGCGAAGGTCGCGGCCGAAAGACGGTCAAGGCCCAGAAGCTCTGGTACGCCATTCTCGAGGCTCAGACGGAGACGGGCAATCCGTTCATGCTCTACAAGGACCACTGCAACCGCAAGAGCAACCAGAAGAACCTGGGCACCATCCGCAGCTCCAACTTGTGCACGGAGATCGTGGAGTACTCTGCCCCAGATGAGGTGGCTGTCTGCAACCTGGCCTCTCTGGCCCTGCCGTCTTTTGTTGACTACACCAACGAGACGTACGACTTTAAGAAGCTCCATGAGGTTGCACAGCTGGTTGTCCGCAACCTGAACCACGTCATTGACGTCAACTACTACCCTGTGCCGGAGGCCAAGAACAGCAACATGCGCCATCGTCCTATCGGTCTGGGTGTACAGGGACTGGCAGATGCCTTCCTGGCACTGCGCATGCCCTTTGAGTCGCCTGAGGCCCGTGAGCTCAACAAGCAAATCTTTGAGACCATCTACCACGCAGCTCTGACCGCGTCGTGCGAGCTGGCCAAGATCGAGGGCACCTATTCGACGTACGAGGGTTCCCCCGTGTCACAGGGCATTCTGCAACCCGACATGTGGGACGTGAAGCCGTCTGACCTGTGGGACTGGGACTCGCTACGTCTGAAGATTAAGGAGCACGGTGTGCGCAACAGTCTGCTGGTGGCCCCCATGCCGACAGCGTCAACGTCGCAGATTCTAGGCAACAACGAGTGCTTCGAGCCGTACACGTCCAACATCTACTCACGCCGTGTGCTGGCGGGCGAGTTCCAGGTGGTCAACCCCTGGCTGCTGAAGGATCTCGTTGACATGGGTCTGTGGTCGGACAACATGAAGAACCGCATCATTGCCGAGGGCGGTTCGATCCAGAACATCCCCAACATCCCAGCCGATATCAAGGCTCTCTACAAGACCGTGTGGGAGATCTCCCAGCGCACGATTGTGCAGATGGCGGCCGACCGTGGCGCGTTCATCGACCAGTCGCAGTCGCTGAACATCCACATGCGCGAGCCCACCATGGGCAAGATCACGAGCATGCACTTCACCGGCTGGAAGCTGGGTCTGAAAACGGGAATGTACTACCTGCGTACGCAGGCGGCCGCCCAGCCCATCCAGTTCACTGTGGATCAGCAGGCACTGCTGGTCGCAGACACCAACTCCGGCCGTGAACGTGGTCTCCGGAAGCGGGCGCCACCCGGTGGCACTTACGTCAGCTCGCCGTCCGCGATGCCACGGTCCTCGCAGGCCCACGGCGCCAATGGTGCCAGCAGCGCGTCACTGTCTTCCAACGGCCTCCCGACACCGAGCACATCACCGCCTCCAGCTTCGGGGACTGTCGCGAGTGCCGGTCGCCCACTAGCATCACCGTCAAAGCCGAAGCCGTTCAAGGCAGACCAGGAGGAGGGCGAGTCGCCAAAGGCGCTGGCTACCGATCCGATCGGCAAGCCCAATATTGAAGAGCTTGCAGACCCGGCGCTGAACGGTCCCAAGGACCAGAGCGAGGACCTGGACGAGGACAGCCAGGAACGTGAGCACGACATTTACGCCGACGCAGTCCTTTCCTGTGAGTACATTGCTTGTGAACCGTTCTCTTGATGGTACACACACTGACAACCATCACAGGCAGCATTGAGAATCCCGAGGCTTGTGTCATGTGCAGCGGTTAGAATAGAGATTTCTAATGATTCGTTACGCGACAGAGATGATATAGTGAGCAACGGCAAGTGCATGGTAAAGTGTTATTGAATTAGAAGACGAAGTAATGGGTTCCCGCCACTTTCTTGGGTGCATGGCTGGCGGTGCATCACGCAGCAGACGGACAGAAGCGAAGTAAGAAGTTCTCGAATTTTGTATGGATGGTAAGAGAAGAACAGTCATATTCTAGGTGGTGTCTTGTCTTATTCTTCTGTCTTTTGTTGGTATGCCAACTATTGAGCTGTGTATGAATTGTATATGCTTTTTGCAATGCCTTTTTAGAAGCAATATATTTTGTCTAAACTATTTGCGTGTCCATACTCCGTGCAAGAAGGTAAGATCGTGATAACTGTCCACGAGATTCAGTTCAGTACAACCTAAGAGCTTTCTCTTACTAATGGACAACCTAACAATTTGTGGTGCTTATTAATTGTGACGCACGGTATTACATGGCCTCCAACAACAAAGAAGTTGGAAACCGTTCGGCTCATAGACCGAATTAGCCGAAGTTACGCGGTAGATTTTAGCCAACAACCTGACTGCGATAAGATACCAAACACAAAGCGGGCGGGCTGCCTCTGGCTCGCAGCCAGATAAGAGAAAGAATGGGGGTGGCATGGCTACGGAGAAAGACAGGAATGACGTGGAAGTAAGTGCCAAATCAAGGAACTGGGAACGGTAAGTAATCAAGAACAAAGGCAGGCACCTGGCCCCCAGCTCGTGGCTGCGGGTTGGGTATGCCATGCTGAGCCATCAGTTTTGCCACATAGCAAAGAATGTTTTCGGAAGAGGTTTGCAGCGATCGGATCGGGGTCAAAGCGAGATCTTGTTTGCTGCGCTATGGCCATACGATGTATGGGTACTCCGCAGTACGGAGTGTTACCTACGGAGTACTCCGTGTATTGGGCGGGCATGGGCAGGTCTGGCTCGTTTCTACAGAATTGGGCCTGGCCAGCAAGGATTATTTTTCTTCGCCAGGGTGACCAGCCAGACAGGTTTCCGAAACGCACGGTTACCCAGCTCACCACTTGGCACCCCTGCCACCAGCCGAGCAAATAAGATTTCTCTGCATCTGAGGATATCTTTCCTTGTGCGAGGAGGGGCGGATGCAAGCGCGCCCAATCAGCGCTTGCAATAGAGGACGCTACCAAGCCCAGGAAATGAAAAGACTAGGCGATCGTTACTAGCCGTGGCCATATCGTTGGCTGGCAGCTTTCCGAAGCTCATTTTAAAATCCAGACGGTGCTGAGAGAAGGGGGACTGCAATAGACGCCGGCACAGACAAGACCCCCACAATTGGGTGTGGTAGTAGGACGATGAACGTGGGCCGCAACCGTGCCGATCTTGCAACCACAGCCAAGATTCCCCACGTCTGCAAGAGGCAAAATAGAATATCAATGGCTGCCTCTTAGCACTGCTACCCTAATTCAGCTGGTATAGGCCGGCTCAGCTGGACAGCACACACCCCCGCTACCCTGCCCCTTCCGGTGTTGGTGGACGCCCTGTCCAATCACACGACGCAGGTCTACCACTCGATGCATACATAGAACCTAGTAATACTCCGTACGGCAGCACGCGTATTTGTCACACAACTGCTCTGCGCTGTCCTGTCTCCGCAACTGACCACGGGCTTTCCTTTCTTCTTTCGTCCTGGTCGCCCGGTCGAGCTCGGCCAAGCTCGACCTAGCAACTAGAAATTGCCTCAATCAGCCCCTCTACGGGGCACCGTTACCAGGTCACCGTCGCTTGCCCATGACCATGTTGCATACACCAGCCACCCATTTAATAAAGGGCGGTGTGCAGTACTGTGCAATGCAGTGCAGCCCAGTGCAGCCCAGTGCAGCCCAGTGCAGGTGTTTAGCCTTGCTTTTGTTGGCTCTCTGTGGAGTGCAGACAAACCTGTACGAAAAGATGCCGCATCTTGCCACTTCTTTTCAAAAGATATATCGGAATTGGTCTCAGATGTCCATGTCCTGTTGAGCTAAGTGACGGCTGAATGCAGAAGACTATATCTAGATAGTATCTTAATTCCTTTTTTCGGGGATGGAGCAATTGTACGTCGTACGTACGACGTATGTATATACAGAGTATAGCAAAGATAGAAGTCGTACCTTTTGTACCTAGTATGTAGATCTAAGATTTCAGACCACTGGTGTTAGCGCCGTGTAGCTGTGGGTCGGCGAGGCCTCTTTCGTCATCGGCCGCAGGGACAGCCCCAGCTCCTTCCTCTTTGCAAAATACAAGCGGGCCTAGTGGTGAGATATACTTCTTTTTCCGTTTCGGTGGCAGGTGCCTTCCGGTATGGCTTCACCGACGTAACGTGCGCAAAGGGTATCTTACTCCGTACATGTGCACCCTGCTGCCGAAGACGTGACCCCTGCACAGCTTAACTAGCTGATGGGCTCTACATGTTGCCGGGCGAGGCCTCTGACGGAGTTGCCGGTGTATTAGCTGCGCTGGTGCTGGGTGGCTCATCATGCTACAGAGGCAAGAGGCAAGATCGTGGGTGGTAGCTCCCGCAGGAACCAACCCAAGCCCAGGCAAGACAGTTTTGATCATGCAGGTCCTCCTCACACCCCTAGCTCTTTCCCAGCTCGAACAGCTGTCGCCTGAACGCTCCTTCCCCGGACGTGCCTTCCCTTCTGTGCTCACATCGGCCCATCCACTGACGTAGACGGCATAGTAACATGCTTTTTTGTCTCTCCTGCCCCATTATTTCTTTTCTTTGTGTTTTATTGACGTCTTTCTCCCGGGAAGGCACATCCACTTTGACAAGATCTAGCCACTTGCTTCGCGCAAGGTGCGTTTTGCCTCCTTCCCGACTCTAGCCATCTAGCCCAACCAAGTATCTTTATTATATCAATCCCTCTCCTCTCCTCTCTTCACGACGCGTTCCCCTCCTTTCTTTACTCCTTAACCGACAAGCACTTGTCCTGGCATTTCTCTATCTGCTCTCCATTTTCCCCCAGAGTTGATTCCTTGTCTCTCGTCTCTTCTCCCACAGACAGATTCGCCGACTCTCTAGTAAGTGAGACATTGTGCTACAGAGACACCAAATGCACACGAAATCTCTTTCTTCACTATAACGCGTCGACGTGATTCTGATAGACTTTTCTCCAACCATTTTGACACTGTTCACTCTGCTCATTTCCCCCTTGCCTGTCTCCTTTTTTTCTATCTACCCTTCACCGAAAACCAGCCGAACAACAAGTGCCGTCACTCTCCAGTACAGATGCTTAAATGAGACTCGAGCTTAGCCTGGTTTTGTCCCCATTTGCAGTCTCCCCCTGATAGTTCTAAGACTCCTTCCCTTCCCGCATTTTCTATAAATTTCCTCCCTGTCTTCCATCCACAGTTCTTGTCACCATCCAGATCAGCATCACACACATCTCATACATCTTGAACATTGTTTGAAGTCAGATCACCATCAAGGTTCCACTCAGCCACGAGTTACATCATAGGACTCATCTAACTTCAGTACAGAATCGAGACTTCACGTTCTTCCACAATCAAAATGCCATTCAACAACCGTGCTCTCCTCGCCATTGTCGGCTCGGCCTCTGTGGCTGTTGCTGCTTTCAGCCCGCCGTCTGGTTTCCCCTCGTGCGGTGTAAGTTGCCCGTTATACCACCTCCCACTGACTCGATAGCAAAGCTGACATAAATTAGACTGTTTGCTTCAACAACATGGTTGCCAAGGCTTCTGAGCTAGGCTGCTCTACCGATGCGTACAGCTGCCTGTGCACCAAGAACGACTTCGTCTATGGTATTCGCGACTGTTCGTACGAGTCTTGCAACGACGACTCCGCTGCTGCCACGGCCGTCGCCTACGAGGTCTCCATCTGCGCCAGTGCTGGTGTGACCATTCCTATTGCGACTGTAAGTGTGAAACAATATGCTATTTTGCCTGGATATAGAAATCACTAACGCAACTCAGAGCGGCGCCGCCAGCGCGGGTACGGCCACTGGCACGACCACCGGCACGGCCACTGGAAGTGCTGCCGGCTCGACTTCCACTGGAACCGAAGGCGGTTCTGGCAGCTCTGGTTCCACAACAGTTGTTGGCGGTGGCTCAGGTGGCTCGGGCGCTTCGACCTCCGGTGCTGGCTCTGCTGGCTCTGCCACTTCTGGCACTGCTGCTTCCGGCAGCACTACGACCGCAGCCTCTGGCTCTGGTGCTTCCGGCTCTTCCACGACTGCCATCGGCGGCGCTGGCTCTGGCGCCTCCGGCTCTGGCGCCTCCGGCTCTGGTGCCTCTGGCAGCGGTGCTTCTGCTACTAGCGGTGCTGGTGCTTCTGGATCTGGTGCCTCTGGCAGCGGTGCTTCTACTACCGGTGGCGCTGGTGCTTCTGGCTCTGGTGCCTCTGGCAGCGGTGCTTCTGCTACTGGCGGTGCTGGTGCTTCTGGCTCTGGTGCTTCTGGCAGCGGTGCCTCTGCTACCAGTGGTGCAGGCGCTTCTGGCTCTGGTGCCTCTGCTACTGGCTCTGGTGCCTCTGCTACTGGCTCTGGTGCTAGTGCTTCTGCTACTGGTGCCGGCGCTGGCTCTGGTGCTTCTGGCTCTGGTAGCGGCGCTTCTGCCACCACTGGTGACAAGACCGACAGCACCACTCTCGCTACCGCCACTAAGAGCAGCTCTGGGACTGGTAGCTCGGCATCCTCGACTGCTTCCACCTCTACGAGCAAGGGCTTCGTAAGTTTACTGTTACTTGAAACGTGCCGATTGAGCTTGGCTAACCATGTAATAGGCTGCTCACATGACTGCTGCTCCTGTCGGCCTCATGGCTGCTGCTGGTGTCGCGGCTCTCCTGCTGTAGACGTCTAACTACTAGCAATACCCTCAAAACCCCACCGATAATTTATTAACGAGCCTAATGGTGCTGCAAAATAATTGATGCCAAAGGAGTTGATTCCTGATCGATAGAAGGTGTTTCCTGTGGTCTGTTGGGATGAGTACGGTGGGCATTCTTCTGGGAAGCTCTTAAACTAATGTGTTCATGTTTTTCTTTTTCTCTTTGCTCGTTTAATACCAGAGTTGCGGGACGAGGCAAAGCTTCGTACAGTAATATAAACCACCACAATACAACCGGCACCTGCCTTACAAACTAACATTCTTACCGAAGTGATTAGAAGAATACAAGTAGCATTATAATGGGTTGTGAAGTGTCGAAGTTGGCTGTACTCGAAAATGCACGCACAAATTCCGATAGCAACAATAAATCGCTCACTCCCAACATTATGGCGAGCAAGCAAGCACTCCACTGTTGTGTCTAGTCATACAAAGTCGGTGTTGTAGAACACGATGCAGGCTTCAAGAATAGGAGGTTGATAGTGACAAGAGCATCATCGGCTCAGAAGACCACATCTCGGGCGTGTATCATGTGGGAGGAGGGCTAAGGCGGAAAGAGCAAGGTAAATGCCGGCTGACCAATAGAGCTGACAACCCATACATTTGATTAGGCTTCATGCTATGACCCTATTGATCGGCGACGCTTTAACGAGCAGAGGTCGTAACAATATGTGAGAAGGGCGTCAGTAACCATATGCATATATAGTTTTCCGATCAACCCATTTCTCATTCAACTCCTCTACTCTCTCAACGAAAGCACTGCAGACTCGCTTTGATATCGTCGCTTGCCATATCGCAAAACCTTGGAGCACGTCTCTCGGTCCTGGCCCAGATGCTGCGAGTGGCCCAAAGGGTCCTCGTGAGATTGAGTGGTACAACCAATATTTTAGGGACTGCTCCATCTCCGAGCAGCCTATCTTCGCCAAACAAATCGTCCGCGTCATTTGTATTGGGGCTGACGCAACGGGCATCCAGCTTGCTTATAAGGCAGAAACGCTTTTAGAGAACGTTACACTTCCGACGTACGACAAAAATGAACATATTAATGGTACGTGGTTGGAATACTGATATCAAAAATGTGCCTACGATATTTCGAGCCACGGCTAGTAAGCTTACCTCATCTTTGTGCCATGTTGGGGTTTCGGCAGCTTGCTGACGTGATATATTGTCATAACAGCCAGTTCACGTGGGCCCGGAATCCTAGCTGGCCTAAGATTTATGCCTTCAGCCCGGAGATTTGGCAGTACCTGAAGGACGTGGCAACCAAATACAAATTGGAGAAACATATCAAGTTTTCATATCGTGTCCATCAGGCTCGGTGGGATGAGAATGATGACGTCTGGAGACTGTCTATCACAACTCCAGACGGCAGCATCATCACAGACCAATGCGATATCCTTGCCAATGGCACGGGCGTCCTCAAGTCAGTTGTTTATTTTGCGGCGAGCTTCATAGAAGTCATGCCTACGGCAGTATGGGACCAGAGTTAGAAATTCAAAAAGAACCATGAAGCATATAGTAAGATAATATGGAGGTTGTCACATCTAAAGCTACGCGCCTTACCGCGGACGGAATCATGGACGGAATCGGCAAAGAGCACAAGGTGGATGTAATAGTTTGCCTTACCGGGTTTGACACGTCCTTTACGTCTTTGTACAAGTGCATTGGTCGCAGCGGACAGAACTCTGGAAAAAAGTTTGGCGAATTCCCCGAGAGCTATCTCTCCGTCATGGTAGACGACTTTCCCCAACCTCTTTCGTATAGGTTTTCTTTTTTCCTTTTCTTATTCTTTTTTTCTTGGGGAAGGGGGCATGGGTCAAGATAGATGCTTGTCGTGCCCGACACCATCATCGAACAGTTTCTGTCGGGCTAAACGGCTCATCAAGTTACTCGTCGCTGCTGTCTGTCCTCGAATGGCACTCGCGCTACGTGTTCCAGATGATTGACAAGCTCTAGCGTAAAAACATCAAATCCTCCTCTCCCAAGCCCGAGTGCATTGATTTTTCGGACAGCACACGCATACGCTCATGAAACGGCTGTCTGGCCGGGATGTCACCTTCACTATTTGAAGGCCCTAAGGGACCCGATATATGAGGACATTGGAATATCCTACAAGAGCAAGAAGCGGTCTGCAAAGTATAAGTGGTCAAGGGTAAAGCATCTTTGGCTCTCGGCAAGGTGCTTCTTCTTCATCTGCATTCTAGTCCAGTCAAATCGTTGGCTTCATTAATAAAATCAAAGAAAACAGCGGCCAGGAGGATTATCCAGCCTATGGTATAGAGTATAATTTGCCGTGTTTCCCGTTCTATTGGCCATTCACCCTTCCTCCTCGTGATTATGTCTCCAAGTTGATGCTCCGCCCGAAGCGCGCATACAGATCGACTTTGAGCCGGGTCATCTCCTCGCGGATAGACCCGAGCGAGTCCTCGAGCTCACCCATGCTCTCCTCCATCTTCGCCGCTGCGATGCCGACCATCTCCTGTGCCTGATTTGCTCTTACCTGGAAGAAGGCGTCGCCGATTTTGTATCTGTAGCAGGGCATAGGTGTGAGAAGGCGAAAGCAAAGGAAGGATAAGCAGAAAGGAGGGTTGGGAAACGTACGGCACTTTGTCGTCCTCATCGATGAGCTCCAGCTCCATTGTGATGTCGTCCAGCTCTTCCTTCTCCTTGTTCTTCGCCTTCAGTTCTTCCTCCAGGTTGAGCTCCCGCTGGTGCAGCCGGCTGAAACGGTTGATCTTCTCCTGGTCTTCACGGCGCACCTCAACTTCGGGCCCGGCGGCCTCCTCCTCCTCCTTGCTCAGCTGAAGCACGACAGTCAGTCAGGAGGTGCAGTTCAGAAGCAGGGGAGGACGGCGCACAAACCATTCGACGCTGCATGTCTGCGACCTCTTTTTGCTGTCCCGTTGGCAACAGCTGCTGTGGCGGGCTTCTTGCTTCCTGCCGCTCTTCGCTGCGGAGCTTCGTAACGGTTGTGCGGCTGTCGTTATTGGCGAGAGGTGGAAAAACACATGTCGAACTCGGCAAGATTGGACGTCCAAATAATACTTAGCGGGGTAGTTGAGTTTGGAGTGGCTCCAGGTATTGACTGCCAGCCAATCACAGTTCTGTTTCTGTCTAAGCTTCTGCAGAATAAGTCCGAATACTTTTCTGATGTCGTTGATGGCTCGCAAGACTTCCCTGAATCCGAGACGACCGTACAGGCCGAGGGTGCCTTCACAAGCTAGGATGAAATCTGGGAGGCCCATATTTCTCGCCTGCTGGAGGCCGCGAGCCAGATGCGGAGCGAGGCAAAAGACAGATAATTTTATCCCATACTAATTGATACGAGCAGTTGCTTTTAACTTTTGCTTTTAATTCATCTTATCACCAAGTATCGGCGCCCAATATATCATCGCGCAAGCACTTCTTTCCGTCTACAGTTTTGCGCAGCCGCTGGCACAATCGGTCTTGTCTCCGCTGACGAGAACGGACTGGTTGGTGGCCTGGCTTGACGGTGGGACGTCGAGGGCCGGGTTCTTGGTGAAGAAGTTGACCGGCCGCAAGACAACGCTGACCTTCTCGACGGGCCTGGGAGCATTAGCAGTGGGAAAACCGAAAAATGAGCTGGGAACTGCGCAGGAGCACTCACATGACGGGAAAGTCTTCGATGCGAGGGAAGTGGTTGAGGCCAAACTGGACCCAGACAACGACATCCTCGTCGATGATGGTGGCATGGTTCTTCTCGATCCAGCTCTTGATTCCATTGTGTCCGCGGCCTGGGAGAGTTAGACAGGCTGCCTGAAAAGATCAGATCATACAGACAGGTAGATACGTACTCTGGTTGGTGAACTTGCCGCCCGAGTACAACTCGTCAGGACGGTACTTTGTGAGGTAGAGGTGGTGGTCGGCAAATTCGGCGCGCTTGGCGTTGTAGCTCTCCGGGTGGGACATCAGCGTCGGAACAGGCGGAAACTCGAGCTTGTAGGAGATGGGCAGGCCGTTGACGGGGTTGGCAATGTGGGGATTCTTGACGACAAAGGCGCGCGACTTGGTCCAGTCGAGATCGTGGCCACCCTCCTGGGCGATCTCGGTCTTGACAGCACGGTAACCGTTGCCATAGGGGTTAAAGGCGTCCATGGGCATCTGCTGGGCCTCCTGCTGGACGACGGTGTTGCCGTCAGTGTAGCTGCCGATGGCCGGGTCGATGCGAAGCGAGAGGATATGCTGGTGGAAGGAGGCGAGCACGCCGGGGTGGACGACGGTGCCAAAGTCGACGTTGAGGCCCTCGTCAATGGCGGTTGTCGACAGCATGCCGGTAGCCCGAACCTGGTACTCGATCTCGCCGGCCTGGTTGAAGATGAACGCGAGGATGTATCTGTTCGTGTTAGGGTGGGTGAGTTCTGATCTGGGGGAGAGGAAAAGCCGTTCTCACTCGTAGTTGGACACTGTCAGGATTGTCTGGACGACAAGCTCTCTGTTGCGAACGACAAAGGCGTCTGAAGAGTTAGCGACTCTGCATGCCTGCCAGGTACTCGAAACTCTGTACTCACTGTTGGTGCGGTAGTTTGTGTGCTTCCAGCCGATGCCATTGTCCTGCTCATGGATGCACACGGCGTTGGGCATGACGACGGGCTGGCCGTCGCGGTCGCAGACGAGCCCGTCGAGGTAGGCGATGCTGCCGAGACAGTCGCAGCCGAGACGCAGGTTGTTAGCCACCATGCCGGCACCGACGTCGCCGAGATCAAAAGCCATCTTGCGGTGGTAGGGCGAGCGCGGGTCGCCGTAGGGCACGCACATCTCGCTGAGGCTGATGCGGTAGAAGAGCGGGCGACCGTCGTAGCGAACGTCACGCAGCACCACGCCTTCGCGATAGTTGAAGCCCACGCGCATCTCCCACTTCTGCCAGCGAACGATCCGGTCGGCCGAGACGTCGAAGCTAGGTCCACACGGCTGCACCACCTGCAGCGGTTTCAGATCGGTGCGCAGCTGCGGCTGTGCGGCCGGCACGTAGTCGCTGCCCGGCTTCACCTTGTATGGCGCCGTCTCGGCCGCGATCGTGTGGTCGGCCCCCGTAGCGATGCGCTGGATGCGCACCAGCCGCATCGCTGTCGGGTCGAAGATGGCCGAAAACGCCAGCGGCCGCGCGTAGTGGTTGCTGTCCGGCACCGTCTTGTCGCGCAGGAACATGTACACCTGGAACAGCCGGGTCATGTCGTCCTCACCGCCGTCCGACCCGAAGCCCCACGGCTCCGGAACGACCTCGAGATTCTCCGGCAGCTGCAGCCGCGCAATCTCCGCCTGCACCTCCGCACACGCCATCGTCGCCTTCTCCACCTCCAGCACCTCGGCAAAGTCCACGTTGCCGTGCTCACCCGCGCCCGTCTGCTTCGTCACCGCCACCTCGCCGGCTTCGAGGTGGACCAGCGCCGTGAAGAAGTCCGTCTGTCGCCTGTCGTTAGCGGCCACGCTTCCTCGGTATGCTGCATCCCACTGCCAACTGCCCACTCACCGTCTTCCGAATGTAGTAGGCCGCAAAGGCAATCCGCTTCGGCGGCAGCACAGAGCGGCCCGCATGCTCGGCCTCGAGATACTGCAGCGTCAACGCCTTGTCGGGCTCCTCGAGCGTGATTGCCTTGAAGGCCAGCTGCGCCCCCGGGTGCTGTGCCCGAATCAGGTTCGCCGCTTGGACCACCTCCTCGGCCGTCAGGTCGGCAAGTGGGTGTACGGCCATGGTGCAGGATCGATCACGGACAGAGACTGGGCAGATGGACGGTCCAGGACGAAATCCTTGCTTCTGCTTCCCGGAGAGACAAACGACGCCTGGGCATCAGCCGTCATATATCGCACAGCCAGCTGCTGATAGACGGGCAGTGTGCGTTAGCGCTTGTTTTCGCGAGATAAGCTGCACAATGTCCGTGATAGGCAACTTTCGAGCTTTAGTGTGCCGTTGACAAATTGTCGTTTGTTCGATGCAGACATCCGAACGGCCGCACGTGTCCATCCGTAAGTCCGGTCCGAGCCTGGCAGGTACAAACACATATTGCTTGCTTACTCATCACCTTCCTCTTTGGGAGATGAAACTTGTCACAAAGTACTGGTGTTGAGAAAAACGCTTATGCAAATGGTTCTGAAGCCAGCGGGCCGAGCATCCAAAATCCCAGTTCTGGACTACGTCACCGACGATGGCAGGTAGACGATCGACTAGGTTTTCCAAGGCCGCCGAGCGTTGAGCAAATGCAGCAAATACGTTTCCACGCGACCAGCTCCGTTACGGGCGCGTCGAGTGTGTGTCTCAATTTACTTCTCTCTACTCCGTACCACTCCAACTTCTCAGCTTATTCATCAAATCGAACTGGTGGCCATGATTCTACTCGGGCTTTTCATGTTCTGTGTAGTCCTAAACAACCAATCAGATATAAGTTAATTTATGGGTCTACGTCTTACTCCGATCGACCCTGAACCATGCCACATGATCTGCGTGTAGCCGTTGTTTCTGAGCTGCAGCATCTGAGAGAGATGCATATAGGAATGGTGGGGGATGACTTATGTTTGTTAGGGGGATAAGCAACAAAAGATAAAGAACATGGGGAAAACAAGACAAGACAAGACAGGAAACAAAAAGAAGAAATTCAAGATATGAGTTGCGAAGCAACAGAGATAAGCCAGGGAAGAACCGGATTTCTCATGCGATCCAGAGACACTGTGTCTACAGGGAGGCACAAAGCAGTCTCCGGCATATGCCGATCGACTGCGACCCGTTCCGCGAAGTGACTGGAGATCGAACAGCAGACACAACAGAGGTTCAGGCTCTTCTGTGCGTCCGAAAAACGAGAGGCCAGGAGGCGAGAGAAGGACAAGGGATATGTAGATCAGAAAAGGGGGACGCAAGATATGAAGAGGCATTGCAGAGAAAAAACAGGGCGGCAGCACTGAAGGGAGACGCTCAGTCATCGTATTGGCGATCAGGCCAATGTGGAGTGAGATAAAAAACACGAAACACAGTCACAAACGGTTACAACATATCGATCCAACGTGAAGTTGTTGTTGTGCTATTAGACTTTGGCCTAAAAAGGGACGAAGGAGCTCCCGATGCGCCAGATAACCAGCCCCACAAACCCCTTGTTTCTTTCTCGTCCGTACGGAGCATTAATTGTTCGTTTCTTTTTTCCCTCCCTTCTGATCTACATACCAGTGTTACAACTCCGTGATCGGGCAATATTCACAGGACCGTTACTCGATCTCGCCTCACACTGCGCTAGCACGTCTCCATCTGGGATTCATCTGACCAGCTGGGGAATGAAACTGCGGCCTATATCATGAGCCTCTTTGCGTCATCGGAAATTTGCCATACCGACTAGACCGAGCGACAAGTCGTCAGCCTTCGCCGGCTACTGCCAGCAACCCACAGCCCACAGCAGTCGCCATATTGGCCCTTTGGCATCCTGGAAATGCCCCCTTGTCTGACATTGGCAGAGACACATTTCTTCAAGAGACATAACCAGCCATCATATCCCTGATGGCCGCTAAGTTGGAGCCGTAATCTCGTCCGCTTCGACGAAAAGGAATAAGCCGAACACGAGCCGGTCATCACAACCCGCAAACTTGAACCTCTTAGCCCCGCCTACTGAATGCCAGATTAGGACATTCCGCTCGCTGCCTTGGATAGAGTACTTATCCCGCCTTTGCAGACGGGCAGCACTTGCTATCTTATTTAATGATAAACGCGCCGCCGTGCTGTCCAGTTCTCCACTACCCTCTCGGTCTTCCTCCAAAACGCACCCGATCGCAGAGAGAAAGCTCTAGAAAATTAGACATCATGACGCCCAAAAGCTTCGCCGTTCCGACCTATGTCAAGATGTGCATCCTCACATCACTGATAGGTTTCTTGTTTGGGTACGTTTTCTTCTGGACTGCCGACGTCCTCTTATCCACACTCACACCTTCGCAGATACGACACGGGAAGCATCGGCCCCGTCACGACCATGGCAGAATTCAAGGCCGTTATGGGGGACTTTTCCGACACCATTCGCGGCGTCGTGGTTTCGTCGTCCCTCATCACCGGTGCCGCGTCCGCGTCCATTGCCGGCATCCTCGCCGACAGGTACGGCCGCATCCGCATCTCGGCTCTGGGGGCCTGCATCGACGGTGTCGGTGTCGCCATTGAGTGTGCCAGCCCTGTGCTTGGCGTCTTCATCCTCGGCCGCCTGATCAAAGGCATCGGTGCCGGCCTCTATCTCAGCACCATCTACGTGCAGGTCTCCGAGATGTCGCCGGCACGCTACCGTGGCGTGTTGACCTCTATCCCGCAATTCATCATCGTCATCGGCCTCATCGCCGGCTACTTTGTCTGCTACGGCACCTCCAACATCAAGGACTCGTCTCTGGCCTGGCGCCTGCCTCTGGCCATCGCTTCCTTCGCCGCTTTTGTCCTCGCCGTCGCCGTCTGCTTCGTCCCCCCTTCGCCGCGCTGGTTTCTCACCAAGGGCGAGCTCGAAAAAGCCCGCGTCGTGGTTCAACGGCTCGGCTTCGGCCAGGCCGAGCAGGACGAGCTGCTCGCCCAACAACAGGATGAGATGCCGGCCGATGCGGTCGAGCCGTCACTGGCCACTAGCATCGTCCACATGTTCCGTGACTTCCGTGAGGCCTTCCGGCAACCCTACCGCTCCCGCACCATATTCGGCTGCCTCATCATGGCCATGCAGCAGTTCAGCGGCATCGACGGCGTCCTATACTATGCCCCGTTACTCTTCCAAAACGCCGGCCTCAAGTCGACCGAGGCGTCCTTCCTCGCTTCGGGCGTGTCTGGCCTCGTCATCTTCGCCATCACTATCCCTGCTACCCTGCTGGCTGACCACTGGGGCCGCCGGACAGCCTCCATCCTTGGCGGCGTGCTCGTCTCTGTCCTGATGCTGCTCATGGGCTCCCTCTACGCCGCCGACCAGGTGCACGGCGCCGGCCGCTGGGTAGTCATCGTCTGCATATACCTGTTCGCCATCTCCTTCAACGGCACCTGGGGTATCGTCTTCCGTATCTACCTAGTCGAGAGCCTGCCGAGAAAGACCCGCTCGAGTGCGTCTTCTTTGGCGCAGAGCGCAAACTGGGTAAGAGTTTTGGTCCCTTTGCCTTTCCCCCCCTCCTGTTCAGTAGTTGAATATACTGACCATCCCACAGGTGGCCAACTACATCGTTGCACTTGTCACGCCCGTTCTTCTCTCAGCGTCGACAAGCGGGGCATATTTCTTTTTCGGGGGTATGACGGTGATCTGCACGGTCATTGTAACCCTATACATGGTCGAAACAAGGGGAGCTACCTTGGAAGCTATCGAGCAGGCATACACGGATAGGATGGCGAGCAAAGCCTTGAAGCGCAAGGCTGAAAAGACCACGATTGAGACGAACAGTGCTGAGGCCAGCAGCTTTGAATTGGGGAGGACGGAAAAGAAAGAGTTCACAACCGTTTCTGAGACGTTTGTTGAGAGCGAATAGGAGGCTGGAAGCTGAACGGTTGCTATGACAGAAGACGGGATGAAAAGGACAATTTGGGCAGAAAAGACATGTGGATGGATTGGACTGTGAAAAGTAGTTTGTTTGAAATGGGCACGGCTGGATGAAAACAATATGGGAAATGGCATGGGAAACTTTTGAGGTGCGCTTACTTGGATGAACGCAGAGAATGAAGGTGCGTTTATGTGAAGAAACGCGTCATGATTCTATGCGCACTAACTGAACGACTGGGATTAGTACAAAACATACCCGGAGAGTATTAAAAGACCTTATATTCCATATCACGAAATAAATATGATCCTGACCTTGCTACTCCGTATGATGTATCTTACCTTGTTATGGAATCGACATTGTGGATGCTTGTATCGCACTAGACAGTAGTATATAGACAGGGACACCTAATATCTTTCACGTACGGCCATAGATACTGGAAAGCACGGGATCCCGTCCGCTCTCCCCTAGTTAAACCAGTAATCGGCGGATTAGTAGTTGGGTCGGTGACGACCAGCGAATACCCGCTGCTGTACGTTTTTGCTTCCTTTTTGCCCGACCGAGGGCTATTTTTAATCTGCTTACTTATCTTATTTTTGTTCATACGGAGTACATACTCCCAATTTTGTATCTGACTTTGGCATTTGAAAACTTGTTTACTTCAATTGGCAAGTAAGGAGTGCGAAGTACGCGTACGGAGTACCGATTTATACAACTACCCACCGAAACCAGTAAGCATGGTCACGTGCATCAAAATGTTACATAAGCAATTATCTGCAAGTATCGCGTCTCGCGTCATAGAGCTGCGGAAACCGGCATCGCAACAATCAGCACAGCTCCCAAAGTCGCCATGGCGCCCGGACAGAAATTGTATCCGCGTGCGACGGTCAAAAAGATTGTGAAAGCCCATGCTAACACGAATCTGAGTCGAAATGCGGATGTGCTTGTGAGTACTTTGCACAATGTTCTTTTTAGTACCCAGCTGACTTTGCAGATATTCTTGGACTATTTACTCTTCATGCAGACGTATGCCTTACCATCTTTGTGCAGCCCCCCCTTGTTTGAATCGCTTTTTAAAACCCGTAACAGACTTGTCAAAGAGGCAGCCATCGAGGCCAAGCGTGGTGGCGAGCGCGGTATCACAGCACGCAGCGTCAAGAAAGTGACCGCGGTCAGTATTCATCTCCTCTGTATTGCACTGGCTCTGGGGCTCCTGGGATATCGGACTAATGTGGAGATGAGACTAGGACACCATTCTGAAGTTCAAAGGATAGCCAGCCTGCGTCTGCGCTGCAAACGAAAGCTGCTCCAAGTACCTGATCGACCGTCCGATTGGCGACCGACATACGACTTGAATGGCAACAATCGTCCATAAAACACGGCCAGAAGACGGCAACAACCGATGCTCAGGTGGCAGGCGGCTGAATAGGCGTCTGCAGACAACGCTCTGATATTTGTATGGGGAGGCTATTGGCCGTTTTGCGACGTTTCGCTTGGCTAATTGAGAAGAGGCCACCATATCATCACGGTGGACTCTTCCGAATCAATATGAGCCAGTGCCGAAGCACGCCTGTTTGAGGCTGAGACGAGCACAATTTCCCATGAGGCGTCCGGCTTCGCTCACCCGTTGCTACATAGTAGGAGAAGTCACTGGTTTGCACGATCCACAGGACGTGGTGGTCTGTGCTGCCTAGGGTACGGAGTAGGCTTCGTCAAGATGTGTGTGGCCAACTCACGTGCCCCGCACAAACAGCATTGCAAGATATCCTAGTAATATAAGACCACGATAGAATATAACTCAGAGATCGGCCGATACAATGGTCCTCTTACGAACAAAGGCAGCAGAGCCCGATGAAAGCAGGCGGAGCATCCGTGAAGCTGTGGGCACTTTTTGGCCGTCGTGAAAAGAGAGAAATTAGGCTAGATGTGTTGCCACAGAGGTTGCGTCCACCTAGTCATAGCGCGTGCCGATGAAGCTCCGTAGGCGTCTTTTGCAGCTCGGTGTCTCTGTTACAGGGGCAGAGCCTAGCAAACCGTGTATACGGTGTCCTGATTGGCCAGCCAGCTAGGCAAGTCGCGTGGGGTAGAAGGCAACCGAAACCAGAAGCAAACGACTTTGTTCGACCTGAATTGGCATCGAAACCAAAAAAAAAATCACAGTTCCGTCAAAACCCAACACAACACAAGCAGCCCAACACAAGCAGCAATAAAACCTACGCCGTGCACCAGCATAGCTATAACCAATACTCGTTCACCTCCACCTTTCTCTTTTTTCGATTGTACTGCATTTGCACCCGCCTTTCGCAGACCAAAGCTTGAGACTATCCTTTTGTTGATATTTGTTCGTCGGTCCTCTTCTCTCTTTGGTTGCCCCCCTATCATTGGCTTGTCTTTTCCCAAGCAGGTGCCGATCCTGGCTTGAAAGAATAATCGTCTGTATTGATTTCTGAATATCCAAAGCTCACACTGTCTTAGTCTCCACTCCACACTATCAGCATTCCCCTCGATTCTAAGAGCGTCTTTCTCTGGCATACCTTTTGAAGAGACTTCAACGACCATGGCCGCGTCCTCAGTCCAGAACCCTGCAGCTGTTACCGAGTCTAAAACCTCTAAGAAGAAGAAGGCCAAGGCTGAGCGTACAGAGTCACCTGCTCCGACCCACGTTGCCACCTCCGAAAAGGATGTCTCTGTCAGCCCAGCAGATGCCACTGGCGAGGAGCTTTCCGAGCCTGCTTACCTTCGTGAGATAGCCAAGTATGCAGATCCCCCAGAGCCTGTTTGTTTTTGCGGGGAAGCGTAGTGCTAACCATGTTGCAGGAACATTCGCAACGTCAACAAGAAGATTGTAAGTCCCGATAATCCGTGACAACCCACGGCTGATTCTTTCGCAACACGGTAAATGCTAACCTTGAACGCAGACCAACGCTTCCAAGACTGACGGTCTTATTTTCGAGAACAAGGACAAGACCCTGGAGGAGCTTGTGGCCCTCAAGATAATCAATGCGGATCAAAAGGCGCAGCACCTGAAGAAGCCCGCCCTTCTGGCCCAACTGGCTCAGTTGGAGGAGCAGTATGCCCAGCTCAAGAAGATTGACTCGGACTACCGCCTGCGCCTGGTTACCGACAAGGCCGAGGTCACCAAGACGCTTACCCAGAAGTTCGAGAAGGAGAAGGCCGGGGCCGTTCTCGCAGCCACGGAGACGGCCGCCGCCGATGCTGAGAAGCACCTCCAAGATTCCCTTCTGACCATCTCACAGTTTCTTCGCCTGGCTGCGGCTCGCCGTGCAGACGACCAGAACTCACAACTGGACGAGAACCTTGCTCTGGAGGGCGTGCTTCTGCAGGTGTACTCTGGCGACGAGAACGGCGTTGCCACCATGCTGAAGCTCGTGCAAGGCGTGGAAGAGACAACAAAGAGCGTGACCAGCGACCCTCTGCAGACTACTTGTAAGTGCTTCGCTGTGGCTTGCTCGTTACCATTGGTCAAAGCTAGAATCTTAACAATGCGAAGATGCCCAGGTCAAGGCTGTCGCGGCCGCCCATGCCATTCCGCTGTACCAGGCCGAGCCTGTCGAGGAGGTCGTTGCCGAAGAGACCCACGAAGTCCAGTCTGACCCGACCATTGCACATGCTAGCCTGACCGAAATCGAGGCTGGCGAGGACGCTTCCCTGGCAGAGGTCGCACAGCTGACCAACGGCGATGCCAGCCACAGCCAGGCTGTCGAGGCTCCCGGGCACATTGCCAACGCGGACGTGGATGACAGCGCTGCCAATGCTGCGGGTGAGAGCCAGTGGGACACAAGCGCCAACCAGTCCAAGGACTTGAGCATGTCCCAGGAGTGGGTCGAGGTGCCCCGGGACCCGGCGGAGACGGAGACCGGCCTGGAGGCAACGCCAGAAGAAGGAGGCAACAAGCAGTCCTGGGCCGACGAGCAGCCCGAGAACCCGCCTGAGCCGGTGAACACTGCGCCTGCGGTAGCACAGGCCGACCCCAACGACGGTTTCCACCAGGTGCAGCGGCACAACCGTGGCCGCAGCGAGCGGGACAACAACTGGCGTGGCCGTGGTGGTGGCTTCCGTGGTGGTCGCGGTCGTGGTGGTGACGGCCGTGGTCGTGGCCGTGGCCGCGGTGGTAACGGTGGTGGCAACGGCAATTTTGGGTACCGCGGCCCTCGCCGGACTGAGGAGGCATCTTAAAGCAGTCCATTTGGGATGGACCAGTGCCGTGGATTGTCTGAGCCCTTGGATGCGTTGTTTGATTGCGAAGCATCGAGGGTGCAGTGCCACGGCCGCTCTGACCTGAAAGAGAGGGCAGCTCAAGGCAGAGCCTTCCTTTGACTGTCCTTTCCCACCAACTTATTTCCCTTTAGGAAGCACCCGTTTCCAACTTTCCAGATCTTTTTCGGCTTCTGCCCAGAGCTAGGTGGCCGGGACAAGTCCTGCGCAACGCTCGCCCATGGTTGGGAGAAGAAACGAAGATGGAAGGGGTCATTGTTTATCTGACCTGGTAGGGATGTGAATTTTGTAACTATAATCATATTGTGGCATATCTTGGAAGCTTAGGAGGAAGGGTGGAGTCCCAATTTTATAGGCATGGAGGGTACGGACTGGAAGCCGGGGTGCATTCTGAACGTCTTCTATTCTGCATGGCGGCCAACGGGGCACATCAACGACATAAACGGCGAGGGAAAAGGAAAACAAAATAAAACAAGAGATTCCACAAGTCCAAGGCCTTGGCGAGACTGAATGCTTGTACGTGGGGCAATGCGAAGCTGTGGCAGCACGAGCTGCTTGTGGCACTCTTGTGACTCTACAGGACGGCAGACAACACGGGACGACGGCTGCAACCAGATCTGTCTGAATGTATGGATGAGTCAGTGGCCGTCAGTCGCGCGTATAAGTGAATGAATGCAAAGGAACGAAAGTATCTAAACCGGCAGTCGTGCCTTTCGCCTTACTGCATTTACCATTGCCTCTACACTTACTGTAATTCTGACCGACATCGACGCCGTCCTGGAGAGAATCGCTCCAATAAGCTCCGATCATGTCCTTGTTGCTTCCAGCCTGTGGTGTAAGTATTTTGCATCTCGCCCGCTTTCCACAGCCGTCCCTAATTTCGCGCTTGTATGGACACCAGGCTCGCTGTATTGGCAATACCTCCTGGACAGCATGTCCGGCCACTGACGCGACTACTTGCCTCTGCGCCGTGGTTGGCACCTCTTCCTCTGTTGTCTTGCAGGCCGTCCAGTCTTGCCTTGCGCACTGCTCGACAACCGACGCTATAGGTGAGACAGACATGTTTGGAAGGCAAATTTACCCTGTCTTTACGCTGACATGCCAGCCAGTGACCCTGTACACACTCGTCCAGATGTGCCCTTCCGCCTGGCCGCACCGCTCACGCAAAGCGTCTCTTCTGGCGCTTTTTGCTATCCAGGCTCCGGCGTTGGCGTGTCTGCTGCTGCGGCTGTGGGTGCGGCGTCAACAGTTGCAGAGGGCAGACGACTATCTCACAATGGTGGTGGCAGCACGTATTCCCCTTGCCATGTCTCTTCTCTCCTTTCTGGGAGGTCGATACTGACAGCTAGCCTAGCCTCTGTTTGTGGCCTTTCTCATCACCGGGCAATACGGTATGCGGTCTTGGATCTGTCCACAATGATACAAATGATGCGTTGCCTGACACAGGCTTCTAGCCGCAGTGGTCGGGTTCGGTGTCGACATCTGGACCCTGTCGCCAGGTGCCATTGAAAAAGCCTTGCTGGTAGGTTGGGAGTTTTGGGAGGGAGGGTGGAAAGAGGGATAACAGTAAATCGGAAGGAGAATATATGCTGACATGCAGGCCTTTTACATTGCTGAGATCCTGTACCTGGTCATTCTCACACTGGCTCGACTGTCGGTATTGTGCCTGTATCTGCACCTTTTTGCACCACTCCGGACTTCCTGCAGAGGCGGCGACAGCCGTGGAGAGGACGGCACTGGAAATGTTGGCTTGAACATGGACGCCGCCCCAGCGACGTCTCCCTCATGGGGTCGCTGCGGCTTCCAGATTGCGGCGCTGGCTATTGCGGTCTGGCTGGTCATTGCAGGCACCGTTTTCCTGTTTCTGGACGTCTTCCAGTGCTGGCCAGTCGACACTGTCTGGCGGTTTGATTTTCTGTCGTCTTCTTCGCCTCCGTCTCCGCGCTGCCTTCCCGTCGGCACCGTCGCCTGTGCCGCTGCCGCCTGTGGCATTGCCCAAGACGCGGTCATTCTCGTGCTGCCGCTTCCAGAACTGGTGCAGTTATGGCGGCGGCTGCCGTCGGCACCGGCACCGGTGGCAACAGCCACGACGGCGGTCATGTTCAGCCTTAGCGTGGTCGTGCTGGCCACCAGCGCCGTGCGGCTGCGATTCCTCGTGCGCTTTGGCCGGTCGGCCAACCCAACGTGGGACGACACCGACAGCCTGGTGTGGTCCGGGGTCGAGGTGTCGGCGACGGTGGTGGTGGCGAGCGTGCCTGCAATCCGGGCAGCTGTGCGGCAGTGGTGGAAGAGGAGGGGGGGCGGCGGCCCTGGTGAGTAGAAGGACGTGAAGAAGCAAGAATAAGATGAGATCTGAACAGTGGTGTCCTAGGCTGGAAAGGGAAGACTGAAGACGAGGAAGACCAAAAGGAATCAAACAGCTCAAACAGCTCAAACAGCCCAATAGCTCAGCTTAACAGCTCAGTCTTAACACACTTTGCCGCCGCTCGCCGATCTTCCAAGCAGCATGCAGATTGCCCAATCAGGGTCAAGAGACGTTGTGATAACATGGATATACGGATGCCATACTCCGTATCAGCGCTTGCTTTCATACTGAGATGCGCGAAATACTACCGATGACGTACGAACCAACCAGTGAGGAAGGAGCACGACCCTCCCACTCCTTCCCCTCGTTTTCCAACGCACGCATCTTATATTGCCTAATTATGGGGCAGCTAAGAACTGCAGCAATTCCACTCGTGCCAGGCTGAGATATTTATTTCACCATCCCGACTGACCTCACCAAACCCCTTGATTTCAACTTCTCCTTCCAGGCCCCCCACACCCTAGCTATTTGGCTGCATCTTATCTCTTGGCGCCAAAGAAGTTTGAGAGGGCCGTACGGAGTAAAGACGCGGCGTTTTTTTTCGTCTGTAGATCCGTCGCTAGAATGTGGAACTGACTAGCCGTTCGACGTAATGCTCGTCCTTTCCATGCTCGATCTCCGTCTGTTAATCCGTCCATAACTGCGTACATACGAGGGGTGGGGGCTACAGAACGGCGAGCTCGTGGGAGGGCACGGGGAGCTGCAAGGGGAAAACCCGCACATCTCTTATCCAGTTCCAATGACGAGAGACTTAGCAAAACATAGGATGTAATACAAAGGTCAAATCTCACTCCCGCAGTCAATGGCAGACGTAAGACGGGGAAGTCGGGGGTGGCAACACGGGGTCAACAGGCATTGTGCTGTTTTATTTACTGCGGTTCTTCTCTATTGGAACTCCTCCGCTATTCTCGTCCGAGCAAGCAGCTGATACACATCCGGACCTTGCCAGAACAGGCGAATCGTTCGACAGTGTCTTGGGGGAAATGTCGCGCATGGCGTCAGACGGAGACGCAAGCAGGAGATTGGTGTCTTGATGGCACGAATGTCGCTCAGCAACTGCGACGTTGTCGAGGCAGGTCGTGAAACAACGGCCGTGCATGACAAAGTTATCTTAGCCTTTGCGGGGACCCCGTTTGCGAGGGAAAAGGCGAGTGGTGGCAGGTGACAGAGCTGCTGCGATAATCGGAGCCTTGGTGAGTTGGTGCGGCTTCTCCGTGTGGAGAATGCCAAAGACAAGAGGGTCAAGAGGAAAAAAAAGGGCAGGCGAGAATTTCCAGGAACAGCCCACGAAGCGGAAACGGAGCAGAGGTAGTCGCCCTTTTGGGACGCTTGGCCAGCGACTTGAGCCAATCAGACAGCCGAACTTACACTCTGGCCTGGCCTTGTCCTTTCTTTTACTCAATTCTCAAGTGTACGCGAAACCGGTCCATCCAACAGCGAGCCACCGAATGCGCGCGACTCATATCGAGGGCGTGCCCGCCCGGGCTCTGCCTGTCCACCTTGGCTTTTGCCTAAGCATGAGGAGAAGGGTGGTGGTGATTCAGAAGAGGCCGGCGCCGAGCTCCGAAAAAGGGAGCTTCCCTGGGGAAAATGATCGCCCACGCTCCAGGACGCATGAGCAGACCGTGAATGGGAGCGTAGTGGGCGGCTGCCGTGTGTTGCAATTTCTTGCTGGCAAGTCTTTTGCAGACCGATTCCTCGCCTTTATTGTGCTCAATGTGTCCTCAATCCCCAAGGCTTCGTAGCCTGGCAGGGCAGCCGCCCTCCCGAAACGGCTCTCTGTTCTTCGCTGGCGAGCCATTTTGCAGCGTGGTTTGGCCTGCTGTCGCCTAGCGCGTCACTGGACCTGAGCGATTCCGGCGCAGCGCCTCTTCTAATTAGTGGCCTACTGCTCTGCTTTCAGCCCCGGGCCCTGCATCTCGCCGCGGGGCCATTAGCTCCCTTCCGTTTGTCGCCACCACCGGCAGCTCTCGAGAGAGAGTCTTGAGAGTCTTGCCACAATAACCCCCCACCCCACCACTTCCGTCGTCGCAGCCAGGCCAGAGTTCCGGCTCGCCTCTCATGCCATGCATTGGCAGGACGTCGCCGAAGCAGGAGGCTAGCTGGCCGCGCGCGAGAAAAGCGTTCTTTTCTGCACTCGCCGTTACACTTTGTTGGCGCAACCATGTTGGTAGCTCAAAACGGCTTTCATTCGCCTGGGAGCTAGCTTTATCGTAGATAAGTATAAGACTGATCCCTCTCCCTCGTCCTGACTCACGCTCCCACTTCTTGTATCTCTTCCTGCTCATCTGCGCATCCCTTCTTCCTTCTCGCTTATTCTGTTCCCATCTTCAACCCTCACCAAATCATCAAAATGTCCAACGTCCCGAGCGAGCCTGAGTTTGAACAGGCCTACAACGGTAAGAGAATATGTGTGATAGATTGGCGAGCTAGAGTGGTGGGAATTGCTGCTGATTCTCTCCAGAGCTTGTCAGCACCCTGGAGAACAGCACGCTGTTCCAGAAGAGCCCCGAGTACCGCATCGCCCTCAAGGTCGCCTCCATCCCCGAACGCATCATCCAGTTCCGTGTCGTGTGGGAGAACGACAAGGGCGAGCTGCAGGTGAACCGTGGCTACCGCGTCCAGTTCAACTCGGCCCTCGGCCCCTACAAGGGCGGCCTGCGCTTCCACCCCAGCGTGAACCTGTCCATGTAAGGAATGGAACGGCAGGTTGTGTGTCCTGGACATTGTCTGACATCTTTGCGGCACAGCCTCAAGTTCCTCGGCTTCGAGCAGGTCTTCAAGAATGCCCTCACCGGCTGTAAGTTGGCTCTCTGTCTTCCTCATTCTGTCTGTTTCACTCGCTGACATGATCTAGTGAGCATGGGTGGTGGCAAGGGTGGTGCCGACTTCGACCCTAAGGGCAAGAGTGACGGCGAGATCCGCCGCTTCTGTGTGGCTTTTATGCGCGAGCTGTCCCGCCACATCGGCGCCGACACCGACGTGCCGGCTGGCGACATTGGGGTGTCTGGCCGCGAGATCGGTTGGCTGTTTGGCACCTACCGGGCGGCCCGCAACAAGTTTGAGGGCGTGCTGACCGGCAAGGGCCTCGCCTGGGGCGGCAGCCTGATCCGCCCCGAAGCCACCGGCTACGGCCTCGTATACTACGTCGGTCACATGCTGCAGTACGCCGGCGCGGGTGACTTCAAGGGCAAGCGCGTGGCCGTTTCCGGCTCCGGCAATGTGGCCCAGTACGCGGTCTTGAAGCTGATCGAGCTCGGCGCCACGGTTGTCTCGGTGTCCGACTCCAAGGGCGCCATCGTGGCCAAGGAGGGCAGCTCCGTCACGGCTGCCGATATCGCCACCATTGCCGACCTCAAGGTCGCCCGCAAGGCCCTGACTGAATTCAGCGTCGAGGACCGCTTCACCTATCTCGAGGGCGCCCGCCCGTGGGTCCACGTCGGCAAGATCGACATCGCCCTTCCGTGTGCGACCCAGAACGAGGTCAGCGGCGAGGAGGCCAAGGCCTTGCTGGCTGCTGGCGCCAAATTCGTCGCCGAGGGCTCCAACATGGGCTGCACCCAGGACGCTATCGACGTCTTCGAGGCCGACCGCAAAGCCAAGAAGACCGCCGCTGTCTGGTACGCGCCCGGCAAGGCCTCCAACTGCGGCGGCGTCGCCGTCAGCGGCCTCGAGATGGCCCAGAACAGCCAGCGCCTCAGCTGGGCCGAGGAGGAGGTCGACAACAAGCTCAAGGACATTATGAAGAACGCGTTCGAGAACGGCCTGAACACGGCCAAAGAGTACGTCGAGGCTGCCGACGGCGAGCTCCCGTCGCTGGTCGCCGGCTCCAACATTGCCGGCTTCGTCAAGGTCGCTCGTGCTATGCACGACCAGGGCGACTGGTGGTCCACGCAGTAAGCAGCTTTGGGAACGGAAAATGGGGGAAACGGGAATGACGATATACCCTGAAGGGGGCAAACCAGTGACGATTGTTTTTTTATCATTTTCTCAATGCATCTGCTAGCGAACTTTCTTGAAAACCCAACAGGGCTGACTAGGTCTTTTTTTTTTCTTCGAAGTGAGTGTGATTGCCGTAAGCTGACCAATAATGTGGTGATCTCATGTCATCTCTCGACTGTCTAAGCCCATACAGCCATTGTCCAATTAGCCCCAAGAGGATCACATTATCGGGGCGGCCTAAAACAAAAGGTTGCTTACAAGTACGAGTACGAGTGCTTGCTGCTCTTTGATCAGACGGTTCGGCACTCTGCATCTTTTTGACTGTGCCGTGCAGTTTGCCACCTCCTTTCTGTCACACGCCAATAGTATGCATTCTTCCGTGAGATTTAGGGCTGTGGCGGCTGAACGGTTTATTTGCGGCGTAAAAGCCGATAGTCAGACTAACGTCAGCCTTTAGAGCAAAACGAGAAGGATTAGACCAGGGAAACTGCGCCTTTGGCAGATGCTCCTTCCCGATGGGTAATAGTCAGCAGCTGCAGGGAAAGATTGGTCACAACATCTCTTCATTCCATTTTCAAGAACCCCGGATGTATCGGTAGTTCGCATAACAGCCACACCATCCACCCTTACGATGTACTCGCTAAGAATCTTGTCGAACACGAGGTGACCAGTTGGTTTCGCTCTGCAGGCTACTTGCACGCACAAATTAAGATAAGATACATGGCGCTTTCGATCGTTCCGTAACATGCCTCTCGATACTCCGTACAGAGTACGATTGCGAGTACTCGTACAGCGGAGGCAGGATCTGCAGCAGAGCAAGCATGCGCCTCTGTCTCGTGCTTTGTCCAATCAAGAGAGAGTCCACTATTCCTATAATGGCAGACGGCAGGAGTCTTGACCAAAAAAAGCGTCCCTCCGTGTCCAGATGGAGAAAAGAATGGATCGTCATCGGGATGAGATGCAGGATAAGCAAGTGTTGACGGGATACGGCGAACACTCAATGGCCCACTCACCTATCCTTGATTGAACAAAGAAGCGCAGCATGGGTCTGAGTACCCAAATCTCCCCCTTACTCTGGTCAAGTTCAGCTGCCCGCAGCATGTACAGGCTCCACGTCGGTATGGCATTGTCCTGTACCCTGTACGGAGTACCAACTCAAATCTCCGCATGGGAGTACGATGTACAGCTTTGGGCACCGCACGGGCACTGCTGTGTGACGCCGCCCACGAGGGAAGATCTTCGGCGACTGGATCACTCTCTCATTGTCTCGGGACCCGGAAATTATCCACGGCCTAATGCGCAATGGGCATCCTTCCAGAAATTCGGGGTATTTTGCTCATATGGCATAGGTGTCTTGCATGCAAAATACAATTGTTTGTACGAGATTCGACAGAGCTGCAACCCCTAGCCGATGGGGCTTGTCTTGATCGTCAGAGCAAGCTTACGACTTGGGCACAATGATTAATATTCCACCCTGCATTTTCGGACGAAGCGAGCGGGATCATGGACGGAGCCCAGCTGAGATGGCTTAGCGCACGCACCATCCCGTCATACGCGGTCCGCTAAGGCTGCACAGATGGAACAATGGCGTTGTCCGTTGCTTTGCTCTGCCGTCTCTCCCGCCGCAGAGAAAGCCACTCTTCCTCGGCCTTCAGGTCTAGACATGTGCGAGGGGGCACAGCCTTTGAACGCCCCTCTGACGAGAGAACGGTCTCTCTGTCTCTCACATCGTTATGGGAGAGACATGCGAAGTATCTTACACGGATTGACCCCGATGTCACCCTAACCCCTGTTTCCACACAGACTTTTCAGGCCACTAGCCAATAGGGTCATCATATTATCCCTATTGTAGTGTTCAGCCTCATTACCAGCTTTGTCAGGACGGGGAAGGGATATCGGCTCGCGTGGTGTAGTCGTGCTCACAAAAGCAGAAGGACCACAACGATGCAACCACAAGCCTTCCCAGCTAACCCAAAGTGGTAGCAAATATGCTGCTCCTTTGCTTGAACTGTCGTCCGACAGGGCCGGATCAGCCTTGGCTAACTGAAGCCAGCATGTGTGAGAGTGAAGCCGCGCGAGCACCGGACAAAGCCCTGGTCTCAAAGAGATGTGCTCGGAACAAGCGGGAGACGTGTACATGGCTTTAAGAGCGTGGGAGGTCCCCCTCCTGCCGGTCATTCCATTCTTACATATTCCATTCTGTGTGAAAACAAGACCGAGCCTCTCATACATCTTTTGCTACCGAGTAAGGCAGCAGTGCACATTGTTCTTGGTCTTTTCTTCTCCAGAGCGTCTCCTTATTCACATCATCACAATGTCGGTGGAACAGCTCGGTGTTTCTGCAGACATGCCGAACCATGGTCAGCTACGGTTTGGCCAGGTGCAGAAAGACAATGGCACTGATAATGCCTATGCCCACACCCTCAGCGGCAGTCTACAATTGCCTACTACAATGTCAATCCGAGCAATGCACACAAAGAAGAGCTCCCTTGAGGATGAGGGATCAAGCTCGGTCCCAGCGCTGAGCTCGTCGACCACTGACTCTTCCTCGGACTCTGATTTATCCTCGGCCGACACAATATATACCACAAACAAGTCCAAGAACAAGGTCACAGGGATATGGCCGGCACCATCTACCGACTCGTCCAGCAATACGGACGGTTCGGATACCAAAAAGTACCCGCGGATTAGCCGGGCAGTTGAGTTAATGCGAAGCTCGTACGACTGTGTTGTCATTGGTTCTGGCTATGGCGGCGGTGTTGCTGCCTCACGCATGGCACGTGCCGGGCAGAGTGTCTGCCTGCTGGAGCTGGGCAAAGAACGGTGGCCTGGAGAGTATCCCTCCAGCACACTGGACTCATTCAAGGACCTGCACTGCTCTGGCGATCTGGCGCCGTCTTCCTTGGGTGGCGTGGATGTCAGCACCGGTCAGCCGACCGGAATGTACCATTTGATCTTTGGACAAGGACAAAATGCGGTTGTGGCTAATGGTACGTTCAGCAAAGGTGTTAGTCGGAAGAGCGCTCTTTTTGCTAATAATATTCTCGAACATTTGCAGGCCTTGGAGGCACCAGTCTGATCAATGCGAACGTATTCTTGCGTGCCGACCCAGATACAATGGCGATGAAAGCATGGCCGAAAGAGCTGCGCAAAGAAAACGCGCTGGACGAATGTAAGATGCGACTGGCTTGTTTCCGTACCATTTGCATCACATATTCTCTTGGCTAACTAAAGTACGATAGACTATGACAGGGTGGAGAGTGTGCTCGAGCCTGAGGCATACCCAGATGACTGGCCGACACTTCCTAAGCTAGAGCTGTTGAAGAAGCAGGCTTCCGCTCTCCAGATGGAGGACAAGTTCAGCAAAGTCAAGCAGACGACGCGGTTCCGAAACGGCCCCAACAGCTGCGGCGTGGAAATGACGGCCTCTTCTCTCACAGGCCAAGACTGCACTGGATTGAACGACGGGTCCAAGACGACGACTCTGGTCACGTATCTGGCGGATGCTTGGAATTGGGGTGCCGAGATGTTCTGCGAGTGCGAAGTACGCTACGTCGAGAAGGTCACAGATGAGCGCGGCGGCTACCGCGTCTATTTTGCCTGGCACGGACGCAACCGCGGACGCTTCAAGGCGGACATGTACAGCGATCTCATGTGGGTGTACGCGCGCGATGCCGTGTTCCTGGGAGCTGGCTCCCTCGGCACGACGGAGATCCTGCTGCGCAGCAAAGCCATGGGCCTGGGACTCAGCGACAAGGTGGGCCAGGACATGAGTGGAAATGGAGACATGCTGGCGTTTGGGTACAACACGGACCAGACGGTCGATGCGATGGGTCGGGAAAAGCCATTGCCGTACCGTCCGATCGGACCGACAATTACCGGCGTGATCGACAACAGAGACGGGCACAAAAACCCTTTGGACGGGTATGTGATTGAAGAAGGTGCGGTGCCTCACGCACTCGCGGGCCTGCTGCAGACCATGATCGAGCTGATGCCAGGTTCGGTGGCGTCCAAGCACACCTCTGTGATGGAGCGTGCGCGGGAAAGTCTTGCCAGCGTGGGCAGCCAGCTGCTAGGCCCATACTTCCGTGACGGGGCGGTGGAAAGGACGCAAATTTATCTGGTGATGTCCCACGACAGTAACCAGGCGGTGCTGTGCCTCCGTGACGACAAGCCGGTGCTCGAGTTTTTGGGTGTCGGCCGCAGCGAACATGTCAAACACATCAATGGCGTCCTCGCCAAGGCGACGGAAGCAGTAGGCGGCACGCTTGTGGGCAGTCCATTCTCTGCGCTGATGGGACAGGAGATCACGGTTCACCCGATTGGGTAAGTTGATTGCTTGATCCTGGAGGAGGAGAAGCAGGATCCGATGGCTAACAAAGCAGGGGTGCATCCATGGCACCAGACGGCAGTGGAGTCTCGGGAGCGACGGATCATATGGGCCGACTGTTTGCAGGAAACGGCAGCGATGTGCACGATGGTCTGATCGTGACGGATGGCGCGGCTATCCCGACGGCACTGGGTGTCAACCCGCTGGCGACGATTGCGGCTCTCGCTGAGCGGTCGGTGCAGCAGTATGCAACATCGCGAGGGCTGCAGATTCGGACAGAGAAGAACGGGGTCCTGAATCTCTTCGGCAAGCCGGCACACCAAGCCGATGACTACAACAACAGCCACAAGGCCTTCTCGACCGCTTACGAACAGGCTCAGGAACAGGAAGATGCCGACGAGGAGAAACAGACGAAGGTGGCAGACGGGATTATCAGGCGGGCAGAGTCAGAGGACGCCAGTGGGTTTGGATTCACGGAGGTCATGTCTGGCTTCCTCCACAGCGGCGACATCAGCGGCAGCATGGCGACAGACGAGAGGCAGGCATACGAGCTGGGCTACCGGACGGGCAAGAGCCTGTGCGAGAGCGCACGGTTCTTCCTGACGGTGCAGAGCTTCGACACGGAGGAGATGGTCAGCAGCACCGGCCACGAGGCAATGCTGACGGGAACATTTGTGTGCCCGACACTGCGCGGATCGCCGTTCATGGTGCAGCGCGGCGTCTTCCGGCTGTTTGCGGTCGACAGCAGGGCGCCGGGGACGCGCAACCTGACATACGACTTTGACCTGCACGGCACGGACGGACGGACGCTGCACTTCCACGGCTACAAGGTGGTGGACGCATCGGTGGCGCTGGCGCCGCTGCAGTTCTGGCGGGCGACAACGACGCTCTTCGTGACGGTGACGAAGGAGGAGGTGGTGGTGGCCAAGGGGATGATGCACATTGGAGCAGCAGAGTTTGCGTCCGAAGTGATGACGATGACGCCGACAGGAAGTCGACTGCTGCAACGGCTGGCGAGCACGAACAGCTTCCTGTCATACTTTGCACGACAGTCACTGGGGCTGCTTCTCGGACCGCTGGCACGGCTGCAATATCCAAAAGCGACAGTGACGGGATTCAGCAACGATACGACACCGACGCGAGTGTGGACAGACATCCGGGCGTCTGACGGCGTGCACACGCGCATGTGCATGTGGGAGCCACTAGCAGCGTACGTGCCTCGCGGAGCAGACGGACAGGCCGGCGTGGTGCACAACCTGTTCATGGTGCCGGGAGCGGCGGTGGACCAGCAGATCTTTGCGACGCCAACGATCCCGTTCAACGCGGTCAACTACTTCAACCGGGCAGGCTATCGCGTGTTTGTGACGGTGCCGCGGATTGGACAGGTGAAGGAGGCCGAGAAGGGCTGGACGACATATGATGCACGACTGGACATCCGGGCGTGTTTGGAGCACATCCGGCGCGAGTACGGTGGTGGAAAGACGGGGGGGGACGAGACGGGACAGCCGAGCCCGATATACACGATTGCCCACTGCATGGGATCAGTGGCTTTGTCAACAGGACTCCTGGACGGAACGATCCCGGCGTCCTGGCTGCTGGGCCTGAGCTGCTCGCAGGTCTTCATGAACCCGATCTGGGCGACGTCGAACATGGCCAAGGCGCGAGCAGGACCGGTGCCGATGGACCGAGTCTACCGGCTGCTCGCAGGGCCGTGGTTCAGCTGCTCGACCAGTACCGAGGACTCGTTGGTGCAGCGGACACTCAACCAGGCGCTACGGCTGATCAGCGCGAGCCGGCGGGCGGAAACGTGCAGCAGCGCGTCCTGCCACCGGGTCAGCCTCGTCTTTGGGCGGTGCTGGAACCATGCGAACATGAACGAGGCGACGCACCGGCAGATCGATCGCTTCTTCGGCGGCGTGCATATGCGCATGTTGCAGCTGCTGATGCGCCAAGGCAGCCAAGGTCACGTGATGACCAATGCGCCCTACTTTGCTATTCTCGACACGCCCGCCAACGTGGCCCGGCTGCGTGGCCTGCCAATCTTCCTGTTTGTCGGCAGTGACAACGTGGTGCTGTCGCCGCTGGCGACCGAGACGACGTACGAGGTGTTGTGCGATACGTTTGGCGGCGACGCGGCCGAGGCGCAGTACGGCCGCCGTGTCATTCCGGGCTACGGCCATCTTGACTGCTGGATGGGGCGTCAGGCCTGGCGCGACGTGTATCCGGTCGTGCGCGCCGAGGTCGACCGGGTCGTGCACGGGGATGGCTACCGCTTCCGGGAGCCGGACGCGACTGTCTGTCGGTTTACGCGGATGATGGAGGCGGGTGAATTGTAAGCTGGGTAAAGTCTGTATTGCGGGTTTGGGTTGGATGGTTTTCTTATTCTGGGTATTGAATATCGGAGTTGTGGAAGTTTTGGTTGTTTTAAAGAGGCTTTCTAACTATTCTGGATGCTGGTGATCCATTTGAAAAACTGCATTTAAATATTATCTACAAGTCACGTGGGCCCGCGGCGTTACGTCTTGAGGTCTGACGCGCAATCGTGCCACGCCTCCCCTCCACATTGTTCACAATTAGCATCACATTTCCTTTACAACAACACTCCAGCGCCCGGCTCCGCCTTCGCCACCAGGCATCTTTAGAAGGAACCTAGATTTCCCTGGAGAAATGCATCTCTCAACGGCCACTCGAATCTAAGCCAAGGCCCGATTCTACTGCATCGTCCAGCATTCAAACGGCCTGCCAGAAACAGGCCGTACGACTCACAACTGATCAGGTATACATACGAGTATGTTATCACTGAAGAGTCGCATGACAACTTCTTGCGAGCCGTTTTCAAGTTTCTAGATGTTCGAAGGGGCAATACTTGATCCGAAAGAAATCGGTGACTTGGCGGAGCTTTTTTGTACATTGTTGACTGCTTGATGGATTGTTCGACTTCTTACACTACTTTGTCTTATCTCGCTGATCGAGAAAGCCAAGAGATCCGATTCGACTGGGTCTAAATGATTTGCGACGGACGGACACCGGTGTATTTATTCTGGGATTTGGAACATGGGGAGCGTCAATGCGGGGATGGTGAACCCGCCCGCGACTGAGACATGCTTGCCGCTTGACTGCGCTCATGTAATTTTTTTCGCCTTGGGATCCTTCGATGCCACGGACGCAGTCCAGACTCGGAACAATGCCATCATATGGTTCGCTTTGCATCGATACTTTCCAGAGCTGCGGGGCAAGCTGTCAGGCCGAGGCTTCGCCAAGCCTGCCGGGCAGACCAACTACGATTGCCCAAAAGACGTTACAGAGGGCTGGACGGGGACGCTGAGATCCATGGAGTACTTTCTTCGACAGAGAGAATATTCCGGTTGAGAGCATCCGCTGACGAGCGTGAGAGTTCTTGCGTGATATAAAAATGTCAATTCGTCGGGAAACATGTTTCTGCTTCTCATTAACAAGCACACCACGATCGCATCCTTGCACGTACCTGCAACAGATTCTAAGAGTTTAAAAAGAGTTGCTATTCGGACTAGACTTTATGTTGATCAGACTGATTATAAGAAAATTGTGACAGGGTAAGATACATCAGATACATCTTTCGTCTTTACCGCCTCCATTTTCAATCAACCAATATCTCCCTGCCTAGAAACTCTTTCCGACGTAGGTTGTGAACACTACATATTACATTCCTCCAACGACACAGGAGTACTCCGTAGGTTGTACGCCGTTGTTCTGCCGGGGGTAACCAAAGCGCGTTTTTTGTCGCAATGACGGGGGTGCTTGCCTGAATCCAGCTTCAATGTCGATAGTACGACACTGGTTTTCGCGGAGGGTAGAAAGCGAAGGGGAACTCGGCGGGCCCGTGAAGAGGTGTTGCCGGCTCGGCAGTATATCTGCCACCAGGCAGAACGCCAGCTCGTTTTATTATAAGATACAGCGGCTGTTCTTCGATTAGCGCGTTAATGACGCTGCTCTTGTACGCTGCCTTCCCTACGCCGAACTTAAGTCGTCTTTGCCCATTATCGATCGTCCCTTGCAGCACTGGTCAAAGCCAGGTACTCCGTAGAGAAGCAGCCATCATCGCGACTGGCACCACTTAAAGTTCAAAGCCAACAAAGGTACGAAATGTAAAATGCATAGAGGTACAATATTTTATATACAGTTTGCTAGCCTTTTTGGGGTATCGCGCGTGACTGCCTCCACCGTACGACGTACTAAAAAGCGTAGTAGAAACTCGGGAATCAGAGCCTAAACCGTAGTTCTGGCTCGTCTGTTTATTTCATCGCATTGCTTTTCGTCCACGACTTTTATGACCTCCTCCGCACGACGCCGGCGTTCAGCATAACAAGCCAGCCGTTGCGTCAACCCACACGTAACAAAACCAAAGACGGAATAACGCCGGAGAGATGAATCACAGCAAAAGAGCAGGCCGGTATTGCCAAGGACTCTGTTGAAACAGAAGCCTGATTAGGGCTACAGCTCGGTAATAAATAGAAAACAGCCAGCACGCCAGCAAAAAAATGCACGCAACCGACGCCGGGTATCGATTCAGTTGAGGAAGCCCTTGCAGGCGGTCGTGCCGCAGAGACAGGGCACCCGGTCTTCGGGATTGTCCTCGGGCTCGAACTTGTAGTCGTATGTCAACTCCTCGTCTGATTTGTCAGCTTGTCTCTTTCTCTCTGCCTTCTTTGCCTTCTCTCTCCTCTTCTCCTCACTTACTCTGTCCAATGTCTCGCAGCGCATAGATCACGATCCGCTTGCTACCCTCGACCTTGATGATCTTGGCTGTGCAGTTCGGCATGCAGCTGTGGTTGATGAAACGAGCGATGCCGCCCTTCTTGGTGGCATCGATGACGGTGCCGTCGTCGATGCGGAACAGATAGCTGCTGCCGATGCCCGCGCGGATGTACGCCTTTTCGCGGATCGTCGCCACCGACTGCCGCACCTCTTGGCCAACATATTCGATAATCATATCGTCCTTGGGAATGCTCTCCATCGCATATAGTCCCCAGTTGTGGATCGCCGACCGTGCAAACTTGACCGTCTTCTTGCGTTTCTTCAACTGGTTGAACCGGAGCGCGTCTGCATCCTGGCCCAGCGTCCGCTTCTGGTCGTTGAGGTCCGCCACATACCGCCGCTGGTTCACCCGGTTGGCCCGCGACGTTCCCCGACCGGTTGCCGAGCTCTCCGTCGCGACCTTGGCTGCTGCGACTGCAGCCGCTTTGCCTGCCTTTCCCGCCTTGGCCTCGCGTTCCTCGCGTGCCCGCTTCACCTTCAGATGGTGCGGCAGATACTTGGACTTCTCCGAGTTGAGAATCTTCTTCACGCCTTCCGTTCGTGCACATCCCGTCGCATTCGGCACATAATAGCCTTCGATCCGGGGTCGTCGCTCAGCCTCTGTCGCCCCGATCAACGCTGGTATCGCTGCTGTCGTTCCCTTGCGCCCGCTCGTTGCTGTTGTTGTTGCTGTCACCGCTGCCGGCAGCGGCACCTCTTCGGCATTCAGCTGCGTCAACCGCTCGTGTCGCCACAACCACAGTTCCGCATCGCTGCTCGTTTCGCAGCTCGCGTTGCTGTCACCAAACCGCTTCGCCAGCTTCTCGCCGTTCGGCAGGTCGCTTCTGTGCAACCCTAGCATCCGGATCATCTCTAGGCTCGGCCGGAATGCCTCCGGCATCAGCAGAGCTCGTGTCGGCGCGTGGGCAAACAGAACCGGGTTGAACGGCGCTCTTCTGTCCACCGCCTCGTCGCCAGGTGCTTGCTTGTCGTCGGCTGCAGCAGTCATCTTCGGCTGGCTCGTCGCTGTCGTCGCCGCTGCCGTCTTTCCAGCCCGTCCTCTGGCCTTGGTCTCCATTTTTGTCGGCGCAGCCACAGCTGCCGGCTCTACTGCAGCTTCCGGATCCGGCGTCTCGTCCTCCTTCCCGACGGCTGCTTGTTCCGCCTCTTCTTCTTGTTGTTGCCGCAGTGCCTTCCGCTCCTCGAACAGCTGCTTCTTCGTCTTCTTTGCCTTCCGACCGGCCTTTTTCTTCTTCTCGCCGCCCTCGTCTGACAGCACCTCGGCTGCCAGCGTGGACGATGCCGTGGTCACAATGTCAGCCGCCGCCGGTAGCACAGACTGCGCGTCGTCGTCGCCGCCGACGTAGAGCGCGTCGGTCAGCGGGAACTTGGTCTCGCCCGCACCCAGAGCGACGTCAAACAGCTCCTCGTCGCTCCTCTTCTGCCGCTTGAGCGCAGAAGACATGTGCAGGTCCAGCTTGCGCTTCTTGACTGCCACCTTTAGCGGCGCCTCGACCTCGGTTCGTGCTTCGGACGCATCGCGCACTAGCGAGAAGCTCGACTCCGTCATCGAATCTTCTTCCGGCCCCCACGGCTTCTTTGCCACCCGGTCCTCCTCCTCCTCGTCCTCCTCGTCCTCGGCATCGCGCTCGCCATCTGACTCCCGCGACTCCGGCTCCTCGGTGTCGCGTACGAGCGGGAACCGTGCTTCCGTATCGTCTTCCGAATCCTCGTCGCTGTCGGCCTTCAGCCGGTGGTGCAGTGACCGGAACGCGCCGCGCGTCGTTGGTGGCCGCGTGCGTTGTCGTGCAAACGGGTCGAACAGGCTCTGCTTCCGCACAGCCGCCAGATTCGTCGCGCCCTTCGCCTTGCGGATCCGCGGCAGAGATGTGACGTCCAGCCGGCCAGTGCGCCGCTCGATCGGATCGGCCCTGGAGTTCGGCGTGCTGATCGGTGACGGCTTTCGGCGTCGCTCCTCGCCATCGTCTTCGTCAAACAGGATAGCCGAGAGCCGCGGCGCCTCGGGACCGCCAATGTTCAGCCGCCGCCTCTTCGCCACGTGGTTCGCCGGGTCCAAGTATGTGAACAGAGACGGTGCTGCCACGTGGGCCCGGATGTGCCGGATAAGGTGCTCGACCAGCTCAACCTTGACCGAGTTGATGGCCGCCTTGACCGGGTCAAAGTTCTTGGCCCTCTGCTTTTTCTCTTCCTCCAGATCAACCTCTTCGTCTCGACGCATCTGTGCCTGCTCATCGCGCAGCAGCTGCGCCTCTGTCTTCTCTACCACAAGGCTGTGAATTCGTTTGTGGCCCTGGTTTTGGTTTTGGTTTTGATTTTGATTTTGATTTTGATTTTGGCCGGGAGCCGGAGTCACGGCCGAAGTAGCTGCCGCACCGGACTCTTCCGTCTGGTCGGACGAATAGCCTCGTGCATACAGTTTCATGACCAGTTCGTACGTAAAGAATGACGTGCGGTGGGCGGCCTGGAAGCACCGTTCTGCCTCCAATCGACCAGACGAGCTGTCCCGGAAAACGATGAAGTAGCCAGACCGATCAGCCCGGATATCCTGAAACTGATGCGTCTTGAGTCTCTTCTTCATATGTGCAATCGTCTTGAACACTACCGGCACGTGCTCCGAGCTGACAAAGATGAAAGGCGTGTGCTCGAGCTGGACCGCTATAGGAGTCGCCTCGATGCTCAGTCCAGGTGCCATGCCGGCCATCGGCCGCATAGCCGGGCCTCGTGGCAGCTGATGGGCGCCTGCAACACCCATCGTGCCGGGCGTGACCGCCATGGTACCGGTGGCACTCTTCAGGACACCAGCAGCAGCCGGATTGTTAGCCACGGCCGTCTGCTGCATGCGAAGCGCAGCAGGCCCCTTGGGAGCCGTTGGTGGGGGTCCGGGGACAACACCACCACTGAGGCCTCGAGGCGCAGTAGGTATTCTCGTGCCGGCATTTACGACTGGCATAGCTGGACCAGCTACACTGTTCTTCTCCTTGTCGCGGCGCAGAGTCTCCTCCAGCAGGCGGCTGCTCTTCTTGCCCTCAGGGTCGTATTCGACCCGGATTGCATTGCCCTCGATCCGGGTGCCGTTCAGATTGCGAACTGCGCGTCGAGCGGCGTCAATGGCCGCGATGCCGCCAGGACGGAACCGATTCGGCTTGGCATCGCGGTACCGAAAGGTGCCGAAGCCGAGATAGCTGCCGGTCTCAGGGTGCATCTTGTTGCTGCTCTCCGCGATCTCGCCCAGAGATGCAAACATGGCAATCACCTTGGTAAACGGCACCAGCGGGTTGAAGCCCGTCACCAGAACCTGGGTCGGTGGACCGGGTCCAAGAGACGTCCGGGCATCGTACGCGTACGGTCGCAGGTCATATGGCGCATGGCGCAGCCGGGCTCGAGCGAGGTGGAAGTCCACGTTGATGTAGTTCAGCCGACCGCTTTTGGCGAGGCGGGGATCCTCAGGGGGGACATCATCTTCCTATACAATTTGCAACGAGTATTAGCACGTAGAACATTTTCAAAGATGACACCCCCCCTGAGACCCGATTTACTCCCTACTTCCTCCTCTTGCGGTCCCATTTCTCCCATGTATATATGTATGTATATATGCAGGCGTTTGCTGGCGCGGGTAGGTAGGTAGGCAGGTAGCTGGGTGGCTGTCCTCGAACACAACGGCCTCGTTGGCGGTGGCAACGCGTCTTCTATACTTGCAGTGCGATACGTACCATTCCAAACTCCACGTACACGGCCTTTCCCTTCCGTTTCAGCTCAATGGTCGAGGACAGATGTTTGTCGTCGGGCAAGAGGGGGTCATAGGCACACGATATGCCCTTGACAGCACGGCCTGGGTCTCGGGCAGGTACGCGTTCGGACGCGACGCGGAGAGAGTGTGGAGGAGTGGTGTCGGGGTGAGTCGGCTGCTGGAGAGATGTCGGAATCAGCGTCGGGGGTGTTGCTGTCGGCTTGGAGGACGTCTGCTCATTAAGCAGATCAACCTGTTGCTGCTGTTGCGAGGCGCCCGGCTGTAGGGCTGTCCCAGGGTAGGAGGGCGAGCTATCGGTTGTGAGGGGGGTGAGGTAGCTGCTGGCACCCGTGCTGCTGCTGGTAGATGGGGCTTTGGACGAGCCGAATGTGCGGCCGTTTCCGTTGAATGTCGCAGACGTCGAAGTGCTCGCATCGCCCAACAGCGATTCGCTGTCGTCTGTGGTGTATGATGGCGGCTGGACCGAGGCGGCGAGGCCGTTCAAACCGGATTTCGCCACCGCCAACGCCGCTGCCGATGCCGACGCTTCTGGGCCATCGCGAGTGAATGACGACTGCTCGGCAGCGCGCAATTTGGCGCGCTCGCGTTCCATCGCGGTCGCACGATCCCGGGCCGCTCTGGGCGCCGCCGGGAAGAACTGCGCAAAGCCTGCACCAGACGGCGGAGGCATCGCGACTCCGGGAGAGGGGGGGAGGGGGCTTGTTCACCTATCCCAGAGTCCTCCGCTCACCATACCTCGTCGCGCTTGGAGATGCAGCCGTGGTGATGCATGTGTGGATGGATTCGGAGAGTGGCGACGCTGAAAGACCGTTTTGGAGAAAAGAGAAAAAGGGCAGTACAAGGGGAGGACGGAAAGGGATATTAAGAGCGGACAGAGAGCGCGGACAAGAATGAGAAAAAAGGTCGACAAAGACGAAAAAAGGCCAGGGAGAGCTGAGAAATTGGGGAGATCGCGTTTTTTTCCCCGTCCCCTATTTGGCCCTTAGCCCGCTCTGCCCTATATTTCTGCACTCCGGGATGGTGAGCGCGCCTGGCCAATGCGAGAGCGATCGAGCGACCGTTCGACAGCGATCGGGCAGAGCTGAAGCGTCCAGGGAGGAAGGGGGGCCTGGGAAGGTTGTTGGCCTTTTTTCGGGCAGGACTGGTTGGCTGATGGATGAGTTGTGTTTGGGATGCAGTGGCGGCAGATTGGATGGACGTCAAACCCGAACAAGACGGACCACGCGCAAATCCTCCCAAAAAGGGCAGTGCAAGAAAAGAGCGGACACGCGACGGGGGCTCCTGCCGGGTCGCGCAAATGCCTTGTGGCTGGTGTGTCCTCGCAGGCGGTGAGGCGGAAAATTGGGATGGGAAATTGCAATCGCAGCGTGCTTGGCCGGACAAAGAGGTGAAAGAGAACACCACCCTCCCGCGACAAAGAAAGCTAGAGCGAGCGGCGGCGCATGCGCATCGATGTGAGGTAGGTAGAATCCCGACAATAGCGGCGGCTGTCTGCAGAAAATCGGCTGCGGAACGCATGAGGCTTTGGCTAAATGCAACACAAACGGAGCCACTTCTCAGCCACACCGCTCCAGCCGGGCAGGCCTCCTTTTTGCTCAAAAAAGGTCTCCACTTTTGCGCTTACCGCTTCTGCCTGACTAATGTCACATTCAACCTGCAAACCGACAATCGTATGTTTGCTTGTCACTAATACCAGTCTGTCGCTACTCTCCAGAGCGCACAATGCGTATAGCGAACAGAAAGAACCGAAATGAACCCAGAAATAAAATTGAAGGAAAACTCCTTGTACGAATGATTAATGTGTTCCCCGTAAAGTGTGTAATGGCCAGACGCCCCAAAACTGCAAGCCCTGCATTCAGAAAACTAAAACTGCACGTCCAGCTGGAAGTCGTCGTCCAGATCGTCGTTGATCACCGTACCCGCCCCGCCCAATTCGCCCGATTCTTCTTCGACGTCAAAGATCGACACAAATGCAGGAGTCCTCGTAGAGGCGTCGCCGTCGTCGTCGTCGGCACCCATGCTGACAACCTCTTCTGTCGTCACGGCCCCCATCTCAGCCTTATACACCGGTGTTACAGCAGCAGAAGACCCGCTCTCCAGCACGCCGCCAGCTGTCCTTGGCCGTGCAGTGACTGCAGAGCGCCCTGCAGGCGGACGGCCGGCCACCGTATTCCCTCGCACAAGCGACAGTGCAGTCCGGCCCTTGGTGTAGCCGAGCGTCGTGCGGGAAGCCGTCTCTGCAACGGCGTAGTGGCTGGTCTTGGGCCGGTGGGCCAGCACCGACTTGGCTGGCAGCCCTTTGCGGAGTGGTAGACCAGATACGAACGTCGACGATGAAGACGCCGCTGTCGCTGCCGTCCGGACGCCTGCAGGCCTGCCGACCTTGGACTGCGGCGGGCCGCTCTTGGCGCCCAGGGCCAGTGCTGCTGCTGCGTTGCGAACGGCAATCGTTGCTGGCGCTTGTTTGGCCAGACCCGTTGTCTGTGTCTGTGTCTGCTTCTGCTTCGCGACGAAGCCCTTACTGGCCGGCACGTCTCCAATGGACCAGTCGAGCGAGTTCAGATCGTCCTGCACGCATATGTCGAGCTTCTCAAACGCCCGTTGCTGCTTCTCGGCCAGCTCCTTGTCCCGTCGGGATAGCCCGTTCGCATCGACCGGGTTGTAGTAGTGGTCGTAGTAGCCGCGCAGCCGATTGGCCGGCCGGAACGCCGCAAACGTGAGCGCGCCGTTGGGGAACACATCCGATTCGAACGGCCGTGCTACCACCGGCGGCGGTGCGTATTCCACCTCGGCGTTGTCCCGGTCGCCTCTCCCGCCAGCCCGCTTGTCGTTCAGCACCGACAGCTTAGACGGGTTGACACGCGGCGAGATCACACGGGCCCGTCGTGTCGACGTCGGCTGCGCCTGCTGTGCTGACTTCTCAATCTCCTTGATCCGCTCCTTGACGCCCTGCTTCTGCAGCTGCTGCTGCTGGTGCTGGTAGAGCGTCTGGGCCTTTGCATTGGTCGTCTTGTTGCCCAGAGGTGCTCGTACAGTTCTCGGCTCTGTTCGTGATCCGCTGTCAGCGTCTCGTCCGCGGCATCGATCAGCACTCACAAAAATACCTACCACGAGGTGTGGCCAAGACGCCAGCCTTGCCCGCCTTCCCGACCGTCTGCTGCATGTTCTCGATCCCCCCACCAAGCCGTCCTCCCAAGACGCTTCGGCCGGCCGCCAGCCGCGTCGCTCCGTTCTGGTCGTTAAACGGCATCTTTTTCAGCGGCGTCTTTGGAAACTTGGCTCCCGGTGTCTTCGGCTGTAGTGCTTGCTGCTTTCCCGATGCACCGCCTAGGCTGTGTCCAATTAGGCGATTTTCCTGGTCGTGTGCTGCGAGCATGATATCGCAGATTCTTTCGGTCTCTCCGCGCGAATGGCGTCTTGGGTGCAGTGCTCGATCTTATATACTCCCGGCTGTTCCTTAGGATTAAGTAGCATTCGGGTCTCGTTCCAGGCTCTGCCGAATTCGATCAGTTGTTGTCCTTGTTTCGTCCACGAATGTGGAGTCCTGGCTCTCTATGGTAAGCAACTAGATTTCCAACATACTCCGTATTTTCTACTACTTGTTGGTAGGGCAACGGAATCTGAGCTTGCAGGCAGATGCTATTTCCCACCCACCAATCAAACGCCCGCGTTCGGCAAGAGCAAACCCCTGGACTTTACCGTGTAGAAAGCCGTCCTGAAACCCGCTGGACTCGTTGACAAACATACTTTGCAGCGTCTCCAGACGAGATAGGTGCACCCCACTCATCGCTTGCTGGAAGGCCTGTGCCCCTCCTTCTTGATCACGCTGCGCGCAACCACCATAGTCGCAAAGCCTCTGTCCTCCACAGTAACTCCCAGAAAAAGGAGGGGCCGTTTTATTGGCACCTGCCTCCACAGACCCATTTCCCCTTTCGCTATATTCTTCATCAATCTGCAATCTGCCAGTCTACGACTTCCTAACTGTTCTTCTATCCGACCATCTATACGATCCGCACATTTTCACCCTCTCCTCTCTATTCATCGCTCCCAGCAGCCGTAACACGTCTTCACCATGGACCGCATCAAGGAGGTTAGTACAAGCCTGAGCTCCAATCGTGGACACCCCTCCATCCATCTTCCCTTCCCCCCTACTCTGGCCACCTGTCACAGAGACCGGCGTCATTCCTCATAGTCTCCCTTTCCCGAGCTGTACTCTGCCGTCGAGCCGACTACGGCCATAGCCCCCCAAGGGAATACGGAATGGGGCAAGATGCGTTGAACTCTTGTGCTGACCGCCCTCTTCCGGCCAACAGAAAATGAACCAGCTTCGCCTGGAGGCGGACGAATCGCTGGCCAAGAACGAGGAGCTCCAGGCCAAGCTCAAGACGCTCGAGCAAGAGGGTCTTTCCAAGGAGCAGGAGATCACCTCGTTGTCGCACAAAAACGGCCTGCTCGAAACGGAGGTGCAGAAGCTCGAGACCGCTATCGCCGACTACAAGAAGGCCGCCGATGAGGGCCTCCAGCATGGCACACAGAACGAGACCCTGACCCGGAGACTGCAACTTCTCGAGGAGGAGGCAGAGAACGCTGACAAGACGCTCCGCGAGGCAAACGAGAAGTATGTCAAACCTCCGCGTGTCGTCACCTCCACTTTCTTCCAGCACGCTCAGAAATACCCACTGTCCACCAAAGGTGACCCCTTTTCTTCTTCCGAACTCTCCTTACTGACCCCTCCCTCTTCTCCCTTCCTACAGGCTGCGGCAGACTGACGTCAAGGCCGGCCACTTCGAGCGAAAAGTCCAGGCACTCGAGGCCGAGCGCGACCAATGGGAGGCCAAGTACGAGGAGATGGCCAAGAAGTACGCCACCGTCCAGAAGGAGCTGGAGGAGTTCCAGGTCGAGATGGGCAACATTTGAGCTACGCTATCGCCTACAGTGTCCGGGGAGCCAAGCGGAGGTGGCAGATACGGCTTTGGAGCAGAGAGAGGAAACCAGATGGACGTCCTCCCCAGCACAGAAAATGGCGGCTGGCATCGACTTGTTTTGACCCAGTTTTATGGGCTGTTTACTTACTTCTGGCAAGACCATGATCTTACATCCACCAATACTGCATATTAGTTTTGTCGTTCTTGTTTAGAGACCAGGCACTGCAAAGGAGACGGAAGGTTTGTGCTGGTATCTCACGCCCGGATTCTCATATATGCCTATACTTCTCCCACTTCTGTCCTGTGCTCCTGTGCTTCTTTGCGTCTTTGCTCGAGTTTTTCAAAGGTCTATGTGCTTGTTGTCATATCTCATTTCCGTATTACGAGAGTCTTCATATAGCCAAAGACGATCTCTGCAGGCGGCTACCTCTTCCGCTTTTGCTTCGATTTCGACATCTGCCTTTCGATCTTGTTCTCGTATCGAAACTTGACCTTCTTTGACTTCTTCGGCCACACCTTCTTCTTCTTGTCTTTTCCGCTCTCCTTTTCGCCGTCCTTCACCTTGCCGCCCTTGTCGCCCGTAGCGTCACCGTCGCCGTCTTCCTCACCGTCATTACTGCGGTCGCTATTGTCATCCTCGTCTGCACGGCCGTCCAGCCGGTGCATCCCATCCCGGTCGACATTTACAGCCTCCACGGTCACGGTCGTAAATCGGTCTTCGTCGATGTATTCCTCTTCATGGTTAACAAACTCTGGCTGGTTGTCTTCGTCTGCAATGCCACTCCACTCCTCGTCGTACTCCTCGTCGTCCTCGTCTACTTCGCCTCCTGCCAGACGAGCAGTTCGAAGTGCATCGTTCACTTGCTGCACATGGTCCTCGACAGCTTGCTGCCGTTGTTCCCTCAACTATGTTGGGCGCATCTTGTCAGCGCTCTTCCACGTACCACAGAGAGCGCAAGAGAGCTTACATGTTTCCGGAACTCGATCTTCTCTTCGCGGGCTTTTTGCGCTGCTATTTCTTGCGCGTCTTTTTGCCGTTGCACTTTTCGCTTGTGGAAACCCGTCAGGTAGTCTGCTCGAGCGGTATCGTCAAAGTTGATCTCCTCAATGGCATAATCGGTCCTTCGCCTCCGCTTGGGAGGAGGAGCGCCCAGTCCGTCCTTTTTGGGGCGTGGTTTCGCAAACATAGTCTCTGAATTTTGTTGGCCTTTTGGTGTCGTTCTTGATATTTCCAGAACTGGAGGATAAGAAAAAAAAATCGTCTTAGTTAGGCCCGCGCCAATCTACAGGCGCTACGGCGTGGTACGAGTGCTATAAGCCACTGCCGATAAGTAGCTTGGTAGGCGGCAGGCCTGCAGCCAATGACGGTTGTTATCCGCAGCGCTAGCAAGTTTACGTGTATTTGCCTCGTCCCAAAGCTTCACATCAATGCATTTTCCACAACCTCCACCTGCCAACGACAGCTTCAAGCCATCCGGTTCAGCTCTTGGAATCGCCAGAGTCTCGCAAAACAAATTCACTTGCTAAAACGAACGCGGAGACATGCGTTCTTCCATCTTCGCAAGCCTTCTGGCTGCAGGCTCCGCGCACGCCTTCTCAGACTCGTCCCCCTTTCTCCTCTTCTCCACGGCCAAGTAAGGTGCTTTCCTGCGGTTAAATCGCACTCAGCCTTTGGACCACGATACTCTGCATACAAATATGTCTTGCACGTTTCTGATGCTTGCATCCCCACAGGTTCCCGTCCGCGCATCAGCCATCGCAGCTGCAGACCAGCTCCAGTGTGCTCTCTGCGGCGAAAGACATCCTCAGCCTGTGCCCGACGACAAACTATCTTCTAGTTTCGCAAGCCAACGCTCACGCATCCGACTTAGATGGCCCGGAAGAATGTGGCGTGCACAGGATTCGCTCCGCAGTGACCAGTGATGCTGTGCAAGGCCGGTATACCGTGGCAGAGGTTGTCAATGCTGCCGTCGGAAATATGTCCTTTGACAGCTTCTCTGATCACATCAAGAAGTCGTGTCTAGGAAAGGGTGCCCGAGAGGCAATTATCCGGCAGCTATCTCTGACGCCCCTGCCGACATCCCGAAGATGCAAGGATCGTGTCGAGACCATGGACGATAATGGTAAGTGATGAGGAAAAAACAGTTTAGGAAATGCTTCGCTAACAACATGGCCATGACAGACTACGCTCTCGGCAACATTCTTCAGGAGAAACTGCCCTCAGGCGATTACACCGTTCTATTCTTCTCGACTCCTCATGAGAGCAGGCCGTACGAAGTAGATTTCGAAAACCCATCGCAGATCCAGCTCAGCAAGCGGATCGCCGAGCCTGCGCGTGCTGTTCATCGCAGGGCCGCTGCGGACGCAAACTGGCCGAAGGATGCCGCCCTTTTCGATAAGTACCAGTTCTTCACGCCTGGTATCTTCATGGGCCTCTCTACATTCTTCGTGCTGCTTAGCATCTTGTATGTCGGTCTTGCAGCATTGTCCAGCCTCGAGGTTTCGTATGGTGCTTTCGACAAGGACATTAGCCCTACTGCTCAGAAGAAGCAGAACTAAACGACTGGAGTTAAATAAATATGATAAGATTATGGAACATTGGGGAGAGACATGTATTTCATACATAATCAATGGAAAGACGGGAGTTTTGGGTTTAGTTTATTGGTCTTATTCTCTAATTTTCCTTGTTCCGGAAACGTCACCTAGTTATAGATGCAATAGCACTGGCGAAACTGCCTTTTGCGAGAACAACGCGTTTCAAATAAACGTGTCAGATTCTAGTACCAAGTGCACAATCGAAATATGAGTTATAAATCAAGCTCGCCATTTTCGCAATTCCTGAACTCCATATCCTAAGCGTTCTATTGCCTACCAGTCGTTCACATCACCTCTCAAACTAGGTGGCTCGGTAGCAAGAAGTTGGCGATACCCTCCCGAACACCATACTCATGACCACAATTGCCGCAGACTAGCTTTCCCTCTATAATCTCCGTTTCCACCAGAACGTTGTGCAACTCCTTCAGTAGCTTCTCGTCCGCTTGAAGCGCCTCTGGGGTTGGAGCCTCCTCTGGTAAAGGAGGGAAGCCGAGCTAAATGAGTGTCAATTGTAAACAAAATTCCGATATACTTATAAAACAACGAAAAAACCGCTGTGCTCGTACCTCTAGCAGCGTCGTTCGGAGTGCCGTCCAATCAACCCGCCGGATCACATTTGTGAGAAATTCACGGTTCACAGCCATATCATCGTGAGCTAGCTCCGCGTCCTTGGGGTGAAGCGGAAACGAGTCGGACGAAGATTTGCATGCCTTCACCGCACAGGTAAGAAAATTAAGACTCAGAATCTTCATTTTGCTTGTTGTCTGCTTAAAAACAGGTGAGGTATGTTGGTGAGACAGTTGACCGTCAACTAGAAAAAATTGGTGATAATTTTTGAAATCGCTATTAGATATCACGTGATCGCCAGGAAAAGGCATGCTGGCGATGACATCAATTTCTGGATCTATTGAATAATATACATTCTTCTTCTCCCTTTCCGTATGCCCCTTCCTTCTCTGCCACAGTCATCTAAACCATGGTCTTCTACACCGTTGTCTTTTCGTAGCCAGCCTTCGCGCCGTTGCGCTTCGATATTCTCATCCAGACGTAGATACCAGCAATGATGATAATAAAAAGAAACGCCTTCTGCAGCACAGACCACCCCTCTGAACTGCCGTCAGTGTCGAATGGGTTGGCCTTCTCGGTGGAGGTCGGTGCAGGAATGGCCGGCGAGGTCAAGGTGGCGGTAACAGCGGGAGCGTCTTCCTTGTCGGAGTCGGGAATTTCCGTCGCAGGAATTTCTTCTGCCTCGCCATCGGTACCAATGGCCCATTCAGAGGAGCCATATTCAGAAGCTGCGGTAAAGTGGGAACGAAAGGCGCAAACAATCAGCATTGCCTCAAAGACGATGAGCTATAGATAGAGTGGGGACAAGCAAATGAAGATGTAGGATAGGTTGCCCTCAAATCACTCATTCTCATTCTCATCTCGCCACTATTTCTTGTACTTTTTATAGTTCCACGTGAATACCTTCTGCTGGCACCGGCAGCTCTCCGCTCGCAGCAATCTTGACTGCCTTGACGGGCTTGTCAGAGGCGCCCTTCGGAACGTTTTCAATGATATCAACGACGTCGTAGCCCTCGAGGACCTCGCCGAAGACGACGTGGCGGCCATCAAGCCATCTGCAATTCAGACAATACGTAAGTACATAGTTCTGGTCATTTTTCGCCGAAGTACTGGGCTGTCGCCAATCGGTGGAGAGCAGACGCTGGCATCAACTTACGAAGTGATGACCGTGGTGATGAAGAACTGCGAGCCATTGGTATCCTTTCCAGCATTGGCCATGGAGAGAAGGCCCTTCTTGGAATGCTTGAGCTTGAAGTTTTCGTCCTTGAAGCGGTCGCCGTAAACTGGTTCAATTGTTAGGTAAGGTATGCTAGGAAGTAGCTCGATGAGGACACATACTCGACTTGCCGCCGGTGCCATCACCCTTGGTAAAGTCACCGCCTTGGATCATAAAGTTCTTAATGACACGGTGGAAGTTCGATCCCTCGTAGCCGAAACCCTTCTCGCCAGTAGCCAAGGCGCGGAAGTTCTCCGTGGTCTCAGGAACCGTCTTGCCATAGAGGCCCATGACAATGCGTCCAATTGGCTCATCGCCATGAGTGATATCGAAGTACACCTTGTGGGTAATCTTGGGGCCCTTGGCCGCCTCTGCAGGCTGCGAGAAGAGCATCAGAGCCACTCCAAGAAGGAGGGTCAGAGTGGCAAATAGCCGTAAAAGGCTGGACATGGTTGCGACTCCTGGCGGGACGGAGCACTGGTCGGGAGAGAGTTGTTAGAAAGGAAAGAGAGTGGAAGGACAGGTGAATTGGCTGCCCCGGACGAAGCTGGTTCGATGTGTGAAGGAAAGAGGGTAGGACGTGGAAATCAAGGGGCGGGGAGACGGAGTTGGACAGGTCGCCTTGCTTGAAGCTACGTTTCAAAACTACGTAGGAGGTGTTGCGGCAACTGGCCAATCATATCGGTATAAAGACTCGGGCCCCATACGTACTAATCGGGCTAAGCGCCCGCTGCTTACTGGTCTCAGGCTGCTTATATATTACTCCGTAGACAGTGTAGGACGAAATTTCGCACTTGCTAATTCGAAAACGTTTATTAATCATGCATGCGAGCTTTGCCCAAACAGTCAGCTCGGAGACAAATCGGCCTTCTACTGTGCAGGCTAATAATTCGTCACTGTTTGATTTGCTCGCTTCTGTGAAGATAATAGCGCACATCTGAGAAATGAGGGGCTGTGGCAGAAACGGTACTCTTTAGCTCCATAGCGCCAAAATGATTCCAATGCACTCCGTACGGAGTACTCCGTATCTCGGATTTTAATACGCCTCTGGACGAGGGACCCGTTTGAACTCTTTGGCCCAAGCCAGGCGTAGGAGCCGGTTACATGAGGAGTTCATGATTTTCATCTTCGTAGGCATACAGGAATGAGAATTGTAACATATTGCAGTCACGTTGCAAGAACGAACGGACCCAGTAATCAAAATAAGTTGGTCAAAATCCCTCTACCCTGAGGGGAGCAGTCTTGATTCCACCTGTCTCCGATGAAAACGCCTATACAACACAAAGCCCTGGGTCAGAAAAGTCGCAATTTTGGAAGGGATGAGACAAAGGCCGTTGCGGCAAATCTCCTTCGTTCTCCGTTTTTACGGCCAATAGCCAAATGCAAAAGTCCGTTTTGCTCATAGCGAACTTCATCCGCTGGTTCTGCTATGCTTGGCCTCGCATCCTTCCCCAGCCTCGTTCGCCGGCGGTTGTTGTTTTAGGGAAATGTCATTCTCGGGAATGTTTTCCGAATTTCCGGTGTGTTTTTTAAACGCTCATCAGGGTCATAGCATGTAACGAAAGCTGTACGTGTGCCTTTCCGATCAGATAGCCGCTGCTGCTGCCTGAGGTGCAGGCGGTGCCTGCGAGATGGTCTTTCCAGTGCCGCCCAAGTTGGTCTGAGGCCGCTTGCTCCGGTAGTCGGCAACAGCGGCCTTGATAGCATCCTCTGCAAGCATTGAGCAGTGCAGCTTGACCGGAGGTAGGCAGAGCTCGGATGCGATATCGACATTGCGAATGGCGGCGGCGTCGTCCACTGCAAAACGAAGTCAGAACAACGCTAGGACCCGAGAGCCATCAACAGCCTGTGTGTGCATATGCTACTTACAAGACTTGCCCTGCACCAGCGTCGTAAGGTAGCTAGAGCTGGCAATGGCTGAGCCACAGCCGAACGTCTTGAACTTGGCCTCGATGATCTTGTTGGTGACAGGATCGACCCGGATGTCGAGCTTCATGACGTCGCCACAAGCTGGTGCGCCTACCAATCCCGATCCCACAGAGGGGTCTTTCCGGTCGAGAGAGCCGACATTGCGTGGCCGAGTGTAGTGGTCGATCAGTGCTAAGACAGTTAGCAGGTGCAGCTTGATATAGAAAGGCATGTCGACTATCAATTGTCGATAGCTGAAGAATAGGGAAGCCATATCTTTCTCGTGGTAGAGACGCCGTGCGCTGGGAACAACCGCAGCAGACGCGGCAATCGTTGGCCGCGCAGTACGGAATGCTGTTCTGGCAGAAGAGATCGCGACAGCCGATGCCGCAGAGGCGAGAATGGGGCGAGAGATGAGCGTCCGTGCTGAAAACATCTTGACTGTGAATATCGGAGTAGTTTATGGTGTTTATTTCACTTTGGACGAAGGCGACAAGAAAGGGAAGTGAATGTCAGTGAGAAGATATGGGAGAGATGACGGGGAACGGCGAGAAACTATTGAATTGTAATAGGGCACCGTTTTTCTAACCTCCCTAGGTTGAAGACGGCGAATGGAAAAAGAGGAGAAAGGAAGAAAAAAAATTCGGGGCGGCGATAAAAGCAAGATGGGTGACGTCTGTGAGAGAGCTGTCGGATATAATTGGAGCTCCGGCACCGCGGGATTTGCCTTTCAAGAAATTGCCATACAACAGCACAGGCAAATCCCCTTTGCCACTGCGGGGGCATGTTGGCTCGACTATCTTATCAATCTGCTCGTCCAACCGAAATCGATAGCCGTCATTGAATCGAGATGCTGCACGGCAATCCAAGCATAAGGAGGTATCGCTGAAACCTACAACTATCGGTTATGGGACGCTACGGAATAGCCGGTTCTTTTCCCGCTTTCCGTACTCATTCCTTCGCTTCACATGAATTCAAACGCGATAGGTGCCACTTTTCGGCACACCCTCCTCGGTTCTGAGTGCTAGGGCCGCTGTCGTATTAACGCCGAGCTCGCCGAGGTAATCCGCCCATACGTAGCTACATGCATACTCCGTACATGCGTGGGAGTGCGTCACGCGTACTTGATCTGTTCATTTTCGTGCTTAATCGTTTCCGGTTGGAGTCACGCTGGACCACCAAACGTAGCCGTTTACATCCACAACGACGCCCCCTATTGCTTCTGTTAGTTGGGAGCTTGGAAAAGATCCAGAACTTGTGGGGCAATTTTGGCCCAAGAAACTAATTGACGGTCGCCAATGCAACGGTGGGTTCTACATATGCTTGCACATCACATCGTCGTAAAGATCTGATAACGCGTTTATTCATCATTGGATATTGCCCAACAATAGCGGTATGACAAAAATGTGGCCAACTACATCTGCAAATGTCCATGTGTATTCTAGCTACCCTGAGACTAGATCAATATTGGGCTGATGTTGGTATCGTCGTGCATTCGATGACTCGTCTAATGTTTGACAAACGGGCAATTATCGGCCATACTATGTGGTTTTTACTCGTGTTTTTCTGGCGGTATCGGGTCACCACCTTTGAATTCAAGTGACAACGTGGTGCGTGCTTCGCTCTCTCGTGATATACCAATCAACCTGGCTCATTCTTCCGTGTGACGCTTAATAATAATACACACAACATCAATAAACAACCCTTTAAACATGCCTGACTGGACGCTCGCGTACATTGTTGTCGGCCTCGTTATCCCGCTCGCTTACGTCACCAGTGTCATTTGTGGGATATGGGCACAGCGAAGTGCTGCTTTACGGGCAGCTAAAATACGACAGAGACAAAAAGGCGTTTACGAGACTTACTGGTACGCTTGGACGGATACGAGCACATCTGCAGCCGCCGACAGTTGCTTATATGAGACGACTGGAACGAAAGAATTGGTGAACATGGGGAGGCAGCAGCTAGGACAGGGAAATCTAAAACCTCAGCCGGTCAGTGTGGTCTATTACTACGTCATGTCAAAAACAGCAGTAAGTAAACGGAGCTAACTAAGCAGACGGCTAACAATACAGCCGGTGCAGCCATGACGGCTTTGAGGCTAGCTTGACAAAGCTCGAAGAAAAGACATGAGATCCGGTCTGTGGAGAGAGAGTATGGGGCCATTCTGTTGCTGGAGCAATCGACACTTTCAGTTGCTAGACTTAGGATTTAGTGATAGTAGAAATGCATCTGCTTCGTACCACGGACGTATATTACGAGCAGGCTGAATATTACAGCCTGACTCGAGAAATCCCCCCCTCACCCAAGCAACAGTAGGTTGAGCTCAATGCAGTCGATGTTAATCATCTACATATATTCTTTCTCTTTGTGCCTGGGGCGGCTATTGGAACCCCGACCTATTGAGATTTGTAGACCCCGATAATGTGCCACACCAGCCAGATAACAAAACCACGGCTCTCAGAAGTGCTCGCTCCCAGTATTCCATAGCATCACAAAATACTCAGAAGTAAAGATCCAAAGGCGACCCGTTAACGCCAAGCTGAACGATCCGTAATTACACGCGATAAAGAATTCAAAAGGAAGAGATGACCGAAGCAAAAGTGCTACATGACAGTTCTCACACGGCGTGTGAGAAAAGAAACCAAAACAACGCCGAGCAACAGAATATAGGAAACAAACCCGCTTAACGCCGTGGAGAACCCCAGAGAGGGTCGGAAAGGGGTACAAACTGGATGTCCCGAAGATATGTCTGAAGCGTCTAAGCTACAGCAGGAACCGTGGTTGTTGATAGTCGCTATGACCAGAGCTAATCAAGCGCCGTAGAAGGTGTTGAGCACCTCACCACAACCCCGTGTGGCGGTTGCGGTGTGACGGTAATCGCAAGAGGCGTCTTGGTGGGATGTTGACACGTAGAGCCGATCCAATTGTTCGCAGGTCAAGAGTTATGGGGCCTCCAAATGCCTGCACCCAACGGCTTGCTCACGCCCAATCCCACAGCGATAGCAATGCCGATGATGAGTAGACCGATCAGGATTTTTGCTATAAGACGGTTTCTGCTGCTGAGGCGTGAGAGGCAGGTGTTGGAGCGCCTTATCTTTGCCTCCCTTGCCTTTTTTCTCCAGTGCTTTTGGCCGGGCCAGACCCTTGAGTCGTTGTCGTGCATGCGGCAATCTCCCATTACTCGGGTGCTCTCCTGTCCTCTACTGCTCGAGTGGGTAATGACGGCTTCGACATCTGTATCAAATGGATTGAGGACGGTGGAATCGACTGCTGATGCATCTGAATTGCGAGGTAAGGTGACAGCTTCGACGTGCAGACCGAAGGTGTTCGAGTCTGCTCTTGAAAAATTGGTTGAAGGCTGGTGCGTTGTTTCCATCACTTGAACCTGACTCAACGTGGACTTCTCGACAGGCGACGGTGTCTTCCCTCCAGCAATTTGTACAACCGTCGAAGGGAACAGCGTTTTTTCGTTCACAGAAGCCATAATTTGTGATTATTGAAAAGGCCTCCAATGTCGGGGATGCTATCTTTAAAGGCTTGGAATTGAACAGGCCTTTGTGCCTTGGTAGACAGCGAATGGCGATATATAACGAATAGTCTTGACCAGAGCACAGATCTTCAAGGATTTGTGGTCAGTATCACCCCGTATACTCCGTACGTTACAGATATTGTCCAAGAGCGGACGGTGATAGCAAGGGCATATGTCTGCATACCGGCAATGGGGGGCTAATAAAAGCGACTTGGTTTGGAGACACGGCCGTCCTGGGCAAGATAAACCAAAAGAAAAAAATGCCGTAAATAAGACCGGGTATAGAATGTATTGAACCGTGAAGCCGTTCTAGTTCGGAGGTGGCGATGCTGAAAAGCTAGTAAGTGCTCTCTAGAGAGCGTGTGGTCAAGGTAAAGACTGAATAAAAACAAAGCGCTCCTTATCTTGGCGCGGCGACTTGTTGCCTTGCTCCGTACCTCGTTGCTTCTTCGTTCGGAGGTCCTAAGTAGTAGATAGGTCCCAAGTCCGAAGAAGGAAAGAAGACGGGAGTCGGACAAGGAGGAAAAAGAGGAAGTGCTGGGACTGAAAGAGAAGGTACGGGAAATGAGAGCCCACTTCCAAGGGCAGGAGCAAGGCTCTCGCGAAAATCTTGACTGGGATATACTGCTGCGCTGACTCCATATTTGGGGCACTCGTACCGACATATCGTATGTGTATGGATAACAGTTGGATGGACGCGCCAGCACAAAGGGGTTGTGCCAATATCAACCGCCCACAATCCATTTGGAAAAATAAGCTTGGTTACATGGAGACGGGGCCAGAATCAGGCGAGCGGGCCAGATCTGCTGGCTTAATGTAGTGGCTACTCTTGCCTTCCAGCGTGGCGCGCCCTCCGCTTACAGCTTGCAGGTCGTGGCGGCAGGGGATGCCGAAGCAGTGAATAGGAGAGGGTACTATGTACGGAGTACGACGTAGGGATGAGAGGCTGGGGTAAGGTATCTTATCTTACATGAATTGGAACCTGACTAGCGTTGCCGCTGTCTTGGCTGCCTTGGCGGCTGCACACCTTCCTGGGAAAGCATTTGTATCAGATATCACAAGTATTATTTAGGGGTCAGAACCGTACATGCATATGTAATAGAAGACATGTCTTTATCTTGCGAATGTAACGCACAGCACAGCGCAGCACAATCAGTCTACTCCGTGCACAACCTCCTATTTTCTCGGCCCGTTTCTCTCAGCTATGTACTACGTCGTAAATATTTCCCGAATTACAGTCGTCTCAATTGAGGTTGATGAAGGCTTCTTGTACGGAATAGTACGACGCATTGGTGGAAGTCTGGTATCGTGCCCTATACGGAGCGCTTGTAAGGAGCACTCGTACTCCGTACAGAGTAGTCGTATTCTACTATCTATACTCCGTACGGGGTACGCACATTCCTGCGCCCTGTGGAGTTCTCCTGCTCGTGCGTACGCGTACGAGTGCGCCGTACTCCGTACAGAGTACGTGTTTGTCCTCGCAGACCGCCAGCCCATGTTCTGCGGTAACCGGAAACAGTCCCCACTTGATGCCATTTATTATGGGCGGGCCAGACTGGGCCATGCGAAGCTTGTCTGGTCCACTTATTAAAGACTGCACGGGGCGATAATATGCCATTTTCTCTGTAAATTGCACTATTCCTTCTCTGTACGTCGTAGTATTATACCCCGTAGCGAATCCCGTTACGTGTTTTACTGCCTCTCATGTGTTCGAGGGTGGTAAAAAGTCGTATCTCACTTACAGCACTCGGTCTACGAAGTATTTCTCATTTTTGCCCCCTCTTACGTCCAAAACAACGCTTTGACTTACAGCGCATTTTATCCCTTTATCTTGCAACTGTTAAATGAGAAACATGAAAGACATTGAAGCGAGATGTGATAGACAAGCATGATGTTTGCGTCGTCTGCCTATCCTCGTTATTCCTACGGGGTTCACGTGCAGGAGGCCACAAGAATGTGTGGGTCCGTGACGCTGTACTCCGTATTGCCTCCAACCTTTGCGGATGTCCTTAAACCTGCAGCGACAATGGCAGCATCTGTCCAGCCTTGCATTAAATCATCCTTGTTTCAGGCATGAACCTGCGGCCCTGTCCCCTTTCCACCGTTTCCTACTCTTTCTTGCCTCCCCATTTTTGATTTCGTGATTTTCCACTGTCGCCACCTACGGAGTCGTCTGGGGCGGTGCCCAATTTTGCTCTCATGACGCCTTCCATGATTTTGTCGGGTTTGATCTGAATCGTGGAACATGGACGATGGCCAGACAAATACGGAAACCTATGGCCACTCTAACATTTGTTGACCATGGCTTATGGGCCGTGTGCTAGGCGCCCATTTTTCACTTTTTGTAAGGGAGATCGGCTTACTCAGTGTAATTGTCTTGAACAAACCAGTACTACATCGTATTCGAACCCGATTGAAAGGCTGAGCTACGGAGTGCATAAGAAACAATCATAAGATCAAGCAGACAGGAGGCAAGGGGTGGAACGAAAGACAAAGGAGACAGTCAGGTAAAGATAGCATCGCCAACTGCAACCCATAATTCACATAACAGCAAACAACTAAATAATGTATGTGAGTGGCCTCCTTAACTTGAAACGGGTGACTTGTTTAGTGGGAGAATGTGCTGTAGATCGTGGTGCGTTGAATAGCAGATTCAAGCCGATCATCATTAAAACACGCGCAAGTTCATATACGACGTAAGCAGTGTACGAGTAGTACTCAGTGTTTTCCTCTGTTAGTGACAGTATTCCAAGGACAACTCAGCAAGATGATTGCAGTTGTACGGAGTACTCGTACGTACAACAAGATACATAAGATATGTGCACCAAGATGACTAACCGTGCTCCATAGACACATTCAAGCACGTGCTTATACTGTGGGGCTGGGACTTGAACGCCATTGCAACGAAGCAAAGATATCAGATTCCTATGCATTGCAAGACACACGATGCTCACTATAGCTCAGACGCGATCCCCTCATACACGCACGGGCTTTAGCACATGGAGAACTTATTCTGAGACCTCAGGTGGCCCTGCCCATGAAGTTGAGCCGGGCGCTGTCGACTACATTGTTGATGCCAATTTTGAAGCTGAAGATGAAATCAGCGCCTGCGATGCCATGTGTTGTGCACCCCTAGAATCTTTGCGACAGCCTGTCGAGGTGGGAGAGCTGTGCTCGTATGCTTATCCTTCTTTGGGCATATCTTTACCCTCTCAGCGCTATGCATATCCTAATACCTCTTCCTAGAAGTGGCCATGCCGGAGAGGCTGCGTTTTGGGTCTGGCCTTTGTTCGGGCCGCTACTTTTTGATAACTCGGGTAGTGATGTATGTGGCAGACAGCCCCCCAGTTCTGTTCCTCCTTCTGACACGAACATAGGCGCGCGATGGCCTGGCAAACGAAAGAAGTGTGTTTCTCTGATTACCGTATGTTCCCCTCGCAGACCAACTGGTGACTAACAAATCAGCCTTTCTCTCTTATTTAAGGCTAGCCATGACAATGGCCATAATGGCCATGGCAATCATGGTGTCATTCCACTTCAAGAGGCTGCCGTCAGCACTCGAGTTGCGCATGGCTTTTCCTCTTGGAATCATATTCTGGCTTCTTGCCGTCTTGACTCTTGTCGTCGGTGTGGCCAACTACATCAGTGTGTTTTGGGTTTCCGCGTGATTTCCTCGCCTGCTTCACTTCGATAAAGCTTCTAACCTGTTCAAAGATACTGTCAATAAATACAGCCGCCGCATGGCTATCGTGCAAACTGGCTGGAAGACACAATCGGTACGTCTATGCTATTCCAAGATCCGGTCGTTATTTTATATACTAACGCCACATCTTCCATGCAAGCTTATGGCTACTGTCGCGCTCGCGATATTTGGTTCGTGTGTCAGTCTGCTCGTTATCAACAGACTAAGTGAAAACGATTAAGAAGGGGGGTTTTAATGTTCATTATCGCCCGGTCTTGGCTTAGGTATGGACGTGGTACAAATACGAGACGCCAAATTGAGTATTTGACGAAAATCTACATTAAATACAAAATGACATGGTCTACAGATTTAAAACCACGCATAAATGGCCAAATCTATGAGTATGAAACAGGCTTTCCTCTTGCACAGCTCGCGGCACACCATGTTTTCATCAAACATAATTTCACGCATCCTGCTCACAGAACAGTGTTCCCAGCGGTAGGTTCTTCAGTTCCGTAGCAGCACAACCGCCAACTGTGAGCTGGAGATTCCGCGCATACTCGGCTGCCTGGACATCAACATCTCGCAAGGTCGCCTGTTTGCCCTCCCACGTGAGCAGAGGAAGTTCCACAAAGGATGGCAGGCCGCCTGTTTCAGGCAGAACGTCCAAGAGAGTAGCGCTGGGTCCGAGCGATGCCTCCTCGGTATCTGCAACGCCACCCCCGTGCAGTATTTTGCCGCCGGTCGGGTCGTCTTCTGTTTCGCTGACGACGTCTTTCTCGTATTCCTCCGGCGGTCTGTACAGTTCGTTGTGGATAGTGGCGAGAGCGCCGGCAGTAGTCCCGCTCGGGTACAGCATCCAGTATCCACGGGCTTGGCAAAGTTGCAGGGCATATTCTAGCCACGATGGGAACATTTTGTTGGCAAGTTTTGGCTGCGGCTGACCATCTGCGCCTACCGCTGGCTGTCTCGTCAACAGCTCTGACACAAATCCATGCAGATCTGCCCAGCGCTCTCCAAGGAACAGGGCGGCATTGCTATTTGGTGCTTGCCATAAGAATGGGACAGATCCTTCACGGTCCGATCTGCCTTTCCCGTAGAGGGAAGTTGGAGGCGAGAACTTGGTGCCGTCAATAGCAGTCGAAGGGAGTTCCAAGCTAATCCCAAAGAGCTGCTTCTCTATTTTCGGTAGGCCGGAATATCGATACTCGAGTAGAGTGTACGTGACATCTGCATATATTAGCACTGATTGGAACTGCCAGAAAACAGGGAGAAAAGCATAAAGTGAAACACCCACAATGGAAGAAATCTTCCGATAATTCCGCCTGTGGAGAGAGCACAAGAACATGCGACTTCTTTGGGTCGGCCGGCCAGAACGACTCGAGGAATCGAACGGAGCTGTCTCGTTCATTAATACCATGACTGACGATGCGGTGTCTCAGGGACAGTTGCCGTGAAGCTGGGGGATCGCCCTCTGGCAGCGGGGGCCACTGGAAGGTTGCCAGGTACTCTTGTGTTGGAAGGTCTATCTTTTGAGGGAGCTCAATCGTTAGGTGCGGCACAGCTCGAGAGCCAAAATCAGCACGGCTCAGTGACTTCAGCAGCCGGATTAGACTTCCAGAGGCGCCTGGGACGGCCTGAATAAGGATATCAATGCTGAACGAATTCCAGTCTATAGATGCATCGTCAGCAGGAAGTATGAGATACGACGGATATCGAAGGGTCCCCAACGCACTCGTCAATGATACAGAGTCAAGCTTTGCAATCCAGCCGAAACGCTTGGCACCATCTTCCGGCAGTTCAATAATGGTAGTCGGCGCTCTTTTTACATATACAGCCAGCGCCCTCTTTAAAAATAGTTCTTCGGCGGGCGTGCCATCCACTACGATGACTTGTGGGTGCATGTACAGCTCAATGTTTCCTTTTGATTGTTCCGTCAGCAAGGGCACACAAGACACGGAAGATGTACGTGGACAAAGTTGTACTTAGTGCCTGGTTGGCGCTTTTCTCGATGCGCGCCTCCGTTGAAATAGATGCATAGTCGGGACGACCGTCTATTGAAAGAGGGACATCTTATTAGCACTGTTCTGCTGCTACCGGGGGAAGAACACAAGAGGGACATGCCGTGAAAGGTGATGCGGCATGAATCGTCGATGCCGTTCATCTGCTCAAGCTCTTCTATATCGATCTCGTTCCGACCCACGACGGCAAACTGCACATGATTCCGGAGCTCGGAGCCCATCTGGCAGGCAATGGGAAGAAGAGCTGTGGTGCTTTTCAAGCTTGCCGCCACAAAAAGCACATGCTTATTCACCAGAAGTGAGCTTCGCGTGCTACCGAGGGTGCGAAGAGACGGGAACAGCCGTGACAGTCGATCAATTGGTCCGTTGTATGTGAACACCGAAATGTCCTCTCCATCCGCACCTGTCCTGGTCTCATCGCCGTCCTGCTCGCTTAGTGGGACTTGCGCCCCGGCCGAAAAGCCGGTCGCCGGCTGCCCATACACAGGGCGCCGCCGATCGCGAACACCAACGTCTGAGGGTATGTTCCGTATAAAGGTGTAGATGACGAAGCCAGCTATAGTGGCGAAAAGTAGCCGCTTGAGAAACTTCCGAGGGTGTACCCGCGCAGCCGTGGGAACGAGCATGCGCACGCTCGAAACGCCGCCTTTTGAGGTTTTGTGGTCGTCATCCTTCTTTCCTAGCTCTACGTCGCTGAGGAAGAGTGACTGCATCTTGTCCACTGGGTGCAGAGCACCGCTATCACTGCGCGGCTTCGAGAAAGGGAGAGACAACGAAGAGGTTGGCGATGGGCGACAGAGCCCGCGATCAGTCCGGATGTTCTTAGTACAGCATTCGTGTTGTCGCGTCCGCCGCCATCGATGTAGAGTATGTGCTGTGTCAGCTAAAGCTCCGACGTCGGTTTGTCCGTCGTATTCGCATATCCTGGAGCCAGGAACGCGATTTCGATCGAGGAGACGGTCGATAACCGAATTCGGTGGGATGAAACAGGTATCTCGATGCGTTGCTGCTATCTTCGAACTTAGAATCGTCTGCAAGGCTGATAATTGGCCTAGGTAAAAAAGTGGATTTAATGCGTGTCCTTGGTCGAAACAGAGCCGTATGGCTTAACTAATTATCTTGCCTCGTCCAAGACGAGTCTTTGATCATGAGGATATTGCCTACTCTGAGCAAAATATTGTAAAGAGCACGTTAAACTTGAAAACTGTGTCTCTTCGCATTTACACTTCTAATGTCTATACACTATGTCACGTAGAAACCATGATTTCGCGGCTCATTTGCGTTGCCATAATATTATGTAATCGCGTAGAAGGTCCGAAATTTTTTTCCACTCTTAGAAGTTTATGCTACACAAGCTCTTGCTCCCGTCCCAAATCTACCAGCCTCAATAACCTCTCTTGTCCTGACGTTGAGTGCATTTCATCTCATTTTATTTCATACCCCTGGTTGTCTACTTCTGTGCGTATCTGCCTCATACATCTCTTATTAGATAACACTGCTTGTTTGAGAACATTGGCTTACACCTGAAATTGGAAGCTGTAATAATTGTCTGAAATTTTGGCCAGTCTTCAGCAGCTCAGAGATGGGAAAGTCACGACGCAATAGGGCCGGTGCATCTAACCGCTCCGATCCAGTGGGCGGCCGTCCTAGGACAGTCAAGGAGCCTTCTGACCCACAGCTGGCGGCTCTCCGTAACGACAAGATCTTGCCAGTGGTGAAGGATCTCAGAAGCGCCGATCCTAAGACACGCACAACAGCAGCAGGCGCTATTGCCAACATCGTCGAGGACTCAAAATGCCGGAAGTTGCTGCTCCGGGAGCAGATCGTGCATATCGTCCTTACTGAGACGCTGGCTGACTCCAGCATCGAGAGCAGGGCCGCCGGCTGGGAAATTCTCAACGTGCTGGCACAGAATGAAGAAAGCGATTTCTGTGTGCATCTGTTCCGTTGCGACGTACTGACACCTGCAGAACATGCTCTGAGCCAGGTAAGGATGCTGCTTAGAATTCGAGCTTGCCTTGCAAACACCTATAGCCCACTAACACATTGCCATCCTGTGTCAGGTTCTTGAAACTCTGCAGTCTACGGAGACACCATTCTCCAAGTTGACCAAGGCGCAGCAGGAATTTGTGTGGAGAATCACCTTGTCCATCATTGACCTGGTTGGGCAGCTGGCTGAAGCACGGAGCGAGATTCTCGAGGCGGTAACAGGCAATGCTGCCATAACACGAGCATTCTTTGCGTTGGTGTGCACCTCAGCGGCACCATTCGAAATCCACTGGGCTGCTGTGACGTGCCTTGCTCGGCTGTGCGACGACCAGCGTGCCCTCTCACAAGCCGTAGTCGATGACCAGGTAAGCGGCTGCTACCAGTCGCTGCTGAAGCTCACAGAAGCCGGCGGACCCATGGCGGTGGCTGCGTGCTCCGTCCTGCATTCGGTGTTTGCGACGCTCGAATGGTTTGACCACAGTCCTGGCAGGGATGGTGCCTCAGATGCGATCCTTGTTCCCGTCCTGACGAAGGCGCTGGAGCAGCAACAGCAAGAGCCGAAGGATAAGGCAGAGGACCACTCGACTGAGGTTCTAGGCCAGGCGCTCCAAGTGCTGGCCATGATGGGGACCACGCTGGATACGTCGTTGGAGAAGGGCAACCGTGACGAGGTGGCACTGCTCGGCGGTGCCAGGAAAGGGGCTCTCTTGGACGAGGGCGAAGAGCTTGCCGGTGGAGATGACGACAGCGAAGCCGGCGAAGGCAGCGATGCGGAGATGATGGAGGACGAGGAGGAAGGCGTCCTTACGATTAACGGCAAGAAGAGAGGGAAAGAGCCCAAGACGGACGGATCCGATGCGGGTGGCGAATCGGACGAGGAGATGGACGATGCCGACTTGGACGCAGACATGGAAAATGTGACGGGTGCCGACGAGAAGGACGCAGAAGTCTCGGAGCTGGGTGACCTCCCGACGCTGCGCGAACTGATCGGAACGGCGGTGCCGCAGATCATGCGGGTTGTGAAGGCACGGCCACAAGACGTGGATGAGGCAGCCTTGGCCATCCGACTGGACGCGTTGTCGGCTCTCAACAACATCGCGTGGACGGTGTCGTGCATCGACCTCGCGGATGAGGGCAATGCGGGCATCCGACAGGCATGGGGCCGGGCAGCACGACAGATCTGGCTCGAGGTGGTGCGGCCGCTGGTGACTGGTGCGATCACAGTAGACCTGCAGGTGGCGGCCAAGGTGACGGGCCTGGCCTGGGCGCTGGCGCGGGTTCTGGGCGGCGAGACGCCAGCGGACGCCGGAGAGCAGGAGCGGTTCATGGCCATGCGGGATTCTCTGAGCGGCAGCAGCGGAGAGAGCGGAGAGAGCGTGGATGGTAGCGACCCATTTCAGAGTCCTTCTGTGATGTGTATCGGGGTGCTTGGGCAAATGGCACGTGACCCGGCGCCGGTGGCCACCAACCGCAAGATTGGCGAGTACTTCCTCGGGGTAGTAGAGGCGCTGCCGGCGACACCGATAGCCGACGCGGTCGAGGCGCTGAACCAACTCTTTGACATCTACGGCGACGAGAAGGCCGAGTGCGACAAGGCTGTGTTCTGGCCGGGCAAGTTTCTGGCGCGGCTGGAGGCGGACGTGGCCAAGATCAAGGCGGCAGCCAAGACGATCGACAAGCGGACAGCATCAGAGCTGCGGACGCGCACCGACGAAGCCGTGCTCAACCTCGGGCGCTTTGTGCAGTACAAGAAGAAGCATGCGTCCTGAGAGGGACAAGATTGACATTCACGGAGTTTTGGGGTACTAAAAGAAGAGCGTCTAGCTTCAGCTTTAGAAAGTCAATAGATTGCAGTGTATCAGTGAGGCGTGCAGTCGAGACGGGGCCACGGCCCTTGTCCTCCTCACCCCCGTATCCAGTGAGACCAAAGTTGCGCAAATCAGAGAAGCAAAACCGTGTCTAGACGCCGCTGCCGTGAGAAAGGAAAGAAAAAAGGAAAACGGAAAAAGGAAAAAGGAAAAAGGAAAGAATGCAAAAATGGCCGAACGAAAGCCGGGCGGCCAGGCTAGCCGATGGGCTTCAGCTTCTTCTTCTTCTTTCCACCGTCGTCGCCGCCGGCCTTCTTCTGGAACTTGCGCCAGCTATCGATGCGCTGGTCGCGGGTGGCCTCCCAGTCCTGGTCGTGCTGGCGCTTGCGTTTGCGGGCCTCGATCTCGGCGTCCTCGCGGCGCTGCTCGCGGCCCTCCTCCTGCATCTGGCCGCGCAGCTGGCGGCGACGGCGCTCCTCGTTGTCCATGAGGACGTACTTGGTCTTGTCGGCCCACTTCTTGTGGAAGTCGTCCGTCTTGAGCTCGGGGCTGTCGGCGTTCCACTTGTTCTCGCGCATCAGCAGCATGCGGGCGTCGGCGATGGCCTCGTCCAGGCGGGTGCGGTGTTTCTCGTCCATCAGCTCCGTCTGCGCCTTCTTCAGCCGGTCAAAGGCGTCGGGCGCGCGTGCGTTGCGCGTCTTGTCGGGATGAATGAGGAGCGACTTTTTGCGGTACGTCGCCTTGATGTCGGACTCGGCCACGCCCGGTTGCAGGCCGAGGACGGCGTATCTGGAGAGAAGGGGAGGTCAGGTCAGCAGCTGATAAGCAGGGCTGAGCAACAGTTCTGCCCACAGACACGATGCTGGAGTAGGTCTTCTCTCGTATCTCAACTTACGCATCGAGACGAAAGGCGCCGAGGATGCGCTCGATCTCGGCATCCTTCTCGGCCTCCTTGATCTCGGCATCGAGAATGTCGATCGCATCTCGGCCGTCTTCCTCTGCCATGGCTTCAGCTGGGGGAGGGATGGGAGCTCCAAATGAGGGGGGTGGCGAGCAAGGTCGAGCTGGCAGGCGCTGCTTCGTTGTGGCCCTCGAAAGCTCGATGTGTGTATATGTACGATTTGATGGAAAAGCGGGGAGGTTTTATTGGAGGAGAGCTCTGTTATCGATAAGAGAATTTGCGATAAGATACTATTTTTTTATGGTGCAAAAAAAGTCGTCTAATAAGACAAGCCGATTTTTGTTCTTTTTTTTTCCTGCAAGTGCAAGACTTGCCCGATACTGAGATCGAGTTCTTCTCGTCAGTGCACATCAGCGATGTTGAAGCGACAGTATTCGCCGACTCCGTCGGAGAACGAGGTGGACATTCTAGGGCCACTCTTTGCGGAGGAACTGGACGGGTTTGCCGGCTTTGACGTCGACGAGAACAGCAACGATGGGCGGCAACAGAAGAGGGTCAAGGCGATGGCCATGCAGCCGGAGGACCTCGACCTGGGCGCGATCCTGGACGGGCGAGGTGGCGGTGCAGGAACGTACGGACAGGGCGACAGCGAGGAGGATGACGAGGCATACATTGCGCTGCAGCAGGCTGCAGCATTCCGCAAGTCGAGCAACCTCAAGGGCAACACGGTGAAGAAGGGCGGTGGATTCCAGGCTCTGGGGCTGAACGCGAACCTGCTGCGGGCAATCACACGCAAGGGTTTCTCGGTGCCGACGCCGATCCAGCGGAAGACGATCCCGCTGATCATGGGACGCCGCGATGTGGTGGGCATGGCACGAACAGGTTCGGGCAAGACGGCAGCGTTTGTGATCCCGATGATCGAGCGACTGCGAGCACACAGCGCGCGGGTGGGAGCGCGGGCACTGGTGCTGTCGCCGTCGCGCGAGCTGGCGCTGCAGACGCTCAAGGTGGTCAAGGAGCTGGGCAAGGGAACGGACCTGAAGACGATCCTGCTGGTGGGAGGTGACAGTCTGGAGGAGCAGTTTGGGCTGGTGGCGTCGAACCCGGACATTGTGATTGCAACGCCGGGCCGGTTTCTGCATCTCAAGGTGGAAATGTCGCTGGACCTGTCGTCGGTGCGGTATGTTGTGTTTGACGAGGCGGACCGGCTGTTTGAGATGGGGTTTGCGGCGCAGCTGACGGAGATCCTGCACGCGTTGCCACCGTCGCGGCAGACGCTGCTCTTCTCGGCAACGCTGCCGTCGACGCTGGTGGAGTTTGCCCGGGCAGGGCTGCAGGACCCAAGTCTGGTGCGGCTGGATGCGGAGACGAAGATCTCGCCGGACCTGCAGAGCGCCTTTTTCAGCGTCAAGGGCAGCGAGAAGGAGGGCGCGCTGCTGCACCTGCTGCACGACGTGATCGGGATGCCGCTCGGACAGCCGGCCGGGCCAGCGGAGGCAGCGGAAGGCCAGTTTGCCGACGAGGGGTCGAAGAAGCGCAAGCGAGACGCGAGCCGGGTGTCCTTCCGCGAGAAGCCGACGGAGCACTCGACGATTGTGTTTGCGGCGACGAAGCACCACGTGGAATACGTGGCGGCAGTGCTGCGCGAAGCCGGGTTTGCGGTGTCGTACGTGTACGGCTCGCTGGACCAGACGGCGCGCAAGATGCACGTGGACGACTTCCGGCGCGGGCGGACGAACATCCTGGTGGTGACGGACCTGGCGGCACGCGGCATCGACATCCCGGTGCTGGCCAACGTGATCAACTACGACTTTCCACCGCAGGCCAAGGTGTTTGTGCACCGGGTGGGCCGGACGGCGCGAGCAGGCCAGCGTGGCTGGAGCTACAGTCTGGTGCAGGACACGGACGCGCCGTATCTGGTGGACCTGCAGCTGTTCCTGGGGCGGCGGCTAGTAGTCGGGCGCGAGGTGGCGGCCGGGGCGGCGGCACCCGATATGGGCCAGGACGTGGTGGTGGGCTCGCTGGCGCGCAGCGCAGTAGAGCCGCACGTCGAATGGGTCAACACGCTGCTGTCAGACGTGACGGACGTGGAGGTGCTGCGGACGGTGACAGTCAAGGCGCAACGGCAGTACTACCGAACGCGGCTGTCGGCGTCGAGCCAGAGCGCACGGCGAGCTCGCGAGATGGTGGCCGGACCGGGATGGGGACAGCTGCACGTGCTGTTTGCGGCAGACGACGCAGACACAGCGGCGAGCGGGACGACAGGCGAGACACGGGCCGAGATGCTGGCCAAGATCACCGGGTACAAGCCGGTGGAGTCGATCTTTGAGGTCAGCATGCAGGGCGGCAAGAAAGCGACGAAGAGCGAGGCGGCCGTGATCATGCGGACGATGCGAAAGAAGCTGGGGCCGCGGAAGACGGCGGCGAAGGCGGTGAGCGTGGTGGAGGAGGGGATGGGTGACGAAGGGGTGAAGAGAGAGGGAGATAAGGAGGAGGAGGAGGAGGAGGAGGACGATGACGATGACGAAGGGGAGGAAGGGGACGAAGGGGACGAAGAAGATGAGGTGGATGTGGCTGACAAGACAGCGGGCATGGATCTGAGCAAGTTTGACTCGGACGCAGAGGAGGATGTCGGTGAGGTCGACATGGACTCAGACCTAGACAGCGACACGGAACAGGTGACGGTGGCAGACGACGCGACACACAGCGGCGGACCGACATGGCTGGACAAGTCGGTGTACATGACATACACGCCGCGGACGGGCGGCAGCATCAGCCGGCGTGCAGCCGAGGAGCGAGGGTACGGGGTGCATGCGACGGGTGCGGACGAGGCCGGTTCGCTGAGCTTTGCGGCGGCAGCGCGGGATGCGACGATGGATCTGACCAACGACGAGACGGCCAAGGCGTTTGGGGTGCCGACGCGGTCGAAGATGCGGTGGGACAAGAAGCAGCACAAGTACGTGTCGCGGACAAACGACGAAGACGGGAGTCGAGCCATGGCGAGTGGTCGATCGGGAGCTGACGGTGCCGGCGGTGGCAAGCGGATGATCCGTGGCGAGAGCGGCGTCAAGATTGCGGCATCGTTTCGCAGCGGCCGCTTCGACAAGTGGCGACGGGCCAACCGGCTGGGATCGCTTCCACGCGTCGGTGAGAACGAGCGCGCCGGACTGTCGCGGCAGGTTGGCGTGGCCGACAGTTTTGGTGGTGGCGTCGGACTCGGCTCGCGCGGCGGTCACTTCTGGCACAAGAAGGAACTGGCACCCAAGGAGGCTGACCGGTTCCGCGACGATTTCCACGTGCGCAAGAAGCGCGTGGCCGAGGCGCGCGAAAACCGCGTCGGACGGTTTCGTGATGGCGACGGCAGCCGCGGTGAAGTGCGCGGGGCAGAGGACATGTTGAAGAACCGGAAGCTGGAGGAGCAGCGACGGGAAAGGGGTGGTGGTGGAAGTGGAGGTGGTAGTCGGGGACGAGGTGGAGGAAGTGGTCGCGGGCGGGGAGACAACCGGGGAGGAGGTGGAAGAGGTGGTGGGAGAGATGGAGGTGGAGGTGGAAGAGGTGGAAGAGGTGGTGGGAGAGATGGAGGTGGAGGTGGAAGAGGTGGTGGGAGAGGAGGAAGAGGTGGAAGAGGTGGAAGAGGTGGAAGACATTAGTTTTACAGAGTATCAGTGGAGAGTACTTGGATACGATGATATTGTGGAAAGTACAGTGTATGCAGTGTATGGAAGAGCTAACTGTACGATACAACATACAGGAGCAGATGTAGTGAGAAAGGGCGACTATATTGCATTGATAGAACGGGTACTACGAGAGGGAGTGTACTCTGTATTACAGAGAAGATGTATACAGAGTATGCCGTGACGTATAAGCGCATATCGGTAATACAGGTAGTCGGTAAGGCACCAATGCATATATCCACCCAATCACGACGTCCCACCGCAACCTCGCCTATCGTATTACTTCCAATTTCCTGCCTCAACATCATCTCCCTCATGTCGCGCCCCCTTTCTTCGCTCTCCGTGTCGGCTGGCAGCACGTCGGCCCCGTCCACCCGCCGTGACCATTGTCCGCACCGCTGGCCTCTTGTCTCGGCCGTCCATTGTCCGTCGTCCATCGTCCGTCATCCGCCCGCCTGTCGTCTCCATCTGTCCACGACCGATCGTCCGATCGTCACCATCTCCACCCTCTCCACCACCACGCGACGCACCCCTCCCTGCCGCCCATGCCTACGTACCTCGTCCACGGCTTCCGCTGGCAGCGCGCCAGCATCCGCGTCTTTGTCATCTTGCGCAACGTCGAAGACGCCTCGCCCGACTGGATCGTCCGGCCGGCTTCGGCCTGCAGCCTGCTCGACGCCTTCCAGGCCTCTTTTGGCTTCTTGCCGCCGCGCGCGACCGCCGGCTCGGTCTTGGTCTCGTCGCTGTCGTCGGCGTCATCGACGTCGTCGTCCACCTCGGTGCCCTCGTCCGCCTCGACCGCCACCAGCACGTCCATCCTCGCCTCCCAGGCCGGCTATCCCGTCCGCCTGCTCGAGGAGTTCGACCCGGCCGATCTCGAGACCGTCACGACTCCCTACGCCTACGTGGCCGACCATGTGGTGCCGGTCGACCGCTCCGTCTCCATCGTCGACGCCATGGCCGCCTACGAGCGACGGCCAAAGGTGGCTACTGCTGACCCCTGGCTCGACCGTCTGCGCGACCAGCTGCAACCCGGCGAAGACCTGCGCTGGTACGTGGTCGTGAATGGCGACGAAGAGCGCGACTGGCCGCAGGACCGGCCGTCTGCTCCCGTCAAGCCAACGCTACAGCGAGAAGCCCTGCAGTGGCCCCTCGTGCAGCCTCCGTCCGACGGCGAAAATGAACACGACCGCGAAAACGACAACGACATCGACGACGACTACAACAGCTACACCAACGATTCCCGTCGCCACTCCGCCCTTCGACACCTCCGCCACGAGCTCGGCGGCTTCGGCTTCGAGGAAGGCGGCCTTGGCGATGGGCTGCACCAGCTGCCCGTCGTCACGGCAGCGGCCGCAGAAGTGAGGGCAGCCAGAGCTGCTCGCGCACCACGACGAACCTCTACAAGAGCACCAAAAGCACCAAAAGCTTCAAAAGCATCAAAAGCACCAAGAGCACAGCCAAGAGTTCAGCCGAGAGCAGGCCTACCGCCACCGGCACTACCACCGCCAACCATGCCTCCCCCTCCTCCTCCTGTCAGCTTGCACAAACGGGTAGACACTGCAGAAAGTGGGCCGTCTCGTCCGCAGTCGTCTGGCGGCTTCCATCGGCTCTTGCGGTCTCGCTCCCGATCTGATGCTCGCCAGCTGCTGCTGCTGCAACAACAGCAACAGCAACAGCACCAAAACTACCCATACTACCAACAACCACTGCAGCCGCCTCTTCCCAGCGCTCCGCCCAATCTCCCGCTGCCACCCATCCCTACTTCGGCTCAGTCGGCTGTGCGCCACAAAAAGTCCACCGACGCCGGCGTTCCTCGTCCCAAGACAGCTACTGGCCGGTCCGGTGGCTCCAGCGGCTTCCGTCGGCTCTTTGGCCGCAGCAGCAAAACGGAGGAGAAGGCGGCAGAAGCCTAAGGTAGTGGCTATAATATGTCTGAATATGTTTGAATACAGCAAGTGTCCATTAATACCCTGAGGCGCGACATGAATGAAAATGTATCTCTGCGATTACGCTTTAATATGATTGCTATGCTTTCCTCCCCCTACTCCTTGCTTTTGCCTTCAGCCTTATTTACATCCTTGTCCACCACCTTGTCCACCTCCAGGTCCACTTCCTCCTCACCCTCGCTCTCTTCCGATTCCTCCCAGCCCTCGCTCCAGTTGCCGTCGTTGGCCGGCGTCTTCACCAGCAAGGCCGCCTTTGCTTTCGGTGTTGTAGCCCCGTCATCCTTGTCATCGACTGCAGCAATGTCGCTCCCCTCCTCGCTTCCTTCTTTTCTCTTTTCTTCCTTCTCCTCCTCTCCTTCCTTCTCCCGCGTCTCGCTCCCATCGACAGCCGGTCCCTCGCTCAGCGGCAGCGTCCGCTCCTTGTTGTCGTCGTACCGATCGGCCGTTCTCGCCGTTGCCGCGTCGCTAAAGTGCGCATCCACCAGGTGCTTGATCACCGGCCAGCCATACGCATTGGCAAACGTCCGCCGCACCAGCATGTTGTTGTGTGCATCCGGCTCCAGCTTGACCAGCACCTTGCGCCACGACATCCCCCGGTGGTACGCCCGCGCAATCTTCTCCTCCACCTTCATGCTCGCGCTGTCCACCACCTCGTCCGGACCGACCTGGTCTTCGTCGTCCGGCAGCGACGACAGCACCGAGTCCTGCCGCGTGATCCCGCTCGACAGCGTCGACGTCGACCCAGTCGCCTGTCGCTGCAACGAGACGCGCCGCTTGGCCATCAGCGACCCCGTCGGCCGGCTCTTCAGCGGCGCCGGCGGAATGTCCGACGGCCGGTACACACGGTCGTGGAAGATGGCACGAGGCCGTCGAGCTGGATCGACCAGGTACTCCACCGTCGGCACCTTGGGATTGAGCAGGTCCGTCGCCGACTCGAAAAAGGACGTCTTTGGCGGCGCCACCAGCAGGTTGCGCACTCCGTCTTCCAGACCCGTCTCGTTGAGCTCGTGGCCTGTCGTCACCCGCGACTTGCTCCCCGGTACCACCTGTCCCGACCCCGATCCTGACGATGCTATGCTGGCGGCCGATGATGCCGTCGGCGACACCCACGCATCGCCGCGCAGCGTCTGACTTCTCTGATAGATTCGGTCGTGTTTGCTGCCGTGTGCTGCCGGCTGAGGCTGGGCCTGGGTCTGGGCCTGGGCCAGAGCCTGGTTCTGCGCCTGAGGGTCTGGTGTCAGAGATCGTGGCGACGGCAGTGACGACGGTGTTGGATCGCCGCCTCGGAGAAACTGGAGAAAGCTGCTGAACGGGTTGTTGTTCGTCGTCGCCGTCGACAGCCAGCCGGCCCCGTCTGCTGCTGTTGCCGTCGACGTCGCCTCGCCGTACGCTGCTGCTGTTGCCCGCAGGCTCTGTCGGTCGTCTTCGAGCATCGCGTTTCTCGGAGGCTGTGGTACCTCATGTGTAGCCTCGGCTGTCGGATCGCCTTCGTCCGCCGCCTTGACTGCCTCGCTGCTCGCCAGATCCCATCCTTCCTTTCGCGGACTGTTCACGTTGGCACCCGTCAGCTCCGCCCACCCGAAGCCCACCACGCTCTCCACCAGTCCGGCTTCGCGGCGCGCCTTTTCTACCCGCCCGAGACCCTGCCAGTCGAGAAAGAGCAGACAGCTCGTGCGCAGCGGCACGATCCCATCGTTCACCACGTTCGAGTACACCGTCCGATTGCGGAACTTTCTCAGCGCCGTGTGTGCCGGCCCCGTCGGCAAGATCCGCAGCAGCGGCTTCGACTCCGGTTCCGGCGCATCTGCCAGCTTCCGCTGCACGCTGTCGCCGAGGTTGCCCACCAGAGCTCCCCAGCCACTGCGCGCGAGCGTCGGCGGCCGCCACGTCAGGCCCAGGTCCTGGCCCGTTCGCCCGACCAGACCAAAGTCGAGCGCAAACTTGACGTACAGCGGGTTCTCGTGGTTGAGTCCCAGGAACGGCGACGCCAGCGCGATAAAGTTGATCGGCTCAATCAGGTCGAAGAACCGGGGCGAGTGCTTCTGTATGTAGGCCACCGCATACGTCTGCACAGGGCCACCGAGCGAATGCGCCACAAAGCTGATCCGCGTGAACTTGTAGCCCCGGTGCGCATCCGTCGATAGCCGCTGGCTGTCCAACTGTCTGTCTGTCGACGTTCTCGGCAACGACTCGGCCCCGGTCCCGGTGTTCCGCCGCCGCAGAACCGTCGGCGAGTCGGCCGTCGCCTTGTACGGATAAAACGGCTGGTCTGGATAGGTCATGGACAGGACATATCGCGCAAGCCTCTTGCCAAGATACTTAATCCCTCGCTCCGTCCTCGTGGCATTTCCGGAATAGCCTCGGACAATGACTTCCTCGTCGTCATCGTCGTCGTCGTCGACACCCTCTTGTCCTCCATCTTGGCCGGCAGCTGCCCGTTCTTTCGCTCTCCGTGCCTTCCGGTCAATCTTGGCCTGTTTGACCGCCTCGTCTATGCTCTCCTTGAGAAAGAGCATGTCGCTGCCGAGATTGCTGTGCAGCCCGTGCGTCAGCACCACAAGATGGATCTTTTTGATCTTGGGCTTGCTCTCGTCGTTGGTCCCGGTCCCGGTCCCGGTCTCGGTCTCGTTGGTCTCGATCGGCTCTGTCGCCACCGGCACCGCTATCTCGGTCGTTGTCGAATGCGAGACCCGGAGCCCGGCCGGACCGTCCCAGCCGGGCAGTCGTGGCTTGTTCCACAACGCCGCCGTGTCCTCCAGCTGCATGCGGATCGCCCGCGAGTACACGCCCTTGGGCTGGTCTGGGTGGCGTCCGTCGCGGCCGCGCTGGTAGTCGCCGACCCGGCCGGGCTGCAGGACCTGGCCCTCGGGGCCGGTGCCGCTGCTGCTGCCGGTGCCGCTGCCGCCTAGGAGGACCGGCATGCCTGACGTGAGGCCGCCGCCGACATCGAGCGACTTGGCGTCCCGGGCTAGCAGGACCTCGTAGTTCACTGCCGCCGACGTCGAGAAGATGACCTGGCTGCTGACATTGATGATCCAGCTCGCGCTCAGCGGGCCGCCGTCACTGCCACTGCCACTGCCGTTGCCGGCATCGTGGCGGATGCTCTCGGGCACGACCAGACGGCACGACCACGAGCCGCCGGCCTTGAGCATGGGCTCAAATTCGGGCACACCATAGTGGCGCGGGTTCTCAAACTTCTCGTTCGGGCTGAAGTGGGCTGGGCACGCATCGACGTAAAGCGTGTAGGGGCCGTGGACAAAGGCTGCTCGCAGCGCACTGCTCGACGTGTTCCGGATGCGCAGATACAGATGCTCGGGTGCCGGGAGGATGCGGTCGTGTGCAGGCGTGTATGAGACAATGTACCGGACAACCTCGCCGATCTTGACGCTGCCGATCTGATGGAGGAGCAGCATGGCGAAAAGGGGCGGGAGAGACAGAAACGTCGCCGGTGTCGATTACAGCCTCTCGACTTGTTCCTGTCTCTTTCTCCTCTCGTTCGCTTGTGTCCTCGTCTTCTCGTCTCTGCTCTCGGTGACCTGATTCTGCAACCTCAGCACATGTGTCGGAAGGGGATGCAAGAAACGGGACAGAATCCGTTAAGCAGTGGGACGCTAGAGACGACGATGGCGGGGCTGCGAGACCGACACGTCGTAGCAACTGTAATCAGAGCCTAAAAACAGGCAAATACAAGTAAGAGGTGCGAAATGGCGAGATGACGGCAGACTGCGCTTGCCAGGACGAGGAGAAGCTGTCTGCAACTTATGCACTGGGCGAACGAATCCGCTTCCAATGCCTCGGCCGAAGTCGTGCAAATCACCGAGAAAAGGCGGTCGCGCGTGTCTCCGAGAAAAGAGGTGTGCGCGTCTGCCAGCGTCCTTCTCGCGTTGGGCTCGACGATGAGCCATTACGAGCTTCTTTACTAGCTCTACCCGGTCACGGGGTCTTGCTCTGTCCGCCAACTGCCCGCGCAGCGACAGCGGAAGCCGCGGATGACGTCGATCGGGACCTGGCACTTGCCCTTTCAAATTAATAGCCTGTTCCGGCCAATCTAGACGCTAAGTCTGGAAAGAGCGCACGTGCCAGGTGAAACGGCTGCAGCGGTCTGATACGTAATTACGGAGTAGAGAGGCCCGATTTCGTATTATCGCTACAGCTGGACCGCTCCAGGCTATGGGTCACTGTCACCGTGTCTCTTTGCCAATCTGAAGGGGGGTCAACTATGAAGCAAGCACAAGCGGTAAAAAGACAATACAGTAGGAGGAAAAAGAAAGAACAAGGACTTAAATAAACAAATAAAACAAAACGATTCACAAAAAAGAATAAATGAACGCCTATAACGCCAACAGATCATCAGACATTTGGCATTGCCTCGCAAAAAAAGCAAAGAAAAAAAAAAGAAAAAAAAAGAAATCGCCCGTCAACGTCCATCATCCGTCGATGGAATCCGTATCGCCCTCCAAATCACCCGGATCAACGTACGAAAGCCATTCACCCACGCGGCCCATGCCGCGGTCAGGCCCGGCCAGGCCAGCCATCACTGACCTGGGCTTCTCATCTCTCACGGTGCGTCGCCACCCGCCTCGTCCCCTGGATGGCGGCACGCCGTACGCCTCTGCCTCCATGTCGCCGTAGCGCATGTGGTGGTCGACGGCGTATGGGTTGTGCTCGGGCCATGACGTAAGCAGATCCGGGCTGTCAAACACGTCGCCTTCCATCGGGTGTCGTCGCATCAGCGGTGCCTCCAGTGACATGGCCGGCTGGAGCATAGGCCCCATCGGTACCATCGGCATCCCTCCCATGGACGCTCTGACCGGTGCCGACAGCGCACCCACGCCTGTCATCGGAGGTGCCGTGGCTGGCGCCATAGCAGGCGCCATAGCAGGTGCCATAGCAGGTGCCATAGCCATGGTGGACAGCATGCCTCGATGTGCCGGATTGGTCCTGTAGTCGGCGTTGAACCGGTCGGCCAGCCGACGGTCTTGGGAGCTCCCGCGAACCCCTCTGGCCATATTCACGCCGGCCACGTAGTAGTTGCCTCCTGCAGGAGGCCTGTTGTCAAACGGTGCGGGCGAGAACGGGCTCAGCTGGCCGTGGTGCGGGTCGTGGTGATCGTCGTGGTGCGGCTCGTATTGCTGGTCATGGTGCGGCCGCTGATGCTGGTGCTGGTATGGCTGCTTCTGGTGCTGTTGGTGCTGTTGGTGCTGTTGGTGGTGCACCGGCTGTGCCTGTTGTTGCGGTGGTGTCGGAGGCATCGGCGGCGGAGGTGGAACTGACGGCAGGATCACCGTGGCTGACCGCTGTCGGCTGCCTTCTTCCAGGAAACTGTGCCGCCCGCGAGCATACACACCCAGGTCGCTTTCGGCATGTCGCCTCGGATACTTTTCCGTCTCGTCTTCCGATCGCTCTTCCGCCTCGCGGTATCGGCCATCGTAGTATCCCGACCGATCTTCGTCGCCGAAGCTGGTGAAGGCTGTGTGCATCCGGTTGGCCAGATCATCGTCTCGCGGGTCGTGCAGTCGCCGCTGCAGAAACGTGCGTTCGTCGTCCTGCCTCGTAGGGGCCACCACCGACACGCCGGCAGAGGCAGTGCCGGCCGCCCGGCCGTGGTGGAAGTCCCGGATCGAAGTCGCCGCCGAGCCAAAGCGGTCGCCTCGCATGCTGTTGAACGGCTTCTGCGTGTACTCGGATCGGCTGGTGTCCCCGGCGTCGCACTCAAACACGGCACAGTCACACGTCTTCCACTTCGTGCCGCACACCATACAACACTCTGCTCCGCATTTCCCGCTAAACGCCAGGTCAGCATACTGTCATGCAACATACCACCATGTGTCAGAGAGGACTTCATACCATGTCACGTGATCCTGGCTGTCATAGAGCGGCGTCCTGGCCCGACATTTGTAGCATCGTTGCCGGCCCTCGGCTCTGGCCTCGTCCAGGAACCGGCTGGACCCTTCTCGCGGAGGACACTGGCGCGATATGTGCCATGGCCCGTTGCACAGACGACACACTTTCGTCCTACACTTGCTGCACTGTGCCGCCTTCCGGTCGTCGGCCGAGTACATGTCGTCCGGCTTCAGCCATTCTCCACACCGTGGGCAGTGAGGCCGCGACTGAGCCGCATATTCGCGCAGCTTCTGGTTCCAGGCACGCTTGAAGCCCAGATCAAACAGTTTCTCGACGTACTTCAGCGGGATCTGCCTGTCACAGCACCTCGGCGGCATCGCCCGCGGGTCCGACATCGCCTTTGCAAATCTGTCTTTCAGGCAGGAGCTGCACATCCGGTGATTGCAGCTCAGCTTGGCCAGACGGGACAGTGCGTATTCCTCGCCACATATTGCACAGTCATGGCTAGGACATCATCGGTCAGCGGCTAGCACGAACGGCACCAATCATGGGTGGACAACTCACTGGCTACTCGGCATCTCATTGGCAGGCGCCTGTCCGACGAAGCCCCCCAGTACCGACAGTTTCGACGAGCCGACACTCGGCGACGAGGCCATCGGAGGCGCCGTAGGCTGCGTCTGTGCTCGGCGGAGAGGCGCCGTGTTGTTGGCGTAGGATTCTGGGACTTCTGTCTCGCAGTATCGTCTCGATGACGGCCGGCTAGAACGACAGGTGAGTCACACATTCGACATACGGGACACATTGGCACTGTCTACCTTCTCGAAGTTGCTCTGTTCTTCCACCCGTCGTCAAAACTGCCGGGACGGCGCAGGCTCTTGCCACGCTTTGGCGCAAAGCGCGTCGCCTGCGTGGCAGAAGTGTGCCGGGACGTGGGCGCTCTGCTAGCCTGCCTAGAGGCTGCCGGCCGTGGAGGGGGATCGCTGTCGTCGTCCTCCTCGGCCGTGACATCCTCGGTTGCTTCGGCATCCTCTTCGTAGATGACCTTCTCGCGTCTCCGACTTCTGCTCCGGCTGCGACCGGTGCCGGCACCCCGGCTCTCGGTGCTGCGACGAGGGGCGGTGCGTCGAGAAGACCCCGGCTGGGACTGGCCTGGGCCCTGCCCTTGTCGCTGTCCCTGTTCGCGCTGCCGTTGGCGGTCCTCGCCGCCCTCGCGCTGTGGGCCGTCCGAGTCCTGCGCCTGGCGGTGCTGGCTGCTGGATCGGCGGCGGATGTCGAGACGGTCGCGCAGGGCATTCTTGTCTACGTAGACGCCATCGCCGCCATCGTCCTCCTCGTCTTGCGAGGAGTCGGTCGTGTCCGATTCTCTCTCGGACTCGTCAAAGGAGGACCGCACCGACCGGCGAGTTTCGGGGGTCGAGCGGTAGTGGTGAGCCGAACGTGGACTCTGGTCTCTGTGGGAAGCCGTGCGACGGCTGCCAGACTGAGACCGGCCTTCATAGGGGCGAATAGTGGTGGCGGTGGCCCGCTTCCCGGTTGGGGCAGTGGACGCCCGGGCAAACGGAATTGGCGCAGCCGGCGGCCGTCCGACAAGCGGGCTGGCAGAGCTGTGCTGTCGCATGCCTCGTGGTAAAGCCAGTAGGGATGCTGCCAGGCTCACGGCCGGTCGTTGGTGAGAGGTAGCAACGGACGACGGGGTAGCTGAGTAGGCTGAGTAGGCGGATCTATGTACGTCCCTCCGAGAATGGCGAGGCGATGGCAGGGGCGACGGCAACTCCGTTCGCATCCAGTCCTCCTTCTCGTAGACCGAGGGCGAGGGCATGTGGCCGGGAGCCGTCTGCCACCAGGAGCCAGAGTCACCAAAGTCGCCGGGGCCTCTTGTATCGAGCTGCGCCATTTGGAGTGGCGTCAGCCTTAGACCGCCAGTAAGATGTACATCCGCGGCCGGCTGCTGCAGCGGGTGTGCTGTTTTGGCGCTCGAGATTGGCCGTGGGTGAGGGTCGTGGTGTGGTGGACGACTGACGAGCGACGAATTCTGCTCCAGTTTCCTCTCCAGCCGATACGGAAGTGCGTGGGAAGTGCCAGCTGGTGCTGTCTGACTGGTGCGGCAGGATTGCTGAGACTGCATGGGGGGGTATTAGCGCTGATTGGTCTCAGTTGCATGAGGTCGTTGCACCATTCAGGAGAGAGGGGGCCGTCCGAGGTCGCCTTGCAAAAAGCGTAGGTGGACGATGCCCCGCTTGGCGACAGAAGAGCGAATCCAGGGACGACAGACGGGGCTGCTGCGGCTTACCGGTTGGGCATCAGCGTACTCCGTATCATGTAGCTAAAACGGCCGGATATGCGGTCGTGGCCCAAATGAGGAGCGTGCGCGCGCGAGGGGTGTGAAGAAAGCAAGAAAAGCGGAAAGAAAGAGAAGCCGGGGTGGAAAAAAGAGAAGAGAAGAAATCTAGATAGCATCAGGCAAAACGCCAGAGACGAAATGCGACGTTGCAAAACAGGCGAGGACTGGGGCCGTGGGTCGGAGGCAAATGCAAAAGAAAAATAGTGTGAGCCGTGTCTGCTGGTTTCCCCCACGAGAACCCTGCTGACTCTGAGGGAGCGGACGGGAGGCGAAGTAAAGCGCGCGATACGACATCAAGATAAATAAAGGTGTGTTCGAGTTGAGACAAAAACCAGTCGATTAGGCTCACGTGATCGCACATGCGTCACAGTCGTGAGAAGAAGGAGCGATGCAGTACTCCGTACGAATACGTGCCTGTGGCAAATCCGATCTTGAACAGAATTGCCTGCCAGCCGAGTCTGGAGAGCCATCAGCAGGACGAGGGGAAGCTAGAGAGCTGCCGAAGCTGCCCACGAGACAGGGCAGCTGTGTTAGCGCCTGTAGCGCCCGGAAAAGCATGCACACCATGCAGAAGGATGCCTGCCAGCCTTGTGCATTCCCATGTGCAGTCCAGGTACATTCGGCCTGCGTCGTGCTCTGGGACACACCGACGGACACGTACGGCGTGCGAGCATCATTGGTGGCGAGCCGACAGGAAAGCACACAGCCCCAGGCTTCAGCGTAGCTGCCAGCCAGCTGACGGTGTGGTGAGGAGATCAAGACAACACGTACAAGTACGGTATGCCGGCGGGGCACCAAGGCAAACGCGCCTCTCCCGATGCTGTGTTTCTCCGACAGGCACCATGGCCATCCCGAGGGACGAGGCCAATGCTGCAATGCCCGCCAGAGCCCGGGCCAACGTAAGATGTCGTATGTTCCAATTGCGTGCCTGCAAGGCCGAGCGTCACACACTTTCCGGCAGACGTGAAACTCAAGGCTGGCCGCCTGCATGTGAGCCGGTCACGCACCCTTGCTCGAACACTTTTGCCTTCTGAGGAGGGCCCGTGGTGCCTGTGGTTGGCCTGCTGTCAGCCAATGTGAATGCTCGCCAGAACGGCAGGATGCAGAACGGCAGGATGTGCAGGAAAGAAGCTACGGAGGATGAATCAGAAATACAGAGTACACCAATACAGTTCTATCCAATCATTACTCGACATGTTGGCCCGTTGACCTTGTCTTTTGGCCGGACCGTCTACTCTTCTCGGGCCGTGAGATCCCGCACACGGCTTGGAAGACGTTCGCATACCTGGTGACTCAACCACCTAGGTATTCTCGTCGCCGGGCCTCTGCCTGGCGCACAATGTCGGCGGCCAGGCTGAGGCTGGGCGCCAGGATGGCGTAGCGGGCCGTCTCGGCGACGACATTGGCCATGAGCTGATCGAGCATCGCGCGGCTCGGCACAATGGACAGCAGGATGTCGGCCAGCGACGGCGACATGGACGCGCCCATGACCAACAGGGCCTGCGACGTGAAGGAGAGCGCGGCCTGCCAGAGATACGGCATGTGGCCATCCTGGTTGGCCGTCACGTTCTCGAGCTGGCGCACGGCCGATTCGAGACAGTGGTGACAGGCCGCACGCACGGCCGGCTCCAACATCACGGCCTGCTCGCGGCCCTGCTCGCGGTCCAGCACCGCCAGGATGTACGGCCGGTAGATGATGGTGCGACAGGCGAAAAAGCGCTGGCGCAGCACCGTCTGCACCCGGTCGGCCAGCGGCACGCTCGCAAACGAGAACTGCAGCGGTGCTGGCAGGTTGTCGTACCACTGCGTCAGCTGGTAGTCTAGCTCGGCCACGATCGGGCCCAGGCTGGCCGGCGACGCCGCTGCGTCCCGTGCATATAGCAACTGGCTGACCCGATTGAGCAGACGCCGGAGCGCGATCTCGGCCAGAAAATACCACAGGTCGTCGCGTCCGGCAGCCGTGCTGTCGAGGGTCGTCGCTTGCTGGCTGTCTGTAGGGTCTCGACCCTCGAACCCGCACGGAAGGCCGACGTTCTCTTCCAGCTGCACGATGCCCGAGTGCGGCAGGTCCAGCTCAGCCAGCAGGTCGCTCTCAAACAGCAGGGCGTTCCAGTAGATCCGCTCGGTCAGCTCGCGCTGGCCTGACGGCACGCGGTCCGGGACCATCAGCAGCAGCTGCAGCTTCGTGCTGGTGGTGCACAGCAGGTTCCACGCCTCCAGCGGCCGCACCAGGTAGAACAAGTAGACGGCCGCCAGCAGGTGGCACTGTGCGGCCAGCACGCTGTTGGACGTCATCATGGCCGGCAGCAGTGCCCAGGCCGCGGTGAAGTAGGACAGTCCGGGTGGGTCGCAGCGCGGCACAAGGCGCGAGATGCTGCCGCCTAGGCCGGCCTGACCCAGGGCCAAGACGAGCAGCACGATGCAGCTCTCGGGGCCCTCGCGAAGTCCGTTCGCCAGGGCCGTGCCGTAGAGGTTGTGCCACGTGTACGGATTCACGCAGGCATACCATACGTTGACGCGCTCAAAGTAGGCCGTGATGTAGGCGGCCATGTTGGACAGGTCGATCCGTGGCGTCTGGGCCAATGATGGAAGCGACTCGCGGGCCATCTCCAGCCGCAGCAGGATCTGCGGGTCATATGGCTGCGTCACCAAGTCGCAGATCAGCGGCCACTGCAGCAGATGCATGGCCGCGTTGGTGTGCACCTTGGGCATCGTCGATATGTTGGTCGTGCTGCTCCACGTCCCGATTGTGCTGGCTGGGACTACCGAGACGAACGGACTCGTTTCTGCTGCTATGGACGGCCATAATGTGCTGAGGGCAGAAGATTCCCGTCGGGGTGACTGCTGCTGCTGCTGCGTGGAAGACGAGCTTATTGCATCTGCCAGGTTCATCTGCAGTAGATTCTCAATGTGGCCGAGCCGCTCGAGGATCATCTTGTCGCCGGCATCCAGCTTGATGCCGGGCTCGCGGTAGATACATGTCGCACCCAGCTCGGTGCACAGCTTGCACTTGGGTTTGGTGCCGTCGCAGCGAGACTTGCGCGAGCGGCAAACTTCGCACTGATAGCATTAGCAGAAAGCAGAAAAAAAAAGCAGAAAAAAAAAAAGCAAGAACAAACACACGGCAATCATGGCTCGCCGCCGCGGATAGTCTGCGCTCGCATCGGCATTGCGGCGCTTCAGCGGATTGGCATCCGTGACCAGACCGGCCTGGCTGCTGGCCGACGGTGGTGCCGCTCCGATTGTGCCAGCAAGGCTGGGCGAGTTCACGTCCGAGCCGTCTGACGATGGTGCCGACAGGATGCCGTCACGGCCGAGGCCCACGGAGCGCTGGGGTGAGCCGGCGTCGACGGATAGGCCGCCGTCAGAAGCGTCCATGGCAGACGAATGTCGAGCAGTCGCCGCTGTGACTGCTGTGGCCACCGTTGGCGAGTTGCTCGTCGGCATGCGAACCAAACACGTATGTGTAGATGCGGGCCGGGGCGAAGATCAGTCTCGAGCCCATGTCCAGCGAAACGGGGCCGTGCGTCTCATAACATCATGGACCGGCAAAGATGGTGAGGCCGTGGCAGTCCTGGCAGTCGAGAGCTCAACAAAGGCGATCTTGCAAATACGCAATGTGCTATGGCCCAGTTGGGAGGGAGGTTGCTGAGGCGCTAAGTGGGGACGGGATCTGAACAGAAGAAGGGATCAAGCATGGACTCCGTAGGCTGCTCTGGTATGGACGCTAGACTGTTGAAGAGCTTTCTTGTCAAGAAGAACAAAGTTGTGAATCGACATGCAGAACGGGGAGCTGAATAGAACACGCGATGCATGCAGATGAACATGCGAGTTGCTACTTCCCACGGACAGTGGCTCTTTCCTAGAATCGTGGATCGATCACTGCATGGGCACCAGTATCACATGACCACACAACACAAAGGTATCGCGGTCCTGAACAAGTAGATATAAGGCCTCTGTGCCTCCCTCTTCCCTCCAAGTCGTCAGGCCTGCCCAAAACCAGCTTTTCCTGCACAAAGGACAGAGCCGTACAGGAAAAGGAGCAACCAGCAGACGGTAAAATCGCGCACCAAAAGAAAAATATAGGAGAATGTAGGAAAAAACCAGAAGCCAAAAGCCAAAAGCCCAAAGCCCAAAGCCAACAACCAGAGAACCCTTCAACGCTTTATCGTATGTCCTAAGCTGAACACGCCCTCTCTTTTCCCCACCCGGCCGCTACGCCTCGCTTGCCTCCCGGGGCGTCACGCTGGCAATCAGGTTCTGGTACTGCTGGTCCTCGTCGACGATCCGCCTGACCGACTTCTGCTGGGGCGTTGGGGTCACGGCCGGCGTCGCCGTGGCCGTCCAGAGCACGCCTTGCATCGGCTGGGGCAGACCCACCACGTAGCCATTGCTCGCATGCTTCTTGTCGTGCTTGCTGTCCAGGTCCATCTTGTCCGCATCGTTGCCACCGTCCCCGTTGACCTTGTCGGCGAGCTCCTTTCGAGGAAGCCGCATCGCCAGCAGAACATACTCAGCCCGCGTCATGCTGCCCATGATGTTGTCCATGTACCGCTTTACCTCGTCTGCCGGCGCGACCACCCGCGCGAGATAGTCCAGCAGCTTCTGGCCCGACGATGACGATGCCGACTGCGTCGCCACCTGCAGCCGAATCGTCACCGGCTGGTAGTAATCCAGGTCCGGGTCGCCATAATACTCTGACCGGCTGCCCTTGCGCACGATCAGAAACGACGCCACCACTTCGATCTGGCCCTGCGGCGACGTCACGTACTCGACGATGCTGAACCTGGGAAACAGGTACCGGTCGCCCGTGCCGCCCGCAAACTCAAACACCACCGCCGACACGTCCAGCTTGGCTGCCGGCGGCGGGCCCTTGGATCGTAGCGCCTGCTGGGCTGGCGGGATCGAGCCGCCTCGGTGCTGGCTGCTCGCGGCTGTCGACGGCAATGTCGACGATGTTGCTGACAGGATGCCACCTGTCGATGATGACACCGCCACGGTCGCTCCGTTGGCTTTCGCCACACCGCCCAAGGCTAACGTTCCGGCCGAAGAGGCAGCGGTCCCGCTGGCTGTTGACGTTGTGCCTGCTGGTGCCAGGACTGCCTGTCCGGCAGACTGTAACCGTTGTCGCTCGCGCTCCTTCTCACGTGCCACCTGGCCCTTGAGCTTGTCCAGGACGGCCTTCAGGTCGGTCGCGTCGGAAAACTGTGGCCGGTTCTCGCCGATCCGTCGCACCATCTCCTTCACCCGGCCATCGTCCAGGGCCGTTTTCACCAGCAGCACTACGAGCGGGTCGCTTCCGGCTGGCGGTCGCAGGTCCACCGATGTCTGCTTCGGGTTTGTCCGCAACACAATGTCGAGAATGATGCGCACCTCCTCGGCGAAGAACCGCACCGTCCTCCCGTCGACGAGCAGCCGGTCGGCCGACGGCCCCTGCGCTGCACCATTGCGCTTCGTCTCAATCGTGATCTGGTCAATGATGGCCTGGAACCGGTCCAGCTCGTCTTTCGGCGCGTTTCCGTTGGCAACCCTCTTCATGAGATCACGCAGCTGCGGGTCTTCTGTCGCACGCTCGGCCAGCGTCACGATGATCGAGTCCGTTCCAGGCGGGTGTGCCGCTGCCGGCTTTGGCGTGCCGACTGGCAGAATCGGGCTGGGCGCGTGCGGTCGTGGCGCTGCAGGAGGTCCTCCTATGACCGCTGGCTGCACGACTGGTCTGGCTGCTGCTGGTTGTATGGGTGCTGGTGGCGCGCTCGGCGAGAGGATCCCTTCCATGCCTCGCGGCGACACCATGGGTTGTGGCAGGACGGCCACTGCAGGAGGAGGCGGTGGTGGTGGTAGTGGAACAGCTGATGCTGGTGTGGAGGCTGCTGTAGGTACTGGTACTGCCGGTGTGGATGCTGCTTGTGGATGTTCCTGTCTTGGCGGCTGTGAGACTGGATACGCAGGCTTCTGACTGGGCGTTGCCGGCATAGAGGCCGGTGTTTGTGCTGGGCTTTGGGACTGCTTCTTCGGTGTTGGTGGTGGCGGTGTGGATACGGCTGACGACGGCGGTGGCATGCTGCCTCGCGAGGGGCCGTACATGATGATGGGCCGGACGTTGGGAGGCAGCGAGGCCGCCGGCTTGGGATCCTTGACGCCGTACATGGTGGCCTCGAAGACGTGTGGCTCGACCGTGATGACGATCTGGCCCAGCTTCACCATCGAGTCCTTGGGCGGGTTTTTGGGGTCGTCGACGGCGACACCTCTCCGCTTCGACGGTTTCGCCCAGTACTTTTCAAAGATGCCTTCGTTGATCCATTTCTGTCGCGACCGCGAGAGCGACTCGGCCAGAACGCCACTGCTTTCGTTAGCTACGATCCACGGCCCCCGAAGCAGCGTAAACATACCTCTCGTTGACCGACTGATATTCTGTTACCAACAAATTGTCGGGCTGTGCTTGCTCGACCGTCGGCAGCGGCTTTCCTGTCTGGATGGACTTTGGCAGCTGGCTGTGCGACTGCTGCTGCGCCTGGTTTTCGCCCGACGAGTCGTCGCCTCCAGCCGCGCTGAGGGCCGGCGTCGCCGACCGGGTCGTGCTGCCCTCAGCCGGCGGTGTCGACGTCCTGCGCTTCGCCGCCTGTTCGACACGTGCAGCTGCTCGTGCTGGGAGCTTTCTTTTTCTCTCCATCATCTGTTGTCTTTCTCCGTCGTCCTGTTGTCGACTGATCCTTTCGTATTTTCCAGCTTTCCCATTCACCGGTCGCCCAGTTCTGTCTCTGTCTCTCGATCTCTGGAGTCTCCTCGGTCTCGGTCTCGCCTCGCCTCTTCGTCTTCGTCTCCGTTCCCTTCCTTGCTCGTCTTGTCGTCGGGCCTAGAGCTATCAGACACAAGCAGCCAACGTCAATGCAGGCATCTCACGACCGCAACCCCGCCAATGATGTCTGCGAGCTGCCGGGGCAAAAGGACGAGTGCGCGCCTGCGTCGTGGCAAGGCGCGGCTGTGCTGCCGAGACGCGGGAGCGCGGTCAGGTCGTCGTCGCGAAAGCTAGCGGCTGCACGCGACGCTGTGGGAATGATGCTCGCCACAGCGCCAGACACTGATGGCCTGGTTCGGGGGAAGTCGACGCTGAGCGATCGTGCGCAGTGTCCCCGTAGCAACACGGTCCAGACGCGATGGGCTTCTCGGCGCGTGTCGGATGGCAGGAAGAAAGCGTGGTGCTGCGCACTTCCGATTTTTGGGGGGGGGATCGTTGTCATTATTTTACTAGCATTACGGCTCAGCACGAAGCAGTGAATTCGACGGCAGAGAAGAGTGCATTAACGATCACCTAATCAAGATTAGCGTCGCACCCATCCCGCCTGTGCCACTCTGATTCTGGACCCCGACACGGCCCATAATCGCTCTCGAATCACGACTGAGGTGGATTGGCCGGCCTGTTCTGCTAGATCTACAAGACAGCAGCTTTAGTGCTCCGTACACTGGGCATAGTTCTTGGAGAGTGGGGCTACCCAAGCCGCAAAAGCGTGCCTTCCTCTCCAAGCTCAAGCTTTAACGGCGCAGTAGTCCAGACCGTAAGATATCTTACCATAATCGTAATTCTCCTACCATCGTCCTCATCACATCCCATCGCCATCCCGCCCATGGGCTCCTTTCTGTACAAGAGGGCCGTCTGGGCCGTGGGCTTACCTGCATGTCTTTGGTGCTCATTTTTGGCTTTGGCTGTCAGCCCGTACTTCCAGAAACAGTTGGTCACAACCTCATGCCACCATGCCCTTGTTGCTTTCGCTGCGTGCTCACCACTTTTTTTTCCAGATTTCTCTACGCACACAACATACTTCCCTGGTGGCAGGATACCAATCAGCCACAGCTATGGGGGTTTGCTAGTGCGTGACAGTCTTGCTGGTGCGGACTGGGCTTTCTGTGGCAGTCGCTGACCTTGGGCGCAGAAAATCAAGTGACACCGTTCCATCTGACAACGGATGACGGTGAGCGCATTCATGCGTGGCATGTTCTGCCCCTTCCCGTCTACCTGAAGCACGAGGAGACGCTGCGGCTGCAGCCGACTGGCTACTGTGACGATATCACTACTGCCGACTCCCTTCGCATCCTTAGAGAGGACCCCAATGCGCAACTAGTCATCTTCTGTACGTCGTGGTTAGAAGGGTCACTGGGAGATATTTCTGCTGGAACTGACTGCTGACAACCCTCAGTCCATGGTGTATGTGAGGTCTCGAGAGCATGTCCTCGCCCAGTTTACTGACATCTGTATTTGCTGCTCTCGCTCAAGAATGCCGGACATATTCCCGCCACGATTCGTGCGCCCTCCTTTCACTCGCTTACCGACACGAGCTCGTTCCACCTGCTTGCGATCGATTACCGCGGCTTTGGCCAGTCCTCGGGACAGCCGTCTGAAGAAGGCCTCATCCGGGATGCCTCCGCTGCCGTCGACTTTGTCCTCGAGACGGCCGGTGTGGCTCCTGACCGCGTCATCTTGCTTGGTCACAGCTTAGGTACTGCCGTAGCTGTTGCGGTTGCAGAGCGTTATGCGGTCCTCCGAGCTGTCGATTTTGCCGGCCTTGTTCTTGTCTCCGGCTTCAGCAGCCTGCCCACCATGCTCTCCCACTACGCCGTTGCAGGGTGCGTGCCCATCTTGGGGCCACTCCGCTCATGGCCGCGCGTGCTGCAGTGGATCTTGGGGTTCGTTGTGGAGCCCTGGTCGTCGGTAGAGAGGCTCGGAAGCCTGGTGAACACTGTCCGCACAACCAAAGGACGGCACCTGCGTGTCGGCCTTATCCATGCTGCCGACGATTGGGACATTCCGAGTGTCGAGGACGATAAGCTCTTCCTCGCAGCCGTGAAGCCCCTCCTGGGCAGCGGGACGAACGATTCGCAGTTGGCGGCCGTCAAGGAAGCCCGCACCGTTCGCCTTGGCGGCGATGCGTTTGTGACGGAGTGGCGCGAGTCCGACGTGGTCATCCGTCAGGAGCGGTTCCCCCATGGAGGTAAGCTCTTCTGGCTCTGTTGGAAGCAGGAGCGATGTGCTGACGGCCCAGGCCACAACAATGTCATGAAATACGCACCGGTAGTGATGGAAGTTATGCGGATCTTCAATGAAGAATACTGAAGCAATTTGCTATATCCAAATTGGTTCGAAACGATAGAATAGACTTGACCCGCATTGCTCGAACAGACATAAGAGAAGGAAAGTACATAGTATCAGAAAATACATAGCCTGCAGCCGTTAGCAATCTGCTCCCCAGCCGTTCTGGCGGTTGATGTGGTTCATAGCACTAATGCCGGCCTGCACGAATCCCACTGCTCCGTCGACGGCCTCGCTGCCGGAGCGGAACGTTGGCTCGGCGCCCTCGGCTGCCCGCAGATCCTCCTGGTCGAGCACGGTCTGGCGCTTCTCCAGCACGGCCTTGCTGATGGCCCGGGCCCACAGGTTGTACAGCTGGTCCTCGGACAGGCTGACGTATTCGGCCGGACGGTCGTCTTCCTGGCGTGAAAAAGCCCAGCATGACACGACGACCTCGTAGCGTTTGGTGCGGAAGAAGAGGAAGGGCCAGGTGAAGACGATGAAGAGGGTGGCGATGCAGACGATGCGGATCCAGCGGGTGAGGCGCCAGCGGTTGAACGGGTGGTCGTTGTACATGTGGATGCGGGCCTCGTCGACGGGGAAGGACACCTTGAGGTGGCCGCGGTAGTTGGTGCGCCGCACGAGCGTCTCCATCTGAGTGCGGACCTTTTTTTGGTCGAAGCCGGTGACGCGGCGCTCGAGCGTGAAGCATTTGAGCGCCGACCGGTCGGCACAGAAGCGCTGGCACCAGCCCTCGAGGCCGATGCACTCGTCCGACACGAAGACCTCCTCTTGGGCTCTCTCGGGCCCGGCGGCCGAGTCCCGACAGCGGAAGACGGTGCCGCGCCGCGCGAGCGTGTGATTGCTGATGAGGTGGACCGAGCGCCAGGCTCTGTTCCTCTGCACGTCCGAGTAGAGGTACGGCGTCAGGTCGAGCCGGACGTCAAAGTCGGTCACCTTGCGGTTCTCCTTCTTGCCGTCGCGGTCGATCGTCTGCATGTGCGAGCCCAAGAGCCGCACGTACGGCCGCGGCACCCGGCAGGCCAGCGTAAACACCTGGTCCGCGAGGCTCTTCCATCCGGTCGAGCCGGGGATCACCACCTTCCGCACCGGCTGGGCCTCGTCCTTTAGCATGACGTCGCGCACAGCATCAATGATGCCCGTGTGGCCGTCGCCACCGATAAACAGCAGCCGGTCGTCGGGAGCATCGCCGGACACGTCGCCCAGAGGCTCGCCGGCACCAGGTGCAGCCGCCTCATCAATCGGTGCCGGCCCGCTGACAGCATTGATTTCCGAGTACAGCGGTGGCAGATCGGCGATCAGCAGCTGCTCCGACGGGTCATCGTCCACGTCCACCAGCGGCGTGCGCGACACGCCTGATCCGCTGCCGTGCTGCGAATTCAGCGACAGGGCGTCGGCACTAGGCCGCGGCAGAGGGGATCCTTTTCGCACACTCATGATTGTCGTTATGTTGGTGTTTGCAGACAAACCGGGAGAGCAGCAAGGCAACAGACAATACCGGGAAGTAAGACGCTCACGTGATCGGGCCAATAGGCAGCTAGCGGGCACTGTGTAATTTACGCCAATGGCAACGACGGGAAACAAGACAGATCCTCCAACACAGGGCCCCACAGGAACAGGGCCTGTGGGCCGCCCGAGTGCGCTGGGCTGCGCTAAAATGGGGGATGCAACCGCCAGTAGTGAAACGTGCAGGGCATCTCTAAAGCTGAGGTAGTGTCACGTGTAATTGTCGATAACGTTCTAGCCTATGGCGGGGTAATAAGGCCACACCTGTTCCTATTTTTCCGACATCCGTCGATTGGATTTTGCGCCAGCTGAGAAGGCCAGCTTCTCTTTCATCCAGCCATTCAGTCTGGATTCACGTTCCAGGTGTATCCCACTTCCGTGCTGCCTCTGCACCCCACACGTCTCCTGCCCTCCCTCCTCCCTCCCTCGACCGTTTCGAAGATGGCCGAAGATGCGAACTCTGCGTCTGGGGCTGCCGAGAACAAGAACGCCGAAGCTTCTGTTGCGCCTGTCACGTCTTCTGTAGCTGCAGGAAAGCAGCCGGCCAGTGACTCAGACGACGGACACGACGACGGAGTAGCATCAGCAGCAGCGCCGTCTAGCAAGAAGAAGAAGAACAACAAGAAGAAGAGCAAGACAGCCGCGGATGCGGAGTCGGAGGTGAAGAGGGCCATTGACAGCCTTCCACCGGCACAGCTGGCCGAGCTGCTCAAGCTCAACCCGGCCATATCGCAGGAGATCGCAGCGTCGGAGGCGCTAGCAGCAGGCTCGTCATCGGGCGGCGCGACGTCGGAATCGACTCTCGAGGCACTCAAGAAGCTCAGCCTGGCCGATATCATGACGGGGCTGGCAGCCAGCGGCAAGAACGTCAAGGATATGGCGAGCTACAAGTTCTGGCAGACACAGCCGGTGCCGCGGTTCGGCGAGGGTGAGCAGGGCGGCACGATGGTTGAGGAGGGACCGATCAAGGTCCAGACGGTGGACGAGGTGTCCAAGGAGCCGGCCAAGCTCATCGACGGCTTCGAGTGGGTCAAGGTCGACCTGACGGACGACGAGGAGCTGAAAGAGGTCTTTGACCTCCTCTCGGGGCACTTTGTGGAGGACGGCGAGGCCATGTTCCGGTTCCGGTACTCCAAGTCGATTTTGAAGTGGTAAGTTTTTCTCTTCTGTTTTCTTTTTTCTTCCTTCTTTTTACTCCTTTCCTCCCTTTCCTCCTTCTTTCTCCCCCCGCTAACGGTCAGGGCGATGATGTCTCCCGGCTGGACCAAAGACTGGCACGTGGGCGTGCGGGCAACACAGTCGCGCAAGCTGGTGGCATTTATCTCGGGCATTCCGCTGGAGCTGCGGATCCGCGACAAAGTGCTGCACGCGTCCGAGGTCAACTTCCTGGTGATCCACAAGAAGCTGCGGTCGAAGCGGCTGGCGCCGGTGCTGATCAAGGAGATCACGCGGCTCTGCAACCTCAAGGGCGTGTGGCAGGCGCTCTACACGGCGGGCGTGGTGCTGCCGAAGCCGGTCAGCACGTCGCGCTACTACCACCGATCGATCAACTGGCAAAAGCTATACGAAGTCGGCTTCAGCCCGCTGCCGTCGGGCAGCAAGCCACAGTTCCAGGTGCGCAAGTATGCGCTGCCGGACCGCACGATCACGCGGGGCCTGCGGGAGCTGGAGGCACGCGACCTGGACGCCGTGCAGAGCCTGCTGACGCGCTATCTCGCGCACTACGACATGGCCCAGACGTTCTCGCGCGAAGAAGTCGAGCACTGGATGCTGGACAAGCGGCTGCCTGGCGACGAGCAGGTCGTGTACTCGTACGTGGTCGAGGACGAGCACCACAACATCAACGACTTCTTTTCTTTTTACTGCCTGGACTCGTCCATCATCAACCACCCGAGACACAAGGTGATCCGGGCGGCCTACCTGTTCTACTACGCGACTGAGGTCGGCCTGACGACGCCGCCCGATAAGAAGGCGCTCAAGGTCCGGCTCAACGAGCTCATGTCGGACGCGCTCATCCTGGCCAAGAAGCACAAGTTTGATGTCTTTAACGCGCTCTCCATCATGGACAACGCCCTCTTTCTGGAGCAGCAGAAGTTCGGCCCTGGCGACGGCCAGCTGCACTACTACCTCTTCAACTACCGTGCCAACATGATCACCGGCGGCGTCAACAGGAGAAATCAGCTGGACGAAGACGCGCTGAGCGGAATTGGATTTGTCATGATGTGAGTCGGCGTCGGGACAGCCGAGCACGTTGGACACGACAGCATTGCAGGCCAGCGTTGATTTGATAAGAGGACAAAGAGTGGTAATGGCAAAGTCTCAAGACCAAGCCCAAGAGTCACGTGACATGCATCGTAGCCAAGCATCATCGTCCCGCCAACTTCTCGCCCGCCCGTGCCCGCTCCTCCAAGAGGTTGTTGTACCAGGTGCAGCGCTCGGCGAGGGGGGCGTGGCCCATGCCCTCGATAATGTGTGCGGCGCCCGGCTGGATGTACTCGATCAGCTTGCGGCCATGGGGCAGCGAGATCATGTGGTCGGCGGTGCCGTGAAGGACCAAGATGCGGTCGCGGCCGATTTGATCGGCCATGGTGACCAGCTGCTGCGGAGACTTGTGGTGCCAGCCGCAGGCGATGAGCTGCATGAGGAAGCCGGCCGTAGAGAAGCGCGGGTCGAGCCGCTTGTGCATCTCCTGGGCAACGAAGCGCTGGTAGTTGTTATCGAAGAGGCGATACCAAGGGTCGTCCTTGTCGTCCGTGTCGTCCTGCTGCTTCTGGTCCCCATGGCACCCTCGCTGCGGCGGTCCGACCAGATGTGTTCCCCGCTTCGGCAGCTGCACGTTGTCCGGCTGCGGTAGCCAGTCGTGGGCAAAGATGCGTCCGGCCGCGCCCCGGACGCTCTCCTCGACGCCCTTGGGAACGATCAGGGCCGCGCGGCTGGCAAGGTTCTGCCAGATCGTCGGCGACGTGTTCTCAATCGCGGCCGCCGTACAGCACAGCGACAGCGACGCCACAATCGTCGGCGCCATGCACGCCAGCTCCTGCGCAATCATGCCGCCCATCGAGACTCCGATCACGTGAACGGCTCGCTGGCTTGCCGGCGTAAAAGCGAGCCCGGCAGCACTTTCACTTCCGGCCGGCGTCCGCTCCACGAAGCCGACGTGCTCCAGCACCTCCACCACGTCCAGGGCCATCTCGCTCGTCGAATACCGCATCAGCGGCTTGTCCGAGTCGCCCATGCCGCGGTTGTCCACTAGCAGCACGGAAAAGTCCGCGTGGCGCTCGTGCCCAAAGTACAGCGTCTGGCGCTGCCACGATGACTTGAACGAGCCGAGTCCCATGATGAACTGCGTCCGCTGTCAGCTGGCAGAACGATGTCAGTCGTGTTCCACCCCCTCCAACCTACCACCATGCGAATCGGCCCCGAGCCGTGGATCTCCCAGCCAATTTTCAGCGGCCCTCCCCGGCCCTCAGCCACAGGCAGCAGCCCACTACTCGTCGGCTTCAGGTTGAACGTGGCGTCCGGATACGACGGATGCTTCAGCACCTCCTCCACCGTCGACAGATGCATTCTGACAGCCAGGTCAGCTTGCACTCCAACCTCTGCTTCTCCGAAAGAAAAATATACTCATCGGCCATGACTACGCAGATGGAAGAGCGAGGCTCGTGCACGTCCAAACAGACACGTGGGCGGTGAGAGAAGGGGAAATGCGAGCATTGGTTGAAGCCTTGCGTCTGGATGCCTCGGCGTCTCAAGCGACAATACGTCAAGGACAAGCCGTGTGTGCCCCACTTATACTAATACACCGCAAGCCCATCGTTCTGATTCCCCTCACACCGAAGGCTCGGTACAGCCTTCATTTGACGTTGGGTGCCTGTGGGCTTTTTCTTGGCACTGAGCAGCCCATACATAGATGAGCTTCAGCTTTCGCCTGAAGAAATTGCATGTCGTCCATATGGCCCGGACGATGGCCTCCTAGGATCGCTAGAGCGAACATGAATTGCTCACGTGACTGTCATCTGATCGCAGTCTTTTTTCTCTTTTTTCCCTGCTAACGGCGGCATCTCCTCGCTTTCTCCGCACCGACGAATCGACGGCGACAGTTCATCATGGCCATGTCTCTATCACAGATCCCGCGGCTGCTGTCGCAGTCCATGCTCTCGGCCACGGTGTCGCGTGTCCGCCCGACTGCGGCCGTCCCGGCGCTCTCCGCGGCCTTTGCTGCGCTCCGCGTTAACGTCCACCAGCAGCCACAGCAGCGGCGCGCCTGCTCCGGCAACTGCAACGCCACAGGCCTGTCCCTGGTTGCCTCACGACCGTCCGTCTCGCTGGTGGCGGCCGCGGCACAGAAGATCGTGCAGCAGCAGAGGCGCGGCATGAAGGTGCACAGCTCGGTCAAGCGGCGGTGCGAGCATTGCAAGGTGCGTCCAGCGGATCGGAGAGGCCGGAGCAGCCGGCGTACAGGAATCACTCAACGGCAGCTAACCATTCGGTCTCACAGGTCGTCCGGCGAAAAGGCGGCAAGCGGCACAAGGGCTACATGTACATCATCTGCCCGGCAAACCCGCGACACAAGCAGCGGCAGGGCTGAAGGAAGAGAACGAAGAACCACAGTAGATGCGGATTGCGATTGGGATAAGAACGAGGCAGAACACAGTTTTGTCTACCGGGAAAGACAGAAAACAGAGCACGTCTTTTGTATCGTATCTATGGACGACCAATATACCTCTCCATTGCCTCCCACTCCGTCTTTCCGGTCGAGACGAGGTAGCGGATGTGCGCCTAGCTTAGTTAGTGACTCGATCGATCATGGACTGAAGTGACTGCAGTCGCGGCCACTCACAAGATCGGTCACGTCTCGGTTCCGCTCAAATTCGCCTCGGGCATATCGGTGTGTCTCCGCCCGCAATGTCGGGTCGCCGATGTGGTGTGTGCCCCGGACGATCCGCCGGTAGAGAGCCAGCACCCGGGAGCGCTGCAGGAACTAGATTGAGGCGTCAGAGCTGGCAGCGCTTTGCAGTAGACGCGAAACGTAGGAGGACGGCCTACATGCTCGAGACTCAGAGTGCCGTCAAGACGAGACCGGCTGGCGCCCGTGGCATAGCGCCGGAAGGCCGCCCGCAGGCTGGCGAGTTGGTGCATGGAGTCGGTTCTGGAATGGCTGTCCCGCCCGCGCGTGGGCACACGGAGCTGCAGGCCGGCTGTTCGGACGTGGGGCGATCCTGAGAACTCGCGGAGAGAAAAATCACAAATCTCGATTATATTATTACTTGCGTGCCGCAACGCGCAGCGCCTTTACAGCGCTCTAGTGGGCGCTCTAGTGGACTGTCACGTGTAGACCGCTAGAAATGGCTGCTGTTGTCACGGGCATATGTTGTTTTCATTTGGTAGGCTTGTGCTGTTGTGTATATTCACTCATGCAATCCCAACCCACCCCATATATCCCGTTAAGTCTTGACCCGAGAAAAAAAGGCTAATGATAGACATCCTCACCATATTATGATACAAAGAGAAAGAAATAGTCTAAGGACCGTGTCCTTGCGTTACGTAAAAGAAGTCTAAAGATCTAGTCTTTGCTCAACAAAAAGAGAAGGAAAATAAAAATCAACGCAACCTGTTTTCTGCGTCCGTTTACGCAGTCTTGCCAACCAGCTTGAACAGGCGTGCCTTCAGGTCGCCCTTGGGGGCCCGAACAAGCCAGTACATAAACAGAGCACCGAACACGTTGAAGACAACGTACGCCCACATCAGGCCAAAGTCGCGCCACCGTTGGTCGTAGCTGACATTGATCGAGGCCAGGAAGGCGTCGGTGTTGGCAAGAGTACAGAACTCGCAGCTAGCAGGGGCCACGGCGTTCGGGTTGATCACCTTGCCACCGGCGAGCTTCATGTACGGGGTCATGTACTCGAGGCAGGTCTGGTTGCCGACCGGCTGAAAGCTGAGCAGCTCCCGAGCGGTGCAAGTAACTTCGTGATGGCCGACGCCAGTAGCCAAGAGGCCACCGACTAGATACGTCAAGGGTGAGACGCGGTACATGAAGATCCAGAAGCCAGGAAGTTGGTCCTTTCCAACCATGACACTGCAATTTGGTTAGCATGTGGAGAGGAGAAAGAGAGAGACATTGGGATGCAATAACATACCCGCAGAAGATCAGTGTAAAGGCAAACAGCAGCAGGGCCATGGTGGCACCCAGCTCGGCCGTGGGCGAGCCAGCCACAACCATGTCGGTAAAGGTAGACTCGAAGACGAGGAAGACCCAGACAAGCAGGAACATGAGGCCGCCACGCTCAGACACCGAATGCGTCGCCTCTGCGTTGTGGTTCATGCCGACGATGTAGTAGAACGGCAGGAAGACGAGCAGCGAGGCGATGGTGTTCCAGGGAAGCTCCACGATGATGTTGGCCAGCATAAAGACATACCACGAGTACGTGCGCGAGGCACGTTCACGGATCTCGTAGAGCTCGCGCTGGCGGATGAAATGGGGCATCGTCTGGTAGGCGAGGAAGGCGAAGATGACAAGCAGCATGAAGATGGAGAACATCTGGTTCTGCAGGCCCTGTTCGGACAAGGGAGCCTTGCGGAAAGAGAGACCGATGAAGAGAGACTAGATGGGGGTTAGCAAGGATGGACTGCAGCAAAATCTTGAGGAGCAACGTACGACCGCGAAACACAGGATCATCTTGGCGTAGATGTATGACGGAGTGCGCCAGTACTGCTCAAAGACGCGCTTGGAGCACATGTACAGCTGGAAGAAGAAGGGCGTGGCATAAGTGGTGACAGCAGCGGCGTCAGTTGCGCCGCTAGAAGCCATAGTGTCCTTGCGCTTGGCCAGGTTATCCAGCTCGGCCTGAACGGCACTGTACTCGTCGCTGTTGCGCCAGATACTGACCCAGTCCTGCTTTGCTACACCACCCGGTCCAGCACCAATGACAGAGAGCATCCACTCGGCCGGGTTCTCGTCCTGTCCGCAGGGCTCGGCGCCGTTCCGCTCAAAGTAGCTGATGATTGTCTCTGCGTTCGGGCCAATGTCGCCAAAGTACACGGTGCGACCACCGGCAGCCAGCAGGAGAATGCGGTCAAACTGCTGGTACAGCAGGGCGGACGGCTGGTGGATGGTACACAGAACGGCCTGGCCGCGGGCAGAGAGCTTGCGAATGAGCGCGGCAACGGACCAGGCAGTCTGACTGTCGAGGCCAGACGTGGGCTCGTCGAGGAAGAGCAGAAGATCGGGCTTGGCAGCAAGCTCCACACCAATGGTCAGGCGCTTGCGCTGTTCGACGTTCAGACCTGTTTATTCTGTCAGACACGCTCCGCTGGAAAGAAAAACGAATAGAAAGACGGTCAGACTTACCGGTACCAGGAACGCCGACAATGGCGTCAGCATACTCGTCCATCTCGAGCAGCTCAATAACCTCTTCGACAAAGATGTACTTGTCCTGGGTGCTGACAGTTGTTGGCTGCCGCAGCTGTGCGCTGAAGCGAAGGGCTTCGCGCACAGTCGAGGTCTCGAGGTGGACGTCCTGCTGCTGAACATAGCCGGTCTTGCGCTGGAAGGAGCTGTCACGGGGGCTTCCGTTAACCAACATGTCGCCTGTGACAACACCCATGGTGACGCGGTTTGCGAGGACATCGAGCAGAGTGGTCTTTCCAGCCCCAGAGACACCCATAAGACAGGTCAGAGTTCCGGGCTTGACCCAGCCGTCAACGTGGTCCAGCAGACGTCTGCCCTGGCCCTTGATGGTGATGTCGTAGCACACATTGCGCCAATGGCAGATGTCCTTCTGTTCGGTCTGGTGGCCCTTCTCGCCATCGCTGTCGTCCGAGGTCGCAGTCTTCCTCTCGACTACGGCAGACTCCTTGTGGCCACGGCGGAAGACGAGGACTTCGCCCTTGGACTGCTCGGCCGTGATGTACTCAGAGGCCACGAGGTAGGCGAAGAAAAAGGCGATCAGGAAACCGATGAGAATGCCCAGGTTCCGCCACTTGTGAGCGTGGTAGTACTCGTAGCTGCTGTTCAGAATGGTGTCACCAACGACAAAGTCGGCACCCGGGGCAGCGCCAGCAGTAGAGCAGGTATGCTCAGAACTGGAGAGGTTCGGGTACGCCGGCACGAACGAGGCGCAGGGGAAGTTGCGGCCGCTAAGCTCGTTCACCAGCAGACTCTCGTAGGCATAGGCAATGGGGTTGAGGTAGTTGATCCAGCGCATCCAGCCCTGCATGGATTTGACGGGAATGACAAAGCCAGTGTAGATGACGAGAGATATGATGAACACGGCAGCCGGAGTCAGAGCCTCTTGAACGGTGCGAGAAGCCTGGCCGATGGTGCGCAGGATGAAGGACATGGTCAAGGTACACGTAAAGGCGAACAGCAAGAAGAAGAAGAAGTGCCCGGCGCCATGTCGAAGATCGGCCATGAAGTATAGCGGAATGTTGAAAGCGATAGCGGAGAAGATCTTGGAGGGCAGTTCGCAGAAGGCAGACGAGACAGCTTCGGCCGAGGGTGTATAGAGTGCATAGCGGGCGTGCTTCTCGACGATCGGACGTTGGGCATACAGAGAGAGAATCTAGGCGGTTAGCACGGAGGAGAGAAGCAGAGAGACGGGGAAAACATACTTCCAGGGAGCTGCTGAGGGCATTGAACAGAATGGCGAAGAAGAGCAAGATGCAGCGCGACGTGATGCTAGAGGCATCGGGAGACAGCTGGTAGAAGACACTGCCAAGCACAAGGGAGATAACGAGGTTGCCGCCGACGGTGACGATGAAAAAGGTCTTGTCGCCCATAGTCCGCTCATAGCCGCGGGTCATGCAGAGAGCGACCTGCTGGGGGAACGAGAGGGTAAAGGGAGACTTGTTGGGACTGTGCTTGAAGTTAGCGAGAGAAGATCAGTGGTTTCTGTATTGGGAAATAGCTTACGTCAGCGGGGCCTGGTGTGCCTTCCGCACGGTGGCCATAGCTTCGATGGGGGTTCCGTCCATAGGATGCTCCTGGTCGAACTCGGCAATGTCCTGCAACAGGCTAGCACGAGTGGCACTGGCCTTCCAGTAGGCGACAAAGTCGTCAGGGGTGCGAGGGACGCGGTTCTCGAAGCCGGGGCGGACGACACGCTCGCCAGGGTTGGTAAGCGAGGTGAGGAAATCGGCCGTGGTCTGGCGATCAGGGCACTCGTAGCCCATGTCGACGAAGAAAGCCTTGGCCTCGTTGGCGGGACCGAAGAAGATCTGGCGGCCCTCGTAGAGAAGGCAGACCTTGCCAAAAGTCTCGTAGGCAGCCTCAGAAGCCTGGTACATGGCGACGAGAGCAGTGGTGCCGGCGAGCTCGGTCGAGAGGCGAAGAGTGTTGGCAAAAGACAGGGCAGAGGCACTGTCGAGACCACGGGTGCTGTTGTCCCAGCACTGGAGGGCGCTGCCGCTAAGGGCGACCTCGGCGATACTGACACGCTTGCGCTCACCACCGCTGACACCACGGACGAGATCGGAGCCGACGCGAGTGTTGACGGTATGAGAGATGCCAAAGACAGCCATGACGACGTCGCGGATGTGTTTGGCGTATTGAGCACGGGTGACGCCATCGGGACGCATCTGAGGAGTGCGTGCCTTGGCAGCGAAGAGCAGGGTCTGGCCGACGGTGAGCTGGGGAAAGTGGACGTCGGTCTCGGCCTGGTAGACGACCTCGCCGCGGAAGCGTTTCTGGATGGCCTGCATGGGGATGCCCTGGTACGAGATAAAGGCCTCGGCGTCGACCTGGAGGCCATTGGTCTCGCCGGCAACGGTCTTGAGGAGGGTGGTGACACCACTGCCGGGACGACCGAGCACGAGCAGCATCTCACCGCTGCGCACGAGCCCGTCAAAGCCGTCGCGCAGGATGGGCACCTCGCGTCCGCGCCGGCTGCTCATAAAGTACTGAGCGGCCTCGAGCGGGGCCTGCAGCAGGACGTTGAAGACGTCCTTCTGGTAGTCGGTCGGGCTGCCGTAGCCGTGGACGCGCAAATTGCGGTAGGCAACGCCGGCCGTCGGGCGTGGGCAGTGATCCGGGCCCTCGCCCGTCGAGTGCAGCACGGCCTGGGCCCATCGCCGGGCGTCAAAGGCCTTGGAGTGTGGGTCGAGTGCCGGGTCGTTGCTCGTGCCGGTGAACGGGTTCCGTCCCGGTGCACCGCCGCCGCCGGTGGCCCGCGAGCTCGACCGCACCAGCTCCATGCTGTAGGCGTGGATCAGGCCCTGGGCGTTGCTCGAGATCTGCTGCTGGCCCGGCATCGCTGCGGTCTCCCCGGACTCGACAGATTTCGAGTCGGTCTCCATGGTGACGACGGGAGGCAAAGGAGGCGGAGAGGGGAGGAGGAGGGTGGTCAGGCCTGAGGCCGTTGCTCGTGCGAAGAGGTTGATCCGCCAAGAACTGCCAGGATTAGGTCAGGAATGGACAATGGCAATCGGCAAGACGCAATCGAATTGATGGCTCAAAAGACAGAGATTCGCAGGGCAACAACAGCCATGCAGCAGGGTCGGTCTACTTATATTCTACTTGGAAGACAGCGCCCCCCTGGTTGCCACATGCGAGCAGGTTCTACGCCGGAACCCCTTGGACTAATTCCGGCGCATTGCATCAAGTGAGTCTAGCCGTCAAACTGCCCGAGCACTCCGGCTACAAGATGTTGTGGCAGTCGTCATCTTGGTCGAGATTTGGAGGCGTGTAAGTGGAAGGAGGCTGTAAATACGACGGCGGCATGTGGGGCAGGCCCGGGAAGTCGGTAAATCAGAAGGAACAGCGGGTCGCACCTTCCCCCTCCTGGCAAGTCGGCGCCGTGGACGGGGCAAAACCCTTTTGTAATGTGGGTCCTCGGCACCGAGTTCTCACAGGTCATAAAGGGAGCTGCAGCCTCCTTCGTACGAGCTGGGCCTTGCGCTTAATCGACAACCGCGCACGAGAGGGCGCCTGAAAACCGAACGTACCTTTGCTTTGCCGATACGGAAAGACTCCGCCGACCTTCGATGGACGCTGCCGCACCCCCCCATCAAGACCCCTCGGGTCCCCCGTCCCTGCTGGCCTCTTCTGGCTCAGCTTCTGCTTCTGCTTCTGCTTCTGCCTCGGCGACGGCCCAGCAGACGTCCTCCTCGCCTGGGCCTGCCTTCCGCACCGGCAAGCACAAGTCCTGCGACGCCTGCAAGGCCCGCAAGGTCAAGTGTCCCAGTGCGTCTGACTCTGACCGTTGGGCCGAGCGATCGACGGCATTCAGCACGCACGCTGCCAGCTAACGCAACCAGACGTCAACTACCCGGCCCCTTGCGGCAACTGTGTTGTCAGTGTTGTCTTGCGCACACACCCCCCTAAGCTCCATCTGCTGACAGGTCACAGCGTCGCAAGACAACATGCCATTTCGGCACAAAGAAGGTTCCAAGACGCAACGGTAGCCTACCCTCTGGAACACCGCCCCCACGGCCCTAAAGAGATGCTAATAACGAACAGTATCCGCCCATCTGCAGCTTGGCAGGCCATGTACGAGTGCCACTACCGGTGGGGTCCTCCACGATGCAACGCTTGACGGGGTGGTCTCGGACGCTGTGCACACGCCGGAGGCTTCGCCGCTGCGCTATGTCAATGCTCTTCAGCCGGCGAAGCCGGGCGATGCGCGCTCAGAGGCATCAGGAGCTCAGACGCCGACTGCCTCACAACCGGATGCTTACAGCCACGATGGCATCACCTGTGCAGATGCCGATACCATCCCGATGCTGTACATTGATCACATGCTCGCGCGGGCGCAGCACCAGACGCTCGGCAAGGAGTACACGCCTCTGACAAAGGTGAGCAGACCACAGACAGTCCCTTTGGTCTATCGTTTCGCAGCTAACCGTCTAGGGGAACGGCATCTTTGGCAAGTCCTTTCTCTACCACACGCGTCCGCAGTCCAGATCTAACTCTTCCAGGTGGCAGCTACAGTCTCACCTTCTTCTCCGAGGGCCGTCTGCTCTCGCTCTCGTCGCGGCTGCAGAACAACAAGGTCAGCGAGCTGGTGCACCGCATCAATGGGGTCATCGTCAGCCGTCTGCGTCGCACCGAGCCGACGGCCCAGGAACCGCTGATGATGCCCATCACGCCCTTGGCCACGGACGGCACGACCGACGTCGACAGCGCGGCCGCCCTGCCCATCGTCGACCCACCGTTTGCGGCCGCCTGCATCCGCAGCTACTTTGACAACGTGCACAGTCACTACCCCTTTCTCGATCAGGCCTCGTTTGAGCGTCGCGCCGCCGATGCCGACCTGGCCCGCAGCCTCGCCAACAGCCGGGCCTGGTCCTCGCTCTACCACGCCGTCTTGGCCATCGGTTGCCACTATACCGACGGCGGTGGTGGCAACGGCAGCTTTGAGCCCGGCAAGGGCACGGCCTGGCGGCTCTTCAGCGTCGCCCTCGGTCACTTCTCCGAGCTGCTCATCCTGCCCGACTCGCTCATCACCCTGCAGGCCCTGACGGCCATGGCTATCTACGGGCTCGACGTGGCCTGTCTCTCGATCGAGCGCGTCCTGCTGTCCGAGGCCGCTCGTCGGGCTCAGAGTCTCGCGGCCGCCAGCAGCAGCAGCAGCGGCGGCGGCGGCGGTGTCGGTGCCAACAGCGGCAGTGCCGGCGGGCTCATCAACCCGGCTTCGTCTGCCACCTTCCAGCGCACATTTTGGGTCCTGTACGGCATCGAGAAGGTCATGAGCTTCCACTTTGGCCGCAGCTCGTCGTTTGTCGACAGCGACATCTCGTGTCCGCTACCAACCATCCCGGCCGTCCGGCTGGACGAAGAAGACGATGGCGACGGACCCGACAACGAGACACACCAGCCGACACCGCCGCAGCAGACGGCCCCGCATCGGAAGCCGCAGTACCTCGACTGGTTCCTCATCTGGATCCGCCATGCCCGTCTGCTCTCGCGCACGTACACGTCGCTCTTCTCGGTCGGCACGTCGTGCAACTCGGCGGCCAGCAGCCTGGCCACCATCGACCAGCTGGCTGCCGAGGTCGAGGAATGGCGCCAGTCGATCCCGGACGTCCGCTCGCTGCGACCACAACCCGGACCTGGCACCAGCCATACGGCCCACCATCGGCGCCAGCGTCACCGGGCCACAGCCACCAGCAGCCGCGGCTCGCGCGACTTTGAGCAGGGCACCACGCTCGCCCTCAGCTTTCTGTACCACAGCTATGCCCTCATCCTGGCGCGTGCCCGTCTGCACCACCAGGCCCGGCTGACCGGTCCCCAGGCCATGGCACCGGCCCAGCTGCTGCAGCAGCAGGCGGCCAGCGAGCAGGTCATCACGACGTCGTGCCGCGCCATCCTGGAGCAGACGCCCTTTATCGAGATCGAGCCGTACACGCCGCTCTGGATCCTGGCCGTCGCCCCGCTGTCGTCGCTGCTGGTGCTCTTCGACTTTGTCATCCACCATCCGGCCGGGCCCGACGCCGCCTCCCATCTGGTCCTGCTCGACATGGGCTCCGGCTACTTTAGCCGCATCGAGTACACCAGCGGCGGCACTTTGCCCGGCTCGCTCGTGTCCGAGTTTGTCCACATCGCGCGCGATTATGTCAACGGCCGTCAGCACTACGGCAGCGGCCACGGCGACGGCCCCGGCTCCTCGCAGCAGCCCCTGCCCATACTACAGCCGCCGCTGCCGTCTCTGGTCAGCCCGACGATGCCCGACGCTGCCGAGACGGCCCAAGCTCAGTCGATGGGCCTCGTCGACACGTCGGCTCTCGCGGCTGTCGACTGGTCAGCCGTCACCGCTGCTGCCTCGTCTGTCCCTCCGTCTAGCGCCGGCACGCTCGTCGCGCCAGGTGGCGTGTCTGGCTACAGCGACAGCTTCGGCTACGGCTACATGGGCTCCGGCAACGGCGCTGGCGACTTCTCAGGCACCGACGTCATGGGCCTCTTCAGCTACCTCTTGCCCGAGATGGACTCGATGCTCTATCAGGGGATGGCTGACCAGGGATTTGAGTAGGCACCAGCCAGGGGTGCCGGCGCGTTGTGTTTTGGGGGGAAGGGAGGGGGGGGATCATGAATACCAATTTGTATATTTAGTTGGATATTAGAACCGGGGACAATTATAGAATGGACATTTGGATACGTACAGCTACAGTGGATTTTGGCGCTAATTGCTGTTGATTGCGGGGCTGTTCGGTGTTTTTTCTTTTTTTCTTTTTTTCTTTCGTGTCATGGTTCTGTCTTGTTCTGTCTTGTCTTCCTCACCCAAACCCCTCTTGACCTTGTTGCCGGGCCATGGCGGTTAAGAAACGCCGGCGGGCAGCGACGAGCCCAATCGAGCGGGCCAACCAGAAGAACGACGAGGATTTCATCGCCTCGTATCTGGCGCCAGGGTAATGCTTGCTCGCTCTGAGCGACGAGACGAAGGGTAAAGGCTAACGGCCGGCGATGCAGGGCCCCTCTGGCAGTGCCGTGGACCGCCCGCTGGACGCATCCACAGACAGGTGCGGCCTACGATGTCAGCCTAGCCCGGTCGGGCTGCGTGGGTGAGGCCGCGCTGGAGACGTGCTTCGCCCTGATCGAGGAGACGAGCCGGAAAGACTACGACGGCTCGCAGCAGAAGTGGCAGCCGGCCGACAAGCGACGCGAGATGCGAGAGGCGGACCTGCGGTATATTCTTGTGCAAGAGGTAAGGGGAGAAGAGGCAGAAGAAAAAGAAGGAGAAACAAAAGAAAGAAAAGGAGGACAAAAAGAAAAAGACCAATCACATCAACGCATCCGCGGCTTCACATCCCTGATGCCTGCCTACGAAGAGGGCCAGCCAGTGGTCTACTGCTACGAGATTCACCTCAAGCCAGAGCTGCAAGGGTACGTCTGCCCGTCTCTCGTCTTCCATCTTCCCTCTTGCCTCTTGTGCTAACTGCCCCCGAAGAACAGGCCTGGCCGGCCTCCTGCTGGGCTTCCTCTACACCATCGCCTACAACCTGCCGCTCATCGCAAAGGTCATGCTGACCTGCTTCCTGTCCAACGAGCGCGCCCTGCGCTTCTACCGCAAACAACACTTTGTCGTCGACCCCATCGCTCCCGAGATCCGCCAGCTACGAGGCAAGACTGTCGTGCCCGACTACACCATTATGAGCAAGGCCGTCAGGAGATAGCGTTCGGCCGGGCGGCTGTGTGTGACTGACCCACCTAATAATATAAAAACTTGCTATGTGTACGATCACATCAGGCTTTCCGTACTTCTTCAGGGGTCTGAACGTTGGCGGCCGCTGCTATGTACTCGTAAAACCGGCTGGCTCGACACCCCTGCGACAGCGTGCTGGCCGCGGGCCAACTCGCCCGAAAGCAGCCCCTTGTTGTCTTGTCGCTCACACCTTTTCTCTGGAAGACGCGCGAATGGCGAGAGCCAGGAATTGTCCATTCCGCAGCAAGACAAGACTCAAGCAGGAACAGAGTTACATTGTGGGATTGTCTAACTCAAAATCAGCCTTGAGAAAGCACGACTAGTGGCAGCTTAGTGGCCTTTCCCACCAATCAGGCGTGGCACTGGCCACAATTCTCCACTATGCTGCCCCTGTACGAGCATTACGAGTCTGTACTCCGTAGTAGACAACAGCGTTTCGTCTTCAGCCCGGCTTGGCCTAAGCTGACTGACCAATGGACAGTCCGGTGACCTAATCCTATGCAGACCCAGAGCGATCGAATCCTTCAATCTGTACATGGAATGCGCTCTTTGTGACAAGCATAATTCTATGGAGAGCTCATGCCATGTACTCCGTAGGCACAGGTATATTGGGGGCAATCCCATTATCTCTCCAGATGATATCCTGTTCTCCTTTTCCCCACACCCGTATCACTGCTCGTCTGAGACTCGCCGTACGAAAAGCGTGAACAACGTCCACGATGGAATCAAAAGGACAGATGCCGCCGTATGCCACCACGCCGATGGCCCAGCCCGCCCAGTACCAGTACGAGCACGATCCCCATCCGAGCCAGCAGACGGCCTACCAGCCAGAGGTGCAGGCTGCTCCCCAGCAGTACCAGCAGACCCAGCAGCCCGAGCAATATCGCGCGGTCCAGCCGATGCAGATGGCCACGGCTGCCGTCCCTGGCGGGTGGCAGTCCGACCTGCTCGACTGCACGCCGCTCAGCACCTGCTGTCTGGGCACCTGGCTGCCCTGTCTCCGTGCGTGTTCCGAAAGCTGGACGAGGGACGAGAAAGCCTCACTGACATCACCCAGTTCTCGGCCAGACGGCCGAGCGCATGCGCAATCCCGCCAACCAGAATCCCGACGGCTGCAACGCCGACTGCATGGTCTTATGTGCCATCCAGTACTGTACCGGCTGTGGCTGGATGTACGTCCTCGTCTCTCTGCAGCCTTCTGGCTGGCCGGCTAACCTGGGTCTCCCCTCGTCACAGCTATGTCATGGTCAAGCGCTCCGAAATCCGCCAGCAGCTCGGCATCAAGGGCAACGGCGCCTCCGACTGCTGCACCTCCTACTGGTGCACATGCTGCGCCGTCATCCAGCAGGAAAAGGAGGTCGTCGCGCGCACGGGCGGCGCCGCCCCCATCACTCAGGGCTACCAGGCCCAGTCCAGCATGCAGATGCCGCAAAAGTGAACTGGGCGGCTCCACTGATCAGCCACAAGAGGAAATTGGCCGCAGTGTAATTTTGGTACCACAAGGGGAGGGACGGCGAATTTAGTTCTGTAACATCACCTTTTTACCTTTTTTTTGGCGCGTTTTTGTCTTTTGTCTTCTTATCTTTCAACTCAATCGCACAGTTGATTTCATACTGCCATATAATGCATATGTACGCAAACCTTGAAGATTCAAATCCTGCCCCCCTGGGCTGCAAAGAACCGCTTCGATTCCAGACAGCGGTCGCTCTTGCAGCCTGGACACCGCAGCCCCATCTGCGACGAGCAGCCGATGCCGCTCTGCAGGTGGTCCTTGGCAATGTCGGCGAGCGCCCGGATGAACGTCGGGCTGCCGTTGAGGCTCTCCGCCCGCTTGACCGTGTCAGCGTGGCCGCACTCGCCAATCACCTCCTCGTCCAGCTCGTAGAGCGTCTCGATGTGGTCCGACGTGAAGGCGATCGGGATCAGCACCAGGTCCGTCTGTCCCTGGGCGATATACTCGTTCACCGTCGACTGCGTCTGCGGGCCCAGCCACGGCTGCGGTCCGACCTGCGACTGCCAGCACAGCCGGTACGGGTTCGAAAACTTGAGCCGCTGGTTGACCGCGTACACCGTCGCCGCCACCTCGGCCGGATAGGGGTCACCCCGGTTCACCACCGTCATCGGCAGACTGTGCGCCGAGAAGAGCAGCACCACCTTGTCGCGCCGCTCTGCCGGGTACTCGGCCAGCTTGGCCTCGATGTTCTCCGCAAACGCGTTGACGAGACCCGGATGCACCGGCCACCGGTCGATGACGCTCCAGGCGATCGACCCGTCGGCCACGGCGCCCTCGCCCACGCTCTCGCCCGCGGGCCCCTTCTTGCCCTCGATCCGCTGCCGCCACTTCCACAGCTCGTTCAGGCTGCTGCCCGTCGTCGAGCACGAGTACTGCGGGTACTGCGTGAAGGCGACCGCCCGCCCGCCGCGTCCGCCGCCAAAGCCGTCCGCCAGCATCTGCTGGTACGTGTCCTCTGTCAGCGGGTCGGCGTAGCGGAACGCCACGTACGGCTTGTGCGGTGCCGTCTCGGGCGAGATCACGTCCAGCACCTTGCACATCTCCGCGTTCTGGTACTCCGACCACTTGCGGATCGGCGAGCCACCGCCGATGGCCGCATACTGCTTCTCGATCTTGGGCGTCCGCCGCCTCGAGATCAGCGGCCCGATGTAGCGCTGCAGCCGGCCAAGCGGGATCAGATCGCCGTCGGCCTACATGAGAATTCCGTCAGTAGCCACAGGAGAGAGAGAGAGAGAAACGAAGATGGAACGCACAAATAACCGGCTGAGAAAGTTGCCGACTTCTCCGACCGTCGATGGCCCGCCCATGTTGAGGAAGACCATCGCCGTCGGACCCTTGGAACCGTGCGCATTTTGTGTTACTGGCGGCGCTGGTGCTGCCGTCGCTAGGCTTCGGCGAGCTGGCCGGAGAGCCGGCGTCACTGTCGCTGCTCCTGCTGTATGTATAGCTCGCGCGCTGCGCTGCAGGTGGCGCACTGGTTGCCGCAATGCCATCGTGTGTCTGTACATGTGTGCTGGGCTTTGTAGGAGCTTGGAACAGCGGATCAGGCTGCCCTTGACGATAGCAAACGGCTGTACTGTGTTGTTTCAGGTATCTTTATACGTCAGTACTCCATAGAGTTAACGAAACAGCCGAGATACAGGGGGAACCCAAAAGCCGAAGAAGACAAAAAGATGGTAAAGATGCAGAAGCGCACCAAGAACAAGGGGCGTCATTCGTCACTCACCATCCTTAATTGCGGTACTGCTCGTTGGGTCGCATCGGCATCTGAACTGATTTTCCGGGCTCTGTTTTCTTGCCACCTGTTCGGGAGATGCAGCCCCAAAGACTTGGGTCAGCGCATTTCGTCGCCTCCAGGGGATTGGCCAATCATAGAGGCACTAAAAAATCGGATGTCACGTGATCTCGCGCTGGAAGCTTACCCCTGCTCTTCACGTGCGCCGCGCTTTCAGGAGCTACTCCGAGTTGGCTGCCTGGTTTACTCCACTCTGTGCCTTCCTTAAGGAAGCTTCCGTACAATTAGAAGCAGCTCACAGCTGACGCCTTGCCGTCCATAGTACATCAAGATGGCCTATCCAGACGATGCGATCAAGCGTGAAGAGGATGAGGATGCAGACGAGGAGATCGACGAAACTGTACGTCATTCGAGCCTTCTTCTGTTCACATGAGAGATCGCTGATGGCCCATACTCGCTGGCTATTGCAGAACTACAAAACGCAAAAAGATGCCGTTCTGTTTGCAATTGACGTGAGCAGCTCCATGCTGGAGAAGCCGCCACCGCCGGCCACCAAGTCCAAGTCGGCCGACCGGGACAGTGCCGTCTCAGCAGCGTTGCGGTGTGCCTACCAGATCATGCAGCAGCGCATCATCGCCCAGCCCAAGGATCTCATGGGAATGCTCTTTTTCGGCACAGAAAAGTCTAGGTTTCGTCCCGGCGACGGCGACGGTGGCGAAGATGCAGACAGCTTGGCATCCATCAACCACACGTCCAGCTACCCACACTGCTACCTGTTCATGGATCTCGAAGTGCCTGCTGTCGAGGACGTCCGCGCGCTGAAGAGCATGGTGGAGGAGGGCGAGGACCCGGACGAGGTGCTGAAGCCAGCGCCAGCCGGCAAGTCTGTGACCATGGCCAACGTGCTCTTCTGCGCCAACCAGATCTTCACCACCAACGCGCCCAACTTTGGGTCGCGCCGCTTGTTCATCATCACCGACAACGATGACCCGCACTCGGGAGACAAAGCTGCCCGCTCGGCGTCGGCAGTGCGCGCCAAGGATCTGTACGATCTGGGCGTGGGAATCGAGCTGTTTCCCATCAGCCGCGAGGGCGCCAAATTCGATCTCGGCAAGTTCTACGACGTACGATCGCTGACTCACCGGCCCTATCTCTGGGAACATGGCAGCCAGTACTGACTTGAGACCCTGCAGGACATTATTTACCGTGATCCCGCGGCCGAAGACGGATCCTCTGGCAGGGTCATTGCTGCTAGGTCTGGCGGCGGCCTGTCGCTTCTAGGGTCTCTGATATCGAATATCAACGCCAAGCAGACGCCCAAGAGGTCGTATTTCTCGAACTTGACATTTGAGATTGCACCGGGGCTCAATATCTCTGTAAAGGGATACATACTGCTGAATCGGCAAAAGCCAGCACGGACATGTTACGTCTGGGTAGGTGGCGAAATTGCCAAGCTCGCAACGAGCGAGACGATCAAAGTCGATTCCGACAGCACGCGAACGGTCGAGGTTGGGGAGATCAAGAAAGCATACAAGTTTGGCGGCGAATTCGTTTACTTCACACCCGAGGAGCTTAAAGGGTTCAAGACGTGGGAATTTCCCGATGGATGGAATGGAAAAGGCCTACGCATTATCGGCTTCAAGCCGCGCGTCCTGATTCCATCCTGGGCGTCGGTGAAGCGGTCGACGTTCATCTATCCCAGCGAAGAGGACTACGTCGGCTCCACGCGTATCTTCTCGGCCCTGTGGCAGAAGCTGAAGAAGTCTGAAAAGGTGGCTATTGCGTGGTTTGTGCCGCGGATCAACACCAACCCGGTTTTGGTCGCAGTCATTCCCTCGAACGGTCCAGACGGAGGTAGTGAGGGCGATGGCGATGGCAGCGGCGATGGCGAGAAGAGATCGGTGAATCCCTCACACTTGCCGGCTGGCCTCTGGCTGTACCCTTTGCCCTTTGCAGAGGATATTCGCAAGTTCGACGACAGCCGCGCGCCGCTTCCACGGCCTGCAGAGCTGACCGAGCTTATGAAGCCGGTTGTGGAAAACCTGCTTCTGCCGAAGACGGCCTACGATCCGGCCAAATATCCCAACCCGGCACTGCAGTGGCACTACAAGATCCTGCAGGTGCTGGCCTTGGACGAAGAAGTGCCGAAGCAGGGCGACGATCCCACGCTGCCCAAGTACAAGGCCATCGACAAGCGGGTAGGCGGCAGTCTGGCGGAGATCAAAGAACGGTTGAAGAGCGAGGCAACACACCTGCAGACGGTAAGGGCAATAAAACGCGAGGCCGAAGACGACGGAGCTGGTACGATGGGGAAGCCACTGTCGAAGCGGCCAAAAACGACATCAGCGGCAGCCGAGAAGGGAAAGATGTCGAACAAAGACATCCAGAATGCCATTGCGACGGGCAAGCTGTCGGCGAAGCCGGTCGTAGAGCTGAAGGAGATCTTGAGCAGCTGGAGTGTCAGCACATCTGGGAGAAAAGCCGAGCTTATCGAGCGGATTGAGCAATGGGCGGACGGAAATCTGTGAGATAGCGGTCAGCTTGTGCCATGCAAATTGTAAGATTGGGATACGAGCACAGGGGTTTTGTAATCATGGCGTTAGATTAAACGCGAGGAGATTGCGTCTCCGGAGTACTACGTCGTATGAATTGCGCATCGCACTGCATGCACGATGTAACACCGTCATTGCAGGGGTGGCAGCTCGGAAATGAGAGAAGGCGGCGCATAAAAATACATTCTGCCATGCCGAGCGAGAGCGGTCGTATATCCACGTGACCGGATGCAAGTTTAGACGTGATGAGTAATAATATATGCTAAACCGTATCGGGTTAGCGATAGGGAAACTGGAGTAGCCGTATTTACTCCGCCTTCTCGCAACAAAAGCGCATCGCCGAATGACCAGGTGCGAACGCGTCCCAGAAGCTGTGCCTTTTTGATACCTGCTCATTCGCGCGAGCTCTCTCCGACACTGAGCGGCATCGGGCCTCTTTGTGCGCGGACACCCGGAGCAGCAGTGAATCTCGGTGCCGACGCCGGGAGCGGCCAGACGCGCCATGGAGTCGCTTCTCGGGGCGGCAAGCAATGACGTGACGCAATGCCGATCGGCGGACGATATGAAGGCGTGGATGGTGCGGCTGTTTGCGGGCAAGCTGTCGCCGACGCGTGCGGAACACGTGTCAGCGTCGTTTGACATCCCGTCGGACGTGGTGCTGGATCTGGGCGCAGCAACGCATAGCGGCAGTGAGTCGACGGAGACGGCAGCCGGCGGCGACGCGACGAGCAGTTTTGTAGGTGGCACGGGCCTGAATGCGGCAGTGAAGAGCTTGGTGCAGGTGCGGGACGTGGTGATGAACCAGCCGACGGACCGGCCGATCCTGCAGCAGGCGGTCGCGACCTTTATCGTGATGAGCATGCGGGAGACAGACGGCAGCGTGTGGGAGGCGCGATCGGCCTCACGGTCAGGACACGGCTGGACGCTGACGTGTGCCTGCAAGGGCTCGATGGAGTGCTGGTTGCGGGCGCATCCGCGCCGCAGCACTGTGGGGCAGTCGAGCAGCGACGACATGCGGGACCTCGTCAATTTGTGTGAGTCTGAGCTTGGCTCCCGGTTTGCTGTCGTTTGCCTGGGCGGACACGCTGACGTTCTCTCTTGTTGTCGGCAGCCCGTCCTGCGTTTGACTGCCGCGGCATCATCACCATCACGTTTTCGCGCTTCAGCCGATCGATTGTAGTCAAGTACGAGCACACCAACTTCCACACAACCGTGGCCCAGCTATCGAGCCTCTTTCCCCCACCACGACCACCGTCTGCGGTTGGGCAGGCGAACGGGGTGCCTGGATCGGCAAAGAAGCGGCCAAAGCCGGCTGGCGAGCCGGGCACAGAGGGCACGCCCAGGACGAAGAAGGCGAGGCAGACCGTATCGACCGGGCCAGAGCAGGCCGTGCCAGAACAGGTTGCATCGGAGCAGGCGGCAACAGCACCATTAGTACCATCAGCACCATCAGCAGAAGCACCACCGACAGAGTTTGCAAGCGCGCCACGGGATTGGGTGGTGCTCACAGGCTCAAAGGCAAAGAAGCCGAGGAAGCCGCGAAAGCGGAAGCCCAAAACGGGTGCAGCCGCAGATGTTGCAACTGCAGCGACTGTAGAGATGGCCAGCGTGGCTGTCGTGGCATCCGAGGCCGTAGACGTGACGACGACGACGACGACGACGACTCAGGACGCTGATAGGAGCCACGCTGTCGAGATATCCGATGGCGACGTGGCACATGCTCTGCAGCAGTACCTGGACACGACCCCAACAGACGGCCCAGACGACACGGCTTCTGGGCAGGTCCTGGATGGTAGCGATGCTGCTTCTGCTGCTGCTGCTGCTTCGTCCGCTAGCGTCTCTCAGTTCGAGGGCGCAGTCAGCAGGCCGAGCGAGGTCTCCCCTTCGCAGCCAGCAGCATCCACAGCTGCTGCGCCCACAGGAACGCTGACGAGTGGCAGCGAGGAGCCTCTAGCCGCCGAGAAGCCACCACAGCCACAGCAGCCACAGCAGCCACAGCAGCCACAGCAGCCACCGTACATGCTGGTCACAGAGGCGCAGGTGTCGTCGCAGCGACAGTCTACGGCCATCAGACTGCTGACGGAGCGCAACGTCGACCCGGCGACGCTGAACCACGAGCAGTTCTGCACATTTGCCAACCAGGCGCCGAGCCTGCAGAAGGAGTCGCTGGAGCTGCTGGCACACTACGGCGCCGAGAGGTTGGCGATCGTGCCGCCGCGCAGCCGCTCTGCCGCAACGACACAGCCGGCGACGACACCACAGCCTGTGGCAGCGCCTGCGGGAATACCTGCGGTTACTGCTGGTCAGGAGGCCCCAGCAGAGGTACAGGAGGTGCCGATGCCGTCGCAGACACAGACGCGAGCACAATCACAGGAACTGGGAGGTGGTGGCCAGACGGCTTATCCTACCCCAGCAACGACTGCAGCCGATCCGGCCAGCCACCAGGAACAGGTCAGCACGGCCATGGAGCGGCCATACGTCAGACAAAGTCAGCCGACAGAAGCGACTGCACCTGCACAGACAAGCAACGAGCAGGCTACCCCACGGAAACCTGCCCGGCGCAGATCACGCAAAGCGGTCGAGCAGGTCGGGCTTCTAAACGCGGACGACACGCTGTCGGGCTCGCAGTCGCAGACCGCTGCCAACGGTTCGGCAAAACCTCCGAGGAAACCGCGTGCCCGCAAGTCTGCCGCTGCTGTGGCGACAACAGACACGACCATGGCATTGGCAGCATCTGCTGACCAGGGCAAGCCCAACATCAACGGCCAGCAGCAGCAGCAGCAGCAGCAGCAGAACAGCCATCCTCCGACGGTCTCTGCCGCTTCCTACTATACACTCGAGCAGCTGGCTAGCCAGACAGCATCGACCAGCAGCGTCTCCGACACGGCCGCTGCTGCCAGCACGGGCTCCGGGAGCGATGGCAGCGGCCACGTGCAGTACAGCAGCAGCTACTCGCAGTACAGCAGCTATGGCGGAGCAGCAGACGTCGCAGGCAGCCAGACCAGCCAGCCGGCTTACAACAGCTACGGGAACGAACCGGACAGTCGGACGGCCTACCGGACTATGAGCCCCAGCTATGCCCGATACGGGACCCAAGCAGGAAACCAGAACCAGAGCCAGACGTCCATCGGCGATGTCGCTGCACCGACCACAACTACGGCTGCCAGTCTTGCCACCAGCAGCAGCAGCAGCAGCAGCAGTACTGGCAGCAGCGCCTTTTCCAGCCGCGCATACGCCCAGCCTCACGCGTACAATGCCGTCGCGGCACCCGTTCCTGCAGCAGCCCGCAATGTGGGTGGCACCGATGGGGCGAGCGATCCGTGGACGACGGCTGGGACGGCGACAAACACCGTCGTCGGGCAGACGTATGCTTCTGGGCGACATGCCATTCCAACCGAGCGGCCGGCATACCAGAGACCACAGCCACAATCGCAGTCGCAGCCACAAGCACAGCCACAAGCACAGCCACAGACACAAGCGAGACCCCAACAAGACTCGTCCAGCACGACCTATGCGCAGGCGATACAGTTGCGTCAGCAGCAACATCAGCAACAGCAACAGCAACAGCAACAGCAGCGACAACAGTGGCAGCAGCAGCAGTGGCAGCAGCAGCAGCAGTGGCAGCAGAAACAGGCAGCGCCAGAATATCCCAAGCAGGCAGCAGCAGCTCAGCCACAGCCTCAGCGGCAGCCAGACCAGGTGAGATGGCCGTCGCAGCCACAACAGACACAGCAGCCGTCGGACCATCTGAGCTGGCACAAGTACGGGGGCGACAGCACGCGCCACGGCAGCACGGGCAGCGCCGGCCTGTCTAGGGTAGCTGTTGTCCAGCAACGACAGCCGCAGCCGCAAGCGCAGTCGCAGTCGCAGCCGCAGGCTCACTCTCACTCCCCGTTCCAGTCTCGGCCCCAGCCCCAGAACCAGGCCTACAGTCGGAGATCCGGGGGCTTTGGAGACAGGCGGACAGGCTACGGCGCTGCCAACGACGAGGAGTACTATGAAATTCTACGGCGGACGCAGGGATCGTAGAGAGCGAGCTGGCGAACATCTCTCGTCCAGCCTTTTATGGTGTTGCAACGGACAGACGATCAGGACGATGCCCTACAGCGTCGTTCTGTACCAGGCTGAACGACGGGCACTCTTGGGAAGAGTATGTTTCAAAGAGCTGCACAACCAGCAGGGTGAGGATTAGCGTGTATCAACATATCAATCTAAATGGTAATCAGTGAATCTTCAAATCCTGTGCTCTTTCCTCCTAACAAATCTCAAAGGGCCATTATCTCCATCCTTCTGACGCACGAGTCATTCCACCAACGATACAAGTAATACAAAAACCAAAACAGCAGCCTTTCTCCATCAGCCAGCTTCTCAGTACACGACAGCAAACTTGCTGAGCGCGTGCAGACGGGCGCCGTAAAAGTACAGCAGCCAGATGCCGATGATGCCAATCGTGGACAGACCGCCCAGCAAGGAGGAGCCACGACCGATGCCGAGGTTGATGTACAGCGGACGGCCAAAGAGGATGGATCCAAAGGCAAAGGCGGAGCGGAAAAAGTCGTTGCCGGCAAAAAGACTGGCAGCGTACTGCGGATAGCTGAGCGGGACGTAGACGAAGATGCACTGCATGACGACAAAGACGGACGCGCCGTACAGGGTGATGCCAATCGTCGGCGCAATCCAGGGCGTATGGGGAGCATCGTTGGCGGTCCCGGCGACGATGAAGAGGCCCATGGTCGGGCCAAAGGCGGCAATCAGAGCCGGAATGAGGCGATCTTCTGGAGGTGGAAATTTGCCAGAGGCCCGGATGCGTGGGTTGAGATACAAGGCCAGGTAGCAGCAGTAGATGGCGACGCCGACGATACAAGCGACGAGGACACAGAGGAAGACGAGGCCAACCTGACCTGCCGTCATGCCGTAGCGCAGAGGATAGACGAGCGGAAAGGCCTCGAAGAAGGAGTAGTAGATGCCGTAGATGATGGCCGAGTAGACCTGGACGAAGAGGATGGCGGGATCCTTGAGCGTGATCTCGAGCGGCTTGATGAGGGCGTCGATGAGAATGGCGCGGCTGCGAGCGGCGCGGCTGATCGGAGGTGGTGGTGGCTTGCCGGCGAGAACAGCTGCAGCTGCCGCCGCGTCCTCGGTGGCATACTGACGAGCCTCAGACGGCGCCTGGAAGCGGTCGGAGCCGGTGAGACGGCGCAGACGCTCAGTGCGGCGCAGCAAGATCGTCTCCGCGCTCGTCTCGGGCAGCAGGATGAGCATAGCCACACAGACGGGCGCAGCTGCCCAGAGGATCTCGAGCAGCGACCAGCGCCAACCCTTGGCCGGAACGCTGTAGCCAGACAGCAGAGGACCGAGAGCAGGACCACAGAAGGCGGCCGAGACCCAGGCCACGAGGCCGAACGGCAGGTTGAGCAGCGAGTACATGTCGCCGAGCGAGGCGGCACGCGAAGCCAGACACGGCGAGCCGAAGAAGCCCTGCAGGAAACGAAGGGCCAGCAGCCCGGAAAAGGTGCCGGTGCTGGCATGGCCGTGGTCGCGGTTTCCGTAGGCCAGCGCCGTCGGCAGCGACACGATCACGTACAGGATCATCGTCACGGCGTAGACCGGATTGCGGCCGATGGATGCGATCTCCGACAGTGGACTAGACAGCAATGGTCCTGTGCCGTAGCCCAACACAAACAGGGCCAGGCCCAGGGCTGCATGTGTTGCGTCGACGCCAAACGATGCCATCACGCCCTCCTCCGACGTCGTGTAGATGGCCGACGACGTGTATACGGCAAAGGTGTAGATGCTGATCAAAAGCGTCACGCCGTATCGTCGCCGTCGACTCCAGTTCTGCGGGTTCGCCTTGTCGTCGCTGGCATACCAGTCCACCACAATGGCCAATGTCCGCCCGTCCTTGGTCTTTGTTCGTCGCGGCACCACCGGCTCTGACCGTGTCCGTGCCAGTTCTGCCGCCTATTCCACCTCCAGCCGCTCTTCCGTGAACGGCAGCGTCTCCTCGCGCGACTTGCTGTGTTGTAGCAATGCCGTGCCGCCTACCACATGTGTCCCCGACCGAGCTGTAGGTGCCTGTCGAAGTGCCGCATACGGCTCCTCATCGGCCATCGACTGCCGCCCTGCTCTCTCCTCTCTCTTCTCTGCTGCCGAGTCCGATCCGGTAGCCCGATTCTCGATGTCTTTGACAAAGGATGCCGACGACAAAGATGTCGACGAGCCAGGCCTTCCGTCCTGCATCGTCTTCTCCTCTACCGCCGTGTCGTCGTCCTTCTGTGGCACGTCCTCTCCGTTGAGCATCCGCTGCCACACTTCTGGCAGCTCAAAGTCTGCCCGTTCCTCTGGATATTGCAGCAGTCGCTTCCGTGTGACAAAACGGATCACGGCGCCGACGGCCGTGTCTCGGATTATATCGGCCATTGAGAAGGATTTTGTAGAGCGTATAAGTGTGTTTATATACGGTCTATTCGTGCGAGTGCATAGATCGCGATGAACAAATATAGGACTGTGTAGATGCAAATAATGAGATCAACTTGTTCTGCCCGGATGAAGTCCGCTTCAAAGCACTATCTGACTTACACGGAAGGAGATACCAATATATACACGATAGCTCCTGCCCTCTATTATACAAAACTGCACGTCCTCCCTTCGTCTGACTAATTGAAGTCGTCAACCGATTCCATCATCGCACTCGAAGAACGGCATGCCATCTCACCCATTCTAATCCAATATGCATCCGTCTTACACAGCAAGATCGGCTCTGATTATATTGATCGTGCCGCACTAGAAGACGCGCGCCGTCGGCAACGGTCGAATTGCCGCCGGGCTTTGGTGCTTGAATCTGTAATCGCATTGCACTTACAAATCGAGTCTGGGCCAAGCCGTCAGATTCGCTGCACCATCTTGGCTGCCAGCCATACAGAGCCAACCGTATCTTAGATTTCAAAGCATCCGTCCCGAAGCACCGGGATCCTACCACCTTAAAAGTCGGCAAGAATCTAGACTCAGGGCCTTTTGTCATTCTCAGCAGCGGTACATTCGTCCGGCTATGACTCAGTAAAGTGAGCTAGTAAATCCGTCTTGGCAACTGCCGGAGATCTTACCTGTTAGTCCCTAGATTCACTCGGTTTATCGGTAGCACCAACAGACTAATGTTGGGCAACATCCTCCATTTCCGAGGTGACCTGTCTGATTGATATTCAAGCTACGAGTGCATCAGATCTTACAAAGTACACGGAAACACTTCCGCCTCAGGCTACTAGGCCGAGCCAAAGCCATGCAAGGCTCAACTTGGCCTTCCTATGAATACCGTTTCAGCGTGCACGGACGTACGTCCACGTGACCTATAGGCTTTACACCTCAGAGTGGGTCCAACTGGCGGGATGTCGTCGTGGCTGTTCGTATTTCCTGTTCCTGGCCACTGCAGACTGTGACTCCACGTCGCTCTCACCTCCGCTTCTGCCTCCTTTGCCGCTCGACGCCCGCCTGATGACGCTCCGGCAGCGTCTGACCAGCGAGACACGACCCTACCAGCCGACCGCCAGCAACGCGCCACGGCCGACGCGCACGAGCACGATGCAGCCGGACGGACCGGCCGAGATGCTGCCGCTGATGGTCGATGACGACGACGAAGAGCTCTCGGACTCTGAGCTGGCAGGTGTGCGTCGGCCGCTGCAGCCGCCGCTGCCATCGCAGTCACCGCTGCCGGCCAGCCGCTCGTGGCGGCAGCAGAACCAATGGATCGTCCTGGCGCTCGCCAGTGGTGCCTGTGCTGCTTTTAACGGCGTGTTTGCGAAGCTGTGAGAATCCCCTTGCCATCGGCTGCGCTGCTGTGGAACGCGCTGACCGGCCCGCCCTCGCGCAGCACCACGACCAAGCTGACCGGCCATCTGGCCCTCGGCCTGGCACACGCCCTCGGCCTGACCAAGGCTGCCGCTGCTGTCGAGATTGTCGTTCGGGCCGTAAGCATCTGCTGCTTCCTGCGGCAAAATACCGTGCTGACCTTGACTAGGTCTTCTTCGGTCTGAATCTGGCGTTCAACGGCTTGGTGCGTCCTGCTCTGCACATGTTTCCCTCTCCACTTGTCTGCTGGGTCGCCAGCGTGGCGACAGGCTGAGTCCTGATTGGACCACAGACCGGCAGCTCTGTCCCCACGTACAGAGTACGATACTTTCTCGTACTCGGGCCCCCCGCTAACCACCGGACAGATGTGGACCGTGTTCACCAAAGCGCTCGCCCGCGGTCACTCGGCAACCCAGGTCTCCGTCATGAACACGTCGGCCAACTTTGTGCTGACCGCACTGCTGGGGCTGATGATCTTTTCCGAGGCGCTGCCTCCACTCTGGTGGCTCGGCGCCGCCATGCTCGTGGCCGGCAACGTCATTATTGGGCGCAAGGACGAAGCCGGCAGCGACCCGGCATCGCACACCGACGAAGAAGAGCTGACTGTGGAGCCGCACACCGCTGTTGCGTTTTCGGATGACCTTACCGCTGCCACGAGTTCTGGGTCCAACAACACACCGAGGCACCGTGCCTCAGCCTCCATCCACGGCTCCAGTGTCCCCAGGGAGCACGACGAGGATGTGCTGGATCTAGACGTAAGTCACATTTGAAAGCAAAAGGGGCTTTGGAGTTAGGATACCACCAATGTATGTCATATTATAGCCATGTGATAATTTCATATCGCAAGTAATTCAACTGCTTCTTGCCTGTGTCCTCTGTATAGAAATATCTAACGAGGCCAGTCCCATGGTATTGCAAGAAGCGTAGCAATAGCATCTATCTTTCTGGGTATTTTGGTATATAATCCATCCAATGTATGGAGCAATATCCCGCTTTGTCCTTGCGCCCTGTGTGCAAACCGTAAGAGCAAAAAAGTACAAAACAAAAAGCAGAAAACCTCCTTCTAGACTAAGGAAGATATGACAAAGGACGTGGAATCAATTGACTGATGTCCATCCTGATTAAGTTGCAGCGAAGATAGGTTGTAGATATCCAATCGACTTAGGTTGGGTGTTGCCAGGGAATTCGCCGAGACTATGCTTCGACCGAAAATATGCCGTGAAGCGTCGAACAAACGAGAAATTTAACAATAATAATACAGAGGTGTAAAGTGCGAAAAAGTCGGACATTTATGCCGGGTACCCTGGAGAAAACGAGTCAGCGGCAATGTGGATGAGAAACGACAGAGAAAAGACCTACACCATGAACAGGTTGCGATAATGCAGTAGAGGCACATCAACAGCATGCCCTCCAGCCAGTGGCTCTTGCCGTCGGCAATGAGATAGTTGACCAGAAGGACGGCCACGAACATGACAGCCACCTGGAAGATGTCGAAGCTGAGCGACATATCGTCCATGCCCATGCCCCATCCGATAACGACCAGAAGGGGAATCAGGAAGAGAGCGACCTGCATGCTGGAGCCAACAGCCACACCGATTGCGAGGTCCATCTTGTCCTTGATGGCCACCGTGACAGCCGTCGCGTGCTCAGCTGCGTTTCCGACAATGGGAAGCAGAATCAAGCCAAGGAACTCTTTGCTCATGCCGCCGGTAGACGTGACGTAGTCGATGCTGTCGACGAGGAATTCGGCGCAGAGAGCAATGATGACGGTAGATCCAGCCAGCACGGCCATAGCCACAATCATGTGCAGCTGCGGGTCCTCGGGCTCATCATCGTCGGGGCCGTTTGCAATCTTCTCTGAAACACGCAGCCGCTCCTCCTCCATGTTGCCCATAGCGAGCCCGGCAGGGTTGACGAGGGCGCTGCGAACGGCGCCTGGCTGGACGTGATGCTTAAAGGGCTTGGCAGGCACCTTCTTGCTCTCCTCGCTGAAAACAGCATGGTGGGTCTTCAGCTGGAAGAAGAGGTAGGCTGCGTAGACAACCAGCAGGATGATGGCCGTGCCGCGGGACAGCATGGCCACGTCGCTCTGTGACGTGATGCTGGCAGCATCGAAGACGGTAGGCACAATGACACCAGAAACGGCCAGTGCGAGCAGACTGGCGGCAGTCTGGGCGACGGTGGTGTTGAAATACTGCTCCTGACGGCGCAGACCACCGAAGAAAAAGCACATGCCCATGACAAGCAGCAGGTTCGACAGGATGCTGCCAATCAGCGACGTCTGCACAATGACAACCTCCTTCTTGATCAGAGCCATGACGGCGACAATCAGTTCGACTGCGTTGCCAAAGGTGGCGTTCAGCAGACCGCCGAGGGTTTCGCCGGTGCGCAGCGCGATTTCCTCGGTCGCAAAGCTCAGCATGGCGGCTAGCGGGATGATAGCGATGAAGTTGACGACAAAGATGGCAATAGGGTCGACGCTCGTAAAGTGCAGCGCAATGCCGACGGGCGCGGCCAGGAGGAGAATGTTGATAAACGAGCCCAGAAAGACTCGCTGTAGCTGGTTGGCGACTGTGAACGGCTCCTTCGGCTGCACGTCCTTGTACATCCGGTGGGTCTTATCTTTCACCTGCACTTCCTCCGCATCTTCGTTGGTAGGAGAAAGTCCGTTGGTCTTCCGCTTCTTCAGACCATTGCCATCCGGCCCGGGAGCATTCACGTTTTGGGGCCCGAGAAACGCGGTCGCGTCCTCGCCATACTGTCCGGTGTACGGCCCACTGTCGAAGGCGGTGGCCTCGCTTTGCGAAGTCGCGGGTGCTGTGTGGACGTGACCTATGGGGTTGCCAAAGGCGCGATCGGTCACTATGCCGTCATCGCTTCCGATGCAGGCCTCGGGATCGTCAGACGGTCCCGTTGCCGGGAAGGTGTTTCTCCGGGCCTGGGCCGAGGACCAGGCGCGGCGCGAAAAGGGGTTGAATGGCGCATTGCTTGTCTGGCGGCCGAGGCTGTGAGCCTCTCTCTTGATGCGGAAGTTGTTGACTGCGAAAGGCATGTTAGGTCATTCGCACTGCTTGAGGATGTGAAAGCTGGCCTCGGAGGCCTTGTGACACCAGCCCAAGAGGAGACGGGGCATGAACGACGATGTACGGGAGTATTCGAACGGGGCAACGTGCAAAGTGTCGCAGGAAGTGTGCTTTGGGGACTAGAAACGAGGACCGTGCGCCGTTCCAGAACGCTGCAATAAAGAGAAGAAAGGGGTAGCGGCCGCTTTAGGTGCAGCAGCGCGGAAATGCGAGTGTTACTTTGCAAAAGAGAGGGCCTCGCCGTTTTGAAATACGACGCAAGACGACCCATAAGGAGAGTGGTGTGAAGACAAACCGCAAGACGCCTTTGAAGCGCCTAGTGGAGAAGGGAAAAAAGGGGGCGCAGCTGTGAGGTGGTAGGGCTAATGGCCGGGGCTTCTCACATGAAGACATATAGGTAAATTTTCTCCCGAAAAGGGAGTTAGCGCTGTTCAACGAAAGCTGTTGCCCGGTGAGGTATCAGTGTCGGGCAATTGGGTCGACAATAGGCGTGGAGAGATATGCAGGAGTCGGCCAAAGGCTGGAGCAGGTTGGAGCAAGTTGGGCCGACGCAGTGGCAGACGAGTGAGGGAGCGGTGAGTGACGAGAGAGGAAGAAGAGCCCAAGGTGTCGCGCGGCGACGGAGCGTATTTCAGTAAATAGGAGGCCTAGAGGCGATATTAGGCGGCCGTGAACTGTGGCTGGCGATTGAGACGCGTATCGTCGGCACTCAGCCACCACAGACGAGCGAAACAGAAAACAAGAGGCGAAAGTGTGCTGGGCGTACTCTGTAAAAGCTAGCAATTCAGTCAGTAATCACAGCAGCGCTAAACAAGAGGGTAAAATGTTGTTGTTGTTGTCGTTGAGGAGATGAGACAAAACTCCAGAGGAGAGGCAGAATATAAGAGGGAGCCCATGAAAGAGACGGGTGATAGTGTCTGCAAGCGGAAGGTGAGCGTGGCTTTGCACTCACAGTTCTTTGTATTCGAAAAGGCAGGCGCGCGCGCACGGGTTCTCCTCCTTGACAGAAACAGAAAAACAGCAAGTGCGCCTTCCGTTCGTGATAATACGAGGAAGGAGCGCGCATAGACCAAGCCTTATAAGCTGAGAGAAGGTAAGAAAGAAGAGAAGTAACGGGGTACGTAAGCGGTGAGTGCACATGGGCTCTCTTACGTATTGTGGGATCTACCATATGGAGCGCACGTCGTAGAGAAAAAGGTTCGTCCTGATGCCAAGACTACAGCACCATGTGGTTGCCGGTCCGGAAAGGGCAATGATTGAATGCCTTTGCTACGACGTATGCGCAGATAGCCCCACAATTCAATGCTTCGTACAAAATTGGATACATAGTACGGAGTAGCTCCAACACTTGTTCAATTTCTACTCCGTACTGTGTTTTCGCGCCAGGCTAAAGTGACTGGCGCAATTTGCTTCGCTGTACCGCAACAGGGAGACTCGCGAACCAGGAAATTGGCTGTCTGGACAGGGCCTTACGTCACATTTCAGGGAGAAATCATGGTCGAACAGGCACCAGAAACGATCAATCATGGCCGGTGAGCGATAAAAGCGAAAGCGACCAGCTGGAAGGGGCCAGTCCATGCAGGCGCAGATGCGATACGAAGTAATATTATCTTACATACGCCGTATCGTATCTTACATTTTTGCTACACAATATCCTATGTGTCTTGTATCTTACATTGCAGCAAGGCAGAACAGGGCGACTACTCTGTACTCCGTACGCTCTTTTATACTCGTCGGAGATCGGTGTGCATGCAGGCACTGCATGCCTGGGGCCAAGGGGCCACAGTGGACCCACTTTCGCCAGGGCCAATGCATGCGCCTATCGTACGTAAGTACTCCGTAGCCAGACCGCCCTGACTACTCCGTACGGGCGCTGAGGCCTCCACTTTGACTATACGTCGTAAACAGGCATGCTCTGTTTGTCTAGCATGTCACCGAGAAACGATGGAGCAGTGCGTAAACAGCGCATGGCTGTTTTGTTAGCGCCCAGACGTAGGTACGGACGTGTCAAGGCACAGCCAGACTGCCAGCATACATGTGCTCCGTGCACTGTTGGGCTCGATCCGATTCATTATGAATTGCACGGGAGTAGAATCCTATATAAGATACCACTTCTGCCTTTTTATTCGCTGCATTTGCCATTGGGCGCAAGACACGGCAGGCAGCCCAACCATACGATCCTCTAGACCGGTCTGCTTGTCGTCTGCGGAAACGGCATGCGCCTTTCTTTTCCTTCCCTTTCTTCCGGCTGGCTACCAGGCCACCCGACCGTCGATTGCCTGATCGCCCTGTTGTCCGGCCGCAGCGCTGGTCTTGCACGTGTCGCCAGCAGGGCAGTGGTGCCACGCCCCCATCATTCCTGCGGCTGCTGTCGTCCGTAGTCGTCCACACTGCCACGTCGGAACAGCAAGCGCGATGACAGGAAGGCAGGGCTTGTCGTGCGCGGACTAGGACTAGAAGTGCCCGAGTCGATCGCCGCCAGATCTAACCGGAAGTTGGCGTTGCGCAGGAGGCTGCCAAAGTGGTTGTTGCCATTGCCATTGCCGTTGCCGTTGCCGTTGCCGTTATCGTCATCCGCGCCGCCTCCTCCCATTATGCTGCTGCTGCTGCTGAGAATTCCTGGTGGCAGCCCCAATGCGGGAATGCTCGTGTCTGGCACAGCTGCTGCGGCTGCAGCTGCGGCTGCTGTCAGCGGGCCAACGACTGGCGTTGCTGTGATCGACCCGGTCTGCCTCTCCAGCAGCGTCTCCCGGTAGAACATCTCGAGCGCAGCCTCGTCTGAGCAGAATGTCTCGAGCTCTTCCATGATCGCCTCTGGCTCGACCACGTACTGTGTCGTTGCTGCGGCGGCTGCGGCGGCGGCTGCTGCTGCTGACAGCCCGGCCGTGCCGACTGCTCCTGTGGCTGCGCTGGCCTTGTGCAGCAGTCCGATCCCGATCCCGATGCCCGATCCTGAGCCTGAGCCTGAGCCTGAGCCTGCCTTTGTCTCTGTGCCCGCAGCCCGCATCCGGGGCGAGCCAACCCGGGTAGACTTGAGCATCGGCGACTGCAGCGGCGTTGCCTCGGCCTTTCCAAACGATGCGCCCTGTGGTGCCTGCGGTTGCGATGGCGCCTGTGGCTGTGGCTCGCTGCTGCGCGCACTGCTCTCCCGTACCGTCGTCCGGCTGCTGTACAGCCGGTTGGCCAGCACCAGAAAGTTGCCGTCCGTCGTGATCTCGGCCAGGACCACGCCCGATCGGTGAATGTACTGCGTGTACTTGTAGTCCGGCCGGCCCCAGGAGTAGCTCACGTCCACGTTGGCCGGAAAGTTGGATGCCGCCTCGGTGTCGAGCACAAAACCAAACCTGCGCAGGATCGCCTTCTGGTAAAAGTGCCGTCCTGGCAGCTGCCGTGGTGCCAGCGAATTGGGGTCAAAGTACGTCGACGGCTGTGCCATGGGCGGCTGCCGCGCCAGTCGCACTTTATACGGCCGCCGGAACGGATTCCGCTCGCTGATCAGACTGCCCTCGTGGATCGGCACCTCGACCAGTCGCAGCCCAAACTGCAGCGCCTCCCGCGTCCACGACTCGATCACGTCTTCGATCAGCTTCGCCGTCACGTTCATCCACTCCAGCCGGATGTGGTAACAGTTGTCTGGGTTGTGCAGCCGGTCGTAGTGCAGGTCTATCCGCTCCGGTCGGTATGATCGTCGACGGTGGTCCACGTCGTACTTGATCACCTTGCTGAGCACCACCCGCGGCTTCTTGCCCGACGGCACCGGCACTGTCGGCGTTGACGCCCCCGACGTCGGCACTGTGTCTTCGTGTGCTGCCACTGGCCACGGCATCGCCGCCCGTGTCGCTTCGCGCTGGCTTGTGTGCTCTGTCGTCATCGGTGTCGACGGAGCCGACACCTCTCGCCTTCGGGCGTTGAACCAGCTGCCCAGATGGGGCTTCGCAAACTCGCCTCCGATCTGGTAAAAGTACTGTCCGTCGCGGAACGGATGCCGTCTTTCCACGTGCACAAATATGCCCTGTCCGCGTTTGCTGTCTTTGCTAGATCCTCCTTCTCCTGCACCGGCTCCCAAGTCACCGCCACTGCCGCTGTTTTCTGTGCTGCCTTCAGACACCGGACCGGACTCCTCCGTTTCCTTGTCCCGTCCCTTGCCGCTGGCCAGGTTGACCTCGTCTGAGATCATCAGCATGTTGCCTAGCTCCTCGGCCTCTTCGCGGCTCTCCAGGTCCTCAAAGTTGTCCAGCAGCCAGCTCGTCATGTCCGAGCCGATAAAACAGTTGTGGTGCAGCCGCAGATGCCAGCGCCGGTTCTGCATCCGGATGCCCCCGGCTTCTACCGGCTGTTGGATCGCCTCGGCCAGCGCAGCCAGGTTCACGCTGCCCTTGCGGAACTGCTCTCTGCTCGTCACCAGCTGTCCCTTGCGGTTGCCCGGATCGAGCCCCTCGAAGAGCGGCAGCGTCTCGAGCTCGGCTGCAATCACCAGGGACGGATCCTCCGTCTTGTACACCACGTCGAGCGGATTGGTACCCTTGCGCCCATGTCCGACGTGCTGGAACCGCCGCTCCGACGCCGGCACCACCCGGTGCTTCTGCCAGAGCTGCCCGAGTCGCCGTATGCCTTCCAGCCGCAGCTCTTCCTCGCTGTCTCCGGCCGTCGCTGTGGCTGACTTGGCCGACATCGGTATCAGCACAAACCGCGCCCGCCAGAACCGGAGGTTCTCCTTCAGCTGCTCGTCGTGGCCGGCCAGATACGAATCGATGTAGTTCCAGTTGCGCTCCGCCTGCTGCGGAACCAGATCGATCTCGCTGGTCTCGTAGTCGTGGTCCAGGAGCGTGCGGATTGCCGGCCGATAAATCGACATTGTGCCGCCGCTGCTGCCCAGCTCTGCTGTCTTCCGCTGGAAGATGTTGACCTCGACCCCGGCTGCCTTGGTGCAGGACAGCTGGTGTATCGTGTTGCCCATGCACATGAAGATGCTCTCTCCATCTTCGATGAAGCGTCCCGGACAGAAGATGTCGGCAATCTTCAGCTGCTTCACCCCAAAAGCCTTGGCCACCGCCGGCCCGATCACCACCTGGAAGCCCTGTGCAAATCGCCGGCTGATCAGTTCTCGCAGCAGATCCTCGTTCGTCGCCGGCTCTTCCGACAGCATGTCGTCGTCTGCCTCCATCGAGACGCTGTACGGCTGCCGCTGGTATTCGCTCTGGAGCTGCTCCTTGGACGGGAACGACTCCGTCGTCAGCGGCACCGCTGCTGGCGCACAGAGCGTCTTCCACTTCATCGCTCGCTGCTCTCCGGGCCGCGGAAATACGTGCTGCCACCGGCTGTTGAACGACGCCAGATCGATCCGGTTCGCCTCCGGCTTCGACGGGTTGATCATCGCGAGCCACGGCATCAGCGCCTCTGTCGGCGACAGGATCTTGGTCACCTCCGGCACCGCCTCGGCAAGGAGCTTCGAATTGTACAGACGCACATCGTCTTCCGCCCGAAGCGCGTTGGAATAACTCACGTCTCGATCCTGGCCCGGCATCGCGACGCCACGTCCTATCATCGTCGTCGAGAGCGGAGAGCCGGCAACTCGCTGCACCGCCGCATCGGCAGGTCCTTGGCCACTCCGGATCACAATCGGCTGACTGGCCACCCCTTGAAACGCCCTGCTGCCGCCGTTGGATCCGCCCCAGGCCGCTATGCTGATCCCCGACGCCGACCTCTGCAGAGAGCCAGGAATCGTACTGTCCGTTTTCGGGAACCCGGATCCACCCGCAAACGAGCTGCCCGGAACGGCCGTGATTGCCAGTGCCTTTGGCATCCCCATGGCCGGGGGGACCTTGATCGATGGCGGTGCCAGGTGGGCAACAGCTGCAGCCACGGTCTCCACGCTGATTTCCGCAACCGCTGCTTTCGGTGCGGCCACCCCGAATCCTCTCTGGCCCAAGCTGATCTGACGCATGGCCTTGGGCATCTTGGCCGAAGACTGCGAGCTTACGCTGTCCCTTCCAGTGCCCGGTTGCGTTCTTGTGCTGTGCGCTTTCCTTTCCGTTCCCAGGCCTGTCGGATCTGCAGACGACACGGTCCGGAGCCTGTTGCTACGAGCACCCTTCATCGAGAGTTCACGATTATCGTGGGCCGTGGCATCCGCGTCAGACAACAGCTGCTGCTTCTTCAACGCAGTCCTCAATGTCGTCGACGATGCAGAGGTTGTGTCCACCAGCTCCCTCCTGCCGCTTGACACCGGGGCTTGACCGGCAGTGCGCCGTGTCGTCGGCAGCTTCTGGCGTGTCCCGTCGTAGTCCTGTAGCTGCTTCCACAACGACTTTGCGTCTTGCCTCGCAATCTTGTCTGCCGAGAATCTCTGAAACCCAAAGACCTGATCGTACAACACATTCGCAGGCACCTTGTTCCGGACATGCAGAATGCCGTCACGTTCGACGGCCAGTCCTTTGGGAGACCCGGCCGAAGGACGAAATGCGCTGCGTGGAAAGAGCACATCCGAATGCAACGGCGCAGTCTCGATCTCGTTCGTCTCGAGAACGCCTCGCATCTGCAGATCGTACATCCGGCAACGAACTCTGAACTCTTTCTCGTAAGTCCTCCCGTTTGCACAGATATCATAGTTAACAATCGGCGGCGGTGGCACGCCCTGACGCATCAGCATCTCGCCCGGCTCGCTGGCCAGATACGACACGTGCAGCCATTGTGGAAAGGCATAGGACCAGGTATCGCTGAATCTGTCTGACTGCACGGGCTCGTAGCCCCGCACGGTTGCATCTGTTGCCTTGCTCGGAGACAGCGAGCTGCCACCGATGCTAGAGTAGCTTCCAAAGAGCGCGGCAGACTGCTTCGGGGTGCTTCCACTGATCCCAGGACTCCTGTCGTGGTTTTGGCTATGGCTGGAAAAGGCCCTCGTCTTGCCCATGCCCCTCTCCAGGTAGCGTGGGTGTCGGAAGCGAAAGAGTGGAGCGCAATGCAGAGGCATTTTCGGCAGACAAATCAGATCGATGCCGATGCCGTTTCCAATCACGGCCTCCGTTGTCCGGCGCATGGCGTCGTAGTCGACCTCGAACACGCCCGATCCAGGCGTGATGATGGCGACCGAGATGCCAGTGCGCGTCAGATCGCGGTCCACATAGTCGTAGGCATAGAGAGTTGTGGCCATGTGGATGGCCTCGAGCACGTTGCCGTACATTGCCGGCGTAGACTCGGCCTGGATGTGCTGCTGCTGCTGCTTCGCCGTCGAGGGCTTCTTCGTCGTGTCGTCCGCCATAGAGGCAGCTGTATCTGGCCGAAGATGGGTCAGATGGTGAAGGCTGATATCACGACGGAACATGTTAAATTCGCGCTTCAGCTGGTGCAGAATTCTTGTCCATTCTCCGCTGGCCATCTCGCTGACAACCACCCGGTAAAAATCCTTGTACGGACGTCGATTGCCGGATGACTGAACGCCCGTGTAGTAGTCGTGCCGAACAGACGTCTCGGATAGATCAAAGGACAGGCCGGCATCGTACTCAACTCGGGCAAACAGGACAATGGTCACGAGGTGCTTCACCAGCTTGGCTGCCCATGTCTTGAACAGGGTTGGGAGAAAGACGTTGACGACCTTGCTGAACATGATCTCGCCAGAGCCGTCCGAGTCAAAGTCCCACATTTCTCGGGCCATCTGTATGAAGAGAACATAGCGTGCAGACTCGCTGCGGAAGATGGGGCGTGTGTTCTTGCCGAAAAAGGCAGACTGGGTCCTCCGGCCCTCGACGTAGACGTTTGTGACCGTCGCCTTGATCGTGCTCATAAAAAGCACACGTTGACCGCTGTAAATGGTCCGCTCCGAGAGCTCTGCGACGGCAAGACGCCACATATCCGCCCGGGAGAGATACTGGTCCTTGAAGACGAGCTCGGCATGGGACGCCTCAATGGCAGGGTTGCTTGCATCGACCTGTCGTTGGACATGGAGCTGTTAGAACCAGGAACGCAGATGTGCAGCAGACGGAATCACGACACTTGCCCTTGTCAGAAGCACCGACGAGTTCTTCTTCATGCCAAAGGCATCAGCAATGTGCTTGGCCACATATATCTCCACCGAAGGGTGGCGCAACTTGAGCCTCATGTCCATGTCCTTAACGATAAACAGATATCGGCGTTGCGTGTTCAGCTCCGGCTGGGACGCGGCCCCGTCAGCCGTCGTGGCAGACGGTGTTGTGGCCGCGTCTGCAGCGTCAGCCGGAGACGAGGCGTGCTCGTCCTTTCGCACGGCCGTCCGTCGGTAGCTTCCAAAGTTCGGTCGTTGGTCTGGAAGCACGTCAATGGCCATCAGCTGGCCCGGCTGGACGCTGTCGTCGAAATGGTCGAGGTTAACCATCACCTCCTCCCGGGTAAAGGCCTCATTTACCGTGACTGTGCATATGCGCTCAAACTTGGGCGTCTGTTTGGCCGAAGAGAAGGGATCTCGAATCGTAGCACTGCTGGACACCGAATCGGGCGACCGCGGACGCTGAGGCGACAGGGCTGACTGGGGCGCACCCGAATACGGGCTGCTGGGGCCCATCTCGCCGGGAAGGGCCTCCTCTTCCGGGAGCGTCTCTGAGGTTGCTCGGCTAAAATGACGCAGATGCGACGTCCAGCGCGCAGCCTTGCGTGGCGCCATTGCGAATCCGTTGCGCGACATTGCGAGACGAGAGCTGCAGCTCCACCAAAGACGGCGTCATCGGTGGCAGGGTTCACCGGGGCGAGTGTTCAGAGGTGCTGGTCGATGATGAATTGGTCGCGTAGGTGGCACGCTGCGGATATGGAGCGCGACGGGAAGACGGTCACAAGCTTGAGGGCTTCATTGCGTAGGAGAAAGTGACAAAAGGCGGCAGAATTCGAGGAGGTGTGGTTGCGTTGCGGAGTCACCGCCTTCTTCATTTGAATAGCTAATATAAGTCGTGCCTTCCTGTCGCGAAGACCAGTACTCCGTAAGTCTTGCATGGAAATCGCTTAGCTCTAGGTACGGAGTACAGCCAGCAGATATTGCTATCTGTTGCACAGCATCCTGAGACACTGACAGCCATGCGCCTATCATGGTGGCTTTGCTGTTGGATCCAGGCCCAATGGCGCGGCCGCTTGTTACAGATCCGGCGGTAACGATTGCGAGTACGGCATTTGGGGGCCGTCACAGAAGTCAGACAATGATGTCACAACCTGTAGGTCATGGCCACTCCCTTTCGTTACGAGGTTGCGATAGTGTCATGTCGTAACTAGGAGTTGCAGGCAAGAAATACAGTGTATTTGATGAGGCGACCGTATCTTGCCGCCTATTCAGGCAGCAATCGAGCTGACGAGAGTACAACCGAGACGAGGCGTATTAGCAAACAAACAACTTGGTATATTTTGCACCAGTACTCCGTACAAAGTGCTTTTAGCCCGATCGGATTTTATACTCTCATCAAGTCGTCACAATTTCCGCGCCTGGCGACGTCACCGAACATCTTTTAACAAGGGTAACACAACCTGTCAACAGAAGTGAAGCACTCTGCCCGTGAATCCCCCCATATACTCTGTCTCTTCTGCTCCTCTTCGGTGTTTCTGTTATTCTCTCCCTTAGCTACAACTATTTTATCCGCCTACCACATATAAGTCCTTCCTTCTTGCAGGGCTACCGATAAATCGCCATGACAGTCAAGATAACGCCCAAAACCCGCCTCATTGCGACGATTGTTATCTCCTTTTCCTTCTTTGTGGCCGAGATAGCAGGTATGCTCTTTCTTGGTCACCCCAACAGTTTGGTCTGCGTACTGACGTGGTCGTAGTTGGCTTCAAGACGAGGTCGCTAGCCCTGATTGCCGATGCGTTCCACTATGTAAGCTTGACTGAGAAACAAGCTTCTGTTGCACGCAAAATACTAACCGCAGCCGCTATCAGATGAACGATCTGGTCGGCTTCATAGTCGCTTTAGCTGCGCTTATTGTAGGTCCTGGCTCTGGGAGATGCAGTATGCATCCAGGCATTCAACACACAGCTAACACGACCATAGATCTCGGAGCGCTCCAGCTCTCCCCAGGACCTTTCGTTTGGATGGCAGCGCGCACGGCTTCTTGGGGCCTTCTTCAATGGCGTGTTTCTCCTTGCTCTAGGCATCAGCATTTTCCTCCAGTCTATTGAGCGATTTGTGGCTCTACAACGTCGGTCTCTCCCTGTTCCCTTCACACTGGCACTACCTTTCTACTTGTGCTAACTCGGTTACAGACGTAAATAACCCCAAACTCGTCCTTATCATGGGATGCGTCGGCCTCTCCCTCAATATAATCAGTGCAGCTTTCCTCCATGGTAAGAGTTTTGTATTCAGCAAATCTCTGGCTTGCCATTGCTGGACGATATCAACTAATTTTGGGTATTCAGAACACAGCCATGACCACGGCCACGAGCATGCACACGGCACGGAAGCTGACACCGAGCTTACACAATTCGAGCCCGCCGTAAGTTCTTCAAATTTGTTATTTATTGCATCTTGCTGTATGCTAACGCTCGGTACTCAGGCCCCACAACATACAGAACACCGGCACCTGAACATGACGAACGAGGGCCCCGACCGTGATCTCAACATGCTTGGCGCCTTTGTGCATGTGTTGGGGGATGCTATCAACAATGTTGGCGTCATCATATCTGCCGTGGTGATTTGGAAGGCATCATACCCCGCTCGTTTCTACGCCGACCCGGGCGTCAGCATGGGCATCGCCCTGATGATCCTCATATCAGCCATGCCATTGGTGAAGCATAGCGGTACAATTCTGCTGCAGAGCGCGCCACCCGGGGTTGATATCGACGATGTCAAGCATGACCTTGAAAAGGTACGCTTGGCGTTTGTCACAATGCTTTCCACCGCTGACATTCTACTCGTACAGATCCCCGGCATCGAGTCCGTCCACGAGCTTCACATCTGGCGTCTGGACCAGCAAAAGGCCATTGCCTCAGCCCACGTGGTCGTTTCGGACCAATCTATATCGAGCTTCATGGACAAGGCCCACACCGTGACCGAGTGCCTGCATGCATATGGTGTTCACTCCGTCACCCTGCAACCCGAGCTGTCTATTTCATCCCAGACGTCTGCCGCGAGGGCAGCGAGCGAAGACTCGAGCACCCCTATCACAGGAGACAACTCTGCCGGGATTTTGCAGTCTTTCCCCGTGTCGGCGATCCGTAGGAGGAGACTCGACCATGGAAACTGCCAAATCCCCTGCGGTGCTCTGTGCAAGAACCTGGCGTGCTGCACGCCTCCGTAGACATGCGGGTGGATCGACGCTTCTTTAGGCGTTATTAGAGGAGATCAGGCGCGATCGTGTTTCTGTTTTCAGACAAAATGCTCGTATGGTGACGCAGTACCGGACCGCAAGCCATTCTTTTGGCGGATTTCTGATCTTTTCAAAAATGGTAACGGACGATCTTACGCATTTCTTAAATTGTATTGCAACATTTCACCGAAACTCGTGAGAGCAGTCGCGTGATGGTGTAATGGATTGCCTGGTTATCTACTACAAACGAGGCGCACCCTTGTTCGTTCCCTAGATGGAAAGCTGACAGCTCATTACGTCGCATGCAGACCCAGGGTACGAGTACGAGAATAGTGCTCCGTACTCCGTACACATGTCATATTACATCATGTGGGTGGATAGAGGATTGTTACTCCGTACCGCCCAGCTGGTTACCATCCCACTCTCCCGCGACAGCCATTAGGTGGCTCCAAGGATCAGCGAAGCTCGGCGGCGGTTGCCGCTCAATGTGAGAATCGCTTACGACGTACGGAGTACGACGTGCTCGATTGCTTTGTTTCTTTGCCTTTTTAAATTTGAGAATATAGCACGACTGTCGGTCTTGAATTTTGACTCCTTCTCGTGATCAATAAGATACATACCGGAACCTACGAATACTCCGTACAGCGGTGTAAAACACACCAATCGGACAACTACTGGCACCCAAATCCAGTCGGCTGCACCTAGCATGAATATCATGGCCCTGGAACCGCTCAAGATCAAAAATCGCATGCGGAGACTGAAGAGCGGCCACCCAGGATTGCAGGATGCACCGGCAGTTCAAGAGCACCACCTTTGTGCGTAGTCGCCGAGGTCTATGGATCATCAGCAGGAACACAAAACCCGGCCGTTATTGGGGCTGCTTCCCGCCGGTTCCATGCAGCCAAAGACGGCGTTCACCAACGTTTTGGCCTGTTGCCATGGGAAGAACCGTTTCTGCCAATTGTCCGTAGATACTCCGTAGAATACAAACCCCAGATTAACGGGATTCGGCCAATCGTCTTGGCCCTAATCTCAACCCTGGCGTACTTTTCCTGACCGACGTTCCAGCTACCCTGATAATGGACCGCTTCTAGGTGGGTGCTCTGCCGCTATGCACCCGTGTAGCGTTGTGTGATAGGTGCTTCGTTCTAGCTGCCTATGTAAGCCTTGCTGTACTTTCCCATTGTAGGAAAAGCCCAGCTCGTTCCTTCCCTGTGTCCACTAATCCGTTCTGCCCACCATCCCACCTTCCATCGCATCGCAGCCCCACTTTCCGCCACATTCTTGGCCCCCGGTACCGTTTTCTTTCAGTTTTTTTTTTTGCACACCGCCGGATTGGGCCAGAAAAGCTTCGGCGTGCATACAACTCGCAGGCTGGGACTGCAGGGTGCTTTGTTAGGCAAAAGCTGCAGCCCAATCCCCAAGAGTTACAGCCCAAGATGATATATCCAAAACAACTCTCCGGTACTTTACGAACTTGTGTCTAGGTTTTTTTTTTTCCTTTTCTTCTTGCTTTGAAAAAAGCTTCGGCATCTGGCTGGGTGTCCAGCTCTCCAGCTTTGCAAGCAGCTTTGCTGGCTTGGATTCGCTGTGTGAAGCTGTGAAGCTGTGATCTTCGGTAATGCTCAGTGTCATTATCTGGACCTCTGATTCGCCCTGACACATGCCCCTCCCCTTAAATCGTCAACGCCGGTCTACGCATGTGTCCCGCTCCCGCCTTCGACTTGTTCGCTGGCTTCGCCTCTCTTGGGTAACAACGTCATCCCCCCCTCCTCCAATATCGCGCCTGCGTCTCGACCTTACCGTCAAGCGTAAACGGCGATTTTGGGACGGAATCCCCCTCACCGAACCGCAAGGATCCTGATAGAAGGCGAAAACAGCACCCTGGAAAACGGGGCCAAATCGCATCTGGCCGTTGCCCCGTCCTGTCCCATCTAGCCGTCTACCAGCTCACAGAAAAAAGTGACCAGCGAGGGCAGTGCCGCATTTGCGTGCATGCACACAGAGACACGCATACCCACTACCCCCTCCATAACGAGCCAACGGGAGCCGGCCGACTGAGATTTTGACGTGGCGGGGCTCGAAAACGCACAGGATCATCTAGAGTCGACCTTCCAAGGCAATTTCTCCAACCTGTTCCATCCACTCGACACCCCGGCCAAGGCCTACTTTTGCCCGCTTGGGGAAGGTCCTGTCAGCCCGTCACACACAGCCATCAGCAGGGTTCACGCCTTGCCTCAGCTTCGGCTTACTGCCTCACCGCCCTGTACTTTCTCACATCTGTCTCGCTCTCGCTTCATCACTCCGGCTCTTCTCCTTCTCGCCCAGGCTCTGCCCGACTACTGCTTCCGGTGCACATACCTCGATCAAATGGACCCCCCGGACGGATACAAGTATCAAAGCTGTGGCCGTTGTCCTCTCGTCTGAGGTGCTAGGAGACTGATCCTAGCCGTCTGACACACAAATACGGAAGCCAGAACGAACCCAGCGAGCGAGAGGCGGCCTTGCCGCAAAGACTTCTCTGCGAGCCGGCCGGATATGTTAGGAAAGCTCTTCAACTTCACGGCCGGCGCTGGCTCAGGCTCTGCCGCCCAGGCCGGACACCCTATGATATCCCCCGAGCCTGTTTCGTCCCTGGAGTCGGTGCAAGAAGATGCCCATTCCCGGAATCTGCTCTACCCAGATACACAAGCCCTGTTCCAGCAACGTCACGACCAGGTGTTTCCGCTTCCAGGCAGCCCCCACCTGATCACCTCGACCCTCGCATCTGCCTTTGACTATGACAGTGACATCGACCTGGACATGCGAGACGTCCGCGTTTTGGTGATGCAGGACGGGCTCAGTTCCATTCCTGCAAGCCCTCTCTATGACTCGCAGCCACCGCCCCCTCTCCCTACTCCTGCTGTTCCAGACCGCCCCTCCACCATGGCGGGCCTGTCTCATATGAATTACAACCTGCAGGACTCTGCTCGCCGTGTGCCCCCATCCCCTCGAAAACCGAGTATGGGCCATTCCGTACGCCCCCTTGTCATCCAGCCGGACAGTCCGCAGCTACGTCAGAGCGCCACCTTCGATCGCAGACCGTCTCTGCACAGTCGCAGCCAGTCTCGATTGGAGACCGAAGCCCACAGGGCGTACCGCGAATACACCGACGAGCTTTCAGTGTTCTCGGGCTGCATTTTTGGCAACTCCGAGCTTCTCGCGTACAGGGGAACGTCCACCAAGGTTCACATTCTGCCTTCGGAAAACCGCTCTGACCTTGCATCTACCATAGTCCATGATGGACGTGGCTCTCTCGGTCGATCCAGTATGCGGTCCAGCAAACTCTCCCAGTCTTTCTCTTCGGAATCCGCCGCTATGTTTAGTCCTCCGCCTAATTCCTCCACGTCATCCGTTGCTACCAGCTCTCTGCGGACTGCAGATCGAAAGAAGGTTCTGATCACGAGGCTCTTTCCCGTCTCACTTCCGAGCGACGGTGCGACAACACAGCAGAGCGGGTTGCCCGAAGAGCCTGGCAGCGCCGGCCCTGGCTACCCCTTCCCCACTTACACTGACGACGGACTCCCTAAGAAGAAGAAAAAAGCGCAGCTGAGACAGAAGCGGACTCCCATGTACGCCATTGCCCTGATCATCAATTTGCCGCAGCCTCCGTCGCTACAAGCCCAGTCCACAGCGCATCCCCGGTCAACCTTCCGCGGTCCCAGTTCCTACTCGGAGCAGGATTCCTTCCCCTCGTCCTACGGCTCCGGGCGGCGAGTAGGTTGGGGAATGGGCTCAACTTCGTCAGCCACAAACGGCCTCGGAATCGACGTGTCCGCGTCTGACAGCCACTCGACAACAGTCTTTGCTGGCGCATTCAATGCTATGACTGACCTGGAGGAGAGGATAGATCCTATAACCCAACACTGGGACATTATCATGCGGGCACTCACTCAGATGCAGGGGGTTGTGTCCATGACTGTCTCGAAACTCCTGAGAGCCTCGGACATTTCTTCGCCAGATCCGTATCCTCCTTCGATGGTATCACACATGTCCCGAACGGCTTCTTTCAGTGGGCGGCGGGGTGATGACGGAGGAATGCCGATGAAGGCACCAAAGACAAACGCCAAACTGGTGACACTCATGCCTAACGCGTTGATGGACGTGGATCGTATCTCTCTTGAGTCGGACAAGGCAAGGCTCCGCATCGCAGTTGGCCTTCGCGCCTTGAGGGTCGTTACTGGCCAGAACCGGTGGGAGATCTGGCGTGAAGAAGTGCGCTGGGTTGCGCGCTGGGCCCTGTCTTCGATTGAGCAACACCAGCAGGTTTCACGAACACAGCTGGACATACATCCGGACGACTATTTTTACAGCGCTCTGACAGTGTTTCTCGCCACACACCCCGACTGGCTAGAGCCACTATGCGCTGCCAGACACCGCAAAGGGCATTTGTTTCTGCAGTCTGCCAAGGGGGACGACGTTGCACTGCCGGCCAGGACTGTCATTGTGTCGCAAGACAAAAACGCTGCCAGGCGGCTCATCTTCCTTTTCTCCGCCTTTCTCCCGGCTACCCAGTCTCTCTCCGGTGCTATCCGAACACACCGGCCAAGCACTTCGATGTCCTGGGGAGCGCTCTCTCAGTCGCCGCCGACGACGTTCATTGTGCCAGTCACTAAAGAAGAATCGCTCCGACGGAAAATCAATCGCCGCGCCGGTGGCCGGAGGTCTTCTCATTCACGCAACCTCAGCTTCCAGGGACAGGGCAGCAATAGTGCCGGTACGGGATATCGTTCTGCTTCCATATCGGGAACAGGCCCTGTTCCTCCCTCGCTGCAACACAGCACGAGCAGGGGCCATCACGAGAGGCGGCCGTCCGACACGGCATCGATTCGCGCACACAACCTTCCCATTTCCGGAAACGACTTCAACACGCGGAAGAGTAGTGCGGCGACAATGGCAACGACCTCGGACACGACAATTCCTCATTTTGCCATGCTCCAACGCCTTGACTCGTTCTCGTTTTCCAGACCTGACAGTTCAGGCAGCGCAGCAGAAGATGATCTAAAGCGTGCACTTCGGCGCGGAGACAGTACTTCGGGCCAAACTGGAAATTCTTTGCACCATCAACTCCAGGCCAGCCTCTCTGGGCCGGGTGCCGGAATGGACTCGCGGAATCAAGGGTCGCGCTGGGGAAGCGTGCTGAGCGGTCTCCTGAGCGGCCGGCGACGGGATTCGACGAGCAATACGGGGGCATATGTTCACAGCCACACTGCCTCGACCTCTTCGAAATGGGATACATTTGGAAGACGGGACAGCCTAACAGCATCACCACAAAGCAGTACACCGTATGAGCCAGGCAAACAGGCGGCGCAACAGTCAAATGCCACTGGCAGTGGCCAACCGCCAAGTCCGACGATGGCAAACATGGCACACGACCGTTCTGCACCGAAGTTGTCGGAGGAGGACGCCGATCCACATACACCCCGGCTGCATTATGACAGCCCCAAGGCGGGAAACAGTCGACAGGGCCGGACAGACTCGTTCAATGGAACTCCTGGCCCAATCGGTGCATTTGACTCGCCGGTGAAGACGTCAGTCAACCCGGAGGACGGTATAATTGACGTGGATATTCAGTTTCCGGATTACCTTCGGTCATTTGAGACAGCAGTCAGCTCACCTTCGAGCAGCGGCTTCTTATCGACGCCAGGGTTTGGGTCGGGCTTTGGATCCGGGTTCGGGAGCGGAATCGACTCGTTCGAACAGTTTGGGCGCACATCCGTTGACGGGGACCTGCCGGCAAACGTGGCCGGGTGGCTCCAGTTGTACCACCCGGACTTTGCGCTGCAGGCGATTCCCCCACAAAGCGATCTCCTGGTGCAGGTCAAAGAGTCCCTCCGCAACGAGCCGACGCCGGAAAGCTTCCAGGCCGAAGGCTATCAGCGAAGCAGCGAACGATGGGTGGACGTGTCCAGCGCGGTGATTGTGGACACGACGAGATGGACAGTCTGCCGGCTGCGGTACAGCAGGCTCATCGGAACAAAGGCACCGGGCGAGGTAGTAACACCGACCAGCGGGACGGACTCGTTCTCGTCGCCGACAGCCACTTCGCCGAATACGACGCCGCAGCAAGAAACGCAGCTGGAGGAGCGGTTCACACAGGAGTACATCACTTCGGGAGACCGAGACAGCATGCTGGCAGAAGCGATTGAGCGTGTGATTGCACAGGGCGTTGGGGTCGGTGGTGGTACGACCGATAGCCTTTCGGGAGGTGATACTGCAGCCGACAGCTCCAATTGCTCTTCTCGATCGGCGAGTGCTTTGCGCGGCCGCAGAAACAGCGGATCGTATGGACCTGAGGATATCACGACTGCCGCACCTCATCATATGCTCTTCGCGCCGGCGACACACAATGCATCACAAGAAGTGCCGCGTGGAGAGTGCAAGACGGTGATTCTGTCTGCTCTGGGAGAAATTGTGCGTGATGCTTTACAGGGCAGCGAGGCTGCTGACAGCCCACTGGAAGAGGACCATCGAGACAAGGATACCAGAGGACGGAGTCTCCTCAAGGAGGCTGTCAGGCAGTGGTTCGAAGGGGTTGACGCTGGAGATGCATAGTTTCGTATGCGAAGCGAGGGTCGCTTACTACATTCTTGGCGTTGACGCAATTTGGTCTGCTTTTCATGTTGTTCTTCTTCGTTCGTTTGCGTTCTTTTTGCGCTCTACAATCTTTTCCTGCTATTCTTTTTTATTATAATTTTGCATTTTTCTTTGTAAGCAAGAGCTGGTTGACGGCCATGACGAAAGGAAGCCATACGGCTAGGACGGGAACACTTTGATCTATAGGTTTATCAGGCGTTGGAGCCGAACAGCACGGCAGACAGGGTGAGATATTAGCGGAACGTTGCCCGAATATAGCGGGAGTAATAGAGATGCGAGCGAGTAATCTCGTGGGTTAATAAGCATGACAGTCTGATTGTGGGCGTGCCCGGGGGTATCGTGCAGCTAGCCAACTATAATTATTGCAGGTCGGAGATGCGTGGACAGCTCTGAGCGGCTGTCGCTCTCACAGCTCCTTTTCAAAGACATCGTTGAGGTAGTCGACAAAGCTTTGGCGAATGCGTGGTCCTGCGAGCTTGCTAGCGCCCTCGAGGCCAATGCCGCCACGATTGAGGCCAAGGAAGGCGCGACGGAGACGCTGCAGCTGGGCTAAGCTAACCTGGTTGCCTGGCAAGTGGACGAGCAAGTCTTTGTCAGCAGGAATGGGAACGATGCCGCCCTCGCCGTCCTGATGTTCCTGCTGGTAGGCGACGACGCGCCGCACGACGTCCTGGGTCTCGCGGTCGAGGACGTAGAGGTAGTCGCCGCCGCCGTCATTGCCGCGCTGGACGGCCACCATGTTGGGCCGGACGTCTTTGCGCGGGCCATCGCCCGCGACGGCATCCCAGATCTGGCCAAAGACGACGCGTGCTCTGGCCTCGTCGTCATCCCAGGTGAGCACGAACAGCGGGCTGTCCCAGCGGGTCATTCCATTGGGCTCCTCGTAGCGGAAGACGAGGTTGTCCCAGTTGGCTTGGGCGTAGGGTTTGGCACCGTCCGTTTCCGAGCTTGGATGTCCCTCTTGCTCCAACCTCTTCGCGTTAACCTTGCGCGCCTGCTCAACACTGCAGCCGATCTGCAGGACAGCGTGTGGCGTCCGCACGTTCTTAGCCTCGCACGACAGCTGGTAGCGCCAGCCCTTGATGTAGTTGAGCCCGTCCAGGACGACAATGTCGCGCGGCGAGAGCACCCGCTTGACCGCCCCATACAGCGCCGCGCGCGCATCTTTCTCGGACGCGTTGGCTGACCGCGTGTGTGCCGGCAGCGCCGGCGGTGACAGATCGTAGACAGTCCGCGAGATCGAGAGGCTGTCGTCCGACACCAGGTGCAGCCGGTATTGGGGCGCAGTCCCACGGCTCGCCGCACCCGGAAGACCTCCCTCCACCGACGGCGTCGACTGCTGGGCGATCCGATCGGCAAGGTAGTCGTAGAGCTGCTGGGCCCGCGTCGACTTGCCCGACGTCGGCAGGCCAGAGAGAATGATGAGCTGGTCGGCGATCGGCCACGGTCAGCGCTGGTGTTCAAGGCGCAGCAAGGCCCACGAACAGCCGCTGCGAGCCCGCAGAGAAAACAGTAGATCAATCGGGATCGCTGGTCTTACCGGCATAGTCTTGCTCGCTTCTCGGCATGAGCTGCGCACAGCTGCCAGAGGTGACGTCTTTGCCTTTTTGTGGAGGGGGAAAATCGCATATATCAATAGCCCCACAAATTATACGTTCTTGCAAGACTTATTATGGACAGCCTTTTAAGTACTCGTTATTAGTGCTATTTGTGCTAAAGACATTTTAATAATTGCTACCAATCAAAGAAAGACACTCTAATCTCGACGCTCATTGACAAAAGAAAGAACACAGAAGGAGCTGCAACCCTAGACTAATTCTATATTTGGACGCCGTCTCGACTGTCTATGCGCACGATTTTGGGAATGTCTCCGGTCATGTCTGCTCAACTGGGCACGGGAAGAGTGGGAATGATTGTGAGGGCGTGTCTCGTAGTAGTAGTACCGCTGCGAGCTCCCAGACGGCCGTCCTTTCGGTCTGGCTGGCCGGTGCTCAGGCCAGCCCTCAGACCGGCTGCTTCTGGAGCTGGAATCCGCTGGCCTGGTACGATGAGTCAGGATAGGTCGCGAGGGTGTGTGTCTGGGAGCTGTCGGACATGGCGGCCTGCTGACTGACCCGCTGGCGGCGGGAGACGTACACGAGACTGAGGCCGACGGCCTCGAAGACGACCACGGCCACGATTTCCATGATGGTGCACATGACCAGAAGGTACTTGGCATAGTGCGGGCCGCTGTTGTAGATGCGGAAGTTGGCGTCGGCCGTGTCGAACGCGGCCAGGATGGCGTAGAGCAGCCGGACAAAGACAAACGGCACGGCAACGGCGATGGCGGCCAGCAGCCGTTTCTCGCCGGCCGGCACATCGCCGACGCGTGTGGCCAGCAGCAGCCCCGACAGCAGCAGCAGCACAAAGCCGCCGATCATACAGCCGACGCCGCCCTTGGTCTCGCCCGAGACCGTGTATGTCAGCGGGCCGCCTTTGCTGACGGCGTCGCCGATCTGGCTGCCCATCTTGGTGCCGCCGACGATGGACAGGATCAGGCCGACGACGACGAGCACCTGCGTGACGTGCAGGCTGCGCAGGTTCGGCATGGCCGGCCGCCGCTGCTCGGCCAGTGAGAGGTACACGCGCGTCATTAGGCCCAGCATCGTCAGCAGCAGCGGCGACAGGCCGATGCTCTGCAGCGTCTGGGCGCCCACGAAGAGACTGACGTTGTCGCGGTCGTGGATCGTCGCCAGCTCAAAGGCACCGCCCATGATGCGCGTCAGCGAGAAAATGACCAGGTACAGCCAGCCAGAGCTGCGGCCGAAGCCGTGGCGCCACGACAGCAGCACCGCGATGAAGAGCGACGGTACATAGAAGCAGATCTGCACGATCGGAATTTTGTTCAGCTCCGATAGGGCCATGGCGTTGTGTGTGTTGATATTGGTGTGGATGTGTGGTGATGCCAATGTAGAGATATATACGTTCTTGTATGCCTTGGGTTTTGGGCTTTCGCAGACACAACCTGATTTGCTGGCTATGGATGCAGGTCTGTCAGTCGACAAACCCAAGGCGAGCGCATGCTGCCGTTATATAGGAGAACGAGACACCTCACTCGTCGGCCCAACATGTCAGCCGGCACAACATCAGACACGCAAAGCCACTTTGAGTCTTCTCCGTGACGATGCAAAGCGGTCGTTCTCGCATTCGGGTCCTTCATTGGGATTAGCTACGCTCTCCCCGCGTTGCAAGGCTGTGAGTTCAACTGGCACTTCTAAGCCGCCGAGACTAGTCCGTTTCTGGTCAGATTGTGCGAATTGTCGAAATCGAAATGAGATGGACTCGACCAGACCCAATCTGCCGGAGAGATGACTGTTAGTACCCGTTTTCGGCTGACAGGTGTGGAATGTAGGAAAATAAAGGGGAAAAGACAGACGTTCCAGAAAAAAGGACATTTGGCTTAGAGCCTAGAAACAGCGAAAGTGTGGCCCAGGCACGCTGCAGTCAGTAAACTGCATGTAAAAATAAGCTTTTGGCCCTTGTTCATCAACGATGGAGGTCACGTGTCCGGACAGCCCCCGACGCCCAATTATCCGAATGCGAGGGCGCAGCAAGTCGTTCTCGCAAATGATGTGGCTATGCTGTGAATATAGTAGGCGTTTTCGTAGCGTATCAGTGCGTTGCTGTTCTCCTGGCTGTTCTCGCACAATGTTCCCATTTGCACAGCAGTACGGCGTATTGCGGTAGGGGCAATTACGACCAACGGCCAGTTGCCTAGAGAGGAAGTTTACATCCAAGCTCGTGCATCGCATGCTTTTCTCTGTTCCGTAGTGGGGTCTTTTCCCCTCCTTGTTCTGTTTTTTCTCCTGTTCTGCCATCCATCGGCTTTAGCTTTTACCATGCCGTTTACCCCTAATGTGTGCGTTGCGAGATACTTGGAATGGGTCGCTCTGGCTGCTGCCATTGGCTTCGCACAGCTTTCCCAATTGGATTAAGCGAGCTCTACCAATCACCGTCCGCACCCTCGGTCCCGAGAGAGATGTACGAAACAGACGTCCAACTTCCACCAGTGTTTTCCCCATTCGCAAGCGTTTTCCACTTGCAACTTTGCTCTCGGTTGTGGAGATTGTGGCCCGGAGATTCTGGTGTGAGATCACGCTATTCCGAGATATCTTACTAGCCTTCAACGGCTGGCTTTCACTACATACACCCTTGCCTGTCTGGCATTAGCCAACAACCACACATCCGATTAGAACACCTGGAATTTTATGCGGCTCGTCGATTCTGCACAGCTCATCAAGGCACCAGCCCTACACGGCTGGACCTCTGGCGCGGAAGTCCGGACCTCACAATCGGTACTTCATTTGGCGGACCGCCAATAGGCAGCGCCAAGCCTCCGTTCATCTTATATGGCAACGTTGCGGGAGTTCCGGCTTGAGAACCTACATCGTACAAGATCTTCAGTGACTGCTGCTAGGGCTGATGCCTCCGGGCAGATTACCCAACTCAGCGAGCACTAACCTGTGCAAGGCACATGCATCTCATTTCCGAATCAGCCACACCCGTTCTGTCAATGCCCCTTCGAATCATACAGACACAGACACGCAATACCCAGCTTTTGCTCCCTCTTTGCAACATGGTCTACTGCGGCCCGCCCTCGAAGGGCTGCAGCAGCTGTCGAGACCGGAAGATCCGTGTATGTCACGCTTACCTTTTCCCCTTCAACCGAAGCGCAGACTGACATCTGCTAGTGTGACCTGAAGGAGTCTAGCTGCGGCCAATGCGAGAAGCGACAACAGACATGTCCTGGCTACAGGAACATGGTCGATCTCATGTTCCGCGATGAAAGCTCCCATGTCATCAAAAAGGCACAGGCAAAACAACAGCGCCGGCGAACTGCAGCGGCAGCGACCACAGACTCGGGCCGCTCTCCAGGGGGAGAGTCTGCAGCGTCTGCTTCTTCTTCGTCTTCGACAGCGAAAAGTGCCGCCACACCGGCTACCCCCACCGTCCAACCGATGCCCCTTGCACTCTTGACCAGAGGTGCGCAGCTCAACAACGCCACGAGCGTTCAGCACAGAGACGGGAGCAGGACTACGTCCAGGAGCCGGGGTGCGATCAAGGGCAGCCCATCGTCCACAACTTCCAAGACTCGGTCGCCAGTGCGAGACTACAGTCCGCTTTCCGAGTCACACACTTCTGACTGGCCAGTTGCTCCGCCCATCACGCGAATATGCAGCCTCGCACCGTCGTTCCGAGAGCGAGGCACGGCCTACTTCTTCTCCCGTTACGTCACCATCGATGAGAACGCGTTGCACCAGCGATTCGATTTCATCTACGACATCTGGAAGCCTGGCCCAGCCACGTGTGACAGCCAGATGGATGCCGTGATGGCCAGCATGGCGGCGGTCGGCCTCGGTGGCCTCTCCCAACTGACGCACTCCAAGGAGATATTCTCTAGCGCACGTGAGAGCTACGGGACGGCTCTACGCCTGGTCAATGCGGCTCTGAAAGACCCGGAGGAGGCGGTGAAGGACACCACCATGCTCTGCGTCTTAATACTGGGTGTCTTCGAGATGATGGCCGGCCCCGGAAAGATCACCATGAAGGCCTGGTACGAACACATCAACGGTGCGGTTGTGCTGGCCAAACTTCGCGGCACCAGCCAGCTTCGCACAAATGCAGGTATCCGCATGTTCAACATGTTGTGCCAAAGCGTGATGATAGCGAGCATGCAGAAGCGTGCCCCAATGCCTCCAGAGCTTATCTCTTTCCAGTCCGAACTGCTCTCTGGCTCCGGGACGGAGGCCGTGTCTCGGGGCTTTAGCCGGATAGCGCTGTCGAAGCCAATTTTCATGATGCTGCAGATGCGCCACGATGTGCATGAAAACCTTATCAACGGGCTGGACGGCATGCTAGGACGCCTTGAGGCGATTGACAGCGAGTTTACGTGTACAGTGGGCAGCTTCCCGGCTGTCAACCGGTTCAAAGTGCTGCATGTGACGCGGCCACATCGAGCTGTCTTCCGCAACCACTGCCACGTTTACCGAAGCACGGCGGTATCATCGATCTGGAACCTGCTGCGCGTGGTGCATATACTGGAGCTGGAGTTTGTCTTGACGACGATACAGCGAAGCTTTCCGGATGTGGGCGAAGCCGGCGAAGGGGTTCCTGCGCACTACTTGCGTCGGTACTGCAAGGCGTGGACGGATCTGCAGTCGGTCACGGATGCGATTGTGGCCAGCGTGCCGCAGCATTTCGGACTGCTGAATCTGACCAGCCCGTACTTTGACACGCTGAAGCCGATGGAAGCGAGCCTGAGCCTGTCGGACAGCGTGACGCTCTTGACAACGGTGGTGAAGCGGCCACCAAACAGAGTGGTGCCATCGCCGCCGTCTTCGGCAAGCTCTGCATCTGCCACGCCACCTTTGCCGCCGGACGACTGGGCCGAGAGCGACGAATACCAGCCAACCGATCTGAACGAGCTATTCTTCGACGATGGCGGGCCAACGCTAGAGAACCCGACGCGAGCGCGGAGCGACGGCGAGGAGGCAGCACGGCTGATGCTACTAGCCTCGTCGACAAATGGGCTGGTGTGGCCTCTATTTTGTGTGGGCACCAGCTCTGTCTGCACGCCGCTTCTGAAGGCGTACGTGGTGGAGCGGCTAAACGCCATCTACGACGAGACTGGCCTTAAGCAGGCCAGCACGCTTGCGTCGATTGTACGCAACCGGGAGCTGATCAAGTCGCCGTGGCTGAGGCTGCCGACAAGATTAATCAGCACTTTGTCGATGGAGGTGGCGGTCTGAGGAAGACCTGGGTCTGGGATAACGGACATGGCAGGGGAACGGGGAAAGGTAAATTTACACGGATGCTGGCTCTGTATATCTAAATGTATTCGTACAAAGATGATTCCTTGGGCTTGCTGGCGGCTACCAGCCATCAAAGTTGCCAAAGCCGCCCGACTTTGCTCGTTTCCGAGCGGGCTCCTCTTCCCAGACGGCATCGTCACCGCTGGCCGGCTCGGGCTCTTCGGCCGGCTGCTTCTGCTGTTTCTGCTGAGCGAGGGCGGCCTTGAGGTACTTGCCGACACCGGCACCGACGGCTGGGGCAAGATCGTCACGGCCGCGGATGCGCTTGCCGGTCCACGTGACCTTGTCGTCATCGGTGCCGCCGCGGCGTTGGATGTCGGCGCGCTCAGCCTCGGCAGCATCGGAGCGCCGCTTTTCCTTGAGGAACTCGTCAAAGGGGTCGAGGTAGACGGCGACGTCGCGAATGACAATGTCCTGCAGCGGGCGGTCGCGATCATCGACAGGCGCCGCCTCCATGCGATCGAGCACGTCGAGCCCGTCGACGACGCGACCAAAGATGGAGTGTTTGCGGTCGAGGTGATGTGCGGCACGGTAGGTGATGAAGAACTGGCTGGAGTTGGTATTCTTGCCCTTGTTGGCCATGCTGACGACGCCGCGGTCAGCGTGGGTGAGGGGGCCTTCGAGCTCGTCGGCAAAGTCCTTGCCCCAGACGCTGGAGCCACCACGACCAGTGCCGGTTGGATCGCCGCCCTGAATCATAAAGTTGCGGATGTTGCGGTGAAAGGCCACGTCGCGATAGTAGCCCTGCTGGGCGAGACGGACAAAGTTCCAGACGGCCTTGGGAGCCGTCTCGGTCTGCAGCTCGATGTTGACGTTGCCGAGGCTAGTCTCGATGCGGGCGTAGCCCTTGATCTTGACGCGTCGTGGCTTCAGCATCCATTCCTCGTCGCTCAGCACGGCCCGCTCGCCGCTGGTCTCGGGCGTCAGCCCGGTGCTGGTGAAGCTGGCGGCCGCCCGACCAGTCGTGAAGGTGGCCGCATTGTAGGCGGGTGGCCGGGCCGAGCGGCTGTTTGTTGAAAGCGCGGATGCAGCCCCGATCGAACCGGCCGGGCCTCCTGTCCGTGCTGCTGCCGACCGGTTGACGTCGCCGCCACCGACACGCTCACGGCGGGCCTTGTCGACGGCCTCCTTGGCACGCAGAGCCTTTTCGCCGAGGCGGCCGAGGGCGCCATGGTTGACGGTCTCGCGCGACGCCTTTGGGCCGACAGTCACGGCACCATCGCCGTCGCGCAGGTGCTTGAACTGGCCGAGGTCGCGGGCAGCCATGTTCTGCGGGTCCTGCAGCGTGATGATGTCCTTGCGGCTGAAGGCGACGTCGTCGACGAGGTCGCGCCACATCTTGGGCTTGATGTTCATGCGCTCGACCGTGTCCCAGGCGAAGACGTTGGCATAGCTGCCGTGGCGCAGCGCCACGATGTGCGTGTTGTCGGTGAAGACCTTGAAGGTGACCGGGTCGATCAGATCGCCGGAGCCGTCGGCGTCGTTGCGGGCAAAGTCGAGTCGCACCAGATCAGCCGCAGCTAGCGGCGTGCCATCAACTGGGTTCGTGCCCGGCGGATGCTTCTGGAGCCAGTCGGCGATCACCTCGGCATCGAAGATGATCCCGTCAGCCGTGCAGACCGGATGGACAAACGGCTGCAGGCTGGCGGCGCAGTAGTTAAAGGGCAGCCGGCGCAAAGACGCGCCCGGGGTTGGCCCCGTGGCCGCACCCTTGCTGGCCGAGAAGGCGTCGGCCGAGGCCCATTCCGAGTGCGTAATGTAGAGCTTGTCGGTGCCCTTGCCCATCGCTGCGCTGGAGAGGATGCAATAACCAATAGACGGAAAAAGGGAGCCGCGCAGAAAAAGGCGGTGATGCACTACGCGACAAGGCAGAACTTAGCGCCTCTGCAGGGCGCTAGCTGTGGTGGCGCTAGGCAAGGCCCCTGTAATGTGCTGGAGGGCTTTGCTGGGCGTCCTTAGCGACCCTGCCCCAATGGCCAGCGGATAATTCCTATGTAGACACCTATAGGTGGGGTATGGAGTTGTCCAACGAGTGGCGGGTGGACAGAAGCTACCCCCCATCTAGAATGTACCACTACACACATATCTTGCGCGCCGGTACATGTGTCCGGTGGGTCGGCCCCGGTTAACAGCATCGCCCATCCATTCTTACCAGGTGTTTTTTTCTCTCTCATTGCGCCAGCGACCAGCTTTCCTCCACAACAAGCCACGCCAGCACCGCAAAGCCTCCATCTGCTGCCTCGGCCGTCTCTTCTCTGCGATCTGGTCCCTCCCGGCGATCTGTCACCTTTCTGCCTCCTGCTCACTCCCTTGGCCTCGTGCTTACACATCCATCACGTGAAGACTATCTCGGCTTTTTTTTTTTTTTTTTTTTTTCCTCTTCTCCTGCCCATTACGTACGTCACGACAGAACCGATCGAGCCGCCTGCCAACGTCTGCCAAAATGTCGGGAGAAGCGTGGCTCTACCTCTTCGCCGTGTTGATCAACGCGGTGAACCTGTTCCTGCAGGTGTTCTTCACCATCATGTACAGCGACTTGGAATGGTATGCTGGCTACCCCCTCCTGCCACAGCCCCGCTGGCGATCTCGTACTGACCTTTTGTGCCTTGCGCAGCGACTACATCAACCCGATCGATCTCTGCAACCGCCTGAACACGTACATCATTCCCGAAGCTGCCGTACATGGATTCCTGACTTTTCTCTTTCTAATCAACGGGTACTGGGTGCCGCTGGTTCTGAACGTCCCCCTGCTGGCGTGGAACGTCAAGAAGTATGATCCCTGTTCTTCGTGGCGATAGGTACGCGAGGTACAGCTTGCTAACTCGGTGGCTGCAGGATCGTCGACAACACGCACCTGCTAGATGCAACGGAAATCTTCCGGAAACTGAACGTCCACAAGAAGGTCAGTCACGGGCTCGTGCTATCGTCTTTCCCTCTATAACGGCCGGCTGACACCCATGTACAGGAGTCCTTCATGAAGCTTGGCTTCCATCTGATCATGTTCTTCTTCTACCTCTACAGCATGATTGTGGCTCTTATTAAGGACGACGCCAACTAAGGACGGACCGATGGACATTCTCGGAGAAGCTCTAGGAAGTCTACGCGGAGAGGCGCCTGCTTACCAGGCAGCTCGGTGGTCAGATTGCCGACTGCACCATGGCCGAAGAAGCTGCGACTCCCATGGCATAGATCGTGCAAAGAGCAGGCACAAGCCTAGGGACATTCTGTTTACGTACACATGCTATTTCTGATGACTCTGCCTGTCGAGCATTATAAAGATACAAGGAACACGAGGGGTCGGAGTGACGGATGTGCAGAGGTGGATATATTGGATCTACGAGGATTAGGACGAGGGAAAAGGTGGAACGACCGTATATGGAGGGTTATGCTGTTGTGGTGGCGCCCACACTTTATCGCAGTCGGAAGCATATTGTATTTCTACGGCACACTGCGATCACGTGACTATGACACCGCCTTTCCCGATGTAGCATGCTGCTTAATTTTCTGCCAGCCTCGCGACTTGAATCGATGGTTTTGGTTCGAGCTCGAACACGCTTTTCCCAACCCCGACATCGACGTCAGCACGAGCACGACGAGACAGGATGGCGAACTTTGGCGAGTTTCCGCCGAATATGGTGGCGCAGGACGCATTGGTGGTACGGTCACAGGCGGAGCCAGAACACGCCGTGGTCAAGTACTCGGCCGAAGACATGTCGCAGCCGATGATCGGGCCAGCGAACCCGTTTCGCGCCAACGGAGACGGGCAGGGCGGAGCGAAGCGGAAAAACGTGCTGACGGGCACAGCGACAGAGGCGTTTCTGAGCGAATACACGTTCCGCAGCAAGCACCGGGCGGTGGAGCGACGCGGCGGGCCAGAGCGAGAGGCCCCGACCGGACGACAGGTCAAGGAAGAGAATGCGCAGGTGCGATCATCACGCGAGAGCAAAGGGAGCGCGACGATAGCGGACGGCGATGGGGCGTACGTGGGCCCATGGGCCAAGTTCAAGCGGAAGGCGGTGTACGAGGAGTACGACGAGGCGGCGGAGGGCATGGGCAGCGGCTCGGAGTACGAGATTGTGGAGGAATACGAAGACGACGGGACAGACGTGGTGGAGAGCGGAGCGGTAGTGTCGGCACCGCCCGAGGCGCTGGCACGACGACGAGAACAGGAGCTGGTGGGCGACGAGACGAGCGAGTTTGTGGGCTCACAGCAGTACGACTACCAGGGCCGGACGTTTATGCACGTGCCACAGGATCTGGACGTGGACCTGCGCAAGGAAGTGGGCAGCGTGACGAACTACATTCCGCGCAAGCTGGTGCACGTGTGGAAGAGTCCGACGGGCAAGCCGGTGACGGCGCTGCGGCTGTTTCCGGAGTCGGGCCACGTGCTGCTGAGCGGCAGCGCCGACAACACGGTGCGGGTGTGGGACGTGTACCACGAGCGGGAGCTGCTGCGGACGTATGCAGGTCACAGCCGAGCGCTGACGGACCTGTCCTTCAGCCGGGACGGGCGGCAGTTCATCTCGGGCTCGCACGACCGGTTCGTCAAGCTGTGGGACACGGAGACGGGGCAGTGCATCCGACGATTCCGCACGGGCAAGACGCCACACTGTCTGGCGTTCAACCCCTCGGTCGAGGGCGCACACGAGTTCCTGACGGGCATGAGCAACAACAAGATCCTGCAGTGGGACTCCCGGGCTGGCGACAACGAGCCGGTGCAGGATTACGATCACCATCTGGCGGCCATCAACACCATCACCTTTGTCGACGAGGCGCGGCGGTTCATGACCACGTCGGACGACAAGTCGCTGCGCGTGTGGGACTACAACATCCCGGTGCCTATCTCGTACACGAGCGAGCCGTGGATGTACCCGATGACGCGGGCGGCCCTGCACCCGTCGCACAAGTACGTGGCCTACCAGTCCAGCGACAACCAGGTGCTCGTCTACTCGGCTCGCGACAAGTACCGACAGAACCGCAAGAAGGAGTTCAAGGGCCACAACAACGCCGGCACCGCCATCGGCATCGACATCAGCGCCGACGGCCAGTTCCTCGCCTCCGGCGACACCCAGGGCTACGTCTGCTTCTTCGACTGGAAGACCTGCAAGATGTACGAGAAGCTGCGCGCCGACACTGCCGGCGGCTCCATCCACCACGTCCTGTGGCATCCCCAGGAGACGAGCAAGGTCGTCACGGCCGGCGCACAGGGCGACATCCGGCTCTGGGATTAGGGGCGAGAACGAGAGCGGCGTTTGGCGTTTGTTGTCACGTGAGACCGTGGTTCAATCAATAATCCATTTCTTATGCACTTGTGCATATCACGTGTCTATACCCGTAACCGTACTGTACATGTCCCGACGCTCTATGAAACCCGCAAACCTAGTAAACAAGGGCCAGCCAACGCCTACGTCCGCAAGAACGTCTTGAACATGGCGCTCTCGGTGCAGTCGACCCAGGGATAGCCGATCTGGCGGAGGTAGATCTCGAGCTCGGCGACCTCGGCGGCCGGACAGAGGATGCCGGTGAGGACCTTGCCGATGTCGCTGCCCTCGTTGCGGTACTGGAACAGGCTGATGTTGTAGCGGGGCCGAAGCGTGGCGAGAAAGGCGTTGAGGGCGCCGGGGCGCTCGGGAAAGTTGAACATGTAGAGGCGCTCGTCGGCAACGGCGGAACGGCCGCCCACAAGATAGCGCACGTGACTCTTGGCAAGTTCATCGCCAGATACGTCAGTAGGCTGCATGCCGGCTTCGGTGATGCGGCCGAGCAGGCTGACGAGCTCACGGCTGCGCTGTGATGCCGGGGCCGTGAGCGAGAGGCCCAGCAGCACGTTGGCCTCGGCCGGTGACGCATACCGGTAGCTGAACTCGGTCACGGCATGCGGCATGATGGCATCGATCAGCTCGGCAAACGAGCCTGGCCGTTCGGGAATGCGCACCGCCAGCAGCGCCTCCTTGCCCTCGCCCAGGGTTGCACGCTCGGCGATGAAGCGCAGCCGGTCAAAGTTCATGTTGGCGCCGCTGGTCACGGCCACGAGCGAGCGCCGTCCATCGGCTGACGGGTGCTGGGCCACGTACTTTTTCAGGCCTGCGAGCGCCAGCGCGCCGGCTGGCTCCACGATCGACCGCGTGTCCTCAAACACGTCCTTGATGGCCGCGCACGTCTCGTCTGTCGACACCTGGATGATCTCGTCCACCACCTCGGAGCAGATCCGGAACGTTTCCTCGCCCACGGCCTTGACTGCGGCCCCGTCGGCAAACAGGCCGACCTCGCTCAGGATCACCCGGTGACCAGCAGCCAGCGACTGTGCCATCCCGCTCGCATCGGCCGCCTCCACACCGATCACCTTGACGTGCGGTGCGATCCGCTTGATGTACACGCCCACGCCCGCAATCAGACCGCCGCCACCGACGCAGCAGAACACCGCCTCCAGCCGCTGGATGTTCGTCTGGCGCAGCAGCTCCAGCCCGATCGTGCCCTGGCCGGCAATCACGGTAACGGGTCGTCGAATGGCGGGATGTCGATCAGCCCGTCCTGTCTCACCCGCCGCAGACACTCCTCTTTGGCCGCGTCAAAGTCTGCCCCGTGCAGCACCACGTTGCCGCCCATCCGTGACACGTTCAGGTGCTTGATGCTCGGCGTGCCCTCGGGCATCACAATCGTCGCCGGGATCTTCAGCTTGCGTCCTGAGTATGCTACCCCCTGCGCGTGGTTGCCCGCTGAGCAGCACACCACCCCGCGCCACGCCTCGGCTGGGTCCAGGTGGGCCATCTTGTTGTAGGCGCCACGCAGCTTGAAACTAAACACCGGCTGCTCATCTTCCCGCTTTAGCAGCACGTTGCACTCCAGTCGGTTGCTCAGGTTGACCGCGTGCGTCAGCGATGTCTCCTTGCACACCTCGTACACCCGCGACGTCAGGATCAGGCGCAGGTACTGGCTGCTGTGTCAGAGCTGCGTCTATTTGCCATCATCCCATCATCAGATCAGTGCTCACATCCGGATGCCCGTTAGGCAGGATAAACTCCTCCGGCACGATCTTGCGCAGCCGCGCCGCCCGCTCGTCCGTCGATGGCGACGATGGCACCGTCATCTCCGACAAAGACAGAGCCGACAAGCTCGGCGTCAGATGCTGCTGTTGCTGCTGCTCGTTGTTGTTCTCTGGAGTCATCGTGCCGTTGGCAGTGCCGTTGGCAGTGCCGTTGATCGTGGCATTGGTCGTGCCATTGGTCGTAACGTTGCCGTTGCCATTACTGGCTGTTGAGCCGTTTGGCTTGTCGTCCATGTTAACCATTGTTGTGTGTGATGAGCGAATACCCTGTCCTCACCGAGAGGAAGCAGGAAGAGTCATCGAATCGTAAGTTGACTGAAAAAATTGTAGTATAATACCGTTTAGCGGGGTTTTGCCTCTAATACGGCGTCCTCCGCCTGATAAGACTCTTATCGGCCGGGCGGTGAGAGTCTGTCGCTAGCGGGGCAGCAGACGTCAGCCAATGATGGGCCGGACGTCATTAGTCGCTGCAGCCGGCCAAAAAACCCAGTAGAATCAGGCCAGTGCTTTTGCCATCTCAAAGGACGAAAGTGCGACAGAACAGCCGTCTGCTTGACCATGCCGCTCTCCGACCAGTCGACTCCATCGTCGTTTGACGAGAACGAGTAAGCGGATGTCATGGCTCTACTTCTCCACAGTGACGCTGACTCCTGACTTTCCAGAGACTTTTACAACGGAAATGGCCTCTCCAAGATCACCCGCAAGCTCAAGCAGGAGCCGCTGATCCCGCTCGGCTGCCTGCTGACCGTGGCCGCTTTCACCAACGCCTACCGCGCCATGCGCCGCGGTGACCACAACCAGGTCCAGCGCATGTTCCGTGCCCGCATCATCGCCCAGGGCTTCACTGTCGCCGCCATGGTCGCTGGTGGCATCTATTTTGGCGCTGAGCGCCACAAGGAGCGCGAGCTCTGGAAGGTCCAGCAGTCCCAGAAGGAGGAGGAGAAGCGTCAGCGCTGGATCGGCGAGCTCGAGGCCCGCGACGCCGAGGAGAAGCTTCTGCAGGAGCGCCTCGCCCGGAAGCGCAGCCGGAAGGCAGGTGGTGACGCCAGCGAAGAAGTTTCCACAACAGAAGCACCACCCAGTCCCATCCTTGCTGCTGCTGCCGCAGTCGCAGACACCCCCGAGAAGCTCAAGGCCAACGACAAGAGCGCTCTCGGCACTCTGGGCAGCCTCTTTTCCAAAAATCCCACCGTGGCCGCCAAGGTCGACGAGGCGGACAAGAAATAGGAGCCGTAGGCCGGCCTCCTGCAGCTTGACATGACACACAAATTGTACACTATTGATAGGCTGGAATCGGGCCAGTCCAAAGGGCAGAAGAGGGGTCGTTAGACAAATCCAGCAATAGCTCAACTCAAATCACCGACAAGAGGCAATATGCGTCCACATCCGGCCAGCAGATGTGCGATGAAGAAGAAGCAACTCATCGTCCCTCGTCTCTCGTCCTTCGTCCCCTGTCCCTCACTCCTCACCCTCTCACGCCATGCTTCCGCCGCTCCGGTTCTGGCCGATGAGTCCGGCCATCTCCAGCAGCTGTCGGTCGGCCTCCATGTCGCCGGTCCCCAGGTTGATGCGCCGACGCGCCTCGGCCTCGCGGGCTTCCCACGCCCAGCGCTCTGCCTGCGCCTTGGCCTCGCCGTCGCCACCGCAGCCCCACACCTCGAGCGCGTCGATGGCAAACCTCTCCTGGAAGTCAAACAGCCGCGCCACGCTGGCGTGAAAGGCGCCACCGCCGCCCGCATGCGTCATCACGCCGAACTCGAAGCCAGCGTCGATCAGCAGCGAGAGTGGTCCTTGTGCCATCAGCTGATGCTGCTGCTGTGACGACACCTTTTGCTTCTGCATCGCCTTGGCCGCTGCTCCCGACGGTGCCGGACAGCCAAACGCAATCCCGCCGGCATGCTGGTTCGCTGCCGTTGGCTTCACAAATGTCGCGTAGTCGTGGTTCAGCGTCGATGCTGCGAAGACGTCGTGCACTGGCGCCAGTTGGAACAGCATGCAGTCGCTGTCGCCAAAGCAATCACGGTTCGTCAGCCGCCACGGCTGGCTGATGTACGCCCCAAACACCACCGTGTCATCATCCGCCTCGCCATCTGCCGTTCCGCCTCTTGCGCTTCCGGCCGGCAGCCGTCGCGGCGGCAGCGCAGCTGCAAACGCTGCCTCCTGGTTGCCACGCGGCACGCTACCCACCCGTGTGCCCCGGACCAGCAAGATCGTCGGGGCGCGCCAGTTGAACACCTTGGACTCAAACGACCCCATTGAGAATCCATCGTTATCGCCCGAGTACAGCAACCGCAGCCGGTGGAAGAGCGATGCGCCCGGGAGGAAAAACGACAGCTGCGACAGCACGCTGAGATCCAGGATCATGTCATCCGACTCTCGCAGCAGAAGCGGTGGCGCCGGTGGTGGCGGTGCTGGCTGTGCAGACACAGCTGTGTTCACACCCGGCTTGGAAAAGTCGAGGTTCTTGGAGAAGAGAAAGTGCTCAAAGAGCGCGTTGAAACCGTTGAACAGGTACGGGAAGCACACAGGAACGATGGCGTCAAAGTGTGGAAACCGGATGCCAGGCGACGTCTCGACGTTGAGAAATGTCGCCAGCACACACTCGGCTGTTGCTCGCAGACTCTCGAGTGCATTTCCCGAGACGCGGTCAACGTGCCTGGAAAGCTGCTCCTGGGGTGCCAGAGGTGCCACGAGAAGGAGCAGCAGCACCAGCTTTCTGAAGTTGTCTGCGGGGATGCGCGCGTCATGGAGCGCACTGTTCTTGCTCTTCGGCCTAGACACGTGTGCCGGTTTGGCCGTTGGTCGAGGGTTGGTATAGTCGAGCGTGCTGAGGGCTGCTAGGACGAGGTCATCGTCGTCCTCGTAGTCGTCCTCGTCGTCGTGTCCGTCTCCATGACCATCGACATTGACATCACCATCGCCATCGCTATAGTCTTCGTCTTCAACGGCCGCATCGATGGCAAAGCCCCGACTCGACCCTCCTGGAACAGACGTCTCCTGCTGCCGGCCAGCTTCCATCTTGCCAGCCTTGTCAGCCTTGTCTGGATCGGAAAAGAGCACGCGGTCGTGCACGGCGAGGCTGCGGAACAACAGACTGCGCCGGTCGCTAGCACCGTGTACCAGGACGCGCCGATAGCGGTCGGTCAGGAGAGTGACGACAATGACCAGCTGCTCGAGTCCCAGGACAACAGGTGCATCAGCTAGAAAAGGAAACGCGCCCAGACACGAGACCATGTGGAAGACGACTGGCGACGCGTGCAGGATGTCTGGTATCTCCAGGAAGCGCGCCATGGTGTCCTCCCTCAGGTAGCGCACGTCCTGCTGGCGGTCTGCGAGGCTCCTGAAGTTGTCCTTGAGGGAGTACAGTTCGAGGGGCGAAAAGCATTTCTCAGCGAAGCGATTGGCCTAAGCGAGTCAGTATGTCTGTCCAGGTATCGTGTCGATGCCCGAGCGCAAGACAAGGGCCACCTACCAGCTCCCTGACGAGCTGCTCGTGCGATCGCGACTCCTGGGACACAGCCGACTGGCCCTGGCCCATGATGGCGTCTCTGCGTGTCTGGCAAGACGTAGAATGAAGGGATCAATAAGCCAGTATTCACCACAACAGCTGCCGTGCGAAACATGGAACTCAAGAAGCCGGGTGCATTCGATAAAGTTCAAGTATCATGGCGGGTTGGGTGTGTCGCCAGGACAGCAGATAGCCAGGGGACAATGTCGTCGTGATGGGTAGCAAAAGATGATATGTTGTACAGAGTACTCCGTATTTCCTCTTCCGTAAGCCAAGCAGCTGTCTATATTGGGGACATTACCGTAATAATCATACTCCGTATCTCAGCTTATGTGGGGCCAAGATATGGTTTTAAGTGGGGTACAGAGCTTGGGAAGGCGCGCCACAGTCTCCGCCACGAAAGCGTTGCACGCGATCAGACGAAGATTCCACCTCTTTGCTGCCTGCAACAGGTCCAAGAACGCATTGTCTTCGTCTTGGTGACCGTGTCGTCAACGTGGCTTGCAGACACTGGCATCAGGTAAGTTACTTCTATGGCGGAAAGAACCACAACAATAGCATGCCGCAGTGATGACAGAAAGAGCCTAGAGACGCAATCCTGCTGTTCCACAGGAGGAAGCCGAGTCGTTCACGACTAAGGTTTCGCCATTCGGGACAGCGCGTCTGTGACGGTTTTAAATTACTTGATCTAATCTGACGCGGACATGCTTTGGACTGGTTCTTCTTCCAGGTGGCAAGAACGCGCTTTTTCACGATTCTCAGCTTGCTAATCGCTGCAATGTCTAGCAGGCCGCTGTGCTCCCCAAAAACCGCGACACCTGCGACGAGATAAAAACGACCAAGACGGGGATTAGGCCGAGGCTGCCAGGTGGAGCAGGAGGCTGAAGACAGGCGTTTCATCGGCTGTGGCCCGTCTTCTGCTATCACCTTCCGTCCACGAAGAGTTGGCCAATGTCCGAAGGCGTCGTAGGTTGTGGATGATCCAAAGACCACGGAAGCCGGCCTGGAACGTATTAGTCAGCATACACTGTGCAGACAACTCCCTGGTGCTCACGCCATTGTAGAGGCGAGTGGCGTGCTTCGGAGTCGAAACTCTGCCGGCAGACAGTACTCGGCTGCAACGGCCAGAGGCAGTCGAGCAGGGAGAGCTCCGTTGCTATGTGGTAGCGAATGACAATTGATGACTTCGGACTCGATCTGACAGCGTTTGTTCTGTCAGAAGCACGCCAACTTCAAAATGAGAGGGGCATCTATTTCAAGTATCCCTACTACCTTCTACCTTCTACCATGATCTACTTTGCATGCTGCTGCAGAATCTCCTGCTCCATCTTCTCAAACGCCTTCAAGACGTCGCCGTACTGCGCAAACGGCTCTGCCAAGTAACCCGGGCCGACCTTCTCGATGGCGCCTTCGGGCTTCCAGCGCCGGCCGATCAGATCGTCAAACGTCTCGTTCTCCGCCCGCTCCATCGCCCACAGCGCCTTGTACGCGCCACCCAGCGCACACGCATTGCCGCCGACGTCCAGCCGGTATACGCCCTCGGTGCCGCCCAGCACCTCGCCCAGCACGCGGGCGATGGCTGGGTTGAGCGAGCCGCCGCCGACGAGGTAGATGCGACGCGGTTGCGCTGGCAGCTTCGGCACTGCTGTAGTGGTGGCCATGGACGAGCCCGGGACATCGTGCACGAGTGCCTGCGACCGCAGCCGCATCGACAGTGCCTGGGATTCAACAATGACGCGAGCGTCCTGCACAGGACTCCAGCCGACATCCTTCGGGTCAGACACCGGCAACAGGTCGCCGCCATCGGCACGGCCACAGCTGTACCGCCACGTGCCAGCAGGGATGTTGGGGACGATCTCGTTGAGGTAAAAGTAGAGGCCCAAATGGGCGCGGTCAGGGTCGCTGCCGAGGACGGGCGTGTCGAGGACGGCCTTGTTGAAGGTAGCCCACACATCGCTGTCGTCTTTGGCGGGCGGCAGAGCGTCGCGCACCTTTTCGCGGGCCAGACCGCCGTTCTTGTAGCAGAGCATGAACATGTACTGGCCGGGCGTGGTCGGGTGGTTGAAAAAGTGGTAGCTCGGATCGGGCTTGTAGTGCGGCGTAACCATGAGGAAGGTTGTTGAGGTTCCGAGGCTGACGATGGCGTCGAGCGGCCGCAGCGGCAGAGCCAGGATGGTGGCCGGGTTGTCGCCGGTGAAGGGGGCGATCTGGCAGTCGGCGGGGAGGCCGTAGCGCTGCACAAAGTAGCTGGAGACTGCACCCATGCTGCCACCACCGTCAATGCGCACGTCGCCAAGCCGTGAGCGCAGACCCTCGCCGTCGGCTTTGGTGCCACCACCGGCGAGCTCTAGCAGCGGCTGTGACCAGGCCTGGTTCTGCATATCCCAGAGGTCCATGCCGCAGACGTCGCTGACGTCCAGTGGCGCCAGGGCGCCCATCAGCACCGACGCCACAAACGATGACACGAGCGAGATACGGGTGGTGGCCGCATAAACGTCCGGCCAGTGCCGGCGAATCCGCATGATCTGCGGACCTGTGAACCGGTGATGTGCCGCGCTGCCCGTGGCCGAGGCCAGACCGTGTGCTCCGCCCGGCAGTCGCCCGTCAAACTCATCGCACTCGGCCTGTGTACTCTGGTCCTGCCAGTTAGGCGCCCACGGCCGCGAGAACGCCTCGGTGAGCTGCTCGGCCAGCGCCGTGTCCGGTCGGTCTGCCAGCCCCGCCAGTTGCTTTGCTGCACCCGCTGCCCAGTACACGCTGCCGTGCTGCTGGCATGAACCGCTGATGGCGCGGATCCGCGATACCACCGATGTGTTGGCCGTGGCCGTCTTCAGGCGGGCTAGCACCAAGTCGATGGCCTCGAGAAAGAGGGCCACTGGCGCGTACACCTCGCCTTCGGCCTCGTTGGTCAGCACGCCCTTGGTCAGGCCATACTTGGCGCCAAAGTCCTTGTCAAAATCGACTTTGACCTGGGCGACGACGCTGAGGTCAGACGCGACCACGATCGCTGTAGATGTGTGAGCATGAAGAGACTTGTCGAGGGGAAAGGGTCGACAGAAAAAGCGCAGAACGGAAAGAGCAGGGAGAAAGAGGGGAGGAAAGAGAGCAAGAGCAAAGGACAGAGAAGAGGAAAGAGCAAACAGCAAAGTGATCAGCAAAGAACACGAACGACAACGTACCCTTAAGCTGCTGTGTGGAAAGGTCGAGCCCGAGATACAGAGGTCCGTCGGATGTAGCCATTCTTTGAAGCGTGTCTGTGATTCAAGGCAGAAAAATTGCACAATAGGCTAGCTGCTGTTTGAAGCGTGTTTGCGACTTCCAAATGAACGGTCTCAATGCTATCGTGTTGAAGCCCGGCCGCTTCTTCGTCAATATAGGCTAAATGGCTAAAGCTTGCGTTTTAAGGCTTGGCTTGGCCCACGAGCCGTATTGAGCTCACCACAAGCGCGCATATTTAAAACATCGTGGGCCACCCCACGCTCTTCCGAACTGGCCAGGAAGCCCCGGTTTAGCGGGGTGGCCACCCTGCTGGCCGTTACTGCATCAGGCTTAACCCTGCCGAACTACGACGTAAGCTACGTTGCCGATCCCAAACCTGAAAGGACGCAGCTTCGTGTACAGTAGGAGGAAATGCCCACTTTCCTATGCATCATTCTTTTCTATTTGTCACCAGAGATAAATCCAAGCGCTTCTCCCTTCCGTTTTGTGGTGCGTACTGTATCTTACATCTGAAGCCAAAGAACTCCGCCATATAGTCTATCAATGCTTCTTGTGTCCATTTCCGTTTGACGTCCCATTGGCCGCTCCGTTGCTGTGATCATGGCCGTGATCATCGTGTCCATGACCGTGGTCATGATCGTGCTCTTCCGGCTCCGGGCTCTCACGGGGGCTGATGCCGTTCGCCATGAAGTCGTCAAACTTGGCCGTGGTCTCATCCAGCTTCACAAACCGGACCCGCAGCCGCCTGACTCCTCGCACCGAACCACCCACCTGAGCCCGCACTGCCTCCTCAATTGCCCGTGTTGTGTCGACCGTCCAATCGCCCGGTACGGCCATCTCAATGTCCACCAGGTAGTTCGGTCCTGACTTGACCCCGGACACGTCGCGAACCTCCACCAAGTGCAGCTGGCCGTCCGGCACTGCAGTCTGGTCTGCTAGCGACTGGGTGATCTGTTTCCGTACCGACCGCTTGACGTCTTCGTCGATGCTACGGTCGGCAAGCTCGTACAGCGCCGACGCCGTGTTCTCCCAGCCAGCACGAATCACCATAAGCGAGATCAGCAGCCCACCGACCGGGTCTAACCAGGCGGCGTCATGGATGAAGTTGGCGCCCAGAATGACGGCCAGAGTTACAATGCCCGTGAGGCTGTCGACGCGGTGGTGCACGGCATTCGAGGCAAGCACAGACGATTTCCGTTCACGGGCAACTTTCATGGCTGATGGGGTCAGTAAGTCAAGAAAAAGGGGTAGAGGTGTGGGGGGGAAGGGAGAGAAAGGGTTAATGCATACTCGCTCGATATAGCCATTCCTTGACCAAGACCGTACCGGCAGCCAGCCAGGCGGCATGCAGACTGGGACCACCGCCGTCGCTGTGCATGTGGCCGTGGCCGTGGCTGTGGCCATGGGAATGGGCGTGGGCGAGGACCTCAGCAGCTGCGGCCGGATCCAGCCAGAGATGTGCATAGAGAGACTGGGAGCTGCTCATGCACATGAACAGACCGGCGCCGAGAAGCATGCCGGACACACCGAGCGAGCCAAGACTCTCGACCTTGCCGAAGCCGGTGGGAAAGCGATCGGTCGGCGGTCGGAGGCTCCACGAGACCGTGGCCAGGGTGAGGACATCCGAAGCTAGATCAGTCATGCTGTGCCAAGCGTCAGCCAGCATGGACTGCGAGTTGAAAAAGTAGCCGCCGGCGCCCTTGACAAAGGCCATGCCGAGATTGGAGTAGAGGCCGATGCGCGTGATGCGGACGCCGGCGTCCTTCTTGTTTTGCGACGTGAGGTAGACATTGTCGTGGTGATGGTGATGATGGCCGAGGCCGAGGCCGTGCGAGTGGCTGTGGGCTTGGGAATGGGATTCGGTGTGCGAATCGTCACTGCGCGTGCGGACGTGCGAGGCAGCCATGATGGCGGGCAGCCAGCGGGCGAGCTTGCGGCGGTGTTTTCGAGAGGGTGGCGACCAGGACTGCGACGCGTCGAATCGGTCGTGTTGGTACTGGTGCAGCTTCGGGGACGATGAGGTTGAAAAGGGGAGTTGCGCGAGAGTGGAGAGGGAGGGTGAAAGCAGCAACGGCGTTGGAGAGCTAAATACCAGGGGCGACGACGACAAGGATGCGTGAAGATGACGTGTTGACTGTCGTGGCGACTGCTGCAGTCGTATTTGCGGTAGAGGTGGCTTGATGAATAAGGACTGCTGGCTGACGTGGAGGAAAGAATAGAAGCGGCTGCCGTGGTGGATCAAGCGGGAATGCGAGTGGCCACAGCGCCGGCTGGCAGCTGTTTCAGCGCTGGCGCCAGGGGCTGCACCGAGGAGGCCAGCCGCACAGCACGAGTGGCAAAGGCGCAGCGGACGTCCGCCCAAGGGACAGCGCCAACGCAGTTGTAGAGGCATGGGCGAGGGAGTGCGCGGCGTGTTGGACGAGCGGCGTGGCGCAGCGAAAGGACGGCGGGAGGGGAAAGAAAAAGACCACGAAAAGACCACGAAAAAAGAACAAGAAAAAAGAATAGGAAAAAAAGAAAAAGGAAAAAGGAAAAAAAAAAGATATAGAAAGCCCGGGTAGACAAGAGAGGGAACGGGAGAGAGAGCAAAGGAATGAACGACAGCCAACAGGCAGACGAGACGAAAAGCAGAATTCAATCAGTCTCCCTTTTTGCTGCTCGACTTGTTTGACCCCAATGGCTTACGACGCAAGGATGTGTCTTGGGGGAAACTCTGCGCCTGCTAAGAGACACACGGAGTACGTCGTAGCACGATCAACGAGGCCGGAGCTCTGTCGCAGGCTGCCCACCAACCACTGAGCCGGAAGGCAATGCCGCCAACACCAGTGGGCGCCACTTTGCAGCCCAGCCAGGTCCGATACAGGCCAGGCGGAAGGAGCCTATCCGCGTCGTTCGATTGCTGCTGCCAATACAGTCATACTCCATAGTCCGTACTTGCTGCCGCCGCTGTGAGCGGGGTCATGATGACATGCACCGTTATGTAATCGATTATATAATACATTACATAATCACGTCAAAGACTTCATGGCCTTGCTCGCTGATAAGCTGGATACAGATGTAGCATGACGTTTCGTGAGACTCGTGCAACTCTATCTCTACTGATCTCTACTGGACAGCAGCCGATCGAGCTGCCGCAACCGTGCCTCTTCGGTCGAGACAACAGCCAGCCGGCCACCCCACAGCCCAATGGTCCTGCGCAAGCCGCTGTTGCGCATCCCCTTCACCGACGTCCTGCCAGCGCCGCACATCCTCCCTCGCCATGCCACGACACCGGCAGCGGCGGTGGCAGCTCTCGGTGCGTTTTTGACGGCGCCACCACCACCAGGCCTGCCGCAGGCCACCGTGGCCATCACGGGCGCCGGCCTCTCGGTGGCCAGCGGGCTGGCCGACTACCGCGGCGCCAACGGGACGTATCGCGTCAACAAGACGTACCGCGCCATCTACCATCACGAGTTCATCGCCAGCCACGAAGCCCGCAAGCGTTACTGGGCCCGCAGCTTCCTCGGCTGGTCCACGCTGCGCAAGGCCGCCCCGAACGCGGCCCACTACGCCGTGCGCGACCTCGGCCGTCTCGGCTACCTGCACGCGGTCGTGACCCAGAACGTCGACTCGTTTCACCGTCTTGCCCACTCGCAGCGCCCGGCCACGGTCGAGCTGCACGGCTACCTTCGCGCCACCGTCTGCACGTCGTGCTTCCGCGAGTTCTCTCGCGACGCCTTCCAAGACGACCTGGCCCGCCTAAATCCTGTCTGGGCCGCCTTTCTGGTCGAGGCCATCGCCTCAGGCGCCCTCCAGCCGGACAAGGCCGAGCAGGCCGACAGTAGCCACAGCAGCCGCAGCAGCCGCGTGTTTCGCAGCATCCGCAGCAACCCCGACGGCGACGTCGACGTGCCGGGCGCCCCGTACACCACCTTCCGTTACCCGGCCTGCCCACATTGTCTCGCACAGCCGCCGATGGCCAAGGATGGCTCCCGACAGGCTGTCGAGGTCGGCAATGACGGCGCCTGGATGCCCCCTCGCAGCGGCGGCCGTGGTGCTGGCATCTTGAAGCCTGCTGTCGTCATGTTCGGCGAGAACATCGCCCCGGCCGTCAAGCACGCTGCCGAGGCCGCCGTCGACCAAGCTGGCCGCTTGTTGGTGCTGGCCACCTCACTCGCCACCTACTCGGCCTGGCGCCTGGCCAAGCGCGCTAGAGACCGCGGCATGCCCATTGCCATTGTCAACATGGGCGGCGTCCGTGGCGAGGAGGCCTTCTTCGACAGCGTCGGCCTCGACCAGGACGGCTCGCAGGGCGTCCGTGTCGAGATGTCGACGGACAGCCTGCTGCCGATGCTCGTAGATGAGCTTCAGAGAACGGCACGCAAGAACAGCCCGGCAGCTTCGGAAGACGACGGTCGCGGCGCTGACTGTTCCGATCCGGCCTTGTTCAGAGACATGCTCTCATAAACCCTTCGGAGACATAGATATAGGGAAAATAGGACAAGAAAAAAGGGGAAACACAAAAATAAAAATTAGAAACAAGGAGATAGAAACACGAGCGGCGATCCATTCCTTCGCCTGTCCTGCCTTTTCGTTCGTCAGGCTCCAGATTCCGGTCGGTTTCAGTAGAAGCTCGTGATTGACGCGCCCTTTGTCGGCGGCACTATGGCGATGGGTTCTGGCGCGGCATTGATGACCGGCTCTTTGCTTGCAGCCTTTTTGTTCTGCTGCCGCTTCGAGACATCGTCGCGCTCAATCTCCCGCAGCGCTGCTTCCCATCCGGCCTCCTGTGACGGATCGTCTGTGCCCAGAACCCGCTCCACGTCCACGTCCTCGCCCTTTTGGACCCGCTCCAGCACCTCCCGCAGCAGTCCGATCTTGACCTCGGACTGGCGCATAAACCCGTCAAAGCCCTTCTTCAGCGAGATCATCTGGATCGACATGGAGCCGATGCACAGGAAGATGGCAATGTAAAACGTCGCCGGATTCCATTCCCTCGACCACCACGGCGTGGCAGCCACCTTGACGACCGACTCGACCGCCTGCGCCTCCGGAGACCGCCGGAGCGGCTTCGGCACGATTGCCTTCCAGAACGACGGCTGCAGCAGCGTCGGAAGCGAGCTGGCGCGTCGAAGTCCCAACAGTTGCTGACTCCTGCATGCTACCGCCTGCGTCGGAACTGCGCGGCGCACCGCTACCGCACGCAGTCCTCGAGCCACTGTGCCGTTCATGGTTGTGCGATTGTCGTTGGCGTGCGTATCGTACAAATTGTCTCGACTGTTAGAATGCGGAAACAGATTCGCGCAAGTTCCAAAAATTTCGAGCGTGGGGTTCACTGTTGCTGGGTCAACACTAGGCTAGTATTTTTCCGCCCAGGGAAACAACGAATTGACACCTGCCAAAAGTTGTGTGCCTCCGCTGATATACGCCGCTTGCTAATGAGCGTCAGCCTCGTTTTGCACAGCCCTTGTTCTGCCACATCTTGAACTTTTTCTTAATGCATTTGCCCTTTATACCATACATTTTGGCTGTTTTGCGGAGCTGTTCATAGACCGGTTCGGCAATGTTATGATTATCGGGATCAGAATCCATTCATGAATGACCTTCCAGCGCTCTCTTTCTCCCCTGCCTCTCGACTCTGACCCTCTGTATTCTTTCTTCAGCCACCCTCTTTGCTCTCTTGCTGCCTCTTTCCCGCATGGCTTCCTTACAGCAGCAGGCCGACGCGATCCGTACGGCTGTCGCCTCGTGCTCAACCTGCACACCTGCCACCGTTGTCTCCCTCAAGTCCCTCCTTCTCCCACCAACAGAATCCGACCTAAAACCGATCTCATCTTCGGCAAGGACGACATCACGAGCCGCACAATCGCGACCAAACACGGCCAGCGGCCCCTCCAGGCCCGGCACTGCCGCGGCAAAACGACGGCCGGCTGCACGGCCAGCCGACGAGACACGTGCCGAGCAGCTCGCGCCCAAGGAAAAGGCCCAGCTCGCCACTCATGTCGTCAATGCCACGCTGAAAGCCCTCACCGAAGCCTCGAAGCCGCGAACACCACCGACGCCAGCGCCAAAGCCAGCCGCAGCCGGCGACGACGATGCTGCACCGCCCAAGACTGCCATAACCGGACGGTTACGAAGGTCCATGTCCGCACCCTTGATACCACTGCAGCCGCGTGCTTTCAACCGCGTCGTGACCTCGCCGACAAAGTCGTCCCTCACAGCCGCACAGCCGAACGCATCCGCGAACAGCCACGGACCCTATCTCGCCACGGTCGAGTGCGCCCGCGTCGCCTTTCTGACGCTGCGGACGGTGCAGGATGCCGGCCAGGTCACGTTGCCCGACCTCCAGCTCGAGGCTGGCATGTCTTCGTTTGTCGCCAAGCTCATCGGCTTGGGGATGCTGGACCAGGCCTGCCGTGAGCTGCGTGTCCTCAAAGGCCGTCTCACCGGACGTCTGGAGGAACGGTCTTCGCGCACTACATCAAGATCGGCCGTGACTACATCGAATGCGACGAAAACCACCAGGCCGAGGGAAACGAAAGAGACGTCTGCTGTTGCTGCTACTTCAGAGTCGCCAAGCGACCTTTTAGACTATGGGGATGTGGCGGGAACCACCACCCCCGCTCTGCGTCTGGTTGTGGCTTCGCAGCTGCAGGCCCTCCGTATACTCGTTGCCCTGAAGAAGCCGTCGCACGTGGACGCCTCACTCATTTTCCTACGGCGTAGCTCCAGATCCTCGGCTCTACACACCGTGCTGCGCTGCGTCAAGGCGGAGGCAACACTTCCGGCCGAGCAGCAGAAGGCATTGCGACAACTCGAGACGCTTTCCCAGCTGCTCTTGGCTCTGACACCCAGCATCGCCAGCAAAGACGACTCGTCCGCCCTGGAACCGAAGCTCAGCATCGCACCATCTGCTGCATTGGAGCTCCAGGTACTCAGTCTGGAGGCAAGACTGTGCCATTGGAGGCTCTCGGCGCAAGCAAAGCATGATGCAGACAAAGACATCGTGTCGCCGTTCGCCCGGTGCCTGTCGACCTACGCTCGACGATGTCGCTCAGCAGGCAAGCTGTCGTACTCGTTCTGTCGGCGGTGCTTCGACCATGCCGAAGAGCTCTTGGCCACCGACAAACACACCATCTCGAGAACGTCCAAGTCTCCGCTGGCAAGCATCTACCAGACCCTCAGTGCGACAGCACGCGAGACCGGCCATCTGGACGACGCCATCCACTGGGCTTCAGAATATCGTGGCCTTCTGACTGCCAGCGAGGATTCGGCCGCTCGGCGCTGCTCGGCTGCAGCACTGCTGCTTTCTCTGCAGCTGAAAAAGCCCGAGGCACATCTGCAAAGCAGCCATGCACTATTAACCGACGTTCTCGAGTCCGTCAAAGGATCGCTGAAGGGCGATACTGTCGAGCTGGAGGAGCTGCTTGTGAATGTGTGTCTGGTCCGGAAGGCGGCTATGAATCTGCTGATCAGCCAAGGCAAGAAGGACACTGGCGACAGCAGTACTAACATCGTGCCTGAGTCAACTCAGCGGCTGATGGAGACGTTCATCCACCAGTGCCCTCGGTTCTGTCTCCGATGGCTCGGCAAGCCTCCGGCGGCTAAGAGCTGCACCAAAGACTTTCTGCGATACGAGCAGCGCCGACAGCTTCTTTCACAATCGATTCGCCCGACGCTGGACTCGGCTTTTGTCGTCACCAAGACGATGATTGAGGAAAGCCGCATGGTCTGGGACCAATTGGACGCCGTGCTCGGCGACTCTCTGACCGTCCTCGAGTACCTAGGCGACCTCAAATCCACGGCCGACGCAGCCTCGTCTTATTACGTCAAGATCTCCCATTTCTACTACCTCAACTACAACGCCCTGCGCAAAGCAAAAGAGTCGGAGCTGGATGCCCTCAAGGCGCTTCGGAGAGCGGTCGACTGTGTCAAGCACCGGTCTGCTGCCGAGAAGGAAAGGGCACATCTCATTCCCAAACTCGAGCGGCTGGGAGATATGTGCAAGTCCACGGGTCAAATTGGTGAGGGCCTAGGCGCCTTTCAGTCGATTCGATCGTCTCTGGTAGACGACGGGGTCCTGGCTCAGACGGTAACGTTGCTGAAAACCCAGCCCCCCAGCCTTGCTTGGACGGCCAACAGTCAGGTCGAGACGCTGTCGCGTGCGCTCATCACTATTTCTCGACTGGAGCAGGTGCAGATGGACTGGACGGGCGGCCTGGAGGAAGAAGAGCGAGCAGCCGTGCTGGAGCATGAGCTGCACTTCATCTGTCTCGGCGGCAGCAGCTCCAAGAGCTCTTCGCAGCGGATCACCCTGACACAGCCCTGTGTCGAATCCCTCCTTCGAATCTACTACCCCACGCGCTTTCCAATTCGAAGGCTGCGGACTCTCCTCCGACTCGTCTCGGTCAACATCGACACGCCAGAGGTGCTGGCGGACATCCAGCCCCAGCTGACAGCCGTCCTGGGCCTTGTCAGCGGTCAGGGTCTAGGAGACGATGAAACACTCGCGGGCTACTTGCCTCATTACCAAGCACTAGCCAACTCCCTGTCCGGCTTTGGGGAGGGCTACTCTGACGTTCCAGGACTGGAGTCGTGTCTCGCAACGTGGAGGTCTCTCCTGGCTTCTAGGCCGACAAGGGCAGACCTAGAGCAGGTGATCGACAGCATCTCGGACCTCCAAATGCACCTGCAATCCGTTGCTGAGTTCATGCGTGCGATGGGCCGGGACGCCATTCTCACCCAAGTACTGGAACTGTCTTCACGTCTCTGCAGCATTTCATCCGACGGGTACCGGCGCCTCCAGATATCCAATGACACCTTGCTAGCATCGCACTACGTCCGCATAGGGGAGAGCCTGAAGGCAGAGCAGATCCTAGGGAGTGTCAGCAGCCATATCGAACAGGGGTCCCAGGCACCCGAACTGGTAGAAACGGTGGCAAACTTCCACCTGTCCTTCGCCGAATACCTGATTGCCGTGGGCCGTCTCGACGAAGCGTGGGTTACTCTGTAGGCTGATGGGGAGAGGTCCGGACGAGAGCTAACTGCCGTTTCATCATGCAGACACCATCACTTGGTAGAGGTTAAGCCGTCTGCGGCCGACGCAACGACAAAGTCTGACGGGCCACACAGAAGAACAAGAATACTCGGGGCCCGTGCCTCGATGTTGCAGTCGATTCTTGCGTTGGAGAGAGGGGACGCGGATCTGGCTTTGCAAAGCGCAAGAAGTGGCGTCCGCATGCTATTTCACGATTGGAGCCGGTTAGAGAAGGCGATGCTGCTGAAGAACGAGGACGGAAGCGTGAACATGTCGGTGGCATCCGAAGACGTGTCGACCGTTTCTGTCACAGGATCGCGAACAGCTGCATCGCCCGAGTTTTGGACGCTCTTCCACCCACTGTTCGATGGCATGATGCGTCTTTCGTCCATCTATGCCCACCTCGGCATGTTCCAGGAGACGGTCTACTATGCCGAGCAAGCACAGAAGATAGCGACGGCAACGAACGGCGCTCTGTGCTTGGCCCAGTCTGAGGCCTGGCTGAGCAGCGTCTGGCTCCGAGCCAGCAAGCCAGACCGGTCTTCGGAGCTGGCTGCCGTCGCACGTTCTCGGATGGCTAAGATCGACCAGACTGGCCGAAAGGCAGCGTTGGCCTGCGAGCTCGGCGGCTTGTTCCGCGAGATCAAGGACGAAGAAGGGGAGACGGAGATGATCCGACTGGCCGAGGCCATCATCGAGCACATGTCTGATGGCTCTGGCACAGCCGCGATGCCAGAGGCAGACGTGGTGGTAGGGAAGACGACCAGGGCGACGACAGCACGAAGGGCAAAGACAGCCGTGGCCACGAAACCGGCGACAGCCACCAGCCGCCGCAAGGCGGCAGCGAAGTCAACGAAGAAGGCAGTCGACGCGCCAGCGCCTGTTCCTGCCGTCGGGGCCGTGGCCGAAAATGCAGCAGTGGTGGGACTCCGAGATGCAGTGCTGCTGAACCAGGCCATGTCGCTCTTGAACAACAAGGACTGGTCAGCGGCATTGGCGATTCTGCAGGCATCATCAGCAGGATCGGATGTCTGCACTCTGCCCAAGACGCGGGCAGAGACACTCGTGGAACAGGTGACGCTTGCGGCTTGTCTGCTGGGCTACAGCACGGAGCAGATGGCACGCGATGCCGTCTTTTCGGTCATTCCGGACTCGACTCTCTCGTTTCCGGCCGTCAGCAGCGGCAGCAGCAGCACGACGACAGCCTCGAAGATGCCGAGTGGTGCGCAGGGGTTCGTGGACAGCCTGCTGGAGGCGCAGAGCCGGCTGATCGAGGCACAGGCCATGGCCGCTATGTCGGGCGATGCCAGCACGCTTCACCGGATCTCGAGCATGCTGCAGAGCGCGGTGATCACGCTCTCGGCCATGTCCTGGAGCACACCACGAGCGGTGAGCGAGCCGGCCTATGCGACCTGCTCGGTGGAGCTGGCCAGGAACATGACGTGGCGGCGAGAACGCAAGGCTCTCCTGGTGGAGAAGGCGTCGACATGGCGCCCCGACGCGATCGAAGAGAGCACGGCAGACAGCCGACGGTGCAGCCTGGGCCTGTCGACGGCAGATATCGGGCGGTTCCAGCGCGACTACATCGACATCATCCCGAAGGAGTGGAGCGTGGTGTCGCTGGCGCTGGCAGAAAACAACCAAGATCTCTGCATCACGAAGCTGCAGGCGGGCTCGAGTCCGTTTGTGCTCCGGCTGCCGCTAGAGAGGGCGGTTTCGCGCGATGCCGACACGGAGGTGTTCAGCTTCCAGCAGGGCCGATCGGAGCTGCTGGAGATCATCGCGGCGACCAATGCCAGCTGCCACGACGCACGAGATATGACGGTGAAGGGGGCCAAGTCGGCGTGGTGGACGGAACGGACAGCCCTAGACGAGCAGCTCCGGGAGCTGCTGGACAACGTGGAGCAGGTCTGGCTGGGAGGCTTTCGCGGCATCTTCTCGCAGCACACGCGACGGGCAGAGCCGTTCGGCCGGTTCCAGCAGACGTTTGAGGGCATTCTCGACAAGCATCTGCCGTCGCGGCGAACTGTCCGCGGAAAACGAGGCGGCAAGGCAGCGGCGAGCCGGTCGAGTCATCGGGTCTCGCTGGACGGACGGACGCTGGACCTGTTTATCGGACTGGGCGATGCCACGGCCGAGGGCTGCGACTTTGACGACGCGCTGAACGACCTGCTGTACTTTGTGGTGGACATTTTGCAGTTCCACGGCGAGCGCAACGCCTACGACGAGATTGACTTTGACTCGATGGTGATCGAGACGTTGGACGGACTCTGCGCGTACCATTCGGCGGTGCGTGAGCTGGACGGCCGCGACGACGGCCGCACGGCCACCGAGGCACATGCACACACGATCCTGGTGCTGGATAAGGCGCTACACGTGTTTCCTTGGGAGGCACTACCGTGTCTGCAAGGCTCAGCCGTGTCGCGGATTCCGTCGCTAGCCTGTCTGCGACAGCTGCTGGACGGACGGACGGAGAAGTCAGCTGCCAGCGGACACTATGCGTCAGCTTCTGCCGGGGCGTACATGCTGAACCCGTCGGGCGATCTGGCATCGACACAGGGAACGTTTGACGAGCCGCTGTCGGCGAGCGTGCGTGGATCGTGGACGCGGATCGTGGGCCGAGCACCGACGGAGGACGAGTTCGAGGCGGTGCTGCGCGACAAGGACGTGCTGCTGTACTTTGGACACGGCAGCGGCGCGCAGTACATTCGCGGCCGGACAGTGCGCAAGCTGGACCGATGTCGCGCGACAGCGCTGCTGATGGGCTGCAGCTCGGCCGGTCTGGACTACAACGGCGACTTTGAGCTGCACGGCCCCGTGTGGAATTACATGCTGGCCGGCTGTCCGGCCGTTGTGGGCACGCTGTGGGACGTGACCGACCGGGACATTGACCGCTTTGCCGGTCGTGTGTTTGAGGAATGGGGGCTGCTGCCACCCGGCTCGTTTGACAAGGCTGCGACGAAGCCAGCAGCCGCATCCAGGTCACCAGAGGCCGTGTCTCTGGTCGAGGCCATCGTGCGGGCCCGTGAGGCTCCCCGGTTCCGCTATCTGACGGCTGCAGCAGTCTGTGTGTACGGGATTCCGGTATACCTGAGGGAATGAGGATGAGGACAGGCGTTTGGAGAGTTGCATGGTAGTTTCTGGCTAAATACCCATTGCCGTATATATTGGAGCAGATTGGCTGATGGAAGACTGACTCGCAGTCGACGGCCTCCTTTCAGCCGGTGATCCTTATGCGTACTCCGTATGCCTCTCGTATTGCGCAAGTTGCAAACGCACTTGACCCACACCAGCCTTCCGATCAAGGTCACGTGCGTCTATGTAGATGTCTTGGGCATCTTACATAGTATATAGTAAATGTAGTCTGTACTCCGTACTCCGTAGGGAGTACGATACTACTCTGTACATGGTATCCGTACGGAGTACGTCGTCGTACGCTGGTCTCCGATGCGATGCAATGAAACGTCAACCGGTCCTGCCTTTGCCCTACTCATTGGCCGCAGAAAGGGGCAGCCGGCCATTCCGCCCGGAGCGGTCACCTCCGGTTTTTCTCGAGGGCCCACAGCAAGCAGATCGCTGAGCTGAGCGCGTCCTCTTCGTTGCTGTCACCGCAGACGCACGCGAAATGGAAAAACACAGCCCTCTCGGTGCCCGTGCTTCAGCTCGAACCTGGTTGCCAGTCTTGGCACGGATTGGATCGTCGAGCGCTGACTAATCGCTGAACCGAACATGTTCGCCGTACATACTCCGTACGGAGTAGTAATAGCCTACTCGCCAATGGCCTGTGAGCCCCAACACGAAAACGGAGTAGCCTCGCTAGTGAGGGGAACCCCGCCCGCTCACATACGGAGTATCTTATTCCATCTCTCCTCGCCAGCTCTGCCTGCTGCTGGCCGCTATTACTATTACTACATAGCATGTACCCTCTGTCTCGCAACACGGCTCGCTGCTGCTCGCCCTTGGATCGCTCTCGCCTGGGCCTAGCTCGGTCTCTGGCCCCTCGCCTGTTCCCTGTACTCCGTATCTCACGCACAATCTTACTTGTCCTTTTCCTGGGGTAGCGGAAGAGATAGCCGTTGGGGACGGAACGGAATGCCTGCTTGCAGTTTCCCCAAACCTATTCCCCAACCCTGCCTTCCTTCCGCGCGGATCCACTTCCTTCCTCCCCCATACTCAGTAGTCTTTTTTCTGGTAGCGTACTCCGTCCAGAGTCGTTCAGCCGATTTCGACGGTCAATTCTTCTCGATCCAACACCATTCTGCCTATGCTGAGCGTATCATTGGCATCACCCGGGTGCTCTGCTGCAACGTCTGCCTCCTGTGTATCCTTGCCGGCCCACTCCTCTTGTTCTCCTCTGCCTTTTCGCTCCATTCTCCCTTTCTCTGCTTCTGCACTTCGACACGTCTCCGCTGCCTTGCCTCCACGTCTGCCTCTCCCTCTCTCTCTCGCTCTCTCTCTCGAACCAGACACGCAGACTTCCTGCAGCCTCGACACCGCAATCTCGGCCGGCCTCTTCGACCGCTGTTTACCCGCCTGCTGTCCCATCTCCATTTTCGCTTTGCTGGCGTTGATCCACTGCTCCACCAGACGACGCTGCTGCTCTGAATACCCGCTACTTCCAGCTATACCGCTCTGAAAAAAAAACAGCAGTAGCTCTAGTCCAGACCCAGGCTGCTCGCCCAAACGACGCCTTTCGCCCCCCACAGCGATGCATCTCGCTCCTGTTTTCTCGTAAGTCGTCCGGCTGCCTCCGAGAAGGCTGTGGGCTAATCTCACGTCAATCGCGATCCAGAGACGACAACCAATAAAAAGAACCACGCAAACCCAATCGACGAAAGGAGCTACGAATTCAGACGCGCCACATCCCTCCTGCTCCCCTTTTCCCTTTACGCTTTTCCGGACCGCTCCGCGCCCAACCCCGTATTCGATTGTCTCGCCTGCCTCTCGTTGGAGGCCCAACCGTCCTTGTCCGAAGCCTGACCGGCGCCATGATTACTTTCGCCATTGTGCGTCTACAATCTCACTACTGAAATACCAACCGAAACCCCATCGCTGAGTCGAAACAAGATCACGGTTACCCTTGCCGTGACTGGCCGCGACCAGTAGATCCTGCTATACAAACGGGCCCAAGAACAAGAGGAACAAACACCGTGGCTGGTTTTCGAGGCCAGCTTTTGCAACCGGACGTTGAACTTGAACGCTGTGCTGTTTACCGCCAATTTGCTCAGCCATGTCCGCGCTGCAGCACCCGGTGGATGCCGTTGACAGACGACCGGTAACGGGCCCGGAGAGCAAAAACTCTCCGTTGACCGTTGGACCGGGTGCCGGTACTGTGCCGCTGTCAGCTGCTCCCGGTGTGACCGACCTGGACGGGATGATCCTGGATGTGGACCTTGACACCACCGCCGTCCATGCCAAACATGCTTCTGTAGCTGCTAGCACCAGTGCTGCTGTTGGTCTTGGCCCGGTCCAAAAGAGTCGTGTTGGCTCTGACATAAGGCCAGCTGCCACAACAAACATCCCTGACCTATCATTTAGCGGCTATAAAGTTTTACGAGAGGATGACAACAGCCTAGATCTGTTTGGGACACGCTCTTCTCTACCTTCTCCTTCCCAAACCGACGCCGATTGCGATTGCAGTGGTGCCGGCATTGATTCCAAAGGAGTGCCAACTGTCTTGCCCGATGCAAAGACAGTCAAGAATGAAGCTAAATCGGATGGGATGATTGCCTCTACGCTCAACTCATCGAAACTTTCAGCAACAGGTTCTCTACCGCTCCTAGGGGAGGCTGACCGCCTAAGACGAGCGAGCATCGGGGCAGCCGCTTCTGAGGTCGGTAGCCAGGACAGCAACGGTCAGGACGGACCCAATTCGCTCTTCGACGAGCCCATGTCCGACGAGTTCGGGCTGGTTGTGAATGGGCCCATAGACAGCATTGACCTGGGCGGCAGCTCTACCGCCTCCCGACAGCCTCTGTTCGCCAAAGACGACAAGCTGAGCGACATTACGCCAGCATGGAGCGAGCTGAAGACCAAGGCGGGAAAAGAGCGCAAACGCCTGCCGCTGGCTTGCATTGCCTGTCGCCGGAAGAAGATCCGATGCTCGGGCGAGAAGCCGGCATGCAAGCACTGCCTGCGATCGCGCACCCCCTGCGTGTACAAGGTCACCACCCGCAAGGCAACGCCGCGTACCGACTACATGGCCATGCTCGATAAGCGGCTCAAGCGCATGGAGGACCGTATCATCAAGATTGTCCCCAAGACAGAGCAGGATGCTGTCGCCATGTCTTCTTCCGTCGTTCGGGCCATTGTCAAGCCGGCCATTCCCGGGGTCTCGGCATCTGCCACTGCCAGCAGAAATGGAAATGGAAATGGTTCTGGCAGTGCCGCTGCAGGAGTCAAGTCAGCTACAAAGAAGCGGCTGGCTGATGAGGCTTTTGGCACTGAACTCGACCATTGGGCGCGCGCCAGTTCCAAGGGCCGTCCGGCCGATGCTTTGCGGCCACACAACCTTCTCCTGCAGCAAGAGTCTGAAGAAAACAAGCTGCTGCGAGAAGGCGCTGATGCGCTGCCGTCCCATGAGCTTCAGGACCACCTGGCCGAGGTGTACTTTGAGAACATCTACGGCCAGGCTTATCATCTCCTGCACAAGCCAAGCTATATGAGGAAGCTGAAGTAGGTTGCATCCCGTCAGTACGTCTACCATTTCAGACCCGAACTGACCAAACAGGGCCGGAACACTGCCGCCTGTCCTGATACTTTCCGTTTGCGCCGTATCTGCTCGATTTTCCTCGCACCCGAAGCTTGAAAGCGGTCCCAACTTCCTGCGTGGCGAAGAATGGGCATCGCACGCCCGTGATATTGTCATGCGGCGGTACGAGTGGCCAAACATAACGATTCTGACCTGCCTCCTCCTCCTCGGACTCCACGAGTTTGGCACCTGCCATGGTGGCCGCAGCTGGGCGCTCGGCGGTCAGGCCATCCGCATGGCCTTTGCACTGCAGCTGCACAAGGACGTCGAGCAGGATCCGCAGCTCATCACCGGGGCTGCTCCCCTCAGCTTCACCGACCGTGAGATCCGATGCCGCACGATGTGGGCCTGTTTCCTGATGGACCGTTTCAACTCGTCTGGCACGGAACGGCCGACGTTTGTCCGAGAGGAAACGATCAAGATCCAGTTGCCGGTGTCGGAGAAGCACTTTCATCTCGACATGCCGGGAGTGACGGAGAGCCTAGCTGGTCATCCGGTAACTCCACCGTTAGCTGCGGCTGCCAGGGACGACGACGACCTGGCCCCCAACGCAAAGGAAAACATGGGAGTTGCGGCCTACATGATTCGGTCCATCGCTGTTTGGGGGCGGGTCATCAACTACCTCAACCAGGGAGGCAAGGAGCTCGATCCTCAGCCTATGTGGAGCGTCGATTCGGAATACCACAAGCTGGCTATTCAAGCCGACGAAATGCTTTCGACGTTGCCACCGGCGCTCGCCTTTTCCAGCGAGAACCTCCACGTGCACGACACAGACAAGATGGCCAACCAGTTCTTGTTCTTGCATATTGCGATTCAGCAAAACATTCTGTTCCTAAACCGCTTTGCCGTGTCGTCACCCAACAGCATTTCACAGCAGGACATACCCAAGACGTTTGTTACCAAGGCAGGCGCCAAGGCGTTTGCGGCGGCGAACCGCATATCCGAGCTCCTGAAGGAGGCCGAGTCCTACATGGTTTCGGCGCCCTTTGTCGGCTACTGTGCCTTTCTGTCCAGCACGGTACATATCTTTGGCATTTTCTCGGGCAATTCGACGATGGAAGCGACGTCGAAACGTAACCTTGCAACGAATGTCAAGTTTCTGTCCAAGATGAAGCGGTATTGGGGCATGTTTCATTTCATGGCAGAGAACTTGCGTGAGCAGTACCGCACGTGTGCCGATGCCGCGCGCCAGGGTACTCCGGCCCACGAGAACGCGGCGGTGGCGTCGCCGATTTTCCAGTACGGCGACTGGTTTGACCGCTATCCGTATGGTGTGTCGAACTCCGACTTTGTCGACCCGGCGGCGTATCTGAAGAAGGAGAAGGGAGACGATGCGGTGCTGGAGCAGAAACCAGAGCTGCACACGGTCGAGCAGTTTTTCACAAACGTTGGGGCCCCCAACACAGATGGATCTGTTTCCGGCAGCACTACTGCAAATCAAACGACGACGACTGGCAGAAGTGGCGGACACAACAAGCGAAAGTCGTGTTCGCGGAAGGGGGGCGGCTCGATTTCGTCCAGGAGTACGGACCATCAAACTTTGATGGCGGACATGCATTCGTCAGGCACAGATGTGCTTCACCGACAGCGGCAGCAGCAAAATGCGCAGGTGCATAACATCAACCGGCAGGCCAGCCACACATCGATGACTGGCCAGACAAGTGGCGCAGCAGCTGGCTTCATTCCCATGACCATGCCACAGGCCGGTGTCGGCTCATCGTTTATGCCGCCGCTTAGCCCGATCACGATGAGCTCATTCTCGCACCAACAGCAGCAGCTGGCGCAGCTCTACCCATCCGATCTGCTGCCACTCTCTCTGGTGCAGCAGACCAACAGCATGATGCCGGAACTGGATCGGCAGCTTGTCTTTGGTGCTTATGGGAATCTCGACCAGGCTGGCGGGGGGATCGGGGATCAGGCCTCAATAGACGGCTTAGACTGGAATGGATCTGGGAGTGCGGACCAGAGCACCGCACAAGCAGCAGCGAACGGCGAATCTGGCAACGGGCCGACAGATGGCCTAGACGCTTTGGGGCATAGTCATGACGTTTCATCAGCCTGGTTCATGCCCTTCAACATGGACCCACCCGAGCTCGGCCAGGAGTTTGGCGGCATGGCCGGCAGTCTTGACCATCTTGCCAGTATTTTTGGGAGCAGTGTGATGGCCTCTCAGAGTGGTGGCGGTGGGCTCCACCATGATTAGTCAGCACAGAGACCAGACTACGGCATGGCGCACAACAGCACTTTCGTTTTTTTTATATGGCGCCGGAGGCCAACAGACATGGGAGGGTGTACATTTGCATGACTTACGTCCAAGGTGTTCGTGTACCGGCTGGGAGTGGGCGAGGCTACGTCTTCTGGGGAGTATGAGGTATTTCAACCACTTCTTTCATTGCATATACATGACCGGTGTTTCACGGGGATAGGAGACGGACTGGATATAAGTACTTTGTTACCATTGATTCTTTTTTTCGTCTTCTTGGTTATTGTCTTGATACGACCAACATGTGCAAAGTGAGAGATGTCGGTTGTGAGCCACGCCCCTCTAAACGCCTATTCTCTTTGGATATAACCCTCGGTGGAAATGCATTGGGAGTGGCAAGTTCCGCTGGTCCTCTACGCCTCCTGTCCGGCCGTCTTGGCCGATTCTGACTCGGCCTCCGTGCCCTTGCCCTTGCGGCCAGACCGTTTGCGCTTCTTGGCCGGCTTGTCGCTCTCGGGGTTTCCGGTCTTTCCGGTCTTTCCGGTCTTTTCGGTCTTTTCGGTCTTTTCAGACTTGCTCTTGCGCCGGTGGTGATCCGACGCCGAAGCGTCCTTGTCGCCAAGCAGCCGCTCAAAGCCATACGTCGGCCCGGTCAGCTCAAAGTCGTGGCCAAAGGTCTCGCGCCGCCACTGGCGAAGACGGGCCTTCTTGCCCAGCGTCTTGCGGTCCTTGCGCTTGCGCTCCTCGTCGCGAAACGTCGCTAGCTTCTTGAGGCCGGCAAAATCGTTGAGCGCGGCATCGGACGGCGCCAACAGAATGTCCCGCGGCGTCAGCCCAAACGACTGCGGGCTCGTCTCGCGGTAGCGGAAGCCGCTACGACCGCGAGAGCCGGCCAGTGCCGTGGGCGCGTCCAGCTCCATCTGCCGGTCCACAATCGCCTCGAGACGCGCCCGCTCTCGCCGTGCCTGGCGCTTCGCCTCGACACGCTCCTGCTTGCGATCCTTGGTCGTCTTGCGGCGCTTCGATGGCTGTTCGCCGTCGTCATCGTCGTCATCGTCGTTGTCGTCGTCGTTGTCTGCCGCCTCATCCGGACCCTCACCCTCTTCGTCCGAAAGGGTGATCTGCGGCTCGGTGGCTTCAAAGTCGGGAATGATGTCGTTGATGTCAATGTCGTCGTCCCATTGGGGCTTCTTGACCTTGCTCTTGGACTTCTTGGCCTTCTTGGCCTTCTTTTCGCTGTCGCTGCCCTGGTCATCGTCGTCATCGTCACTCTCCAGACCCGCATCTGGCTGAGAGTAGTACGTGTCGCCAAAGTAACTTCGCATCTTGGCCTCCCACCGGTCCGTGTCCCAGGCGTCGTCCAGCAGCTCGGCCCACTCGTCGTCGTTCATCTCTTTGCCCCGCAGTCCGGCGGCCTGCTTGATCTTGGCCAGCTTCTCCTGCGCCTCCTCGAGCCGCAGCTTGCGCAGCCGCGTCCGCTCTTCCTTGCGCTCCCGCTTCTCGGCCGCCTCCTGCTCCTTCTCCTGCTCGCGCTGTCGCTGGCGGCTTGTCTTCTCGTCACGGCGCACCGATCGCTGTGCCACGACCGAGCGCGAATACGACTTGAGCACCTCGTTGCTCTTGGCCGGATCCTCGAACCGCATGTTGTAGGCCGCCTCAAACTCCTCGGCCCGGTCATTCTCGGACTCGTCATCGTCCGACTCAAACGCCCGCCAACCTGGACCCTCGCTCTTGTCCTCAGGCACCCACGCACGCGATGCCATAAAGTTGGATAGAAAGAGCTCTGGGTTCTTGCTCGCGTTCGCAATCTCTTCGCCGCTGATCTTGGCCACCCGACCCGCACGCGACGGATGTATCTTCTCGCTGGCCTGGGACGCCGCTTTGGCCGCCTTGGACGACGCCTTTGGCTTGATGAACGTGTCGACATCGTCATCCGAGCCTGCACCGGCCGCCTTGTCGCCGTTGCTGTCGCTGTCCTCGCCCGCAGCGTTCATCTCGTGGATCAGCGCCTGCTTGACCTCGTCCTGCTCCTGCTGGTATGTCTTCGGCACCGCCTTGACCACTGCCACGTCCTCGTCCTCGTCCCTGTCCTCGGCTCCGATGTCGCCGCGTAGGTACCGCTCCCGATGGTAGTCGCGCAGGAACATGGGCTTCTGCTTGGACTCCGAGGGCCCCGCCTTGGCTGCATCTGCCGCCATCTGGTCGATCTCGGACGGGTCGAAGAACTTGGTCTCGGCGTTGTAGATACGGGGGTCTTTGTTTTTGATCGCCTGGAGCGCCTCCGTCATGCGTGCGTCGAGATCTTCCGTCAGGAGGTAGCCGTCCTCGTCCTCAGACTCATCCGTGGACGAGTCATCCTCCTCGTCATCAGCCCCGAATTTCGCAGCTCCCTTTCCGTACTTTTCTTCCACTGCATTATGAAGACAGCTGTTAGCCAAGGACTCTGCAGTCGGGCACGGAAGGTCACCCCAGACTGCACCTACACTTGTGCATTTCTTCACGCTTCTTGTTGTGCTCGAATCGCCGGGCGTACTCCTCGTTTATTGTGAAGGACGACGTCTTTCCGAGCGACTTGGAAGTGCCGACGTCTTCTGCCTCTTCTTCATCGCCCTCATCGTCAAAAAGTCTCTTCCTAGGATTCTTGCCGGGGGTCGTCGCAAGACCGCTGTCTTTGGCACCTGCCATGGCTTCTGGTTGGCCCGCTTTCTCCTGTGACTCCGAGTCAGACGCCTTGTTTTTACCCGTAAAGGTACTGACAGCACCGAACACGCGGCTGAGAATGGAAGACATGAATAGACGTGGCAGTTTCCGCAAGCCAAATGGTTGGAAACTTTGCAGAGCTCGAAGCAACTTTTTTTTTAGTGGAGCAGCGTGGCTATCGGTGGGTCGACGCAGGTCTGATATCGGATCCGGTGCTACTGTAATTCCGAGGCAGCCCGGTGTCGTTGTACGCTAGACCAGAACCGGGCTGGCTTCCATCCGTGCCGATTACGTTGCTTGCTTCGCCGCCACACTGAGTGGGCAAAGAACATCTTGTGAGCTCTAATCCGCCTGCCTGACATTTGGTATTCCCTCCCAAACGTCCGCTTCTCGCCGGTCTCCACCACCGAACCAAACCTGTCCGAGACGAAGCCTGCACGAGTTGAAGCTTTTCTCCGACGGTGTAGTCCTTCGGAGATTCCCTGCCATTTCCTAGACACTTTTCTTTTCTCAGCGACCGTCCACTGTCGCCTTCCCCCTCCCTCCGACTGAACCGAGCGGAGAGTAATTTGGCAAGATGGCCGATGGAGCACCGAAGCCGAGCAGCAGCGTGAAGCTTGTTCTGCTGGGCGAAGCCGCTGTTGGAAAGGTCAGCCTAGGGTGATATCGCACGGTGCGACTGTGGCTAACTCTGGTGCAGTCTTCGCTGGTCCTGCGATTTGTGAACAATGACTTCCAGGAGAACAAGGAGCCAACGATTGGAGGTGGGTCTCGCTGATGCTTCCGGTGCCTTGCTTTGCCGCGTGGGGGCGCCTCGGTCTTGCTGACAGCTACAGCCGCCTTTCTGACGCAAAAATGCAATCTGCCAACGCGAACGATCAAATTTGAGATATGGGACACGGCCGGCCAGGAACGGTTCGCCTCGCTCGCCCCGATGTACTACCGCAATGCCCAGGCCGCGCTGGTGGTGTACGACCTGACTAAGCCGACGTCCCTGATCAAGGCGAAGCACTGGGTGGCCGAGCTGCAGCGCCAGGCATCACCGGGAATCGTCATCGCACTGGTCGGCAACAAGCTGGATCTGACGGACAGCGGCGGCGCGGCGACGCCAAACCCAGATGCCGAGGCCGGCGACGAAGCCGAGAGCACGGACGCGCGCAAGGTCAGCACGGAAGAGGCCCGGACATATGCGGACGAGGAGAGCCTGCTGTTCTTCGAGACCAGCGCCAAGACCGGCACCAACGTGGCCGAGGTCTTTACGGCAATCGCAAACGCCATTCCGGAGACGTCGCTCAAGAGCGCCCGGGGAGGCGTCGGCGGCGCTGCCGGAGCCGGTGCTCGAGCTGGTGGCGGTACCGACGGCAACCGCGTGAATCTGCACGGCGCGCGGGATCAGGGCGCGAAGGAGGGTTGTGCCTGCTGAGGCTGAGGCTGGCCGAGATGGAGTGCGCGTGCAGGCAAGCGAGGAGCTGGCTTACCGGTCGGTCTCTTCTCCAGCTGCACGGCGGCTGTATTGGTCGAGTGGTTGGAGACGGTGCTATGCGTCTTTTTCCTCGTCTATAAGGCTGTCTTTTTTTGTCGTTATCATATGTTCATGCTTCTCAGCAGCTATTTCACAACATTGCTATTTTTCGAGCTCGCGCCTAACCCATGGCGCCTTGCCCCTGTGCGCACCATAAGGAGGTCGATAAAGTACGAGTACGAGTAGTTTGACGAGGCCCTGGAGTTTCAAGTTGTGCCTGCTTTGTGCCTGCCTTGTGCCTCATTTTGGGACTAAAAGGTGATGCACGGAAGAAGCGGCAAGGCCGTCTCGTACGAGGTACATACTCAATAGCGATAGATAGCGTGTAATACGAAGTACCGATACCGTGTCGTTCCAAACGTATTCTGGCCAGTCGCACTGGGTCTCACCTACCTCATGACATTCTTCCTCTCTCGTGTTGAGGTTCGCGCATTTTGTTTCCAACCCAAGCACGAAAAAAAGACCGCGCCATTCATGACAGCCATCGCCAATCGAACGCTGCTGCGCGTGCATCGCCATTCCCACCGAAACTGACGCACCCGTCGCATCCCGAGGCCACTGCCGGGCGACGGCCGTATTTATTTGTTTCTGCGCGCGCACACACACAGAACAGACAGAAACTCGTTTTCAGCCGTCGCGACAGCCGACCATGAAGACCGCAGGGGTCGTCATTCTCGTCATCGTCCTGCTGCTGGTTGCCGCCGCAGCGGGCTGGGTTCTCTTTACGCGGCTGCGAGCCCAACGACAGGGGGTACGCTGGCTGTTCCTGCTCTCTTCCTTGCTGTCTGTCCGTTTTCTGACCAGGGCCGACGATAGCTCCCGCCGCCGGCGCTCTCTTCGCTCAATCCGTTCTCCTCCACGTCTTCGTACGGCGTGCAGCCGGCGCCGAGCGGGGTGTCCGGCTGGATCAGCGACCGTCTGCGTGGCTTCAAGGCCCGGAACAATCGCACGGCTGCCGGCGCCTATGAGGGCGGCGTGCCGCAGGCCGCTGGCCGCACGCGCAATGGCTTTGGCCCGCTCGATCCGGACGACGCCTGGGACGCGCGCGTCGGCAACGAGGCCGAGGCCTACTACTACAACGAGGAGCAGGAGCTCGGGCTGCAGCCGGCGTATCCGGGCGCTGCCGGCCTCCACAACAGCAGCCGGCTCGACGTGACCAACACGGCTTATCTCGGCAGCGGCGGCCTCGGCGGCTCGACCTACGACATGAACCTGGCCGGGCAAGACCGCGGCCGGTCGCACCCACAGGCCGGCAGAAACCCGTTTGACGACGAGGCTGACGACAGCCATGTGAATCTGCGCGGCGTCAGCCCCCGGCCGATGTCAGACCCGATTACGGCGACGGCCGGCAGCGGTGCCAAAGACAACACCAAAGCCGACAGCCCAACAGAGCGGAGATCCATGTTCCGCGAAAACGTGTAGAGCGAGGACATTGTAGAGGACGACGACATCATGACGGCCGGCTGTGCTTGACGCATCGCCTTTTCTTGGTCTCACGGCTCCTCGTGTCTTGGATTGGAATACTTGTTCTTTTTTTCTTCTTTCTTTCCTTCCTTTCTTCTTCTCTCTTTCTTTCTTCTCTCTTTCTTTCTTCTCTCTTTCTTTCTTCTCTCTTTCTTTTTTCTCTCTTTCTTCTTTCACTACGTCTGGCACTTGTGTGTTGTTTTTCGCTGGAAAGAAAACAGGCTGTCTCCTCACGAGGGACATCTGAAGGTCAAGAGGAGGGACCGGGCGTTTGGGGATATAAAATATGGCTGAACAAGGAGGACTAATGTTACCATATTGATATTTGGACGGCAATGCTGATTTAACCTGCAGCTTCTCCATTTGCAGATCCCCGTGACATCACCAACGGGGGGTATAAGCTTTCGGGCGCCCCTCCCCCACAACCCACAGCAGACAGTCCACTAATTCCCCCACTATGAGTGCTGACAAAGGCCGCGAAGCGTTGCCACGCTTTCCGATACCCGGCGATCACGCAGACCACAAGCAGACACAGGTTCGCACACACACACGCACACACACACAATGGCCGATATCAACCTCCAGGACGTGCACGACACGTTGGTGGCAATCGCCTTTGAGGCTGGGAGCAAGATTCTTGCAGCCGACCCCAACAACATTCCCAAAGGAACGAAGCTGAACTGTGAGGCGCCTTTTACTTCTTTCCCTTCTCTCTTCTGTCAGCACGCTAACAGCCGGCGAAAGCGGTCGACCTCGTGACGGAGGCAGACCAGGCCGTCGAGCGGCTAGTGTCGACGAAGCTGCGGGAAAAGTACCCCGACTTTGACTTTGTCGGCGAAGAAACATATGTGGCTGGCGAGACGCGGGTGACGGATGCGCCGACGTTTGTGGTGGACCCGATCGACGGTACGACCAACTTTGTTCACGGCTTTCCGCACGCATGCATCAGCCTGGGCTTTGCCGTTGGCCGGCAGCCGGCGGTCGGCGTCGTCTACAACCCCTTTCTCGACACGCTGTACTCGGCCGTGCAGGGCGGCGGCGCCTTTATGCAGCGCAACGCCTCGCTGGCCCGCGACGACAGCATCGACAGCAGTCTGCGCAGCCGCATCAGCAGCCGCCAGCAGCTGCCGCTGGTCGGCCGCGGCGACAGTGCTTCCGCGCCGCCGCTGCATGGTCTCGGCACCGCTCTCGTGGCCGTCGAATGGGGCTCCGATCGCCAGGGCGCCAACTTTGACATCAAGGTCGAGACATACCGCCGCCTCGCTGCCGCCACCGAGCCGAACACGCCCAATGCCATGGTCCACAGCCTGCGCTCTCTCGGCTCGGCCGCGCTCAACCTGTGCGCCGTCGCCACCGGCCAGCTCGACGCCTACTGGGAGGGCGGCTGCTACGCCTGGGACGTCTGTGCCGCCTGGTGCATCCTGACCGAGGCTGGCGGCATCATGGCTAGCGGCAATTCCGGCTGCTGGGACCCGGCTCTGGACAGCCGGGTGTATCTGGCCGTGCGTGGCGCGCCAGCAGGTCAGCGGGCCATTGTCGAGGAGCTCTGGGGCGTTCTCGGCGACAGCAAGATCGTGTACAAGCACTAGGCCAACACCCCGGATTGGGATTCTTGGAGAGCGTGCCGTCTTCTGCCGTGTGCAATTGGCTGCTGTCGTGCATTACAGCCGGTCCGATAGCGGCCTGACTCGTATGCGAGATAAGGACTCGTGTCGGTGCGACGATGTGCGTGTGGGCGTATTATGTGCTTCCGTATGCATGCGAGATCATTTGTCATCGATAGGCCTGAAACAGCTGCGAGTCTGGTCCCTGCAGGCGAAAACAGCCGTTGCTGATGGAATGTGGAGACCTCTGCCGATTGCAGGAGCTGGACAGCTCTCCGAATTATTTTCTGTCTCGTTATCAACCAAAGGGCCAGTTAGTGACGTATGTATCTTACGTCGTGACCGACCTTTCCGTGAAACCAAGCCGAGCTCTGCAGAGACAGGAAAGTACGAAGGGCACAAAGGGCCTGCGCATGTCCACTGCGAGCAAAAGTACGAGATGGGGCAGGCATCCATCGTGTTTTGATAGCACTCTGCCGCTGTGTGCTGATTGGACAATTCGTGCAAGTGCCGAGTTGCCCCACTTTTACGGTTGTCGCTTCTGCTTTCTCTCTTTTGTCGAGATGCCAGCAGCGTTTTGCGGAAATGGAGAGGATGGAAGGGAGAAGACATGAAAAGGAAAAAAAAACAGAGAGCTGACCGGAAGCTGGCTGGAGTACTCCGTACTCCGTAGTATGACAGAAAAGCAGCAATGTCGCAGTCCGACGTTTGCGTCCAGCCTGTCTCAGCCTGGTTTTCGCTGGTGTTTATCGTTTTTCTCTTTTTCCTTTTTTCTACAATGAATCTTATCGGGCCAGCAGCTTTCCTGCAAGCAACCACACCAACCACATCAGCCAAGCCTGGTCTCGGCTTCCACCACCGGCTTTGCTCCGTGGTCGAACGGGACATGTCTTGTTCTCTCGATCCGTCCAGGCTCATCCCATCCTCCGATCCCGTCGTTCAAAATATATTGCAATATATTATAGTGTCTTGTTGTCCTCCTCTCTTCTTGCTCTCCTCCTCTCCATGCATCCCCTACTCCACTGCCACCCTATCTAAGTCTCCTTATTCTACCTCCTTTCATCCGTGTCGACAGCCTTGCGATTCCGGCCATTTCCTGGGCAAAGACTTCCCCACAGAATAAAAAGAAGTACTTTCCTGTTTCTCTTAAGCGTATACCCACCGACAGGGAAGCAATGAGCCTAATCAAGCCAAAGCCAAGATGTTCTCGCGATCCTGATGCTTTCCCCATCTTCCAACTGTTCATTCTCGGTAAGAGATCGTACCAAGGGCTGATCGGAGGAGACAACGTATGCTAACTCGATAGCTATTGTCCGCCTTGCGGAGCCCATCGCCCTCACCTCCATCTTCCCATATGCTTGGGCCTTGATCAAGCACTTCCAAATCGGCCAGGAGAGCGATGCATCCTTCTATGCCGGCGTCCTCATATCGGCCTTCTCCCTGGCGGAGGCCATGATGGGAATGTACTGGGGCGGCCTCTCAGACCGAATTGGCCGCAAGCCTGTCCTCCTTGTCGGTTGTGTGGGCACCATGTTCAGCATGATTGCCGTGGGCCTGGCGCCCAACATCTGGGTGGCTCTCGCGGGACGGGCGGCTGGGGGCTTCCTGAACGGCAACATTGGCGTCATCCAGACCATGGTTGGCGAGCTGGTAACGAAACCAGAACATGAGCGTAAGTGTCGACGTATCTCACCTGTCTTCGCGTAGGCTTACGTCAGTTAACACCATGCAGCTCGTGCGTATGCCATCATGCCGTTTGTCTGGAGCATCGGTACCATCATAGGTCCGGCCATCGGCGGCACGTTTTCCGATCCTCGCGCCTCGTTCCCCGGCGTCTTTTCGGAGGGCTGCCTGTTCGACCGATTCCCCTTTCTACTGCCGAACCTGGTGTGTGCTCTGCTGCTTTTCATCAGCATCGTGCTCGGCTACTTCCTCCTCCAGGAGACCCATCCCGACCTGCAGCACAAAGCCGACTGCGCGCCGGCAGACAATATCTTGAGCCCTGTTCTGCAGCACCACCAGCACGATGTTTACATGTCGTTTGAGACACCGCTGCTGGAGACGTCGGACGCGCTGAAGCGACCGGCCGTCGACGTGCGCACGGATATGTACGGAACATTCCAACGGGGCCGTGGCAGCCAGTGGGAGGCCGAAGGAAGCAGCTCGGCCGAATCGTCGACGGTGTGCTCCAGTAGGAGCAGCAGCAGCACCAGCCTCAACAAATACTTTGCGGAAAAGAAGAAGAGGAGCTTGCAGGCGTGTCCACCGGTCAGCATCTTCTCACGCCGAATCATGGCCGTGGTCCTGGCCCTCGCCATCTTTACGTACCACAGCATGGCCTACGACTCGACGCTGCCGGTCTTCTTTGAGGACGACCGGGTGCTACCGTTTCCTGGCAGCGGTGGAAGCGGCGGCGACAACAGCACCCAATTGCCCTCGTTTCCAGCTATGCTCTTCTACTCGCCGGGCGGGCTCGGCCTGTCCCTGCGCAGCGTGGGCATGATCATGGCCGTAGACGGGGCGATTGCGCTGTTCGTGCAGGCGGTGGTGTTCCCGCTAGCTGCAGCGTGGATGGGCGTGTACCAGCTGTTCATCGTTGCGACGGTGCTGCATCCGCTGGCTTACATGCTGTTGCCATGCCTGCTGTACGTGCCGGCCTGTCTGTTGTACCCGGCCATTTATGCGTGCATGGCCGTACGGACGGTGTTTGCCATCATCATCTATCCTCTGCTGCTGATCCTGATCAAAGAGGCGACACCGAGCGCGTCGATTCTAGGCAAGGTCAACGGGTTGGCAGCCAGTGCGGGTGCGGCCTGCCGCATGATTGCGCCGCCCATTGCGGGCTACCTGTATACAGTGGGCAGCCGGATGAACTGCACGGCACTGGTGTGGTACAGCGGCGTGGTGGTGGCGCTGATAGGCGCGGCGCAGTGCTTCAGCGTGGCGAGGCCACGGGACAGGCTGCAGACGGAACCGCAGGCGGATCCGGAAGCAGAGCTTTCCATAGAGTCGGCAGAGGTGGACGAGGATTTTTATAGCATGCGCAGCGAGGATGACTTGTGAGATAATATTGGGCAGAAATGGATTGGTTTGGGCGGTCTTAGTGTGGCGTTTTCAGCAGGACGGACTGAGGGCAAAGCGTTATAGGGAAAAAAGGTACGGCAAGGTGATACTGGTAATGGTAAAGACACGGTAAAGTAAATGATACTGTGAAGCGGTTGACAAAGAATGGTTGCTAGGAGAAGTGGCCTTAGTAATACTGGCAAGTAGGTTGATGGGCTCCAGGAAGGTGCGTTCTTGTCGGATGTAAAAATTTGAGTCGCCTATTCTTAGTCAGTTTTGCTTGAAAGAAAAGGCAGCTAAAACAAGCAAGTATTCGGCACATCAGACTCCAAGTATCTGCAACAAAGACACGATGGTGCAGCTGCAAGAGATAACGGAAGATGTAGCCGAAAAGCTGAGGCTGGGTGAGACCAGCCACGCCAGGGCAAGTGAAAAGACGCAGTCTAGGTCAACGGCAGTCCCAGCATCAGCCCCAGCATCAGTGGCCGGACCTGAGCTGCCACCGGCGATTGCGTTCGCGCATTCACGGACGGCAGACGAGGTGTTGGCGGAGCTGAACAAGTCACCGCTGTTCATGACGAATCTGGAGGACAACGACGACATAGCGGCGCTGCAGGCGCTGGCGTACGAGGGCACGCCGCTGGAGAACGCGGAGGGCTTCAAGGAGCGGGGCAACGAGTGTTTCCGGGAGTCGCTCTGGGCAGACGCGCGCGAGTTCTACGACAAGGGCGTGGCGCTGCTGGTGGCGGAGGACCGGCGACGGGCGCGGGGGGAAGCGCCGGCGAAGCGACAGAGGTCAGAAGAAGAGGAAGAGGTGGAGGTGGAGGAGGCTTCGATGGATCTGAGGGCTGGCGGCGACAGAAAAAAGGAAGAAGAGGAGGAGGCAGATCCAGACTCGCCAGAGCAGCTGCAGGTGCACCGGGCGGTGCTGGAGCAGCTGTACGCGAACCGGGCAGCATGCCAGCTGAGCCTACGCAACTTCCGGGCGTGCACGCTGGACTGCGGCGCGGCTCTGCGGCTGAACGCAGCCAACACGAAGGCTTGGTACCGGAGCGGGCGAGCGTTGCTGGCGCTGGACAAGACGGACGAGGCGGCGGAGGCGTGTCGGGGCGGGCTGGCGGCGGCGCCCGACAACACGGCACTGCAGCGGTTGGCCGTCGAGGTGGCCGCGCGCGCTCAAGTGGTGGCAGAACGACGGCGCCGTGACGAAGAGCGCGAGGCCAATGCGAGACGGCGCGAGGCTCGATTGCGGGCGGCGCTGCGAGCCCGTGGCATCCGCACGCGCACGACGGAGAAGCCGCCCGAGATGGAGGACGCGGCCGTGGCACTGACACAACCCGATGACGACGGCGCGCTCTCGACAGACGTCTCGGCCAGCACGCTCGTCTTTCCGACCGTGCTGCTGTACCCGCTCAGGCTGCAATCGGACTTTGTCAAGGCGTTTGGCGAGCTCGACACGCTGGCAGACCACCTGGCATATGTGCTGCCGCCGCCGTGGGATGGCGTCGAGGGACAAGCAGGAGCATACGGAAGCGCAGCGGCCGTCGACTGCTTCCTCGAGACCATGGCCGGCGGGCTGGTCAAGGTGGGCAAGAAGATGGGGCTAGGCCGGATCCTAGGCCAGGCACAGGTGGAGGTGGTGGATGGGTTGGTGCGGGTGTTTGTGGTGCCACGAGCAGAGTCGGAGGAGTGGGTGAAGGACTTTAAGCAGAAGAGGGCAGTGGAGGGGGAGGGGATGAGGAGGGGAGAGGAGAGGGAGGGGAGGGTGGGAAGAAGAGGGAGAGAATGAGATAGACGACAGAAGAACCACCATAATACAACTTCAATGAAGTACAGCCATCAGAAAGACAAAACGTAAATTCCAATAAATACACTCTACCAATACACAGCCACTCTTTTTGCAAACGCCTTCCTCTATCCATGTCCATTCTATCGTCTCGCCCGTTCACAAAGAGGCCTCCAGCCGTCGCTTCTTGCGCGGCCTTGCCTCTGGTTGCAGCTTCTGCTCGGCTTCCTCGTTATCGCTGCCGCTCATTCGAACCTGTGTGCTAAAGTTGACGAGCAGCTCGGCCGCGACCAAGTCGGTGGCTGTGGTCGTGGCCGTGCTGTCGTCAGAGCTGTCGGAGTCGACACGTCTAGGCGACGACAACGGCAATGGCACGGCCACAAGAATGGGCGGTGACGGGTAGCAGGTCGACGAGGAAAAGGTCTTTCCGTCGTCGTCGTCCATTGCATCCACCGTCAGCTGGCCTCGGGCCAGGGCGGCCACAGCAGCTGCCGCCAGCTCGGACGGTGGCAGAGCAGCCGTCTGGTGTTGTTGGTGTTGTTGTTGTTGTTGTTGCTGCTGCTTCTGCTGCTGCTGTCGAAGCAGAGGTGGCAGCGTGTATGGATGTCTGACCGGGCTGGGCTGAGCTGATCCGGGCGGCGTGGCCTGTGGAGGGCCTGTGGTGATGGTTGTGCGCCTGGCCAGATCGCCATCGCTGCCAGCATCGCTCGAGCTGGGGCTCGACAGGTAGGGGGGCTGGTCGTAGCGGATCGGACGGCCGTGACGGCCGTAGTGATCGTGGCGAACAGCGTCGAGTGTCGGCAGCCGTGGAAGCGCCGGAAAGGGCAGCAGCGGTGGCAGCAGATGAGCGACGGGCGGCAGCCGCTCCAGTCCAGTCGGCAGCGATGCCTGCATGGCGGTCCGGAGGCTGGGCGGTGGTCCAGCTCTGGTCAGCTCGCCTCGTCGGGATCGACGGCCGGTTGAAGGTGGATGTGCTGCTGCTACTGCTGCTGCAGACGAGAGGGTCATCGGCCGGGTCGCCAGCCGCATCCGTTCGGCCTCCCGGGTCGACGCCGAGATGATGGCCGGATCGATCACCATGCGGCCAAAGTCGGACGAGCGCGGCGGAATGCAGGCGGCCGGAAAGTCGGGGCCGAACAGCGGGATCATGGCACCGGCGATGCGGTGGCAAAAGGTCGCGCACACAGCCCGGGCACAGGCGTACGGCATCCAGTAGCCCTGTGCCATGATGGAGCCGCCGGTTATGCTGTGCGTGATCTCGCGCAGGCCGGGATTCATGTTGAGCATCTTGGCGGGCGTTGTCTGGCGCATTTGTTAGTTTTCTTCTTTCTTTCTTTTTTTCTTTTTTTTCTTTCTTTTTTTCTTTCTTTCTTTCTTTTTTTCTTTCTTTTTTTCTTTCTTTCTTTCTTTCTTTCTTTCTTTCTTTCTTTCTTTTTTCTTTTTTCTTTTTTCTTTTTTCTTTTTTCTTTTTTCTTTTTTCTTTTTTTCTTTTTTCTTTTTCTCTTTCCTCTTTTTCTCTTTCCTCTTTTTCTCTTTTCATTTCTTTCTCTCCCCCTCTTTCTCTTCTCCTTTCCACCTACCTTGCTGTAATTGCAGCACTTGAAAAAAGGCGTCATACGAACAAGACCGACATTGTAGTCCCACATGACGTGGTACTCGACATCTTCTCCCGGGACCTTGTATACATACTGAAAGACTGGCCGTAAAAACAATAGTGTCAGCACGAAACCAACAGCACCACATCTACCTCCTGTACGTGCCTTCAAAGCCTTCGCGGCCGGTCTTCTGGTGAAAGTCCTTCTTTCCGCTGGCATACGGAATATGCCGACAATACTCCTCGATTCGGCCAAACGGGAAGACGCGGAAATCTTCCACCGCACGCTTCGCCCTGGCGTCCAGGCCGGACTGGAATGGACGGAAGTAGACGGTGCCCTTTGGCCGCGCCCGCACAAATTCGGTGACTACATGGGCCGGAAGCCGTAGCCGTTGCATCTGTGGCGGCTTTGCGCCCGGGATGGCGTGGCCGGCCGCTGTCATGACCACCCTGTCGCTGTAGTAGGCTGCTGCCGGCGATTGCATGGCGACAGCTGAGCCGGACGTGGATGCTGATGACGACGATAAGGCGGACGGCGATGGCCAGCGCGAAGATGTCTCTGACGACGGCGATTCCGGTCTGCTTGACCCGGCTGGATTCAGCAGTGATGTGATGGACATGGTGTCGTACACGAAGAGTGGAAGCCGGGGGTGGAGAGAAAGACGACAAAAGAAAGCGGAGAGAGAGAGGCGAGAGGGAGATTGAAGAATAGAGTCTAAAGGATAAATGAAAAATGAAAAGTGAAAGCCAGCGAGAGAGAGACGGGGGGGTGGCGGATGATATAGGTCTCTTCTTCAGGCACTAATGCACCGTCTGTTGCGTTGTTTCTTGTCTTTGTCCCTCTCGACCTCGTCTGGTGGCAATGACACACTGCCTGTCGAAGGCAGCCTGCAGCGGTGATGAGGTGAAGGGCGAACGAGGACGGCCTGACAAGCAGACGGCTGAGGAGGAGGTAGAGAAAGACGGCAAAAGACGGAAGACGAGAGGAAAGCCGGCTGGGAGTTGGCGAGAGAGCGAGAGAGCGGATTGGAAGAGGCAGATATATAGTTGCACTCGTGGGGAAAGGAAACGAAAGAATGGAAATAAAAGGCAGCAAAAATGGGCAGCGACTCGCACAGTTGCAAAGTCACTTAAGACCCTTGCAAAAGGCCCTTCGTACCTCTTGTCGACAAGCTGCGAGCCTGTGGTCCACCTGCGTAGCCTACCACGAGGCCCAGTCTCCAGTCTACTTTCTACTTCACCCCCCTTCTCCCCGCTTCCTCACCTTTCCTCACCTCTGCTGTCCTCCGTCTTTTGCCCGAAGTTCTGCCTGCACAGACACCCAGCTGCATAGTGGAAAAGACGGTGTTCTTTCTTGTCCCCCCGCGTCTCTGTCCTGCTGCTGCTGCTGCTGCTTCTGCTGCTGCTGCCAGATATACAACTCTGCATTAGAACAAAAGTACAGAAGCACGGCGGAGAGCCACCATGTCCGGGTGGTCTCGCTACATGTGACGGTGTAGAAGCGGGAAAAGTGGGGGTTTGCTGTCCTGCTATCCTTTGTCTCTTTGGATGCATGTATCTATTCCTTGGCTTCGACCCTCTTTCGGTCTTCTGGAAGACACGCCTGGAAAGACAGGAAATGAGCAGACGCCACGCCTTGCCCGACTCTTCTCTTGGGAGACAAAAGGGCAAAGGGCGGAGTCTGTCCAGATGACCTGGATGCCCAGATGTGACAGGTAATGGCAGCGTGTCGGCAAAACCGAGGACGGAAAATGAGGAAATTGACAGGGCGGCTGGACAGAGCTATAGCGAGAGCAGCAGGCCGGCTGGGCCAGCGATGCGAGCGAGGAAGCAACACAATGAGCCGCTCCGCGAGCTTGTGGCTGTCCAGAGCTGTCTGGCCGATGGACGTGCGAGTGAGTCCGTGCAAGAGGCCACAGGATACAAGGACGGTCAGAGGTCAGGCACGGTCAACTCGGTCATGGGACAACGCGGTGAGCTGGTTGGGGAGAGAGCGCGAGCAGAGAGACTGTGACAAGGCGGTGGAAAGACAAAAGCCGGCCGGCTCAGAAGACTTTGGGGGGGCGAGACCGTGTTACGAAAAAAGTGACAAGGCCGCTGACAGGCCCCAAGGCGGCCTTGACTTATATGATCTATCAGGCAACGGGGGAAGGGCGGAGAGAAGAGCCGGGAAGAGTATTGGCCCTCCTTCGGTCTCTCGTCTATTCGCGCTGTTGGGCGTCAGGCATGGGCAGAGAGTAAGACACCGGCAATCGCTCAACCAAACTCTGCGAGCAGACGGGACGACGAAGCGCTCCAAAGCAGACTCATTATCTGTCCTGTGTCTCCGCCCTTTCGCACAAGCCGAGCTGCTCGGATACCTGCAGCTGCGAACACATCAGGAGGACTGCCTACGGGCCGCCTTGCCCATCCTCTCTTTTTCTTTTTCGCTGCTTGTTGGGAGCTCTTCCCCACACAAAAATCAAAATCAAAATCAAAATCAAATATCAGAAATCAAAAGCAAAATCCAACACATTGCCAGCCCGACAGACGAAAAGGCGCCTGCTCTGACTCGACACACGTGGCGGCCATGCCATGCGATGACCACGGCTGGGTGGAGACTGTGAAAGGAGGGAGACAAACACCGCAAGATTCAAAGCCATCTCCTCGACAAACAGACGGCTGTCCGTCCAGAGAAGTCGGTGTGGACGGCGTCGAGGCTGCAGTCTAGCCCATGCATGATCCTCCACCGACCTCTGCAAACGCCCAAGACGGCCAGGCCTGCAGACCGGCTACGTACGTGCTTGATACGAGGTGTCGGACGATGCGAAGGCGTGAGAGGGATGGGAAGTGTATAGTGATTTTTGCTCTTTTTGCTCTTTTTTTCTCACTTGCTTTCAAATCTAAAATTAGTATGGCGGCTTTCATAACTTAGTTGACCTTGTCCGTACATCTCATCTCTCGTCGCTCTCGTCGCCTCGGCATCGCCGTCATTTCAAAACGAGGCTTCTCTGACGGCATTCGCATCCTGCAGCGTTTGCGTGCCGCAATTTGACAGAGTGGCCGAGTCCCCCACCTGAGTCACACACCTTCTCCCTTGAACTATAGCAATCCAGCTACAAGTCCCTTTTGTTCCCCAGGGAGAAACCAGCTGAATGGAAGGACAGAACGCCGACCCCTGGACCAACAGACGGGGGGGTTGCAGCATTCTGTCCCTTCTCACATTCCTACCAGAGGACAGCATATACGGCCGGCTTCCAACTAGGCCTGTCAGAGCAAGGAGTGCAGTGCTAGCCTTGTCCCACTCTCCCACTGCCAATCTGCTGCCTCAAAAGGTGTCACTGTGGGTTAACGTGTTAGTCAACGGCGCTCGTCTTCGCTACGCAAGCCGTGATGACCTTGTTTTTCCCCCGTGATATCGCATCCTCATACCGGCTCGCCTTGACCTTCTCGCCTGGCCTTCCAGCCACCCCATAAATCAGAAAGCAGAGCCGCTGTCATCAAGCGGCTTGTTCCACCACTTTGGCTTTCTTCTCTGAAACTGTCGCACTGTCTGGCATGACTCGGAGAAAAAAAAACGTAAGCTTATAGGGAAACAAGAGCGACGCACACCTCGTCTGGGCATGAGACGGGCCAGGACCATTTCAACCTATCTGGAAACGGCTGTTCAGATCCCGCCTCTTGGCTCAAGAGCACGCCTTTCGCTTCGTGTCGGCGTGGTGCCGACTTCAGAGGCGAGAGCCACTACCCTTGTCGCAGCGAGAACGGGCGAAACTCTAGCAGGACCCAAATGCTCCAAGGACTGTGTCCAAGTGGTACAGAATTGGTACAGCTGTGATCCCGTGCACAGCATCACTTGTGCGACTACCAGCCTGTGACGTTGAGGGTTGAGGCCTTTGCAGAGAACAAGGTACGCCCCCCTTTTTCCCTTGTTTGCCTTTTGCCCGAGAATTGGTAGGCTTTCGCTGGCAGGAAACGGGAGAGAGAAGGTAGACAGACATGCCACAAGAAATGGCGACAGAGAGAGAGAGAAAAAGGACAAGCACTCGCCTCCGAGAGGAAAGACTGTAGGACGAAACGTGAGATACAACAAGCTGCTCTGCCGGATCGATCTATGACAAGCTTCTCCTGCCGTGCCTTATTCCGCAGTCTGGCACCTTCACGACGAGAAAAGCTGCTGGGCCAAGAAGTCATCTCGCCTGCAGCAGGATGCATTTACGACGGACTACGTATTCATGCGACCGCGGTCGCCAGCAAATTTTCTCCCAGCTCGGTACCGAATCATCTGCTCGTCGGCGGTGAGAGGTGCAAGGGCAGACACGGACCTTCTGCGAGAGACGGTCTCGTCCGATGAGCTGCAGTAAGCCCAACTTCGGCATGCGAGCTGCAGGATGATATGACGAGGATGAAGACGGCTTGGATTGTACAACCACCAACAGGCGAAAAGGGGAAAGGGAAGGGGAAATGGAAAAAGGAAATGGGAAAAAGGGAAAAAGGGAAAGCAGAAACGGGCTTCCTTTACAAGAAAAGCGACAGCGAACTCCATCTACTTATGGAAATGGTCCATATAAGTCATGATGCCATGATCTCCTGCCCAATCCAGAATGGGCACTTTCGTAGACGGTAGCAGTTTCTTATAGTTCCTCTTTTAGATCGCCCATTATCCAACGTTGCCATGTGCTGAATAATCGCCAGCCGGCCGTTACAAGCAACAGCAAGCGACGTTTGAAAAGAGGGCGGCAGATGCATCGGAACCTCCATGACACACTGGTCTGCCGTTGAAGAGCCTTCTAGGGCGGCCACGTGACGGTAGCTAGCGCGCGAAATCTGTATCTGCATCGGGTCCACTTTTATATTTACGCGTCTGATTTGCGCCCTTGGAACGGTCGTCTTGTTTACATTGCAGTCGTGCTTTCCGAAACAGGAACACCAAAATAAACACCAACAAGCCATCTTGCAAGGGTGACGACTTCCCCTGTCCTTGGAACCTCTTCCTTTCGTTCTCGACCCTCGTCGACAGGAAGATTGGGTGACGCATGATCACAACGAGGACAGGTTCCTTACGTGCCGCCAACTTTGTGCCTTTGGACCATATTCGTCGCTCTTTTTTTACTTTGTTCTCACTGCCAACTCTGTCAGCTGACCCCTCCCCGCCAACACCTCGATTCCAATTTCTGCAGCCTTTTGTCTCCAAATTTCAACAAGCCCGACCTCTGCATTGCTCCGTCTCCATCAACGCCAAAATGGACTCCGATATGGATGACTCCGTCTTTGACGTCAACAACGACTCCGAAGGCTATTCGCCCGAGCCGGTAAGGCCAGACCTCCAGCCATAGATATCATGGAATGGGCATATATAGATCTCGAAGATCAGGGCAATCCCACGATGGTTTAGACTAATGCTGAGGTTGTTTACATAGAAGCCCAAGGCAAAGGCACCCCCCAAGAAAGCTGCCGCACCGAGAGCACCAAAGGCAGCACCAAAGCCCAAGGCAGCTCCCAAGAAAGCGACAAAACTCGTCCAGACGAAGCTGGGTGCAAAGCCTGCCGCGGCCAAGAAACGGCCAGCGCCCCCGAGCGACGACGATGACGATGCCGTCGACTTGGACGACAACAGTGCCGTCAGCACCCTGTCGCAAACACCGCCCAGCGCCAAGAAAAAAGCGCCGGCCAAGAAGGCCAAGTCGGCTGGCAAGCCGCTGGCCGAAATTGCCAACGACAGCAGCATGACCCAGCTCGACGGCGTCGACGACGAGCCGGCCTCACAGGCTGCCGGGTCTAGCAAGACCGCATCCGAGATGTACCAGAAATTAACACAACTCGAGCACATCATCAAGCGTCCCGACACTTACATCGGCTCTGTCGAGCACGCCGAGCAGCTGATGTGGGTATACAACAAGGCGACCGGCCAGATGGAGAAGCGAGCAATATCGTTCGTGCCCGGCCTGTACAAGATTTTCGACGAGATCCTCGTAAACGCTGCCGACAACAAGCAGCGCGACCCCAGCATGTCAATGCTCAAGGTCACGGTGGATCGCGCCGCCGGCGAGATCAGCGTCGAGAACAACGGCAAAGGTATCGCCATTGAAATGCATCAGGTAGGCCCTAATCTGAACCACGATCGAGACACTTTCAGGTCACTCACACGCTCGCTCTCTCTTGCAGAAAGAGAAGGTCTACATTCCAGAGCTGCTGTTCGGCCACCTCCTCACTGGTTCCAACTACGACGACAACGAAAAGAGAACCGTTGGTGGCCGGAACGGTTACGGTGCGAAGCTGTGTAACGTCTTTTCCACTGAGTTCACGGTCGAGTGCCAGGATTCGGCCAGTGGAAAGCGCTACAAGCAGACATGGCACAACAACATGTCCGTCATGGACAAGGCGAGGATTACGGCCAACAAATCCTCCGATTTTGTCCGTGTGACCTTCAAGCCCGACTTCGAGCGCTTCGGCATGCCAAATGGCATCGACGACGACCTCGAGGCCCTGATGTACCGCCGTATCTACGATATGGCGGGTGTCGTGGATGGCGTCAAGGTCTTCTTGAACGGCGAGTACCTTAAGGTCGGCTTCAAGAAGTATTGCGACATGTACGCAAAGGCCATTGCCAAGGAGCGCGATGAGGAGGTGACTGGTGAAGAGCTGCCCCCGGCTGCCACCGTGCAGTTTGAGGATCCCAAAGCCCACAAGCGCTGGCAGATCGGCTTCACCGTGTCCGACGGCACGTTTCAGCAGGTCTCGTTTGTCAACTCCATTGCCACCACGTCGGGAGGCACTCACGTCAACTACATCGCCGACCAGATCTGCAATGCCCTGCTGGCCGACCTCAACAAGCGCAAGAAGGGCCATTCGCTGAAGCTGAACCACATCCGCAACCACATCTTCATCTTTGTCAACTGCTTCATCGACAACCCGGCCTTCACCGGCCAGACAAAGGAGCAGATGACCACCAAAGTTAGCGCTTTTGGCACCAAGTGCGTTCTGACGGACGCCTTCATCAAGAAGATCCGCTCCACCGACGCTATCAACAATATCATCCACTTTGCCGAGAAGAAGGCCGACAAGATGATGTCGAAGAGCGATGGAAACAGACGCTCCCGTATCAGCAACGATAAGCTTGTCGATGCTAACTTGGCCGGTACCAAGCACGGCCACGAGTGCACTCTGATCCTGACAGAGGGTGATTCCGCCCGTGGCTTGGCCATCGCAGGTCGTGCCGTTCTAGATCCTGATCGCATCGGTGTCTTCCCTCTGCGTGGTAAACTTCTAAACGTGCGCGATGCGTCCATCGACCAGATCACCAAGAACAAGGAGATTCAAAACATCAAGCAGTTCCTCGGCCTGAAGCACAAGCAGGTGTATACCGATACAAAGAGCTTGCGCTATGGACATCTGATGATCATGGCGGATCAAGATCACGATGGTAGTCATATCAAGGGCCTGCTCATCAACTTTTTGCAGGTCCAGTTCCCATCCCTGCTGTTGATTCCCGAGTTCTTTCAAGAGTTTATCACCCCGGTGGTGAAGGTCTGGCAGGGCCCCAACCCGAAGAAGCCGACCAAGTCCAAGGCGTTCTATACCATCCCAGAGTACGAAGAGTGGAAAGATGCACACCACTCGGAAGTCAAGCGATGGGAGCACAAGTACCTCAAGGGTCTGGGTTCCAGTTCCAACGAGGATGCTCAAGTGTACTTTACCAATCTGGACGCTCACTTGAAGGAGTTTGAAACCATGCAGACCGACGAGGCCCAGCTGTTTGACCTGGCCTTTTCGAAAAAGAAGGCCGATGCTCGGAAAGAATGGCTGGGCAACTTCATTCCAGGCACGTTCCTGGACCAGTCGACAAAGAGCATCACCTACTCGGATTTTGTCAACAAGGAGTTGATCCTGTTCAGCATGGCTGACAACATGCGCTCAATCCCGTCTGTCGTTGACGGACTCAAGCCCGGTCAGCGCAAGGTTATCTACACGTGTCTGAAGAAGAACATTGTCAAGGACCAAAAGGTGTTTGAGTTGGCCGGTTCGGTCTCCAAGCTGGCTGCTTACCATCACGGTGACGCGTCGCTGCACCAGACCATTGTCGGTCTGGCACAGAACTTTGTCGGCTCCAACAACATCAACTGTCTGGAGCCCAGCGGTAATTTTGGTTCTCGTCTATCCGGTGGCTCCGACGCTGCTAGTGCTCGATACATTTTCACCCGTCTGTCGCCCTTTGCTCGCCGTGTGTTCAATCCTCTTGACGAACCCGTCCTCGAGAACAACATTGATGAGGGCAGCGTTATCGAGCCGAAGAACTACGCCCCCATTGTCCCCATGGTTCTGATCAATGGTGCCGATGGTATCGGCACTGGCTGGAGCACATCTATTCCCAACTATAATCCTGTCGACGTCGTCAACAATCTGAAGCGGCGAATGGGCCGACTTGCTGGTCACGAAAACGAGGAGCTGCCCTTTGAGTCGATGATCCCCTGGTTCCGCGGCTGGAAAGGAACACCTGAGCCGGATAGCGTGCCGGGGAGGTATCGGTTCAACGGAATTATCTACCAGGATGACAGGAACCCCAACGAGATTGTGGTGTCCGAACTTCCGGTGCGCATGTGGACCGATGACTTCAAAGCCAAGCTGGAGGAGGTGATCCGTGCCGAGAAGTCGCCGTCGTGGATCAAGGACTACAAGGAGTTCAACGACCATCGGAACGTACACTTTGTCATCCAGATGGAAGACAAGCATGTGCAGGCAGCCGTTGACGAAGGCTTGATTGATCGTTTTAAGCTCAGCAAGACGGTCGGCACAACAAACCTGGTGGCTTTCGATATCAATGGCCAGATTCGCAGATACGAGAAAGTGGAAGACATCCTGGAGGAGTTCTTCAACTACCGGCTCAACATGTATGGCCTACGCAAGGTATGTTTCGCGATGGCTTCCTGCTCTGTTTGCTGAAAAGGCCTGAGACATGTGCTGACATTAATAGAAACACTGGCTCGGCGTGTACCACACCGAATTCCGTAAACTGAACAACCAGTATCGCTTCGTGCAGGAGATCATGGATGGAAAGCTCGTGGTGTCGAAGAAGAAGAAGGATGTTGTTGTGGAGGAACTCCGAGCGCGCAGTTACGAAGCCTTCCCGAAGGAGTCCAGCGACCCGAAAAAGGCCAAGACAAAAGACGACGACGACAACGAGGATGAAGATGAAATAGATGGCGGAACAGCCCGCGACTACGACTATCTTCTTTCGGTATGCATATGTCCGGGATCATTATGTATACCAGACGCAGAAGCTGACTTTATAGATGCCCATCTGGTCTTTCACCCAGGAGCGCCTGGACAGACTGAAGAAGCAGATCGATGCGAAGAAGGCGCAGTATGATGAACTTGACGTAAAGAGCGAGAAGGACCTGTGGTGCTTTGATCTAGACGAGTTCTTGGCTGAATGGGAGAACCAGCTGCAACTGGACTCCGAGATTCAAACTACGATCCGCCGCATGGGCCGCCGCACGTCCAAGAAGATCGGTGCTGGACGCGGCCGCAAAGCGCGTGCCGACGACGAGTATACAGACAAAAAGCCAGCACGTGCTCCAAAGGTAGCTGCGATGAAGGCTGTTACCGCCCCGAAGCCGTTGGAGAAGACGTCGCAGCGTTTTGCCGAAATGTTTTCTGCCAAGCCCAAAGCCAAACCGACCAGCCAGAAGATGAGTGTGGATGGCGCTGAGGACGACTTCTCTGATGACGATTTTGCGGCATTGGCGAAGCCACGGTCAAAGAATTCGGTCATAGCGGCGATCAAGGATGACGAGGACGATAAAGATGGCGTGGACATGGAGCTGCCGTCCGCGATAATGAAGAGCGATATCGCAGGCGGCGGGCGGACAAAACGTGCAGCGGCCACAAGGGCGAAAAAGTGGACCATTGACTCGGACTCAGAATTGGAGGATGATGACGAGGAGATGTTGGGCGACGTTGGGGCCATGGTCAAGGGCATTGGCCAGCAACAGCAACAACCGCCTGGATCATCCAGTGGTGGCCGGCTTAGCCTGTTTGCGATGTCACGTCCGGAAACCGGCGACAGCAGCATTAGCGGAGTCAGCTCCACCCTTCCAAAGACGACACGGCCAAAGTCTTCATCAAAGACGTTTGATTTTGACAGCCACGATGATACCAACTATGAGGCTCTCGCTCTCTCGTCTCCACGCAAATCGACCAAAGCAGACGAGGTTGATGAACTGCTTTCCGACGACGACGATGTCCGAACGGCGGCAGGGAAACCAGCGACAACAAACGCCCCGTTGAACGTGGTTCCGACCCTGGCCAAAAAGGGTCGTGGTCGGCCAGCGGGGGCCAAGAGCAAGGCCGGCAGCGAAAAGAAGGATGTGGAAGACGCCAAGACAGGACTGTCTCCAGCTGCCAAGGCATACGTTGCGAAGATGGCAAAGGCCAAGGCGGCGCTCTTCCTGAGCGACGATGACGACGATGACGATGACGATGTTGTGGTTCGGAAGAGGCCAGCACCAAAGGCCACAACCAAGACCACCAAAACAGCCAAGGCAGCCACCACGGCGAAAACGTCCAAGGTAGCCACCACGGCGAAGACGGCCCGGCCGGCACGCGTTACTGCTGCATCAAAGAAGAAGCCTGTGTACATTGACGACGACGAGGATGATTCAATGGTGTTCGAGGCCCCCGATGAAAGCGACGATTTTGACATGGACTCTGACTAAGCTGTGTCGGGCTGATTGTCGAGAGACGGGCTTCGCGGTCTCACTTTGATTTTGCTACTACGGTGGTGTGTTTTCGTGTGTATCTATCTTCCGGACTGGGTCAGGTGGCTGCAGCTTTTAGAAATTATTGCATGACAGACGGCTTTTGGAAACAGCAAATCCTAATCTCCTTTATACTACTCCGTACTGCAAATGTACACCCAATGAGGTATGATTATATGCCCCGCTCTAACGACACCAGCCGCTACGAAAGTAATGGCGGCAGATCATTCGGGGATTTCCGTTAGTGTGATAGGCAGCAAGGGTACGGGTACGTGGGGGTCAGCTGCAAGTGCGAAGCGCATGATTGATATGACTATTCGTGTGTGTTTGTATTTGCTAAATCGTTCAAGAAGACGGACGAGCTCTGAGAACAGGCTGCCTTGCTATTTCCCTGGAAAATTGTGTAGTCAAAGCGTGTCTTCCGATGCAGGCCTACGAGAATGCGGATGTCCGTTGGGAACGACTAGTATTGGATGAGTCGGTAGTCCTACCGACAATGCATGTCTGAGTTGTTGGTTGAGATGTGAGACGATAACGGTGAATGGGAGGAAGAGCGGAGATTAAAGCATAACAAAAAAGCAGCCAGCGAGGTTGAAGCTGGTATGCTGGTATGTTTACGTGCATACTGCTGCTTCTGCCTTCTCTGGAAGCAGGCCTCCTTACTTCTGTCCCGCACAGTCACCCGGCATTAGTCCTCTCAGCAAACGAACAGCCTTATCAGAGATCCGATTTATAACGAAATACAGTACAATAGTAACAGCCAATGATGCGACACTGACTGAGAATGAGGAGTCCGGTCAGAGATCGGAGCCCGTCAAGAACGTAATAGGGCAGACAATAGACACACAAGCGAGACACCGCCCCATCTGTCACTTGTTTCTTCTCTCGGTCGACTTCCACACATGACTTCGAGTCAGCATCGCCAACAGGCCTGACTTGCACAACCATCCAGGAAGAAGACAGGGCCGAGGGAAAGCTGCCACTTCAGTTGCCACAGGACCCATCTCTTCAAATTCAAAGCACAAAAAAAGGGGGATAGGAAAGAGAAAACAAATAGGAAAAATGACAAAAAAAAAACACCAGGATGCGCCTGGGTATCCAAGCCCCTAAAATGCCATAGTTCCGGAGCCCCTAGCCAATTTCCCATTGTTCCCTCCACTTCACTTGTCGTCCTCCAGCTCCTACTCGTGCGAGACCAAACTCCCTACCCCCACAAAGACAGTAGATCCCGTAATATGCTCAGACTTCTGGCGTTCAAATTCTGCTTGTTGTAGTGGGGCACAAGTTCCCACAAAGACAGCTGCATGTCTGCCTCGCAACCTTTGTTGTCCTGGTGAACTGGATGCCGACAAGTCGTCTGAAAACGGGAGCTGGGCCTTCCTCGGAAGTTCCACTCTTGTCACTGCAAGGCTTCTTTATTTTTGTCATTCCGGATTTTGTTTGTTATTTTCGATCATCCAATTCATCCTTCTCGTCCAGTCATGTATCGCAGAATTATCATAAACAGCGCTGTAGATGAAGTGGCCGCACCATAAGTGGAAAGATGCATGCTTCGGTGTATGAGTCCGGCAAGTCCAGTAGAAGCCCTTGGTGCCAAAGAAATCCGGCACAGCTTCACAACAATGCGTTGCATTGATAGCAGCTGTTAGCATAGATGATTTATCAGGACATGCTAATGCTTGACGCGGAGACAATTGAGGCCGGATAATATCCGCTCGACGTCGGTTTCCCCTCGTAACGGCTGCATCGGCTGGAGTAGAAAGAATTTCCGGCATAGAATATATGCCCTCCATCGTGAGCCCCGGGGTCTTGCTTCACCTTCGCCAACACATCAGAAGGACCTGTGCTTGCTTGTGGAAGCACCTGATCGCTTTCATTGCGATTATTCGAATGGGAAAACAGTTCAACCGGTTGGCGGGGATCATGAGTGTTGTTACAGATGGGAGCTGGGTAATACTGATATTCCTTGGTCTCGGCGATGGCCTTGACTTCGTCTGTAGACATCACTTGATGATCCAATTCCATTTCGTGCTCATGATGGTGCTGGCTCGTGTGCTGATGGTGTCGGGCGCCTCCTCCATAGTGGCTAGAGGAGCGTGGGTCGTACGTGCTGCCGTATGCCCCTGGAAGGATGGCCGAACCAGAGGATCCAAAGTCGGATCCCATCGCTTGCGATCCACCATACCCGAGGCTACCAGCTGAGCCACCTGGGCCACTGCTGGTGCTCCCTCTCCTCTCAGACTGGTAGTGACCGGGTGAGCGGCCGCGAACGATCATCTTTGCTGACTTTCGGTGAGCAACCTTGATGAATGGGTCAATCCCGCCCCCCGCGACAGCACCAACATCGGCCCATAGCTCGACTAAGAGGTGATAGTATTGCTGGGCAGCTCTACGCTTCCCGTTGTTAGCCGTAGCTTGCTTGAACTGGATCCTCTCATATGTGTGCTCAGTCGGGTACGCAGACTGCGGCGGTCCGTAGCCGTGATCGTATCGATTTGCCACCGGCATTCCAGAGTCAGTGCCATACAGGCTCATGCTATGGTGAGATGCTTGCAGTGGTTTCGCCTTCAGCCGAGTTTTGTCTGGACGGGCCGTCGGGCCCTTGTCGCGTTTCGGCGTGTGCTGAACAAGCTCGATGATGTGACTCTCATTGTCAGACACGATCGCAGAAATGCTCATTGCAAATCCATGCACATTGTGGGTTCTCCCCGTTCCGTTCTCGACGAAAGTCATAGCCGCGGAAGGATAATGCGGTGACAGACTGAAGGAGCAGATGCACGAGAAATAGTTTCGCCGGTAGCAGGTCCACTCATTGTCTGCCAAAAAGAATCCTTTGTCAATGGTGCCGTTGATCTCCAGTTTCACTGGACTGCCAGCACCTGGACCATCTGCATAGTGAAGGGTTCCGAAAGCCGTTGTTTCCGCCAGTGGCGGAACGCTCTGCAGGGACTTTGACCCAAAAGCATTGGAATCCATCTTGAAAGGTGCAGTATATGCCTGGTTGGGACTCGGTGTAGGCGACAAGGGGTTGCGTCGAAGACTGCCCGGGAAGGAAGGTGACCGAGTCGGGTGCTCACCAGATCGTCTAAAAGAAGGTGTGGTTGTCGAGTACAGTTCTCGTACTGTCACCTGAGATCCTGGGTGTGGTAACTGGACACGATGGCCTTGGGCCATGCCAGAAGAAGTGCCGTTGTTCCTATAATCAAATCGTGTAAGAGGCAAGCCACATTTGACGAAAGGTAACAGGATAGGATGTGAGTTGATAAGGCAAGCTCAGATGTATGCGTTTGTATGGGAACATGATAAAAACCGAAAGAGCCACCTACGTAGGGCCTAATCGCCGCACGTCCAGGCTAGAAAAAAGGTGCGATGAAGGGGGATAGAATGAGCCGTTGCTTTCAGACTGATAGCTGGTTGGCTGGCTGAAGACCGGGGCCTGGCCAGAAGAATACAGGTTCAGAACAGATGAGGTCTGTGCCGGGCCTTCGAGATTCAAAGGTGATGTGGTGGACTCGTGGCTGTATCTGAAATATACATCAGTAAAGACAAATTCCGCCGGACAACCCGTTAGTCTGCTGCAAATTCATGCACGCAAAAACAGACGTCGCTAACGCTATTCGTTCCCACAGGAAACACGAGCGGGGGTGCAACCTGATACAAGTAGGACGAAAAGAAAGGCTGTAACACATAACCAGTGGGGGGCGAAGAGAACTTTGAACTGTTGGGCACAAACGCCACGGGAACACAACATCGACGGATAGGAATGGCCTACAGGAACGAACACGTAGCACCCGGAGAACACCACGATAGTCACCTTCCGCCGGTGTGAATGGTAGCAATAATAATGCAGGCACGAAAAGGGAGGAGCGGGAACAAAACTTAACCGAAGAGATGGGAGGGGTGCGAAGGATGGGGGAAGAGGGGAAGGCCTTTTGTGTCGGACATCTTTGTCATTTTTTTTAGCAAGAGTCAGGGCAGCAAGTCTCCTACTTTTTTTTTTTTTTTTTTTGCTTTGCTGCCTCCCTTTTCGCTTGCCGGCTTCTTGATGATCATTTCAGAGACCGGGGATTTTTGTTCGGACATCCGTTGTTTGCATAGCCTCGCAATTGTTTTTAAAACAAATCCTCAAGGCGCAGGATGGGGAAAGCGACTAGCTTGAAGTTGCTGGCGAGAATATTGTAGGAAATTCCAATGGAACGTGGCTTGGTAGAGATTGAGTAGGCATATGACAGTGCGGTCATGGGATTATTGCAGGGCAGTTTCAGAGTGCAAAATGAGTTTACAACTGGGCAGCCCTTGTAGGGTAGAAAAGGCAGGCTTCTGGGGGACCAAAACAAGGAAACCAACGTACCGTATATCAGAATGGGCTGGTATATCGAGGTAGTCAAGCCCAGCGCAGGAGGGCGACTGCTCAAAGTCCTGCTAAATTGATAATGGTCATCAGTTTCGACTTACCCTCTTTGGTTGATATCAGACGTTCTGCACGCTTGGATAACAGTATGTATCAATGCAAAGCCGAAATTTTGTAATGTTTTGGAGGAGACGACAAGAAAGGCAAGTGAAAGAAATACAGCCTGCAAAAAGGTGCATGAGAAGATGGCTTTTTGCTTGCTATGTGCAGGGAAAGGAAGATCAACGTGGTTACTGTTGGGGTTATGGTAGGTCTGACGTCGATGGCGGTGTTGTAATCAGGCTGCCAGTAAATCGAGGAGAGAGCTCAAGTGAGAGGCGACAGTACTGCAAAGCGTGCTATTAGAAGAAAAGGGTGTCAGCGACTACCTCAGCTTGCTGCAGGGCGATCATTGAAGGAAGACGATGACAGCCAGGTTACAACATGATAAAAGTCCGCATAGAGATCGTACAGATAACTTTGAGGCATGAAGAGATACATGCGAGTAAGACAGGTGTGATCCTTTCAATTTATGCCACGAAAAAGCAACGTGGAAAACACAACGCCAAAAGAATATAAGAAAAACAAAGCCCCTGTCATATCTGAGCATTGTCCAGGAGGAGAGGGGGGGGGTTTGACTATCACGGACCATAAGTGGTGGCCCGCGACATGTGCCGTAAAAAGGTACAGCACAAAGGTGATACATCCTTCTGCACTAGTGCTGGGTGAGATATATGCATGGGAGACAGCTGCTGGCATATGGTCATCAGAGCATGTGTGGCATGTCGCACAGGCGAACACCCACATAGAGCCATGCCTCTTTTCGAGCCGATGTATCTTTTTCAGCAGATCGTTGGTCACAGATTTCCACGACCAAGATCGAGCTTTGACCTTCCCGACACCGGACAATAACGCAAAGCTGCCCCAAAAACGCTGACCAAAGAAAATGAGGTGGTCCCATGAAAAGGGGCGGGTATTTGGTGATTATCTCTTGACGATCCGATTGAATAACCCCTTCTGCGAGCACAAGGCTATCAACACTTGACAGCTTTATTGCAATTGTTTCTCTGGTCAACAAGAATTTCACTGAGTGGAGCGAGGCCCACACAGCGAGCAATTCGGAAGACCTGGACTTGGGCCGAGACAACACCATTAAAGTTGAATGGACTGATTGCATGGTTCAGAAGTGAACGAGCAAGCTTTATGCTGGAAAGAACACGCACAGATTTGGGGCAGAATCTTGAAATAAAAAGAGACCGCGTAAAGGCAAGCCAAAGGAAAAACAAACAGAACGGGCAAGAGGTGGGTAAAAAGGGTTGAGAGCTCGGAGATCTTTTTTGTTCGCGACTCACCTGTGAAACCTTCCAGTCTCTACTTGGATCCACAACACAGTAGCCTTTCCACCCCACTCTCTCCTCTCGTCAGATACGGGTGGACATTGGTTTTCTTCGGCGATTGAGAACTATCACGCCGCCGTGTCTGGCTCCAGCCTGGAGTCTGGTCGCTGCGAGCTGTTTTCCGGTGCCCGCCGCATCGATGATGTGCAGTGGCGTGTTGAATTTGAACGAAGAGTGAAAGTTTGCGAAAAGTGGAACCCGAAAAAAAACCAAACCGCGAATTGAAGGAGAACAGCCCTTGGTGGAAATCGAGAAACGATGTGGGTGGGGAGGGGGAATTGTTCAAACGAAGAGGAGGGGTTCAGTGAAGCAATGGGAAATTGTACGGGTAAGGCAGAAAGAATACGCGAGCTATTTATTATAGGAAATTCACGATGGTAGAAAGGCTGTGGGGGAGGGAGGTGCCACAACGGGTTGGCTTTGGGTTGTGTTGCGGGGGGTAGTGCATACCTTCGGAAGTTGTTGATTCATATGGGAAGGTTTATGCAATCAGCCAGTGAGGTTGTTTCGGCTGGCCTGTCGGCTGGCCTGGTGGTTGGGCTGGCTGGTTAGGCTTGTTTGTGTTGTTGTTGTGTGGGTCAGTCGACTTCGGTCAGTCTAACACAGCCTGCATCCGCTATAAGGGCGATGTGTTATCGCTTTCTTGCTGTTCAGAGACAGCAACTTGGATGAATGCGTTTCTGTCTTCTGCAAATCTGTATAGCTGGGGGTATTAGGTTCATCCTTATGGTATTTTTGAAATGTCTAGTTGAAAATGTACCTCTTCGGCCAAATACTATGTGTTGCCCTGAGGTTATGCAAAGTTATGCGAGGTTATCTGTGGTTGGCTGATCCGAATCGAGACACAAAAACCGCAACTGGCTGTCGCAAAGAAACTTTTGGACAAGCACCTGAAGCGAAACTACCCTGCCTTTGTTTTTTTTGTCTTCTTTTTGCTTTGCAGTTCTGGGTGGGTGTTTTCTTCGTGGGAGGTTTTTTTTTGCGTGTCTCGCGTTCTCTCCGATCCTGTTGCCTGTTGTGCCTCGTTCTTCCAGGTCGATGTTGTCAGCTTTTTGCCGACTGTGCTCTCTCTTTCTGGCGTTCAGTTCAATGGTGTTTACGATATGTCACGACTCGATTGTCAGGAAACCTGTTCAGCCCAATCTCCACCTGCGTCAGTAAGGAGTATCTAAATGGTGAAAACACTCGGTCGCGACAAAGGAGACCTAATTTGGTGAAGTCAACGCGTTCGAAGCAGTACTTTTGTACGCGACAATTGCTTTCGAATGTGTGAACAAGGCGACGTGTCTCTGTGTGTAACGACACAAGGGAATATGACAGGCAAGATAGAGAGGGCGGAAAAACAAGTGTCTTTACTCAAAGGGTAGTTGCTGCCTCTTTTCAGGAAGGCTGGATGCGACGGTAAAGTGCGGGTTGTGCTAAATCCTCGACGAAATCCAGCAATATGGAGCACGAGTTGGCACCAGCCTTGACGAGGCAGCCTCAGCAGTGATGGAGCAACCGCACGGGAAATATTAAGCGTTTATGATAGTTGTACACACGGGATGTGGTGGTGTATGATTGCCTTGCTTCGTTCTGTTTTCTTTTTCTTGTCCTCGCAAATGTGGTTGGACACTTGTCAATCCACGATGGTTTGATGTGTTTAACTGAAGCAGATTGGTGTTCTGTTCTCTATACTTCTCGTAGCGGGCATATTGAAAATTACCTGCGTGTTTAAGTCGAATTTTTGCTTGTCTGTCTTGAATCGTGCTTTCCAGGCGGGCGAAAACACGGACGTCGTGTTGTAGAGGAAAAAGCTATAGAGGCTTGAACATCAAGACGTTTGTATCTCGCTTGAGAAAGGCTGACCCACTGCTTCTTTCGGGCCTTTGTATATTGTGAAGGGAGTCGGAGCCAGACATATGACCTGCAGGGGAGGGGAGGACCAACGTAACAAGGAGGACAATGGAATGGGGTGTCACGAAGAAGAAGAAATCGAGATGTACGAAATAGGAAGGAACAGATAACGCGCACTTTCTATGAATGGGCGGGCACCAAACTTACGTTGTTCTCCAAATTCGGCCAAACTATGAAGAGGTTGTGCCGAATATTGCAGTTCCTTGCTTTGGGGCCTTTTTCTGACTTGGCTGGGGAAAAAAAGTAAGGTCAAGAACCGAGAGACGATAGGTATCGGTCCGGCGGTAGGTGAG